TAGATTAGTTCCTAAATTAGAAGGGCCTGCAGTATCAATCGTGATGTAATCCGTACACGAAGCTCAAGCTTGAAGATCTGCGGTAAACTAAACGGTTGGAACTAAATCCTGCGTGGCTGAAATGCAGCTTAGTGGAATAATAGTCGATCCAGTAGAACGGTCCAGTGGAACTGGAAAGGTGTAATATTGATTATGGATTTAGTTTCTGCAGTCATCTTCCAAGCGCATTACGGCGTAGTTCATTCACGTCTCAAATTTTCGCTAAGTACATACAAGTATGTACTCCATACGCTGTACACCGTACAAAGCACGCAGACGCAGACGCAGACGTAGCGACTCAACTAGTCCACATGCTACGGAGTATGGCAGGTTGGAATGGAGCATTCCACGGTGATCGACCGTCAGTCGGAGGATATCCGCGCGTTTCTTCCAGATCAGGTAATTGAGTAGGAAAATGGAAATTATGGAGCGAACGGTGTGGGCTAAAGAATCAAATCCCGGTACCAAGACCAAAATTGGGATCGGATCTTGGATCTTACCATCTTTAGTAAAAGCGTTGTCGCTCGTTTCTTTTACGGTTAGGATTATCTGATCATCCTGTGAGAGATCGGACAAAGGTTCCACAGGGAAAAGGGAAAAGAAAGGAGAATATTCGAAACGCTTTACGCTTTGTAAGGGTCGAGTCATCAGGCGGAGACCAGCGGGACCACAAACGGTCCCTAACGGTCTCTCCATCGTCGATCATTTTGACCTCCACATATCCCCTTTGTGAAAATTACAAGAAAAACCCCCTGTAACTAGATCATTTTGGGGTGTTGAAATGGATTGGGAGCAGGAGTACGAGCAGGTTTTTGGTCATTCTCGTTATTCTTGGAATGTTCATGTGGATCGGAGTCTGGTGCTATTGGTAAATCAGGTGAATCTCCTGCACGGCGGATTTGATGTTCACACTTTCACATATTTTAGTCTCCACAAGTGGTTCTTTTCCGTGCCGAGGCGGGTAGTACGTGACACTATTCAGGTGACCAAGATTTCGTAAAGCATCTTCAATGGCTCCATATAGAAACAGGTTCCGCTTTGGATGTGTTGTCAGTGGGGGAATACTGCACGCTTGTCGGTCTAATCCCGCCAAGAAACGCTCGAGAATGGAGTCATGCACCGGTTGCTGTTTGGATGCACGGTTGCCAGAAGGCAACTGCGCTCGATCTGTTCAAAGCGGCTCTTTCGGTTCCATTTTAGGTCCATCCCAGATTTCTCTTTCTGTTTCCCTTGATCCCCACGTCTAATTAGTCCAATCAACCAAGCTTCATTCCGTAATCTGATCTCGTACAACTCTGCTGTACTTTACTGCAGCGGATTTCCGACCGGGCCACCGGGGCACGATTGTGGCGGTTCGGATCGAAACGCCCTAAAGGCAGCGTCATTCCAGCGGGGAAATTCGGGACTTGAGGGGAGGTCCAGCTTTGTTTGGTTTTGATTTCTCTTTTCAGACTTGCTTTTCCATTCATCTAGAGTCCGTGCTGGTCCTAAGCAAAACAATAGTCTCTCCGGATCCAGATCCAGTCCTGGCAGGGGAGGCAAGGCTCGGATTTCGGAAGCAGATCGAGTAACGAGTTTGTGCGAAACGGTGGGGACACTCGAATGGTTTTGGGGTGCATCAGAGTTTGGAAAGGTAGGCGAAGTGACCTACCGTGCATGACACTAAATCTCAAGGTGGAACACATAGCATGGCTGAAATGGTGCGATCCGGGTGGTGGTCTCGGTTGCATGATGCAGCGACTACTGTGTAGATCGATTCCTCGCATAGATCTCAGTCCCGTTGACAATTCTTTGTCTGCCGAGGGGCAGGTGATCGAGGTGTGACCCGGACGCACAGGGCTATGTGTGATCCTCGGGGACCAGATCGATTTCTTATGCACAACCTGCAGGATCAGGTTGCATTTTGGTTCCTCAGACGATTGCAGGATGCATATTTCCCCCCCTCACTATTTCTATATTGGTCTGCTGTCCGTGGGACCGCAAAGTTTCTGCTCTCTGCACTGACTGGGGACCGGGGTGGTGTGAGCGCCCAGTAAGGAGAGGGGGGGAAACGAGCAAGTAGCCAAGGCCCTTGACCAGATCAACAGGATGCATAAGAAGTTCCGAAGATCTTGCTACGATTGCCTTTAGCGCTGGGCCACATTGAAGACGCTCAGTGGACGTTTAGACCCTGTGGCCTAGGGCCGACCGTTGAGCTAAGGACCCGTTATGGGTCCCGCTGTCTGTGCGCCAACCGACCTGACATGAGGAAGCCTACCGAGAGAAGGCTGGGGAAGGTACCGTGGACTTGGAACGGAGGCCTCAATTGAAGCTATCAAATTCTTGATCATGGTCGGAGGTTTTGGGTCGGAGAAATGATAGAATGATAAAAACGGATATGACATAACAACGGTCAGAAGCGGGTCAGGGGCCAAAGCATCATAAGGTTTCCAGGTTTCCAACTGGGGGCAAAACAAACCGATGAGGTTCCGTAAACCTTGAGAATGTACAGAGTACTGAATATGAAATCTTTTGAACATTTCTCGATAAGCTTTTGAAAGGACTTGCCACGGGGGAATCTTAGATTGCAGGAATTCTTCCGTTAACGCATGGAACTCGGGAAAAGCAACCGGCCAGTCACAGGCAAGAATTTACATTTCCCATCGTGCGATGAATTTGAACTCTTACGTCACCCTGAATGTGTACACCTGAGGCTAGTTACTTAGAGTCACAGTGATGGAACGATCTCACCAATAACGTCCCGAGTGGTCCGATCTCGATCCCGAAGCTTAAGTATTGCACACAACGTGTGGGTGACTTCTTGTCGGAGTCAATACTGAAGTAGGAAGAAACGCCGAGTGGATGATTCATGTTCTCAAGTTCAGCCAACCGGTACTTTTCTCCCATTTTTTAATTTTTGCCATGTTTTACCAAATCATATATGATTAATCTCATTGGACATCAAGTTCAAGTCATGTCAAGATCCATTTCGATCCTTAGGCGGCAGTGCCCGAGATCGAGCAAGGGAGAGTGCGTTAGACCATGGAACGTTGCTTTTTATTTGTTTTGTTTTCCAGATCAGATTAACCCGGTGTGACATGAGATCTGAGAGCGACACAGACATTTCCTTTGGTCAACGGGTTACTACCCTGCATGGTTATGATCGATGCGATGTTTATCCCATGTTGAGTCTCTCTTTCCTCATTTTCCTACATCATGTCTATTATCATTTGCAAATGTTTTGTTTTTGATCAAAGTGACATCATAGGATGATCTTCATGATTAAGAAGTACCTTAGAAGGTCTGAACACCCCCCTATGATGATGTATCTCCCGCTGACAAGTCGTAAGAGCCGAACCCTGCCACATCGGAGATCCCCATGTGAGACACGTTACCTTGTACAAAGTATAGGTAAACCAGGTATATCATATGTCATGAGCTATAATAGGAAGGTGAAAGTCTGCGCGGTTGAGTATATTGTCTTCCAAAACTTCTTCAAAATTGTCCTAGATAAATGATCATTGTTATATATTCTAACAGGTGGAAGTAGTTCGAAGCCAGATTGGAGTCGCAATTTCAATCATCATAACACGCGCCAAACCCGGGGTGACCTCGATGGGAGGAGGGTAGTACCCGTACCCATGTGTTCCTGAGTCAGGTTGTACTAGGCATGTTAAACTGCAGGAGTTATTTTTGTTCAAATGTTTGGAGAACCCTGCAAAGATCTACGAAGAGGAGAGTTGGGAAGGAGTTATTCCAGAGGATCCAGCTTACCAAAATGAATCATGGTAAGATTCCTATTCAGGAGAATTAACAGGAACATCCGCTTCAATGATAGCTAATTAACTCACTTCTCTTCTCTTTCCCCTGGGACTCCACTAAATGATATCCGTGTAAATGTGACTAGCAGTGATAGGTATGATCCCACAGTCCACTCCACATGCGAAGATCCGCAGTTCGCGTATGGTAATCTAATACCGGTCATAACGATCTGGCAGTAATCTATATAATTCCCCCCCTAAACTAGGTTATTTTCCCTTTTTAAATCCAAATTGTATACCGATCCCCATCTCGATCCACTCTGATTCCTCCGATGGAAAATTATTATAACCACTTTAATTCCTTTACCAGAATTGGATTTTTCTCCGTATTTCACAAAGGATTTTTTTTATTTTTAAAATAAAATCATTAATCATTTATATTCCATAGTCCAATCTACAAGCCTCGATCCTCCCCCCTCTCTGGTATTTGATACCCACTTGCCATTCACCCATTAGTTCCTCCTAGTTCTTCTGCGTTTTTAACTCTTAAACTCTTATATCGATCGCTGGATCGAAATCTTACTTTTGTTTAACTTCCCTTTCCCTTCCCATTCCACCTCGTGCCCATATTTGGATTAACATTCCCCCTCTCCCCCCGATTCTCTCCTCCCTTTTCTTTTTTGCTCCCCACGCGACGCAATTTTGACCCATCATCTATCCCTTGCATTGAAATACACTCTTTCCCCCTCCCCTCCAAGATCGATCTTGTTTTTGAACCTTTTTTTGGGTTTTCCTTGGTACTGTCTCCTTTGGGGTAAATACTACCTTCCCCCGGGAACCAGATAAGACCCAAATACTGCCCATACTTCCCGATCGCATCGGACTTAATTCGCAACTTACGCCACCCACTCCCCCCATCCATCTTGGTTCCATACTCCGATCTTGCCGGATCCAAAATCGCTTAGACGAACTGGTGGTTCCTGGACCCTTCCGTCGCAAGAGAAAAATCAATACGTCCGAGAATTCGAATCATTCGGCCGTATCACGATCTATTTATTTCCTCCAAATCCTCGATCTCGGTACGATATATTCGGAACATCCAAGATTAAATCATCGAAACTTCAACCCGCCACCAAAATAACAGCCGACTGTTGATGAGGTCAGGAATCCACGCGTGATCCTTTTTCTACCCTCTCCCCTTCCTCCCCTCCACTAAGCGTGATGGGGTCTTTGGAAGCCGCACCTAGGCACAGGTTGGTTTGGCTTCTCGTGTGATCAGTTTCGGTCTGAAACTCAATGCTGACGGGCTTTTTGTTTTTCATAGAGACCCTTTACCTGCCATCGGTTTCCTAGGCAAGGACGGTTCGGGTTATCCCCACTCAAGCGTCGCTTCTCCCACCTCTCTACTCAGTCCTAACAACATGTACGCCGGTCAACCGTTACCCTACTCCTACGCGCCACCGAACACCAATGCGCCCCAACCTGGATACATCTCTCCACCAGAGTCGCGTCGAGTGATCGAAGATGAGAAGGACAAGGGTTCGAGACAGTCGCTGCCTTCAATTCACGAAGCGTTGGGCAAGGACAATCATCTTCCATACCCTGCACCAACCTCCGCACCACCTCCACAATCCGGTCACGCACCACCACCTTCACATCTCATCGGCCGATCAGGAGAGGGCCCGCCCGGCCCTCCTAACCCATTCTCTAATGGCCCCGCCACCGGGTCCTTGATGCGAGAATCCGGTTACCCTCACCAGATTCAGCCTGAAGCGTCGAGGAATAGCCTTGGCTCCATCACCACACAAGAGTCGAGAAATGCGTCGCTACATTCCTTGAGCACGGGCAAGTCTCCGACTCAAAGTGCCAAAACCGGTATCACTTCGGTCTCAGGGTCACAAAATTCCACCTACGACTACAGCGCGCCGCCATCTGCTGGCAGCGTGGCTTCCCCCAATGGCTACGGCCACTTCCCTCCCAACTATTCTTTCCCGCCGAGTGGCCCGTCATACCCTCCTACATCCTACGACAATCGCGCATATATGGGTGCGCCCCGAGTGGAAGAAGTCAAAGGCGGCTTTGTGGGCCGACCAGTTCCTCCACCACATAGTGACTCGGTGAAGCGACATCTAGATGTATTTGACGTGGAGACGTCTCTAAATGAGGTATGGATTTTCTGCTTTTCATTTCACCGTTCTATTTTTTTTTCTCTAGGTGGGGGATAGGGAGATTGCCCTGCCGATCCACCTGACGTGACTTGGAACCAAACTTAGGCTAACGACTTGCCTTATTGGAACAGATCGTCGAAATGAGCACACGAACATTGGAGTTTTCACGGCACTATGCAGCACGAGCTCATCAAACACAACGGTCTGGACCGGTTATGGGCTCGCTTCCCTCGTTGAATGAAGTGGAGGACATTCTCCACATGCAGCGTCGGAACCAAGATGCCTTGATTCGGATACGAACGGCCGTTGTAAACCAGGAACAGGCGCTAGCGGAGATGGCCCAGCGCAAGGCTTACAAGCCCGAAGACGAACACATGGCTGGGGCCATGTACCAGGAGGATTTCAAGGGCGTGGGTGGGTTCGCTGGGGCGGACTCGAAAAAACGGCGCGGAGTAAGTACAAATTTCCCCCTGGTCTTTCATTTTACCCGTTTATCCCCTGTCAGTGCGGTTGTCATCTGTGCCCCGGGTCCCCACTTTTGAATGACATGGCTAATCATAATCTCTCTTTTTGACAGAAAGCGGCCCCTCCTGGTCGTTGCCACAGCTGTAACCGAGCCGAAACACCAGAATGGCGTCGGGGTCCAGATGGTGCCCGAACGCTGTGTAACGCGTGTGGCCTGCACTACGCCAAGTTGACTCGCAAAATGGGCGCCAACAAGGCGGCAACCCTGGGATCGAACTTGAAGCCCAAGTCGGTTCTTGACTCCGCCTCACCAACCAGTCATTAAGCTTCTTTTCTCTTCTGTGTGGCGTTGGAAAAAGGCGGGAAATAGAATTGGGAGGCAAAAAGGAGTTCCGGCTATTATCTTTTTTTTCCCCATTATTCCTTTTTTTTTCATTTCCTTTATTCCCTGGATTTTCAATTTTCATATGCGTGTCCCTTTGCTTCTTTCCCTGGTTTTGAAAATTTTTTTTTCGGGGAACAGCTATCAAGCTCATTGCTTTTCCCTCCCCATCATGGTTTGATTTGTGGACCTTCCTAATTGGTCTTATATAATACCCTCGCAGCGTTGGAAAGCCCAAAGCATAGATTACCCTTTACCCTCTTTGGATATTGGATTCAAGACTTGTTTTTGTTTATGTGTGCGTTTGTGGTTTTTATACCCTGCATTTTCGTGTGTCTCTTGAGCTCTATTAACTTTGCTGTCTGAGTATGTCCTGATGTGTGTACGATCTTGGTTCCAGCATCTACGGCCTTGAACGTTTTGCTTTTTTATCTATGCTTCGGACTAGTGATGTGACGGTTTTCTGTTGCGGGTGGCAATTTGATCTACATGACATGACTTCATTTATCTATGTACTTTTTTTTCCAGAACATAAAAACGCGAATATTTTGATGATCGGATCATTCTCGCCTCATAGGACTCGGCCGGGCCGATGAAGTCACAAGATTCGAACCCCGAGATGTTTCGTTTGGTTGAACCATAGATTTATCATTTAAGGGTCCAATCCCCATGTGTTTTCGCGAAAGACATACTTTTCGAGTAAACATGCCAAGGATGGTAATTCAATTCGCCTCTGCGATTTATTATTTTCAATTCTTCCTATCCAAAGCCACATTCCATAGTCGCAGACTTTGTGAAAGTTCATCCATGGATCTGGTTTGCGGTGAGAAGTATAAAGGGATGGTTACCGTTGTACTGGGATTAAGATTGGGATAGAGATCCCCGATCCACCAGCCAAAAGCAAAAGCAAAAGCAAACTGAAAAAACACACCGCGAAACCCGATCTATGACAGGACTCACCAGTATTTTTAATATGTACAGTTATATCAAAACTTCTATTTACATTTACATAGCATCAGAGACGCGCGATTAGATCAGATCAACATTGCATGAGAGCGAGACCGAGGAATCCGACTCCTTCCTTCACCCCACATTTAACATAATACAGCGACACCGACAGAGAGGAACACCAGAGACATAATTTGAAATTTGAATGAAATCTGAAAATCTGAAATCTGAAATTGAAACTCAAATATCAAATTTTATTTCAAAGGCATACTGCGTACACGGAGTTCCGAACGGATCCAACCCCGGAAATGCCTCGAATCGCCCCCCGCTAAGGATTTGTCACGGATGACAGGCCAGCCCCTGTTCGGAGACGGGTAGATCGTCAGCCCGATCTTTGACATGCATAACACTGTATAAAGTAATACGATAAAATGAGACAGAACGGTTGAATGAGAGATTTACCTGCTCCTTACGGAGTACTCCGTACAAATCCATGCAATACTAGGTAGTTCGCATAGATCGAGAAAGAACGGTGTAGTCCCAATCGCTCGGGCCAAGACGCTAGCAGGGATTGGTATCGATCGAGATGCCAGATCCATGAAGTATTTCAAATCTTTTATGGGGCTTGCATATGATTGGTTATCATCATGATATTTTTTTTCTGTTTTGTTTTGTTCGTACATACTGTAGATCGATCTGTACCAACGTCAGTGTAACCTCTTTCTGCCCAGGGTGCCATGTAGACAGGACATACTCCGTACATCGCTCGATCTTCGATCCTCGATCCGCGAGTTTTCCGTCGAGTGGATCTTTTTTTTCCTGTCCGGTCCCGCCCGACACGTTTTTATTTATTTTTACTTTTACCTAAGTATTCGATGAGAATAATAAATACACAACTTCAAATCACTAGTCACGACGGCCTCTCCGTGAACAAGTGGGCCCATGGGGCACCGAAAATGGGGCGCGCATCACCATCACGGCGATTCAAATCGATCTTTTTACCGAGAAAACACGTATGTTCTCCGTTTCCCGTAGTGGACTCAGAATTACATCTCCACACAGTCTCGCGTTTTTATACTAAGTATGGATTACACGGAGTATGCACGGAGACGGAGTTCGTATAAACTGATAAAAGGGGTATATCATTGGTCGGACCATCTTTAGGCCTGTGCTGCAGCCATAGATCGGTGACAACATTTGAACGGAGATCAATCGTGATCTGGATCTGGACCCAGTAATAGAAATCGATCATATATCTGCAGATATCACATATATGTCGATACTATTCCTTCTATCTCTCTACCTAGGTATCTGTACTCTGTACCAGGGAAGTCTCCATAAACACGGGAAAGAAATTGCAAGGAGTTAAAACCGTAGATCAGTATGCACTCGGACCTCGCGCGCTAATTCATAGTAAGTCATAGCCATGAGGTGAGTGGATCCGAAACTTTCGTTCTCTGATTCTTCTAAGCTTCTTTCCAAGGTTGCGTCACCTCTTCAAGGACCTTATATGGTTGGGACTATCGTCACTAATTAGGAAACTTAGTTAACCATTGCTCGTGTTGAGACGATCGTCTCCACCGGATCTACCCGCTTCGATTTTACTTGGCTGAGGCTCGTGTATGTAAATTTAATGAGGGAAAGAGCTCCAGGATCTTGGTTTTCATATATAATTAATTTTCTTTTTGGTTTTTAAATTTTTAAACTTCTTCAGTTCAGTCTGGTTCGTTCTGGCTCAGTTCAGGTTCAGCAGGTTCAGCAGGTTTAGGCCCCCCTTTATTTTAGAGAACCGTGCGCTGAGATCTGAGGTGGATGTGGATTGGGAGCTTTGGACCCGGGGAACCGTCTCAGGTTCGCTTATATCGCACGCTGATTCCTCGGGACATGATGGTTCCCGCGAAGAGTGGGCTGACGGGCTGAAGGACCGTGGGAAGACAGACCCGGGCCGAAGTCTATCTGCAGGCCTGGGACGAGTGGCGCTTGATGTGGAGATTGAAATCGAACTTCCCGGACTGGTGGGTCGGACTATTGAATTGAAAATTTTCTTTTTCTTTTTAATTTTTCTCATTTTTCAGTTTTTAGCTTCAGGGTGTTAAGGTGTGTACTACTACTCAGTATACTGTATACGCGGTCCATACGCGCTAATGTGGGTTGCCTCGGTGCCTTGATGCTGATGTACCTTGTTACGTACATGTATGCGTCTGATCTGTACCAATGCAAGACTGTATTGATTCAGACTATTGGACTTATTTTGATTTGATCTACCCGAGACAGGCAGAAACCGATGCAAGATACGATTCATGCTTGCGCGGTGTAAAAGCCTCCGAGATCGAGCGATGCCTAATGTTGGAGTAACCCTGCACATGTGGCATGCATGAGACTGTTACAGTAAGGTTCGGCGTTTGGTTTTGGTTTTTTTTTCTGATTGGCATCATGGCCGGGATCTGCTTGGATTTTAGTTGATCTTTACTCCATCTAGGGCTCCGCTAGCTGACGTGGGATCTTAGATCGATTCAGGCGAACCCACGGATACAGTCGCATGGCGGTGTAGATCGAATTTCCATCGATTCCAACTTCTCTTACTGTAAGGATATTATTCTTTGTTTTTCTTTATTGTCCCCCCTCTATCCTATTCAGTGTTCATGTGAGTATAGTGGCTTTAGGCCACGTCACTAGCGCCATCGATTAGAGGCTGGAGTTAATTCGGGAAAATTCGAGATACTTAACTAGTTCCCAAATAGGCTTTTTGTGCATTTTAATTTAGCGTCGCTAGAAAATGCCGCCTACCAGAAGCCCAATAAACCACTGCATCGATGTATGGAGTACATCACAAATACTGTGTACTCTGCACTTCGAGCTCCACTCGATAAGCGCACTCAAGACGCTGGATATTTGATCCGACCACTTAGGATCCTGGCTTTCAGCTTAGTGTGTGAAAATGAAATGATGGATGGAGTCACGGTAAGGCATTATTGAATCGCGCCCCGTCGCGTTCCATGGAACCAAGGGGCAAGATTTGTGTTCTGAACCCCACGCGATCTCGATCCTCCCTCCGATCTACCATTTTTTAGTTTCTGCACGCCCCAAGTCGGCAAGTAATTTACGGTACACTAAGTAGACTAAGAAGTATAGATCCTTTTTAATTTATGGTGATTAAGGGCAATGGACAAGTTCGGTATCTTTGTCCGTGACACTAAGAATCGGTGCTTAGACGCATTATGGCTTAGCCTCCGGGCTAGAAACATTTAATATCGCAAGTTAATTAAGCTAGAACATTTACTTATCTAAATGCTTCTAGACAATAGATTAATTCCAGAAACATGGCGTTTACTCGGGTCCGTCGGATCCGATCACTCTCCCACGTTGCGCTCGCGTGGCGCTGGAACCGGATAGAACCGTTCTCGGAGAAACCTCATATGACATCTATTTGTCACGACTTACCGGCACATGCGGATGTATCTTTTCATCTAGATCCATCTACCGCCAAAAAGTCTCAGCCACTGAATTGAGATACTCGATTGGTTCTTTGCGCCATGTATCGGCCTCCATTCGGCTAGTCGTATTCGAATCCAGAAAGAGGTCAATCGGGCGTTCCGCTCCATAGGGATCCCAATGTACCGAGGCGTTTACAGTCCCTGGATTGGGGTCCAGATCGTGGATGAATGAGGCCCACATACTCGTCATCATCGCACTGAGGTCATAGTACGATTGCGGAACCCCGGCGAATGGTTTCCCGTAGTGATATCCTAGTCCGTTGATGTTATTAAACACAAACGCCACTTCCTCGAAATGGGTTGCCCCAACGATGAGCGGTGTGTCCGCTGCATGTACGTTGAACCGATAGCAATATGCCGGGGTGGATGTTTCTGTCCAGGCTTCGCACTGCCGGCGCCGGTTCGCGTGCATGGCGAAATCGCCCGCAAAGGCACTGGTCCGTCGCCACTCCCAGCCCTGAGCTGGTACACGTTCATCGCCCAGGAACGCGGGGATCCCCAGCGACGGGATATCAGGATAGAGGTTAAGAATTTCACGGGCGACGGACGGTGGCGTTTGAAAATCGAATCCCCCATCTTAGTCACGAATGCAATTTTTCAGCCTGCATGTCAGGATTTACTAGAAAGGAAATAACGTACCAGTTAAATATTCATACCACTGCTGGGTAGTGTTGATACCCGTAGGACCAAAGGCAGTCCCCTCGTCTGTGTTACTACCCGCAAGAATCGGAACCTTGACAAATTCATGCTTATTCATCTGAATACTGCCCCAGTTCCGAATCAAATCGCCGTCCAGCACCGGCCAGAAATTATATGTGGAGGAGCCGCCAGTCCCGTTCAGAACAGCGTTGAGAGTGGTAAAAGGGACTTCGCGCAGGCACTGCAGTGTGTCCACTGTATCTGTGCAGTTCACGCGAGATACAAGTTCGTCATAGGTAGTTTGGAACGTAGTATAGTTTGACGGGCTGGCTGCGATGGAACCGCCAGATTCCATAATCGCGGCCCGGAAGAGCTTGTCGTCTCGTCCTCCGTATGCCGTGAGATGACAACCGACTGACATGGCGCCTGCGGACTCGCCCCAGATTGTGACTTTCGAAGGATCACCACCAAACGCGGCAATGTTCTCCTGGACCCAGTGTAGAGCTAGTCTCTGGTCTCGTAAGCCCAGGTTTGTGTTCCCGCTACCCCAGACCTGGCTTGAACTTATCCAGCCCCAGGCCGAGAGTCTGTAGTTGAGCGTTACCCCGATGAACGGTTTACCTGTTTCGACGAGATCAGTTTGGATTGTATGAAAGGGCACGGAGGAAATACCAATCTTATACGAGTTCTGCACCATCCTTGACATGTTATAGCGCTCATCCGATCCAGATCCCATATAGAACCCACCACCATGCAACCAGACTGCAACGGGCAGCTTCGAGTCATCCGTCACGGACGAGCTCCGGATCACATTGATGGTGAGACAAGCTTCGGACTGAGGATACCAGATCGAGTCCGTCTGCAGCATGCAGTGTCAGGGCAAAATCTCAACCGGACAAGTATGAAATACTAACTCCATATCCGACGCAAATGTCCGAGTATTCTTTAGCATCTCGCGTCCCTTTCCAGCTCTCATTCAACGAGTGCGGAACGGTAAATCGCAGATTACCCAACGGTTGTTGGGCATATGGCATGCCCAGAAAATAGTCCTGGTTGTACTCCGCATTGTGGATTCCCACATACGTTCCGTTCAGAACCTTGACTGCAGGGTTTGACTTTGTAGGAACAGCATGAGCTGTCGCCAACACGGCGAGCAGGCTGATCGCAACCAACATTGTAAGAGTTGTCAAAAAGGTCTAAGCTGGGGATCTCTCAGACTTGGAACTCCCAGACTCTGAGATTATATACTCTTGTTCGGGAGACCTGGGGATGCATGGCGACGCATATCATTTTTGCGGGGAAGGGCTAAGGATGCCAGGCCCCACATCCAAACTGTCCATGATCAGCGCCCAAAGGTGAAGAATGATACAGTAGCAGTTCGGTTGAATTGTTGGACTTAGTGAAATATGCCGACTAAGGTTTCCGTTGACGGAGATTCCGGAACTATCATGGCGTAGAATGCGGAGAGAAGACGCCAAAGGCGGGGAGAAATAGAAATGTTCGATTCTGATTTGCGAATATCAATGCGGAGAATTAAAGTCAAAGCATTATAATTTTGCGGGGGTGTTGCCCTGCTTGTTACTGCCCGAGGTTTATCCGCGTTCTAGACAGGATTGGGGCATTGTGAAGGTCCTTACCAATGTCATCCAACATTAAGATACACGGATCTTTGATACATGAACATGGAATAAGCGAAGAAATATTGGAAGTAAGCCAAAAAGACGAAAATCGATAACGTGAACAAGCTACTTTAGCCTGATTGAGAGCAATTTTGAAACTGACGCACCAAATGGCTTCAGTCAAGGACCGGCATGATTTATCATCTTGCTTTAAAATTAATTTCAGATATGTTTCAAGAATAAGATACTTCAGAGAGTACCCAAAAGTGCATAGCTTGTCGATGACTAGTATGTAGAGGTGTTGAGGATCGAAGAGTTATGTACAAGAGAAACGCCCGTCGCTCGTCACTTAAGGCTTTAAATATAGGAAATAGAAGGAACAATGATATAGTACATATCTGTATACCTAATTCTCACCAGAAAGCCTTGAGCTAACCCAAAAATCATGCAAGGTGATTCCATCCCAACGCCGAAACAAAGCCTATAAACACCCGTAGAACTATTCCATACCCATCTCCTCTTCAGTAGGCCTTCTACAAGAATCCACCAATCCAGTAACCTTCCACTCCCCATGAAACTTATGTAAAACAAAAAGCTCGACACCAACATGATCCACAACCCCATTGAGCTTCGCCCTGAACGGAGCCCAGACAGCCGCAAGATTACCCCCCTCCTGAACCTTGACCTCTGGGTCCCAGATCCGCTCATCCACATCATCCTGTAGCGTCGCCATGTATTCAATGAAGGAGCCAATCGTGCAAAAGCGAGGGGTTGTATCTGTAGGCGGTGGTGGGGATAAAGACATGCCGCCTGACCGTACGCAGTGTCTTTCGAAATCAGGTCGAGATTTGGTATTTAGTGCCGAGAGGAAACCATTTGTGACAGCCATTATGGATTCGGTCTCTTTGGATGGTGAGGGGGGTGTTGGGGTTGACATTCCCCAGCACATGGTTTTTTGTTTATTTTAGGAGATGCGGGATGGGATAGGATGGGATGGAATTTGGATTGAAGGGTAAATGGTGGGGTGGGACGAGATTGGAAATCCGAATGCTTGAAAATTGATGGGCATGTTGAAGCTTCTTTTCGTCTGGTACTTATGAATGTCGCTTGATGTGGCAACTGCTCATAATTATTGACTGTTCCTTGATGGGATGGTTGTAACCGTTGCAATGTGGCTCGGTCGATTGCAGGTTGTATAACCCTCGTTTCCTATAAGTCTGGGATCTGGGTTTGTTTTGCGCGGACGATATCGATCTCGGCCCTCGGCAGGATATAATGGAAAGCCTTGTGAGTGAAAAAATCATCAATACAACCAAGAGGGCTGCCTCTCTGGTCGCTGCTAATATGTGCAAATTGAAATCAACCTCTAAAATGCAATCGACGCTCATCTATCTACATTAGTGGATGCAATAAAATTTATCTAATTCTTTTTGCCACGAAGGAGCTCCCAGCCAACAGATCCGTTCCGGCCCTCCTTGGTGGTTACCTCCTCCACCGCCTTGATAAGGTCGTAGGTGATTTCCTCGGACACAACACTGTCCTGCTTGTAGCTTGGGTGCTTGGCTACAAACTCGCGGATCCAGCGAGCTCCGGTCCACAGAGTGCCGTCGGCGCGTTTGCGAATGAGATCGAGGTAGCTTGCGAGGAAGCAGCGAGTCTCGACGTCCACATTGACGCTGTTCAAGTAGGACTCCACAAGCGGGATGAGACCAGGGAATGAGCCATCCGTACATCCATTAATGATGTCGTCAATGGTCATTAACTCATATTCGACCTCGACCGGACCAAGAGGAGGGGACGGAGGTGGCGTGTTGACAGCTGATGAGGTGGTAGAAGAAAATGTGCTGCCGTCAGAAGACCGTTGAGGAACCTTGGGGGCACGTGCTGAGAAAGGATCCTTGCGGAAGTAGAACTTGCGATCGAGAACAGCATTGCGAGCATGGGCAGTCTCCATATTCTCGGTGGTGCGCTGAATGGGTATGTAGAAGTTAAGGTCAAAGCTGAGGATAGCACGGGTGACGAGAACGATGAAAATGCTGAACGCCGCATTCTCGAAGTCGGTCATCTGAATTTCCATGGAGCGGAACTCAACTCGCCAGCCGATGTCGTCCTTCTCAGATGGTGGGGGCTTGAAACGCATGTGTTGCCAGTTGGTAGACTGGAGGTTCTCGAAATGGTCACCCTTGCTCAAGTCGAGTTCCTCAAGATCTTCAGAGAAGATCACTAGTGGATCACGAATAAAAAGATGGGCAAAATGTGTGGCAAGCAAGTCATCCATGCCTCCGTCCATCAGACGCTTTTTAATATCGTGGTCAATAACCAAATCTGGGTCAAAGTATTCCTTCCGCAACCGAGGGTCTTCGGAGATATAAGTCGAGTTGGAAGCATATCGAGACTTGGGAATTCTCCACCGGTCATTTTTAAGGGGCTGTCCAAAGTTAACACAAGGTCCGAGTTTGGAGACTGTTTGAGGGAAAGAACTTACTGCCTCTCCGAGCTCTTCAGGGGTTCTGTCATCAACTGCCCCGCTAATCTGGTTCCACCGTACATCTGTATCGACAAGGAATCCCTTGTAGATTGGAGTGGCCGCCGTAAGAGCCAAAAGAATCGGTCCAAGTGGGCTCAACTGATCATAAAGCTTTCGCCCTTCAGTCATATTTTTGGCCTGGAAGGTAATCTGCAAGCAGCAGCTACCCATGCCAAAAGCCATGGCATCCATGTAGACGTGGTCGTCTTTAGCAGCACCGTTGCGGACATCGTCATCTTCCGGCCAAAGATGCAGATCGTAGTTGACGGTGGGATCCTTAAAAGGCGAGGGTGTGTTCAGATCCTTGAAAATAGGCACATTTAATTCAACCTTGCGTCCTCGTCGGGAACGAATATTGGCGGCCAATGTCGGGAATCGAATGTGAGGGTTGGCAATCTCATCGGGAACAAATTGCGAACGAAGAGCTGGGCCTGATGGTGGATAATAGGGCTGAATATAGTCATCCTTCGTTCCCAGCCGAGGGAATGTAGTAAGAGTTATAGGCGACTCATTAGGTGCCATGTGCGCCTTGGCGACCTCTCGTCTGAGAGAATCAATATTGGTCATAGGGTCAAGTTCCAGAGAAACAACCTACCGCCATTTCATATTAGATTCCACCTTTAACAGATCTTTAAACCCAATGCCCCACGGGCTTCCTGGGGTGGCCTCGAGCATAAACCGGCCAAACTCAGGGTGGAAATGCGGGGGATCTTCACCAGCGCTAGTGAATAGTCAGAACTCTGCTCATTTTCTTACGGCACGAACCACCGCTTACTGTTCCCCAGTGTGATCCTTCTCAGATGAGCCGGCCTGCCATAGAGCCTCATCGCGGGCGAGAGACTTCAAGATCTCAGCCTGAGCCAAAGATAACCGAGCCTTCTTGGCTGCATCATCGAGAGACACCACAAGATATTCGACCTAGTACCCCAGAGCAGAAGGTAAGCCTCCTCCAGCCAATGTAATTTGCATGGTGATCATACCTCGTCGCCCCACAGGAGGACGTCTCGTTCTTTGCCTCGCGCTCGACGCCAATTCGCCAGTAATTGCTGCATACCCGGTCAGATTCGAAACTATGAAGATCAACAGCCCCGCTGCCCCGTCTCGGCATATAATACCTCAATTCCCCACTCGCGAACCTGATGCGCCTTCTTCTTGGCCTCGGGCCATTCGAGAGGAGTTCCAAGAGCACTGTAGACATTTTAGTGACCTTGTAGACATCTCACAGAAGGGAGAAACACCTACAGTAGACCCATTGTTACTAGCCTTCACTTTCGGACTTCCAATGCGCGACGCAATGCCGATCAAAGAATAAAGACGAGTAGGAAGGCTCGACCCACGACAGGTCCAAAGCCGGGGAAATATGGGAGAAGAATGAGTAGATATGAGCGAAAGTGCCCAGAAGAACTTCAAGTCAAGCCGCGCATGGGCCCGTTCCGATCGGTTCTTTTAAATTCTTGCATTGAGGGGGAATTTTCGCGTTACGGTTCCCGGCGGGGCAAGATCTCGGCGATAAGAATCCGGATTTCTAAGCAATCAGGTGATGCTGATTACTAGTTATGATTTTTGATCTATGTAATGCAGTCGAGGACTCCTTTGATGAGCTTTCTGACTGTTGCTATCCAGAGAGATAGATATACCGCGAGTACCTATACATGGATGAGCAATCCTTACCCTGGTCTTGTGGAATGCCGGCTGACTCGAACCCCGCGAGTAGCAGGCGCCACGCTACTGCTGACCACCGGCCAGTCGCATGCCTCGACAACTACATCCCCTGCAGGGCGTGGTTGGATCGGCAAGCCACCGCCAATGCGAGCAGGCGGTACTACTAATATCACTAAAAAATCCATCGTTGCCGTTGCCGCCGGTGCCGCTTGGTAATTTCGTTACTTTGGTGTAGCTTCACCTCGTATATGCAACTCCGGCCCTCGGAGACAGAGTTGAGTGAAGGACACTGTCAAATTGCGACATAAGCAAGTAACAAATGAGTTTGCTTTGATTTGTTAACTGGGCAATTACCCCAGCAAAACCAGGGAATCGAAAAGGAAAAAGACCAAGGTCCCAACGCCATAAAAGGCAGTCCATGAGCAGTCTCAAGATATCATATATGTACATAACCTGCCGCTTGTTCAGCAGCTCTCACGGAAACACACAGCAAAGTTCGGCAAGCTCAGTTGCTGCGGGCACCGTCCTTGGCAGCGCGCAGCTCGTCCATCTTGGCCACCCGCTTCTTAAACTCATCGTACTGGCACTTCTCGTAGGTATGACGCTCATTCTGTTCGCAAAGAAAAGGTTAGCTGGTGTGCCCTGCAGAGACGCGCCTGCTCGAGGCGAATTATTCGGGACACAGGAGAAAGCGAATCCGTACCTCACACTTCCACGGAAGGTAGTACTCTGCTTGCCGGCACCGGTTCAGAGGAATCAAAAGGTGTGCACATGAGTCGCGGTATTGCATGGGAAGACGGGCCTCGGACATCTCCTGGCGGGTGGCTGGATCAAGCATCTTGGTTAGCTTCATGGTGGTTTGAGAAGGCTCAATGGGCTGGATTCGTACCGGAGGTCTCCGCAAGACCCACTGCGCTCTTAACCGACTCAGCAATAGTCATTGTGACAAAAATTGGTGTGGTTGAGACGGTCGGGGGGATGGGGGACAGGCACAAGTGGTGGAGGTGTGGACTGGCCTTCACTTTGAGGTATCTCGTTTGCTCGCGGATATGTGGTCATGTGATATGTATGTCACATGATTGGGTGGATGGATCGCATGTCATGTGATGAGACTTGATCTTTCGCCGTTACATAATCCACCCTAATCTAGGTTAGTCCGTAAAATCCACTATACGCGGTAGCGACCCGCGTCTTTGCGCGTAACGTCGATGCCACCCTGGATTCCAAGTAGCAAACCGTTTTCCAACGCTCTCAGTGAATTTGTGAGTGAATGAGATGCATTCACCCTTAAAGCATTTCCAAATTCAATTATAATTGTGAATTGAAAACGTTTCTCAAGCGCCTAAGTGCGCGCCACAACACTACTCGGAACCTGCCAGTCACCAAAGTTCTCAACCATACACACACCATAGCTAAGATGGACTCCATTTACTCAGCCACATATAGCAATGTGAGTCCTCCATATCATCATGGCATCCCTACTTTGTCTGGACCTTTATGGGGCAATCCTTACCCTTAGTCTTTCAATTGATGTTGATCGTGTTCCTCTAGGTACCTGTGTACGAATTCAAGATCGATGGCGACAGTATCATGCGACGGAGATCGGACGACTGGGTCAATGCGACACATGTTCTTAAGGCCGCAGGGTTTGATAAGCCTGCGAGGACTCGAATCCTAGAACGAGAGGTTCAGAAGGGCAAACATGAGAAAGTGCAAGGTGGTTATGGAAAATATCAGGGTATGTTATTGGGAAAAGATCACCCCCAGCGGTTCTTTCCGGCACTTTGCTGACTTCTTGTCTTTAGGAACATGGATTCCCCTACCAGAGGCTCGTATGTTAGCAGAGCGCAACCACGTCTTTGCCAAGTTAGCACCCATCTTCGAGTATGTTGCCGTTGCCGGAGATCGCAGCCCTCCACCTGCACCAAAACACACCTCCGCTGCCTCTAAACCACGTGCACCACGCAAGTCCGCCAAAAACACTGCTGCCCTCGCTGCAGAAGCCTTCTCTGTGATCCAACCAACCCAAAATCGAAATATGGGCCCTCCAAACCTCCCCCATGAACAATATGAAAGCACTGCGTTTGATGACAACGAGTCCATTGAACAGGCAACCCTCGAATCCTCTTCCATGATGGCAGATGAAGATATGCAAATGTCCCAACATGGGGGCCGAAAGCGCAAGCGCGGCACGAATGAAGCACCCACCATGAGCATCGCTGAACAAGAGCACATTATGTATGGTGATCAATTGCTGGACTATTTCATGACTGTAGGAGATGCTCCTCAAGCGACGCGAATCCAACCTCCAGCACCCCCCGCCCATTTCCAGATCGACCGGCCAATTGATGACTCGGGCAACACCGCGCTGCACTGGGCTTGCGCCATGGGTGATCTGGAGATTGTGCACGATCTACTTCGTCGAGCAGCCAATCCCAAAACCTTGTCTATTCATGAAGAAACCCCTCTTGTTCGAGCCGTTTTGTTCACCAATAACTACGAAAAGCGGACTTTCCCTGCTCTGCTGGATCTATTGCTGGACAGCATAACATTCCGAGACTGGTTTGGAGCTACCATCTTCCATCACGTTGCCGAGACCACCAGGAGCAAAGGCAAATGGAAGAGCTCAAAATACTATTGCGATGTTCTTCTGGATAAGCTGTGCAAGAACTTTTCCCATGATGAAGTTGATTTGTTGCTATCATGCCAGGACGACAATGGCGACACAGCTGCCCTGGTTGCCGCCCGCAATGGAGCATTTCGCCTGGTCAACATGCTGACCACTCATTGCCCTCGAGCTGCCGACCTGGTGAACAAGAAAGGAGAAACAGCTGCCCAGATCTCACAACGATTCCAGGCTGAGAATGACATCCCGCCTCCCCCCTCTTCCATCACCATGGCCAACGACCATATTGACGGTGAACTAGGTGGCCTGGTGCAGTCAGACCGCATGTCTATCGCGCCGCCCATCGATTCAACCGCAACCTCCAATTTACTTTCCAAGATCGGCGCAATCATGGCGGATGCCAACAAGAAACTTGCATTGACCTACGGCAACTCCAAAGTCTCTCAGCAAGACTCCACCGACGTTACCAACCCTGAAGCACTATTCGAACAACTCGAATCGGATCGGGAGAAGATTCGGAAGCAGGTGGCTGCCCTTGTTGCCAAGGAGCTCGAGCACGAACCTAGCAATAGCCAGCTAACCCGTTACGAGAAATTGCGCGGCACTTACGAGTATCTTCTTGAACGCGTGCAGTACGGTCAACTCGTGGAGAAATTGTCCTCGGTTCCGAAAGTTTCGCCGACGGACCCATCCTCTCTCAACGAGGAAGAGCTGATCGCGCAATATAAGGTTGCACGCGATCTCGTGGATGCACAGAAGAAACGCCGAAATGCGGTACGCGATCTTGCTCAGCAAACCGCAGACGCGGGTGTGAGCACCAAGTTTGATGTGCACCGTAAGCTGGTGGCTCTAGCCACTGGTTTAAAAGAAGAAGAGCTTGATCCGATGGCGGCTGAGCTGGCTGAGACTCTGGAGTTCGATCGCATGAATGGCAAGGGTACATCTCCCGAGCCGTCTCAGCTAGCATCCGCTAAACTGCCTGCCACACTGGCTTCCGAGCGTATCGCTGTGGATACCTAGGTCGCATGTGTACCTTTAATGACTTTCATTTGTGATATTTCATCCTCCTGACTTGTCTCTCTCAAGCCGACCAGCAGATACCCCATGTTTCCTTTCTCGATGTCTTGTTCATACTTTTGTTGCGGATCTGATCCTACTAGATCCGTCGCTGCTACCTTGTCTTTACTTTTCCTTGTAGATAGCAATATGACCATTGATATTTGTTCCATTCATATAATAGTAGGATAAATAGCAATACTTCCTTGTCACAAGGAGAAATGAACGTGTCCAGATGGTTATACGTAATCAAAGCTCCATATGCTTACGGAGCTTCATTGGCAGGGATCGGCAGGCGTAGATCATAATAACGCTTAGACCCCTTCAATGTCCATCATCAAGCGAAAACAATCTCCATTCATGTCCCACAGAGTCCACCGCACAGAGGAAGCCATGGCCCACATTATCTATTCAATGCATGAAATAGTTCTGTAAGCCTTGCCACGTACAGAAAGGCCGTAAGGCGGTTATTCTACATCTATTGGCTGCAGGCTCAGGGCTTGGCAGCAACGCCGGGCGGCTCCAGGGGCGATATGAGACGAAGAGGCGGACATGTCGGTGGGCACTAGCGTCCCTGAACCAATGAAACCACCGGGGGATGTGACGACGGGCTCTAGGCTCGTCACGCTCTCAGGCGTGTATTCGTTGGTGATTGGGTGTTGGACCCCAAAAAGGTGACTCCTTGAAGGTCAGAAGAAACCCAGATCTCAGCTGAATATATAATCAAGAATACCATTTAGTTTGATAAATATATGTCAAATCTTCGTCATTCTGGGATCCGAGAAAGTCGCGATGTGTGCCTGAGGCATGAAAAACCCAACCCAATCCCCACATCCGCACTTCTTCCTCTTCCCTTTCTTCCCAACTCATCCTTTCTTTCTTTTTTTCTTCGCATTCTTTCATTCTCTGCGGCTCGCATCGTTGATTGAGAACCCCCAAAAAATTCATAATACAAAAAAAAGGAGTATCTCAACTTCAAACTAATTCGTTCGATTGGTTCTGCCCCTGAAGAAAAAGCGCTTGGAGATTCTGTGAGATCCGATTCAATTGTCAATATTATTTTGCCCCAAAACCCTCCCACGATATTCGATATTCGCATACCGTATTTGCATCACTGTGCCTGGGGCCATTTTTGTTTCGTCTTCGCCACCCATCGAATCTCATCGTGCCTTGCCAGCTGGTCGTGTTTCAGGACCTAACACTCCGCCGTTGCCTACACTTCTATCTTCACTTCATCAGGGACTTGCAGAGCAACTCCCTTACTTTTCTTCTGGTGCCCACCGAGAGACCTCTGATCTATTCGCCTAATTCACCCTCATCTCTTCGTCCGTATCTTACGCTTCGAAACGATCCTCGGCTTCTGACCCCGAGAGTGGAAAAAAAACAAACAACATCCTTGTACAGCTTGATAATCTTGGCATCGCGTTTCTGCTGTCTCCATTGAGTCTGTCTTTCATACTGCATACATTCACTTGTGGTCCGTGACCTTGAATTCTGCTTGGCGAATATTCACTCTGACGGCGTCCGTGATTCAAGAATCGCGTCCTTTTTTCGTCCCCACGATCCCTCACTTCGCATCCGAAACTTTGACTGCTCTTGCTCTCAGTTTTGGCATACTATTCTTGACATTAGACTTCATAATCATCTAATCACCTGGGAAAGCTTTGAGCTTAGCGGTTGATCCGAAGCTCCCTCCCGTTACGGATATCTCGAACGCGACTCATCCTTCGCTCAACCTTGCACATACCCTCCACCATCTCACTTCACGAACAATGAGTATGGACGCTGGCGGTCTTGCTCAAATGACCTACACCAACTCCTTCAATAATGGCAGTTCCCTCGGGGTCCCCGGCTCCGGTTTCGCCTCCCGAGGGAAGGGCTCTCATATCAAGCGCCTGAGCGTGCCTCCTCAGGTCGCAACCATCGACGAGTCTCAGACCTCCACCATCGCAACCCCGCGCACCAGTCGATCGCATCTGCTGGCTGGTCTCCGAACTGCGCCCAAGTCCGCGACCATCCCTTCTCAGCAACAGCGTTACGCCATGGAGAGTGGTCGGATGCCTGCCAACCGAGGCGATCGCGTCCCCCAAACTGCCACGGGAGCTGGTTTCCCGCAGCACGCGTACACTCCCAACAACGGCATGAACAACCACCACTACCATCACCAGCAGCTCCAGAACCGGGACCGGGAACGAGAACGGGAGAGGGAAAGGGAACGGGAACGCCTGATGTACACCATGCCGGAGCAAGTGCTTGCACCACCTATGATTGACATTGGCGGCGGTGAGATGATGGACGAAAACCTCTACGCGGAGCTTATGTCCACCAATCTATTCCTCGCCGCGCAACAACAGCGTCTTCAGCAACAGCTGATCAGCGTCACCGCTGCCGCCCAGCAGTTCCAGGGTCTTAACCTGGGAATTTCTCTCCCTCAACAGCAGCAGATGCAGTCGCTTATGCCAGGTATTGGTTTCTATCAGCAACAGCTCCAGCAGGGTGTGCAGCCAATTGTGCAGCCGGTCCCCGGTCAGCCTGGCTTATTTTCCGTCTACAACCCTCTGACTGGCCAGCAAAGCTATGTCATGGACAACAGCGCCCAGGAGGACAACGCGGCATATCATGGAAATCAGTCGGACTCGCAGGTTCCTCAATTCCGTGCAGAGATCTCCCCGCCTGCCGACTCTGCTCCATCGCAGATGTATTTCCCACAGCCAATCTCTCCTCCCAGTGGCACTCCTTCTCCGCCTGCAGAGTCATCTGCTGGTGCTTTTCGTCGCAACCACCGCAAGTCCCCATCCTTCAATCCTCTATTGAAGACCAATATCGATACGAACAAGGCGAATGCTGGTGCTGGACCCGGCCCTCGGTCAGCTGTTTTCCCTCCTACCCCGGCCACTGGAACCTTCGGACCTGGCCAGGCTCGTGCTGGTGAGCACCCGATCCGCCAACCTCGTGGCCCTCCTTCGCTTGAGGATCTCGTGGCTAAGCCAACCTCCAAGCATGAGGGAAGTAAGAACTTTGCCACCCGGCAGCGCCGCCGTGCTGTCCACAATCTGGTTCGCGCTGGGATCGAGCGCCGTAGTGATACCCGCAGCTATGGGTACAACAGCAGCGGAGGCACCAACACCCCAGCGAGTGAGAAGGAGTTCACCTTCTCGGATGGTGATGACGCAACTGTGCGAAGTGGCAGCCTTTCCAGCAAGCCAAGCTTGGGTAGCTTGCGTGCAGCTGCGAACGGTGCCATCGGATCTGAGCGCAAGGAGAAGTCCAGTCGCAAGTCCCCCGAAAGCCCTTTTCACAGTGTCACCCCTACGAGTGAGGACGGATACTTCTCTGCCAAGTTTGCGGAGGTTCGCGCGGAACAGGACTATTCGCCAACGAGCACTTCGGGTACTTCGTCTCCCTCCGTAGCAGCCGTTGTCGCGGGCCAAGGACAAGCTGCTCAGGCACCCGAGCGCCGCAAGACGCCCATGCTTGTGTTGTCAAGCGCCGAAAAGCGCAAGACTCCCCTCGTGTAATGCCAACCATCATGTGACAGCGACGTATGACCATTTTCATTTCTTTGTTTGGTGGGCCTTTGTTCTTTTTATCTCTTAGTGCCCTTACCATTTTTGAGCCATCTGCTCTTTCCATTCATTCTCTGTTACTCTTCTCTCGCTGGTAACTTCGATCTTGCCAGCCTTGACGCGCGTTTGATGAAAGACTTGGATCAGTCTACAACGACTTATTTTCTGCCTCTCTTCTCTTCTCTTCTCTTCCCATTCTACACTTTCCTTGCAGTGTTTATTTCCTGATTCCCTTCTCGACTCCTGCGTCGCGTTGTTGACGGAACCTAATCCATCTTTATTCCCATGTCGAAGCCGATGAGCTTTGACCTTGAGACAGAAGTGACGCATACCGTCCTTCATTTATCAGTGGCTCCGTTTTTTTCACCGGGGTTCTGTTGGACATCCGGTTATGTGCAGACAGTCCCCTTACGGGATCCTTGTAGCATTAGGGCCCACTAGTGCAATACAGCTCTACAGCTCATGGTTCAATTTCATGTTAAATTTGTAGCTATACCCAGTTGTCATCATCTAGTCATCTTAGGAAGATAAGCCAACCCTATCCCGTCCAACGACAAAACCACGTGGGGCGCCCAAGGTCTCTCGCCAGCGAGCGTGGCAACCTTGAAAGTGCTTGGTGTCCTTCCCGTGGCCCCGGAGGAGATCTGTTGGTCGGACAACAGGTGGATCATGCAAGATTGCTAGATGAGGCGAGTCTCAGTTCGTCTTCGGGTAGGAATTTTACTAGACTGCCGAGGTGCAATCGTCAACTGGTGCTTATCTATATACGTGTGCACCCAGGTAGTACCTAGTACCTGCCCACATGTTAACAGGCTAGAGTTCCAGGCTATGTCCAAGGGTCTTTGGATTGAGAGGATCTATTTATCTATATTTGGTTGAGAGATATATGTATAAACCTGTTCTCCTTCCGAGACTGCCACCTGATTAATCGATTTCTGGATATCAATATATAAATGTTTAATACGACAGATTAGTATGCCCACAGTATTTTGACATTGTAAATAGTATCGACAGGCTCTTTCCAAAAAGGACCAACTATAAGCGAACCACGTCCTTGCTAAAAAGCTTAAGCTAAATTTTGGAGTTCATGCTAGGTATCCACAAAAATTTGAACGCATTCAAGTCAAAATCCCCAAAGTCGACTCTTTCCAAATCGGGGCTAATTGCCTCAGATTCACCATAGCCATAGTATCTGGCTGCCTATTCCACTTGACTGAGATTAAATTCAAGACCATGGAGGGTCTAGAGCCGGGCGGAGAAACTCAAAGTAGGTCGTCATTCCTGTCTTGTGGGGAGAAATAGGCCTTACTAGAGCTCATATTGGTGAATGTGGTGATGTGGTCAATGCGACCCAATATCTAGTCATCCGTGTCTACGTTCGCAGATACGGAAACTTCAGTTTACTTTATATCCAATGTATATATGTATGTGGATGTTTATTTTTAAATTTTGGGTTATGAGATTTAGATCTTTGTCCGAAATAGGGAACAGCCAACGGATCCCAGAATAAAGTTTGTCTCTTGGGAGATATATCGGAGGGTAAAAGAAAAGAAAAGGTAAAAAAATACTTGTTTATCAATTGACAACATAATCGTCACCTTTCTTTTCTATATTACCTCTTTAATCAACCTGATCGATTGTACATGGTCAAGCAGGAAAATCTGTAGGACATCTTGTCACTATGACGGCCCTAACACAGATTAGGTGTTGGTCCCTGCGTTTCGTACGTTTGGCAAACAACCCCGTTAGACTTAGGCGTAGGGGCTGTGTGACCTAAGGAGAGGGGCAAAAGGGTAACACGAACAAGTAGTGCGGTCGCATTTCGAATGAGAAAAGGGGGAAGTACTTCCAGTGGGTCATCGAATATGATATATATTCTTCTCTGTTAGAGAATTCAACTGCCGTTTCCTTGCGTGTGTTTCGGGATGCCGATCCAAGGGGAGGTTCAGGCTCGGTATAGGATCGACGATAATCCAGATCCATCATATGCAAAAAACAACTGTAGATCCGTTGCGCAGAAATCAGGACCGGAGGAATCCAGATCCGCGGAAGCTTCATCGTCATGAGTCTTCAGGTGCCACTTGGTGGATTTGGCCCTTGCTGGGGCTGTGGGTGATACAATGACGCGCAATGAGTCTCCATCTATGAAACACCGGTTGACAACACGAAAGGCATGTGGATAAAATTATTATCTGTTTTCTGTGAGAATCTATTAGAGTATGCTTGGGTAAGATGGTTTGTATTTTTGATTTATTTCTCAACTATGGCTTTGTGTCCGGGGCCTAAGCACCAATCAGATATGCGGATCCATGCATGAGTTGATGATGTGGGCGCTTGCTGCCTATGAATATAATTATTTACGAGTGTAATGAAAAGTATTGGATTATACAGGCGGATATGTCTATCAGGAACAGGCATAAGGCATCCTTAGATGCAGCCAAGTACAAGGGGCTTTGATCTAAATGGATGTACAACTAACCTATGCATTCACGGCATACGCGTCTTCATACTGTACATATCCATACCCTTGCAGCTCCTAGCGTCGGACCCACTTGATATTGATTCTAACATACTTTGACCCATCAAACATCTTAACATTGAAGGTTTCTATTCAAGCTTAAGCTTAAAGCTTGAACCTACACTTGTCATCAATATAGGAAAGCTTTGTTTTTTTAAAACCTTTTTTCTCTCATAACTTGTGGCACCTCATGGCTTCCGTGGAACCAGATTAATCTGGTACTTCCTTTATGAGCTCGGACTCACCTTGCTGATGACCCGCTTTCTGGGTTGATCAATGATTGTGCAGATCAGGGGAGCTACGATAAGCTACAATCCGGACTGTCGATCTTACTCGTCTCGGAGCATACCCGGCCAAAGGGGGCGTTTTGGGTGATGCTGGATGAAGCAAGAGCCGTACGTTTGACGGTGTTTCGTAACTTTTGATACTCAATCAAATCCCGGTGATTTATTGTGGCAAAAAAGAGAAAATTCCAAAAAGGGAAAAGAAAATAACAGCTCAGAAAGGACATTCCCCCTTTCATTGGCCTTCATGTGGTCCCGTGTCTCCCATAGGCCCTGTTTAGGTTGTTTCTACACTTACCGCATATCCGGCACTCATTTATACTCGTCTGTTGCTCGCCTTTTTGTGGCAACATCTTTGCCTTGATTTTGAAAATCGCCTTAATGATGTTGTTTGTGACATAATATCATTCCTGGTCCTTCACTTCAGCAGTCTCCCTGCTGTCGAGCCCCCAGAAAGCCGGGGTCAACATCCTCGTGGTCACTCAGTTCTTTGTCTACGAGAAGCAAGCCTGATTCGAAGGGTTTGAATGGGAATTTATTGAATATACAAACTCATGTGAGTTGGCCTGGGAGATCTTTACGTCTCCTATAGTATCTCACATAGCTGAAAAATTGCCAGGTTACGATACTCGACCCTACACGATTACACCAAGATTCAAAACCTGGAGATCCGTTTCATTCAAGACTGGTTGGAGCTGAGGTGGACTGTTCCACATATAAGAAAGACTATCGATATCACACCAAGGAAATGGCGGGGGGCTTCTTTGATCCCCCGGTCTCCCGCCGCTGCAGTGCGTCTGACACCGGGGTAGGATCAAGCAAAATATCTTCAGTGTCACGTCAAGCATCATCGCCCCTGCCGAATGATGGTTTCCAGGGCCAGCAGACATATCGGGACGGAGAATTGAATCATGTTTGCGCACAGGGCAGGCATCGGAATGCTAGCCTGCTCCAAACAACCAATCGAGTCAAGTTCACGGCAGATGAGACAGAGCTATTGGAACCCTCTGCCGGAGCTATGGTCGAATGCCCGCTGGATTGCAGGGGCAATGTGTCCCCTCAAAAGCCATTACCCACCGCCAACATTCCTTTCACACAGGCAACAAGGCCCTTGGACCCTCCTTCTGATCCCTCACTGGTGGATGAAAGCCCCAGCGCGCCTGCCGATGTCACTGGCTTGACGATCAGCTACCAGGCAAGCTCATCGGGCGTCGGAACGTCAGAGGAGCTTGGACAAGGTACAAATGACAAAGGGCGGGCACTATTATATGCAAAGGAGAGGGTCCAGCGGCTAGCATCCCTTCTGAGTCGTCCCCCAAAATCTCCGAAGCCAAATTCCCGCGCTAGCTTAGTGTCTTCAATTGCTTCTACTCCAACAGACGTGTTTCAAGTTGAATATGGGGATAAGATTCCTATGATCGGCTGTCCTGAAAAACAAAAAATATTTGACGACTTGACCGACGAGGATGAATACACACCACGCACTGGCGAAGCTTTTCATACTGTGCGACAAATGTCCCGTCGAGACTTACCCTTCTTGCCTCGCATTCATCCTCCTTCTCCGGGTCCTCTCCCTCGCCAATCCACTTCTAGTGATGGCAGAGATTCAGAGACCTATGCTGAACGGCCGAAACATCATCGTGGAGGCGTTCTATCCTCCATCCTGAAGCTGTACGATCAGCAGACTGGCGCTCCACCAGATTATAACCCCCACCGTGGCCGGTGGGGACGTTCCAGAAAGGGGAGTTCCTCGGAATTTAGTGAATATGAATTCGCTCCTGATCCTATCTGGAGACCGCACCGTCCTAGAAAATGGTACGAAAAATCATCCAGCCGGTCGAGCAGCACTCTCGCTGGATCTGGCTCATCAAAGAGCACGTCTCCCATGTCTCCCATTGCCATGCTGAAGCGATCCCGTAGCAGCGGTGCAATTGGGGGTATGGGCCGGCGATGGGCCAAGGCAGATCACCTTGCAGATGAAATCCGGATCACGGTTCATATTGCAGCGATCCTCTCCCGCCAAAAATACCTGATCCGACTTTGTCGCGCGCTGATGAAGTACGGTGCTCCGACCCATCGAATGGAAGAGTACATGCGGATGACTGCCCGTGTACTAGAGATCGATGGGCAGTTCTTGTATTTCCCCGGCTGTATGATCATCTCCTTTGATGACGCCTCCACGCACACGACGGAGGTCAAAGTGGTTCGGTCCAGACAAGGAATCGACCTTGGTCGTCTGGCTGATGTACACGAAATCTACAAGGAGGTGATTCACGACGTGATAGGAGTGGAAGAGGCTATTCGGCGCTTGGATGACACGACATCAAGACCCAACAAATACCACTTGTTACTCCAAATCTTAGCCCATGGCTGTGCAAGCGCATGCGTGGGTCCGTTCGCATTCAATGCACGACCAATCGATATGCCAATTGCTTTCTTACTAGGATGTCTCCTAGGCATCTTGCAGCTGATCCTCTCGCCAAAATCCAGCCTCTACTCGAACGTTTTCGAGATCTCAGCTGCAGTGCTAACATCCTTCCTGGCTCGCGCCTTCGGAAGCATCCGATACCAAGGCGAGCCACTCTTCTGCTTCTCTGCACTAGCACAATCATCCATTGCCCTGATCTTACCAGGCTACACGGTCCTGTGCGCAAGTCTCGAACTCCAATCAGGCAGCATAATCGCAGGCTCCGTCAGGATGGTCTACGCAATAATCTACTCCCTATTCCTGGGCTTCGGCATAACAATCGGCACAGCAGTCTACGGCCTCCTAGACGCTCAAGCTGCAACGGAATATACTTGCCCCGCAAGCCCTATCACCAACGAATATCTTCAACATTTCCCATTCGTCATCCTCTTCACAATCTGTCTAGCCCTCGTCAATCAATCAAAATTAAAACAGATCCCAACTATGATCGTCATCTCTTTCGCAGGCTACGTCGTCAGCTACTTCAGCGGAAAACGCTTCTACTCCAATACCCAAGTCTCCAACGCCCTCGGCGCATTCGTCATAGGACTCCTGGGAAATTTATACAGTCGCCTCCGCCACGGCCTCGCAGCCGCAGCAATGCTACCTGCTATCTGGGTCCTCGTACCTTCCGGCCTGGCAGCTAGTGGATCCTTGATCTCAGGAATAAATACCGCGGAAGAAATGACCCGTACCCCACATTCCGTTGTGAGCAACGGAACACAAGGCTTTGTTGACGCGGCGAAGAATTTCTCTGCTTCTGCAGCTAAGACTCAGAGCTATGGTGTTGCTTTTGATATTGGCTATAGCATGGTTCAGGTTGCTATTGGAACGACGGTGGGTCTTTTTTTGGCTGCACTCGTGGTTTATCCCTTAGGCAAGAAGCGGAGTGGACTGTTCAGTTTCTGATGCAAGTCTCTTGTCTTTTGTTTTTTTCTTTTGTTCTAAAAACATCCTCTCTTTGTATCTTGTCTCTTGATCTCATTTTTTTGTTTCTTCAGCGTCTCTCGAGAAATCGAGTTTTGGACATTTCGCATCTGTGGACCCTCAACAATCACTATCGTTAAGAAGTTCACTACATTGCCTTTTCATCTTTCGTACAGCAACCGAGGCGGGGGGCTTGCTTGCTGTTTCACTAAATTTCATTTGTCATTTTCACCCAGCCTTATCTGCGTCGGAGTTTATGTCGGAGTTGAAGCTCGTTTATTTGCCCGGTTTCTCTAATTTTTTTGTCCTGCGTTCATGCTATTCCTATCTCTTTCTTTTGTCTTCATTTTTCGTCCCTCACCTCACAAAGTCTGTATCGACGCCTCTCTGGACTTGTATAATTCTGGAAATACATAGAAGATACGATTCCACGAGTCACGACCAAAATCATCGAGGCCCCCCTTGAACTTTCTGCGCGATTTATTTCACTCTTTGATCTTATCTTTCAATATTAATCATTTGTCGCTTTTGCGGGAGCCCTGGTTTGGAGAATTATTCTCCAGTATAATGAATTTTGACTTTTTCAGTCTTTCTCCGATCAACCAATATACATGCAAGTTGGGTAAAAGAAGAATCTCACCATGGCTCAGCAGCAAAGAAATGGTCAGTTCAAAATGAAAATTGGAACTGAAAAATGGCCAGCTATTGTCTTGGCTAGATTTGATTGGCTAAATGGTAGGGGGTAGGTCTTTCTAGTTAGGATATAATATAGGCAAGGCTGTGCGCACGGATGAAGCTCACAGATCATGGCTAAGCCAATATGTCGAACCGCATTTGAAACTAAAGATCGGTCAATCGTCGACTACATCGAGGCTGATTGGCTTTCAGGGTAGCGGTGGGGTATTTCATCAAGTATAAGGGCGGCAGGGCAGTTATTGGGCATCAGCCTCTTATGTTGGGTACAACCCCCAATTAGGAGGACACCTAGGTACATGCATAGCATTTGAGTAATGAAGCTTATTAGTGGTTGGTCAAATAGTTTGGATGGTTTTTTTTTTTGATTCATGGATCTGATACGGTCATCAAAAAGCTCAGTTTCTATGAATTCGAGGGTATGAGCAAGTATTTTCACAGTTTCTTGTTATAAATTTTTCCGCTCAGTGGATATTTGACACCCTAAACAACTCCTTCATGGGTAATTAGATAAGGCCCCTAAATCGTGGCTTAGCACTAGAAACCAGGGCTGTACCCGGGCGAAATTTGGAACTGAACATGGCCCAGCAAAGGTGTAGGTTAATTCTGATTGGCTTGAGGGTAGTGGTGGGCCTGAAATGGCATATATTAATATTCGAAATGCTGTAGATAAGCTCTGGGCAGCAGGATCAACTCCTCATTGGGAGGCTCTAAGGCTTTGTTGATGAGGCCTGTAAATTGTGGCTCAGCACCAAGCAGGCTTTAGGCAGAACCTTTCTCTTTCAAACCACCAAATCGCCGTCCGCCATCTATGCTGAGCCTGATTGGCTTGGACCTCAGGAGGGCAGTGGTGAAACTGATTGGGCATCCAGTAGCATTGTGGTTAAATTTGGGGTAGCTAAAGCAACTCCTCAAACCTTGGAGGCCCTAAGGCGGTTTTGGTGAGATTTACAGATCATGGCTCAGCAATACGGGTGGCCCAGAAGAGTAGTGGTCCTTAGACTTGGGTCCTGAAACCAAGATATGGGCAGCCACTGCCTAGGTTGAGCCTGATTGGCTTTCAGGATAAAAGTTGTAAGACATGCTCAGGTAGTATGATACTACTATCCCCTTGCCTCACTAATTAGCCCTCTCCGGCAAAGGCAAAAGCCATTAAAGAGCGCCATGCGGCTCAACTCGCGAAACCGGAAAGTGTGTATCAAAAAAAAGCAGCACGGATTGCAAGTGAAGGCCTGATGAACTGGTATTTGTTGGCTGCCTTGCGCTTTTTTCCCCACAAATAGCCTCAACGAAGAAAAGCAATGGTTTGGCAATGAATGGTAGGTTAGCCAGATTGCAAATTCATTCGAAACGAAATCAGCACATGTCGCCTGCTGCATCTAGATGACCTTGAGCTTAGCTATAACTCCCTAGTATACTCCCCAAGAGAGTGTAGTGACTCCTAATCCTATCCCTGGGGCATGAGCATTGAGTTTTGTTCTATACGATATCTATTGCAGCTGAAAAAGGATATTCTGGAATTATGAAGATATTGGCAGAGAAGCAAATTGAGATTTCTTCAGCAACGATCAAGCCTGAGTACATATCCTGGAAGGCACTTTGAATGTAATGAAATGAGAAATCGACTCCACCTAATCTCCAAGTCAGATCTGAGGACATATCCAAAAGTCAGTCTTAAAAACTGCACGTAGACTAAAATCCGAGAAACCGCGCTCTTTCCTCTCGCCCAGTGTCCGGAAGCGAGTGCCGCGGACGGGAAAGGGACGTTCGCTCCTTCAAAGGGCGATAAGGGGTACGAAATTCTTCCGTTGGCTGACACAGCTTATGCAGATTTTTGAATTCCTCTGTTTTCAGAAGCCACTGCTCTTCGCCATCTTTCATATGTTTCTCATATGGCAGTGTTGCCATCCAGGAAGTCCACTTGCGGACAACTTTTACTGCAGTCTCTTTAGAGACCTCAAACCATTCCATGTGTGATTTATAGCAGCCAGGGCACCTTTCCTCGATTTTTCTGTGGCGTTTCAATTCCAAATGCACCAAAGCTTCGACGCGGGATATGTGCGGGACCTGTTGCATATCAGGCAAGCTCTTATTCTGATTTCCCGCAAAGTCGGGGAAATGGATCCTCATTTCCTTTTTGCACTGTTTGTTCCATTCATTGAGGCGGCGGTGTATGTTTCCAGAGCGTCCGATTTTCAAGTGGCCAAAATTTGGCGTTTGCCAGAATATGTAAATTGAGCCCTGGTATTTGATATCGCTTCGTTGTAAGGGCTTAGTAAGAAGCTTTGAAAGCTCTTCCGATAATGTCTCTGTCGAAGCTTTACTGACATAAATTTTGAAATCTTGGATTGGATTGACTGGAGCACCTTCAGTTGGTATTGTTATGCTCGTAGCAGATAGTAGAACCGGACACCGGGACGCTTGAAGTAGTGCCGCCTGGCCGAGAAGGTGAATCCAACGAGCAAGAGCCCTTGGCCGCTCTTTCCGTAGTGAAACAGTAGATTTGTAGTTCTGCATTCTTGAGTACTCTTGAAACTCCTCTTTCCAAGTCTGAATTTCTCTGGATGCGACCCTCCGATGTGTTGAGCAGAGTGCTGCGTCTACTAGCTGCTGAATCCTTGGTAAAAGTGCGCTAGTTTCGACGGAGACCAATGCTTGGAGTTGAGCTGAGAGAATCGTGGTGGCATGGGAAATTCTGCATCGCTGGCCTTGAGTTGTCCAAGCCAAGCATCTCTTGTCATCTTCGTTTAAGTGCTGAAAAAATCCGAGCGGGATAATTTTCAGAAGCGACTTTGGAATCACGTTCACTTCTTTCGTGTACCCCGATGAAAGTATGTCTTCAAGCTCACTCGAGAAAAAAGGGAGCTTCGTTACCTTCTTGACTTGCTCCCTCGAAGCTGCACGACGAAGTTTGATTTTGTACACTACAGAGTGCTTCACGGGTCTCTTCTTTAGGGGATTGCGACTGGACGCTAGCACCAGAGACAGTGGTTTGTGACCTCAAAGATGGTTCACGCTCAGTCTCACAGAGCGATCTTCTTGGTCTAAGGAGAATTGTTTCGGGGCGTGAAAACTCCGTACTGATCTCTTCAACGGATGGCAAACTCCATAACAAAGCGCTTGGCTGCCGAGGGCGTTTGGTTTGATTTGATCGGAAGAAAGCTGAGAGCAAGCTGATATCATCTGGCGACGAGGGAACAGAAACAGTAGTTTCAAATATTTTCGTTGAGGGTTTGTCAAGCAAAAGTGCTTTATTCCGTTTCCGTTTGGTCGATAATGAAGAAGAATCCGTCTTTAGTATGTCGGGGGAGGTGGTAATTCTTATATCGCAAATTCCAGCTTTCTTCTTGTATCCAAAAACTGTCCCATGTTGATTCTTCTCAGACTTCGTGACAAGCAAAATGCGTTTTGTATTGGCTTTATTCGAAGCGTCTTGTAAAGGGACCGGCTTTTGGGCTGCAGACACTATCTTGGATTCATTGCGCTTTCCGCGATCGCCAGTGCTCGATTGTAAAAGAACCACTTTTGGGGCTATTGGACTGAATGGACTGAGCATCCTTTAATAGCTGTGTCAAAATAGAAATGAAAAAAGTTTTGAGATCTGTGACACCTTGGACAATGATCATAATAGACAGGGTTATTTCAAACCCAATTCAAAGGACGGCTTTTAAATAATGAGGAAAGGAGCGTGGAAGTCGAGGACTACATCTATTTTTAACAGAGGGTCTATGTCAAGGTGGGCTTCTAGTCCGCATATCGATGCAGCCCCCATTTTTCATAGTGGGGCTTTATCGCTCGGGAATGTGATCCACGCGGCTCGCGACGCACCGGAACTTTTCTACCCCTCAACCGCTCAGTGGGAACTGCGAACCCGAATGGCGCTTTTTCATGGTTTGAAATCATCATCTGCATCAAAATACTGGCTTTCAAAAAGCCTTGATACCTGATGAGCAAGCACGGTTTATCTGTTAGGCAGATACAAACATACATGAATGCTTGATGTTGGACTTCCATTCTTATCAAGTGGCTGTGCTCCATGCTCGCAATATGATTCGCTAAAAAGCGTAACAGTAGGCTTGTCTGCGGCTTAGCTCTCATAGCGAGGATCGCCTCGGACAGGGTTGAATAGAGCAGCGACTTGCTCACATTCGAACCGTAGGCGCTAGGTGACGATGGCCATGCAAATGCTGTTTCATGTTGTTTTCCTAGGTAGATTCCTTGGGGGCCTGTCCTCCATACGGGAATCTTCGGTGCCTTCATCTAAATACCCTGCACACCCTATTCTGCACCCCCCGGAAGCGCTGACGTGGCCTTCCCCTCTCATGCTGACCTCCAGAGAAAAGTATTTTTACCTAGAAGCCACCCTGAGAACAGATGATCCTAGAGAAACCATTTTCTGTTATTTGTATAGCATTCTATATAAGCGGCCTCGTAATCGGTTATTAAGATTAGAGCTTCTTATTCAAGCGCTTATAGGGTTTTCTTTCGAAATAGGTAGGATGTATAGCTTCCAACAGCGTAGAGTTGACTTTTGATAGTCATGTCCTGAAATTTTTTGGATTCTGTCGCACTTTATTTATAGCTCATCTATGATTTCGTAGCAGTTGATAGCTACCCTGATTAGCTCGTGGAGTAGATCATCAGCCTGAGGGGCCCGATTTCGTAGTGCACTATCCAGGCATTTTAGAATTCCTAGGAGGCACTTGAACTTCATAGAAATGTTGACAAGATCTTGAGTGCGGTTCTTGTACGCTAAGTAAAAACCAACTAGTGATTGGACTATTTGAAGGCCGAGTGACAGAAATTCCCGTTACCCCAGAAGCCACAGAGATGGCATCAGCTATGATGAAGCGGATATACTAAGCTCGTAGCAGGATAGTTTGGCTGAGCAGTATTTAAATTCTTGTCGGTAAGGCAAAGGAAAAGGGTGAAGACTTCGTGCTCGACATGAGCGGACGAGTCAAGGAGTAGATGAAGTGAAGGTGCCGTCAATTGGCGTGTTACTAGCTCCGTTGTCGGGAAAAAAGTGAAATCGGCCCGAACAGACCGAGTCCATTGCCTTCTTCTGCCAAGAATTATCGCAGTCACGATGGTCTCGATGCGAAGAGACAGCAGGTTCGATAATTCGCGCCAATATCTAAAGGATCTACAAAGGCAAATATTATAAGGCATCAAGGCGCAGCGGAACATTCTTTTAAGGGCGGAGGCAAGGTCAAAGAAGACGAAGAAGAGCATCAAGGCCACCCGCAGAAGGAAGAATCAGCGACCGAGTTGATCAACATGAACTTCTATTGGGTATGAATAACACCAAATTGACTCTCACGCTACTATTGTGATCAAGATTCATTAGCTCAGCTTCAAACTACGCTACAGCTCTCCTGGAGAAGATTATGTGCCATCAGCAGGCAACTAAATGAACAGGACTACCCTGTATTCTGGGTATGGGAGAAAGAGAGCGAGGACCGAGATGAGAGAAGTTACACTCTCATCCACTAATATATGCTAGTCTTGAACAGGAATCCCCACAACAGCGAGCACTTGAAAGTAAACACAGGCTGCAGCCTGAGACTCCAACAAGTGGTAATCGTTGCTCGACACTCTAAACAAAAAGCTTAAAGAAGCTTGCTTGTTTGAAGAGTCCTTTTCATTGACAGCGGCTCCCTTGTCAACCCTCGTTATTGGTACATAGCAAAGAAAACAAACATTTGCCTGTACTAGGACTTTAGCGAACGGTTAAGTTGCGCCATCTGCCTTGGGGGTCTTGTTGTTCAAGATGTTCGTATCTCTTGTGCCCGTCCATTCGTTCATTGCAGAAGCCAACTCAGGAATCATTTCTGTCCATGACTAGGCCCTTGTGAGAGCGAGCCGAAACGAAGACACCTGCAAAATCGCCGACAAGACCGTGGGCATCCTACTACTTGGAACACCTCATTATAGTGATGATTCGTTGCTTAAAGAAGCGAAGAAATACTTCCAGTTGGTGAATGTGAACATCCCAACTGATTCCGAACTCCAAGCCCGATCGACTCGAGTTTTGGAGATTCCTCGCGCATTTGAAGCATTCAGGAAAGATAGATCCATCAGAGTCGATACCTTTTATGAGGACCAGCCTATTAGCATAAATGGCGAAAATGTCTATATTGTGGAGAAATCTGTGGCCAAATTATGGGGAGATCCTAAATTTCCTAAGGCTTTGAACGGAGACCATCATGAGATGGCTCGGTTTGACAGTGAGAATGAGGATTTTGAGGATATACTGAGATCAATTCGGCAAATAACTGACAAGATCAGTGAGCAGCAAAAGGCTCAAGGTGGAACCAATATTTCATTCTCTGGACACAACCTCGGGTTGCAAGTTGGACAGAACAACGGCAACATGAACGGGTACTCATTTTTTGATAAAAAATTACAGTGAGGAAGTCCTGGCTATGTCGTATCGCATAGAAATCTGAATATAATTTTTTCGGTTGCAGATCTCGCTCTTAAGCTACAGGCCTTATGAATGCGCACTTTGGGGCATTGGATATTTAATTCAATACCTTACAACGTAAGTGAGTAAAAAATAACACACGGAACAATAGATAAGAAGGGGTAGTGGGGTTTCGATCGCTCTAGATCATGAAGCATCTGTTAGCTCTATTGTTTCTATCTGGTTTCTGAACTTTATATTGTCAAAGTATTTGTCGTAGATGTATTAGCTGTACACTCTGTGTCAGTTTTTCAAAAGATCGTTTCTTTCTACTCACAGAAATAGATTGAAATTACTATCTAGCCTCACTATCATGCGACCTGGGCGCTTCAATTGATGCGGTGTTCAGTTCTATCTCTGGAACAAAGCTTGGACGGATTCTTTGATGCAGGTATTCATACATAAATTGTACAAAACATTTACCTGATCAGTCGAGCTGAGGGGACCTGAAGGTCTAGTATCAATTTTCTTCATATCTCTCCTTCCTAAAGGTATCGGGCGTCTTCTCGTGGCCTGAGCACTACTTTACTTGCGCTTCGCCTCCCATGTGGATGGTTCTACGCCATTACGCCTATTAAATTGCTGAAGCGTTTAGCGGTTTCACGGTAATGCCACTCCAAATGAATGAGGAAATAATTTTGTTCTTATGGATCTCGTGTCGGCATGCACTGAATGTTTCGAAGGCTCATTTTATCTGTAGATAGACAAAATTCCTCGAGACTGGAAAGCGCCGCGATCATACTGAAGACTTTGAGCTTATCTTGCCTCTTTCTTTGCGTGTGAACAAGCCCCGCTCTCCCATCAAACCTTTGTGTGCCACTTGCTGCAGTATGAATGTCAGTTCCTCCTTGGATATAGCTTAGAGCGACGATACTAACGGGAATACACTTAGAAATCAACCACAAAACACAGGTAATAACAAGGGACAAAAAACCAAATAACAGATACCACCTCCAGTCTGGATTATCTTGAAGCAGATTTACGTTCATACCAAAGAGGCTCTAGTGTCTCAATCAGTAAATGTCTGAATGAATGTACTGTACCCTGAGGATAAATCGCTCCACTTACCGATACAAACATCAACGGCAAGAAAATGAACTATCCAAATTGGGTTATCAATAAGTCATACATGTCTTCAAAGATCACACTCACAGTAATCCAGCTAAGACGCTTAAAACTTTCCGCCTCTTTTATAGAGACCCATGCAAGCTCCTATTGAGTTCATCTTAGTGTCTGGAGGAAAATCTGTGCAAGCCAACCTACAATCTGTAAAAGATCTCGTACAGCCTGTTCCATATGGTCGAGTTTCGCGGTCATGGCCTGGTCAATTTCATCGATGAGCTCTCTAAACTGCAACTTTTGAGCTCGTTTGAGTGAATCATTAGTGGCAACCACTTTGTTCAGTCCTTCTATATGCGATTGCAGGCATCGCCGGAGGTCTGCACGCCCCAGCGCATTCTTGGCAAGTTCAACAACTAGACTGTGGCTCCTCCCACGATTTTTGACTTGATCACGTCTCTAGAAAAGGAATACTTCAGGATTAGTTTCATGCTTCACTCGTTTGAGTTCAATGAAGTGTCAATGAACTCACCAATGCCTGGACTCTTTCATTGGCATCAAAACAGCTTGCTTTCCATTGCTGGTGTAGCTCCTCAAGGAACAATTTGAAAAATCCCGATGGATCGTTGGGAACCCAGCCACAAGGAAGCATGCTGATAAATCCATGAGCAAATCCTTCTGCTGTCTTCCTTCTAGTCCAGGCAACTCCCCATGCTTTGCCAGGTTTCCCTTGTTTACAAGGAAACTTAAGCGAAATGTAGGTTACAGACTGATGGCCAAACTCTTTTTGAGCATAGTTCCAGTAACAGCTATCACTCGTGATAATTTTATCAACATGAAACACCCCCGATAAGAGCGGCCACATCGATGGGTTTCCGCAAATACTTGAGAGGTTAGAGATTATCATTGCGACTTATGAACAAGAGTCTTACTCACCATAGTCTTGCCTCTTTTGCTCTGGGCAGCCAGTCGCATTCAAGATCATTGACGAATTCTAGCTTAAAGCCATGGCCGTCAATCCTCCTAGTGATTTGAATCCAAGATGGGGTTTTCTCTTCCATATCGAACCATTCCTTTGAGCGAACAGGTTCGAGATCTGTTGATGAAGCATTAAGCAATAGATCCACAATAGCTCTATTTCGCTTTCTCAAAGCATATTGCAACGGAATTTCGCTATTATGATCTTTGAAGCCCAGATCTGTTTTGGCTTCAATCAAAGCCGAAACAAGTTCCAGGCTTCCCTTAAGACATGCAAGATGCAAAGGGGTTCTTCCTTTCTGGTCAGGTTGGTTGACATTATAGCCCGCCTGAAGAAGTGTCCTCACCAAGTCCAGTATCTTCCCTTTTTCGATTGTACTTATACCTTCCACCAATAAATGCAAAGATGTGGTGTCACCATCCTTCAACAAATCCATCACAGCCCCGTGTTTCCCTTCCAATGCCCAGATCAATGGAGTCCTGGAAAAGGTGTCTCCAGTTCCATCACAAATGTTTATGTCAACCTTGTTCTCGGACTGTAAAAAATATCGCACTATTTCGTCATCGCCATATTCAGCTGCCCATGAGAGCCAGTTGCGACCGCTTTTATCCTTTTTATTCGGGAGTCTCAGGGCGCAGATCAAATGTAGGAGAATGAAAGGGTTTACCGATCCGCCGAGCCCTGGCCGGACTAGACAATTTGAGCAGCTGATAAAAAGGTCATGTCTCGCTCTGAGGAACCACCAAAATCCCGTATGGCCTTCATTATCATGAACATGGGGATCTGCCCCATTTTCGATGAGTAAATGCATGATCCGGATGAATCCACGCTCTGCAGCCTGCGAAAAAGGAGTACGACCCCTTCCATCTTGGTGGTCCACGCACACATCTGATATTCTAAGTAGAAGATCCACTGTCTGCTCATGCCCATTTGCAACAGCCCAGGAGAGCGATGTGCACTTCTCATTATCCTCCGAGTTAATTGCTGCATTGGAGTTGAGTAATTGATTCAATATGTTGGTCTCGCCAAGTGTTGCTGCCATGATCAGAGGAGTCTTGCCAGCCAAATCTCGAGAGTCTAAATAAATTCCTGGGATCTCGAGTAAAATCTTGACTGCCGCGTCGTGTCGTTTTTCAACAGCCCATGCTAGCGCTGTGAGCCCTTTTGCATCTGTGGAGTTCACGTTTGCGTTGACACTGAGCAGCAACTGCAAGATTTCGACGCACCTGAACTCTGCTGCAAGTAATAATGGAGGTTGCTTTGTTGGTTGGTAATTGGCAGAGAAGTGATCCACTTGCTGCAGAATCTCATCGGGTGGGAGATAGGTTTCGAATAGCCAATTGCTCAGAATAGGCCATCTTATTTCATCTAATGCATGCACATCCGCCTTTGCATCGATGAGAAGCCTAGTTATTCCAACATCTCCAAGCTCTGTAGCCATTGATAGTGGAGTGCGACCTTTCACGCGATGATTAGCCAGGCTCTCATCGACCTTGAGGAAATGCTGGACAGTTTCGATGTCCCTTTGAAAAATTGCCCATATCAGGAGATCGCGTTCAATCCCAATTATTTGTCCGTCCTTCGCTTTAGCATCGATCAGACACTTTATATTTTCGATATTTCTGGTCTCTACAGCGATTTCCAGAAGTGTTCGAGCATTAGAGTCTTGATGGTCGATGTCCACGTTTTGATTTGAAAGGAGGTACTTTAATGTTTCGTGGTGCTGCCTCGAAACTGCCCAGAATAGTGGCGTCCAGCTTTTTGAATCCGTCGAGTTAATATCCGCATTGGATTCCACGAGAATTTCCAAATGATCGAGACGCCCAAGCTCTGCTGCTAGTGATAAAGGAGTACGGCCTTTATTATCCCTGTGATCAAGGACAGCCCCTTGACTTATCAAGAGCTTCAATGAGTCGGTTTGCGGGCATTTTATTGCGGAGAAAAGACTCGTTCTGCCGTCAGGGTTGCAAATATTCAAGTCGATTCCTTCATGCTGCAAGAGTTTATCGAGCACTCTCCATTCCGAAGTTGCCTTTGATAAAGGTGAGATGCCATCTATTTCAAAGTTGATGTCAAGGAATGGATTTCTCAGGTAGTTGTCGAGCCTCTTGATGCTTCTTTTCAGCGTTTTGGGTTTCCCTATCACGGATGTGATTGCAGAAAGGAAATCCCGCTGAAGTCGAGCTCGAGCGATGGCTTCCTGAGAAGTATCATCATCAGGTAACAGGGCTTCCATTTTTTATCGATAAATTTCTTCTTGAAGGTTTCGGTCAGATTTTCAAAGCGCAGGGTGTATTCAAGAGAGAGAGCCAACGTATGTGAGGCTCAGCGGGCATTTTGGGCAGCCAACCGAAGTGACTTTATTACCTAAAACTGATGCATATCTTGGCAGCCCGCAGGTGATCTGAGCCTCAAAGTACGCGCCATAGTATGCAAGTCAGAGTACGCTATTATGTATCATGCCATGTTAAAGCGCACTTTCATGACTGTGAGCTTATTTTTTTTCCTGTCTCTCGTGAAGAAAGACCTAGATCAGCGGATATGTCTCACTATAAGCTATGAACGCATAGCTCTAAACTAACACCTAAGAATTGATCGTGTACGGTTCACGCAGAACTTGAAAGGTTGCGAAAAGGCTGGTGCAAACTACAGTAACCCCGCATGTGATGAATTCTCTCTTCTGCAGAATCTATCACACTCTTAGCGCTATTAAGCTTAGAGTAGGCAACGCATTGATAATATGCGAACAGTTTCACGCTGTTTAGCGCACTTCACTTAAGCAGTATGTTAGTCAGCCTTGCCACCGAGTTAACGTACTTGCTTGAAATTCGGTGCAATAGTGTAGGTGCCAAAAGATCGAGTTTTGGAGGCTCAGGCGCTGGTCGTGAGTCGCGTGATCACGATTCGTTTTGCACATAGTACTCATTGGATATTTGAAACTCCATTCTGTAGAAGACGATGGGCCCTATATCTACAAGGCATTGGAAGATTAACTCCACCTGGGGGGCTGTGTGCAGGTGCCAAGGCACTGGCTGTTTTAGATGAAGGATCGTGGCCCAATAATTTAATACTCTCGCTCAGCTTCGAGGGCCAGTACGGTCGCGAGACGGAGAGTGATTTTCACTCGCTCTCATCCTGCTTCTCACACTGTCTATTGCGCACTCACCCTTCTCACCCCTGGTCGCGCGACACTAAAGCGGCTCTCACCCATTTCTCACCCTAGCGGCGCCCACCAAACTACTGGCCGCATTTAAGCTACCCACCGAATGGCCATGCTGGCCAATCATTGGGTCTAGCCCGAAGGATTAAAACCGGTCGCCGCTTTGCCGTCGCGCGACCAGGGTGATAAGTTGCCGCCCTCAATTACTGCTTCCATGAAGAATTCTCCGTTAAACCACCTCAACTCATGAATTTTAGATTACGATCATAGTAGTTCATTTGATCCCTTGCATCTAATTCGAACATTTTTTAATTCCAGCTGAATTGTGGGATCCTGACTTAGGCCAAGGACGCAGAATTGTGACAGCCCTCATGTTTCGAAGATTAGATGCTGATTTTTTTTACTAATCCCGGAATAGTGACTCCCTATCCCCAAATGATGTCAAAGAATATTCTGTCGGTTTGATAGAGCGGATCATGCACATGTGGTATCTCCATACCGTCAGACAAGGAGATTCCGCCGGGAAGATGTTGGAACCAAGATGTATTGGTCAATCAGACGTATTATACAACTCTGCTATTTCTATCCCTTTACAGGTAGGGGTAGGGTGGTCAGTGCCAGGGGTATGGCTCAGAACTGCATTTTGGACCAATTGAATATGGTCTACGCTAGTCCGCATTCAAACTTTCGGACCATGATACCATATTCTATGCTAGTAGACCCTAAAATTCAATTGGTGATGATCGGCGTATTTCAGCCACTTCTATTGTTTACGAGTAGGTTAAGAACTAATAAATGGTAATAGATTCACATCTGTACCCGTAGTTGGTAGTTTAAGCTGAGTCATATATTGAGAAAAGGCGTAATATCGAGCTGTATACCGTACTGACTATACTACAGGGGCCTGAGCCAAAATAGGAATAAGCGTGAATTTGCTAAGAAGTAAAGATGAAATAAATTAACCAATCAAGAGCTAGGTAACACTGAAGGATCATACAGAAGATGGGGGAAGTTAACTGACAGTACTATTTGTTACATAGCTCAGGCACGTAGAGAATCAATCAACATGGTATCATTCCATGAGGCAATTATAAATAAGGAACCAAGTTGGATCAAGGATGCAGGAATGGAGATCTAAATGCACCATGGTAATCAGGTGACATAAGTTCAACGGTAGCAAGACTATTCAAGCAGTAATTTATACAGGAATAAGTAGACCAGGTAGAATCAGGGTTATTGAGATTATTGAGTATATGCCGGCTTGGCCTCACTTTCTTCCTGCAGAGTGGGATACTCGGTTGTGGGATGGTATATTAGTAGGGTAGGGTGTATCTACCCTGAGTTTCGCGTATACTGCGCCATACCAGATGCAGTAAGAGGAGTGTGTAAACAACAATCCAGGGGTGCGTTTTTATCAACTCTCGGCGACATAATTGTGGAGCTCATAGAGTACCATAATGAGGCATTGCTGTCAGAGATTACGCTGTATACAGTCAATAGATACGTTTCGATGCGATCATGCGTTCTAGTCGCAATCCCGTAATAGATAATTCAGGCAACCATACAGGTGAATTCCAAAAGGTAACCTTGATGAGACACCATCGTCAGCAACTAGACTGAATACAGTATGCGTTTCAATGCAATCGGCAGGGTCCATCCAGTTACTAGCGTTTACTTCTTCCAACCTAGATTCGTCCAGCGACATATAAAACCGCTTACAGAACTCAATGCTCATTTGTTTCGACCTCTACACTTCACAGTCTTTCAAATTTCCTGCCACTCGCATTTCCACGAAGATGCGTTTCACCAGCCTTCTTTTCATGGCTTCAGCCATTATTACCACCGCTGCCAGCAAGGGAATCAATTGCCAGGGTAGTGGAGAGTGCCCTTTCTGCCACGCCCAGACCAATCTGAAAGAGCTACAAAAAGTTTGCGAAAGCGTCCCGGACAACACGCAATACTACAACGGCCAACAAATCTGTTGCGTCGCGTGCAACGAGGACAACAATGAGCAGTACTCCGTTTGCGCATTTGTGCAGAACACAAAAGATGGCGCTCCAGGCCACTCGGTCAAGGCCGCCATTCAGCAGCTGGTTGATCACAACTGCGGTCTTTGCGGCAGTGCTCCATTCTATAACGACGACGTTAGCGAGGGTGAGCTTACTGTGAATGTCGTCGACTACACCAGTTGTAAAACGGTTATCTGTTAGGAAAAATCGCGCGAACACGTGCGGCACTGTAAGTAGTGACTATTTCCAATGCGTTGAGACCCTGAGCATGATGTTAATTGTATTGATAGTGCGAAAAAGGAGCAAAATGACGGCCGTAGATGAATCATCTTGTGGAGAAGGATTGCGAATGCTGGCACTGCATGCAAGGTCTAGTTACTGTTAGCACTGCTATGTAGTCTAAGTGTTATCTTTTTCGTTTTCCAGAAATATGACGGCACCTGGGGTTGCCCAATATACCGCTCGTCATGAAAAACCCATTCCTATTAGGGAGTTGCATGATATAAACGTGACTTGGCTCAAATACTAGCATACGTATGCTGAGAAGTGAAGATCCCGCGTATTTATGGATTGTCGGAGTTTGATAGATTACGGGTTTCTACCTCGGAGGCTGTGGAATGTTACAACGCTGCATTCACAGATAGTCCAAGACTTGAATGAGGGCTGGTTCTGATGGCTACACACTGCATTGAGGGGAGCTATCAAAGCAATACCTGAATAGCTAGATCTAGTGATTGTGCTAGGGAATGCGCAGTTTGGCGAGCAATTTGAACGAAAATTGGATTTAAAATATTCCTGGGTATCTGTGATCTCGAAATGAGTTGCATACTTAAGTATCCGGTACATGTCAAGATGTTTAAGCAAACTTAGTCAAACTGAAACTCTCTGAACCGCTCTTCTAGATTTTCAAGGGCCGTAATGACATTGTTGAAAAAAGCCTGCTCTGGCTAAAGGAAATCAGGCAAGCCTAAACCAAGTAAAAGTACCCGGCCGTCCCCCGCTAAAGTCACCACCCCATTCTTTATTTCCTCTCTCCACACCCTCAACATGTCTAAAATTCCACCATTTGACTTCAACTTGGCCTTTCCAAAGCCAGAAACATGGCTGACCAGCAAACCAGATGAGTCTCAAGAAAACACAGAAGCTTGGGTCCAGAACACTCAACCACCCCTTTTCTGGGAGTTCATCGCTGAGCACCCCATATCGCTCAAATTAAAGAATATAAAAGGCGCGCTTAGTGCCGGCGCCGATCCAAACGAAATGGACCATGAGCGTGATCCACGTCGCAGTCTCGGTCGGCCTCTTCATTGCGCTCTTGGGGATTGGGGCAACCCTGATTATGTGAAAGAAAACATCCCAGTGATCAAGCTACTTCTCGGATACGGTGCTGATCCACGCTTGCCCGGCCCTCAGGTCAAGCCTGCATCTTTGGGGCTGCAGTCGCCCGTGGAATATGCGAGGCGACTAGCGATGCGCGAGTGGAAAGGGGCCAATGAACTGTTGGAATGCGGGTTTTATGCAGAAGCTTATCGTGTCATGAAAGAGGCTGCTGATGATTTGGACCGTGAGTGCTTATGAATTTGATGGTTCGTTTTCTGTTACTGATTTTCTGTCCAAGGGCGTGATGGAACGATGAACGGAGGAATTATGGACTCGGTGCTCGGATTCTTTGGTGCTTGGTAGATAATTTGTTATACTGATCCGGCTGAGTACTGGATTCCATCATATCGAGCGGCGCGGTTTGATCTGACCAGGGCCCTTGGAATGCATTGGATCCCGGTAGATAATTAGCTAGCTGCTTACTTTGAAGAGAGTTCATTATACTCCAGATGCCATGTGCCGTGCAGAGAAAATTGGTGTGCGTCCCCTAGAGTACAGGTTGGATGTCGCCCCACGCCACTTGATTCTGCCCATTTCACTTCTCCACTTATACAAAAGCGCTACCATTGCAAGTGAGCTAAGTTCTACCGCCAAATGCAGTGGCGAATCCCCATTTTCGTTTTAGCTATTGACCAGAACCTCGGTGCACTTTCTGATCTTCCGGAATCCCATTTGCACCACCTCTTCCATTCCCTTCCTCCTCATCCTTATCCCAAGTTTCAAACGTACGTCCAAAAAGTCTGCGATGTACCTAAGTAATGAAGGGGTAGATTAGCTAATTAGTACTTGTTATTTTCTCCCATTCATTGTGTGATGTTACAGGTCCTGTCCTTATGGCCGCTACTCCCCTCCGTAAGCCATATAACTACTAGTATTCCATTGCTAATCTAATCATAGCTTTTGAACTAAAATATGCTAGGTGTAAATACCGCGCTGAACATATATCGCGAGTATCGTCTTTTATTCTTTATATTGTACTTTTCTGAATAAATAAGTCGTATAATATGAGTTCCATTTCAATGTTCTCAAGTAGAGTAAACTCCACTATCTACAACACAAAAGATACAAAGAGACCATCCGTCTCATCTCACCTGCGAGATAAGATGTCATTGATAGCCTATAATATCTCTCTGGTGAGGCTTCCCCGCAGCATCTTCAAAATCACATCTTGGACATCTTTGTCCCCATTGATCTCTGCATACCGAAGGGGTGTTTTATTGAATATATCCTGCTGATCAAAGATGACAGATCCCATACTGAGAAGCAGTAACACGAATTCGGAATTCTTGTGAATGATGCTCAGATGGAGAGCAGTTCTTCCGTCACCATCCCGGCGGTTCAGTAAAAGAGGATGCTCTATGAGAAGAAGCTTTCCAATGTGGGTATCGCCAAGCTCAGCCGCATAATGCAGGGGTGTAAGCAAGCCCTCGCCGATGCTGTCTAGGCTTGCACTGTAATTGTAAAGCAAGCGCTGGGCGTCATCATTCCTTGTCTTAATTGCGATGTTCACAGGAGTCATTTGCTTGTTGTCTTCGACACTAGGAATCGCGGCACAAGCTAGAAGTGGAATGAGGCTTTCGCTTCCGCCACTGGCAGATGCCAGATGTAATGGTGTTTGCCCTTCGGAGTTCTGCCAATTGATACGTTGGCGCGAGGTCCTAACCAGAAGCTTCACGACATCGGCAAGGTTCATCTGCGCAGCTAGGTGTAGCGGGGCTGCATTCTGGTAGTCCAGCATATTGGCTAGCCTTGGGACTTTTGCAAGAGCTCTGATGGCTGCCAATCGTTCATCACTTGATTTCCAGGAAGCTCCTATTGCTAAGTGAAGAGCTGTTCTACCACGCTGGTCACGTAGGCGATTCGATATTCGAATGTCGTTCATCAACACATCAGCTGTAGCCAGATTGCAACTCTTCATTGCCAGATTCAAAAACTTGTGTTCGGCGTCCAATCGAGTAACCCTCGCCTTCACTCGGGGATGGTCAAGAAGCACTGCAACAACATCCCGATTGCCGTGCTCAATGGCATATTCTAGAGCCGGTCCTATCACAATAGCCAATTCCTTGAGGGATATGGTGCCAGGCTCCAGAAGCTTTTCAACAACTGCCACGTTGCGGCAAGCTATGGCGATTCCCAATGGGGATGTCTTCATGGGGCTTTGCGTAATAGCGCCTATTTCAGGGCGGCCAAGAAAGATTTCCACCATAGGAATGTCGCCATTCTGAATGGCATGATATAGAGGAGTGCGTCCAGCCTTGTCACATTGTTGAATTTCGATGGCGGGGTAACTCATCAGCAATTTTGCAACATCGACGAGGGAACATTTGACAGCAATGTGCAAGTATTCACTGATATACAAACGGACTGACGGATGATCAAAGAAAATGCGCAGCATGGATCTGTCTCCATGTATTACCTTTTCTAGCTTAGGACTGTCAAAAGGGCTATGTGAAACATCATCCATACGAGGATGACTGAGCAGTTTCTTGAGAATAGACTTATCGTTTGACTTGATGACCGGCTCTATGATCCTGGGGTATAGGCTTCAAAGGTGAATGCCCACTTCGCGGTGATCCATCAAAGCACCGAAGAGAGAGCTACTGCGCCCTTCAATTGCCCAACAGAAAACGTCAATGCATTGGTCATAATTCGAAGAAATGAGCTTCAAGTCAGGGCGAGACATCAATAGTTTTGCAAAAACTATGTTGTCCGTAAGAACTGCCTTTTGAAGGAGTGTCCTTTGGTCTCGCGGGTCGGGTTGGTTGATATCCACGTTCTGATGGCTTAGGAGAATTTCGAAGAGTACCGCTTTGTTAATCCTCATTGCTAGAAGCAAGGGGGTAACGCCGTAGACATCAGCATGTGAGACATTAATACCAGGGTGAGTGGCCAAGGCCTTCGCAATGTCATCGTGGCCACTCTCAATCGCGATATGTAAAGGAGTTTTCGAGCTCTTGTCTGATGCCATTGGATCTATGCCGTCAATCTTAAGAAGATATTGAACTGCTTCATAATGGCAAGAGAAGCAGGCCATAAATAGTGCTGTTCTTCCAGTTTCATCCACTGTGCAATTGACATCAACATCCATCGATTCAACAAGATATTTCATCAAATCAACTTGGTTAAATTCTGCGGCCTTCCCTAGAAGAATTTGTTTTCCTTGTGCCTTTGCTGCATCAAAGAAATTCCGATTGCATAGTTTGCTGAAGAGTAGTGATGTTTCCGCAGCTAAGGGGAAGGAGACAGCAAGGTGAGCACACCAGAAAGCAATGGCGTAATCTGCAAATGCTACTCCCTGAGTCGACCCATCTACCGCAGGCCTCAATTCTGCCAGAGTCTTCGCGATATTCATATCAACGTCATGTTTTTGCTTCTCCTTCCTTTGTAGCAAGTCCAGGGTGATGCCCCCTATCCACCCGGAATGGGAACGTGTTGATTTAATAATACCTGAAACTGCTGGACCAGCACGTACAGTTGGAACGACTTGTGAAGAAATTTGTCGCTCGAAGATTGAGTAGCTGAAGTACGTGATGATGATATTGGACATCTTGCAGTGTGCTTCACTCAGCTGAATGAAGCAGCTTCCAGGGGATTCGAAGCATCCTGTGAGGTAGTGCTTTACGCTGTGATGAACAAAATGTATGGCAAGTGTCTCTTCGTCAACAATGAGAAGGCCACCACAGCACTTAAGAGTGGCGTAGAAATTGTTGATAAGTCGTGATGAGTTCCAATTTACGTCCCCTGGAGTCACACTGAGTGCTTCTTGTATTTCTTCAACTGTCAATTGTCGTTGAGCAACTGAAATGATCTCCAGAATAAGTCTTTGGTACGGACGGCCTGGTTTGTTTGACTTCCTCAAAATTCTCGAGTATGTCTCTGAGAGGTCTTGTGGTAGATCATCGAGAGCGCTGCGAATCTCTTCATCTGTATCTATCCCACACAAGAATTCAATGAGTAACGAAACCCAGAGAAACATGCCTTGAGACCCTTTGTATAGGGCATCTTGGATTTCCAAAATTAAATCTGTGTCTTTTACGATCAATTGCTCTGACCATAGACGATGCTTAATTTCTCGGTGGATGTAGCTCTTGATTTCTTCCATATTTTGTGGAACCTGAGTAACCACTGTCTTCTGAAGAAACTTTTGGCTGCTCTTGACTGCATCACTAGAATCTTGGCGTGCTGCTATACAAAGTGAGACGCCCGTTCTTCTTTGCAGATCACTGAACCTTTCAAAAAATACTCTCATTTCAGAGCTGCTCAGCTCATCGATTCCATCAATGACCATAAATGTCCTCTTCCGCGGACTAAGCGCAAGACTGAGAAGTTTTCTCATCCGCCTATAGTCATCCATAGAAGCTGTCGTCTCGAATAGCTCACAAATAGCTTTGAGCAAGCCATTTTCCATGTCAAGGTCAATTAGTTGAGTAAGCAGCTGTTGAGTCACAGATCCAATAACTGTTCGCGCATTCAATGTTTCGACTGTGTCATGCCGAATAAAGAAAAAAGCAATCATATCCTGTTTTCCGTGACCATATGCTTGCAGATCATCAACCATATTCGCAAGCATTACGGACTTTCCGACGCCAAGCTTTCCGGTGTACACGAGCGTTGAGCAGTCCTTATCCGATTTCCAGGCCTTGTAGCACTCACAATCGCGAAATAAGGTGGTAGTGCCCGCTCTTCGACTTTGTTTCCATGCGGTCGTATACTCAATCTGTGAGCAGAAATCGAGAATCCGTTGTTTCATTCGAAACTTCTGTTGGTCCGACGAGAATTGAACAAGTTCGCCCAGAGTATCTCGAGACCGTGCGTTGGCTTCTGCTTCTTTTTGCCCTTTACTTGCCATCTGGAGTCGAATTTCGTCCCTGATAGCTTGTCCCCGGAATTGAAGCTCTTTCTTGTATTCAGCCAAGCTCTTGTCTGAAATTGAAGATCCCAGTCTCTTCAAAGCTGACATTTTGGTCAATTGCACCATGTCAGAGCAGACATGAACCACCACGATGAAGTATTCATAGATCTCCGTTTGTAAATCTCGTGATTGGTGATACAGCGTGGCCAACTTTTCGAGACGAGGAGCAGAGTTACCGACTTGCACAAATATCTCAGACAGTTGTTCAATATGAGAGTGCGACTTTGAGAGGAGCTTCAAATAATCAATTCTCTATCCCGTGTTGAAAATACATCAAAATTAGGTACCTCACCGACAGTGCAAGCCGTACGACCGACCAAACTCCACACGCAATGATATTTGCCGATCCTCCTATAATTATGTCTCCAAGAGACACGAACTGCTGTACGGCCTCCATGACGCTCATGAATCTGGTAGATAAGCAACGACCCCTGTGGCCACGGTCAATCTTAGCTGTGAGAACCCTCACATCCTGAACAGTAGGAGGCGACGATTGTGAATTCGATTGTCTTGTGTTGAATTCCGCTTTCTCCCCATCGGACAGCTTTGCTTTGAATTCCGAGATGGCCTGGCCTAGTCGAATTTCAGCCTTGAGTGGCCAGGCCTGTTTCAATGCCAGAGCCATTTTGAAAACGCTGGGGGTGATACACAGCGAGCAGGGGCATGAGAATCACGAGGGAGCAAGTAGCCGGGTGGTATTATTTTTCAGCTTTGTGGTGGGTGCAGGTGGGGTAGAAGTGTGTTGCCAGAGGTGATGAGCAGGGGTGTATTTACATCGTTAGTATGGCGCTAATTATGCGACTCGCACGATAGAGCCTAGTAGGTAATCCGCAAAGCAGACAGGTTTAATTACGTGCTGTACTATCAACTCTGTGCATCAATTGGAATTACCAGATCAGAACTTTGAGATTGATCTTAGTGCTAACGCACTTGTACTGCTTTGCCATCGCTGGGGATCAATCTTAACCCAAAAACCCAGGTTTTCAGACGTAGTATGCATGCATCCGTTTACCCTGAGCTTTATTTTATCTACCTCACAGTTGAAGTAACCGGACAATAATCATGCCAAGCTTGAGCTCTCTTTTTCGTTGAGACTAAATCCATTTCATGCCATTCTCTGGGAGCTGGATTTGGCCCCCATTCCACTCACGGATCGTCGTTACGCAAGCCCCTCGGCAACATATTGTAAAAGGCAAAAACCTTGAAATAAGTACTAGTACGCGTATCATATATCATGATCCGAGTCCTTCATAGGTGCTGTATTATACATAAGCGTAATCATAGATATCTCGTGACGCAAATCAGAGCTCTCGGTAGTAGCACTGCGACAAGACTTCAGGAGCAACATTCTGAGAGAACTATTATAATCTACTCCAATATCAAATATCTGTTGCGTATATCTCTAGACTTTTTTGCCATTGCGGGCGACTCCATGAAGTAGGTGGAAGGGAGATTTAGACCGCGGCCTGAACCCAAGATGAAGCTAGTAGAATCTAGGCGTGGGGGCCAGTCTAGGTCGGATAGAGGCCAGGTAGAATTTTACGCAAGGCAGAAAGACACTTTTATTTTGGGTACGCATGTGCTAAGAGACTAGGCATCTTGAAATGAGTCCCTGCCACCAATAAAAAGGTTTAGCCTCTTTTGGACTCCTTTACCCAACCGCCCTGAATACCCCTGAAGCGCTGCCGTGGCTCCTCGGCTAAACTTTTCCTCCCATCCATCCTTCCCGCTTGTGTGGCATACCATTATGGCACTTTTGTACCTGACATGCCCCTGGGCAGTTGAAGTTTAATTAGATCAGATTTTGATAGATAGAAATGTCCAGGTACTGCGAGCCGTTGCGCTGTTCTGGTTGCCTTTTATAAGCGTCTTTCTGAGGGTATGGGGGCAACATTGATCAATCCAGTAGTTGATCCTTCAAATATAGGGAGTGGACTGAGTATCCGATGGGAATTTATATCTTAGGGCTCGTCAGACCGCGTCTCACTTGGTATCTGCTATCATAACCTGAACCCATGAGGCCCAGCAGAATATGTGGGATCTAGCCATTTAAGGAAATGGTCTTCGGCCTTACACTTACTTCCAGGTTGACCACTAAGTAAGGAGATGGGCCTATGCAAAGTATCCTTTTGCTATTCTAATTTTGCAGAACCTCATACAATATAGCTTTGCATATATGATCAATCGTTGAGTCATACTAAACTTTACATATTCCTTTACTGGAGCCTAGGGCCCTATCGAAGACTCTGCTTACAAAAAGGAGGGGAGACCCTTGTGATTATTTCACATCTCAATATGTTCAAGCAAATTTAGTCAAGTTGAAGCTCTCTGAATCGCTCTTCCAGATCTTCAAGGACCGTAATGACATTGTTGTAAAAAGCCTGCTGAAGGGCAGGACTCGTGAAGTCATTGTCATGTCCAAAGTCACAATACAAACATCTTTTGATGACATCTTTGAAGCTTTTGCTGATCTTCGCATGACTGAACTCTACCACTCGGCAGGCTGTGAAATATTCAATGAAATCGGATTCCTCTCCTTGTAGCTCGGTCGACCGTTCCAGGGACGATAGAGGGGCTTGAAATGCGAGCTCGAGCAACATCACTCCGAGTCCGAAGAGAACCGGATTCCGAACAAAGCGATGGTACCCGGGGCATACAGGCTGGAATTCTGTTGAGACAGAGCTCGTCATATAAGCAAGGATATGCTGTGGCTGTTCAATGAAAGGATCCGAACTATTAATTAAGTGAACATCTTCACTTCTCCATCCCTTGTTGAGCCAAGGCGTGGCATGGTAGTAAAGAACAGCAGTAGCAAGATATTTCGCTAGACGAACACGTTCATACTGGCTCATTTCCATCGTGATATCGGATCTTGGTTGTGATATTAGCTCAGACAGGGACATGGCTGAAGTTGTTACACTAGTCCGACTGGCTACATATGCCAAATGTTTGCATGTTCTATTGTCTCCTAGTAAGCCAATACAACTGTCAGGTTCTTGTTGATTTAAGAATCTCTCGACCACCTTGCAGAAGTTGCGTTGGATATGGAGATTTGGGATTTCAACGGCGTCCGTTTTTGGGCATAGTGACTGTATTGGCGCTACTGGAAACTTGAACTGAACACGTTTTCGTTGTGCTGATGAGCAGTTTCCACGTTCAGTTTCGCGTTGTCGTTTGAGAGAATGACTTTCACCCGAGGATGATGTGAATTCTAGTTGAGAATAACTTTCATGGGATTTGATTGTGGATTCCACGTCGATCCAGACCGTGTTCTCCGGTGCTTTTTTGTGTTGAAAAAAGGCGACGTTGAATCGGACTCGGGTTGTTGTTCCGTCAAGGGCTGGCTGGAGGGATATATGCACAGTATGGACAGTATGCGCCGCACAGGCTGTCCCCACAGCTTCGTAGAGGCTTCGAGCTGCTTGTTGGACGACACGAAAGTCCTCAAATTTCCGACGACGTTTAGGGGCTCTGGTTATCGTTGATTCTCGCCAGTCATAGATTTTCATCGGTTGGCTCATGGCCGATGTGAAATTTTGGATCAGGGATTCCAAGTCTTCTACAGAGTTCTGGATATATGATTTATTAGCCTGAGGGTTTGAGCGGTGTTTGCATGGGATATCACTCACCTTGAGCGATGACAATGCACTAATGGGCTGTGATCTTGTCTGAGTAGTAACCCGAATCTGTCTGACAAGGTCCTCGATGATTTCAAGCTTCTTTTGAATCCCCAGAGCTATCTCTAGACAGGACACCCTAGATGAACTAATACTGCCATTTGATAACAGGACTTTTGCATGATCAGAGACAATGAAACGCTGGTTCTTCAATATTTCCTTGAGATCAGCGTCTCTAGGCAAATACTTTCGGTGTTCTCTGAAGGATTTAATGACACATTTGAAGCAAGAATCAAGTTCTGGTAAAACTGTTACCATCAGCGTAGGAACTAAGATTTTGAATGCGAAAATTACCTCGCAAAAGCTCCTCATTGCTGGCATCAGGATTGTGCTTTGAGTGATAGCCTTCATTGTTGCGTGTTGGCAGAGCGCATACTTCGGAGGAGGTTTCTTTGATAGAGCATTTAGACTCCTGTGAGGAGCCCGACGGTTGCTGGTGTGTCTCTTCGAATTGATCCATGACTGCCCACTGTTCGAGCATTGATTTCATGCACGAAGCTGCTGCTCCAGCAGCGTGCTTTTGCCAAATCTTGTTTTTGTGGCTGTCGGCATAGTCACAGACCCCCTTTATAACAATAAAAGGCATGATGCCGGCAATGCCGGCGCCCTCCATCTCAAATGCAATCACCTTCTCTTTGTCAGCAATTCTGTCTCTGTCCATGCCCGATTTCATCACCGTATCCCCTGATGCGATTCGCCCAAAGTGGATGCTGAATTTCCTCTGGGATGAACGCGAACGAACGACTAATTTCTCCACGTCACATTTCAGATCTTTACAAGTGGCCTTCTGCGCTTTTTTGCAAGACTTGGGTTTCCCACATGTTTTGCATTGCGAGGTTTCGTGATGCTTGTGATGGTAGTTTGGCTCGAAAAGGAGATCAGTTTGTCTAGAAGGGCGAGAATAATCGCTACTTCGCGTTCGAAGGGCATCAAGATGATGCTCTGTCCTGCTGATTAGATGCTCGCGGCCCTTTGGGCTTCTAAGCTTGCGCAAAAAGGCTTGCACCTCGCTGCTCACAGTAGAGCAAGACGCTGTTTCTCTGTATTTGAATGTCCCGGGGAACCTCTTTCCAAAATCGTATGGCAAAATCTCATCACTTATTATGATATCACCCAGGAACATTCCCCCTTCAATGCTTCCTGGCACCCCTCCACAAATGCCAACAATCAAGGCAATTCGGATACATGGAAAACTCGAACGGCAGCTCTTTGCGACAGTTGCTGCTTGGACCTTGCCCATGCCAGTCATGTATGCTAACACGACATTATGATTGCCGATCGCTCCTGTGCGATAGGAATTTGTGTCGTCATGCGCTTTGCCGTATCGATCGCCGTTTGCATCCCAGATGTGGTCAAAAAGCAGCTCTACTGCGTCAGACTCAACCTCTAGAGCACATATTATCGCAACGCTGAAGTCCTTGCGGCCTCTTGGTGTTACCGGATGAGGCATCGTCACAAAATGTGGGCTGTAGGGCCGTGTGGAAGGGATCTAAGGATAGAAAATCTGTCCTTGGGTTGCCTGAGAAAAGTGATTGGGAACCTGGCGCTCAGCTGACCACGTCACGGGCCCTGGTCTGTCTTGTTCAAGACTAGCCACTTTGCAAACCCCGCATACTCAGTCCCTCAAGATGTTCAGAACTTCAGTGTCTTACACCGGCCTTACACTTCACACAATCTGCCGCCGCTGTCCGCAAGAACCATGAAGACCAAAGCAAAGAGTGAAGATCCACATTATGACTGGGTGATGTCCAAAATCAATCACAGCTCCGAGGATCCAAATTTGGGCTTCGTCGAAACCCTGTATCAGACCTGCTCAGCCTCTCTTCTCTTTCTATGGAAATCGCAATTTCGGTTAACGACTCACAATCCGCAGAAGAGTACTCTGAAGAAGGATATAGCGAGCATCCAGTTTTGGGAAGAGAATTTCCCTGCTGGCCACCTTGATGACATCCTGGGAGAGTCGAGCGGATTGAAGATCCGTGTGCTGGAAAACCTGGCGGGTATTAGCAAGATTCTCGTCTCTTTTTTCACAGACTATGGTGAAGCAAGATTTAGCACACTGAATGATTGTGATTCCGAAAACACCCTCGCCAATGACCTGGAAACACAGCTAGAAAAGGCTGCACTGATTCTTGATGGTGAAGAACGATCTGAGCCATCGTCAGATGAGGAGACCGACGATTCCTCCCCCACCACCGAACGTCTCCAAAATCGCCTTGGGCGCCTTCACTCCTTCATAAGCTGTTTAATGAATCTTACACCCGTGTTGGAGAGGTATATATCCTCCTTGCATTGCAAGGCGGAAGTTGAAATTGTCCCGATTGACACTGTTTTTCGTTTGTCTCATCGTGCACGACCTTACGCAATGCGCATTCGCGACCGGTCGGTGTCCTGACTCCTCGACATGCCTCTCCACCTGATACTGACAACTAAGTAAGATTTGAAAACGCACCTACATCTCTTATAGAGCGGTTAGCACAGGCTAACTTGGAAAGATTAATCCGGCTTGGAATACAAGAAGGCGAGGCGGAAGAAGTGGATGATCACACAAATCAGGACGCTGTGACTTTGTTCAAGCCCTTTTCCCTGTTCCATGACTCAGGTCTTGGGACATCCATTCCTCCAATATCACAGTATGCCGCTACCATGGCTTCCCATACTTCGTTTCTCTCGGTCACTGGAGACGAGGCTCTTGGTCGCCCCCGAGTTCCCTCTCTACGGCAGGAAGGCGGACGCCCCTTTCAATGCAATTACTGTCACAAGACTATCGCTATGCGAAACAGAATAGAGTGGAAGTACGTACATGAAAAGGACCAAGCTGAAAAGCCCTATCATACTGACTAAGCAGGATGCATGTCTTCGCTGATCTGGAGTCGTACATTTGCACACACGAGGACTGTAGGGACGCACTCAAAAAATTCCCGACCCGTCAACTATGGGCGGATCACGAATTCAATAAACACTTTACTATGCTCCAATGGCGTTGTTTCAGCTGCAGCATCACATTTAATACCGCGGAACTCTTCGTCAAACATTCGGCTCACGCGCATAGTATTATACTGACTGATCGCCGTTTAACAGCCATCATTTCAGAAGCGCAAGAGACAATCTTGACACCTGAATTCGAGGTCTTCAAGTGTACTTTATGCTTACAGGATGGCTGGAAGACCAAGAAAGCTTACGCGACTCATGTCGGCCGACACCTAGAGGAGATCTCCCTGGCATGTCTCCCAAGAGATGAAGAAGACAGCAGTGACGATGACTTGCAAACAAAGTCATCCAGCACCCCCGGCCATGTTCATGGGCAGGATTCCCGCAGTGGAGAAAAATATGAAGTCGATGCAGATTCTCAAGTTCAATATGAGGAATTCAGCGTTGACAAAGTCACGGAATACCTTGAAAATCACGCGAATGGTCAACTGCCTACTTCCGACCGACCGAACCAGAAGGAAAGCCTTCAAGTTATCCAAGATAGCATGAACAGTCCTCCTGATTCAAAGAAGATACATGAGAACTACAGATTTACAAAGAAACCCGCATCCGAGTCAGAAATACCTACTACGCTGGAAAATTGGAAGAGGAGGCATTATTTTCGATGCGGGTGGCCCGGCTGTGGCGCGACATGTGGTACGAGGGGATCTTCAATACGGCATATTGAATATGTTCACCTGCCAAGTGCGAAGTACCAGTGTCCTGTGTGCGGGCACGACTCCTTTAGAAAAGACAGGCATCGTGGCCATTGTCAGGAAGTGCATTCATGGCCAATAACCAATCGAGAGATCAATGAAGCCAGTGTGGCAATACCTTGTCCACCTGTCTGCAAACTTTGCCCGATGAATACTAGGAGTTGGCGAGCGTTCTACGACTGCTTCATCAGCCATTGCATAACCAACCAGCGTGATGAAGACTTTGAGGCAGAAAGTGAAATCTTTAGTGCTGGCCCAGTTCCTGATAGCGGTTCAAAGGTTGCACCGCGAATCGAGGGCACAAGCACGCCTCCTGCATAAGTTTGCAGCGAATACTATCCTGGCGCTTATGATCAGGGCTCAAACCAGTGGAACTTGAATCACAACGTCAATCCACAAGCCTTCGATATGCATCGTCTCCTCCCGAAGCCATTCTCAAATCCAGGACTGAACGGTGCGGATGTTGAGAAGGGATCAGACGTGGTGCAATAGTGCCCGTCATTTTGCAGTTGTTTCGAATTTCATACAAAATAGATACCAGTCAATCTCTCCTTTGTGAGCTCTGGGTACAAGCGGGCATTCTTAAGAGTTGTCTAGATCTTCGAATGCTTCGTGATCACTCAAACCGCTACCTACGACATTAGAAGAGGACTACGGACGAATAATGGCCAGTATCGATTCTCGTTACCGAGTTTTCGCAACTAGAATCCTATAGTTTCTAATCTATTCCGAGCGACCGTTGGCGATCGAAGAATGAGTGGATATTGTGGAGTGGATATTGTGGTCGTCAATCCCCGCGCACAAACACTTTGTGAATTTGAGTTCAGGATGTCTGAGCCTTTACACATCGCTAGGGGGTGCTTAGGCCTGATCTCTCTAGTCGTGAAAAGAAATGAAGGAGGTGGAAAATAGGATATAAAACTCAACTAGTTAAACTACGGTTAATATATTTGTCAGCTTAACAGTATCTTCGATCCAATAGTATTATAGCTTCTTTTAACACAGGAAGTATCATTATAAGACTATATAATCAGGGTCGTCTAAGTAAGATAACAGTAGGAGGAGATTTAACAAGATTTTATCTCGTTACGTGACCTCCAGCATTTTCCCTCACTCTGTCTCTTTCCTTTCTCCATTCCAGTCCAGTCTCTCCCTGATTAGCCTACATATTGGCTTCGCTTGTTCTCTGTCAATTTGAGTTGATGAATTCCATATTCGCCGCTGAGGCCGTGAAATCGGGATGACATGTGATAGGGAAGGTGCTTATCTTGAGCAGCCGACCCGTCATACCTAGTAAGTAATTAACCTTCAGACTAGTAACCAATCGCCTCTAACTGCCTAATACAGTTATCACCTTGGCCTCAAGTGCTGATAAGACCGTTCTTCTTTAGCTATCTTGATTACTCGAGGACATCCCTTCTCAAGAAACCCCTCCCCCCAGCCCCAGGTAATCGATGTATTGATTTACCTAAATTTCTACTTCTGACATGAGAAATACAAATTAGCAGTTGACATCCTTCATTCTCCATTTCTCAAAATGGTGGAAAAGACAGCAGCGGACATTCGGGATGAGACTCGCCTGGCTCAGCTTGGCTACAAGCAGGAGTTGCGACGCGACTGGAAATTGATTCACAACTTCGGCGTGTCTTTCTCAATCATTGTAAGCCTCCGAAAGAAATGCTGCATATGAAGTTCTCTGTATTAACTTCGAAAAGAGCGTTATCACTGGTATTACTACACTCTTCAGGTAGGAATGGTAGCGACAGCACGTTCGAACCTCCCAACTGATGAAGATGACTAGCTATGGATTGAATACAGGAGGTCCAGGTGTTATGACGACCGGATGGATTGTTGTCTCATTTATGACTCTCTTCGTGGGCTTGAGCATGGCAGAGATCGTCTCCGCAATCCCTACCAGCGGTGGCCCGTATTTCTGGGCTGCGATGTTGGCTCCGCATAAATATGCCCCGTTTCTATCCTGGCTGACAGGATGGTTTAATTTCGTGGGACAGGTAGATATAATTTTCTGTTCGATGCGACTAGCGCACAGCCTGTACACTGCTAATTCTTTGTTATGATTGGATTTGAACAGTTTGCTGTGACCACCGGAATCAGCTTTGGATGCGCTGGGCTTATTGCGACTGCTGCAACGGTCAAGACCAGTTGGGTGCCAACTGCAGCGCAAGAAATCGGCATATATGCGGCAATTCTTATCAGCCACGGCTTAATCAATACGTTTGGCGTACACATCCTGCGATATCTCAACGTCTCCTCGATCATCTTGCACAGTCTTGGAGTTGCTAGTTTGGCTATTGCAGTGGTAGCCAAGGCGCCGACTCACCGGAGTGCCGCTGAGGTTTTCCAGCATTTTTACGATGTGCGTCATTCGGCCATGAGTTCCTGCGAGTATTTGCAATATATGAATTTCTTTTGTTGACATATGAATCAGGGTACTGGTGATCCCGGATGGTCTGTTAGAGCTTCCCCAGCCTACGTCGCGATTTGTGGTATACTCCTCAGCCAATACACAATCACTGGTATGAAGGGTGCTTCCTATCCTCTTGTGTCTGCTAATGTTAACGTATTTGAACAGGATTTGATGCGTCGGCCCATCTCTCCGAGGAGACTCACAAGGCAGAATGGACTGCCCCCATCGGCGTGCTCATGTCAATTGGAGTTTCCGCTGTTTTCGGGTTCTTCCTCCTGCTTTGTCTCCTATTTTCCATCCAAGACTTTGCCGCAACTGTCGACTCGAGCACGAACTACGGTGAACCCGTGTTCAAAATCTTAGTGGACTGCATGGGTGAAGACGGTGCGCTTGTGTGCATCGCAATCATCATCCTCTGTGTCTGGCACTGCGGTCTTTTTAGTATAACCAGCAACAGCCGCATGATGTTCGCCTTCTCCCGCGACGGCGCCCTGCCCAAGTTCTTCGACTATGTTGATCCCAAATTTCAAAGCCCAGTGCGGACAATCTGGCTGGCGGCGTTTCTCGCGTTTTGCCTAGCTCTGCCTTCGCTGGGAAGCTCTGTGGCGTTCTCAGCAGCTACAAGTATTGCGACGATTGGGCTGTATATCAGTTATGCGCTTCCAATATTCATCGCTTTGATTTGGCCAAGCAATTTCAAGAAAGGCCCTTTCAACCTAGGAAATTTCTCACGCTTTGTCGGTGGCATAGCTTGTTCATGGGTATCCATCTTCCTCCCATTCCTTCTCCACTGCTAGCTATTAATACTTACATTCATTTCTAGGTTCTATTCATCACTATCGTATTTTGTCTACCAGAGGAAAATCCGGTAACATCCCAGACACTCAACTACACGCCCGTGGCGGTTGGTATTGTGCTAGTGGCCACAATTGGCACGTGGTTTCTGTGGGCTCACCGATGGTTTACTGGACCAAGGCGACAGACAGCACTTGAGACTGTTGAAGATTTTGACCATGAGCCATCAATCGCAGAGAATACTAAAGACGCTTAGTATATTATGGATGTTTTGAGGAATGTTTTACACAGTGGATTCAATAATATAGTAACTTCTGTACGCGTAGACATGCTGTTGTATGTTTGTTTTGTAGAATTACATTGGACGAGGAGTGTATTGCTAAGCGACGGGGTCATATGTGTACCTTCATGGCTATGTAAGAGGCAAAGTGGTCTACCACAGGCAAATGTCCCCTTTGGACATATTATTTCCCTAAAGAGCGAGAAGAGTCCGAGTTGAACCTATAATGTGCTGTCCCTAGATAGAAATGAAGAACAGGGACTTTGGAAGAGAGCAGGCTTGGGGTAAGGTCTTCGAGGCTGTATTTCGTGATACTTTTTGGGCCGAGATCAAGCTGAGTTATACTCAGAAACACTCCAAACATTATCATTGGCATTCTCATTCTGAATGATATGGTACCAGCAAAGCTCTGTCTGCATGTCCTAGTACATGAATTAGGGTACATCCAAGCGTGCTCACAGTCCAAATCCTACTCTCACAATCTCAGTCTCCTTACCAACAAGGTAAAGTTCTGCCAAATTGCCATCAATATGCTTCATGAAAGAACTCCGCTGAATACTACCCCTCGGAGAGGCCTGTCCTCTTAGCCACTCCCTGATAAACCCGCGTGGCACGAACCAAGTACATCCTCCCGTTGTCTGTGGTGAATCTCACATAGTTGGCGTCGTTGATCCCTGAAAGCCAGCCTAGGTAATTTCCGAATAAATTGGCTAGAATTCCAAAACAGAACCAGGCTTTTAGAACCTCGAGGGGACTCCTGAGGGCGTGATGGCGTATGTGAAGGATATGCCGGTGGAATGGACGGATCAACAGTCTCGCGAGGAAGGTGTTTATGAGCAGGAACATGAGATAGTGGAGAGAGTCCATGATCGAGCGGTCGTAATTTGTCACTGGAAGTTGTTAATATGGTTTTCTTGGAATAGTAACCTGGACTTGCATTTCGTCTCATGATGATGCCCGTATCAAAAGATTGAGGAGATCACTTGAAGGACCTTGGGTTCTTCGCTGCTGTTTGAGGATCGTGCAGGGACAGGGCAGAATGAAAGTGTGTGCGAGTGGACAGGTGCTGGTAAACGGACAGAAAAGTAACAATAACATGATGGACGTATGCATAACTTCGTACAGTAAAGAGCTCGCAGCTGGCTATTGTAAGGTATTACATGACCACCATGATGCCTATGTGGAAAAATCCCATGGCACATCATCAACACTTTCATGATCCACGATGATGAGGAATTCCGCTGAAGTACATGATCAGCGGAGGGTTACCATAAGAATGCCCGTTATCACTCCAAAGCCTATTTATGTGCTAAACATAAAATACACAATCAATCATTGGTTTATTCCCAGTCTCTCACCATGGGTAACATGGGCAGCATCCACGACATGATCATCACAAAAATTTCCTGACAGCATCGATGCTGGTCTATATCGATTACATGCGATTCCTTCGTCCCCTAAGCAAATACCCCGGACCCATCCTCGCAATTTTGAGCAACAGCTACAAAGCCTACCGTGTCTATCACTTAAGACTGCACGAGAAGCTCCTTGAAGTCTTAGATCAAACTACGTTCTGCTTCACAATCTTGATATTTGGAACGCGGACCACGAAGAGTTTGTTCCTGACCGCTGGCTTGATGAGAATTGTAGTAAGGAGAAGGGTACATTGCTGATCCCGTTTAGTATTGGATATCAGAGGTGGTCTGTGAGGTATTTAGTGATGACCAATATTTTCAAGACTGTCATTACGCTGCTTGTTCAGGTTGATTTGGAGGTGGATAAGCGAAGTCAAGTCGGTGCACGGACTTCTGGTAGTGGGAAGATGCGAAGTAACTTCTTATGTCGGGTTTCTAGAGTATAGATGCAATCTGGAATTTATTCTCCTGTACTCTACAAGGTTTAAAGTTATCTTTTTCGATGAGATGTAATGGTTCTAGCAGTTGCAACACATGATTTAATCGGATTCTTTGACGACGTTCATTCGCTGATTTACCACAGCACAAACCCATAGTATGGTAGAGGATATAGGTACAACAACACTGAGAGCTGTAAAAGAAAAATGAGAGAATAAGATTCAATCCCTCGCGGTATATTAGACAACACAACCCTGGAACACCCCGAACACCGTGCTTGTGGAACGAATTGCAATGCAAACCCAACCCAGCCCACCCTCGCAATGTGCACCCATGCTATCAGCTACCAGACGAAAAAAAGAGGTAAATTCGTCAAGATCATAATAACAATCAGTTCTGTCCGTGGGAAAGGAATCCCAGGCTGTAACGCCTGGGAGGGAAATAAGGGGGAGCGGGAAAGAAAATAAATCGCTGAAAAGACATTCAAATGAGTTACTAGCCTATCGTCTCTCGACACGACTGAGGGCCCCGAGGATAACACCTAGGTCTTGCCGGGGACGTTCCATTCGTGCTTTTTGTGGACTGTCCTCGTCGTCGCCTTCTATGGCGATGCGTTGCCGGGTATTCAGTGCGTCACGCTCTTCGAGACGCTGTGCGCAGATGCGAAGGATGTGTGATGAGACGGCATCGGCACTAGAACTGTATAGTTCAATATCGTGGATACCAGCGGCAAAAGCATCCAGTGTGGGAGCGAGACCGGTTGTGATTTGGGAAAGGCGTGATGAGACGGTTGATGGAGACATGGGTGGTTGGATTGTGGGAGAGGCGTCGTCTTTCGATTGTGACTCGGCTGCGGTTGAGGAGGGACGGAGGGATGCGAGGATGGCTTGTTGAGAGGGTTCGAGGAGGGAGGAGTCAATTTGAGGAGTTGATTTCTTAGGGTAACGTTTGGAGGCTTTGGGGGATTCTAGTGCAGGCGCATTGACAGGAGGAATTGGTGGTTGCTTGAGAAGAGCGTTCAGGGCATGTCTCTCTTTTTGAAGCCTGTTGAACCATATTAGCCTAAAACTTTCTTGACGGTGCTGGTTGTCCGTACTTTTGAATGTGCTCCTCCAACTCCTTGATCTTTTCTGTATTCTGGATGTTCCTTGGATTCGGCTTTTTCACCACCACGGTAGGTGGATTCAGGTCTTCACGGCTAAACCAGTTCGAAAGTTCGGAGTTGGTAGAGAAATCCTTCAGCAGCTCATCTTGGATCGCACGGGCTAATTCATGTTAGCTTCATTTCTCTTGCCATTGAGAGGGACGAATTACCTGCTAGGCGTGAACTTTGATCTTCTGAGCGCGAGCCCGAAGGCTTGTCTCCAAGGGCTCGTGTCGCACACCAAATCAGAAGCTGCCGCATCCTACGAGGCTCCGGGAGCCCTTCATCCGCGATGTGTTTGTAGAAGTCAGCGGTGCTGACTTCTCGATGCGGTAATGCTGGAGAAAGCACAAGTTAGCCCAATTGCACCAGAATGATAATACCAGATGACCCCTACCATTGGACGCCCCCGAGTCAATCAAGGAACTGGCTCGTCGTCCCCGCATCCCCAAACTACTTCGCCGATTCCCCTTGCCAGATTTTGTACCCCGTAATTCCTTATTTCGCTGAATAACCGGGGTATCAGCCAGCGGCAAAGCCACCTTCGTACCCGCTGAAGGTTCTGGTGATTTAAATCCATTGGTATCGCTGGTTCTCGGACGAGCCGGTCGCCCCCTCTTCCCCTTTTTCTCCGGAGGCGCATTTGATGGCGACTCGTGATTTCGTAATGAGCGCGTCGAAGTCGCTGAAGGTTCCGGCTCCGGATGTACTTTTTGAGCAGTCCTTTTCGTCCCCCGTCTTGTCGGAAGTTCAGTAGTTTTCCCATTTGTCGGTACAGCACTGGCACTCGCATTCCCATTCGCATCCTCGACCAGCCGTTTCTTGGGTGGTCGACCTCTTCGAGGCGTAGACTTTGAAGGCGCATTTTCCACATCTGATTGGGGATTCTCTGGAACGGGTTCAATCGACGGCCTAGTCCTCTTCGATGGTTTTCTTGAAAATCGAAATCCTTCCGCGTCCTCCTCGTAGTCTAAACAGTGGTTAGCATTGACATTCCGCCCTTCTTCGCCCCATGCAGCAGAGCATCCACTCTTCAAGAGTGAAGAGACACTCACTCGCTTTCCGTTTTCCCTCCGCGTTATTCGCAATCTCGTCTAATCCTTGTTGAGAAGCGCTCAACCGTGTTGGAGGGCGACCTCGGCCAGAACGTGGCTGCGCCTGAGTCGCGGCCATTGTAATCGTCCCCAGCGGTTCGCGGCGCTTTACTTTCGTGATAGGAGCCGCTAAGACCGCGATGGTCATGTCAAGATGGTGTCACGCGGTATCTTCGGTTGGATCGTCGGTTGGGGTGCAGAGGTTGTGACCCCTCGGTCGGCGAATTGGAACACCGGTTTTCGCTTTATCGCGTGTGAATTACTGGAACTGTTGACTTATTCTTGGCTATCGATGAGTAGGATCCCCTTGGTGGAATGTGTTCGCGACCAGGTCTTGCTGAGAGCTGTTCGCGTTGGAGTTCTGATTTGTTGTCCGGCGCGGTTCCCCTCAATTGGGGTTGTTTGGCGCATGTATGTTGAGAAGTGAGGTATTTCCAAGATTGAATGCGCAAGGTTAGTGCAAGGTTAGTGCCCGCAAAGAAGTTGGCTGCGGGCGGCAAGGGAATCACTGAAGGTGGGTAGGAGGGATTCGGGCACGCGGTTGTTTTGGTCGGCGCGTGGGGCGCTAGTCCACTTTGGGAATCCCCTCAAGGCAAAACGGTTAACGGTCTGACTATAGATATAGATTGAAGCAATTACATTCACTTGAGTATCTAATAGTATTTGTCTTACATCCACATTAATCAATACAAGGTATTTAAGTAATGATAGCATAGCTTGCTATGATCATGCAATGTCATTGTTGAAAAAGCTGCCAGATTCTTTAATCCCCTTAAAGGAATTCAACTGTGCAGATGCCACTATATGGAATACGCTATGTAGTCTTAAAACCGCCAACGCCAGAAATTGCACATAGAAACACTCAATATGTTCAACGAAAAGAGACCCGGATCACCAGTGAACGGGAGTTGAGCCCGTGTCTTGTTATAAAGATGAGACATGTTCATTGCATGGCATCATCCACTTGGTCACTCGGTGGTGGAGGTGCAACACTGCCTTCAATGCGACGCTTTGCTTCTTGCATTTCTTCGACAGTGATGTTCTCTGCTTTCTTGGGCATGTCTGGTTCATATTGGGGGATATCAGGGCTGTGACCAACTGACATGCCAACTCGAATCTATTTCAATGATTAGTGTCAAGTGAATGGAAATAAAGGTCAGCTATCTTACCAGAGTCTCTAATGGGCCCTTGGAGTTATCCACTAGATCACTGTCAAAGTTGATGACACCTTCTTCGAACAAGACCAACAGGGTACTGCCGCCGAATTTGAAGTATCCAAGCTCTTCAGCTCGAGAAACCTTGTCCCCGGCTTTGCGGGTGATGACCGTGCTGCCCACCATCATGGCTCCGACACAGACGACCATGACACGGCCATGAGCGACAGAGTCAATGGGGACCAGCACTCGGACATTCTCTCCATAAACATCCAAGGCCGAGCGAATAGCCATCGGGTTGACCGTATAGTACTCGCCCTCGATGGTCTTGGGCTCACCCATAACTCCATCTACAGGCACATGGAAACGATGGTAATCCTGAGGCGCTAACCGGAACACTCCAAGTGCACCATTACGGTACCGTGCGGCATCTTCGGGGTATGCGGTGCCCAGTAACCTTTCAACGGAGAACTCCCGACCCTTTACCCAGATACCGGTAGCTTCGTCCATGCGATCGTAGACGACTGAGCGGCAGTCGGCCGGGGACACAACAATTCTTGGGTCATCAGGGGCTGAGCACGGTCGGGCCTCAGGCTTCAATGCGCGATAGAAGAACTCGTTGAAAGTGGTGAATTTCTCCAGAGGCAGAAGCACCTCGGACATGTCCAGCTGGTGGAAATTGATGAAATCCCGAATCTGGCTAACAGACGCCGGGTCATCATATTTGCGCCCTTGCTTAATACTTAGAGATCGCAACACACGACGAACTATTTTCCGGGTCAGAGTACGATATGAAGTGCGACTTGACCATACACTTACTTCTCTTCTTCTCCATTTCCTTGCTCTTGAGACCCTTGTAAAGCAGTCGAATTCCAAGACGGACATAAACACTCATGCGCTCCTCATTGATCTGGCCAGTGATCCGGTCCTGGACAAGAATATTGGCCGAGTTGGCTCCTAGCTTGTAGCCACCGTAAGAGATCTTGGTGATAACCTTGGAATACCATTTGCGTTGGGCCTGGCTCGAGGTCACGAATCCACCCATGACAAGGTTGTCAACTTGTCGCCAGTCACGGCTTGCACATGTCGCAATATGAGTAATAATATCGGCATCGGATCGTTTGCCAAGGCGAGGCTGGTGGCAGAGTGGACATTCGCGAATTTCCACTACGTGTTCTTCACCCCGCTCATCCGCAAGATCATCGGGTCGAAGATATCCGTCGTTCGAGCCAGACTGTTCCGCTTCGTCACTAGAAATGGTGGGCACCGCTGTTGAATCCGGGTTAGCGTTGTGCGGCTTGGTTGTGCTTGATTCTAAGGCGAGCTCATCGCCGCTAGATGGCTCCTCACTATCTTGACTGCCGACGGACGACGGCGCAAGTGCTGGTCTCCGGGTTCCGGGCGAGGCATTCTTTTTCTGCAATGCTTGAAGTGTATCTTCAAGGCACATCACGGCTTGGTCGAAGGTCAAATCGGTTGTCGCAATGGCTGCGTTCTCTTCACTAAAACGGTCGAAAAAGGCATCGATTGTCGACTCCTTCAGTGTGGATCCAAGGGTGTCGAGCATAGTGGTCATTTCAATCTTATCAATGCGGCCACTGTCATCTGCATCGTATTGCTTCAACATAAGTCTCCAGAATTGCTGTCGAACGGCACTATATGGCAAGTATTTGGCTTTCAAAAACAACTCAGGCGTGTGTTTATCTTCCCACCGTTCTCGGTTCTTAAGTATCAAAGGGATAGTGTAGCATCGCAAACCTTCCTCATCGGGTGGTGGAATATTCTCGGGGTCCAAATCGACTGTACTTGTGGAGACGGTTGGCACCTGCATGGTGGAGCTGCTGTCTCCTACAGAACTAGACAATTCCGGCACAGACGTGGGAGGGACCCGGTTGGCAAGCTCAAGCACAGAGTTGCTTGAAAGAGAAGTAGCGGAGTTACGCGACTTCAGCGTAGGTCTTGTCATCTTGGAGAGGCTTGATGATGATGGGGAGGAGCTAATGGGAAGCCGGGAGCTAGACTTAGCAGGTGGAATAATGTCTTCCTCGACAAAGTGGTATAGACCTGTCTCGGGGTCTGAGTCTGGGGCAGATTGAATCAAAGTCGGTAGAGGGAAACCCGCAGAGGCTACAAAATCGTTGCCCGAGAATTTATCTCGGTCCATTACCGTGAAACTGATCGTGTAGGTACGTTCGTGTCGCATTACCTGGAAGACCATCTTTTCGTGATATACCGGGTTCAAATTGTGACGCACGACAGGTGTCCTAAGCGTTTTTCTTCCAAGGGAGGTCACGACGAAAGGATCCATATCAAATGATGTCCGCGTAACTAAACACAAATCAGCAATCGAGGGTGACACAATGAGAACAGCAACTTCTACCATTTTTTTCAGGAGGGAGATCTGTCACTTTGACGATCTCCATAAAAACAATACCCTCTACGCCGCTCCCTGTACCCGAGAATTGATATGCACGAGCAGCAAGAGACTTTTTTCTTAACCGAGCCAGCCGAAGTCTCCGGCGGCGCTTTTCAACAATCTCCGGCTTCGTCAGGTCATCGGTTTCATCAGATGTCTCCTCATCGCGGTCCAGGTCGTCAAGGTCGACGGCGGGGATCTCAATTGGGTCCTCATCATCACCGGCACATACGACCTTCTTGAATTTGCGGTATGTATCCGAAGGCGAAGCAGTGGGACTTGTCGGATCTGACAACGAGAATTGCAGGAGGATCTCGCCAGACACATCACTGTTCTTCTTGTTCTTTTTCTTGCTGTTCGATACCCGTTTCGACTTGAGGGTGTACCATGTTGCCTACGCATCTCAGAGTCAACCCAAAATCCCCTGTATGTGAACCGTACGGTGTTCCCTACCTCCTTCTTTATCTGTCCATCCACAAAGATGTCCTCCAATGCAATGTCAAATTCGCCCAAGTAGTCCTTGCCAAACCGGTCGTGATCCCAACAGATGCATTCCAACAGCGGGACACCCCCGAGGGGCATTTCAAACGACACGTTCCATTCCGGGTTTAGAGTTTTGAATATCGTCGGCGTCGACTGCCGTGCGTCTCCCAGGTTCACAACCAAGTACTGTTTATCGCACCGATTAGCGAACCGAACATAGGTGTCCGGGGGACATTGCGATGAGGCCACTTACAGGATCGCTTGTGCCACCTCGATCTTTCGCTGCAAGATTTCGTCCCTATTTCAATCCGACGACAGGTTAGTCTATGTTGTTGGGGGTGACAAGACACCACGGCATTGGCGGCTGCCTAGCAGGGGGTTGATTGAGGCCTACCCGAATAACCGTAACTTTGAGGAGTAAAGGTTTCGCGTCGGCTTGTATGCGCATGGGACTTGTACTCCTGCTCTGTCCGGGGGTTGAACTGGCACTTCTTGTGGATAGATGCGAGCTCAGTCGCTGCGGGAGCGGTAGGCGGACCATGGCGGAATACGCCTGCAGGCTAAAGTGGCGGTCGAGGGAATGGAGAGGAGGGGGAAGGAGAAGGAGTGTGAAATCTAAAATCGATGTTTTGGCCCTAAACCCCTGGTCATTCCCGGTTTTGGTGGCTTTAAGTTAATTAAGTCTTTCCCCCCCACGATCTGCTTCGGGTCGATCCCAGCACAAAAAGCCAAGAAACGGTACCACCCACAAGGTTCCAAACAAATGGACAGTACACCGTACGCTGTAGGGTCAATTTCCAGCAATTGAGATATGGAAGATAATTCAGAAGATTTAAAGGGGGGGATTTTAGAAAAGTAAAAGGCTCGGGAGCGATAGGGAGGAAACGGGGCTTTGTTGGGGGAGAGAGAGAGACACTCCGTGTTCTTGGGTCTGTCTTGGTCTCGACGTCAGTTCGCCAATTCTCCACTTTCTCCACCACAACAAATATGGATGCCTTGTATATGGGGCCAAGACATGATCACTCCAATTATCCTAGTTGGATTATACGGATACATTATTTATTGACTGCATTAGGAAATGCTTAGATACTTGTCAGACCCTTTCAAAGTACAATGCATGGTGATCCGATCCACCCCACTACGGAATGCAGTACCCCGCACCCATTCAACTCATAAAAATTACAATTAGTATATGTAGAGACGTGAATCATTCAGAGTATAGGATAATCTAACTAACAAATGCTTGATTCTGTATTTCTAAGCTCAGTGTTCTTTCCCGTAGCCTGTCCCCACCAATCCAGAATGACACGTATATTTGTTGTGAGTAAAAGGGGGAACCAAAAAGGGTAAAGGCGCCGCAAAAAGGCCCACTTGCCAGTCAATAGTTCCCTAGAATTCCCTCAACGTAAGGATGAAAGTTACAAAATATTGCATGGCCCGAAGTCATGATGTAGATGATATCATGGCCTCGAACTCATCAAGATCGAGACAGAAGAATGTTGGGTTTCATTACCAATTTCATTTGGATGTTATCTAAGTCATAATTTCTATTCTGGTTCCCGATTTACCCCCGGAAACGCACTTAGTGATCCCATCCTTCCTAAGAGATACCATCTTCCCTGGCATGTCTTCCAATCACCCATACATACCTAGGTACCTAGGTATCACCTGCTAACATTCTGAACCGAATCATTTCAAAGGCCGCACATAGCAAGAACAATTTGAATTGCTTCATCCTAGTCAGATACCACATCTTCGATTCGGAAACCAAATCGATGGATATGGCATCGATTCCTTTAGAAACAACTTCGTGGGTAGATGTGACAGTAGGTTTTTATTCTCAATGGCAATCGTGTTCAATGTCAATTCTCTCAAGCTAAGTCTACCGTTCCTCTATGCCACGCCTGTGCGGGTGAGGAAACTGTCGATATCTTGGGGGTTCAAGAAGATGAAACTACCCAGAAGAATCAACGTTCCACCTTTCTGAACATAGGATATAATCACAGGCTAAAAGCGTTCGCTGTAGGGACAAGCTGTTCCAGGGTCTGTGATAAGGGCGGTTATTTGCGTGAAAAATCAGGAAGATGATTGAGCTTGTCTAGGTTACCGACGGTTTGTACGTCTGCCTTGCGTTTTAACCAAAAGAGCAGACATCTGCTCTTGGAAGATGTTGAGCCGATTCCTGCGCAGAGTATCACAATCAGTGGTTGGAAGGGTAGTGGGGAGGATACTCATGAATTCCAATATGTACTATCGGCTCCAGGCGAAGACCCTAGAAGAGCTAGATTTTGAATATAGATAGAATGTGGATGGAAATACTGAAGTCAATCTATTCAGCGGTATGTACAGAGGTTATGGTGTATCCATATCCTCCCTAAACACCAGCTCAAGCCCGCACACATCTCATAACATTTGTCAAGGTTGCAGATCTATCTGGATTATATGCCCTTATCGGCATGCTGATCTAATCCCGAGCTCTCCACCGAAGCCCGCTTGGTCCGTCGACACTCCGCATTTCATCCCCCAACCACAGCAAAGACTCACCGAAATCCCATCCCATGCGCAATCGGAACATTTGAACCTGCGAATCTTCATCGAATCGAGTCATCCGTTAGCTGACTAAGATCGCCTCCACATCAAACCTGTGTTCCGAAGTGGCCATATTGGCAAGTGCCATGGGCAAGTGACGATCCAATGAGCCTGACAAACCCACCTTCCTCCGGTTCGCTCTCCACCCGAACAAGGACGGTCGGCCAAAACTTGAAACGGAGTTTACAGGCCACAGTCGATGGTAATTATATTCTTGGATTCTTGCCTCGTCGCATGACCTGTGTCCTCTTTCTATAACGTGCTCTTGATCTCGATCGTGACCCTGCTCTGTCTCGGCATTTCTCCTGTTGCGCCATGTTTGGAAAAGGATTTCCGTTTCTAAATTCTGTCGGGGCTTTCTATCCTCGGGGTAATTTCTTTCCCCTTCAATGCCAGGTTTCTTTGGTCTCGTCTCGTTGCGGTGACTGTCCTGGGAGAAAGAGAGGGAATGGCATAAATCTCTGGTTTGCGATCTTCATTATGGCTGGTTTCCTAAAGACGCGTGCATCCGTTGATCTGTCCCCACTGTTTCTTTCCCTGCAATACCGTGGCGATACATGCATATGCTGACCTTTTATCTGCTAGCAGAAGCTCTCGATTCCCGAAAAACCCCCGGTTATACCAGCAAAGTCCGAGTGCGGGATCGATATCATGTTGTGGGATTCATCAGCAGTGGAACATATGGACGGGTGTACAAGGCCATCGGTAAAAATGGCAAGAAGGGGGAATTTGCGATCAAAAAGTATGATTACTGCAGAACATGCATGGTTGGCGATATCTGACATTACCCAGGTTCAAACCAGACAAGGAGGGAGAATCGATTCAATATACAGGCCTGTCACAATCCGCCATCCGAGAAATGTCTCTCTGTACCGAATTATCCCACGCAAATGTCGTCCAATTGGAGGAGATTATCCTCGAGGACAAATGTATCTTCATGGTATTCGAATATACCGAGCATGACTTACTGCAGATCATTCACCACCACACCCAACCACAGCGACACGCCATCCGAGCCAGCATGGTCCGCTCTATATTGTTCCAACTGCTCAATGGCTTATTATACTTACATACCAACTGGGTCCTGCACCGAGATCTTAAACCAGCCAATATCCTCGTCACTTCCAGCGGCGCTATCCGCATCGGCGATCTAGGTCTGGCCCGACTATTTTATAAACCCCTCAACTCCCTTTTCTCCGGCGACAAGGTCGTCGTCACAATATGGTACCGAGCACCAGAGCTCCTCCTCGGAAGCCGACACTATACACCAGCCGTCGACATGTGGGCTGTGGGCTGCATCTTCGCCGAGCTCCTCTCCCTGCGTCCGATCTTCAAGGGCGAAGAAGCCAAAATGGACAGCAAAAAGACGGTTCCCTTCCAGCGCAACCAAATGATGAAAATCGTCGAGATCCTTGGCCTTCCTCGCAAAGAAACCTGGCCGGGCCTCGTTTCCATGCCTGAATACTCTCAGCTGCAGTCTCTCGTGATGCACCGACAACCCGCGCATTTCCACCGCGGTCCAAACCTCGAGGGCTGGTATCAAAGCTGCCTGAAGAATGGCGGGTACTCTACTACGTCGAGTGTTGGTACACCCGGTGCAGACGGATTTGATTTGCTATCAAGGATGTTGGAGTATGACCCTACAAAGCGTATCACCGCTCAAGAGGCATTGGAACATCCTTATTTCTCGAATGGGGGTCCTATTAGCGCGGATTGCTTCGACGGTATTGAGAGCAAGTACCCACATCGCCGGGTGACCCAGGACGACAATGACATTCGCACTGGAAGTCTTCCCGGTACGAAGCGCAGTGGCTTGCCAGATGATTCATTGATGAGGGCATCGAAACGTCTCAAGGAATGATGTATTTTCGGTCATATCATGCGCCATTTTAATTTGCATGAAGCTCAGGATATTTTTTGTGTTTTCATGGCCTCGGCGTTGGATCACGGGCTCTCGGTTTTTTGGTACATTTCTTCACATACATAATTCAATAGAAGTCATAACGATACGCCTTACTGGAGACCTTGTCCAGCTCCATATCCCATCCATTCCATAACCGTAAATCACACCGAAGAGCATAATAACATTAAGTAAAAGAAACACCAGACAAAAGGCTCCTTGGAGAACTTCAAATGCACGTCCTCAATAGCCTAAGTCAATGTCAGAAATCGATCAATCAATCGAATCAGTATAATCAAACTCACCATTCTGCTCCCGCCGACCATCAGCTCCCTCATCCTTGCCACCACCAGTCTCAGCCCGACTAGCCGCATCCTTAATCCCCTCCTCATCACCGCGTAATCTCTCGAAATACCCCTTCACATCCTCCGCACTAACAGCAGTTCCGCTCTCGGCAAACGGCCGCAAGAATGCCTTCACCTTATCACGGAGATGGTTGTAGACCATCGCGCCCTCGATAGCGCGCACGCGGTCAACGTTGCTAAGTGCGGCTTCGCCGCGTTCAAGAATACTGCCTGTACCTGTGATTGCGGCGCCGTTGGCGTCACCGTCTTCTGAGAGGGGTGGTTCGTAGGTTTCTTCTTCTTCGCGAAGTTGGGGGTAGGGGATGAGGTTGGGGTAGCATTCTGCGCAGCGGCAGAGGTTGGAGTAGAAGTCTTCTTGGAGGAAGAGGGAGAATAATTCTGTTGGTGTTGAGGTGGGGAGGAGGGTATGTTTGGGGATAGGGGTGTTTGATGATTCGGTTTCAGGTTCAGCCTTGGGTTTGAGATCTTCCTTGGATTCTTCTTTGGTTTGTTCTTTGGTTTGTTCTTTGGTTTCTTCTTTGGTTTCTTCTTTGGTTTCTTCTTTGGTTTCTTCTTTGGTTTCTGTAGGTTGCTCGGCGATGGTAGCGAGAATAGAAGTCACCATAGACTCTTGCTTGGGCGATTTTTCCTTGGTCCGCTTGGCTGTCGGTTCTTCGGTGGAAGGTTCGTCATCCTCTGCTTTGCGCTTCTTGGAGGACTCCGAATGTTGCTCGGTCGGCTCCTTTGGCGCAGATCCCTTCAAGCCTCCTGCCTGATAAACTGGGGGTAGGAAGCCCTTTGATCCTGCATAGCGCTTGAGCCAGGGGTTTGAATTGATGCATTTGAAGCAAATAAATTGATCGAAATCATCTTCAGCGGGGAATCCGGGGGGCAGAGGGGTCTCTTCCTCTTCGTCGGCGGCGTCACCACCGCCGAAGGTCTTAGTTTCCGCGCTCTTGTACCAGTCCCGTGGCAAGCCGATCAGACACTCTGGGTGCCACCAGTCCTCACCGCAACCGCCCGATTCAACAGAACCAAGGCCCATGCATTGGAACATCGTACCCTTTTCCTGGTGGGGATCATACTGTTCCCCACAGCCACAGAACCGGTTGAGAAAGTTATGGTTGTACTTGTTGTCCTTGGCTGGCTCCTGAGAGTGTACACCTTTGCGGCCTGTCTTGGGGTCTTCGCGCAATGTGCAGGGTGATGTTGTGGGCATGCGAGTGGTTCCACAGTCACAGACAAAGTTGCGCTTGTTGAAAAGCTCCACCAAAGTATGTTCACCATGACAGGCAATGGAGCAGGAGTAACAGATCCCTGCAGCAGTGGAGAGGTCGTCTTTTTTGCCAGAAGGAGGATTGCAGGTCAAACAGGCGAAGAGGCTCTGACGAAGTGGACCGAGAGCATAAGTGCAAGAGTCGAAGGACTTGAGCTGGTCAGTAGTGAGTCAATGACAGGTTGCTGATGCACTCACATAAGGAAGAATCTCGCGCGCATCAGCCTCGAGTCGCATCTGATCATCGATGAATCTGTTGCGACAAGTTAGGATCTACCTTCATGGTTTTGGAAATGCATCATACTCTCGGGCTGTCTGAGACTGAAGGGATCCAACGCTCTCGCGCCGGCCACCTTCGGGCTTGGGCTGAACAATTGTGGGTTGCTCCATTTCGAGTTATAGGGTTTCCAAAAATCAAGTTTGATTCCTCGAAGGGAAAGTTTTCAAGACCGGGTTTCCTGCAAGTCGCGAATCTGACACTCTCTGCTCCACAATCGAATGTTCAGTCAACGGTTCTCACAACCAGAGACACACGGAACAGGTTTCTGAAGCAAACAAGGGAACGAAAATGCGCTGCTATCCGTTGTCCAGAGTTTCAGTTGAATGTATTCGCGATGTAAGTTCTCAGGTTGTATGGTCAAGTCAGGGATTGTCGCGATGATGGTCGTCGGAGATATGTTGCCGTATTACAGCCGTACTGTGATAATGAATGTCACCAGAAGCTTTGCGCTGAATCTCTGGGCGAATAATGATATTTGATCTGGACCCAGGATGACAAGAGACAATGGGCGTGAGCTAATGATGCGGCGAACGGAACGCGAAACGCGATGTTTGATTGGTTTGCATCAAAGTAGATGTGAGACTGGTTTTCCTCACAACGAATTCCAGAGGAAATTGAAAGGGGAAAAGTGTAAGGATTTCGAGATTGAGTAGTAAAGTAAGATCAAGAATGATGATGTTTAACTAGTGTAGCTACACTGTCTGGGTGTTATAAGAATCAGCCCCACGTGATGTCCCAAATAGGTAAAATTGAAAACGCGTCGCGTAGCAACGCGTTTAACCCGAACCCCAATCTTCCCAATCTTCTAATCTTCAATCTTTCAGCTACTCCCTTCCTCCCTTTCCACCACGCTTCACCCTCCGGGTTTGATAAAATCCACAACCCCCCATCTAGTCCTTTTTTCTATCCTCTGTTTTCTCCTTTTCTACCCTTCCACTACATTAAAATTGCTCATTGAGCTACACACAACATGGAGTGAGTTTGCGCCCGGTTTTTTTTTCATTTTTGCAGAACCCACGAAGCTGATGAATGACAGTCCCCTCCGGCCTAGTGACTCGGCCGCAAACCGCGGTCCGCGCTCAAACACCCGCAAGCGCTCAAGAGAGCCAGATGACATGTCCTCTCCCGCTGCGTTGCCCCCCTCCAGTCGTATGTGATTCCCCTGAACGAAAATTGCGGGGCTTTAACCAACTGACCATTTGCGCAGCCACCGCCCTCGGTTCATCTCCTCCCCCAATGCCATTCGATGAGGACGACGAGGAAGATGAGGGAGCTGATATGATCCCCGATATTGACGATGTGGATGAGCTTGCAGAGGATGAGGATGGCATTGACCTGTTCGGCGATAATTTTGAGCGGGATTACCACGACGGACAAGATCAGTACGAAAACGATGGCTATATTGATGATGATGGAGACCATGAGGAACTCGACGCTGCCACTCGTCGCCAGCTGGATTCTCGCTTGAACCAAAGAGATCGGGAATTGGCTCGTCGCCGCCAAATGCCCGCTGCCTTCCTGCACGATGACGATGACCTGGAAATGGATCTGTCACGCCAACCCCGACGTCGACGACACCACTACGATGAAGATCGTGAAGATATCGACATGGCTGACGAGGGTATGGAGGAGCTGTCACTAGAGGAGTTGGCCGATGTAAAAGCCGCCAACATCACCGACTGGGTCACGCAGCCTCAGGTCCTACGCTCGATTTACCGAGAGTTCAAGGCTTTCTTGACAGAGTTCATTGACCCCAGTGGTCAGTCCGTATACGGTAACCGCATCAAAACTCTTGGTGAGGTCAACTCCGCTTCCCTGGAGGTTTCATACGCCCATCTGAGTGAGACCAAGGCCGCACTGTCATACTTCCTTGCCAACGAGCCTACTGAGATCCTCAAGGTCTTCGATCAGGTTGCGCTCGATGTCACCCTCTTCCACTACCCTCAGTACCATGATATTCACAACGAGATTCACGTGCGCATCACCGACGTGCCCATTATCTATACCCTCCGCCAATTACGTCAGTCTCACCTCAATTGCCTGGTCCGTGTTGGTGGTGTGGTCACCCGTCGTACTGGTGTCTTCCCGCAGTTGAAGTTCGTCATGTTCCTTTGCCAAAAGTGTGGTATCACTTTGGGTCCTTTCCAGCAAGAGTCCAGCTCTGAAGTGAAGATCTCCTTCTGTCAGAACTGCCAATCTCGTGGTCCCTTCACTGTCAACAACGAGAAGACAGTCTACCGGAACTACCAGAAATTGACCCTGCAGGAGTCTCCTGGCACTGTCCCCGCTGGTCGTTTGCCTCGCCAGCGCGAGGTCATCTTGTTAGCTGACTTGATTGACACAGCCAAGCCTGGTGATGAGATCGAAATCACTGGTATCTACCGTAACAGCTACGATGCCCAGTTGAACAACAAGAACGGTTTCCCCGTTTTCGCCACTATCATCGAAGCCAACCAGGTAGTCAAATCTCATGATCAGCTGGCTGGTTTCCGTTTGACAGAGGAGGATGAACGTGAGATCCGCGCACTTTCCCGCGAGCCTGACATCGTTGACCGTATTGTTCGGTCCATGGCACCCAGTATCTACGGTCACCACGATGTCAAGACCGCCGTGGCCCTTTCTCTCTTCGGTGGTGTCAGCAAGCAGGCCCAGGGTAAAATGAATATTCGTGGTGACATCAATGTCCTGCTGCTCGGTGACCCCGGTACTGCTAAGTCTCAGGTGCTCAAGTACGTGGAGAAGACAGCACACCGAGCTGTTTTCGCTACCGGTCAAGGTGCCAGTGCTGTTGGTTTGACGGCCAGCGTTCGTCGCGACCCGCTCACCAGCGAGTGGACCTTGGAAGGTGGTGCGCTTGTGCTCGCTGACCGCGGTACTTGTCTGATCGACGAGTTCGACAAGATGAATGACCAGGACCGGACATCCATCCACGAAGCCATGGAACAGCAGACCATTTCCATCTCCAAGGCCGGTATCGTGACCACCCTGCAGGCTCGCTGTGCAGTGGTCGCCGCTGCCAATCCCCAGGGTGGTCGGTACAATGCTACCAAGCCCTTGTCACAGAACGTGGAGCTCACCGAGCCTATCCTGTCCCGTTTCGATATCTTGTGTGTGGTACGCGACTTGGTCGAACCCAGCGAGGACGAGCGCTTGGCCAACTTTGTGATCGAGTCTCACCACCGCGCCAACCCCGCCCGGCCCCTTCGCAACGACCAGAATCAGTTAGTTGACGCAGATGGTCACCTTATTAATGAGGATGGTTACCGCATCAACGAGCAAGGCCAGATCCTTCCTCCCACACAAGAAGAGATTGCCCAGCGTGCTGCTGAACAGAAGCAGTCTGAGGAAGAAAAGGAGGGCGAGATTCCGCAAGAGCTCTTGCGCAAGTACATTCTTTACGCTCGTGAGCGATGCCACCCCAAGCTGTACCAGATCGACCAGGACAAGGTCGCCCGTTTGTTCGCAGACATGCGTCGCGAGTCCCTGGCCACTGGTGCCTACCCTATCACTGTAAGTCCCATCAACCGCGAACATCTTTGTGCATTTTACTGACTTTACCAGGTCCGTCACCTTGAAGCTATCATGCGTATCGCCGAGGCTTTCTGCAAGATGCGCCTGTCAGAGTACTGCTCTTCTCAGGATATTGACCGTGCCATCGCTGTCACCGTCGAGTCTTTCGTTGGTAGCCAGAAGATCAGCTGCAAGAAGGCGCTCTCCCGTGCATTTGCCAAGTACGTCCATCCACTCACTCAGGTCCAATCTTGAATGCTAACATACCATCTCCAGGTACACATTGGCCCGTCCCAAGCCGTCCAAGCGTCGCGCCGGTGTCCCCGTGCCCAACCCACATTTGCCACGGAATGCGTCCACCGTGCGGTAAACAGTATCCAATGGGGGTTTCAGCGGTTTCTTTCAAGTAAAATACCATCTTGTTTGCATATGGTGTGGGCGGCGTTTCATGTTATTAATCAGTGTTACATTTACCGCAGGGCTCTGCTAGGAGTTTGGCCATGATTTAATGAAATGAATTGAACAAATATCAACATCAACATCAAAATTAACATTAAGCCAAGACTAGCTAAGCAATAACCCTAACACACCATCTCCACCTTCAAACGTTCCCAATAATTTAACATTCTGACTACGTATCTGAAGACTATATATCTGAATATGTACCCAAATATACCTCCCACTTAAAAGTCGTCCCTGCAACAAACCCCTCTTTAACAAAACAGAAATCGCCCTCTCAAGTAGAAACTCCGTCCCCTTAACCACCCGTACCCCATTCCCTCACCGCAGGAACACTCCTACACTCTTCTACAACAGAAATCGCACACAAAGACCCATGCACCACCTACAACACCACCCTCAGTACCAACATCCATCCCCATCATCGAGATCGAACTCTTCAGACATTCCTCTAAAACTCTGATCCACTTCAAAAGATCCTTGATCGGGGCGTATGAGTACAAGTTTTTCGCGAAAACAGGGATGAAGCCCGAGAGGGTTTCGGGATTTGCTTTGATGTATTCTTTTTTCGGTGGTTGTGGGGGGGGTGAATGGGCAATTGGATTGGGATTTTATCAAGAAGACTTCGTAGTATGCTCATTTTGCTTCAAATGGATGAGTTTGAATGAATTTGAATCTGGGGGGACTGTTGTGTTCGTTGGTATCGATTAATGGATCTGATATAGGAGAGGGTTTCAAGGAGATTGATGTTCATGATAATGTTGATGAAAGGGTTGTATATAGTTCATAGATGAGGCGAGATGTAAGTGATTCTCATTTCTGATCCGGTCCTGAATTGCACACACCCAAGAAATAATCCTATATAAATATATCCATCACAGACACAGCCCAGCTTACAACAAAGTATCAAGAAGACATCATATCCAGTAAAACCCATCAAAGCACACTCTAACAAAAATCCCCGGAATAGAAACCACAAAGGCAGACACAGATTGAGACTAGATGCTAGCGGTGTAAAGTGTTGGTTTGTGACAATTTTGAGACGTTTAAAATGTTGTGTTGGTGTCAGCCTGATATAGTGTTGGAGGGGTGTTGTAGCTGGGGGAGTGATATTATATCTAAAGAGAGATGGTTGGGTAGGGTGGAGTGTTAGCTTTGGTTCCGGGTGATATCCATGGATGCGCGGTGCCGGTGCCGAGCTTAGGAACAGGTGTTATAGGGTGCAAGGCGCAGGCGCAGGCGCAAGGGTGAATTATCTCTAGATAATGTCTTCGACTACGAGCTTGAAATGTTGAGATGGTGGCAAAGAAATCCATTTTACTGGCTGGCTCAATAAAAAGTACAAGAAGCGAGACGCATGGATACGCTGGCTGCGGGCATGGGTTTCATGCAGCAAAGGAAACGAAACACCTAAAGGGAGAAAAGCCATAGCAAAAACAACACCAAAAGCAAATTCAGCCTAATCCCAGATATCAACGCCATGTTGGGCACCCGATGCTAGCGGCGCTCAATGTTGGGTATTACATAGAAAAGTCATCAGTCCCCATGGCCCATGAGGATAAAAAAAAGGTGCCAATAAAGATGTGGGGAGCAGTAACATTGATAACCCGTCCCAAGATCCAGTTTTCATTCTCCCTTGGATCGGACTTAGTCGCTGGTGCGGCGCTCTGGCCGCGGCTTGCGCAAGCTCTTCATTCGGTTCAGGAATCCACCCCCGCCAGGATTCAGCCTTTGCTGATCTTCGTAGGCACGATCGCTGGTGGTCTTGCGCTCAAGGATAGTTGACTGCTTGGGGCTGCTTGATGAACGAAGACGACCGCCACTCTCTAGACGCGCCTCTGCGATTCGAGATCCTTTCTTATCCCACTCCTCATCGGGGTCTTCTTGAAAGAATGGGTTTCGCTCATTGCCTCGTGAAGATGCGGAGTGGCTTGAGCCTATCTGTGGTGGGGACAGACGACCCTGCTCTGTGGGAGATCCGACTCGACCAGGAGACACAATCCGACCGGTTCCACTTCGCCCACGCAAGCGCTGTGCCAGACTCTTCTTTCGTGCGAGACCGCCGTTTTGCATCTGTTGTTCGTTCGCGATCTCACGTTGTGCAATCGCCGAACGACTAGCCGGGGCTCCATCAAGGAATGTGCTTGTTCCCAGGCCCATGCTCTCTGCACCGTGGACCGGTTCCAAGGTGGATCGAGGGTCAATTTGAACAGTTTCAGCGGGGCGCTGGAGGCCGGTGTTGTAATCGTTGTGGGCCTCCTCCATTCTGCCGTGGAAGAGGTTTAGGTCAATATTGGAGTTGACAGGGCCAGAACCACCGAGAGCCATATTTGTAGAATTCTTGGGGAAGGCCTGCATTGGCGCAGTGCGTGCGCCCTTGCGATTGCGATGAGGATTGCATGCGTCAAAGGGACCATCGTGATGGAACACTGGAAGTGAATTAGTATGCATCAACGTACACCAACACATAAGTACGTACTTCCGGTTCCATAGATGCTTGTCACGTCCAACTTGTCGATGATATCTAGTCGGCGATCCTTGCGGGAAGAACGGGGCTTTCCTTCGCGCTGACGCTCTCGCTCGCGGTGACGCCGTTCACGTCGGCGTTTCTCATCATCATCATCCAACAGCTTCGATGACCGATCCATTACAGATGACTCGGAGTTCCGACGAGGTCTACGGGTGCTCTTTCCTTGGCCACTAGATCCCTTGGGTGGGTCGGCAAAAATGTCGAATGGATCCTTTGATTTGGACTCTGTAGGTCGCCCGGAAGGAGGTGGACGCTCTCTCGGGCGAGGACGATCGGTGGGTTGCCGCGGGATGGCATCGGGGACCCGGGTGCTTTGTGTCTGAGTGGAAAAGGGAGAGGGGGCAGGCACCGCGGAAACTGTAGCGGTGGGCTTGATAGAGAGGTTCTCCTGCGAACGATGTTAGTTATGAACGGACTGGATTGAGGTCGCCACATACAAAAAGGTCCCGGGTGTTGCTGGTCATATCGGGTCGTTCGGTCGGTGAAAACATGGTAGCACCGGTGGAAAAGCCAGGGGCAGATTGTGGTGACAGGGCGTCAGTGTCGTCTAGGAATGGGTTGGTCGATCGGGGACGTTCCGGGCGAGCGTTGGTCGCTGGGCCAGGAGCAGTGGAGGGAGACAAAGCACGGTTTCGAAATGGGTTGTTAGAGCCAAAATTGGCTGCTGTGGGTGAGACCTGATTGCCTATTTCCCAGATTTGCGTCACAAGTCAGTTTCACGTTTCAGCGACGCTATGTTGCACTTCCGGGGAACCGGAATGATTTAAGTGTTGTGATCAAAGGCTAGACCAGAAGGATAACACTTCAATCAAGCAATCAGGAGTCCCACAAAGACTTCTTGGAGATAACGCACCTGGTGCCAGCGACACGCCGGGCGGGTACCCAAACGCTGGAGGGGCATTCATTGCGAGATGAAACGGAGCGAGTGGATAGTGATGTACGTCAATAGGATGATGAAGCGTCGCACGAGTACGTGGAGGGGGGAGATTAATATGTGTGATGAAACAAGCAATATTCCAAGGTTGAAGTATCCAAGGGAATAAGATTGGGGGGAAAGGAGAAAGGAAAAAGAAGCTTGGGGGGCAAAGGGACACGGGATCACTCAGGAGTACGTAAATGAGTGATCGCCAACCCACTTCCCTCTAAAAAAAGATGGATAGTTATCTCTTGGTAGTACTCGGTATGGTTTTACTAAATTGAACTCTCAAAATTGATCTTGATTTTGATGTTGATTTAAATTGTTATTGAACCTCCAGATTTCCATAGTATGTACATGGAAGTTAACGCCTTAATCAATCCAGGGGCAAAAGCACTACGCGGACACTTTTCCCCTCGATCAACCTAACTTAAACCCCACTCACACCCAACGCCAAGTCTTACTGGCAAATTGGGAAATGCTCCTCGTTAATTATGTGTTTTCAATGTTTTACAAACTTCCTTATCATAAATTCCTTAAATAGCCCCCCGGAATGACGTTTCAACATTCCTAATCCCCGGTTGATGTCATTTTAATGCGGGAATGTGGATATTTGTGGCTGGTTTAGTTGGGGTTTTTTAAGCTGGATGGACACACGCGAGGGTCTTTCCCTTTCCCCTTAGCTTCTCTTTGGAACTGATCGGCAACTTTTTCTTTTTCTTCCCCTGTCACTGATCTCGCACGGTCCTCGACCATGACAACACCGATCCAACCGAAGCCTCGCTAAGTTATCCCTTGAGATGACGTCTATATTTGACACGTCGAACGACTTCAGTTTATGAAAGCACCGGGCATGTTGTGCTACGCCAAGTCTAGGTACTATTGATTTTCTTTCCTTGCCTGCATGTACTGGTTCCATGGGTTGAACTTGACAGGCAAGTGGCTGCAACTAATATGTATACTAGTCGAGTTGGAAACAGCTGCAGCCACAATGCATGACACAAACCTGCAAATAGCGCTGAACTATGAGATTGCAGCTTCGATCTCAGTCGCCTACAATTCTTCTGCCGTCAGCCGTCCACGCCACGACGATCTATTGATGTCTATCATGATCCAGGTAGATCATGTGAGAGATCGGGGCCAGTCGAGACCTAATGAACCAAGAAAGTAAATGGCACAGCTAGGATGGATCAGAAGACATCTCAGAAATCATTTACATACATACAATTCCCGCGTCATTCATTTTTTACACCGATAAAGTAGTACACATGCACGAAAGGCTTATACAGTATGCGGTTCCCACTTTTCAAAGTCCAACCAGTCAGATCAAGGTCTTCCTGACGAAGAAGACCTTCAATCTCCTCCCCGGTCCGACAACGCATAGTCGAAACCAAGCCGTCGAAAGCAAGAAGTAACGGCAACAAGGGAATCACATAAGTGAAAAACAAATGCAGAGGACTGTTCCTATACCGGGCGATAGTATACCACAACGGAAACAGCAACATGACTGGAATATTCAATAACGAGGTGAAATTCCGTTGAGCAAATTCGAAAATGCTAAATTTGGTTAATTTCAGTCCACGTTCGTTTGTCTTAGGATACACACATGAAGGAATCAGCCGATTCCGCGGCTTTCCGCAGTGTAGTCGATGCAGCAGGATCATCAAAATGATGAAAACACAAGTTGAAAATTCTGCATTCCTTCCCATCTCCAGCAATGCGTTCACATTGAGTCGCATCTTGTGGCTCTGAAATATAAGAGAATTTCTCCTGTCGTTTACTGATAGCACTCCATTCTTCCAGGCAGGGATGGAGATCCGTGAGAACAAATTGAGCAGTTTGTTTGCCTTCCGCTAGGAGTTTGCTATTCAATATCTTTTCAAGGGTGCCTGTCGGTCCGCCTGCTCCTGCGCAGAGATCGACAAATGTAAAGAAAGATGCATCTGGTAAATGCTCTAGAATGAGATTGGCTGCCACGCCAGCCGGAGAGGTTTTGCTGAATGGTGGGAGATGTAGATTCCAGACTCGGGTCAGATACGATTGGATATACACTCTCATCCACTCAGGACACCAGGACTGATCGCCGATTTCCAACAGATGGAATCGAGGAGAAAGGATCATTGTGTCCACGGGTGTTAGCCGGGTTTGAAACGAGAATTCTTTGGCAATCTTGATTCCTGATCTTTGCTTGGGTTTGATTCATGCACTAGGGATTGCAGGCGGTGAGACAGAAAGACAAGTAAACATACTAGTCTATCTGATTCTCTGAAGAACATGTATTTATATCAATTAATTGATCGACGTGATAAACGGACAAGGCCAATGTATAAACATCATAAATAGCATATCATTCTAAATACTTGCAGCTATGGTCGTGGCACATAATGTACCCAAATCCTGTGATATAAATCGCAACGCTAAATATAAAAAAATCATTATCTCGCCAACAGACGCTCTACCCTTTCCACCTGCCACCAATCAATCCTAAACAGCAATCGCTGGGGCAAGACTCCCATGCAAAGACTCCTTCATCTCATTTCCCACTGTCCAATCATCAAGACCCGACTGAAGCGGCGCAGCCTCTTCTTGACTAGTAGCTCTCTCATAACGCTCAGCAGCAGGCCAAATCTCATGCCCCGCTTCTCTTTCCTTCTTGTGGTGCTCCATAACCACGTCCCGCACGGTCTTCTGGAAGTGAAGTGGACCAGCCTCCATCTCAGGGTGCAGTTCGCCATTAACAAAGACGCCAGCATTCAAGTTCTGCTGCGATGCAATACAGAGATACTTGTCCTCCGACATAATCCGCTTGTACATATCACTGATAAGGCTGAAAGCCTCATCAGTAGCATCCTTGTGTCGATAAACCTCATACCGCATGACACACTTCGTAGGACTACTCGGGGTAAACCGCTGCATGAAGAAGAAATTCGGACTAATGTTGAACGAAGCATTTGGCCAGAAATAAGTCGTCGCTATCCGGAACCCCTTGGCGATTTGGTCTTCCCGCGCAGCCCCATAGTGCTGGATGTGTCCATCCTTCGTCTTGACGTAGTATGAGTTCAGGTCGGCAATGGTTGGGATATCAGGGTGTGCGACTTGGCAGTGGTAGCACTCGTTGTAGTTGTCAGCGAGGATCTTCCAGTTAAATTCGCCTTCCATGTCCCATGTGTGGTCGAAGTTGTAGTCTTCGAAATTGTAGTGGGCGTATCGGGGCTGTTCGTCGACTCCGTCGAAGTCGTCTTTCCAGGCTACTTCCGGCGTTGGTGATGCGTCCATGTTTACCCAGATGAAGCCGTTGCGGTCGATGTGCATGTGGACGGGGGAGAGGTCTTCGCTTAGGACAGCGCTGATGGTGCCCTGGTGGTCTTTGAGAATGATGAACTCGAAGCCGGCGGCATCGTATTGGACTGAATCGCCGGGGTTGGAGACACGGTGCTTGTGTGTGGTGAGGAGCCATTTACGGGAGAAGATTGATCGTCGTTCCAGCTCGTACATGTCCTGGGATGTATACCAGGAAGCGGGCAGGGCGCGGACGGGAGTCTTCTCGTCCTTGGGCGCAACAGGCGTAGTGCCGAAGAAATTCCTCAAGAAGGACATTTTGGATTTGTTTGCTTGGAAGGATAATTGAAGACTTCAGATTTGAATGCTCTGCAATTGATATCTACTATTGAATGGGATATCTACGCTTCTATATAGATAATCATCACGAGCAGGGTTCCACGGAACCCACGGAGTCAAATACCTTATCCGAACTCTTTCACGGTGCATCAGTCTTCTACATCCGAGTCCAACAGTATGCTGAAGTGCTATTCGCAGTCAGCTGGTCACTATCAACGGGCGATATAGCTCGGGACCGATCAGGTGATCGGTGGGGTTTTCCCCAACCGGGCCGAGTGGCTTGGACGTTATCGACTAACTCCAGGATCTTCGTAAGAAGGACGAAGCTTGTGGCAAGAGTGCTAGCAAATAGACTTTCAAGGTCTCAGCGCCATTATCTTTCGTGTTCGATCTAGAGCTTCGCGGTCGATCCGTCCGGTTCGGCCGTGAACCGTCCCACACCGGGTTTTTGAGCTTGCCTTAACTAGTAATATTTGGCAGTATTCCCCAGATTTGTAGTAAAAGTACGCGAATAATGTGGAGAAGCGGAGATGCTGATGGTTTACCAGAGCATCGATCAGATGATGACGAGGAGGGTCTACTGAGCCAGATAGTCAAGGGGACCCTCTCAACCGTGGAATCCAAACATTCGCACTGCCATATCTTGAGATAGTGCATTCTCTTGAATACTAGGTTTATTCTTATCTCTGGGGATGATCTTTCCATTGAGCTGAGTCGAGATAATGAACCTGGCAGTTAGATTGGGCAGACCGGGCAGCAATACAACACCAATAGGTCAGTGTGGGTAAAGTCATTCTGGATTGTTCTACTCGTATGGTATTAGACTGGAAGGGGTGATCTAGTGAAGAGTCAATCAGCCTTTGTTCCGGGAACCGATTGCCGGCAACCGGTAGCTTATACCGTCTTCAATATCGCTAGCCTGGAATGCCAAAGTGCCCAAGTGTTTGGTGTGGCACTCAGGTAGAGGCATGGGATAATTCCGAGCTTCTCATTTGAATCTGTTGAAAGTAGAGTTTTTTTACCCGGATCCAAGGGCTACTGTACATGTGCACTATCCAGTGCGGTTTCTCAGGTGTATACAATTAATGTCAGGGGAGATAAGAATATTGGAACCTTGGAATCATGGCGACCTCTGGATCACACAAGCATCTGACCTCCAGCTATTAATACCTTATCTTTCCCCTACATGTAGTCACGCGACTGCAATATGAGCCCCGTGACTTCATGTACTGCTCTTTGAATTTATGTTGACCCTCAAAAGAAGATTTGGTCGAAAGCCAAAAAATCACATTGTATATGCATATTACCGGGTCACCAACTAGGAGTGTGATCAGTATGTCTGAGGTCTGGCGTCCACTAAGACAGAAAGAGAGTTATAGTCATGTAGAATGAAACGATTACCAAGTAGACAAATGGATCTTTGAGATTTTATACATTGATATAATCCCAATAATCCTCATGGCCACTCGCGTTACATGGAAATCTGAAAGTTGATCGCTATTTATTTGTTTGATTCGGAGCCTTGTTTTGAAAAATTTCAGTTCCTTTCCCCCGCCTTGTAGATTATGCATATTTGAGGTGAGGCTAGTACGGAGGTGAGTAGCGGCCATGAGGACAGAACCTTGAAAATCACGTAAAAAATGGCAGAAAATCATGAAGACTACTAAGCTCATCTACCCCTTTATCACTTGGACACATCGCAGAATTTTTGGACGTACGTTTGAAACCTTCACCAGACCTTCTGCTTCAACTTCACTTTTTTTCTATTCACTTTTTTCTCTTTCTTTTCTATCCGCCTATATTCAAATTTAGAGAGCTCTTTGGCCATTTAACTAAAGACTGGTATAAAGAAGGTAAGAACTAGATAAGATGCTAAGTAGGAGACTAAGTAGGAGACTAAGTAGGAGACTAAGTAGGAGACTAAATGGGAGACTAAGTGGGAGACTAAGTAGGAGACTTAAGTGGGAGATATAGTAGGAGATATGATATAATACCTGAGTACTAGGCGCTACGCTAGAAGGTTCTGTCCTCATAGCCGCTACTCGCCTCCGTAGGCTACACTAATATAGACACAACACAAATGCACAAATGTAGTGGTATTATGAAATATGTCACACGGCTACTTTCACCGGCCGATGCGTGGAATGACTACATAGCAAACTCAACTCCCCTTTAATATAATAGATTCACTGAATAGGGCCACCAGCCGCATTCTGTATAGGTGTCCAGAAGTCTGGGTCGCCCGCGTTGAAGCCATTCGTCGGTATCGGTATCGATGGTATATAATTCACAAAGTCATTTACGCTGCCACCACCTCCGCCACTCATCACATTATTCATCAGCTTGAAGCCTATGTTCATGCCTTTAACTATATTGCTGGACCTTCTCTGGTGGGTATGCTGGGGCTGGAACTGGGACACAGACTTTGTCTGAACCGGGGCGCGCTGATTCCGCAAATGTTCTTGTAGGTCGGCCTCAAAATTATTGAAGTCGGGGACAGCCGCACTCCAACCTCGCCATTGATTATACCAGTGCCTCTCAAGCTGGAATCGACCATAACCCAGTGATCGTTGTGAAACGGAGATAAGACAACGAGCTATATATTGCTCTTACGTTAGTGACGTCAAAGATGGATATTTGAGTAACGGTGTATGATCATGTGCCGGGATAGAGAAGAATGGAATATACTCACTATGTCCTTCAGACTATTCAGGGCCTCCAGGGTTTTATTGAGCTCACCCTTTGTCCCGGCAAGATTCCAGTAGCCGCCACCGCCACCGGTGGTGATAAAGAATTGGCCATCAGGACCGAACGTGGCACTGGTCGGCATTGTTCCTGCTCTCCAGACTCCATTCGGAAGAGAGCGCTCTTTGCAAGCATTCTCCATGGCAGCTGATAGGTTTCCCCGGACCGTCCCGTTGATGTCGACGGCGAAAAAAGCACCATATGGTCCAAGAGAGCACTGTAGGGAAGCGTGGTGGCGCACGCTGGCACCATTCCTGATCAGCCACCCTTGGAGGCCGGCTGGTAAATTTCTATAGTCTGTTGCAGGAAGTCATAAGTCTCCAGGAGCTATATTGACCGGCTCGATACTTACGAAGCTTGTCGGTGCCATCGCTATCAATGTATAAAACCAGAAAAGATTCGTTGGGGCCGAGAGCCATCTCTCGGATGTCTATTATCGGCGGCTGCTGATTCTACAGCGTCATCACGTCCTCAGGAAGGTTACCAAACGCCCAGCGCTTGGAGGCGTTGACAAAGTAGGCATTTTCAGGCCCTAAGGCGATGCAAATGGACATTGGTGGCTATAGCGAAGCGGACAGAATAAAGGTAATTTGTATAATGCTAAAGAAGAACAGGTAAATGTAGTATCAATCGGAGTTCAAACGAAGATAGCGATGTCTGCACGTGGGAAGCCCATGCGGGGTGTGATAGACCTGCTTCATATGTATTTATTTATTCAAAGGCTAGCGCTCTCCAGTCGCTTCGAAATTCAAACTACCTAGTAGGTAAGACCAACAACGTGGCTGAAATACACTCCATCAGTGCATGTGTGGCGCTCGTATTGCTTTTTGGGCAGGACCAATATCTACGCCCATCGATGGATTTTCCCTTTTTATGGCCTGTCCATAGATTCGGTGAACTTTTTCAACTGCATTCGATGCTTGTTCATTGCGGCTCGGCGGCGCCGTGATCCAGGAGAGTGTCTTGGCGGCAGAATTGAATACTTAAGTTATAGGCTTCAGGGTAGGGCTATAGTACAAACGAGCCGACGAGTCAGATTCTTTGCACTTTCTGTTTAGACCCTGTGGGGCGAGACCTGATGAGCTGAGACTTATATACCCAATGCGCTGTGATTGGAATATATGCTTGAACGGGCCAGGGACCAGGGCAGACGCCAAAGCTCAGTCTTTTATGCAGCTTCACCCCGCTTTGATCAAGTGTTGACTGTTTAGGGCTTAGGTGATTAATCTGATCTATCATATTGAACACTTATATCAGAACACGATATCGGATTTGTCGGTACGAAACACTCTTTTCTCCGCAGCCAGAATACGAGTTCCCTTGTTTCTGCGCTAAATTCGACGCTTGAATCATTGGAATCAACCCGAGAGCCTACCTCAATATCTTCAACGAAATCCGAAAAAAACAAGATCAGCTGATCTCATACGTACAAGGTTGAAGCGTGTGCTTGAGTGGCCAGAAAAGACAGTTGTAAAAATGGAATTTCAATGCCAGGCCGCTATTTCCCGGCGCAGACATGGTCAACCAATTTGAAGTGTCATTCTTTCGCTTAGGCTCACCAATACCCAAAACTTCCTAATTTGAGGTCGTGTTTGGATGTCAGGCTACCTTCAAATGTTGGCTACGTCTCCATTTCGTCATACTCTACGGAATCTTGAAGACGGCTTTTTTGGATGGTACTGCGCAGCCCCAATTGAGAGGGTTTCGCCCCGCTATTCCGCGTCAGCTCCGCAGATATACAATCTTATGAATATCACACAAAACTAATCTCAAGTCCATGAAAGAGGGCCTCGCAGGATTGTTCGAGGGATATTAAACCCCGTGGCTACTGCAGGTTTAATCGGGTAAGGATGGATTTTATTTATCCCCGCAGGTCTGTTTGTTTATGAATATTTTATTCGTGTATGACTCGAGTACGGGAAACCGGCATCTCGAAGAACGGGGAAGTGGCTGAGTCCGGAGTAGTCCTTCTCCGCCAGAGTTAAGGTATAGAATTGTGGCGCATTCGATCCGACGCGTAGGGCTGGCATGGAACCATGGATTCGTCATTCACGATGACGTACACCTCGTGTATTTATTTAAATAGCGAGTATGGAACTAAAGAAAAATCCTCAATCATACCAAGAAGAGTTTTCATCAATTCAACAAATCGTGATTCGTGACTAGTATCTCTCATCTCCTTCGAAAATCATCATAATGGGTGGCTGCTTTTCCTCTCCTTTGGGCGGCGACTTCGGCCCTGGACCACGCCCAAATCCTGGTCCTGGATTTGATGGGGGTTTTGGAGGACCCGGAGGTGGATTTGGAGGACCCGGGGGTGGATTTGGAGGACCCGGTGGTGGTTTTGGAGGACCCGGGGGTGGTTTTGGAGGACCCGGAGGTGGCTTCGGAGGACCTGGTGGAGGTGGTGGCTTTGGAGGACCTGGGGGCGGCCCTGGTGGAGGTGGTCCCGGCGGATGGTAAACAGAGTGATCTATGGAAGGACATCAAATCACCCTATCACAACACAAGCTCCTGCACCCCATCCAGGAATTTTCCACAAAGGCAATGAAGGGACCGGCGTTGATTCTTTACCACCAGTTGAAAAGAACTTGTTCGTCAACTATGTCTCTGTTGCTCCGGTGTTGCTCTATACTTCGCCATCTACACTGCCTACTTGAACTACCTGTTCCAAGTCATACCTCGGCCCTGAATCGCACCTTATTTTACCGCAGCTTCGGTAACACGCGCTCTCGGCTGTGTCCATAGTGTGCCACCTGCTGGAAGTGACTCTAAACAACCGATAGATCTAGGGGAGTCAACCATGGTGGCATCTATGTGTCCCGATCCGAGATCAGTCATCATTCGCAAGACACTCTGACCTCCAATTTGTGGCGCAACATCGATGCTGCCACGACATTAGCTCTATACTAGGCTCTGATCAAAGCTCAAAGATGTCTAGACATGGTTCAGGACGCAGCATCTCAGAATGACCAAACATTCACCACAGTCGATGCATTGTTATAGTGATATCATGCAATATTCGTTATTCCTTCCTAGCAATCCAGACATTTTTATAAAGCGAGAGAATAATCCACTCACAATCAACCTGAGCTATATTATGGTTGCCGAATGATAAAGGTGTACGATAACGCTCTTATCGTGTTCATCTTGTGATGAGATAGTGAACGCATTCGGGTAACAAGCTCTGTAGTGCCCAAAGGATTTATTTTCTAAGTCCTTACAATGTTTTCCTCGGCAATTTTCTAGAAGTACTTTCATCCCTTTTTGTTCTCTGGTTCAGTATATCATTCAATCAACCATGGTTTTAACTCATGCCGCGGGAACAGCTCTTTGTCGCCTCTCCAGGGATATTTAGATAATTACCTCTCGATCCGGCTATACAGGAACGGTCACTTTGTGAATTGCGCAAGTAGGATGCATTTTCCAAAGACAAAGCGCTATGAGTTGCTAATAGCCCTTTAATCCTACGAGGCTGTGGTGAGGCGTTTGAAAATTGAGATCAGGGATTGTCGGGTGCGTTCTGCACGGCGCGTCCATTGCCATGTAGATAAGGTTAATGTGGATGTGGCTAAGGTATAAAGGATGGTTGATCTATAACTGCTCTCTTCAAAGATTCCATTTATAATGGGAACTCTTCACATTATGGTTATCTGGACGCCACATCAACGCCATAGACGAAGAGCCTCCGGGCAGGAGGAACAGTGTGAAGTATCAGGCCACACTCTGGATAAGCTAATTCAAATTACCAAAATCCTTCAATCATCTGCAAGTTAACTTTGAGGATCCGAACCTATGGACTTTGAAGAGAATCAGTACACGAAGATCTCTAATATGGGAAAAAACCCAGGCAACGTTTTTTCCATCATATGATCATCAGCCAAAGGTATACTGTTGTATAGAATATTGGTGCTTATAAGAGACCAGTATTGACTTATGGAGTCATGATGCCCTGAAAGGATTAGTAGCATACAGGATCGTGAAGAACCCGGAGTATGAATGCACCCAATAGTGGGAATTGATCGTCCTTGATAGCTGCTGATTGGTTTCCAACTTTGAAAATGTAAGCAACATGCATCAGTGCCGGACTGAAAGGGTGGTACAAAAAACCCTTGGAGCCACCTTGAGGCCATTATGATGACTGTCAGCACGAAAAATAATGGCTCCCCGCCGGTCCTTGGCAGAACCGACCTTGATAAACATGGATTTAGTATCCAGGTACCAATATTTGACTTGGCAGGATGACCGCATTCCGATATTCTGTTGCTATCCTCGCCGTATTGAAGACTAAGGACTTGCCCCCTGATAAAAATGCATTCCATATTTAGCTTGTTATTGTTTCCTCCTTTTGCAGTCCTTACCAACAACAGACACGGCCATCATGAAGGCAATTACAGGCAGCATCACCGCACTCGGCCTGGCAATGTCAGCCATGGCGCAGAATATGTCATACGGGGCCGACAACTTCTACCGCAGCAACAACGTGACAGTTCAACCAATCAGTATCCCAAGTAAGTATAAGACGATTGTCAGAGGCAACCTCTTCCATCTCAAATTTCTGAATCACAGCGCAAACTGGCCAGCCGTCGTAGTCAGCCATCCGATGGGAGCTGTGAAAGAGCAGAGCGCGAACCTTTACGCCACGAAGCTGGCCGAGCAGGGTTTCGTCACAGTCTCTATTGACGTCCCGTTCTGGGGTGCCAGCGAGGGTGAACCGCGAAACGCAGTGTCCCCAGATCTCTACGCAGAGGCATTTAGCGCGGCTGTCGATTATCTCGGCACCCTGGACTTCGTCGACCGCGAGCGCATCGGTGGGCTCGGCATATACGGCAGTGGTTCCTTCGTGATCAGTGCGGCGAAGCTCGATCCGCGCCTGAAGGCCATTGCTACGTCGAGCATGTACAATATGGGCGCACTTGCTCGCGATGGAATACAACATTCGCAGAGCGTTAATCAGCTTAAGCAAACAATCGCCGAGGCGGCCCAGCAACGCTGGATCGAAGTCGATGGCGGCGAGGTTCAGTACACAAGCGGCACACAAAATCACCTCACCGCGAACTCTACGGCTATCCAGCGTGAGTTCTACGACTATTACCGCACCAAGCGTGGCGAATTTACGCCCGTTGGCTCTACACCAGAGCTCACTACCCACCCTACGCTCTCCACATTCACTAAATTTGTGAACTTCTACCCCTTCAATGGCATCGAGACAATCTCACCGCGCTCATTGCTGTTCATCTCGGGCGACCAGGCACACTCCCGCGAATTCAGTGAAGATGCCTTTTCGCGTGCTGGGGAGCCGAAGGAACTATACTGGGTACCAGGTGCCGGTCATGCCGACCTTTATCATCGCACCGAGCTTATCCCGTTCCAAAAGCTCACCGAATTCTTCCAAAAGAGCCTTGTCTGAGTCAAGCAAAGTCCAATTGCTGGCACGAAAAAGCAGGTCCGCATCCAACATAGTGCACTTTGGCGGACCATCGATAGGCCCTTACGGCAAATCTCGAGGGTGTAAGGGAATGGAGTATTCGAATCAGCAAGGAAACAGAGGTTTATGCTTACTTAATGGTTTGGTATAAGATAGTCTCAGGGTTCTACCCTGATTTAGATAGATGAGACAGGTCTGATCAATAAAATTCCGTTCGACACTTGGAATCTTGGCACCTGTAGCTCTCACAGCTTCGGCAGGTGGAAAGCCTAGCCCGGCCACAAGCACTTCTGACGCAAAAATTTAAGAATTTTGTATTTTGTTCAATGCGCAAATGTACTGGACTAAGCGATGGACCAATCAATTGGGGAACTTTTGCTTACATGGGGCCAACCATGAATTTGCTATCTTAAATTACTATTGGCAAATCAGAGCAATCTTAGGAACTTGGGGCACCATGCCAAGCATCGTCCATTAGGCAGACAGAATTTTCGGGTCTAGCCCGTAAAGAGTTCTGGTGGAGCCACTAGTCAGCGAGATACATTCCTGACCCCACCCATTCTCTGTTAAAGATCTACTGTACTCCTCTTCTAGCTTGTCATCATATCGCATGAAATACCAATCACAGAATGGCAAATTCCTCGGCAAAAACGCAGATCATACCACTGGACAAAATGCCCCAACAAGCTGGCGTTCGGAAGGCTCAAGATGATTGGACTGGAATCATAAATCGGACAGAACGAAGAAAATTACAGAATCGACTCAACCAACGACGCTACCGTATGTACTATTCAATCAATCTGAAGATTTGGTAATAATCGCGGATATTTCCGTATCAGGTATGAGAAGAAAAGACAATCGAGGGGAATCAGATGCTGTCATCACTACGATTACTTCCTCTGGCGCCTTCCCCAGTGCGTCCACTCCCGTTATGTTACCGCTTGATTCCCAGGCGGTACGTAAGGAAAGCTTTGAATGCGCACACGCACCTCCAAATGCCTTGCAATTCCGCGAATGGTTTGAGAAAATTGCGTATCAAAGCTATATTCAAGGCTCACCCAACAGAGACCACTTGATAAGTCTGAGTCGACTCAACGTGCATCAAGCTATCAACGAGAACATTGCTGCAATTGGCATGACAACTGCATGGATGCAAAGCGATGATTCAATCTCAATATTTAATCTCAAACAACCCAGTTATTCAGTCGAGAGAATTCCGCACTGCTTACGTCCAACTTTCCTTCAGTTGCATGTTCCTCATCATCCTTGGCTGGACTTTTTCCCCTTCCCAAGCATGCGCGATTGCATGATTCTTGCTGGTGACGGTTTTGATGACGATGACCTGTGTCATGATCTCATGGCATTCTGGGACACGAGAAATACCGCCGCCACATTACTTGTATGGGGAGACTCGTGGGATGCAAATAATTGGGAAGTTACAGAAGGCTTTGCACATAAATGGAAATGGCTACTCCGCGACTCACCTGAGCTATTAGCTTCCACAAATCGCTGGAGAAAGTCAAGAGGGGAGAGGCCCATTGTTTGGAGACGTATCTTGATAGATCCATAGAACAGAGCAACATTTCGTACTTGTCTTGAGCGTTGCTCCTATGTTCTATACTATTTTCATCGAATTAGGTTGCTTTCGGGCCAATTGAACGCACTTTTACCGGCAATCTCAGTATTGTGCACAGTTAGATTGAGGCAGAAATATTATGCCTCGAAAATCAAGCGACGTAGTGACCAGTCTTTCTCGGGGCGGTGCTGCAAGGCCAAGATATCGCCAAGTAGTTGATGACTGAGACCATGGATCATGCCATCAGCTTTGATCAGTTGCCGTGTCTTAACTCCGAGAGATGCTACGACGAATTAGAAAACTGTATTATGTCTACCTATTGGGTAGCCAACTAAGAGCACTATGCTACTTGCAGCCCTCCACAGTTTTCACACCCAAATACTCCATTCAAAGACCGCCCTCGAAGACCGACTTCCATTCGCGGAGTCACATTAAATACGATGAATCTGATTCTCCTTGGTTCCTTGCTCAGTCTTGGGACACCCGCATTTCCGAAGCCCATTCCGTTCAATCTTCCGCTTACCGCCCGAGATTCATTAAGTTCTCATCAAACTACTCAACTGTCTTCATTAGACTCCTCAACGCCGGTCCTATCTACCGAGTCCCATCTCATGAGGCGATATTTGCTGCCAGATATGAAATCCTTGCACACATACCAGCATTCGGACCTTGTTTCCACTTAGGCGGACAGCTATGAGAAACCTATTGCATTTTGTGAGGCCGGTATCGTATCGGGCTGCCGGGAGGCGATAAAGAGACCGAAATCAATTCCGCATGGGAAGAGGGTGGTCCCTTCCTATCGCCAATGCCACGGAAAGGGAATATGACAAAGCTTCACTTGGGGTCAATAGATCTTGGAAGTTGACTAGAGTTCTATGCGGTCTAGTCTATCTCTTCTATTTACAGCCTTCTCTTATCTTTCTTGGAAGCCTTCAAAGTGACAACGTGTCACTATCTTTGCTCGGATTTGAGTAATGTGAACAGAGCGAGTCGTGCTCTTTCTCCAGATACTGGAGGCGTCATCACTAAATGAAAAGCCCCATTTCAACGGGAGCCGATTTGACTTGATCTTCCTGGATACTCTCAACTAAAGCGTTCCCTTGGTAATCCTCAAGATCTAGATCCATGTATCCCTTCGGAGACCATTTCTTGCCAGAGACAAAGAAAGAGCGACCGTTGATGGTGCTGTCACTGAGAATGTGCAGCAGACATTTTCCTGTCTCGGAAGCTTCTGCGAATTGAACACCTACGCTGGTGATGTGTGCAAAGGCCTCCTCAGAGAGTATATTTGTCTTGACATACCTGAATTTGTCAGCGCCAGGTACGAGACTTGGACAAGTATGAATTCATTACCAAGGCGATATAATGTTTACTCGACTCCCGTAGTAAAAGGCTGTTCTCCGCAGGGAATGCATGATACCTCGCATAGCCCATTTCGTGGCACAGTACTGAGGAGCTCGGGGGCAATCCAAAAAGGCTGCACCTGACCCTACCAAAATCAAGCAGGTGTCCTCCTGTGACTGGGATGGCTCTTGGCCATTCTGCGCAATGAAGTAATGTGATGCAAGCTTTGAGGTATATAGAGTTCCGATGAGATTGACGTTGATGGTAGCGAGATCAGGCTTTTCGGGCGTTTTGCCATCGCCGGCGTATGAAAAGACTTCATCCTGACGGTGAATGCCAGCATTCGCGACCACAAAAGATACTTTGCCGGTCGGAGAGAACGAAGCTGCTTCTTGGAACATACGGACTTGGTCATCCCAGTTGGCAGTATCGCACTCGATGTATTTTGTCCTTGGAGAGGGTTAGTGGAAAGGGGAAAACTAAATAATTCGCAGGCATACCCTTTCAGCTCTTTTTCAAGTTTTCGTCCTCTTAAAACGTCACGGTCACCGATCACCACTATCGCCCTGAATAAAGTGTTAGTAGACGGAGGCCAGAATCTAAATTTGCTAGTCTTACCCTGCTGCGACAAGAGCACGAACATATGCCTCCCCAAGGCCATTTGCACCTATTCAGTTTGGTCAAGCTCCGTCTTCAAGGTGATATCAAAGGTTTCCAAAGTAGACTTACCCCCGGTGATAATAGCGGTCTTTCCTTTGACATTTTGGGTGTCCATGTTGCAGTTGACAAGGGAAGTGTGGTCGAAGCAGGCCATTAGGAAGATCGCGGTCAGTGAGTAATAATGCACGGTATGTTTATAAGGACCAGTGAGATGGATTTGAGAGAAGCAAACTTCCTTTAAATCCTCTTAGCTACCTGGAGTTGACGTATGTGGAGGAAAATGCTTCAAAATGCGCTAATGTAAGTTGCTTACTCTCAACCTTGGAAACAGTAGATATTGGACCCACTGGCAGGCCTTGAGTAAACTCTCCACTATCTTTTTTACACAATCGTAAATAAGAAGTGGCCTAAACAGCACATCCCTGCTTCGTTTGCAGTCTCAATGATTTTCCGTCAAATTGGAGTCTTCAAGACTCTTGTTCGTACTCCCACAGCACAACTCACGGTCCCCGAAGAGTTTTCTCTATGAAATTCTATGCATGTTCTTGGAATTACCAAGGTTCGTGAACAATGTGTGCTGGCTGCTTGCTGCTGCCGCTGACGCTGCGTCGAATTTCGTGGGTGACTTCGACCTGCCTCGAAACTACGATGCCGTTCGACGTGGCTTTGTGAGTGGCAGCATGCAAAATTTTCTATAAGCTGTTTAATTAAAACCCGTCCACCATTCGCTCCTTACTTCGAGGGACGTCAAGTTGGCGGTAATAAAAATCGCACTGCGAGGTCCACGTCGGTTCTGACTTTGATAGTCACCGCCGTCAATGCTTCGAAACCCACCCGGCGGGAATTTACTGAAAACTTGTACATGAGACCTATCATGAATTCAAGTGATTGATTTCCTTGGGTTTTTCTTCTTCTTCTCTCCTTTATAACAGCCTTTAATGAAGGTTTTATCTTTGCATGTGCACCTCTTTCGATACCTGGGTAGCTTTTGTGTGTCTTGTGTGTCAAAAGTAGTCTACTAGCAAGCTAAAGTAGGTTGGTTGAGATCTGTGCAAATTTAGCCCTGCTCACTGTATTGTGTCTGGTGGAAATCCAGAGTTAAGCATTTCGTACAACTTAACTGACGTATCGAGCTCCGATAGGACTGTTGAGAAAGTAGCAGAGGCTCCTGGGTTATTAATTCAGCCCTAGAGGTGAAGTGGTAGGGTCAAAGTGATTAGGGCTTGGCGCTCCGCAATCTCCAGCTTCGAAAGCGAAGCTTCCAAGCTTCCCTCTCCAAACATCCCGACTCACTCGACCAACCACCATGGAGCCTGCTACCCAGCCCCCTCCAACTCTGACCAACCCTCGGTTCGTTATTGAGCTGGAATTCGTCTCATCGCTCGCCAATCCCTATTACCTCTCCCACCTGGCAGTCACCTATCCGAATCTCCTGGGAATCTCCCGCGCGGACGATGACGACGACGACTCTGCCTCCGCCCCCGACGCGCAGGCATTCGCGGCGTATCTCGCCTACCTCTACTCCTACTGGAAGACTCCCGAGTACTCTCAGTTCCTCACCCACCCAGGCCCAACCCTGCGCGCCCTTCGTTTACTACAGGAAGACAACTTCCGCCGCGATATCATTTTGCCTCAAGTGATTGAAGGATTGGTGGGCGTTAATGTTGTTAGCGACGCAGCAAATGCCGAAGCAGACGATGCAGCTACCACAGAGAAGCAGGAGGAACAAAATGGTTCGAAGACCTGAGGACGCGTGTTGAACCCGGAACTTCTCATTACGAATGAGAATCTCTTCATCACCCCCTCCCATCCGCTGCATCGCATAACACACTCGAATGAATGGTTACACGGCCTCCATCACATATTCATATAATATTATCCACTCGGCATATCATCTACAAGGTCATGATTGCGGGGCCAGGCGCTTCATGTGCGACCGAGGTATTGGATGAGATCGGCCGGGAGTTTGTCGATCGAACAAGTACGCTTGAATCAAGTCCATGGCTTCCCCAAGCTTCCGGTATCAATTTACCGGTTTAGCCCTGGCATTGCGGGGTTGGAAAAGGACAAAGCGGGAAAAATCAATCCCCGGAACACATACTCCGTACATATGATTTTTATGCGATCCGCATGCGTCGGGGGTTGTTTACAGTACTCTTTACCGCGGCAATTGATGAGCAACCAATCAAATTAATGTACTATTGTCTCGTTTCCCAATCGATAATGGGGGCCGAAAAACTGTAATTGATCCTATTTGATGAACGTACAGAGTAACGTACTGAGTGACTTAATGTGTCCGTTCTGAGCTCATTCCAACCTTCTTGGAATTTTTAGATTAGATCTGTCGTAATTTCCCATCCTTTTCAATTAAATTCCTCTAAGTTAAAATTACAGCGACCCTGAATTAAACATCTCTGGCGATTATCCTTCTATTTCTTTTGATCGAAAATTCCCGGATTTCGTGGTTCTCAGCCCCACCCCCCTGGTGATCAGCCTCCAACTACCTCATCGGACAGCCGTTCCCGTCCAACGTGGCTCTGAACATTCGCCTCCATTGACAGCCCACATCCCCTATGGCCATCCTCCATTCCTAACGTCATATACTACCCTGAACCTGAGGGTGTTCAACCTCGAAAACTCGCAACTCCTGTTTGGACCTTGGGGCGTCACCCACCGACGCGCTCATGGAGTCTGTACGCCAGTCCTGTCGGCCCAAGCACCAGGTCTTGACGCTCAAGTGCTATCCCCGATACCAAAAAGGCGTGGCGGAGGTCAAACCGAACCCAAGTGAACTTTCATATCTGCTCTATTATGCGAGTACACGTCGCAGTAAGCTGACCAAGGTTGGCGCCTTTCTGGAAAAGAGAGTGGCCAAAGATGTCTGGCGTCGCCGATTAGGGTGAGATTTGAGATAAAAGACAAATCGGGTTTTAGTCCAGAAATTCAACTGACATCTGCATGGGATAGAAATGTTCAGGTCGCGCTCCATATCATATCTGGTCTCATCGAAAAAGTTCCTCGCGATCTTCCTATCTACGTGGGTTCCGTTTTGACTGTCATCGAAACCGTTTTACGATCAAATGACATCTCCATGGTCGAGGACTCGATCGCCACCTTTGAGACCTTCTGCCGACATCAGGATATCGCAATCATTTCAGCCGAGCAGGGAATTGCCCAGAAGTACCGAGAAGTCGTTCGCCTTTACGCAAGCTTCGCCGATCCATCCTCAGACTCGTACTCCCCCGCAAAAGTCAGCCCACCGGTTTCGATTCGATGGAGAAACGCAGGACTCCGCGCGATCAAGAGCATAGTTAGCTCGGAAACTCTTGCCGTCGACGGAGGAAACTCCGTCAAAATAATCCTACCCGTCATTTTGGAGAATTTGTACTCGCCGGATGAGGATGTGCTCATCCCATTGAAGGCTCGCCTTCTCGAGACCAAGGAGCCAGATCGCGATGCACACCGGGCTCCGCGACGGATGAGCGTCGCAACGGTAAACACGGTGGATGCCGTGGAGGCTGATCCGGACTTAGCAGCCCAGTCGACTGCAGATGTTGATCGCAAAGCGGAGATGGATGCTCGGCTACTGGCCCTGCGCTGTCTTGAGCAAATTACTGTCTCCGGGAGTAACCGTGGTCAGATGCGAGCGGCGGCGTCTATTGTCATGCGATTCATCTCGGACAAGCGTTTCCCTCGCACCCAATCCCAGGAACAGCGAGCCGAGCAGCGCCAAGATGGAAACTGGGCGACCTCTCTGATTGAATTGATCGCAAATTGGTGTCCCGTCCAGGTTCGATTTGTTATTTTGATAACGGCCATGGACATCCTGTTCGAGACGAGTCCTACGGAGAAAGCATTGGATTCTGCATTTACCATTCTTTCCGTGGTGGATTGGTTATTGAAATCGTCGGTCAATATGATTGGATTGAGCGTGATGGATATTCTACTAGGTCTCATGCAGTACGCTTCGAGCATTCTATCGCCTCAGGCAGGCGATGTTGAAAAAAAGCCAGGTCTCCCAACAGACAGCCCGGTACATATATCTGGCCGGCGGCAGAGTCTGCTCACTCTTCTCGAGCAGTGCATCGGAGACTTGGCCACTCATATTTACTACGCTGATCAAGTTGCGGACATGGCGCGCGCTATTCTCCGGCGCTTCAAGCAAACTCTGAATCACGATAGTACCGCGCCATCTGCTCTGGCTACCGTCCAGGAATCTACCACTTCTCCGGTGACCATCACTCAGTCTGCGTCCGAAGTCAATGGCGACAAAGTGAACGGTGAAGCCTATTCGCACGCTGCTGCGAGATCGATGGCTCTGCGAGCTGTCAAGGCAATTTTTGTCGTAGCCAACTCGAAAAAGTCTGCATCGACGCCCGAAACGAGAAACCCAGTTGGTATTCATGTCTGGGAAGGGACCCAGGGTCTTCTTCGAGATTCCGATCGTGAGGTCCGCCACGCCTATGCCGATGCCTTTGTGTCTTGGCTATGCCTAGAGACCAACAAGGATGACCTCAAGGCACGGAATGACACCCCTAAGTACGTCAAGACATCATCTAAGGTTGAGCTCGACAAGCCCAACCGACGGAGCACCTCGGCTCCAGGTAACCAGAGAGAGATTGTTGCCCAAGCTGCGCAATCTACTTTCCTCCGACTCCTGCACTTGGCTATCTATGACGCCGCCCTTAACTCGGCCTCTATTGAATCTGAAATCCTTCTGCTGCATCTTATCCTGGCAACCCTTGTTGAGAACCTCGGTGTCAATGCTGTTCAATTTGGACTTCCTATGGTCTTGAAACTTCAGGATGATCTTTCGACTTCGGTTGATCTAGGCTCATCCAAAGCCCGCATCAACATCGCAAGTCTCGTTCATGGGTACCTGTTGGCGGTCTCGAAAAAGTTTAATCTTGAATCCTCGTACGCCGGTTCCGAGATCCGCAAAGAAGTCGAGAAGAGACAAAGCAAAGGACAGTGGCTCTCTAAGATTCAGCTGCCGCCCAAGGGTCTTGATGGTATCGCCACCGATTATGAGAAGACTGTCAACGGCGAATCGCTTTCATCTGATAGCCTGTCACCTTTCCAGAATGTTGAGGGACTTGTGAGTGAAATTGATGAATTTTATACCAAATCGACCTCGTCGCCTCCAACAAGTCCCCCGACAGCAGCGACACGAGGCTTCAGTTTCCCAGTTCTTAACAAAGCTCCATCAACACAGCCACTGGTAGAGAGTGGTCTTCCATCATTCGTTAAAGACCAGATGCTGTCTTCTTGGTCTCGGGAGTCATGCTTGGTTGCCGCCGAGAAGGAAAGCGCCAAGACACTATCTCTCAGCGGATCCCGTGGAGCAACTGTGCCCCGAATCAATACTGCCAATGGTGCTTCAAATTGCTCTCTTGCTGGCTCCGCTGCAAACAACAATCGTCGGATGAGTATTCCTGAAATCTCACGAACACCAGACCACAGTTCCAGCCGAGGGTCACCTGTGCGTATGACAGAATTGCGCCGTGTGCTCTCCGTGAACAACGAAGCTCAACAACGAAAACTCAGTCCCCTTCGCGGTCACGTTGACGCATCAAACGTCAGCATAATTTCCTCTGGCAGTGAAAGCATGGTTAGCGGCAACTACCCGATCTCCGAGATGGACGCAGATGCCACATCTATTCATCAAAATGGACATCCAACACCTGATGCAGAAGGTTCAGAGACTCCCCGCCCAGCATCAGTCATCGTTCTTTCGGGCGATCGAACCGAGCAAACATACTTGAGCCGAGTCAACTCTCAAGAAATTCCTCCTGTCCCGCCTATTCCTACAAACCTCCACATCCCAGGTGGTTTCCCCAATGACTCCCAACGGTCCTTGCTCATCGACCGTCCATCCACTGCTCCTGACTCAGGACAGCTGTCCTTCCAGGGCAAACCCGGACAACCCCAACACACTCGGAACAAAAAGTCTTTGAACCGTAACAAGAGCCGCAGCAGCAATAGTCTCGCCGGGGCTGACTTCCAGGACGAGTCTGATCTAGACACTAGCCAACGAGACCAACTGAAACAGCTTCTGGACGGATTCCTAGCACCTGAGAATAGTCTTATGGCTAATGGAGACCGCCCAACCACTGCAACCAAGGAACCATTTACCCGAAGCTACTCCAAACGGCGAGTTAGCGGCGGTGGCCTCGGTCGCCCTCCTTATTGATTCTCTTTGTCTCTGCACCTTGCACCTGTACAGTCGAGTCCGGTCCCCTTCGGATATCTGATTCCCCATTCCCATTTCTTTCTCTTGCATTGTACATGTTATAATTTCTTCTCTCCTTGATTTGCTCAGTCTCAAGGGTTGTTCTATCACCCTCTACATTCTCTCGTCTCTCGGCTTTTTCTTATCTTCCTCTTCGCGCCGCCTGATATTCTTTCCTTTCATCTATTTTCTTTTTGCATATGCTTATCTTCTTACCACCGCGACGTTTTTGTTTCCTTTTTCTGCGCCTGTTGTTGTATTTCGGCGAATGTTTTGTCGCGGTATTGTACCTAGCTACGTTGTCTGTAGACACAAAATAGACGGTGCTGTAGCTGCACATGAGATGGAAATTATTCTTCTCTCTTAGCTTTTGCGTAATATTGAATAAACCCGAGATTTTGTAGACATCCATTCTAATCGCTGAAAGGAAACAATCAGCGCATCATACTGTACGAAGTAGGTAGTTGCAGTTCCTTCAAGCCGGCTGCGCAATCAAGCCCAGAGACTCAACATCCTCAGCCTTCGCAGTAGTATTCACTGGCCCAAAGAACTCCTTAAAAGTCTTCTCCAGGTCCTCTTCCGACATCCGCATATGCTCCCCAGACACAGTCTTGAACTCCAACTTTCCCTGCTGATCCAAAACCTTCAAGCCAATCCAATCCTCCTCATAAATACTCCTGTTCTGCAACGCCGTAACCGTTCCATCCGTCACATTCACTTCCGCAAAATGTGCACTCTCCTTCGGCACAACAACAGTATCATTCTCAAACATATACATAACGAGCTTATTCAAAGAAGAAAGTCTCTTCTTATAAACCTCACTCTTGACCACTCTCTCATTATTGATATCCGCCAGAAAATTGCTATGCTCAAGATAAGCATCCAGTTCCTCCGGGTCCCGGAAATACTGCGCAGGAACCACATGCGATTGAATATAGTCCGCCCACGTCCCTGCCCGCAATAATGCCTCCGCAGCGTTACAGAACCAGTCGCTCAGTCCGCATGATTGGAACTCGCTTATCCCGTTATGCTGGCTGCCGTATGTGACTAGGTTGTAGACGGGGGGATTGTTGCAGCGCTCAACGTAGCCGCGCAGGAACTGGCCGCCTTGGGAGAATCCAAGAGCGTTGATGGCGGGTGCGGTGCTAAGGATTGGGTCGGTTGATAGTTGGGTGCAGACTAGGTCGATTTGTTCGCTGACGTTGCCGAAGAATGTGGCTTGGCGATCGGCGCTGCCTGTTTCTGCGAGGCGGATTATGTGGACGTAGGTTCCTGGGTTGATGGCTTCGGCTAGGTCGGCTACGGCGACGAGGCCGTCACGTTCGAAGTCGTCGCCTAGGCCGTGCCAGATTACTAGGGGGAGTTGGGTATCGGCACCTGCATTAGGGGTGGGTTTTATTGATAGGGAGAGGGCGCTGGTGGCCAGTGTTGAGAGGATGGGGATGAGACGCAGCATGATAGCTGTTATGGGGATCCAAGGTTGCGTGCAGTCTTGGAACTGGAGCTGGAGCTGGAGTGGATCCGGGGGATTGTGATTGCCTATATCATTATCGGCACGTGATATGCTATATCAACAGAGTGTCGTGGAACACAGCATTTAAATGTGGCATTGAAGCTGATGTAGGTACTATCAATGCCGGATACATGTAATAAATTCTATCTCTCTACTCTAGACTTAACAAGCCTTGGATATGGTAACATTTGAGAAGCAAGACTTATCACTTGAAGGTCACAGTGACATAGGGTACGCTATGATATAGATACATATGCAAACGCAGAAGACAAGAATCGGTATTTGGTAGTACAAGCTCGATGTTCTCCGTAGTCATCGCTCTAATCCTCCATCTGAACAACCTGGCCGAATATTTTCACTGGTACGGGACAGGCGAGGTTTTCTGTGGGTAAGGATGGGCCCGATAAACTCGGGCAAGGCACTTCATTAGGAGTAGATTGAAACATGTTCAGGCGATGATTGGAAGCACTGCGAGTGTTCAGTAGGCTGCTGGGATGTAACATTCGCTGTGGCTGGGGCAGCCAGCTGGAAATCATGGGGTCAGAAGAGGCGTCGGCTATGATCAGTGGTGGCGATGGAGAGGACGTCCGTCGAAGGCTAAATGAAGATCCAGGCACAAGGCGTTGAGACGATTCTGATGGGACTCTGTGTCGCATTTGTTCTGCAAGCAGTTGATCATCAATAGTAAAATGACGCATTGGTAAAGGCGAGCCGGGCGCATTCCCGTCAAAGCTTGCTAAAGATGTTCCCCGGTCTGTTTCTGCTTGAGACTGACAGAGTGAGCTCTTGGGAAGATTGAGTTTTGGAGTTACAGCCTGAAGAAAATCGTAGCCTGCAAGATCTACATGTTGCGCCACACGAGCCTTGGACGGGGTCCTTGGTTCCTCAAGACAGGGTGCAGAGCGGAGTGGCTTCAGCGAAAGTCGACCTTGAGCGACCTTCCAAGAAAGGGTTGGGGATGATCCTTGTTGTGTTAGCTGGAATGGTGTGGGGGACTCGGAGTCCAAAAGCATTGAGTATGACGATGAATGGTTAATGGTTCCTTGGGTGTCATCCAAGTGAGAGCCGGCAAGATGGCCATCAATGCGTATTTTGACATGATCTAGATCAATTTCTTCTGGAATCTTCCCTTTGCTGGACTTGAACCGTTCTGGCAAAGTCAGATCTTCATTAGTTGATAGGCGTTTCCGGTCAACGTCAGTCAATTTCCGCCGCTTTCCAACTTGTCTGACCTCCTCCAATGAAGCGAATGTCATCTCCAATGGGCGTGCAACAGAAATTGCAGCCCAGTCTGGTTGTTGAAGTAGTTGACGCTTCAAGTCTCCCAGTGTGTTGTTGGGAAGCAAACATTGGGGAGATCGAGGTTCACCCAACTCTGGGATCCTGAAAGTTGTTGAAGATTTCGGGTTAGTATCAGGCTGATTGATCAACATCAGGGAAAATTGATAAAGTTATGCAAGAATTTAGCCTTTTCCACTGACAGGTTTGCCTCTGCTAGTTCTCCATGGTCATCTTTCAAGAGCCCTTCTGGAATTCCACGAAATGGAGTTGACTGAGATGATCTGCCGTTAATCATTTGCCGAGATTTAGCAAAGTTCTGTCTCTGAGCTTTGGAAAGAGCACCAGGCCGTGCTGAGTGTCGGCGCAATTGACCTCCTGTCCAATTCATTGTGGAGTTGTGGATCTGAGACTTGATAGTCTGTCCGATATGGATATCAACCATTCCCGAAGTAGCAATCCAGCCAAACCAGTCAAACAAGCCACGTGATCTAGCGCACAAAATTCGGTTTTGGGATTTTTGCTTTTCTCTTTCTTCACATTATGAAGATGTTATAGTTTCGACTGAAAGTTGTATCGACAACTCACCAGCTCCACAGGTAAGCCGTGTCTCAACTTTCTTGTTTGATTTCTTTTTTCCTTTTTTTGATTGCGAGGATCCGTGCCCTGCACACCTTGACTTCCCCCCTGGTCTCCTGATGAAGCAATATTTCAAAAGCATAGTTCAACTGAAATCTTCGGATTATGTCGATAAACTTTATCCATCTTTCAACCTTTCTGATACCAACCCATTCCTTGGAATTTGTTTTCATTTTGCGAAATTCGGAACTTGACTGACAAATTGGACAGGTCTAGCAGATAATTTTTCAGCCCAACCTGCGTTGCTACCCAAGCGTGGGTCTCGCGGCGGGCCGCTCCTTCGGGATCCAGTCAGATAGAGAGAATTCCAGCCCTGTTTTACAGTCATTTTCAAACTTCCCGTTCCTTGGACCTGCGTGGTCCCTTGTATTCTGTAATCTCCTGTGTGATCATGGTGTCGTTTCATCTGTATGGAGTAGACCCCCTCTTTTTACTGCACCTCAAGTCCTCTTGTCCCGTAACCCTCCGACGTGGACGGTTCTCCACCAACTATATTCCCTCACCACGCGCGGAGAACATCATCCTGCAGCGTCAGCCTTGAAACCAACCAATTATCATCATCTACGTACAATGCCAAGCACCGGAGACGATGGGCTAGTCTCACCGCTAGAACATATCCCCCCTTCCATCCACTCGGGAGTCCACTCGCGAACCGAGTCTGCAGATGCCGTCACCGCCAGTTTCCAGCATTGACCATCTACTGGCTATCGCTGGTGCCAACACTATGCTGCAGTGAGCCTGCCACAACGCCATGTTTTGAGCTGGCCCCACCGCACTCCGAGGACCGGTGTGGTTTTTTTCTCTACTAAAAAGGCTGCTGATCCCTTCCCCCCTCCTTTCCTTTTCCCTTTTTTTCTACAACTCTGGAATCAATCATCTGACGACCTGGTTTAATTCCGACCATATTGCGCTTTGTCTCTTCAATATATACCCCCCAATACCATATACCCCTCGTCAATCAGTCTCTTGGACCTTGGACGCCCCTTTTTGTTACTACGCACAACATCTGCCTGGTTTTTGCCCTAAGGATCTTTTTTTACTCTTGCCACATTGCCCTGGACAGGATTTGCTTTGTTGTTTCCCAGGCTTCTCAGTTTTCACATTCTCGTGACTGAAACAGATCAGGTAGTCCCCATCACAATTTCCTTGCACTTCCTACTTTATCTATCCTATGCGCTTTCTTTCACTGGACCTGTACCATTGCCTATGTATCTTCGACAACTTGCCTTCCGTGGATTCGCCAACTGCAGGCCATAGCAGTGCCTATTGACCGATGGACCATTGATACTTGACCTTGACCGTGATCCTCACTGGTTATGTTACCATCTGGTAACCCCAAAAAGAATGATGCTTCTTTTTATGGATTCAACCTGGTACCGGTTACCAGGTTAATGGACTCGTTTGAGTGTTGTTTATGTTGCACACTTAATCGAAACTTCCGATGGACTTGCCTTATACCCTGGAATTTGAAACTTGCCTTGGACTCTTCCCACAAGCCTGTGGTGATATGGATTTACTTTACTCCGTGGATGACTGAATGGACCTGAACGCTCTGGCTTACCTGTGATTACCTACCGTTACCTACCGTGGACAAATAATGAATATCCCTGGAATGATTTTACCGTGGTCCTTCTTTCTCGGCCACCTCAAGGAGCCTTTCTACAAAAATAACCCAGGATTCTGAGCTTAATGTTGCTCTTCCGAAATGGAATGAACTGCCTCTCTTCAACACTTGCCTAGGCCACTGACTTATGGAGCCCGGTCATGCAAGCCTATGCTGACCTCCCGTGAAATGATTCCCTGACTTGATTCCCTGGATCCTGATTATGCTGCATGATACCTCGACTAGTAGCTCTGGCCATGATGAATATCCGACATTTCCAAAAAGAACCACAGTACTGGAAATAGGCTTACCACGTTCCTGGACTCGATACTCGGCATGAACTTATCCTAGGACACCTTGACGCTTCCGGCTTGGACCTTCTCGCTCCTTACTGTGACTCTGGTGCGTCAAGCCGCGGTCCTAGTACCAATAACTTCAGCTAATTGATCATAGGTTTCGACAATTTCTGGACCTTGGAGCTTCCTTGTTTTTGATTCCTTTGATTTCTTTTCTTTTTTATTTGCAACTTAGACGTGACGGTGTAGATAACTGACTTGATGATGCTTTTTCTTTGCAGACTTCACAACCACACACAATGTCTCCCAGGACCAGCACAGACCCTGAGCGGGTTTCTCTTTCTCAGCCCAGACACACCATGGTTCACGGAATGTCACATATGGCCTCAAGAACACTCCAGGATGATGAAATGTCGAGCCAGGACAATTCGTCCTTGTGCTCAAGTATTGCCACAAACCACGGAAATCCCCAGGATATGAAAGACTGGAATATGAGCAGAGAGTCTCTCGATCAGGCCATTTCTTCCAAGGAATCTCCACAGGTGCAAATGCTTTCTTTCTCGCTGTCTCAACAGCTCATGACCCCCACGGTCGGACCAAATGAAGTGATGTACACAGGCGTGGACTTCCCAGCAGTCTCAGACCTTCATGATCATGATGGAATTTACTCCTTTGTGGACCTTTCTTCCATGGATAATGATGTTTACGGCATGCAGTCGAGCACACCGGATGATGCTCTCTCTGTCGCCCACAGCTCCCACACGGATGATGCCCACTTCATGAGCCACGAATCATGGAATGCTATGATGCCCGACGGCCACTACCCTGGTACAACCCTGGACCAACTGTCATCAAGTCTTTTCCAGACAGTCCCTGTCTCTCCGCCCCTGACGGAAGCCAGCAATGACATTCCCATTACTTCTTCATGCTCCCACCCTGGATTTCCTTCTTTTATGGCCCATGATGACACGCTCCTTGGAGATTACACTTCTGCCTCGCCGATTGCCAACCACGGACTTAACCCAACGGAGCCGTTGTTCCCCAACACCAATCTCAACGAGAAGGACCCTGGAAGGTAGGTCCAGAGAAATGAACGAGGAAGTCAAAATGAACAGGGGTTCTAACTCATACCCGACAGGACTATTAGACCTACCAAGCAATCTCGCCGAGCAGCATTGCCTGGTGCTTCTCAGCCAAATATCAAGACAGAACCGGACTTTTTCCCACCTCTGCCAATGAGAGAACCAGCCCGCCAGAGATCCAAGGATGGAGCCGAAGCTCGCAACCCGCGAGAGCACCACTACTACTCCCTTCCCACCCACACTGATGGAAAGTATTACTGCCCATTTGCCAACGGAGACAAGCCCTGCAACCACCCGCCTACCACGCAAAAATGCGCTTACCAGCAAGTTCCTCCCAATTTCCACTCAAGAAATCCTAACGAACCATGGAGCTAACTGATCTCCCCTTACAGCAAGTACCTGGATTCTCATCTGAAGCCTTACCGGTGCAAGGTCCCAGTCTGCATGGATGGCCAACTTCGTTTCTCTTCCAATGCCTGCCTGTTCCGCCACGAGCGCGAAGCCCACGGATTACATGGCCATGGAGATAACCCCCACCTCTGCCTGTGGGAGGGCTGCGAACGCTCCGTTCCCGGATATGGATTCCCACGTAGATGGAACCTGTACGACCACATGCGTCGTGTGCACGACTACGTCTCCTCCGAGCGTCACAGCTCGCCCGAGACTTCCCCAGTCGCCGCCCCAGCCAAGAAGAAGGATTCGCCTGCCTCCACTGGCGGCCGCAAGAGAAGAAGTGTCACAGGTCCCACCCCGGCCCCGACCATGAAGCGCACCCGCTCCGTCCACTCCCATTCCGGTCCCGTGAAGGCTACCCAGAGCTCCGCCCAGCATGGACAGCGTCTGCGCACCGCCGAGCACAACTACTATACGTGCCGCTCACGTCTGCTCGACGAGCTCGCCAACATCAACCCCCACGACGACATCTCCAGACACGAGAAGGTCAATGCCAGCCTTCAGGAGCTGCTTACTCTCGGAATCAACTTCCGCCAGATCGAGGCCAGCCAAGTTATCACCCACATGCCACACGGACTTCCCGCTTGAATGACTTTGTCAAAGGCTCTGTAAATCCATGTTCCATCTCAATGGATGACTCGGATATACAGTTAGTCATGATTGTTTTCAACCTTTGCACGGTGGATACTCTTCCCTTGCCATCATCATACCCTAGCCGAAACTGCAGCCTTGTGGCGCTTGTTTTCGAATTCCGGAATGACCTGTTTAACGAACCTACACGGGAGCGGACGCATTTATATGCACTCACGCCGGAGCAACCGCTCCAGACCTGGATGCCGCTAGGCAATACCAAAGGGAACCAAATCGGAAATTTGTTGGAGCCGGGCACTCTGACAAGTTTTTCTTGGAAATTCCAGGTGCTCATATCATGGAGAGCACCAACCTCCACCTTACTGAAATGTAGGAGAGGGAAATGAGAAGCATGGACAGGAGCCATGTTTCTACCAAAGAAAGGAGAAAAATAAAAAAGGAAAGAGGATTATATGGAAAGCGGCAGTTTGCTTTTTACTTTATTCGACAGATGGTGTTTAGTTTGAAATTCAATTGATTTTATTTGAACATATTCCTTGTAGCCAGTAGTAAAGAAAGAAAAGTTGAACAGAAATGATATTTTAGTCTCGTAAATCGTGAATATCTCCATCCATCAAGCTTCTATCAACATCCAAAATCTATTTGCAATCCATACTTTTAAAAGTCATTTGAATCTTACGAATCATCATCACCTCCAAAAGTCGAATTCAAAAACCTCACAAACGCATCCGGAATCTGATCCGCCGCCAACCCACCCTGCCCAACACCATGTCCATGACCAATGTACACCCGATTTAAACTAATCCACTGTCTTCTCAATCTTTGCAATCTCGGCAACGCCAAGACCCCACCAGGCCCAGCAAGTTCATCCGTAGTACCAGTCGTAGCAACATGTGCAGGAACGAAAACCGGAATCGAAGCCTCAGGAACCGCAACAGAGATTCCCTTCCCGTCTTTACTCTGCGCCAACGCCACCTCGGCTGAAGGCGTAGCCTGAGTAAACGAGCGAATGGCAGTAACAACCGCTGAGGTCTTCTTCTCCATCGCGTAGAGGGCGCCATGGTCCGTAGCAACGGCTTGGATGGTAGCTTGATGAGGAACGATACGTGGTTTCGAGGTCCCACTTCCGCTTCCGCCACGGGTGAATGAAGTCCGTGTTGTCGTGACACTGGCGGCGGAGGAGAGGGATGCAGCGCTGAGGGAGGAGGTGAGATCGGTCATGGGGGTTATGGATGGTTCTTGGGCGGAGGGGAGGATGACGCCCGTGAGCGCGTGGAAGATATCTGCTACCGGGGGTGTTTCGTCGGCCCAGGGGACGGTGAAGAGGGGTTTATCCCAGCGGCTGTGGGTGCTTGGTTCTTCGTAACGGAAGATGAGGTTGTTTAGGAGCTCGGGTGGGTATGGATCTTCATTGTCGACGGACTTTCTCGTATTCAAAAGGGGAGAAGGGGTAGTTTCGGACTCTTTTCCCTGTTCAGACGCTTGACGCTGGAGTCGGGCGTCGTTGTTCGCGACACATTGGTCAACTGGTGTTCCGACATGTACCTGCGGGTGGTTAGCCATTGGACATTTCCGGGCGTAGGTCGAAAAGGATCATACCACGCAGCATGATGTTCCAGCGGCCTTGGCCTCACACCAGAGCTGGTACCGCCATCCTTTGATATAGTTCATGCCGTCCAAGATTACAATGCTGTCCCGTGTGAGGACGCGCTTAGCGCGGGCATAGGCTACGCCGCGAGCCTCCTTCTCTGTTCGCGCATGGTCGTATACGGTTCGTGGGTGCGAGCTGTCATGCGAGGGAACAACATGGACTTTGAATCGAGACTTTAGCGTGACGGGCGACGCTGACTCGGTGGCAGCGAAGAGTTCATCTTGGGCTGTTTCGAGTAGTGCGGCGAGCTGGTTTGCGCGGTAGGTGAGACCGGAGCAAGGGTATCCGGTTAGAAGCACGAGCTGCCAAGTCAGTTAAGGGCATTAATGGCTGTTGTAGAATTCCTTACTGGCATGGTGGGTGTTGTGGTGTTTGGTGCGGCGAACTTTTTTCTCGCGGGGTTAAGCCATGTGACTGACTGCGGGACATCCGATCTGCAGCAACAACTGGATACACCTTATGCCAACAATGGCAAATTAATTTTAATTGTTGATTTTCATTGTCCATTTTATGATTTCGAAGTCAATGCGCTTGCAGGCTTTCCACATACATTATGTATCATATTTCAAAAGCGCCTAAAGCAAGGAAATTTAGTACTTAGGGTACTTAATAGTAGGGACCACGTAAAGCAATTTAGCAGTTTCTCCAAATATTGTGATTAAGTCCTCGAGGGATTCTTCAAAGATTTATCGCAATCAGGTGGCAAGACTAATCTTGAAAGCGACCTTCAGTCCCTCGCGACCGAATATTCAATTCCGAGATTATCTGCCTTTGCGAGGATTGGTTGGACGAGTCCAACATGTATGCGTACGTGCTGGCTGACCATTCAGATATTGCATAGGGAAATGAGAAAATCGGTCTTCATTACCATGGAAGCAAGGGTCCATACATGCACCCCAATGTATTCCCCTCAGCCCCACTCTATACACATCTTGCTGCTATGCTCGATAAGTCCCATCCTCTCAATTTTCCAAGGTTGAGAAGTTTTCGAGATAATTTCTTACATTTGATCCATCTTTATATACTGTCGCTAAACCAGTAAGTACCGAAGTATGTGGGTTAGATACGAATATTGGACTTTTAACAGTGCCAGAAAGGGTAGTAACCTGGAAGTCGATGTCTTAGAAATACTACCTTGGTAGATGCAGGGTACAGTATGTGACGGAAACACCATAACGGGACTTAAACCGAAGGGACTAGATGGATGGTGAGAGTTCAATGTAATGTTGGTATTCGCATATGCAAGTTTGCCTCTCTTATGGCAAACGCCTTCGAAACGGGGAAAAGCTCCGTTTATACATCAACATTGTGGCGTCCAATAGGAATAAGTAACGGATGAACTGCTAATCGTTCTTCCAGTACACATGTCGCTCGTTCCGGCCGAGGTATATTACAAATTTACCGTAATCTGCTACATTTATCATGTGGGGATACCTGGAGATACCGTTATTTTACCGGGTAATTATCGGGATCAACTGGGAGAATTGGAGAAAAAGTATTGGGAAATCTCCCTATCCAATCCTCAAAGCCAAATTCCCTTTCCTTTGTCCATATACTCCCAGATCGTCACTCTCTAGTATTCTCCCAGACCATCATTCTCTAGACCTGGGACTTGTCTACATATCTACGAATCCTTTCATCCAGATTCATTACCAGTGGTGCCGTCATTGGGACCCGTCACGCTGCAACGCTACGCTACCCTCCATTCATTCTAAACGGATTTGCCTTTACATCGAAGCAGACTCTTCGATACCACAGTCTTTGACACCACTTGGATCAGTTACGGCTACTTTGGTATAAAGAACTTTCCCCGCAAGCATGGATCCAGGACGATCATCCCATCCCGCCCAAGCCCCCGCTTCCACCCTTTTCGCACCTACCATGCAATCCCTCGCTCCCTCTGCCAATCTAACCAGTGCAGTATCACCACCAAACCTTCTCAACATGTCCTCAAAACCAGCCTCCCAGGCCTTCACTGCCCCATTGCAATCTACCTCCGCCGCCGCACCCGCTATCTCCCAAAGTCAACCCCTCACCCAGGCCATGAACACCTCCAGTGCCTCGGGTTTCCCAGTTGCATCACAGGCTACAAATTCCGACGCAATCCCACGATCGGAAACCATGCCTGCCGCCCAGTCTGCCGCAGACCTCTACCCTCATCAAGTCGACGGCCGCGGAGGTCCCACCGCGACCGCCCCATTCTTGCAGGATTTTAATCTTGTAGCTGAGGCGGTTAAGCGAGCCCAGATGGGGATTGTCATGCGCGATTTGGAGAGCGTGACCTTATAAGGGTGGCATGGTGGCGGGGCGGGGGCAGGTCCTCCGGGCGGGGTTACGCAATGCAAGTAAGCATATGCATCTACATCCCGCAGCATGAACGGGTTTTATGCGAGACACTTTGATTGGGTTATATTTATTTGGGCGTCGATCGCGGGTGATTGGGGAAATGGGGATTGGTTTACGGATTTCTGATGAGATCTGATATTGGATTTGCTATAGTTGATCCCTTTTGCGCCTTTGGCGGGTTTATGGCGTTTATTTGGTTCGTTTTTACCTTATACCACATATACTCGATACATGCAATGCATCTACTCTTATTCTTGGAATTCTATCGCATACTCTGCTTAAATATAGATGAACGGAAGAAACACATTTGACTCCTTTTTCCTACCATTTTACTGCTATGGTAATTTTGGTGCTTTCCTGCGTAAATTTCTAAGGTTTGTAGACTCGCCTTTCTTCTGATGCCCTTGCACCGAGCATGACGAGGTACAGGAATTGACCATTTACATAAAACTCACTTGATGGATTGGATATGGTGACTGTTTTTGGGGGGAATTCAGGTCATACTGATGCTACAGATACAAACTTCTAGGAATAGGAGATGGTTGAGATTGCATTTGAAACATCTTATCCTCTTAGAGTGATACACCTGGGTAAGTCACAGAGTAAACCCCGCTTCCAAATAAGGAAAGGCCGAGCCCCCACGCTACATAAGCCATTAGCCCTTAAACCTGCTAGATAATCTTTCTATTCCATCTCTACTTGTTTTCTCAACCCACGTCAAACCATGGCCAAAATAGATGTCGACGAAGACGTGAAACGAAATGGCTTCACCACCAAGCTTTACCGAGACATCTACCCTGCCATTGACCCTACTCGCCCAGAGCTTGCTCAGTCAGGAAAAGTAGTGGTGATCACCGGGGGAAGTCGTGGCCTCGGACGCTTGGTAAGAACAATGTCTTGCAATTGAACGACTTTTTTTCTCACGAATTGCACAGGCCTTTGCAGCCTCCTTTGCTCGAGCTGGAGCAGCAGCCATCGCACTCATTGGCCGTTCTGCGAGTGGACTAGCGGAAACTGAGAAATTCGTCAACGACATCAATCCCACGACCAAAGTCCTGCGTTTTGCACTTGATATTACCGATCAGGCTGCCGTGGAAAACGCATTCAAGGACATCGTGGCCCAGGTCGGTGTTCCACACGTTCTGATCAACAATGCGGGAAATCTTGCTCCTTTGGAAACCACTCTGGATTCCACGTTGGATTCATGGTGGGAATGTCAGGTTAGTCTTCTCAATGCTCAACGCTCAAAAAAGAACATCAACGTAGTGATTAATATACCCTTACAGGAAGTTAACATCAAAGGAACCTACATCGTCACCAAAGCCTTCCTGAAAGAAACAGGATCTACCCCAGAACAACCAACAACAATACTTACAACTACATCCCTCGCTGCTCACGGCACTGCACCAGGATTAGGCCCCTACTCCCTCGCAAAGCTAGCTCTCACGAAACTCACAGCCTACGTCGCCTCGGAGAATCCCTCCATCACCTCCATTAGTCTCGATCCAGGAATCGTACCAACGGATATGGGTCACACTGTACCCTATTTGGCACCCTACATGCTCGATACACCGGAGCTAGTGGGAGGTACTGCGGTGTGGGCATCGAGCGGAGACAAGAACTTCCTATCAGGGAGATATGTCTCTGCGAATTGGGATGTTAAGGAGATTGAGATGCGGAAGAGGGAGATTGTGGACGGGGATCAGTTGAAATTCAAAGTGAAGGCGAATTTTGCGACAAATGCGACTGTTCAAAGATCCTAGTTCATTCGATTTGACGTTCCAGGATTCCATAATTAAAAATTTAGGAGGCAATTGTGTTCTGGCCTATACCTAGGCATCAGCTAGAAATTACATACAGACTTGCAATAAATGATAGTTGCAATGGCTTCATATGACTATGTGACTAGTAAGAGGAGAAAGGTAGTAAATTGAGTTATAACCACCTTTAGAGGGATGGAATCATCAATTGGCATCCGTGTGGTCGAGCGGTAAATACTCCCACCAGCTGGCACTATACGTGACCAAACAAGTTAGCCCACGGGACTTGAATGGTGTTGTCAATTGGTACCGGAAAACATCAACTCAGAGCAGACCCCTCCAAAGTGACCAACAAACGCACAGGAGTCCTCCCTCTGGGTTAGATGTTTTTTTTTTATGAAATTTGGCTTGTTATAATATACTCGCTAGATCTAGATATCCGATCAGATTCATCTAAAATCATATATGGGGTGCGGTACCGTGGTAGTCATTCTGATGTTAAACTTCTGAGTGATGCAGATGAGGCTCTTCGCATGTACCTTATAAGTACTCGGTGAGACAAGGCACGATTGTGAGATCTCACGCTCGATCCCAGGCTTTGCTGATTAAATGTTCATAATTCTAAGTCTGATCAGCTAGTCTGTGCAAAGCATCTTTTATAAACTTATTGATCTGCTTGGGTAAGACCCACTTACTGCTGCCCAGCTCGACGGGGCATCAATAGACCAAATCAGGACTCATTTTGAAGTGTTGGGAAAGGAGCTGGACATGGTCGATGCCTTCCCTAGTTACTGATTGTTCATTATTGTCGATGAGGAGACTCACAAGACAATACAAAATACCCTTCTTGCCGATGAATGTCTGGAAGAAATGTCATAACTGAAGCTTGTTGAGGCGTGGAAGAGTGGGAGTAGCTATTCACTATGTAGTACTATATACCTTGCACAAGAACTAGTCCCACAAACCTGGAAACAAAAATAGTCTCCCGCATGTGCGTACGGAACGCAAGGTACCAATCAAATGTACAAAGAGCTTCAACACATACATCATCAAATCACATCGCATCACATCACATTCGCTGACGAATAAATCCACAATCCCTAACCCACAAAGCTTGTTTCATAATAGTGGATTTACTCCCAGGCAGCTCTTACGAGTGCCACCTCCGCCCGAATGAAATGGACGAATTTCGTATAGGATTATGTCAAAGCGAACCCGATGGTGTATTTTCAGAAAATAGCCGCCTACGACCGAGCCAGTGGTGTTTCACTTAGTGGGGGTACTAGTGGAGTGTGCGACGGAGAGGAGCCGTTGATCTACGCAGCAAAGCATCGGCGAGTTTGAATTTAGAGTTGGGATCGACTGGGTGTCATGCATGGATGATTAGCCTTCAATGTTGGAACGTACGGAGACTTTTTTATATGTAGTTACCTGTTTTCTAAGTGTGACCCGTGGACAATGGTAAACACTAACTACTAAGCCACTTTGCTGTCGAGGTGCATCTAAGCGAGGAACGGTTCAGCACTAGAAGAAGCCACGATAAGAGCCAAGGAATAGAAGGATGCCCCTCATTGTCCCGATGGTTCGAAAAAAATAAATTTCATCCTAACCTGTTTTTTATTTTTAGGCAGAGGCGTTTGCTGACGCACGTCGGTCCACCCGCAATGCTTGGTCGGCTGGCGCTGTGGCGCGCACTTCCGCAAGTGAGACCATGCATGATCGGTTATGTCAAGTTTTCCAAGACTAACTACTCCGTACTGCAGGGTAGACTAATAGTTCGTGATACTATGTGATATCATGTAGGGGTTGACTAGGTGATTGACCCGGACCCGCAGTAACTAGTCCGTACTAGCTGTACTATTGGGCTTTATTGAGTGGAAAGAGTACGATATTAATAGCCAAGAATTGAAGTAAATAAAATTCATCCCAAACACCAAGCTATGCGCAGAACATGGAAAGCAAATGGCAGATAGATACATGTCCCAGGATACAGATAATAATATTAACTGGGAAGAAATCCACGAGTAATATGTTGGAAACAGTAAACAAAGCAAACAAGAGTCCGCTCCAGGATATAATGACGAGCAATAGAAACTCCCCTAAATAAAAAAAAAAAACACTTCCCATGCGAATTGCATGTTTTATCAACATGTGTAATGATCGTCACTGCAAGCATCTGCAGTATATCGCCGATCCCATCGACGTTCATCTTGGTTCAAGAGGAATTTCATAAATCAACCTCGGTTCTCTCAAGATCGGTAATTTTGGCTCATTCAATCATGCCATACCGGATCCACTCAAACGGATCCGACCGCTCCGCTCTTCCCACCATTATCTATATTGATCTGAAACCAATATAAACAAACCCACAAGATTTCTTTTTTCTGGTTTCATAAATATTGAAAAATCAATGAAGAGCTGAAGACCCAATAAGATTCGGAGTAGAAATGCTCGCCGTAGAAGGTCTTTCAACCTTCCTCCCACCGAAAATAGAAAGTCTGCGCGAGAGCCGGCGGCTTAATCCGCGAGACGGCTCTGTGGAAATAATCGACATAGCACGCGAGCGAGGCGGGCCGTGACAAGCTGCTGTCTCGGGGCGGGTGGGAATGGAATCGGAACTTGTGTTGGCATCTAGCAGGAAAGTGGAGCGGCGCTTGAGTTTTGCGGCTGTGCTGTTTGGGTCGGCAAGTTGGTAGGCGAAGTCTTCTTTGATATCGTCAAGAGCGTGGGAGACGCGGCGGAGGAGTTTTGGTTTTTCAATGATTGAGAGGGGGCGTTGTTCGAAGCCGTATAGTTGGAGGGGGGTTGAGTCTCCAGATTCTTCGTCCCAAGGGGAGGAGTAGAAGCGACGATATTTCATTGGGGCTCGGCGAGGTTGGGAGCCTAGAGAGACGGTTGATGTTGGTTGAGGGTGTTGGTAGGGGAGATGAGGGTCTGAAGAGGAGACGCTTGAGGAGTAGGAGCTGTTTGTTGCGGATGATGTATACATGTTGTGTTTGGGAAGGAAAATAGGGTATAGAGTACAGAGGAGGAAGAAGGGTTAGAAGGAAAGGGAAATCAAGGCGTAAAGCTCAAAGAACAGAATCTCCATTCCGAAAAAGACTAAATGAACTAAAATGCAAAAGTGGATCATTAAATGAATCTTTCTACTTCTATGAGCTGCCGACCCGTGTAACACATAGATGACTGTAATTTCGTTTTCATTCCATACGTCAATATAGGAACATTGCATAACTATGACAATAGACGATAGAGCGAGATAACTATATACTCAATCATTCAATGGGTCTCGGAGTGAAAGGATGTACTGTATTCCCAGGTATTTGGGGATTGGGGAATTTTTAATACTTTTTTTTTTCTCTTGACCCGCTTGACTAGACTAGCGGAGTTAACCCGTATCAGATCATTCCATCCACAATTTGTCTTGGAATCTGACACATCATAAGTACCTTTGCGGTGACGCGGCACTTTAAAGCGCCTCGCGTTGTTTAACTTTTCGTCCCGAGATCCCATCTAAGCCACATAAAACAGTCAACGTAGACGCCAATGTGGTTCCAACTTTTCTTTTTGGATGGAAAAAGGAAAAAGCGGACTGTGGAGACCGAGTACAATTTCATCGGTCCCACCGGGATCTCCTGCCGCCATCATTTAATTGGGGCGAATCCTGCTCAGGGGAAAATCGTGTGATAACTAGTTGGTCCTGTGAAGAATGTGGGTTCGGCGTGTTCGGCGTGTGATATTGAACGGTTCTTATTTGTCTACGAATTCCCTTTCCTGGAAAACTTAAGGGGATCGGTGGTTACCTACTCCAGCGTTCGAGGGTGAGAGTTTATTGGTGGGTCGGTTATGGGGCCGAGCAAAGACCTGGCAAACCACAGCCATGCATCGGAGACCACACGAGGTCCTTGGAAGGGGTTTGAATCGCGGGCCATTCATAGGTGGTAATTTCAGTTTCCCACAAATGCAAACCCCGCAAGAAAGAGGATGATCTTTGGGTCAAAGGAGGGGAAATCAGTGCGAGGCAAATCTTCTCAACCAATACAATGGGAAACAAGACAAAAGCGGAGTTCCTACGGAGTTAAAAAAAGGCCATGACATCGTTGCTCATTTCTTTGAAACCTGGGATCTACATGACAAAGCGCAAGTTGACATCTGCCGATCTCCGAGTCAGCCGGGTTCGTGGGTAACACGGCAGAACTTGAACTTACCAAGTGGATGGCTGCAGCTCAGCTGCGGCTTTTGAGTATACTTCCCGTCGAGCTCCGCGCGAATCGTGTTCAGCAGCTGCAGATAAGATTGCTGGGGCCACTGCTTTAGTGATTTGATGAACGCCCAACTGAGGGCTCCACGCGCCTGCCCGTCCTGGAAAGTATCGGCCCTGGAAAAAGGGGTTAGTCCTGAGATTAAAGGCTAGTTCCCCGCACTTACGAGGTCTGTGTATCTTTAGATCCGGAGAACATGACCACATCGGCCGGCGATGTCTTGGTCTGCAAGGTGCGCTGGCGCGCCTGGCCACCGTTGGCAGCCTTCTTAAAAAATCCAATGGCCGTGTTGGCCATGCTCGACAGATCACCCTGTCCGTAGGAACTAATGGCACTAAAGAGATCCTGAGCCGCTTCCTTGGCCAGATTGGGCTCCTTGAGAACACCCTGCGTGGAATAGATATATGGTAGATCCAACGCAGTGCCCGAGTGGCACGAGTCGAAAATTGCCGTCAATCGCACACCAGGTCGGAGCGGTCGGACCAGAATGTCGTGCATGTCGTCGTCTACAATATGGCCAACGGTGCGGTAGTCGACTGGGTAAATGACATCGTCAAATCCGTCGTCTTCGTCGCCGTCCAGATCCGGGGTTCGGCCTCCGTGCCCGGAGAAGTGAATGAACAGTGAATCGTGAGGCTGGGCGTCCTTGACGAGCCACTGCATCGCACGAATGATGTTCTGCTTTGTCGGGATGCTCATTGGGTTCTTCTGGTCATCAGTGAGAATGACCATGTCCTCCCGTCGATACCCAAATCGCTCATGCAAGAAGGTGGACATGTTCGTCACATCGTTGATACAGCCGTGCAAAGAATTTGGCTGACCGGTGTAATTAATACCGATCAGAAGAGCCTTGCGACGTCCCGTACATGCCGAGTACTGGAACTGGTAATTGGATGGTGCACCTGACCCAAAGTGTTGAAGGTTCTGGGGAGGCGTGGGTGGCACATTCGGCGAAGCGGGCCGGCCAAGTTCTACATGCGTCAGTCGATCGGCCTCAGGATGAATGGCTATAAACTTACGATTGCGGGAAGCACTAAGACTGTGCTGATGCGACGGATACGCTGGATAGGACGTTGGATAGGCCTGAGGTGAATGTTGATAGCCATACGGCTGTGAACTTGGCGGGGGAGATGGCGTGTGTCCGTATGACCCCGAAAGCTGCGGTGAATGACTATAAGGTCGTGGCGGAGGTTGCGGCGAATGGCTATATGGCCTTGGAGGTTGAGGTGGAGGACCGGGAGGATACTGCCCATATGGTTGGGGCGGTCCATGATGGCCATAGGGCTGACCTCCATGCGGGGTCCACTGTCCCGGGGGAGGTTGCTGATAACCCCATGGCGGAGGGCCTTGAGGTGGAGGTGGTCCTGGTGGAAGGTAGTACATTAAGGTGAGATGATAATAAGATCAGGTACCAAAAATAAAAGGAAGTGGGATCTCTACAGAGTAGAGGAAGAAGATTTTTTGGTCGGGTGGTTTTATGGCTGGCTGACTTGGGTGGGTCGCGCAGATCGGAGTTACTTTTGAACTTCTGGAAACTCGGCAATATTTGCCGGATACAATATACAAGGGAAGGTAAATGAGGATAAGTGTGAGAAAAGAATATAAACGTAAGCCAGTAACCAGTAGCCAGTAGCCAGTAGCCAACGATAATGGACCGGTGCCTCTCCGGCTTCAATGCATTCCATGGGAACAATTCAGCCCTACGAGTCTGCAGGCAACAATGTTTATGCGAAACGCCGGTCTTGGCAAATTATATCAGTGGTCACATGATCAGAGACAAAGAATATCTTTAGCGCAGGTCTTAGCGGGGGGTCTGGTGATGAATACAGACAAAGGATGAGAGCTAAGCTAATTAACTAAATAATGAGTCTTACGGAAGTTGACTGCACTATCACGAGATTCTTCGACTCACGAGACCAAATATTATGTAAGATACTGAAGTTCTGCCTGTGGCCTAAGGTGTCAAAGATGACGCTCTAAATATAGCTGACAAAAATGCTGAGACTGTTGTCTGAGGCTGTCAGCTATCGGCTATCAGCTATCTGCTATCAGATATCTGTAAGAGCCTCATATACGCAATGCTTTCCATTTGAACATTCAATATAAGACAGTGCGGGGTCATTGTCACACTGCGGTGTCCGAGTCCGAATGACAGAGGCCATTGCGTAAACTCAGAGAACCACACAATTCTGCAGGGTCTCACATGTACAAAGTACAGTCTCCACACCTGACTATGGGAAGAGGAATGAGAATGGCATAAAGAGCCTCAAAAAAATGTGCTCATATGGAGAATGATCTCGTATTTTCGCCCCTTGCGGCGCTTGCGGATTCGGAGGCTGAATTTCGGCTTCCAATCACAGACTTGAAGGAGTCTGATTGGACCTTTTTGAGCCGCATCAGATCCCGAAATTTTGGAAAATTCCATTAAATTAACTCCAAATTAAATTCTAATCTCGAATGGAACGGAAGAACTTGAGAATGCCGATCGCGGGCTCTGGGGCTTGGGGGCTGTGCGGATATCTCTTAACTCCTAATTCTGATTTTGCCTCCGGATGAGGCTCTTATGCAAACTGTTCCCTTAAGTTCAACTTCTTCCCGGCCCGGCTTTGAGCCCTCAACCCTTTCACTTTTACCAAATTATAATCATTTCCCCTTTCATTATGTATTCATGTTGACGTATTCCTTTGCGTCCTCCATTCCACAGCCATGCCGGCTGCGAGGGGTCTCGACTCCCTTCCCTTTGACATCTTCTATGAAATTGCTACGGCGCTGGACGACCGTGATTTCATCAATTTGAGCCGTACCAACCGTGCGCTTCGTGAACAAGCCCAAAGTGATCTCATCGCACGCAAGACTGTAGAGGTGAAACTATCTATGACTTCCCCCGCTCGGGCGCCAAAGCTGACTGATTACACAGAACTTTCTACTATTCAGCAAGGAGGGTCAAATCGCCTTAACTCAGGCCGACTATACCTACCGCAAGGCGGTTGGGCATCGATTTGATATTTACGAAGCGGTCGCCACAGCTGCCCCATATTCTGTTTCGATTCTAGCCTATGCGGCCGACTTTCTTTACAATCAAGGGATTCTATGCTACCGAGTGGGGCACGATATTCGCCTACTGGACGTGCATGCTGGGGGTAAGCAGGAACGTGTGTTGGACTTGTTAGTGATTTTCTGCCGCGTGTCTTCAGAACTGGGCGCGGATGCAGTGGATCGGGTATCGTTGCTGCAATATGCAGATGGTATCCTCGTATTTCGGGTCAATACCGACGACGATCAGGACGGGTGGTTGGTGGCCGTTGATATAGCCCCTCTGCATAAGTCCAAAAGAGGCCGTGGGTTCAAAAAGCGAATCCCTGCAGGGGCTCAGGTCTTCGTTCGGCACAGCCGCACATATCTGTGGTATGGCATATATACAGCGGTGGGAAGCCCAAATGGTGTTTGGACTGTCCACGGGGTGGATATGATTTCCTCCACCCCAGAAATTAGTTTCATATGTCCCCAAGTCGTGGATGGCGATCTTGGCCAATCACTCTGTTTTGAGATATACCACGAGCATCTCTATGCAGTATCGACCCAAATCACTTCAGATGAGGAGGAACGATACTCTTCGTTCTACCATTGGTTCTGCTATGCTCCGCGCCATGGTCGTCATAAGTGGAATGGACGCTTGTGGCGCCGTCAGCACTGCGAAGGTCCTATCAACGAGATGTTCACCGATCTTTCAATCCGTACAGACGAAGTCACCGGCCGACCGGTCATCCTAGAATGTCGTCGCGAGTGGCCTGATGGCAAAAGTGAGAATCATCGCACATATTACACCCAGCCCATCCCAACACCAGAAGAATTCCTCGCCGAACACAGCGGAGGAGACACAACAGCTAAATCTATATTGGACGAGCCCGAGCCCGAATGTCAGGAGTCCACTCGCAACCTCAACGAATATCGACCAGAAAAGCGACTTCGCCGCGACTATCACGCCGAGTACGAACCTAACCAAACAACACGACAAGAGTTCATAGCCGCACGTACAAAGCACCGTAGCTACAACCTCGCTGCATCTACCTTCATCGACCTCGTCAACGACCCATCATCAAACGGCTTCCGATCCCAAGACCGTCTCCGCCTTCGCACCGTCTCCCGAAAACGCAAATGCCCCATCGACGAAGAAGGGACCGAGGGACTCCAAGGCCTGCTCCTACGTCCAACACAATACAACGATGGAGTACCAGTGGAAGGCTCAGAAGAGCGCTTCGAGTCCCGCGGCGTCCACATGTGGCCTCCAGATAACGCACCAGCCGAACTCCAGCGCATACTTTGCCCAGATGGACGCATTAGTACTATACGTGCTATCTCAGATGAACGCTCCCTTGTTTACTCCGTACGGTGTGCGGGACTGCCAGCAGATCATCAGGCTTTGATCTTGATAAGTTTTGATCCACAAATTCATTTCTCTGGGTTATCATCTCTGCGCGACATGAAACCAATTCCTGACAAGATATTCCCCATTGAGGCACAGGCGGAAAATTCAAATATGTCTCCGATCAGAGAGGCGAAGCCTCTCCATGAGGCTATTCGATGTGGATATTGGTTACGATGAGGAGGGACGCCACTGGCTTCGCTATGGGATGAAGCGTAAGTAAGCCGAAAGCTCTGGTAGTTATTAAAAACGCATAATTAGACCCTAAAGCTATCAAATACAGATATATCCAAGTAAAATCAAGAGTCGTTACTTGCAATGCTCCGAACTAAGATCTTTTATTAGAGCTTCCGAAATATTGTGAGGCATTATTACTGAGCTCTCCACCTAGGTATCAAGTTGACCTAAGGGACGACCCACTAAAAGAAAACAGGCACCAGACTAGATAACGGTTGGCCCACTTTACTCACTTATGGCCCCATATATCCTCAATCTGATGACGCGTCCAGAAACCAGGGCCCTATTCAAACGGTTTGGCACTGAGGCCTTGCATCGTCCCAAACCCTAACGCACTGTAGACATGCATGGAGCCCAGAGCGAAACTCGTTATCGAAAATTCATTCAAATCTATTATTGATGTTCCTACAAATCTCTCTGTCCTTGCTGAGGTGAGTTCTCCAAACTCCCCAAAGATCCATTTGGCCCCCACATGACCATCCTCCCGAGAAGCGGAATTATCAGGGTTGAATGCAAGCCTCCTTATTGCATCAAACCCCGCGTCGGGCCCGCCTAGTTTATACGAACATAAAATGACCAAATAAAGCCATGTCTTTGCAAATTAGATTTCTGTGACAGATAACAATGCAACTGAAACTCTCGAACAGAGACATGAGTAAAAAAGACTCATTAAAAGGCCAAGTCACCGTCATAACTACCGGAGACTAATGAGTGATCGGGTAGGATGAGTTCAGCACCTTTTACGGTGATTATGCCTGCTAGATTCTTGGATTTGAAGCGGAACTTTCTGTTGTCTCTGGAATAAGTCTCTCGAGTGACGATAGCGCTTGCTGTTGAGACGGGGCATTGTAGGTCTGGTATTATTCTTGAGGTTTGTGACGTGAAGCGGAAACTGCGTGAGGTATTGGCTTTGAATGATTCGGGTCCTCGCGGCCAGCTATTAAGGTGGCTAGGACAGAGGTGACTTTGGCTGTGGTGATCTTGGTAGTACAGTAGTACTCGAAATCAGATTTACCTCTTAGACTCTTCGACTTTAATTCCCGAACCGTAGCTTAAAACACGCTAGTCTAATTTTGGCCATTCTCCCGTAATCTACTCCGTATGTCTGATTGTATTATATTCCCGGGTCATTGTAATAATACCGTAATTTACCTCGGAATTTTGTAGAATCTTTCTTGCAAAGAGACTAAATAATTAAGGTGGGCAATCCTAAATAATCGGCAACCCCCCCCCCCAACCACTAATCCTACTCCCTTACGTCTTGATCATTTCGTAACGCACAGCCTTCGCTTACACTCGTTTGACATCTAATAGAAGGCTGCATTTGCTCTATAGGAACCAACCCTAGTAGGAAGATATGCTTTTTATTCCAATGGCTCCTGTTATCCACTGCAATCCCATTTGTTGCCGTGGTCGACGAAAGCCGGTACCCTTGGGACTAACATGGATCTTTTTAAGGATAGCCTTATTATCTAAAAATGACACAGAGCCCAGATCATGGCGATCTAATCTCTCAGCCCGACGCACCCGAATTATGGGAACGCGACTCGCAATACGCTTCGACTTCTGGATACTCTAGTAGCCACGCAACACGGTCTGACTACAGTCGTCCCAGTCTCTTGTACTCAAGAATCAGTCGCAACCTGGTGCTTTTAAGCTGCTCTGGTTATTTGAATGGGCGCAGGGAACAGTATACGACCAAGATCCACCGATCTATATCCACTATCGTATAGAGTGGCGAGTAACAGTCAATAATCCGGAGGTGGCAAAGGACACAGAGGACGACCTCGTTCTGGCCCTAAGTGCCTTGTGGTAACTGTTCTTAGAAAAGAAGCTACAATCGACAGAGGATTACGACGAAAAGTTTCCCGCCACTGTTATGTGATAGCTGATGATACTACTAATACTTATCAGTCTGCATTTGTAGAAAATACGTCTGCCGAATGGGTCTGCTTAGGGCACATCACACTCGCGCCCAGTGAGCATCGGTAGCTGTTCACATGAAGTCCGACTTGTCTCGACTTTCTCGGATCGGTTGGGCCCTCGTCTTGTTTCTTGGTGTACGGACAGAGTGGGTCCTTATAGATTGCCACATCCACACTTAGTGAGTACTATCTTATACCAGGAAATTTTGATCTCATTGAATACATCATGACTAGCAATTTTTCGTCATTGGAGTAGCACCGGCCATAAACGTTAGAGCTACTTCGAATAACTTTATAAAGTCCCGGTAATCAATTGGAATGAATAAGGAGTAAAAAGCCCTTATTCAAGTCTACTTCAACACTGCAAAAGAATGTTCAGATTCAGAATCCTCCTACTTGTGCCAGGCAAGGCCACTATCGAAGCATTATATTAGCTGCGATCTAACATGAAATCGATCTCTAGGTCTACTCTTCGTAGTTCTGTCACAAAGTCCCGTTATCAAGCTTGCTGAGTGCGCTACATGGTGCGACCGAAATTATCCAGACCCAGCCCTCACCTGTGTGCTTCCTGCTCTGGAGGAACAAGGACCATGTTATGTTTGTGGTCCCTTTAAGACATCTCAGACCGAAAGTCTATGCGGCGGAAAGTGTGCTAATATAGCATCTGATGCTAAAAATTGTGGAGCCTGTGGGAAAGTAGTATGTTCTATAGTCTCATGGTCATCGCTTGACTTGATCAGATCTAACTTATACTGCCTTAAGTGCGGGGAAGGGGAAGCTTGTATATCTAGCGTCTGTGAAGGAGAGGTGAGTATTGTCCTTATCTGATAGTGAAACTCCTGATTTCATAGAGGGAGAGACTGATACATAAGGAATGAATAGATTGTGAGTATTGACCCTATCTGATAGTGAGACTCCTAAATTTAGAGAGATAGAGGCTGATATATATGGAATGAATAGCTTGTGAGTATTGCCTTATATGATGGTAAGAGTTCTAACTGTTGCGAGAGAAGCTGATATATGTGAAATGAACAGAGTGTGAGTATTGTCTTATCTGATGGTGAAACTCCTGATTTTATGGAAGGAGAAGCTGATATATATGGAATAAATAGTCTGTGAGTATTGCCTTATATTATGGTAAAGTCTTGATTTCATGGAGGGAGAAGCTGATGTATATGGAATAAATAGGGGGTGAGTATTGCCTTATATGATGGTAAGAGTCCTATTTGTTAAGAGAGAAGCTGATATATGTGAAATGAATAGACTGTGAGTATTGACCTTATCTGATCGTGAGACTCCGAAATGTAGAGAGATAGAAGCTGATATATATGGAATAAATAGTATGTGAGTATTGACCTTATCTGATGGTGAGACGCCTGACTGTGTGAGGATGGAAACTGATATGCGTGGAATAAATAGACTGTAAGTATTGACCTTATCTGATCGTGAGACTCCTAAATAAAGAGAGATCGAAACTGATATATATGGAATAAATAGACTGTTAGTATTTACCTTATCTGACGGCGAGACTCCCAAATGCAGAGAGATAGAAGATAATTTATATGGAATAATAGGTTGTGAGTATTGCCTTATCTGATCGTGAGACGCCTGACTATGTGAGGATGGAAACTGATACGTTTTATAAAATAGTAAACAAAGTAGGCTTCATTTTTAGCATGATTTTCTGAAACTGGATTTGACGTATTAACATTGATATAGGTCCTCATATGTCTTGCCAGCTCCTTGTAAGGATTTTAATTATTAAAATGGGTTTTCATGGCTGATCAAAAGGATTTTGAATTTCGCTTCAATCCTACTGGAGATTGGCATATATGGGCTGTTCCTGTTAGTCACTCGGTAAGTCTCTTTGAAACCTAACATGCCTTGGTATGGGTTTTTCTCCTATTTGTCATAGGTTTTCCCCATACTTTTACCCCATACTTTTATGCAAATGCAAAGGCTGTCTCGTGAATAATTGTTCAGATATCACACTCCTTGTTTTCTTAAAACTTAGAGAGGTAGAAAATTACTCTATAGTCAAAAGTCTCAGATACTAAGCCGATGGCGAACTCTATGATTGTACATCTCCTGAATTAGATAGCTTGAAGCCAGTCATCTCTGTCGGACACTGTACAAGCCTGTTGCTGTTTAGGCGGATCCTGGCTGGGTGAAACGGTCATTACTTAGCCCGATTTTAAGTCTCTTAACACTTGGTGGCTATGAAAGGTAGTGTTCATTATCGACGAAATTAGGCTTTGACATTTGGTAACCACATAGAAGTCTGGTTGACCGTGACCAACCAAAAGTAATAGGCTGAGCATGATATTACTGATAGTGACCACGAGTGCCCGAGAGTGACCATATATCTAGTTTCCTCCTGATTTGGGCTGGTTTCTGCCTGAATTTAGCTCCATGTGTGCTGCCTCGCCGTTTTTAGACCAACATTTGGCGACAAGAGCTCTTCTGATGCTAGCTGTCTTAATCATAGCGCGAGCATCATCCAAGAGGAAGACACCCATATTATCGAGATACAGGCACTAGTTTTCCGACAAGTGTTCGCGTCAAACATTAGCGGTGTTACGGCTGGTTTCCGACCTATGAGAGATGGGGGTGCGTGGACGCTGCCGAACTACCACAGGTATCTACGAACAATCATCATCGTAATTTTGCGGCATTCAGCCTTTTCAGCCATTTGACTTGTGGTTGGTGACTAGCTCTCTATTATACTGCGGATAAGATGCAGCTTTGAGGGGAAGTCTTGGGACCATATTGCAAGCCTGATTTGGGGTGGCGCTCAATATCGTGCGTAGATGATAGAACATTGTTGCTAGGGAGAGAAGGGCGGGGTAGAATGGTATGACATAGCAGTTTTGTGTAGACTACACCTGGGAAGGTCCCACCCGCGTCATGTAAAAGATAGACTCTATTCTTGGAACCAACGGATCGACAGGCATACCATATCTGGACTAGCATTCTTAAACTAGGGTTCGGGAATTAGAGTCGAAGAGTGAGGTAAAGCTGATGTCGAACACTACTGTAGTGCATCTTTTTTCTCTCGTTTTCTAGTGGTGACAATCAGAGGCACGAAGTGCACGAAGTATGGTGTGATCAGAGGCATTCACTCCGATTTCTGGACGAATAACAATATGAGTTGTAGAAGGATCTCGTCGAGATACATCAATATTGGGACCTATACGATCGTCATTTCAGACCTTTAGACGTCCAGAACGAGCTAGTGACTGTCCTTCAGTGCGAATATTTACTTCTTTGACTGTGTCGCAGACCGTAAATATCGGAATAGAGTAACGGGCTGCAGTTTGCTCATATGATAGTCCCAGAGCATGTTCCGCTGTTACTTAACATGGATATAAGGCGTTAACTCTGCGTTTCTTACCCTATTATTATTTATGGGCAGTAAAGGGGTTCGTGGTTCCATGGTAGAAATGTAAGGGTCCCATATTTCATTAGTCAGGGTGTGGAAAATTTGGCCGTTGACTGTAGAAGAGCGAAGATTTAATATCGACCAACTGAGCAAACGGGGCATTTTGCATCCAATTGAAAGCCACTGTTATAATTCAGCTATCCTGAATAGATTAAATATGGTACAAAACTCAATCAAAGTTCATCAAGTACTATCTCGACAACTGGGAAAGGGACTGAGTGTGTTGTATTGGATCGGGATCAAATCATGACTAATAGTCATTGTTGGGTGCGGAATAACCAACTAGCTGTGATGTACGGGCGGTGGACGGGGCTCGCCTGTCCGAAATAACCGGTTTAATTCTCTTCAAACTTTAAAGCTTTTCTCTTTGAAAATTTCACTTCACATCTCAAGACCTCATCAGGATGACTCTCAAAGCTACTGCCACAGAGGCAGCCAAGAACAGCCAAGAAATCCAAGCAAACGAAGATGATCGCGAACTATTGCAACTCGGTTATCGCGCCGTTCTGGCGCGAGGATGGGGTTCTTATGACAACTTCGCTTGCTCTTTCTCTGCACTTTATCCTATTGGTGGAATTCGTTTGCTGTACTACATTGCTATTAGCGGAGGTGGTCCTGCTGCGATGTAAGTTTATTGAAGCCATCTATCAGTTCCTTCTCTGACGGTTTACTATAGGTGGAGCTCCTGGGTTTCAGGTAGCATTCTCTCGATCATCACTGCCGCCTGCCTAGCTGAAGCGTGCTCAAGCTACCCCGCCGCGGGGTCAATTTACTACTGGGCATTCCGATCCTGGGGTGGTGGACGTGTCGGACGGTTCATAAGCTTTATGGTTGCAGCATGGACGCTGGTTGCATGGACAGCATTCTTGGCAAGTGATTGCTTTGGTGTCGCCAATTATCTCGTCTCAGAGGTGGTTGTGTTCAACCCAGACACGAGCTTCCCTTATGACACCTCGGATGTCCGTGCACGAGCCGTCGCCTGGATCATCTCCTTGTTCTTCCTAGGAGTTGCCACCAGCTTGAACTTCCTCCCGTCGCGCATGTACTCGTGGGTATTCCGTACGGGTGTTATCGTAATCGTCTTTGATATGCTGCTCAACTTCATCTGGCTTCCGATTGGTGTGTCGCAAACGTATGGGTTCCAATCCGCCGAGTTTGTTTTTACTTCTACCTATAATGGTGGAGATACCACTCCGAGTCTCAATTGGGTTCTTTCATGGTTTATGGTTGCTAGCTGTCTGGTGGGCGAGGACGCTTCAGGCCATGTTGCAGAGGAGACAGTCTCGGCTAAGAAGGCCGCCGCCAAGGGTGTGTTTTGGGCAACTGTTGCTTCGGCACTTTGTGGTTTCCCGATCATCATCTTATTCCTCTTCTGCATGCCATCCATTGAGACATTTTACAACACTAGCGCTCCCCAGCCATTCACCAACATGTACGCATTGGCCCTCGGCCCACGGGCTCATGTTGTCATGACTATTATCTCAATGATCGGCGGTATTCTGAATACATCCATCTCGCTTGTTGCTGCGTCTCGACTGGTCTTCGCCGTGGCCCGCGATGGGATCTTTCCCTATAGCCACGTGCTGGCTCGCGTCTCGAAGTCAAAGCAGCCCCACAACGCAGTAATTTTTATCTCGACAATTGCTGCACTTCTGCTGTGCACGCAGCTGGCTTCTCAAGTGGCTTTCTCTAGCTTGATCTCAACTTCTGCTGCTGGCTCAATCGCAGCTTATGGCCTTGTCGGCATTGGTCGCACTTTCATCACTCGAAAGTCCTTCCGCCCAGGATTCTGGGACATGGGTAGATTCGGTGTGGTGGCAGCTGTCGTCACGTTTGTTTGGAATGGTTTTGCGTTCGCTGTTCTCTGTGCACCGGAGTATTCCGACGCTCAGATCGACAAGGACTCAAGTCTCTTTAACTACGCAATTGTTATTATGGGCGGTGTTACCATCCTCGCACTCGGAGAGTGGTGGCGCAAATCAAAGAATGAATGGTTCCAGCACCTTGAAGTCGACTCAGGGTCAGAGGTTGATAACTCCGTTCAGAATGAGAAGGAGGCTACTTTGGCCAACCCCCCGGCAATTTGATTCGTCATAATGGACCGAGGACTCGAGATAGCGACATCAGGTTGCACCAAGCGCGATGGATCGATCATTTAGCGTTTGTTGGCTTCGATGATGGGTAAGTATAGCCTTTAGAGGCACCACAGAAGGCATGACGGGTGTTCGAGACTTTGCTTAGCGAAGTCTCGTTCTGAGACATTACCGTTAGAACTTGATCTGGACAATACCAGCGAAAGGACATGCATGCTTCACCTACCTCTCCCTTGGTGTCTTCGTTTTCAGACGCAGTCTGGGAACAGATACTACTGACTTTGTTTTGTAGACACGGTTTGCCGCTGAGTGTATTTCTGCTCTCCAAGACGGGGCGTACAAGGCTCTATGTTGTGGTCCATCCGGGCAACATCCAGTCACGATTCTATCAGTGGCGTTGCATGTTTCAATGAAAGTCCATTGGCAAAGTGCCGATTTGCATCTGGACTTGAGGGACAACTTCAAGGATCAGGAGACTGGATTTGCCATGACCGGGCATTCTGGCGTCTCCGTCCCTGCTGTTGCACCTAGCACCTTGACTCCTGTCTTACTTGAGAGGCGGACACCCGGCAAACCATGGCCCGTACTTTTGTAGTTTATCTGTACACACGGCATTCGTAGATGGTCTGGATTGGCAGTACCTTAAACACCCTGCCGCACAACCTGAATTGGTTATATCGGCATATAATTGACAGAATCGAGATTATAGTCTCCCATATATTGGCCCAATATGCCAAATCGACACCCACGCCCGATTTCAATGTTCTTGATTCGACCCAGCCAACTCCCTCGAATCGACCAAAGACCAAGGCCTGGTATAATACGAGCTTCTTCAGTAATTAAAGTCATTTTAAGTATTGCACTACGCGTTATAAACCCATTACAAGGTACTCTTTTATCTTGACGAGCCGCTCATCTTTCACCTAGTTCTTTCTCCCCGACCACGGGGACCAAAGAGACACCGATTTCTGTAATCGCACCATTTTTCTAGCAGTTCCTGACTTTCTATCATGATCAGCAACATGATTAAAACATTCAACAGACTGCGAACCTCATGTGACTACCAGGTGGTTGACGTCAGTTGGCCCAGGACAAGGTCGGAAAGATCACCGATCATTGCCTGAAGCGTCGAATCCTCTCCGCACTGAGGGGAGGGGTTGTCTTTGGAATGACAAAAGCGAACATCAAGCGTGTGCATCTCACTAATTCTTGTTCCTGGATATAATAAATTATCAAAAAGAGTCTTATCTATAATTTTCTTGGTTTGAAAAATGGCCTTTGCTCGTAGGCTTGCCATTCTACCTGGAGGCCTGGGTAGGGATGAGATGCGCCCAACCCGATAAGCAAGTAACTAACAAAACTCTACAGGTGGACTTGGATCAAGCATCGGGCAGAAATTGCGACAACAGGGCGCTCGCCTTGCAATTTTATATGCTCCCTTCGAGGCCGCACGTCGTGATCAGCTTCTTGAGGCAGGGTATGGAAGCAGTACAGACCTTGCTGACATTCGCACCTACGAGTGTGACATCACGTCTCCCGAGTCTGTGCAGTCTGCCTTCAATGCACTGAATAAGGATACTGTATCTCCAGAGACCTCATCCCTAGAAGAGCGATCATTTCCCAGTATCTTGATCAACACAGCTGGATATGTTTCTCTTAGTGATATGGAGATCACACCACCCGAGGAGACGATGAAGCATCTAGCCACTAATATATTCGGACCGATGCTTTGCTCGCAGGCTTTTGCTCGCCTTTATTTTGATGCTTCGAAGGCTGCAGAAAGTTCGACTAGTCCGCCCCCACCGGGTCGGATTGTTAGTATTGCGTCGCAGGCCGCTCACGCTGCTCTGCACCGACATGGGGCTTATTGTGCTTCCAAGGCTGGTCTCTTAGGTCTGACGCGGAGTATGGCATCTGAATGGGGAGGTCGCGGGATCACGTCTAATAGCGTCTCTCCGACCGTGGCGTGGACGGCTCTCGGACAGAAGGCATGGGGCGAGACCTCTGTGCGAGAGGCATTTTTGGAGAATATTCCGACCGGGAAATTTGCATTGCCAGAAGAGGTTGCTGATTCAGTTCTTTTCCTTTGCCAGGTAGGTTTGCGCGAACAAGCAGTATTTTCTCTATCTGACTCTGTTCTAGGATTCTAGCGGGATGATCAACGGTGCAGACATTCGGATTGATGGTGGATTTACGATCCGTTAATTTTAACAATATACTAGCCTATAGAACATTTCTCTCAATACAAGCAAGCAAAAACAATAAATCTCTTGAGCTGTATCAAACAATCTTCTTTCAAGAATACCAGATCATTCCAGCAAGACGGAAAACCCCAAAGCCGCTATGAGCGGGTGCGTATTTCTGCAAATCCATATCGACATGTATTGTCTCCTTGAATCCAATCTTTTTGAAAAAAGGAATAGAAGGTGCTTCTGCACAAACAGATAGCGGGATATCTTCAGCCTTGGCTCGATCAAAGCCCAGCTGAACTAACTGGGAACCAATCCCACGTCCCTGGAAAGCTGGTTTCACACACATATAAATCACATCTACTTGAACATTAACAATACTTCGATGATGATGAGATTAACACGTACCAAAACGATGCATATCGTTGACCTCCTTCGCGATCTGCCGGGTCGCATTTTCAACATCAGCGAGAAGTGGGGGATTGAGTCCATCTGGAACACTCCGTTCGGTTTTCTCTGATTCCTGGGAATCTTGGGGCGTTTTACGCTCTAGGACAATGTACCCGATGATCTCCTGAGTCTCATTGTCGACAGCCTTGAAACATTCCGTCACAGGATCATCATATCCACCTTGGACTGCTCGCGAGTAGAGTGTGACTTGAAGTTTCTCGTTCGGCCAGTTCAGGAAAATAAGACGGTTGATGCTTAGAGCGAGTTTTGCAGAGTGGATAAGATTTGTGAGAGCTGGCAAGTCACTTGAAGTGACGGGGTTAACAGTGTAGTCGAGGGTCATATTGTTTGAATTGAAGGCACAGACTGGTGTTGGAAAATGTTTTGCATATTTTTTTCTGGGATAAATCGCAGCTTTTAATATCTCGGAATTTAATTCTAGTTAATTTGTCTGTTACTTATCTAGGCATCTATATAATGCCAATGGAATGGTTAACATGATTACTTGGATGCCTTGGCCGGCGAGGCAGCTGTTTTATTATTCAAGGCAGCACTCGGCCATCGCAAGTAGATCAGAGCACCGTTGACAAACATATGTTGGCAAATAGGGCGTCGCGTACGGGCTGATGAACACCGCAGTGCTAGCCAGTTGCACTATGGTTGCAAAGTCCTCAAACTGTCCAGGATTCTCTAGTTCTTGTCGTATAAAATCCGAATCTCGTGGATTGTACAGAGGACGGCGGACTACATTGACGACATATGATATTTCGTCGTCCCGGTGTATAATGCGGAGTACTCCCCTGGTGATCTCATTCCCCTCTATCAGGCCTGCGACCGGGATGGCTCGAAAGGATCGCGGATATGAGGGATGGCGGATACACATATCACTCTCAAAGGATCTTCCCAAATGTTGACTCGTAGGTGTCTGATGAGCTTCGTAAATCGATTTGCATCGTCCAGCTTGCGGCGCAGATGAATAGTGTCAATTTTCTGCACACTTTCATTCAAAATCAGCTCAGTCACGGTATCATCCAAGAGATTAAGGGATCGACCATCGACAACTGTTTAGAAGTCCTGGAACTCATTTCGTCTTTCGTGTTTTGAATTGGGATTCTGGAGTTCGTCATTATGATAACCGAAGAAGGATTTCCCCTCTACAATGGACAAGCGTGAAAGTTGCTGGTCAGTCTTTAGGGGAATGGTCGAGGTCATCCCTTGCTTCCCACGTGACTGATTTTTGTACCTTTATTTAGAACGAATATGGGATTTTACTTTTATTTTTAGGAAATGCTTGCAAGCAAGGTGTACGGAGTAATTTGGGGTCTTCATTCTGTCAGAGGGAAATAAGACGGTTGATTCTCAGGGCGAAGATTTGCAGAGTGCGAGGTGAAACGTGAAAGGGATGAGGTGCTTCAAGTTACCTTAATGTCGGTCTAATGTCGGGGACTAGTTTCTATGTGGGGTAAATGCATCATGGCTTTCAAATATCGCAGTCAAGTAGCTTATTTCCGATCGTCATAATGTACTAATAAAATCATTGGTATCCACCAAGACATAACCAATTAGTCAACTAGCAACCAGCAACTACCCAGTGACAATTTAGCTACGGTGCGGGGCGCAGCTATTCCATTGCTAAGTAGTATTCGGACATAAAAAGTAAATCCGATAGAACGCTAAAAGTGCAAAATTGTTCCCGTAAATTAAGGGGTCTGGGGCAAGTATACGAAAACGAGGAGACCAGTTTCCCAATGAAGGTAATCCCGCCAAGGTGACCTTCAGCGTAGCATTGGGATTTAAATCAAGCATTGAGGATTTGAGAGTCCGACACAACTTGTGACACTAATTGCTGACGCCCCCTTTTTTTTGGGGGCTAATCCATATTCGTACTACCCCATATTCGTACCTGAAGCGTTCCAAGGTTTCATGATCTCTGTACCTATAAAAGACGCACTTCTGTCAGATCTGATCATTCTGGTAATTACAACTACACAAAGATAATCAGATTGAAAATTGACCCTCCAAATGCGTACTGTCGTGTCTCTTCTTGGCTTGGCTGCTGCCGGCTACGCATTGGAAAAGAGGGCATCGGCATCTGCTTATAGCTCCAACTCCGCCGGGAACTACAAACTCAGCTCAATCGCCGCACCAGTCCAAGGAGCAGGTGATCCAGGCTCAAGCTCAACATGGAAGCTCAGCATCGACGACACGAGCTCTGGACACAAGCAAACCATCGTGGGCTTTGGTGGAGCCGTGACCGACGCAACCGTCACATCCTTCAACACCTTATCCAGTTCAGAGCTCCAAGATCTGCTCAATGATCTTATGACCGACTCGGGTGCCAATTTTGCGTTGATGAGACACACCATTGGTGCCTCGGATCTATCTGGCGACCCCGCCTACACATACGATGACAATGGTGGCTCTCCAGACACATCGTTGTCTGGATTTAATCTCGGGGATCGAGGAACGGCCATGGCGAACATGTTGGCCTCGATGAAGTCGCTGCAGTCGGACTTGAAGATCTTTGGATCTCCTTGGAGTGCGCCTGGATGGATGAAGATGAACGGCGTCATCGATGGGAATACCACGGACAACAACTTAGACGATGGCTACTTGAACGGGGGAACTGCAAACTCTGGGTATGCGAGTGCATTTGCGGACTATTTTGTCAAGTACATCCAGGCATACCAGGATCTTGGCGTGTCTATCGACGCCATCACTATCCAAAATGAGCCCTTGAATAGCCAGTCTGGATATCCCACGATGTATGTCTACGCAGAGGAATCTGCAGAGCTAATCCAGAACTACGTTGGCCCTGCCCTTGCTGATGCCGGACTGGACACGACCATCTGGGCCTACGATCACAACACAGGTAATGTTGCCGTCTTCCTAGACTTGACACTTATTCTGACAAATCACACAAGATGTCCCCAGTTACCCTCAAACCGTCATTGACGACGCTGGCAAGTACGTGGACTCGGTCGCCTGGCACTGCTACGCGACCAATGTAGACTGGACAGTCCTCAGCACATTCCACAACAGCAACCCCAGCATTGACCAATACATGACCGAATGCTGGACGCCATCTAGCGGATCCTGGAACCAGGCAGCCGACTTTACGATGGGACCTTTACAGAACTGGGCTTCTGGCGTGACAGCCTGGACACTCGGCACCAATTCTGACGATGGGCCACACCTGTCCAGCGGCGGATGTGATACGTGTACTGGGCTGGTGACCATCAACACTGATGGAAGCTATACCTTTGAGACGGCTTACTATATGATTGCCCAGTTCAGCAAGTTCATTCCTACTGGCGCTATTGTGCTTAATGGGACAGGGAGCTACACGTACTCGAGTGGCGGAGGCGTGCAGTCTGTAGCTTCCTTGAATCCCGATGGAACTCGCTCCGTGGTTATTGAGAACCTATTCGATAATGATATCTACGTGACTCTTACTACGGAGAGCGGGGAGGAGTGGTCGGGTGATATCCCGAGTGAATCGGTGACGACTTGGGTCCTTCCGGCCTCGTCTTAGGACAATTGGGAATTCTGGACAAGCACAAGAACAATAATGTACATATGTTTTACCTCAGCATGGCGAGGTTATATATCTGAAATATGATGCAAATCGTGTCGAAAGGTGCGCCGATTTTCGGTTATATAAGCGGGAAATACATGTCGCGCAGTCTGACCGCCGTAGATATCATCAACTCACCAAATACACGAGAGTAACGTGACTGTAAAATGTCTAGGACAGATCACCAATGTTCTACTTGCAAACGAAAATTCTCCACCCGGAGTCACCTCAAACGCCATGAGACGTCCCGTAAGTGGCAAATGTGGCCAATGTCAAGCCGGGAAGCTGACCTCCTGTCTAGACAACCCGCACACACAAGTGACTTGCGAGTTCTGTGGTTGCAAATATTCCAGACCGTGGGAGAATACGTCTGTGTCGCATTAATAAAAAGCTAACCTTTCCTGCAGGGACGTGCTTCGTCGACATTATAAAACCTGTGGGATCGGGCACCAGCCCACGCCCAAGAAGGCCGGACGACATCGGAAATCATGTGACGTCTGCGCGAAGAATAAAAGAAATTGTGATGGCAACTTCCCTTGTGCTTCGTGTAAGATTAAAGAAGTTGTTTGCACTTACCAGCGACTTGGTCGCCCAGAGCAGCCACTCGGACCTCTACCCACTCGGGTGTCAACTAGAAGCCAGCACAGACATGCGAGCGCTATATCAGATCAAGGGCGATTGCGATCTTGCCAATTGTCGGTTCCGTTTCTGCTGAACTACTCTGCGCCGGGTAATCGAAATCCTGGGGATGTCAATCATGCCCTGTCTTTGTTGTCGACCACAGAATCCAATAACCAAGAGCTGGACTCAACGCTTCCGAGCCTCGAGATTGAAAAAGAACGAAGTGATCTCTTCTTTGAACATTCTTGGGCGCTTTTCTTTGGGTCGGTCCCTTTCGAGAAGAAATCTCGAGCCTCCCCAGTGCCAGGAGGACTCGACGATCCAGAGCAGCGACAGTTGGCAGCTGAAAAAATGATCGACTGTTTGTCTGAGGTATATTCTTCGCATGAAAATATATGGGGGCCATTTGATATAGACCTCGAGCGCGGTTTCTTCAACGAGGAAACTGTTGGTGAGTTTATCGATGCCTATTTTGAACATACGGTTCGTCCTCGATCTCGAATCGTCCTGAAATCCTTATTCAATCTGGAAACCACATCGGCACACCTACTGCTCACAATATTTCTCTTGGGAGCAAATTTTGGGCCATCAGAGGGTGCAAAGTCACAGGCTACAAGGCGCCTCGATATGGCGGAATATGCGGTTTTTGAAAATCCCACTTTTCTTCAACTTGTGTACAACCAGCAACCCCGAACCAGTGACAGTTTGAATCAAACTGAGATTGAAAGTATCCAAGCAGCAGTTCTTATCATCCTTATTCAATTGGCTAGTCCCAAGGCAGATGCTCGGCGTCGGGTGCGGATACAACGGTACCCAGCTCTGGTATCTGTTGCTCGAGCGACATCCTTGACACAAGTTAGGAATCGATGGCACGATCCTACTGTACCACTGAATCATGCAAATTTCTTGAAAAATGAGACTTGTATCAGGTAAATTCAACTTTGCCATTTGCCCATGTCACCGTGCTAATGGTACACAGATTGATGGCCTCTATAACAATGCTAGACTGCCACAATATTATGTTTTTAAATACCCCTCCTCAATTCACGGTGACCGAATTTGGATTCGATCTCCCAGCCGAGGAAAAAGGTATTGATCTTGGAGACAGTGCTACATGGGAGATCTGGGCACAGAACGAAAGGGAATACCAACGCCCTTCGCCATTGAACAGGTTCATACAAGAGCTTTTATCTGATGACTGGCCAGGGCTTGAGGACCCAAAATACAGCAATCTGAACGTATTCACCCTTTTCGTTGTTGTTTCCGGTAAGCATCCCACACCCCAATTTCTCGCATCAATGCTGAAATAAAACTCAAGCATTCCAACCAATGATCTACGGGCTGAGGTCTAGTCTTTGCAACATGTCCGAGGCCACAAGCCAGCTTGAGAAAGCTCTATCCAGATGGATGAGTTTGTGGGAAAGGCTCAAACTGCGATTAAACCAGGAGGAGATTTTTCGTGCAGGAATTACCTACCACGCGCCTGATCTATGTGTCTTCGCAAGACTTGTGCTACAAAAACCACTATTCGAGACGGGCGAGGTGGCACAGGATTCAATGGCTCAGATACATAAGCTTTTAAGGCGACATTGAAAACAAAGCAAGTCTCTATACTCAAGTATATTCCACAATCACACTCTACTTATTAAATATCCTCTTCCTTGTTAGGTTTGTACAAAGCCAGTCCCAGAGATGCACTCATAGAACAAACCAAAACCATCCACGATGCCCTTCCGCTTTGCTTCTTGCCTAGTAAAAAACCCGTATCCCATATCAATTGCTTCAACCCGTTAAACGCATGAAAGGTAAAAGGCGTTGTGATAGCGAACTTGATACCAGTCTTCACTGTAGCCGGCAACGCCCCGAATGCCTCCACTAAAGTCGCCGAGTCGAAGCGGATGCCCAAAGTCGGAGAAAGCAGGTAGAATGTTGCGAGCCCATATAGACTTCCGGCGAGCAAAATACCCGTGATGCGGTGAATTGCTGATGCCGATGAAACAAATTCCCATTTGTACACACTGAGGTGGGGGGAGACCGGTCGTTGCAAGCGTTGGGTGGCGAGGCGATGATGGGGAGACTCCGTCGAGATACTTCTTCTGTTGAATTTTAGGTGGGTAGGATGTAAGATTTTCTTTTGGACTTACTTTAGTCTGAGTCCATTGAATCTGAGGAGCCGGGTTGTTGTTGGGATGCGGCGTGGTAAAGGGAATAACATCTTGCAGTGGTGGGAGTTGGTTGGCGTAAGAAACAGAATGATTTTTTTGGATCGTCACTCCGAGTCCAAATATTCAAGAGGGGATTGTCTTTGTCGAAGGGTGGAATATATGTATTCGGGAACAAGATTGTCGTTTATAGACTGCGGAGAATACCCACCTGCGGGTATTTTCCGCTACGAAATACTAGCAGCAGTCATATCACGAGGATTCAAGCCGTTCCACTACCCTAAAAATAAAATATAAGAATAAAATACCTCATATTATTCGTACTGCATTTGTGAAGTCATAGATATGAGTATAATATTCATCATATCCGAGCTTAAATTTCATCTAATATCTACGTCCGTCACATACAGATGCAAGTCCCTGTGGGAATTAACTCGCGATCAATCATGTGGTGAGATGTTTTTGAATCTCCCCACAACATTGAAACCCGGGGGATTTTGATTGAAAATTCATGGACAGATTTTGAGGAGGGAAGGTTAGTGGCGGGCAAGGGGTGCATGATGTATGATGTACTACTAGTAGTATCGCGATATCCGAAAGGGATTGCATACAAATATCTAGGTAGATTGACAAAAGCAAGTAAAATTGAGAAGTGCAATAAATTTGGAAGGATAAGGAGTTAAGTCTGATGCCAGAAGGGGAGGGGGGAGTCGACATGAATATTCAAAGGTTTGAAACATGAAAATACTAGAAAAGAAATTGGAAGTGAAGCTCAGTTCAAGGCTTTTGATTGAGAATACAGGTGATCACCTTAGTTACTTGATTTTGTCTAGATAGTCTTGTTCCCTATAGCTCTCGGGAGTTTAAATACAGATATGGCCACATCGCTCTGGTTCCAGTTTAGGTATGCCGTAGTCGTTTCCAATGTTCCCCTAGCCTACTGGCATCCAGCTCTCGACAGTAGTTCTCGCACCCCATCTAACAAAGCCTCTCTCAACAAAACTTTGCAACCATCACGATCATAGATCACCCTTTCTAATTATCTTTAGAAAAGGGAGCCTTTTTGCCTTTGACTGCCTGCTCAATGACGTCAATTGCGCCGAAAGTCTCACTCCAGGCTTCCCAGGTTATCCGTAAAGTCGATTGCATCTGCTCTTTACTTCCAATCATGAACAATCTTGCTTCAACATCAAGGTTGTCTCCAGGGTCGACAAGCGCCGGCCAGAAGTGCGCGTTAATCTTGTTGACAGCGTCGTACAATTCGCGGATCTGACCCTTGATTTTCACACTTTCGTCCCACGGATTCTGGCAATTGGCCACGAAGGAATGGTTGATGATGTTCGAACCCGTCATTCCCGTCATTTCGACAAGGTAGGTCCGCGTATCTGGTTTAATCATGGCCATGATTATCCAAAGAACCCTGATTTTGAGAAGAGTCACCATAACCAGATGCGGAAGATCGAAAGAATTCTTAATGAAAGAATCGACCGGTTCAAGAACATTGGCATCCTTGATATCAAGGTATGGCAGGCTCATATCACTCCAGTCATAGATGCGGCTCTCATTCGTTGTTGCCCACCATTTCAGGAAATCATAGCATTCTTGATCCTTGTTCAGGCGGATCATCAAGCCGGGAATAAGCTCACGGGATCCCATGTTATCGCCTCGACAAAGCTGCAGGTCCCCCATTAGGACATCAAGTTGCGCCCCAATTGTCTCGTAGCGGAAAACATTAGACAGGGCGGAAGTGTAGGCAGCACGAGCTTGCATGTAAGGGCGTGTTTCGTGAATTTTCCAGAATACTCCAACATTATGAGTAAAGTACCCTTCTGGGGCATCGCGCAAGGCTTTTTCTTTGGCCTGCATATCTTCACGGCATCTTTTAATCCTGCTGCAAGCGAGCTTGTGGGCTGGGCGATCAGCTTTTTGGTGATCAACACTGCAGTATGGCACCATTTTGCAGGCAGAACATAACCGGATTCCATCCTCTTTTCCGCAATGAGCACAGCCAGGGGAATAAGGGGAAACCATTTCTGGTTGGATGATCTGTTTTCCAGTTTGAGATGACCCCAAGTGAGGCGTCAGGTGAATATCCAGGTATTAATTTCGATATAAGCATAGGTGGTGATTCTTGTCAGGGGGTTTGGTCGATTGATAGTCTTCAATGCTGTTCTTTTTGTTTTGTCAGTTGTGATGAGTCTATAATGTGAGCCTGAATATTGAGGCAGGAGTGAAGGAGCGCTGACTTCTGCCTTACTATTCAGGACAACATCCTTAGATAGTTTTGGGCCTTAATTTGGAGACGTTCTCTGGCGAATCAAGTCAAATCCTGTATTCTAGCCCGTGATTCATACTACAGCAAAAATACTATTCCCCAGATTTCCGACTAGTAAAGAGGTAGATCGCCCGTCCACTACTTATCTTGACCCATAAAGCCAAGTCTTTACTTCTCTGAGCATGTAACCTATTTAGTTCTATTGGACATTACGGATTTCAATATGTATGGATATGGGATGATAATAGAAGGCATCGTCCCTAGGCTATCAGGCCGACGATGCATTTCATTTCATATTGCCCAGTCCAGGTACCTGGACACAAGTCAAATAAAATAGTAAAATGATAGAGATGACCAAAACTTCCAACTGTTTGAAAAGACAGTTCACCTTTAAGATCTAGCAGGAACATCAATATTAACATTGATGTTGTGAACGGCAGACCTGGGAGTTCTTTTCCGCTCTCGGTTTAACCCTCTAATACGTCGTCACGTAACCTATCTCTTCAATAGCCTTGACAAAAAAGACGTGGCCCTCACCCTCGTCCTTTCGAACTATCTTCTGCCTTTAACTCTTCTATCTTACATTTATCGCCGCCTCTCTATTTCACCATGCACCCCACCGACAACTGCGCTTTGTGTTCCAGCCCGACGCACCGTCCCGCTTATTTTACTGAAGATACGGCTAATGCTGCTCGACCCGACCCCTCATTCTCGCTACTTAGGCTAAAATGGCAGGAGCAGCGGAGCACCACTGGGTTAAGACAACAATGGCGGTTCTTCACCTGTGAGGTGTCGTGGGAAAGCAGGAGTACGGCACTTGAAAGAAATTAGATATAGCGTAAGACAGTGTTGTGTAAGATGTAATAAGAGGCTGAGTTGCTTAACAGCTCAGCAGAGGCCCAAGTGAGAAATCACCCGGGTGAGGCAAGGCTTACGTGGAGTCGAACAATAACATGTGCTCTTGGTGGTGGAGTGACTAATACGCACGGATACTAGAGGTAAAGTAGAGCTGCTGTTTTTTTTTGTTCATGATCTCCACTCTGCCTTTATCTCTTAGATCGTGAATGAGAATTGGACTCGCTCATATCTATAAGAGATCCATTTCTGCGCTCAAGGAATGTATCCTCACCTAGTCTATTCATATCGCGACCACCTTCATTAACAACTATCTACATGGCACGAAGAGAGAACAACAAAGAAAGTGAAGAAATAGGAAGAAATGAGAAACAGTTTCCCCCTTCAGACACAGGAAGGTACGCTATTGACCCTTTCTGCCTGAAAAACGCTAACCATATTTTTTTCTTTCCCAGGCATCGCTCGGGAATATGCTAGAAAGGTCGGTTCTCACGCAGAGACAAAGTCGAAGCAGTCACTATACCCAGTTGACGACTTTGGAGACTTCGCAAAGTTCCTTTCGCAGCCGTATACCCCCAGACCACCACGGCTGAGCTCACCTTTTCCGGCAGTGGAACCGACTTGCTGCTTCGTTTCGCTATACAAAATTTCTAATAACATGATAACCCGGATCCGATTTGAGACGATAGAGCAGTTCGAGGAGCTTGGTCAGACAGTCATACCCAACACTGACACCTTTTCGTTACTCCTTTTGCGCGGTTATCCTTGTGCAAAATGGTTGAATGTTTTAGGAGCAAGGTTCGATATTGACCCCAAGTTCTTTCGAAGACATCTACTGTTTGCATCGAGACCTGGAAAAAAACTGTCAAAGCCCACCGCGATACAAATACTCCCATCTTGCCACTCGGACATGCTGTCGTTACAAGTCACTACAATTAACGTGCAGAACCAAGACATGCAAACGAGACATCAGAATGAATTAGATACCCTGCGGAAAGAATCGTTTAAGAAAATAAGTACCTACACGAGCAACCTTGCTCTCTTGAACTCTTCAGATATGACCGCGGGCGATCCGTTTGCTCGAGAGTTCTCCATCCACGACTTGGACTGCTCTTCATTAGAGCAAGCGATCTCGGTCTACATCCCTTCTGCTTCAAAAGGCCGGCTAGGCATTGTCTGGCATGATGGTTTGAGACAGCTAGGTGATGAGGAGTTAAAGTGGCCATGGCAGAGTGGCAGCAGCCGTACAAACCCTTTTCTGAAATATCTACCAAAACCGCTGCACAATTCCGGGATCTCCAACAGCAGAAGAAGAACACTCAGAAACCAACCCCAATCTACCGAGCCGTCAACAAGAGATGATTTTGTCTTAGCAGACTACAATGGACATATCGATCTACTACGTGCAGTTCACGATCCCTTATACGCCTTGAGCCCGTTCTTCAACTTGGCAATTTCGTCTGAAATGGCAATCCTAGATATTCTTGACACCAAGATTAGAGAGGAACTCGATCATTCTCATCTAATTGGCAATAACAATCCGACTCTGTCAAATCTGCTCTATCATCAGCAAGTCCTTGGGCGCCACATTCGAAACCTCAAAGGAACTATCGGTGCCATCGAGTCGCTATATGACCGGAGCATAACAGGAAACATGCCAGATAGCGATGTAAGGGCGTCCCCTACACGGGAGGTCGAGTCGATTCTGGGAGATTACCGCGCGGCACTTACATACGCCGAAACCCTAGCTGCCGAGTGTGTACAGGGGATGACCATCACAGCTCACAGTGCGACTATCCGCGAGTCCGAAAAGGCCGTGGTCGAAGCCCAAAGCGTGACAAAGCTCACTAAATTAGCAGTCTTCTTCGTGCCTCTATCTTTTGTGGCTTCATTGTTTGGTATGAACGTGCGTGAGATCAACCCTGGCAGCACTCCGCCATTTTGGTCATGGGCTGTAGCATCTCTTGCCGTAGGAGCTATTACCTGGGCACTGTTCAAGCATGATGAGATAGAAAAGTTCACCGGGAGAGCTTGGAAGAGTTGTGCCGGGAGGATGTATAGAGGAAGCGACAGCCTAGATTACTCGCCCTAGGGACACCATTAGCACGGTTAGGATCGGATTTCTTGGTCGCAGATTTGGCAGTGAAAGCGGTGATCAAATCCGAGCAACAAACATTTTTGTCTAGCATCCCATCCATTTTCACATTCGAATATGAACACGTAACGTAAGCGCAGTGACACGTTTCACATCTCACAATATGCACAGACTTGAGCGGGATTCACTAGGGCGCCAAGCCAAGGCAGCAAGACTAGATTTGGGCCGTTATCACACATTCCACGGCATACACAAACTTGAGCGGGGTTACCGGGGCGCTAAGCCAGGGCAGCAGAACTGGATTTGGGCCGTGATTTCCCTCTTTCACATCACCAGAGAGGAACTCTATTGTCAATAGCGATCGACGAATGATTTCATAGAAGAAATTCCAGATCGAGTTGCTCCAATGAATCGCGAGAACTTCGCTCACGGATCAATACCGTGCATGTTGGGCTGCATCTTTTGCGGTCAGCTGAGTATGCGAATATTTCTAAACCAGCCCCATCTCCGGTATGTTCTGTATGGTCAGACTTATTTCCCATAGACCTATGTAGTCACCTTCTGAATTAATTTCTATTCCGGTACGGTACCAGACAGTTTCTCCGTACGCAACAGGGGTGTTAATCACAATTAGCACGTGATATGGTAGCCAGACTGTTTCAAGTAGGTTTAACTCTCTCTACTGTCTTCTCTGGTCATTTCTCTTCCTTCATCTGATATCACAACCCTTTGCGACAGCTCTCATTTAGTGACGGTGCTCACGATGGCTGTTGTAGGCAACATAGACTTCCTCGCGAGGGACGTCTTGTATGATAAACAGAAACCTTACAGGATGAAGTTTGTTCCACCGTCTGGCTTCCCATGGTCAAATATAAAGACCGAAATCAAACCTCAAAGGATCGAGGATATTCGGGGTCGCGAAAAAGATTTTTCTCTGAGCACAACTGGATTTTCCCTAGAATCGTTTGACTCCGGCATGTCTTACGAGGATTTCGACGACGAAGATAAGGTTGTTCAAACATATTTGCCAAATGTTTGCAGGCTCCTGAAATCTATGCTCAATCCATCCAGGATACAAATTTTTGAGTTTCTTGTTCGTTCGCCTCGATGTTCTGCCTCTCCGCTTGAAACTAATGAAGCAGGTTCGGAAACGGGCCAACAGCTTTCCAATAGCAACAGATACTACGTATGAAGACCATCAACCCACAACTGCAGCACACATTGGTTTGTAAATGATTCCTCTAAAGGTTCCGGCTTCCGCGTGCTAAAGTTTCGTCGAAGATATGACGAATGAATGGGCAAGCATTCTTGCCCGTCGCCTGAATCACAAGAACGGAATCCATCAGCTCCCTGGAGAGCACTATCAGTTCATAAAGTTTGTTTCTCTGCTTAACGTGAATAGCTTGGCCACAACTAATGTTGGTCACAGTGTTTGGGCACCAATTCGCGGACCTGTTCAAGATTGGCCTTTGGCACTCTGTGACGCATCCAGCCTCAGTCCACACGCTCTTCACGCCGGAGATGTTGTGTTCCAGGACTTTCAAACAGAAAATCTTTTGCTAGAATACTACCCAAAACATCAATGGTACTATGCCAGTGACCAAATGCCCACCGAAGCATGGGTGTTTCTCCAAGGAGACAGCAAGGGGCGTCCTTGTCAGTAGACCAGCCTTACACGGTCACTCAAATGTGCGCTGACATTTTCCTAGGTGTTCCACATTCTTCTTTCTTTCATCCTAGCGCCCCAGAAAAAGTCCAACCAAGACATAGTATTGAGGTGCGGGCCCTCGTCTTCACATCATGATGGCTCCGCCTTATCGGAACCTACTGGCGGCAATTTGTAATCTCTTCTTTTCCAACAAGAAGCTATATAGTCTGCCTGGAAGAATGACAGAGCTTGGCATTTTACATTTCCGCATCCAGCCAGTATAAATTATGATTATGGTCCTTATATCACACGCTCGGACTTGGCATCAAAGTAGCTTTAAGATAAACTGCCATTAATGGGATGAAACGTAATAATATGGGCTACGGTTGGCTACAGTGACTGCACTTGAACTATATGTATACATATTTGTAAAAATCCAAAATTAATAACGGCTGACTAGCTATGCAAGAGTGCAATGTTTTCAAATGTAATGTGACCAGGTCCTGTATTTTTTTTCCCGAAATATACGCTTTCAAAAATATAGAGGGGTTTCAATTTTTCGCATTTTTGATTTCTGGTACACACAAGCCTGCTTTGTCAATTGCGGGTCGTATTAGACACGTCTTGAACGGGCAGATCATGGCGGAGACACTTCATATTCCTTGCTCTGCGAATTAGTAACCACACCATTTATTCATTCGTAAGGACTTACTCATTGTCATAATCACCTGTATCATACAGGATTGTAACGTTGACCTCCCCGGCAGAACCCGGGTTTGTCATCTTCTCCCCAATAGCGGCACCATAGAAGATATCCTTGTCGCTAGCCCTACTTTGACCGAAGCTGTCGCTAACAGACTTCCAGGGCTGCTCTAATTTCTGTGCTCCTGTTTCCATTGTTCAGGTTTTTCTTTCTATCCTTGAAGGTGCGGTAGCGATTGTTGACAAAACGTGGGCAATTCCTCGAAATCGAAAGGCTGTGTCGCGTTAGACATCGCGGGAGTCCAAAAGCGCGAACGCCTTCTTTGCACGTACATGTTCCTGAGCCACCAAGTCAAACGGCTCAAAGTGGCGTCCTATTTCACGGGTGCTCTGAGCAATGAGTTCTCTTGATTTTTCGTGCTCTAGAGTGACGTGTCTGGGTATATGAGGGCGACTGAAGTATTATTTGAACCCCTTTCCTTCTACACCACGGTACACCGCCTCTTTCAGCCTTATCTACTTTGGGTATACATACACAGCATCTACTATTTGAACTTCTGTTTATTTTCAATATTGAATTCGAACACAGGTCTGAAACGGAATCAATTTAATATGACCGATTGAGGTTGTACAGAAGTCATCGAACAATGTTCGATCTGATATGGATATTCCTCTATAATAGAACAGAAACCGCGTTCTCATCCATTAGGTGTGCTCACGTGTAGTGTTAGTATTGAATTAATTACATCACGTCAGACTTTCAGAAATTATTGTTAGCAGTGTGACCCAAACTGGGGAGCTTGGACCCGCGGTATCCGCTGGACATGCTCAAATTGGCTTAGTGGCCATGCGGGAGCACCGACTAGGTGACGTGTCCCACGCCCCCTGCGGCACGCTTCATGATCACCTGGACAGGCTGGGCTACTATCTGTTGGCCTGCTTGATCGATTACCAGTATGAGATATGTATAATAAAACACTTCTATTAGTTAGATCTTCCGAATGTAACTACGATTGTCCAAAATTCAATTTTGCATGGATTCTTAGGCAACATTTAAATTATCTCGCTAAACGATTTGATCCGCATGACACCCTCCGGAGAGACCGAAGATCCGTGCCTCCTGGAACGAATACCACGAGTATATCTGATTGGTTTTATGCAGGTTTGGCTTTCACTTTGGGAGAAATATTCCTACCTAAGCCGTGTTATGTAGGGGCAAGGGTGTGCACCAACTGGATTTTTCAAGATGAGCGAACTTGCCTTATCAAACCCTTTCTGTAGCACAATTTGGAGTGGTGTGTTGGCACCATGAGGCTCTATTGTTCCTACTATCAGGTCGCTGTTTCCTATCCTTGACCTTGAGAGACGTGAACTTCGATCACCGCCGGTATCACCCATTCCTCGCCTACATGCTATTCGTGCTACACCCAACCTAAATTGACGGCATATACAGAACAGGTCAGGTGATAAATATGCATCGGGCTCGAAGCTCATCGTCATCTCAGCCAAGCTCCTTGCGGAAGCTTAAAGTCGTAAAGGAGGGCACCCAGAACATCCAGTACGCCTCCCATCCCCCCGAACTGCATGCCGTACAGTATCTCATTATCTAAGCATTATTCTCGTGCCGGGCATAGGGACCCCTCCTTGTGATTCCTGGTCCCTCTGCAATCAGCCTTGGATCAATGTCTTCGCACAACTGAACATTGGGGTTACCATTCACTCGTACAATTATGATGCGTCTCTGAACGACCACTTCTCCTGGCAGCATCTCCTGGACGAGGGAGCCGAGTTTCTTGAAAAGCTTCAAACTTTTGTAAATCATCAGAAGGTAGCCATCTCTTCCCTTTGTTTGCCCACTTACTAAGAATTTAAAGAAATCGCAGCCTCTACTGTTTATATGTCATGGCCTTGGCGGTGCCATCGCGAAAGAGGTGCGACGACCCAATTCTAAGTCAATAGCAAGGAAGGGTACAATATGCTCATATCAAAAAGGCACTCTGTGTCGCTGGCACGTCTAATGACCAGTACTCTGACCTCTTGAAAACCGTGGCTGGCATTATGTTCATTGGTACTCCGCACCGCCTCGAAGGAGTGAGCGAAGAGGAACTTAGTGATCGATTCACCCGCATTCTCAAGCTCGATTTCAACAATGGCACGGTATTAAGTAATAGGTCCCTCGGACGACTTAAAAAAGATTTCAAGTTGATTCTCGACATCGCGGATCGTTTCAATCTGGCGAATTTACGTTTGAACATATTATCGATCTTTGAGGAAAGAAATACTCCCATAAAAGGCATCAGAACCTTGAGATCTAGGACGAGGAAGTTAATGGTTCGAAGCCAAGTTTACCTCATGTTAAATTCTTCGATGCGAGCTAACCCCACGCCTCCTAGGTCGTTGACGAGCCTTTCTGTTCGATTAAGATATCTACAGAAGACAGACTCGGCGTGCCGCTTGACCATCTTCAACTTCCCTTTATGCGTGAGGAACACGGCGCTTCAATATTGCAGATACGGCGCTGGTTGGAGTCAGTCATTCATCTCTATGGTACGAAATTTTCGTTCGTGGCATCGTCGATCCGGCTTACTGAACCAATATAGACGGAGCTCAAGATGTGGAGAGTTTGAGGGTGGAATTGATGAGCAAGAACTTATTGCTGAACCAGCCCCATCAATGTGAGTTACATAGATACCATAGATCATCCATCACTGACATTCCGCATCAGCTGTCACGCAACAGGCTGCTAAAGCCTCCAGTGGGCCACAGCCTAGCACGCCCTCTTACAGTAATACTGAGTCAAGCCCGGAACAAAAATCTCTCGAGGCTCTCCTGGAGAACTTTTCTGTGGAACGACGTGACCCCCAGATACCTTGTTTCATGATGGACACATACGTGAGGAACAAGGACTTCTACGGAAGACAAGATGTTCTAAGCAAACTTGATGACTGCCTTCTCCCTCCAAATGACCCGCTGACATCTTCGCAACCCGACCAAATACGCGTGGGAATATTATGCGGCATGCCTGGTCTGGGGAAGACAGAAATCGCCATCGAATACGCTTTCGCTCGCAAAAACGACTTCGATGCTGTTTTCTGGATCCGAGCCGATGATGTGTCCAAACTTGAATCGGACCTTGCCCAGATCGCTATCGAATTAGAAATCCAGGACCCCAAAGAGCCAGATGACAAGGTCACCAATAAAGGTCTCGCAATTGAGTGGCTTTGCAACCCGTCTAAGAAAGACCGTGGTACAGGCAACCAAGTGCGAGCCTCATGGCTGGTTGTGTTCGACAACGCCGACGAACCTGACATCCTGGCGCCATATAGTGACATCGCTAATAGCGGAGCAGTCTTGATCACTAGCCGCAGCCCCCTCTCGAGGACAAGCTTCTCGCAACATGCAATCTGTATCGATGTCCAGACGTTCAATCAAGAAGATTCTGGGCTGTTTGTTCAAAAGTTTTCAGGGATTCAGGGCCGGCTTGAAGAAGCAAGACAGGTTGGTGACCGACTAGGTGGGCTGCCACTTGCGCTAGCTCAGATGGCTGGCATAATTAGGCTCGACTTTCTAAGCTATCCTGAGTTTATGAGACTTTATGACGCTGGAGATATCAACGAGATGGAGGTTCAACCGTCCCGGGAGCCGGCTCGTGGCAACGTGTCAACAGTCTTGGAGAAGCTGTCAGCTGCTGCACAGGCAATTCTGGAAATCTCATCGTTTTTGGACCCAGACAGTATTCAAGAGAAGATCTTGATGAACCATGCTACTGATGTGGATATGCCCTCGTATCCTAAGAAACAGGTTGCTTTTTACAATGCTCGGAAGCAACTGATTGGGTCCTCCATATTTCGTCACAATCAGGACACGGCTGAGTATTGGATGCATCGTGTTACGCGAGACGTTGTGCGTCTTCGAATCGAGCCTGAGCGACAACGAAGGGTATTTTTGAACGCTGTCACCATGGTTGCAGCTGCCTGGCCGATTGGAGAAGTCGAGGGCCACGATGTCAAGCTATGGGAGACATCCAAAGCACTCTATCCGCATGTAATCAGTCTGGAAGATGCCTATAGAAAACACTTCAAGCATGGCGAATATGTTGACGGCGACTTTGAATTTGCTGGACTTCTCAACCGCGCTGGATGGTGGGTGACCTTTGTCCTTATGATGCCTTATCTGGACAACGTTTCGCGCGAATTGCTGACCCATATGAAGGTACCAACACGAACGCGGCGAATCGCCTATCATAAAACCATTATTGGAGCTGGCCCTAGACCTCTGCAATCGCAGCAAAGACATCGATCACCAGGACTTAGAATCCGACATCCGGCACACACTTGGAGCAGTCGCCAGCGGGACAAACGATGCAGCCAGCAGCATGGACCATAATAAGAAAGTGCTGGAGATACGCTTGGGTATCGCAGAGAAATTAGGAGCGGTGGATGAAAAACTCGCTAGCGCCTATAACCAGATGGGTATCTCATGGATGATGGCTGGCGAATGGACCAAGGGCGAAGAATGTTTTGCGACGTCTGCACGGGAGTACGAAAAAATCCCGGACTATACCAAAGATAAGCGTTCGCTGGCCCTTGTAAATCTTGGGACAACGCAATGGCTCCAGGGAGACTTGGCACGGGCGTCTGAAGTGCTAGAGATGGGCCTCGCAGATCGAGAAGAAATTTATGGAGTCATGGACAACCATTGTTTCAGGTAAGGGATCTGCTCTACTTTTACTCTGCTTTTTGTTTCCCGCTTAGCTAAAGCTCCAATTCTTACTGGCAGGACCGGTCGCTTCCTGCACGCACTTGGAAACGTGCGGTTCTCTCAGGGCCGAATCAAGGAGAGTGAAGATTTCCATCGACGGGCCCTTCAGCAGTACCAGTCAACCATCCGCAACCGCCATCATCGAACTGCAGATGTGTGCCATAAAATGGCACAGCATTGCCTTCGCAACGGGTTTTTTGAAGATGCAATCGTATTCATCGACCAGGCCCTCAAGAATTGGAGCGTCGACTCAGAAACATATGCTCGGGAGATAGCGCGAACTTCATACCTAAAGGCTAAGGTGCTTTCGGAAGCTGGGCAGGAGGATGAGGCAACAAAGTTGTTGCAGAAGGCGGCATTCATAAGACACAAGATCACGGGGGTGGAGAGAGACGGCAAGGACCTGCAAGAGGAAGACTTTGACGAACTGGTCACATTCTGGTCAAGATAGAAGATAAGCCACTGTCAGATTATATATGTGCCTGAATACCTGATCATTCTTGGCTTGATATGCCCTGATTTTTCATTTTTATGTTTTGGCTAAACATTCTCATCATCACATCTACTTACTTTTTTTTTAATAGTTTGCCTATTTTGATCTACTTGATCTGTTTGTCAGCGATGTATACTAACATGCATACTTTGTCTACTTTGCCGTTTCTATTTACAACATGAAAATTGGCCCAGATCCTGTTTCCTGTACCCATGTCACTACCCCGCACGAACTCTGATCCTGTCTGGCAATGGATATCGCCTCTTTGATGTATGAATATACACGAGAGGCTTTAAATATGAAGTAGTGGTAATTTAGACGAATCGACTCAGTTCTGATTATCAAGGCGTATCCATATGGAACTGGATTGAATTATTGTTATCTTGCTGTTTCTGTTAGTTCTGAGTGCTTAAATAGCTCTGTGTGCCCAGGTGGAAATGGCAACCAATTACTCTTCAATTACTTTTCACTTGTGCTTCAGTATTTTTATAGAAAATAGATTTTTTTTTCTATTATTTATGTGATGTTATTTCTAACACACATAAAAATTACTTTCACCTGATCTTCATAATTGTCTTGCCTTGCCAATATTTATACTGACAAATCTGTGGCCTTGCCCGCCAATAGACCACGCCACGACCCGGACCGATCCTCAGGGTCACAAACTTTTGTCAGGGTCACCCTGAATATGACCCTGACTGCCCTGAACTGCATAATTCTTTTACCACTTTCCTAATCGAGATCAGTATATTCGCTGCCATATCATTATAAATGGCTGTTTCTCATTGATCAAACGTGTTACATTCCTGACCATGTATTCGATAGTTTAGTTCACTTGCGTATTGAAGCTTTAAATGTGCTATGTGCATGGATAGGGGATGATAATAGAAGGCATTGCCCTGAGCTATTAGGCCGACGATACCATTTCATGTTGCCCAGTCTAGGTGTCCGGAGATAAATGAATTGATTAATGAAACGATAAACATGAATTGAAATTGTTTGAATTATTATGAGCTCGAAATCTTGCGCACAAGAAGACAGCTTATCTTCTTCAAGTCTAGCAGGAACATCAACTTTAACAATAATGTTGTGGTGGTGGTGTTTATTGACGTCCTGTGGGGACGACAAAAAGAAATGCCCACTACCAGATTTGAACTAGTGATCTTTGCATTACAAGTGCAACGCCTTACCCCTTGGCCAAGCGGGCTTTCATTATGTAAACAATAATCTTATAATAGCTATTGTCAATTGCATGATTTCTATCTATATTTGATCACACGACTTGCCGCCTGGCAGAATGGCAACACGCATCCCACGCCATTCGAGGTGAGAACATTTCAAGACCCGCCACGGCTGCACTCCACGATGACACCATCGCAGATCATTATGTGCTTTGCACGGAACAAGTAATAATGCAGTTCCATCAAGCTTCTCGAAGACTACTAACATCATTATTAGGCAATTATACTAGACCCTGAAAAATGGGGCTGGCAAGGTGGATTAATCAGCCCCGGATCTGGGAAGAACCGGATATTGAGAGCTTTCCACGAGCTTCCGAGCTGCGCGGGAATGATTTCTCAGCGCTAGACGTTCCTCTAACCGAATTCGACGCTGCTACCTGCTTATTAAAAGCATAATGGGGTGAAATCGGGTTAAAACCGAGCTTAGGCTTCCAGGTTTTAGTGGGTACGGAGGACCAGAAAGACCAAAGATGCTGAGAATGCAAGCACGCAATCACGCAATTTCAGGCACTCAGGCACCAACAAGCACGCCATCGAATTTTCAAGGACCCACTGTCAACCCCGATGTCGTGCTCAAATCAAATGGCGGCTAGGGAAGTCGGAAGTATGCCAGGCATGCTGAAAAATCACATCATTGCCTTTACAGCCTATATTATTCTGTGTCGGGCCTTGCTTCCTCTTCCTATTATCATCCCCAGATCCATTTTCGGTGCATTCAATTCTCTTGTGTACAGTTGAACACCTTATACCCTAAGGCGTTCATACTTCTATCTCCTCTACACATTACTCTTTGTGCACCTTTAAAATGCCGGCCAAGATGCCTGTCCACTACCCCTCCGATGGCGAGGGTTTTGACTCTCGAGACAATAACACCGAGTCTGGCTATGTCAGTGGTGGCTCTAGTGAAGAATACACCCCCGAGATCGTCTTCACCAAGCCTCATCTCCAGTTCTTGAACCGCCAGTTGCAGTTCCTCGAGCCTCAAGGTATGCTATCAGTCCAGAAACCCCGCTATAGTGAAATTTGCCATGTATGGTTTCTAACTCTTAATTCCTCATAGACATCTTGAGATGGTGCATTACATCGCTCCCCCATCTCTTCCAGACCACGGCCTTTGGCCTCACTGGCCTGGTTACTCTGGACATGTTGTCCAAGCTGGAAGTTCCCCGCCCCCAGATGGTGGATCTTATCTTCCTCGACACCCTGCACCACTTTTCCGAGACCCTTAACCTGGTCGACCGGGTCCGTAAGCGTTACCCATTGAACACCGTGCACGTTTACAAGCCTGCCGGTGCCGAGACTGCCAGCGAGTTTGAATCCAAGTATGGTGCCCGTCTGTGGGAGACTGATGATCAGCTCTACGATTGGGTTGCCAAGGTTGAGCCTGCCCAGCGTGCCTACCGCGAATTGAATGTCCATGCCGTGCTCACTGGCCGCCGCCGCAGCCAGGGTGGCAAGCGTGGTGACCTCGATGTCATTGAAGTTGACGAGGCTGGCCTTATCAAGATCAACCCCATGGCCAACTGGTCCTTCGACCAAGTCAAGCAGTACGCTCGAGACAACAACGTTCCTTACAACGAGCTCCTCGATCGCGGTTACAAGAGTGTCGGTGACTGGCACTCCACACAGCCCGTTGCCGAAAACGAGGACGAGCGCTCTGGCCGTTGGAAGGGTCAGCAGAAGACCGAGTGCGGTATCCACAACCCCCGCTCTAAGTACGCCATGTACCTGATGGAGATGGAGCGCAAGCGCCAAGAAGAAGCTTTGACATCCGCATTGCAGTCCCAGCTTTCTGCTACTGCGCAATGATCCTGTCACTTCTTTTTTGTGCTCCGCACACTCCATCGCATACCCTTGGCGTTTTAATGATACCTCCCCAGCCCTTTTTTTTTAATTTTTTTTTATCCCCGTTCTAGCGGTGCGAATCGGCTCTTCAAAGACCGACGCACATTCATGATATTCTTCCTGTTAGACAAAAACAGCCTACTCCCCACCATTGTATATAGGGAGTTTGGTTTCCGCTCACGGCCCTCACTGGGATCGCCGAGACATGATAATGATTTCCCGCAGAAATAGAGACAAAAGTATAATCTGTGTCTTCAATGAACATTTATTTCTTCAACCCATGAATTTCAAGTATTTCTGAACATTAATTCTTTTTGAAATCTTATTTTTGTGGAAAAATTATCCAAGTGTCGTTGGAAAGGATCTCACGTGCAGCCCACCAACCCTAAGTTTAATCCCGTTGCAAGTTATTGAGCAACCACGGTCTTGCAAATTTATGTCACTATCACATTTGGCAGCCTTTTACTAATTATGGAGTCTGGTTCTCTTCCAAAGAAAGAAGAATGATTTTACTGGTAAATAGCCCAAGTAAGCACTTTGTAGTACACATGACTTGATACCCGCCTAAGGTAAATCGTTAGTCATTTCTTAGACGACTTCCTGCTAAAGAAAATCTTGTACAACCTTGGAAATCATTATTTGATGCCCCAGTGCCCAAATCACATAACCAAGTTTTCTACTTGTACCCAGTACTGATTTATTGCGACCGACAAGGAATTTCCATCCACTGTCACACACCCACACTCATGCGAAGTGTTTGATTCAAACAAGCTAAATTGCCTGAGCAAATGTCACATTTTTCAACAGATGCCCAATAATCATCTTGAATCTCTGAAAAGTACTTCTTTGATTATCATCTTTACTTTGATTAGGGATGACGCAAGCCAGGGCAGAACCCCACCAACTGGACACGTGACGGGCCCAAGATCGACAATGTTTTTTTGGAAACTTAAACGTTGATCCAAACTCAGTTCTATCCAGTCTAACTTCCTATTTAAACGCTTCAGTGAAAGGCTATGGCTGACCACACCTCCTCCCGCCAGCGGCCTTCGCTAGGTCAAATGCGCAGCGCCTCGTTCCTACAGGACCATCAGCAATATAAGCCCCCGCTTTCCATCAACCAGAACATCGGCGAGGTCCTGGGCACCCAACTTAGCGAGAGCCTCTCGATCAACCCAATCAACCCAGACCCCGAACGAGTCCACGACAGCGGTGTAACTCACAGCATCTTCAACCACCAGACTCACCCCCTCGAAACCGGTACCCCGCGCATTGTCGCAACCATCTTCTACAAATCCTCCAACCCCGTTCACCCCCACTACCACCCCGATGCCTCGCCCAACCCGGCTCCAGGCAAGAGACTGCCTTCACCACAGGTTCCTGAAGGTTCAGCTCCCACAGAAGACATGGACAAGTTTCCTCGCGAACCGCCTGCTCCGGAACCGGAGCCGCTGGATCACATCTATGGACCCTACGTCTCGCAGCTGTGCTTGACCAACTTCCTGCAGACGCTCGAGTCACTGCCTACACCATACCAGCGTATGAACACTTCACACCGCTGTCTGGACCGGAGCGCCCATCCCCGCGTTGTCGAGGTCACATTCTCTCCTCCTCCGGACCCGGAGTACCTCTCTTTTGCGGACCTACGCAAGCACGAGAGTATCTGGCGCTTTGAGCGCGAGTGGAATGTCGAGGTTGTTTTGCAGCAAGAAAGCGTCTTCCGCCGACACAAGCGCTTGGCTGTGTTCGACATGGACAGCACCCTTATTGAGAACGAGGTGATCGATGAGATTGCCAAGTTCATTGGAGTAGAGAAGCAGGTTTCTGTACGTTTTCTGGTTGTTTCCTCATTGCCAAGCCATTCATAAACTAACTGTGTATAGGAAATTACTGAGCGCGCGATGAACGGCGAACTGGACTTTGCGGCATCGCTTAAGGAGCGTGTCGGCCTCCTCAAGGGCGTCCCTGCTGATGTCTTCGAAAAGCTCAAGTCCGTCATCACCATCGCAAAGGGTGCCCGCGAGCTCACTGCCGCATTGAAGATGATGGGATACAAGATGGCTGTTCTTAGCGGTGGTTTCCAGCCTCTTGCAGAGTGGTTGGCCGGAGAGCTTGGACTCGACTATGCGGTCGCCAACCATGTAAAGACACCTCAAAAATTCCACCTTACCAATGGGCATCTTAAAACTAATCGAATATCTAGCTTGAAATTGACACCGAAACCCAGACTCTGACCGGCAGACTGGTCGAGTCGAAGCCTATCATCGACGCTGCCCAGAAGCGCACTCTTCTCAAATCTATCGCTGCCGAGAACAACATTCCCATTTCGCAGACACTGGCTGTCGGAGATGGTGCTAATGATCTTCTCATGCTCCACGAAGCTGGCCTTGGTGTCGCCTGGCGCGCCAAGTCCAAGGTCCAGCTCGAGGCACCAACCCGTATTAACGGAGAGAGCTTGGTCGATATTCTCTACCTGTTTGGTTTGGAAAAAGATGATATTTCCGAGCTTACCAGCAAGGCGCAATAAGTGACCTATGCTTCATCTGAGCCCACTCTTCTTAGAGGATCTGTCTTTGGATCACAATACCCATTTTGTCCGTTTTTTTATTGGACGCGATACAGGTGACGCTTGCAGCTACCTGTTTCAGGGTCTATTGATACTCATTTCGTTTTTTATGTTTTGACGCACAGCCTCTATGTCAGAGGAAGAGGAGGATCTATGAGCAAGAGGGTCTTTGCCGTGCGGTATGTAGCCGATCCGGCATGTATCTCTGTTATTTCCTTGGGCGTAGGTGCAGTTGGTTTCGTCGAATTAGGACTCGTCCGGACGTAGAGCTTAGCTCTAGCTTCACGATCGATACGTAGTCTACTGAGATACACGAATGAGAAGAATTCGGAAATAATGTGTTCTAAAGATTGCTTTATATGATTGATTGTAAGAAATCCCCCAAGCGCCGGCAAAATAGACAGGATAGAAACCGTTGGTGATACAGGACAATGTTGAAAAGTAAATGGAATCCCAACCCAAACCGAAGCCAAACCAGAATAATGCAAACTCGGCGCCGAGTGAATAGTTTATGACCCTCCGTCAAGAGTCAAGGACCATGCGTGGTATTTTGTTGAATAAAGGACTGAAACAAAACCGAAACTAGCGAGTCGCCTCGCCAGCCTGAGAGACAGGCTGCTCAACAGTCTGCTCTGTAGTTGCGGCTCCAGATCCAGCACGGCGCTTCTTCAACACATTCTCAATGAAAGCCTCGCCGGCCTTGTAACTGCTGCGAACCAATGGTCCAGAAGCACAGTACAAGAAACCCATATCCAGTGCGCGCTGGCGCCAAGCCTCGAACCGATCGGGTGTAACGTACTCATGAACAGCCATATGCCGCTTGGTAGGACGCATATACTGGCCAAATGTGACAACATCAACATTGACAGCACGCAACTGGCGCAGCGCATCCCAGAGCTGCTCATCCGTCTCACCAAGACCCAGCATGAGACTGGTCTTGGTGATCAGATCAGGCCGGGCAGACTTAGCAGCCTCCAGCACTCGAATCGACTGCTGGAAAGTAGCGCGACGATCACGCACATGAGGAGTCAAGGCCTCAACAGTTTCAACATTGTGCGCATAAACGTCCAATCCACTCCGCGCAACCACCTTGGCCATCTCCAAATCCCCACGGTAATCACCAGTCAAACATTCGACCAAAATATTCGGCGCCTTAGACTTGATCTTGATCACAGTCTCAGCGAAGTGATGCGCACCTCCATCCGCCAGGTCATCACGGTCCACACTGGTCAAAACCACGTATCCGAGTCCCCATCTAGAGATAGCCTCAGCAGTATTCTCCGGCTCGTGCGGATCCAGCGGTGCAGGTGCACGATTTGTCTTAACACTGCAGAATCGGCATCCACGTGTACACTCATCACCCATAAGCATGATAGTAGCGGTTGCAGACGCCTTATCGCCTCCGCCCCAGCAATCCGAGATATTGGGGCATCGCGCCTCCTCACAAACGGTGTGGAGATTCAATCCCCGAAGATCCTTCTTCAGGCGCTGGTAGTTCTTCGAGTCCGGGATGGGGGTCTTGAGCCACTCGGGAAGCCGGGTCATTTCCTTCTTGCGGCCGGCCGGGCCAACCATGGCCTTTTTGAGAGCGTAGGCTTCTTCCGGTTCAAGGGGTGCATTGTCTGATCCGCCAGAGACGAAGTCGGAGAAGGAGGGGCCGGCATTTAGTTTGTCTTGGAAGGAAGTCTTTCGCCGGCGGGTGATACCCGGTGTGTTGGTGGCGGAACCGTTGTCGGTCGTGGCATAGCTGCGGTAGTGGAGGGAGAGGTTGGATGTTGGGGCAGGTGAGAGGGATGTCCTAACGGACGAGAGATGCCGTAGGCTTCGTGATGCGGCCATTGTGATGTGTATGTGATATGTTGAGGTACAAACGATTTGAAGAGAAAGATAGCTGGGCTTTCCCGCGGGATTCTTTGGATGACTCAGCAGTGGAGATCTGGTTACGGCTTTAAAGATCCGGGGCGCTTCCCGAGACTCCCGTTTGTCACCGATGCAAGTCTATCACCGATAAAGTCTATTAATGCAGCTAATGATAAGTGAAAAAGGATTATAGCGATGGCTATTATTATTATGCTTTATTGTGGTGCTATAATACTAATTGTACATGTGACACGAGCTCAAGGATAGTCCGAGGAAAGCGACGCAATGCAAGGGTATGAAGATAACGAGAAAGAAATAGAGACAGTCAGACAAGTGGTGGATCCAGAGAACATGATCATTGAAATGAAGGAGAGTCATACCGGATGGCGACGATTGGGAATAGGAAATGGAAATATCAAAGAGAGGAGGTTGATAGAGATGTAGGAACTCGGGAAAGATAGGGAAAGAGAGGACGGGCCTATGGGGCTTTTACTTCCAATACCTGAGCGAGGACTTCGATGGCAGATTTTAGTGTTTCATCGGATCGGCCACAGACCGCAAATAGCAGGTTATCGATGATTCTTTCCACTTCCCGGCGTAGCTCTGCACTTCTAGAGCTAAGAAGTCGATCCTTGATGCGGCCTGGGGATCCGGATGGGAGCTGGATACCCAGCGTGCTGTATGCTTTGGCAGGGATGGCATCAATGCCGTAATTTTCGTTCCGCGCTATTAATGAGGGTTTGTGACGATGAATGGTTGATAAGGAAAGGAGGTAGTTGCGGGCAATGAGTGCTGCACAAAGACAATCCAATAAACTCTCGGTGACATCTGGAAATATTGTCCTAAATGGGCGTAAGAAGTCTCTGTCGTCGCTTTTTCGAACATGCAAGATGGCAGGTGAGGTGAGTCGGAGCATGTGGCGAGGAAAGTCTTTGACAGAATGCTCAAGTTGGTCAAGAGTCCATTGATGGTCATCCAAAGTCCACTCATGGTCTGCATCGTCCCATGGTGTTGCTTCATCTGATCCAGCCTTTTCGGACTTGATAGATCTCCGTGCCGGAGAATGATTAGGCTGTGGTGTTCCTTCTGGGCTCAAACTTCCAGATCTAATTTGAGGCTGAGGGGACCTTTCGCGCTCTCCCTGCGCGGTGTCAGGCCGTTCGCCAACCACGGTAGAGGTGACACTGTCCGAAGACAATGACCCTGGGTCAGTGTAGACATCATCATCTTTGCCGTCCTCGTATGTGGACAAGGAGTATCCAGACTCCCGAGTACCGTAACCACTGTCTGACATGTCCAGTGGGTTATCAAGGGGTGTGTCAGGGCTAAAGGCAGAAACTTCCTCTTGCCGCTGATCTGGTGTCATTGGCAGAGGGTGTGGTAGTAGAGATGGCGGAGGTGGCATTGATGGCGAGGACTGTCGAGCAATATCGACTAGTCTTGGTTTGTTTTTAGGTTTGCTTGCAACAGCAAATCTCTGGGAACTTGTCAGCACATCTGTGACTTGAATAGCGATACGCAGAAGAGACTCATTACTTACTAGTGGCTCGTCGAGAGACTTCTTTCCCGGCGTAAATGCAATTGTTCGAATTGGCTCTGGATCCATTTCAACGATCTGGACTTTCCGACGGTTGGATTCCTTGATATTTTCATTTTTTCCAGAGATCGGATCAAAGGGCACGCCTTTCAGCCATGTCTCACAATATGCCAAATTACTAGGTATCCAACTTGCCGAACTTGAAACAGTGGCTGTTCTCGGCCGTTGAGGTCTCGGCGAGCTGCCTGGAACATGACCGGCCATGGGCCCTGGAGGAGAATATATGGGGCTGGAGCGCCCATCATAGCTCGTGGTGTGTCTCGACTCATTAGCTTCGCATTGCCGGATGAGATGCGAATGCGCTTCATGGACACTGGTCACGTCTGTCCACCTTTGTTCTTCGGGTTGTGCGTGGGCTTCTTCCGTCCACCCGGGTGGGCGATAAGCTTTGTAATTCAGATCTGCGTCGACATCGTCCACTTCACTGTCGGGCCGACTGAACTCCTCCAGCTCAGGCAGACTAGGCTCTTTTTGTACGTCCTCATATATGCTATCCACAGCCCTTGGTTCATCCTTGCACTGAAAATATGAATCAGCTTCCGCGCTGCCTGCTCTTGATTCTGATATCGGGGGACTGGGTAGGAGACCGAAAGATGACATGCTAGTGGACGTCAAATTTTGGTCAGAGCGCCAATGTCGAAGTGTATGACCGCCTGGCAGCTTCGATTCTCTAGTCGACTTTGGGCGGAATGTCGGCGCACTGTCGCATGACACTGGCGAAGATGGGAGCATAAGCTGAAATGGTTCCTTCATTCTTCGAACGGAACGGAAAGGTGAGATGATCGGTGGCCCTCTGCTCGCGGGCCGCCGGGAGAGAGATGTTGCTGAAGAATCATGAGCCTCGCGATACAATGTGGGTGACGGCACGAATGACAATGTCGGAAATTGTCTGCTCCTCCTTCGGGGCTGATATGTGGGAGACCATCGGCGTGGCGAGGGGATGGGGTCAGCGAGTGACATGGCATCGTGGCTCGGCGCAGACGAATAACAGTCTTGGTTCTTTATATGAGTTTCAATCGGGGCCGGGAAGCATGCACTTCTCGGCATTTTGGCAACACCACAATCCATAGCGGACATGGTACTGCTTTCAGACGAGACGGTTCTAGTCCCAGTTCAATTTTTGGGAAAGCAACATGCGGTCGCACAAGAGTTACCCGGTTGAGAATGCAATGCAGTAGAGGAAACACTTAGCCTCCGCCCGATGCAGGGGCACAGTATAGCCTTATACAATCAGAGTGACACTAGTTTCGACTTCCAAGGACGAGAGGGTCACCAGGGTATACAAGGCGGCACATCCCTTGACAAGGAACTGAGTACCATGTGAACGAAGTCGAGGATGATCTGAAGTTTGGCCCCTTCAAGGTTTTTGGGTTTCCTTCTTGCACGAAACGAGCTCAGGTTCTCAGGCACGGGCCATCATAATAATGGTTGAGAATGAGAGTCGCGTTGTCCTTGCATGCCCGAGAAAGGCGAGATCGAAGCAGGCGGTGGGAGTATGATTGGCCCTAGATTGCTATTCATGGTCTGCAGGACACAGTCAACGTGGATAGACGCTCTGGCCGACACTTAATATCGTCATAGCTTGGGGCGAAGAATGAGACAAATGGGATGCAGAGAGGGGAAATAGCGAATCACAGCCCTTGGAAAGGGCAATAAGATCGACCACAGGGTGTGTTGCACTGTACCCGAGCGGGTCTTCATTGGCTCCAGTGTCTCGTTGCAATAGCAATGGGCGAGGCCCCTTCATGGGGTTTCTCACCCCTTGCATAGGGGTCATTCATGCCTGACCTGACTCTGAAACTTGGAATATAAATGATAACATGCTTCGTCATGGCGTGCATAAGTGAGGTTTTCTTTTCTTTTTGGTGTCAGCCTTCTTCGAACATGCCATGAAAAATGCCACGAATTCTCATTGACAAATTGGACTGGTCATCAGGATGCAATTCCTAGTTTTGGCTGGGCAACTTTCAATTTCGCGGATCTAGTCGCCATTCCGGTGGAGATTGACAGGTTCCATTCAACCTCGCTAAACCTCAAACAGGGCTTGTGAAGATGATAGATGTTAATTAGACTGTCCTATGAGATGCATAGAATTTAGACTCAACGCAACACGGATCAGATCTGATCGGAGCTGAAAAGAGAGTTTTGTATTGATCACATTCAGGTAGTTTCGCATCTCCCGGTACATGGTGGGCCTTTCTTAAAACAAACAATGCAAACATTTCTTATCTATCTGACTTATCGCAATTGGCTTTTTTTTTCTCGCTGGGAAGGAATGATCCTCAGTCTCCCCATATTTCATGCAAGTGCCCCATTCCCCATGATTTCAGAATCCTTCATAGCGGCGACGCTGTCATCCGCTAAAACTCCGACCGCCACTCTGCGCGATGTCGGCATTTGCGTGCATGAATTCCAGCCTGCGCCTCAGCTAAGATCCACTTTCAAGAAGAGCTCAACCACACCCAATTGCTTGGCTGTGAGTCCGTCGCATATTTTCTCGGCACAGGCTGATAAGGCCGTCGTTCATGTGTACAGTCGGGAAAAGGGAAATCAGGAGGCTTTGATACCATTTCCAGAGCGGATCCGCAGCATTGCTGTTGTCGGAGCCAAACATGGTGATGTGCTAGTCCTTGGCACGGAGGGAGGTCGTTTGATTCTTTGGGAGGTATGATATGTCAACTACGCTTAACTTTGGATATCTCAATTAGTGGACTCAGGCTAACCCGCCCTGTGTGTTTCAGACATGCACAGGACGTCAAGTAGCCACCACGGCCTCTCACCTGCAGCCGGTCACCTCGCTTGTCGTCGACCCCACCTCCAACTTCATTCTGTCGGGCTCCGCTGATGCCAGCATACACGTCTGGTCTTTACCTGGTATCCTATCTTTCTCCAAGCCCGCTCAAAGCCAAAACCGACAGCCACCAAACTCTCCCATTCGGACCTTCTCCAACCACCGTGCCGCTATTACATCTCTGGCTGTCGGACATAGCAATGGGCGGAACAACATTGCGGTTTCGACAGCGAAAGATAATACCGCTATTGTGTGGGACTATAACACTGGAAACGTTTTGCGAACATACCTCCTCCCATACTCGGCGACTTGTCTAGCTCTGGATCCTGTGGATCGAGCTGGCTACGTTGGATACGAGGATGGTAGCGTACAATCAATCGACTTCTACCGCAACGGCTCAGTACAGAATCCCCTCCATGACTCCTCCTTACAATCCACCCCCGCCCAAGTGTCTGCCGAAGACCGATGGCTTCCTCCATCTGCGGAATCTGGTGCTACTCGGGCCCTCATTCTTTCGTACGATGGTACTACACTGTTGTCTGCACACGACGGCGGCAAGGTTCTATCATGGAATATCGCGCGCAGAAAGTTCGCGACCACTGTTGCTGACTACACACACCCTGTGACCAATCTGGTCTCCCTTCCCCTACATGGCCTGTCAAACTCCTCACAGGAGCCGATTCGCACCCTTCACACCATCGTCAAGCCCCGTCATGACGGTGCGCTCTCGGGCCCTTCTCATGCTCCTGGTGCTGTTCCAACAGCATATGCTTTCCACACCCACCTGACCGCCCCCTCACATCTCCGATCCCGCCAGTCCTCCCAGTTCTCGCAAGCCCTCACCCATTCTGCCTTTCCCAACTCCATGATTGAGGAGGGTCTCGCTGAGCTGGCTGCCCTCCGACAACCGGGCGCTGAAGTTGCCCGTGTCACTTCTACAGCCTCGGTGGTTCCTGACACCTCAGTTGACGCCCAAGACAGTCGCGTTGCCGAGCTGGAGGCCGAAATTGCTTTGCTGAAGAAAAAAGACGCAGTCAATGACAAGACTCGGCACACTACCACAGAAGAGGTTGTGAAGCTGCGCTCGGACCTCGCCCACCTGCAAGATTACATCAACGAGATGCATGAAAAGCAGGAGGCATCTCAGCGTGACAAGGTGCAGCGGCAAGCAAGGAAGGAAGCTCGTGAAACCAAAAAACGGGAAGCATGGTTCGCTGCCGAAGGAAAAGGGCGCAATGGTGATGCAGTGATGAAGAAGATGGAAGTTGATGACGGCATGTTGACCAGCGACACGGATGATCAGAGCGACGAGTAGAGTTATCCATATTTTGATTAATTTGGGCTTTGGTCTACCTAAAATGGGAATGGCGCCGGGTTATACATTGGCATCTATACATTTGATGATATTTATTCAATGATATCAAATCAGATATGAACTTGGTCAGCTGGCAAATGTAGATAGCTACTACGACTGAATTTTACCTCAGCTCTTTCGTCAAGCATTCAATATCATTCATTTGCTCAGGCCATGTCTTCTCCTGATAACTTTCGCACCCATTCTTTGCATTAAGTGATGCATGTGTTGTCGCGAGACTGCATGGCAAGACTCTTCAGGTGATCGAGGAAAAAATCAGTGCGATTCAGATTAGCAACAAGAATGATATGGGGTGAATTGGTCTTCATTTTGGTTTATCAAGGATGCTATGTAAAATTTGCATCAATAGCTCTGCATCAATAGCAGTGCTTCTGCGCTCGGCTGAAGCCGAAGGATGTTTTGTCTGCTACAAGAGTAAAGAGATTCCTACAGACTTTAAACAAACGAGGAAATTTTTACGGAATTGATATGACAGATAGGCTTAGACCCTCATACTATAACTTTCTTCTTACTGAAACCTGTAATCGTTTTTCATGCATAGGGTGATATATGTCGGAAAGACTCATGTATATCTTTCCGCTTATTCACTGTGACGCAACTATTTGGTCATAATCTCCCCCCGAGATCACGATTGAGCACTTAAGGGATTTGACGATTCTCTTATAATTACGAATTCACACAGAATTTGGGAAATGTAAGATTATAGCAATATTGATGTGCGGGGCTGGTAGAACGCAGCCATCGAGCAATAATAGGGACATCTAGGCTTCAGAGAGCACCAAACAATTCTGCTTGGGAGTGTCAATGATTTCCAAACTACATATTTAAACAGTTCAAATGTTTTTGAAAGGCATCGAAGTGAAACAAAAGGGAAGACACAACATAAAAGGTATGAAGAAACGCCAGGGGTCTCACATGCAACATGAACCCTTTGCGATCCACAATGAACCACTTTATACACCTCAACGGAATTTCCAGACCCAACACCACGTGCTGGCTTCTCACTTGTACCCACTTAATTCTCCTGAAGACAGCCCCAGGGCCGCTTTGCCTCACTAGTAAAAAGCCACATTGCGGGGCAGTGATGGCAAATGAAATCATACCTCGCCACGATAATGCATAAATAGAGAGCAAGCCAACACACTCAGCAGCTGAATCTCAAGTCCCATAAATTAACGATATCAATGCGAAATACACATCGTATATAATCATTTGAGCCACAAGTCCCAAAATTCCAAGTCCCCAAAAATGCCCGACTCCTACGCCAGTTCTTCCTATTACTACAGTTCGTCCACCGACACGGATGAAGGCACCATCACTGCTACCGGGCACCGATACTCTACTACTTCGCATACCGACTCTGATGGAACGACTGTCGTATGTACGGTGCATCAAGATTTGGGAGAGCCTCCTGTGATTGAGGAGCGGCGCTATGATAGTACTGGTCAGGAAGAGGAATTAGCCCTTCCTGGTCCGGATGGGTCATCTGCTGGTGGGTTGAGACGGATCACAGACCTTGATGAGTAGGTTGGGTCTTTAGCTATTGTTGTATCCTAAAGTTGGGAATCAAAGAGATGACTGCGTGAAGCTTTTTATTATACATTTGATTTCCAATGCTGTTGTGCGTAAGGTTTCGCCGATGCCATTGAAGTGAACTGAGTATACAGTACAATCTCCCGATCGACTTTCAGGTCTAGTACAGTTGCACGTTCGGTGTCAGAAGGCCGTCTAGCATTTCAAACCGACGACCAGAGACCCGAAGGGTACCTAGAACGAGATCTAGTTAATTGTATCACAGCCGCAGAAATTTAGGCTGGCAAAATGAGACCATAGCTCTATGGCAAGAAGGACTCAGCTGAATGCAAAAGAGGTTCAGTCAATACTCCATGATATCAGAGAGGGTATCAAAGTATCCATCTCAACGCGTAAGATTGGGACGGGTATACAGCGCTTGCCTGGGCAGCCAGACGCGGTCAGGGGCCGTCATCAGATTCCTGATAGAATCGAGAGAAATTAAGAAAGACCTCCTGACCGCGCATGGATGGTCTCCTCTGATGCTCGCACGGGCTCGGGGGAATTGGGATAATGTGAAGGAGCTGGTTGGAATCCGAATACCAGTACCCAAGTGACGGAGAAAGGACGCCGGACGTCTGCTTTCGCGAGGTCAACGGAGAGGACAACAACGTAAACCTTAGAGGCGGATATCGCGATTATGGCAAACCATGGGTGGTGCTTTTATTGTGTCGCGACTTTACTGCAAGGGGAGAAAGGCACACGAGACCAATAATAGTCTACTGTACAGTAGATGAAAGACGTAACATATCATTGGTTGACTATTACTCCTTTCTCCACCTTGGGAGTAGCAAAGTGCTACCAAGGAATTAAGTCGGTTTCTCTACCGCCCTCCTATTTTACCATACGTGACCAAATAAAATCCTTCTCCTTTTAAATATTTTGAAGGGCGATGCAGTATTAATCCATGTCCATACATGGTATACCAGCAGAATAAAAAGTGGAGACTGACCTTTATCCCTTGGTGGCCCTGTACTGTAGGGATTGGAGAGAGAGGACAGGGTGGAAGGCGCCTTACCTTCTCACCCACTTGTAGTATTCCTGCATTCCAAACAAAATGGTGATGTAAGCGACCACATTACAGCTGGTCTTACGGGGCCGAGATGATATTCCTAAGCCCGGCCATCTTTCGAGGCTAACGCGTTATTTGATGTTCTCTCCGTTCCTAAGAGTCGCGTTTTATCCATCAGGAATTGCTTGGGTATCATTAGTGCTATGCTTGAGCTTCTAATTTGTAATTTAGTCAAATGTTTTGGTCTGATGTATTCGGAGCTGGAAGGGGCGGCATTATCATCTGTAAGGGGGTATTGAGGTTAGGAATGCGCCTTAGATTAACGAATATCTCTTGGAAAGCTTTACAGAACCGCTAAGATACTTACATAGCAAGGCCTCCAGTCGATGTTCTTCTCCCCGGATCAGCCATAGTATACTTTATACTCTTCGGTGTTCCTGCCTGAACAATGGGTATGGACGAAAAGCACGAGCCTGAATGCGTCCCGCTTGTTACGAGTGAGTTGGATTACAGTCGGTATTGGGTTGTCGACGATAAAGGCGAAAAGTCCAAGACTCGATGTTCCTCCCTATGTCTCTGGCTTCTTCTGTTGGAGTTGGCAAATGTGGCCTTTTTTATCGGTGGATACTTTATTCTGATACAAGCAAGAGAACCACATCAGCATCAATTGGATGACTGTAAGTTTAATGTTCCTCGTCACGGAGAAATTACACCAGAAAACCACTTACACGTTCCAGATGGATCTCTTTCTCAATTCAACAGGACCTGGGACTATAGCAATCATAGTACTGTTGGTGAGCCCCACGAGAGTGGAAGCTTTTACCATGAGACTTGGGACGACATGGTCGGGCGTAAGTGCTCTCTGGTTCAATTAGTGCAATGTGCTCATTACTTTAGACCATGGCATTGTGTCCGTCACCGAAGAGTGGGCAGCTCAGCATGGCTTGCCCCCGAGTCTACCGACCCCCGATACACCAGGAGAACTGGTCTACCAAGTGGATGGCTTTCATGCTATGCACTGTTTGGTGAGTTTTCGACCTAATCAACAACACCTTACATGAGTTCATATTAACACAATACACCACTTTGGCAGCAAATGATCCGAGAGAATTTGGTGGAAAATTATTTCTTCGATAACCACACACGGCATTGCCTGGACTACATACGCCATACATTGATGTGCAACATGGACATCACACTCACTGGCATGGATGATAAGGAAAATCTGTTGGGAGCTGAGACGGGTTATGCGATTCATACCTGTCGAGATTATGACGCCGTTGTTCGTTGGACTGAGACCAACAGGTGGAAGAATCTCTCGAAATGGTATGTACATAAACATAATCAATAGCGATTCAAAAGGGTCCAATATTGCCATCCAAGGTGTCCCAGCCTATAGCCCCAAACCACCCAAAACGTAGGCAAAATGCCGCCTATAGCCGCCTAAAGGACGCCTTAGTAAAGCGGCGAGTTGCCTAGCGCCGAACGATGGGCGCTAGGTGAGGTCGGCTATACTTTTGGCTGTTGTAGCCCCAAACAAGAGGCTACTACAGATATGATCCAGGTCGCCCCGAGAAAATCCTCTTAAGACGAAACTAATACTGTGAGACCCGGAGAAAAGGGAGCAGGCAAGAGGAGATATGTTATGAGAGACTGTTCTTCGAGTCGCAGACCTATCATCACGGTCATCCTGGGCTTAACTCGGCTTTAATAGGTGCGAGGGCCTACCAACAGTGAGGTGGATTCAGTGGTTTGGTCTCCGCTTCTAGTGATGAGGGATTCCATTGGCTCACTGTGTTCATCGCCTGCTGAAGTGGGTCACTTGCGAAATACAAACTACCACAGTGGGGTCAAATGAATTCGAAAACTACTGTACTAGTACTAAAGCAAACCCTCAAATACGAGGTAGGGTCAAATGGATCAAACAAGTAGTTGATAAATTTGATTCTGAAGTCACTCGTGTAATGGATCGATCCTGGTGATCTTGGGAGAGGACGTGATCCTGGAGCTCGTTCACTTCACCCAGTGATCTCACCACCGCTATAAATACTTCTTGTCTCATCTCCCTTCTCTCTCCTTCTTCCATCACTCTTCAAAGCTGAAACATCAAACTTCCTCATCAAACTTCATCTTCCCATCTCTTCCAAAATCCAACTTTGAAGTCCCTCTTCTATCTATTCTAATTTTGAACTTTTCGAACTTAGAACTTCCATCCATACGTTCATCCATGGTTTTATCAAAACAACCATCTTTCACCTCATTCCATCATGCCAAACCTCGATGAAGAGATCATTCCCATGATCAACAATACTCCTAACTTGGCCGCTGACGGGTCCCAAGGTTTGTGTACAACACTCATCCCCTCTAATACCCACTAACCATTTAGATCGTGCCAATCTTCCTTCCAGATAACCTCCCACATCTACTTACACACCAATTGAGTCTGCTGAAAAGCCACTTCCTCCCCTTGAAGCTTCCAACATCTGCGAACACAATCTTCGAACTCGTCACCGGCATCAAAGATGCGCAGATATCGCTTCTTTCTGAACAGTCATCGCTTGGGCTTTAAATTCGTCGTCGAATTCAAGCTTTTCTTTTTTTGTTTCGTGTGGTGTGGAGGGACAACCCACTGTGCACATTTGCGGTGAAGAAGCATCTGCCAAGACAAGGGGATGTGCCACTTGGTGTTGAGAGGAGACTTGGGATTGGTGGAACAAAAAATGGATACACTGTTATCTGTTTTCATTGCTTATATTATGAAGACTCATCATTGTTATGGCTTTGTTCATGTCTTACATTTCAACCGAGTTGGACCTCATCTTCTATACTCATCACTTACTTAATTGATATAATTTACTTTTCATGTTCATCAACATCTTATTTCATTAATTAACGTATTTCACAAGCGGGTCGCGCACCCCAAGCTCTATGGTAAATACGATCTTTACTACCTTATATCTCAACAACTATAATATTGAACAGCTCTATTCTTTGCCGATAGACATTGATAAGATAGACATTGATAAGGATTCTTCTTAGACCCATATATCAATTTCCAGAAAAAAATCGAATACTGTATTTGCATTATCACGACCCAAGAAATTGCGCCACTTAAATAGAAGAAATATATGTATTGCAGCCATCAAATCATGAAAAGTCTCGAAACTCCCCAAAGGGTCTATATATCATACAAAAAGAATTCACTTAAAGCAAAATTCTATAGTGCACTATTGTTGAGATAAGAAGTTGGAATTTATCGCATTTATTATATGTATGGCGTTTAGAGGTGCGCGACCCGCTTTGGTGCGCGACCCGCCTGTGATATACGTTATTATGTTCCCGAGGACCCTGCTTTCTCAGCGCATAGCATAACCATGATTACATAATACACTAAACTACTTTAGGAAAGATGTGCAGATGCAACAGGTGTATGGTGGGAAGGGAGGACTTTCTCTGATGATGGATCTTCAAATTTTCAACAACCAGCAATGATATAGACAGGGTACAGATAGAATGGAAGAAGGCCAAGTGCTAGAGGTGACGTTGGACACAAAACCTGGGGATCAGCCCCCCCTCACCGTAGGACCGAACGAGGTTTTAGCGTGGGTTAAGCGAGCGACCGGAATCGGCGAGTCTGCACTCACCGGTTCATTCTCTAGCGTGCAGGACCCAAATCGCTCCCACTCAATCTATCTGCGCATCACTTAGAACGCGGAGGCCCGTTCCCCATAGCTCGATATATAAGCTCATCTAAAATAAACCTACCTAGACAGGATTTTGCGCTTTTCCTTTCCTTTCCCAGGCTTTACTAGGTCCCCGCCCCCTATTTCCCGTCCCGAATAATGTCCACTGAGGCCTCTAAAATGCCCACGCTGGGATCCTATATCGGACTTGGTCCAGGCCGGAGACTAGGCTGATCCCAAGCCCGGACCTCGTGCAATTTCCTTGTCCCGGCTTAGAAATGCACTCACGCCTATATTACGTGCCCTCGGACGCTTTTCCCGCTTAATCAAATGTGAAAAATCTGACAACCAAGATCGTCTTTCACCCAACCTTTGCAAACTAGTACCAACCGAGCATAAGCACATCCTTTCTCTTTTCTTTTCCGACTATTCTCTTTTCCTTCATACGGAAACCTCGGAACTCTGGAAGGTGACCAACTTTCTGCTGTTTCCGTTCGCATCCGGAGAATCTAGCCTTTCGGGGAAAACAGTTGCTTTTTTTCCCTGGGAAACACGCCACCCATTTACCCCTCTCTGGGGACCTTGTTCCTGGGACTTGATTGATCTGAGATCAATCTTTGAACATATTTCTCTTGAAATACAGTGAATTCCCAGAGCTGCTGGCCTTGTTCTGGACACTTGACCTCGGGGCTTGTCTTAAACCGGGGATCTACGGGACTGAGATCCGCATGGGGATTCCCTGATTTATTCAAAACCACACGTGCCTCTCTTCCCAACGTGTATAGCCTGCCTTATTCACCTCTCATAATGTTGCCTCCTGTACCCTCGCCGCTAGACTACGGCATCTCCCTCGAAAATGGTTTCCTGTCACCGGAGCCACCGCTGGAAGTTCTGCCAGATCCATACTACGCAAAGTGGGAGGCGATTGCTGCAAACTTGCAACCTCTACTCTTGAGTAAAAGAATCCGGGGTATTGTGGACCGGTTGCCCGTGCTTTCGACTGCGTACCTGCGTGCAGATGACGAGTGGCGTCGGGCATATGTGGTCCTGGTATTCATGTTACACGGCTACGTATGGGGTGGTGACCGTCCCGCCGAGGTAAGCACTCATCTCTATCTAAAACTCAGTTCAATACTAACCAAGAACAGAGAATACCTCCACAGTTGACCGTGCCCCTTTTCGAAGTCTGTGAACGACTTGAAGTCCCCCCAGTAGCGACATACGCCGGCGTGTGCCTCTGGAACTACAAACCTATCTTCCCGGAGGAACCCGCGGATGACTTGGACAATCTTGCTTGTCTCCAGACCTTTACCGGGTCCCTAGATGAGCAATGGTTCTACCTCGTCTCAGTAGCCATCGAGGCGCGAGGTGCCCCCGCAATCCCCCTTATGCTCGAGGCCATCGCCGCAGCCCGAGTCGGCAAAGCCCGTGTAGTAACCGACTGCCTCCAACGACTAGCAGAGATGATAGACCAGATTAACTCTCTCTTACACCGTATGTACGACAACTGCGACCCATATATCTTCTACAACCGCATCCGCCCCTACCTCGCTGGAAGCAAGAACATGGCCGACGCCGGCCTACCGAACGGTCTTCTATACGATGATGGCCAGAACGAACCTCAGTACAGACAATACGGCGGCGGCAGTAACGCCCAGAGCTCCCTAATCCAATTCTTCGATATCGTGCTCGGAATAGAACACCGCCCGACAGGCGTCGCTCGCAAGGAACAAAGGACAGAGGCAGCAGAAGACAGCCCTAAGTCTCGAAACGGGTTCATCCATGAGATGCGCGCCTATATGCCTGGCCCTCACCGCCGGTTCCTGGAACATGTCGATTCGATCGCTAATATCCGTTCTTTCGTTGAAGCTCGACACAGTGATCCTGCCCTCCGGCTTGCATACGATGCCTGTCTTGGCATGTTGCGTGCTATGCGCGACAAGCATATCCAGATCGTCTCGCGATATGTCATCTTGCAGGCGCGCGGAGCTCGTCGGGAGACACAGGCAGCCAAGGCCAATCAGCCTGCGCCGCAGAATCTGGCGACAGCTGCCCCGGCCGATAGCAAGAAGCTACGAGGAACGGGTGGTACGGCACTGATTCCGTTTCTGAAGCAGGCACGTGATGAGACGGGCGAGCCGGCCATTGACGCCTGGGCACGACGACTTCTCAATACAGAAGGCTCGGCGCCGCTGAGTAAAGTCGGCGAGCACCCTGATGGGCACCTGGAGGTCGTTGGTCTCTGCGGGACATGGACAGCCGATGACAGTGAAGGAGGTATCTGCCACTGGTGATTAAAATAACTCATGATTGCGTGATTTACGAGCGTTCACACTATCTGCATTGCGATCTCCCTGACTCCTGTACATAGCAGGGAACAGTGGATTATTAGGCGTTGAGCAAGTTTCCGGGTCCTCGTTTGGGCCCTTGTTTATTAGCATCTAGATTTTTGTATATGCTATTTTTGTATCTAATTTCATTATTGATATCCACTCACAATCTCCATACTTCCCACGAGTGTAAACGACTCCACCGTAGTTTGTGGAACCTTCTCTACCCGTTCCTTTATCTTTATGACGCAAGTTGTTTCCGTGATAGTCAGGTGGCTTGCGCGGGGTATCACGTGAATGACATCAGTGGGTGACGTCATGTATCATGATCGTGATAGCGTACGTTGTGGCGCAATTGTATGCCTTGAAAAATGGAGATAACAGGACTGGGAGAGGAATATATAAAGGAGGCAAATACCAAGAGTAGTCAATTCATAATCTACAAGATAAACAAACTCACAAATACCAACCACTTTTCAACCAACACTTCTACCAACACTTCTTCCACTATCTCCATCTACATCAACAACCATGTCTGACGGAAACTCCTCTACTCTGGGCTCCTACATGAACCAAGCTACCGGCGCAGCTCAACGCGTCATCGGCTCAATCACTGGCGACTCCTCCACCCAAGTAAGCACCCACTATCACCACTACCATCCACAAGCCAAAAACTAACTCCCCCCAGAACAAAGGCGAAGCTGCCCAGGCCCAGGCCAAAGTGCAAGACCAAAACTCCCACACAACAGCCAAACTAGGCCCCGTGTCCGCAGACCCCAACACCGGCGCCACAGCCGTCGACGACTCTAACCGCTCAAACGGATCCTGGGACCAGACCGTCGGCTCAGCCAAGGAGTCTCTGGGCAACCTGATCGGCAACGAAAGTCTCCGCAAAGCAGGTGTTGAGCAGAACGCTTCTGGAAAGGAGCAGGAAGCTCGTGGACAGCTTAAGGATCTCGGTCAGGGAATTCACGATCGTGCGCAGGGTACCCTTGGAGGAATTGGTGCTGCTGTTCTTGGAGATCGGGAGGAGGAGAAGAAGTACCAGGATATGCACGATGAGGGGAAGGCGAGACAGAGGGGCGTTGAGGCTGATATTCAGAAGAGACAGGGGGCTTAAATTTGCTTGATCTGAAGCGGAATTGCTGTCAGCGGACTGGATTCTTTCGGGTCCTTGTATGATTTATGTTATGAGAGATATCCAATTTGAGATTCGCTTTATTTGATTTTGTTGCTGTTTAATAGGTGATTGGATACATCGTACTTGTAGTTCTGTATGGTTTATCGCCTTTTGCATCCCTGCTAGATCGATAGTTGATCAAAGATACTTCAGCATTGGGGCGGGCTTTTCTCCAGCACTTGAGGATTATGTAAGATAGGGGGAAATACAAGAAAAATATTGTTATTCAGGTCAGATAAAACAAATGGATAGAAAGTCGACTAAGATGGCGGATGGTGGATAGTGGACGGTATAGGTAAAGTCACCATTTCTTACCATAGCATGTGTGTCTCTACTGCAAGTCGATTCTCTCTCTCCAGCTGGCAATGCAGATGCGTTGATTTCGTATACTATCGTTAAAAAATATATATAGCCCCCTAGAGTGACCCAAGAAGAGACCCAAGTAATTTCGAGACGTCCTCGATAAGCTATATCATCGTCAGTAGGCTGCTTAACAGAACAGGAGCAGCAATGTCGTACCGGTGTAGCATCCCCAATCAAAGTAGTAGTATTATCCACAAACTCCTTGGTCAACAACGAGCCAGCGTTGGTCAAGATAGTTTGTAGTGTGTTGGTATTATCATTGGAGAGAACCTTCGCCGCATTGGTGATGATAGTCTGGAGGTTGCTGATATTTTCATCGGTGAGCAGGCTCTCGAGTTCGCTGATTGTGTTGAGAAGCCCGGTGGTACTGGCAGGGGCGGGAGCAGCGACGGGGTTGGGTTCTGGGGCAGCAACAGCCAGAGCCATGGGAGCCGCGAGGAGGGGAAGGAAGATGTGAGTGAACCGCATTGTGTTGTTCCAAGGTTTACGGAGTACTGAAGAGAAATTAAATGGGGGTTCTACCAAAGAAGAAGAAAAGAGAGGCTACTAATAAGGAAAATAAATGAGAAATAAATAAAAAGCAAAGCCTCCAAGACAATTTGCTTCGCTGAGGTATACAATCCACCCCACATGCACTCTAGACCAAGTCGACCATGCCCATGTCTTAGATTGGATTTACCATCGAGGAATCAAGTCCAAAAAAGTATAAAAAATCAAAAAGACAGGACAAAATTCCCCGAGAAATCTAAACCAGCCCAAGTAAGGCTCAAGCCGGAATAGCATCGGGTCTCTCCGTCAAGGAATCTGTCATAGGATTCGCCGAGGTCGATCACGATACCGAAAAGCGGTTCCATGTGATGTTCGCTTATACTACATACAGAGTCTCAACTTCACAGTTCACTCAAGCAAAAGTCCATCCCCGCATCCAACTTTCACCCCGGACGAGCTGGATTAAGTAAAGATCGGCAACGGCGATCAGACCTCCTGTTGTCGAAACTAGTGAATTGCTAACCCCTCTCGGTCCATGTGATCTCCCGGAGCAAGAGTTTGCTTTAGTAAAGATCGGCTGTGATACAGAGAATTCGGCGGGAAATTAGATGAAGTGCGACATTCAATGATATAATCGATACGGAGTACATATCAATTAATCCATGGAGACAGGTACGTATAAGTGTACTATAAACCGAGGGCTGGAAATAAGCATGTGGGATTCCAGGGGAAATTACCAATGGTTCGGCGTTTTCCCCTGCCAGAAACTAGGGACTGAACACGAAAACAGGAAACACCCAAATATAGTCATTGTCATGCATCTCATCACCTCGTCAATCCATTGCACGTAGTAGTCACACACTAGTACATGCTAATCCCTCGTGGGTCCTGCAAAATGCAAGATAAAGAAAAACCCATCCGACCCGACCTGTACCTGTAGCACCCACGATGCACCTGCATGAAATCCATCTGCAGGACCGGCAGCCACTTTCCAAAACCATCATAGCGAACTGATCCCCGCATTAGTTCGCCCCACTTCACAACGCTAGGGCCAGCCCGAGAACACCCAATGCCCCAATCATCGCACTGAATGCCGTAGCCTGCGCCGCCATCCCACTAGACGTCGAAGTCATCGCTGCCGTCGCCGTCGCCGTCCCTGCTGCTACCGCGGCTCCCGTGCCGACACCAGTGGTAGCAGTCACAGCCCCATTTTGAATCTGTAGTCGGACAGCAGACACATAGTTCTTCGCGTCGGTAGGTAGACTGGCGTACCATGTGGGAGTGGTACCAGCTTGGAGTTGGCTAGCGAGTGAGCTGCGGGATTGTGCGTCCATAAGCTCGCCGACTACGGGGAGGGGGATGACAGCGAGGATCTCGTGCATGAATGCTTTAGGTGGTGGTGAGATATTCGCGAAATTACCAGTCGTCGTTGCGGCTGCGAGGTTGACTCTGGAATGGAATTGATTAGTGGGTGTTTAGTCTGCACCGTATGTTTACTTAGACGAACATGGCATTTGATAGAGAGGCAAAGTTGAAGCTTCCGGCTGATGTTGCATCTCGCTTTTGTGGTTCACACCAGGCTGTTGCCGTTAGGAAGAAGATAATCGTAGTCAGTTTCATGTTCATGTTGAATTATAGATAGTTGGAAGTATGCAGAGTGTTTAGGTGGTTGGGACGGAGTATATCAATTGGGCCCCTCCTAGGCTGTCTGTTTGAAATGTCTCATACCGCGGAAGTATACTATGCTTGATTCGCTGTTAATTATGCAAGCAGGTTTTTAAATCACGGTTTCTCTGGTCCGAGGTTCATGGCCTAGACAAGGATGACCACTGTGCGGGGCTAGAACTACATTCGCCTCGTCGGAAAGGGCCGTTATTCAAGATGACTCCTAATTTACGTTTGATTGTCGATCAAAAATGGAGTAAGGTTTAAACACAGGTTGTTCGCCAAAGGAGAGTTGAACATGAAATCTCGACTTGACAAGGCGCATCAGAAAAAGAAACCCATCACCCGAATCGAGGCAAGTATTAACAGGATCAATCATAGCATATAGAACATAGTAAAGAAAGGGTATATACAAAGTAGCCAAACAAACAACAGACAACTTAAACAACATTGAGCTTCTCACGCAAACGATCCTGATAGTATCGCAACGGATAAGCCCGCATCTTATTTGGCATAGCAGGATAAACAGCAACCGAAAAGCCCATCCAAGTCCGATACAACATTCTCGTCCCAGCAGTAGATTTCAACCCATAAGCATCCCTCAACTTCGGCGGCAACATTTCAATAGTAACCACGCGCAAAAAAGGCTTAATCCTCTGCACCCACTTAGGCATATCCTTACTCTCATGAAGTTTCTTAGCGAACTGCGCCGCATCATCTGTAACTGTCAACTTTCCAACCTGATCATCCCAGTAAGACCAAAACGCCTGTCGAGATTCAGGCCAGACACCGGCTGGCATACCGAGACAGCCCATTAGCATGGTGAACTCGGCGTATCCGCGCTGGGCAGTGTCGTAGTCCACCCGGCCGTAGACGCGCTGGTAGTAGTCTGTTGCGGTTGCGTAGAGGGTTGCGGCCATCCAGCGCTGCAGCGGTGGGTGTTTGGTGAAGCGGTTGTTGTGTCCACCGCCTAGCCCGGGGGCTTGGTCGCGAGCTAGCAGGTCGAGGAGAGTTCTGCGTTCTGGCTTGGTGCCGAAGACTAGGATTGAGATGTAACTTAGATGGGCTTGGAGGGCGTCGAGAAGTTCGGTTGCGAGGTCCTTTGGGGTTTCTTTGACTTCTTCTTCTCGGATTGCGGGCATGGCTGCTTGGAGGAGTAGGGCTGCTCCAGAGCCAGCAAATAAGATTCCCTCTTGTAGGATTTGAGGGAGAATTTCTAGCTGTTCCAGGGCATGGAGGCGACCGGAGTCGGTGGATAACTCTTCATTTTCTCTGAAGTTTGGCAAAGCACTGGGCTTTTCGTCCTCTAGAGGAGATGGTGGTGATGAAGACCGAGACATTTTTGGTTGACAATTTAGATTTAGATGTATTGAAGGTTTTTGATTATAAGCAACGACATGATTTAGAAGATTAAAATGTTCAGCTTTTGTCCCCCGCAAAAGCCAGGAAATCTCCACTGACTCAACTAGTTCAGAGCTCGGCCCATGTGAACCCCCTTTTCCCGCTTCGCAGTAGATCACCATCTCCTCCGCTGATCCCTTCTTCATCTAGCTGTATGACCTCGTGAATCCTATCCCAGACAGGGAATAGTCCTCCGAACCGTGACGTTAATCCACTTTTTATTATCTTGGTTTTTCCATCTCCACTGAGATCCTCCCCTGGGCCCGAATAATGGAACGTCCGGGGCGTCTCCATACGGGAAATGGCTTTCGCTTATCCTTAGGCCCCAACAAGCGTTCCCCGGTTTTTCTTCCCCCGGATCCGATAAATATAGGCGACCGCGTCCCGCTTCTATCTACTCCAGTCCCCTGTTGACAACGGAGCAACTCAATCCAACATCCGTCACAATGGGAAAGACAGTTGATGACCGACCAGCCTATTTGAGCTCCGATGACGCCAAATACTCGCTAGGTCTTCATCGTGGGCCATTAGCTAGCGGTCTCAGCGATGACCCCAAGTTGGAGAAGGTAGAAACAGCGGGTGGTCTCTCGTTGGCCACTACCCAAACGCGAAAGGAGAAGTTCGCGCGCCATTGGAAGCGATTCTGGTGCTGCTACCTAATTGGAAATGTCATTTTCCTGGCCATTTTCCTACCGGTCTTGTAAGTTTGCGCCATAAATCAATTACAGTGAATCGCAAGCTGACGCGATTGGCACCAAAACAGCTTCCTGGTCGTAATCCCGGCCATTTCACAGCTTGTCGTCAACAAGTCCGACTTGGTACTGGTCAGTGCGGCTGTTATGCAGCCTTTGCCTGACACTATACATCTCACACTACAATCGGCGCTGGATTTGAAACTTAACCTGCCTGTTCGGATTGATCCCATCACTTTGGATTTGTATATCCGCGATAACGGCGCCGCCAACCCATGGGGTCAGGCTAATTTGCCCGGTATGACTATTCGTGGAAATACCACGTTGGGCGTGACCGACAAATTCACGCCTCTTCTCAATGTGACTACCTGGACAGATTATGTTCGGCAAGTTGTTTTCCAGAAAGAGACCGCACTTTCCCTCAAGGGCACGACCGATTCGTTTCTGGGCGTGTTGAAATCCAAGGTGACGATGAACAAGGATGTGGTTTCTCCGAGTAAGCTTATCCAGCCTCTGTTACAAGTCTGATGGTCTGAATCAGTATACTGATCCTTCTGTAGCATTGAACAAATTTGAGGGTTTCAGCATCACCGACACCTCGCTCGTTCCCACTCGCTCAGATGGAACCAACCTCGTTGGCAATGTCACCCTGCCAAACCCGTCTCTCTTGACGCTCGAGATCGGCACTATTGTTCTCGATGTAAAGAGCGGCAATTTGACCATCGGCAACGCCACCGTCGAGAATTTGACCCTCAGGCCTGGCAACCATGCAAACCCCATGACCGGCACGCTGGATATTGGGCTCATCCTCAAAAACATCGGCACCGTTCTGAAAGACCAAGCCTCGTCCATCAAAAACGGCAGCCTCAGTCTCACCTCCACCACCCGCGAGGTAACCTACAACGGCACCCGCGTCCCATACTACTCAACAGTGATGTCCGAGCTTCCCCTCACAGCAGATGTTGGCATCGTGAGCACCTTGAAAAACACCATCAAGAGCTTCATAGGAAGCGGCTCCGGCAGGAACTTGACGGAGATCCTGGCTGAGCTAAAGAACCACACCTCCACCGAGAGCGGCAGCAGCCTCCTAGCAGACTTGAAGGAAGGCATCCAGTCGCTGGAAAGCAGGGACGTCACTCCGAAGGAAGATGAGGACGAGAGCTCCCACTACAGTCTCGCCAGGGCCTTGAAGCGGAATGTCCACGTCCGTGATCTCTTCCAAGATGAGAACCCCATCAAGCGAGACGCGATGATTGACTCGCTAGTCGGATGGGTTGCGAATCAGCAGTAGAATTTTCTAGACTTAGACCGGTTAGAGCTTAGAGCTTAGACTAGAGGTTGTCTCTGATCTGTTTCTGTTTCTGTTCCGGTTTCTTCTCCTATTTTTATGGCGTTATTCTCTTTCACAAGATACCGCCAGGTCCCGCGACGTTGACGTTGTTATGATTTTTGATTTTGATTCCCCGTGGTGGTGGATACGGATTACGGTGTTACGGCCTCTGCCATATTAATGTATATCGATACCTGACCATGTCCACTCGATGCAGAATAATGATAAGTATTTATAAGGTTCTTGTATGGTCGAGAAGTTTATAGTAGAAAGACAGGCTATTGCCAGATTTTCAGTCCAATAGACACTTGCCGAAGAATGTCCTCAGGTGCTGCTAGTGCTTCCCCAGGAGGATTGCGATTATTGAGAACTATGGTTTGCAGCTGCTGTCTAGCTTCATTCACTCTCATTGGAGTTTAAGCTAATGGCAGAACCCACATTTTCAGGCGAGGTGTAAACAGAAGAGGGGCTGGAATCCCAAGAGTCGTTTAACATTGGGAGTTGTTCTATTCGGTCTACTTGATCTGGAATTCTGCCATGTCCCGATACAAGTTATCTGCTCAGCGAGGTATTCTAATAGAGTCTTTGAAACGGGTTTCGAATTACATGTGTTGTAACTTGTTACTTTGCGGAAAATCCATTCCGGGTCCAACCAAACCACTTCGTCATTCTCTTCCCCATCGATCTCAGCATGACTGGGTCCAGCTTGGCAACTGGGTGCGGCCTGTGGAATACAATCTTTCCTCGTTGCAAGCCATTCTGGGCATCAAAAACAACCGCCGACCCCCCTCCATTTCGAGCAACAAAGCCTGCATCACATAGAGCTCGCACGAACTTCTCCCAGCCAACAGAGTCGGAGCTGTCCGAGAATTCAGGAAACATCAAATGTATGACATGTAACGAATCCTTCGTTACAAATATCTGTTGAGAAAATTCATTGGGAGTCTCTGGTATTCTGTTAACATTGTGCGCCGTTTCCCCCTTCGTGTTTCCTGATGCAGTGGGCCGGCTTTTTACTCGGTGTCCTGAAATGCTGGAAGGAACTGCAATCGCCTCGGAACCCCACTCGGTCTGCAGCGGAACTGAACTTGGCCCGGATTCCCTCTTTGCATCCGAAATTATTCGATCTGCCTGCTCCTGGCGAAGCTGGAGATGCTCGGGACTGAGATCAACAGAGATTGTATCCATGAGGATCTTTTCCTCCATCGCTCGGAGATCCAAATGGTCCAAGTATTTCTTCGCCCATCGTCTCACGGCCGCCCAAAATTCACCGAGAGAGCTTTCCATTGCTCGGAATTGCTGAAGCCAGACGAGATTCCTCGGACCATGTGGTGGGGATTGGCGATACAGCTGCTCAATAAGGATGTTTGCGACGACTTGGGGGTTTCCAATACCGTCATTGTTGAATCGTGGTCTGAGGAACACATTTCTCCATAATTCTTTGCTTTCCACCCGATTAAGGTCATCGGAAACATCACGAGAGGCGTTTTGCGGTCTGTTCAGGCGAACGGATTGAAGCATTTCTTGAATGGATGCTAGATCGGATAACCTCTTATACAGAAGCTCATCGACTCTTGCTTGCTCACTGTGAGGACTCGTCGTAAGATGGTGCTGAAGGTAGGCGAACAACATTGCATGATCATAGCCCTGGGGGCAATCTGGGTCCTCCAGAAGATTTATCATGCACCAGCCAAGAGCGTCTTCTTCGAATGATGGCTCTTTCTTTCTTTTGGCTCGTGCTGATTCTCTAGCGCTTAAGGCGGCATCTTCGGTCGCCAGGTATATGCAAAACCCAGGATGAGATGATAAGGTGCGCCGGAGTCGTTGAATATCTCCGCGGAGGCATTGGAGTAGAAAAAGCTCAAGCCCCCATAACGCGTTGCTGTATTGGGATCGGAGACTTTTCAAACAACCGCTTTGATGATATCGACCATGCACCTCTTTGACCTGGGCACATTTATCAGTGACCCATTTCCACTTCCAACAATGGAGAATATCCTCCGTTATCTCTTGGAGTGCCAACAAAGCGATTGCATTGGCATCAAAGGCCTTGCACAGTTCTCCTTGGTACATTATTTTAATAAATCGCCGCATATATGATGGTTCACATTGCAAAAGGGCAAGGTGATCGCTAGCGGCACGCATTCTTGTTTCCGCGATAGACAAGAGTGACTCCATGCTCAAATATGGTGGCGTCGAAAAGGCCTGCCATGTATACGATGACTGAAATACCATTTGATCACATTTCCGAAAGCCCTGAGATATGATGTGCTCCCATTTGACTGAAGCTGGCTTACTCAGATCCGCACCGTCTTGTATCCTGTCTACCACTCTGCAGAGAAGATTCATCAAATGCTCTTGGGCTTCGAGAATCAGCTGTGCTCTGGGCAATCCAATGTCCTCTTTTTGGTGTATTGTGCCCTCTCCCCAAGTCACAACTTTGCCATATTCCGGTCCGGATATGACGACAAATGTGTTGGAATAGTTGATATCGAAGTACCCTTTAGACCAGCCGAGATCAAGTTGTCTATTATCCCACCGTACCCAGTCCTGCGGCGGATGTATTGCACGGTGATGCAACAAGGAAAACAGCACGTCTGGGTCTGTCTTCAAGATCTCCAAATTCAACCATGGGATCAGAAGCCTTCGCCGCCATACAGGGTTGCGGAGGGCGTGTACATGACGCTCAGATATAGATGGCAGACGAAATAGGAGCCATTCGTGATCGTATAGTCCGGCGTCAATTTCTATCAACAACTTGCATCGTTTGGCCTGGCTTTTCTTTTTCCATCGACTCATGATGAGGTCTCCGTGTAAGCTCAGTACTTGAAGCAGGTGTTTTTGAGCGGCTTGAATGTTCTGAATCTTCTTTGTAATAATGGAAGTTGCTTCAAATTCGCTCAATTGCTTGCTGTAAGAGAGCTCTGGGCGTTGTTGGGCGAGCAAGGTACGGAAGTTAAAAAGACAGTCTAAACACTTGCATGGTGGTGGATAGATGGGTTGTTCAACTTTCTGCCAGGATCTTCGCTTCGTATATCCATCTTGAACAGGCTTTAGGTGCTGAAATTCTGAAAATTCTGGAGGGTATTCCATGGTCGAGAAATTTAGTACATGAAGATAAAATACTGGCAAATGACCCGGAGGCGACGAAAGGGTATATCTATTAGTATGATGACGCAACCAATGGAAATAATGATCATGAACAGGTCGAGTATTTTAGCGACATAGAAAAAAGTGCTCTTTCGTGCTCATGATCCTTCCAATGATTGTACATGGATCTGCCGCTAATTATGCATGGAGTCGCGAAATGCCCGCATATTCCCTCATAGAGTATTCCTCACGTGAAGACCCCGGATGTAGACATTGGAGAATCGATCGAATTTATACTTCCTTTTTGTATATCGTCCGGGGTCACTCCCATTCCTCATTAGGAAAGTAAAAAATGTCCAACATATTGCCGGTTGCCGGTATATCTTCTTCGAGGGTGAGATCATCTGATCTGGTGAAAGTCAACTGCATGCTTAGCCTCTTTCAACGACAAAATCAATTGAACACGCTCTAATCTAAATGGAAGATATTCCATGGTGTCCCGAATAAACAGTCTCCTTGAACGATACTAAACTGTGTAATATATAAAGAGCAACATAAATCCATAGCCTAATCTCGCATAAATTCTCATTCGGTCGTATCACCTGTGTATTCCATGTGATCGGCCTCAACTGGCTTAGAGATGTCCTTAATCTTGGCAGTACGGCTAACTTCCTCTGCCTCATGGTCGATATACTTTTGCGGTCGGCCTCTGCAAATAGCATCAGGATCCCTGATTACAATCAACGATGGATCAGAACGGTAATATGCATCAATATCCTCGAGACTTCGGTTGGCTGAGAAACGGGTGAGTTAAATTCTTTGGTTATTAGTAGGGCACTGACCAGTTTCTGGGAAGAACAAGTAGATAATTGGTAGAAAACAAGCGTTTGTGACTGTCCAAACAATCCCTATTTTTGTCAGCACGGGACAAATTGCTTTACGTGCGAGGAAGCTCACAGAATTTCCAGCCAATGCTCTGAATTCCAATGGGGGTGATTTCGACAATCGCGAAGTTGGTAATCCAGTCGGTCGCGGTCGCAAGGGCGACTCCCTTGGTTCTCATCGGCAGGGAGTTGATCTCAGTTGGGTATAACCAAGGGATTCCTAGCATACCGATACCGAATGCGCCGTGGAACTGTGACGCAGAAAGTCAGCATTGTGGTTTATTGGAGCTGGAGAGGTGAGCATACCAAGAAGAAAAATGCAACAGATGCAGATCCGAATTTCTGACTCTCGGCATCAGTGGCACTCTCAGCATATCTCAACAAGATAGTAATGATAAGGAAACAGAAAAACTGGCCAAAGGTTGAGAGAAGCATCAGTCCTCGTCGACCCATGCGCTCGATCAGGAGAACCGCAAGGCCTGCAAAAATCATATAGGATATAGCATTGCACGCGGTCAAGAGACGGGCCATACTCTCTCCCATGCCGACGGCTTGTTCCAAGACGGTCGGGAGATAGTAAGACATGATATTGATACCACCGAATTGCTGCATGAACTGACTACCAGCTCCGAGCAGCAAGCGACGCAGTGTGCTGGTATCATGGTGGGTTTTCTTGAAAAGGTCGCGCCATCTCACGGCATTTTCACGCTCATATCGGACTGTGTATTCAATCTCATTGCGCTGCGCAATGACGAAGGGGTCATTGATGGATTTGGCCTCGAGGCAACTGATCACCTCGACGGCCTCTTCTGTTCTACCGTGCATAAGGAGCCATCTGGGAATCGTTAGAGCTTTCGTTGATTCTGGGGAAGGATACTCACCTTGGGGACTCTGGTAGCCAAGGAACAGTAGACCAAAGAACAACCAAGAAGACCGCCTGTAGTGCAATCGGGAGTCTCCATGCCACCGCACCTCCAACGAATGACAATCCATAGTTGATCCAATTGACAGTCGCATATCCAGCAATGTTCATCATCATCTCAAAGGTAACTAGCCGACCACGCCATCGTGATTGTGAAGTCTCAGACTGCCAAATTGGCGCGCAGGCCGTATTGATACCATTCCCAATACTATAGACCGAATGGTTAGAATATGTAATACTCTATCTTGGACGATTCCCACTCACCCAGATACAATACGACCGACAAAGATATGAGGCAGACTGAATGAAGAAGCCTGGAGAACCGTGCCAAAAGCCATGATAGTTGTTCCCCACAAGATAGACTTTTTCCGACCGAGGCGCTCGCCGAGTGTGAATGCGAGAAGGGCACCTATAAAACATCCGATATCGTAGATGGCCGTCACAGTTGACAAGGTCTTGGTCTTAGTCGGACCTTCGAGATTGTGAATTTGAAGGAAGTCCTTTGTGATCACCACGCCACCTGAAGAACAGTCAATTTGGTATCACTATTCGTAGTCATGGGGACCTTACTGAAAACACCTTGGTCATAGCCAAACAGGGACATGTCTGTTGCACAAGCAACCTGGGCAAAGTCAGGAGTGATCGCAACTGAAATGTGGCCGTTGAGAACATACAGTAACCCACAGAGTGAGCCATCCTCCCGTCAGCCCAAAGTAAGGCTTCTTTCCCTTAGCCACCGTCATTGCTCAAGAAAATTTGAAATCTATCAATAGAAGAGAAAAGTATGTAAAAGACTGACTTGTTCCGCAGGGGCTCCTTACAATCCGCTGCACGAGAGAAAAAGCCACGCAGTAGCATTCCGGAGGATTCCCGGCCGCTCTTATACACTGCGCCGCATCTCTTACTGCACTCATCATTTGATTCATGATGATCATCTCTCTGGCTAAATGCTACCTGGAATTGGTATTCCCCGAAGTCTGGGGTGCCCGTGTGGGGGATCTGCGTGGGGAAGGCCAGTGTTGGCGAATCAGGTGATCCTTTTGAAAGGATTTGCATTTCCTTTGTGAACTACGCACGGTGATTGGTCACAGTATATACTCAATTAACAAAAGAATAGGTCGCGGAAAATCGAAGATACCAGTTCCGGAAGACTCGCCATGCTTTGAACAGATCTTGGGGGAGTTTCCTGGTGAATCATCAGGCTTTGAGCGAGCATGGGGTTGCGTCAAAGTGCGTAGTGATGCCATTCAGTCGTGGATCTGGGGAATCTGGGGTTGCGCACGATTGGATTTTTCATGTGGGCTGTCGAATTTCTGACTTCTCTGTGCTTCCGTAAAGATTTGTAATGGTTGGTTGAGGTTTTTGGGGTTAGAAAAGCCGCAATGTAGTCCACCTTGGTAGCCCCCTGGTAGCCCCCTGGATCGAATCCAAACCTTAACGAGTCATGAAAGACTCGCCCTTATCACCTGACCGACGATTCCCCTGTTTTTCTTTTATGAAAACATTACAGAACTTGTACCTGTTTAATGCACGCATCAAGCTATGGAAAGAAAGTGATCACGAGATATGCGAGACGGAGAGTTGATATTCGTAAAATTTAGTCTACGTCCACGGCATTTAAGGTGCGGAATGGTTCAAAGCCTTAACTCGATGGAAATGGACAGCCGCTTTGGTGCCATTTTACTAGACAATAAGGCTAGATAGTAGATGTCGGTTTCGAAATCTGCATTATGGTGTAAAAAATAATAGCAAGATGTTGAGTACCCATCAAGCTCTGACAGAAGATTCGATTTGATAGACTGGCCAGGGGATATCATTTAGAAAGTCAGACACAATCCACGACCCCATGGGTTAGGGCGTGAAAGAGTAGTTTGGGGGATATGGGGAGAAATTGCCTGAATAACAAGCTATAAATTTCCAAGAATGGGATTTATTTGCTAATTCGGTTACTTCCTGGCAAGATAAATCTAGAATAAAAAGGACACATTTTCAATTGCTGCCCCTCGCTCATATGTACTGGCTTAATATACGGAATACTGCACATAGTTTACGCATAGTAGTTATATGTGCTACTTATAATACTCACAATAATTTATTTATCTCACCTTCTATTCTAGCAGATTCTGTTTCGCTCCAACCTTGTGATTTCTCGAAGTTTCACTTCTTCGATATCTTATCACATGAATTTTCCCGTCTTCATATTCATGTTTATACCTTTCTCCTTCGCCCCAAGGTTCCTTCTAAAGGCTTTCGCTGATGAGCTCCTAGCTGCTCCTCCTCACAAGAAGCTTGGAACCTAGATAAACCATTCTTTTCACTGAGATAGCGTTTTGTAAATCACACGACAGTCAACAGCGAAGCCACTGGTGTCCGGTTTTGTTGTCAAGAAGCGCTAGTGAGTTTTGTGCAACTGGCCAGCTTGTGAGAAAAAACTCGCGGGTAGGAAGGAAGAAGCATGGCGCGCTGACTTTAGCAGGCTTCACCAGGATTTTGCTCTAGAAGTTAAAATTACCATGCAACGGTCTTCCTACATCAGACTTCGATATTCCCAGCGAATAGCAGCCATACACAAACACCAAGGCTTGTAAAGCCAAGATCTGGTCATGACGTGAATAGCCTCCCACGTCTACATTATTGCCATACTGATATCTTTAGAATAACTACGACGCTACCAACTTTTCTCTCATGTTGTTAATCCCCAAGATGTCACTGTTATTGGCAAGGAAAGAGTTGAATATCGACCAGTACTGCGTTGGAGAAGACCATCCGTGATACAAAAATGAAATTCTGCTTGTCAAGCTGTTGGAAGCAGGGGAAGATCTCCACACAGTCGATGTGGTTACGCGGGAGAGCTTCTACGGCGCATCTTTACTACGTGGGTTGGTACAGAATGCGCAGCAATGGATAGATCACTTTACTCAGGAAAGCCTATGGCAGCCAGGTTGGGTGTTATGGCGGCATCACATCTTTGCCTTGATACATGAGGACATTCCAGATCGTGATCATCTATGGAAATTATTCCAATCCCCTATTTGCGTGGATCTGATGCAGGCGTTAGATGAATCAGAAGATAACATAATCCCACCGGTTCGACGACCCCAGAGGACTATGGGTTGTTTCTCATCCGGCAGGAACTACTTGAGGCCGGGAAGGTAGATGTTGTCGCCGCCTTGGATACAATATTGCACGATTGAGCGGACGATGAGTTGAACTATGACCTTTTGTGCAAGGCAACGTTCACATGGCCATATTGTTCTATGTGTAGCCTCGTCCAGTGCAGCCGCTTTGAACCTTGATAGGGAAAGCACAGCGCATAAACGGTTTAAGATATCAATCGACTCAAACATCGAGGAATCCACCACGATCAACTTCTGGCCCTCTACAAACATCGGATATCTGCTGCTACGCACGTCGCTGATCATCTGGGATGAGGCTCCTATGTCCTATGTCCAAGGCTATCAACTTCGACTTAGTTGATGATGCTTTGCGCCGCCTACTTTGGAAAGATGTCCTGTTTGGTGGTATGCCACTTATTCTTGGGGGTGATTTTCGTCAGATTTTACCAGTCTTACCACGTGGTAGTCGAGCCGACATCATTGAGTGTAGCTTACTATGCTCAAGGATTTGGCCGTGCCTAAAGATGCGGGATCTGCGGAGAAACATGCGAATGGGAAGGAGTCTCGCAGTCTTTCATATTAGGATGGTTCAACTTGAGCTAGCATTGAGTATCATGTCAACATGCAATACCAGGCTTACTTGTCGGGAGGGCTCTTCATTGGCGTGTGATATTTTTCTCGACTTCTCATGTCTCATCTCTTTATACTGGCGAACAAATCACAGGAGCTATGGACCCTGGTTCGTATCTCAAAATAGGCATTTTTTAATACCGTAAATTCTTGTCAAAAATATGGCCTTCGTAAAATGTTTCTGATCTTCTTAAGCTTCCTACTCCCAGCTTCCTCCTCCCAGAGTTGCCTGCCCCTGAAAACTCATAGGTGTCAGTAGTAAGTAGAGAAATACTCAGATACCATTCAATAGACCTGTGGTTTCTGCTTTAACACCCTCTGTTTGGCCATTGCCATATTCACGGCGAGAAACCAAACAAACTGGATTGATAACAGGGACGTTATTTGGGATTGAGTAGACGAAAGAAATTCATTCAAATACTGCGTAACTGTAGTAAGGCTCCGCTTCTAGGTCTTCTTCTTTGCGGCACAGAAACGGTTTATGATCGACACTGTAGTCCAACAAAGAAGGTTGCGCCACGGGATTCTCGGAAACAAAATTCTGAGTCTCCACTCGTTCGTTTGATGGGTATCCACTTCAGCGGTTGGCTTGAAATAAAGTTGGATAATGAAGTGCATTGGAAACCCATCAATAAATGTTCAGGGCGTATGGAGAGATACCATATGGCCCTTTTAAACTCAGATCATCAAGGGTGTAGTACATGAACTTGCTGTAGACGAACATAGGGACGCCATAGGATGGACTAAATTTCACTGATAAATACTGTAGGCCCATGATCCACTGTAAACTCTATTTCCCCCTTTTGTCATTCCCAGCGAGATCAAGTGCCTTGATATAGATTCTATTGGTGCACACTCTGAAGCTTTGAAGCTCTTAGTCCACGTTTTGTTTTCATTGTCGAACTATGATAGGCAAGGCAAGATATTGGCCTTTGGTATGTGGTTGTCATTTATTTCCTTGCCTCATATCAAGACAGAACAAAACAACTACGGGATAGTGAGGGGTGGGGTTCCCAGTTGTGGTTAACAAGGGGGTCTTATCTCCCACGCGGGACAAAGATCAACGCTGATTCAAAAGTCGAAAGAGTTGAGTCTCCTTAGTATGCACTAGATTACTAGTTTCTAGCACTAGCATTGACCAAGAAGTAAAATCGGGCCCCTTTCGAACCTAAGCCAACATTTCTGTTGTTCACGTAGTCTCTGCACATGTATATCAAGTCTCCCTATCCCCTCTCCATTTTCAATTTCTCTACATCCAGTTTTCAATCAAACCCGGTTCTTCACCTCTGCGATCATGCGTTTCGCTACCATCTTCACAACCGTCCTTGCCGCTGGCACCGCCGCAGCCACCCACTCCCACATCGCCAAGCGCAATATCGAAGTCGACCTATCCGGCGTCTCCATCCTGGACATCGTCAGCGCTCTCATCGACAAGCTCCCCATCGATGGTGCTGTCAGCGACCTTACAGGCGGTCTCCTGGACCTGACGCAGGTCAACGTCCAAGCCGTTCTTAACTGCGTTGTTGACGAGCTGCCCCTGTCCGCTAGCGTGAACCTTTTCCCTATGCCAACCACCAGCGCTGGAAAGACCTTCACCGTGACCCGCACGCACACCGTCTACGTCTCCCCCACCCAGGCGCCCAGCGTTGGTAAACGTGATGTTGACGTTGAGTTGGCGAATGTTCCCATTCTCAGCCTTATCTCAGGACTTCTTGATAAGCTGCCTATAGATGCCAGCATCAAGGTCCTCCCTGGTGGTCTTTCAGATCTGACTGACCTCTCTGACGTCAACCTTTTGAGCATCGTCACCTGCATCCTTAAGAACCTCGGTATTAACGTTTAAGATGCTGGAGATTGTTTGGCGGATTCAGCCTCTTGATCTCGCATGAATTGCACACATATATTAAGGGATATACCATTTGTAATTAAAATTGTCTTGTCTATAATCATAATACCGCAGATTTCGCACTTCCGGATTCGCAGATGGTGCCTGGTAGCAAAATATACACGTGAAGTTGGAGTACATACACAGAGGATCTAAGTGGAATCGACGTTGAACAGAAAAGACCCTGCAGAAATGGCTCAGGCTTGACCCACTGACGTCTCTGGCGTTCTTCACCAAACGCCCCTTTTTAGAAGGGCCAGTGGGACCAAACACCACCAATGGTAGGGGCTAATGGCCCCGTGTGTGCGCACGAGTGGAGCCTGACAGACCCCGTGCAATTTCCGAGAAGGCGTTTCATGCATGAATCCCTCTTTTTCGAGTGGGCCTGTTTCGCGACTGAGGCCTGAATTTCGACACATTTTGCCTAAGGCGTGTCTTGAAAGCACCTCTCAGATGAAACGGCTTTCGAAATACCCGACAAGAGTGTTCACACTGACAAATTGGCTAAATGGGCTTGAACCATAATAACCAGCATATCATGAAGTGCATGAACTTCCCCGCATTCCCATTCTTCACGGCTGGTTCCCGCAAAGCTTACACCGTCTCAACTTTGCTTTTTAGCCGTGGAATCATTCATGGCTCTTCAATAATATTCCCCTTGACCCTTTTGGAACTGCTAACCCCAAACAGGTCTTGGTGATGGTTTTGTACGGGTGCTTCAAACGACGTTTCAGAAAAACTATTTGTGGAACTTCTTAACAGGCGGTTCCGTCGCAAAACAGCTTAGCATCACGGGGATGAATCCTTGAAAAGAATAGGCTACCGGTTAAATCCGTCAAAAGGGAATCGTCGCCAAAATGTCTCATGATATATTGCTTTTGACACTTATAAGAGCGCACCATTTCTCTCCAGCCAAAACTATCTAATCCATATCCTGAAGAGTCTCTACGACTGCAATCTTGCGAGAGAACAATCCATTCCCAGCTTCATTCTTTCATAATGAAATCCATTACCACTTTTCTCGTGGCTTCAGCGACCGTGATGGGCGCGATGGCTGTGCCTGGTGACTACCACAAGCGCCATGACAAGCGCACAACCATCACCTCCAGCTCAACCGGCACCAGCGGAGGGTATTATTACTCATTCTGGACCAATGGTGGTGGTACCGTTGACTATACCAACGGCAACCTGGGCGAGTACAGCGTCACCTGGGAAGACTGCGGCGACTTTACCTCTGGCAAGGGATGGTCAACTGGCAGTGCCCGGTAAGAACACTTACCTCTCGTCATAGCATATTACTTACACATCTGCTTCAGTGACATCACTTTCGAAGGAACGTTCAGCCCTTCAGGAAACGCATATCTTTCCGTCTATGGCTGGACAACCAGCCCCCTAGTCGAGTACTACATACTTGAGAACTACGGCGATTACAACCCTGGTAGTTCCATGACTTACAAAGGAACTGTTACCAGTGATGGATCGGTTTATGATATCTATGAGCACCAGCAGGTGGATCAGCCATCTGTTAGTGGTACTGCTACCTTTAATCAATACTGGTCGATTCGTCGGAGTACTCGGTCTAGTGGTACCGTCACCACCGCGAATCATTTCAATGCTTGGGCGGATCTTGGAATGGATCTTGGTACGACATTTAACTACCAAATTGTTTCTACTGAGGGTTATGAAAGCAGTGGATCTTCTACCATTACTGTGTCTTGAACGCGGTGTTTTGACTGCACATGTGGGGGAAGCGTTCTTTGGATTTGGATATGCGGTGCAGTACTAATAGGTACTTCACTACGTTTGAGTATACCGATGTTGCAACTGAGACCGTCTTTTCAAAAATATTATCTTCTCAATCGAGTTTGCATCGTTGAATACTTTCAAAATGACATTACACGTACGGTACTGCCTGATCGTGATCGTGATATGTAAGTATGTGTTGTGAAGGTAATCTGTCAATGCAGGAACAAACCTTCAAACGTTGGAAACATCCAGCTCTACAGTATTTCATGGAATCTTGCACATTTGAATTACCCTCCTCTTTTATCCTTTCATCGGGTCTCTCAAAGGGTCTTGGAATTCAGAGGATGTGGAGAACACTCGGAATGCGGGGCCCCGCACCCGTGAAGTGGACAGTTCTAGGAGTCTATAGCCGACCCTTCAACTTCAATCAAACTTGGCAATCTTGGTCTGCGCTTACTGTTACTCGGACTGATATATACCGGACCCCGAAGTGGAAAGTGCGGAGAAATAGCCTTCAGATCATTGTTATTCCGAGTGACAAGCTGCTTGCCCACAATACGTCGTGGAGACATTTCTCCCAGAGACTGAATCCGCACCCCCATGCTGCCTATGCGAATGTCAAGGAGTGGTCAATAAGTCATTTGAGACTGCGATGATATCTCCAGCCCACTGGGTTATCCGTCAGAAATGGGTATGTGAGAATGTTATTTCAATGGTCACCTTGCAACAAGTTCGATGCGGGGAGTTCATATGTGGGGCATTGCGCTTTGCTAGTAAAAGCCTGCATACCAAGTCTTTTCAAATTTAATATTACTCGCCTAGCAAGAGAATCGGTTCCATTTGAAGTGCATGTAGTAATAAACCCCACATACTCGGATGTATAATGCCGAGCTCTCGCTTCAGCTTTCTCTATGATATTGTCTCATAAAAGGAACGAAATACCTACTCAGACTCCAAAACAAGTGGGAACCACATCCGTATCTCTGATGCGTGGCATTTTACTACTCTTGCTGGCCACGTTGGCTGTGCCAGGGGTGTTTTCTATTGGCATAAATGACCAAGTGAACAGCAACGCTGACTACGGAACATTTCAAAATCCCTCCTCGTTGGTCAGACCACGTTTTCGGTACTGGGTAAACGATGCCTCAATGAATTTGGATGTTGTGGCTGAAGACGTGAGATCTATTGGAAAAGCAGGCGCTGGAGGGATTGAATTGCTCGGTTATTACTCATATGGAGATGCTCCTACTTTTGGCGGATCACTCATCACGCCATTGCAAACTGATTGGACTGTTTTTGGGTTCGGTGGAGCTCCCTGGAGTAAGATTATCGTCCTTTACCTAGAGCTTGAATCGAATCTAATTTATCACAGAGGAAATGGTCAATAAGATTTTAGAAGTCTCGAAGGAGCAAAGTCTTATCGTTGACTTTGCCAACGGGCCCAACCAAGGCGCAGGTGTTCCGGCACCATATGACAGTGATGGTCTCCTTTGGAATCTCGCTGCATATAACTCAACATTTTCCAGTGCCAAAGGCTACAAAGGCACCATTCCTGGATGGGGAGCAGGTCGGTTGATTGCCGCAACGACAGGGACTGTGAAATCAAGCTCTACAACGGAGAAAATTCTCTACGAGAGTTCTCTCCAGGATGTTACAAACATGGTCAAATCCGATGGGAGCCTGAAGATCAAGGCGACCAGCAAATCCAAGGCCACCGAGAGTCTTGTCTTTGCTTATTACCTTGTCCATTCCCGATATCGCGAGGCTCCAAACCCCACTGACCCATCAATTGAGACAGCAGTACCACAGTCTCCGGTTACAGACTACTCCCAAAATGGATCATGGGTCGTCGATCACTGGTCTCCTGCCGGTGCACAGGTTGTGGCTGACTTCTGGAGGCGGTCCATCTTGGACACTGAGAATGGTGAACTTATTCGCGAGGTTGGAAACTATCTTTGGGAAGATAGTCAGGAATTTAGCGCGGATACATATTGGACACCTGACCTGCAAAAGAAATTCCTCTCCAACCGAGGTTACAACATCAACAAGTACATACCGCTGGTGATCGGGTCTGGGAAATTTACTCCGAGCATCACCTACGTCACCGATGAGAGCGACGCAGGTGCTAGTCACATGGTTGATTATCAGCAAACGGTTAGAGTCTTCGGAAAATTTTCCCACCTGATTTACTGACTGACGCAGTTGACGGAGCTCAATGCTGAATACCTCGAAGCTTTAACGAAATGGAGCAATGACCTAGGAGTTCAATTCTCAGCACAAGTGGTATACAATTTACCTATGGACATGCTTGCCAACGTCCCATATGTCAACGCCCCGGAGTGTGAAACACTAGGTTTCAGTGAGAATATTGATGGATATAGGCAGTTCAGTGGTCCCGCAAACCTAGCAGGAAAACGTGTCATCTCAAGCGAAGCCGGTGCACAAATCTATGAGGCCTATCAGGAATCTATATCTGAGCTCCTGTGGACATTCAAACGTTCCTTTGCTGGTTCTGTCAACAATTTTATCATTCATGGGTTTCCAAACTCTGGCAACTATGGAAATACGACCTGGCCTGGCTTCACAACATTCATGTATCTGTTTTCGGCTATGCATGGACCTCGACAGCCGGCCTTTGCTTTCTACTCGGAGTTCCTTAATTGGGTTTCTCGTAATCAATTCATTCTGCAGACTGGGATTCCCAGGGTTGATGTTGCTTTTTGGTCGAAATCTACGACCTACACTAGTATACCGACTAGCTATGTCCCCGTGGATTTGCAAGAAGCAGGTGAGCATTCCTTTATTTTCTATGTTTCTCATTTGGTTGCATACTGACCAATGTTACACAGGCTATACTTACGAGTACCTCAGCCCGGACAACTTTGTGCTCCCCGAAGCTTATGTTTCCGATGGCACTTTTGCCCCAAATCGACAGGCATTCAAGGCCCTAGTCATTCGGTCCAATGAGACTCTCACGGCTTTAGGTGTCAAAGAACTCGTTCACTATGCCCACGCTGGCCTTCCGATTATATTCCCTGGCGGACTACCATCAAACTTTAGTGGATACAACCCAACAGCTGCCGCTGAGGCCATTCAGCTATTGAACGGGATAAAGTCATTGAAGAACGTGCATTTGGTCAAGTCAGATGGTCTTGCATATACCCTTCAATCTCTCGAGATCTTGCCGCGAAGCTCAGTTACGGCAAACGGCACGTGGTATTCGCTGTGGAGAGAGGACACAGCCAAAGAAAAGCCCTACATCTACGTATACAACGACGCCACAGGTCTATCTTTCAAAGGTGGAATGACCTCTGGGACCATATCATTTGAAAGTACTGGCGTTCCGTTCCTTTACGATGCATGGTCGGGAGACGTCACTCCTATTTCTTCCTATAACCAGTCTAAGACACATACGACAATCCCTCTCCAATTAGCCGGTAACCAATCCGTCATTATCGGCTTTGAGAAAAATACCAACTCAAATGTCCACATTCAGGACACCACGATCCCCGTTCTTCCTACGAGGAGCGACTCCAAGTCTCTGACTGTCTTAAGATCATTCGATGAGGAATCACGAGATATAACCCTCTCAACCGGGAAGAGAATATCACTCGCTCCGATGACAACAAAACCCTTCACGCTAAGCAACTGGACCTTGGAGATCGAGTCATGGACGCCGTTACCAGACTTCTACAACGCCGAAGGCTCAACTCGCACCAACGAAACATTCCACGTTCCGAGTCTCATTCCTTGGAACCAAATCTCCCACACGTTGACCAACGTCTCGGGAATAGGGTACTATACCACGACCTTTACTTGGCCACCAGCCTCCTCAAGCGTGTCGGGTGCATTCATTGATCTTGGTCCAATCACCCACACAGCGCGCGTCATGGTAAACGGGCAACAGTTGCCATCGCTAGATATTTCCTGGGGCCGAACTGACATTGGGTCTTTCCTTCAACACGGGCAGAATGTTGTAGACATTATTGTCAGTACGACTCTGGGTAACGTGCTACGGACGTATTGGGATCGGCTTGAGACGAGCGGAAGACTAGCGTCGGATGTTGTTACTGATCCGCCCGCTGTGGAGGAGTATGGATTAGTTCATCCCGTGCAAATTGTCCCTTACCGCGAAGACAAGGTAGTCTAGAATGACCCTTTACCTTAGGAAATATAATTTTCGCCCCATGATATTTTGCTGCAAGAGATTAATGACATAACCCGCAGCAAATTCAACGAATCAATTCGAATTAGGCGCCAAGTTTGCCGAACGCCAAGTTTGCTGAAACAAAGACCCAAATAGAGAAAAGTTCACGTCGCTAATTAAAATCGTGAATAAATGCCGAAATATCATCGGAAAATCCCTCTTGTTCCGCCGGAGTGAACTCTGGGATTTCCGTAATAGGAAATACTGCAACTTGTGCGGGCACATGGTCTTTTGCAGGCACATGATCTCTAGGCACATGATCTTTAGTAGCCTCGAAGATTGCATCGCGAATGGTGATCTGCTGTCTCCTATGCAAGGCCTGCTGGCGGAAGAACAGGACTTCTTTGAACCTTTCCGTGCTCAAGTTAGTTTGGTCCTGCTTGGAGGTATGTGGAACTTACACCGCAGTCTTCAAGGCCTCTGTATTTATTTCATCATTGTCGAAACGCCAATCAAATTGGTTCTCTACCGTTGGTTCATCGTTAGGGTCGTGGTAGGTTGCCACGTATGGGTGTGATAGGGCAGCCTCGGCGCTGATGCGGTCATCAACGTCAAAGGAAAGCATTTTCTCCAGGATATCGATAGCTGAAGCTGTGAGTTATTTTTCAAATGCTGAATCTTAGGAAAGCATACCTTCTTGGTCCACGCCGGGAAATGATTCCGTCAATGGCAGTCGCTTGCACTGCGGGAGCGACTGAACGAAAGCTCTTGTCTAATCCCGGTCTTGTCAGTTTTTTCAAAGCTATTGAGTGGTAGGTAGACAAACGTTTTTATTTTTGATCTTCTCCACGATCTTCTCAGTGGGATTGCCGAGTAGGTTGACGAATAAAGTAAATTGATCAGCATGGCTAGTAGCTGGAAACAGAGGAGTCCCTTTCAACATCTCTGCCAGAATGCATGCGGTACTCCAGATATCCACTTTTTCGGAATATTCTTGCCAGTGAAGCATGATCTCTGGAGCACGGTAATACCGTGTTGCGACATAGCCTGTCATTTTTTGGTCTTGCACTCGGGCATGCCCGAAATCGCAGATTCGTAGATCGCAATTCTCATCAATGAGTAAGCTGCTTGGCTTTAGATCACGGTGAATAATGCCGGCCGAATGGACGTATTTCAGTCCACGCTTATTTTGTTAGTGTTCAAATTTTGAGCAACGAGGATGACCTTGAAATACCAGTATTTGATATATGAAATATTTCGCAAAGTCGCTGTGAATAGGTCCTTTTGAAATAAGGACTTGCATATTGGTCCACATGAGGTCCGTCGCGATGTATCTGTGGAAAATTAGCTGAGCGATAACGAAATGGAATTATTTCTGAAACATACAGATCTTCCCTGGGGGAGATAAAGACATCTGCGAGACCGATTATCTACCATATACAATATCAGCAAGATGGTTCCGGCATGGAATAATTCTCGGGCGAGAGACTGACATTTTCATGGTGCATATATCTGAGAAGTTTCACTTCACGAAGGGCGTTTTTCGCCAAAGTGGAAGAACCAAATGGTCTGGTGATTTTCTTGATCGCGACCAACTTATTTAAAATGCGATCTTTTGCAGAACTAGAGAGGAAGGTTGGTCAACCACATGTTCCTGATATTTATCCATATTATGCATAAACACATACCAAACCAGCCCATAGGCGTCTAGCTCAACTGGGAGTGGCTCTGAATAGCTAAAATCATATTAGCTCTGGGTCTTGCGAATGTATGACCATTTTCATGAATACCGGGCCGTGAGCTCGAACTTCACGCCCATGATGGACGTGCATACGAATTCTGACATTCTCGCGCAACTTTTGGTAGGTAGAGAAACAAAAAGGCCTAAATAATACTGAAGAGGAGTAATCAAATGCACACGGACTCAGACAAAACTAAAAGTGAAACCAGAGAGCTACGGGGGCGTAGATCGCTCTTGAATAGGACTCACGAGCTCAGCATGTTCTCACGGATCGCCCTAACCGTAAACGGGTTCCAAGCCTAGGCCTGCCATTTTCCAAGTTCTACGAATAGAAAACCGCGTGAAAGAAGACCAAAGGTTCAGCCACAGTTAAAACTGGTGGATATCTTGATATTGAGAAGATGATATGATTGGCTGGTAAGAGTTACCGAGCAAAACTGGGAAAGTGGGAAGTTGGCAATGACATCTTGTTTTGGGTCGAGACTAGTCCGGATCTGGCTTAGCGCTTTATCTATACTTTGATTCCTCTGGGCCCCGTGACTTGGTTCCTTGGAGTTGATCCTTGGTTTCAAGTTATCTTCCCCTTTCTTCATCCTGATTTGTATCCCTTGGTCCTTATTTCTAATCACCCCCCCTCTCCCCGCCACAAATGTGGGTCAATCTACCCCTGCTGTGCCACATCTCAAGATCCAATCTGATTGCTTCTTGACTTCCACCAATGGTAGATGCCAGGGTCACGTTCTCCAGATAAATCGTCATATTGTAGTGGATTCCCCGCTACGCCTCCCAGCAATCATGGCGATCACCGACAATTTCCTTCCGTTCTCTCCACCTCCTTCTTTACGCTCGATGCCCCTCTTAAGCGGCTCCCCTCCACGTTCTGCGCCTAGGAATAGACCCCATACATCCAACCGCTCTGAAAGTACCCGAAGGGCCGAAGGGATTGAAAGAACGAGCCTACATTGAGGCAGATAACCGACTATGTCGTCTCCTTTGACTAGGACCGACGACCACACTGCCGAGCGTCGAGCTCGGGAGGTTTATCGATTTTTTCGCCCGGAGCGTCTCTGCCCGATCCATGAAATTCCAACGTCTGCCAGTGATAGCGGCTCGCCTCGGAGTTTTGACCAGCTTTCGGATGCATCGGGCGCTCGAGGTCGTTCGCCATGCAGTCCGTCACAATCATCAGAATCTTTACAAATCTCGACCACTCCAGTGGCACATTCATCAAGGCCATTACCTGAATCTCTTGTTCTTGGTGATGCAAACACAACTTTGAGCTCATTTGTGCAGCTGGTTGCGCTGCGACTGGATGTTGATCGTGCGTTCATCAGGTAGTATATCCGTTCTTAAATCTTATATGCGCTACATAAACTTACAATTTTTCTCTACCCAGTGTATCCGACCGAGACTCGCAGTATATTATTGCGCAAGGTGGCCAAACTACGGAGGTTACGAACACGTACGATAAGATTGGTGAAAATTTGTACGGAGGCTGTTCCACGCTTGACGCCAGCACGTGGAGTATGTGTCAGGTAAATCGTGCTTTCATAATTCATTACGCCTACCCTCATGGAGCCAATTAGCTCATATTCGATGTAGGATACCGTGGCATTGCCCCCGTCTGATAGAGAGCAAGCGGAATACAGCTTTATCATCTCAAGCGACATGACTCAGGACGAACGCTACCAGAATATGCCTCTAGTAACAGAAAAACCGAATTTTCGATTCTACGCTGGGACGCCATTGACGACAGACAGCAATATCAATGTCGGCTGCCTATTTGTCTTTGACACTAAACCCCACGCTAAATTTTCTAGCGAAGATAGAGGCTCTATGGGTCACATGGCAATGTTGATTATGGACTTTTTGAAAGTTAGTCGCCAAGCCTCGGAAGGCCGACGTGCAGCTCGCTTGTTGCGAGGAATCAACAGCTTTGTCGAGGGCCAGTCAAGCTTTCTTAAGGATACAGGGAGCTCTAGAAGTCCTTCTGCACAGTCCAGTGAGGCGCCTGGAAACAGAAAAAGGAGTCGTCACCGGAGGAACAGCAGCAGGTCTTCCTTACACTCCTACTCTTCACGCAGTAGCAGTGAACATTCGGCCTCGGATTCCGAGCCATATGATCCGTCTTCCTGCTCAAGTTACAACCCGACAATTCGCGATAGACCAGAGGGATGCAACATTACTGACAACAAGACGGAAAATTCATGGACCTTTCGACGCGCTGCAAACCTCATACGCGAGAGCCTGGAGCTGAGCGGCGACAGTGGCGTGGCTTTTCTAGAAGCAGGTTCTGACTCCATGCTAGATCGTGGCAGTGAGAGTGAATTTTCCAGCTCCCATGAGACCGGGAAATCGGCGTCTATTCTTAGTCTCTCCACCGCGGATAGCTTGTACGGCCCGTACGAAGGCGCAGCCTCGTCATATCCCGTCACAAGTATGGACGAAGAATTCCTGAACCGTCTTCTCAATACGTATCATCAGGGAAAGATTTGGTCACTTCACCGCGACGGCCAACTTTCAAGCTCCGACAGTGAAGAAGTATCTCAAAATCGGTCTACTTCAAGAAAATCTCATTCTTCGTCAATACCTTCGAAAGGCTCAAAGGGTTGGAAGCTCAAAGAAAATAAGATGCTGAACAAGTACTTTCCCGGCGCTACGCAGGTCATATTTGTGCCATTATGGTGTGCTGCTAACTCACAATGGTTTGGTGGCTGCTTTTGTTGGAACAACGTGGAAAGTGTTGTCTTTGACCCATCAGTGGAACTCAGCTCTTTGTTGAGTTTCGGATCGTCCATTATGTCTGAATGTAGTCGAGTTGAGTCGCTCATTTCGGACCGTCAAAAGGCAGATTTCCTTGGGAGCATATCGTAGGTTCCTCCGATCTGCTTATCATATTCACGCAGTTAATTTTATTCTTTAGGCACGAGCTGCGAAGTCCTTTGCATGGGATTCTAGCAGCAGCGGAAATCCTTCAGAGCACTGATTTGACTGAGTACCAGAGCTCTTTGATGGATACCGTCAATGCATGCGGTCGGACCTTGTTGGATACCATGAATCAAGTATTGGATTACAGCAAAATCCTATCCTTGGAAAAACGATTCCGACATCTCGACCGCCGAAGACTCTCGACATTGGAGCTTAAAAAAATGCATCGGTCCGCAGCACATTTAGACAAATACGCCGCAACAGATCTCTCGATATTGGCGGAAGAGGTGGTGGATGGTGTCTGTTTAGGCCACCAGAACCTTCAAAAGTTCTCTTTATCTTCCCATGTTCTGACATCCATTGGAGCGAAGCATGGCGCAGTTGAAGCCAGTCTCTCGCCCCCCAAAGTTGATGTTACAATCGATATATCTTACAACAACTGGGTTTATAACATTCCTCCAGGGGCGGTTCGACGCATCATAATGAACATATTCAGTAATGCGATCAAATATACAGATTCAGGCGAGGTTTCGCTACGACTAGAGGTCGAAAGCTCGTCCTCTCGAAACGGCACACAAGAAGACATAGTCACCATCACAGTGACTGATACTGGTAAGGGCATCTCGGAGGATTTCCTACGGTCGAGACTCTTCGTTCCCTTTATCCAAGAAGACTCTCTGGCCAGCGGCTCTGGACTGGGTCTCTCTATCGTTCGCAGTTTACTCAAACCCCTCGGCGGTAGCATCGCTTTCCAAAGTAAGCCGGGTGTCGGAACAACTGCAAAGGTAACTCTTCCACTTGTCCGTCCAGGACAAGAGTTCGAGGCTCATTTCGGATCAACACCACCACCCACACCCGATCGACCCACGATATCAACTGATGCTCATATCTTGCGTGAGAAGTACTCAGCAAGTACCGTTGCCATTGTGAATCCAAAGCTTGAAGATGGTTCCAATGGCCCATCCTACGGAGTTGTGTCACGCTATCTTACCGACTGGTTTGATCTCAAGATAGTGCCGTCTTCTTCAGAAACACCCATCGATGTTGTTTTTCTTGCCGAATTGCCCTCCGAAGACGATACTCAGAGCATGTTTGCCCACGACAAGTCATCTATACTCATGCTGAGCAACGAGTATATCGGCCACGATTCAGTACAAGTGAAGACGAAATTTGGACTTCGAAACGTGCACATCATCAATCGTCCATGCGGCCCACACAAGTTTGCTCGAATCATTAAGAGATGCCTGGATCGGGAGCCATCCACCACAGCCGTGGAGCCTAATGTTTCTGAGCATCCTCCTCACCTCGCCTCAACCGGACATGCGGAAAATGGGAGTTCTCAATCGGATAATGGGATCGAACCCACTGAGGCAACTGTCGCAGTCCCTGTGCAGAAAGCCGAGTCTCCACCCCAGTCCACCGCAGATGAACTCCAATACCCAGCGCAAAAGGAAGGGGTCCGAATATTGGTAGTGGAAGATAACAAAATAAATCTTAACCTGATACTCGCTTTCTTGAGAAAGCGCGGTCTCACTGCCATAGACTCGGCCGAGAATGGTAAACAAGCTGTCTCTGCAGTGAAAGAGCAGCAACAGAACTACGATTACATTTTCATGGGTAGGTGCTCATATTTGATGAATCAGTATCAATACTAACCGGTTGACCAGATATATCTATGCCAGTCATGAATGGTTTTGAAGCTACGCGAGCGATTCGAGCCTTGGAGAAGGAGCACGGTGATGAGTCGAAGCGATCAAAAATCGTTGCTCTGACAGGGCTCAGTAGTGCGGCTGATGAGGTGGAGGCCCTTGATTCTGGAGTGAACAAGTTTCTCACGAAACCTGTTTCATTCAAGGAGGTAGAAAAGTTATTGGATCACTGGGATAATCAAGAAGAAATTAAACCCGAACAGAAAGACTGAGATGCCCGAGCAAGCATCTTTGGATGCAAGATCGGCCTTGGATTTTCTACGCATAACGACTTGAACGAATAACATGATACCATTGTGATTTAATGTAACTATTATTGTCATAAATATACAGATTAAATAATGTTACCGGTTCCAAAATCCCCATCATCTGATCCACACCTGAGAATATCCTCTCCCAGCTTTCTAGCCTGCTTGAAAGAAACAGAAGACTCCAGATCCAGCGAGTGATCATGCCCCATCGAATTCCGAAGTATAAAACCTCGATAATCAAACGGAGTCAAGCCATCTTGATCCTTCGCACCGAAATCTACTTTACTCTATAGACAATTATGACTACAAAAGCTGCTCATCGCAACTAATTTGATCACCTCAAGAGATCCCTTCAGGAAAAAAGTCAATTAATATAAGATCGACTCTAGAAATAAGATAAACAAGTCGCATCAACCATGGGTCATACGGTAATACCCATGGAAAGTGGGTCCGTACCGCTTCATCGGACTAACCAACTCGACCCACTGGCTGAGGCCACCTCAATTCGCCGATGCTTCGCTTTCTCTATCAACTTCCTCTACTCCACCTTGTCATTCATGGAGAGGTCTAGATATTCAATCAATGAAGCGAACAGAGCGGGTAATTATAATTTGGCTCCACGTACAACCCAAGTTACTCTTGTAAACCTTAACCCATATGCAGGCACATACTCAAGGCTGCCAATTCAGTGCCTCCCTACAATATTCACCTTTCGAATTTCGTTTTCCACTGCTTATATTTACGTCTTTGTATACATTCTCGTATAGCACACCGTGGCTGAAAGGGTAGGTGCTGGAGTAGACAACTTGAGGCTACCTGGGTAGGCTACAGGGGATATGATTGAACTAGATGACTCGAGACCATAGTAAGGCTCCTGATCGGGCTAAGATAGGGTGTAGAAGAGTAATTTAGGGGGTGGAGCAATTCTGATTATACTCTCAAGTGCTGGCTACAAAGTGAAGATAATATGAGTGTCTAAATAACACAAGTTGGGATCCATTTTGTAGATCTTACTATGAATAAAACTATACGGCCGAGTCACTGCAATAGCCTCATTGTGCTCTCTCAAGTGAACATTCAAATGAGATGAAAGTGCACTAATAGAAAATAAAAGTACAAAAGCGGATTGGGCCCCTCACATGATCATAGCTTTTTTCGTTAAAAGTGGGCCCTTATCAGATGAATCGACTCGACCCATCACTGGCTTAGGTCGGTCTGGACCTCATCCGGCTGCTTGGTCACTTCCTCACGTCACTTGGCCTGCTTCTTCTGCTCTTCCTCACGCAGCTTGGCCTTCTTCTCCTCACGCTGCACCTTCGCTCGCTCCCTCTGCTCCTTGTCATCCACCTCCCGTGCCTTGACCGCCCAGTTCAGGAGCCTCTCTGGCTCCTTCAGGCATAGAAGAACGATATCACGGGTTGTGATGCTGTCTTCCATGGCGCTGTGGCCCACCCCGCCAACCCGGATTGGATGCCCGAGGAGATCCTTGGCCAGGATCTTCAGCCCGTAGTTGCGCCTCGGTAATGGTTTATCTGCCTCTCGATCAGGGAATACCGCGTCAGAGGTCAGAATCACTGAGTCAACAATGTTCAGATGAGCAATGCACAAAGCATTCAGGTCGTTCTCTAGAGCATGCCCGACCAAGATGGTGTTTGTGTCGGCATAAGAGCCCAGTCGGCTTCTGACATCCTCCCACTGAAGGCAATTGCCTGAATGCATAGCCTCCTCCATGTCTTGACGGGTCAAGCCACTGTACTCGGTGTTCCAGTTCGCCACATTTTCTCTCGGCTGGACATAGTGGTTGATAAGGACTTCGCCTGTGAGGAAATCCAGTGCTGTCAGAAATGCGAGCATGCCTTTGCCCGTATGAGCCTGGACCATTTCACAGTCCATGACAATTGCTTTTCTCTTTCTCTGTGACGGCACTTGGGAAGGACTGGGCAGGACCTCAAACTCAGTGATCGGCACAGAACTCTTGGACCCCTTGTCTCTTTTCGGAATACCATTTTCTAAAATGGTAAAGTGGCGTGCTAGAAGATCGCTAGCGGGGTGGCGCTTGCTCATCAATTTTTGGAACAGTGACTGGAGCTCTGCAGAAAGCACATTCGCGTTGGTTTCAGTCTCTGGCACTGAGAGGCAGCTTGTAAGTATACAAGACGCTAATTAACTAAGTATTTGCAGGACATGCCACTTACATGGGAAGTATGATGAAGTTGAGGGCTGGGGCTCCTCGGCAGTAGCCATTTTGGCCGAGCCTACAACTGTTGACCATTTCCTGGCCACTTCATCAGGCTCAGTTGGCTGGACTCTGAGTCTCTCAAGCCTCCCGATGATTCCATCCTTCATGGCTGCAGCGTAAGCAATTCGTTCTCCGAGCCTTTCATCGTCATCCTGATCGGGAGCCATCTCGATCCTAGTCCCAAGCGACGGGAACCAGCTAGACTGATGGAACACCTGAACCACAACGGTGTCTGACGGTATTTTGGAATTCTGTCAAAAATATGAGGCAATAACGAAGGAATTTTGAAAAAATGAGACGAATAGAAGAATGTTTGGAGTAAAGAGCGAGAAGAGGGACGCACTGCAATAGAAGCTTCGAATTTACGCTAGCCCAGATTTGGACTGCAAAAGAAGCAGTGCTACTTCTACTATCGTGAATGAGGCTTATTGTGGGCACAAGGGCGATAGTGGAAAGGAACCCCGATAAGCCGTTGTACCTCCTGCTGAAGCTAACCGAGCATAGGGTCATTCCGTATCAATAACATGATTTGAGGGCTCTGGATACGTGAATTCGGTTTAAAGCTTTATGTTAGATATCAGTGAATTGATAGCAATTATAAAGATTTATCATCTTATGCTTATTCTCTACGTTCATCAGACTGGAGCTACCTTCTGGTGCTTTCCTTCATTTGTTCAACTATAAATCAGCTTCTTGGAATTATTTCTTACGAAATTTCTACAATTGGGGAGAATATAAACGGAAAAGAAGAAGAAAACATATGGAAAGAACTCGAAAAGACATTAAAATCCATAATATCAACATTGAAATAACTTGCAACACGGTGATGTAAGGCCCTCAGTGTTCATATATTAAGAGATAAAGAGAGCACAAGGCTTTATATGAGCCTCTAATTATACACTAACCGAGTCTATCTATTAAGTCTTGGCACTGGGCGTTCCACTAGCGTGCATAAAGCCTAATATGCAGACGTGGGTCATAGTGAATAGGAATTGTGACAAGCTAATCTATCTTATATTAGATTAAGTGAGCATACAGTAATTCACAGCCAAGAACCACAACGTCAGATTCGGATTTCCTTAATTTTGGTCGACCATAGCCATATAGATCGGCAAATGAACCACCTTTGAGAAAGACCATCATTTCGTCATCGTTCCGAACCTCCGCAAGACAAAAGTCACATTCTGAAACTCTCCCGTCTGACATAAACAATCGTAAAGTAGCTCGGAAGTCTTTGCAGCAGAACTTGCATTTTTGGTCAGAAGGTGAATGGAGATAAACAGAAGCGACTCAAGGAAGAACAGCTGCCTTCTCTTGACGAGTGGCCCTAGCGTCCCACATCAACAACCCACATCCAATACAGCCAAGAGAGTGAATGATAGCTTGGGGCCAGGTTCGGGGAATACGAATGCTCAGAGCGAGATGAGTGGTGATATCTTCGTTGGAAGACGCGAGAGGAAGGCCCATGTAGGCCAGTAGATCAGGCGAAGGCATTTTCTTTCGCTCACAGGCCCACACGCATCCCTTGCAGAAGTAGCGCTTGTTGGGCTCTAGATGAGGGCGCCGCACGTAGGGGAACAGCGAGGCCATGGCACAGACCAACGGATTGAAATTCTCATAGGTCGGGCGGCGAGTGAATGGCAGCAGCGAGCGGTTACTCCCGAATGGAGGTTGAACGCTGCGGAAGTAGCGAAATATTTCTCCATCTGCCATTTCCGCGGTGGTCGCGTCAGGGTGGAAGTCAGGGCATATGGCATCGGCTTGGCGTTGCATGTTCTCAATGGTGCCCCAGCGCTTGACGGCGACTTCGAAGGCGCACTTAACGGGGACCATGAACTCTTGGTAATGCATGCCCATGGGGAAGGCGGTGTTTCGGTATGTACGAGGCACGACACGGGCGATGGGGACACGCTGGAGTTCTTCGTTGCCAATGGCGAATGCGGTTTTGGTATCATCGATCGTAATGCACCAGTAGTCCTTGTTAAGATCACAGCAGTTGGGGCAAATGCGTTCGCAGGTTGGGAGGTAGATGTACGAACCATCAGAGCCGCAGGAACGGCAATAAGGGTACTGCATTTCAAGCTTGAAGTCGCGGATACTGGTCCAGTATCCCATTCCTGTGATAGCGAGGGTATTCCGAATTTGTGGGCAATGCTTGATCATCATGATGTAAGTTGGGTGGTGATTGGCAGCGATGCGGGCATAGCGACAGGTGCGAGAGAATCGTTCAAGAGTTATGAAGTCCATGTGATCAATGATCAAATGCACCACCTCGAGGGACAACGCATCAAGGACCCCCAGATTCTCGGTCTTGAGAGCATTCAACTCCTCGCGTTTGGGAATATGTCTAAAGGCATCAAACCTTCCGTTTTCAACGGTGTCGACGGTTCCGATCAAGGCCTTCAGAGTCTCCTGATCCCAGGCGAGGGGGTTCACGTATTCTGGCCATTTCGGATGGCGAATACGCCGCGCGACTGCAGCATTGCTCAGATTGGTAATGGAGTTAGGAATACCCTGCCGGAGACCGAGTTGCAGAGTGATGGGGCCAGCCATGGGGTGGGGCAGGAAGTTCACGTTCACATTCATGGTGAAGAGTCGACCGATAGACTCGGAATAGCAAGAGTTTGTTGAGATGAATGAGGAAGATGAGTTCCGGGAATTGGACTTTTCGTTTGAATCGAGAAGAGATATTTGAGGGGATGAAATATTTGGAGGTGATGGGGAGAAAGGTGTAACGTGATGTGAATGTCGACAGTGAATGAGAAGATCAAAAGTAAACAAATGGAAAACAAGAATAATAAAAAATATTGTTCATATGTAAGTTGTGTACATGGCCAAACAGGCGGCTGATCATTTACTCCACTTCCTCCATTGGGTTTGCAAGATGGTCAGTTCGAACAATATAATCCTCGTCATCGTTTACCACACCATCCTGCATATCCTCATCCTCAATCGAGGCATCTGACTCGGCGCCACTTGGACCCTTGCCCTTCTTTCCGGCAACGCTCTTGCCTTTGCCCTTGCTGCTCGTTGTCGACTGACCACTGGCACTGCGAACCATGCCACCCGGCCATTGCTTCAATCCTTTGATGCGACCGTGAATGCTTCCTGGAAAGGAGCCATCTCCATTGCTGATCGCGATCTCATCCGGCTGAGATCCTCCCAGGTTGAATGCCTCCATGGCATCAGCAATGGTCTGCGGGGCAGCTGCTGCCGGGTCCTGCTTTTGCTTGTCGACGGACTCGAAGGTTTGACGAATCCGCTCAAAATGTTCAAGTTCCTTGGCACTATTCACAGATCAGCACTGAATTCATATTTGCCTTTAGCTTTATCAAAAACATACCTAACAGAAGGGACAAGCTCCCCTTGCGCCGCCACGAAATCTGCCTCCGTTACGTTGACACTCACATCCTCCGGGGTCGCAAGATGATCAAAGAAGTACGCTGTGGTGACTGGCCCACCAGGGAGTTGCTTGATCTTCTCATCTACAGCGGTGGACTTCCTTGTGATAGCCTTTAGCATGGCATCTGAGCAAAGAGCATACAAATCGGCACCAGTGTACGTCAGAGGAAGCTGCTCCGCAACTCGGTCTAATGACACATCAGGATTGAGAGAAAACTTTCTGGTAAGTGCCTCAAGAATTGTGGCTTGCTTCCTGTGTGTATCTGACACACCCAGGTAAAGCATCTTATCAAATCGACCAGGTCGAAGAAGAGCAGTATCGAGCAGATCAGGTCGGTTGGTTGCTCCGATAACGAAAACTCCACCACTATTCTCCTCACCGCCGTTCATTCCATCCAACTCTGCGAGCAACTGGCTCACAATACGATCCATGACACCGCCACTGTCGCCTTGATTGCCACGCTTAGGTGCAACTGAATCCAACTCATCGAAGAACACGACACAGGGACGGGCATCCCTGGCACGCTGAAAAACGCGGCGGACGTTGGCTTCAGATTCACCAATGTACATGTTGAGCAACTCCGGACCCTTGACGGAGAAGAAGTTGAGGGAGAATTCTGTGGCAATAGCCTTGGCCAGCAGGGTCTTGCCAGTACCAGGAGGTCCGTAGAACAGAATACCACTCCGCTTTTTCATGCCCTTGGCAAACAACTCAGGCCGCTCAAGTGGCAGCTGGATAGTTTCAACCAAGGCATCCTTCACATTGCTCAGTCCACCAACGTCATCCCAGCTGACGTTGGGGATCTTGGGCGCTCCAATCGAGTCAGCAAAGTTCTTCCGAGCAGCCTCAACTGCAGCGTCGAAGTCGGCCTTGGTGACGCCTCGGGCTCCATCGCCCCCAGAAAGTAACACGTCCCGAACAGAAACTTGTGAACCGGGAAGTTGTTTGCTTGCAGTCTCTGCAAGACCTTCAAGACGGGCAGTTCTAGCCGCGGCAGCTCGTTCAACGACATCAACCAAATCTCCAGCTACAAGTGCTGCTGTCTTCAAAGCAACAGTTCCCAATTCAACATCGGAAGACAATTTGATGCCGCGTTCAGCCACCACGTTTCGAAGAATGCCCTCACGTTCCTTTTCTTCAGGCGCTCCCATCTCAAACTCGTGGGTGAACATGCTGCGAATGCCTTCCGGGATCTGCTCGGCATCGGTAGTGGTTGCAATGATGACCCTGGCTTCGTTTGCGATATCAGTCATGGCAGTGACCATCCGGTCTGCTGTCAGAACCTCGATATGGCGGATGAGTAAGGCGGTGCAATTTGATCCGCAGTGGAAAGCCCGTTCTGCACGCGCTTTGAGATACGCCTCTGTCTTCACATCGCCACCGTTGGCACCACCTTCAGTGAGAATATCATAGGAATCAATAGGGAAAGTATGAAGTCCAATGTCTGCGCATGCCCGCGTCGCAATTGTCGCCTTACCGATATGTCGCTGTTGTGAAGTCAGAAGAATAATCACGGGCTTCATGCCCAATTGAATGGCACGTGGGCTTGTGGCTGCAGACATCAAGTCACGGATTCTTTGTTGCAAGGGAGGAATAAATGTCTGAGGAGGTTCCGTGACAATTCCGTGGGATGCTGGAGCCTCGTCCACAGATCTCGGAATGTTCTTGACCCCAAGCCAGTATTCCCATCCATTGCCCAGAGTGCCGGGGATCCGACTGACGTCGCTGCCAGCTTGAACCATTCGGGTACTCGACGGGTCAATGACCGCGACGCCACCCCATTGGTCCTCATCGGCCTCTTCAAATTCTTCCACCGCAGTTGGTGCAACTTGCCCAACCCGGAACCAAGCAACGCCAACCTTGCGAGCAGCAGAGTTGTCAGAGTTGGAGCCCTGGCCTAGCCGGGAGGTGATATCATCCTCCTGGTTCGCTGCGTCGCTTCCAGCCATTCCAGAAAATACAGCTCTGCCTAGCCCTTCATCGACACTAATGCCAACCAAGTCACCGCTCTTCAAAATTCGACGACGTGATTCAAAGTACTGTTTAAGTCCAGCAAAGAGAGCCGGCTGCAGCACCCGGTCCATGGAAAGTGGAGTTGAAACTTTAAGGAGAGTAACCTCCTTCGCCAAAGGTGGGTTCTTTGCTGCACTGTTCTTCATGTGGTGTAGAAGACCAGGCTTCGCAATAAGGGTAGGGAATGTCATGGGAGAAATGCGTAAATACTTAGGGTTATCAATGTTACCCAGCAGCAAAGGTGGCACAAAGATTGAAGGAGTCAAACGTGTCTGGAGGCGCTGTGAGAAGCTTGATCGGCGATCCCCTGAGTGGTTGATGGCATAACGGGGCTTTGATGACGGAAGTCCCGGTAGACCAAATACCTTGACTGGTCGCCAGTCACCAGAATCCTCGGGAGATTCGTTGAAGCTTCCAAACTTGAGCGAAGCAAACATATTTAGCTGAGGCTCTTCTGCGGCTTCAATACGCACCCAGTCTCCAGAGAAGCAACCAATCTTGGCTAGTGTGTTGATATCAACGAACACAAAAGAGTCAATATCTTCGTCATCGCGAGGGCGTGGATGCAAGACTTCATTCGGAACTTGCTGAAGGAGTCCCTCGACCTTGAAAACCTTTCCACCGCCACGACCAGGACGCATAGTCGCTGAGGTGAAATTAGAAGCAACCGACCCGGGAGTATGGATTCCATCAGCCCGGCGTCCACCTGCGCGAGGAGTCGCAGATGTCATAGAAGACATCACACCTGATGGTGGCTGTGGCAGTTCCGGGGCCGATAGAGATATCATATCTTCCAAAGAGTCATCGGATGAATCACTTAGGGATCCAGCAGAACCTTCTGTCTCCGAGTCTTCGGCGGCAGATGTGGTCTCCATATCTGTCGCACTCTCCCCAATCTTGTCCTCGGCGGCAGAATAAAACTGTTCATTGGAAGTATCATCAGCTTCGTCTTCGGCGACCTGTCTTAACAGGGCCGATCTCGTGGGCATTATCTGCTTAGTGCGAGTTCCCTGTGAGCGGGCCTGAACAAGGACAACTTTGGTCGCGGGCATCAAAAGGCCTTGCGACACTGGCTCGCAAAAGGAGATACGAGCCGGAGGAGCAGGGGCATAAGTGATAGGATGTGGTGGCAGAGGGAGAGGTAATACATCCCCGGTATGAACAATGCGCTGCGTCGCCAACGCCTCCCGCACAGCTGCGGTCAATCGTTGCTCGATATCAGCCGCCTCTCTCTTGGAATATCGCCTACTCTCCGGTCCCTTCCCAGTCTTTGGCCACACTCCGTTGGGTCCAGAATTCTGGAAACCACCACCAAACTTATTTTGAACATCGTCATGGTTTCGGAGCAAATTCCGCTCTACAGTAACAAATACCGTATCCAGATGCAATGGGGCAACATCCAGAATCCGAATATCTACACTCCGGTGTGTCTGCAGCGATTGACGTGCGGAATCAAGCTTCCCAAGTGCCAGAAGGAAAGACTGTAGCGAATCGGCCGATTCGGGGAAAAGTATGGTCGGCTGAGATGTTGGGGCCTGCGATCTTGCTGGTTGGATGCGAACAGGCAGAATCGTCCAGGCCGAGTCCTCGACGGAGGTATAAGTGGGCATGTGCGGGGAAACAGCAACATAAAGCACTCCGTCCCCGGTCGCAGCATCTATCAATTGAAATTAAACCAATTAGTCCAAGCTTTCATAGCCGACCATAGGAATTAGAGTAAAATCACTCACCGAGGAGGGACTGTTGACAGAACAGGTCATTCGCAATACCCTCTGATAAGACACCAACGTTTCCACGAAGCTGGGGATCCAAGGTCAAACGAGCAGGTATGGGGGGCTTATTATGTTGTCGCCTCTTTCCCACTCTCTTGCGCCTTTGCTTGGGCTGCTGGGAGCTCTGCCCATAGTGATCGTAATCCATGGTGATCCGGGGTTCGGCTCGGGCTCGGGCTTGGGCTCGATTGCTGTCGGGGAAGGTTGTGAGTGGTCCAGATAATGGTGCGCAAAGGGTATGAGAGTCTGGTCTATCACTTCTATTCAAGCCACATAAATCAGAAAGCAAGGAGCCCGCAAAATGGAGATGTAGACGCGGAAGACACAGCGGGACCTCAGAATCCGGGGGAAATCACCACGCGGGCATCTCGGCACCGCCCGCCATTCTGCCAACTCCGAAGCCGAGGTTCAATGCGTCCCAAATGGGACTAGATCAGGTCCCTACATGCCAGCATCACCTTGTAGAACACGTGAGCAACTTCAGGGCTATTCACTGGCTTTATGCTTTCATCAAGTATTCAGGTACTCAATAGCATATTAGACATGAATATTGTGGCGCGCATCGGCTTCGAGGTATCTTATGGCGCATAGATCTTCGGCTTGCGATTGGGGTTCTGCCCGCTGATATAATTGCAGCTCCCTGCATGACTAGGCATAATTCAACGATTCTTTTTATCATCTCCCGTTAAAGTATTACTGGGTATTTCTCGTTATCTCCGTGATTTGAGGTAAGCTTTATATATTATATAATGTTTGCATTTAGGTGTCTATCAGGTTGAACGCTGAAACCTCCCGAGGTCCCTGGACGTATGTATGTACACATGTGCAATGCTATGCTCTTAGCTACCTGAATATACCTACCCATGATCTTCCGCATAAGTCCTAGTGAACCCATTATTCATGCACATCTGTGGAGTATGTAAATAGAGCCAGAGGTATGGAATACACACCATGGATTGTGTCTTTTCAAAATGAAATAAACCTTCCCCTGAAGGTTCAAAATTCAAACTCCCGAGCCATGGCAGAGCCCTCTCGCGTAGCTTACCCCAACTGCTACCAGTTGACATATATGCAGGTAATTCGGGATGCATGCCAATATGCCTTAGGGGTTCCAAGGGTTTAATATTTCAATGTTGAAGGTATTCCAAGGCTCTCAGAAGTCAGGAGCCTCACTTGTGCAGCAGCCCTAACGTTGTAATATATTGAGTGATACATATCTTGTTTTCCTTCAATGTTTGAACTCTGAATGTTGAAAGATCAAAAATGTTCGTTTAGATGGATCTCAGGCTTCAACCATTCAAATGTTGAACGTTGATTTGTTTCAATTGCCAGTCAACTGATATATACTCCAAGAGCTAGGGCTCGATCCTTGGCAATCGCAGGCCTGTGATCTTACCGTGGCAGTTTACATATGTAAGCGACTCTTGAAAGTAATGAAGCATTGCGTGGCACCTGGGGGCGGATCCACATCCCACCCTAATCTGAGATGTCCCCGATGGCCCACCCCCGCGGATAAAGACTCAATCAATTTTTGGAGAGACCAGAACAACCATTTTGAGATTTGGAAATTCAGGCAGAACTTTTTTTAATTTTGAGCCAGAACCTAATTGGACGATAGAAGTATATCCGCGGAATGCTTCCCCTGCCACGTCATGCTTGAACCCTTCTTCCAGATGATCATGAAGGTTCCATGATTCGGACCAGAAAATCCTGGAGCCTTCAGAGGCATTGCCAATTGTATCATTGGGGATTCTTGAGTTTTGTGCGGAGTATTATTTAGACAATGGATGTTGAAATGCTGCCGCGACATGATTTTTCCATTTTCTGGAAAGGCCCAGCTCCCAATGTATATCGTTGACTGCCAAAGAGACAAGCTTTTCAGATATCTGACGGGGTCCCCCAGTGCAGATGCTAGATGATTTGCCGGGAATATCAAGCGAAGATACGAACCCGAGCCATCCGGGAGGCTCGTATTTCACGTGCCTGAAGCCCCACAAGGCCAACAATTTATCATTTATCGGTGGATCCAAAGTCGGTGGATCGGAGGAACCGCTTTCCCTTTTTCTGGTTTTTTTTAGGGGCCTCGGAGATGCTATTTTTGAACCCTGTAAAGACCAAGTGGGAAATTGCATGATTGTCGGTTAACAAAAAGGAAACGAAAAAGGGGGGAAATAATTAAATGCGTCAGCCTTTATCTAGCTTCATCAACGTGTCACATTTCCTATGGAAGGCAGACGTATTTTCTCCTGCTGACATGGACATGACCGGAGGGATTAATTGAGCCGCAACGGAGGACGAGACCCCGTTGCTATTTCCATTTTGGGAGTCCGGGCTGTGGGTCGTGTATATTACTGGTAAATTTCCACAGTACAGGGGAATTGGACCTTTTCCCAATCGATTTCTAGTAATTGCTAGATGAACACCAAGCTTAGTAATACAGACTCTCGTTATGACCTGATTAGGAATGACGTTGAACCTCTGTACCCAGCAGTCACCATGGAAATGTCTTCCATATAGGTCCCTCCATTGTCATCTCCTTGAAAACCCGTTTTTTGAAATGCCTAGTACCTCGGACAGACTATACTAAGTCTATAGCTCAAACTATACCTGATGTTCCCGATCGGGCTTGGCGGAGTGTACCTAGCGATTGCCCGGCTTCCCCGTAATCTGCAAGAATACAAGGCTGAGTGCTGTATTTCCGTTACAAAGCCTCAACCAATCAAAGCCACACTTTTGTGCTCAGCCATCCACGCGATTCCTGATTAGGTTTAGCGGTGTTCGTCTATCAGGCAGACACTCGTCCGTCATCCCAGACATGAAAGGCCTCTCTCCTCCTGGACCCATCTTTCTCCATCCCTCACTTCTGCCCTTCTTCCTCTCCACCTCGTATACTCGTCATCTATATTCGATACCTATCGGTCGCATTTGTCCTTTTATATACTGAACTTCTTCTCACTCTGGGCATCCACGCTATCTCTTCCTACGCTTATCTTGACGGCTCCACCTAGAGCGCTGTTGGTCGATTATCGACTCCTGTTGATATATAGATCCACCACCCAGCCTCTCATCCATCGTTGGGGAGACCTGACACAGGATACTGCGGGCTTGTATTGACAGGCTGTCATCATCGTATTGCCCTGTTGAAGAGGGGCGCAACGGACCCTTATATAAGGCCCAAACCCCGCACGACTTAAACTCGGTGACTCAATAGTCATCTCGAAGCTGGAGGCGTCTGTGAGTCATACCAGTGGAGCCAATGACCAGGCTTCTGTGCTGCAGCCTTGTCCGTGCTAATCCGAAAGAAGTTATCGACCAGCCCATCATGTCGAAGCCCTACGATTCCGCTCGGGTGCACCCGCGTCGCCGGCCTGCTTTAAACGCAGAGCTTTCCTCCCTGGTCACCGAATCAGTGGATTCTAAGATGGGGCTAAAGAAGGGAGAGACCTTTCATACACCGACTTCTCCTCCTTCTGATGAGCGGGACCCAGTTCTAAATATTCGGTCATTGCCTCGTCGCTGCCCAACTTCGCTGGAAGCTATTGCTGCTAGCGAAGAACGCATGACGTCGATTCTGAACAGGCTGACTTTGGATTCTCCAGAGGACAGCGTGAAAGAGCCATCAAAATCTGCTGGTGTCATTCCTATGCAAGAGGATGTTTCAAAGGATCCCTCTGGTCTATCACGCCGTTCCTCTACTAGCGAGGACTTGAAAAAGAATGAGGAGCATGGGCATGAATCAGACAGCGGACTGGGATCATCCGTTAGTAGTAATGAGGAGTCAGGCGATGCAACAGGTAAATATTTCCCCAATATGCCCCGAAACATTACCCCTGATCGGGAATACCTTTGCCTCGGGCTGCAGTGTTGTTGAAAGTGGCTTTTTTCATATTGCGCCTTTGCGTGAACTAAGGCAATAACCGGATGCGCTCATGGAAGCCTGGTCTGCTGGCTTCATTTACGTGAATGAAAGACGCTAACCGGATTTGTTCATGAATTCACGTAAATGAAAGCCTTGCCTGCTGGGTTGCGTGAATAACGATCGCCACTCATACTCCAGCACGTCCGCAACGAAAATGCTAACAAGCCAAATCTAGTCGATACCCCGCAGTCGCCAATCACAAGCCCATCCTCAGCTTTCGATATTGGCACCGCCCCTAAGCGCCAACTCTCCGTGATAGCTTGCAAACAAATCGAACGCTACATACTCGTTCCTATTCTTAAAGATCCGAAGCTAAAACCTTTCCATCCGTTGGTGAAGTCAATTCCTCCACGGATCCTGAATCGACACATTGTATGCCTTCGAGACGTGGAAAAGTCACTATTGTGGCTCGCACCTGTAAGTTCTCACCTTTTCTATTGACGAATTCACGTAAACTCATTTGCGTGAATGAGAACGTGAATATTTCACGTGAATGATCGATCGGGGCTTATATTCTGTGGTAGAAGTTCTCAAGTTCTCGATTTGCATACCTCAACTTCGCCGAGTTTACAATCCAGTGCTTGCATACATCTGCTGCTCATCTGAACGACCGAGATCAACGACTACCGACTGATCGCCCATACACTAACGGATACTTCCTCGATCTTGTTTCCCAGGTTCGACGTTACGCAGCTATGATTCGTGCCTCCCGAGAGCGAGTCGAACAGGCCCAGGCCGAGGCCCCGTCCGAGAAGAAGGACGAAGTATCTCTTGTAGTCAGTGCTTCCCTCGAGGGTGGTCTCTCCAAGAATGGTAAACCCGCGGAGCTTGTCGTGATGCAGGATGGAAAGCCCATCTCCATGCGTACTGGTTTGCCATTTGTTCCCGAGGACAATCTTGCTACCTTCAAACGCACAATCAGCTTTGACGAAAAAGTGGACGAAGGTGTGCAACGATCGATGGCTCGACGCAAGAAGAATGCTCCCCCGATGGACATCAATCAGAAGTGCAGCCATTGCGACAAGGTGTTCAAGCGCCCCTGCGACTTGACGAAGCATGAAAAAACCCACTCCCGTCCTTGGAAGTGTTCCGATTCTACCTGCAAGTACTTTGAGGTCGGCTGGCCGACCGAGAAGGAACGTGATCGCCATGTCAACGACAAGCACTCCGATACGCCAGCCCTTTACAAATGCAAATTCCAGCCTTGCACTTATGCCTCCAAGCGCGAGAGCAACTGCAAGCAGCATATGGAGAAAGCCCACGGATGGGTTTATGTTCGATCCAAGAACAACGCCCGCGGAGACAGCAAACGTGCTGGGTCTTCCAACCAACGTACTCCTAGCGTGTCTACACCAAGCACACAATCAGTTGATTTCGCTACTCCTGTCACTGGACCCAGCCCCTCTCCTGGCCCGCGTCCGTCATTTTTCCCGGATGCTGCTCCATTCAACTTCAACGATCCACCGGTCCCCTCCGGTGATCAATACCTCCAATTGTTCGAGAATTCCCCCTACGCCACGTCGTCGGGTGGTATGAACACCGATTTCAGCTTCCCTACTTCTGCCAACCTCGACTCGTTCCAAAACCAATTCGAGTCGGGGGATCCGAACGGTCTGATTTCCTCCCTGGAAATGCATCGCGAGTCGATGAACTCCATGTCGGTCCCCTCGGTGGAGTCAATCCCTGATCTTATGACCATGTCAAATTACGATGACTCTCCGATGGCTAACAGCAGCCTGAACTTCGATTTTGACTGGGCCCAGATGGAATTCCCGGATGTGAACACCGACTACACTGCCCTCAACGTGCAACTGCCCGAGAATGATTACAAGGGATATTCGGGACAGATGGCAACAGACCCATCCCACCTTTCCATGACTGCCCCCGGCAAAATGGCGGGTCTTTCTCCCAATGCGCAGGGTAACCCTATGCTGTACTCGCCTCCCTCGGATCATTACGAGTACGGCCGGCACCACAATGGGAATGACTTCATGCTCTACGGTGAGCAGGCTGGTATGAACATGGCTCAGATGATCCCTTCCATGACTCAACACCAAGCTACTCGCCAGTACGGCCAGTCTACTCAGATGTTCCCCCCTCTTAGTGATCAAGAGACTGCTCTCCAGGGCATGCAGCCCTGGGCTGCTGAGCCTCGTCAAGGAGGCAACTCGGACTCCTACACCTCTCGCGACGTGGAACTTGAGTTCATGAAGTAGGCGGCTTTCCTTAATACGTGATTCTTTCCATTCTTATCCTGAGCGAGCTTCAACAAGCGTTTCACTCTTCCCCCTAACGTCATGGGTCATCTTCATCTTTATTTCCCCACATGTGAAAGCGACTTAATTAAAGAATTTTATTCTCGCGCCTTTCCAAGATCTTTCCAAGATTTATTTTATCTATTAGCTCGCAATATAACCAACTCTTTATGACTAAATCCATCCTTGTAGTTACTTGAAGCTGGAGTACTGTAGTAAATTACAGTTATAGGTACTAGTAAGTAATTTGGATTGTGGACGTCATGTGCATCACAAACGTCAAGGGCCCGCATGACATTCAGCCCTGTGCCCCACGGTGACCCCCAATGATAATCCTTGGGGCTAGTGCTGGCCGCGTCAGGGCCGCCACCGGACATATATAGCATATGACAACATTCAAATATTGAAGAACCGCCCCTTGGCACAGTCTTGGTAGATTAGGCAGAAAAGAAATGTACACGTTATTTCAAACATAGTCGGTCGCATAGAATGACAATCCCGGCATAGTACCACTTATAGATAGTACAAGTTCATGGATCTTGGCCCAACAAATGTGGAACTGTAAAGAAACTCCGAAGTCCTGAGTCGTAGATTCCTAAAGATACAGTGATCGATGATCGATGATCGTGGGGGGGCGGCCAAGCCAAACGCCTTTAATTTACTGCCACAAACTGAGCAGGTGACGACATCATCTCCCCGCTTGTCCTCCAACTCCTTTTTTTTCTGCTTTCAACGAACTTTAGAAGATTCATACAAATCACAATTTCTTCTTACACACTAATTGCTGCCAATCGCAAGTCAGTCCTACTGCGAAGGCTTACGGGGCTGTGGTCGGTCTCACTGATTTTGGTCTCGGCGTCAACCCATACACCAGGCAGACGAATTCTGCTGTCTTCCCTCATACCATCCACGGTCTCACTCTGATAGCTGAGTGAAACTGCGTCTTTCATCCCGCTTCTGTCAAAGCCCACAAAAATGCAGGAATCACATCCCACATTGCCCAACGGCGATCAAGGCGGAATGTCCGGTCAAGATGCGGCCCCGCCAACAGGACAGATCTTGACGGGCAAACAGGAGCACTGTGAGATATTTGCCCCCTTTCACATTCCGAATGCTCCCATACATCTCTAAACTCGATATGTTAATACCAGCTCTTATCCTCAGATCTTAAGCGCGAACTCATTGCCCGCCAAGTCCACGGAGAAATCTCCGAGCTCAACTCCCCAACTGCCCTCCAGCGCTTCGGTGCCCCATTTCGATCAGAATTCGGTGAAGTCGCTCCCGTTGACTCTGAGCTTCCAATTCTCCGCTACATCTTCGTGCATCATGTTCGCAATTTCCCCTTTCTCAACCAGGCCGAGGAGAAGCAATTCTGGCAAGATAAGCTGCAAGTAGTGGGTCTCCCTTCGCGAAATGGAAAGTGCTTAAAAGAATGGATATTAACGGTCGCTTTGCGTGATAGTTCCTAGAATCATTTGCTAACAAGCATGTCTCGTCGTCGGAAGATCGTTTGGAGGAAACAAAGCGTCGGAAATTGGCTCGCAAGTGTGAGAAGCTCGTGGAGCTGATGATGGTCTCTGGTGTACCGACTGCGTCAGGGTATGAAGAGCGCATTCAGTTCTCGGAGATGGAAGTTGTGGAGCGTGGAGCCAACGAGAAGGGTCTACTTGTCAACATGCCTGAGGGCAACGCGATCAACACCTGGGATGTAAACGTAGCTGCGGTTCGGGTGACTTCTGTCAAGCGGACCGTCCGATACCATCCCCACGCAGTAAGTTATCCGGACTTAAAGGTGGAGCGCTTGCTAACGACCTGGCAGGAATTCCTCATTCGAGTCCGTCGAGATGACAAAGAAGAGTACCACATCGGCAGAAGATATGGCGAGTTTGTCAACCTCCACCGGAGACTGCGCACTGAGTTCCCGGGCAAGCATTTACCGCCTCTCCCTCGCAAAAACAAAACTTCCACGACATCTAGTTGGTTCGGCTCGGCAGATGACGATGCTTCTTCCGTCTCTTCTCTCTCTTCCGACCGGGATGCTAGTTTTGAAGACTTAAGTGGACAGTCCGGTCGCACTTTGGCACCTGGAGGGACTCTCAATCGATCAGCTTCACGGGCATCTTTTCGATCCACAAAGTCTCCCCGCGCATCCGGTGATGTATCAAGGGATACTGTTCTCTATCGCGAGGAGCAGCGGGTATCTTTGCGTGCATTCCTCCGCACCCTTCTACAGAATAAGCGCATTGCGGAGTCGAAATCGCTGGCTGAATTTTTGACTGCGAGGCCCATCAAACTTAACGAGGAAGAATTGATCGATGTTCAAAAACGAAAGAAAATGGACGCTATCAGAATTGAAGAGCAAAAGAAATTCTATGAGATTGCAAGGCAGCGAGCGGCAGAGTTGGACGTTTATATGGAGCAGTTCCGGAGGGATATTGTGGAGAGCAGTATGCTTCCCGATACGCGCTGATGTGATATGTACTAATTGAACACAGATGGACTAACGAAGCTCTTCGCGGAGATTCGAGAGAAACCCTCTATTGCAGACCTCAGTCCACAATATCAGAAGTTTGCTGAGTGGCTTCGCATCGAGTATGTTGGAAAGTATGTCTATTACTTCATTGACTAACTGAAATTAGGGTTGCCGCAACTGTGTACCACTTGTTCCTTGCAGAGGATAACTCTCCTGAAATGTTTGCCCAGGCGAAAAGAATCCATGGGCTCGTTCCATATACATTGTTGAAAAATGTAATCCGCATCGCCAATCCTGCTGCCGTCATGTCGGGAGTTCTCGACCTTTTCTTAGCACAACCATTTGGATCACGGTCGCTGCTACAGCGGATCTTCTCATTGACTCTAAACGAAAGCATCAAGGACTTCCAGAAGTCCATTTCCTCCCTGGCTGCCAAGGTTGAAGATCAGGTCCTTGCTGAAAAGCTCAAGAGCTTCGTAAATGCTGAAGAGAGTACGAAGAATCAAATTCGTCAAGAAGCTGAACTTGAGGATGTTGACCTCATTGTGGCCATTCTTCGTTCTGAAAATCTGTCACCGGAGCTCACCCCAGAGCAGATTGAGAAGGTATTCAATGGCTGGGTTGCCTGGAACTATGCCGTGGACAATGTCGACCTGGAAATGCAGCAGGGGGCCCAATGGTTTGCCAACATGAAACAACTACTCAAATTATATACTCGCCAGCGCGATAAGGCAATGATGCTCAGCATTGTTGAGGAACCTACCACCCTTCAGCTGTTTCGCGACCTGTTCACCATCTTCTATGAACCACTTGTCCGAGTGTACAAATCTGCCAACGTCTACAGCAGTATTACGGATTTCGCTCAATTCGCCGACGACGCCATTGCTGTCATCGAGAGTGCCCAACGCCAAGATGCCTCTGCTGACCCCAACCAGACAGTCCAATCCTTTATTGACCTTTGTGCTCGACACCAGGATAACTTTTACAAGTTTATTCATGAGGTGCACCAGCATGACAATGGACTTTTCCAGTCTCTGATGTCTTGGATTGAGGAGATCCTTGATTTCCTGCGCAAGGGGCCCAAGGGTGGTAAGCTGGACATGAACGCCATGTTCCAGGGAGCTGCTGCCGCTGGTCAGGTTGATAGGGATGTTGCTCTCGCTGAGATCAATGCCTTGATCAAGTGGCACGAGGATCGCAAGCGCTGGCATCTTAACAAGACTCGCCAGAAAATGGCTGCTGAAGGAACCACTGAAACCATTCCAGGCTCTGCAACCTTCAAGGGCAGCGACTTTGGCCTTGATGAGGTATGTTTTGTTTCACGAATATCACTGTATTTTGGTTTCATCTAACACTTTTAATAGGGTGATCTGGAAGATCTCACTATCTCTGATGAGGCATCTGACTCGTCTGACGAAGGGACCGAAGATGACGAAGAGGATGACCCCATTGCTTCTGAACGACGTCGGCGGGTCAAGAAGCAAGACCAGCTTCGACGAACTGCGGGAGAGCCGGTGAAGCCCGAGATCTCCGAAATCCTCAAGCTCACTGATCCTTTCGTGGTCATGCTCCGCTATGTGCTCGCCGATTGAGCCCTGCTAATAATAGACTCGATATCTTTGCTTCCCTTCTTGGCGATGGTTTTTTTGCTATCATACATTTCTAGTTGCTGCTTTCATCGCTGATACACCTTATCGCTGTTGCTTCAAAGAGATCCATACCTAGAGAATAATAGAAAATAAGACCATTAGAGGCCATTTAATACAATGAGACTGGCTATATGCTTTCTAATCTCTTACATACAAGCGGGTATCCATAGACCTTCGCTATATCCAATGGGGTCCTTCCTTCGGAGTCCCCCAAGCTGGGATCAATACCTCCAGCCTCTAACAAGGCATTGACATTCTCCAAAAGCCCCATTGCAGCGGCCTTATATAGCGCCGTCTCTCCATTCTGATCCCTAGCATTCGGATCTGCCCTTCTAATCCCCGTCACGAGCCTATTGATAACCCTTCCATTCCCTTCCTTCGTCGCGGCTTCACTCAAAGGCGTAGTCCCATGAACATCCGCCAACTCCAACTCCACCCTCTCACTCTCCACCAACAGATCCACAACTCCAACCCTCCCCTGCTTTGCCGCCACAAAAAGCGGCGTCTGATGCTGCCAGCCATCCCTCAAATTAGGATCCGTCTTCTCCCACCCCAACAAAAACCTCACAACCTCAATCTGCTCCCTTTCCGCCGCTATAGAGAATGCACCCCGTCCATACCCCCGATCCCCACCGTTAGGATCCAACTTCTCCCCAAAGAACTGCACAAGATACCTCACGATCTCCAATTGCCCCATAATAGCCGCATAAAGAAACACATGTTGTACATGACTCTCCTCGTGACACCCATCAAGAATAAGTCTCAGATGTGCAGCAAATAATAAATCCACTTCACCCTCCGCTTCTCGATCGCGACTAGCTTTCGACAACGCCGTCGCGCCTTGTCGATTTCGTATTCTAGGATCCGCCCGCCCACTACCAACCAACAAAGAAACAGTTTCCCAATCAGATATATGAGCCGCTGTTAGTAACGGTGTATCCCCGTTCTTATCTTCTAGATTAACATCCACGCGCTCGTCTCGTAGTAGCGCACGGATTATATCTCGATGACCCTGCTTGACGGCCCAGGAGAGCGGTGGGCGGAGATATTTCCTATCCCGAGCATTAGGGTTGAAGTTTATGTCGTCATTTTGTAGTAGGAGGGATAGGACGGCGATGCTGCCGTGGTAGGCTGCTAGGAGGAGTGGCGTGCAGCCTTTTATATGGGGTTCGAAGTCTGAGGTTGATTGTGGATCTGCGCCTGCGGAGAGAGATTTTGCTGCCGTTGAGGAGTGGTTGTGTTTTGCAGACCAGTGGAGGGCTTTGCGAGCTTGGTGGACGTCCAGGCGGTAGAGGAGCTTTGTGAGGAGATTGTTGAATATGCTATTTGTGCGGCAGAGGGCATTGAGGTCCGATGGTTTTGATAGGAAGGACGATATATGGATTAAGAGTTCTTTTGGGAGATCCATCAGGCATTGTGCGTATTGTTCAGACATCTCGCCAATTTCATGTTAGATATTGAACCGGTCAGACGGGGTCTTTTCTTTGCTGATTTCATGGAGGCTTATAGTTGTTGGTAGTGGACTGGGTGGGGTTGGAAGCTTTTTGATGTGTGGGTATTCAGCCCCGTCTTTTGACGAGGATGGTATGACGACATTGGGGCTGAAGTCCACCTATGTCACTGTACGGAGTAACCACTTGGTTTCAAGCTAGGTCCATATCTAGCCTGTCTTACCGAACCTATAAAAAGATTTCATGTCAAGGCGTTGTAAGACATGACAAGTTTGGTTAATGCGGGGGCGTTTGTCTTACTTATCTTACGATAAGATGATAAGATAACGTGATAAGTGTTTCCATGGTGACGATTCTTTGTACTCAATTCGTTCTCAACTCAACTTCTCTCATCGCTTTGCATTTGAGACTCCAAGATGTCTTCTCCACCTAAAAGAGAGTTTAAATCTCCAATCTCGCCCCGCACTGCGGCCCGCTTGAACGGTCTATTCAAAGAGAACGCTTGGCACTGCAATTGCCCAACCCGAGAGCGAGCTATCAGGTTTCAAGTGAAGAAGGAAGGACCAAACCGGGGAAGATGGTGTAAGTGTCACTCGTCTAACTTATTCCACCCGCTAATCCATCGAATACAGTCTATACATGTCAAAAACCGCAGAACCAACGCTGCGGATTCTTCCTATGGAGCGAAGATGGCGAGCAACGAGAGAAACAAGTTCTCATGGCCAACGCCGACTCTGAACTTGACCCTCGGACTCAAGCCCCATCTACTCCAACGAAGTTAACACAATACTCAAACGGGCTACTCACCCCCCAAACCGAGCGCAGAATCATCGACATCCCACCACGCCAGTCCGCCTCCAAGCCCACCCCCACCTCTTCAATGACTCCGAAAGCTCGCATGATGGCCGAAGACACCGACGAGTTTAGCTGGGACGTAGACTCAGACGACAACGCCGAACTTGCACAAGCAAGCCAGTGCGCTGAAGAATCCTTCGTCTCGCAACCTAACTTCCATGCCGGCTCCCCGTCCAAAGCACCCCGCACCCCGAGAAACACGTCCCCAGGGAAGCGCAAGCTATTCGACCATGCAGATGACCAGCCAAATTCTGCCCACACCTCTCCTTTCCTTGCAACGCCTAGCTCACCGTTCTCATCTAGGATTCCACCCTCCTCGGCTGAGCTATGCATGACACCCACTCCGAAGAAATACCGTGATGCCGATGTCCTCGGTGCGGACTCCCGATCCGAGGTTTCGGATCTGGCGAAGGAACTAATGGCGATTTTCGATAAACACGAGGTGGTCATTCCGAATGGGGCGAGGGATGAGGTGATTTCACGGATTAATCTTGAAGGTTTAAAGTTGAAAGGTGTGGTTCGTGCAAGGGATATGCTGAGGGAGGCGATTAAGAAGAAGGATAAAGAGATTGTGGAGCTGAAGGAGAGGAACACGAACTTGAAGGCTCAAAGTGAAATGGACCAAAGCATGATCAGTTCCTTCAAACGCTGATGCTGGTTGTCAGTTTGAATCTCTAATCTCGGGGCTTTATTGTGTCTTGAGGACATCTTTTACGATATTACGACTCTGCTTTTCGCGATTTTTAGCAGCTAAAAACATACTTCAAGCACCTGATTGACATTCAATTTTTCTCATGAAGATCAATTTATAACCGGATCTCTTTCAGACTTACAGTAAATTTCCGATCCTTGAATATACTCGGTTTTGCAGACCTTATGTAGATGCGACGCTCCTCCAATCACCGCCCGAGCCACAACCGCACCTCACGTGCCCGATAAGGAAATAAATCCATTATCGACGCCTGACTTTATTCTACTGCACCAGCGACTCACCAGTGCACAGGCCACTTCCTCCTTTCAATGGAGTCTTCCAGCGACGAGCGCCAGCAGGTTCCCCAATACCTCACCACAATGTTCCGACCACCCGTGAATCGCGCAATGCGCACCCTTGACCGGTCATTTTTTCGCAAGACTGTTCCCATCAGCGCGGCCAAGATCTTCAAGAACTCGGATATTTCGAAGGTGCGCGCGGAGCTTCTCAAGGCGCGAGACTTGCTGGTTGTGCCGCGGTTGAATATTGTGCGCGATGTGCAAGAGGCGGATGGAGTGAAAAAGGCCCTTTTGCTGCGGGGGGATTTGAAGGCTGATGGTGGGTTTGATTTCTTGCTTGCCTGCATCGGCTTCAGTGCGGTCGAGATCTTTGATGATGATGTTAACTTTGTCTTTTTGCAGATAAAACGACTTGGTCCCCGACTATTAGTGCGCTCGTGGAGAAGGGAACTGTTGATGTGACGCCTTATGACTTGGATTTGAATTATGACTACTGGTCCTATGGTACGGGTTCTATACTTAGGTGATCTACAGTATGTGACAGCTAATGCCTTGCAGCCGAGATAATTGGCGCTATTCTCCCAGACGATGAGTTGCAAGAGCTGCCTCAAGGGTTTACGCAGGTGGGGCATGTTGGTAGGTTTCTGCCCGATGCGCCAGATCCAACTCCTCGATACTAACGAGACTAGCACACCTCAACCTTCGCGAGCAATTTTTCCCGTATAAATTCATCATTGCCGAGGTTCTGAGAGACAAGAACCCTTCCATTCGCACCGTCATCAACAAGATTGAAGATGTTGGGTCTCATAGCCAGTTCCGCACTTTCCCATTCGAGGTGCTTATCGGCGATAACGATCTCAATGTTGTCCAGCATGAGCAAGACTGCGAATTCCGATTCGACTACGCCCGTGTATACTGGAACAGTCGCTTGGAGACCGAGCACCGCCGACTTGTCGACAAGTTCAAGCCGGGCCAGATGGTCTGCGACGTCATGGCTGGCGTTGGACCTTTTGCCGTCCCTGCGGGCAAGAGGAAGATCTTTGTGTGGGCCAATGATCTGAACCCGCATGGTTACGAGGTGATGCAGGATGCGATTACGCGCAACAAAGTTCAGGACTTTGTGACGCCCTTCAACTCTGACGGCCGAGAGTTTATCAAGTCCTCAGCTAAGTCTTTGTTGGAGGTGGAACCGGTCACTGTCTCTATTAAGCCCAAGGTTAAGAGCCGTAGCGATAAGAAACGCAAAATTGAGGAGGGTCAAGAGGTGCCTGAGCCACCAGCTGAGGTGTATACCCGTCCGTCCATCGTGGACCACTACGTGATGAATCTCCCTGCTACGGCCATTGAGTTCGTCGACGCTTTCCAGGGAGTTTACGCTGGTCACGAGTCTCTTTTTGCCCCGAACACCGCTCAACTTCTTCCTATGGTTCATGTCTACTGCTTCTCGGGTCACTCTGAGAACGAGGTGGATGACCACATCGATATCTGCCAGCGGTTGTCGGAGCGCATTGGGTATACCATCACTCACGAGGATCGCATCGACGGAACGGGTAACCAAGCCATCGAACTGGCTATCCACAATGTCCGACTGGTTAGCCCGAACAAGCAGATGTTCTGCGCTAGTTTCCGACTGCCGGCGGAGGTTGCTTTCCGGAAGTAAAGGAGGGCATATTGCATGAGTGGCGTTTTCAGAGATACAAAAAGTTTACATAGACAAAACAATGCATAGATACCCTCACATGACCATGAGCTTTGTAATTATCCATTGCAAGTCTGGATGTCCGGCTCTGGGCCTTACCCGATTGGGAAGGAAGCGGTCTGTGCTCACCGCCTTGATCTGCCGGCAAGACACCAGCAGTTTCATCGCGGTCGCTTTGAAGATGGATAGCCTCATCTTGCATCTCACATCTCGCATTCAGCCGTCAAACCTCCGTCTACTTCTACAATCTACGAGAGGTAGCCGTTCCATCCCAAAATGAGCGTTCAACTACCCCCCGCCACGCACCGCCAGCGCGTCCTGCCACAAGGCGAACTCGAAGCCGCGTCAACCCTGAAGCTGGGAGCGGATCAACACACCCACACCCTCTCATTGTCCGAGGCCCGACTTGTCATTCACAAGGTGTTAGAAAACAAGCGACGAGGCGGAAACAAGTACGAGGAGCCGGAGTAAGTGTGCATCTCCGAAGCTCGGACTAGACCGAATTGAATTGCTGATGCGGGGTGGATCTGTAGGAACCTGACCAAGACCCTGGACTACCTGGATGTGTTTGCCCGATTCAAGGACGAGGAAAACATCAAGGCAGTGGAACGGTTGTTGAACTCGCACACGGAGCTAGAGATGTTTGAGCGATCGCAGCTAGGTGAGTTTTCTTTTCAGTCCCAGTTTGCATATTGCATATCCAGGCGGGTTCATGCTAATATGGTGAATGTTTAGGCAGTCTTTGCTGTGACAATGCTGAGGAAGCCAAGTCCCTTATTCCTAGTCTCCAGAACAAAATCTCCGACGCCGACTTGCAAGAGTTGCTGGATGAGTTGACCAAGCTGCGCAATTTCACGGAGTAGCATGTGGATGTGGATGCAAGGGTTTACTATTAGGTAAGAGATCGGAGGACAGTTGACCGTTTACAAATCCCAAACTTGGGTAACAGAACTAGCATGGCTACGGCGTTAGGTGTTTCCCTGGAGGATTCCCGGGACTTTTAATAGACTTTTTTGAACAATTCCCGAAGAATTCCCTTGCCACCCGGATCAGCGTTTTAGAGCAAGTTAACTGGGGAATTTCCATTACTCCGTGGGGCGAGTTAAACTCATCTGATTGATAATCAAGGCAGTTCATGTCCAAACCCCACAAATTTGCCTGAGGGACAATATGATTGGTGGTGGTCGTGACCGTTATCCTAAGATCCTGATTGGTTCTGTTATTCTCTAGCTTGAAAATCGGTCAAAATGATTCGTAGCTAAGATATTCCTAGTCAAGACGTCGTCTCCCATTTTCCCCAGATATAATAATCCCTGCATATTTCTTACCCAATATTAATTCATTAAAATAATTATTATACATATTTGGCCGGGGATAAAGGCAGCTGAGCAAGGAGTATTAATCAGTACGTAATAAAGATGGAGGCTCGTCCAAGGTTATCCAATCAGAGTAAAGGTTCTTATCTGTGACAATTTCCTAGTCATAATTGGGAAACCAAAGTTCCAATTCTCTTACGAGAGGAAAAAGGCGATCTTCTGGGTCAACTCGGGAATCCAGACGGCTTTATACTATATCGATGTCATCACATTCCCTTTTTTTCTCCCAGTTCTTTTCCTTCCTAAATACTTTATTCAAAAAGGAATGAGACGGAGCTTACAACTGGGTTGATATGATATAACCCTTATATAGGGATCATCCGGAGATAACATTTTATTATTATTTCGTTTGATAAGCATTATCACCAAACCCTAGGTATGTCCCCCTCCCCCTTCACCTCCTTCTTATCTATAATCAGATCAAAAGATCTTAACGAATAGTAACTGATCATTTCCAATTCTAGTCCCCAATCATAATATTCTGTATATCGGATCTCCGGTTGAAGATTGCGGAGTTTCTGTTTCGTGGAGTCCCCCCAGATATCCTTTTACGTGACGAGATTCGCCCATTCGCTATCAATTATTCTTTTTATCTCCGATTGCGTTGTACATTTTACTTTGCCCACTTTTCCCCCTCTTATCTCCCGCTCTCCCAGAATGGCAACTGTCATTACCATTCAGCCTTCGACCGCTAGTCCGGCCTCGCCTTATACTCAAACCCACCATTCCCCGGACCGCCGCCGACCCCAGACTTCTACTCCCAACCTTTCCCCTTCACCTATCTCTGTCAATTCGACCTTACCCCGTCTATCGCGGGATGGAGCTAGCTGTGACGCCTGTCTCCGTAGAAAGAGTCGATGCGCTATGAATGATATGGTCAACAAATGCTATTCGTGCGACTTCCATCGCCAGGATTGCACTTTTACCTTAACGGCCGGAGACGGCCCCACAAAGAAGAGGAAGCTGTCTGAGTCGGTTCGGGAAGAGCCTGCAAAACGGTATGCCGAAATGGGCCCCAAGTGCAGGTCATGGAGCTACATATACTGACATTATACAGCCCTGTCCAGTCAGTTTCTACCGAGGAAGTGGCTCGTCCGGGCCATTGTCACGCCATGATTCGCCCAGGCTTCTTCAACCAGACTACTCAACATATTGGTCTCACTACAGAATTGGAACCGGCGCTATTGGACTTCTTACCACTTGATGAATATGATGAGTTCTCGGTATCTTCTTCCCGCATTCGGAGATGCGCAGACGATCACACGTTTATGCGGGTCGTCAATACCGTCCCCGTTGGTGACTCGCAGGCCGTGTCACTGGATGCCATTGAGAGCCTGGTTGCTCCTTATGGCTCCACCTTGATTGAGAAGTTTTTCGAACACGTGCACCCTTCTTTTCCAATTTTGATGGAGGATGCTTTCCGTCAGTCATATCGGGAGCGTCGCCAGCTATCACCGTTGTTATTGGCCGCGGTGTATGTATTGACGTTGAAGTTTGTGGATGTCGGTGCCTCTTCACAGACAGCCCGACGACCGGATTCTGCTCGTTTGGAGAGCGCGGCTTTGAAATTGCTTCTCGACTCATTACCATTTCCAAGTATCTCGACTATTCAGGCGGGTCTGTTGTTGACTCAGAAGTCGACACTAGCCACGTCGTCACTGAACGGCCAGCTGGTGACTGCTGGTTTCGAACTAGGTCTGCACCAAGACTGCACGAACTGGCGCATGAAGACTTGGGAAAAGGGCCTGCGAAAACGACTCGCCTGGGCTCTTTATATGCAGGATAAGTGGTCCGCTCTCGTGCACGGCCGCCCCTCACATATTTTCGCATTCAACTGGACTGTCAAGGATCTTGTGGAGCAGGACTTCTCAGATGCCTTCCTGTCCGGTACTCACGCTCCACACGACGAAGCAGCCGTCGGCCATGGCCCCCTTCTCTTCTGCCATATGGTCGCTTTGACGACCATCCTCTCCGACATCCTGGACCGCTTCTACACCCTCCAAGCAGCAGAAGACTTCCACGCCGCAGGAAACGCGCGCACACGAATCATCCTCGAAAAAGCCAAACCAGCACAAATCCGACTAAAAGACTGGTTCTCCTCCCTCCCAGCCGCGCTCAAGATGGAATCCGGCAGCGGCGAACTAGTCGAGACAATCACAGACGAACTAGCCCGCAACGGCGCCCTCCACCTCGCATACTTCGCCACCGAAATCACCCTCCACCGCTGCATCGTCCGCTCCCTAGCAACAGACGGTTCAGACTCTTACCTCGCACACATCTGCCGCTCCGCAGCTAAAACCCGCCTCATCTCCGCAATGGACTTCGTCAACCGCCTCCGCCCCGCCCACCTGCGCTCCTTCTGGCCCGCCTCAGCACGTACCAGTTTCTCCCTCATCGGCTCCTTCGGTATGCTTCTACGAATCACAGCGCCGACAACCGAGGAATCGGAGTTCTACCGCTTACGGCTGTGCGAGTACCGATGGACTCTTAGCGTTAGTCACAAGAACGCGGCATTCATGGGCTTCGCTCTGGAGAGTCTGGATAATGCCACTGCGCTCGATAAGCATGTTCCTGCGAAGCCTTCTATTGACGAGCTGATGGCTTCGTCTAAGCAGGCCACTTCTCGGTTGCCGCCTATGAATGCCGCGACCTATGATGAGGCGATGGGTGATCCGGATGGTATCCCTGGTGGAACGGGTCCTTCGTCCTCGGTTATTTCTGGATTGGCTTCTCCTGCTACGTCTATTAGTGATGATGAGAACGAGTCTCTAATGATGTGACCTTGAATTTCCTATCGCCTATCCTAGTCCTTCCTCCCCTCTTACCTCCGACACACAACCACACACATCTTCATCCTCACCTTTATCACGACATATTCCCCGGCGTTTCAAGGAAAGCACTCTCAATTCGATTGAGCGCTTTTGATTTTTTACTTTTGACTTTTTTTTTTGAATTTGGATTCGCTTGCATGTATCGCCTCACCAAAAGGCATTTGGCATATGGGATGGATACTTTGAGTTTGACCTTTACAGCTACTACCCACTTTTTGGGACGGATTGAACGGATTATTGGAACTGGATGGATTGATCTTATGTTATAGACACTCCCGGCTTGGAAAGCTAGATCGGATGAAATGAATTATGATTGAATATTGATCTTAACACCTACCTCCTTCCCTATAATGTAACGAAATCATCACCCTCCCAATCAAAAAAGCGAAAACTCCTGCCCCCCAAATGCAAAATCCTCCAAAATAGACGGATCCACCAAATTAGCCAACATCTCCGCCCTCGTCCGATCAGATTGCTGCTGCGGATCCCGACTAAATAACGAAAAGAAAAAATCATCATCAGGCTGGCCCTGCTCCGGTAACAGAGGCGCCGCATCAAACGAAAGCTGCGGTACCGCCACCGGTACACTCAAGTCATTCACTGTAGCCCCAGACGGACCCCCAGCATTAGAATTAGAATTTGAAAGGGAGCCAGACCCAATTGACGCCCGCATACCCTCGGGTCCAGCGGAATACAATGGCTGCACAGGAGCTACACTCTGTTTTCTGCGCGCAAGACATGTACGCGCTACATCGAGGACTTCACGGAGCATCTCGGCGCAGCGTCGGGCTACGATTATATCATCCATAGAAGAGAAGATCTCGAGGGACTTCTCTACGTCTTCGATAAGGTCGTCTGGTAGACCGGGGAAATTGGAGAGGATGAGGTGGAGGAGGATCATGGAGCCGTAGAGGGCGTAGGTTGTGTTGTACCACCTTTTTCGATTAGCGGGATGGACCTGAGTAGAAGAAAGTCTTGTTGGATGTGGAGTTGCCTTACCAGGTTCGGATGTAGATACGATGCATGAAGGACTCGTATTGCATTTTGATGCTCATCCGGGCTGCTTCGAGACATAAGTGTATATGTTGTCTGAACTCATTCGATTCGGCATTTGTGGTTGATGCGACGAGGAATGGTTTGTGGATCAAGATGCGAGTGTTGTAGTATCCTGATTTTCGTCAGTTCGAATTAGTTAATCTATGTTGATTGGTTAAGAGTAAGAGTACTGACTCAGTCTTAGAACGAGCTTCTGTTTGAACGCCCATTCTGGATCGCTGAGGGGTTGTGCGTCTAGAGTCAGGAACGCTGGGATGTTGGCTTTCCATTCCAGGAGTCGTGCGTCGAGGATCATTGCTAGACGTGATTTTTCGCTTAGAGAGCGTTGTGCTGAGTGGTAGAGTTGGTGGGATGCTTCAGACATTATCTGTGCGAGGGATACCATGACTGGGATCATGGCTACGTCGTTGTCTTCGGCGTCAGGATCGAGGTCTCCGTAATTGATCTAGGGCTGTTAGCGTGAATGAGGAGGTGGGGTATCAATGTCTTTGTTACCTTGAGCTTGGGAAGAGAGACCTGGTAGTACTTTAGCTCTTTCATGCTATCCAGGCGACCTGATGAGCAGGACATTTCTCTGTATGAAGTTAGGCATTGGAGATAAGTTTGGATCATGAACACTTACATTTCATGCGAGTAGATACACCTTTCAATGTTCAGCATTTTCATAGCAGATTAGGCGTTGATTTACTTACCACCATGTGCGCTTCGCCTCTCGCCTTTGACTGGGCGGTAACGAAGACATGCTCGAAGCGAGTCCAATCGCCGCAGCTGTTCTAACAGCCATCCCACTGTACATATAGCAGCTATGAGGCTGCAGGGAATTCTGCCGGAAAATACTCTGTTGAATCAATTAGCATCGTGATGCTATGTCTCCAGGTGGACATACCAAAAGCAACAATGTCTGAGCCGTCTCCAGACAACTACTTTCAAACATATCACGAAGAGCCACCTTTGCGATTTCAAAGTAGAATTTCGCAAAGTCCAGAGCAGAGAAATGAGTAGCTGGTACAGTTTCCTCCGGATCCGCAGGCTGCTGGAAATGATCCAACAGACCGGTCTCATTCGGACTAGCATTGATAGCACCCAGTGCAACGACGGCAAAGTAAAGACCTGCAAATTTCGTGATACTGCGAAAGAGTCCGGCTCTTCGAGAAAAGGGCCATACTTCACGCTCGCAGCGTCGCATAAAAGACCCTTTGGATAAGATCGGGTGAATGTAGTGTTTATTTGTGAAGTAGCTTCCAATGAAAATCTTTTCGATTTCCAACTGTGCTCCATCAGAAATTCGGGTGAATAATGCAGACAACCCACCGCTTTCTTGTGCTATTTCTTTCCATTAGGAATCTTCCTTAGAGGATGTGGCTAGATAACTCACAGTCACCGGAAGGGCCCGCTTCACTCCTCCGCGCATTTGCATATGAGAAGCTTCTGTGTGAGTCACCCTCTGTGCCGGTATAGGATTGCGGCGAAAGATGCCCTGTGTAGTCAGCATTGTAAAGCAAGTTCACAATAGAAAGCTGTGATTTCCCCGATGTGGATCTGTTCTCAGGTGAGGATGGCTGTGCTCTTGTGATTTTCGGTGCGATATCTTGAATGACTGGATCACGCCCTTCAGATTGGTTTTGTGCCCTTGCGAAGAGGTTTCCGAGGAATGCCAGGTTTGATGAATTTCCATAGAACTCAGTCCCCTTGGTATGGAGGTTAACTCCACTTAGACCATCTCTACCTGCGGCGTCGCCAACCTCTGAACGTGCTAGCCGGAATGTTAGTTTTCGAATGTCATATCAAGTGAAGATGGCCTTTTACCGGATTCATCATATTCTTCATCATGTTCAGTTGCTGTTGTGAGTGTCTCGGGAGTCGATCCAAGGGGACCGATTGGCTGAAAGGATCGTGATACTTGCCCGGCTAGTGAGGCGGGCGAATCTATTCCGGAAGTTGTTTTACCTTGACGAGGGTTGAAAGATTTCGAAGGGGTATGCCCTGGCCAGGGTGAATGGCGATTTACATCATCATGTCTGTGTCGCAGTCAGAAAAAACCCCGCCAATCACTTCGTACTGGGATATGTTCATTTTCATCGATATGGCATGGGGGATTAACATCTGACCTTTCTTGTGACGCTCTGGCAACCCGTTTTCTTTGTGAATGAGGTTGCCTTGCGGTTCCTCTACCACCAGATGTACGGTAGACACAGTTAAATGAGTGATCTTAACTCTGTCAGTTCGCTGCGACTTCAGGCATAGTCAAGGCAGAAGCATACATGCACAATATGAGCACGGCTGAGCTTGATCACACTATCATTATTGTTAGTCAAATTTACGATAACAAACATTGACATTGGATATTTGTGCAAATTAAAGGGTGGGGTGAGATTAAACGTGATGCATACCTTAGTCTTGCGAGAACGGCAGGTTTCGCAAGCACGCGACGCTCGGGGTAGACGACGTTGTGAAGGCCACCGTGACTTGGCCTCGGAAGAGTCCATAGCATAGCTCTAGTTGTATGGAATTCTGTACTAGGAAAATTGGGTGACTATACCCTTGGATGCTGTGGAAGAAAATGTTGTGGCGGGCAAGAGGCGCAGAAAAGCAAACCAGGTGATTTGCCGAAGCCTCATCCGCCCCGCAAACTTGAAAAACAATCTGAATATCTCATCGCGGGGAACCTGGGGATCTGGGGATCTTCATGAATAGTCAAAGTTAAGGATTATTTTCTGACCTTTGCCATTTTTGGTGTTTTTCAAGCTTCAGAATTGACTATAATCGGGTTTGCTCGGAACGGGATATTGGGCTCTACTATATGCATGTAGAAAAGAAACTCGGTTTAAAGTCTCCTTGGAAATCAATTGAGTCTGAATCTAATCTATACATATACGTTCTTTTCCATTTTAAGCAAAGTAAAGGGAGAATAAGGTGGATTGAGAGCTTAGAGCTATGACATACATGCCGCCAACTTCCGTCGGAAGCTGAACATCCGACGGATGTCGACCGAGTCCAGCTGGAGTATAACTACATATGAGCAACTTTAGACAACTGCATAGCTCGGGATCCTGGGAACTACGGTAAACTAATCTTGTCTTAATTCATTTCATTGCATGCCATCCAATTACTTGTCAATACCGTACGTTACCGTCTCTTTGTTCCTTGTTATGTTCTACGTAGCTTATTTTATAACAGCTCTGCCCGCTGCCGCTAGTTCTCTTTCAACGTATTTTGATCTTTCCAGACAGCATATATGTTCAATAAAGCGATGGCTCATATATTGCTATGTTATGCCTGGCTCCTTTGGCCAAACAACGTACGATCAATCTCTACTAGTAGAGACCAAGTTCCATCAACTCCTCAACTCACGAACCTATGATTGCGTTGGTGGCTGTCCATAAATATCTTAGACGCTTTTCTCGATCATATTGATTCTGTTAGACCGATGGTACTCGAATTAAAGAAGTGCTGTCTATTCAGGTTGCACGAAGAGCAAGTTTTCTAGTCCCATGGGTGGTATACTACGGCGAGCATCCTAATACAGCTCATCAATTAACTATATCATCGGAAATTGGTTTAAAAGAAATGGTTAGTGAGGGATCCAACCCTGAACCGATGATAAATTGACTTGTTATATAATCTCTCAAAATGCAGATGCTTAAATTCGTGATACGGCACTTCCGAGACTCATGAGTCCCCGCGGATCTGCACCCTATTGGTTGAGGTACACCAATACCCTCATAGGCCAATCGTCTGGGTTTAGATTGGTAATGGCAAGATGGTTTCCCCGCATTTATTCTGGTTGTCTATGGAGTAATGTCTACGCTAATCCACCCGATACGATAGCTTATCGGCACCTCCGACGGATCCCGATGGCGGATAATCACGGCGATACTGATAACGGTTATCAGAGGGTTGTAGGAAGGAGATCATATAAAGATACCCTAAGACTGCATTTATCCTTTATTAGTTGGTCATCCTTCTTGAAATCGATAAATTTCGAATATTGTAGTCATACTTGTGACATACTCAAAGCAATACAGCCCTTCGCAAATCAACCAGAACCTTGAACCGATCCATACTGTATACACCATGACTGAGCAATGGGACCAAGATGCGCTACGTGCGCGATTCTGTCACGCCCTCTCTGAAATGTACAAGAGCGAAGTACCTTTATATGGGAACCTTATCGATGTGGTCTGGGAAGCAGATGCAAAAGCTATTCAATCCAGTCAAAGTTCAGAGAGCAAACATGTCATCGATCCCGATGATATCCTGCCTTCACGCCACCGTGTAGAGAGACACGGTGCTATCCGACTAGGGACATCACAAGAGCTGAGCACAATCCGACGCATGTTCGCCGTCATGGGAATGTACCCAGTGGGATATTACGACTTGAGTCTCGCTGGCTTTCCTATGCATGCCACCGCATTCCGACCAAAGACACACGATGCTCTCGCAGAGCACCCATTCCGCGTTTTCACAACAGTTTTGAGGATGGATCTCTTGACAGAACGAACACGAGAACTGGCACAGCAGGCGCTGAAGAGGAGAAATATCTTCACGCCAAGGCTTCTATCACTCCTGGAGCTTGTGGATGCAAAGGGATCTTTATCTTCAGCGGAGTGTTCTGAGTTTATCGCAAATGGGCTTGAGACTTTCCGGTGGCATTCTAAGGCAACTGTTTCCCTAGAGGAATATCAGATGCTTAAAGCCGAGCATCCACTTATCGCCGATGTTGTCTCTTTCCCCAGCTCTCATATCAATCACTTGACTCCTCGGACTATCGACATTGATCTCGTGCAGCAACTCATGGTCGATCGCGGAATGCCCGCTAAAGAACGGATCGAAGGTCCTCCAAAGCGAGAATGTCCGATTCTTCTCCGGCAGACAAGTTTCAAAGCTCTGGAAGAAACAGTCTACTTTCGAGATACATCGGACTATGTGAAAGGGTCTCACACTGCTCGATTTGGCGAAGTAGAGCAACGTGGCTATGCGTTAACTCGAAAGGGACGCCAACTCTACGACCAAATCCTAGACCGAGTTAATGCCGAAGCAGCGAAGAATCAGATCAAAGGCAACGACTACGAACTGCTTTTAGAGGATCGCTTCAAGGAGTTCCCGGATACCTTGCCGGCATTGCGTGAGCAGAATCTGGCATACTTTTGTTATCGCTTAACGCCGATGGGCGAGAAACTATCGGAAGATAGCGACGATGTTTCCAAATTAGGAAACTCCTCGGTATCACTTCAAGAGCTTCTAGACAATGGTGTTTTGAGTTATGAGCCTATCACATACGAAGACTTTTTGCCCTTGTCTGCAGGAGGTATTTTCAACTCCAATCTCGGCAACGTCTCTCAGTCCAAGCAACTTATAATGAGTGCTGAACCGGATCTGGATGGTTTCCAGCGCTCCTTGGGATGCTTGATATCGGATGAGTTTCATCTATACGCCGAAATGCAGGCAAACTCTTTGGAGTATTGCAGGGGGGAGCTTGGATTGCGGGCAATACAACTGTAACGGCCAGTTCTAGAGGCCTGATGTTGATATGCACTTTCCTAATGTAGCAAGCGTGTTTCTCAAGTATAATTTATCGACAGTTCATATTATACTATTAATACTTCAATATGCATTTTCATAGGCGGACTTATTACCTAAATCGTAAATGACGTGCCCAAAATGTCCAGGCCATTTGCTTATATCCATGGAACGACGTAGAAAGCATCATAGACTTTCTCTTGGCATCAAGATTTTTGGCAGGGAAAACCAGCGGGGACAGTGGAGATATTCTTAGCGTGTATCCCCCGGATTCCGACTAAGCTAGTGAATACACAGTCTAATCAAGCATTTTCATATGATTCCGTTTCAATTAGTAGAAAACGAACCCAATTCCTCAAGTCACTCCTCAAGTCAAAGCACAACTCACGATTCCCTTCCTGCCTCAAAAATCCACCAAACCATTATACGTGCATGATCTATCAGATCGCCCCATCTAGATCCCGAAAGTAATCCCCAAGATTCCATCAGCATAAATCAGCATGGTTGCCGTTTATGCGACAAGCATCGACGTCACAGATCCATCCGGAGCGGCAAACCGACTTTATGCATTCAATGACAGAGCCCACCCGGCCGAACGAACGCCGCATCGGTAAGCAGCGGGGCTCAGCTCAGTGGCTCAATCTCGGGTCCAATCTATGTAGAATTTAGCCGTCAGATGCGCGATGCCGTTGAACCTTTTTATTTTTATTTGAATATATAAGGATTGTAACCGACATGGATTGTCATTTATTTAAGATCATTCATGCACTAAGTTGGTTCGTCCTGCATGGAGTCAACTCAGTCGAGCGTTGATGATATTACCTGGCATATTTACGTGGGAACTCTTACGACTATTGTCCCTGCTACTCTTGCTGTGATTCTGAGGTTCCTTGCTCGCCATGTCTCTGACGCGGGGTTTTGGTGGGATGATTATACTATTGCCATGTCGTTAGTGAGTTTAATCTATGTGTGAAATTCGTTTCCAACGTTGCTAACATTGATCTCTAGGTCGTCAGTTGGGTTATAGCCTCTCTACGGTGGGCGCAGATTTCGATGGACTACTATGGTCCCGATGCTCATTCCCTTCGTGCGGATCAGGTTGAAGGGTTTGGAAAGGTATGAATACTTACTCTCGTCGGTCGTTCTATTTCTAATCCAAATAGATGTTCATCGCGATTCAATTACTATACGTTCTCAATGCCGCTCTCACCAAAACCTCTCTACTTCTTCTATACCACCGCATATTTGGTGTGGTTCGGGGCTTTCGCTGGGTCCTGTGGGTGTCTGGAATCTTCGTTGGCGCATGGTGGATGGCTGGCACTCTCTGCATTATCTTTGAATGCTGGCCTATCGCCAAACTGTGGACCCCCAACCTCCCTGGAAGATGCATCAGTATTGGTGCATTTGGGCGCTGGAATGGTATCGCGAATATCGTTACTGAGGTCCTGGTTCTTTGCCTTCCTTATCCCATGGCTTGGCGATTACAGACAAGCGTGCGGCAAAAACTGATCCTAACTGGTATTTTTCTTATGGGAACATTGTAAGTCTTCTCTTTAAAATTCCGAGAGGTGTGTACGTTTACTGATCCTTGACAGTGTCTGCTTCGTGTCTATTTTTCGAGTGATAAGCTTTGATTATGATAACCTCGGAGATGGCACTTATAAGACCATTGGACCGTCCACCTGGTCTTCTATTGAACAATCTGTCGGGATTATCTGTGCTTGTCTGCCAACCATGCGACCTCTTTTCAGGTGGCTATCTGGTAGCTTTAAGAAAGACACAATAAAAAGAGACAGCACTCTGTCAATTTTCCCAAAGCAAACTATATTGTCTTGCCGAGCGGGTCCTATGGACGAAGAGAACGCCTGGGGACTTGAAGAGCCTCCCATTCAAGAGCGTATCATGGATCAAAGCGAACATGATAGATCATTCTCTCAACAGACAGTGGAGACGTCTGTTTCTGTAGACTTGCAGCATCGGCCTGAGTCTTTTGCATGACATATTCTAGACATAGCAATAACGAATTAATGATACCATGAATAGAAAGAATATGGAGTTCAAACACATTGACACGTAGGAATGATCGGGAATCCGAATAAATTTTGGTAAGATTCAAAGAAAAGATGATATAGAATACAATGCATGCAAATGATCAGCCAAATTCCATCTATCTGTACAAATATACTGCAAGGGCAAGTCACCAACTCATGACCGCGCCTCGATCTGAGGAGAATCCTGTGCATCCTCAATTACCACAGCACCCTCCTGCAACAGCTCCTCCGGGCTCTTCACCCGCACCTCCATAACACGCATCATAGTGTACCGGTGCTTGCTCCGAGCCTGCTTTGTGTGTCTCTGTCTCCGCTTGGTCTTCTCCTTGATGCGCAACGGCTCCGACTCCACGCCAGTAACACGGACTCGGCACTCAAACAGTCGCTCGTCGATGTGAGGGGCGCCCTTCATGGTAAAATCACGGGATCCAAGGGCAGTAGCCCGGTTGAACCGGAGAATATCACCGGTCTTCACCTTGGGCATGAGGAACGGGAGACGGATCTCGTCACCTTCCGTTAAGAGGAAGGGTCGGGCGTGCAGCTCAGCGGTAACGTAGTGTGGTTTTTGGCCGACGAGGTGAGGAAGTTGCGACATGAGGGACTTGGTCACTTCAAGGGGGGAGTCGAATGTCGGAGCCACGGGCTGCTTGGAGAGGGGAATATCATTGCGTGGTTTGTAGTTGTCGGAAGATGCCTGGAAACCTTGCTGGGTCTCTAAGATAGAGTCTTGTGCGCGGGGGGTGGCGGCCAAGGGGGTTTCGGGATTAAGAGGTGAGGATTGGGTCTGGGCTTGTTGTTGCGAGTTCCGGAGCCATGCCGTTTGGTGAAGGCAAGCTCGTTGCGGAAGGGGAGTTGCTGAGATCAAGGGTGCTGACAAGCGCAGATCGGAGGTAAGACTCCGCAATACTGAGCGGGAGAACATGGTGATGGATTCCTTCCCTGTGAAAGACGAATTGCGGGAGAAATTGGAATCTTGATGGACTTTCGTTGTTAAAGCGGCTTCCTATTTCGAGAAAATCAGATTCTGCGCGTGTGGCCGCTTCGTCGCCCGTAGAGTCACGTGTTGAAGTATTCACAGATCTTGAGGTCGAAATTTGACGTACATTAAAATTATTTATACCGCTATATGTAAAAGATAATTGGGAGCTCTTTCCAGTCTCGAGGGCTTTTTGTAACAATTATACTTGGTTGAACTGAATTTCCACATACATTTGTGCTTGATGGTTCAGTGGGTTCAGTGTTGATAAGAAAGTCACGTGTATCACTATCTCTGCCGCCGAAACAACTTTTTCGGCTGCGATTAGATCTTCGCAGTCCAAACCACCTCTAACACCCCACCCTCTTTGCTCATTCTGTATTCATCATGGTACGTCCCTGAATCATAAACCACATCCTCTTTGAGCTGAACAATTCAACTAATCGATTTCTCCCACTTATAGCCTCAGAACGAGTCCGTACCCTCTCCCCGCCAACCGTCCGATAAAACTCACAGCTAACCCACAACTACCAGGTACATTGAGCGCTGGCAAAAGCAGCACGGTAAGCGTCTCGACCACGATGAGCGCGTCCGCAAGCGCCAGGCTCGTGAAGGCCACAAGGCCTCCTACGATGCCCAGAACCTGACTGGTCTGAGGGCCAAGCTGTACCAGCAGAAGCGCCACAAGGAGAAGATCCAGATGAAGAAACGCATTAAGGCGCAAGAGGAGAAGAACGTCAAGTCTGCTGCTCCCGACGAGCCGTCCAAGACTCCTTTGCCCCAGTACCTGCTCGACCGTTCGCAGGCTACCAATGCCAAGGCCTTGTCCAGTGCTATCAAGGATAAGCGTTCAGAGAAGGCTGCTAAGTTTGCTGTCCCTCTGCCTAAGGTTAAGGGTATCAGTGAGGAGGAGATGTTCAAGGTTATCAACACCGGAAAGAAGACTCACAAGAAGTCGTGGAAGCGCATGATTACCAAGCCTACCTTTGTTGGTAACGACTTCACTCGTCGACCTGTCAAGTATGAGCGATTCATTCGTCCTATGGGTCTGCGTTACAAGAAGGCCAATGTCACTCAGTACGTCTCTTTATTTCCAGGGTGATGGAATTTTTCATGCTAACAGTCTTTTCCAGCCCCGAATTGGGTGTCACTGTCCAACTTCCCATTCTTTCGGTCAAGAAAAACCCCTCCAACCCCTTATATACTCAGCTTGGTGTCTTGACCAAGGGTACCATTATCGAGGTCAACGTCTCTGAGTTGGGTCTCGTTACTACCAGTGGTAAGGTTGTCTGGGGTAAATGGGCCCAGATTACCAATGTGTAAGTTTCTATCAAAAGTTTACGGCATAAATGCATACTAACATCTGCTCTGCAGCCCTGAAAACGACGGTTGTGTCAATGCGTAAGTGATATTTGATCCACTGCTAGCTCTTGAATAGTCTACTAACTCCTCATCAGTGTCCTCCTTGTCTAAAACGTCGATCTTGAAACGAGCCCACCATTCCTTTGTTCATCACTCCTGACAGACACTGTCTGTCTCCGATACCACCGTGTCCTGGGCACTACTATTGATTCTTGAGGTTCATACGGTTGATGTAGACCATGCTATTACTTTGGTGTTTCTGGCGCATTTTCTGAATATCTATCTGGTCTTTGAACGAAAAGTATCCTGCATGCTTTGGTTTTCCGTGGATTAGGTAGACCAAAATAGTTATACATTCATGCAATTATTTCATGACGAGAGACACCAAGCTTTGCACTACTTAATTATCACATCAAGGTACCTTCTGGGGGTAGGATGGAGATTACTAACGAGTAAGGCGTAGGAAATTGCGAGATTCAGAGGGTTGTCAATTAAACGTCGTAAACCAAACTGGAGCCAACACATGAACTCCAAAGTCCAATAAGGCCGATAGCCAGAGTCGATATTCCAATGCAAGAGGGAAAAGTATCCAAAATCATATACAGAAGTAAAACCCCTCGGGGTTCGCTGAATCGCTTAACTGGCAGTGGTTGTAGTAATCAAAGGGGAACCGCAAGAAGGTATGAAAAAGAAAGTTGGCAGGATAGATGTCAGCCAGATCCGCTGCATCAATGAAGCTCTCGTAAAACACCGGTCATAAAGTCGTTCTAGAAAAACAAGCAGGCAAGGCATAGAGCCCATCACAAATAATGAAGACAAAGGAAAGGGTTACCAGTCAGGTGTGTCAAGGATTTTCTTCTTCCAGGGCTGCTTTGATCTTTGCAAAGAATCCGGCTGGCCATGCAGCAAGCTCTTCTTCCTTGGGAATGCCACGTGCTTTGCAGTGGTGCACGACATTGGCGAGGATGCGACCGAGCATATCTTGTGTGACAGGAAGGGCGCCCTCAAGTTGAGCATCGGGGTGCAAAAATTGGTCTCGGGGGCCGAGCATTTCTTCAATAGTTGGTCGAAGCGTTTGGTCACGTTGCAAACAACGCTTCAGGGTTCGAATCAACCCAGGGGGAACAGTGACCCCACCGACACCATGAGTAGGAAAGTCGATTTGTACACGGGGGTTGGGGATTGCCATAATACGCTCATAATACTTGGCGATTTTGGCAAATGGTGGATGGCCATAGACCATTTTGTACAAAATGCAACCCAGACTCCAAACATCGCTGGGCTTGCCCAATTTCATCACCTTACCAACACTTGCAGGCAGCCCAAGGGATGCGTTAGAATCAACAAGGGCCTCGGGAGACATGTAATTTGGTGTTCCAACTTGCTGTTCTCGGTGGACATTTACAGTATGGTCTTGAATGGCGTTGGCAATACCAAAGTCGATGAGTTTCAGGCGTCCCTGGACCATTAGGAAATTGGCAGGCTTCAGATCGGAGTGGACGATGTTGTAGTCGTGAACAGCCTGGACACACTCCAGCATCTCCTTCCAGTAGAAACGAGTGAAGTTTATGTCGAAGACAGCATCTTCGGCATTGAGACGGTATGTGAGGATCTTCTCCAAATCGGATTCACCGATTTCCATGAGAACGCTGAGCGAATGTTTGTCAGAATTGAGTTCCCAATCAAACAAGCGCACCACACGTTCCACATTCTCCAATTTCTTTAACAGATCAATTTCACCCTTGTAGCCAGTGAGAGTGATCGGGTCAACATCTTCCAGATTTACTCGTTTTAGCGCAAAGATCTTGTAGTTTTCGGCCATCACTCGATAGACACGGGAACTGCCACCACGGCCGATGCAATCTAGCCGAGTGAAATGTTTGCCGTTGATCGATACTTGTGTTCGCTTCTTTCGCGACTGTGATGTCGATGCACCACCAGTCGCCGTTGCAGTCTCGAGAACAGACATTTTCGGGGGCGGGGGCGCGGTTCGATGAGGTGTGTTACTACTTCTAGTAGCAAGAATCTTGCGTTGTGAGTTTCCGGGTATTTCGGCAACTTCTTTCTTTTCGGTTTCGTACATAGCTGATAACTTGTCCGGCTTATCTAGCACATTCAAGCCCTGTGGCTTTGTCCTTCTAAAAGTTGGCGGTGGCTCGTTCTCCTGGTCCCTGATTGAGGGCAGAGGAGGTAACGATGGAACTTTAAAGGCGGGTTGGTCTCTTGCGCTGGATGGTCTCGAAGACTGCTCCGATGATGCTGGGGTGGACTTTGATTGGGATTCATAGGATTTGGGGGAAGATGGCCTTGAGAAAGGACCATCATTCCGCACTGTATTTGCAGGTCGTTCGGGTAGTCGCCATTCACTCTGCTGTGGTGGACTGGGATCTGCCCATGAAACCTTAGGTGATGATGGCTTCGCAGTGTCTCGATGTGGCTGCTCGATATTTTCATAGTCGGGTTCTTCGTTCTCTTTCAAGCCATCATTGAGCAGATAATTATCTTCATTGTTCTCTTCACTCTGGCGGCGCAAAACTCCCCTTCGAGCAGGTCCGTTGAGAAAAGTCCCAGTAAGTCGCCCCACCCGCTTGACTCGCAGAGAGCTCTGAGGACCGAAATCATCCCCATTGCGATTCCGTAGAGCTGAGGCAGTGCCAAATCTGGACACAGGGTCATCTTCATAATGTGATTTCCGGTCGCTATCAGACCGATCACCACTCCCGTACTCATCGCCCGAGTTCCGTTCTGAGGAACGATTCAAAGACGGCGACACGGACGACGGCGACCTTGTTATACTGCGCGATGCATTGATTCGAACACTTCGCGGTCGTGGCGCAGGAGTTTTAAAGTTATCGTGACGGTTTTGCGCTTCCGGCTCGGCAGTATAGCTGTTGGAAAGCGGAGAACCTTCGCGGGAAAACCTGGAGACGCTGCCAATGCGAACGACCCGCGGTGCTGGACTACCGGTAGAATTGTCGTGGGGTGATGAATTCCGGGGTGATTGGCTGCTATGTCTTGATCCCATCGCAGCCGCACGTCGCTCATATGCCGCATGTCCCTTCTGAAGATGAGGCGAAGATCCTAATCCATCTCCATCCAAAAGCGCTTTGACCGATGCGCTGAACTTTGGCTCGGGAACCTCATCATCAGAACTGTCGCCGGAATAGTGTCGGGAAAGAGAGCTTTTAGAGCCCGCGTGCTGTAGGGCTGGGGAGGCCCGTCTGGATCCGGGACGTGAAACCGCGGATCGGGTCACCGGTCGGGATTGTTGGTACAGGCTGCTGTGGTGTGCGGATGAAAGGGAATTCGGAGAGGCCATGGCGACTAGCGCACTACATTGAAGTCGGGAATCAATGCAGCCCTCGGCGATCCGAAGTTGGATGTCGAATGTCGAATGTTTGTTGTTCTCAAAACGGGAAAGTCCAATTAATCTGATGTTCCATCGCGAGTGGGCGCGCTGCTTTGATCACGTGTTGATTGGTTGCTATGGTGATCGCTACAACAAAGAATGTCTGCATGGAAGGGTTATCTTTAATTACGACCAGAACTCGATTTCTGCTGCTATGAGAGGAATTATGTAGTTCTTCCAAAGCTTCTATGTTTTTCCCAGCCAGAAAGGCTTGCATCATTTGTGTCTTTTTGGCCCTCAAATTCAACATTGACATATTGGCATGGCTACGTAGTGATCTACTCAAGCTTCAAAGCAATTATACCTTTCAGTCACAGCCACATGCATTTGAATCGAAAACCTACTTGTATCTATTGAAAAGGTAGATATTTTAAATATAGAATAATCAAGTTGGAACACAAAGTGGATGTAATTTTCAAGTGTGCATAATGCACACGTTGAACATTTGAACCTTGGAAATTTCGCAAACATTATATATTTCTGACTGCCCACGTCCACATCCATGACCTCAAAAGTCTGCACATGTGGACACTATGGGTTTCAGTTTTATCCATTGATGTAAAAAAGACAGGAAGACTTGATAAAATCCTTGAACCGAAATTGCAACCACATGCATATATATACTATGCAGCCATTAAAGAAGCCGAATTGGAAGGCTCTGTACAATTTGAAGCCATGGATCATATTTCAATTGTTTGCGACATAAAAAGCTCCGGTTAGTGTCTGGCACAACCTTGGGATTGTTTTTCTGTTTTTGAATTGTTCCAAGTCCATGGATCGTCAAATAACTCTTAAACTAGATCATTTGAAGTTCCATGGTTGAGGGTTGACTTCCGTTGCTCAAACTCAAATATAGATCAAATCCAGCCCTGTCGACGGTCGCAGCTAATATGAAAATGATCCAAAAGCCCTGGAACCTTGGAAACCTAGAACAACGGTTGAATTTTATCAAGAACATTTGGGCCTTGAATTGATTACACACACTATTGAGAAAAAGACCAATGGAAATTCTTCATTCTAAAGATTCGTCTCTCGACGGGTGCATACAGTAGGGAGTTACTTGAGTCTGGTCGCCACCGTCGTTCTTAATTCTGCATTCTGCATACAGACCCCACTGATGGACATGCCCCTAACAAAGGGCAATCACGCTGGTGGCGCCGAGGTATCGATCCAATTGGTCAATCCCCAGGTTCCTGCATGGATTCCAGTCACTGTTGGGGGGATCTGAATTTCCCTGTAACGACAAGATGGCAGGTCATAATTTCCCGGTGCATGTGGATGTGTGGCTTTGATTTGCCATGCGAGATAGATGCAATGCGATGCGATCCACTGACAAACAAGTCAGTCCATTGGCAACAATAGGCGAGGCACATGCGATATCGGCAGATGGGTCAAATTCGATCAATTGTCTCGGTTGAAGGTTCCATTTCTAGGAAAGTTTCTGATCGGTGAGAATCTCTCGGAAAATGAGATCTGATAGCTGATAAATTCATCTAGGGAACCGGTGTCCCAAGCTGGGTACATGTCCTTGCCCCAGTGGTTCAAGGTCAGACAAGGCGTTTCATAGTCTAAAATAGAGGTTAACTGTGGCGCTAAACTTTCAATTGTTAGTGAATCAATAGATCATTGTACAGTTCAGTGTAAGTTGACCGTGGCTTGCTTCTATAGGTATGCCATGGAAGAAAAAAAAAACAAAAACAAAACATTTCAATTACTTCTTTATTGTGGATGCCTGATCGCTTCCGCTGGTTACCGACCGGTAGAGAAGGGAAGATAAATCTAATCTTAGAAGATCATCTTCCACTAAGTTTCATTGGAAATCCAACTTATCACAATTTGACTGAGCAAGTACCACTGGGGCAACCGTCCACATCCAAGTCATGTATTCAATGTTATGGTGCCAATGTTGTTGGCTCATAAACCTTAATGATCGGAATGAGACTTGTTCGAACAAGATACTATACCTCATACGATATGTCTCACGATTAGAACGCCTCACCCATTTTTAGAAGCATAACCATTGATGTTGAAACCACGATTGCTTCAACAGAATCAGGGTCAAACGAACCGGTTCCCCATTCCACAAATGTGGTGATGGCTGTGGCACTAGAGACTAGCGTTGTTTGAGAGCAGTAGTTTGTGGATCCCAGTTGCAGACAAGCTTAAGCAAACACAGAGAAGTTAGAAATTCCCCCTTCTCCGAGTAGCACTACTCCGTATCAAGTAAAGCCTAACCTTCTCCGAAAGCCGTGTGGGACGTTCGGAAAACCCCTGGATCTTGGCATTTCGCCAATTCAACACTAGTGTCTTTGACCCCCAATTTTAGGAACATCCTCAAACACTCTTCTTTTTACTGTACGGAACTCTACGGAGCACCAATAATTAGGTTTAAGCCCTGAAACGACGCCTCTAAGCCTTTTTTGCTCTTTGCCTGTAAGTGGAGGCTGAATCAACTGCAGGACGAACCTCAACTATTGTTGCGATCCCGGCCGTGGCGTGCATTAGTGCTGGCTACAACCTTGGAAAAAACCCTGTTCCTGGAATTGAGATTCTGGATCCATTAGTCTAGACAGTACAGCACAGCCTCGGACGTGGACCGTGGAGATGGAGATGGTCCCCAGGACCAGACGAATGCATCCTGCATACTACATCGTCACTGGTTATCCTTCCGAGACGCAGCCGCACTTGCATAGCCATGACATCTGCTAAATGAATATCACACGAGATGGGAAATTAAAGAAGAGAAAAGAATTAATGAAAGAGTAAAGATCATCCAAGGCGACGACTCATAGTACGCAACTGAGATATATCTGCGGAGTACATACGTCAACGCCTATAAATACAATTATTTGGAAAACACTGTTACAAGGACAAACGGTCATCCGCGTTATACCGAAGTCAATTGCTGTCGCTGCTAAGTATTTTTGCTAATTACTCGATAGGTCTTTTCCAGGTTTTCCGGTAGAATTGACAAAGCAGAGAGGTGAATCCACATATTTCCTAAAAGCGTCTAGTTCATGTATGTATGTTCCTTGTCTAAACCCCAAGCCATATTGGGCGGATCTGTAACCAACCACTCGGAAGCCTTCTACACCGAGCTTCCCCTGCGGCGCTTCGTTTGATATGGCAAAAAGAGGCATATATGGACTGACTAGACTCTCAACCCAAAAATAGGGGAGGTGAGAAATGGTCTCATCGAAATTACAACTCTCGGGTTATGGGTCATCAACCGTTGGTGGGTCATGATGATCTTTCCCCTCTGTAACCGGGTAATGTGGGCGATGACCGAATGTTTGCTTGTGATTTTCATTCCCGTTTACCTCGTTGCACTTTGCGTGCTCATTGCGGACCTCACCCTCGTGCGCATATGTATGCGTTAGTTAGTAAACTTCAATTGCATAGGATCTGAATAATTTGGCAACATTTACGGAAAAGTAATGGGCCGGTATCGCTGATGAGTGGATCACAGTTGGTATGCAAATCGCAGATGATCCGTAACCTGACACCTTTTCTGACGACCTTGCCACAGATACACGGCACGAGTGGGCATGGCTTGTCTCCAGTCTGGTGGGTCCTCTGGTATCCACATCTGCCCTGGAAGATCCAAGTCTACATCCCCGTATCCGAGAGCCTAAGGGGCAAGGTAAGCTCCAACTGTAGCAATGCTTCCAGACCGGGGTAGCCCGCTTGGTGCATCCAGGCTGGGAGTGGACGTGTTTCCGTCCAGGCCCAAATATGATCAGGGGTATATAAACATTGAGGATCATCGCCTCAATTGTCTTTTCTCATCTTCATATCTTCCCTCAGTCTATCGTTAATCTCTTTTGCAGACGGCTTTAGATCCGTCTTGCTACTTCTTTTCTTGTCTTTCTTTTTTTTTAACGGTACTTTTCGTATACATCATACACACACTCGTTAACATACGCTGAAGAAAATGCGTTCTTCTATCGCTTTGCTCGCCGGTTTGGCGGGTTCGACTCTCGCTTACCCTGCAGAGGTTTCTGTCGACCGTCGTACTTTTGGCCTTGTTGCTGGGATCCTTGGCTCCGTCGGCCATGAGGTTGGCTCTATCCTCGATACCGTTCTCGGCGGTGGTGTTAGCTCTCACAATTCAGCCACTCTGCTCTCTGGCTTGAGTGCCCGCGGTGCTGCTGCTCTTGAGGGTGGTGCTCTTGGATGCAGCCACTCCACCATCCACGCCGGTGCCCGTGCTGAGCTGAAGACCTGGTTGGGTCGCCAGACTCACATTACTGGATCCTTGAAGACCTCGCTTCTATCCTGGTGTGAGGGTTCCGTCACCACTCTGGATGCTGGTGTCACTGCCGGCCTGGCCGTCTACATCCCCACCTGTGCCGACCTGGCTGCTAAGGAATCCATCTACGTCACCATTGATGGTATCTTCGAAGCCTCCGAGCTCGAGTCTACTCTTGTCCTCAGTGCCTCCGCTCAGGCTTCTCTTTCTACCTTCATCTCCGCCCACGTCGACCTCGATGTTGATGTCAAGGCTGGTCTCCACCTTTGCGCTGCTGGTGGTATCGTTGGCAGCTTGGGTGCTGACATCAAGGCTTCCCTCCTCGCCTGGGTTCAGGGCTCTGACTGCGGTCTCGATGTCTCCCTGAAGGCTTCCGTCCTTGCCTGGATCAACGGCGAGGCTGGTACTGATCTTGTTGCCATTGGCTCTCTTTCCACCGATGCCCTGACCTCCCTGTCCGTTGGAGCCTCTGTTGAGGTTCTTGTCGATGAGTCTGGTGTTCTCTCCACCGGTGCCCTCGCTTCCATTGCTGCTTTCCTCGAGGCCGATGTCTCCGTTGATATTGATGTGAACGTCCGCGCTGCCCTGAAGGCCTGTGCTGAGGGTAAGCTTGCCTCTGCCTTGAGCGTTGACCTCCGCACTTCCCTCGCTGTCTGGCTGTCCGGCTCTGACTGCTCTCTCGGTGTTGAACTGAAGGCCGTCATCCTGCTGTGGCTGTCTGTTGCTGTCACCGTTGAGGCCTCCGTCGATGTTGTTACTGGTCTTCTTGTTGACATTACCTCCTTCCTGACTGAGGAAGTCATTGCTCTTCTCAGCGTTAACCTCCGTGGTGCCCTCGGCCTTCTTGCCGCTGGCGAGAGTATCACCCTGCTCTCCTGGGAGACTCGTGCTGAGCTTGCTGCTTTCCTCGGTGGCTGCACTAGCATCGACATCAGCGTTATCGTTGAGATTGTTATTATTGAGTGGTTCACTGGTTGCACAATCCCCGGCTCCGGCTCTGGCTCCTCCCCATCTGGCTCTGCCTCCGTGCCCAGCCTGCCTTCTTCCACTGTCTCCATCCTTCCCAGCGTCTCCGCCGGCACTGGCTCTATTCCTGCCTCCACTGGTCCTGCTGGCTCCGGCTCGCTTCCTTCCGGCTCTGCTGCTATCCCTACCGGCCCTGCCGCTACTGGACCTGCCTCTACTGGCCCCGCTGGTTCGGGCTCCATTCCTTCTGGCTCTGCTCCTTCTGGCCCTGCTGGCTCCGGCTCACTTCCTTCCGGCTCTGGTGCTGTCTCTACTGGACCTGCCTCCACTGGCCCTGCTGGTTCGGGCTCCGTTCCTTCTGGCTCTGCTCCCTCAGGCTCTGGTGCTATTCCCACCGGCCCTGCCGCTACTGAGACTACCGGTTCTGGCTCTGTGCCATCTGGCTCTGCTCCCTCAGGCTCTGCCTCCGTTCCCTCTAGCTCTGCCCCCACTGGCTCCAGCGGATCTAGCTCTGGCTCTGGCTCCAGCGGATCTGGCTCTAGCTCTGGTTCCAGCGGATCTGGCTCTGGTTCTGGCTCTAGCTCTGGCTCTGGCTCTGGTTCCAGCGGATCTGGCTCTGGCTCCAGCGGATCTGGCTCCGGCTCTGGCTCTAGCTCTGGCTCTGGCTCCAGCGGATCTGGCTCTGGTTCTGGCTCTAGCTCTGGCTCTAGCTCTGGCTCTAGCTCTGGCTCTAGCTCTGGCTCTGGCTCTGGCTCCAGCGGATCTGGCTCTAGCTCTGGTTCCAGCGGATCTGGCTCTGGCTCCGGCTCCGGCTCTATCCCTTCCGGCTCTGGTGCTATCCCCACCGGCCCTACCGCTACTGAGACTGCTGTGACTACTCCCTGTGCTGGTGGCGCTGGCGCTACTGAGACCGTCAGCTACAGCACTGCCTACACTGAGACTATCGTCGGTGGCGCTGGTGCCTCTGGTTATACCGAGACCATCAGCTACAGCACTGCCTTCACTGAGACTATGTACTACACCTACACCGAGACCGCCCCTGCCCCCACCGCTGCTCCCACCGGTGTTTCCGCCGAGGCCACCACCATCTATGTCACCAAGACTGTCTGCGGATGCGAGTAAAGCATCAACCACACCTAAACGACAACCGTCGTCTCTCTAGCATTTTCATTTCCCCTCATGACACGACCTCCACCTCTTGAAGTGGTGTGGCCTGCAGATCTGTTCAAACTCTCTGCGGCCTAGGTCAATACCCTCTCCTCACCTACCCGGTGGTTCATTTCCTTGCCTCTGTCCTGCCTGTAGATATCTAATTCTAATTTTAATCGGCCTTCGGAGATTTGGCTAATCTGTTGGATAAGACTCTTGGCGGATTGCGGCTTTGTTTCGCCGAGCGAACATCACATGTTATTTTTACAGACTTAAGATTCCCTATCTCATTCCCATCAATGGAGTACATTCCTTATATTCTCATTTATCTTTGCCTCGCTCTTAGTTCTTCTGGTTTCCATCGACCTTTAACGCAACAAAAAGTTTCTCTTATGCTGCAGACAACAAGATGAAAGATGCATCTCTTTTAAAGGTCTTTTGATTGTGTTGAACATCGGTCATTCTTACCTTAGTCAATCAAGGTTCTTTGTACTAAAAAGGTTCTACTTTTGTACATGCAAACTTTCAAGTATGAGTTATCTGGTAAATGAATTGTGTATAGTGTACAAACTGCATTGATGGGATATGGAAAATCAGGTACGTTGTAAGAACGAGAATATATGAAACAAAAGCCGAAATGATAACCAAACATGGATATGGTGATCCTCATTTCAAGCCGCTACAGTAGCCAATTGTGTACCATTGCTCTCCTCCACTGCTGTCTTCTCTCCAACATCACTGGTAAGCTCAACTTCTGGCTCAGGGTAAAAGTCAATCTTTCCCCCCTCTTGAATAACCCTAGTGCGATCCAAAAGGCTACGAGCTCGGATATATGGATCAAGTCGCCAATAGTTATCCGACAACTGTTTGATCACCACATCTCGACGACCGATCAAAGAATCATCCTTGGAGCTAGTGATTAACTCCGCATTCATACGGAACAAATCATCACCTAGCGATTTCCTTTCTTCAAGAATAATATCCCGAGTCGCCGTATCATGGAGTCTCTCGTTCTCATCGGGCCGAGGTTCAATGTATTTGCATTCCCAGTCTTCCGGACCACCAAGCTCTTTGATAATGTGCTCTGCCGGTACAAGGTTCTCCAGCTCCTTGGCACCAGTAACAAAATGGACCTTGGAAGCGACGACCGGATCAAGGAGACCGCTAATGATTTTCCAGAAGCCTATGAAGATCCGGCGTTAGCCGAGGACTCGAAATGTGAATATACTAGATAACCGACCCGAGAAAATCCAAGGCGCATTATAGAAGATCATAGCACCCAATGACTCCGGGTAATTTTCCTGAAAAGAGTCAATAATAAACTTTACCGGCGCCAGTTCCTGTCAACCGTTAGCTCCACGTGTCATTGAAAGCCTTGTCAATAGTCCAGTCACCGACCCAGTTTGAGATGGAGAAAGAATTCAAATCGAAAACGATAGCCTACGTCCTCAAGCGCGGTTAGTATCCATTGAACCATTGGAGTTTAGGTTTAAGGCTGCAACACGTGGTAGTGGAAGTCGGGACGTGGAGGGCTTGCGTACCATCGACTCCACAGGGGGAACCATCAATAGCCGCACGAGCTCAATTAATTGGATAATATAATCATTTAATCCTTTTGTTGTTTGAGTTCCCGGCTGGTGAGTCCGTACCCGAACAATACAAATAGGTCGGCCTTCGAGATCGATTCCGTGCAAATGTCCTTTACCGGTGTAAGCCTGGAGTAGATATCCCTCGGCATCCTTCTTCTCGAGTGAGTCGCCCTCTATCTTGGAATGTTTGAATGCGTATTCTTCGCCTTTGAACATCACCTCATCGACTTTGTATTCGTTTACGCGCCAATTGAGAGCGCGCACGAACTTGATCCACGCCTTGGGGACGTCCCATTTTTCTGCGCGTATAAAGCGTAGACATAAAGCGTCTGGGTGGTCTTGTTTGAGGATTGACAGAAAGGCTGCGCGAAGCTGGTCACCTGGGAACTTGTTGAGGAGGGATTGGATTGTGCGGAGGTCGTTCCCGGTTGTGCCCAGACGTTTCAGAGAAGAGAGGAGATTTGGTGGGATTGTAGATAGTCCTTCGTCGGTGGGTTCAGTTGGGGAGCGACTGAAGGAGAAGCAACGCCGGCGAGCTTTCGGACTTGTACTTGAGTTTGCTACTGAATTTGCGTCGCCTGGGCTGACTAAAGTAGAGTCCCATGATTGTTGGAGGATCTTCCAGAATTGTTGTAGCTTCTCTTGTTGGATTGAGGTGAGATTGTCAACATAGCCTTCTGGGATGGGGGCCGGGTCAGGCATTGGGGGCTAATAATGATGGGGATATTCTAGATGCACGCACATCTGTGATTTATGTTGTGGGAATCTTGTGGGATTGAGCTAGGTACTTATGTATTAGCTTGTTCGGCAAGGGTTTGGTTTGTTAGATAGCTTTGGATCCATTTTATCCAATGATGATGATTCCTTTCATTTGTCGCCCCTCCATTCCATGTGATTCTTCCTGCATTAGCCCCGCACGCGAAGCCGAGGACACGTTCAAGATAAAATTGGTGATTAACAAGTAAGACCGGCCTAATAATCTAAACTTGGAAGTGATGAACCATGTACCTAGGGCTATAACCTCCAAGTTACACGGGGAAAACCACTGACATCTTGTGTGCGAATGGGATCTGTACAATTTAATCTCAACTAAAGAGTACCAGAATGAAATGAATGAGATAGGACTTGGTTTCTAGCAACTGCACAGCCACTAAGGGTATTTTGCATAGACAGAGGACCTATTGTGTCATTAGGTAGACACCGCTTAGAAAAAAACAAATTTGAGCACACGCAGATCAACATAGACGTGGAGGTGCAGAGATTCCACGGTCATACATGTGAAATGGATTCGAGCGCTCAAGGGATCCCTGAGCTAGGGTCTTTTCACCCACTCACTCAGCCGCATCCGTATTCCCACCACCCAGGTTAGATCTATCATCAGTTCTTTCAGCAATTTGCGGGATTTCAGAATGACCAGCTACCTAGCGTGTGTTCTCATCGGATCGGGATGCAAATGGGTCATGTATGTGAGCAGGACTGTATTTGTCGAGCCGGCCGTGCTCGTTGGGAGGGCTGCGATTGCGAGCAAGCTTATCGCGAGCGCTGAGCTTACTTCGGTAAAACTGACCATCTCTTATGCTCCAATCATAACGCGGTTCATCGTTCGAGGTAGAGTTCTTGCGGTCCTGATAACGAGAGAATGGACTCATGCTGCGGGAGACTGAGCGCTGGGGGCGTTCATCTCTTCTGGGAATTCGTGAGCTGAATGATTCATACTTGTCAGGGAGTCTGTGTCGTTCACCGTAGTTTGGGCTGCCCCTGTTTCCTGCGCGATCGCGCGAGTCGGGGGATCTGGTTCGGCGGCGGTCGGGAGACCGAGCACGGCGTCCACGAGGGGATCGAGGTCGGCGAGGAGGGGAGCGAGAAGGAGAGCGGTTAGGGCGACCTCGGCCGGTTCTAGGTGGGACGTAGGAATCGAACTCGCGGCGAGTGGGGGGTTCACGGTATCTATCACGGCTTCGGTTGCGAGGTGACCGCGATCGTCGACGGCTGAAAGAGGGATCGTTAGGAGTACGGCCAGGGCCTCTGTGTCCCCGTCGTTCTCTGTCTCTGAGATCATCTAATTCGCGACCCCGGGCCATATCCTGCTCTCGCTGTTGTCGAGCGGCTTCCGCAGCCTTTTCCGCCTCAAGCTTCAAATACTATTCATCAGCGAACCATGCAACCCATATCACAGGTATGAACTTATGTACTTACCTTTTCCTGCATGAGCTCAAGCTTCTTCGCTTCCAACAGTTCCTTTGGAACGCCCTGGGGATTCTCTTGGGCGCTCAATAACAGCAACCACAGGTCCTTACAGAACTTGGGAGTGTCTTTGTCAAGGAATCCTGTCAGTTGAATTTGCATAGATTTGATATCAGGCTAATTGATCGGCGCATACTGTCAGTCGGGGGATCAGTAATCACCGAAGGACAGCCCAAGGAACATACAATATCCTTTGCTTCAAGCAGAGAGTAGCAAAACTCGATGATGACATCATCTTCGTTGGCGAGAATCTCGTTGATTCGTCCTGCAATCCACCTGCAGCCGGGTAAGGTTAAATGGGCTCGCGATCAAAATCCGGGGAAGGGCGGACGAACTTTTTGATGACCTCGATGTTGACTTTCTTCAGATTGACCTTATGGTTGAACTCAGGGGGAAACTTGGTCTGCCGGAGCAGCTTAGCATCCACAGCTTCACCCATGATGGTGTTGTGAAGCAGCAGAATAGGATCCAACTGGGAGAGGACGCGATCGCGAAGTGGTAGCTTCGAAAGCGGTCAGGTGAATTGTAGGTGGGGACTCAATGAGTGTCGCCTTGTAAATGAGGCATTAAGGCGGTCAAGCAAATTGCCGATGATCCGGGGGGTCGAGCTTATCGTCTGAGCTTATCTGACCAAACAAGTATATCTTCCCAGGAATTTCACAGGGCCACGACTCACAACATATATACACGCAGCACCACTCCTGGACCCAGGTTGCCCAGAAAGCAGACAGATAGGCAGTAGCCATCTGTCAAAAGGCTTGCATTAAGCCCTTCCGATGTATTACAATGATTGAATGGGCCAGTGCGCAAACAAAGGCGTTCTTGGGAGCCATTGCAACAAATCATCCAATGTACCCACCCATGTTCTCCGGAATCACTCCATCCCAGCAAGGGGTGCTGATTAATTCTTTCAAGATACCCAAGCCAGCACAGCATGGGGCACGTGCTGGTATCTTGGTTCCATTCAAGTTATCACAGCATGAGCCGCTTGTCTTCTCCCTCTGGTACAAATTGAGGTTTCAGGAGAGATTATTTGAGTCGCCTGCTGTGCTGGAAGGTAGCCAAATACTGAGGATATCTTGGCGCTTTGGCAAAGAGTCTTGCATGGTCAAATTGGGATCCTGGAGGTTGATTGAGGCCTGCATGATTGTGGACGTGGTGAGATTATGAAGATGATTGAGAAGCGCAAAGACAAGAGCGTGAAAGACATTTGAAAGAAGCTGATCTTATCTAGAATGGGACCGCACTTCCGGGAATTGGTCATGTGTTGGATGCGGCTCGAGGCTGCGATCTAAGGCTGCGATTCGACTCGGAATTTGTTGGCCGTTTACTCGGAAATATTCTCCATTTCAATCAATTCCTTCCCTTCATTAGTACCCTCGTATTTTTGGCCTTCAGAAATTGGACTTTGATAATATATAGAGCAATTGACTTCACTAAAAGAGATAGTATAGTCAACAGCCCTTTCCATACAACTCAAGTATATCACTTTGTACCCTTGACCGAACAAACATGATGTTACTTTATCCTCAGTAGCTTCTTACATTAGCTTGTAGTGCGGGAACAATATGCGCAACAATGACGGTCGGGACCTTGGAATCTTCATGTATAAGCATGAGTATTCATTATTGTGGGAAGACCCAACTCGTACATGTAGTGTATTCTGTCTGGAATTTTAGATCCCTGCCCACAATCAGGCATTGATATCGCACAGGAATTACATGCAGCCAAAAGGCACCAAACATCACATCAATCACCCGTCTCTCCAATTCCACAAACTGCGACACTAAGGGCCCATTCGGACATCAAAACTTCTGCCGCGGTAATTCTCGATCCCCAATCAGGGTGCAACATCGCGTAAATAACATTTCGGCAACGCTGTGAGGTTTTGTAAGATTAGAAAAGCGCTTGGTCAAGTCTTTCCACAGAAAGGGGGCAGGAAAAACTTACAGTCCCCAGGACTTGTATAGGACCATAACCTTCATCCGTCGTGCGACACTTGAGATACTTGGCATACTTTTTATCATGAGTGTCCGCCTGAGCGCTGCGCCAGAGAAGTTGACCAGTCAACATGGTCATGTAGAGCATACCACATGCCCATACATCTCCAGCTCTGATATCGGTGCCTTCTCCATGTGGATAACTTTGACGTCTAGAGCCGCGTCGACCGAAACTTCTCTCTGGTGGAAGATAAGGGACACTCAGCTCCGAGAGCCCTTTCCGAATGCACATTTTCGGCTTATAGGCAGAAGTCAGAGCTGAGTACCGTCTGGGCTTTGAATCGGGAAGAGGCGAAGTAGGATGATCATCATGTAATAGATCGGACAATTCTCGGACCGCATCTACATCTTCACCGAATCCACCTACCTTTACTGCGCCTGCGGCCGTCAAGAAAATATGTTCTGGTCTCAAGTCTCCATGGGCAATATTGTTATCGTGTAAGAATGCGACTGCGCGTAGGATTTGAATAGCCCAGCAATTTAGTTCTTCGTCCGAAACTTTTCCTCGTGGCCCTCGTAGGAAGAGGAAGGAGTGTAGGGTGCCGCCTGTATAGTACGGCATGACAAGACAAATATTCTTTTGTTCATTGTAGAGAATGCCGATAATCGAGACAATATTGGGATGACGTAACAGTAAAGATCGACTTTGATTACTGGCCAGAAATGGGGTGATGGATTGGGCATGATGGAACACCTTGATTGCGTAGAGCTCTTTAATCGTATTGATTCCAGAAGCACGCCGTATCCTCGTCATCATAGGACTCGAAGGATATTTCCCAGGCGATTGATTCTGCGGAACTAGTGTTTTTCTTTCGTATAATTGGACAGTATTGGAGTTGTCGTAGTGGAGAACTTTGCTGAATTTCCCATAATTATCTGTGAACGATTTATGGAGTGCCGCTTTTGCTTCGTGGTTTGATGCTGGAGTTCCTGGTGTCTGATCCGGCCCAACAGTCGTAGAATCTAGACCGGACAGTGATGTTTCTGATGGAGATCGACCTTCGCGTTCCGGTGACAACCATCCCCATCCAGACAACTTCTTGGTTAACCCATTTATGATGCGGGGGTTCTCATAATCTTTGGTATCTCTACCATCATCCCTTTTTGTATGATGAATATGAGATGCCAGGGGCCGAGAAGGCGATTGGACTTCCTCGAAAGGGTCGTGCAGATTAGCAGGACTGTCCCTCTCCATCTTCATTCCCAAGTCCAACGAATCTGTGAAAATTGACCAAGTAACTGTCGCTTCTTGGTGAGGATATTCAGGGCGCTGTTCGCTCTAGGTGGTACGTGACGGAACGATAAATCATAGCACCTGACTTGTGATCCGTTTGGTTACATTGATTGGTACAGCCAATGGACGTTCGCATCCAACGATGAGCACCAGTGATGAGCTACACGATTTCCACGGGCAGCGATCGGAGAAATAACTTTTCTTTTCATCAAATCAATTATATTATGTACGATGATGGTAAAAGGCTATAGTTGAATCGAGTTAGTAGTATTGCACTCGATAATTAGCAAGTACCAATACAGCCACATATCGTTACCAAAGCCACCTCACCTTATTCAAACTTTGGCAACATGACTGTATTGGTGAAATCATGACGTTCCTCAGAAAATTTCAATGTTTAAATCTCCCATCACGTTTAATCTGATCACGAAAGTCCCAGTGAGGATGATCCGGATCACCCAATTTCGTAAATAATTCCACTGACAGCTCCTGATCCTTCAAATGTTCCAAGTGATTGAATGGAGAATAAATATACCGCCTCTATATACTGGGAAGTTTCATATCCCAACCCGATCAATAGCGTAGCTTGCAACCAATACATAATGCCTTTTGATCTGTGGCATATGCTTGTGGCGTCCCGCAAAAAATGTTGCGTGGTACTTGGTCGAGAAGCAAAATCAGCGCCAGCGCCCCCTCACCATCACCTGTGCTAATCCAGTGATCGAGATTCTGAGATTCCTGTCTTTGATAGATTGGTATGTTTCACCGAGATTTTGACGGACGTAGGTATCGTCTGAGGGGCTGCCGTAACAAAATGATTTTTATTTAAAGTAACCACGAGATATTTTTGAGCCGAACCAGAAGTTGAGGACATTTCAATATGTTTCATTTGTCATTATCTAATTCATAGACAGCTGGAAACATGATGAGAAGAAATAGTGAGAAATCGATGTGATGACGTCATCAAGCTCAGATTTGTTGTTGCCCAAAAGAAAGCGTTCAATGTCTCTGTTCACGTTTCGAACGTGAGAAGCTTGAAATGTTGAAAGTAATTTTTTATGAGACTTCAGATGAGGTTGACCTGCCCATGAAACAAGATAGCTGATCAAGTAGATTTTGACACCTGTATAATAGCTGCCATTGTAACCTCCTATATTCTACCTTCTGAAGGTAGCCCCAGTAATTGTATTCGGGGGTTTATGCTACCGATTCGATACTCGACAGTGGAGAACAGTCGATGTGTAGCATCTCCCCTTTCTGGTAAATTTCGATTACCCCCTCTAAGTAGGATTATGACTAGAGGCTTTCCACTGAAAAGCGCGGCGCCTACTTAGGTGTTAGACCACACCTACTATATCTCCTTCTCAGTCTCCTATTCGGTATCCTATCCAGTATTTTACCTTCTTTCGTAACGTATTAGTTAAGTGGTCAAAAAGCCCTCCAAATTCATAAATGTTAGGAGAAAAAAAGAAAAGTCTGGTGGAGTTTTCGAAAGTATGTCCAAAAGTCTGCGGTGTACCCAAATAATAGAGGGGTATAGAGGGGTAGATCATGCGACTAAAAAATGTATTGCTGTTTAAAATAAAGAAAAACCATTCAATGTATTCCCACAGACAGGCAGCTGAACTTTTGTATCGAAGTGCTCAAAATGAAAATTGTATGTACGGGTAAACTTTTCGGGGGTGGAAGACACCTCATCAATCAATAATTGGTCAAGCATGGCTATATTCCAAAGTAGCCGACGGCCCTCGCTGTGAGTGGTCTTCGATATAATGTACACGCAAGGAATATTCAAAACGGAACAGTGCTATATTTTCACAGTCTAGCCAATGAACTTGGTCCCTGACACGGCTGACACGGGAGATATGAGGCAAGGGGTATACAAATGAAATTATGATGTGTGATGTGATGGGTGCGACCGAATTGCTTTTTTTTGTTTCCAATAGCCTTGCATAATCATCATTTCTTTTTTCTTTGTCCTCCCAATGTTTCTTTGAAGAGATTTCTCCTCTTCATATCCTTTCGATAACAAAAAATCCAGACTTACCTCCTTCTCAAGTTATGTGGAAGAGCAAGAGCTGCCTTGACCGTGAGTATGGATCAGTGGTACCAGTCAGCAGCAACAATGATCTTTATTACGAAATATACGGACAAGCACAACCACCAGTGAGGACAATTACTGGATTATCAGCTCGAGAGGAGGATTCATTGAGTCGGCGGTATATTTACGCACTGGCATTCGCTGTATTCTGTTGCACTTGCATGGGCGCAGTTTTAGCGACCTTCTTCGCAGTAAATGCAAGCTACTCTTCGATTGATTGACATGTGTATCCAAACTGAAAGGCATTCAGGTAAGTTTAATTCATGACGAGATAATTTCTCATCCTTCAGCACGACACTGACTCGATAGCTTGTGTATTGCCTGTATCTTATAACCCTCTCGGCCCCGGTATATTCAGCGCTCCTTATACACCGCAAAGAATACACCAGAGAAGAGCAGCATTGGTGGGGCAGCTATATTGTGCTTCAGAAAGACTGATTCGCCTTGCGCAGATGAATTTTCATCTATCTTACTTTTATGTGGTGGAAGGTGCTTATTTGGGAGAAACTAGGCCCTGTCTCTTTGAATCTGCGACAAACTTACAAATATTCTGTTCTGTCGGTGTAGATTCTCACGACATCTGCTAAACGACCTTTGACCCTTGTTTCCATGCTTCCAAATCTTCAGCTTGTAGAGTATTCAGCTTTTAGAGCAACGCCAATGCGTAGAGAAGTAAGACATGGGGTAAATATTTGGAGAGCTGAACTACAAGGTATTAACCTTAGTACATCATCCTCATAGGCCGATCATATATTGATGGCCTTCATATTAGGAACAAATCGCAACCAGGGCCAAGATTCCGTCCTGCAACACATTCAGCTAGCCACCGCCGATTCATCGCCACCACCACCACCACGCCGTAACTCCTGCAGGCAAGTGGGTTTCCTTGGCGGAAAGAGCCGTTTCATGTCAATTCCGAGTGGTTTTTTTTTTGTATAGTTTACATTACATACTTTAGTTCTTGATGCATAAGATGTAATATAATAGAATTGGATTCATCCAAGTTTCATCAGTTGGAATAAGCCAGCATAAGTAATAATACTAAGATTGCATAATCTGAAATGTAGAATAAAATTGGCCACCCGAACTGCTGCTTCTGAAATCTGGCTAATGATTCTGGTTAGCTGCACATAGCTGCAATGGAGCGGGGATCCACTTGCTCGCATAACCAGCTGAAAGATGAACGTGCAGATCAGGCATGTTAATCCGTAGTCTAGCCTTGTGCGTGATGGATGCATGGTGATTTACAGAGAAGTGATTTGGGGGGCAGAGCCTATGTTGGCCCTCTGGACTGATCAGTTTCCTTCTGACGTAAGTTAAAACTTCGTTCCTGCAAGATGCGCTCTTCAGAACCTTGAAAAAATCCGTTTGCTTCACTTTTGACCGTTAATTTCCCTGTTTACACATTGCGACCACCTTGTCAGAAGGTTGATCAATTCTCAATCTGTATGTCGATGCATAAGGCAGCCTGGATGGAATCGCATTGACGAGTCGTTGGTGAAGAGAGATGATGTAGATCGCCCGGATTGATGCCATTGCTTATAAATGAGGAGAGGTGATAAGCTGAAACAAAGGTATGGATGAGGGGTAGAGCTTGATTGCGGGTGAAATTTTCTCGTTGTCGCCAGCTACTTTCAGTGTCTAACACAGAGCTTTAGTAGAGAAGAAAGACAGAAAGAAAGCCCTCCATGAGTGAAGCATCCCACAATGACATCAGCTTCTACTTCGTCGGACCCAATTTCGAGAATATGGGGGACTTCAGAAAGAATATAAATGCGATTCTAGACCAAATCAAGCAAACTTGCGATGCAATCATTCCTACTCGAAAAGGAGTATTACTTTCGCGAAAGTAAGCAGTGCTTCTTCCGAAAGGGACAAACATTCGAGGTCAAAGTCTACAAAGACCCCAGGGATCCTACCGCTTATGGACCCGGCTTCCTGGATGAATTGAACGATCTGGTCGAACAAAGTCAGATGATTCTTGGTGAGGATGTGCATGTGGACTTGAAGATGTTGAACGAAGATGCTTCCAAGGATGAGCAGCCTAATTTCCCGGAATCGGAAATTGGACGAGACTAGAGAAGTGTTGAGATCCAGACCTGATGAGACTGGTGTATTCCCGCGATGCGAGTGATATCAATAGCCTGTTCAAGCGCCACCGATCGAAGTCATAGTTCGAGGGAAACTAAACACATGATCAACAAAGACACTCTAGATGTCATTTGAACTGATAGAGGGGGAAAAAATGAAATAACGGAAGCTAGTGTTTTGGAATATGCAGACAGGCATGCAAAAAACACGTCTAATAAAGGTTATAATGTACATCTTGGAAGGCGGAGGCAAGTTTTTAGAAAGCAGGATAAGATCTCATCTCCTAAGCTCAAGTGCTGGCAAGCTGCGTATTAAGAAAGGACACAACACTTGCAGCTCGGGCTTCCTACTGAAGCCCCTTCAAATTTTCATTTCCAACCCAAATTGGACATCTGGAATGAATGGGTCGGTAACTGTTCGGGTAGTATTTACTGATAGCTGAAGGGTGGTCTAGAACTACTCCCAAGGACAGTCAATTTCCTTGTGAATTATACAACTTATCCAACTTGAGGGAGCACAAATGAAGTAAGGAATGATTTTACTCCAACCAACTGAAGAGGGATGTCTGCGTAACCCATTGTACCTGAAGTAGTACTACCAACCAGTGAATCGAGGTAAAGGCACTGTCTAAAAGCGGCGAACCCCGTAAATCCGTTTAAATGAATGGTTATGTTACTGGAAGACGAGAAATCTTCATTTTCAACACAAAATGTCAGCTTCGCGGAATGTCTTGTTTCTCACAAACAGTGAGCTCGGTCAAGCCAATGTGACACTCGCAGTTGCAGAGGAATTCCTACACCGCAACGAATTTTCTGTACACATTGCCTCCTTCAGCCCACTCGCACCATTGGTAAAAGAGTTGAACCAGCGTCTTCCGTGTCCAGAGCCCGCGAAATTCCACCAAATACAAGGGCCATGTATGGAGGATCTTGCCGTTCGCAGTACCGTCGGGCTTATACACCATAGACCGGGGATTGTCGGCACGGTCGAGGGTTTTCAAAAGGTCTGTATGGCGATATCTAGTTGGACACTTTTCGAATATGGAAAGGCGTACCAGAGCTGTGTCGAAATTTTGAATAAGCTCCATCCTGCAGTGGTGGTTGTGGATCCGATACTTCATGTTGGCTTGAGTGCGTGCCAGAGCGTTGGTTCTCGTATTGCTGTTCTTTGGCCGGTGCCACTCAAGGATGTTGTGGTATTAAATCAGCCCAATGCTGGGGTCTTATGGAAATATCCCATGTGAGGCGAAGATGTATCTGTTTCGGTGATGACACTCGAGTTGCTGACTCAAGTACAGGACTGGGTCGGGGTATCCATATCCATTGCCGTGGACACTGATACTGCCAAATGCGTATCTAGCGCTTCGTGCAGCCTTGGCAATGAATACGAGAAACCCTTCTCCAGAAACGCTGGCATTGGAAAAAGGACCACAAGGACGGAGCCCTTTTCCTCTAGTGAGCCCCTATCAGAAGGACTCGTTGCATTTGACTCCCGCGTTTCGGGAAATGGACTTCCCCTTGCATATACCGGAGAACGTCGTTACTTGTGGGCCAATTCTCCGGTCTCATCAATCACTTTCAGATAAAGACCCAGCGATGGCAGCATGGCTCACAAAACCTACAATTCTCATTAGCCTCGGATCACATGTGAAACCCACGGAAGATGTTGCTGTCAAGATGGCAAAAGCAATACAGAGTGTACTCAGCAATCACGCTGACCATCAAGTTCTATGGAAACTACGTTATGACTGGAAAAACTCGGTGGCTTTTCAAAATATTCTCGGGACTGCAATAGATTCTGGGTCTGCGAGGATAGTGCCTTGGATCTATGCCGATATTATTGCCATTCTTGAAACAGGTAATATTGCGGTTTATGTTCATCACGGAGGAGCAAATTCATACTTTGAAGCTTGCAAGTATGTCAACCTGACTTTGACCCCAAACTCCAGAAACAAGGCATTACTCATTCGTTGCGTTCTTCCTAGAGTTGGCACCCCCCAGGTCATTCTTCCTCAATGGCTTGATACATACGACTGTGCGACGAGAGTCGAGTGGTTGGGAATAGGAGTTCATGGAAGTCGAAAGACAGCCCCCGGTATCGATGCTACGGAACTTTCGCACGCAATAGAGACAGTACTGCGGGATGGAGATATCCACATCAGAGCTGCTGCCATGCGAGATATTTGTAAGACAACGGAAGGACGTATTTTGGCCCATAACAGGATTGCAAATTTCGCTCTTTGACAATTGTCATCGGGTATTGTTTCAAGGTTCACACTAGCTCATTCAAAACCTGGTTTACATCTTCGCGCGCTTTTCGCAATGCAACATCAACCTCGCCATCAGTGTGCCTTGATTTGAATTCGTAATGCAGTTTGACCAGTTCTTTGGCGTGTCGCAGGTCGTCCTGTTTTTTATTCAGTGGGGATGTGGGCGCTTCATCGGAGGCATTTACGGTTGGGCTTTTGCTTTCATCGGTAGCGTCTGCCCTTGGGATGGAATGATTGGCATTCACCAGGGAAAGAGCTTCTTTGTGGCCCTGCAAAGTGTTAGGTTGTTCTCGAGGCTAACAAGGGATCGGTGGGTGGAGGGGCAATCTGCTGGGAAACCAGGGGAGCAAGGCCTCGCCAACAGGGGTTTGAGGAAACAACACTTACACAAACCCGGAAAGACGTGATATCAGAAAGGATCTCTGCTACCTGCATTGTGAATTGAGAGGCGGTTATGATGTTGCTTAGTGTCAAGGAGTTGTAAAGTCGAAATTCGGGATGCGATGACGTTCGGGCAGAATGGAGGATGACTTGGCGGTGATACAGTACGACGCGACAAGATTAATGAAACTATGGCTACTTTCCACTTTCCACTTCCAGGGTTACTTTGTTTTCTGACGGAGCAATCAACATGTTGCACATCCACATCATTGAGAGGGATGGATATTGTGGGTGTAGCATCAATGCACGGTGAGCGGTGAAAAGGTGTGGCTGAGCGTGGGGTAAACAAAACCTCCCGCCACCTTCAAAGCTTTCTCCTTTCAATTGTCTGACTTGGAAACATGCCCACCACAAGATCGTCCCTCGAGGCTCACCTCGCCTACGAGCCCCAAACTCTCAAATTTGGTACCAGTGGTCGACGTGGCTTGATCGTCGATTTGACTCAACTCGAAATTTACATCAATGTCCTCGGTGAAATCCGGTATCTCCAGTCCATTCCCCCTGCCAATGGAGGAATTGAGCGTGGCGACGACTTTTATTACGCATATGACCTTCGCCCTAGCTCAATTAATTATGTGGAGCCGAACCGTGGCGGTCTCTGCCAGGCCGTTGAGCAGGCCTTGAGAGATGCGGGTATGCGGCCTATCAGTCTAGGCGCTATCCCCACACCCGCTCTCACGCTTTTCGCTTTACAGAGGTCTAAGGGAAGTATTATGGTTACTGGTAGTCATATTCCCTTTGATCGCAATGGCTACAAATTGAACACCTGCAAGGGGGAGCTGCTGAAGGAGGACGAGCAGCCTATCAACGAGTCCGTTGAAGTTGTCCGCAAAGAGCTTCTCGCACAGCCATTTGAGCAGTCACTTTTCAATGAACATGGAATGTTCCGGGCTACTACTCCAGCCCTTGCTACTCCCATTGCCGATGGCAAGAGCGAGTATATCCAACGATACCTTGATTTCTTCAAGGGTGATACTCTCCAGGGAATGAAGCTGCTGGTGTACCAACATTCTGCAGTCGGTCGTGATCTCATAGTCGAGCTGCTCGAGCTGCTCGGCGCCGAGGTTCTTCCTGCGGGTCGCAGCGAGACATTCGTCCCTATCGACACCGAGGCGATCGATCAAGCTCAGCTCGACACACTCCAAAATCTTTCTGACAGTACGGGCAAACGCTTCGATGCGGTCATCTCCACAGATGGAGATAGTGACCGTCCCCTTCTCCTAGCCCCAGAAGGCGATAAACTCCGATTCTTCAGCGGAGATCTTCTGGGCATGGTTGTTGCTCAATTCCTTGGTGCCGATGCCGTCGTTGTCCCCATCAGCACAAATGATGCCATCGACCTTGGCCCACTTGCCAGTGCTTTGGAGCCCAAGACCAGAATTGGAAGTCCGTATGTGATCGCCGGCATGCAGGAAGCAGCTCGCAAAGGGCGTAGCCGTGTCCTAGGATGGGAAGCCAACGGTGGCTTCCTCACAGGTTCCGATATCGAGCTCTCTGGTCGCAAGCTCCCGGCTCTGCCTACACGCGATGCAATTTTACCCCTGTTGTGTGTCCTCTTTGCATCTTGCAAGCGCCAAACAAACATCCCGACTCTTTTCCAATCGCTCCCCGCCCGTTACAGCCGGGCCGCTGTGATTAGAAATTTCCCTCGTCCGACAAGCGCAAAGATTGTAGAGCGCTTTTCACCCGAAGAAACACGTGATCGAGAGGTTGAATATACCAAGGATGGCTTTCGGCCGTACGATTCCGCAGGCAGGACAAATCTCACCTCAGGCAGTGGTGGTCACAAAATCATTCAAATCCGCCGCGAGCTTCAACAGGTGTTTTCTGCCGAGGCTGGTTTCACACCCGTCAAACGGACGAACTATACCGATGGAGTTCGTATCATATTTGAAAATGGCGATGTCGCGCATATCCGCCCATCTGGAAATGCAGATGAGCTGCGGATCTATTCTGTTGCCAATACCCAGTCTCGTGCCGATGACATTTGCAATCAGGGCATCGCGGAACCCAATGGCTTGTTGAGGCAATTGGCAAGCCTGGTCTAAGATGAAGTCTAATAGCACCAAAATATTCAACAATGTTTCAAAGTCATGACAACCACTATATAATTCCCTGATCTTTATTTGATTCCCAGCCAATTCTAGCAAATTATTGGAATCGGTGTATCTTGTGCTTAATGCCGCACCCCTAAAGTGTGTCTATAATTGTAGCACCGGTCTTTTATCAATCACTTCAATGTTCAAATGTTGAGGCCAGTAGCGTCCGTTTTCCACTTACGTGATTTCATTTCTTTGTCTGATATTACTACTAAAATAGAAATATTTTAAATTTATTATTGCTTTCTGACAAGTGCGCATAGTGCGTCGGTCTCGCTATTAGCAACCCAAATATCAAGGTTAACATTGTCGGCCCACTTGCTTCTCCAATATGTAACTTTGCAATTCAAAATATTTACTCCTCCGCCGTGCAGTTCGTGATTCGTAGAAATATCAGTTCCATGAGTCAATAATCTTCTGCGTTTGCATTCTTCATTCAGCCGGTTGTAAATCCAAGGGAGGAGAAACACTAAAGCGTACCCTTCAGTGTGATGAGTGAGCTGGCTTGTCCAATAAGGTGTTGGTTGGTCACAAATGGAAACAGAGAATTAGAAGCTCCAATTTTCATTCAAGACCAGTGAAACCGCATACTAGTACAATACAATGGAAAACGCTGAATCTGACAGGGTGTACGCGTCCGATTCCTCCCAACTTCAGCCTCGTCCCTTGGCATTATATGCAATCCGTCCACTGATGCGGCTTGTATGTATCTCGGGAAGCGAGCCTCCGCCGGGGAATCCTTATCACCCGATGGAGTGATGCCTATTCTTGCCTAATATTAGCGTCTCAACGCGTACGCCTTCTGTAATTTATGTCCCCCGGAAGTGCCTTTTCGGGTTGTTCCTCCCCGACAACTCAATAAAACGCCTTCCCCAAGAGGCTTAGGAAATCTCGAGTTGAGTGACTCAAAACAAAGAGAGTAACATTCACCTGCCTGGTATGCCAACACGAAGGCCATCACCATTACCAGCCTCGGCTCGCCCACCGCAGGAGCCCGATGAGCGGACGCCTCTCTTAGGAAGCCTTGACGCGGCTCCTAACAACCAGCCCAAGATATTTTCCCTTCTCCGCCATCGACTCTTGCTTCTCGTATGCCTTTCCGTCATCGCCGCCGATTTCGGCAACTATCTTGGCTATGCCCCTCATATCAATATTTTCGAGTCAATTATCTGCCGCCAGGCTCGAGACAGCGGATCTGTCGGGATCAGTGGCAATTGCAAGTCACCTCAAGTGCAAGGGTAGCTGGCCTTGATCAATGGGTGAAAAGAAACATTTGATCAGATACCGGGAATTCTCCTAGCCCTTCCCTATGGATTTGCTGCCGATAGTATAGGGCGTAAGCCCATCTTGGCATTGAGCTTGATTGGACTCATTCTTGAAGAAACCGCCATGCGACTCATATTCTTGTTTAGCGATATTATACCATTACGGATAATTTGGCTGGTGCCCGCTTTTCAAATCATAGGCGGCGGACCCCAAATCGCGACCGCTCTGGCCTATGCTATGGTTACCGATTTGGTGCCAAGTAATCAAAGGTAATAGTGACAGCCTCCATGGTGATTCGAACTTGACTAACGAAGTTGATTTGTTCAGAGCATCTGATTTCTTCATCCTGTCTGCTGGGACTCTTTCGGGCGAAATTCTCGCTACTCCGATTGCTGCATTCCTCATGTCATGGAGCCATGGATTCCTTCGCTAATGAGTCTTGTCTGCTTGGAGTTACTTTTATCACAGACACACCTTTCAATTCGGCGACATGTAACGAGGAAACGAGTCTAGAGGAGCAGGAGGAGGACCAAAGACATCTTGGAGCGCCAACCTTTTCTGCACCGTTGGCGCATTTCTATTTGCAAGTATCGGTCGCCAAGCACTCCAGCTTATTGTTCAATATGCCTCAAACCGCTTCTCTTGGAGTATTGCACAAGCCAGCTCACTCATCACGCTGAAAGGTACTCTAAATCTTCTCGCCTTGTTGTTTTTCCTCCCTTGGATTTCCAACTGGCTGAATACCCGTTTGCGTCTGTCGCCCGCCGCCAAGGACCTCTGGATTGTCCAAGGCAGTGTGTGGACTCTAACCTTAGGCTCGGCCATCATGACGATCTCCGCTTCTCCGGTCCTATTCATAGCGGGCGTTAGCTTGCTGGTGTGTGGATGGGGGTTCTACTCCGCCTTGCGAAGTCTTGCCATGGAAGTAGCGTCCCCATCACAAGTTGGAATTGTGAACACGGCGATTGGCTTCGCTCAATGTGCCGGTTCCATGGCTTCAGGGCCCATCTTAGCTGCTGCATTTCGTTGGGGCATGCAGAAAGACGGGCTTTTGGTCGGACTGCCGTATATGGTTGCCGCTGGTCTCTTTTTTCTATCCGGCGCTTTAACAAGTTGTATTCGGATTCCTAAGGGGATAAGTGACCCATGAGTGTCTTGTCAGGAATGCGATTGGACTTTTGAGAAATAATCTTTTGCGACCAAGGCATTTCCCTGTAGTTGCAATATTTTCTTCTGGATCCTTGCTTCAAACATAATCTTTGATGAAGTTTCTTCCATTCTGACGGGAACAATTGCATCTGGCAAGCTGTTAGAAAGCTGAGGATCTACTACTATGTTCATTATTGTGGCGTTACAGGTCATACATAAAACGACACGACTGGTGCCTGCAAAAATACACGCTAAGCCACTCATGGCAATAAGCTATTATAGTGCAAATCCGCCGAGCTTCCCAAAGCCGCGAATTACTCAGCACTAAACGTTTCCCCTCTTCTCCTCTCTCAGATCTGTCGAATATGGCTGATCACCCTCTATCGCCTTCTAGCACTCAATGGCACGCGAAACAGACTCTCTGCTAAATGATCGTTCGTCAATTTTATCAAGCGGCCCGGACCATGTGCGGCCCGGACCCAAGGTGGAGAGCCCCACACAAGGCCGACTCTCCGTCTTCGTGCTCTGTGTCTTGCTCGTGACCATCGGTGATTTTGGCATCTTCCTGGTCTCATTACCCCAGACAAGGCTCTACGAAAGCATCGTCTGTTACCGTTACTATGAAGCCCACGATCCTAGCCGCATTGGGCCCGGAGGGAGTGTCCTGGAAAAGTGGTGCAAGATCGCGCCAGTACAGGGTGAAGTCGCCTTTATACGGGAATACGAACTGTTGTTTGCAGCTATTCCAGGTATGTGTGAATTTAGTTCTCATCGTTGCTCTATCTACCTTCTCCTGCAAGATATTCATCGCTAAGTATTTCTTCATAGGCGTCGTATTGGCGGTCCCATACGGTTTGCTGGCCGACCGATGGGGTCGAAAGCCCGTCGTGCTGATGAGCATCATGGGAATATTACTATCAATAACATTTACACTCCTTGTCTGTGGACTATGGCAAATCTTCCCGCTGCGCCTCGTCTGGTTGTCCCCCGTTTTCACAATCCTCGGTGGTGGCGCGCCTGTGCTATTCTCGATGATCTTGACTATGATTGCAGATGTGATGCCGGAGAATGAAAGGTAATGTATCTACGACGCGATTAGTCCAAGAAGACACAGCTAACAATATCAGAGCTACCGCCTTCTTTCGGCTGATGACAGGCCAATATGTCGCGCATATCACCGCCACTCCGGTCGCTTCGGCTTTGATGGAAAATTATGGGCCATGGCTACCGATACAGCTAGGGTATATATTTTTCTTCGTGGCTACAATAACTGCATGTCTATTGAAAGAGACGGCACAGCCGCGAGATACCGTGAAGAGCGCCCCAAGGGACGGATTGACAATGATAAATAGCGAAACAAGAACAAGCCCACGAGTCCTACTAAAGAGCAAGTCACGCCCTGAATTATGGAGGTATCTCATATCTCTCTGGCGACATGCAACCACCCTACTCCGACATGATACCAGAGTCATCGTGCTCATTCTCACTTTCTTCATCAACGCCGTCGAAGAGCCGGGTCAGAGCCTGAACATGCAATATATCTCAGAACGATATAACATGACCCTCGCCCGCGCCGGATTCGTGATCTCTATCAAGTCTGTTGCCACTGTTACCACATATATTCTCCTGTTACCGAGCGCGTCCTGGATATTGCAACAACAGCTGGGCCTTTCAGACACACGCAAGGATATGGTACTAGCCCGTGGTAGCATTGTCACCCTCTCCATTGGATTCTTTATCGTTGCATGGTCCCCAACGGTGGCTATGGCCACTTTTGGCTTTCTCATCTCAACCCTTGGCCGAGGCTTCGGCAACCTCATTCGCTCACTCGTCACTTCTCTGGTACCACCCGAGTTCATTGGACGCATGTATACAATGATCACTGTTATTGAGACGTTTGGTACCCTCATTTCGGGACCGTTACTAGCTGCCTTGTTTCAGGCGGGGCTGAATCGAGGCGATGTCCGGTGGCTGGGCCTCCCTTTCATTGTGGCCGGTGGGATGGGTGTCATGGTGGCTGTCGTGCTTTGGTCTATCGATATATCAACAAACACGCATGATATTGAAGCTGAGTGCGTACAGGAGGGTGTGGAAGCACAATACAATTAGATCAATTAGTTTCTTGAAAGGTCAAATGTTATTTGGCCCTTATTAACCATTTCAGTTAAAGATTACGTACATTTCAGGTTCTGCGGGCATCCTATTCCGCGCAAGAACTTGAAGATTTGGCATATACTTCCTCCCCTCCTTGCATACGATCGATAAACTGCGATGCTTTTCTCGACCTTAATTAATTGATCCCCCTAGACAACCCTTTCATTGAAGGAAGATCACGCTAATATTTTCCTAGGGAGGGGATCTGTTAGAAAGAGGGGTAGACCTCACCAATGAAGTTAGTCCGGTCATCTATCCTCGGTTGAATACTGTAGATGCAGATTAATCACATTGCAGTTACACAAACAAGCCCCGTTCAAGCCGTCTCTGCAAAACCTTGACAGGGTCTAAACCTGTTAAATGTCTCAGTTGGGCCCCTCCATCAGCCGCTGGAGGCCGACTGCATGCTCAGTTGGTTAACCATCATGTCGATTCATGCGGGTAAGAGGACGGAGACCCACACTACCCAGCCGTCCCAAGGAAACTTGGCCTAGAGGTAGACAAATATGAGTTTCGCTGGTTAAAAAGCGGATGATATACTGGGAAATAAAATATGGAAGCTATGTCTTTGGATTAGAACTTTTTCGACTGCCATTCGCCTGTCTATGGATGAAGATGCACCTATGCGTAGTTAGAAGTGAGAGACAGCAGTCTGTGGCGTTGATAAGCGATTGGAGAGGGGCGAGGAGAAATCCAATGCGACGTAGAGTACGGGACGCCTCCGAGGACAGATTTACACACACCGACTGTATTTAATGGTCGTGGTGTAGCCTGTGTGACTTGACGGTCGAACAGTCCCGCATCACACCCATCTCTCATCAAGCTCTGTCAACATGGTCCACAGTCATCCCTCTCATTCAAAACTGCGGGTTGCCATTATAGGTGGTGGCATTGCTGGTCTTGCCACTGCCGCATTTTTGCGGAAATATCCTCAATACAGCATTACTGTTTATGAGCGCCGGGCGGACTCCAAGGAATCGTCTGCGGCACTTGGTCTTCGGGGTAGCGGTATATCTATCGTACAACAGCTGGATATCACCCCAAATGAGATCGGTGCAGTTTTAGGAGCCGGCTACCGAACATACAACGTTCAGGAGGAATTGATGAGCAAATTAGAGCTGGGCAATGGACCAAACGGGGATGGCGACCTGTGGCTTATATACCGTCAAGATTTGAAGGATGCGCTGCTTCGACGAGTGACGTGTGCAGAGGGGGAGGGGACGCCAATTCAAGTTATATACAATAGTCACGTCGTTCGCGTTGACCCGGAGATCGGACGTATTCATTTTGCAGACGCGACGGAAGTTGATGCTGACTTGGTCATCGGTAAGGAAGATCGAAAGTGGCGAAGAGGTACATTTCGAGTGAAAAGTTGATGAATAACCTCTTTCAGGTGCCGATGGTATCCATTCCAAAGTTCGTGCTGCTATTATTTCAGCATCGCATCCAGAACCCGCCCCTTGTGGGCACTCGATGTATCGATTTGTGATCCCTATGGAGGTCATTCAAGAGTCGATGGCAGCGGAAGGCCGGACTCCGGCTATATTCAACTATACCGAAGGCAGTTATGTAGGCGTTGTTGCGACTGGAGATGCAGATGAGGATAACCGCCACCTTATTATGTATCCCTGTCGCAATCATGGGTTTATGAATGTCGCATTTGGGGTCCCCGACTCGATATTGAAAGATCCAACTGGTCTTGAATATTCTTGGAGTGCGAAGGGAAGCGTGCAGGAGTTGGTTAACAATATTCACGGATTTCCAGGATGGATTGGGCGATTGTTTAGGTAAGAACTTACATGTGCAGTATCGCATCTCCTTATCTGCGCTCTGATAGCTTGTTTCGCTTGAAAAAGCTAATACCACCTTGATAGCCGTGTTTCTCAAGTTGAGCTTTTTCAAATGCGTGATCAGGAACCATTGCCCACGTATGTCAAGGGGCGAACCGTTTTGATCGGTGATGCTGCCCATCCGATGGTTCCGTACCAGGGACAAGGTGCCAATCAATCCTTCGAAGATGTTGAAGGACTCGATGCGCTCTTGGCGGACGTTTTCGACGGCGACACCATCCCCGACCGATTAAGGGTCTGGAACAGCATTCGACGACCGCGAGCTTCGGCAGTCCAAGCAAGTGGACGGGTTTCGCAGTCTAAATTATCTAGCAAAGAGGCTGCGGATGCAATCTCAGCGGTAAAGCCATATATGCGTATGAAGGAGGCACTTGCGCGACTTTAGAACCTTTAGCAGTTTCTGTCCGATATTAGTATGTTGTTTGTACCTCGACTCTAATTGCAAGGAAGAATTCTTCCCACCGAGGATTCATACATCAGTAACGAAAGCCCATTGGGGGAGGGAAGAAAGGAGCTATACCCAGGTGGTAATTTCCGCATGATTCGCAATTCTTGATTCAACCTGCTCGACGAACCTTGCAATGAGTCTGAACGCCAACTCGGTCTCGGTTATCCGACTATGTCGACATTATAAAGACGGAATAAATTTGTTTGCTAATATTAATCATCGATGACACGCTAGTGTAACGCAAAGCTCAAAATACAGTTAACAAAACAGACAGCAACTCATGCTCATAAGGATATCTGAAACTCAAAGTTTGATTTGGATGGAAAGTTACATCCACAGATCCACGCACATTTGTTTTTTCTTCATGCACATCAATTCTCAAAGTCCAGACAGAAGAAAATACACTTCCACTTCTTATTCCTCATCAGAAGAAGACAGGTCAGCCTCGGTGAAAGGCTCAAGAATAACAAAATGGCGCTGAATCGTTCCATCAGGCAACAGGACCGATCCATCCTCGAACTGGTGCGCAAGTGCGTAGTCTTGCTTCTCGAAGTACTTCTCCTCTTCAATGAGCAAATTAACAACATGCTCCAGCCAGTGCCATTCATAGGTCTCATGTTTCAGCCAGCGGGCAATGCGCCGTCGATAGAGGTCGTTGTCAAGGCCTTCGAGGAAGGCGGTGATGATACCATGCGTGTTGTTTGACTGGCGACAACCCAGTTTGTGACGACGGCCGCTGATTTCTTTGAAGTATTTCTTGAGAGAGACGCCGTTTTGCTTCAAGACTGGTTCCGGTGTGGCCATCATGTGACGCATGACCATGGCCGCTTCGAAGTTGTTCTTGAGAGTGACGCCCTTGAACTTCCAGCGTGGTTGCAATGTGGTGATGGTTGGATCCGTGGTGGAGACTTTTTCTTCTTCCTCGTCTTTGATGACTGGGTCTGTAGAGGGTTCTGGGGATCGTGAGGATTTCATTGATCGAGCGAGTGCTTTTTCTCTCTTCTTTTGCTTCTGCTTCCCTTTGCGGCTGGAGACTAGCTCAAGTTTTTGTTTTGTTGGGCGAGGTGGGGGATCCATAGGGTAGATAATGGGAATTTTTTCGTCCTTTTCTTCTTTGATGGTGATGACAGACTCTGCGGAGAGTGAGGGACCTGGAATTGGCTGCGCTTCAGGAGGACTGGCGATGATCGCTTGTTCTGCGGCAACAGTGTCGTCAGTTTGAACGGCTTCGAGTGCAGCGATGGTATTGTTGATGGTCGTGCAAAGCTTTTGGAGATCATAGAGAGAGTCCATCAACTTCCAGGTGTCCACATTGGCCGTGTTGAGATTAATGCACACAACTTGGAGTAATCCTCCGAATTCCAGTCGTAGCTTGTTTAGCGCATCGACATGTCCTTGTGTAAGGTGAGTTTTCTTCTTTAATTTTGACATAGTGGATTTCAGGTCGTCAGAAAGACGTTTCAGGAAGTCGGATAGAAAACCATTGACCGCATCAGCTTTGGCAACTTTCTTTTTTGTCTTCTGGAGATGGCCGAACAAGGTCTTATTTGCGCGGAACAGTCGGTGTTTCCAGAGAAGTAAAGCAGGATCCACATGCGGATAAGCAGCCAAGCGGGGACAAGTCAAAGAACGAGGCAGAGGCTTGTCAGAAGGGGGATTCGGCGCCATTGTGGGGTAAGAATTGTATATCTGGAGTGTGAATGGAGTCGAGGCTGTATTGAAGTCGGATGACGCAGACGATTCAAAAAAGTGATGTAAGGAACATGAATGGGAGGACAAGAGGTCAAGGAGGACGAGAATGGGATAATAAAGGCATGATTGGGACTGAAAGAAAGGATGTGAATGAGAATGAGTCAATTAAGGGCACGAGTTTATTCACTGAACGAGGATCGTCGCCAAAAGCGGAAATAAGTGGAAGTTGGATCAATGATCAACATACTACCTAGATAGTAAATGTAGTGGTGAATGTAGTAGTAAATTTAGTAGTAAACATAATATTACGGAAGTTTAACCACGGAAACAAGTCACATTTTGGCCCGATCTATTGATTAAGTACGGTAACAGAGGCATCCTTAACCAACCTGAGCGAGCTAGATACAGAGGAAAACGGAGAAAAAATGCGGGAAAAATAAGAAAGCCGTGACAGCAACAAAAAAGCACGAGCATGTCACATCTCCATAAAGTGCAGGGACATAGGAAACCATAGCAGTGGCGCCGATGGCGGCCTGCGTCCATCAACTTTCCCTAATAGATAGGCTCCAGCCAGTCCATCGAGGCCACCGCGGAGCGGGAATGTTAAAACCCAGAAAGCCACTTTTGACGCAGGTTCTGCGATCGTAATCCGCATCAAGACATCAAGGGGAAGTTAAGGTGTTTAGATGAGGTCAGCAACGTTCATGGGCATCTCCTCAACCTGGGTGCTGTAGAACTGCTCGATCTCACGGAGCATGCGAACATCGTCAGCGGTGACGAAGTTGATGGCAACACCCTTACGACCGAAACGACCACCACGACCGATACGGTGAATGTAGTTCTCACGGTTGGCGGGGAGATCGTAGTTGATGACCAGGGAAACCTGCTGGACATCGATACCACGGGCCAGAAGGTCAGTGGCGATCAGGACACGGGAGGAACCGGAGCGGAACTCCTTCATGATAACATCACGCTGACCCTGCTCCATGTCACCGTGCATGGCGGAGACAGTGAAGTCACGGGCAGTGAGCTTGTCGGTGAGCCAGTCGACCTTCCGGCGGGTGTTGCAGAAGATAACGGCCTGGGTGATGGTGACGGTCTCGTAGAGATCGGAGAGGGTGTCGAGCTTCCAGTCCTCCTTTTCAACGGCAATGTAGAACTGCTTAATACCCTCAAGGGTAAGCTCCTGCTTCTTGACGAGGATACGGATGGGGTCACGCATGAACTTGGTGGTGACCTCGAGGACGTCCTGGGGCATGGTGGCGGACAGCAGGGTGACCTGGGTAGCCTGGGGAAGCAGCTGGAAGATGTCGTAGATCTGCTCGGTGAAACCACGGGACAGCATCTCATCGGCCTCGTCGAGGATGAAGAGCTTCATGCTGTCGGTGCGGAGAACGCGACGCTGGATCATGTCGTGAACACGGCCGGGGGTACCGACAACGATCTGGGGACCGTCACGGAGAGCAGTCATGTCCTCACGGACGTTGGTACCACCGATACAGGCGTGGCAGGTGAGGTTCATGAAGTCACCAATGGCAACAACGACCTTCTGGATCTGCTGGGCCAACTCACGGGTGGGGGCAAGGATCAGGGCCTGGCAAGCCTTGACCTCGGGGTCGATCTTCTGCAGGGCGGAGATGGAGAAGGTAGCGGTCTTACCGGTACCGGACTGGGCCTGAGCGATAACATCGTTACCTGTCACCGAGTTAGACTGATATCGTTCAAGGGGTAATTCTTCGGGTAAAAGAGCCTACCCTTGATGATGGGAATGATGGCGCGCTGCTGGATAGCAGAGGGACGCTCGAAACCGTAAGCGTAGACACCTGCAATCATGCCATCCGTTAGTAAATTTTCTTCAAGCCCCACCTACGAGGGGGAAAACGGTCACAAAGTCGGAAGATTCATCACATACCGCGGAGCAGCTCAGGCTTGAGGTTCATGGCATCGAAGGAGTCGGTGATCTCATCGTAGTTGGACTCGATCATTCCTGTTAGGGCGCACAACGAAGATTAGTCTTGGCTCCCCTTATCTTTTCGTCGCCACTTAGGAGTTTCTTTCAAGTAGGGTAAACCACAAGAAAAGACCAAGTGTTAAAGACGAACCAGAGGAGCAAGGCGAAACATACCCTCGGGAAGATCCTCAAGTCCCTTATCGGCAGACATGTTGGGTGGTTGTTTAGGTTGGAGATCACAAGCGTGTTCGCTGTGATCTTGGATGGTGGGGGTGAGAGGGTTTTAGCGAACGTGCCCTGTGGGGTAGGTCGCAAGTAATCGAAAACTAGTATCTGAACTCTTCAAATAGAAGAGTTTACAGGATACTAAGTGGTTGAATGAATATGGGTGGAAAGTTGGAAAGTCGCAAAGACTAAAGTGGGAAGAGAAAAGGGAAGAGGAAAAAATCGTCCGAAACTGCCCATTTGCTGCGACTCTTCTTTTTTTTTTTTTTTTTTTTTTCACCCACGGAAAGGTTTATTTCACCGCTTGCCCAATGTGGGTCCCTCCCGCTTTTAATTCCAAGCGAGTAAGATTTGATTATAATTCTATATTGTTCTTCTTATTGTTCCTGGTTTTTCCTTGTTCTCCCGGCACTCTCTTTTCATTTTAGTCTTGCTGACTGTTCCAAGTTGGGCTTCCTTGTTGGGCTGATCTACATTGGGTTGTTGAAAAAGCGCTCGGACGGGCAGAAAAAAAATCTTGAAGCCCTAAAATCAGACCCGTGGACCATGCCTGACATCACAACACTACCAAGTTATCCACTTGACCAAGATGCGGAGCAGGGCGTTGAGGTTATTCCCAGCCATCCGCTAAGCGTTAAGCCAAGTGGCAACGCACTTTTAGCCACATTCAATCTTCGTTCGGCAATCGGAACATGGCAAATGCTACCTGATGAACTAATTCTGATGCTACTGGAATGTTTGGATGGGGCCAGTCTATTGAGTTTCGGAAGAACATGTAAGGCTTTCTATGCATTTACCCGTGCAGAAGAACTATGGAAGGCTCTTTTTATCCGGTAAGTCATCAATGGCAGATCTTTGATCTATATATCGTGGTTGATTCTGCCGAGGTCCACCCGAGACAATAGCGTGGCGAACATCAATCACCAAAAATAAAGCTAATGGTAGCCGTAGATGCTCTCCGGAATCATTCACATGGCGTGGAACATGGCGTTCAACATATTTGAATCTCCCAGCCAGCAAAGTCCCACTGGTGGATTGTTCTAACCTCTACTCGGATGCTCTGTACCGCCCATTCAACTGCGCGCATATCGTGATGGACCCTTATGTCTCTAAGATTCCTACACGCAATCAAATTCCACGTCTGCCTGACCTTTCACCGGAAGACTTTCACGAAAACTGGGCAGACCGCCCATTCATTCTAACCGAGCCTGTCAAGGACTGGCCAGTCTACAAGAACTGGACGGTTGGACACCTGCTCTCCAAGTACGGACAGGAAAAGTTCCGTGCAGAAGCAGTCGACTGGGTTCTCCGCACATACGGTGACTACATGGCCGACAATGCTGACGAAAGTCCACTCTACCTGTTTGATCGGAACTTTGTCTCAAAGATGGGACTGGCAGTCGGTCAGCCCAGTGAGACCCCTGATGCAGCCTATTGGCCTCCATCGTGTTTCGCTGAAGATTTTTTTTCCGTCCTGGGCAACGACCGCCCTGATCGACAGTGGTTGATCGTAGGACCAGAACGGTCGGGGAGTAAATTCCATAAAGACCCGAACGCCACCAGCGCTTGGAATGCAGTGCTTCGTGGTCCCAAGTATTGGATTATGTTCCCGTCTGGCGACAAGCAGGCTCCACCGCCCGGTGTTTTTGTCTCTGATGACCAGAGCGAGGTTACCTCACCGCTCAGTATCGCCGAATGGCTATTGACCTTCCATGCAGAGGCACGGCGGACTCCAGGTTGTATGGAGGGGATCTGTGGTGAGGGCGAGGTTCTACATGTGCCATCTGGATGGTGGCATTTGGTTGTCAACTTGGAGCCTTCGATCGCTATTACACAGAACTTCATGCCTCGGGCCCATCTTTGTTCCGCACTGGATTTCCTGTCCAATAAGTCTGACCAAGTTTCTGGGTTCAAAAAGACTGTCCAGAATCCATACCAGAAGTTTATTGACGGCATGCAAGAGGCATATCCAGAACTCCTACAAAAGGCCCAAGAAGAGCTACAAAAGAAAGCCGAGGGCAAGAAACGCAAATGGGACGAAATTGTCCATGGCAAGACTGAAAATTCTGAGGAACAAGATGCTGGAGGGTTTAGCTTTGGTTTTGGAGACGATGGAAGCGATGTTGAAGTCCCATGAGGCAATTAAGCTGAGCCCGAGGGCATTCAGTCCAGACAACGACCATATACCAACACGATAATGAAAAATTTCATAGCGGATGTGAAATAAAATAAACGACTTCACGCTTCATGGTTCAGGTTGTGCTTTCATATCGAACCAAGATAAGTCCGCTCCCTAGTGACAAGCAACCGACTTGGTAGCAGGAGTACCGTCTGCAAAAGCCAAATATCCCACAAAGGCACCGACGGCTACAGCAATCATAACCATGCCGTTATAGGTCATGAAAAGAAGCCTTCAGAAAAAGGTAAATTAGTAGCCATCAACGATGTCAGGACAAGAACAACTCACATTATAAAGAAGCTATAGAAAACCTGGATGGCATACAACGTAGCCAATGTGATCTTCCCCCGGCGCACAACTGCGGCCTGGTTGTCCCTTCCTACAAGCAGTGGTGAGCGTTCGTCGTTATTAATAGGTAGGCCCGTATTCTCGGGGACGGCGAAGGATGAGTCGGTGATGCCACCATCTGAAGAGCAAGACATCAATGAGAGCTCGCCCAAGCAGTAGTAGAAAGGGGTCCAGGAGGTATACAGCGCCCAACCAAAGCTCGTCAAACCACCGATGCCAACACCGCATCCAAGCAGTAATAAGTGTATGTTTGGGGTTGCAAGTAAGAGATCCAAGACCTACCTCCTGTGGATGTCACTGCTGTAAATGCATTCAATCGTCGTGCGTGTGCTGCCTCGTATTTACGAGTAATTTGGCGTACCCCTTCATAGCCCGCTGTGAGGAGGACGATAAGGATGAGCGAGAGGAGGAAGGAGATCGGGCCTGTGATCCGCCACTGGCGGAAGATGATGCAAAGATTATCGGAAGACCAAGTAAAGATCATCTAGCAGAAGGAATCTCAGTTAGAATTGAGAAGCCAAAGATCCTGTCAATAGTCGAGCCTTACATTCATGCTGCACTGGCCACCCATATCCATATCGCCGTGGCCATGATCCATACCGTGATCCATGTGCATCGAGTGATCCATGATGAAGAGCTAATGGCCTGACAAGCTGAAGAACAAGAATCAGAGAATCAAAGAAAAAAGGGGTCCCAAGTAGTACCACAGCCAAGGTATGTAAGACTACGTAGTAGCAAGTAAACAGATGAAGCGGGATCATGAGATGATGTACCATCAAGTGCAAACGTAACAAACACCACCGATAAGCTCTCGGATCCGAACCGCCTCAACTCTCCAATCCAATCCAATCCCGCATTGGTCCCCGTCACGAACCAGCTTCCACTTTTTTAGCTCACATGCTACACGCTAGCTAAATCCTCACCAGTGATTCTTGTTTCTTCTTTCCTTCCACACCATGGCGGACACAGCCCCCGCCCCAACATCAGCCCCCGCGACCGGCGCGCCAGCAGCGCCAGCAGGCGGCGTAACAGCAGGGGCACCAAATGCGCCTAATGACCAGAATGCCGCAAGTCGCGGACTACCATACTACGAGAAGCTGCGACGAGAGCTACGAGACACGTTGTCGAAGAAGCGATTGATGGACAGAAGCATGGTGAGTCCGGACTCAAGCGCATGCCGTCACGTTGTGGCGAGCTTTGCAAGCTTTTAGCCAGCAGCATTGAATGATGCGATTCCAAACCTGCTTGGATACTATTATCTGAGTCGTGCTCATAGGCTAACAATTTCAATCCGACAGGCTCAACTCGAAGACCAAATTTTCCGCTTTGAGCAATCCTACCTCGAGGAGACGACTGCCGGCAACATTATCAAGGGTTTTGACAACTACATCAAGGGCTCAGCCAATGCGTCTAGCCTTGGTGCTTCGGGTCTGAGTATTGGCTCGGTTGGTGGGCGTCGCAAGGCGCAGGTCACAGATTCGGATCGGGTGTTCTCAAGGAGTTCGGCGAGTTACATGCTGGTATGTGGATGGCATGAGCTAGAGCTTGACTTTGCTTATCAATTACTAATTTTACTATTGGTAGGACTCACCTGGTCCCTCCTCTGCACAAACGACACCGTCGCATGCGGCTACACCTACGTCTACTACCGGTGGGAACATGCCTTCAACTAAAAGCAATGGAGGTGATGGGGGTTCTGCGAAGAACGTCTCGGTCTCTTCGAAAAATAAAAAGAAGTCCAGTGGTGGGTCGAAGAATACTAAGGGGAAGAATCAGACGGATGAGTTGTCTGATGATGACAAACCGCCTGTGAAGCGGTTGAAGATTAGCTATGGACGGGACTAGACTTTGATTTCGGTGGATTTCGCCTTGTATTGTTTTAGGATTGGAGTTTGGGAGGCGTTATTCTGCGATCATTTAACTCGCAGAAAGCCCACGGCATAGGGCAAAAATGTCGCTTTCTATTGCGCATCATGTACATCACGAACGATTAAGACTACAGTGTTGAATACCATATATTGATTCAGATTATTGAGAGACATGTGAAAGCGAGAGTTATATCAAATTATGAACATACTAGATATAATCAAGCAAACGGGGATCTTGGGTCAATTACAGCTGCAATCGGAAAGTAGCGATCTCGAATGCTCTGAGCTCAATGTTCACCGTGATGCCATTGCTCGTCTTCTGTAACTTCAATTCCTCTTCGTCATCCTCGAGGACATTGCATTTCCAGACACGCTTGACGGGCAAGGTGCTCTGGATAGATGCACGAGCTTTGCCGCCAAGAGACTCATAAGCACGCAAAATAATACTCTTCCCACTGCGAGCAGGTATACCGCCAGTGGAAACATCCTCATCATCCTCGCCACGTTTGACAGCATCCAAGATGATGGATTTTGCTCCCTTGAGTGAAACAGCCTGGAAATCAGTGTTGCGTACGGCATCAGCACTAGCTTGCTCGACGGCAAGAGGGTGGTTGAAGTTGTAACCAGCACGAATCGTACGATCATCAAGCGCACCGGAGTGAGGGAGAATGGCATAGCGAATACGATGGCGGCCCATATCTGCATGGGCATCTGGGGCCTTTGGAGCACGGAGTAGCGACAGACGCATTAGGCTGCCGCATGTAGCGAATCCGTACTTGGAGTCGTTGAGGACCGAAACACCATATCCGTGCTCTGAAAGATCGGCCCATTTGTGGCAGCAGACCTCAAACTTGGCCATGTCCCAGCTATAATACGTCAGTATGTGTTTTGATCATCACGTAAGGGAGTAACATACCTCGTGTTGTAGTGAGTTGGACGGCGAATGATACCGTATTGAGTTTCATATGAGGCCTCCGTGTTAGAAACATCTACAGGGAACTCAACCTTCAGGAACTTCATTGTCTCCTGCCACTCTACCTCGCTTTCAAGCTCAATATAGGATGGCTCAGAGGACACCGAAGCCGACAGACTGATGGTAGTCTTGATCCAACTCTTCTCGCTGATCTTGGTCTCTGTCACCAAGCTCACTCGGTGAGGATCATTCTCCGCAATGACTGTCTTGCCACTTGGAAGTTCCTTCCGTGACTCAATGTGGAACACCTCGACATCCCAGGCTTGCCAGTACAAAGGCTTGTCATCGAAGATTACCAATTGACCAGCCTTTCCGCCCTTGGCAACAACTTCTCTGTTAGCCTTAACATCAAATAGTGAGGTGATGACGCCATCCTGAACGTCAACCCTGAGTTTGCCATTATTAAGGCGGAAAGCTCCAGGTTGGGTTTCCGTCACGGTCACCGAAGTTGTGGTCTTGAAATCGACTGGCTGACATGAAATGACACCCGTGGAGCCATCGACGAGCGCATACTTTGAGCCTTGAAGGGCACTGAGAGACGCAGGGATCTTGACCACTTCAGATCGGGCCCAGGGTAAGGTGTTGAGAGCCACGAAAGATCGATCTCCAGTGGACTTGGTGATATTCAAAGCCGCTAAAGCATCCTGACGCAACTTTGTCCCTACCTTGAAGACCTCGGCATAGAGTTTGTCAGAGTCATCATAGCACATTTCAATCGAACTACCTGGCAGGCAGTCGTGGAATTGGCAAAGAAGGGTATTCTCCCACATCTCATCAAGCTCCTTCTTTGGATACCGGTACTTTGTATCAGTGCCACTGGTAGTGGCCAATGTAGCCAAAAACTCGATCTCGCGAAGCATGAATTCAGACTTTCGGTTGTTGCGTTTATTGTTTGCCTGAGTAGTATAGGTACCGCGGTGGAGCTCAAAGTATAGCTCTCCATACCATGTCGCAAATTCAGTCCCGCTAGCAGCAGTCGCTTCCAGCTTGTCGAAGAAGTCGTCAACAGAATCTCCCATCTTGACTCGGGGAAGGGTACCGATTTTATCACTGAGACCCCGGCAGCGACGAAGCTTCTCGAGGTGTTCGAAAGTGGGTCCGCCACCCCCATCTCCCTTACCGAAAACGAGCAGAGAGGACTTGTCAGTATCTAATGATTTGTGCTGCGTGACACTGCGTTTAAGATCACCAAAGTGAGCTTCAGCGGTATATGTCTCTGCGGGGGCCATATGGCACATTACTTGACTGCCATCCAATGCAACCCACTGGAAGGTAGTGTGAGGGAAGGTGTTGATATTGTTCCAACTCAACTTTTGGGTAAAGAAGCGACTCATTCCGGCTAGGCGGCAGATCTGGGGGATCTGGGTAGAGTAACCAAATGTATCTGGCAACCAGAAAGTCGTGGCTCGTTTCCCGAAGTTACTTTCGAAAAATCGTTGGCCATAGAGGAACTGCCTGACTAGAGACTCTCCACTCGGCATGTTGGTGTCATGTTCAACCCAGCTACCACCGATCGGCTGGAAGTTGCCCTTTCGCACCCATCGCTTCACACGGTCAAAAACGGTCGGGTAATACTGCTGCAGCCATTTGAATTGCTGGGCCTGGGAGCAGGCAAATCGGTGTTCTGGGTAGCGATCCATCAAGTCGCATTGATTGGACCAGGAACGTGCGACCTTTCTCTTAGTCTCTGCCCAGGGCCACAGCCAGCAAGTATCAATGTGACAATGACCGATAGCATATACAAAGGGATTCGTGTCTGCCTTGTAAACATCCGACGAATCGACCTTGTCGCCGAGGTACTGTTGCGCGATTTTTCTACCCTCGAGGATAGACTGCTGACTTCTATCGCCTTTCGTGAAAGCGTCGATGATGGCATTTCCGACCACATTCGCCTCATGTGCTTCCCAGGAGTCACTAGGGAACTCACGAGCAGCATCGCCAATTATCCAGAAATCGTAGAAAAGCGCCCGTGCTGCGAGATTCACGGCGGTTATTTGTGCCTTACTTAGTTGGTATGTTTTGTCGGGTCTCGGCGGTTGAATCGAGTCGCCCCCCGGGGCATTTCCAAACATGCCATTGCAGGCCATTTCAATGTAAAACATATGCTCCTTTCCATCACGCCATGCATCGGGGATGATCCATTCGATACGTTCCCCACCACCAGTCAAACCTTGCAGCGGGCGGCCATCCTCTGTCCACACCATTCCCTCATTGTTGGCATCCCAGTGAAACTCCAGTCTTTCCTTTTTGCGCATGTCCTCGGGCACAGTCAGTTTGATCCGAAACCAATGCGTAGACCAACTGGGACCAAATGAAGCTCCGATATTGGTTGGCGTAAATTCATGCGATGTTGCTTCCTTGAAGGTGGGTCGTTCGAGGTTGGGGACTGAATAGACTGATAGCTTGACATGCTCTTCGTCGGAGTTGGTAGCTTCGAAGAATTTGGAGAGAAGGTTCTGTCCTTCATATTGGCCTTTTGCTGTGAACTGCTTCAGCCGGTCGGTGTAGATCTTTGTGATGCGTTGGCCGACCGGGCGCTCCGCAAGAACTGGGAGGGTCTTTGTAGCCGGGGTAGGGGTGAAATGAGGATCTCCACCCATTTTGACAGATTTTTTCAGATGTACTGATGGAGAAGATGCTGCTTTAACAAAATTAATTCAGTGTAAGAGTCAAGGAAAGTCGTGAAAAGAAGGGAGGAGCTGCGTTCCAAATGCGGAGGCATGACGGAATGCGGAGTCAGGGACGGCGGGGAAGATCATCCGCGTTACATCCACTTCAAGTCCACAATCCATGGTTGTATACATTTTGTTCATCTATAGATATCGTAAAGAAATCGAACTACCCAATGTAAGTGGTATATTTCCCAAACTCCTCATCTGCCCGTAATTGCTTCCAATCCTCATCACGAAGGCAAATTGCAACAGCCATTTCCCCTTGCGGAGACTTTGGCATGATGTATATCAAACTTTCGACTGGTATAAAAGCTGGTCTCCTTACTGACTCTGGTAGTCCTAGACCAAGATTGAAATCCAGGTCGTAGCACTTGATCCGAGCCCAGGAGCTAAGAGCAATGCCCGTCGGAATTTCCACACTCGCAGTGAAAGACACCTTCGTCTTATCTGGAGACCGGGTGAGATATGTTGCAAGAGCGCGGACGTTGTGGACGAGATCCCGCACTTCGGGGTCCAGTTGTCTGCGAAGCTCAGACGCAATGGCCCCAAGCGGCTGCTCTGCAAGGTCTTGGAGGGTGTTCGAATTGTAGGTCATGCTCTGCAACATCCCGGGGTATGAGGTGGGGACTCCTAGTCGTTGTCGGACATCAACAGCTCGTGCAAATGTTGATTTTGTGGTCGGTGTCAAGCGTGGGATCCGAGCACGAGAAACACATTGCCAGATGAAAGCACACACCGTATCATCGGTAGAAACAAATCCAGATGGCAGGGTCACTGATGTTGCCAAGGACTTGAGAGTTTGCAGTGCAGTTGGTGAAAAGGTCACATATGCCCATGTTGCATTCACGGGAAATTCTTGTTCAGTGCTCTCCTGAGGTTTGATCATTTGTTCATCCAGCTCATGACCGGGCGTATAGTCATCATCTAACAGGGGAATCGTTCTGCTCCGATCCATGTTTCCAACGAACACTTCCTCCTCCGTAAATTGGATACCATGACAGGCTTTCGACATCAACTTAATAACACTATCTTGCCCTGTCATGTCCATGACGTTATGCTGCCCGACAATGGTAATCATGAGGCCATCGGTGATGAAATTGGCTTGGACGGCAAAGATTGGGGCCGACTCTGCTGCTAATCCCACTGTATTTCCCGGGGTATTGATGGTCAAGCATGATGCTATGAGGCCTTCATCGAGCATTGTCATGGGAAAGTTGTTTTCTCGCAGAGCGCTCATTGTAGGCGCAAAGGCGTCTTTTCGGAGATCCTTGACAACAAAGGGTATTGTTCGCGAATGAATTATTCGATAAACACCGCTATTGTTGGTACTGGATCCTTTATTTATGACTTCTCCAGCAAGCCATGGGAAGGCCTCTGCCAGTCGATCAAGTCCGCGTCTCAAAGTCCCGATAATGGTACTATGGACAGACGTATCAGAAACGGGGTAGATGCAGCATATCTGCGTATAGAGTTTGTACATGTCTGGCTGCTGGCCGAGCACGTCGAGCGTATCATTTTCCAACATGTTGGTCTGCACCATTTTTGTCAATAAATGAATATCCTTTCAATGGAGAACAATGCGTCTTAAATACCTGAGCTTGGCAAAGTGGGCCTCTAATGGATCCTACCCGTAACCCCACTTCTTAGTTCCCATTAGTCAATATGAGTCAAACTGACCTGGAACTGCTCTACTCTCGCAATTACTTTTGATAGAAGTGACACCATCAAGGAATTTGTGATGTAAAGCGAAAAGAGCAAAGACGGACAAATGTTTTACGTTATCTACAAACACCTGAGGTGACTGGAGACTCAAGGACCGGGCATCAATGGAAACCGTCCCCTACAGTCTACAGTCTACGGCCATTGATCAAAACACCTACATCATACCACCTAAATTCTACCAGCTTTAGACTGCCCTCGGCACCGCTCTATATCGAGTATGCATAACTGCATTTTATTACCATCTACAATTGAACTCGGCTTATACCAGCTTATATAGGCTTACACAAACAGAGCGAGAGAAAAATTACCGAAAGAAGATCAGAAAACAAGGTTCTAGCGGTTTGAATGTTTCCAATATCTGAGCCAGAATGAGAAGCAGAGACCACAACAGTTGATCGATAGTTCTCAATCATATTGGACTTGGAGTCTTAGGAAGCCTATCACATGTCATGGCAACTGCTATTGTTTTCTATAGTTCGAAATTCGGCATGAAACCGCGAAACCGTACGACAAGAGGAGGCAGCAGACCTCATTCACATGCCATCACACTATCCTGGTCGTGAGCCCTTTCATGAAAAAAATCCGAGGTGTCATTGGACGAAATTCCCTTGCATAAAGTCAAAGCTGGACCAATTAAAACGTCACAACATACAAGGCTAGACCGCCACTTACCCTGTGCTAAGAGCGCGGCTGGGTGCCTGATTTTTGTCATATAAGTGTCATTACTGCATGCTTCTCCTCAGACTAATTTACTAAACTCTCTGTAGTTGTCCATTTGAAAATCATACCAGCTTCATCGTAAACATGACATCTCAGAACGATGATTACGTCTTGGGGCGAGACCTATACGGCTCCGTGAGGTACTTACCGACTTGCCGACCACAATAACCCCCGTCGGTGACTCTTGACTGATGAAAGCTATATTTTCCATCCATTAGGCTGGATACCCAGCATCTCCTCTGGAAAATGATTAATGGCTACACCATAAATCCCAGAATACCCGTCCATCCGGACATGAAGATAGCCGAAATGGGCAGTGGAACGGGGTTAGTTTTCCCGGATAACATGTCGACCTTTGAGGGTTATTCTGCTTACAGTACTCAAATGTTTCTAGACTGTGGCTTTTAGACCTTTCAACTCAGCTTCCCCAGACAATTCAAATGGACGGCTACGACCTGTCAGATAGCCAGTTTCCGCATAAATCCTTCTTACCCAATAATGTCTCTTTGAACATTCTCGATGCCTTCGGAGATGTACCTCCAGACCTTGTTGGGAAATATGATGTGGTTCATCTCAGATTCTGGTCCTGTATTGTGAAAGGCAATGATCCGAGCAGGCTTGTTCGTCACGCAAGGCAATTGCTAAGTCAGCTTCAAGTATTCCATACCATGACATGCAAACTTAACTTAATATTTAGAACCCGGAGGATATATGCAATTGGAGGAGGGTCACCTTGGCCAAAACGTCACTCGAGGAGATGTGGCTGAGAAATTTGGATCCATGGTGAGCTCCATTTTGGGCAAGTTAGATATTAAGTTTGAGTAGGTGTATCCGTGTCATGTGGGTATTTCCCGAGACAATGCTAACAATGTCAATTTGATCTACTTAGTTGGATTACCAACATTCAAGCAAACGTCTCTCAAGATGGATTCACACTCTTAGAGGGAGAAAGTCGTGTGCTCCCTCTCCATTTAGTCCCCCTTATGACTAAAACTTATTTGGCTGGCTGGAGTGAGCTTTTTAGGTCAATCAAGACGCTTGATGACCCGTCTATCCCCTGTGACGCCGATAGACACAGACTTTTGTGGGAACTTGCCACGGAAACTAAAAACGGGGCTATGTTTCATTGGACGCCTGTTACTCTTCTTGCCCAGAAGTCGTTGGCGTGATCTGGCCATTCACACTATAGCTAGCATCGAATGAACCGTCTTGCATCTATACAATTTTGGAACTTCTCTTAGTTATTTATCTCAGTAGTCAATTCTCCCGGCATAGATTGAAACAATGGTATTACGGAAGATCTATAGATTGATGTAAGTACTGCAGATGGCAGTTGGATCACTTAGGCCTTGAAAATACATACATCATGTGGGGCTACAGCATGACACAAAGAAGCACTTGAGAATTGGTCGCAGGTCATTAGAAAATTGCAAAATCGTAGCTTGAACCGTTTCCACAATCATTACCTAGCTTGATGACACCCCAAGCAAAATTACTTAGCCCCAATGTAGCAATAATCATAAAATGCTAGACCACCCCGCCAAAATGCCTGCTGCTGACGACTAGCTAATACACAACTGAAGTCTTAACCAGAAGAATGCTCGTGTGATAATTTGATCAAGAAAAGAAAAAAACTGCAAAAAAGAAAGTTGCGACGGCTGCTGGATTCGAACCAGCGCCTCCGAGGAGACTTGATGACCGAGAATTCTGAAAGAAGGAATGTTAGTAAATGTGATAAGGAGATTAGGGTTGTCAGGTGACATACCGAGTCAAGCGCGTTAGACCACTCCGCCAAACCGCCTTGGTTGATGACTGGCAATAAAGGCGAATAATAAACACTCACCATGGTATCCAATCAAGCGTTGTAGATATTTGGGTTTCAATAAACACATTCATATAGCGTCCAACAATGGTGCTAAGCAAGAAGGGAATAGAGTTTGAGACTGCAACAAGATTTTTACAAAGATTATCCCCATAGCGTCTACTTTAAAAAAAGAATTAAAAAAGGATTCAAAAAGAAAAAAGAAAGTTGCGACGGCTGCTGGATTCGAACCAGCGCCTCCGAGGAGACTTGATGACCGAGAATTCTGAAAGAAGGAATATTAGTAAACTGTAAGATGAGACTAGGATAGTCAGGTGACATACCGAGTCAAGCGCGTTAGACCACTCCGCCAAACCGCCTTGGTTGATGATGACTGGCAAATTCAATAGAATATAATCCTTCAATATTCTTTCCAATCCAGCGAGTAGAAGTTTAAACACATGCATATAGTTGTACAGAAATAGCGCTGAGCAAGAAGAGAAAAGAAGTTCAATGGTATTTCTGTAAATTAGCCCTATGAAGTCTGCTTAAAAAGAAATCCGAAACTTTCTAAAAGGGGAGGCTGCTGGATTGGAAGCAGCGATTCCCTGATAAGCATGCTTCACTCTTACCGCCCGACTAATAATTAGGTGAATGAGCACGTGATTTTTATGTGGAGGTCCGCGGAACTATTGACTCCACTCATAATGGCAAGTTTTCATAGGTTCTTCATCAACAAGGCCGGCTGGCCCAATGGCAAGGCGCTTGACTACGAATCAAGAGATTGCAGGTTCGACCCCTGCGTCGGTCAATTTTTTTGATGTTTTTGCATCTATTATTGTGTTTTTGGTGCGGGAAAAGTCCAGTCAAACATCTGGACTGTGGACGGAACCCAGAATTGCGTCCTGGAACATTGGTCATTAACGCCAGCATAGGGGTTTGTTGGAGAAATATCCGATCAATATCAGCTCCTCTTGCACCGATCCTCGGTTCTTTCAAAATGTTTCTATACTAGAACTGATAAAGTCCCTCAACCCTAATTATCTAACTACCAGAAACTCCCAAGATAAAATAATATTAATAGAAAGTAAGTCTCGTAATTGCCACCGGCCATATTTTAGATCATACCAAGCTCCGGTGGCAAATTCCAAAAATGCATGCAACAAGCTCAACCCACCACCTGCACATGCGTCTATAATTAATAAAGCTCCACGTGAGCTTGGAAAAGCCTCGCATCCTTTCTACTACTGCGTGAGTCTCGAAATCCACCACATAAATAAGCTACAACCGTCATCGAAATCTCCGACCCAATCCACTAGACCAAAAACAGCCCACTCAACTCTAGAACTAATCTCAGAAGCTAGCAATAATCCAATCTGACTGGATAAGCATTCCGTAGAATAAAATGGTATACAGATCAGGCAGGATCGTCTGAATACCTCCAAAGCGAGAATATAAGCTCCCAAGCTACCGAATCGGGTAAGGGGCCTGGTGTCCCTATTTTTAGCGCCCCACGTGGGATGACCCAACCTTTCTGTTTATGTGTTTAGTATGGGAACTTTAAAATTGGCCCTGAGCTTTATTTTTCAGGGGCGAGATACTGCAGAGTCCTGATAATAAGTAGCGTTGAATTGATATTTGGTTGGTGGCGCTAGACCCATTTCCCGCGTCAAGTGGAGTCTGAGTGTAGTGCCGGATAGGGGATTGTTTTGTTGCAAAGAATTCTTTGTTCGAATATCTGATCCATGCCGTTTGGACAGATCAAATTCACATGTTTTCAAGTATTGGATCCAGTGTCGTGTTGGTGGCGAATATCTTACCCCCACGTCGACATTTCAGGAAATGCAGCACCTGGCCCCCAAGCGGATCCCATTCCTTAGTCGACAGTAGTGGATTCCATTTCAAAACTGACGGGGACGAAGGATTTTAGTTTGTTACACATGGTTGGACCCTTCTCTCTTTGATTGGATCGGAGGAGAACAGTGCTGCGTAGGTGGCTGGTCTCTAATTAAGCTAGCATCGGTATGTAATTTTTGTGAAGGCAGCTTGTTTGTGGGTATTCTTGTCAAGTGGTTGCGTCGTAAATCTTGGTCGGGTCGAGTCAAGTGATTTGATCAAAATGCATGATATTACATTTGAACCTTGTGAGATCAAGTCAATGGATAGAGACAATAAAGACATAATACATTGATGAGTATCCGTGAAGACAATAACTAAATTCTATATTTCGTAGATCCGCCAAGGATCCAGCCATGACAAACAAATTCAAAAGTCCAATCCGGCGCAAGAATAAATGAGAAACGCTAAAGAGAATTTTGCCAAAAGTTCATCGTGAAAGAAGAGAACAAATGCAATGGAAGCTCCGAGGGAGGATGTAGTAATCGGTATAAAGCGCTAAATCAACAAGAAGCAAAGTTATGACAAAGGAAATGTGATCAAGGAGACCAAGGATCAGGGTGCGGTGCACATAGGTGTGGATTAACAGCACCGACAAATTTGATTTGAGACTTCAGTAGCTCGCGACGACGGTCATCGGGTGTTTCAGTCATCCTCTTCTTCGCATCATCAAAGGAAGTCTGCAGAGCACCTAGAGTCTGGCGCTTGTGTTGTTGACCGATCTTAGGTACCGGTGGTGCAGATAGCGGTGGAGTGGCATGTGCGAAATATTCCGGAGAGCTAGTAGCTCTGCGTAGTTTCTTAAGCATGCCGCGCTTCTTCTCTTTCGGAGTAAGTGGCGAAGAACGCGGTTGTTCGAATGCAGCAGTTCGGCTAGAGCTAACTGTCGATGTAGCAACTAATTGAGCGTGGAATTCATCCATCTCCGGCTCATCGTCGAACTCATCATCGAAGTCTTCGTCGTCACCCATAATTGATGGGGGGTGTGTACTAAGCGGGCCCATGGGGGCAGTAAACCGGCGAGAAGGAAGATTTCGTCGAACATTCGGGGTATCTTTTTCTTCCTCGTTATCCCTTGCCAAGGTCTTGTTGACATAAGATTTGATCGAATCCCGAACAGCGGGTTTCCAAGTTGACGAATGCATAGAGTACCATTTTGGTTGCTTGGCGGAAACATTTAAGCGGCCTTCCTTGCCGGTCCTCCTAGAAGCGGGGCTTTCGCGGCCGGTAGTCGGGCGGGTCAAACTGGGAGTTGCGAGTTCGGGGAAAAAATCCCAGGTTTTTTCACGAAAGTAATGACTGGAATCGATTCTGGTACGAGTCCAATCCACTGGACGACCGTAATGAGCTGATGTGCCTAGGATAATGGAGGTAGCGTCGATGTCGATGGAAACTGGGCTATCGCTGGGACTGTCCGTGCGCTCGGGATGGGGTTGAAGCGGGGATGACTCTGGGATCCGTTCTGGGGCCGGACGATCATTCAAGTTGGTGAAGTCATCAGAATTGGAGCGGACGAAGATGGGTAGATTATCTCGTGAATAGCTGGAGGAGATGCTGGGGCTTTGTAAACTTTCATCGAGGGTACTCTCATCGCTGTCCGAGTCGCTGTACATTGCAGAGTACTCGGTCGGAGAGTCTAGCATCATGATAGGTACTGGTCGGCCGGGGAGGGGTTTGTTGATGAGGAGTTCAGAGCGGTGCGGTGTAAAGTACATCATCTTCGGTGGAACCACTTGTTCCATACCTTCCAAGGAGTGGGACGAATAGAGTGGAGGCGCCATACGCCGTGAAGGGCTGGCGGACATTGGGAAGGGTAAAGACAAAGAAAGTGATGAAGATATCCAAGCCTCTTTTTCTTTGTGGAGGAAAGAAGTGAGAAGGCCTGTTTATTATCTACCTGGTGGTGCACGGACACAACGGACAACGCGAGGGGCCGCAAGGGATATCGAACGAGTTTGAGGACAAGAATAGTTCTAGATCATAACGATAAACAAATGAGTAAAATCTTACTTGACCAAATTCATTCTAGAATTTATTTCCAAAGTAGATCCATTTCTGTTTCTAGGACATGATGATGACCCACTAATCCCAAAATGATGAGTTGTCAATCAAACCGACGATCGACGATCCTCTGACGCCAAGTATGACCGCCCCCAATTCCCTAATGGAAACTAATCCAACTCAAGTAATCACTAAATGGGATTTAACTAAGTTTGGCTGCCCTCTCCATTGTCTCACGAGTCAATTGATCAGAGGACTTGCGCACTGCGCTGAGTCGACCCAGACGCCTTAATTTAGCGATCATAGCCTCGTCGCCAAAGTGACTATTATGCTCAAATTCTGGCTCCTGGTCATATGCTACGCGTGCAGCATCCACAATAATGCGTGCTGTCATGCCGAACACGCGATAGCGCTGGACCTGTCCAACCGGATCCGCTAGTTCGATGTGCTCCTGGTGGGGCTTGGGCTTGGGCTTGGGCATGACGACACGGGTATTTGCGCGAACAAAGAATTGGTGCACTAGTCAAAATCCTGGTCAGTTATGGTCTTTAGTGCTTTTTGTTGCTACTTTCCTCCTTCATTTTCCCGGTATGAAAAGCAAAATAACCATTAACAAACAGAAAAAGAAAATAGAAACCACGATATCATTCGTGTTACTTGATCCACTTGGGAAACATGGCTGGTACGACAGGTTTCTCCCCTTCTAGACTCAAGCCTTGAACCATGAAGAGTGGGTCCGGTAGTCTGTGAACTGACAGGCCCCCTTGCCATGTGTGATAACGGGAAATTAAACGAAAGGGAGAATAAAGGGGTTCGGCAGACAAAACCGGAAAAAACAAACGAATAAACGCCAAAAAAGGGGGGAGAGGGGGAAGAACGCACTTCGCCAATTCGAGTTGTGCCACAAACTCCACGATCCACGATACCAATCCCCCGGATCGTTATTAGCGTCCGCGCCCAACGAACCCTGATCAGCCCGAGCTGAACCCACAGATCCCGAATTCGAATTTGAAGTGGAATTGGAAGGTAATGGTGTTTCTCCATCCCTCAAACACAAGAAACTATAAAACGGCGCGGTAAAAACCGCAGCTACCTCCTTCGCATCAAGCTTAGGAATGAGCGAGATCTCGGGGTCCGCATTCTGGCCCGTCTGTGCATCGTAAGAGTGCAGTAGAGCCACGCAGGGCCGCACCACTACTTCGGTTTTGGCAAGATTTGCCGGGAACTCGCAGAGGTGTTCGACAGTGAAGGGATGTGGAAGGGGCTGATCGATTCCCGGCAGCCCGATCTCTTCCCATGCTTCGCGACGTGCAGTCTGGAACGGCGTCTCCGAGAGTGCATCAGCTCGACCTAGATTTCTGTTAGCGAGGATCCACTCTGCCGTTGGGCTTGTTTGTTTCCCCGGAAAGATCAGCTGCCTTCTTTTTCCACTTCCAGCATTGTGCCTGTTGATCTTCCCTTTCTTTTTCCCTTTCCTATATTTTTTTTTATCCTCGTAATCGTATCCCTTGGATAGTACTGTCCAAAAAATAAAAACAAAACAAATGAAAAATCTCACCTCCTGGTAAAGCAGCATCTCCTGCATCTGAAATGCAGCCCGACGAAATGGGGCGTTAGTTAGCGCAATCCACATGTCGTGCATATCGGCGTAGTCCTGAAAACAGGGCTAGTCGCAAGGGGAAGGGGAAAGGCAAAGGCAACAGACGTACACGAACTCAGTGTCTTGGCCCGGATCGTAATCACGACTCTCAGGTCTCCCTTAGCATCAGCGTACAGCAGCAGCAACACTGCCGCCCGCCTGGACAGCGGGACATCCTCGTACGCTGTCGGCGGAGGAACATAGTTTCGGAGTCGGCGAACAGCTTCCTGTCATCTATCATATCAGCCTAACCATTATCCCCCAGTTCACAGCTCACATTTTTCTTTTGGTTTTCTTAGTTCCCGGTGGCGCTCCTGTCTCGCTTCCGTTATTCTCTGCCACGCGACATCGGGTTGGGTTCCAGACATCCAACCTTCAGCGGGATGTCCATCCACGGGTGCCGTCAAGCCAAACTCCTTGAATGAATGTGACACACCCGATAGAAGTCCTGTGAGACCTGACGGAACTCAAATCTGCGGACACGGAGAAAACAAAACAAGACCGAAATGAAATCGCCACGACACAGAATCAAGAATCAAGCAAGACATTTGCCCAAATGGTTCTCATCCCGAAATACAAATGTATATGTAATGGTTCGTGTACACACGCAGACACGGGTACGCGCAGCTGCATGGACAGGTCGAGCAGTACATACTACCCACCTTCCCAATGCGTGGAGATACAGTGTGGAAGTGAATGCACATAACGTCACTTACCAAGGAAGCCTGGTTCAGAGGCGCCATACTTGAAGAAGCACGGCCTCTCCCCAATCGACACAAATAGAGGCCTTGAAAGCGAGATGGCTTTGGATTGGCGGGGATCGGAGTGCGATGAATAGTTCGGATCAAGTGTCGTTGATGTGTCCGCATAGCACTCTTCGTACTATACAGGGGTACAGTCAAAGGAAATGAAAATGAAAATAATACAATGAACCAACAGAAAATGATAAAAACCCCTCGGAGAATAAATTATTCAGCTACTTTGCAGCGGGGGATCCCGTCTCTTGCGATGCAATGCCGATGCGGTGGACGGCACGTGATTTGGTTCGGTCTTGACTGGATCAAAAATGGAAGATACCACATTCTACACTCATCAATTATGTTTCGTGACTGTTCTAATGCTGATCAGTTCTTCTACAGTGTTGAATTTGGTTGCATTGGCATTGGAAATGGTGCGATAGTTTTCAGTCCAACTTCAAACAGTGACTGGGCTGCGGGGAGAAGCGCCTGGAACTGGGACCGAGGTTGGGGGTATCATTGCCGGTTAACCACAAAAGACTCTTCATAGACACACGTTGTGACCTCAATCACGTGAAATGGGCTTGTGGTTTAGTGGTATAATACTCCCTTAGCATGGGAGTGGTCCGGGGTTCGATTCCCCGCGAGTCCATCTTTTTGCTTCATTGGCAATTTATCTTCTTTTTGGACTAGAAAGCCATTACCTTTTGTCTTTGTTGGTCAGAATTTATCATCGATTGTGAGACTGGTTTATTTTATGTAACTTTTGCGTTAATTCAGCACATACCCCTCCCTTAGGGTACTGCTAGTATGAACTCGTACAGTATGTTTGCTAGTACAAAATATATATTCACCCCGGTATCTTCTATTTTAGGTGCTCCATAACGGTAGAAGCGCCTTAAAGTTTAGGTAAATAGAACATATGCAGAAGAATATATCGAACCTTGGTACAATATATTTCCGATTAACGGTCTCCTAGATAAGGTTCTATGGATATTTCCAAGGTTTATGAGGTATCAAAAATCAAATTAGATGGATGCATCATATGGATTTGTTCTATCAATACATGGCTTTTTGCTTGAACCACGTCAATGGCTGATATTTCTGCAGCACGTATGCCCGAAAAATTTCAAAAGATTTCGGTCTTGCCCATGCAGCAACACGACAGCTCACACCGACAGCTTGCACACCGTAATATTGCAAAAATGAGACACGAGCGGGGTATGGTCCAAAAGAGCGTATCAGTAAAGACCCGAGGATCAAAGCAAAGAAGCAAAGAGGTAGGAGAGAAATGAGAGGGAGATGGAGAAGGGTTCTATAGCAACATGGTGGAGAAATAACACAATGGGAGAAAAGGGAGTCAAAAGAAGAGAGACAATAAACAAGATCTATATGTTATCCAAGAAAAGGGCCCCGGAAGAAAACGTAAATGCAAACCGAGCCAGTCATGAAAGTTACGAGCTTTCGCTCTTCTTGCCCTGCTCGGCCTTGGCACCTTCGGAGAGGGCTTCCTTTGCTTCGGCGGATTGCTTCTCGGTCCCATTGGAGGTTGCCTCGACACGGGCCTCTTCTTTCTCATCGATATCTTCGATATCCTTGGGCGGGGCAACGGAGCCGTCGCTCCCGTTGCTTTTACTCTCTTCTTCGATGAGCTCCTCCTGCTCCTTGATAACCTCGAGACGCTGCTTGTTGGTGGCAGCACCCTCGGCGTTGTGGACCTCGAGCTCGATCTCGTGGAACAGCTCCTCGGGGATGCTGGAGAGCACCGACTTCAAAGCATCGATCTGGGAGGCCATATCGGACTCCTTGCCACCCTGGGTATACATGTAGGCATTGCTCAGAACAAGAAGAGTGGATGGGACACCCTGCTGCAGACGGAGATCAAGCCACATGGTAAGGTCCTCGCGCAGACGGGCGGGGGAGACACCGTGGGTTCGGATACCGCGAGAAGCGCTAGCCATCTGCAACTCCGGAACAGAAAGCGAGTCGACACCCTCGTAGAAGATAGCACGGTCGTCACGCTTGATCTGACGCATGCGGTGACGAATGTTGTAACGCAGCATGGCGTCGGTACCGAAGCTGTTCAAGTTCATGTAGCGGCAGATAGCCACTAACTGGGGACGCGACAAGTTGTCCAGAGTCAAATCATCCTTGAAGATCTTGCAGACCTTGACAACGTCTTCGGTGGAGGGCGATTCGCCAGTGGTGCGAATCTTGCGGAAGAAGTCTGCGAATTCCTCGTTCTTGACTGTTGCTGCGGTCAAAGGCAGACCAGTCTCACGCAATGTGTTACGTAGGAAGCTAGAGACCTCTTTACGAGTCGAGCTCAGGTTCGTGGCCTTGGTCTCCCGGGCAGACTTGCCCTCATATGTGCTGGGTAGCAGGTTGGGGAAGATCTTCAAAGCGACGGGGAGCAGAAGTTCAGCGAATGGAACGATAAGGAACATGGAGAAAGGAACCAGCCGCCCCAAGTCCTTGGTGGTACGTTGAAGCTGTTACCCAGGCCCAGAATTAGTAAAATGATCCAAAGCGATCTCAGCGATTCGAACATTGACCTACCTGACGGTGTTCTCTGCGGCTGAGCTCATACCCAGATGCCATCTTCAAAGCTAACCGGGTACTAATCTTGACCTCTGTCGCCAACAGCTTTGTGCCATCCCAGTAGTGCTGCAGCTCCTTCTTAACCTTCTGTCCAATCGTCAACTTCTTGACCTCCTTCTCCTTCTCCTGGATCTTCTGAGAGTCTGCGGGCTTTTTAACCAACTTGGGATCCGTAACAGCGGTCTCAGGTTTCACAGACTTGGCAACAGTTTGTGACGATTGCGCCTGGTCCTGAGGGATGGGCTTCTTCGCTTGCTCGGCATTGAATCCAGGAGGGGGGACTGATTGAGAGGAGTTGGATGTAGATTGTTCGGTGGCATAGCTACGCTGCTGAGGAATCAGGATCGCAAGAGCAGACACATGCGATGGAAGACCGCGTCCATTGCGGAGGAAAGCGTTCGCCGCGGCGATGGAAGCTGGGCCGAGAGCAGTAGCACGAGTGCGAGCTGTTCAAAGGAGAAGGAAAGGTCAGTCTACAAGGTCGTCTGTCTTCAAAACATAACAGTAAGAACATACCAGCCAGGGTCGGCCGCAATGCAGACGTGCTGCGCACCAGTTGAGCGGATCTCATCGTGGCGGATATTTGCGGAAAATGTTGGGGCGAGAAAAGGAAAGGGCCCTATCGATAAAGCAGGGGTCGCGGAAGGCGCAACAACGATCAGACTGTCGGGAACAAAGACAATCCCGTAAACAAGATGATCGAAATAAAATATGGATGATATGGATTTGTGTAGGTTGAAGAGAATACGGAATTAGGTGACGCTGCCGGTCATCACGTTTATCCACGTGACCGAAAGCGGCTTCGGAGCTGCATCGGAGATAAATGGATTCGATTGCTGCCTTGTTGCCTTATTGCCTTGCTTCCCAAAAAAGCTACTATCGTATATGTTAGATTATCTAGTAGGTACTCCTACAAGTCTTGCAACCATGGATGTGATTTCCCTATATATAAGGTGATGACTAAAGCAGTCGACGAGATGCCCACTTCATAGTCCAAGGTCACCAGACTCAACTCGGAAGTGGGCATTGGATTTTTTCTTTAATTTGACCCGCACGAAAGACTTGGGGGAGGACGCTCAGGACCTGCAACAGATTGTTCTTTCAATGCTTGAGTATATTTCGCACAAGTACTGTGAAAATTTAGGTATGTAAATAGGACATTAAAGGATGGATTATTCAAAATAAGCACTTGCGAGTTCCAATCTAAATGTAACCGTGGTTGTAAACGTGGATCATTGGATACTTTGTGGATCCTGCTTTTCCTTTAGCCGTGGCCCGTCCCTTGTATGTTCAATGTGGTCTGCTACATCTTTCATTACCGAGATGGGTTCTAGTGGATTCAATGAAACCTTTCTGCTTCACCTATACATTGATGTCTTCGAGTCAGATAATAGGCCCCCGCTTTACTTCTCTGTATCTACATGTAGGTAGTGAAGTACTTCACTAACGTGGTGGTAGTTTACTTCGACATCATTACACGCATTCTAGTTAGAGGGTGCCAGCAATCATCATAGGAAAGCCACTTAAACTTAGTATATATTGCATTGAAATTTCAAGTCGTGCCAATTTGGATTGAGCATGAAATGATCGACTTATGTAGTTGGGTCAGAAGCGTATTGGATCTCAGACAATCAGGACATGAAAACATGCTATGTAAAAACGGTCAACGCTATATGTGCAGGGTGCAAATCATTTACGCCAGGGGGTATCATGGTGATTAAAGAAAGTAAGCCCCAACTAGGTTCTCTCGCGAATAGTGGAATCAGTATCTCGGGAAATATCACGGACGGCAGTCGAGGCAGCCTCGTTGGAGTCCAAGAGAGGAATCCGGTCAACGCTGCCTCGTTTCTCAAGAGATGCATGTGTTCGACCTGCATCAGTGGCAACAGTAGCAGGAGTATCCGGGAAAACGAGAGGGCTAGTCGCTCCTTCGGGAGAACTTTGCCACCGAGCAACGTCCATCTTCAGCTGGTCTAGTTCTTTCTGGAACCGCTTGCCAAAGACGTCGATATAGTAGGTCGCACCGTTGTGGATACTCCAGACGAACAAAGCAGAGATGTAGACTGCGCTTGCATATCGGTACCAGAACCAGATTGGAGATGGGATCATGGTCGACAGCGCAAAGGCGTATTGAATTAACATGAATGTTGGTTCTTGCAGGGCCTCGGGCAAGCTCAGAACAAAGCGTCCAATCCAGGCCTTGGAGTATGACTTGCGAAGCCAGGTAAAGCTGGTTGGACGACCCGCCGCAATCTTATCGGCACGGCGCACAGTAATGAAGAAGTGGTATGCCAACTGCCAGGTCAGGTAGGGCACAGTAGACCAAATAATCATGGCCCACAGAGAATAGTGCTCAGGGTCACCCGGTTGGCTGAACTTGATAGCATAGACCGCGGGAAATCGCTCCTTGAGCATATCGACGGGGGTCATGTGAACAACACAGTGCAAGGTGACAGGCGGCATGATGTGAATGAATAGACTATCATGATATCAGACAATGCTTGACTCAAATCGAGACTTGGGGTACATACCTGACAACTTTGTCCATGCTATGGAAAACAAGTGAGTTCCGCCACATGGCGATGGCGGCCGCATTATTCCCGAATGTTAAACAGAATGTGCCCAAGAACAGCCGCTTCGAGCCAGGGAAGACCCACAAACTCAGCATGCATAGCATATTCACAAAATAACAGAGATCGGCGAGGAAGTAGTGGTAGCCCTTGGCATGGTAGGTGAAATACCGTATGGGCATAAAGTACGCCAGCTGAACTGTGTACCAGAGATAGAAATATTGAGGAAAAGCACCAATCAGGTAGCCGCAAATAAAGATGTTGAGCACACCGGCGATGAAGGAAGCTTTCTCTCGCAGGGTAACAGTAGCGGTCTTGTTCCACTGTTTCCCTAGACGCTCCACCCCAGTCTTCATGCGCTGTCGGTATTTATCAAGTCGCTCATCCGCGGTCGGGATTCGACGCTTCCACTCTCCCACCACACGCTGTCTAGCGTTCTGCCCGGTTGATCGTAGCTTCTCACGCTGTTTGCGCACCTTCTCCTTCTGCAGGTTGATTGTATGTTGCCATTTTTCCAGACGATCGGTGAGTTGGAAGTTATCAAGAAGATCGAAGATGGTCAACTTGTCCAGTGGAGGAAATGTCTCCCAGTCCTCCTGGTACGAGCTACTGTTGGAAAAGGAACCGTTGCGTGATAGCTTGCCGGGGGAAGGAGGAGGGGAGTAAAAGTCATCCGCGTCGGCGAACTCTTCCGAGAATGGGTTATCCAAGTCCTCGGGGCCCGGTGTCGACACCAGCGACTCTGGCGCGACAGCCGAGTCGCTGGACTTCCGACGTTGGTGGGCGCTAGATTCCTGCATCAGGAATTGTTGTTGAAAGGAAAAGAGGGTAGGACCGTCCCGGAGGTGAGGGTAGGGCCGGCTAAGGAAACGACCGAACGTTAGCATCCCCATGATGGCTTTAGTGTGCAGTTTGCGAAGTCACCGCCACGAGCAGCTTCGACCCTTCTTATCTTCATACTAGAGGGGCAAAAAGGTGCAACATACCTTATCGGGATTGAGGGGTGGATCGATCACGACCAGGGTTCACGCGGAGAACAGCGGAGACCAGAGCGCGATGTGGTTGGTAAGACGCGCCCTCAACCTATAGAGAAAACCGTAGGAAACGCGAATGTTGGTGTTGGGATGAAAGTCTCCAGGAATCAAGGAACCAGCGAGATGTTGATGACGGAGCGTGTGCTGTTGACTTGACCGCTGGTTGGCTTGTTTGGGTCCCGCTCCAGCTGGTGATTGATCCAATCACATAGCTTGGCCGAATCACGCCGATCAGGACCCATGTATATACCGAAAACGGCATCTTTTTCCCTTCTGATCATCCCTTGCCATGACTGATTTTAAGAGCCAAAAATCATGATAGTCATAGGGTTCCATCCACAGATTTTTATAGGCTGTCTCTTCTGAGCGAACAACCGGTCGCAGGTCGATGTAAACAGAATCGTGTGATTCGTGTTTGATTTAAGTTCAAAACATACTCCGTACTCAAGACCTTATATAAAATCCATGTCACATACAAAAACCAAGTGACCAAGCGACAAATTGAACCTTTCATCATTGAAGAACAGGAACCACCCGAAAGCAGAAAATCGTTATACCCCTCACGTCGCGCTACTTGAAGCAGCTCTCAAGTCCAACGGAGCGAGATCGGTATACTGTTGAGAATTGAAATCATCGGCGCAAATCTCCAGCAATGCGACTTGCTTTCAGATGCGGAGTAACTTTGCGATAGTCTGCTCTTCCTCAGCCCGTAGTCGACTTCAAGTGCTGCGAGCTTTCATAAGTCGACTCCATTCTGCGCCAGAATAGTCATATAACGTATTTCAGAGGCGAGCGCTGCACCCCAAAACACATAGTAGATGCGATAATCTACAACTCATCATCTCAACGATAGTGGTCTGTAGGAACTTTTCCTTGAACATTAGTTCTTTTAAAATGATATCTAGTCGTTTTAGAGAGATTTGAAAAATTTGATTATCTGGAGACCACACATGTAATAATATATATCTCTGGGGTTGAACGAGATAGTTTTGGGTATTATGATAATATAAGAGTTTGAACAAGATATTATAGTATATTTAAGGAAGTTCTTGTTGATATGTAAGTTCTTATATATACTGAATTTTCTTTGACAGATAGGGATTTCCTGTTCGGGAATTGAAGATCTATCCTTATATATCAATACAGCAGAAAATATTCCTAGGTAATATTCTGGTTATGCCTTTTTGGCCTATGGTAATAACAGTAGGTAATGAGGCTCTTAGAATTTCATTATCATAGATGCGTGAGCGTCATATACAAATCCGTATCAGAACTCCGTATCATTATATCATCCTGATTCGAACCCCTGCTAAATTAGGATAAGGGTTTACAAAATACCAGGCTCATGACCTACCCAAAGCTAATAATATTATAAAGCAGTTTCCAAATTACGTGTGTTGTGATAGTATCGCTTATGCGAAACAGTTAAGTTTCTAGCTGATTTCTGGTTTAGTTCCGCATGGATTCGTGGTATATAAGTGAGCCTGCGCAAGTTTCCCCTTGAAAGAAGATTCATCATGGCCTTCTTAGTCCAGTTGGTTATGCGTAAGCGCAGGTACGAACTCCTTAACAAATGACTCATTCACACATGCTCTGAGGATCAGGTCTTACCCCAAAGCCAGTGATCCCATCTTCCGCTAAGTAATCGGATCGAGTCTCGACCGGTTACCTTAGAACATATAATACAGAACATATAATACTTACTAATTTTTCCAATTTCATAATATCTTTACAATGATCCCAAATATGAATGGCTATTTAGATATGAGTTTGTAAGTTCTCGCAATTACTATGTGTTTAATGTTTTTCAGGGCACTCGGAACAAGTGGACAGTCCGAGTATATAGCCCTCATTCCCCAATGACACATGGATTCGGGGACTTACACGCCCCATAATTATCCGTTTTGTTTGGTAAAATGCATATGTTATCAAAAGCTTCATGTGGGCCATGGGTTATGACTTCCCATTTTTTTCGGCAGCGGTTCCCAGTTCACGTCCACCCCGTCGGATACCATCGGACCCGCATTCTACTCCCGCTTATGTCATGTGAGCGGGTGTTCGACGAGTGTTAGCTAGTTAACTGGGAGTAGTTAAGTTGACTAGTTACCTGCTGTTCCGCTGACTACCAGTGGAGATCTGCCTGAAGGAAAAGCTTATATTGGAGTGACCTGTCGGAACAAAGAAAGGGAGAATACACCTGATTAGATTGAGCTTGGTCCGACTAGCCCAGGTTAAGAAGTCACTGGTGATGATGAAGACGAAGAGGGGACGGAGGGGATGGGGGAAGGCTAGACGCCACGGCCGTATATCATCAATGATGAGATTGAAGGCAATAATCTTCTTCAGATGGGAAGTATTGAGGCGCGGCGTACACCTGAAAGATCCCGCAAATTCTCTCGAGGTGATGACCATTCTGAACATTACTAACATTATTAGTGTATTTATATTCATAAAATGAAAGCCGATTTCTATATAAGATTTCAGAGATGCTTTACAACAGTTGTAATTTTTCTGCTGAAGAGTATTCTTTGTTACCAATGAAAACAGAAGAACACGCGCCAGGACTACAAAGCAAAGAAGAATGCCCATCTCAATGGGCTTTTGAGGTTATCTTTGGCTTACCCATAAATGTAACGGGTTATGGAATCCAACCTAAGCCCATCCCAGGGTTGCCGTGAGTTAGGGCACATATTACCAGTATGCAGTGCTTTGATAATCAAAATAAATTGGCCATGGAAGGCTAGTGTTTTTATTTGATAGCAGATGTTTACTCCCAAACGAATACTTGCAGTGTGTTCATAAAAGCCAACTGCTAGGGGGATGGATGGTATCTCTCAAGACGTAATGGACAGGACAGTGACGGATCAATGGGAAGGGCATGCACGGGCACACGGGTCCATCTTGCTAGACCGGGGACCAGCGTCCCTGTCGGCCCCGTCGGCCCCACCCCTTTAAAGCTGCTGCGCGTAACATACTATTGTTCCCTGCAATTGGCTAAGGTGGTGATCATCCATTTGATCCCGCCGGGGGGATGGTCGGGGAAAAGGCGGAGGTGATGATCAAGTTGATGAAGCGCCCTTCAACAGCTCCCGATTGCCGAGTTCCCGGGAGAAGGAGTTGGCATGGATTCACAGTTCACATTCCAAAGGCCACTTCATCTCGAATTGTTTCGAAACACCGGAGCTTGAGAACCCGAGCGCACCCGAAGAAATAAATGGCGAACTAGTACAGAGTAGGTCCGTTCTGGTATTGATGGACCGATAATGAAAGTGGCAACAACGCTCCCCGCCGGCAGTTTCCCGTCCCCGAGAGCCAGCTATAAATAATGCTCAAAAGCCAATCCTAAAATAATCTTTGACTGACCTAGTTTTTCCTACTATTGTATAGGTGGTCAAGACGTCCAAACAATGGCACTCATTAAGCAACTTGTTGTTCTGCGTCGCAAGGCTGGTATGACAAAGAGGGAGTTTTTCAACTATCACTATCAGAAACACGGGGCTATTAGTACTGCACCAGACCCTGCTGAGACACCAACGTAAGCTACCACTTCACCATTTCTTCATCTCGTCGACGTCACATATATGCAAGCTATCCATATCTGGGCGTGTCTTAGCTCACGCATTGCAGAAAATATTTCCAAACCCACTTTGTCGATGCGGCATACCATGCGGACGACTCCCAAAAGGTGCCAAATGCGCACCCAGTGTGGGCGTTTGGCGATGGCATGACAGAGCTATACTTCGATTCCCCCGGAACACATGATGCGAGTGTTCAAGTCTGATTGGGTCGTTCAGAAAGTTGGACCCGACGGAGTCAACTTTTCCGATTTCAGTGCCGTCATCCCGATGTTTGTCACAGAAGTAGAATGTGTAATGAAGTCCTCTGGAGGCTTTGGAGCAAAGCAAATGGCAGGGAGCACCTTCGTCGCCATGTACTTTGTCGCTGTTCGGGGTCAACAGCAACAGCATGAACCTCTAATTTCGAAGTTTCAATCTTGTCTTGAAACATATGCTTCTCAAGATGTACAGAAGCTGGTGGTCAATAAGCCAGCTGATGTCGATTTCGATCTAGGCGCATATTTTGGAGGCGAAGACAAATTTCAATACTCCTTCGTTTTTACAATCACTCTGGATGGTGAAAACTCAATCGATAGGGTTCGAGAAGCCCAGAAGCATTTCGAAGAAGAATGCTTCTCCCAGCTAAACCTTCCAGCCACTTGGATTGCATGTGGAGAGCGTGCCGTTGTGCTGGATCAGGTCAGCAATATTAAAGTAAGCATCTAGCAAAAATCCAGATCTAAAGTTCTGATCTGACAACTGAAACTAGTTCGATCCTTCTCGGCAGCCGCTTCAAGGCACCTTGTCCAGCCTTTGATTGGCCTGAATAGTAATATCAGACGACTTACCAGTCCAGTACTCAGTGAATTATGACATGAATATCCAAGTCTGTAAAATCCATTTAAAATATCTCAGAACATTGGGTTCTTTCCGGAAAATACACTTCGAAGCGTTTGTGATCAGCTCTCAACTGTTCGAGCAAGAGCCGGATATATGGATCGATAACGTCATTTACTTTGGCCCTTCGCCAAAGTTGATTATAGACGATCATATAAGGGATCACTCACTAGGCTGAGTGCGGATTCTTAAGATAGTCTAGTGTTTATCGAGCTGCCGAAGTGATATGTAAGCTACTTGACACGCGACTTCGCAAATCCCTCACATCAAAATAATCCTTCAGAACACGAGTCACGCTTTCTTGCTCTCCGTAGATGCACAAGCGTCACCGCATGAGTGGAAAGCCTTCGCTTATGTGGCTGAACAACAGTGCCTCCTTCGCGGCTGCATTAGCAGTTAGGCTCGATTCTGGGTAGCAACTAGCCTTGTGTTTAGTATCGAGGTCAGTTAAGGACCAATCAAGACTTGCCCCTTCGTATGAAGCTCCCTGTAGGATTTCAATAAGGTTGCAAATATTATCCGGTGGTGATTCGGACGCCTAAAACCCCAGTATTTCCCCACAAAGAATTGCATCTTATTTTCTAGCACTGATTCTGATCCAAATAAGGTGAGTACACGCGAGTGCAGTCTGTAGGCCCAATTAGTATAGCGTGGGTTACACTTGTATATAGTGTGTTGGTTTGTCTAGCCACTTCAATGATGTCCGGTTACTGGCTCTATGTGGTTCTCCAGGCAACCCGTATTGGCGATACAATCCCGATTTGACGTGCCAAAGGAAGGAGACACTGTTTATTACCTATACATGCGCTTCCCAGAATAAGCGCCACTTACGCAAAATCCAATCATAGCATATTCATAATTATCTAGAGGTAGGGAATACATAAGGCGGGGAATATACGGTAACATAACTAGGTTATGTTGGCGGAAAATGACGAAGTAAGGGAGCCGTCAAATACCACTATAAGCCTTCGGGATAGGCTTATTCATCGTTCACTAATTTCCACGAGACTTTCTATCGTCACTTCCTTTTCTATTACCGTCACTCACACTATGGTATCTATATTGTATTCGAGCTAAACTCGCAAGTATACCTTAGTAGTACTATTAACCACTATTTTCTTATATAATCCCTACCCTACCTTACCCTTCTAAATAGCTATTAGACCAATACAGATAATAGAACTTTATCTTCAAATATTAGGATTTCAGATAAATATCATAGAGAAGATACAAAGTAGGGTAGGTAATACATATTTTGACTACTAAAATTTAGGTAAATAACAGACTTTATTTCAAATAACTTAGCAGTCAATATAAAATAATCAGCCAGTAATGGGCCAAAAAAGCCCATTGGGTTGGGCCTGGACAAGGGGTTGGCCCGATGGGCCAGCCCATGCCAAAGACTAAGCCCAGCATCTCCCGTGGGAAAATCCCTAAACCCTCAACTGACTCGCCGCACCTGGGCGTGTCGCTTACAGAAATCCTCCTAGTCCCGCCTAGGTCCATAACACTTTGATGTCTAGATATGATCTTAGATTTATAGCCCTCAAAACAGCCATGAATATGAGCAGAATAATTCTAGTCCAGAAATAAATCCGGGATCTCTAGTTAGTCTCCCATTTGCCGAAACAACCTATGAGATTGTTCACATGGCAATATGTACGGAACCCTCCGTGAGTACGGAAGATCCGAAGTCACCATTTCCCCACAAAAGCACGAAAGCAAGCCCAAAAGCATCCAGATTGGTCTATATTGACCCACATGCAGGAATACTCGCGGCCCGCGATACCGGAACAAAAGATAATGTGGGGCGGAGTATGCTTGTCCCGCCAGTATCTTCAGGAACATCTGCACTACAATACTCTTTTTTCCCCGTCATTCATTGAAATCAGCCAGAAACTGCTTTGAAACGAGTCAATTGAAAAAGTACTGGACTTCCAAACGCCATGGCTACAACCGACGAGGCGCAAAAGCGTCCCAATTTCCTATTCATACTTGCAGATGACCTGGTAAGTCCAGCTCAACTACTCTAACACCAGTTTCCAACTCAATTGACTGACATGAATCTGTCAGGGTTTCTCCGACATTGGATGCTTCGGCAGTGAAATCCAAACTCCCCACATCGACGCTCTAGCCGCAGATGGCATCCGCATGCTGAACCACCACACCGCGGCGGCCTGTTCGCCTACACGCGCCATGCTGATGAGCGGAACAGATGCTCACCTCGGTGGACTCGGGTGTTTGATTGAATCTCGGAATAGTCCACAGGGTGGAAAGCGGTGGAATGGAAAGGCGGGGTATGAAGGGTATCTGAACAATGATGTCGCTACCCTGCCCGAGATTCTAGGGGATAATGGGTATTTCACGGCTATCTCTGGGAAGGTAAGAACAAGCCAAAGTGGAGATTTACATTTTTCTCTCTTCTGTGATGGGTGGATTCTAACTATTTTATTTAGTGGCATCTAGGTCTGCGCGCTAGTCAGGGTCCTACGGAACGTGGATTCCAGAAGGCTTTTGCCTTGCTTCCGGGCTGCTGTAATCATTATGCTTGGGAGCCTGTTCAGGAACGTTTCCCGATGAGTGGTTCGCCGATTCATACTGAGGGGGGTGTTAAGGCTGATATGTGAGTTTGGATGCATTGCTTATCGAAGACTGTAGTTACATTACTGATGTCGACATCAGCCAACCGAACAAGACTGCGGATCCGGAAGGATTCTATACAACCGATTTTTATACCGACAAGTTGATCAACTACCTCGATGATCGATCTGAAGATGAGAAAGCGAAGCCTTTCTTCGCTTTCTTGCCATATACCGCTCCTCATTGGCCGTTGCAGTGCTCCAAGGCCCTGCGTGACAAGTAGGTTCGCATGTGATTGTCAAAGCAGCTTGGGGCTAATTTTCTCAGGTACAAGGGAATGTACGATGATGGCCCATATGCGCTCCGTGAGCGTCGGCTTAAGAAGCTTGTTGAGATTGGCATCATCGATGAGTCTGTTGTCCCTCATAAGGTGGAGACCTCGACTCAGGACTCGGGGGAATGGGATGAATTCACGCCCGAGGAGAGAAGGTGCTCCAGCCGGTCTATGGAGACCTACGCCGGTATGGTGAACTCGATGGATGACAATGTCGGCAAGGTGATTGCACATTTGAAGAAGACCGGCGAATACGATAACACTTTTATTGTGTTCATGAGTGATAACGGAGCAGAGGGTGCAGCGTAAGTCTCTATTTAAACGTGATTTGCTGCGATTTACTAACATAATACCTATAGATGGGAAGCAAGACGTGAGTGCCAGTATCAATATCAACATATCAGATTCTAAGCTAATATCTCGCAGCTGTCATGGGCGACAACATCAAGCGCGCCATCCACAAGTACTACGACAACTCATATGAGAACATTGGCAACTACAACTCATTTACCTGGTACGTAGCACCTTTACCAAATATTGAAACAACCCAGCAAATCTAACAGCCACAGGCTCGGCCCCCTCTGGGCTCAAGCTTCAACCGCCCCATCCAGACTATTCAAAGGATTCCCCTCCCAAGGCGGAATTCTAGTTCCCTGCGTCGTCAAACCACCAACAAATACATTCCTTCCATTCACCCCCGGCTCCTTCAACCGCTCCTTCAGCACAGTAATGGACTGGTCCCCCACCTTCCTCGAACTAGCAGGAATCAGCCTCCCCCAACCCTTCGAAAAAGAAAAGCTCCTCTCCCCAGAAAAAACCACCGTCCTCCAGAAGTGGACCAAATTCCGCGGTAGAGACGTGCACGCCATTCGCGGAAAATCATGGGTTCCATTCTTTGCTCATGGCAAAAAAGCCGAAGACGAAGAACTGTGGCATATTCATCCCTCGACCGAGCCTATCGGGTGGGAACTATTTGCGCGCGCAGCCATGCGGAAGGGTGATTGGAAAATTGTGCATATTGGCAAGGCTAATGGTGGTAAGGGCGAGAATAATGGGGATGGTTGGGAGTTGTTTAATGTTGTCGAAGATCCCGGCGAGAATGTTGATTTGACAGCTTCTCATCCGGAGAAGTACGCAGAGCTTCTTGCTTGTTGGGAGGACTATGTTAATGAGTGTGGGATTGTTTGGGGGCAGAATGCTATGGATCCTGGGCTGTCGAAGGAGGAGGCGCCTGAGTTGTGGCAGGATGAGATTGAATTGCAGAAGGCTTGGTTGGGGGCTAAGGCGGGAGACCGGGTTGAGTAAAATTATTTTTGAAATAGTTCTCAATCGTCGTTTATTTGCATTGCTGGTTGCAGGATTTCATTTCCTTCGTACTATCTTTTCCGTATGGGTTGACAGACGCGACTTGGTGAAAGTCATCCGAGGATGTTCGCTTAGTCTCAGGCCGCATGAGAGCGCACATCCAAGAATGAGCTGGAATGCGTGACTGGAACCATAGCCTGATCAGGTGGGTCTCAGTTGATCTGCCTCTTCGAATCGGTCGTTGCAATTTTCTGCGCTCGCCAGGTGCCGGTGCCACAGGACAGGCATTCGATATAGTCGGATTCAAAAAAGGACCTATCATGATCGATCTTTGCCCTTCATTCTACCCTGGTTGATGCCCTCGCGACTCGCAATATGACTTCCGGATCTTCTCTCCAAACGAGCTGTTAACACCAGCCAATAGCATGATCCTGATCAATCTGATCGGCATTCCAAGCCGGGTAGAGTATGTATTCGATCGCAAAATCGTTGTTCGATCAAACATATTTCCTAGCATCCTTACAGGACACAATCCGCAACAACAAAGTTGCCAAATAAAGAGAGAATCCCAGAAGGTAACAAACAAGTCCAATATGAAAGACAAGTCTTTGAGCCTTGCTGAATCTCGAATATTGTCGCAGACCTATACTGAAGTATATAAGGCCAGTGCCGACAACTCCAACAGCAGGAGCCATTTCTTTCCAGACGAGATTTAACATGGCGAGCGCAAATGTACGGGAATCAGTAACCGCGGTTTCTCTCCGGGGTTTCCGGGTTCGGTTTCTGCCGTTATTGGTGGGGCGTGGGGAGGTTAATGAATGTTGAAATCGAGGCAAGCGTAAAGGGGAGGGAGAGAGGGAAGTGAATTGTATTGAGTAACTCAAAGACAAGCAAATCCCTTTCTCGGCTCAAAAGGCTCTTTTTCTTGTTCATGAAGTGACCTTTTGACCGCGTATGCCCAGTGGGGCTTCCACGTGTACCGCATACTCAGTTCCCACTGGTTACGATAAGATCTAATGGTTAAAAGTAGCGAGGGAACCGATAACTTAACTTTTTAACCATGGGCCCTGACACTACTCAAGTATCCGTCATTCAGGGGTAAAATGTTTGAATTCGTGTACGACAACTTTGCATAGTATTGTAAATCTGCCCAATCCCAAAATATCCGTGTTCGCCGCCGCTCAATAAGATGTTCTGTTCCATAATTAAAAGCTTCAAGTTTCTTCAATATCCGTACTGTGTCATTGAAGGTACGCTGGGCCAGTATGCGTTTTTCTCGGGCGCATATGGCTGTGCATAATATCCCGGCATGGGGTGGGGGTGAGGGTGAGGATGCGGATGAGCATGAGGATGAGAGTGAGGGTCTTGTTTGATTACTGGGGATTGCTGGGGGACCATGTTCGGTGGTCCCATTCCGATAGGGTAGGCGCCGTACCCGGTCGTTGGGCTGTGGGGGCCACTCGACTCGCTGGTTGCGGGGGACATTGGCAGGCCTGGACCCGAACCTGGGCCTGGGAGGGAGTACTGGTCGGGTTCTAGTAGGGGACTCTGGTCTTCCTCATCGTCCTCCTCCTCCTCATCATCTAGGGATGTGGTGGGGGCGGCATGGACACGAGTTGCCGGGTCGTTGTTTTGGTAGTTGGCCTCAGGGAGGTGAGTCTGAGTCACCTGGACTAGTGTGTTTGCATCTGGTGATGGTTAGTGAGATGATGGAGTTATTAAGTTGGAAGATTAGCATACCAATCTCTCCATCGAGGTATCGCTCTTCCATCTGTCGGACGAAATAAATCTCATCTAGAACCTGCAGACGGTTTGCTGGGCTGATCTGGCGTCGTACGTCTTGGCCTGCCTCTCGCAGCTTTGCCGCGGTGACTCCATGACTGTCTTTGAGCTCACAGAGTATGTGAACGAGGAGACGGAGTCGGTCTAGCTTTGTTAGTATGAAACGCGGAGAGATTGGAATCAGTCTATGCCTACCACGCTTCAACAGGTGGTCCGGCTCTCGGTGTAAGACACCCTTAGGCCACCACCCAGGCTTAGTGTGTTCAGGGTCGACACGTTGCGATACTCCTGCAATGACCTTCCGTCCATTGTATGGGAAGTGAACCTGTTTCCGAGGTTCCACAAGCTTAATATACGACTTTGCGATGGCGCGGCAGTTCAATTGTTGGAAGTCCTCGAATGCCTTCTCATAGTACTTGCGTAGGAGATCACGGTTGCCAATTTTAAGCACGCTTCGTCCCGGTGGGGGTGTTGGTGGAGGCGAGGCCGATTTGGGTCGAGGTCGAACCATGCCGGTTCGTTTCATGTCCCGTCGTTTACGTCGACTCTGTTGTGATTGCCATTCACAAGGAATTAATTCAGCTGGTCTAGCCGGGCCAGGTTGCGCCCATCCTAGCTCTGGTTGCACTCCCCACGAGGAAGAGGTTTGATTCTGGTCTGTTCTTGATCAGTACCAGTCTTCCCCAGGTCTATCGCTCTGCTTACTATGATATTGCATAGGTTGGGTACTGGGTGCAGCCATTTCCATGAAACGATCTGTCACCTCCGGCGTGAAGATAGCTCCCCCACAGCCCGCAATTGACGGCGAGGCTTCCACTTGAAGCTTCCCATTGTGATCAAGATAAATGACTGCAAAGTGAGGATGTGGGAATTCCACGTTGGCCGACTGGGCAGAGGCCGCCTAGGCAATATGAGCAACAGGTCCAACGATGGCGCAAGGGTGATCCAATTACCATATGTGAGTGTGGCACTGATGATTCAGAATGTCTGCGTTCAAGGGCATCCCCAACCCCTAGATGTGATCGACTCATATCCATGGCATAAGGTAAATGGTGATTTGAAGGTTGAGAGAAATAAGTGGGTTCTGGTCTTAAAGTAAATGAAATTCCACTAGCAAAACAGCAGATAAAATTAAAGAATAAGAAACACGGCCAACTGTTTTTTGGCTATAGAATCCGGGACCAGTGGGGAAAGGAGCAATGGAGCAATTATAATGAGCGTCGGTGGTTTTTCCTGGATACGTCAGCATAAGAATGCAAGGACAAAAGGAATATCTGCGGAGCTGAAGCCGGTGGCAATGAAGCGTTCCATTCGATCCCTCCTGCAGCTTCTTTACGATCGATCGGATTTGGTGCACAGAGCCCATGGGTCCAGCGGGTTCCAGGCCGAGCGCACAGACGCGGGAAATGGAGAAGTAGGGCTGTTAGAGAGTGAAGCTCATTGGTCGCATCAAATACCCTATCCATGGCTTGAAATTTCAACTACTCAACTCAGTATCCACATTTGTCGATCTGTTGCGCTTGGGGACTCGAGAACACCAGCCACAGAGTGGGAATTTAACAGATACTATCGAGGGTTCTGCTTTCCCTGCGGACCAATGGGTTTACCTCTCTCGAGAAGCTTCCAGGGGGCATCTTGGTTGACAGAAGCAAGTTCCCTGCGGTGAATCGTCGATCACCCAATCAGTGGGAGAGGGGGCAAGTCAGCCTCACTCTGTAACGAATGAGAAACCATGATCTCCGATCTGTACATGCGCCAGGACTCTCAGCCACACTTTCTGGAGACCCAGAGAGGGAAGCGGGCCGGGACGCCATCGAGGGCGCCATTTAAGTCGTTTTCTGCAAGCTAGGGTGAGAAAGAGAGCATCTCGACAGTTGGACAGACGGATTCGAATCGAGCCGGTCTCCCTACTTTGCAGTTTGCAGTGGCCACCTCATCATCCACTTTCATCTGTGCTGTGCGTGGATCAGTCAATCAATGTATCTTGCTCCACGCCAGAGAGGTCCAAGCGGTTCGTTTTGGTTCATTGAAGCGACCATCGAATCTTGAGCTTATTCAAACTCTCGGGAGGGCACTTCCGGCTCTAGGATAGACTTTGGCTTTGGGGTTTGGTTTGGACTTTTGTCTCTGCATGCACCAGTTGACTTTTGTTCTTTTCTTCAATTTCATTGACAAATAACTTGAACTTTGCATCGCTTGTCCAAATCCAAGGTGGGAAAGGAGTTTCATCGCAGTTGCAGTGTCCGAGTTGGACCCGATGCACCGGCTTGCAGCGATGAATAATCGGTTATTCAAATCGGATCAAATTTCCAGATTGATAATGATTGTAAATCATTGAAGTTCCAGGTTAAGTGGGCAGAGGATCCACCTCCAAACTCGACCACTCGACGGTGGCTTGCAGGTTGCAGGTTGCAGTAATTCCAAGAATCCATTCCAAGATTTTCTACTTTCCTCCATTAGCTCTGTACGACTTCGGATAAGGTAAGCGCGAGTCGTTGTTTGGCTCACGGACCGCCCGTATCGAAAGGACGCAATAACAGGGCCTAGAGCCGGTTTCCAAAATTGACTTCCGGGGAAGTTGAAAGATTGAAAAACAAAAGATCAAATTGAACTCAACTGGATCTTGGCAGAAACTTACACCGCCGATGGTCTCCTGATTGAGCATTGACCTTCTTAACAGTTAAATACATTTGCTCTACACTTCCCTTCCCCCCTTGCTTCGCCTTTGTACACCTGACAACATTTGAATGAAAGCTTCTGCCTTGGGGATACGGGGATACGGGGATACGGGAGAGACTGCACTTATCCCGCCGTTGGAAGTGTCAAAAGTTCTTTCGGGCTTTGCTTTACCCTTGTCGGCTTCATGCATCAATTCCTACTACCAGGTCATTGATGCATTAGCCCCGCCTTGGGGCAGCCCACATTGCAGATTCTCTCTTTACTATGGCATGTTAGTCCACTCCGAGTCTGTACAAAGTACGGCTATACAAGTTTCTTGGTCTTTCCAGGTGCAGATTTTGGTGAGGCTAAAGCGGTGACGCTGATGCAGCGGCTCTGCACGTTAAGGGGAATGGCTATTTGGAATTATAGATGCCAAAGTCCCTCCTATCTGCACCTCACTTTCAATTACAATTTCAATCTCAAAAGTCCCAATTTCCTTTTAGCCCTCATTATCGACTATGATCGCCTAAATACATCCCCTCGACAGATGTAATTCCCTCCACTGACTCGGAAAGAACATCCGTCCATACACATGATTGGAATAATGACTCGACATCCCCACTACAGATTCAAGATAGCGCCACTCGAATATGGAAGCTTGAGCTCCACAACCCCCGAATCCACAGACACCATTTCCCCCACCGTGATATTATTCATCCGTACGGGCGCACCGCCCTTTAACTCGTAGTTGTAGGACCAGCCATCCCAGGACACACCGGTGATCGCATCACTCCCATTCGCCATGAGACGGTGCACCGATAAGTGTTTCGCCGAGGTCTCGGGTAACTGGAAAGAGTAGCTCGCCATGGGACGATCCGACGATGCGGACTCGGTATAATTGTACTCCTGCATGTTAAGCACGGCGATCCGGGTGAGTTTCCCGTCGATGTACGTGGCGTAGGCGGCTTCGGTGTCCTGTGGGAGAGGGAGGTTCACGACTTGGATGTCGGATGAGCGGGAGCTGTCTCCGAGCATGGCGGCGACCATGATGTTTCCGTAATAAGGGGCTTTGGTGCCGATCGTTGTCTTGTTGGTAGGAATTGGCTGCCATGCTGCATACCGATAGTCCGTTCCTTGATGCATGTGGGTTCGTCGGATACTCTGTGAGGCGCAATAGAGGTTGAAGTCGACGCCCCAGAGAGCTGCACCGAAAGAGTTGGATAACCCGGGCTTGCCTTCGTTGTAGAGGGAGTTGGTCTCGCCTAGAATGTAAGGAATATCCTTGGCTAGACCTTCTTCTTTGAGGACCCGTGAAAGATTCACATGTTGCTGGACGCTGTGAACCGTTGACGTGTGGTTCATCAGGGTACGTTGGAGTGTGACCCCTGGCTCAGTAGCGCCGCCGATATAACTAAATAACAGTCAGAACAAAAGACATGTCAAAGAATCTCAATCCCAAGACCCACTTATGCATCGAGTTCAGCTTGATATCATGGTCCGTATCAAGTCCATCCTGCCATGTCTTCACGGGGTCCAGGCTATTCGTCAGTCCCGCAAATGACGGCGAGATATACTGATACTGAGCCTCCGTCGTCATCTCCGGACAAGCCTTTGCGATCTGGCGCCTGACAAGCCGGGTCTTAGATAGCCACTCATTCACATAATCGCTTTCTGTCCAATTAGCTGGCCGCTTAGTATCCGGTGTACTCGTCTTGAATAGGTCAGGCTCATTTCCCATCTCCCAGTAGGCCAATTTGCCTTTGAGGGCTTTGCATGCTAGAGGAGCGGTAGCCAGCAGTGTATCCATTCCTGCAGTGCCATTTTTGCCCATATCAAACCCGAAACTGAACTTGGTATCGGGCCATGTTGCATATGATTCGAAGAAAGAGGGGCCAATAGACACGATAGATGGATAGTCTGTAGATACAGCAGGAACAACAGTGCCATTGATTCCGGTTCTCAGGTTGGCGTCATACAACGCAAAGTCTCTGTTGATATTAGAACCCAATGTCGTTGTTCGGAGGGATTGACTTACTGGGTATTTCCACCGACTCGGATATATGGCTTAACACCTTGAAGGTCGGCAAGATTATCTAATAGCTGGTTCGAAAACTTGTTTGGCTTGGACAGATTGCCTGCCAGGTACATTAGCTTGAATACCTACTTATCCAGAGAGCTTTGATACATACCGGCATATTCAGGGAAAGAAGCTAACTCAATCGAAAACGAGACAAATGGGCGCAGAATTGCCGCACCAGCATTATCGGGCGCACTCTTACTGACTGTCACAGGTGATGAGTTATCTCTCACAGTAGTCGGGTTAGCAGCGACTGCAGCCGCAAAAAGCAGCAAGGTATACATTGTGAGACAAATTTGTTTGTTGTAATTCATCCTGCAACATTTGAAGGCTCCTTTATGGCTTATGTATGGTCAACCATTGCCGACGTCAAAATAGGTAGGCTATTAAGCTTTGACCTACGAGGCCTTCAAAGACCGCTTGCAACAGTAACAAGCTTTAGCACGGGGATATGACGGGAATGACGACAAATCATTGCCGCAAGATTAGCCGGAAGGCAGCTTTGGGGTATTTACTAGGGTGATAATGCGGGGGGTTACATCTGGGGAATGACGATCCTTGCTTTGTTCTCGTCAGGGTCGGCTATTGACTGTATAGTGGCATCTACTCGGCAATATCCAGTTCAAAATGTAAGTCCGTAAATTTCACATAGAAAACTGGTATCAGTTAACAACTAGCTCACGAGCAATAAACACCTTCGCCGGCTATTCACCTAATAATAGCAGAGCCAGCATAAAATAATCTACACAAACGAAGAAAAAGCAAGATCATCGTAAAGTCCGTCTCGATCCTCTGTCGAGAGATCAGGTGTATTTGCGGAGCTAGAAACACCAATTAGCCTTATGTTCATCGGATTTGGAGGCAATAAGAAACTCACATCAAGAGTCAGGGATTTACTGCTATTCTCCTCTTGATCTCTGTAGATTCCGACCAGCGCCTCGCTGTTTTGGAACAGCCCAGTCTTCAAACTAATGACAATGAATTGCATACCAGGAGCGGCATGGTCATGGATATAGTTGGCAATGCGGGCAACATTGGTGTTGTCAAGGGCTGCGTCAACCTCGTCCAGCACGAAGAAAGGCGAAGGCTGGTATGAGTGAATTGCAAACAGCAAAGCAAGCGCGGCCATGGTCTTCTCACCACCAGACAAGTGTTCCATATCACGGAAACGCTTCAGGGGAGGCATGGCGTGATATTTAATGCCATCGAGGTAGGGCTCATCCGAGTCCTCGATATCAAGGTATCTGGAACATATTAGTCAAGCTGAAGGAGATCCAGGTAATGAAATACTTACGCTTGTCCGCCCAGCGGATAGTTGGCACTGCGTGTCAATTCCCGGTAGATGGGACCGATTTGCTCGGAAATGTGCGCAAAGGCCTTGTTGAAGAGATCGGAACGCTTCTTCATCACTGCCTCGAACCCCTCCTTGGCCTTCCGGGCTTGCTTGCGCGCATCCTCAAAGTCCTGCTCGGTGCTGCGAAGCTTGTTCTCAACCGTCTCGAGGCGCTCCATCGCGCGGGTGTTTGGTGCCATTTTATCGAGCTCGCTGTTCAGAAGGCGAATCTTTTCAAGCAACTCATCTTCGAGCTTATCATCGGCCTCCTAGGATAAAATTAGCATGAAATATCATACAAGTTCCAGTTAATACATACCTCTTTGAGTGTTTCGCCGAGAGAGTCAAAGTCGACCTCAATTCCGTAGTCCTGGACCATGGGAGTTTCATCAAGCTCATCAGCCTCGTCAACATCCATGGCATCTGGATCGGCAGCCTGCACCAAATCATCGATGGGAAGTTTTTCGAAGGAATTAGATGAGTCGGTCAACGGAATGTCGATGTCTTCAAGCTTGCATCGGCGGAGAAGAGCATAACGGCCAGACGAATTACGCTGGATTTCAGCTTCATGCACATTAATGTTTTTAAGCGCCGCTTCAACGTGTTTGCTGCGCTTCTGCAGTTCTCTTCGTTGCTCGGCCAAGTTCTCTGCTGACTGCGCATATATCTCCTTTTGCTTCTCCAGGTGCTCCCGCAGAAGCTCAAGTTCGGCAGCACACTCGTCAAGCTTGTTTCGGATCTCCTCTTGTTCCTTGTTAAGCTCCTCAATCAAACGCATATCGCGCTCAAGCTGGGCCTCGAGACCGCTGACACGGTCCTCCGTCGCCTTGATCCGCTGCAATTCAAAGCTGAGCTGGTTTTCGATACGACTCTTTTGGGTGGTGAACTCGAGCTTCTTCTGCGCAGCTTCCTCCTGCAACGAGCCTTGTTGTGCCTCATATTCGCGGATATCATCATATCCAAGGCGCTTGCAGAACTGGCCATAGATCTCATCTTCGACTTTACTAACCGATGATTGAGAAATCTCAATGGTCTGGTCCAGCTCATCGAGATTCTCCTTGCGCTCAGTATATTTGGGACGCAAGTCTTCCAACTGGCGCTTGACAAAGTCTAGCTCGCTGCGCTTGCTCTTGATGTTTCTCTCGAGTGCCTTCAGCTCTTCGCGGGAGTAGTTCAATCGCTGCTCGAGACCAACCAGCTCACCCTGCAGGGTTTCTTCCTCCGAGCCACGGTGGTGGCTCTTAGGAAGATTGCCAAGATCGCCCATCAGTTTATCCTTCAGCTTGTAGAGATTCTCCACTTCAGAATCTTCCCAGCGTTTGGAGTTCTGCTGGGGACCTCGTCCACCGGTCATGAGACCACCTTTGTGGATCACTGTACCATCCAGGGTAACAGCTTTAGCATCAACGTTCCTCTCGTAGCAAAGGTACTTTGCTGTGTCCAGATCATCACAAACAATAGAGTTTCCACAGGCGTAGCTAATAGCACGAGCGACCGAGTCCTCATAGTCGATGGTCTCAATGGCCGGGCGCATATTTCGGTGCATGCCCTTCAAGTTGGAGTTGACAGGCTTCACCTGGATGGTATCCAATGGCAGAAAGGTTGCCAGGCCTGCACGCTGGTCGCGAAGATGCTGGATGCATTCCTTGGCAGTCTTTTCATTGTCCACCACAATAGCATCGAAATGGCGACCTAGAACGGTGCTAACTGCCTCAGCATACTTACGCTGCTTGGGCTTGCATAGATCACTGACTCGTCCCTTGACACCGGGGAAGATACGTTTAAGAGTCGAAATCATCTCTTTGGCGCGCAGCTCACGCTCGTTCTGCTTTTTTCCGTTGTCTGCTTCAAGCAGCTTCCTCAGCACAACCTGCAGCTTCTCCTCGAGCTCCGTCCTCACTTGCGAGACCTTCAGGCGCTCCGATGTCAAGGTGTTGAGCTCCTTTTTCTTGCGCTCGATTTCCTTGGAAGTAATCTTTGTCGTATCCTCAAGAGATGCTTGACGCTCAATCATGTTCTGAGCATCCGACTCCAGGCTTTTCAGCTGCCATTGAGTACCTTCGAACTTGCCTTTCAGGCTGTTAACAGCTTCGGCTTCGGTCTTCCGTTGTCTCTGCAGATTGTCGAGATTCAGTTGATCTGCAGATGAACGTTTGCTCACTTCTTCCCGGAGCTTATGGTATTCTTGCTGATCAGATTCACTGAGCTGAATGCCCTGCTTGCTTGTTGTCTTTTGCCACTCGGTCTCCCATTGAGCCTGAGCTTTCTCTACGAGCTTCAGGTCATTTTTCAGCTTCTTAGCACCATTGGAGTAGGTTGTACGCTCCTTCCTAATCTCGTCGATTTTCGATGCGTATCGCTCAACCTTTTTCTGGGTAATGTCAACCTTCTCATCGACGGGTACCAGAGAGTTGTTGAGTTCTTCGATTTCCTTCTCCTTTTTCACGATACTCTTCTCAGCCTTGCTGACATCTCTGCCAACACGGGCATGCTCTTTCTTGGCATCTTCAACGTTCGTCTCATATTTCTCGACACCACGGCGGTATTCCTTAAGCTCATCCTGGTATTTCTGAATGTCAGCACTCGAATCATCGATCAAGCGCTGGAAATGGAAGAGCTTCCATAGAATGTGGGTAATGATCGCCTGGTCACGTTCCTCGGCCTTCCTGGCGTAGTTCTCGGCCTCCCGCTTCTGCTCTTGGTACTGCTTGACCTCGGAGTTGATGCCTCGCCGACGGTTCAGTTGAACAGTCTGCTGCTCAGCCATCTCCTCCGCCTCTGCCTTCAACTTCTCGTAGTCGGCCTTGTACTCCAAACTGCCGGAAATTTGTTCGATCAACCGAGTAAGGTCTCGAGGCGATTGGGATGCTATAGCCTCCACATCTCCCTGGAAGACGAGGAAGTTGCGCGCGCGAATCAAGATGTTCTCATCCTCCAAAGCCTCGTTGTATTGCTGAGCGGTGACAATTTTGTTGTTAATGCGGTACTCGCTGGCGCCTTGGCTGGTGATAGAACGACGCCATTGTTGCTCTTCACCCGCATCATCTTCATAGCAAGCCATAACCCAGGCGGTCTTCGGGTCGTCCATGCCACCGGCATCTTGCGAAGCATCCATTTCTTCGTCCTCTTCTTGCTCGCCATTCTCTCCGTTGGCAGGCGCCCCATCGACTTTTGACGTGCGCAAAACACGACCACGGTATACAAGATCACGGAGGTTGGTAGATCGCAGGTGGGAAGACTTGATTCCTAGAACGAACGAGATGGCATCCATCCTTATGTGGATTAGCTAATGCCTCGGAAAAGTTCATAGTCAGACTACGTACGAGTTTGACTTGCCAGACCCGTTAGGGCCAATAATTGATGTGAAGTAGGCATCTCCAAAGAGTAGCGTATGATGTCCTTTGTAAGACTTGAAATCTGAAGTAAAGTTAGCCGATCTGCGCGGTACCCTTTTGCAGCCATACATACTGAAAAGCTCCAGGCGAATGAGTTTTCCCATGGTGCAAAGCAGCCGCTTCCTAAGGAAGCCACACACTCAGGATTCTCAGGCGAAAAGGGTGTGGTTGATGTCAAACCGCGGTTTTGACTGGGCACAAATAAGTGGGAGGGGCGCGATATGGGGAATCGCGCGTCCACCCTGACGCGCCGGATGTCACGTGGTTTGGGTTCACGCTCACGGCTGGAGTTTCAGGTCGCCGCAGTAGATATTTTGTCAATTTTTATGTGAGAGTTAAGCTGAATGGGCGTTGTTTAATTTCTGCTAAAATTATGTCTGTCAAATGCAGCATCATTAGTTTGGGTGAAAGAATTTAACCTTTTGAGTTGAGATTTATACCCGAACTATGTATTTTGACATCCATACTTAAAGATCAGGGGTTAAACGCCTGGGAATTTTTTAAATCCTCTTCTTTCTAGACTCCAGAATATTCAGGCTGATTGAAAAACGAAGACACAGAATAGATATAATAAGTATGTTGTTTGGTGTTACAGGGCGTATATGTACAAGTGCTAACCAGTCCCCACCATCGGAGGGGCGCGAGACGAGTAGACAACATTTAAAGACAAGATATCTTGAATGCCGAAATTGTCCATTGAGTGTTCAGACGGCGAATAACAGATCAAATTTACCCCAAGCTCAAGACCTCTCGAACTTGACTGGGTTCCCAAGAGCCATAAAGTCACCCGCCACATACCCATTGGAATCCACCCGGAAAGTTTGCTTGCGGCCCTCGACTTTCAAGAGAATAAAATCCTCACCAGTGAAGATTTGTCGCATAGACATGAACATTTTCCAAAGACCAACACTCGTTGTTTGGACGGGTGCTTTGAAGAAACCCAGCTTCGAGTCCTGTGCCGAGCCAATCTTTTTGCTATCCCCCTCAAACCGCTGTCTTGAATCCGGCGAGATCACTAGTCGACGAGAGATGGCGACCTGCGACGGCAGGACCTCAAAGTGGTAGGGTTTTGTGAATGGGATCATTCGTCGGACCGCAAAGCGAATATGAGGCTGGTTGTTGGCCTTGACGGCCGTGATACTCCGAACCAAATGGCCCGTCCTCACGAGGAACAGGGTTCCCATGACACTCATTGTCACACAAATACCGCCGAATAGCCCCTTCTGCCACATAGGGCGCTCTAATTTTGCATCACGGAAGACGTCGTTGGAGTTAAACAGGGCGTACGCAAAACAAAATGCTGACAGGCCGTATGCGCTGATAATGTAGGTGCGATGAGAGGGTGACCGGAAGAGAACAACGTCGCCTTCTCTTGCAACTTTTAGCGCCAACCGTCCTACTGATCCTGCTGGAACGTTCGAGCCTGGGATAGCGTTTCGTGGGGATGTCTTTGCTGGACGCGCCGCTCGTGCGGTGCTCGTCACAAATGAGCGCCATGTAGAGGAGAGATCTTTCTGGCAAACATCTCGCACCGAAGGCCCGGTGCACCTGTGCCAGAATAGTCGGAAGGTAGCAGGTCTAGAAGCCATTATTATTGCGCGGACTCTGTTGATGCCACGTCAGTATAACATTTCATTCGTGCAGAAGCTAGCGGTTTGAGCAAAGCCAATTGAATGGGGATTCAACAGAGCCATAATGAACCTTATTGAAAGAAGCAATTCAAGGGTAACAGAGCACTTACCAATGGACCGATCAGCTCACCGTTGTTCTCCTCGGAAAGCATCGCAATGTCGAAAACAGCCGCTGCGGCAGAAAAATGTTCCCGACCCGGCCGCCGGTGAAGCTCCCAACGGCCTCAACACCGGTCATTTCCGCTCAATCCCTAAGCTCACCTCTCAGATCAAACAAAGAACTCTATTACCACGAAAACTAACGCTACTTGACGCGCTGGTGGGATCTTGGTTGATCGTGCCCTCTTTGTCGCCATTCCAGCTCCTCCGGAGACTTGCGACTTCACTTGAAGCATCTCCGACAGACCAGCGACACGACCCAGATACATCAACTTACCATTCAAAATGGCCGCTCGAATTCCCATCAGCAAGGTCCCGGCCATGTTCGCCCGCCGCCAGCCTCGGACTATCCAAATCTCTAAGCGTAAGTCTTTACTCTTTACTTCAGGGACAATGCGATCGACGGCTCCACAACACAGAACATCCTTATCGGAGTTCAATTGTTCAAGCAGCGCAGCTCTCACATACTAAGAACTGTCCATAACTAATTATCACTATAATTACAGGCATGCAATCCTCCTCCGCACCACAATACCACAATCCCGCCTACCCCCTCTACCCCTCCGTCAGCCAGCTCCTGCACCAGAAGAACATCCCCGAGTCAGAAATCTCCAAGATTCCCGCCTCAGGACCCAAGGGCCGCCTCCTGAAGGGTGATGTCCTCGCCTACATCGGTCAGATCGCCGCCGAGTACCCAGCCGCACAAGCCACACAGCTCGCCAAGCTGACCCACCTCGACCTGAGCAGCATCAAGATCGCAGCACCGGTCACTCCCGCCGCGCCGGCCGCAGAGCTCAAAGAGGAACCGGTTATCGCTAAGCCGCCGCCTATGACCTCAATCGCAATTTCCGTTTCCCTTGCGGCCGTTTTGTCCGCCCAGAAGAAGATCCAGGACAACCTAGGGGTCACTGTGCCTCTTTCTAGGTTCTTGGCTGTGGCTACTGATCTCGCCAACGACGATTTGCCTCGCGCGAAGAGCGACAAGCCTTCTGCTGATGAGCTGTTCGAGGAGGTTCTCGGTGCGCAGCCTGTTACCATTTCGCGTGGTGACTACATTCCTGAGTTGAATGCTTACGAGGCTCAGGCTCCCCGTCGGGTGGAGCCTGTCGCTGAGGATATTATTGATATTCTGAGTGCCAAGCCTGGCAAGAGGGCTTCTCCGGTAGCGTCCGCCGTTGAGAGCTCTGCTGGTGCTTCCAATGTCTTCAGCTTGGAAGTTCCGGTTGGTGAGGAGGTTCGCGCGAAGGAGTTCTTGGAGCGGATCAAGAACCTTCTACAGGTCGAGCCTGCACGTCTGGTGCTTTAAATGGTGCTTTGATCATTAGAAACTGTTGGATTTTAGAGCCATTTATTTTCATTTCACGTCTCCATTGCGTTCTGGGGGACTTAGGCTCATGTATTTAGTGTAGCATAGGTAATCTGACACTGCCTGGGTCTACTTTAGTGGACATCCGCATTTCAATTTAGCTTTCACAGATGCACGTAGTTTACAGGTATAATTATGTCAATTCAAGATTGAGGTCAGTCAACCTTCATGATATTTCATCCGAAACCTGAGAAATGGCAGAGCCCCTGCGCCGAACCGATGGTATGGCATGACATTAGATCCAAAAAGTAAAGCAGTAAAGGAAATTTGTTGAAAGAGAAGTGGAAATAATAGAAAGGGAGAAAGGACATGTCATCATCAAAGGGCAAGTTGCAATAAGAAACAACCATCCTTCCTGACGCCAACGCCTGATATCGGCGACCCAGTTGAAACACCATGAGCGCCACCGCTTGGACTTGAAGGGGGAAAGGTGCGCCAGAAAGAAAATTCACGAGAAAGAAAAAAAAACCGGGAAATGATGAAACGCCATGAAAGACAACCGATGGGGACAGGGAGCTTGTCCTGCAAGAACGAGGATGCTCCCTGCATATTTCCACCGATATACAGAAATGAACCAGGGCCGTAATGTAAGGCCGATGCAGAAATGTTCAAGATCGAGATCGAGATTTCCTTGATACCATGCAATGACAATCCGCCGAGAATTAATGCCCAAGACCGAGAACTCCATGTTGCATGCAGATGAAAAATGGAAAGGTAAGAGAAATCTAACGAATGCTGCCCCATTCCGATAGTTTGCTACCCTCGCGCCGCGAGTCTCTGGTAGCTCGTTTGTCGAAAATCTTCCAGAATCTGAGTGTCTCGTCGCCAGCACCAGTCACGACCGTTTGGCCGTCTGGACTCATAGCGAGGTACAGAACACGGAAAGTATGACCTGTTAAAGACACAATTTGCTCCATGCGTGGATACTTCCAGATGACAATCTGATTCTGGCTGTATCCATGTGTGCTGATAATCTCATCCGAGTTCTTGGACCAAGAAAGGTTGCAGACCTGGCTTCCGGTGTCCATCTCCTTGATTAAGGAGCCAGTCGACGTGTTCCAGAATTTAATCGTCCGATCTGCGGTACCCCCGCCTGATGCAAGTAGGTGGTGTTGGTGAGGCGACCATGCAATGGCCTTCACAGCGGCGCAGTGATCCGAGAATCGGTAAAGCGGAGTCTCACTCAACTTGTCCCACACCATCAATTTGTTGTCATTGCCACCGGACGCCAATTGGCCATCTTCGGTGTTCCATTTCAACCCGCAGACCTCTTGCTTGTGGCCGGACAGTCGCTTGGTCCATTGATCTGGGGAGCGGACATCACGATGGTAGATCAGACGATCGCGGGATCCTGAAGTGAGGATGTGGTCATTCCAAGCCAAAGCACCGACACGGTTGGTATGGCCAACCATCGTCCGCAATCGCCGGCAATGTTCAGCATCCCAGATCTGAACTAAGCCCTTGCCAGTGCCGATGGCGAGATGAGTGCCCTAAAGCGAGATCTTTTTAGCTACATTCGGACCAAGAAACGAAAATGCATATAACATACCCTCTGGATCCAGTTCACGCTGGTAACAGTGTCGTCCTTCAGCTCACACAGTTTGGTCACGCGGCCAGATTGAGAGTTCCACATGTATACAGAGTTGGCCAGCCCAACTCCCAAAACATTGCTGCTACCCCAGTCCACCAAGTTCAGGTAGAAGTCATCCTGTAGATCAGGCGCATCGAGGACTTTGTAGGGAACCTTATTCACATAACGGGGTTGCTTGCGTGGGGTTTCAAGAATGCGTTGACTATCATATCGAATGGGTGACAGGGAGTAAAGATCAGAACGAATATTAAGATTTGGTGCATGTGCACTTCGGGGAGTTTTTGAGGGTGTAGGATGGTTGGAGCCCGGGCGACTGGGCCCATAGTTGAAAAGATTTTTGTGTGGGGTAGAAGGGGTCAAGCTGGCGGGTGGGAGGTTGGAGACGAGAGTAGGTGGTGTATGAGATCGAGTTTTGTCATTGATGCCATTGTTGAATCCCATCAATGGATCAGAGGATGTTGAAGTGAGGTCAGGTTGAGGGACGGTATTTCCAAACAATTCACTGCGCAAAACCCGGGAGAAAGTGCGGTTCGCTTCTTCCGCTATAGAAATGGTCAGTGATGTCGTCTCCATGATAGAAAGGAACCACAAACTCTTCTGAAAATGAAGCTCCGAGTGAGGAGCACGTTTCTTTGTTTTGGATGGAGTTGTAGGACATCCATCCTCGTGAAGCAGACTGTACGTGGCCTGTAAGTCTTGTCCATCACGATTTGGGATAAACCTTGGATAATAGTCAGTTCACGATCATGGTTTGATCAGGGCATCTCAAGGTTGCGCTTGACTGACCGATCTCCATAGACTCGTTGTCTTTTCCGACATGGACTCGCGCCCGGTGTCCTTTCCCTTGGGATTCCCGCTTCTTCATACTCCTTCAGTGCATTGGCTAGCGCATTCGGATCCACTGGCTCTGATCCGTCCTGGGCTCGCGGGCGGCTTCCCATGTTATCTGGATACAATATTGTTCTCTTCGCTGGCATGCTGGGTGGTGTTTTTGATCCGGGTGGGGAAACGATATTGGCTGCTCTGAAATTCGACGCTTGCGACCGGGTATTGCCTGTTGTTGCCTTTCCAGCTTTCACATCTGTTTCCTTATCCTGAGATCGGTCCCCCATAATGGCGGCTGATCCACAGGCCCCAGATTCAGATTGCGCAGAATATTGTCCGTACTAATAGTTTGCATGCGATGAGATTCAGGAGCTGAGTGATGGAGCTTTTTTCAGGAATGTGTTGGGTGAGATGTTGTTATTTGAATTGTTCGTTGCTGGGGCTTGTTTTGTGATGAGGATCCCGGATCCAGCCACAGAAGCGGGGCGCTTCGACACGGGGTATTAGCCTGTTACTTGAGAACCTCAAATGAAGCTAAGAATTAACTGTTCAAAGAGCCAAGACAAAGAGAATGGCATTCAAAGAAAGGGTGTGATAAGCGTATGGAAGGTATCCAAGGGCGACTTCTCATCCCTCTCTCGGTCACGCGTCGGGTACGCTATACCCCATTAGGATAGACCTTAGAATATTGATTTCTTTGACTTTAAACACTATGATCTATGGAGTCTGGAGTAATATCTTGGTCTTTTCTTTTGTATCTTTGTCGGATCCACTTAGATCGAACCATTCATCACCTTTATACATGATCTACGTTCTAGAATGGTTTACTCTTTAATGGGTGATTTCAATCTGGTCGGGAAACTGCTTGACTCAGAACGTGTTTCTCCCCTCTTTCTGCAGTCTCAGACTTGTTTACATTCACGCGTGCGAAGATTGTTTCATTGGACTATGTCATAAGCTGAGAGAAGTGGGGGGAATCAGACGCGAACCTGTGAACGTGAAAATGGACATGAACGCGCTCATACGCGCCTGGACGCGCTAGATCCCGTCAGCCCAGAAGTAGTGATGCTTTCTCTACCAATCATTAAGTTCGGAGAATTAAGAGCCGAATCAAATCATTTGTCAGTGGGTCAACCTGAAAGTTTTATCAATATTGATCCATTAGTTACGCTATATATCTGACAAGCGTGACGTTTATTGACGTTTCGACGTTTATAAGTCTTTTATCTCCCCGCATATGGTTCATCTGTCACCGCCAGCGGGAAAACCTTGCCCACAGTTGGCTCCCCACCACCCCTTGAATTCGACTATGCGCACCTCAGTTCTGCCTTTCTTGAGTCGTAATATTCTTCGATCTTCTTCCACCATGGCTCAAGCTTCCAAAGTTCCTGCCCAGGAATTCCTGGACTTTGTGAATGCTTCCCCTACTCGTATGCTTCCTATTCTCCTATTTGTCGATCGTGGAGCTGACTGGGTCTAGCCTTCCATGCCGTGCAATCTGCCAAGGACCTCCTAGCCAAGGCTGGCTTCCAGGAAATCAAGGTACCCATTCCCCACAGAATCAATCTTTAAGACTAGTTCGAGACATGTTGCTTATTTTTTCCGTAGGAAAAAGATTCCTGGGCCTCCACTTGCAAGCCTGGCGGCCGTTACTATCTCACTCGCAACACCACCACTCTGATCGCTTTTGCGATCGGCCAGAAATGGAAGGTTAGTATCAAATCCCATTGCGCATTGTGGACATGACTGATGAACAATCGATTGTAGCCCGGCAACTCTATCGCTATGATTGGTGCCCACACTGACTCCCCTGTGCTGCGGGTCAAGCCCGTCAGCAAGAAGCAGGGTGAGGGTTATATCCAAGTTGGTGTGGAAGCCTATGGTGGTGGCATCTGGCACACCTGTATGTATAACCCGTTAATCCGCTGGGAGTCACCAACTAATACTCTCAGGGTTTGACCGTGACTTGGGTGTGGCCGGCCGGGTCATGACCCGCGACAGCAACGGATCCATTGTGCAGAAGCTGGTCAAGGTTGACCGTCCTAGTATGTACCACTGATCTAGCCATTAATCCTAACTAATTCTCGGTAGTCCTTCGTATCCCCACCCTGGCTATTCACCTCGACCGCCAGGAGACCTTCTCTTTCAACAAGGAGACTCAGTTGTTCCCCATTGCTGGCCTCATCGCTGGTGAGCTCAACAAGACCAGCGAATCTGACGAAACCAAAGAGGATGAGTACGCGCCCTTGAAGACTGTAACTCAGCGCCACCACTCCCAGTTTGTCGAGCTCATTGCTGCCGAGGCCGGTGTGAAGCCGGAGGACATCCTGGACTTTGAAATCACTCTTTTCGATACCCAAAAGTCCTGTCTGGGTGGCATGAATGAGGAGTTCATCTTCTCCCCTCGATTGGACAACCTGAACAGCACCTACTGCGCTACCGCAGCTCTGACCGAGTCGGCTCCCTCCGAGAAGGCCCTCGAGAATGAGGAAGCCATCCGCCTGATTGCCCTGTTCGATCATGAGGAGATTGGTAGCCGTACTGCCCAGGGTGCCGACTCCAACATTCTCCCCTCCATCATCCGCCGTCTTTCGGTTCTTCCTTCAATCGCTTCCTCGTCTGAAGACGTTTCTACCGCTTACGAGCAGACCCTCGCCACTTCCTTCCTGGTCTCCGCCGACATGGCTCACGCCATTAACCCCAACTACTCTCAAAAGTACGAGGCTGATCACAAGCCGGAGATTAACAAGGGATGTGTGATCAAGATCAACGCCAACGCTCGCTATGCGACCAACTCCCCCGGTATCGTTCTGCTCCAGGAGATTGCCCGCAAGAAGGGCGAACAGGACAGCCAGCCTGTCCCTCTGCAGCTGTTCGTTGTCCGCAATGATTCGAGCTGCGGTAGCACCATTGGTCCCATGCTGTCTGCTGCCCTGGGTGCCCGCACTCTGGATCTGGGTAACCCGCAGCTGAGCATGCACAGCATTCGCGAGACAGGTGGTACTTACGACGTTGGTCACGCCATCCGCCTCTTCACCGGGTTCTTCGAGCACTACTCAGAGCTCGCCCCGAAGATCTTTGTGGACTAAGTTTCAGTCCGCAGATAAAGCTAACAATAACCCCCGTAGAGTATATACATATCAAATGAAGTGAAGTACATTCATCAATCTTACCCAAATAAAATCACTGCATACCCTGCACATAGACGTACTCCGCACTTTGGATGACACGGGGATGTATACCGGCACGTGGTATCGGCCCGGGGATAACTCCGCTTCTCCCTGAAACGACTCCACCTCTTATCAAACGACACTGGACCCGATTGCAGAGCAGTGTCCATGCCCCCATGACCCTCTATGACAGACGTCGACGTCTTCCGCGATGCAGAGTACATCGCTGACGTATCAAGAATCTCCTTCCACGATGACCCGGAGAGCGACTCACCAGCCGGAACTGGTCCGCCCAGCGCCCAGGACCGCAGTCGCGTAAAGAAGGCCCAGTCCACAGCGAAGATCGCTTTCATTGACCGACTACTTCGGGACCTGGATATTCTAATATACTGTCAATTGTCTGCGCTGTATTATATGGAGTGAGTTTGCGGCTGACCTTGATGGCGGGTGGGATGGTTCGATAGCTACCCCAGCTTTCATCATGGAACCCCACACCTTGAAGCAGCTCACTAACACATGTTGGAACCTTTTAGCTGTTCCATAATTCTCTTCGCTATCCGTGCTATGGTCGAGCTTATCTTCTTCACGCCTAAAGCGGCCCCTTTCGTACCTTCCCGAAACCAACCGTTCGTGACCGCGATCATCGGCAGTAACCTCTTCTGTATCCTGTTCCACGCCTTCTTCATTCGACCCGAGGCCGGTGAAGCTACACGCGGCTATTTGCATGGCGGAATTTTCATCGACTTTATCGGACAGAAGCCCGTGCCTGTCTTTCAACTCATATCCTTCGATATCGTGATCTTCCTTGTCGACTTTCTCATGCTAGGACTGATCATCGAGCGGGTGAAAACAGCAGCACTAAATCCTTCAACAAATACCACCACGACCACTTCAACAAATGCCGATACGAGTACCGGAACGGACGAAGCTAGCCAGACAGCTGTGCAAGATCACGATGCGGAAGAACGGGGAGTTATGCGGGCCGAAGAAGCGGATGCGAACAACTTAAATGCAGAGGCAGATATCTCCTCATCTCCGCCCGTCGAAATAGATGTTGATTTCAATGATGAACGGACGACACTCCTCGCTGACCCCGATGACGACACTGCAATTCGGGACAGCCACCCTCTTGACTCTTACTCTTCGGGCATGGCGGTGATTATGGAAATGGGATTTTTTACGACAATACGAGATCAATGGATGCACTCGAATAGACCGCAGCGACCGGCGGGTTTTGTGCCATCAACGGAGACGGCGACATTCCTGCGACAGCGCTTCGGGTTACAGGTTGGGACTGATGGCCGGATCGTTCGAGTAAATGGATAGACCATAGTATACGTATGTATTTTAGTTCACATTGGAAAATCTATTAGATTTACTCCCTACCTCGGTTGCTGGCAGCCGAGCATGAGTGAAAATACAGACGCAGATCATCAAGATCTCGAATAAAACGACTGATCCAATGCAAGTGGAAATAAACGGTAGGAATATGAGCAGTCATGGTATTATACAAAACATCCACAACTTCGCAAATCAAGCACAAAAGAAAACCGGGTACTTAGCTCAAAGGTCATACAACAGCGGATCACGCTCATTTATCCTCGGGCTTAACACGACGATCCAAAATCTCATCAACAATACCAATCTCCTTAGCTTCTTCAGCACCCATAAAATAATCCCGCTCCATCAACTTCTCGATATCCTCCAAGTCAAGCTTCTTCGGACCATCAAGATGGCGCTTATAAATATTGTTCAACTGCGACCGAATACGCAAGATCTCTTTCGCATGGATAGCGATATCCGTCGCTTGACCATGATATCCACCAGAAGGCTGATGAACCATGATTGACGAATGTGGAAGACAAAAGCGCTTGCCTGGTGCACCACCGGCAAGAAGCAGGGAGCCCATAGACGCGGCTTGACCGACGCAGATGGTGCTCACGGGGGCAGCGATGTAGGTCATTGTGTCATAGATTGCTAGGCCTTTTTAATTGAAATAGATTAGATGAGATATGGATCGTGGATGGTTGAGAGCCGATAGGTAGGTATATACGCACCAGCTGTCACAGAGCCGCCGGGAGAATTGATGTAGAGATGGATGGGTTTTTTGGGATTATCGGCTTCGAGGAAGAGGAGCTGGGCAACGATGGATGCGGAGGCTACGTCGTTGACTTCTCCATTTAGGCAGACGATGCGCTCTTTGAGGAGCTTGGAGAAGATGTCGTCTAAATTGTCTCAATGGTTAGCGAGGCGTGCGGGTTTTGGTTCGAATTGGTATTGGGGGAGGGGTTTGTCCGTACAGGTGTGCCAGCCACCAGCCTATAGAGATTTGAAGTCAGTAGGGAATGCGCTGTTGTTTCAAGAGAGACATACGACTGTTTCGGTGACGATGGGCATTGGGGTCCAACTCCGCGGGGGCGAGTAGTCCATTGAGGACCCGGAGCTGGAGAAGGTTCGCGCACCAGCAACACGTGCTAGTGCGTGGATTGAGGAGAGAGGGGCCTGACGGCCTAGCCGTTGGAAGAGGGGACCGGTGCGCATCACTATTTTGGGTGGGAGTTGAAGAAAGTTGAAATGCGATGGAGCTGGAGCTGGAGCTGCCGAGCGATAGAGATAAGCGATAAGCGATAAGGTCCAGTGCTCCACTCTAGTCTTTTCCCCATCGGCTTATGGCCATACCTGTATGAACAAGTTTGCGTTCCGTATGCAGGAAGTCCAACGCCGGAAGTAACTGTCCCAGTATGGTTTCTACCACGAGGGGTGGTAAGACGTGAGAATAATCTTCCCAAATATCCTTGACAGTCTGCCATGTCAGATCTTGAACAAGACAAGTATGCTCTCCAGTCGGTCCCGTCAGTGTAAAAGATGAAATCGCATCTCTAATATGTTCTCGGCCAGGATGCTTTGTCGGTATCCGTGTAAGAGTGTTTATGGCTCTGATCTCATTTGTGACATGGTTGGTCGTCTCCTCGTCGCTATCTCGAATATCTCGAACATATACTTTCAACGCTATTGTGCTATCTTGTCTGATGTTTTATTAGCTGTAGTATTCCAAGCTGCGGAGGTATTGTCTTACATGAGATCCCCCGCAAGCCAAACAGTGGATGTAAGCCCATATCCAAGTTTACCTATGATAGTGTACCGATCATCAAGAACGTCCCCAATATTGACCGGATAAAATGAGCCTTCGGAGAAACGACTGAACTTTTCTTCTTCGAATACTACCGAGTCGTCGATAATTTAAAACCCACTTTTCGCGGCGGGGAAGGGAGCTGGTGCTGGCTGTCCAAATAACCTTCGCATGCGATATAATGGACCTGACCATTTGAAAAGACTCATGAACCAGGAAACACCAGTCCGATTTAGAATGTAGTCCAGGAGGCTTATGCTGCGAGGCATTATGGAAAGTTGAAGAGAGAGAGAGAGATTGAAGATCTATTGAGTCTGCTAATGAGATTATATTCTTGTTGAATGTTTGCAGGCAACAAAGGTTGTCATGTTCCAGGATTAGACAATGATGTGGCCAGACCGGATTAGATAGGCTTGGTTCAAAGATATAAACAGACTTTGAATCAAGATTCCTTGAGTGATTCATTCATGTGGGGGTCTCTTTTTGGTGTGTATTCCCGCATTTTATCAAAGAAAGCATATCCCGAGCTTCGCTGGTCATTTTCTTTGTTGTGTATTTTAAGAAATGTATTATATTCAACTGAATCAAGGTTTTTATTACATAAAAGTCTGGGATTCAAAGTCAATTATCTAAAGCAGTGGAGCACGTCAGTGGTTGATTTACGGATGCACCCGGTGTTCCCAGATCCAGTGAAATGAATTCATAGATTGGGAAAGGATGGTATGAAAGATGTCATGATCATTGATATCATGGAGTTTCTTGTATTTAAGGTCGTTATAATCCTCCTCTAAAGTGTTGAACCCTGTCGGGTCACTCGGAGCCAATGAGGATTCAGATGAGGATTCAGAGTGAGATTGATTTATAAAGCAGATTGATTTACAAGCAACTCTCCCGCTCCCTTGGCCTCTTCCCCAACAGCTTTTACTGTCGCGATAAACCCTGCTACTGATATTCGACTACGTCTCACAATGCCAGGCAAGTCACCTTGTACAACCTGAGAACTACAAAGATTGAGCCACTAAACAACACCAGATCAATCAACCCCGCTCCGTCTCGGAGTGGCCTTATACCCAGGATTCCAAGCTCTGGATGTATTCGGTCCTTTAGATTGTCTAAACAGCCTCTCAAGAACCGAAGAACTATCACTCGCTCTTCTTTCCTCAACACTAGAGCCCGTGTCAACATATTCTGCTCAAAGTCCAAACGCTATCACTCAAAGCATTGTACCGACGCATACCTATGCAGCTGCGCCGCCCCTTGATGTTCTGCTCATCCCAGGTGGCATGGGTTCACGTGAACCCACCCCGCTGATTGAGGAAGTCATCACGTTTATTCAGAATACATACCCCCAGCTCAAGTATCTGATCACCGTTTGCACTGGCTCGGGACTTGCAGCGCGTGCGGGGGTGTTGGATGGGAAACAAGCGACAACTAACAAAAAGGCGTGGAATGAGGTTACGGCTTTGAGATCGCAGGTGATTTGGGTTCCGCGCGCGAGGTGGGTCACTGATGGTAACATCTGGACCTCTTCGGGTGTTAGCGCTGGGATGGATGTCATGCTTGCTTGGATTGGAGAGGTTTTTGGTAAGAAGCTGGCGAGCGATATCGCGGATAGAATTGAGTATACGCGACAGGAAGATCCTCATGTTGATCCTTTTGCGGATCTTTACGGACTGTAAGGGATATAACAGTGAATTTGGTGCCAATTGATAGCCTTCATCTAATGTATATGTGATCATCACAATGTTTCACGCTTATCGGTGGTATTAGATGGACAGTAATACATCTTTGTTCATATGAAATCAAGCTTCGAGCTCCGTCCCTGCAAGGAAGAATTTTAAATTCCACAACGATAACAGCAACCCATTGACTGCCTTGTTATTCGGTCTGAAGAAGAGTGCAGAGCGCTGGAAATGCGGAGCAGCCTCTCGAAGTGTCGTCAAGTCAGAGTCCGACAAAAGTCTCGATAGGTCAAACACGGGAACGTTCTGAGTCTGAGGAAGAGCAACAGACCCTGGGAACACGGTACCATTTTCATTCCCATCAACTTCGGGCGAACGTCCTAGCAGAAGCACTGCACCGTATTCAATCCGGTCTATAGGCTCCATCTGGGCTACTGCCTCCGAAAGAGCCAAGTCCGAATAGCCTTGCATCTCAATAGCCCTCCAAACCCCATTCGCAGCACCAAGGTGATTTGACTGTTGAGAAGCCGCCACAAGTCGCTTGACCACGTCACGTCTCGCAAGGCGCAAGATAAAATCGGGCATATCAATCCTCCAGGCCATTTGTTTCTCTTCGCGTGCTGTGATAGGTCCTTGCGGATGCTTCCATCGGAAAGGCACCATTCTCGAAGCAATAGGTTTTTTTCCTTTAATTTTACTAAATACCCCATGGATCTTTCGTAGAGCTGACAGAGAATTGGCCATATGAAAGGTTAAGCGGGGTTTTTTGTTCTCCACCGCAGCGCTGCCTGTCTTATCTTGACTCTGGTCCTGGGCGGTGAATTTGGTATTCCCGTTCAGTGAATCTTTGAGGAGATCCACTGGCAAGAAATACATTTTGTCTTGGTCTGTGCCACCCGTGTCGTTCAAATCAGAGCTTGTCTCTGTTCTGGGCTTTCGCACTAATCCCCATTCTCCCATTAAGTCGCGTGGTATCCGTGCTCCAGTTAACGTGCATATTCTGACCGGTGACGCCAGGGCTAGCGCCCATGGATTCTTAGCGAGCGGTTCCAGGCCCCCTTTCGCAGGAGCTAGTTTCGGACTGGCATATTGCTTTGGTCCTCGTCGTGGATGGGTGAGGAGAGGTGATTGTGGTAGGCGCTGTGATGGGGGTGTCAAGGCGTCATTGTGGGATTGGTTATGGCGCGTTTGCGATGAGAAGGAGTGTGACTTTGGCGATTGATAGGATGTTGATAGAAGGTTTTTGAATACTCGGAGACGCCATATCCCTAGAGGGATTCGGTGGCTGGCGCAATCCATGATCGTTGAAAGGAGAAGTTCACGTTTGATGCGGCATAATTGGTATCCGCTAGGTTGAACCAATCAAAGCTCGCTATTTGCGGAGTCGCGGAGACAAGCTATATTTCAATAAGGACCCACCTGATTTCTTGCTGTCATTGTAGTGTCTAGTATATCTAGGGGTATATGTTTTAATACTGCGCTTCTATTTTATCCTGTACTAGTAAAATGTGTTGAAGGATATAAACTGATGCCGAAAAAGTAGAGAAATCGGACTTTACATGAAACCCCGCAGAATCTCACTTCCAAGTTCCAACGGAAAGAGATATAAGAACTATCGCAGAATAAATACTCACAAATCTTTCCTCAGTTCATTCATCCTGATATCCTTTTTTCACCCCCCTTCCCATACTCAATCAAAATGGAAACAAAAAAGTTCGAGACTGCCCCAAATTGCTGGATCAACACTAGAATCTGGCCATGCCCAGATAATAATCAAAAGCCCCTCCTCGTCCTCCTCCACTACTGGGGCGGTTCATCAAACACCTGGCATAAACTCACCGCATCAAATTCTCCGACGTCCCTTAGCACCATCTATCCAACCATGGCAATCGACCTCCGCGGCTGGGGCGAATCAAGAGACCAACCAGAAAGCCTGACCCAAGACACCGTCCGAACGTACTCAATCTCCGCAATGGCACTTGATGTCGGATCCATTCTTCGCAAGATGAACTCAGACCCTAGCACCAAGGATCTCTTCAACTACGGCTTCGTTCTCGTGGGACACTCCATGGGAGCGAAAGTTGCTCTCGCAACTACTGATTCACTGGGAGATCTCCTTCATGTCCTAAAGGGATTTGTTCTCCTTGCGCCGGCACCAGTTACGCCGCTCGTTCTTTCTCACGAAATGAGTGAGCAGCAGCAGACTGCGTATGACTCTGAGGGGTCTATTCGGGCGGTGGTTGCGAATCTCTTGGCTGAGGAGGGGAAGTTGGATGCTTCTGATGTTGAGCTGGTGGTTCGGGATAGTTTGAAGGGACATTCCTCTGCTAAGAAAGCTTGGCCTGCTTATGGGATGCAGGAGGATGTTTCTGCGCTTGTGCAGGGTGCACTGCGGCAAGTGAGTGTTCATCAGCCAAAGCTTCGTGCGATTGTGCTTTATGGGAAGAATGATATAGTTGAGCCTGAGGCGCGAGTCATGGAGAAAGTTGTCCCGTTCTTAGAGGCCAATAACATACGGGTTAGTCGTCTTGAGGGTGTCGCGAAAGTGAAGCACCTTATTCCTCTTGAAGGACCAGAGGTTGTATACGAGCAAATCTGCCTAGAGTTTTGATCATTTTCACGTTTCCCTCTCGCTCCAGTCTCAAGAGTGATCGCATTTCTAGCCAAATCTATTCAAATCTCTATGTATATCAATCGGATTCTAGCAGATCCGACAACTTATCCAAGTACGCATGCGGCCGAACAGGACCAGAAACAAAGTCCTCCTGAGAACTCACGCCAGTCAAAACACCGAGTGTTCCACCAAGTTTACCCTCCAAGCCAAACCGGATATCCGTATTCGCGCGATCCCCAACCATACAGGCACGACTACGATCAAAGTGGAACTTGCCCTCAATCGCATCCATCATCGCCTGACTCGGCTTACCAAGCGCAGTAGGCTCCTGTCCAAGCATCATAATCAGCGGGGCACTGATCGTTCCCGCACCGGGGAACAGAGCCCCAGAGCTCGGAAGCGTCGAATCGATATTCGTAGCGAGGAAGATAGCCCCACGCTTCACATAGTGGTAAGCCAGCGCATGTTTTAGGTAATTGATGTGGAAATCAAGACCGACTAGCACGACGCCAACTTCCGGGTCTAGGATTGACTCGTCACCGGCGGCGACGAGCTTGTAATCCTCTGGTGTGATTTCGCGGCGGTAGGCGGGATCTGTACCGCCGATGAAAGGCACATTCTCTGAGCGCAGCTCCTGCTCGATGCCGGTTTCACCGATAACGAAGACTTTGCGCTTATTCTCCGGGAGCTGCAGGATGCGTGAGATGTAGATGGAGGAGCTGTATGACGAGGAGAAGATCTCTTCCTGTTGGGTGTGAGTCATGCTGGGAATCTTTCGGGACGGTTGTGTCCAACGTACCACTGTGCTAGGAATTCCAAGACCTTCTAGCTTCTTGCGATAATCTGCGCGGGACTTGGTGCTGTTGTTTGTCACGAATACCACCTGCTTGCCTGCGAGAGTCAGTATGCTTCCGTGTCTAGACAGACAGGGCACTCACCATTCTTTCGTAGTAATTCCAGAGTCTCGACTGTTCCGGGGAAGCAGTGGTCGCCGGACCAGAGTACACCTTGATTCCCATTTGTGTCTTAGTTATTGTTGCGCTATCGAGCGATTTGCGGGTAGTTAAGGACGGAGGGTAAGCCGAGGTTTGAGAAAGGCATGAACATACCATCACAATCGAATAGGAAGACCTAGCGAATCTTCATGTCAGTCAATTGGATCCATGTACTCTGCATAAAGTTGAGGTGGACACTCACATCGAACTTGTTGAGAAACTCGCGGATACCGGCCTTGTCTCCGGTCAAATAGCGGGGTACGGAAGACTGTAGCTCCGCCATGGTGAGGAACAAAAGGATCGCGAAAAGGAAATGCGCAAAGAAGTGACAAGACGAGACAAGAATCCCAAAGAAAGGACAGAGAGTACTCGAGGGGAGTCTGACTAAACCGAACTTGTAAGACCCAAACCGACTCGCCGGTGACTCGCCGATCGCGTGGGGCTCCGTACTCCGTGGGGTGGAACCTATACTAACGTCATCTTTCCCAAGAATTAATATGAGATCAAAGATGAGGGTATTCTAATAACACAACCATCATGGTCTAGTACTACACGGTCAAACCCCAGGGCTAAGCGTCAAGAAAAGTCAGGCAGGGAAGAGACTAAAAAAGTTTGTTGTTCTAGTGCTGAACGAGGAGCTATCGCATGTTAAATACACGATAGTCATACTAGAGACAAGATACAAATTGATGCATGTTGGATGCAATCCATCAAACAAACTTCCAACAGAACTTTTTGAAAGCATTCAACGGTTCAAAGGTGCGGCTACATAAACCTAGCGACACCATTTCTGCCACAAACAACCTTGTCGAACGGCGTAGCAGTGAGGACATCCATTGTTTCCACGACAGTTGGCAATCGTCCCACAGAACTGGTAGCACCTAGAGACACGCTTATCAAAAGCAGTTGCGTCTCTCATCAACAAGCTGTTGCTCGGTGGACACCTCTCCCTCTTTCCTGGCATCGAGGCGTCCGTGTTGTCTGTCTCCGAAGCTGGTACAGTCTGTAAGACCTCTTGAGCGCGATCATTCTCCTGAGCAAAGTATTGGCTTGCAGTATCACTTGGAGTGAAAGATTGGGAAAGTGCAAGATCGTTGGATGGGTGCTCGTAGACATCGATCTTCACTTGGCTGTCTTTGAGGTACATGTCCATGAAGTGAGTGTCCTGTAGAGTTGAGAGGAAGGCATCGTAGCGGTCAAGCTCATCCTCGTGGATGGCGGACCGGGGGAAAGAGCAAATGCACAAGCTGCCACAGACATGGCGATGAAGAGTGCACGAAGAAGAGTTTGGGACAACATTTGGCTTTGTTGATGTTATGTCATGTGATACTTTTGGATCTTCTAATTGATAAAGCAGTTGCCTAAGACATGACTGACAGTATCCATGGAATTTATAACTTTGTTGAGCAGGTCAGACCATCAGGCTCTCTAAATTCACTCGGCTGAATTGATCCCTGCTATCACATAATATTACCCTCAGTAATGGTAAGATATACTACAGAAACATTGTTTGCATTGCAGCTTATATCACGAGACATTGCATGACCTTAGACCGCCACCTATTAAGCCTAGAATAAATGGTCACGTCGTAACGAGGCAGTGCTTACGAATGAAGAAGTCGATATGATTGAATACGAATATGACCCCAGATGAGTTTGGGGCAAGTATCGGGGGCCGAAACCAGCCCCAGGGCGGTTGGCACTCCCCGAATTGGTGTACAACCTGAATTAGGGTTTGCTAAACAGGTACTAGTAGCCTTCAGATGCTATAATTTAAATCGGGCTGAGACAAAAGCTGGATAAGGTGATGCTCTAGTCAAAAAGTTTTCCAATGTTTTGGGAATAGACTGCATAGTTGATGTAACCTTAGTGTTAGACCACAGCAAACTCTGAACATTGACTTTGACCAATTTACTCCCCTTTTTACATACAAAAAAAACCAAAGCCAATAGACCAAGCCTCTATGCAGGATAATGTTGCACTGCTTCGAAAGGGGAGAGAGGGTAAATCCCGCTGATAGCCGTTGCATTAAACTTGAGAAGCCCTAACGATGCGGTAGATGGAACACCCCCGGCTGATATTCTGATAAATAGAATTTTGTTTTTCAGACAGAATGAAGTATGAGAATGCATAGATGAGTGTGGCATTGGACCTTTGAACAAAAAGATAATCACAGAGGGGGTATTTTGGCATTAATATACATAAAGTCAACATCATTCCATCCAATTCACTTCACACCATTCAATAATCCGTATATTTATTCTTAATCAGATCCGCCGCCTTCTCAGCCACGGCATAAAGAGTACTCGTCAAGTGGCCACAAATCTGGAACGGCAAGACCGAGGCATCGACAACACGGACATTCTTGGTACCATAAACCTTAAGCTGGGGGTCGACAACGCCACCTTTCGCTCGGGGGAGCATGCTAGCCGTGCCGACGGGGTGGAAATTTGATCGATCTGGAAATGAGTTAGCTAGAGTTCGATTGAGGGGACAGAAATAGAAAACCATACAGGTCTCTTTGATCCAGTCGGTCCATTGGGACTCCGAGGCGTTGTTAGGGAGAAGTTCCATCCCCGGAACGAATTCCTCTGTGACAAGATCCCTCAATGGCGCAGTATTGAATGCATTTCGAATGTAATAGGCGATTTCGGCTTCGGCTATGATATCTTGATCGAACATGAAGTAGTTTGGGTTGATAGAAGCTGGTTTCGAAGGATCGGCGGATGTGATGTGGATGTTTCCACGTGAAAAGGGCAGAAGAGACCAGTATTCTGTCGCGAATACATGTCCAATGGGCAAAAAGACGATCTCGGTGTATGGGACTTGTTTTTTGAAGATCAAGTCATACTGGAGCTGGAAGGCATCCAGGAGATTGGCTTCTTGGACGGCTCCGTTCGAAAAGTTGGCGACAGTCTTTGCGTAACGTACAAGACTAGCGTTGACAGCGGAGGCGATAGAGTCGACTTTATCACCGTACATCTGTTGGGCGGATGGTAGAGCGGAGAAAGCTGGGAGACCGCTCCATATCTCTCGGCCTCCGTATGTGAGTCCGTTGTTTGTCTGATCTTGTAGGTTTTCGCCGACGGTGGAAAGATTGACTTTGACGGGGATGTCGTACTTGTCAAGGATGTCTGGGTTTCCAATTCCGGACAATTCTAGAATCATGGGTGATTTTAGGGCGCCAGCAGATAGAATTACCTCCTTGGAAGCGTGGACTGTTATGACACCTTCAGGTCCAGTAACCTCCACTCCAGTTGCAATAGCATCGTGGGAAGCGTTGGACCAAACTATCTTGTTCGCGTAGCTGTTCGTGATAATCTTGAGATTCGATCGTTCTTCAATGGGCCAGTAGTAAGCTCGGGCCGCATCTTGGCGGACGTTCGCGTCTCTGTCGACCGTATCGGGATGAACAGTGAGTCCAACCATGTTCCCTCCGTTGACGTCTCGGTTGTAGTTGAGGCGTATCTGCGCTAATGTTTCGTCGAGTACAGGTAGCACGCTGCTATTGGCCATCGCGTTAGGCCAGCCTGTTTTGATCGGACCGTCTTGTCCATGGTAGGATATATAATAGTCAGCGCCATGTGCAACTTGGTCTGGAGTTGGAATCTGGAAACCCTCGGATTTCTTGTAGTATGGTAGAAGACTTTTCCAATTCCAACCTTTATTCCCCATTGATTCCCAGGCATCGATTTGAACGTTCTGTGCTCGAGTGTATGACATTCCTTCGGAGTATCAGTATAGATCAAGAGATATGATGTTAGAACTCACCGTTAATTGTGCTTGTACCACCGAGTGCCTTTCCAGCACGCATAGTCTGCTTCTTTCCGCCGGCATATTTCTGTTCTTCCGTCTGGTAGGCCCAGTCGATGGGTGTGTCAAAGGCCCTACCGTAACCATAAGGAGTAGTAACGTTAATATTGTTGAGAACCGAATCGCCCGCTTCGATAACTGCAACAGTGAGATCTCGACGTTCTGAAAGTCTGTTAGCCAGAACCAATCCACTGGTTCCTCCCCCAACAATAACAAAGTCATATGATGAGGCGATGGTATCATGTTTCTTCGCAACCACCGCACCTAGCCACATACTCCCCACAGCAAGAGTTGAAATGATCATTTTGTCAGCTAATAGTGCGATATCAGGGACAGAGGAATAATCATTGGCAAAATCAAGTGGAGGGGCTCGATGGGAATACTTAACAAAACAGCCGCTCAGTCCCCGCCAGGTGGTTGCCGGGAGGCCGTTGGAATGTTGGCGCCATTCTGTACTCTGTACAACTGGCAACAGGCAGCATGCCGGCGATCCAGGCGGAAAAAATACCCGGTATACACTGGACAAATACTAGGGTATCATAATCATTCTCATTCAAACGGTTGTCAAATCAAATTAGATACAGAACGCCTCGGCATGTTTAAAAAAATGCTATCCTGAACTCCTTCAGCTCAGCCTGCCCATGTTGACTGAGACACTTGTCACACTTTTCCTATTTAGTGAATGAATCAATTGCCCTGTAGGATTCCGGCAATGCGCAGAGTCAGGTCAAGGATGGACATATGCTCGTCCGCACCGTCAACAAGTCGCTTGTCCATTTCTGAGAAAGCCATGACGATCTTGTTCTTCTGGATATCAGGAATCGCTTCGTTGAAGACGACCCGTCGGTATAACTACAAGAATCAGCAAACATGAACTGGCATGGAAGATGAGAATGCACAAACCTGGGTGACAACTTGAGTCGCACTCCACCCATCAGCCACTAGATCCGTAACAACCTTCGAAACAGCCGGATATGCTGGCCCCGAGCTCTTCGGCTGCATAGCCTGCACAATGTCATTCAGTATACTTTCCGGGACTACACCAGCAATCTCCTCAATAGTCTGGATTGTAATAAGCCCCGGCTGCGGAGCCCCAGCATCCGTCATCTCCTCATCCTCATCAGTCTTCGCAGGCAACGCCTTTGCAGCACCAACCAGCCTAGCCGCACTCTGCAAATAAGTAATAGCGCGACGCAGATCACCATCACCGCACCGAATAAGCGTATCAATCACACCATCCTCGAGATTCAGGCCCTCAGCCCGCGCAATATTCTCTATCCGCACACCAGCCGCAGAGTTATCCAGGGACTTGAATCGGAACTTGCTGCAACGACTGGCCAATGGTTCGATAATACGGGTGACGTAGTTACACACGAGACAGAATCGGGTGATACGACTGTACTGCTCCATTGTTCGGCGCAGAGCTGACTGCGCATCCTGTGTCATGCTATCCGCCTCATCCAGGATGATGATCTTGAATGGAGGGCATGGGTATTGTGCGAGGTATTCAGCATCCAGACCGTTCGGCTGGGAGAGTTGTGCGCGAGCAAAGTTCTTGATCTTCACGCGAACAATGTTGATGCCGCGCTCGTCTGAGGCGTTCAACTCGAGAATGCGGGAGCGGTAGAGGGCGGGGCCGAAGAGGGATTTGGCGAGGGCAAGAATTGTAGAAGTTTTACCGGTTCCTGGGGGGCCGTAAAAGAGCATGTGAGGTAACTGTAGGTCAATGGATTAGCATTGGCCGTGGAGGATTATTGGTCGGGTAATTTGTACGTTGGAAGCTTGCAAAGTGCGCTGGAGAACTTTAGTAGTATGATCCTGCGCGGCGACATCATCCAAAGTCTTGGGTCGACTAGCTGCAGTTAGACATGAAGAGTCAAAGCATACAGTACAGTGTAGACTTACTATTTCTCTACCCAGGGTTGCAGCCGGGTTGAATCTTCCTTGTTGTCCCCGGCTTTCGCTTTGGAGCTGCTGGAGGCAGCTGCAGCTGCAGCCCGGGCCTTATTGTTGAAGAAGGTAGAGGCCATAATTTCGTGATGGCCTATTAGAGCAATTCAAGGTGTTCTCGAGGTTTGAACGGCGATTGCTTTTTGAAACGGAATTGATTGAAGATGCGAACATGCGCGGTGGATAGAACGCGTCTCCACGTGACACGCGCAGCACTTACATGTCAACCAATCAGAATATGCAATTATACTTCACCAACTAACATGTCTACTAACCTCAAGCATATGCATGTATATTTGGGGGCTGTGCGGTTTCAACACGAACATTGTTCTCATTAAAACTTCCTCTAGGTCTATAGTTCATCTCGTAACACATCTCGTTCGCCCTCCATCATTCTCTTTTTAGGATTCCGAGGAGCATCTTGGTTGTGCCTTTGTTCCTCTGCCAAAATATCGTCAAGATTGATATTGTTTTGGTATCCTTCTTCCTCAACCATTTTTCCAATCTTATCAATAAGCCGATCTTCCTCTTCTTGCGAAACATGATCGTAATTCTCTGGCACGGCTCCACCTGCCATGGTTGCAGCGGCCTGCTGAACGGTAGTAGAAATGTCAGCAGCAATTTGGCTAGACAAAGGCTGCACAGACTTTTTGTTTGTGAGGCCAATGACACCAAAGACTGCAAATACGAAGCGCAAGACGAATTGGAACGGTAGCCATACCAGCCACCAGAGAGGCCCGTAGAATATACGTCGGAATAGCAACCAAGAAATTGTCGCGACAAGCATCCAAAAAGCAGTTTCAAGATACCATGTATCGGATTTCTGAGAGCGAAGAAGGGAGTTGGCGAGGCTGCGAGATGAAGCAAGTAGGGTGTCGAGGCTAGTGTAAGATTCAGACAGAGATGAGATAGCGGCGGTTGATTGCTCTTTGATCATGTCAGTATTATTCGAACAGTAATCATCCAGCTTAGTACTAACCAAGAGTCTCTTGAGCGAACTGGCTTCGGGAAAGCTCAGTCTGCATCAGTTGATGTGTTCTCCGCAGAGCAGCAGTAACATCATTCGATGCATTTAGCGTCAGGTCATCCTGCGTGAAGTGTTCCGATGGGTTATTCTGCCGCTCCGACGACTGCGATCGGGACAACAGCAGCTCTCGCTCCTTTCGCTTAGCAAGCTCGGTCTGGCGCTTAGATTGTAATTGGGCATTTCGAAAGTCACCACGAGTCCTGTTGCCATGTTAGCATCTGGTTTTTCTCAATGAACAGGCGCAACCCACTTCTTAAGGTCGTCCGCTAACCGCCCCGCCAGCATCACAACACGCTCCTTTTCTGCCTCTTTCTCTCCACTCGCCACCGACTGTCTTCTCCTGCTATCAGACCCTGAGTCCAGAGCTTCTACCTCTATTCGTAGCAGTTCTAGCCCATTCTCGGCATCTTTGAGGCCCGCATGAATCTCCGCTCCGAGCTCCAGGCGAGCTTCATCACCGTTCTCGGTGGGGGTGAAATTTCGGAGTTGATCAATGAGAGGCTGGATCTGAACTATACTAGCCGACAGCGTCTTCAAGCGGCCTTGAAGAGCACCTGTGGTGGACATGTTTGGGGTTGCCCGCGGCTGAAGGACTTGGTTGCGGCCGCAGCAAGCGATCTGACAGGCTAAGTTGGATGAAAATGGGCGTACTTTCGTAGTATATGATATGGTAAGGTCCAACTTGTAGCCGGAATTTAGACCTGATTTCAAAAGCTGTAGATTGGGAATCAAGTTTGTCGTCGCAAGGTGGCAGTTGCGTCGCTGTATTGATGTGTTTGCACTTTCGGCAAACACCGGACCCTCGAACTCGCTCCTCCATACCACTCATTTGCTCAACCCTGTCAATTGCCTGCCTCCAAAGCTAGAGAAATAACTATCTCTGCTACGCTCTTTTTTGCGCCTGCTTCACCAATTCTGCTGAGCAAATTTGTCACTGTGTGCGACTCCCAGTCAAAATCGCACTCGCACTCCGAAAAAAAACTTCCGGACCTACCAGATCCAATCCGACTAGGTATGTCTACCATTCTACGCTGGCAGAATGATTGCGCGCTGCCTACTTGAATATCCAGATATCTAACTATGTCAAAGTGGAAATTTTATAAACCTTCGATCTTCACATCTCGAATTACTTCAACCTCTTCAGTCAACGACTGCCAACCACCACCATGCCTATCCCGATCAGCGTAATCACCTCTTTCCGCACATCCTTCAACCCCTTCTCCCAGGCATCCCGGCCCTGCCGTCTCTTCTTGTCTCTTCTTCGCACCCCCAACACTGTCGCCGGTAGCCCGACCTTCATCGACATCAAGGTCAACCAGCTGCCGCGTAACTCCACACAGGAACCCGTCATGACCATCGGTTTCAAGGGTGGAAAGGAGCTTACCTTGGAGGTTGGCAAGCGTGGATTGAAGATTGGCGATGTTGTTGAGGAAGTATCGCGAGTTGGTCGCCAGTTGGAGCGCGAGGCTAGTCTGAAGGGCTAAGCCATTCAATATATCAGGTTGAATGGGTCTTTTTATTCATGTATTATAGCATTTGTTTGGGTTGTTTTACTACTGGCGCTGTTATTAGTGTTGGATATCTATAGTACCCCTGTAGATACCTTGCATATTATACCTGATCTACAGAAATACGATATTCGCTCAATGTGACTGTGTTGTCCTTCTCAGCTAAGTGGATTGGAATTATATCCAGCAAGAGTCCATCGCTGCAGAAACAGAGAAGAAACATGAACAAAAATAAAAAGAAGATGCCTTAAATATATGCATCAGGAGGTAGTGACGGCGGGTTCAGGACGGATGCAGTTTTGTATCATTTTAACAACAAGATGCCCGCTTAGACGGCGGCACCGGAGATGAAGAACCACTTGTCAATGGAGCCATCGACGGGAGCGGGGGCAAGCTCCTGGTTAGCAGGGATAGCAGCGAGCTGAGCCTGGTCAGCGCGGTGGGCGTCACCCTGGGGAGCCTCAACGTTGGCAAGGTTGACACCACCGGGGGCGGTCGTGCCGGAGATGAGCTTCTCCCAGGCATCGGCACACTCGTGGATAACCTCCTCGGCGTACTTCTTGTTCTTGCACTCGCCGGAGAAGGCGAACTGGTTCTCGGGCTTTCCGTCGGGGATCTTGTAGATGCGGAACCACTCGTTGGTGGCACGCAGGAGACCGGGCAGGTGACGCTCGACATCCTCGATGTCGTGCAGCTTGGCAGCGAGAGGGTCGTTGACATCGATGACGATGATCTTCCAGTCAGTCTCCTCCTCGTCGATCAGGGCCATGACACCCAGAACCTTGACCTGCTTGACCTGACCGGGGTAGCCAACAAGCTCACCGATCTCGCAAACGTCGAGCGGGTCGTCATCACCCTTGGCCTTGGTCTCGGGGTGGATGGAGTTGGGGTCCTCCCAGGTCTGGTGGGCGGATTGATCAGTTTTTGTTTTTCTTCTTTACCCCGCCATGGATAAGGTGGGGTTCTTGGTGAGTCCGACTTACACGGGGGAAGGCACCGTAGTTCCAGAGGTAACCCTTGTGGGGGAAGCAGTTGCGGACGAAGCGCAGCTTGCCCTTCTTGGTGTCCTGCTTGATGGGGTTAAGGAACTCATCCTTGGAGATCTGGGGATCAATTGAATCGCAATCAGTATGGACAGTCGAGTTGGTGAAGAATAGGCGTAATGCGTACCTCCTGCTTGGCGTTGGTCCAGCGAGGAATCTCAACAACCATGTTCAGGATAGTCTGCTCAGGGTTGGCGTAGAGGGGAATGTCGTGGAAAGGAGAGACGGGGACGCCATCCTTCTCGATGTAGACACGGTGCTCCAGCGTGTAAGGCTGGGCAACCTTGCGGATGGTGTAAGACATTTTGGGAGATGAGGAGGAGAGATGTCGAGAGATGAGAGCAGCTCGAGCGAGAGGAGGGGAAGAAAAGGAGAGAGGGGCTTTCCCAGTGTGGGGCGATATTGCTGATGTGCGCCAAACACCTTTCAAGGCGGTGGAGGTGTGTAATCCTAGTCGGGCCAAGGAAGGACGAGTTGCCATTGGGCAATTTGGCCAGGGAAACACGCAAAGTTGAGAAAAATTAAAATACAATTCCAGTTTCTGCCCAAATGATGGCAATGATCTGCAGTTGGTGCACCAAAACGACTCAATGCCTGGTACAGGATGGTATGCGTGGCATGAAATGAGTGTTTCCAGGGGTCGAACCGGGTCCGGTGTGTATTGTGTTGGCTGTTCCGAGTTTTAGGGTCGGCAATGGACTAGGCCCGATACCGAAAGGTTTTGTCAAGGTTTAATATGGATCTTCATTAAAGTAGTTTGGTATATGACGACGAGTCTACTGCGTACGCATCGAATTATTGACTATAATATGTGTCACATGCCCTTGCACTCCCGCTGTATTCTGCATGTACTCCGGTGTTCCCGTGACAGCTGCCAGTGCTAGCCGATATCGGGATATTCCTATATCTAAATAGTACACGTGACATAGTTGTCTTTGGACATTCAATAAGTCTGCATGATTTAATTATTTTTTGTTTAATTATTTAATTATTCAATTACTTAATTATCATGAACTTTATTGCAACTCAAATTCACAATCTGACTAGCGAATTGACAAACAGAAGGAATAATCTGAGCAGGAACATTTAGTCAACTATACTGTATGTTAATGAGGATTAATTATTATTGCCTGATACCTAAGGTATCAATAGAAAAAGTAGTCTATCACCACGTGATCATCAATAGAATTGGCCAGGCGGAGTTGACCGATACCAAACCCCAGAAAAAAAAAATCTCCCTCTTTAACCCCACCTCAGCATGCTATGAACAGACTCATCAGACCCATTAGATCAATCATGGCCTCCATCTCTACAGTGAAAACACAGGCACCCCGTGTCCCCATCCCAGAACATGGCGCCGACTACCGCGGCACAGTCGTGCTCGCCCCAATGGTGCGCTCCGGCGAACTACCCTCTCGCCTTCTAGCCCTAAAATACGGCGCCGACCTCGTCTGGGGCCCCGAAACAATCGACAAATCCCTTATCGGCTGCATCCGACGCGTCAACCCTCGCAACGGCTGTATCGAATTCGTCCGTTTCCCCTCCAACGGCGGCCGTCCAGATATTTCATCCAAAGCATCTGTGATCAGCCGTATTGACACAGTGCGCGAGAAAGGACGCATGATCTTCCAACTTGGTACCGCGGACCCCGACCTCGCAGTGCAAGCTGCTCGCCTCGTCGCAGCCGACGTCTCAGGAATCGACGTCAACTCAGGCTGTCCTAAGCCTTTCAGTACTAGCGGTGGCATGGGCGCCGCGCTACTGCGCACACCGGACAAACTCGTATCGATCCTCGAGGCGCTCGTTCGCGAAGTCGGAGAACCCTTCAAAATCGGTATCTCGGTCAAGATTCGTATTCTTAGTGATCCCGAGATGACGAAGAGTCTTGTCTCGCGACTTGTGCGTACCGGTATCACTGGTTTGACTGTGCACTGTCGTACGACTCCGATGCGTCCTCGCGAGCGCGCAATCAGAGACCAGCTTCGTATGATTGCGGATATTTGCCACGAGGCTGGTGTGGCTTGTGTCATGAACGGCGATGTTGAGAACCGTGATTCGGCGCTGAAGATGATGGAGGAGTATGGTGTTGACGGTGCTATGATTGCTACATCTGCTGAGGCGAATTCTTCATGCTTCCGCTCGGAGGCTGATGGTGGTCTTGCGCCTTGGCGGGAGGTTGTCCACGAATACGTGAAGTTCTGCATCGAGAGCGAGAACCGATTCGGAAACACAAAGTACCTGCTTAATATGCTTATTCCCGGCAAGAACAAGGAGTTTGGTCAGGCGAAGGCGTCGAAGACCTATACTGATGTCTGTCGGAATTTGAAATTCGACGATCTCATTCCTGGTGCGATTTGTCTCGATGAGATTCTTCAATTGAGTGGGAAGTGGGAAGAGGCTCCTGCCGAGGAAGAAAAGGTCCGGTCTAAGGCTATTCAGAATGCTATGGCGAATAACGAGTCAGCTCGTGCGGCTGGTGGTCAAGGTGCCAGATCAAAGTCTATCTCTGCGCCTTCCCATGCCGGTGGTCCGATTCGTACTTTGGGTATCCCAGAGCCTTCGGCCATGAAGCCTGAATCTGATGCTTCTGTCGATGTCTCTATTCCTGCGACGGAGGTAGTTCAGAAACATGAGGTAGCGGCATAATCGCTGTCTGACTTGGCCGCTTTATTTTTTTTTGTTTCTGCATAGCCTGGGTACCTGGATTCGGTACTGTACTTTCGCATTTCGAGGTGTCGCCTCCTCTCTCGTTCATAGATTCCCCAAAATATACAACAATAATACATGAGACATGGTTATACTACCTATACGTTTATAGTCTACCGTAGCTGAAGGGGTTGGTACCGAAGTAGGTATAGAAGTTACTGGAGTAGATAAATTTGACGCAACAAAGTAATACTGTAGGCTACCTGGGTAGGCTATGAAAAACATGATTTGCTTGGATACTTGACTGCAAGCCATGGGTATGTTCCTGATCGGATTAGGGTGTACAAGAGTAATCTAGGGGATACGTGGAGCAATTCCCACTATCTGATCAATCTTTACACTATCCAGGCTCTCACTTTTGCCTCACAATACTCAACCAGGTAACTTCTTTCATAAAGGCGTTTTACAAGCCTGTCTATCTCTATCTCACAGGACCAATGAAGAAACGAATTAAGGGAATTGCCTACAAATTAGGGAGTACTATCTCTCAAATGGTGCAATTAAAGTAAGAAGAAAGTCAATGGCAAATGCCCATGTTCATTGATTAATGGTGTCTACTCGACACCTCAGATATTCTAGGTATGCCTGGTCCACGCGCTGTGCACACTAAAACAAAAGAGAGAGAACAACATCCCCGAAGGGAGCACACACAACGGTTCATATCCAAGTGCTTTTGCACCTCACTCCTTTCCCTTCCCGCTCTCCATGTCCGCCACTAACATGGACTCCACGGCCTTCATCCCCGCTTCCTCTCCCTTAGCAGAGCCTCCGTCGTCATCACCAGCGACAGCCTGATCGAGGGCAAGCTTTGTCTGGCCAAGAGCATAGATTTGCTCCTCGATGGTGCCGCTGGTGACGAAGCGGAAGATCTCCACGTCACGGGTTTGACCCACGCGGTGCGCACGGTTCTCGGCCTGAACATCCTCCTGTGGGTTGAAGGAGGAGTCGAAGATTATGACCTTGTTGGCACAGGCCAAGTTGATACCGGCGCCACCCGCCTTGGTGGACAGAAGGAAAACGGGAATTTCCACTCTCTCGTAGAAAGCGTCCAAAATTGATTGGCGGTCCTCGACATTGGTCCGGCCATCCAGACGGACGAATTCAATACGCAGCGTCTCCATGACGTGCTCAAGGATGTCCATGACCAGCGTGAACTGTGAGAAGATGAGGGTGCGGTCACCGTTCTCGATAAATTTGAGGAGGAGTTCACGCAGCTGCTCGACTTTACCGGAGTCCATCCATTCGTCGTTCTGCAGCTTGAACTTCCCCAGGTGTTTGGGGTTGTCCATGCAGAGACGGTGGCACTCGAAGTCGTTATAGCTTTTCAGCTCGCTGAAGATGGTCTCAGGGTCGGACATTTCCCATTGGGGGTCCTTGAGGCACGCTCTGGAGATTTTGCGGATTCGCTCGTCGTTGAAATGACGGCGAGCGAGGAGAGGGTGGATCGCCGCTTGGCGGAGTTTCATGAGGATGTTGGCGGACTTGGAGCCGGTCTTCTTGCCTGCAGCACGGTCTTCAAGGAGCTGGCGGACTTGTTCCTTCTCATGCTCGTAGATCTCGACCTGGGAGGGCTTCATCTCGCAGTACTTGACGTGCGAAGTCTTCGCAGGGAGATCAATGACTTGGTGCTTCTTGCGGCGCAGGACAAAAGGCTTCAACATTGACTTGGCTCGTTCAATGCGCTGAGCGGATAAAAGGGTGGCATGAGACTCGTCGGAGGTCTTCGCTTTGTTGGAAAAGACAGCGTTCATGTCGTCCTTGTGCTCTCTGAACACATTAGGCAAGATGAAGCCCAGAAGAGATGCCAGCTCCTGGAGGTTGTTCTGGAGGGGGGTACCAGTAAGGAGAAGTCGGAACCGGGCCGGAATTCGAACAAGTTTGTCATACAGCTGAGACTGGTGGTTTTTCAACATGTGTCCTTCATCGTATACACAGACACTGAAATTCTGGTCTCTGAGAAATTTGGCGTCCACCTTGGCTCTAGCAATGGTGTAGGTAGTAATCACCACATTGATGTCGTCACGGTTGTCTTCAATCTGCTCGCGGAGATTGGCACGTTCGTTCTGGCCGGCGTAGTAGGGGATGACAGAGAGAGTGGGGCAGAATTTTTGGAACTCGCGAAGCCAGTTTTCGATAGTTGATGATGGAACAACAATGAGATGAGGTCCCTTGACACCCTGCTCGAACAGGTGGGCGAGGAATGCAATAACCTGACAGGTCTTACCGAGACCCATGTCGTCGGCAAGGATACAGCTCAACTTTTTCTGGAACAATAATGACAGCCAGTTGATTCCTACAATTTGATAGTCCTTCATCACGAGATCATCGGCCATGATCGAGGGTTGTGGGATGAAATTCGATTGTGACTTAGGCTTTCGAACCACAGCCACAGGGCCTTCATCGTCGGAGTCGTTGGGCGACTGGCGATTGGTCGAGGGTGTAGCAATTCCAGAATCATGTGCATTGCCGTTGGTCATCGATGTCAGTTCGAAATCACCATCGCGCTTACCGAACATGTCAACACCCCATTTCTTCATTTCCTCAGCAACTGGTCTGCCCAGTGCTTCACACTCAGCCACGAGAGCATCAATTGCCAGGTACCCAGTCCACATCTCAATGCATTTGTCAACGAGCTTATCACCGATGGGCTTGGGAGCTTTGCGCGGCTTGGCCTTGCCCTTTGCCTTGCTTGGATCAACCGGGGCCTCCACAGCGCGGACATCATAAAGTGAGGCAAAGGGACGGTGGGTGGTGACGTGACTGGCAGTATCCTCAGGGATGGAGGCAATGTCGGCAAGATCGCGGACGCTGCAAGTGTTGAAAAATTTGAGGACTTTAGAATCCAAACCGCCAGCGGTGGAATCCTCAGCTTTCACGTCTTCATCCTCGGAATCAGTCATATCCGCCTCGACAGACTCCGGGGGAGGGATCTCGGCGACGGCCTTTCTGGAGACGACCAGTCTTTTGTTTAGGGGGACTATCATCGGAGTCAATGGTGATTGCATCAGTAGGCGAACCACGGTTTCGGGGACCGCGCATGAGCCGACCTCGAGGTTTTACATCTTCGGCTGCGCTTTGGTCCCGGGAGGTCTTAAGGTTGCGTGAGGCCCATTTGTCGTGAATGGTGCCACGGGCCTTGATCTGTTGTTTGGCCATTGGGACCGGAGCCGTAGGCATAACGCTCAACTCGTCATCAGATGAATTAATGACAATTGGTGGGTTGCCGTTTTGTTTCGCCAGACCCTGGGGGTCGGCGAGGCGATCCAGCGCATCGTCGTAGTTTCCATTTGCGCTGATGAGAGCCTGCACACAGTCCTCGACCGCTTTGTTCGGCATGACCCGCAGAATGCGCTCAACTTTGATGCGAACTCGGTAATCCTCAATGTCCCGCAGAGAAGATTCTTGGCTGACCACAGGCATGGCACGCGAGGGCGCATATTGTTTGGCTTTTTTTATGGCGATGTGGTCGGGTACGGTAGGGCTCATCTGGTCCGCAGAGCGCTTAACGCCGTTGGAGGAGGGATCATAGACCGCGGCAGAGGTGATTTCCTTGAAACGATCCATTGCGCTGTCTGCGCGCACAGGTGACTCTGCTACCTTCTCCGGGCTTCGGGTTTTTCCAAACATGGCGGGTTTGATGTCGGTGGAGCGGACGGTGTAGTTTTCTTCGTCTTCCGAAGATCCTCCTCGGTAGGTGGGTCCGTCGTCAATGTCAATGGTAGAGGGTCTTTTGGTAGGGCGAACAGTAGTTGCCGGGGAACGGAAGGCTGTTCCAGAAGGTGCCATAAGGGAGGATAATATACCCCCTCGACGGGGAGGTGAATGAGCGGGGGCAGCAGGTGAAGAGGCAGCCACTTGAATGACAGGTTCGTGTGAATGAGGAAGGGGCATTTGGACGAGTTGGGTGGGTTGGGTCATTCGTTGCGGTGTTAGTGAATGCGCCCCAATTGGGACTGTGGCGATGGTCTCATAGTCACCCTCGGGTGTTTGTTTCCTATCCCGGTTAGGAATATCTGGTATGTTATCCATGATGTGCTCCAGTACTCCGTAATGTATATTTAATTGAGGCCCACCTCCCTGAGTTGTAAGGGATCCAGGAACCAATTATACTAACTTTCCTTTTTTTCTGCCCGGCGGAGAACGCGATACCGACGCGCCATGGTCACGTGCGTCCCGATAGCGTGAAGTACTTTTACTTTATCTAGAAGATGGAGACCTGGAGAAAGAAAAGTTTATTATAAAATTAATCAGAAATAGCATTCAAGCAACAATTCGATTGAATTCCTAAAAAGCGAATATAAAAGTGGAGATCTGTTGTTTCACCGTTCTCTGCCATGTGACCAGGCGCTTGGACGATCTCCGCAATATAGCTTTAGCTTCATTCATTCTTCAGCTTCCAACCAAAACCGAATTAATCAATTCAACTCAACATTACAAAATATTACCATGGATGTTCAAGGCTCGGAATCTGTCGCTCGTCGTCCTAACCGGCCAAGCTATGCCGAAGCTGCGGCCAAGTCTCCCAAAGAAAGTGACTCTGACGTGACCCCAGCGGTCTCAGCGTATGTGTGATCTTGATGGATTTCCTAATCAGTTCTAACATCCACTTAGTGATGTCATCTACAAGCTTCTGGGTTTCACAGCTGCCATGGCATTTGCTCCCATTGGCATGTACTTTTTGACCCTGAATTCGATCTTTGGAGGTGAGATGAAACCCATATCTAACATAGATGATATGTTCGGGTGTAACTAACTTCCACAGGCAATGCCACATATTCTGGAATCACAGCAGCCGTCACTGCCAACGTGGTCTTATTTGCCTACATTTATGTCGCCTGGAAGGAAGACCAAGGAGAACAACAAGAAGCCCAGTCCAAGAAAAGCCAGTAATGGGTCGAAGATGCCACATCTTGTACTTGTGCTATTCCACGTTTAATTCCTGGCGTTGCAGGTGTATTGACGCGATGAACCCGATTTCAAGGTTCTGCAGTCCTTGATATTCGACGCAGTGAGTTTGTAACAAAAGACATACGAGATTTCTGGGTTATTTGGATATCATAAGACAAAACGAAATTCCCACCGGCCTGATCTTCTGATCTCCGGCCCCATTTCCGACAAATGTTAAAAGAAGCCACTGCCCATGTTGAAGGGACCCCACTCCGAAGAAAATAAAATCACAACGCATAATGCCCGAATTATTTATACGGAGACGCCGGTATGCTTTACAGCCACGTGGGATATGACCCGAAACTCAAGTCCTCCACAAACACAACGATTAATGAATCGCTCAAGGTCGTCGCTTCACAAACTCTTCCAGATCAGCCTTTGTAGCAACGCCAAGCACAAACTTGCGTGCCACATCGGTGACCACGGCGAATGGGTGCTTCTCTCGCTTGTCACCATTGGCACCAGTCTCGCTCTCGAAGAACTCCTCCAGCTCCTCCAGGGGCGTCTCCATGGTGATGACCTTATAGATTCCGCGCTTCCGATTGAAGCGCTGCATAGCAGCAGAGACTGGGTCGGAGTCCTTCACGGTGCCAGTCTGGATCAGCTCCTTCAATCGGGGGATGCTCAGGTATCCGAGGAGGGATCGCTGGGCAGAGATGACGGTGAGGTGGGTGTAGTCGCGCTCGTAGGCAGCCATGAGGGCGGCGGAGATAGGGCTGTCAGGAGATACGGAGAGTGCTTGGGGCGGGTCGAGGTCTTCAATGGTTGCCTGTGAATGTGATGAGCTGCTGCTTCAAATTTTTTTGTGCTTCGCTGGGTAGACTCACCCCGCGGTACTTGTCGGCCCATGCTGCTTGGGGCGCGGAGACTGTTTGTTGGTTCTCACGAGTGAAGGCCTCGCTGCCGGTCATGTAGGACGCCATTTTAGCTTGTGGATATTGAGAGGGTTCGAAAGATGGAGGGGTTCGGGGTGCGAGGAAGTGGGGAACCTCGAGGGTGAATAAGACGTCACAGAGGTGATAAATTAGCAATTGACAATAATTCGACTAAGGCCAATGGCAGTAAATCTTCTGTTGAGCCTGGAGTTATAAAAACAAGGGACAAATGCAACTTAACTCGTTCAGAGCGAACTTTGATCAAACTCGGCGTTTTCCTCTTCCCGCGCCAAGACCCTCAAACTCTACGTCATCTCCAACGGGCGCTTGGTCCGTCAACCTTGCTCTTGTCTCATCTGACTCTTCATCTCTCTGGATTCTTCCGCTATCATTTCGAACTTCCTTCAAATCGACCAGACTACCTCATTCACCCATAAAGCGCTAGCTTCGCAGGTTCGTTGTTGACTTCAAAAAGTGGAGCCGCCATTCTCGATCCAGAAAGATCGCTGCATTCGGACATCTGCTCCACTCTGGATTACCCACATTGATAGATCGCAGTAAACAGGCCATGATTCCCACGGACTCGGTCGTCAAACTCCTAGCTGCTCATCATCCCCTTGGTGGGTTGGGACCCCGCCAACAGGCAGAGCAGCCCGGGAATCTCCCACGACGTGAGCCCTTCCCCGCCTGGAGTGCCATCGACGAGGTGAAAAAGACAGCAGTCCATGAATATGAAGCTGCGAGTCAAAAGGCACAGAATAAGGCCGGCAAGATCGAGCTTTGGACTCCCAAGTACTATGCCGCCTGTACTTTTGGTGGTCTTCTTGCTTGTGTCAGTGATCTGATGAGAATCTTGCCATGCTAAAGGTTAATTTCTGATTGCAATGCATAGGGTCTTACCCACACGGCTGTTACACCTTTAGATCTGATTAAATGCCGTCGTCAAGTTGACTCCAAGCTTTATAAGAGCAACATGCAGGCATACAGCAAGATTCGTGCAGCTGAAGGTCTGCGCGGTGTGGTCACTGGCTGGGGTCCTACCTTCTTTGGCTACAGTGTAAGCAACACTAACGTTTAGAAAGGACTTACATGAGTCTGACGTTTTCCAGGCCCAAGGTGCTTTCAAGTATGGTGGATACGAGTATTTTAAGAAATTCTACAGTGATCTTGTCGGCCAGGAACATGCCAGAAATTACAAGACCTCGATCTACCTTGTCGCCAGTGCCTCGGCCGAGCTGATCGCCGACATAGCCCTCTGCCCATTTGAATCCATCAAAGTACGCATGCAGACGACTATTCCCCCAGATATCAAGGGGACCTTCAGCGGTATCTCAGCCGTTGTTGGTAAGGAGGGAGTGTCTGGGTTAGTGAAGCATGTCGAAAATTAAACTTCTGTCTAGGATACTGACAACTCCCCACCAGGCTGTACAAGGGTCTGTACCCACTTTGGGGTCGGCAGATTCCTTACACTATGATGAAGTTTGCATCGTTCGAGACCATTGTGGAGATGATCTACCAGACTCTGCCGGGACAAAAGTCCGACTACAACAAGGGCGCTCAGACCGCCGTTGCTTTCAGTGGTGGTTACTTGGCGGGTATTCTCTGTGCTATGGTGTCGCACCCTGCTGATGTGATGGTGAGTAAGCTGAATGCTAACCGCCAGGCTGGTGAGGCGTTTGGTGCTGCAATGAGTCGTATCTATGGGGAAATTGGCTTCCGGGGATTGTGGAACGGTCTGCCGGTCCGTATCGTCATGATCGGTACCCTGGTAAGTAATGAGCTACATGCTGCCTTTTTTCATGCTAACAAAACTTGCAGACCGGTCTCCAGTGGATGATGTATGAGATAAGTTGTGCGGTTTTGCGTTCTAATGCTGATGATTTCTTAGCTATGATTCCTTCAAGATCTTCATGGGTCTTCCGACTACCGGTGGAGGTGGTGAGCAGAAGAAAAGTCAGTAAGCAGGATTTGTGTGGTGTATTTCAAATGTTCCTGTCATTTCTTTATTCAGTCCCAGATTTAGTTGATTCTAAGAAATTGCCATGGGGATATCAAGCCCTCTCTCAACCTCCCTTCTATTTTCTTTTCTGTTCTTTTCTTTTCTTTCCAATTAGCCAATAGGCCAATGTTAGAGGAGTATGGTATATACTTGACATTACTTGCTCTATGTAGGCACGCTAAGTGTACGATGGAAAATTTCTAGTAGGTACATAGATAGGTACACTGCTTGTGCATAAAGCACTACATGCGATATGAACCCGCAGCCCCAGATATATATGATCAGGGTTCATAAATGGTAATCAGAAATTTTTGACAACAAATCCCATTCAACCTAGAATGCATGCACGATATGTCGAGTCCTAAATGTTACCTGCTCTTGATCGGTTCATACCAATTATTCGACTACTGTACAGAGTCTTGTGTACAAGAAATAATCCAACCAGTTGACTCCGCCAAGACCGCTATCAGCTTGGACATTAGTCACAACATCCACCAACCGCCGCCACATCTCTTATCGGTAATCGACGTCACCAATCAGTCACCTGAAAAGGAGCATTTGAAAACGAGATAGAAAACCGGCAGAGTCTATTCTTATTGATTTCGCTTGGCACTATCGTCAGCCGTCACGGCCTCGTAGGTAAAGCACAAAAAAGGGACCTGTTAGCGCCCGATACCGTGATCATAGCCCGGTTGGTATTCTTCTTTATTCTAATTATTCTTTTCCCTTCAATTGATCTTGCAATCTCTCTTTTAATAAAGACCCTCAGGTAAGTATAGTCCACCAAGATCCGGTACCTGCGTCTTATCGCCAGTCCCACTATACACAAAGTTCCCTTCCCGATCTGCGATAAGACTTTACACTTTCCTCTCTCAACCACCACATCACATCACTTACTTTTTCTCTCCCCAGACATTAATCAATTTCAATCACAACATGTCTGACCACGAAGCACCTATCGTCTCTCACGGCCGTGGAGGTATGTAAATACTTCGGCTCTCCACGGAAATGCTAATCTAATCTAACCGTCAATCTTCCAGGTCAGGGAAATATCGGCGCAGACCCTACGCAGTATGTTCATGCCCTATACTGTATACATACCTTGCTCACATTCCAATCCTGTCCCAATCCCAAATATGATGTCGAAGCCCCGCATGTTGCATTACATACCCCGCCAATACCTTACTCCGCAGAACCGAACTGAACCAAACCAGTGCAGATCAGACAGACCAGATAGCTAAGTGTATATAGGTACATCGACGGCGAAATCGTTCGTGAAGGAAACTACGGCGACCAAGGCGATGGCGCTTACTCCGCCGGCGTAAGCAATCTTTCCCTCCAGTTCTATCCGGGCTTCCGTACCCCACCACCAAAACAATCAGCTCCAGCTCCAGCTCCAGCTCCAGACCCAGCTAGCCCTACTCTACACTGCTACACAACACCCAACTCTAAATATGAAATGGAATACGAAATACAGATACTGACATTGTCCAGCGCGGTGGTGCAGGAAACATCGGTTCCCCGCGCGTGCGCCCAACCTCGAAAGTTCCCCACGACGCGGAAATGATACCCGAGCTCGCGGTGCGGAATTCCAGTGACGAGACTTTCCATACCGGTGTATGTGCGATCGTATCACAGTTTCATTTACAATTTCAATTCCATTTGGGCTTGCTGACTTTCGTGTTTAGCGTGGTGGTCAGGGAAATGTGCATCTTGATGAGGCGACGAAGAAGGAGAAGGAGAGGAAGCATTATGCGCATGAGGGGTTGGCGGATCGGTTGAAGCATAAGTTGTTGGGGAAGAAGTAGAAGCTACGGAGTAGGTATATTGAGATTGAGATTCGATTTTAATTTCGATTTGATCTACGGTGGATCCTGCGGGAGGTGGGTTTGGTGGGGATGATGGATTTTCGATCCATGAAGTTTGATTTAGTTGTGATTCCCTGAAGCTGCCTGGTTTTTTTTTGTTCTCTTTTGCTTGGAGGTTAATTGGTCATATATTGCGATGAATGCATATTTCTGTTCATACTCCGTAATTGGTAGATCAGATTTGTAGCTACTAGGTCAGGTATCATGATATTCGATGGACTCAGATCTGCCCTGCTGTACATAACATCAAATAATTCAGGTATCCCGTGAGTTTCATTGCAGATCAAATACAGATCACAGAGATAAGCAGACGTAGAAAGAGAAAAAGCTATCCATGCATAAGGGAAAATGAAAATCAAAACACCAAGAACATAGAACATAACCCGATATCCCGTCAAATCACCATGTATCATAACGACATTAAAGCATAGCCCGAAGCAAATGTCAGAAGCATAAATCCCATCAAAACTGTGCAAAGGAAAAGACAAATATATGAAACGAAAATCAACGCCAATGGGGGATGGTGTTACATCTTCCATGAGGAATTGCAAAGTCAATCAAAGTGAGACGGAAGAAAAGCAAATCTAATCTTTGCCGAATCGTCGCTTCAACCAACTCTTCCGCTTCTCAGCTGCTGCAGGTTTGCGAACCACATTCATGCCACCCTGCGAAGGCGCGAACTCCGAGTTCGCCGGCGCAGGAGCAGATGCCATACCCTTGCCATTCACGTTGGGACCTGCGTAACCCTGGTATCCGTATTCGGCCTGAGCGCGGTCGTCCATACGGTCCATGGAACTGTTGAGCGAACTGGGATCGGTCGATTGGCCGTAAGGATCGGTATTTCCAGACCCGGATCCCGACATGGCGGTGACATTGTCGTAGGAGCGTTGGTATTGTTGTTGCGGAGCTCTGTGCTGGTTCCCGTTACCGTAGACACCTTGCTCCGATCCGCGGGACTGGTAGCGGGGTCGGCGCTGTTGCTGCTGTCCATTCTGGTTGTAGGGGTATGGGTTCTCGGGTGCTTGGCTAGAGCTTGCGCCGTAATCGATCACACTGTCTGGGTGGGATTGGCCATTTTGTCCGTTGTTGTAGTTGTTTGGTCCTGTTGCATGTCAGTAGATGTTTAAGGATGAACGATTGAATGCGCCGAACTAACCGTAGTAGCTTGTTCGTCGGCTGAAGTCGCCCATTTGTGAAGCGGCATCGTCTGTTGGTGAATCATAATCAGTCCGGGGCCCCGTCGTGGGTGTTGAACATAACGAACCTGTTCGGATATAGGAATCCGGGCGTTGACTCTTGTATGTTCCATATATCGCGGCCTCAAACGATCGAATGGTATCCAAAGGGCGCTCAAAACGGGGGCGAGTGGGGTTTGACCAGTCAGGATCGGCTAGAAAGAACGCAAGGGTCAGTGACATGCCAAAAACGTGGTTGAATGCTAGAAAAGAAAGAGTGACGAACTGATTGGGTTTCCAAATTGGTCCTTATGTTGGAATTCCCTCAATGAGCCCAGGTTGGACTTCTCCAGTGCGACGGCCACTAAGTTGAGTATCAGTATGATGTAAATGCGACCGCGCCGAGCGTCAGAACGTACTAGGCTGTAATTCGGTCATTGCGACCAAGGGATCCGCTTTGGTGTGTAAATTGCGACGGGCCTTTTCCTGGGAGGATTCGGAGAGATGACTCTTGTGGCCAGAGTTGCGAGAATGGTCGGATTTGACGCTAAAACCACGACTCCTTTGAGGAGCGGTGGTCGCTTCTGGGGCAGCCATTTTATTTATGGGGCGGTTCGTCTTGATTAACGTCCGAGATCAAGGCAACTGGACGACACTGAAACAGGGTGTGATCTGCTCGAGCAACGGGCTTTGTGGAGCTTCGATATGAAGGTGGGCACTGCCAAGATAGTTCACAGGCCACTTGAAGGTCGAGCGCGAGTTCGTTGAGTGATAAGGGGCACTAAAGCAAGATTTTCTGACACTAGTGTCGTATCCTAGGATTGAAGATAGTATGTCTGTGTTGCCTGTGGTAACTGGGTGGAGATAGCCAGTAGACGGTGAAGGAGTAGAGAGTGGAGTTTCACCGTTATTGATGGGGACGGAAGGTGGGAGTTTGTAGATTTAAATAACAAAGCAAGAGACTTTTTTCTTTTAAGGGTTGACGACAGACGCCACGCAAGAAGAACGGGACCAGGACCAAAAAGACCAAGAAATATCGGCGCCTTGTGAAGCGGATCCGTTATGCTCATCGAGGCCGCGCAATCATTTTGCTTTTTCCTACTTTTCAGGCTTTGGTGGGTCGATCGTGCATACACTTCCCGCTTATTATATTCAGGTTTACAGGTTCATTCTCATTCCTTTACGAATTCAGTTCCTTCAGTTGGTTTTCCTTGACAAGCTCAGGTCGACAGGCTCAAGTTGATTTCCTATTTTTCTTGCCTGATCCGTGGTACACAGCCCGGAGGTCTCAAGCATGCGATTGGTGAGGTTCTTCCCTAGCGTGCCATGGTCCTGATGAAAAGACTCAGGGACCGAGCTTCACCAGCCCCCAGCCCGGGCTTTAGCGTTTTTGCCGAGAGACATATCTGTTATGATTGTGTACATTGAAGTGCACAATATATATCCACTCAAAACTTGAGGCTTGAGATCTATTTCAACCAGCTCCACCATCTGATCTCAGACACCCCTATATCTTCAACCCTTGTGATATTCTCTCGTGTGTTTCATCTCAGCCCCAGTGAACATTCTTGAATCGAAAATCTTGCTTGGAGCGTGTGATGCATGGTTTGCCGGCCACTTCCAATTGGCTTATGCGGTTAAAGCTTCTCTCGGTCCCACTCGTCCAATTATTTTTAGATTCAGGTATCGATTTGTGCGAACTTATACAACCATAATGTGGATATCGCTACACATCTAGAGATTCGATGGGATTCGTCCTTTACCGAGAACCGAAACGTGTAACCAGTCAGTCCGAGGACCTTGGATCCTTGGATGCGTAATTTTCAGTGAAAACTGCCCTGGTCAGTCCACTACCAATTCCCCACATCATCCATATCGAATCAGATCAACTTTGTGATGTCAATTGCGACAACCTAGCCGGCAATTTTTGACTAGGCTAGCCCCACTGTTGATCATCAGGCATCAAGCCACAAGAGTCTATCCGCGTATCAGACCTCTGCTGGTTACAAGCCGGGACCAAAATGGCCTTGAATGCAGTTTGCGGCTGGTGAATGTTTCAAGGATCTTCGTGTTACCCCGCCCTTAGGTGTTGATACTCTGATACCCTAGTACATCAACGCACAGATGACAAATGATCCTCGCCAAGAAAAGGGACCAGATGCTTTTTGTAATTTTATTTGAGATTAAAGTGACTTTAGGTTAAACGTCGATTGTGGCGCCGGTGCGTCTACCCCAGGTGAAGACCAAATTGGCAAATTCATATGTAATGTTAGCAGAAAAACATATCGTAACCTTCAATTTTATAAACGACTCGCTTACAGGAACCTTCAATGTTGACCACTATCTATGCCTCTGCTGCAAGATAGCCGTAGCATAGGCAGTTTACTGAGGATACCTATTCAAAATATGGCTATTTCCCCAGGTGCGGACGATATCCAGGGACACATAGCACCCGTGGACTTCAGTACATGGGGAAAGCACGTGCGCCAACCATGTGGCACATGTGATATACTTGATCCATGTCCACCTGGGTAATGTGTTCATACCGATAAACATTACGCGATTTTCTACAATTGAAGTCCAGGCCTAGCCGAAGACAGACAGATCAGTCGCAAGGTGGATATATTTTGGTTCCTAAAGACATGCCATGGTGGAGTAGCCAAAGCAGGGGAAAACTGCCATTCTAACACCAAGACGAGGCCCGCAAAGATATCGAACTCGATTGACCGGTCTGCTGAAAATGGTATGGAATTTGGTGTGTATGAGTCAGATACACAGTGGGAGGAGCTGACGCCGCACGACCAGACAGATATCATGCATGCGCCAGGTGCCAGAGAAAACAAGGAGAAATCACAGAGACGCCCCCATTCCTTTTTGAGGGAATAAAAAAAGCATCTCTTTCCCAGCTGGGAACTGACACAAGTGAAACGGAAAAAAGTTATTTTTTGATTCATAGGGCTTTGGATATGGGCCCATGTCTTCTCCCACGAATAGAACGTTATCAAACCGCCAACTCCATCACCTCATATCAACATCGGCTCGTTCCGTCGACTTTTCCTTGCCCGACCGACCGTCTGCGCTAAGAAAGGGAATCGCCCACTAGATACAGATTTGCCGTTTAGATGTTGGAGGGGTAGAGCATGACGCGGACGGTGGCACCGAAGGTCTTGGGGGGGGAGGTTGTTGCGGAACTTGGCGCGCACAACACCGGAGTTACCTGTCGGAGGTTAGATTTCGAGTAGACCGTAGAATATAGCGAATCGTCACGTACCGTGAGGACGGGTAACCTTGCCCCAGATCACCCGGATGTTGGAGCCACGGACCTCACGCTTGGCCCGGTAGACGAAAGCGACCTTCTTGCCAAGGTAGAACTGAGCGGCCTTGGAGTCCTCGACACCCTCAATCTTGACCAAGCTATATCACAGTCAGATTCCATTCCATTCGATTATTTCGTTCTGCGTAGGGGTTTATGTACCTGGTGTTGGGGTTGGTGGTGTGCTTGGCGCGCTGGTAGCTCAGGTGGCGACCCCTAAAAAATTCCGTATTAATCTTCCATTCTCATCGTATGTCGTTTGTGTATGTAATTTGGCAGGTGAATATCGAGTGGGTTGTGGTAGGTGTTTGTGGTGTTCCATGTGCGTGTCCATCAATGTTCGATATTCCCTTGCTGATCGAACCACATTCGAACTGGTGCATGCATGCTTTCTAACGCGGCGAAAAGATGAGGACTTACTTAACGTAAACTAGAAAGAGAAATGTTAGCATAATACATTCATTTAGATCGGATCCCCATCCATCCTAATGCGCCCGGTGGTATAACGGGGTTCTTCGATAGATGACGGAGTTCCTGGGGGCGCACTCACGGCGGTGACCTTGTTCCGAAGGCATGTTGACGGCTTTTTCTCTGAGCAGCGGGACAGGAGGAGAAGTCGAAGAAATGACCCGCAAGAGATCAGAAGTCGTTGCCGGTTGTCGTGGATGTCGTCGCTTCGATAGAGTCGAGCGCACAATCAATTTGCAAGGTGTGGTGGCTGACTTTCGCCCTAGTCCCAATTAGGATCTTAGCGACAGGGTAAGCGAGATCCCGTGACTCCACACACTAGGCCAGTTCTGGATGGATCCATGGGTTCCCCAAGGATAAAAGGAATATTCGTATTTCCGGATGCCGAGATCGCCCTGGATCACATAAGCCCATATTTATCACCTGACCTTGACCAATTCGCACTGGATCCACCTGATCAACTATCTACCCCACCGCCTTAAGCTATTCTGCCCAGGTCGGGCTACAGTCTTCCGGACCGGCTTGTCCAAGTCGGGGGCTGGATGCATATCGCTGACAAACTTCACCATGACGACATTACATGTTAACCTACATTTCAGCTCCGGAATTGCGGAACGGCTAATGTGATGATTATATCGGCTTTATCAAAGTTCGACCAGCGAATTAGATGATAATATGTGGTAAACTCGGTAGACCTGGTAGTTCTCCCCCTTATATAGTAACGGATATCACTACTCCGGCGTGCCACAGACCGAAAGTACTGATTGGGAAAATCAGAACTATCCCCCATCCCGCCCCACCATTCTAACTGGCGGGATGGTATGAGGATTGTCATGGAACGATACACGTACCGAATTGTGTAGTAGCTTATACTCACGGGCCAAGGACCAAAGCCAAACGGTTAATATGCTCCGAATCCGGCGTGCTCTGGGCCGAGCGCTTAGATCGGGTCGATTCCCCGGACTTATTGCGACTCACGGGAAAATAGAATCCGTCTGGTATGAGAGATGACAAATGCGCTGATCTCCCTCCTCCACGATTTGGGTCACCGGGGACCTCATCAATACCGTTTACTTACCAGTTATAAAATACAGCTGATGAAATCAAAGAAGTCTTCTCCAGAGTAATAAGACATCTGATTTGGGTTTAAAAATCCATAAGTAACAAACTCTGTGGAGCTTGTGATACCTTCCAGCATTCCAATTGTACAGCTTGCTGATAGGGTGAATTCTGTACCAAACATAGAGTAGTAGCAGCCACAGTAGAATAGAAGGGGGAATCTCCACTCATGAATGCATCACTGACCGCATTATGTTGGTGGTAGCCACTTTTCTTTCCTCATGTACAGTCATACTGTAAGTAGGCTTTTTTCCCTGATCAGTGCCACCGCAACGTAATCCACCTTGAATTCAGGCTGTTTGGAACCGTTTCTAACGATGATAATCTGTAATGAAACCAGGTCACCGTATGTATGAGGTGCTTATCAGATGATCTGTTTCTTTTCTTTTGCTCCATCTCTTGCAGCATTAGCTTCTAGAAGCTCGCAGGATTTAGGTTAGCCTGGTTATACATAGCTTTAAGCCCCCAACAAGCTCGAGGCAGCGGGGTTCATGGGGCCAAAGGGGGATAATCAGAGAAATAGAAAATGGAAAGTGGAGGACAATAGGGATATTATCATCTTTATGTACATACTGCATATGGTACAGGGGAAGTGATGAGCGAGACGGAGTTAAGGTAGCTGCGTGTTAGAATTAGATTAGCTCGATAGTCAAATCCAGGACTTCTTTTATAGGAAATAAGGGCGAAAACAGTCTTAGCCCCGAAGTCCAAGACCATACCCAGTAGGTAAGATCAATACCTGAAGTCATCATTGAAACATAAATTACCCAAAAACCCTCCAAGCCTGCCCCACCGAAAGCTCGTGGTAGACGCATTGAAAAGTACTTGCTCCGCCGGAACCTGTTCCCTTCCCAACATTCCAAATTTAAATTTCCTCCTTCTTCATAATCTCTCTGTCATTATATTACTTTCCCTTTTGATTCATTAAGTTATACCCCAGTTGTGTTGTTGTTGAAAATATGGCCAGTTTGATCAATCAGACCGATGAGCGCCAGAATGCTGGGTGAGTGGCCGCTCTCTCTGACATCACTTTTCCCCCTCTCTCCGGCAGCGGAAGTGTGCCGGCTACACCTCAACCTTCAACCCTTTAAGGAATTGTCGCACTTTGAAGGAGCACACTGCGACCTTTTCAAGTCTATTTTCTTGCTTTGTATTGCTCTGGCCACTCCTCCAAAAACGCATCGCATCGCCTCCATCCTATCCCCCTCCCGCTTGAACCCCTCCATCGGCTGTTATCCACTGCAAATTTTGCGCTCATCAACCTGAGCCGTTTTCGACTGACAATGGCTCTCCAACGCAGCACCATCGAATTGAAAGATGACACCATTATTGTGGTGCTCGGTGCCTCGGGCGATCTCGCAAAAAAGAAGACGGTTTGTGCATTGGATTCATTGGGGGTGACTCAGGACTAATTCGTTTGCCAGTTCCCCGCACTTTTCGGCCTCGTACGTGATTGAAAACTGGAATCGACTACCTGGAGCTCGACTAACCAATGTCTAATTTTTCTAGTTCCGCAACAAGTTCCTCCCCAAGGATATTAAAATCGTCGGATATGCACGGACAAAGATGGACCACGAGGAATTCCTGAAGCGCGTGCGCTCGTACATCAAGATTCCCACAAAGGAGATCGAGGAGCAATTAGACCAGTTCTGCAAGCTGTGCACCTACGTTTCCGGACAGTACGATCAGGATGATTCGTTCATCGAGCTTAACAAGCACCTCGAGGAGGTTGAGAAGGGTCGGCAATCGAAGGAGCAGAACCGTGTCTTCTACATGGCTTTGCCTCCGAGTGTCTTCACTACCGTTTCCGAGCAATTGAAGCGCAACTGCTACCCCAAAACCGGCCTAGCTCGCATAATAGTGAGTTTTGAGAGATTACCGAGGTAAACGTTACCCCTTGGCAGTGTGCTAATACTCCACCTCCCACTAGGTCGAGAAGCCCTTCGGTAAGGATTTGCAGAGCTCGCGCGACCTCCAGAAGGCCCTGGAGCCTAACTGGAAGGAGGAGGAGATCTTCCGTATCGATCACTACCTGGGTAAGGAGATGGTCAAGAACATTCTCATCCTTCGATTTGGGAACGAGTTCTTCAATGCTACATGGAACCGTCACCACATCGACAATGTCCAGGTATGTGGAAGATTCTTCATTAAAAAAAGACGAAATGGATTCTAATTATCGTGTAGATCACATTTAAGGAGCCGTTCGGTACCGAGGGCCGTGGAGGTTACTTCGATGAGTTCGGCATTATCCGTGATGTCATGCAGAACCGTATGTTGCTCTGGATCCAAATGTCTGCATGATACTAATCATCTCTAGACCTTCTGCAAGTCCTCACCCTACTTGCCATGGAGCGCCCAATCTCCTTCTCCTCAGAGGATATCCGTGACGAGAAGGTCCGTGTCCTGCGTGCGATGGATGCAATTGAGCCCAAGAATGTCATTATTGGCCAGTATGGCCGATCTCTTGACGGTAGCAAGCCCGGTTACCTGGAAGACGACACTGTGCCTAAGGATTCGCGTTGCCCAACCTTCTGTGCGCTGGTTGCCTATATTAAGAACGAGCGGTGGGATGGTGTTCCCTTCATCCTGAAGGCCGGTAAAGGTATTTGACCTACATTCACCCTATCAGCAAAGATACTGACCCCTCTAGCCCTTAACGAGCAAAAGACCGAGGTCCGCATTCAGTTCAAGGACGTTACTTCCGGTATCTTCAAGGATATTCCTCGTAACGAGCTTGTCATCCGGGTTCAGCCCAACGAGTCCGTTTACATTAAGATGAACTCCAAGCTGCCGGGTCTGTCCATGCAGACAGTAGTTACCGAGCTGGACTTGACATACCGCCGCCGCTTCTCTGACCTCAAGATCCCCGAGGCTTACGAGTCCCTGATTCTGGACGCCTTCAAGGGTGACCACTCCAACTTTGTTCGTGATGATGAACTGGATGCCAGCTGGCGCATGTTCACCCCGCTCCTGCACTACTTGGACGACAACAAGGAGATTATCCCCATGGAATACCCATACGGTATGTTTCCTGCACCATTCTGCTGTCGACAATTACTAACGATTGCCCAGGTTCTCGCGGTCCTGCCGTTCTTGATGATTTCACTGCCTCCTATGGCTATAAGTTCAGCGATGCCGCTGGTTACCAGTGGCCGGTGACGAACACCACCCCCAACCGTCTGTAGATGGTGGTTAATGTAGCTGTTTACGACGATATGGGCGGTATATGAAGGCGAACAAAATCCAATTATTTGATTTCTCTCCTCACTACTGTTAGCTGGCAGGCCGGGCTGGCGAAAGTCGAGTCGCTGTGATCTCGGTTGGCTAAGCTACAGAAACGATGCTAGAAATGGTGAGCAATGAAAGAACGTTACGCAACACCTCGAAGCTTTTTATTCATGTATTTCCAGGTTTTGTTTATTTCGGTGTTTGCATGTAATCTCGGGATAAAGACCTTTTGCTTTTCTACATGTTCCGGTGCTTCCGTAGTCGTTTGGTATATAACTTGGCCGCATAATCTTTAAGCCCCAAGTCCACGTACGCCATGTTATTCTGTTCTATAAATGGCACATTACTCAGCCGTAGTAATTATCTTTATATTTCTCCACTCCAAGCTACAGTACATGCACCATGGGAAATATATAAATTAGAAAGGAAAAGGTATGTTATAGAACAACGATACCTACCGTATTGACAAGTATACAGCACACGTAACATTGTCACCTGTCATGCTACCCAGATCGGTAATTTCTCGTCAAGCCCCTGGCGGGTCTGACTGGCGATAAGGCGGCCCGGGGGCCCGCATAACAACGCTCAGGCCAGGTCCATTTTTCTCCTACCATCCCATTCACCTTGTCTGCGCCCCGGAAAATACGAATCATTGCCGCGACATCTGCATACTGCTTTCTCATTTCCCCTCAATTGAGCGCCCAATTCCTACCCACGAACCCCCACCTCCCACAGCCCCGGAAGCGGAAACCTCCAACCCGCGCGAACATTGTTTGACACCCCTCAACCTCGAACCGAGTCAAAAATCACGCACCGGGCTCGACAGAGTCAATCTTACCGAAAATTTGTTTCTACATTCGATCGAGTCTTACATCCAGTCCACGTACCATCCACGTCCACGTCTGCGCTAGTTCCCCCGCAACGCCCAACGCGCGAACCCGCCCAAGCCCCAGCCCCAATCGTAATCCCCGGATCCTTACGCCTAAACAATTGGTCGACTTACATTGACCCTGCGCACCACCGAATATACTCGTCTAAGCATTGGGTCCGTTGTGCCCGCGCAGGAGCTGAGCACATGCCAGCGCGCGCATAGGAAAGATGCCGCAGGCTGCACGATGGGCGGGGACTCCCTTTATCAAGGGGAAGTCGGAGTCGACGCGCTTGATGTTGTTGACGTTTAGCTTAGTGGGATTGCAGTGCGTTTCCCTGCAGGATTCCGGAACTGGTTTAATGGCTCTTGGCTGACTGGGTTCGTGTTACGAATAGGTTCACTTGGGGTACTGAAATGACTTGTGAGTATGGACGAGACGGGATTTGTGGAATGGTATCGGATTGGAGCTTGGTCTAACGGGGGGGTTTTTTTTCAGATTGCACGCCGTACCTCCTTCAGCTTGGATTGACGAAGTCGAAAACGTCGTTGGTGTGGATTGCTGGTCCGCTGTCTGGATTGATTATCCAACCTCTTATTGGTGTGATTGCGGATCGATCACGGTCTAAATGGGGGCGGAGGAGACCGTTTATGGTAATTGGGTCTTTTGTTGTGGCGCTTTGTCTTATCGTGCTGGGATGGACAGCGGAGATTGTGGGGTTATTTGTAACGGATCCTGAAAAGGTATTGATGCTATGGAATCCTGGAATTGGGACTGGAGACTAATTGTATTTTGCAGGCCAAGAATGTTACTATCGCGCTAGCGGTCTCAAGTATCTATGCGGTGGATTTCTCCATTAATGTTGGTTAGTGGATATAGACCGGTTTCTGGACTAAGAGCACTGCTTATTCTTTTTTAGTACAAGCATGTTCTCGCAGTCTTATTGTGGATACCTTACCAATTCCATTGCAACAAGCTGGGTCTGCCTGGGGTATGTTTCGATCTTATCTTGTGGATCTGAGTAAAGTTCTAACACTTCGCAGCGGGCCGGATGTGCGCAATCGGCCAACTGATTAGTTATGTGATCGGTTCAATCGACACTGTTAGCATCTTTGGAAGTCTCTTTGGAGATACGCAGTTCAAACAGATGACCGTTATTGCTGCATTTTCGTTGATCGCTGCTGTCGCGGTGACTTCATACTCCGTGAAAGAGCGTGTTCTGATTTCAGCGAGGCAAGTCACCTTCCTGCTGGAAGTTGATCAATATTAACATGTATAACAGAGATTCTGACGGGTCAGCCGGTGCAATCCAAGTGATTTCGCAGCTTTTCAGGACTACAATGGAACTGCCACCGCGCATCCAAGCTATCTGCTGGGCTCAGTTCTGGGCTTGGATCGGTAAGTTTCAAATCTAGGAGATGATGATCACTGCTAACGAAGCCAGGCTGGTTCCCTTTCCTGTTCTATAGTACCACCTGGGTAGGCGAAACTTACTTCCGGTACGAAGTACCAAAAGACGAAATCACCAAGTCAACCGATATGCTCGGCGAAGTTGGCCGTGTGGGAAGTCTTTCACTCGTCGTCTTCTCATCTATCACCTTCTTCAGCTCGGTGCTACTTCCATTCTGTGTCCAGTCGCCTGATACCAAACGCTCTCGCTTCACCCCTCGTCCGCCACCAGGTATGGCCGCCGCACTCAAGGCCTTAACCGCAATTCGGCCAGACCTGCAGACCGCCTGGTTCATCTCCCAGCTCATGTTCGCTGCGACCATGATCTTCGCCCCACTCGCCCACTCCCGCGCCTTCGCCACCGTCCTAGTCGCACTCTGCGGTATTCCTTGGGCAATCAGCGCCTGGGCCCCCTTCGCTTTCATGGGAGTGGAAATCAACAAACTCACCATGAACGGCGTCACAGCACCGGGTATCGCAGCATCATCCACCCGTGCTGGCGTGACGATGATCACTTCCGCTAGTCTCCGTGCAAACTCAGCAGCAGACACCGAGCTAGAAGTCCTTCGACTAAACCACCGGGACTCAGATAGCGACACCGACGAAGAAGACCCGTCCTCTCTACACTCTAATATCCCATCAACGGGCGAGTTAACGGGTATCTACCTCGGTGTACTGAACGTGTACACTACACTCCCACAGTTCGTCGGCACGTTCATTAGCTGGATTGTCTTCACTATCCTTGAGCCCGGCGCAACGGAGCCTCCAAAGGATGGCGATACGTCCGATGCCCACTGGATGAATCTCGATCAGGACAAGCCCAACGCTATTGCCATTTGTCTTTTCATTGGAGCGCTGAGTGCGCTTGTTGCTGCTGAGGCGACAAGACGGTTACGGTATGTGTTATAGTGCTGTATTGATAGATGTGGACATGACGTGATTGAATCATACAAAGAAAAAAGAAAGGACTGAAAACAAGCTTTATACGCGGCCAATACATGTGGGCCTGCTTATAACAGATCTCAAAGTCTACGCAAGAGTCTGGACTTGCGGAGTGGTTGATATACTAATTTTAATGACCATAATACTTGAATATTTGTACAAAAACCCTGCCACGGGAAATAGTTACTATTCCATAGATTCTGTTCCTAAATCCTTGGCTATAAATTAATACACGTATGTAGTAAAATTGGTAAATATCATCTATTTAGATCGAGTTTCTACACACGTCAATACTAAAATCTTAATAGTTTCACATAACTCTTGCTAGGTATTTTGCTATGTCCTTCCAAGGTTTCAGGGGTAATTATTCAAGCTATCATATGATCAATGGCCCTAAACGTATGATATCACAGAGATTCCCCGCTTGGGCGCCTTCCAAAGCTGAACCCCGCTAGGAATTGAGACGGTCATGGATCATTGCGTGGAGATTTCTCAAGGCAAATCGTCAGATCCCTCTATTCATGGCATCCTTTAGATCTGTGCCCTGTAAATAATGACACATATCGAGCGTCTAGGGTTATCGCCCATACGGTATACGTAGAGCTTGGCGATGAAAGGAACCCTCAAGAATCTCCCGCTGCTAAGTGAGTGTCTTCTCTATACACCTGTGGACCTATGCTTTGAAGATAAGCACACAAATAAATCAACGAGAAAAAAGTGGTATTTTTTCGTTCATGGTCTTCGAGGTCATCCTCGCAGCACTTGGGAATACGTTCAGTCAACAGAGGAAAACCCATCAAACGACCAGAAAAAAGAGCCAAAGGAAAAACAGTCATTTCTGCGGCGACTTTTCCGGCCTTCCGTTCATGTCAGGCCAGTCAATACCCTGGATAAGACCGGCCGAAGTGTAAATCAGCGTCAGCATAAAAACAGCATCTTTGGCCGAAGGATTTGCTACCAAAAGTCGTACCACGTGTGAGCATATTTACAGACGGCTACAACGCCGATGTGATCGAGGGCGTCTTTCAGTCAAACAACCGAAACAGTGTTATACAGCACGCCAATGATTTCATGTTAAGTTGGAGCGAGGTAATAGAACAAAGGAAAGAAAGAGAAAAGGAGGAGAGAGAAAAAAGTGAGAAGAAGAAGAAGAAGAAGAAGAAGAAGAAGAAGAAGAAGAAGAAGAAGAAGAAGAAGAAGAAGAAGAAGAAGAAGAACAAGAAAACAGAGGAAAACGAGATTGAGAAGCCTAGCACCAACTGGGTCCACGTATGTTAACAATCTCTGCCTATGACCATATATAGTTACTGATACTGAATTCCATTCTAGGTCCACCGCAGCCAATTGATCCAAGAAGCTCTACTCGCCTATAATCTTCCGTGGGACTGGGACGAGGTAAGCAAGCTGATAACAAAATCCTGGGTTTTATACTATAGAAGTACTTGCATTTTGATATTACATGGATTGATTTTGGGGAGGGCCGGAGGGAAGTTAAGAGGTTCGAGAATTTACGAGGTTAAACAGTTGTGAGGGTGGTTTGATCAACTCTTTCAGCTTTTGTCAAAACCTCACGTGGCTGCACCGAAGAATGAATAACCAATGTTGAATATAAAAAAAGCTCGAGATGACGACAAGGCATGAATATATGGTAATCCTTATCAGATATGGTATGCGGCATTGGGGGATAGAAAGTCCCCGATTCTCGGGGCGTTAAGAGTCCCCTAGTACAAACAGAGAAAATATGACATTGATGAAACTCAACTATTTTAAATGTATTTTACTACCCCACTCTCCGCAACAATTTTTCTTTTCCATAGCCTAATATCCCAAGTTCAGATTTAACCTTCATTGCAACTAATGAATTGAAAAATGATCACGAAAGTCTGGGAACCTCCTTCAGCAGTGTCTCGGCAGCTAACTTGCCGAGGTTGTTGGACGCCAGCGGAGAATCGCCGGTAAGGACAAGCCGATCCCTATGGGTCTCACCACTGATGCTCCTATTGAGAGGCGTGACACCGAGCTTGCGGAGTCGTTCGCCAACATGCCACGCCATCTTCCCAGGTATGTAACCAATATCGATATTGGCCCCCTGGTCTAACGAATCCGGGAAAACATCAATTTGGTATCCGTCGTAGATAAATTTGCTGCCTTCAGGCTTGCCAATGTCGGCGGCAAGCATGCATACCGGTCCATGGCACAGTGAAATAAGGAAACGCTGGTTCTCATGTGCCCAACGAAGAATTTTGCCCACTGTCGCCGAAAAAGGGATGCCGTTCAACACGCCGTGACCACCAGGAACGAAGACCGCGAGATATGGTGTTTGCTGTGTGAAGCCTTTGCCCCATACGTCTTCGAGATTGAGTGGCTTGCGGATTTTGGCCTTGTATTTCTCGTATATTGCCTTGACCGCTTTGTCCTCCTGCGGGAAGGCCCACATTTCAAACTTCACTGGGTCACCAGAAAGAGTAGCAATGTCGATATCGAAGCCTGCAGCATCGAGGTGGTACATGGGCAGGAGCGTCTCTACCGGATGGTTACCAGTCGAAAAGAATTTGCCGTCAGCCATCTGGAGATAACGCTCTTGTGATGCGATCAGAAGGACCTTCCATTTGCCGCCTTTGTAAGGGTTGGGGTAGTTTGCTCCATCGAAGTCCGTCTTGGGTGACGTATACTGGGAGAGCGAGAAAGGGGATGGGAACCAGGCATCGTCTTCAGCTTGGTCTCGTACGGGAGCTCGGTCAGATGAGCTAGACATGTTAACTGCAAAGTCCTTCTACATAAAGGAGAATAATGAGATGATCTCGTCTTTATTGAAGTTTGGTAACAAAACAATTCGAGGTCATTGACGCAGGGCAAGTGCAAGTCTAAGCATTTATATCATTAGATTGTCGCACGAATGCGGACTACGTCCCCGCTCCTGGTGACGTCAAGGATATGGACTCTGACCCAATGTTACTAGGAAGACCTATACGAGAAGGGCCAGAGTAGGCTTTAGCAAGCCCATTTCGGCCCATTAGAGTGGAGATACTATTTTTACATCATTTATGAAAGATATGCTGTATTTTTAGTATTCTAGCTGTTAAATACTATAAATAATATACATACTTTTACTACTAAGAGATAGGGTTTTGCGCACAAAACCCCTACTGCCTGAAATTTCAGGAGTCATTCATTTGCGCAGAAATCAGTAACCCTCATTGATCTGATAAAATTTGATTAATAAACAATAATAAAGAACAACAAAAAATACCTAATTAATTATATAAAATCCAATTGGCTGAGTAGAGCACTTCCGTACACGACTAGAGGTGCGAGATGCGGATAAACTCCTATCATCCGCACTTTCATCTAAACTTTCTTCGGATAAATCCTCTCTTTTTCTCTTCAACCTTATACTCTCTCTTATATACTCTCTTATACTCTCTCTTATACCCTTACTCTTATCCTTACTCTCTTTGATATTACCTAATGTATGAACAATGTCGTGGCTCTTATGCTAAATCTATCCAGACTAACAGAAACTACATTATCATCAAAAAATGGGTCACCGAGGACTGCCAGGAAGAGCTCTTCTTACACACCAAGCGGATCCGTGAAAACAAAGCCACCCAAACTTCTCGATCGCAGACCGAGGTCAAGGTTCGCAAGTAGAAGAGACCATAGCATCGCTTGCGCTTCTTCGCGTCACAAGAGTGAACCTTTGTCACCATCTGCACTATCTATTCAAATGTTATAATGGATGTTGTGGGCACGTCTATGTACTTTGTTTTCTTTATTTGCATCAATCTTTATCTTGAAACATTGACCATACCACCAATTCGCTCTCAAAAATCTCAAAAATGGGAATAGCAAGAGGCGCCCCTCTTATCAGCTTTCAAAGCTATAAAGGGTGGTCAATATGCGTCTGCCGCTGCTGGTGCACGTGCTTTCAACGTGCCAGTTTCTGCCTTGAAGCACAGGATCAAAGGGCGACAATTCTGGAATGAATCCCGCCCCTCCGGCCATAAATATACAGTATTGGAAGAAAAACGCATTCTGCTTCTCAATGAAGATGGCAACACGGGTCCGTACTCCGAAGCCATTAGTACAATGCTAGCGGGCGTTGCTAGGAAACTATGGCAACAGGCCCCGATCCACCTTCCCCAGACGCTCAGCCATCGACACGCATGGCTGCTCGCTGAGAGCGTTCGCCAAACAATTATCGTGTGCTATATGCTAAGAAGCGCTTATTCGTTGAACACGAGAAAATATTCTGTTCGAACGCCGTTTGTGGACTCTTTGCCACTTGATCTGCGAAATAACTTATGGGATGATGATACCCCGCCATCATTGGAACATGCCCTGTCTGATTCTAATGCATCTATGGTTTCTCTACATGAGTGGTCGGATGGCATGCCGGAAGGTCGTGTTCATAACGTTTCACATTTCAGTGAGCTGATTTTGGCGGCTTGTAAAGAACAAGCTGTTTCGACTATTCCTTCTCCGCCATTAGATACTTATATTGACGAGTTTGGATTACGATAATCGTGAAAAGATGTAAATCTTAATGTGAGATTTATATGCAACTGACAGAGGAATTTTCAACATCTATCTAACACGGTTCCAGATACATACACCCTCACCGCAAGAACTGCTTCAACAACCCAGAAAGCAGCTCCGTCATATCATGATACAATTCCTGCCTCCTAATTTCAAACGCATTGAAAATATCCCCAGCCGACCTAACAGGAATCTACTCTTTGCCCTCTACCAACCGTTCCCAAACCTCATCCACAAACTCCTGCAACGGCATCCCAATAAGATGCCCATCCCTCAAATCAGGCTGGTGCTTAGCATCATGAAGCTCAGTCTGAACAGCAGGAGGATAAATCTCCAGAAGCTTGACATTCCCAGACCATCTTGCAACTGAGTGCGCAGCGCGAGAATGAAATGGTGCAGAGCAGCCTTGGTCGCTTCCATACTTCTGGACAAGCTTATCCAAGTTTTCCTGTCTACGACCGGAGACAATCAACTAAGAGCCATTCTCAATGACCTTGTCGGCGAGAGCCTTGCCAATCCCAGAGGTGGCGCCAATGATAAGGATTTTATTGTACCCGAAAAACATTGCAATGAGTGGCGCTTGCTAACAGAATGAAATAAAATGAAACATCCTATCTCCCTTTTGGGAAACTTGATTTAGATACCCCAGCACCGCGAAGGCGACCCTCGAAAGCCATTATGCAAGCTTCCCAGGGCTGCGGAGACTAAACCGAAAACGGACAGCCTTAAAGCACACTGATTGGCCGAAAATCTAAGCTTTCTTTCTCTCCACCGAAGCTTCACCGATTGGTGCATCTTGCGTCATAGAGAAATGAATTGCTGGAAGCAAGATTAAAATTAGTTGGGATTTTCTGTAAAAGCTCAAGTTTCTTTGGCCAGATCGCGACTGGCCTTTTTTTTTTTTTTATAATCTTTCACTCCAGCTGTTTTTGCCTAATATGGACCTGGCTTAGAATTTTAGTGAGGTATCAGACAATCTTGATACCAGACTGGATGATGTCCAATCCAATGAAAAGTTTCAAGAAAGGCCAAACGACTTGACCAAGACCACAAAAAAAGCCGAATAGCCAAATGACCTCAAGTTCTCAGGGCAACATGGTGATTTGTTTCCCATATGTGCATCTCTTCTCGGCACGGTCAGTCTAGATCTAAGTAAAAAAATACAATATGTACTATATTGATATGTACGACGCTTTCCGCCGCACAAACCTCCCAGGCGCATTTTTCGTGGCGTCTAGAATTACTGATATTTCTACTATAACTTCTCCTACCCAGTATCTTGCCATATATACCGCATCTCCTCCCATATTACTGAAATAGTCAAAATGTTTTCAAAAAGGGTCTCCTTAAGTAGCCAACTGGAAAGCAAAGCAAAGAGAAGTGGAAGGACAGGGTTTTGAACCCCTGTCCAAAAAAAGTCTGTGATGTATACAAGTGATAGAGGTGATATATGAAGATTTACATGGTACACAGAAGCTGGGATCTATTCCAATCACAAATATCGGACGAATGAACCTCCGCAAACCCACCAAATCCAATAAAGATGGAAAGAAGACCCCGAAGAATCCCCACCAGAACCCTATAACCGCTAGATAATTGGCTACGGCAATTATTGATTGCTAATCAAGGCTCTGCTTCAAAGTGGGTCTGTGACGAAATGTTGATTATACTTCTTCAGCGGAGCTTAATGCCTCGTCTCCTTTTTCCTCAACGAACACCTCTTAACATCTCCTTACACCACTTTTCCAAAATCAAAAATCAAATCAGAAGTCCAATAATTTCAATATGACCCCTAGCATCCTTGTCGTCCTTACATCCCACGATGAGATCCCCGGCGTGGGACCCACGGGCTGGTATCTGGTACGTTTGTAGCTTACCCCGCCATAGCTCCAAATCTAGCTCCATACTACACAAACGGAACATGGTTACCAAAACAACATAGGTGGATCAATCAGAGAATGAAATCACTAACTGATATCATTTGTAGCCTGAATTCGCTCACCCCTGGGAGGTTTTGCACAAGAAGGCCTCTTTGACTATCGCTTCCCCAAAGGGCGGTAAGGCCCCACTAGACCCGGGTTCTGCGAAGATGTTCGCAGAGGATCCCGTTTCGAAGAATTTCCTTGAGACACAGGAGGGTATTTGGGCGAATACTCACAAGCTTGTGGATGTGTTGCCTCGTGCTGGCGAGTTTGATGCTATTTTCTACGTCGGTGGACATGGCCGTAAGTTATAAGCACTTGTATTGGAGATGGAGATAGCTGACATTATCCATAGCCATGTTCGACTTGACAAACGATCCTACCTCTATTAAGCTGATTGAGACTTTCGCTGCGGCTAAGAAGCCTGTTGCGGCTGTCTGCCACGGCCCCTGCGTGCTTCTCAACACCAAGAATGCTGCTGGCGAGGCGCTTATTGCTGGTGCGGAGGTGACTGGGTTCTCGAATGTGGAGGAGGATCAGGTGCAGCTCTCTGCTGCCATGCCTTTTATGCTGGAGACGGAGTTGCAGCGCGTTGGAGGCAAGTATGTCAAGGCTGATGAGCCTTGGGGTGCTAAGGTTGTTAGCACCAAGTCGAATGGACTTGGAGGCGCTTTGATTACGGGACAGAACCCTGCTTCGGCTACTGGGGTTGGTGAGGCTATCCTGAAGGCTTTGGGACTTTAGATATAAACCCGGATCTTTGGTCTGGTATACAGGGCATGTCTTATAGATAATGAAACATGCGATTGATGTCTCAAATTGACGTAATATAACCAAATTTTAGGATAAGATGGACAAAACAAAGCGATTCGTATGTAAGAGCAATCTGAATGCGCTTGGGGAATTCAGGAGCGAAAGGGGAATAGAGCAAACAAAACAAATAAGCAGATCAGATCAGATCAGTTCGACCCAATTTGGGGAATAAGATGGTGACGATAGTCGAAAAATAGGAAATGAAACCGGATATCTGTCCAGCCGGATCAGGGTCTGGCAATAGAAGTAGCAGGGGCAAGAGAAATAAAACAAGTAAATCGCAGCCAGAAAGATTCCCGTCAATCGTATCGCACATTGGCGAAGGGACATGACTCGGACAGACATGAGACGTGGTCGAATAGTAAACACGAAGAACAGACGTCTGGACGAGAAGATGCGAATGACGAGCGAAAAGAAGATCAAATACTAGGTCTGCCCCTAGGTAGTAATGTCGAAAGGTGGGTGAAGATGTTTGACAATAAAATGAACAGTAGGGATCGATTAACGAGCAGACTCCATGTCGCCGGTGAGTTCAGCGACGCGAGCCTTGATGCGAGCGACACGAGATTCGATGGCTGAAGAATGTTAGTGGGGGAATTGGATATAATCCTGGGGGAACTCACTCTCTTCACCACTGGTGTCTCCTTCGTCTGTACGCTCCGACTGGCTAGTGCGAGTGTCGGGCTCCTCGCTCAGCACAGCAGTCCGCTGAGCAGCATTCTCGCGAATCTGCTTCCACCGGTCCTCAGAGACCTCCTGGGGGCTAATAGCTTCAAAACTCTCCTCGTGACCGTTGGTCGGGGTTTGAGGATGTCCATGATCATTGGCTGGGTTAGGAGTGATCGGACCATCGTCCTCAGGAAGGAAAGCTGGCTGCTCAACGAGAGGACCCTGGTCAAACTTGGAGAATTCCTGGTCAGCAGCATCGCGCTCGTTGGTGTCGACACGGGACAGAGCATCGTATTCAACAGCACGCCTGGTCTGAGGCGGGCTACCGGTGCCGACGAATTGAGCTTGGTGCACCGATTCCTCGAGCTGCTGAGGTGTGGAGGGCTTGGCAAGCTGCACTGGGGCTGGGGTGGAGGCTTCTTGCCCAGCGAACTGACCAGGAACGGGCTTCTTTTTGAGTACAGCCTTGGGGGGAGATTCCTTAGAAGGAGTTTCCTGGGCAGCCTTGGCCTTGGCCTCGAGGGCGGCACGAGCAGCTGCCACGGCCGAGCTGGTGGAGGCCTCGTTGACACCGGGTTTCACAGAAGGCTGGTCGATCTTTTTCTTGCTCACAAACATGCTCTTGAAACCGGCGTTGCCAGTCTTCTTTTTGAGCTTCTTGCTTTCATCGGTAGGATCGGCGGGCTGCTCAACAACAACAGTCTCGGCATCCTTGATCTCCTCAGGGACAGCTACGACTTTGCTCAGGGTCTTCTTGGCTGGCTCAGGTGAGGGCGGCAGCGGGGTGGCCACAGCAGCCGTGTCCTTGGGAGGCGGAGGGGGTCCAGATTTGGATGTGCTGGGTGGAAGAGGAGCCGAAGGCGTCATGGGCTTATCTGCTGGCTCGGCAACGTCCTCAGCAACATCTTCAGATACATTACCGGTTCCTGCGCGGCTGTTGTTAAGGTATGCAGCACGGAAAGTGTTCTTATCGTAGTTGCTGGCCCACTTCATGGCCGATGAAGCCTCATTCACGATGCCCGGCTGAAGAGTGAGCACCGAGTTAGTCTTGGTCGAGTAAGCGTCAGAGCGAGATTGACCCGCGGAATCCTTCGCTTCCGCCTCTTGCTCACGATGCTTCTTCTGAAGGGCGGCGGCAGCGGCTTGAATTCGCTTGTGCTGATCGGGACCAATGCTAGTCTTACTCTGCGGGCCCTGATTGTTGGGACGCTTGTAAGAATCTTCCACCGAATCCACCTTTCTGGCGGAAGATTTGCGACGACCGAGCTTTGTTCCCTTCCGACTACCGAAGCTGAAGAAACTCTTCTTCTCGACAATTTGCGCGCCAGCCTCCGGCTCAGGGGCAGCACCCTTGATCTGCTCCTCCAAAATCAGCCACTTGGTTTCCCGAATGACTGTTTCAAGGAGGGCACAACGACCAAACACGGCCTTGCGGGTAGATGGCTCATCGCCGGACAGACTGGTGATCCAGACCCACCAGAACGAGTCATCCAAATCCAAAGTGGTGATGCTTGCCAGCTCAGCCGGTTCAAGGGCTGGCTCAGGGGCCAGGGTGCGCTTATGCGATTGGGAACTCTGGCCACGAGTGGCAGCGATTGGGGGCAGGACCTTGTCTGGTGGCAGGAGGAGACCAACTGGGTTCTTTATTGGATTGTCGTCCGAGAAGCCAGATGACATAAAGTCCGCCCAGGATGGGGTTGTGGGACGTCCCAGATCACCACCCTGCGAGCGAGGCACGGTACTAATGCTAGCAGCAGTGTTCACCTTTGCGGTAGCCGGAGCCTGCCTCTCTTCATCTTCTGGATCTGACTCAATGGAACCACCAAATCCAATATCCTCGAAACGAGACCATGAGGCGTCCCGCAAGCTGGTTGACTGCTTCGAACTGGAAACACTAGACTCATTGGTGGATGAGATACACCTCAGCACACGCAGACACTCATCGGTCAACGCTTTGATCGGATCCTCGAAGTTGGCGAATTCCTGCAGGTGCCAGTGGTCATCGCGGTATTCAAAGTTCTTTGCGCGGCGCAACAGAGAAAAGGGAGTAGGAGAGACGGTATCAACAATCATAACAACTTTAGTGGTCGTAACTTGGAGCAGCGTCGGGGTTTCCGGGGGATATTCGGTCGCCTCCACGAGGGATTGGAGGGAGATAGGGAGCGAAGAGATGCCGGTCACCCCACGAGAGGTATCGGGGACAAGCGATCGCAGGTAAGCAAAGAACAGGTGGCTTGTCGCATCGGCGGCACTATATTTAAAGTCAGGGTTTATTCGAAAAAGAGATTTGGAAGCTCTCTTACGCAGCCCAATTTTTATAGGAGGCCTCGAAGCCCTTTCCAGTATCGTGGTGTTCAAAGGCCCACCATCCAGCGTAGCGCGATAGCTTGCGGCCGCCCAAACCATTGGATTTGCCGTGAGCCGCAATCGCTGCGAGAAGGTCGAAGAAGTCATTGATAATCTTGGCGCGAGCATCGGTGTCGACACTGATAGGGATGAACGTTGAAAAAGCATCGCGGGCCAAATCCGAATCTGGAGATTAATTTTAGCGGATTTGGTCCCCCACAAAATCCCGATGCGCGTACCTTGTTCGCCAACCTTGAACAATTCATATGCCTCCCACGTAACAACACCGCCCGGCAATCTACTCCAACACCATTTCAAAACACTGCAAAGAACCTGTACGACGAATCAGTGACCGCCGTATGGTATTGTTGCCAAGTGAATAATTCTCACCATCGGCTCATTGAGCCGGAGCTCCTGCATCAAGGCATCACCGCTGACCGGGGCACCTTGCTCAAAGGACTGATTGAAGTAGTTTCGGATGAATGTGCGGGCCGCACTAGGATCGGAACTGGGACGGAAAGGAAGGAGCAAGAATGGGGTGTCGAGAGCTAAATTGACCAAATGATCAGCAATCCGAAGTATGCGCGTGGCAGCCGTGACACCACCACATGGTTTGGATGGAAATTCGTTACCTCGCGCCTTCAATTCGTGTGCACAGCCTCGGATGAGCTCTTGCACCTCCTCGGGAGCCACTTCAGTCCGTTGCCAGGCATCGGTCCATTTAGGCTTCGCGGGGACAGGGTTCGCGGTGGCAGCTGGTTTGGTCTGCTTTTTAGTCGCGGTGGAGTCTTTGCTTCGAAAGACGCGAGAAAAGAACGGCATAGTTTCGAATTCACGCGACCGCTAAGCTTGGGTAGGCCGTTGTGCTCGATCACGCGTGTCCGTCGGTTAGATCCGTTATTATGGAGATCTGTGTCAACAAATAGCCATTAGCGGGGGGTTTCAAAAGGGGACTGGACCGCTGCAGAAGACTGACCGGTAATTTAACGACTGGGAAGAAGTGAGGAGAAGAAATTCCAAGATTAACCCGGCCGGGATGTCCTGCAGCCCCGGGGGTGACAGGCTCAGGCAAAAAAAAAAAAAAGAAAAAAAGAAACAAAAAATTAGGAAAAGAAAATGAAGCGATCTCCTTCCGGAGTCTGTGCTCTCTGCTGGAGAGGGGAATTTAGGGCAAGGGAACAAGATCAACCAGTGAATCAAGATCAAAACGAGAGGATAGAAGGAAAGATGAAGAGCCTCGACAAGAAGAGAGACAAAGTTGGTGAACTTCAGGGGTAAAAAAACGGGATCGAATCACACTAACCGTTGGGTCTCGACCGCCCCCCTCTTTGTTGCAGTTTTGCGTCGAATGTTTTGGTCTCTTGTTTGGTTTTGGCTTTGTATTGAATTATCTTTAGTAGGAAGTAAGAGCTAAGGTATAGAGAAGAACCGAGTGGAAAGAAGTATAATGTATGACCTATACTCCGTACTAAATGTGCGGAGTGGATGATACCGATGGCGATCATCATCTCCAAAACTGACTTTATTGGATCCAGGGTTATGGTAGACACGATCCTGTCACAGTAATTGGAATTGGCTACGAAGCTGTCAAGTCCACTATAAGGGTCTTAGAGACTTTAGGTGACTATTGGGAGAGAAGGATTGTACAGGTCCATTGGTGGCAGCCAATCAAGACTCGAATCGGTGAAGTTAGATCTTGGCTATAATTGAGCCAGGATAAGATATGTGAGATATATGAGATATAAGCCTTGCCTAGGTACTATACGCTATACACTATATACTACACACTATATACTATACACATGGTGCTACCTACTATGTTTGGTAATGGAGATGAAGCAACGGGAAATATGAAACGTGGGAATCAATTAAGTTTGATCACGGGGACAGCTTCAATGTTTACATAATATGCTACAAGTAGTCACTATATCAGTATGTATCGATAGTGAACTACGGAGTAAGCTCCTAAGTGAAATGAAGCTTAGGCCAGGCCCCTAATATCAGCAGCACTGACATCTTTTAGCCGCGGACCCTGATCTTGATGGGAATTCGGCCAATAATCTAGAGATCACGGGATCCACTGTGATAGCGACTACATGAGAATTACATAATCAGTTATTAATAGAATTCAGCCTCAGGCCACCACAGCTTACATGATCCAATCCCTTTCCTTTTTCTTTCCCTCGAACATGAATGATTCTATCTTTAGAATCAACCTTTTCTGCATCATCTATCAGCCCCCCATCCCCGTCTACTCCACGGTATCGCATTAGTGGTTCCCTTTGAACACTTTTGCCCTCCCCCAACTTTCATTCATTACTTCACCTTTATTTCTCCATTCTCCACCGTGTCATAGACATTGCCCTCGAGACTTTTGAAACTTTTGAAACCCGCATTCGCGCAATACTTCCACAGCAAGCTTTACTTCTTATATGTTTCTGTTGCGCGGCGCAATACATAACTTTTCTATCGAAGTAATCTCGAGTCGCCTGTGCCGGTTATAAAACCAGCCGTCCCTGACGAGGCGACTCCTTTCACTATACTGTCGCTTGCTGGAAAATAGCTCAAAATGGGTCGCAGAAAGATTGAAATCAAGGCCATCAAAGATGATCGCAATCGTTCAGTGTAAGTTGACTAGATATATCTTCTGCTTCATACTAATGTCTCTCGCAGTACATTCCTGAAGCGAAAGGGTGGTCTCTTTAAGAAAGCGCATGAGTTGGCCGTTCTTTGTTCCGTCGACGTCGCCGTCATTATCTTCGGGCAAAATAAGAAGCTCTACGAATACTCCTCATGTGACATGCACGATGCGCTTGCGCGCTACCAATATGTAAGTGATTAGTATTCTCAGTGGCATGAAGCAACAGCTAATGGGAAATTCTTCAGTTTGGTGGCCCTCACGAGCACAAAGGTCCGGATGATTTCTCTGGCAAGCGCGACGACGATGATGAGGAAGATGATGACCACACACCGGCCCCCGAGGAAATGCAAGTTCAACAAACTCACACTGCCGTTCCCCCTCACCTCCACCAGCCCGGTTTCCAGCATGTCAACCATGCGCCTTCCGCGTCCCCTCCCATCACGAACGGTCTCCCGCCGCGCCATGGTACCCCGCAATCCCAGATCTCCCGCCCATCGTCAAGAAATACCCAGAACACACATGTCCGTCGCGTCAGCTCAAATCTCGGTCCCAATCAGCATGCCACACCGCCGCCACCTGCGCAGAATGGCTATTACATGTCAAACCCGTCCATGTACAACCCGAATGTTCACGCTGCCATGAATCAACCGCGCCCCGGACAGTACGCTCAGTATGCTCATCCTCCAGCTCCACAGGGAACACCGCCTCAGGGAATGCCCCATCCACATGGTCTGCCTCAACAAATGCCTCAACAGCATTTCCAGCACGCACATAACGTTGCCTCACAGCAAATGGGAATGCCACCGGTATCACATGCACCGGTACAGCAGATACCACAGGCTTACATGTCGGACCAGGGGCGTGGATCGATGCCTCCATCTTTTGGTTCTGATCAGAAGCGCGATATCCCGGATCGCTCGGATATGGGTCTGAAGCCAGACAGCCAATCACCACCCCAGCCGAAATTCCTGTCCAAATCTCGTAGTATCTTCACGCCGATTGACGATGGCGGATCTGTGCTAGCCCGGCATTTTGGAGCGGGTCCCTCGATGTACGAGTCCCCCCGTGTGAATCAGAATATCAAGCCAGATGTATCACATGAGGATCTAGCACCAAAGGTAGAATCTACGGAGTCTCGTACACAGTCGATCCCATCAGTCTCGGATATTAAGCCACCCCAGAGAACCAACAGTGGTCAGATCCCATCGAAACGTCCGCAGCTGAAGGTCCAGATACCAAGTGAGAGCTCTGACAGGGGTAGTGCAACGGCCGACTCGTCTTCACGCGATTCCGCTGGCAATAAGACAACACCTGCCAGAGGGAGTGGGGAAAACCCTCCGCCAGGTGGTGTGGTTTTGCCGCCGCCTTCGCCCTCGGCTGGGGCAATCCTCAGTGCAGGTGCCCAAGGGCCCCCGAACCCGTTCGCTCGTCCACCACCCCCTGGCACCCAGTCACAGAGCAATGCTTATGGGAATTCCATGAACAATGGCAATAGCTCCAATAACATTGAGACACCAATTTCCGCCCTGCCAAGTCGCTTCGTCTCAGATGCCCTTCTTCCATCACCGTCCAGCTTCTTCCCCGATTGGGGGTATGGCCGTTCGGGACCAGACTCCAGTCTTCTGCCTAGTCCCCTCAATTTCCCGACGCCCGCCTTGCCAAGTGGACCAAGCTTTTCAAGAGAAGATGAACAGGACAAGAAGCGCAAGAGTCCAGACAGCGGGACACAAGACGAAGGCGTAAATAAAAAACCAAAACCCTAAGGACGTCGTTCACCCCCCCCAATCCATCCACTTCCCTTACCCTCGCCGACTACCAACCCTCATCCGATATCCCGGCTGATATCATTTCCTCCCACCAGTCACCCTTTCTATTCTACCTCAATTGCGTTTTTTTCCTGATTTGGTTGAGTCCAGGATCTTCATGCTCTTATACCCCGGCTATATACCTTTTCTTTCTTTATCTGTCGAGTGTTATATTTTTTCTTCCAATGGTACTTATCTGATGAATTTGATTTGATATATTTGATTTTCTTTCATATCTACTGAAATTTCCATTCTATGAATGTTCTCTTATGAATTTCTTCTTCTATCTACTTTGTTGTCTGACGGCGTGTATCTGTTCACGTGAGTACGGATGATGTATGTACAGTTTGATCCCCCAGGATAGCAATGGCAAATTCTATTTACAAAGAGTATTACAAGAGAGAGCTTACCAGGATCTCCCTAGCACGATGTAACCCTCGAGCCTCTCCTCACCCAAATAGCCGAAACACATTTGCAGATCCTAACCATGTCTGCAACACGTTACAGAGCCTCGGCGATTGAAAGTGGGCAGAAAACAAACCCCGAGCCCCGAGCTTGGAGTATAAAAGGTCGTCGTGATGGCTAAACACCGCTTATCCTTCTACATCTTGATTTTCACAAAGGACACGCCAAACAATCTTACTTACTCTATTCGTTTACTACATAACACTACAATGACTCTTACCGGTAGCTGCATGTGTGGTGTAATCCACTACTCCGCTGAAGGTATCTCAACAACTACCATGGACCGGTAATCAACAAAGCTAAATGGTCCTAGTGGACAAGTACCTCGCCGCTCTCTGCCACTGCACTGATTGCCAGAAGGTATGCAACGCCATTCTCATCCTATAACACGACATATCTACATGATACTAACTTGAACTTTCCAGTGGACTGGAGGCGCCTTCACCTCTAACGCCGTCGTTCCCCGCAGCAGCTTCAAGGTAACAAAGGGTACGCCAAATCTCTACACATAATTACCTATCTACCCATAATGTTGAGGTTCATCCATTTACTCAATTGATGCGCCTCTGAAGTTTTGCCAAATCGAACGAACCTTGCTAACAAATTGAAAGGAACCCCCAAAACCTACGACGCCGTCGGAAACAGCGGCAAGGTTAATAAGCATTTCTTCTGCTCAAATTGTGGATCGGGACTGTATACTGAGCTGGAGGTTATGCCTGATATGCTTTGCGTTAAGGCCGGAGGTCTGGACAATGAGGACGCTAATCTCGGTGGGAAGATTGATATCGAGTTTTATGTTAAGGATCGACCTAGTTATCTATCTGCTGTTGAGGGTGCGAAGCAGGAGCCTATGTTTGGGTAATTATCTGTGACTTTATTTCGTGTGGCCAGATGGTTTGGCGTATAGCTCCTGGGGTTGGGGAGCTCGGTGTTTGATGCGGGGTTCGTGATAAGATTGCGGGGGTGGATCAAAAGCCGGATATATCTTGGTTTGTTGCATTCCTTAGGATAAGAATTGGAATGGAATCAATCCACGAAGAAATTATTTAGGTGGATTTGATGAGTTTTTAGAAATTAACCTTTAATGCAGTTTTCGCAAAGGTTGGCTGGTAGTTGAGATACTATTCCATTTGCCAGCTCTTGGTCTGTTCAAGTCTCAGCAACATACCATGCCTGCAGATTGTCAGATATCAAACACGAAAGAATGAACAGAGAGCAATCCCTTCCTCGCGAGTCTATCAACAATGCCCTCAATAAAGACAATATCCATCTTATACCTTGACTCATCCGCCATGAATATCTGATGCGCAACCCTGAGCGGGAAAAACGTAGATGCCGGACCAAAGAGTTCCATCTCGTCTTGTAACAAATAGTCCATACTCCTGTAGATTTTCCGCGCAAGTGCTATCATGAGCAAATCATTCTCATCAATGCTGGAACCGAGCTGCGGATATAATCCCCGAGATGAGCGGGGTAGATAAGAAGATAACCGCTTGATTTCGGTCATGCAGATAATCTGGAGGGCCCATAGATGAGTGAACACATTTGCCATCGTGATATTGGGATACCGGAGAGGGAGAACTGTATCGTCTGAGGCGTTGCCAGAATGCCAGTAGGGAGGACCACTTTCAACGCATAGCAGAGTTTCCCAGTTGCCCAGGCGTGAAGTCAAGTCAACAAAAGAGCTAAAAACCTGATTGGTGTGGGAATCAATTGTCAATGCCGAGTTTCTGATTAGCAAATCGGCTTGATGTAGGAGCGAAGGAAGCGTGATAGCTTCGTTAAGGAGCTGCTGCATGAGCGAGGGGCCAAAAGTGGAGAATGGGGTATTGATCCAAGCTGGTAAGGCCAGAAAAGTTGGATGGCGATGTTGAATAGCTTGGATTGTCTGGAATCATCAGTCAGGATAGGTTACCAGGGCTGACGGGGCAAGGTAGGCACAAACCAGAAGAGGTCGGAATCCCACAAACAGCTTATGAGGAAACCCATCTTTACAGACACCCGGTCCATAGACCTGAAACAAAAGTCCAACAGCCTTGATATGCTCCGCTATAGCGGCGGCAGAATCTGGAATCATAAGCTTGGAAAAGTAAGCAAATTTACATACACTCGAGGATGAGAGTAAAGTACCTCCGCCATGGCGAGACACATGGCCGTCGGGATCATCTCAAATTTAACTCTGGCACCATTCACACCAAAGCTTTTCCGGAGTGCATGGATAGCGTCATAGTAGCTGCTGGAGCAATCCGCGTTGGCCATATTTGGCCGTGATAGGATTGAGGCTGCCAATGCTTTGATGGCTCTAGACAGCACCAAGCTGCCAGTGTTGAGACATGGGAGGATGGAAAGGACCTCAACCCAGGAGCCGCATATTCTAGGCTCCACGTAATCTGAAAGGGATCTGCTTGTGGCTCTTTCGCTCTCGGGGACAAAGTTCTGCGCGATGAATTCTGAGAGATGGTTTGCATTTGGCTGATTCAGATACTGCTGGGGTATTAGGGGTCCAGCTGAAATTGCGTGTAATTGTTGGCTAACGAGTGACGCTGCTGTTTTGGTTTCCACTGGGTTTGCTTTGTCTCGTCTTCGATTTGAAGACTTCGAGGCATTGTGTTCCAGAAATTTCCAGTCTGTTGGGTAGCCATCACATCTGAGTCCTGAAAATATACATTGACCACATTCAGGTGACTTCCCGTCGCACTGGAGATAAAAAGGTTAGTGTACTGATGCGACCAAGACTTTTGTGGTCATACTCCCAACTTTCGCCTCCTGCAAGCCTGGCAGACATTTCTCTGTTTGACCTTCATATCGGCAGTGGAGTAAGCTCCAAGTGGAATCAAATGGACCTTGGAATCACATCCTCCTCTGATCAGCAATGCACGAAAATATTTCAAATCTGCAGAGGATGAGAAATGAAACCGATAGAGTGATCAATATGCTGACGTCATCTTCAAAGTCTTGGCGGATTTTACATCCTAAAGCGGTTAGTCTGTGAAAGTATATCAAATTCATTTTCTTTGCTTTTTGCTTACTTTTCATCCGAGCTAAACGAAGTCCCCGCCAAGCGTCCAAATTAGGCAAAATATGCCGCCAAGATATCACGGAAGACGGCAAGTTATTTGAATACATGTTTCCATGCCACCTCGGCTTAGCTCTTAATCTGCACAACTGGTAGCCTTGGCGGAATTTGCAACTGGAACAGGCAGATGAATATTTGGAATCTATAAGAACAGTGGCGTAGTGAACTAAAATGAATTAATAATTGACTTGAGCGCTTGTCGTCTCACTGACCCCCAGTGAATACTATATAAGTAGAGCAAATCGCATTCAAAACCAAACAGTATTCACCAAACACCTTCAAAACATTACCCATATCTTCAGCACATTCACCATGTCCCCATCAACCTTCAAGAACAGGTTCGACATCACACACATCGGCACAGCCACAGCCATCTTCGAGTTCGACGGTGTCAAATTCTTGACTGACCCCTTCTTCTCCCCCGCCGGCTCAACCTGGGACGTGGGCGGTGGAATCATCCTCAAGAACACCGAAACACCAGCTCTCGGCCTCGAGAACCTCCCACCAATAGACGCAATCCTCCTCAGCCACGAAGACCACGTCGACAATCTAGATGAACTAGGCCGCCAGCTCTTGAATGGCCGACACGTCTTCACCACCGTGGACGGTGGAAAGAACCTCGCCCCCCGCCCAGCTGTCCGTGGCATGAAGCCATGGGAAACGACCTCCGTCATTCTTGGAGGTCAGACTTATGAAATAACCGCTACGCCATGCCAGCATCTACCCGGCGGTGAATGCACGGGCTTCATTTTGACGACAGAAAGCTTCGGCGTCCACTCTGATGGTCGGCCTAACGCGATTTATTTTTCAGGGGACACTGTTTTCGTCAACGAGCTTGCGAAGATTCCTGAGAAGTTCCATGTCCTTGTGGCGGTGATGAATCTGGGATCTGCTCATGTTGAGACTCCTGGTGGGCTGCTTCAGGTTACTATGGATGGTAAACAGGGTGCTCGGCTTTTCCGGGACATTCAAGCTGAGTATTTGGTTCCGATGCATTATGAATCCTGGGGTCATTTTACGCAATTTGGGAAGGACTTGATGAATGCTTTTGATGAGGAGGGAATCTCGGACAAGGTTCGCTGGCTTACACCGGGTAAATCAGTAAACATTCTGTGAGAATGGGGCTTCTACCGTTGAGGTTGAGGGATTGGCAGTTAATGTATTTATGATGATATCGATTACTTGCAATAAGATAATAAATCGTATTTTTTGCTGCGTTCATTCATTTTCAAATCCTTGACCGCTCAATTATGTTTTCCTCTAGAAAGCACCTTGGAATGCTATCGAGAAACAAAGTGAAACGATACAAAAACATAATATATTAAACATTCATAAATATATCAACATGTTGCCGGCATTTCCGTTTATCACCGACATTTTCACCACTGACCCTTGGATGGAAACCTCAATTGGCGGTCCTCGTTATCGTCCCAAAGGTAGAAAATCTAAGCACTATGGCAACTCATTACATCTTGCTGCAATTACTGCAGGTAACTCATCGTGGCCCACTGGGCCTCATTCAAGCCAGTCATCATACCCATTATAATTATCCACGCCAGGTGGTACATTCATCCCCAAGCTCTCGTGTGTAGTTAGTTCATGGTTCAATCAGACAGACCAAGACGTTTCCAAAGTTGCACCCCTAGGATGAGTTCGAGTTGTCTGCACAGCTGAAAGCAGAGCCTAAAAAACAGTCAATCCTAATTCTATAGTGTGGAAGGGACCGAACCTACCAATCGTTCCTGAGGCGTAGGCATCGATGATTTCAAGTACGACACCGTAGGTCGCACCAACTAGGAAGAATACTCCCAGTAGTACCATTCCAATGTGTAGCAGGAAAATCAGCTTCTGCAACAGGGTACCTCTCCAGTAGTCACGATTGCTGTGCAGCCACAAAAGGCCGGGCAGCGACATGGCAAGAGGAGCAAAGCAAACGGAGCCGACCAGAGCAATCAAATAGTTGAAGATAGGGATAGCCTCGGCGAGGATGAAAGAAATAGCACCGAGGAAAATTGTGCAGCTCATCCAGGTAGCCCAGTGAACAACCGTGTTGGATTGCAAATGACGGGTATTACCCAAGATCCGCACGAATATGTATTTAGCTGCAATCTAACAGAAATGTGAGTCCTGAACCCTTGATTTGATCGAGAACACTCACATGCAGGTAAATTGTGGCGCTCATCACCAGCCCAATCAATGCAACACCGTAAGATACCATCTTGATGGTTTGGCCGGCACTCTACATGACAAAGTTAGCCGATGCACTTGAATATGATGCCAGTGAGAAAATAGAAAAGACATACACCCAAGGACGGACTAGCAACCCACTGTCCACACCAACGATAGACGACCAAGCTGAAAGCCAGGTATGACGCCGTGACCAAACCCATGCACAGGTACAATGCCTTTTTGTAGTCCTTCGGGTTCCGCATCTCCGACATCACCGGGAGGAAGGCGCTGGTACCAGCCGTGGAAACGAAGATAGTGCTAGAAGCAACCATACCAGCGGCAAATCCAGGATTGTTAATGGCTAGGTAGCCAAGCTCATAGGGGCCCTCTTGGGGTGCGGCGGCGGGACGGTCGCGTGTCGTGACTGCAATAACAACGATGAAAACCGCGGCATAGATCGAAATAAAGCCTGCGTATGTGAGCCAGCCCACATGTTGGAGTTTGCGCACCGAAGCTGTCGCAGTGATCACGACCGTCGCAATAAAAGACCACCATACAGTGCAGGCAGCGTGATGCGAGAGGGCGTTCAACCCAGTTGACACTCCAATGATTCCACTGCCCACGACTAGCACGTAGCCGATCAGAAAGATAATACCCGTGAGCTCCTTCGCGAAGAAACCGCCAGCGACCTCCGCCATATCAGCGATGGAGTGGCAGTGAGGATGCTTCTTGCGGAAGTTGCCCAAAATGATAAAAGAATAGGTGTTGAAAGCGCCCCAGGCTACTATACTGATCGCTCCACCCACTGCACCAAGAGAGTACAGGGCCGATGGCATCGACAGCACACCCGTTGCGAAAAGAACCTTCACCATAATAATGCACGCCTTGAACCAGCCGACGTTGCGAAAACTGACACCATCGTCAGTCTTCTTGAAGACCTCCTGCTCCTCGAGAGAGTCCCGGGGGCTTCCAAGTTCGGCATCGACAACGTGGACCTTTTCGTCGGTAGTCATGTTGGCGAAATTTCGTTGCAATTCAGAAGCACCAGGCTGAAAAACAAAAGCACCAGGCTGTGAAGAAGTAAAAAAGATTCCAACGCCGGGGAAGAAGGTTTTTCATAGCAGTTCAGCGTGGCCATGGCGGTAAACCAGTGTGGATATTTGAGTTGTAGACGACGGCACATAGTGTCAATTAGCGCGCTGGAATTCTTTAGCATGTTTACATGGAGTTGCGGATACGCCCGAAGAGACGCTCTCCCCCCACATAGCTCAATTATTGATTCGCAGTGAATTACAGCCAATGAAGCGACTGGTTAGCCAATTGACCAAAGAGGAAAAGATTGTCGCTTCTTTTCTGATCTAAAAAAGCGACCCACAACTTGCAAAGTCTATCGTTAGATTAACGAAAATGTTAACTGAATCCTTGGATCCTTCAGCCCTTAATCTTAGATCCATTGGCTGTCTTCTCCGCCATAGGATGCTGATGCAATTAAAGCATAGGTTTTGACTTGCTAAGTTGCTCTCCTCTCTACATTTTCAAATCGATTCGGTGGCGCGTGCTCCCGCGGAAGTGGCTCTTGTAGGTACGGTGGCGTAGAGGGGCCAAAGCTCCCATGAATCAAGTGGCAGAAAACGATAACGAATCATGAGCTAGTCTCTACTCTTAGCTCTGGCGCCTCTGGCTAGATTTCTCAAAAAATCTTCACGACCACTATAGGAGCCGACCGTCCCAACGATTTGAGTAAACTTCGTAAATGTTGGGCACTGGGATACTGTCTTGGATAAGTTCGATTTAAGGGCCCCCGGAGTTGCGGACCAATAGCATGAGAAAGACAAGACATGAGGGATTTAAGGTGTCACATTTCAAAGTCCAAATCGGCTAGAGCAAGCAGAAAGCTAAAAGAACACGTGGGAACCTGCAAGGTACAAAGGTACAGTCTCATAACCCGAACGAGTACTATTGGACGTAGCGAGGTAAAGACAACATGCAGATAGAAAAGATCTGTTATAGGGAAAATTTATATAGAGCTAGAATCATGGAGATAAAATCCAGAGACTTAATATCACACGAACAACAGTGAGGGCCACCACGAAAGCCGCAGAATCGCAGGAAGTTGAAAAAAAAAATCCCCACGAACATAGTGGTGCTTGTAAGTAACAGCACCCGCCGTGACTTTATCGGAAACTCGATCTCCCTTCATCCTGGGCACGGTCCAAAGATAGATAAACACGCTCCTGGCCTACCATTGCCCTTGGAATTTGCTCGTTCAGCTCATTCACGCATTGCTTCGTAATGGTAAGTCTTGGCGCTATGAGCTGCCAAGAGGAAAAAAGACTCCAATACTGTAGGAAAGCGCACAGAATAGTGAGTGAATCGGGGATATGGAGAAAAGAGAGAGCCTAGACCACAATTTAGCTAGTCCTAAAAAAGTCTAGCGCGCTGCCCAGGTAAAATGATGACCCGGACACCAACAGCAACATATGGGTTGGCTTCGTCCCCAAGGACATAAGGTGGGTAGATGGCAATCTATAGCGCCTTCTTGGCGCCTATGGGCCGCCAAGCGGGGATGATGACCGCAGTATTTTATGATAACAGCTTCACACAGAACAGTATGTGATATTTGGTACGGAGAAATGGAGAATAGAGAGGGCAGATAGGTCTGGAGGTTATGGCCCAGCTGTGCTATCCACCTGAGGGATGTATGAAGAAGAAATTGTCGTCTCATATTACTCTGTTTCCACACGAAACGCGTGACAGATACTGAGCATACTCGGAATTCGGATTCGGTGAAGCGCAAGCGCTCGGTGGAGGTGGTGGTTCTCTACCAAGTGTAACACTTGGAGACCTGACCGGATCAGAAAATTCTAATTGGATCACTGCGGGGCGTGAATACACTGACACAATGGAGAGGGTCTGCCCCTAGTCACCGCTGAACACTAGTACACTACTGTCACTCCGCCAAAGGACAAATCTTTGTCTCTTGCCTTTCGAGATAATCGATGCGCGATGCTCGATAAAATTTTGAAGCTGTGCTTAGGAGTCATCCCAAGATGGTAAGAATTTTGAGTTTTGGGGTCTGAGCTTTTGTCCAAATTGGGTGCGCCGGGGTCCCCCGGACCCCCCTCATATATTTGCTAAAACTCCGGTTGGAGGGACTGCCTACCCGCCAGTTTGTGCTGCGGTGGCGGCTTCGGCACTGCTTTCAGAAGTTCCGTTCTTGCGGGCTTGTTTGGGTTTCTTGTCCAGCTTAGGTTTGGCTACGGACAAAGATTTCGAATGATTGGTGTATAAAGAGGGATAGATTTTAGACACGTTCGTGAAGTTGTCGCGACGGCGACGCTCGACCATATTGTGAGAGGCACGACTGTATTGTTGAAGCGGATTGATCATCCACATCTGTAGGGATACCGAAGCACACGTTGTGTACTTCTTCGTAGAGTTTCCTGGTGACGTGATCTCGTCGATCCAGTGTAGTCCATGGCAGTCGGGACACTAATCATCCATCCTGCCGATATCAAGTGGCTCCCAGCGTGCCATCGACGCCGTGTACGCGAGGGGAACGTCATGTGCTGGAGGATTTGGAGCCCTAGAACTGATGCCGTCGTGTTGACGGTTTGATACTGACTGAGTTCGTAGTGTAATGCGAGTTGTATGGGTTGTTGGGGAGAAGCGACGGCTGTGAGTACGGCAATCTTGAAATCGGGCGTATCCATGGCTGATCAATGAGCCCGTAAACCTCGTCCGACAGCCACTGCAGTATGTCTTTTGCCGTTGAGATCGTGGAAGTTGGCTACAGCCTGTGCATCGTGTGGATATCGTGAAGCCGTGCAGTGCAAGAGGCTCATCACAGAATAAACAGAAGAAGCAGCCAACTAAGCGAGGTTCAAAAGTATCAGCCATGCTAGGAAGAGAAAAGTGTCGGGGCAATTCCGCGTCGAACCGACACATGTGCACTGAACCTCTATCCGCATATTGAAAATGAGGGGCCCCACTGTCGAGAATCATCTGTGATCTTCGAAGGTTTCTTGCAGTCTGGATGCTTGCAGATTGCTCCCACCGCTGCAATAAGACAGCGATTCTTGAGCTCTTGTCGCAGTTTTCCATTCCTACCGATAGCAAGGCCTACACACCCAGTCAGACCCATTCAGCGTGGCAGGACCCCGAGGTGTCGTGAATGCTATCAAAATCTGGAGGGTTTTAAAAACTCCGCTTCTCATCCATAAAAGCCCTGGCTGCCATGAGGTCTGACAATAGATGAAGTCAGGAGACCCACAGTTTGGTGCTGGGGAGAGAGGGAGTAGACTATATATAATGGGGGAGAAGAAGAGTGAAGATAATATATATAGAGAATGAAGGATATTAGTAAGTGGAACCGCAAGGCACATTCCAGCTCTGCCCTTTAAGAGGCGCTGGGTATCGTGTGAAGCCTACCAGGTAGCTTCGCCGGCAGCTTGAACGCAAAAAAGGTCAGTTAATATTTCCTTGTCTGTGATGAGTTCCGAAGCTTGGGACTTTCCAAGCCAGGCTGTGCGAGAGTAGTCGATTTGATAAATAACATGCATTTCATGTGCAAATGGCCAGTTGCAAGTACACTCACGGTAGATCAATATGTACAAGTTCCATCAAAGGCCGGAAGAAGGATAAGTCTTAAACTTTCCAGACCACAACCTATAAGACATCGGTGATTTATCATATATCTGTTGCAACCGCATAGCCGATCACTTTTAGAAGGGGATTGGCGTGGTGAGCGGTGTGAAAATTTAGTGGCTGAAATCTGAAGCCTCGGGCCCGATTAGGCCAAAGGCAAAGCATCCTTTCGTTAGTGCTTTTTAAGAGTGGATCATTATATCGTTAGTTGCAGGTACTTTGGTTGTTCAGGGAAGTCAATAAGTGATAAGTACGAAGTAGAGTTTGACCCCACAGTTCGGCGTTTGCTGGAGCCGGCTGGAGCCGAAGTATGAGCTCATGAACCCCACGACCAAGCTCGAACCTAATGATTTGAATTTTCTCAGTTTGATTTTCAGCTCACCAGACCCCCAAGAACCAACACCCAACCTGCAAAATGACACCACCGGACAACAAAGACCCGCTAATTTCCCATCGAGCACAAATTGCAAGAGAAGCAGAATCCAATAACCCCACATGGGATATTGTGAGCGATCCCTGGGATCCAATCAAAAACCCAAACGGTTTCGTCAACGTCGGACTAGCCGAGAACAGTCTCATGCACAACGAGCTTCTTAAATCAATTAACAACAAGCTAGAGCTCCCAGCAAAATACCTCACCTACAATGACGGAGGCGGCGGATCCACCAGATTGAAAGCATCCGTATCCAAATTCCTCAATCGCCACTTAAACCCAGTCATTCCACTCGATCCCAGCCATCTGGTGATCACCAATGGCGTCTCATCAGCCATCGAGCACGTTGCGTGGGCATTCGCAGATCCCGGCGAAGGAATCCTTCTAGGAAAGCCTTACTACGGAGCTTTCGTTCCTGATATGAATCTGCGACCAGGAACCACCGTTATCCCAGTCAGTTTTGGGGATTGTGATCCCCTCAGCTTGGAGGCTGTGGCCAAGTACGAAAAAGCTCTACTGCATTTTCACAAAATTTCGGGGAACAGGGTCCGGGCATTGATGCTGTGTCATCCGCATAACCCGCTTGGGCGGTGCTACTCGCGTTCCGTGCTTATTGCATTAATGAAGCTGTGTCAGCGATACCAGGTGCATTTGATTAGTGATGAGATTTATGCGCTATCTGTGTGGGAGAATACAGTTGATCAGTATCCGGCGCCGGTGAAGTTCGAATCCGTTTTGTCGATTGGATTGGACGGGATTATCGATCCGCAGCTGGTGCATGTCCTTTGGGGCATGAGTAAGGATTTTGGTGCGAATGGGCTTCGATTGGGGGTCATCATTTCACAGAGGAATCGGGATCTTCATTTCGCATTGAAGGGGATTTCTATGTATTCTTATTCTTCAGGTGTTACTGACCATTTGACGTCGTTGATTTTGGAGGATGAGGTATTTACTGAGGCATATATCAAGGAGAACCAGAAGAGATTGTCGGAGTCTTACACTTTCACGACGGGGTTTCTGAAGAGAAATGGCATTGAGTATGCACCTGGTTGCAATGCTGCTTTCTTTTTGTGGGTGGATTTGGGCAAGCCATATCGAGAGCTTCGGCCTAGCATACCAGAGAATGATGATATCGGGAGAGAAGTGATGCAACTTTTATTAAGGCATAAGGTGTTTTTGGGCAGTGGCGAGTTTTTTGGATCAGAGAAGGATGCTTGGTTTAGGATTGTCTTCTCACATCCCCGGCGCTACTTGGAGGAGGCTCTTGATAGGATCGTCCGTGCTCTGCATGATTGCTGAAGCCAACATTGTTCAAGAGATCTAGAAATGTACATTTTCAACTTCTTATTACTCCACAAAATCATTCTTCCAAGCCATGCCAATTTTCCACAGTTATTCCTTTTACCAACCTCACACCTTAACTTCAACCTCATTCGCAATAGCATACTTGCTCCATCTCCGAATAATCGGTCCAAATTTATAGAAGACATAAGGCACAGGCACCATAACAGCACTGATACACCCCAGGATCGTCAAAGTCCAATGCACGCCCATATTCTTATAAAAGGGCATCCCCACGACTGTCATCCCACCAGCAGCACAATAACGCGAAACAGTCATGAATCCCAGCGCCGACGCCGCATAGATATCATAAGAATCAATGACATACATATACGAACTGATAAACACACAGATCGTACCAAGACCGAAGCACGCCGACGCAACGATAGGCGACCATATGGACACGGAAGAATAATCCGTCCATCCCATCCAGAATAACGAGATAGGAATAAAAGGGGCACCGAACATGGCGAACCAAAGCCTGATCTCGGGTTCTGTGTGTACTCCATCTAACGCGTGCGGTTCGATAGACGGGTCGGATTCATGAATAGCTTGAGCGGCGGCTGTGAAATGTTTTTCGGTTTGGAAGTAGATGATCGGAACGAGGATTGTGGAGAGGAGGATACCGACATACATCGCTGCCCAAATAATATTGGTCAGGCCCTCTGAGATACCATATGTATCTGTGAAGATATAGGTATATCCATCGAAGAAGGTAAAGAGCACGATATACAGAACAGTCATGTAGAGCGAGATAAGCAGGATAATCGGCTCATGAATCGTGATCAGGAATTGTCGCTTCATCGCCCCGCCGATCCGGGTGAACAGGGCGACTTTCTCCAGATCCATCTCGGAGCGGAATCGTTGATCCCCTGTAATCTTGCGTAGCTGTTTACTCTTCCAGTGCAGGAGTAGCGGGGCATATGTCTCGGGTTGGAATAGGATAATCAAAACCATCACAAGGCCGGAGCCGATAAGGATAATCCAGCTGCTCCAGCGCCATGAGAGCACATCTATTTGCCCGACATAGTTTGCTAGTACGGGGCCGAGAACTGGGCCGCCGAAGGAAAGGATGGCGTACATGGGAAAGTAGATGGTTTTCTCAAGTGGATTCCATAGATCAGCGATCGTGCCTCCCGCACAGGTAAGTGGCGGACAACCGAAGATACCAGCCAAGAAGCGGAAAGCGAGCTGGGCGCCGATGTTGGGCGCGAGAGCGGATGCCATGATGAAGATCATGAAGAGGGTAAGTGAGCACATGTAGACGAGATTGCGGCCTACAATCTCGGACAAAGGACCACTGAAGAGGGAGCCGAAGGCGAAGCCGAGAAGATAGAGACCTAGGAGATGTTAGCAGAAAATCATCACGGCCGGGGTGGTATTTACCATCTACTAGCGAGCCTACGACATCGCTAACACCAAACGCGGCCTCGTTTTGCGGTAGAACACCTGAATTGATTGAAGATGCTGCGCCAACGATAAAGCCGAGGGCGGACACGATTAGAGTTGCGGTTAGACGGCGAGCGACACTGTAGTTGCGTGGACATTGGGGGTCATTTATGCCATCCCAACCGACAACAAAGACGCGGCTAGGTCGATCCGATGAGTCGTCGACATGAGAGCGGACTTCGATGCCTGGAAGCGAATATGCGATGGCAGTCTTCTCAGAATTGCGAGTGTGACTCTTGGCGAAAGCGTCTTGCAGTACTGGGAGGTCCTGATCGATTTGATCCGACGAATCGGCATTTTCAGCCACGGTACTAGTTTCTGAATCGCCCGCTGGAATCGACGTTTTGTGATCGTTCGTGTTCACGCCATAGTCTTGTCGATGCTGCTGCTGGAGCGGGAAATCCGCCAGTTGTTTGCGGACCGCATTTCCCAAGCGACGATACTGCAAGTAGGACTGCATTTTCACACCTCGGGATTAGACTGATTTTTGAATGTCGGCGAGTTGTTTTCTCACCAGTTAGGCTGGCCAATCTGCAGTGCTTATATCTCTGCGATGACTGGCTTTGAAGGTTGTCGTAGCTTAGAAGGTTGCCGTATGTATGAAAGTTCTCGGGATTTCGGGCTGAGGCGCTGGTTTTGAGTGCGCATGCTGAGAAATCGGGTTTGTCCAGGCCGGAGACATTCATTTCAGGATCAGCATGCTGGTGGGTCCCTTGCGTAGGAGACCGATCACTGTTGTCGGAAAGCGTAATTTTCTCCGTTTTGGTGCATTGTACAACATTCCTCAGAACATTTGAATGGCTAAACTTCGGCATTAACGCAAATGTGGAGCTCGGCTTTATAAACTCGGAGAGTTGTCCGAGACCGAGACCGACTTTCGGAATTAGCTGACCAATAATGGTGCGTGTTGGTCAGCCATTGAAGGGCGTTCATTTGATATGATATGCTTGATTCAGAACATATAAATAAACATTATGCAGATGCGAGAGACCTATAGATACAGGATATGATAGATCGTGGATCACATCTCATACCGCCAGCGGTCAAGTGATGACTGGATATTATACAATATAGTGTAGAGTGGAGTTTTGATCAAAAATAACTATGCCTCTTCCTCAGACTTCCCCTGAGCCTTACGATGCGCATCGATCAAATCCTGTCGATTGAGCTCCTGCTGTTCAAGACCGGTCTTTTGGATAGTGTGCGACTTGCTGAGCACCTTAGGGCGAATAAATAAGGAGAGGATAAAGCCGACACCCCCAACGACAGTATATAGAATCCACATCCGGCTTAGAGCAAGGGTGAACGCTCCAAGCACGACCTCGCGCTGGGAATCAGTGAGACTTTCAATGAGAGACCGGGAAGAGCCAGAGAAGGAGGAGGAAATTGTTGCGGCTTTTTCGGGTCCGACAGCAGCGATGAGCTTGGCGGATTGCTGGCCCATTATATTCTGGTAGACGACCGTGCCGAGGACGACAGAGGTGGAGGTGGAGAGTTGGCGAACGAAGCCGAAGGTGGCGGTTGCGATAGCCATATCGGCGGGGCGGACGTTGGCTTGGAATGCAACTAGCGGAGCCTGGAAGTTAGGTCCAATGCCGAGACCGGCGATGAGCTGGAAGATGACAATGCGAGCCCAGGAGGCGTAAGGTGGGAGATCAATAAATAGACCGAAGCCGATTGTCATGAAAAAGAGACCTGCCGAGATGACCTCGCGATAGCGACCGGTCTTTTTCATGAGGATACCAGTTGCTGCGGAGCCGAGCGAGAGTGCGAGAACCAGGGGAAGGACGTAAACACCACTCAGAATGGGGGTTGCCAAGAGGACGGTTTGGAAATATAGCGGAAGATAGTAGGTACCGGCAATGAAGACGAAACCATGGCAGAAACAGACCAAAAGAATCAGGACGTTATACCATTCGCCAAAGAGGCGAGTTGGGATGATGGGGTACTTGGCAATCTTCCACTCGGCCAGGAAAGCCAACACCCAAACCACAATTCCGAAGACGATCAGGCAGATGACGGTGGCAGAGGCCCATGGGTAGTTGACACCACCGAATTCTAGACCGAAAAGGAACATGAGAGTACCTCCAATAATTCCAAAAGTTCCAATCCAGTCGATGGTGCGCAGGCCAGCCAGGAGAGGGGTCTTGGGGGATTCAATATGGAGGAAGAAGAACAAAATGACGAGAGAGACACCACCGATGGGCACTATCGTTCCATGTTAGTTGAGCAGTATAAGGTAGATCGAAGCAACTTACAGTTCAAATAAAAGCACCAACGCCAGGTAACATCCGTTGTGAACGCACCACCAACAATAGGACCCAACGCACCCGCAACAGCCCACGTAGCACCGAAAATGCCATAGTACATAGGCCGGTCACGCATGCTAAACAGATCGGAAACACTGATATTAGCAAGAATGATAATTCCACCACCGCCAATACCCTGGACCGCACGACCGGCAATGATCATAGGCAAGTTCTTCGCCAAGGCGCAAATCAAACTGCCGATCAGGAACAAGACGTTGGCCAGAAGAATGATCGGCTTGCGACCCCAAATGTCAGATATCTTTCCCCACAAGGGAATACAGGCGGCATTGGCGAGGAGATAGGACGCGGCGATCCATGAGTATCCACTTTCAGTCGCATGGAACTTGTCTGCAATCGTAACCAACGCGGTTGAAATGATAGTCTAGATAAATTAGTCCAGGCCTTGCCCTTGAAAGAAAGAACACTAAGCATACCATATCCAAAGCCGCAAGAAACAAAGCCATCTGGAAACGGTACAAAATTAGCTTTCTGCATCATGCATAAAATTCCCCGCGCAAGGAGTCGGAGATTTCTTACACAAAGCGCCACCATAACCAAGGCAATCTTCTTCTTTCCCATTTTCTGCGCAGATGAAGGCACCAGGTCGAGAGGTGCACCGGATTCCTTATTCTCTATGGGCGCCTCATCAGACGGTGAAGAGGTATCGGCTTGATCGGCCGATTCTGATTCGACTTTCGTCTCCACATCATTCCCCTGCTGGTTGTGGTTTTGGTTTTGGTTTTGCGGAGCCTCCAAGGCCTTTTCAGTGAAGTCATGAGAAGCAACAGTATCGCCACTCGAGGCATTGCTCGCAGCAGCTTGCGCTTCGGTCGTCATGGTGTAGAGTGATTATCAGGAAAGAAAAAAGTAAGAGCGGGGAAAAACAGGGTATAGGAGCGAGCGTAATTGCGTCAAGTGACCTCCGATCGATCGATCGTGCCGACGCTTGGACGATGAGGCGTTTGTTCGAGTTCGTCCACGAAAATAGAAGAAGAAAGTCGAAGGGCGATTGCCCCCTTTTATATAGAATTGCAGAAAGCTCGGAGGTTCGAGTGGAAAGAAAAAAGAAGGGAAAAAGCTTTATCGGGGTTAATTATGGGTCCGCTCCACTATCCAAGGGACCTGAGAGGGTATTCACGGGAGTTTGGCATGTCCGAACGGCCGAGCGCCGAATTGACTCATCGATATCTTACCACATAACTGGCGGTCAAAGGTACAATTCTTACGGATGATTTTGCTGTTCCACCTCGGAAGCTTGATACTGGTATACTTCGAAGTAAGGGGTGTGGGGAATCTGTATGGAATCTGACGGAAAACTCCACTTGATTTCGGGTTTGGTTCTATTTGGTCTAGATTTACCATCGGTTATTTGACTCAACATCTATGAAGATCCATGCACTTGAATGAAATACAATAATCAATTGATATCTGTGAAACAATTTGATACTACAGCACTTTGTGTGATATTTTAGTGGAGAGGCTACCATCTTCACCCTGTGAACTTACCTCTCGACATCATCAGACTCCACTGGCCGGCTATGGTCATAGCTTGGCCCTTCTCATCCACAAAGTCGTCATGCACCTCACGAACTCTGCTATATATTATTATGTGGGATTAGCAGTTGCGAGACCTGAGAGAGATGCCTTCAAATGTTAAAGGCTCTCTTCTATAATTATCAAGCAAAGTCATGAATGAGGTCAGAGGTGAACCAACTTGTCAACATGACCCCTACAATCAACCTTACATATAACTTAAATACGCTAACTAAATTCGCATGGATCATCTAATCGTTATCACGTGCCAAGTACATACGATGACAAGCCAACAGGCCCCTCCATCGTACATTTATGTAGCATACAGTTGGATATATGTCAAAGTGAAATGAACCAACGAGATTCATCAAGATTTGATAGATTGAATGTCGCAACTGATTAATCCCAATTGAGCAAGTCTATATGCTGGACGCCGAAAGTATAGATCAAATTTGGTGGATCTACTATCAACATATTTACATATGCGTGGACGACACACGGGTGGAGATGGAACTGAAAAAGCCCAAATCAATATGAAACAGCCGTGCTCGGGCTCCCGGTATTTATCGGGGCCCGGTCTGCATTCCTCAGTGGGGCTCTATCAGCGAGACAGATGGACAGGGGTATAGAAGTGAGCAAAGATGTACATGAAACATCAATGAACGAAAAATGATGGATATGGAAAGATCAAGGCACATATAAGCCCGGCTAATCCTGAAGTTGGAGGATTTCTAGGGTATCGTCAGTTCAGTGTCCTGAAAATCAAACCAGCGGGAATAAGATGGCCTACCAGTTAAAAACTCCTCAAAGCTCACGGTGATGTAGCCATCACGGTCATCATCATAGCGTTTAAACACATCAGTCATGCGCTTGAGGCTGATACACGCCTGTACAAAGAGATCAAAGCTCATGCCATCCCGATGGGGGCTCCGCGGCGGCGCATTCAGCTGACGTGTCTTGCTCTCGAAAATGGAGAAGAGCACCGAGATAAATTTCGGGCTGAGACGGTATCCGAACGCGACCAGCGCGTTCTCAAATTCCGATAGACTGATTCGGCCACTGTGATCTTCGTCAAACCGGTCGAAGAGTTCTCGCCAAGCGGCCAAATAGCGCCATAATGAGACGAATTCCTCGAAAGTGATAATGCCATTGCCGTTTCGGTCGAACATGCGGATCATCATTTTCACGGTGCGGGGATGGAAAGAGGTGTAGTCTCCGTTCACGAGGGCGGAACCAAGCTCGTGCTCGGTCAAAGAACCGGAGTGTGATGAGTTCGCGGCGCGAAAGAGAGGGAATAGCTGTTGGGGGTCATCGCTGGGGACTGCCAGTGGAGGAGGGGCAGGTGATTGCGGAGGTCGAGACGAAGGCGGGGGTCGATTGCGGTTGGGTTGCGATGGAGGTGGACCGAAGCCATAGTTTTGCGGCGGTGGTGATGGATGTAAAGGATGAGGTTTTTGTTGACCGGACGGAGGGTGTTGGTTTGGTGGGATAGTTGGGCGACCGTTGTAGGATTGTGTTGCTTGGAGATCGGGGCGCGGGGCAGGCGAGCTATAAGGATTATGCTGCGGGGGAGCACTGGAGACGGGAACACGAGGGGGGACGCCTCCCCCAAGGAAAGTCTGTACAGGTGGACGAGATGGAAGCGGTTTCTGTGGTGCTGATGCTGATGCTGGTTTTCCTCCCACTTGCAAGGATCCGATCATCTGCGCGACCTAGGGGGTTATTAGCGTGGAATGTTTCCACGGGTGCCTAGAATGAGTTACCTGCTCTGGCTCAGCATGTCTGTCAATGCAGATAGTCAGCGACCAGGAAATCTTCAAAATCATGTAGACAGATATACTTACGCTGGTAGCGCATCGGGATTGTAACTGCTATTGTAGGCCATGACGCAAGGCTGAACGAGAAACACGTATCAACGAGTACTCCTCGCCCTGGGAAGAAATTGAGAATACTATGCAGAGAGTATAAGAGTAAGGAGAAAATAATTTCGACTTGAGAAGGAAATGCGAAGGTTGAACGGCTCAAAGTGGAGTGGTCGTGGGGCGGTGGTTTTCTTTTGGCCGACGGTAGATAAACCCGAAGCCAAGCAAAAAACGGTAAAAGAGGGATAAAAGAAAGAAAGAAGCTCACTGGTTGCATTACATTACTTCCCCACTAAAATGGGACTGTGGACATGGGAAATTGTGGCTTTGAAGGCAATTCCCACAGGACCATGCAGCTTCAGCCCTATATGAGGAATTCGTGATCCAATCGGTGATTCCTTGTCTATAGCCGTCATTTTTGTATCTAAAAACACTCAAATTCATAATCAGGTACTCCGTACTCTGCTATACTTGCCAAGCTGCTTGCCCCCTGAACCATTACCAAAAATGAATTTTCAGCAGGCTCCACAACGGTTACTAGTATAACTTAATTCTATACGAATACGCTGACTACTGAATAATCCCTCGCACGTCTGCCTGGCTTGATAACAACTCCATGATCTCTTCCCACGCCTTCGCTTGAAACTCTTTCCCTTTGGTTCCGGTAGTGAGGGCTTTGGATTCACTGCATACAGTCAGCAGATGATACAGTCAGTCAGAAATAAACAGTCATACTCCAGATATCCATCACTCCGCCAGCATTTACCTTGCGACTCAACGCCCTGGAGTGTCGCGCTTACCAAAGACCGACTACCCTGTTCCGTTGTACGGGCAAAGAGCCGGTATGCGAGCCAGGACAGCCATCGCTCGTAGAACCGCCTCAGGTATTGGCGTGTGAGAGAGGATTGGCATAATCCAGGGCTAATTGTGTTGACAATAATGGGCAATGTACCGTCCTCATTGCGAACCAGATCTGCAATATTTTTCATGACGTACTCCAACAGCAATTTGGAAACGCCGTACTGTTTCGGTCCCTGAAACCTACCCGGGAAGTTCAGATGTTCTAACAAGGATCCCTCCGTCTCAAGGCTCGCCGCCTTCGCACGAACAAACTGCTGGCTCGAGACAACACTCAAATGGGTCGGCTCAGCACCTGAGGATTCCCGAAGTTTGGGAAGAAGTAGCAATGCTAGTAGTGACGTCGAAAGAGTGTTTACTTGTAATGTCTCCTCCCATCCCTCAGGCGACTGGCCATATTCCCGGTTCCAGAGACCGGCATTGAGCAGCGCGATATCGACGCGGGGAAGTTCCTTGTTGACCCGACTGGCGAAATCCTTGACACTTTGAAAACTGTTCATCTCAAGCTCCCAGACCTGCACAACACCTGGCCGACTGGTAAGTTTTTCGATCTCGGCCTTGGTACGATTTCCCCGCTCGAGACTGCGACTTCCAATTACCAAGGAGTCAACTCCCAGATTGAGAAATTTGATGGCGGCCTCGTAGCCTAGACCTGAGGTTGCACCAGTCAAAAGGACTGTTTTGCCGGCAAGAGAGATCCCCCGGGGATCGGTCGGGGGAGTGTATTGCATTTTGAGAAGTCGAAACAGGCCCGCCATTTTGACGGTGAATGATATTAATTACTTGAAAAAGAGAATTGACTTCGCAAATATCGAGCTCCACGAGGATCAAAATAGATGACATCAGCATGCTTAGTCATCGACCACTTTTCAACAGGCATTCTATCCTTCACTGTTTACTAGCAAAACGGAAGGCAAATATTGACCCTGGATTATCGAGAGACCAGCTAGTGTCAGAAAATTTGAAGTTGGAACTATCGAGGGGTGGAAAGATGTTAATAATATCGGATTAGTACTCGGGAGAAGGCCCGGCTCTGGAGAAAGCCCAGGTGGTGAGGTAACTACGAGGTGCAGTATCGGGGCATTTACCGGGGACAATCCGGGAATGCATCCCAATTCCATATTTGGAGACGCAACTTAGATTCAATTTGGCATGCCAGCAAGCAAAATGAAAGCTACTCTTCTAGTGCTGCAGCTGTGCAGCTACCTGTTCACTTCCGTTGCTGCAATCCGAAATCCAATCATCTCAGGTTGGAACCCTGATCCGTCAATCCTCCGAGTTGGAGATAGTTATTACATTGCGACCTCTTCGTTTGAATACTTTCCAAGCACACCTATCTACAAAAGCACCGATCTTGCAACTTGGAAGCTCATAGCCCACGCGTTTGCAAATCCACAATCACAGCACATGTATGGCATTCCGACTGGAGCTGGTTCGTGGGCACTTACACTTTTTTATATTAATGGCACTTTCTACATTGCCTCCATGACATGCTGGACTTATGATCCAGTTGCACGAGTGTGGCCAAGAATCTACTTTGCGTCCTCTATTGACCTGGTGGAGTGGTCTGAGTTGACCTGGGCTGAGCCAGGGGGAATCGATCCGTCGCTTTTCTACGATCCTCAAAGGAAAAAGACTTGTTTAAATTTGATGGCACCAAACAAAAATGAGGACAGGATCTGGGGTATTTACCAGTGCGAAATCAGCTTAGTCACTGGCAAATGTACCGGCGAATATCACTCTCTATGAAACGGTACGCTCAAGCACGATAGTAACGCGCGTCCTGAGGGCCCGAAGATGTTATATCGGCTGGGTCTCTACTGTTTATTGATTGCTGAAGGAGGAACTGACGACCTTCATCGTGCGACAATCGCGAGAAGCACATCGCCTACCTACTGGCCCATGGGATCCCGACCCAAATAATCCACTGTTGTTCAATGGTGCCTATGGATATTCTAATATGACTGTCCAGTCAACTGGGCATGCGAATCTAGTCGAGACGCCAGAAGGTAGCTGGAATACAGCCTTCCTCGCGTGGAGGAACATTCATGGTTTCTCTCCACTGGGACGGGAAACATTTCTCACATCTGTGGAATGGAGTTCAGATGGGTGGCCACGTTTAAATGACCGGCAGCCCAATCTACTCAGTGAATCATTTCGGCCATCCAATATCGAGCAGCCTCTCGTCCCGCCACATTTCACGATAATTTTACCCCTTCAGTATTGCAACCGAGCTGGTACCAATTGCGTACCCCATACACGTCCAATTTCGCACTTGGCCGTGGACTCAAACTCAAACCAAATGTGTATGGACTCAGTGACCGTGATACACCTGCCACTCTTCTACGGAAACAGAAGAGTCTGAACATGACCTTCTCAGCAACTCTATCCGCGACGCAAGATTCCCTAGGTCCCAGAATGACATTTGGAATATCCGCATATTTGTCCAGGTTTCAGCATCAAGACATCGGGATTAGGGGGTGCATCAACGAAACAGGCGTATGTCTGTATAGCGCCCTGCGGAAAGATACCACTGTCGAAATTCAACAATTTCCCTTGAATGAGACATTTATCCCTCGTGGACTGACTTAGCACATTCGCGCGTCTCCTCTGGAATACCAACTCGGCTACAGTCTTCATCCTCATTCGATACATAAATATGTCGCGACTATCGAGTCCTTATGGCAAGCTTTTGCGCCTGCTAATTACTTTGTTTTTGAGGGTAATTCTTTTGCAGTATTCGCCAGAGGAGGCGGGGAATTGCGAACCTGCACTGGACCCGATTTGGGCTTCACTGAAGTTGTTGAGACATATTTCGAAGAGAATATACCGGATTATGATGTTTGTTAGAAAGACCTACGAGCATATAATAGGTAATGTGATACATTTTGGTTTTATTGGTAGATTCGTATAATCTCGGGAATCCCGGATTTGAAGCTTTGTCATGGGGCTTACAGCTTTGCACTTTTGGCATCCCTTCAAGGCTACGATGGTAACGTGAACTCCCTAGGAGGTTCCTGAGATCTATTGATTTGTGTGCAGAGGGCCAGCAGAATTATCCGCCAGAAAACTATATGTACAAAGATTCTGACTTGTTGATTCAAATCAACGCAGGGTAACATATATACAAGTGCAGATTTCACCGAAGAATTAAGAAATTCCTTCGTCTTCATGGTGCATAATATGAGTTACCGCCATTATGAAAGCTATGATAGCAACCTCAAGCCCAATTTGCACGAAACATTTCTTCAGATGGAGTTCAATGAGTTGTAGATACCTGGACGTTCCAAGGTGTTCAAGGGCACTGGTCCATGCGGCAAGACCGGATGGTGGTTTCTGGTCACCAGTCAGTTCCCCGATCTTCAAGCCTCGCTCCTTGGTCGAAGACGGAACCACCGTTTTTATCTCAGGAGACAAAAACTTTGCTTCCGCTAGAGTAAGTGCGATATGTGTTGGGAGAAGTGCTAGGAAGCGAAAAGCAAGCATGATGATCACGGCCAAAACCTCGGCTGCGGCGCGAGTGCCCGTATAGCTCTCGCCATCAGTGAAAATAGCCAATGCCAAGAAGTCATAAAGCTGGTCCATCAAGGCCTGTAAAAGGCCGTACAGAAATGCCGGGATGGCCAGGTGTTTCCATCGGTTTTCGCCAGATTTTCTGTGTAGTATAGACATGAATGAGACACGCTGGACCGAGACAGTAGCACACGTGAAAACAAGATGAAGTTCACAAAGAATTGCAGAAGAAAAGGCGTAAGCTAACGGTCTCAATAACTCATGTCGAAATAGAAGTTGTTGTATCAGACCGGTCAGAATATCAGTTGCGAGCAAGTGCATAGAGCCAATGAACAGTGCGCGTATCAAGGTGTATAGACCCTGAGCACGATAAACGAGGCGAATACTCTCTCCGACATTTCTGAAACTGGCGCGCTTTCTGACGACTCTCTCCGATTTCTCCAGAGCGGCCTGATCTTGAGATAGCTGAATAATCAACAGCGTCGGGGTGACATGCCCGAGTATGTAACGAAGCTTTTTTGAAGTCAATTAGGACTGGTGACAAAGGAGAAATCAAAGGATTGAAGGAAGGTGGAGACTATACCAGGGTCGGGAGGGTGATGTAGACCCAAAATAAACCAATAATTGATAGAGGCAAGTCTATCCCATCCAAATCAAGTTCGTCCTTGAGACCAGGCGGCCGGGCTAGTCTTCCACGCCCCCCGGGACTGATCAAGATGTTAAGCACTCTGTTTGGGATCATCCATAACAACTCAAATTTCGCCCTCGCATCTGTCTCTATCTCTGGAAGCATTTTGGTGAATACCCCTGAGTATGCTACTCGTCAATGGGTAAATCAGTGGAGAAACTGGGAGGAACCGTGGGTCATGTAGATCATGCAAAGTCAACAAAATGACATTCATGCACACATCTGAAAATTAAAACACAAAAGAAAAAGGAGAAAAGGAGAAAAAGCTGCTCTGATCCACTGAACTTGCAACCTGGTAGCCTGGCCTTAGTGTCAAATTTTTTGCTTGGCCCCCACGATATCTCAGACATTTGTTGCCTTAGACTTGGCAGTGGCCTACCGAAGTACAACAGTAGATTTCAACCATATGCCATTGTATCCAAAAACGAAACCATACAGTAATTTTTATGACAAACAGGCACGCCATTCTGCGAGATGTCAATTATTTGAGGAGAATCTTCACTCTCATACTGACAAGACTTGTGGATCACGTAAAGAGACCCACTAATCTAACCAAGCCTGATGTCCACATCGGCAGAATCTCTAGGACCGGGCTGATACCGGCTGGTACCCGGTTTTCGTTAGAATTTCACAGAACGCATACGTATGTAGTTAGATGAAACTGATCTCGATCTTTGCTGCATGAGCGGTGAGAAAGGTGGGTAAAAACTTTTGTCCTGTTACTGCACAAATCCCTGGCAATAAGGTCATAAATTTACAAGTCTAGAGGAAGAGACAGTGTACAGTATATATCAATCACAATATAGACTAAAGTTGGTTGTGGTGTTTGAATAGATTTCTTTTTTTTTTTGTTGAAAAGTCTAGACGACCTATATGCCAACTGAAGGACCACCGCATAGAAGGGTTTGGACTATGCGTAAGGCCAGAATGTCGTGTTTTCTGTGGCTCCAGTACATCCAAGAATTGATTTGCGTTCTTTTTGAGGAACCACAACTCAGATACCCACACCAAGTCCTCTGCCCGTAGGCTTCGACCATCATACACCCACTCGCCTTCGTTATCTTGCCGGAAAGTGTGGCGATAGGTGATTAGCCAGAAGATAAAGGCAAAAAATTGTACATAAAATCTCAGGAAGGCCAATATACAGCATGAGATATGCGATTTCTAACTGAGTGAACGTTATACTAAAGAAAATTTAAACAAAGGAAACCGCGAACCCCCACACATTCTTCTGTCCCTTCACTTCTTCTTCTTCTTCTTCCTCCTCCCTTCCTCGCACTCGCTCTGCAAACCAGTCTCTGTATATCGTGCGTCGGTTTCTTCGAGGTCCGACTTCCCGTTGTGCGTGTCTTTTGACCGTGTTCATCTTGTCATGCGTTTTCTTATCTTTCGCTATCCTAAGGTTCGGTTTTCTTGTCTTAACTTCTTCTCCTTCTATCTTCTCCGTCCTCTCTGCGGTTCGGTCTTTTCCCCCTCCTCTTCTCCTCCGCTCTAAGTAGTAAGTCACCCTGTCATCTTGGTTCCTTAAGTGCGTCTGAATGGTTATTAAATCTTAATTGGCTTCTAAAAACCAAAACTCCTTCACCCGTAATTCCTTAAGCCTCGTCTTCTTCTTCTGCAGTCCTGTCCTCTTCCGTATTTCCTTCCACATTAATCTTGTTGTCTCCCGCTTCCTCTATGGCTCCATCGTCGGGGAGGTCAGGGAATGGCTCGTAGTCAAGATCCAAATGCCCATGTTCTCTAGCTAGATATTCTAGCTTGACAATGTACTTCCGGTAGTTACGTAAGTCTGCCAGCAGTTCACCATGCTCTGCCTTTAACCCCTCCATCTTTCTGTTGAGCTTTCCATATGCACGACCAAATTGATGGCGCTGCATTTGGGTTTTCAAAATAGCAGAGGCACTTCGTTCCTTTTGGCTGAGCTTTGATGGTGGCTTCAAAGGGCGACGGCTCTTCATGGAACGGCTTCCCATGTCCATAGTTGAAGGCAGATGCGGCCTTGTGAAAGTGGAGGATCCCGTTGAACTTGTCCCTGACTGGCACAATACGCATCCCGTCTCTGGGTTGCTGAATTTCGTAATTGCTGCTGTTGATCAATTGGTAACGGGTCGTTTTCACAATTAGGGGAGATGTGACCTGTATCGCCGCATCGGAAGCAAATCATGTCCGTCCGCGGTGGTCGGGGGAACTGAATTTATTGAATTTGTTGATGCTGTTGCACTGCTCCTGTTCCGTAAGGCGGTCGGTATGAGGAGCTAGACGCCTAGGGCTGCACAGCCATAGGTTGCGGGGCCGCTAGCAACATTGCTTGCAGATTTCTCTGGCTTAGATCAGTGCGCAACCTTCCAACTTCGTATGCCAACTTCTCCATCGGCTCCATCGGGCCGCACTGGGCGGCAACATGGGTAACCAATGCAAGGCAATATGCATCACAGTTTGAGCCTCGTTGACCGAAACCGGCCTAAAAGCACACATTGCGCATTCCCAATATGCGAGGACCTGTTTGCTAAGGGTCATCATGTTCGGAGTGAACTCTGTATTGATGGTATATGAGCCCTGTAGCATTTCCGCCTCCCATTTCTCCGTTTAGGTACGACCCCAGCAGGTCCGTAAGTGATTCCAGAATCCACTACTGCGAGGTCGCACGAACGTTTCACAAAATCTACTTGGGATAATATGTGCTGACTTACGTGTTGGACCATACCGCATTATGACTAGGCATTGTTCGTGGTCCCTGGCAAGGCTCTATAAGGAAGTAATATTAGTGCTGCTCTCGTATTAATTTCCCTGATAAGCCTATCTTCTCAAAGATTTTTGGATCACGCCTTATTGGTGAGCTTTTTGAAAACAGATTCTTCTTTGAAAAAGACCACTATTTCAAAGTTGTTAGGCTTAAGTCAAGAAACCAAGATGCTGCACTACGCAGTAATGTCAAGTGGTAAGCTTGGTGATCACTTCTTGCTGTGACAGAGTCATTCCGCTTTTGCTCTACGGTGTGGTTTTCTAGTACATGGTGGCTCCAAAGATAGGACATCAGGGTATAAGTTGCCCAAATCAAAAAATCGTCTGTTCATCTCTGAAAATTGCCGCAATACCTGGTTTCCTTGCCTCTAGGATATGCATCGTCTGCTCAAACACCTTCTTCTGTGCCTCCTGTCCAACCTCCGTATAGATCCACGCCTCCACATCCTGGTTCGCTCCATCACTTTGAAACTCACCGTGTGAGCTAGCGGGGGCTGATGCAGCGAGAACTAGAGTGCGGCTACCAACCTCAGTAGTGCGATCCAATATGCGCCGTACTAATTTCATCACGGGGCTACCGTTGTTGCGATCTAGATTGGAAATACACAGTCCAGGGTTGACGAGATTGATGATAACGCGGGTGAATGAACCGAGACGAGCGACGAGCTCCCGAGTGAAGAGCACTTCCATAAGCTTTGTTGCTTGGTATCTGTAACAAAGTATCAGGCTGACGTTAGCAACACTAGTTTCCTTCACGGGAAAGTACCGTCTTAAGTTTCCCCAAAAGAAAACCCACCTTGGTTGTTGACTGAAGCTGCTCTGATCATTAAGCTTTGCATATAGATCAGGCGCATTAATCTCCGGAAACTTGGTCAACCGATGCGCTTCAGAGCTCACAATCACCAGATGTGGTGACTCCTCCGTTAGGGCAAAACTCTCCTCTAGCTTAGGCAATAAAACAAGTGCCAGTAAAAACGTGTTAAGGACGTTGATCTGAACGGCCTGCTCATAGCCCTCGTAAAGTTTCCATTCGGGCGTATTGATGCCAGCGTTGTTCACCAAAACGTCCAAGCGCGGCAGCCCTTTCGCACGATCAGAGAATGCTAGCGTAGATGCGGTGCTTGAGAGATCGAGGGGCCAGATCTCAATTGCATTCGGGTCTGAGCGCTGCGGATTATTCCGCAAAATGTACTCCTTAGCTTCTTGACCTTTGGCGATCGTACGGACAGCGAGGATCAATCGGCCGCAGTGGAGCCTGTAGAAATGTCCAGCGGCTTCAAGGCCCAGTCCTGAGTTTGCGCCGGTGACTATCACGGTTTGGTTGGGGAAGGAGTGGGTTGGGCGCTCAGGAGTGATGAAGAACTGCGAGTAGAAAAAAAGACGAAGCCCTTTGCTGAGATTAGGCCTGATGGGGAAGTCCTCTTGGTCTGAAGGTGGCATTTTGTACAGATTGACAAGATGAATCAATCAATTCATGGTACAAGAGAAATAAAAGCACCTGCAGGTGGTCATTTCCAATGCTGTTAGTGTTGAAATGTACATGGGGGAGCGGATAGATACACAGCAAAACACCCGTGCTGGGGACGTCACAATCATCAACAATTCCATTTCAAGCAGGAGACCAAGGATTTGATCTGAATTTCCAACAGCTCTAGAGATGTTAGTGAATATGCATCAAAACAAATTCAGCTAGACACATCTTCTTTTCTGGTGAATACGCCCGAACCCGACGGGGCGCGGGACAATTCTCCGCCCCGAGAGTGCGAATGGGACTGGGATGCCTGCCCGAACAAATATTTTAGTAATTCACCATCCGTAGTGAGTACGATATACAATATGGCAGTATCAATATTATCGACGGGAATGAGCCGACTTACCTCCAATGTTCAGACCCGCTATGACCCACCACCGAGACAGTCATCGACCCACTGGCCACGGGAGGCGTTGAGGCGCCTTTTTCTGTAATTTCGATCGTCGGAAGTCTACTGCTCATAGGAGACAATGTCTTCTTTGCTACATCGGGATCTGTGTGATTATGTGGTAACATGTTGAAGCTTCGGGGTAGTGATCGGGGATCAGAGGGCTATCGAATTGCGACAGCGTCGACCGAAGAGCGTATGTAATTGGAGATTAGAGGACATTTATCTTATCTTACCTGAGAGTTTTGTCAATATAATTATCAAGCTACTCTAAAGCTCAAGCCTTCCTTTCTCAGTATGTAACTATTGGCTTGCAATGTAACATCTATTTCATGCCCCGCGCTGTTACTATGAAGGCCACAATTTGCATGAAGTTTCCCCGCAAAGAACATCCAAATCTCGACTAAAACCCTCAAATCAAGCTCAATTATTATTAATATACAGTTCTGTGACCTAGAAATCAAATTGAATCCCAGCACTTGAGAGTCGCAAGATCTCATTTTTCATGAAAATGACGAAGAGAAACAAACAGTGCAAACAAAACAAAGTCACGATCTCGCCCACTACACTCCAATGGCCTGAAAGTATACACAGCCTTCGATCATTCAATGACAACGACATAAAATCACTTTCGCTTTCGCTTTCTTGCGATACATAGAACAATCATATCAAACTCCATTCTCTTGCGCCGGAATAGCAATTCCACCGCTTTGTCCGCAGCCGCCTGATTTAAACCTTTAGGCTATTTCGGAAGGTACATTTGTGGCTGGCTGAACATGGCCGCTGCTTTACAGGGTCACCAGGTACATCCTGAGGGCCGTACATGGAAAACCCATTTTCCGAAGGGAGATCTCTGGGTATTTGGATATGGGTGAGTCATTTGCATTGTGCTTGTCCCCTGTCCCTCGGATGTGACAAGTCCAATGAATTATATCCATGAAACGCTAAACAAATCCCACAGGAGTTTGATCTGGAAACCACCCCCACACTACGGTGCGTAAAACAAATATGTGACAGTTTGCCTTCTAGCAAGCAAAGCCATCAAGTTCCCCAAACTACCTGTCCAATGCCATTGACAATGTGCCCAACTAAACTTGCCACAGACCAACGAGTCCCGGGCTACATCAGTGGATACGTGCGGCGCTTCTGGCAGGTAAGAGCCCCTGAATTTCAGATCTGTAATCCAAACATTTGAAAAACATCCAAAAAGGAAGCACTGCAGCAAGTCTAGAGCGATCCAAAACTGACCTTCGCGCGCGTGGCGTTCTATTTCCAGGCTAGGTACGTGGCTTAGACCAATTGGAACGTACAATCCCTCACCTAATCTATTCTAACACAATTCCCGAATCCAGTACCGACCACCGAGGAACACCCGAACAGCCGGGTCGGGTGGTTACTGTGATCGAACGACAGTTCTGGGAGACTTTGGATGACCCGGTAATCCATCCATCTGCCCAAGGAGCCTATTGATCGAATAGCGCTAATACGGCTACACTTTACAGCTGGCTCAATTGGAATCCGAGTCCGACTCTACTGGCAAGGTATGGGGCGCGGCGTATCATATTCCCGCTACACACGCTGAGGAAGTACACGACTACCTTGATGAGCGTGAAATAGACGGGTACAGTGCTCATTACACTCCATTCTATCCTGTCTCGGGGGACGGGTCTACGGGTGAACTTCCTGGGCAAGATCTCATCTGCATGGTGTATATTGGACAGCCTACGAATCCACAATTTCTGCGCGAAGAGGCGCAGCGGGAGCCGCAGGATGTGGCGCAGGTGATCAGTGCGGGACATGGGCTTAGTGGGAAGAATACAGAGTATCTTTACCTGTTGGAGAAGGCATTGGAGGGGATTGGACTTGGGTCTGCGGATGTTCACGTTACTGATTTGGTGAAGAGAGTTAAGGCGATTGAGGCGGATGGTGAGGGAGAGAGGGAGGAGAGGGAGGCGGAGATAGAAGTGGAGCATTCCTTGGCTTCTCATGAGCAGGTTGCGAAGGGTGATAACATTGAGTGAGTTGTATTTACAGATATGTGCAGGGTGGAAAGCGAAGTAGCTGAAGAAATCTTGGAACTGCTATGTATATTTGCAGATCTCTAAGGTAATTTCAGCTGAATTGATCGTGAAATCAAATGACATGCCGTGATCTCATTGATTATGACGTTTCGTTTCACATCCAAGTGTATCCTACAATCCCAAGATGCCGGTACAGTAACACCCCCAAGACGTAAAAGCAAAAAATTGTCATATATAGGACATGATCAAAGCAAATTGAATGTCCCCACGTGAATTCGTTCTACCTGGGAAGGCATCACAAGCAGAAGTTGACTATAAAATCATTGCATAAGCCCGCCAACCAGCTCCGTTTCGCACCACATTGCATAAAACCAATTTCCGACGGATTTTGTCAACCCTGTTTTGTAAAGCAGTCGAGAAGATTTTGCGTGTACAAACGAAAATGGGGGTATCGTGAAAAAACAGGAGTCTTAGTTGCCCTCAGGACCCGGGGGTTGGGTTGTGCGCCAGCCTATCAAGGATGTTAACATCACGGCATACTGTTACCTGAGAACATCAAGGACTTTGAGTTCAACTTACCAGGACCGCCACCAACGCCGCTGCCACCGCCTTTATATCATATCAGTAATTTGCGCTGTTGCTGAACCAAGGCACGCAAGATAGGGTACTCACCATAACCGCCGCCATACCCACTACCACCATAGCCACCTCCTCCTCCACCACTACCGTTACCATACTGGTTGTAGCCACCGTAGCCTCCGCGACCACCACCCTGCTGGTAGCCACCGCCGCCTTGATAACCACCACTGGCACCACCAGGTTGGTATCCTCCACCAGGTTGCTGGTTATACCCGCCGCGACCCTGGAAACCGCCCTCCGGGCGGGCGGGACGGTCAAATGCCTTGTCAACGCGAATCGTCCGACCGTCAAATCTATGACAAGGTATAAGTGCAAGGTTACTCAAAGATGGGGAAAGCAAATGAGTTCTCCGGATTCTTACTCGACATTGTTCATCGCATTCATCGCCGCATCTGCCTCGGCATCAGTGGCGAAGCGAACAAAACCAAATCCGCGACTGCGCAATGTTGCACGATCCTTGACGACGATCTGTAATACTAGAGTGAGATTGCATGGCCTTGAAATGCGTTGGAAGCATGGTGAGTACTGACAGCTTCCTGGATCTCGCCAAACTGCTGGAATCCCTCTCGAAGGGTATCATCATTGGTATGCCAAGAAAGGCCGCTTTTATTAATTTCATTTATAGTAAGCTTGCTACTCTAAGCCTCAAGATGAAAGGGGAAAAGAAAGACAGAAATGAGCACGGAAAAGTGGGACCAGAACATACTGCACGAAGAGCTTAGACATAGCTTTGCGAAACGTCGGCAAGAGGCCAAAGAACTGGGGGAATTAGATTAGTCTAAGGGGGAAAGAAGCGACTGGAGAAAAGAAAAAGGATTTTGTCTTGTTGGCAAGGGAGATCCTAGTTGGTTGGGGAAACGAGTCAGCCGTCAACTCGTGTAACAATCACTACATCCTTGAGATGCCTCTGGCACCAATAAAAGTTTCAAATCCAGGGGACATAAGGCTTACTGATTACTTTGAATCTGGATTTGGGTTTTTTCCCTCTTGATTTCCGGTTTTCGTTGGCGGGTTGTGGCCAGTAATAAGAAATGGTCGAAAGTAGTGACAGGACGAGGTGGGGGGGGGGGGGGGGGGATGAACCAAAAGTACTCCCTAGTGCTGCAAAGAGAAGAAGATAACCCCCGCCAGTCTAAACCTTGAACAGTGATTTGATTCGGGATCCGGCGGCCTGCCTTTTCCCGCTCCCATCAATCAGATGTTACCCGAGGCTGAGTCTTGGAAGACGGGGGACGCTAGCCAAAACGGCTGATTACCACGCCTGGTTTGATTCCCCTCCCTTGTCTCATCAGCAATGGGTAGATGTGAGACAATCAAGCTTGGAAACACATAGTTACTCAAGCCACAGCATATCGGGCTTGGGGGAACCAAAGACCGCGTGGTTCACTGCGAGGAACCCTGGGAGCGATTCACGGGTTGGGCGGGGTTTCTCCACGCACTGAACGTGCACCCGTGTCACCTAAGTTAGGTACGGTACCTCACAGTTTTCCTGCAGTTGCGATGTGTATGCTTGACCCCATCCTATTCGGGTAATGCCCAGACTGGTCTGGCCCTAATTGGTGCTGCAGAAATGCATGGCTTTGTCAATCCAATTAGAGGTACGGAGTGCAGTGCGGCATTGATCATCCGCATCCAATCCAAGCTGTGCGTGGTGGAGAGGCTACGGACCCACATCCCGCCTGGGCCGTAGCCCGTAAGTCGGAATGACTCCGAAGTGGAGGGGAGATCAGCACATAATCAGCTTGACAGGGCTTGGAAGTTGTTAGAAAGCCTGATGAAAATCAATTAGCCGACGGCTTTCGGGAGGCTAGGGAAAAACTAAGACCGTCTGATTCATATCCCGATAGCTTCATGACTCGCGAAATTGCTGCCAAGTCAGCAATCAAATTGATCATGAATCATAACAAGAAAGCTAATCCACAACTGAGATGTGACATTCAAAGTTGAATCATTCTTTTGATGACTCGAACTACTGTAACATTAGAATGATAAATTTATAAACTAGTAGTAGCTTCCAAGCCATATCCAATTATCCGACTTTCATTTGACAACTTTGGTTTTACATGTCTTCAAGGGTTATCAATAGACAATCTAGTCATACAATGACGAGCTTAAAGGCAATTGTTTGAGTACATAATTAGTAGAGAATTAATGTCATTCCAGTACGGTATTGACTTACCATACCTTTTAAAATCATTCACTTCCATCGTTCACTTCGATCATTTACAGAGAGAAATAATTTACTTAGACTATTCACTTGGACCTCACTTGAATCATGAATAAGCAACATAAATAGAAGATTTAAATTACTTTTTTTGTCAGAACGGAAATTCTGATCTTAAGGGCGTTTCTCACCTGCCTTGGCAAAATCAAGCTCACAACCTCCTTTTCCTCCTCCTCCTCCTCCTCCTCCTCCTCCTCCTCCTCCTCCTCCTCCTCCTCCTCCTCCTCCTCTCCTCTCCTCTCCTCTCCTCTCCTCTCCTCTCCTCTCCTCTCCTCTCCTCTCCTCTCCTCTCCTCTCCTCCCATCTATGCTAACGAGTTTGGACCCGGCTTCTACACGACTAACAACTTGTAACATGCCTTGGGATATAATCGCGGTGGGGGTGCCGTTATGGTTTTCAAGATGTTTACCACCCAGCTTTGGCAGCCAAATCCTGAAGAATGGAACTCCTTTAAGTGTAAGTGGCTCCGACTCTCGCTCACTATTGCGGTGCAGCCGGTCCCATCTCCATATTCACCGCTGACTTCATCGAGGGCCCAATTGCACCTCACCCTCCTCAGGTACCCGTAAGTTTTGTTCGATTTTGGGAATTTATATTCGAGTTTCTAGGCTAACGTTATATTCAGTACCTAGAGCACCCACTCCTATTGCTCCATATAGGAAGGGATGAAGACTCAAGCATGGAGGCGCTTATTGACCATTTATGGTATAATGTCTTGCAATCCCACTTTACGCCAGCGGAGAGCTTTGGGCTTGAGAGAGAGGCCTACATTAATGGACATGATAAAGTGCGTGTGAATATAATTGTTTCCAATATATTCCGCGCTACTATTCAACAGAGCATTGTTCATTGAGTGTAAGAGACCAGTGGAGAGTCGAAGCCTTATTTCTTTTGCAACCCGAAACTGATCAAGCCAATACCATCTTTCCAATGGTTTTGACGGAAGCTGATTCTATGATATTCCTGCCTACTGATAGATTTTGAAAGCTAATAACAGAGCCCCAATTGAATTGGAGACCAAGTAAGAGAAAATAAACTTCCTCTTTAGTCGAGCGTCTTCAGGCCTGATTGACATATTTCCCTCTGCGGGCATGACATCGTGGCTTTCCATTCTTGAGCGTATCCCCAAAATTTGTTTCCCACCGACGGAAATGCACATTGCCTCTGGGTAGTTTTGCAAAATAATAAAGACTATGAGCTTCAAAGCCGTCGTCGCGACTGCTGCCCTTTCTGATTGGCCAAATACATCATGCATGTGTCGCCTCCCTTGATCTTGAGGATTCAATATAGCCTGATTGACGATTAGGTTACTTCCAAATATGAATGAGATTGGCATAGCTTACTTTCAACGAAAGGAACTTCGCCGCCCTCTCTGCCAATCTCCTACTTCGGATTGGTTTAAGTTGAGAAAATGATCAGGTACTTGCCAATGCCATAGTCCATTGCCCACGAGCTCTGAGTGAGTGTAGTGGCAGATCGGTTGTTGGCCTTTGTTTCTCGGTGACAATCGCCATTATAGCTTCCCTGTGTGCTTCAAGGAATCTTGTATACTTGATCCTCCTGTTATAAGAAGTTTACTGCGCAATTAATAGCACCGTTATCCACTGGACCAGTACCTCTTTGGATAGCATGGTGTGCTATAGCCTTCTATATAGTTCCCGTATATTGTCTCCAAACGGTTGAGATGTGGTCCTGTTTGCAAGTCCACGACGATTTCAGCCTTTCTATCCTACAATGGTCAGCAAAAATATGTAGTGGGAACAAGATGAGTTATTCACGAATTCTGTCCAGAACCCCATCTGGCAACAGCCAGTCTGTTGAGAAACCTCAAAATCTTGGGTTGATTCCAGATCCTTGTCTCCCTAGTCCGCTGCTTAAATCTAATCGAAGAGAAAAACCGAGATTGAACAAGTCTACACATGCAACACCTGCAAGCTAAACTGGTGTTGAAAGGGAATAACAAAGGAAAGGGAAAGCGTGATGGTCAGACTATTCAGCTATGCATACTGCCGCTTAGCAACTCACTCATTTTATTCAATAATCTCCACGGTCACCTTTAGCCGGTATATCGGGGTGCAAGAGCTTCCAGTTGGAAGAACTCTAACCCGTGATGACCCAGCAGTTGGCTGCAGATTGGAGGGTCTTAGAGGGGAGGCCAAAGAGGTGCTCTGCTCGCAGGCCGAGGGTATCGTGTTGTTTCGCACGCCACCCGTTGGCCTGTTTTACTAGCGCGTCGGCGCGCTCGTTGCCTTCGACATCGCACTAAGACCAAAGCAGTTCGGAGGATAGGTAGGAAGAACCTATAATACTCAACCTATACTACTTGATATTAGGCTCCCAGGGTATATACAGCGACTACAGTAAAGTATAAAGTAAAGGATCAAATCGCAATTTTATTCCAGGTAAGTACCCTGGCCACTCCACTACTGGGGATATTCCCGTTCCCACTTCCGCTTCCACATCACCTCGGATTGAGCTAAGTCCCTAGCATTGGCGGCGATCCTCTGCAGCACCCCTGCTTCCAACTTATCAATCTTCTCGTTCTTGACGGCGAGACGTGAACGTTCCTCTACAAGGTCGCGGTACTTAGCATCAGCGGCCAATGCTGTTTCCACGCTAGTGCCGGCTGGGGGAAGCACCACCTTGGGTCGCGAGGCGGAGCTTGAGGGATGCACCATCTGAGGTCGCAAAGCCGGGCTTGAGAGGGGCACTACCTTGGGACGTGTGGCCGGGCCTAAGGGAGGCTTCTGCTGATCGAAGTTGGGGTCGACGACCCTTTGACAAAAGGAAAAGAAAAGAAAACCGAACCTCAGAGAGGACGACGAAGGGCAAGAAAACGCACAACAAGATGAACACGGTCAAAAAGACACGCAGAGCGGTAAGTCGGATCTCGAAGGAACCGACGCACGATTCACAGAGACTGGTGCGTAGAGGGAGTGCGTGGATGGGAAGAGGAAGTGCGAGGAGGGGAGGAAGAAGAAAAGGAAGAGAGAGAAGTAAAGAAGCAAAAGGATATGTGGGGGCTCGCGGTTTCCTTTGATTGCACCCTCTATTGTAGCATATATTCACTCAGTTGGAAATGGTATGTCTCTTCACTGTTTGTTCTCCTCCTGACCTTGCCCTTTAATGGATTCCACTGTCTCTTTATCACAAACGACTTCAAATAATGTTCAATCCATTTTATAAATGTAAATCAACTTCATCTTCGCCCCAGAAAAGCAGTCCATATTTGAAATCATTCCTTGTCGTATCCATATCATATTTATATCTATTATCGCGTGCAAGTCCTTGTTGGTCGGTCAGAGTTGCTTCACTCGGTAGCTCGGATCCCGACATCCATAGCTATCTCGATTGCGGTCAGCTGGTAGTTGACGGTTACTAGTAAAATAAGTATGAGAAATTCAAAAATTCTTAAAATGTTGCAGGGCCTGCACGATGGCTCTAAGTGCATTGCACCGTGTAGAGTCGATAGGGAGCGTAATTGTCAAATCAATATGGCGGGTATCAAGCGCATCTGCAACATTTCGTAGTAATGCTCTTGGGTGGAGTGTCACTGTTCGTGTTTAAGCCTAATTTTTGAAGAGGAACGAATGAGAAGTGTACAGCACAAATATAAGAGACAAGGTTCTACTAGGTAGGGCCCGCGCGAAATGTGCGGCGAAAAACTAGTAGTCGGCGTACAGAGATGACAGCGAATATTTTGCACGAAGGATATTGCAGCCAAGCATGGTGATATGATTAATGAAAGCTGAGTTTGCCTCGGTCTGTTGTCATTGCTGCTCTTGGGGTAGTTCCTTCCCCACGGCAAGCACGGCACGACAACTTCTATGCCACCAGGACTCCCCTCCAAATACTATACTTCGGAGCACCTGTGGCCTTTCATCCATACATGCAACAACGTCTCATATTTTAGCTCTGGACGACTGATGGAGGAAGATTACAATACAATACATCGATGGCTTGCGAGAGTGCCAGATGTTGCTTCCAATCGCAATGGGACAGGTATACTTCCCGCAATTCAGGCCATGGGCAGACTAACAAAAGTACAGGCAATCCGAATTCATTTGGTTTAGATCTTGTTGATGGATTGCCAAGTTTAGCTCGGCCTTCGACCACCCGAGAATGCATACAGACAGGTATCTCGTTGGAACACGGCCAAATCTCGCTTCAGAAACCCGAACCCAGTTTTGACCGCAAGCCGCGCCACAAGACTCGAGAAGATCGATATGAGTACAAAGGCACTAGCGCTAGCAAAGAACTATCCACAGCACACAAAGACAAGCGTAAACGGCGGCGAAGCAGGAAACACACGATGAACGATGTGTTCCACGCACCCAATGTTGCTCCTAAGAGGTTGACGGTAAGGTCAGTGTCTGATATCCATTTTTTCAATTTCCTGACATCCAATCAAAGCTCCGGGGTAGTTTGAATGTCGGCATTTTCAACAAAGGCAAGGCATCGTCGCCGCTCAACCCTGGTAAACGTAAGTTCATGCAGGTCCCCAAGCCTGAAAATTGCAAAGCTAATTGCGTCAAAAAGTTCCGGATTCTGCATTCTTGGAGACAAATTTCCTTGCAAAACGGCAGCACGGCTCGCCATCGAAGTCAAAGTCCAGGAACAAAAGGCGGAAGGTGGGCCATGATACTCCCAAGAAGGGAGCTAGTCGGCAACAAAAACGGCCTGAATACGTCTTTTCCGAATTCCTCAAGGAAATGGAACCCGAAAGCGTCAACACAGAGCAACTAGTCCCTAAGCAGAAAGGATGTGATCAGCCGAGCGATGAATCCAGGGTCGACCAAAAACGTTCCTCGGGCAGAAGTCTAGGCCCGGACATTCATAAAGAGCAAACGGACGCGCAAAGCCTTCGTTCATTCTTGGTGCAATCAGCTGAAAAGCACGCCAATGATTCCAGACCTGCTACGCCATATACGTGGTCTGATACGAGCCTTAGAAGACCACGACATGAGATTGCTCCAGAGATCCAGCTCTCAGACCTTCTTCGCGTTGGTCTATTCCCAGGCCGAGAAGATGATACGTCTAGCAATTCGAATCCAGAAAACAAATACTACAGCCTCGACGAGTTGAAAAACATGTTGGACGGTAGAAAGGAACATTGGGCGAGGACAGCCAGAACTGGCTCAATTGCTCCTATGCCACCAGTCATTGATTCTAACTATAAGTTGGGCACTGGAGCCCACAAAGTCCGTGAAAGCAGCAGCAGCGGCGATTTGATACATCCAAAGAGACCACAAGCGAGACACCTGGACGAAGATAAAACCTCACTTAGACAGGCCAGCTCGCAGGCTAGCTTGTCTGGGCCAGTCAGTCAAACTCATGATCACGATAAAGTCAACTCAATCTCACCGTTGGAGCGGATGAAACGACCGTGCTTTGACCTTGATGACAGGCAGGAAACACAGGAACTTCAACCAGATGATATCTTCTTCAGTAATTTGGATGCAGCATTTTTGGCGATTGTGGACTCCGAAACACAAACCGAGATGGATTCTTTGGGCAAGACTGGAATACGTCACACCTCACCAACATTTGGCTTTGAAGACATCATGACGACTGCTGAGCTCAACAGAGCACAGATTTCAAAGGAATCATCGGAAAGTATACTGCTCGATGCTCGTGTTGGATTCGAGATACTGTATGCTCCTGCACTTGATGTCCATGGCCATTTCAATCCTAAGCACCGCGTTACAAGCTTTGAGGAAGGACAAGCCAACTATATACCGGCCGATAATTCCCAGAATGAACTTTGTGATTCCATTATGATGCCAAGGCAAGCACTCCTATATCCGACCAATACTCATTGCGCAAACTTGGACCCTATCCCACCTAAATTTTGGCGCCAGAACAGACTGTATTGATGCGACAAGCAGACCTTTATACCCGTGACTGAAATACAATTTTATTAGCCTATTGTATATCGACCGATCAGACTGCACTTGACTTGTCCTTTTCAAATAAACATAAATAGACCGTGCATCAAGACCAATGGTCCTAGTGTACAAGGCAATTGTTGTGTGGCGAGTACTGTCAGAGTCAAGAGCTGCAACTTATAGCTAGTGTTCCATATACCTGTTTATCCTTATGAGAATGTACTTTATCCCATTTCAAGAACTCCTAAGCTATTCAACTCCATTGTGGCATTGACACATAACGGTCAACTCTGCCTCACTGATTGGGCAAATACACAGCGTGGTACATAGCTGAAGACACAAAACCACGCAAAGCCAAGGCTTCACCATCAGGCTTAATCTTCTACTCTAGGGTATCCGTGTATTGGTATTCTTCTGTTGTTATCGCAAGCTACGGAATGCGCTGACGGTATCGGTATTCGTGATAAAGGATGCGAATATGCTTCGTAGGTCGGTTATACAAGTTCTGGAGCCGATGCTTGAAAGTGCCTTACATTAATCCCAAGTTTACGTCTTTGGAGATTGTTGAAATTGAATTGTTTGGGTATAGAGCAATCTAGAGAACAAAGCACTATGAACAGGTACCGCGGGAAACCTCGCGTCTATCCGATGCCTCAGTAGATGGCTTTCCAGACAAAAATAGCCTAACATGGTTTGTATCTGACCATCTAAATAAACAAAGGCCGTTATTTTCAGCGCCAATAATGCGAACACAAGAAACAGGAAACATAGTGGACGGATGTGGTATTATAGGGTTGCGGCGGCCTCGATAGCTCCGGTGGCTTTGAAGATTCCCGGGCTCCGCATTTCGACCTCGACCGGGTAATTCCATTGCATGAACCGTGTCCAGCCTGCAACAATCATTAGCAACATATTCCCCTAATTCATAAATCAAAAGAACGTACTCCAGTATGCGCATTTCCGTCCCATGTATTTGCCAATAAACGGCACAAGCACCATTGTCAAAAGCAGCTCTAATTGCTCGATGCTTTCCCGCCACTCCGCCTCGGCATCGGAGTAGTCATCCGAGAGTGTTTCGAGGTCTGAGTCCGTGGTAGATTCGGATGGCAGCGAGGCGACTTCGTCCTCGGAGTCGTACGAGTGCTGGTTGGAGGGGACCATGTATGCGGACATGGAGAACGAGGGATTGGACGGGTCAGGAGAGGCGGAAGACATGTTCGGGGGTGTTCGGAGCGATCTTGAAATGAGAGTGTGGTTTTTAAAGAGCAGTGGCCTGCCTACTGCCGTGGTGATCAAAGCATTTGTTCCGTGAGCAAGTTGGACGGTGTTGATCCCAGCGTTGAGGGTAGGTTGACGCCGCGGTACAAGTGTTACATAAGCTGCAGGAAGATCTTGCTGAGTCATGTTGTGGGGCTGCATCTATAGAAAGTTGCACATGAACTTAACACTCAAGTACTTGAGGTAATCAGGAAAACTATGACGATAATGAAGTTCATGAAATGCAATATAGAACTCCCTATTGAATCACTGCATATTGATGGTTATCCAGGAATACTCATATTGGCCCGAGGCATGACATGAAGCATTCGTAATCTCAATATTGTTTATACGAGTTTGCATCTTCTTGCCTAGCAAGCTATGGCGACTGACAAGTGAATTATCAACTGAAAAATTTTTTTTCTTTTAGAACTTCTTTACTCTGAGATATGTTGGTATTTCACCTTTAGACCGGCAAATATTGAACAATAAGGTTGCACGTGACTATATCAAGTGAGTCAGGATCACGTGACTGTCCCGCGATAACAGACTCTCGCCTCTCGCCGAACATTATATCAGATCCAGCATCAAATTCGTCATTGTCGACATCGCCGTCTCTCCGATCTTCGCGAAACTACTATCTTGTTGAAAATACCCCGGCGGTGAAGCGAATCGAATCCTGCAACCACCCAGCATGGCGGACGCCGTATGTCACACCTGGTTCCTTTTTTACCTCACCCACATTTTCTTTCAGGCCTGCACAATACCCCTCGGTCAACACCCACGCTAGTCGCGCAAACCACTTGCTTCCTAGCTGGACCCCGAGACTGCTCTTTTCCCACAGAAATTCGTCTTTACACTTTCTTGTCTTTACAATCTTTTTCTCCATTTTCACTTCACTAATTTGTGGCGGGGCCCGAACAGGAACAGAAGCAGCGCAAGTCCGTCGCATTCAGCGAAGGATCAATCATTATGGACACCAACGGTCAAGTCACAGAGACCCCCGAGGCCGAGAAGCCTGCCGGTACGAAAGAAAAGCTTCCTCGGGTTCCACTCGTCTGAACCCCGGACCCGCTAACGGATATATTAAAATTCTAGACAAGGAAGTCGACGAGGTTACCGACATGTTCAAGGGTCTCGCAAAGAAGAAGAAGTCCAAGAAGTCCAAGGACACCGAGGGTGAGGGTGAGGAGGCCCCCGCTGGCGACGGCGAGTTCGACCCCTCCGCCTTGAAAAAGAAGAAGAAGACCAAGTCCAAGAAGCTCGACACTGGTGACTTCGAGGCCAAGCTCGCTGAGGCCGGTGTCTCCGAGGAGGCCGGTGAACAGGCCGACGAGGAAGTCGTGCCCGAGGGCGATCTTGAGGCCGGCACTGGCATCTGGTCCCACGATGCCACCCAAACCATCCCCTACTCCCTCCTCGTCTCGCGGTTCTTCTCCCTCATCCAGAGCCACCACCCCGACCTCCTGTCCAGCGGAACCAAGTCCTACAAGATCCCCCCGCCCCAGTGCTTGCGTGAGGGTAACCGTCGTACCGTTTTCGCCAACATTGCCGATATCTGCAAGCGCATGAAGCGATCAGACGACCACGTCATGCAGTTCCTGTTCGCCGAGTTGGGAACTAGCGGCAGTGTTGACGGTAGCCGTCGCCTGATCATTAAGGGTCGTTTCGTCCAGAGACAAATCGAGTCTGTGTTGAGGTCATACATCGGTAGGTCCCACCTTTTATATCGGAGAAGACGCCATTGAATTCGCTCTAATAAATCTACAGTGGAGTATGTTACTTGCAAGACCTGCCGCAGCCCCGACACCGAGCTCAACAAGGGTGAGAACCGTCTTTACTTCATTACCTGCAACTCTTGCGGTTCCCGTCGTTCCGTCGCCGCTATCAAGACCGGTTTCCGTGGCCAAGTCGGCCGCCGGAAGCGTACTGGTTAAGCGAGATAAAAACTGGATTTGGCATTTGTGGGAGAGGCAATGCTTTATTGTCTCTACTTTTTGGCGTGTTACGTACTGGGATCGGTGGATGGTGAAAATGAGACCCCGGCATTGTATCTTTCTACCGTTGGGGGTTTGAGATGAGGAAACGATTTGAAAGATAGAAATAGTTCGCCATGAAATGGATTGATATGACCACTCACTTTTTCTACTGGAATGGACCAGATGGCTACTTCATTACATCGAAGTTTCAAAGCTAACAACCGTCCTTCATTCGACCAAGCTATTTTTCTCTCGCCTCGCAAAGGTCCGCAGAGTCTTGAGCTTCACCTTGCAAACATTGAAAATTACCTTCCACGATGAATCTATGACAAGCTTGGCGAGTGTACTCCTCCGCTCCCTTCTTTTGATGGCCATTCACAAGAACGCTCTTCGTCAAGTTGGAACGCTTCAAGCTCCATGTGTGAGATTTTCTTCCTGTAATCAATCCATAAGCACAATCCACTCCACGGTCAAATTTCAAATTCTTACTTCAGGTCACGGTTTTCCTGAGTCGTAGCGTTGCATCAAGCGCATCAAGCCCTCGTATATCGGAAACCTCGCCCCAAGTAGTGACACGACCCGACTGACGAGCTTGTCCAGTTTTCTTTGAAGGGGTTTCCTCTCTTCTTTCCTGCCCCGCTAGAACCACGCGAAGTTCTGTGAATCCATTCCTGTGGAGCGTTAGCAATCGGACCCCAAGTGCAGAGCATCAGGGATGCTTCCGGAATACATTTTAATCCATACGTATCTCGGTTTTCTGCAGTTTTGAATATGTGTTTGAGCGAGATCGATTTAAGGGATTCGAGGAGGTCGTGCGTGGACTTCTTTGAGTCTGGCGGCGCCTCTGGCTGTTTTTCGGGATGGGATGACATTTTAAATTCAAGAACTTCAAATGCTAGGTAGTAGAAAGTTGGTTTTAAATGATTCCTGAATGGCATTTGTTTCAATCTTTATGCCTGTTTTCTTCCGAAATCCAATCGGCAAGCGGGTGTACCACGACCATGCCGGATATGACAGGATAGAAGCTGAGAACCATGGTCGAGAACTTGAAAATAGAAAGGATTATGTGCTCGGGAATGATATCTGAAAGCATATATATACGATATGAAAAGCACAATGAACAAACACTGGAACGACATATTAAGACATCTTACAACCCTGAAAGATGCATAAATCAACCACTAGCCGTACTCATCTTCATTTGCATCGCAAACGCATTCAAGTTCCTCGTCTGGAAATAAACCGTTCCGGGTCCTTTGAACTTGCAAGCAAGACCTTCATGAGAAGAATAAGAAGATATCAATCCACCAGACGCAACACGCTCAAGTGTATAGTCACAATTCCACGCAACAAGATAACCATTATCCACGTAGTATTTCTCGCCCTCCACAAGCTTGTAAAAATCAGCGAGCCGAAAAATAGCAAAAAGAATGGTGCACATACCTCTTTCTTGATAATCGCCCCGAAAGCCTGGATGAAAAGTAATCCCGTCCCAGTAATCTTGTAAACGAACAACCCCTCGCCAGAGAACATGGCCTTCGTCAAACCCTGTGTTACATACTCGTGATGAACGGCTGATGAGTGCGCGAGGAAAGAATCTCTACTAATCATCAAATCTTTTTCGCCGCGGACTGGTAGAACCATTATATCGCCCAGGACGGACGGGGCGAGAAGAAGTTCTCCCGGTCCGGTGTAGGTTGACATGCCCATTTTGGCCCCTGCTATTAGTTTCTTCATTGTGAAGTGGAATTCACCACGTAAGGTGATTGTCGGAGACATTGCTAACATGGCGCCTGATATACTGTTAGACGAGCAGCATTACATGTTTGGGTTGTGGTATGACTTGCCTGGTTTGACAACTAAGGGAGCACCCATTGCTAGTTGAATTGTCAAGAGGGAGTTTGAATCCCGATGACTGATTCTATAACTTCCTCCGTTGAATGTGCCGACGTTGTCTTCGGATGTTGCGCTTGCTCCTCGGAAATCTCCATATGCGGGGGCTCCTCCTGGGATTTTTTCCATTCGGCCCACTGAAGATTGGGAAATTGGTCTGCTTATGCTGGTGGCAGCTGGTTGCTGGACTGGAACAGCATTCTGCTGGTTGTAGAACGGTGGCTTGTCCTGGGGATATTGGTCTGGGGGTGGGCTTTGGACTGGCGTAACAGATGGGGGTCCCGGGTACACATTATTTGCTGGTTGGGACTGGGGAGGAGGAGGGTAGCTAAAGTTAGGCGGGGGTGCATTTGCAGATATCTGTGAAGCAGGTGATGGTTGTGAAGGTGGGGGAGTGGCATGGGGTGGCGGAGGGAAGGCTTGTGGAAGACCAGGAAATGCTATACACATAAGTTAGAGGTGTCGTAGTACTCGATTCCAAAGGGGCTGTTCACTTGTCTGATGAGCCGGCGCTGTATGACTACCGTTAGCAGAATTACTAGATATTCATTTTCCATTCAGCTTACCAGACATGGGCGGCGGAGGATAGTAAGTCTGGGGCGGCATTTTCTTGTTAAAGAAAGACGGCATCGATTTGTGTCAGATTGCGCGCTGCGATTGTGTCAATCCTTATTCAATCACCAATTTTCTGTAGACATACAATTCCTCAGATGTGCGGGGTAACTAGTTTCGAGTTCGCTGTACAGCAAATGTAACGGAAAAGGACTGTCAGCAGATGAGAACCTGCTCAAAATGCATAGAAAAATGAGAACTTCATGTGGACAAAAAGGAAATAAAAGCTGAACTCTGGGAACCTTTTAACCTATTATTAGATGCGAAGGTTTTTAGATTAGCACCCAAATCACACTTGACTACTGCATGATCATCCCAGCCGGGCGCTTACAAGGACCAACTAAGTGATTTGACGGGCTAGTCCATGCAGTAGTCAAGTGGATCCTCAAGCGTGATTGGCGGTTCAAGAAGACGCCGAGCGGCCAAGCAGAAGACGGAAGTTAAGTGGGACAATCCTGACTCTGCTGACTTTGCGTAGTCTTGCGGGGTAGAATGAACAGAATACATTTGATCTACGGTCACGACAGCACAAAGTATGAGCATAGTAATGTTGAAGCGCCCTCAATGTTAGGTACAAAAGAGCATGACTGGTCTGCTAAAACCGAATTTCTATCCAAACTAATCCACTAACGCCTTCAATGATTCAGGGATATACAAAACCATGGGTCTATACCCAGCAATACTAAACGGATGCCGCGACATAAACAGAGCCATATGCAGGCTTAGAAGATGCTGTTGACGATATTGGATCCGACAGTAGCACCGGCACCAAAAATTGCTGATCGTAGTTAGCTCAAGCTCGACCAAATCAGGTTATGACACATACCAGCGTTACCAAGCTTCTTGCCAAACTTCTTGCTTCCTTGCTCAAATTTGCTCTTCTGGTTCGGGTCGTTGGACTCGGGAGCAGAAGGTCCACCTTGACTTACCTCGAGAGGCATATTTCCATAGTTGGTAGGTGGAGGAGCGGCGGCCTTTTCATTTACAACATTCACATAGCTCCGAGGGAAGATACCCTCCATGCCAGTACGCTCGTTGCGACCACGCCACCCTTTAAACATTAGTACAGCTTTAACACCAGTCTCGGACGAAACGTACAGTCATCGTTCATGTGCTCAATAACTTGAATACGGTCATTCGGCTGCAAAGCAAGATCCCCCGTGTCGGTGGGAGTGTATGCATACAATGCCGAGGCGAGACAAATAATGGGTGGGACTTGAGGGTAGGCCGGCGGAGCCATCTGAGGAGAGGCATATTGGTTGTGCATCGGCATCGGGGCTTTCTCGTTCAAGGAGGCATTTTGCATTTGTGACACGGGAGGAGAATAGGGAGCTGGAGGAGGCTGTGCCTGAACGGGTTCCGGTAGGGGTGAAGGTGTGTGTACCACCGGTGTGGCCTGTCGGTGTCTGGGCGCGGAACGAGCATCGGACTCATCAGGCAGTTGTGAGAGGATGGAAGTCAGCTGTTGGCGTGAAATCACCGACGAGTCGGCGAGGAACTCCAGCTCCTGGGTTTGTTGTCAGTATATGTGACTTTCAGGTACTGTGGGGAAGACGTACGGTCCGGACCATGCGGAGCGACCGGGTGGTCATGGCAGAGGCGAAATCATTCGCCATGACGGAGACAAAGGCTCGGCTTTATTAATTTTGCTGGTTGAAAATGAGCCCTGGTGAGTGCTGAAGATGAGAAATAAGGGGGAAGTATGGGTTGAGAGAGAGAAAAAGCGGAGGTTGAAGAGAAGACTGGACTATCTGCCAAGTGGATTGTCTTGTCTGCCTGGCCAAGACTTCGTCCCTTAGGGGGTAAATCTTTCAACTTCCATAGTTAAATATTAAATGTAGGGAATTTAAAAAATGCCAATTCAGTTTTTTATCTTCACACGAGTTGTTCCATATCCCGTTGCTGTATGTATGGTCTTGTCACTCTTCAGTTGTAAACTATAGAAGAACCCCCAACTACACGAGTGACCGTAACACCATCATATTCAGCGTTAACATCGAAGCACATTCAATGACTCGGTACCTTAACCAATATCAGTCTCAAACTCCGTGAGAACAATCTCATATACTAGATCAGGATTCGGCATTACCGCCCCATTTCCAGCCCCCTTGACCATTTCACGTTTCTGCTTCGTAGTCGCTTCAACCCACGTTCGATATCGAGGAGCGCCAGGGAAAATAACATTATCCGCAATCTCTACCGAAACATCTGGTTTCAGAACATCCATCTGCTCAAGAAGCCATAGATCAGGTATAAATCCTGCCAATGATCGAGGAAAATAAGCTCCACCTCTTCAAGTTGTTCGTCTTCCACCAATTCCTGTAGGACCTCATCGCTGGATCCAACAATGATCCGCACGGTGTCGCGCGGCCCAGCTAAATCTACCAGCTGGTTGACGATGGCACCCATTTCGGGGTTCTTCTCAATCCCAAGATATTGTTTGCCGCCGTGGGATGTTACGGTATCTCCGAATAAGATGGCGCTGTAGCCGACGTAGACACCGAGCTCGATCATGAATGATGGCTTTGGATGATGGCTTGCATTCGTTGATTAGGCTGACCATATGTTGGCCTTTTTCAGCTCCGACGTTCATGAGCTTGTTGGATTTGTTGTGGTATTCGTCGATTGCAGCAAGTACTTTCCGGGGATTTCCGTGAATCTCTTTGATATCGGGGCGTGCGTATATGTAGTGGAGTTGGTCTTCCGGCCAGCCTGGTCATTTTAGAAAATCGCGACTATTCTAATAAAGTAAAACTCACAAAAGCCCATTTGGTTGCCGGTGGTGCATGCTGCTTGGTCGACATGAAGTGCCTACAATGTATAAGACCTTAGGAGTAGATTTGGTTTACGCTGAGATTTGAATGAACAATTAGGATACTCAAGTTGTCTCTGAGCATTAGATGACTCGATTGGCTAGATTTCCCTTGACAGTATTTATACCTCGACAGTTCCTGAAATATGTAGGGCAATTTCATTCTGGGGTAAGGTTATGTTTGGGAAAGGAGTCAAACAATTAAGAAAGGAATCTCCGAAGTATTCGGAGATTCTCAGGTTCCGAGGTGAGTAGGCCGAGGTCCTGTCCTGCAGCCATTTAGCGTGGTTCCAAGATTTGTGTTCCTTTTGATATCAACTGTCGATCCCTGCATTGTTTGGTGGTTGCGATCTTGCAGTTACTGTAGATCTGCGGTTGAATGCTGTGGGATTCTATACATATCCAATGTTCGACAAACGTACCACGATGAAAGCTTGCCAATTTACCGCCTAGTAAGTTAAACCGAATAGAATAAATAAGTAGAACAAGGCCGGGATAGAAGCGTGTTGGCAGATTTGTCCATTTACGTAGAAATTTCCAACATATTAATATCAAACAGGCTTCGAGGCTAAGCCTCGCATATAGTGGGGTAAGTCGGGGTCCGTAAGAGGAAGATTGCCAAGTGTTGCAACAAATACCATATATGACTCTAAATTGATAAATCACGATTGATAGAATACTAGCTAATATGTATTTACTTCGTATAACTAGTGTGCGGTGAGATCAGTAGCCTAATATGGACCGAGCATCTATGACATCAAGTGGGTCAAATACATCAATTGTATGTTGGTCAGTCATTAATTAGTAAGGTCATCAATGACCCAGGATATCTGAAATTACTCTCTGCTAGGGAACATTGATATAGAAACTACCTAGGCAAGAAAGTGGAATTCTTGAGTTACATAGAGTATGAGATCCAAGCGACGGGGCTCAAATGGAAAGACTGCAAGGGTGGCAACATCATCGTGTCCCCACAAAAATGATGTCTGTAGAGTCAATTTCGCAGCCAGCCATAAAGTGACCAATAGCAATTGATATATACTTACCAGATACAGTACATTATATAACCGTGATGACAATTGTCACAGAAAAAGTCCAGAATCTCTGCATGGTAAGGGTGAGGCGCATGACAATATCGACAAATAACCCCCACTATACCATAAAGGGTTTAGCGCATGACTCCCCTCTCTCCCACTCTCTCGAAGCTTCTGTGCTGTATAAATCCCATCATCCCAACCTCACGCGAGCCTTCATCATAAGCCACTTTCCCTCCACACTCCACCCTCACACTCCACCTCCTATCCAAACCAAAAATCTTCTACAGCCATGGACGACTGGAACACCACCACCAAGATCGGCAGCCGCATGGGTGGCGGCGGCGGCTTCGCTCGCGAGACTGTCGTCAAGGGCAAGAGTGCTCTCAACGCTGCCCAGCGCCAGGGCGGTGTCCTCGCCACCGAGAAGAAGTACACCACCGGTAACCTCGTACGTCCTAACACTCTCCGTCCTCTCCCCCATCTACAAAGTACTAACCTAAAACCACACAGTCTGCCAAGGCTGGCGCTCCCGAAGGCCAGCACCTCACAAAGGTCGACCGCAGCGACGACATCATCAAGCCCAAGACCGTTGGCTTCGAAGTAGCAGACGCTATCAAGAAGCGCCGTACCGACGAGGGCTACAAGATGACCCAGAAGGAACTCGCCACCAAGTGCAACACCACTGTCACCATCATCCAGGACTTTGAGCGCGGAACCGCCACTCCGGACCAGAAGGTTCTCGCTGCTATGGAGCGCGTGCTGAACGTCAAGCTCCGCGGTAGTGACATCGGCAAAGAGAAGTTCCCCAAGAAGAAATAGGCTCGGATTTCGGTCGGCTTGATTTCTTGGGGATGAGACGAGAACAAAATCATGTTCTGTTTCTGCATTTTCCTTTTTCTTACTTGTTTTGATGAATGTCATGTCTTTCCTCTTCTTCTCTTGATGTGATGTCTACTTTTTACCTCTTTTCTGCTGGTCAGATTAGCGCTGGCCTTGCATGAACTGGGCTTAGAGAAAATTCGGATAAAAATGTATAAATGAGATACCTCGATGCTTTGGACTCTATTCTTATCAATTCGAGTTGCCTCCGGGCTAGAACTGTAGTTCTGGATAAATTTTACTGTACCATATTGGACTGTGTTGCATCTAGTACGCACATAGACGGACGTATTGATGTATCCTGACCTTACTCAGATTGCAATGCAAATGTAAACCCTGAATACGTCTGATACTGATTGAAATTTTGCAAGACTTCTGTATTGTCTATTTTGTAATATGTACGTATCCTGCTGGATATGCGAGCGTGCTCTCCCCAGCAAGAAAGACATATGACTCGAGAACTGAAAATGAAGCATGCCATCTTTTATTAAACCAAAACAAAAGCAAAAGCGGTACCAACTCCGGTTGATCATGTAGGAATCAAGAAATGAGAAAACCATGCCTCGAAAGGTCATCATCTCATCCCGTATGCCGGACTCGAGAGGGCAAAATTAAAACAAACGTCCCGAGTCTAGTTCGCATCGTAAACACATACACACTCTCCTCGACTCGAATCACCTATACTTTTTCGTAGCGTAGCGTTCTATCCCTTACTTCCGCATCTGCTCCCGCTCAACCTCATACATGAAGTCGAAGTATCCCTTATCGAAGTGGTGGATACGGACGTAACCGTCCTCACCACCGGAGGCGTATGCGGTACCGTTGGGGTGAACGTCGATGGTGTTGAGGGGACCGAAGTGGCCACGGACACGGCCAATCTCGTCTTCAAAGATCTTGTGGTAGAAGCGGGCCTCGAATTTACCCTGGCGGGCAGAGGTGGTGGTGACATCCATGGCGGCCTGACCACCACCAAGAATCACGTAGTCCTTCTTAGCGGTGATGGAAGCAGAGTTGAGGGGAGTATCGGCGACGTAGGTTTTGAGAATTTCAAGGTTGCGGGCGGAGATGAGCTGGGAGAAGGTTAGTCAGGTCGTTCTGATCTTGGAATGCGCCGGTATTGCATACCTTGGCAGACTTGTCTTTGGAGGCGGTGATGAAGTGGGTGCGGTCAGCGGAAAATTGGATGTCGTTGATTTGGTGGTCGAGCTCGTGGACCTGGACGTTCTCCAGCTGATCACCGGTCTGAGGAGAGAGATGTTAACATTCGACAACTGGTATTGCATTTGAAGCAATATCGTAGAAACCATACCTTGGGGTCATATTGGCTGACGCTACCATCCTCGTGTGCAGCAATAATGTACCTGCCCATGTAGCTCCATCCGGCAACAGTCGCCTTGCTCTCAGTACAAGTAATGCGCAAGCTTGGCTCATCGGCCTGTACATCGAGATTGTTGCCCTGACCATCACCGTAGGCAATATCGAGAACGGCGATCGTACCGAGGAAACCCATACGCTTCTCTGTCACTGCCAGCAGCTTGCTTCCATCCGGGGAGAATGCCACGCGCTTCACGGCTGTCGGGAAGTCCCACACCTTGATGCACTCGCCAGTCTTGATGTTCCATAGTCGAACGGTGTTGTCGGCTGATCCAGTCGCAAGGATTACGGTGTTGGGGCTCACGTCGACAGTCCAGATAGCACCCTGGTGGCCAGCGTAGGTTCCGAGGCGCTCGCCGTTGGCGGTCCACCATGCGCAGACATTCTTATCCTTTGATACTGAGAAGAGGAGGTCGCCGTCCTTGTTGAAACGAATTTGGTTAAGGGAACGCTCCTATAAGACGATTACGGTTAGTTTTCACTGTGGACCCAAGCTTTTGGGAAGATTTGTACGCACATGTCCCGACAGCAGAATAGGTCTCATCTTGGGGGATGCGACAGGAAAGGACCGGAGATGAAGATACTGAGCTGATCGACTCAGTGAGGGGGGTGGATGGCGGGTATATCGGAGGAGGGGGGGTCAATCTCGTCAACCGTCACTTTCTTTGACTAGTGAATTTCATCGCACACTCTGCCACCGCCAAGACTGACAGCCCGTATCGAATCGCGCTTTTCCGGCAGAACTATTTGTCCGGTATCTACACGTGATGTGCTGCCCCTCAGCCCTAAGCCCTGCATGTCCTAATAGGGGAACAACATGCAATCGGAATAACTTTTACTCCGTCGTTCCTCCAGGCCTCTGACTCATCGAGTTCCATTGTTCATGCCTCAGGCATCAAATATCCGTGTCACTCTGTTCTCCGTTTCCCGAAAGTCTCACAGCAACGATATAGGAATTGCAGGAGAGACTGTGTGAGGGGGAGAGATTTCTACACCTGAAGAGACATAAACTCTAGCCAAATTCTCTGTTTGAAGCGGAGTGTCTTTGCTCCTTTTTCCCTACAGTATTGATAAGGGTTAAATGTTAGGCATCCCCGTGATCCCGAACCCGATAATCAGACTCCGAGGAATAATATTCTATGCCGTTCCCCGCTGTACCCCGCGGTCGACTCCCCCTACAAGTGCGAGCGACTAATTTTTATCTGCGCACCTCTTTGGGCTTGTCTTCATTTCATACCATCTCCTCCGCACGAGGGGTTAGAGGTTCTGTCTTGTCAACCTTGAAGGCTCCATCCCCAGCATTGATTTTCTTAAACCCGTCGCTTGATTCGAATCGCACGTTCTGCAGTTCCGCAACCATGGCCGCTAAGATTGATGGCACGGCCATTGCCAAAAGTATTCGCCAGGGACTTAAGGATGAAATTGAGCAAACCCAGATCACGAACCCCAGATTCAAGCCGAACTTGATCATTTTCCAAGGTAAGCATTTCCCTCAACTTTGCGACAAAAACTAGGAGCATGTGATTGACTAACACCACTCGATATACAGTCGGCAACCGATCGGATTCCAGTTAGTTTTACCGGAACTCATCGACCAATACTCAAGGCACAGAACTAACTATCATAGGCACCTATGTGCGCATGAAGCTGAAGGCGGCCCAGGAGGTAAATCTGAAGCAAACCTAAATAAGAAATAGGATGACAGCTGACCCACTTTCAGGCAAACATCCTCTGCACTCTTATCAATGTCCCCGAAACCAGCACCGAGTTGGAGCTCCTCCAGGATATCACCAAGGCTAACAATGATCCCGCTGTCCACGGTATCCTGGTCCAACTGCCCCTCCCGGACCATATGTCCGAGCACACCATTACCTCTGCTGTCGCCGATGAGAAGGATGTGGATGGATTCGGAGCCATTAACATTGGCGAGCTGGCCAAGCGCGGTGGTCGGCCACACTTCACACCATGCACCCCGCTTGCCGTTATGGAGTTGCTCAAGGCCAGCGGCGTGGACCCCTCTGGCAAGCACGCGGTGGTTCTGGGACGTAGTGACATTGTTGGTAGCCCGGTCAGCTTCCTGCTCCGGAATGCCCATGCCACCGTCACGGTCTGCCACTCCAAGAGTGCCGATATCCCCAATATCGTCAAGAACGCAGACATTGTCGTCGCCGCCATTGGAAAGGCCGAGTTTGTCAAGGGAGAATGGTTGAAACCCGGTGCCGTTGTGATTGATGTCGGTATTAACTACAAGCCCGATGCGACCAAGAAGTCAGGTGAGCGCCTGGTGGGAGACATTGAGTTTGAGTCGGCCTCTCAGGTGGCCTCACAAATCACCCCGGTCCCTGGTGGTGTTGGCCCCATGACCGTCGCCATGCTACTGAAGAACGTGGTCCACGCTGCCAAGTCATACTTCGAGAGGCAAAAGGACCGACGCATTACTCCTCTTCCCATTCGTTTGCAGACCCCCGTGCCGTCGGATATCGCTATTTCCCGTGCTCAATACCCGAAGCCCATTACACAGGTCGCCGCTGAGGTTGGCATCGCGCCTCACGAGCTGGAGCAATACGGTCACACTAAGGCTAAGGTTGGACTGGAGGTCTTGGACCGCCTCTCTCATCGTCGCAATGGGCGTTATATCCTGGTTTGCGGTATCACTCCTACTCCTCTGGGTGAGGGCAAGTCAACCACCACCCTTGGTCTTACCCAGGCTCTTGGAGCTCACCTGAATCGTATCACTTTTGCCAACGTTCGTCAGCCCAGTCAAGGCCCGACCTTTGGTATCAAGGGTGGTGCTGCTGGAGGTGGCTACAGTCAGGTCATCCCCATGGATGAGTTCAACCTGCACTTGACAGGTGATATCCACGCCATCACCGCCGCTAACAACCTTCTTGCTGCCGCCATTGAGACCCGCATGTTCCATGAGTCTACGCAGAAGGACGGACCTCTTTACAAGCGCCTGGTGCCCGCCAGCAAGGGCAAGCGCGAGTTCAAGCCTATCATGTTCCGTCGCCTGAAGAAGCTTGGCATTGAGAAGACTAACCCAGATGATCTTACTGAGGACGAGATCCGTCGCTTTGCGCGCCTAGATATTGACCCTGAGACTATCACCTGGCGCCGCGTTCTCGATGTCAATGACCGTCACCTGCGTGGCATCACCGTCGGCCTGGCTGCCACTGAGAAGGGACATTCTCGCGAGACTGGCTTCGATATCTCCGTCGCCAGTGAGTGTATGGCCATCCTTGCCCTGAGCAACAGTCTTGAGGATATGCGTGAGCGTCTGGGCCGCATGGTGGTCGCTACCTCCCGGAGTGGTGACCCCGTCACCTGTGACGACATTGGCGCCGGCGGTGCTCTCGCTGCTTTGATGAAGGATGCCATCAAACCTAACCTCATGCAGAGCTTGGAGGGAACTCCCGTTCTGGTCCATGCTGGTCCCTTCGCAAACATCAGTATTGGTGCTAGCTCCGTCATTGCTGATAAGCTGGCCTTGAAGTTGGCCGGAACCGAGCCTGATGAGGATCACGATGCCAAGACTGGATTTGTGGTGACTGAGGCTGGTTTCGACTTCACCATGGGCGGTGAACGCTTCTTCAATATCAAGTGCCGATCATCCGGTCTATCTCCCGATTGCGTGGTTATTGTGGCTACCGTCCGCGCCCTGAAGGTTCACGGCGGCGGTCCCGAGATCAAGCCCGGCGCTCCTCTGGACGAGGTTTACCGCACGGAGAACGTGGAGGTGCTGCGTAAGGGTTGTATCAACTTGCGCAAGCACATTTCCAACGCTCGCCAGTACGGTGTGCCGGTCGTGGTGGCCATTAACAAGTTCGAGACTGACACCGAGGCTGAAATCGCTGTCATCAAGGAGGAGGCTATTGCGGCGGGTGCCGAGGACGCCATCCCCGCTAATCACTGGGCCGAGGGTGGAGCCGGTGCCGTTGACCTGGCCAAGGGTGTTCTGGCCGCTAGCTCCAAGCCCAAGGACTTCAAGCTGCTCTACAACCTGGATGGCAGCATCCAGGAACGTATTGAGCGTATCGGCAAGGCCATGTACGGCGCTGAGAAGGTGGAGTTCAGTGAGCTGGCACAGAAGAAGGTTGATACCTACACCAAGCAAGGATTTGCCAACCTGCCAATCTGTATTGCCAAGACGCAGTACTCTCTTAGTCACGATCCTGCCCTGAAGGGTGCACCCACCGGGTTCACTGTGCCGATTCGGGATGTCAGACTGGCCGTGGGTGCTGGATATCTGTAAGCCTCCTCGTTGCACCATTTTCTACCCTTTTCTTTTCAGTTATACTAATTTCGACTTTACAGCTACGCTTTGGCCGCCGACATCCAGACTATTCCTGGTCTGCCTACTGCCCCAGGCTACCTTAATGTAGACATTGACACCGAGACTGGTGAGATCGACGGTCTGTTCTAGATCTTTGTCACATGAAACTTTGATTTAGGGTTTGGATTGGATAGACCGAGATGTATATAACCGTGCATTAACATTTGAAGCACGGATGGGGACATTTTTTTCAACATATAAGCAACTGGCGTCCCACAGGTAATCTTAGAATCGGAGAACTTTTCAACACTCAACACCTTATCAGATGAATATCATTCCAATTCAATATGTCATTTAATTTGCATGGATTTTCCTGGTTATTGTAGATGGTGCAATTCGGGTGATCGTTACCCGGTTACAAAGCGGGTCAACGGTGAGTTCGGAGTGATGCTCCGAACTCCGGAAAAGGCTACATTTTTTGACTTCTTCCGTTGTAGCGGGTCGGTGGATAGAGCTACAAGCCCGGTGACTCGATGAATGGAACATAAAAAGGGCTAGGACCAAGGGAATTTAAGACGAAATAGAAGCCAAATCTACTTAACTTCTAACTTTTCACATTTTTCTTCTAAAAAGTTGTGATAATTTGTTTTGTTAGGTAAGTCTCGTGACTCTCCGGCTTCGGCGCTTTCTTTGTAGCGGCAAACGGTTAGAAGAGGAAGAATCATTTGGCTCATCCAATCTGTTCCTTGCAGAGAGTTTCACTTCCGGACAAGGCTTTTTCCTTTTCCCACTTTGATCTTTTGCCATCAACTTTCCTCTCTTGTTCGGTAATTCCCCCAGTTCCTATTTGCCCTTTGGACCCAAACTTGCCCAGTTACCCGGTCCCTCCCGTTTTTCCCCGGCCTTTTACTCCCCCAGAAATTGTTCCGGCAAATCTAGCTAGTGACGTTGCGATCGGGCATAGGACAATTCCGACCCCACTGGCCGCTATTCCCTTCTGCCGAACATCGTTCCCTCGGTTGTTCAGCACGGCGAACCCGCAATTAACTGGCCCCCGATTGTGTCTCCGAGCCAAACAGAAAGGGAGAAACTTGCGCTGACGCCTTTCCGAGCATAGGCCCAAATTCCTGCCACTATGAACGCTCTTCGGTCTGGTTCCGCTTTCGCGCGCCGGTCCCTTGCGACCCCTCCTCCTATTGCCCCTCTCTCTTCTTCTTCTCGTCTTCTCTCTTCCTCTTCCACTTTCTTCTCTACTTCCCAGAGATCCCTTTCTTCTGCTTCCTTCCGCACTCACAGAATCTCTGCGTCTTCCCGCTGGACCGGATCGACTCCTTCGTTGTACCTGACCCAAACCCGCACTATGGCTTCCGAAAGCAAGATCAAGGTTCTGAACCCGGTGGTGGAGTTGGATGGTGATGAGGTATGGAGCGAACCCCTCCCTTTTTATATTGTAGAGCCCGAAATTTCCCTGCCGCGGGGTATGTCACAAGCTTGTAATGTCTCGTGCTTCGAGCGGTGCATTTTCGTCTTGTCCGTCATCCAACGCGGGGAAATACGGGGGATCCAGACTCATTCATGTGTCAATGGATTGACCCGAGGCTTACATTGCCAATTGGGAACATGGCTAATGAGATGATCTTCAATAGATGACCCGTATCATCTGGCAAGAAATCAGAGAAAAGGTAAGCCGAACTACACTGCCCCTCTACCCCTCATGTTGGCTCGACCTGCATGATCGGCCCCCGGCTGCAGACAGCCGCATGCAGTTGATGCATGCGATCATCCTATGATTCTAGACTGAGACTAACATTGTTTTCCTCTAGTTGATTCTGCCGTAAGTGCTGGACCTAGACGGAGTGATCGTCCTGTTCTATTTACTAAACTCAATTTAGTTACCTCGACATTGACCTGAAGTACTACGACTTGGTAAGCTTCTAAACCGATCCATGATGCAGGTGGTCAACCCCGCTAACAAGTTGATTAGGGTCTTGAGTACCGTGACCAGACCGATGACCAGGTCACTGTTGACGCCGCTGAGGCTATCAAGAAGTACGGTGTCGGTGTCAAGTGTGCCACCATCACCCCTGATGAGGCCCGTGTTGAGGAGTTCAAGCTGAAGAAGAGTAAGCTATGACCTGTATCATGTTGTCCTGTTTTTGGAGACTAATATTCATGTAGTGTGGCTCTCCCCCAACGGTACCATCCGTAACATCCTTGGCGGTACCGTTTTCCGTGAGCCCATCATTATCGAGAAGATCCCCCGTCTCGTGCCCGGCTGGAACAAGCCCATTGTCATTGGTCGTCACGCCTTCGGTGACCAGTACCGTGCTACCGACCGTGTCATCCCCGGCCCCGGTAAGCTCGAGTTGGTCTACACCCCCGCCAATGGTGGCGAGCCCGAGGTTGCCCAGGTCTACGAGTTCCAGGGTGGCGGTATCGCCCAGGTCCAGTACAACACTGACGAGTCCATCCGTGGCTTCGCTCACGCCTCCTTCAAGATGGCTCTCCTCAAGGGTCTGCCTCTGTACATGAGCACCAAGAACACCATCCTCAAGCGCTACGACGGCCGCTTCAAGGACATCTTCCAGGAGATCTTCGACAAGGAGTACAAGGCTGAGTTCGATGCCAAGAAGATCTGGTACGAGCACCGTCTCATCGACGACATGGTTGCCCAGATGATCAAGTCCGAGGGTGGCTTCGTCATGGCCCTGAAGAACTACGACGGTGACGTCCAGTCCGACATCGTCGCCCAGGGCTTCGGCTCCCTCGGTCTCATGACCTCCACTCTTGTCACCCCCGATGGCGAGGCCTTCGAGTCCGAGGCCGCCCACGGCACTGTCACCCGCCACTACCGTGAGCACCAGAAGGGTAACGAGACCTCCACCAACCCCATTGCCTCCATCTTCGCCTGGACCCGCGGTCTCATCCAGCGTGGTCAGCTCGACAACACCCCTGATGTTGTCAAGTTCGCTGAGGAGCTCGAGCGTGCCTGCATTGAGGTTGTCAACGACGACGGTATCATGACCAAGGATCTTGCCCTGGCCACCGGCCGCAAGGACCGTGAGGCCTGGGTCACCACTGGCGAGTACATGGCTGCCGTTGAGCGCAAGCTGAAGGCCAACCTCAAGGCTCGCCTGTAGATCATTTTCCCTTTTTATGATGCCCATTTCTGCCTGCGAAATCTTTCTATATGATATCTTTTCCCCACTAGATCTCGGGGGGTTTTGATCTAGCTTCTGACATGTACAGTCGTCGGACAAATAAAAATCGAGTAGCTCTGATGAATCATTTCCTCCTTTGTATTTTCTTTGCTTAAAGTCATGAAATGTATTAAGCTCTTGACATATGTTGTACCTGAAGTTCTCAGAATTCCTTCGTCAGTATCGTTGAAATCCAGTGCATACATCCTTTAATCTTGAAGGTTTGAGAACAATGCAATTGTAAAGCAAGTTCCTTCCTTGTTGCTGGCTACTGGCCTCTACTGCCGTATAATGCCGTATACTCGGTTGGGTAGTATGTTGCTCCTTCCATTTAGGTCAACTATACAATTCCCTTGGGAAGGCACGGCCCAGCAGAAGTAAACACCTACAACAGCAAATCTTCCCTTAGAACACTCCTTTTCTTCTACTCATGGCTGCTTTCATATTATCATCTCACATACACTATCGTTTCAAAAACCATCTCATTGAATCACTCTCTTTCTATTGTCGCAACCTGTTTTCTACAGTTTGTCTACTACCATACCTCCCTCACTCACTCTCTCATCATGTCGTTCGAACCCGCCTGCCCCGTTCATTATATCCATCCTCAGCAAATGCGTCCTCGTTATTGCATCTTCCGTCCAAATGGTGTCGCCACACCTCTCTTTGCAATGGATGAGCTGCCATCCTGGCTTCAGATGTCGAACCCGGCTCCCGAGATGTACATTGGCTTGCAACCAGTTTCCCCAAACTACATACCCCGTGAAGGTGAATACAATGTCATCTGCAACAACTGCTCGAGCAGTGTGTCTTCTGTGAACCAAAGTGTTTCAGACCGGAATGAAGACATACAGTCTCCCCAATCCTCTGTCAGTGTCACAGCGGAGATTCCGGCGAGGATCATTCTTGAAAAGTTTCCGATCGGGCTCACGATTGGACATTCAGCTCTTGATGCAACTCAGAGTCCTGTCCTTGGAGTGTACAATAACAACGGGCCCACGGTTATGTCTCAGGCTGTGCCTGTGCCTGTTTCACCTTTGCCGCAGCCAGCAAGTATTGCATCCAGCCCGGCTTCGGAGCGCCTTGCCTCTCAGCCGAGCAAGTCCGATGAGAACAGTCGATCAGATACCCCGGAAACAGCTGTGGACTCGTCGAATAACTCTCGCTCTGGACTATACGATACCCAGGCATGCTTTGCATCAAATCGGACAAGCATCGCTTCTGAGCGATCTCTCACTGCCGCTATCGAACGGCTCAGGCAAAGACTACACTCGAAGAGAGCATCTCGCCAGGGAAGCCTCCGTCAGAAATTCCATAGAGCAGTCCAAGCCAACTCGGATTGGAAAAAGACTCCGAAACTCCTCAAAGTTCATTCCAAAGTTCGTCGCCGTCGTCGAGCCAAGACCAAGGAGTTGAAGTTGGAGATCTCTGATCCAATCGAGGAGAAAAAAGAAAATGACCTGAAGCTAGAACAGTCAAACTCGGCCACCAAGCGACGTGCCCGTCGTGAGCGCTTGGCCCAGCGAATACTTCATGGTAAGAATTATGCGGACTGGCATATGACGAAGATGCCAAAGTGATGCGATATCAACTGAAAGGGGATGACTGGAGCATTTTTTGCTGATAAGTTGCTGATAACTTGACTTTTCGCGATTCGATATTCCTTCGTTTACTTCATGTTTGCTTTAGGTTCAGTTTGATTTTCTGTCTACAGATACTTGTGCTTGACGCTCTTTTTGGTGCACATTCTTGCTTTAAACAATTATACCGTAGTGGCCAATGCAATACACATTCTTTCAAATGTTTGATCGGATTCAAAGATCCTTTCATTTGAAATAAATTGTAAGTCGAATAATTCTCGAGCCCTGTCATAATTCCTTGCTAGAACCAAACGGGCAACTCGCCTCCCCCGCACGCTTATCTCCCCGTGCTACCCCGACAAGCATTCAATACACCCACAACATCATGGGGAATATCAAGAAGCCCAGAGGAATCCGACAAGATCGTCACTGCCACCGGTGTCGAGTCAAGGGCATTAAATGCGATCTTAACCGCCCTCGTTGCCAGCCCTGCCAACAGAATGGAGTGGCATGTAGCTATCCCCAGAGGGTTGTCTGGATGGGTGACAAGAAAGCCACACCAGAAATTGCGTTACCAATATCGGCATGCTCGATAGCAGCAGCCAATGATGCAGGTTCAAGTCAAAGTCGGACACAAGACAACAATCTTCCCATCAATCTATATGGGTTTATCGATCTACTCTCGCATTGCTACCAAGAGATTCAATCAAGCAAGGAAGAACTACCCGATGAAGTTGTCAAACTCATTGCTCGCACACTGACCTTCGCTCGGTGTCGTCTCCAAGGATTGGCCAATAAACAATCCATCCAGACGCATCTTGGAGCTTTGACAAACCTTAGCAAAGTCATTGAGTCAGCGCATCCAATTGCACTATTCGGTATTGCAACTTTCGCAATTTTTGAAGTATGCTGTGGTTCCTTTGGTAGATGGAATCGTCATTTACAAGGCGCGCGCTCTCTGCTTGATCTTCACTGTCGGAACAAGGCCGAACTCGATGTTCTTGCTGCCCGTATTCCCGGGTTGGGAGATGTACTTGCTTATCTGGTTTGGTTTGACGTGATGGGCGCACTGGTTCAAAATAGTGACCTGATATTCGACGGTTGGCAACGCAGAATCTTATCTTCAAATTTCTTCGACTCGGTTGGTTGCCCGCCGGATACATTTGAGCTCTTTGTTCACCTGGTAAACCGGAACATTGATCTCGACGTTTTAGACCTCAGTGCTCGAGCGATGAATCAGATATTACATCTAGATAATAGTGAGACAGATCGTGGATTGTCGGCTTCCGTGTATAGATGCACGGGCGCAATAGTGGCATTTGGTCGCGCGAAAGAGAACGGGAAGGAAGACATTCCCATCTCGAGTCAATATTCCGATGTATTGTCAAAGATGGTTGATCGAGCATGCGATATCATAGCGAAGATCCCGACGTCCTCGAGATTCTACGTGCATTTAGCCACTCCGGCCTATTTAACAGGGATGCATGCAACCAACACAAGACAATGTGAGATTCTACGAGCTTATTGGCGAAACTGTCAGTTATGCGACTTTCCGCGCTATCCGGATGCACAGGAACAGTGTGAACAAAGATGGAGGATCAAGATGATCTGAGATTAGATAACCTTCCTAATGCGGAAACCTATCTATCACTCCCCGCATCTCTTATCTTCACGTTGATATACTTCTGAACATAACTGCTTCATTCCCCCTCGGTGCTTTGGCTAGTACCTGAATATTAATATCTACTTCTACTACATCATGGCAGCAGAAACATCCAGCACCCCGTCATACCAAGAACTCGCCGCCGAAAAGCGCGAACGTCAACTCGATCTGATCCCTCCCGAGTGGCGTTTATCGCCAGTTCCCTCGGTAGAATCCACACCCAATGCTCTAGCCTATATTCGAAAAACCCTTACCCCAACCGAGCTCGCTCTTACTGAGGAAACGGATATCACCGTCCTCCTACGCAAACTCTCATCCGGAGAACTCTCCTCCCTAGAACTCACCCAAGCATTCTGCAAGCGCGCAGCACTAGCACACCAACTAACAACATGCTGCACGGAGATATTCTTCTCAGAAGCCCTCACAACCGCCAAAGAGATGGACAACTACCTTAGCCAGACCGGTAAAACCAACGGTCCTCTCCACGGACTACCAGTCTCAATTAAAGATTTATTCTCCGTCAAAGGCGTAGATACGTCCATCGGTAGGTTTTGTTTCGTCCCCATCTAGGTGCTTCCGTTGATCCAATCATTCATTCCACATACTGACCATATCCAGGCTGGGTCGGTCTCACAAACAACCCAGCCCAAGCTGATAAATCCGTCGCCAGAACGCTCCGTCGACTCGGTGCGGTTCTGTATGTGAAAACTAATCTGCCCCAGTCAATGATGATGTCAGACTCGTATAACCATGTCTGGGGACAGTGCGTAAACCCTTTCAACCGAAATTTGATTTCTGGAGGAAGTTCCGGTGGCGAGGGGTCCATTGTTGCGGCGAGAGGAAGTCCGTTGGGCATTGGGACTGACCTTGGAGGATCGATTCGCATTCCTGCAGGATTGTGTGGGATTTACGGGCTTTCGCCTAGTCCCGGGAGACACCCTTATGAACGCGGGAAGTGAGTATTCTTGTTTTTTTTTTTTTTCCTTCTTGATGAATCAAGTGAGAATCAAATAGCAAGGGATATCGACTAATGGATCATTCTCATTTCTAGTCCCGGTCAGGATATTATTCGCTCCGTCGCTGGACCGATGAGTTGTAGTCTGGCTAGTATTGAGCGGTACATGGAGGCTATTCCGTGCGCTGCGCCTTGGGAGCTTGATCAGCATGTTGCCCCTGTGCCATGGAGGAGGAGCCTTGCTTCGTTGCGAGCTAAGCGGCTGAAAATTGGGTTTCTGGTTGATGATGGTGTGGTGCGATGCCAGCCACCTGCTGAGCGCGGTGTTAGGGATGTGATAGAGGCTTTGAAAGCGGTTGGTCACGAAGGTGAGTTATTATTCGATCTGCTAGGGATGAGTGTTGCTGATATGTACAGTTTTTGAATGGGATGCCTCGTCTCATGGCTATGCATACGAGCTTTGGGAGAAAGCCATCTTGTCGGATGGTGGTGAAGGATGTCGCAGAATGATTGAGATGACCGGGGAGCCTCTGATTGAGGGTATGCTCGTTGGAAAAGAGGAGAATATCTTGACTACCTCGGAGACTCATCAGGTATGATTTGAATCCTCCTGGATTGGAACATGGACTAATCGTCAATAGCTGAACGCGACTAAATATAAGTACGAGACATCGTACCTTGACCGCTGGATCTCATCTGGCATCGATGCTCTAATCATGCCCAATACTCCTTGGGTTGGATACAAGCCTTGGACTTGGGTCAAATCTAATAACTATGTGGGGTACACTAGTATCTGGAACTTGGTCGGGTACGCGGCTTTGACGGTTCCTGTTACGAAAGTCTCTAGAGACAAGGATGTACCGAGCCAGGACTGGCTTGACCATGTTCCAAGGAACGCTGGTGACAAGTTCAATAAGGAACAATGTAAGTCTTGTCTGCAAATTTGATTAAAAGATACTAATTGTTCATAGATGATATTAACCTTGTTGATGGTATGCCGGTGGGCGTCCAGGTTGTTGGCGGAAGATTCGGAGAGGAAAAATGTGTTGCTGTGGCTAAAGCTATTGAGCAGGCGATGAGATGGAGAGATATGGCCAAACCGAGCCTTTGAAGCATGAAATGTGCAATAGATAGATGACTTGAACATTGCGCATATCTCATGATCATAACGGTGTTTCATTATTTCCAAGGTTCATGCCCTAGCATGGACAAGGTTTATATGTCCTCATGATTATATACATAACTCCTAAAGTTTAGATAGGAGCATTCATGGTCTCTTTATAATCCGGGAACTCAAAATCTCCCAGATCCCACTCAATACTAGGATGCAAAGTCCCATGCCCCACAGCCCCAGACCCAGATCCAGATCCAGATCCTTCCCCCATCTCAATATCACCAGCCAAAATCTTCGGACTGTGTATCACAGAATCCGAAACCATCCTCAACTCCTTAACAACCCGAATCCCTTCCTCATTCTCCCCCGCTTCCTTCTCGTCATGTTCCCCTATTTTCGAAATACTAGCCGTATACCCCCCAGGACCGGCATAGAAGAAATCATTCGAGAATACCCCACCATCACCGTGGCCTTGGTCGTAGATAGACCGTTTGCGTGAATCAGCGAGACACGTACCGTTAGATTGCGTCTTTGACCAGGGTGTAGAATGGAGTGGTTGAGGACGGAAGCAGAAGGAGAAGATCTTCGAAAGGAGTGGGTGGAGAGGTGCCATGCAAGCGCAGATTATAGAGACATTAGCCTCAAGGGCAGACCAGACGGCTGCTTGGGCGTTTGTCTTTGTGAAATCGCGACCGTTGACCATTGTGCTTAATTCGTACGCACGGACGGCACTTGTTGCGATTACACTAGATATCATTTGATTAGCTTGAGCAGGATTTATGGATTTGGGGGAGGTAGAGTAGGTGACATACAAGATTCCCACACTGAAAACGACGAATATCCCCACTTTCTGTTGTTGTGGTAGGTGTAATGTTGCTAGTGCTGGCATTGGGAGAACCAGAATAATCACGTCGGTTAGAATCTGCATTGCCGCGTTGGAATACCAGATTGGCCCTTTGGGTAGGCAGTGTTTCGTAAATTCCGGGCCGGGGTGCCAAAAGTCAGAGATTGGAATGCAGAAGACGAAACCGCTGATTACCATCCAGAGGCCGGCGATGATGAGAAATGCCATTGTGATGTATGTAGCGAGGAGGAAGGATCGTGTGCGGAAGATGCGGACGAAGAGGAATAAGGCGGAAAGTTTGGAGAGAATTAGAGAGAGGTTGTAGAATGGGACAGAGAGCCAGAGAAACTATTTTTGTTAATACATTTCCGTGGGTTAGGTGATATTGGGAACTTACGCGCATCTGTTTCATGACAACATTGTCTCCTAATTCTGGTCTGGGCACTCCGAGGCCATAATGTAGTTCTATAGATAATTAGGTTTGTTTGGAGATATATGTATAGACTGGGATTGACATACCGCCAAGTAAGAATGCATAAAATGCATAGGAAGATAACTGGGTGGTTCATTAGCATATACTTCAAAAATTATGTTCATGGATATCCAGGACTTACCAACGCGGCCACGATAAATATATCATCCTTTCCAGGACTCCTCACCAGTTTGAATCGTGTCCAAAGTCGGATCAAGACAAAGAGAGTCGATAAAATGGTAAAGATAGTACTAATGATGAAGATGCGCATCGCCATCGGGATTAAAACGTTCTCGGAGCCATCGGTGAAAATCCAGTGTATTGGCAAGCCAGTGTCAGTTCATATGGTTCAGTGTCGATGTATAGGTGGACTGGAGTCCGGGCGTCGCAGGTACATATGTATGAAACCAATTGAGAGGTTTAACGAGTGTTCAAAGATGAATGTATGCACATGTGGCTAAGAATTTTGAGAATGTCACGTATTCGGTCATTCGGGCGAAATAGTAATATATACTTTTCAAGGATCGACAATCCATAGCCCTAACGTATTAAACTTCTTATCTTCGGGCCAGATCCTTCAAACCCTTGCACTCTTGTCAAAGACGAACTCACATCAGTCAAACCAAGGTTGTGTTTCATGGTGGATGAGCCCATTGGTGGATCTGCTGTGTTGCATGGCCGCATTAGGCAAAGGCCCAGCAATTATTGTATCGACGACGTCACCTTCTTCAAATGCATTTAGATCGATGAAAAATCATCTGATATGATTGGATATTGGAACTGACTCGTGAAGCATGTCAATTGAGCGACATCTCGCCGAGATGTGTCCAAGACTTGGGTCTCGCAGCGTTCAGACGGAGAAATACTTCGCGGCCGAGTCTTTTGACCTTTCGCTATCGGGATTTCCGTGCTCCTTGTTTCGAAATTCTTCTTTTGAGTTGTTCATGAGATCGTTTTTCTCGTCCAAGGGAAGTTTTCCTCTCGTTCAAGGGAAATCAAATCTTCAACCCGCAGAATATAGACTTTAACTTTTCAGCTCCCGTGCCAGCCTCCATTGTTCACGACGATCCGGGTATTGAATCCGGCCAAGCCCAACTCTGCCTGGAGCCAAAACTGGAAGCCGAACCAAGTCTAGAGTGCAACTCGTCGGTCGGATAAATCCAGACCTGAAAGCTTATTTTTCCTCAGTGAGAGTGGGGTGTTAGGGCTTGGTACTTTCATCCGAGTGGCGGATTCGGGATGCGAAGGGGGCTTTCGGACATGACCGTAGTCAAATGAGTTTAAGTTTGGAAGTTGACGGTTCACGTGGGGAATTGCAAACTATAATGAAGATCGGGGAGATCGGGGAGGAAGGCAGATATGTAAATCAGGGACTTTATCCTCCCCGTAAGATCTGAATGGATCAATCTAGACTGATAGACCATCAATCGGTAGATATGGATCGGTAGATATGCATTCAAGAATATCAAATCTCTTACCCGGTAGACCTGGATATGTTCAGATGTTGCCACCGGATAAGCTCAAAAATGGGACAAGAAAGCGAACGCTAGATATAAAATTCTTGAAATAGGGAATGAGGCGAGTCCAGCATCGCGTCGTTGCCCGGGTATTGGAAAGTAAATGCATATACAAATCGATGCGCCGAATGAGTCAATCTCCCATAATAAGACGCTGCTTCCAATATTCCTCCACAGGGTATTCTAATCCTGCCAATATCATCCGTTTGCTTTTTCATCTTCTTCTAGTTGTAGATGTCGTGTATAAATGTTCGGACTTCTTTCCGACATGTGCAGCTCAGGAACCGACATACCACACTTCAATACCAAGGATGTCGAACTTCACACCCTCATCAGACAGAGGCTCGTTTCCAAATGTCTGGCTGGGCGCGCTGACACCCTTTTCCAGACCGGCATCTACCCACAGGCCATAGTGTCCATCACTATACTACGTCAGTTCCTGGTAACATTAGATACCACAGCCAAGGATAATTACTCACCCGCCACCGAGACTCAAGAACCCGGTTTCGCAGAACATCATGTAATCATTCACACCACTGTACGGGAATGCCTTAAAACGAATGCGCTCGGGTGTACTCGCCCCACTACGGGATGTGTGAATGGACGATGGCGATGGAGGCGCCAAAACCCCACCACTAGCAGCTGCAAGACTAGTCTTGATATTGAAATTCAAGTTGTGCGCAGGAGACGCTGATCTCGATTTCGGGTCGTTGCGCAGTGTACTCCACCGACCCGCGAAGGTTGTATCAGCGGACGGGGGTGGTGGGAGACCGGCGCGCTCGAGCGCTTCTTCCGACTGGGGACCGTCACTTGGAAATGAAAGACCCAGGCTAGATGGGGGAGGTAGGACGCTGGCGCGCCAGAGAAAACACTCGCCTGTCCCGAAGAACTGGGAGTTAGGGTGCGGGTGGTCAGTCATGTAAGCGCCGAAGACGGCGCCGGTGGGGGAGGAGTCACGGATGACGAGGACGTAGCCCGCCCGCGGGCTACGATGGGAGAATTCTTCACAGTTGTCATAGAGGGTGCTTAGGGAGGCGCCGTCGCGGTCAAGGCTGTAGGCGAGGCGCCAGTTCTCAACGAGTTGGAGTCGCGCAGGGACGAGGAGACGGATTTCCTCGGCCAATACGCGGGTTAGAAGCTGCTGCTGAAGGAGGTCGGCGCCTTTGGGGATTGTGAGGGTGAGAGGGGTGAGAGGTGGTGGCTGGAATGGAGAAGCGGTTCGGCGAGGGGTGAAGACCTCGGGCGACGACCATGTGCTGGAGGGCATGGCGGGTGCAGCAATGTTGGGGTCGGTCAAGCGTCGATAGAGACCTGAGACGACGTGGCTGACTGGGTAGGAAAAGTAGGAGGCGGCAGATTGGTAGGAATTGGAGTTTGCTGGTGGGTGGGGCGTGTGAGATCCGGACCTGGAGCTGGAGCTGGAGCTGGTCGCGTTGGAGGGGAGATTCCCCTGAGACGAGGACGGCATACAGACAACTTGAGTCAATTGTGGGGGATTAAAATCTGGGGAAATCTGGAGATATATGTAACTATGTGTAATATATTTTGTTACGTTTTTGGAGGGTTTTGGCGAAGATATGGGCCTTGTCAACCATCATGCTGCGGGGTGTTGGAGTGAGCTCCGTCATGTGACCATGTAACTCCCCATGAACTGGATACTCTCTCTCTTCTTCCTCAGCAACCAAGTCAACACGACACTTGCGTATCTAAGGACTCTTCCTTTAACAGAAGGGACTACTCTGGGATTCGCGGGTGGAGGCTGTAGAGAAGTAAGGAGACATGTTCGAACAAGCGAAACGAACGTGACCAGCCTCGAGGATTTTGAAACATTCATGCTCTCGAGCTCGCGTCCAGGCGGTGACGTGTTCGTCAAGCTTCTTTTCCACTTACTAACAATTCGGGCCCTCGTATCGTTCTCACACTTGGAAAGCTAAGACCGCACAATATCATGGTTGAATTGCTGACAACAAGTACATGATTTCTGGAATCCTGGACGGGGAATATAGCGGCTTCTACCTTGATTATTATGAATCTTTCCTATGTACAAACTGCCTGAGTCCGTACTGGGAAAATGATGGGCTCTTATATCTAACAGAGAGTGTCTCAACAAATATATACGCTCAGTGGTTGGAACAAAACTCCGATTTGCCTCTATGACGGAAGAGTGGCGGATGATAATTGGTATATAATCCATGGTCAAATATATTTCGAAAAACGATCTCGAAGATTTATAACTCTCATAACCATCAAATACACCTGCATCGCAAGCATGTCTATAAGGTTCCCTCAAAACGACAAGTACCATGATGAAATCATCAAAATGGAGGAGGAAAAGTTCGGGGCCCATCATCACCATATGATCACTCATGATGATGAGCCAACAAACACGGTATGCATAAGAAATGATCGTCTAACAGGCTTGGTGTCACACTCCCAGCCTGGGTCGGTTGTGCGATCTGGCAGGTAGACAATCACTGAAGATTTCGTAGGGCCCTCGTAGGGTTACCCACCGGAACGAACCTCGTCGCTCACCCGAGCCATCGAACCGGGCAAAGGAGAGCGGGGGATCGGCGGCCAAACGAATTACTCGGGCGAATGGTGCTAATTAGGATGCCTTTAACATCCACACCCAGGAGGATAAGACGTATTAAGAGGTTGGAGGACGTGACTATTTACACAGTACGGGGCGTGTCAAAACGTAAGTCGCTCAGAGGCTAAAATGTAAATTAAAAAGAATCGGAGAACCATTTGATTGCTTGCTGTGTAGCGTGAAACGGAGGGTATCATATTGAGTTGAATAACAGTGTTTAATCACGCTGATCTTTGGGGCGTAGATCCACAGATTCGTACTCCAGGCCATTAACCTCAAACACATGACCGGGTCGCAATGCACCCGTATATATGTTCTCTTGAGCATGTGGATGAAACAGGCCCTTCTGTGTGCAATTGAGAACTGTCTTCAGCCCAGGTGGATCGGTGAGTCGAAACACACCCCAGTCAGGATTTTTGCTAGGTGCACAGACAATTGCAATGCTCTCTGGGAGCATCACTTGATAACCAGAATGAGTGTGTAAATCACGCGAGCTCATGAAGCATGTCTGAGAGGGATGTGTATGAATCCATCCCAGCATAATCAGGTCTTCAGAGTCACAGTACTCGAAAATTGCATTTTCATTGGTAGTCTCGCAGGTGTCCGATGTAGATATTTGTTCTGGGATCACTAGCCTGGAGATAAAAAGAGCATTGGAAACCAATGTCCCACAGAGAATACCACAAGTTTCCAAGTTGCGGTGGGTGTTTGGAGCTGCGAGAGACAAAAATCGAGCCCGAAGACTGGAGGGGAGAAATACAGAGCGCAGTGGACTGCCGTTTTCTAGGTACGCGGAGGGCTTGAAGGTGTAGCTAGCCGGGTCAAGGCTACATGATGTGGCATCATCAAATTGGACCTTCTCAGGTGGTGGCGGAGCTGATGACACTTTTGATGGAAGTGGTGGAGGATCTGCTGCAAATGCTCCGTCGACGAAAGATGCCCGGTGTGGCTCGACATGTTCCTTCGGTGGTAGAATCGGGGGTGGCTGTCTTTCCGCATTCTTGTCACGTATGGCAATCTGGCCGGACGAGAGGGACGGTACCAAAGGCTTCTGGCGGGGAACGGTAGGGTAGTTGTATGTTGCCGCTACGGAGGATGTCTCGCGCAGCACCGGTTTCTGCGCGCGCTGACTCTGGCTGGCAAGCTGGGTATGATCAATATTGGATCTGATATTCTGGATGCGCTGACTCAAGTCATTATCGGCGGACTGTTTGTCCGTAGTCAGTGCACTTTCCCAATCCCCCCATACGCCCGCTTCTCGGCGATTGTCGTCTTCATTCCTGCGGACAGTCGCCCTGCGATTGAGTTCGGACCGCGCTAATCGGACGGCCAGATCTCGATTCTCTCCAGCTTCTAGAGGCTTTGCGACCCCACTCAATGCGGGATCCACAGGTCGGTCGCTCTGTTCTGTGACGATGTTGAACTCCGAAGACAGCTTTCTGGAGTCGCGCTCGCGCATCAATTGGGTGTAGCGCTCGTATCGTTTGTTGATTCTTGGCTTGAGAATTTCTAGCTTAGCCAGATTTTTCTCCACCTCTTTCTCGGCGGCTACAAGTGCCATGCGATTCTTCTCATCTTTGGCGGCATCCGGATGTCTTGACAGGTTTACCAGAACCAGCTGGGCATGTCGGAAAAGAAGTAGGTAAGCTTGCTCATCGTGTCCTTCGCGCTCATAGATCTGGGCCTAATCCGACAATAATGTTAATGAATATTGTCAACATTAGCCCGACTGGGATTGACCAACCTCTCGGATTAGCGTGGCTGCTGTCCGGAGCCAGTATTTAAGTGCGATGGCCGCGTTGTACTGATAATCTTGGGCGATCTTGGTAATCTCGTTGACAGACTGAGGAGGACTACCTCCCACACTGGGACCTGGCACATTGGAGGCCATGACGTGATGGAATCAAACAAAATTGAGACTGAGGACCCCTCTTTCACGCAGAACAGGTCCGAAGGGGCATGGTTGATAGATTAGGGGTGATCTCCGACGGCTGGCGCAAAGCACAGAAACGCTTGAAGTAGAGAAAACCGCATTCAGCCGATCCAAACTGGACAGAAGAAAAGAGTAAGGAGTAAAAGGGAAAGAGGGAAGCCTGGAAGGTGTTTTGATGCCTTAGCGGGGAAGAGTGCGGAACCCGCAAGGTCTCCGCTTCCACTTTCACTTCCAACAATTTCTTCTCCAACTCCTTCAACATTCAAATCTACCAACCATGCGATCCAAACACATATGACGGGAACCAGCCCAGAGATTGAAATATTTGTTTAACACTTGAAAATGTCGTCGCTATGGGAGGCGAGCGCGCGGTTCCCAATCACTCAAACCCTCCATAAACTCTATATGAAGAGGGCCAGTCGGAGAGGAGGGTTTACAGCAGGCTATGTAAGCGAGAAGCTATGCGGTATATACAATTCTCCCATGATTATCAATAGCTCCAGGGACTAATGTCGCGTAACTTAGATGACATGATCCAGCGCGTCTCCCCCTACCTCCTACGAAACGCCCCAGTCGATATCCTTGACTTATGGCCTGGCTGTGGTCTATTGTCGTCCAAGCTGAACGACCTGCTTCGTCCTCGTCGTCATGTTATGATAGAGCCAAATCTGAAGCTATACGGACCCGTCCTGCAGGAGTTGGCCGAAAGCAAACCTTGCTACAAGTTTGCGTCCGGGGAGGTCTACGGCGCAAACTGGGCGCCAATTTACGAAAAATACCTTCCAGAACAGATTCGTCCCGTGCCTGAATTTGGTGGAACTTTGCCGAAAAATGATACTCTTTTGGTACTTGCGCGCCCTCCAGGAACGGATTCGAAGCAAAATCATTATACTCCGGCACGGTGGTGGGCTTCGGTAATGGAAGACTGCATGAACCAAACCGGTCTTCATATGTATGGCAGTGTTCGTATCCTGGTTGGGTTGAACACCCATGAATTACAAGTAGTGCTTCCCCGCAGCATTCACGAGCGACGACGGCCAGCCATGTTGACGGAAAACGTGGCATTTCATACCTTTGAGCTCGCCAGTGTATATGAACCAGAGCCATGGTATACGCTGAAGACTTGGAAGTCCATCGAGCGCAATAAACAAAGAGTCGCCGAAAGAACTGCCGAAAAGGGTGTGATCACCCCTCCCGGGCGTGAGCCCCCTGCACTGCAGATGGCACCTCAAAGCCCAGCATCCAGGAATAAGGTTCCTTATAATCCTCGTGCCCGCACAGAAGCCCATTACCGATATGAGAAAGCCATTCGCAAGTCCGAAGAATTATCCAAAACGAAATCAGATGACCCGACGCCCAAAACAAAATCAAAAGTCCACATTGAGGCACGTACGGCTCGACATGCCTTGAACTTCGATAACTTATGTTCTTTCACTCGAGAAGATATCAGCAATGATTTGTCTGCGATTGATGATTGCGTACGAAAGCTGTCGCGCGCAGCCGCGGACCCCAAGATGACTGCAGACGAACTGAAGAAACTCGACCAAGAAATTGAGACTAGGAAAGCCGCTGCCACTCAGAAACAGGCCGAGTCACATTACCGCGTTAGTCGCGGCTGGGACCGATTCCTTGACGATGCGCGCATTGAAGCATGCTCAAACAAGTTGGATGACTCTGTCCTCCTGTGGGACCGGCGGCCATTTGAGCCGTTGCTGATAGAGGAGGATGAGGTCTTTCCCCGCCTCCCTGAAACGACGCTTTATTTTGAAGCGGACGAGCATGCAGTTCTAGCCCGAAAACTCAACAAGTTTGCCCAAAAAGATCGACAACCGCTGATGCAGCTTTTCCAAGCCATGACTCTCAGCTTCGGCAGCGGCAATCAAATCAGCATTGCCGAGCTGGCCGATCGTCTCTTCCCCGGGCGCGCTGCGAATGATATCGTCAAAGACATCCCCAGTCTTGCCAAATACGCGGGGAAACGGCTTAAGCCCGGGTGTGGTCCTATGCCGCTGGCCGATAGTACACTGGACCCGACCGAGTGTTTCCAGGAGAATATCGATTATGACTTAAGCGACGCTCGAGTGATCACCCTACCGGTCGATGTCTTCTGGGATGTTCTGCTAGAATTCCATAAGATGGGCCTCGACTACACGCCGATTCAGCTAAACCGGCTTCTCGGGGGGAACTTTGACTGCGTATCGGACTGGAGACTACCAAGCAGATCACGGAACTGTATTGCATTAACTGCACCCCGGATTCATACCATGTACCATTACGTCAAGTCTCTTAGCCAAAGAACCTTGGGATTTGTATATATAGATTAGAAATTAGAGATTAGTGCATGGAGTGGCCACGGGATCAAAGGATTGGCCAGGAGTTTCAGGATCTGAGGGTTTTTATTGGATGAAAAATCATATATAATATTATCCATATATAGTATTCACGGATATTCTTTTGTTCCAAGGGTTTTCTATCCCGAGTCATGTGCCATGTGGAGTGTTGTCTGCATTCGTTCAATGTTATAGCCGTTTGGTTGTTTTCGCCCCGGATTCATCAATCCTACCAAACCAAACAATGGCCCTAATCATAATCTGGTGGGCCTTTGCAGAATTTGATAGATCAGCACAAAGAACCCCCCGATATTTTCCGGTTGGTCCAAATGTTGGGTAATTTCCCTCGATCCGCTAAACCCGCTGCAATCCACGGTTACTACCGTCGTATTGAACTGGTTTGTCGATCTAACCTTGGCTGTCACTTATCGCGGTCGAGACCAGCCATCGCCATTTCATTCTGATACTTTCCCTTTATGACTCCTATCTTCGTTGGAATCATATAAATCGAATCCTTCCCCCCAAATATTCAGTCTTACTCATCTAGATCGCATTTGCCTGAATTCTTCATTCGTCACATTTTTGCCGCCAACACGTCATACCCGTGCCCTAACCCGTGGATAATGCACCTGATATCACGCAGAGACTAGATTCTTTTCTCCGGTGGCGCGGGATTTAGCCAATTTCCCCCATCTGAAGTTCTTCTTTGTGACATCTCGACACATCCTTCTTTGCTCGAATCCAGTGCTCGAGTATACCGAGTTAATCGCCCGAGAAGAAAGAATGGTCGCAAATCAACGCACCCCCACACCAGCGACTAGGCAATTGTCGGTACAAACAAGTCACGATGGAAAAGGAATCGAATTACAAACCCCAACCTCAACCTCCAGATCAAATCTCACTCCCCCAGTGACTCCGGTCGGCAAAGACGGCAATACTGAACATTCAATCACAAGATGGAATGGCGAAACTCCCGCTCAAACAGCATCTTTGCTCAAACGCAATGTCTCTACCTCACTGCGCTTCCTCGACGACCTGAAGGTAGATTACGACTCAAATGACCGACCTATTGAATTCGGTCGCGGAGCATGGAGCATCGTCTACAAGGCCCGCGCAACACCAAGCGCAACAATCGCCCTAAACACTCCACCCAGCTCACCTGTCGCCACAAGCTACATCTACGCCGTCAAAGCGCCTGCACGCCGCGACGCACGCCCAGTTCTGCAAGCCGAGGCTCTCACACTAACACGCCTAAACATGACACCCGGATATGAGCGCTACATCATTCCATTCCACGGTTACCACTCCGAAACCGAAGCACTAGTCATGTCCGCCATTCCCCTATCACTATCAACATACATCGAAGACCAAGCAGATTTCATGCGGAACAAAGGTCCATCAACCGCAACAATGTTCGATCCCATTCAAGGGCCGGACTCATGGCGCGATCTCGCCCGAAAGCTTATCAGCGGTTTGGAATGGTTACACAAAATTGCCGGACTCATTCATGGCGATATCAAGCCGCATAATATCCTTCTCCGGCCCATCCCGACCGATGAGCCAAGTACTCCTTCGGATGCAGACGCATTTCCGTATGAACCGCTTTTTGCGGACTTCTCCTCCGCTCTGGATATTCCGTCGCCCTCGTCGGATCACTTGGCTCCTGTCCAGGATGCGAGTCACACGTCCATGTCGGCGTTTACGCCACCTTTCACGGCGCCAGAGCTTCTTTCGCTCGCGGCATTGAAATCGGGTGAAGTGGCAGCTACGCCCGCGTCGGATGTTTTCTCGCTTGCCGCGACGCTTATCGCTGCTGCTACTGGTGATTTGTTGCTATATCCTGGTTCAAGTAATATGCAGCGGTTAGCGATGGCGCGTGAGGGGCACCGGATTTTGGAGTTTACTCGGTGTGGTACGAATGGTTCGCGTCTTCCGCGGGCTGGGTTCGTGGAGAAGTTGCTACAGCCTGCTGTTGCCAAGGACCCGACGGGGCGGATCGATACATCTGACTGGGTCACGATGGCATATGCTTGATCATTTACTTATTCACTGTGATAAAATTTCGTTACTATGTATTTGCTTTTGTTTGCGATATACTGGCATTTAGGATGGAGCATTTTCTTTTCTTTTCTTTTTTGTTATTAACACTGGCCTGGCATAAATGGGATACCCGATTAGACGAGTCGTGAAAACGACATCAATACCATCAAATCAAATCAATACAGCGATATTAATTGAACTCCATCAAGATAAAACGAATCCAGTCGTGCAATGAAACTTTCAATACTCACATCTCACCAGAAACCACGAGCATCAAAGGTCCATAACCAACCTACTCCCCCTCAACAAACCTTTTCAAATCCTCAACCCACAAGTCAAAATTTCGCTCAAGCCTCTTTCCATACATCCACTTAACAGCATAAACGAGCCACCCAACTTGATTCTCCCAATTCCTGACTTCCGTCCCCCCTTCCACATCCTTAATCTCATGCTCCCGCTCCGCCGTCAACAAAGAAGCCGAGAACCCACCCGGAGCCTCAGAATCCGAAGCCCAAACGATGCGACCAGCCGTATTCGTCTCCGGATTCGGCGCCTCGAACTCCGTAACAACGAGCTGTGTATCAGTGGCCTTTTGGGGCTTGGTCGAGGTGGGATCCATACGGACGTGGAAGGTCATCTTCGTACCGCGTTGAAGGATTGGGGAGAGTTCGGTGTCGATGTTACTTTCGGTATTTGGTTGGGAGCGGATGGTTACTCGTGGGACAAATTCGTTCCAGGATGGCCAGGTGGAGGTATTTGTTAGGGCTGCCCAGATAGCTGTGGAGGGAGCGGCGATGAAGGTTGAGCTACCTATGTGGAGGGTTGCATTTGCGGCCTCGATTGTTGGGGTCGCACGGTTTGCATTTTGGGGGTCTGAGAGGGAGCTTGTCATCTTGGTTTGAGATTGGTGTTTATTTTTTGGGAGTCCTGAGATAGTGACGGGTGTGAGAGTTGTTGTTTGTGGAGAAAGGATGATGATGTGACTTACAAAATGTGGAGCGATAACGGTCGATAAGGAGCTATGGTATTGAGCCACTGCTCCACTTTGGATACCTTGAAAATTCAGGCATTAAATTTCATTTACCTCTTATGACGTCTGTTTGCGAGGCAAGACATATTGCTCATTCAAAAAAATACTTGGACAGATACAGGGCGGATGAGCTGTTAGTAAATAGTAAGTAATCTTCAATACGAAGAGTACACTGGAGGTCAGGTAGGATGATTTCTACTAATTAATGACAAGTGATCTGTAGGACAGTGTGAGGGTGTGAGGGTGTGACTGTGGAACATGAAAAGTAATGGTATCATGAACGGGAAAATCCGATGTTTAGGTGATATTGAAATAAACCTGCATACATACAAAGCTGCACTCATAAGAGCTAAATATATATTCGATGTTCTTGAGGTTGGGTTCGAGTATGACAAGAGAACAATCACAACTGTCTCATTATTCCTTAATAAGCCCTATTTGCAGAAGACTCTCCGCTGTGGAAACTACTGCATCGACATTCGACCGGGGTGACCAGCCCAGCAAACTCGTAGCCTTCTCATTGGATGCTGTATGAGACTCGCCCAATTGAGGAACAATCAAGGCGATGGCCGGGTCAAATAGCCCTAGCACCCACATAAGGAGATTCGGCACAGTTCGTGTTGGGCACTTCTTCGCTTTGACCCCCAATCTCTCGCGCAGGGTCAGTGACATCTCCTTGATCGTCATTGCTGGTGGTGCCATGCACAAGAAACGTTCCCCGTTGGCTTTTGGGTGTATCATTGCGAGAAGATGCAGGTCAGCCACATCACGAACGTCCACAAGCCCGAACTCCAGATTAGGACAACCCGGGACTGTACCATTCATCAAGCGACTGATGACTTCAATCGAAGTGGATGTTTCCGGTGCCAGAACGGGGCCCATGACCATGGCCGGGTTGATAACGGACATCTCAAGGCTTCCCCCTTCCTTCTCGATGAACTCCCATGCAGCACGCTCAGCCAGTGTTTTGCTCTTATCGTAGGCAGTCACTCCAAGGGCATTCAGGTTCGTCCAGTTTTCTTCGGTGAGGGGCTTGTTTGACGCGGGAATTGTCCGGCCAGCATGGATAGCTGCGATGGACGACGTAATGACGATGCGACGAACTTTTGCATCTCGGGCAGCGCGCAATACACGTAAAGTACCATCTCGAGCGGGAGCTATCAGTTCGTTCTCGACCTTGGGTGCCGCAGCAGGGAATGGAGACGCGACATGAAGGACGTAGGTGCAGTCTTGAACGGCTTCAGTCCAGCCATTGTCGCTGTTAAGATCAGCCTCAACAAATGATAGGTCCTCGAGGTTAGATGCAGTGCCGACACGAAGCGCTCGTCGAATTTCTTCTTCACGTTTCAATGACCGAATGGTCGTCCTGACTCGGTAGCCGGCTGAAAGACATTTGATAATGCAGTGGCCTCCAATAAATCCAGATCCACCGGTGATGAGAACCAATTCTTTGGACATTGTATTAAAAGACATGATATGAGGGCAGAACAACACCGGGTGGGTTGCTGTGGGAGGGTCGAAGTAAGCTCTAAATGTCAGCGCTACTCCCAAGTTGGGGAAAGCGCAACTCAGTTCTTTCTTATCCACCCGTCATCTCGAACATCATTTAAATGCCATCTTGATACACTGCGTTATATGGAATTTAGGCAAGTGCCAAAGGTATCTCCGAATTACCCGAGACAGCTGCACTGCTGGTTGGAGACCGAGTCCCCAGAGGACCCACCAGCCATGCCCAATGGATTCGGGTCAGGGAACCGAAGAATTACCGGTCAATTGCCTATGATTCAACAAACTCTACAAGGCAGGACCTACAAGCTGCCTCATATTTTGTGGGATCTGGACACTTACGTAGGGCAGCGGTGTCGATCCTCGCATTATTTCCACCAATGGGTTGTGGAGCCCCATCCGCCGAAATATAAATCCATCCATACACGGACCTCAACCGATTGCTTCTCCGCATTGTGGGGTTTCTGGGGTATGGGGAAACCAAAGTTCACCTCCAGTCTATTCCAGGGACCGAGCGTACTCTACAACTATAAAAGGAGGGACACCATGGCGGGATATGACTCTCTATTCATCACAGAAAACTCTTCATCATGTTAGTCACAAAGGCAACGTTATGCCTCTTTTTTTCCGCACTCGTATTGGGTGCTCCTAGCTCAAAGCACCGCTCCGCTGGTCGTCCAAATCGCTGCGTGATATCTTCTTCCAATGGCACAGCCAATGATTCCCCAGCTGTAGCCCGAGCTTTTGCCAAATGCTCTTCCGATTCTGTGATCGTTTTCGAAGATGGTGTCGATTACAATATCTTTACCCCCATTTCTGCTACCAATCTCAGTAATGTTGAGATTCAGATGAACGGAAACCTACACCTGCCTCAGAACATTACAGCTGTCCAAGAGATCGTCAATGGGACAAGTAGTGCCCTCTACGCGGATGGAGCATACTGGTTCAAATTTTCGGGTCCCAAGATTGATTACATTGGCTCAGCCAATGTCAATCATGGTTGGATCAACTCCTATGGACAGGCCTGGTGGGATGCAAATCCAGTCAACGGAACAGGTATCGACTCTCGTCCCCACCTCATGACCTTCAACACAACAGATGGCTCTCTCAAGTACTTCCGCTCTCGCAAGCCAATTGCCTGGAATGTCCAGCTGCAAGGAGACAATATTGCTGTCAGCCACGCTTTCATCGATGCCGAATCGACAGGCTCCTTCCCCTTCAACACCGATGGATTTGATGTTACAGCCACCAATGTCCGTATCTCGGACAGCGTCATCTATAACGGCGACGACGCCATTGCTGTCCAGTCTGGATCCCACAATGTGGTCTTTGAGCGGAATACCATCGGTTACCAAAGCCACGGCATGAGCATCGGATCCCTGGGTCAAACCCAGAGCGAATTCGCCAATGTCTCCAACATTCATTTCGAAGACGTCACAGTCATCAATGCCGTCTATGGCTCCCGCTTCAAGTCCTGGATGGGTGGCCAGGGTATCGCGAAGAACATCACCTGGAAGAACATCCGCACGTACAATGTTACTTTCCCCATTTTCGTGACCCAGAGCTACACCAACCAGGGTTCCTCGCAGACCCAGCTCGGCAATGGTGTGACTACTGGACGTGTAAACAATGCCTCTGTCATGATGGAAGATTTCTCCTGGACCGACTTCACGGGTACCGTTAACTCATGGCGTCCAGGCGATGGATCTTGTGTGACAGATCCTTGCTGGTATGATGATGGATTGCCGAATCTTAAGCATACCGAAGCTGTGATTATTGAGTGCAATACCAACACGTCCTGCAAGAACTTTGAGCTGAGTAATATTCAGATTATCCCACAGGCTTTGGCTGAGCCGACGGTGGTGTGTATCAATGCGACTGCAGCATTGAACCCGGAGCTTGGTTTTACCTGTCGGAACGGTACATTCAGTCCCAATTGATTTTGAAGAGAATTAGATACTATTTACTATTCGCTGGGCAGGTTCAGCTATCCACTTCATATTTTTCTTATGATAGAGCTTCCAGCAATGATTAATACAGTACATATATTGAAATGACATGGAGATGAATGACCCGACACACAGCTGACAATTGAAATGTTGACCTTCCCCAGTAGTGTCCGATAGCGGCCAGTTCTTGAATGGTCTTCCCAGATGTCACCCTTTAATTTTCTATAATTGTCATAATCTTATCGTGTTGGCATTGACTAAACTGATAATGATCCTTCCTTATCAAGTTCGTCTCCAAATCGTGCGGGGTCGTCGGCTAAACCTCCGCTATCACTTGAGTTAATATCTGTAACATTGAATCTTTCACTAATCATAACCATCAGTGCTGTGCAGAACGCTATAAAACTTCATATCAAAACTTTTCACAAGTTATTTTAAGGTTTACACTGTCCCGGGTGAAAATCAATATGCCATGGATCCAAATTCTTCTGCCAGCACATTACAAGCCAAACTAAACGCTCTCATCCAAAAATACGAACAAAGTCACCCAACATCCAGCAAAGCTTTTGAAAGAGCTCAAAAAGTGCTTCCAGCTGGGAGTACCCGATCTGTTCTTGTCTCCGATCCCTTTCCTTTGGTAGTGAAGTCCGCACAAGGCGCTACAATCACAACAGTCGACGGCTTGCAGTTCGAGGACTTCGTCTCCGACTATTCAGCAGGAATATATGGGCACTCCCATCCGGTCATTCATGATGCCGTTCAAGAAGCCTTATCAAGAGGATTTAGCATAGGCGGTATCACAGAAAAAGAAGCCGAACTCGCAGAGATTTTGATCGACAGAATTCCCTGCATGGATAAAGTTCGATTCTGCAATTCCGGGACAGAGGCGAATACGTTTGCTATTGCTACTGCGATGGCATATACAAAGAGAATAAAGGTAAACATAATGGATCTACCCCTCAATTGTGTGTGTAAGTCTGATCTAATCCATTTGCATCCATCCAGATCATGGTATTTGATAATGGATACCATGGCGGAACTCTCAGCTTCTCCACAGGAGACAATCCCATGAATCTGCCCCATGAGTTCGTGATGGGCAAGTTCAACAATATCGAAGAAACAAGCCCTCTCATCACAGACCTTGCAGCCATTCTAGTTGAACCCCTTCAAGCAGCCGGAGGTATGCGTCCCGCTACACCGGAATTCCTTTCGTTCCTCCGTCAAGCAGCGAGCGAGACTGGCGCCGTTCTGATCTTCGACGAAGTGGTCACCTCAAGACTTCACTATAATGGTTTACAAGGTCACTGGAATATCATACCCGACATGACGACTGTGGGAAAATATCTTGGCGGTGGATTCCCATTCGGGGCCTTTGGTGGCTCAGCAAAGATTATGGACCGATTTGATTCGACTGATAAGTCAATTGCTCTTCACCATTCAGGGACATTCAATAATAATATCTTTACGATGTGCGCTGCTGTTGCGGCGGCGAAGCTGATTACGCAGGAGGAGCTTCAACGACTGAATCGGATGGGGGATCAATTTCGAAGACAAGCAGAATTCTTGATCCAAAGTTCTGGAGTTAAGGAGATGGAATTCAGTGGGCATGGAAGTGCAATTGGTGTTCATTTTACGGGGTCTGAGTCTGAAACTATGAAAGAGTGTTTTTATTTTACACTTCTCGATCAAGGGATTAGTATCGGGAGACGAGGCTTTATCTCTCTGAACCTGATGCATACCGAAGCTTCTATCGATCGCCTTCTGGACGCCGTGTCTGTGTTTCTTGATAACGTGAGATAGTTTCAGTCTACATATGGTCAGCTGATGAACAAATCCAATCCAATTTAGGCGCTATATTTCTAATCAAAGTTACTCTATAACAACCTTTAATCCACTCAACTGTCAAAGTCTAAACAGTTGTTCCACCACTGTGCATTCTTGTTATGCTCGGGGTAAGTTCTTCCAAGGTTTGGGTGGAGCTGATGTCCGGGTAAGCCTTCTCCCTGATGTTATGCTGCATGCCTAAAAGGGGCTTGATATCCCTGAAGTGTTTATGGAACAGTCTTAAACATTGGGACTTCGTTTCCCCTCAATTATCCATTTCTAGGTTATTTCAAGTTGCTTTGTGCACATTCATTATATTTGTATGCCATTCTGTTTAAGAATTTTAGTGCCTGCCTAATTAGGCCAACAACACGTGATCTCTACCGGACAGCTATCACCTGGATGATGTCAGCCGGACTTATATTTGGATAGAAATAACGAATGCGTATTACAATTTTTACCAGCTTGATTTACCTCACACCTCCTGTCTGATACCTCGGCTGTTCTCAAAGTGCATCTGCGGCTATTTTTACTTGTCCGATCCGCCCGTTCCGAGCAGTTTCATACATCCCCTTCACTAGACATCAATGGTCTCTATGACAGCCTCAACAGAAGAAGCTCATAAAAATGTGCGAAAAGAAGATCAGGCCAAAGAACGTAATGTGAGCCAGATCTGGCGAAAGGGATTGGCTGGAGGAGTGGCAGGATGTGCTGTAAGAATCATTGTCTTTGTCTCCCAAAGATCGACAAGGTTAACTGTTAATTCAAATAGGCCAAAACAGTGGTTGCACCTCTAGAGCGAGTAAAAATACTTTTTCAAACCGCTCATCTCGGCTTCGTGCGGCATACCACGCACTGGCTAGGCTTTGTGCATGCCATGCAAGCGATCCGACAGCGTTATGGGAACCAGGCACTATTTCAAGGCCATTCAGTCACATTATTGCGAATTTTCCCTTACGCTGCTATAAATTTCCTTGCCTATGATCAGATTCGAGCTAGCTTTATTACATCTCCTGATCACGAGACACCCTTCCGTCGCTTGATATCGGGCAGTCTAGCCGGTGCCATATCAACATCTTGCACATACCCATTTGAGCTTATTCGTGTACAGTTGGCTGTGCAGATCAAGGATACCTCCTTGGTTGCTACCTGTCGAAATATCTACAAAGATGGCGGACTCACCAATTTCTACCGTGGATATGCGCCTACATTGTTAGGAATCTTGCCCTATGCGGGTACATCCTTTTTCACCCACGACCTGATTGGGGATTGGCTTCGGTCTCCAAAGCTAGCACCATATACGACCCTTGAAGCATCAAAATCTAAACAGAGACATAGTAGTACCAAGCATGTCCAGTTGACTGCGGTTGCAGAGCTTACTTCTGGAGCTTTGGCTGGTTTGGTTGCACAGACAGTCTCCTATCCACTGGAGATTATCCGTCGACGCATGCAGGTCCACAGGGCTGATATGAAAAACGGCCGCCGAGCAAACATTGTTGACACGGCTCGGACTATTTACTTGGAAAGAGGTGTCAGAGGCTTTTACCTGGGACTGACGATCGGGTATATCAAAATTATGCCTATGGTAGCGACCAGCTTCTTTGTTTATGATCGCATGAAAGGGTATCTAGGTGTGTATTAATATGACTACTTTCTACACGATTGCTGTTATACAGGATATTAGTAAATTGATTACCAGGCAATTTATAGCCTGGCAAGTATATGACTTTCTTATAATTCGTTTGGCCTCAAACAAGCGGCCTGGAAATATCAATGGATGCAAATACCCGGGCCTTATGTTCTGATTGTCTAAGAGGCTCAACAATTCCACTAAACGTACGAAATGGTTAAGAGATGTGACCAAACTTGGACTGTTATTATTTCAGATTATCATAGGTAATCTTCAACTGGCATCACTCTGTCTGTTCTCCCTCCCACTCACCTCCATTTCCTCACTCCCACTCTTGGTCGGGTACGTAGAACGCCTCTTCTCCTTTCCCATACCCATACAAAAAATATGACACTTGAACGAAGACGTTTAGAATCACACTACAAGCAATATTCCGATTGAGAATTACTGGCTTCTAGAACTCTTACTGCTAAGGAACGTCTGATGAATTCATTTTGGATATTGCTTTGGATTTGTTGAAAACTGCCTATGAAGCTACACTAACTAGAGAAATGAGGAACCAAAGCGTGTGCAACCGAGCAATATCCCCACATTCAGAAATATCAGCAGCAAGCCTATTCTGAGTGAAATCCAAAAGAAGGGAATTGAAACCAAGGCGACAGGAAGAGAGGAACATCAACAACAGGGGGTATGGGTAATGGTACAAATCAAGGAAAGATAGCAAGAATTAAGCGAGAAGACTAGCCGTAGAGAAGGACATTAGAGACAATTTTGATGAACTAATAAGGTGAGTTCACAATATCATTGCGGCCAAGGTGACTGCTGAATCTCCCGCCTCGAGCACGACTGGGGGTGACAGGACCAGCAATACTCTCTCGAGTGACCTTCTGGAAGCTACGCTTGGCCACCATGTTGACTTCATTAGGAAGTGCAACGATAACGTTCTTATCAGAGTCGAAGCGGAAATTGTCAGCCATAACATCTTCGCCGTAGCGCTTGATGGTGTACGGGTCCTTGCGGCCGGCAATAATCTTCTTCAGGGACCAAGTGATGATGAAGGGACCGGTGGCAGTGATGATGGATGTCTCCTGCTTGTCGACACCGGTATTGAAACGAGCAGTTGTGAAGGAGAGGCCCTGTTTGGTCTCATGCTGGAATTGGGCGACGTGCGCAGGCTGCAAACCCAGACGGCGGGGTTGGGGCTTTGAATCCTTGGCGAATGCCTTCTCGAAGCCAAGCTTGCCTTCATTCTTGCCATCCTTCTGTAAGGAGTCAATCAGAAGGAGATATGTTCGGCATGTAGCAAGTACCCAGCGTCCATCGGCCGACACATCAAGACCGATGATGGGTTCACCAAGAGCTGGGATGTGGGTCTTGGCGTTGATACCCAACCGATCGAACATGCGAATATCACCCTTGTTGGATGCGACAGCAATGTAACCCTTTTCGGTGGTGGCCATTGCTGAAAAATCGTTCTTGCTAACATACTGCTTCAGGTCGGAGTCGACAAGCTTGGTGCCAGCCAGACGCGGGTCAATACGGTAGAGGGCATTCTTGGAAGCACCGACGAACGGTTGAGCGGAGGTCATTTGGGCGAATTTCTGGAAAGACATTAGTCAGGACACTCAAGAATGTTTGATTGGTTGTACTCACGTTCTCAGGGGCGAAAGTGTCGACGGGAATATCGTCATGGATCTTCCACTCGTCGACCACCTTGCCGTACTCGAGATCCATGCGGTAAAGGGAGTTGGGATCATCGCCATTCTGCAGAATCATGTTTTGATCTTCCGTGTGAAGCATAACCTTCTTAGGACTGAACAACTTGCCACCAGGAGTAGCCACCTTGTTGATGGTGGTTGAGAACTCGAGATTGTTGTTATCTGTGTGTTTGAAGACACCGATTTTGGAGCCACGAACTACAAACGAGCGATCATGCTTGTAGCCAACTGCCAGTTGTGAGTTTACATTTCCATCCTGATCACGAGTGACAACGTCCTCCTCTTCTTCGTCGCTGTCATAGTGTTCACTGCGCTGACCATCATCTTGGTCGCTTTCCTCATCTTCCTCTTCCTCCTCTTCCTCTTCTTCGGGCTTGTCATCTGCGTCCTCCATGGTAAGATCTTGGAATGCATCCAGAACGTAATCACGTTCATTCTCCTTGACCTTGGTCCACTTCAACTCATTGAGCTGCTCCCATAGAGCCTGCATCAAACCTTCTTGGAAGCGCTCCTCTGCGGACTGATCCTTGAATCGAAGCAGCCATGAGTAGGCCGAACCATCTTCGGCATAGTGGTTGAAGATGAAGGACAAGTACTCGAAGTTGAACACTGGGTTGATGTCACCCACAACAGCCTGACCAAGCCACTCCTTGTCCTTGCCAGTGATCTGTAGCCAGTATTGCCAATTGCCAATCTCTGACACAACTGCGGAGACTTCAGGTTCCTGCAACACGAAAGTTCCAGTAGAGAAATCGAACAGATGCAGTTCAGCTTTTTCCTGTGCAAGCACCTCTTTTGTCTCAGGCTGGGCAGCAGAAGGTGGCGCTGTTGTGACCTCCTCGTCGATACTAGCTGTCTTGACATGGCCCTTAGACTGAGCGTACTTCACGTCTTTGGCCATCTCGGCGGCGGTTTCTTGGGCGTTCAAAGAATGATCGCGAGAATGGGAAGTAGGCGAGGAGATAGGACTGGCAGATGGAATAGGCTTCTCCTCCTGGAAAGAGAATTCCTGAAGATCCTCTTCGCTGGCCTTCTGCGCACTGCAGCGAAACTTGCGTTCGTACTGGCACTGCAGAGCAGCCAACTCAAAGGTGGCAACTTTGTCGGATGGAACCGAAGCGTCACAGATGAACTCGTAAAGATCGCCCTCGTCACCGCTGAGATCGTCCCAAGCCAAGATTTTATTGCCTCCGTCCCGTACTTCGGAGCGGAAGTGCAGAGTCTGGTCTAGCAGGAAGACCTTTTCGTCTTTGTCTAGGCTGTCTGCCGCACCCTGGTCGTCCTCGTCGTCTGCAAGTTCCTCCTCTCCTTCCTCGTAGGCTCTCTGAATCACAAGCTGATACTGGAAGTCTTGGCCAGTGCGTCGGATAGTGGCTGCCGCGTCCTTAAAGATGAGTTCGGAGTAGCCCTTAGGTGATAAAGGTCGAACCAGATACAGCTGGCCTTGGGGGATCTCGATGATAGACTCTTTCGAAGTGTCACCGAAAATGAATTTGCTCACTAGATAAATCCAGGTTAGTATTCCTCAAGCCGATTGTGTTGGGTGATTCGTTGGTATGGAGGGGTTTGGCGGGGCATGCACGCGCATTGCTTACCGTTGCGGAGCATAAACATGGTTGCGAGGGGCAGCTACCACGCAACAAAACAACAGATGAAAGTAGCAGGAGACGTCAGGGAGAGAAGTGCGAAGAGAGAACTTATAAATGGGGAAGGAAGCTTGAAGCAACAAAGACAGCTAAGGCCGCAACAGAAGTGAGTTTGACAAAGAAGAAGGAAAAAATGGAAAGATAAGTGCCATCACCATAGAAATAATCGCCTCCGTCATCGAATTGTGGCGTTTGTGGCTGACACATTATGTCATCTCATGCACCCCGCGCATGGACACCTGATAATCAAGGCAGTAAATATATAATACTATTGGTCCATTGCTAAAGCTAGTTGTGACTTCAATCCATGGATATTGCATACATGTATGCAGCTTAAAAAGATCTCATATACATAAAAAGATGGTCAGTTGAATACTGTATCTCCGACCATATATGCATTCTCTGTAGTAACTTGTGTTTGACTGTTAGATGGTGTATTCCATCACTTGAAGAGAGATTTCAAAGAATTTATAGATGTTATTCATAGCCTTGGAACATCAAAATCCTTCGAAGCCAAGCGAACATGCAATTCAAATGTTGAATTCAAGCTTTTCGTGAAATCCCTCCCTCCCTCACAACCTTCAACTAGGTTTGTAAAAACATCGTTTACTTCTGAGGGGCGAAGCCAAGCTGAGGCTCACTGGCATCAAACACAACGTATTGGCTCTTCAGGAAGATGTCACCAAAGATGGAGAAGCCAATGCCCGAGTTGGACTGGATACCACCAATGCATGAGCCGCTACCAACAGAAGCGTAGTTGATGAGGCTGCCAGAGACGGTAGCAGTGTAGCTGCCAATGGTGACACTGAAATCCGGCAGAGTGGTGGAGCAGTCAAATACATAACCCCCCTGAGTGTCACTGTACGAAGAACCGCTAACCTGGTCGTAGTACGAGGTGACGGTAGCGTCGTCAAGAAGGAGAAGAGTAGTGCCGGTGTCAGCAATGCCAGAGAAACCGTCACCAGACGCACTCCCAGCAGTCCAGCCATCCACCGAGAATCCCCAGTAGCCCTCAGAATCATCGACATCGGTGTATGTAAGAGAGCCAGTGTACTTGGAGGAGTCGGCGAAACCAAAGTCGAACACACCGGGTTCGCCGTGCTTGAGTGCAACACCGAAGAGAGGCGCAGCCAGCTCTGATTCGGCGTTGGAGAACCACGTCTTCTGAGGCTTGGGCGAGACAGTGTTAATAGAGTCGAAGCCCAAGCCCAGAAGGCCATCGCTGGTGTCTTCGACGAACTCGGAGCTAATTTTCTTCGCCGCTTCGACGGCCTGGGCAGAGACGGTGATACCCCCGACAATCACCTTGTCTGTGTAAACATTGCCACTAGCAGAGCTACCATCACCATAGGAGATATCCCAGGTGTAGCCGGACAGCAGCTTAGCGCTGGAGCTTGGGGTGTAGAGGGCGTGACCGGACTGGTCAGCAGCGGGCAGCTCTTTAGAGAAAACCCAGCTATGGGATGGTTAGCGGGGTGCTATGTCTTGTGCATTGAAGGATTCAAAGATACTCACAGATCAGATGAACCAGTATCGAAGTCAAGCTGCAAGGTTGTGCCTCCCACAGAAACGGGGGTCAAGTACTCCTCATCGTCAGTCGAGGGAGTGTTTGTCGCAACACCACTGACGACAGCAGCCTGGACTTGAGACGGGACAGTCGCACCAAACTTGGAAAGAGCACGAGCGTACTGAGCCGCAAAGCTGGTGGTCTTAGTAGCAGGACGAGCAACCTGCTTGACAGAGTATTTTCCGGAGGTAGGAACAGCAGAGGCAATAGAAGCCAGGCCCGCGAGAGCCGGAATAATCTTGTTAACAATGACCATGATGATGACTTAGAGAGGACTAGAGAAGATCTTGGGAGGATGATGGATGGAGTGAAAGGATATGATTCCTGGCGACAACGGGCCTTATATAGGTTTCTGTATAGCTTCACCTTCCTTAACTCTTGTTATCAAGAGATAGGAAAGAACCCAAGCCTCAAATGGCATCAATAAAGATCGTTATCACACGATTCACGAACGATGTAACTTTTCCTAACCCAAATGCCTTGGATGCATACTTGGAAACCCTATGTTGCGCCATCATCACGGAGTCCATCGGCCAGGTTGACACTAAGGGTATCTATCAAGAACGCCCGGCGAAGATGAGCCAAAGAGAGCCACGAATACAGTATGGAAGAGTGCGATTGCACTAGTGGCGCAAGAAAAGGGACCAGACTAGAGTCATGCTAACATTTTAGACCGGCGGAAAACTCGCTAAGACTGAAATGGGCCAAGTAAGCAAAGCCACCTTGAAGGCGTCCTCTCATATCCGGGCTTAATCAAAGCATATTGTCCCGAGCGACGGAATTTTGGTGTCGAAACGGACAGCCCGAGCACTGGAAACTCCCAGATTAACCGAGAAAGCTTAGGCAAAGCTTAGTAGCCAATCAACACAAACCCGAGTTCTAGTATTTTAGGACTTCTTACAGCCTTGTTGGTGGATAAGGAGCATTGCGTTAGTGTTTCTATTGGACAGCCCATCTCGCAAGGGTAAAATAGCAGTTTGTGGACTTGAATGGTGCAATTGCATTTCCCAGATTATGAATTCACAACTTAGGGCATACAGGAGGTTACCGACGGAGCTCCGAGACATGGTAAAATCGATTGGACCCTGCATCATTCTAAGCCTAATATAATGTCGATCCACATCTGATGCGACCCTGAACTAAACAAGCCACCCCCGCTCTTATCGTCCGACGGGATTCTTCAGGGGTCAATTTACATGTTAGCCTTGAGAATGATAAGGAGTGTACATAAGGGGAATGACCTCGGATTATTACCGATATGGATAATCGACCCGCTAATTGCAGATCTTCCATCCTTTAGGTACCGAACCCGTGCCATCGCGATACTACATTGCAATAACTATACATAAGTGGTCAAATGGAATTATCTGTAATCTCCGTGAACCTTGTCTTACCAAAGAACAAATCATTGATGTACGAGATTGGTGGTATCAATAGTATACGAATATCGGGGAAGAAGTGTAGAACTCGTATCATACTTTCGTCAAAATATCACAGAATGAGATTCCAATAGTGATGTCTTTTTGAGAAGTTTTTCTTTTCGCTTAGTTCGCTGTACACTATAACCTCCAGGGCTACTTCAATCTCTGAATTTTAAATTTTCTCATCATCCTCCCCTTCCTCACATCCATCATCGGCGGCAGCCTCAACAGCTGCGATCTGATCCTCCTCATTCTCATGTTCATCTTCATGCTCCTCCACCTCGCCTTCAGCGTCAAGCGACTCGTCAAGCAATTTTCCTCCTTTTCTCTGTGGGAGGACCTTCATGAACGCCTCACCCCAGTCACCCAGCTCCAGCCACTTAAGCATAATGTCCACGACATGGTTGGTAGTCAACACTGAGCGAGAGTCCATTTTAATGTATTCACCAATGGGGAGCTTCGCCGTCTTAATGCCTGCCGCCATGGCACTCTTGTAGCAAACGGCCTTGTGTCGATTTTTATCCACCAATCCACCAATAATATAAGTGTCATACGGCTTCAGCTCGGTCAAAGTATTGTCGCTATCACTGCTGAGGTAGATAATCTCTCCATCCTCGGGTTTAGCATCGGTCATCCCAGCAAAGGGGCCAGCCAGTCTGCCACCGCGTGGAGTCCCCATGTTCCGCCTCGCGAGTTCAGCAGCTTTCATGAAATCCTCCTGGATAATCCTGATGCCCCTCCAGTTCTTATGCGCTCCAAGAACATTGTCGAAGCGTTCCTTGAGTAGTTTGTTGAAAGAGCTGAACATCAGATTCGACCGCCATTTCGCACGAGTGTTTTCCGAGTATGAGCGTGTCAACTGTGAGGAAAGGGAAACACGCTCCTTAGGGTTCATAAGATCATCGTAGCCGCAGTCAATGATAATTGCGAAAGGCAGAAGAGTCGATTTCCTGGCCTTCGCCCGTAGACCCTCCCAGCTTTTGCGCAGTTCTGCCACAGCCTCTTCACCACCAGTCACCCGGGCTTGCTCCACCATAGCTTGTCGGCGCACGCGCTTATCGGCCATCTTTTCTCGCCGATGGATCTTGCGCTGTTCGCGTTCCTGCTCCCATTTCTCTCGCTTGCGAAGCTTCTTCAATTGGTTCTTGGACATTTTCGGTGCGTCATCGCCTGCAGCGTCGGGCTGTACAGCTGTAGCAGTATTCGGTTCGGCATTGGCGTTCGGTTGCTCCGACAAATCTTGCTTGACATCTTCAATCTTAACGGCCGTGTTCTCGGGTTGTTGCGCAACTTCCCCAGCACCAGTCATAGCCGGCTCGAGCTCTGACTGCGTAGCCTCGTCATGCTCAAGCTTGACCAGCTTTCTGGGTCGCTCGTCGTCCGTCATAATAATCTGTGGAGCGAAGAAAGGCGTATCGATCAAGAAAGAAAGAGTGGGCTGTCAATTGTAGATCCCGCCGAGCGGATAAAAAAGCCAATCCAGAACCAACCGACCAATCACAATCCCCACAGCCCGAATTACTGTTCCCACTCACGTGACTACCGTCACTCGATCAACTTCTCCGTTTCTCGACTTTGAGTGATTGATCCAGATAACCCCCAAACCCCCCCACTCTCCCGCCATCATGCCTCAGGATATGCCCCCAACGGGGGGCTACGCCCAAGTCCAGTACAAGGTATGCCATTGACGCAGCTTCAACGTCCAAGATGCCGAGCCATCGCACCCGCCCTACGTTCACCCAGTCTAGGGCCCGGAAACCCGCTAACGCTCGCATTCTAGCGGAATCTTCCTGCTCGTGGCTTCAAGCCTTGGGTCTACATGGTTGGCATGCACGCGATCATGGCCTACGGTTTCTACAAGTACTTCCACGGTGTCCGTGAACAACGGTACGTTTCGTTTCGAGCTCCGCCTCCTCCGCTCCTACCGACCGCGGATTGAACTCGCAATTAGCGATCGAACTGCAGCTGTGTGTTGCGGGTTGTTCGGTTGAATAAGACGCTAATTGTTGATTTTTGGTGCAGTGAGCTTGCTCGCGAGAAGATGTGGTCCCGTCTGTACCTCACTCCCCTCCTCCAGGCTGAGGAGGACCGCGACCAGGTTCGCCGCTACTACGCCGATCAGGCTCGTGCCAAGGAGCTTGGTATTGAGGACAAGGTCTACAACTCTGACCGGTATGTTTTGACAATCTTGCTATCTACGGATTTGTTGATACCCTGGATATGTCGATTGCTAACTTGTCTCGTTTTGTGTAGTTTCATCCGTCCCACCTTCGCTATTACCCCGGGCAAGGTCACTCAATAAGTGGAGCAATGTGGCTTTGACTTGATTCGCCTTTTGTGATTGATCCCCTGCTTCTTTCGTACAGGGACTGGAGTTGGATTTGCGGATGATGCGGTCATGGTCGAAAGATCAGCCATCTGGGAGATGGGTCTTGTCTCGAGATGCTCGAGAAAACAATTGTAGATATACATTTCTAAGAAGGGTTTAGTTTGGTTTGCAATATCATTTCTTCTGCGTTCACTGACTCGAGGATAAGGGAGCAACTTTCGATAGTACTAAATAATACAGAATGTATATGTGCAGTAGTAATCTAGCTTGAAACAGCGCTATGTTGAAGATGTATTTTATTTCGTGCGAAGCATGTTCACGTTGTTTTTAGCCATCTATCGATGTAGAGGCAAGTCTATAAAAATGATCGGAAAGCGCCACCACCTGGGTAATCCGTAAGATCGAAAGCGAATATAAAGAAGCGCAGAAAAAGCTTATGAGATTGCGCTCAAGACGCAAGTCTCGAAAAGCTCAGACTGACATGGGAAGATATGCAACACACAAGAATTAACAATGGCCTCAGCTCAACAGATTGGCATAGCGACATTAGAACAATATGTAATAGTATGCACGAAATCGGAACGCCGTGCAAGGAACTGTCATGTGAATGAGAGATTTGGTTCGAAGACGCATGCTACCCAATATCTGGGAAACTGGAGCGACGAGGTACCGAGCCAGTCGCATTGTTCAACCAAGCTGAGAGTGGAGTTGCATTTTGCACTGGGAATATTGCAATCTCCCATTCAGCTTGCAATGAGCAGCAGCCGTGGGAAATTCTACAGCACCGATGGACCGTAGAAAGCACCCGAGGGCCTATTTATCCGAACATATCAGCCACCCCGGAGAGATCAGGCCCATCATTAATATCGACGCGGTGATTTGACTGCTGAGTCTCCATCTCGTTGGTCATATACCGCTCCTGAAGAGCAGTGCGGGCCTTACGACGCTCCTCGCGTGTACCGAGAATCTTTCCTTGCTCGGCAATGCTGACACCACGCAGAGGCTCAAGGAGTTCGAGCACCAAAGCACGTTGCTGGCGAGGAGAAGTGCATCGATGAAGTGCGGACTCTGTGTGTGCAAGCTTCTCCACGGTGATGCCTGGTAATTCAAGAAAGATATCCATTGGGGTAGAAGTTTCCGTCCCGTACAAGACCCAGATCGACGCAATGAGCTGTGCCAAATCTTTCTGCATGTCGACGAAGTATGGCTCATGAACCGATGTGATGCATGCCTTGAGGACATCTGTACAAATAAACTCGCGGATAGTGAGGGTGGTTTGGCTGTTATTAGGGGGGGCGAAGTCGGGAAGGATCGATCGAATAACACGAGTGATGATGCTACAGCATCGGGTATCTCGCATGCGGAGCGCGTGAGTACAGAAAAGCATAAGGGGTTCGAAAATTTCTGCCGAGGAGAGAACAAAATGACGAATTGAATCTGAAAGCTCGGGAGTGCCCTGAGGAGCGCTCGGGTCCGCCTCTGCTCTATCGGGGTCTATGTATGCCGGAATCAGACTATGATCTCTTTGATCTCTGTAATGGGTTTTTTTTATCAGTGACTTACCTCCTCTCTGTGGATCGAACAAACTAGCCACCATGATAACGGCTGAATATGTCAGTTGACGGAGCACACTTTCGGATTTCATTTCGTCGGTGAGATCTCCATCGGCGAGGCCGTTCTTTCGTTGTTCGATGATTTCCCACTCGGTAGTGATCTTACGATCAATGCTTCTGAACAAAGTGGAGAGCATAGGGGGGAGAAACTGGTTGCGGTACTGCACCGGGCAGTCGTCGATCAGGCAACGTGAAATGTTGAGGAGGACTGAATACTGGTGAGAGGATAGATGCTCAGCATCCTTGAAAAGGGCTTCGGACAAAGGTCCGGGTAGCTCGGCATATCCGTAAAATTGATCGCGCAGTCTGCTCATGCTGAATAACATAGAGTAACAGGCTTCACGAACTGCTCTGATCTTTCCGCGCACAGAGGATGCAAAGCCCTCAATGGTTGACTTGGAGGCAGTAATTCTGGCATAGAAGTCGTCACGACTCCCACTGGAGATACCGGCTTGCCAAAAGCGATCAGTCAAGATTCGTTCAACCACTGCTCGCATTTCATCACTCACTGTCCAGTTGGACGGATTGTGAAAAGCATGAACATTGGTAAGCAGGGGAAGAAGGGTCCGCAGAATCTGTGGAATCAATTCATGCCACATATTGCAAGCAACTGCGTATGCCGGAGCGGACTTCTTGAGCTTGTCTGTAGACACTGCGAGCATGGTTTTGGTGCCCCGTAGTGGGAGCATTTGGAATTTCTTGGTCATCTCCTCCTGGACAACCTTTCCTTGGCCGTCCAAGGGGGCGGATGACCAATCTGACAGCTTGTGTGCCTGCAATGCCTGCATGTATGACCCGACATTTTCCAGTCCTAGCATTGCGCAAAAGCCTTCGAACGATGAACTCATATGACAGAACTGTTCATCCTGCCACGCCTCTCGGATTGGTGCAAGGAATGAATTCAGTCGACTAATACGTACATTGGGGTCGATGTTGTTTGCTCGTTGCATAATGATAAGCAGGATAGATGTGAGTTCCATTTGCAGCTTGTCATCGACGCGATTCGCCTGTGTGATCTCTCTGATCTTGGGTTCAAGCAAATCATAGAATGTAGAAAAGTAGTCGGCATAACGGATTGCAAGGCGGCGAAGCTCATGGCTAGCCAATCCGTGCAATTCCTTGACGGCCTCAGAATAGGCTGGGAACTCAGGATAATCCTGGAGCCGGGTCATGAGGATATGCTCGAGTACTTTTAAAGCAAAGGCGGGGTGGTTGTCCAAAGCTCGGGAAGAAACGTCAACAACCAGCTTGATGACTCGCTGTTTCATCACAGGGTCTTCATATAATCTTTGCATCAGGGTTGAGGCCCAATTCTCCACGGCATATTCTAATCCGCTCCGTTCCTGCTCATCTTTTTGCGGGGCTTTGCCATGAGCCTCAACCCATTTGGAATAGCCCTTAATGACTGCCTCCACAACTGTAAATTGAGCATCTGCGCGCATCAGTGGGATGGAAGATTTGCTGAAGGTCTTCATACTGAATGGCTGAGCACCATCGTAAAGATTGTCCAGGTTACCATCCACCCTGCCTAGAATCTCACTAACCGCCTCCTGGGGTCGCTTGAAGGTAATAGTCTCAATGATTGATGAACAGTAACGGCGATAGTTTCCAACAAAGGCATGACGTTCGGGAATCGTATCAATATCCTCCACAAGAAACTGCACTGTTGGGTTTTCGGACTCGGTAGGAAGGGACTCCCACCGGATCAATCTCTGGGTACAGATGTTCAAAAGGTTTGGGGTCTGTGACACTACAAAGTCCAATCTGCCGATCGTATTGATGACCAGTAGTCTAGACCACAAATGCAAAACAGGGATTGAGACAGTCAAGCTGTCATGTCGCATGATGTTCACCATGAAGTTAAAGAAAGTCGGAAGATCCAAGCGGTGCATGGTATCTCTTAGTAGTCGTTCATCCTCTAAGCAACCCGCAACATAAGAGACCATCTATGGATTTGTCAGTCATAGCATTAATATAGATGAGAACTGTATAGCATACCTCAGAAAGCTTCTTCGAAATCAGATATTTGGGTTCATCAATGTCATCTGGGCCCACAATCGACCATTCGTACAAGCTTTGAAGAGTGGTAAGATACTCAGGTTCGAAAAGGAGACAAACAAGGGCCTGAGACTCTTCGTTGCCCATGTTGCTCCTACCATATAGCGCATGCAACGCCTCAATTCCGGCCTAAAAATTTCGTGTTAGTGAAAATATGCTTCGAAGATATACTGAAGCCAATGGCTTTCCTACAAGTAAAACCTGTTCATCTTGGCAGGTCAATGACCTGAAGATGGCGGGTACGACCTGTGACGCCACAACTGCTTTGTAGATTGACCAGGATAGTGCAGAACGTAGGGCCATCAGCGCTTTAACTGCTGAATCACGAGCTTGGGAAGAGTTGGAAGCATTTGTTACGCAGTTATCCAAAAACTCGCAAATCCGAACGAGCCAACCTTCCTCACCACATCGTTCTGCCACACGTGTGTTTTTGTCTGGGTTGAGTTGCTCAACAATTGCAGCAGGGGTGAAAATCTCCACCAATGCACGATTGAGTTCAGATCCACGCAACGATGAGACGGTATCCTCGCGGAAGAAAACATCCTCGGACAATGTCTCCAAAACGGCAAGGACTAGCTCATTGTGTACCAAAGACGAACCCCAGAACTTCACAAGTGCCGCATCCATGTCAATCCAATCCAAGGTCCAACTCTTCTTGGCAGCCTCCGACCACAGCTGGGGGATCTTGTTGCGGAAATAGGCAGGGTCTTCGGGGCGAATGTTCTCGGCGAGTTGGAGGATCATCGAGCGCACGTTCGCGGATACTTCAGTGTGGGAGAAAGATAGATGGCGGAGGACATGATCCAGCAAGGTCAAGCCAAAGTACCGTACGACGTAGGCATGGTCCGCGCGTGAGGCAAGCAAAAAGCCGTTGCGAGCAGCCGCGTCGCTATTTTTGAGTGATTCAACAAAGGACAAGGCCTCTTTGCGAAGCTCGTTCGAAGATGCAGGGCTGTGAATCGCCTCAAGGGCTCGAATGATATCGGCCAGGCCAGCTTCTGACAACTCCTCAGCAGCCATTCTGTCGCCGCGTTTTGTCGTAAACGCGATGGATGAGGTATGGACGTGGGGTGGGCTATTCGAGAGGCGTTCGATGAAGGAAAGTTAAAGTGTTGACAATGACTGTATGAGGGTTGCTATCCTAGGTCAAATGTGTCATCCACTGCATGAATCAAGGAAATGAGGTTAAAGGAAGTGTTGGTATGGCCGTTGACCAGGTCCGTGGGAATGTTTAGCAGTCGGACACAGCAGCAACGGCCATTCGAGAACAACAACCGAATATTCGCAAAGGGCAAACAAGTAAAATGGGAAGTCGATGTTGGCGAACAAAGGAGGTGGGGATGTGTTTTTGCGGCCGGGTGAGCGATAGTCTCTGGTTGATGCGGGAAGGAAGCCGGAAGTTTGGGAATTGCCGGGTTGAGAATTTTATCAACCAGGTGATAGGCACACCGCTTCTCTCTACACTGAGATTTACTACATCAAAGGATATTGGTGGTTAACCAAGGCAATTGCTGTCGCAAATCTTTTGTTTATATTGTTTTTCCCTCTGAACTATTGACTCGTCATAACGATGCCCCTCAGTCGTCACCGGTTGTTTATCTTATCTACACGCGAATCTATGCCGATGCTTGACAGCTTGTTTAGCGCCAACGGACGCGAGTCACCGCACAGTACAAGCTAGCAACTTACTCGGTTCCTCTTCAGCTAGTTTGAGTATATGCCTGGTAATCTGGGGATGTAGCTTACCCAGCTATTGATATCTACACTATGTACTTCTGGGACATTAACGTTGGTTTCCATTTGTTGATTGCGTTGAGAGGGCCTATAGATTGCAGGAAATCATTTGCTTCACAACATCCCATACCCACTCATCCTCGTCAGCAACAGCTTCAACCTTTTCGGATGCTTCGAGCAGTGAATAAATGTCCCATGGCTTGTAGGCAAAGCCTGGAACACCATTGATGTCATGAAACTCTGCACCAGTAAGAACATGCTGATGACAGCTCTCATAATTGTCGATTGATTATTGTACCTGATTATGTTTCATAATCCAATCGCCGATGTTTTTGCCGACAAATTCTGGATTTCTCGCGACGTCATCCCAGTTGGTATGATGGCAGAGCTCTCTAGTTCGGAAGCCCATTTTCCGTGCTGATGAGACAGGCTTAAACCTGAACTACTAATCCTACTAATCCTATCCTATCCTTCTTGGGACGTCTGACAGGTACAAGCTCATAATGTCGCATACACACCTGAGAATATCGTGAACCCTTGTAGCTGTTGATTAATCATCCTTGCCAGCAATCTGAAGACAGGCTGCGGTCGAGAAGGTGTCTTCCTAGGCCATTGTTGCTCCATTTCCAGAAGATGGTAAGAATCAGTGGTGAACAGAGTCTGTAACTTGAATCACGCGGCACTTGGGTCAAACCCATTTGGGTTGCGGGTTACGCCACATCAATCTACAATCCAAGCCTATAATATCGGGAGAAGACTTGATATGTTCGGGCAAGAAAGGAGCCCAGTCCTTTACATGCTCAAGAGATTTGTGAGAACTAGCAGTCTTTGACCAGCTCTCAAGTAGGTCATATGTTAGTAAACCTTGTTCTACATAGACACGGGTTAAGTAGGCGCCTGGAACCCGGTTACACTACATAAACTCGAAATCGGTAGCAAATCTCCTCAGAGTGAGGATCCACGACAGCCGGAAACTTGGGGCCCAACAAGGTACAGATCGACAGTTGTTTGTTTTGTATGTGGGAATACCTAGGGCAAAGAGCGCTATGGATCTGTCAGTCTGTTCACACCAGCTATTCTTCGTAAGAGTGCTCATCGCACGATCCCACATGCACTTCCTATGCTCTCATATTCATTCCAGCACCAGGCAGTACATACAAACAGTACTCCGGGGAAGAGAAGTGGACTGTGGAGCCGGGGTACAGAGATAAAACCGCTTGAATCCCAGGCTAGATCGGTAAATAGCCTGTCTTGACTTTTCGGGTACTAGCATTCACAAGTTCAAAACGTACATCGCCGAAGTCTAACGCTGGAAAGATGCTTCAGAGTCATCAACGGGTATGCTCTGATGATATCATCCTATCAAAGACCTGGCCTGTCATTCCATACCAGGGCTTGAACCGCTGAATAATAACTTAACATCCTGTCGTTGCACGTGCGAAAACCGCATGTGAGATTTTTAGGCAACAGCAACAGCCACAGGAACGTAATCCAACCCCTCGCAGTTAGAAAAAACATGTACATGTGTCTAACTTTAGGCCAAGGGGAAGGCTGGGGAGGAGAGGGGAAAGAGAGGCGGCGGGTACCCGGCAGGGGGAAGTGGAATCATTCGTCAGAATACTATCAGCATAGCCTCCACGCAGACGCAGCTGGTGATATGTCCTATTTGATAAGCGACATGCGTCCATCCAGAAAACGAGGATTTAGGCATCGCCACAGTGTTGGGCCCAAATTCGCTTATGGGTCCGGCAGAGCCTCCGCTTCATATGTCAGAGTGGTTTGTATTCGGAGATAAGCGTTTGGGGCTTATTCTCTCTTCCTACTATATTTACATTTTCCCTTCTTCATCCATCCACTTCATTTTGTAAGCTGTGCTTCTCATAGCCCTCTCCTCCACTTGTACTATTCGTACAATTTGTTCATAAGATTACTTTGTTATAAGATCTCTCGGAAACCCCTGAAATGATTTGAGCTACAACATGAATATAGAAATGATGCTAAGAGACTCCGACAGTACAATTTGTCTTCTCTCGACTGAAAGACAGGATCAACGGCACGAACCTATCCCCGGAAGTCAAGAAGACACCCTCGGGATTGAGGCAGCGGGGGCTGCTACTCTTGTCCCCATTATGTAAATTTTCAACCCTCATTAACATCTTTTAACATTGACCAACTCAGAATAAACAAGTCCTGCTTGCCGTTCTATCGGCATCCCCCAGCCGGACGATGGTATTGACTTTCTTACGGAAATCCAACAAGCATTTGCTGAAGCTGAAGAGTTTACTTTACAATCCAGCTCGGCCGTTGAGTTTGATCCGTCTATGAATACCCGTCAAAAGCCTGGAACTTTGGTAGATACCCATGATATCGAGGTACCATCCAGCAAGCAGGGAAATCCTTCGTTCTCAGTACCAAGATTCGCCTCCTTGGATCTGATTGCTCCATTCTACCCAGAAGCCGATCCCCACCACCCAAGAGCGCAGACCTTTCGAACATGGCACACGCGTCGAGATATCGTGCTCTACACATGCTGTCTCATCGCAATCCTCGTTTTTGTCTTGAATCTAGTCACATTGCTCCTCGGACGCAGACATTTCACCGGCGGGAGGGTATTCTACGGCAACTGCTCGACATCCAGCAGACTCTCTACTCTCATTCACATTGCTATCAACATCCTGAGTAGCTTACTGCTCTTTGCGTCAAATAATTGCTTGCAAATGCTTGTTGCTCCTACCCGTAAAGAGATTGATCAGGCGCACAAGGAGAAAAGGTGGCTCGATATTGGCAAGCTAAGCATACGAAATCTGTTGCATATAGATCGGAAACGTTTGGTAGTTTCGTTGATTTTGGTACTGAGCTCAATTCCTCTACACTTCCTGTAAGTATTGCTTGTATAGCTTGCGAAGACGATTGAGCCCGTTGTCGGAACTGACCAAACCCAGATACAACTCAGCCTTTTTCACCACCATTCCCGTCAATGCCTATACATGGGCAATTGTTACACCGGAATTCTTGACTGGGACACCTTTCAACATCACAGCGACCAATGACACGTTGACTGAACGTGCTGCTCGCACAGTACAGTGGTTACCTCCCTGGTCTGATGATGTAGTGAGCGGTAAAGTCGGAACTCCTGGAGACGTAACGAATTCTTCCTGGCACATCGAAGAAACACTTCTAGCTTGGCGAACAAGAAGTCTCAATGATACCACCTACACAAAATTGGAACCGTTAGAATGCCTCGAGGCTTATGTGACCCAATTCGGGAATGCGTCAGATGTCTTGGTCGTCTCGAACACAGACATAATTAGCGAAGCAACCATACCACGAACTTCAAATTCATTTTTAGCAGCTGGACTAGTAGGTGGCCTTCAAAACTCACATACTTACTGGGAATGCTCATATTCAAACACGTTCAAATGTTCTCAAATGGCGACTTGGAGGAACAATGCGTCAATAGTGGCGAATTGGAATGTCTTTGGATATAGGGTTGACTACTGTCTGTCCATTAGTCGCAATGTGAGTCAAGGCTGTAGTGTTCGGGTTTCATTTACCATCCTCCTCGGTAAGTCGTGAAAACTTCAATACTTTGTGATAGATTCGATGGTAGAGCGAGGCTTACCAATGGTTAGTGGTATGTATTATGAACCTATGCAAGTGCGCTTGTATTGGCTACACAGCCTTCCATGAAAGTTTGAGGACCGAACCGTCAATCTCTACACTTGGAGATGCGTTGGTCTCGTTCCTTCGAACCGAGGATCCAGAAACAAAAAACATGTGCTTAGCAGAGAAAGCCAATATTCAAGCTCTGTGGGACAACCTCAAGCCACAACCTTGGATGTTGAGAAATCGACGATGCTTCTCTGCAGCATCCCTCAGGAGCTGGATTTTAACTTTTTCGGCGTTAGTAACCTCACAGGCCTTGCATAGGATACAGTTAACACGATCTTTTCAGATGTCTTTTTGTCTTGAACCTCGGAGTTCTCATGCTCGGATTTGCCCTCCAAGAATTAAAATTGGATACAGGATCTCTAAAATATGTTTCAAAGCTGGGATTCGGCAGTTTGGACCAATACGAGATCTTGGACTGGTCGTTCTTGAGCTATGTAAGCCTACATTTCCAGTATTGAAGACCTCCCCAAGACTGATACTACCCAGGATCCAGGCCAACGATCCTTTTACAGTCACATACTCTTTGCCAATATTTGGCAAGTTGCAGTTTCCATTGTATATGTACAGTGCCAGGCTCTATTATCCTCTCTTCTAGTGGCAGATGAATGGGGCCGTTTCGCCTTATCCAAAAAGACAGCTCGTGTCTCGCATCCCATTGGCCTGCAAAGATCCACCTATTTCATCTCCCTACCCTGGAAATACGGCGGTACACTGCTTGGAGTCATGATACTACTGCATTGGCTCATATCGCAAAGTGTATTCCTTATCCAGATCGAAAGCTTTTCATCGGATGGCACTGTTTATACGCCTTGGAACCAATCGGCGGATGGATATAGTATTCTGCCTATTATTTGTGGTAAGGACCTTTATCTCATACTCTGTTCTTGACGCGTTGACTAACCAATTAGCGATTGTTGTTGGGCTTTCATTGATATTTGCCCTTGCAATGTGTGGCTTGCGTAGATTGTCAACAGATATACCGCTTGCTTCTACTTGTAGTGCTGCTATTAGTGCCGCATGTCATGCACCCGAAGAAGATAAGCAGACTTATCTATTCCCGATTCGCTGGGGAGTTGTGAAGGAGAAAGATGGAGTCGGGCATTGCTGTTTCACTACTGCAAGAGATGTTGAAGCTCCGATAGAAGGACTGCTTTATGAATAGACCAATTATTAAAGGGACTTACTAAATTCACTCCCGTTTTAACTAATTTCACTCCCCCCCTGGATAAAGTGACTTGTATTAATTGCGCAAGTACTTCCTTCCAACCCCCAATACCATCCTCAGACTTGTAAATTTTCAACCCCCAAGCATATTCTAATATAAAAATATGGCTTTTAAAGGTATAGTACTATCGAATCTGTCGCCTAGGAGTTCTTTGTAGTAAAACAGTAATATATCAGGAGCAACAAAGGGAGCTACAGAAGCCCTAGGAGGAGATAGTCGAGTCCCAGCTAGATATTCGCGGGATTGCCCAGTATCCCACCTAAAGTCCAGGAGAGATTGTCGAACAGGGGGCCCATCTAGTCGAATTCGGAGCTAGAAGAGGATTAAAACGCAGAAGGATAGTCCTGAGAAACAGATAAGTTTAAATAAACGGGCTAGTCATATCGAATTCATTTATCTCTACGGACTTTAATGAGTAGAGGAAAATATGTATGTGTTTTTTTGAAGTCACGGCGAAAAAATACAGGTCACTTTGTTGCAGGAGGGAAGTGAATTTAGTAAGTCCCTTATTAAATACATAGGTAGAGCGTCTACAATCCAAGCGCATTATCAGAATCGGATTTCTCTTTGATTTCGTATTAGAAACTCTTGTTGTTGAGAGCCACGGTTTTTGATAACTTCACACCATCCCTTGACCTTTTGGATTATAGAGCAATATTCATGATATGGACAGAGAGAGGAAAGGATAAAAGGCGTGCCTAGCCTTCTGAATGGAAACTCGTAGTAATCCAGTAATGGATGTTGCGTACGAGTTGTTCTACATTAAATCCATGGTTGCCGGAGGGTGAGTGGGCCTCACATATAACATAGTATATTGCTGCAATACCTAGTTCACAATTTTTCACAATATAGATCACAGATAATGCAGTCTTTAAACAATTCAGGTGATGCTCTCCTTTTGGAAACGATCCATAAGCACGGACCACTTTTTATGTTAGACATAGGGCCCATTCTTATAGATCATCAGTCAAAGCGCTATCATCTTAAAGTTGTTGGCATTAATGGCTTCGATTTAAGCCGACTGATAATCATGTTCAGAGAGAGGAAATACAGATATTGTGTCATTTGCCACCAGTAATGATAAATCTCACAAACTGTTCCTTGTTACATATGCAGTGGACGTGGTTGCCTTCTGCAATCGTCCCCCGCTTATCCCCACTTATATATGCAGTCCTGGATGCCATTTTATTCCTATGCTCGGCATTTCACTTCTTATAGTTTGTCGACAATATCACACGGCCACTCCATCAAGTCCTCTACTATATGTACTATAAAGCTCACTTTACTTTCCTATCACAAAAGTATTCTTGGAAAGTTTCCCGCGGGAAGACTTGAAAGGTGGGGAATACTACACATTGTCATTTAGGCGACCTCGCTTGTTCCTTATAGTGAAGTTCGGCAATACGAAATGTAATCGCTGTCTTAAAATCGGCAATTCCTTATCTTTTGCCGAACTTAGGTCAAGATTAAGAGTTCGCCTAGAGTTAGATAAACAGGACCATAATCCGGGAGCAAGCGGGGTTAAGCGGGGTTCAATATTTTGGGACCGGTTACCGGCATCATGTCTGACATCTGGTTGAGCCTAGATAGCACAACTAGGAGTTTGTTATGCTTCATTATGTTTTTCATAACACTCAAGTGCTTAAATGGCATAACATCTATCCATTTTCAAATTTATGCTCTTTATAGAGCCCCTCGGCTATTCCATGGGCTATTAAGCGTGGCTTATCTCCATCAATGTATTGGAAGTCACTGTCAAGCTGGTTTTACCTTTGTTTGTGTCAACTATAAGAGGCTCAGATTTCCGGGACAAATGCAGCACAAACGTTTAAAAACATCCTGATCTGATCTTAACGCAAAAATGGCACCAACATGGGAAGAAATCATTGTATCTAAGCGAGCCAGCCTTAAGGCTGCCATTCCTGCCGAATATATCATCCCTTCCACCATTCTCCCTGCACTTGAAACACCCGGACTTGATGTATCAAACTTCATCGCCCAGTCAGGATGGTTTTCTGAGCCCGAGATAGATATCCTCAAGTCTTCGGCTACTGAACTTCTGCGACACTTGGCTGATGGATCCCTTACATCGGAGACTGTCACTAAAGCCTTTTGCAAGAGTGCTGCAGCAGCTCAACAGCTGGTAAGTTGCTTTTAACTCTGCTCGCGAGACTACGTCCCGGTCAAAAAAGCCAGAACCAAGCTTTCCCCGATCATGATTCACTTAGAACATGGCTTACGAAAGATAGATCAATCCTTTGAGTGAGATTTTTTTTGATAAAGCGCTGGAGACAGCGAAATCTTTGGACGAGTATCTGAAGTCGACCGGTAAGCCTAAGGGCCCTCTGCATGGATTGCCTATCTCCATCAAGGATAACTTCAATATCAAAGGAAAAGATTCTACTCAGGGTTTCACCTCTAGAGTTGGCCAGCCTGCTGAATCCAACAGTCCGATGATTCAACTCTTGTTGGATGCCGGAGCGGTTCTATATGTTAAGACCAACGTCCCTCCTGGAATGAAACGCGGAGAGACATACAACCTTCTATTCGGCAAAACTCTTAACTCCAAAAACAACCTCTGGTCAGCTGGTGGCTCGTCTGGTGGTGAAGGTGCTCTTATCGCCTTTGGCGGTAGTTGCTTGGGGGTGGGAAGTGATATTGGTATACTATATTCCCTTTTATCTATATGTCATGAATCTATCAGCTAACAAGTCACCTAGGTGGCTCTTGTCGTTGGCCCGCTGCGTGCGGAGGTCTCTTTACCCTTCGCCCATCAACCCAGCGTTGGTCGATTTCTGGGAACAGCAGTCTCACACCTGGCCAGGATAGTATCAGAGCGGTACCGGGCCCTATGGCTAGAACGATGGAGGATGTTATTCTATTCAGCAAAGTCTTTGCTCAGCGTGCTCCGTGGAAATATGATCCTGACTGTGTCCCGCTTGAGTGGCGCGAAATTAAGCCGAGAACCCTTAAGCTAGCGGTGGCCTGGGATGACGGAAGCGCTCGTCCCACACCACCCGTGAAAAGAGCACTGGAGGGTGCGGTGGCATCTCTGAAGAAGGCTGGCCATGAGATTGTCGACTGGAAGATGACGCCCGAAGACTGGAAAGAGCTGATGGAGATTGGAATGGGTATCTTCCTTGCTGATGCTGGTAACTGGCTTAAGAAGCCCCTGGCCAATGGAGAGCCTATGCCGGCTAATCTGGTCTTCCCTCTCGAGGGAATCCCGAAGACCCTCTTTGAACTCCACGATCTTCATGTATTGCGCGATCAGCTGAGAATGAAGTGGTTTCAGAAGTGGAAGTCAATTGAAGGCCTTGATGGCATTCTAAGTAAGATGCCCCCATTTGCCCTTATTCTCCTTTGGCGCCTTTTCTATATGGCATTATGGGATATCGTTAATAATTTTGAAACAGTTCCAACCTCACCATACAGTATTTGCAAGTACGACGGTATCAAATCGAACTATACCATGATTGCCAATGTTCTTGACTACGCTGCGTCGTCGTTCCCTACAGGTTATTACGCCGATAAGAACATTGACAAGCCGTACACCGACTACACACCCATCAGTGAGGCTGATAAGGTTCTTCAGGAGGAATGTAAGTGTATCCAGTGCATGAGTTGTTAAGATATTCATGACAGATTAGCTAACCCTGAGTCTAGATGACCCTGACTTTTGTCACGGTGCTCCTGTGAGCTTCCAGATATTTGGCCAACGGCTTGAAGAGGAGAAGGTATTGATGATGACGGAGGTTGTGTCCCGGTGTATTTCTGGAGTTTGAACACTGCCTAGCTAGTTAATGTCTTTAATGAGTCGTTCCGAATTCATTTTGGTTCTTGCAAAAGGCTCATGCGTGACGTTAAGAATCTCCACTTGGAAGCGACCCTCTAATAGCGACCAGCTTCAAGGATAGAGAAGGTCATCATCAATCTTCATGTGTAAATCATGTATTGCATGGTAAAGAGCTGGCGACTAGAAAAATTATAGTTCACATGATAAGGCATTGAGGTCGCTGGCACTGGTCCAGATAGGTGCTATCACAGGATTGATTTGCAATCTCTCCTGGCTGACGTTTGACACCTTCAATCTGGATACTCTGTTCCCCTTCAGCGTGCCACCATCGAAGGCGCTGGATTTTGATACTCTGAATCTCTTGATAATCAATTTCCCACTTTTCGCCGCTCAACGAAATGACCGTCTCGGCCTGTGGGAAATGAAAGTCGGGAAGATAAATTTCCGTCGGGGCATCTGATGATGTCGCTTGGTTGGCTGTCAAAGACATGGTGAATCTGCAATTTTGAAGGTCGAAGACGTGATTTTGCAAGGTTCCGCTCACAAAGATTGGACTTGGGCGAATGAACGCTTCCGCTGCACGGTAGCCCTTCGGCTGTGCAGGCTCCTCGCTAGAAATTGACGGAGATACCAGGGCACCCTTAAGATTGCGTGGACCAACTTGAGATTCTCCACTGCTATGGCTTTCAGAATAAGCAGGGGATTGTGGGTTGAGTGATCGGCTAGTGGTCCGTTCCGGCAGCTCCAAATCATCATGGGAATAGATAGACAAATCTTCTCCATTCCATTGATCTCCCCATTCGTGATTATTCTCGGTTGCATAAACCCACAAAGTGAATCCATTTGAGGTGCTTCCTTCAATAGCAAAGTGGTTCGCGTCCATTGCACTTGTTTGGCTGCTATAGTCTCCGGTCTTATAGGCGTATTTCTCATCCATGTCGTATGGAATTCCAATTTCCGTGAAGACCATGGGGTGATCGCCCATATATTTTAGACTTTCGTCTCGAAGGAATTTAAGTTGATCACGAAGACAATTGCGAATGGCTGTTTCACCAATTTTGACAGCAAAGGCCGGGGCCCAGTATTTCCCTCGAAGAACACCGATAACATCAACATTGTACAGTCGGTTCCTAGTACGATCAGCACGGTCATCTAATATGGGGGTGGGGCTGATGTGCTCACCAATGCTTCGTGATGAGGGTCAGGCCGTCATAGAAATGAACGGCATGAACCATGTTCGGGTCGTCATCAATGGTTCCTTTCAGATCCGGTGGGACCTCCATCACAGGTGGCTGGCACAACATGATGGCTTCCGGCCAGATATTGCGGATCGCATCTCTGTATGCTCGATAGTGCTCCAAGAAGTACTTGTTAGTGAACTTCTCGTAGTCCAATTTCTCGCCCGTCGTGGGGACTTTTGAAAAGTAGTCTTTTTGTAGCAACGTGTCTGTCGACTGGTCCCACACTCCATGTTGCGCCCAGATACATTCGCCGAGCTTCCAACCGCTATCTCTTGTCCATCCATATTTGCTGTCATCGTGAGTCACGTCCAACCAAGCCTTTACGCCCTCTGGATCAATAAGCTCTCTGCCTGTTTGGTGAGGCCCAAAGCTACCAAAAGCCCATGTTGTTTGCTCACAAGCTCGTCCGGAACCAGTGAGAATCGCCTGGAAAGCGGTTGGGGATGTTCCGAGCTGCAGCTGTTGCTCAGGTGGAATCACGGAAATGTCTTGCACGCCAATCAAACCTCGATGGGGTTCATTCATGCTTTCCCAACCGATGACCACATCATGTTCGAGATCAGCCGCTTCATGAATCTTCCGGGCAAGGTATTTACAAGCAGCGATAAAGTGACCCTGCAGATAATCCTGAATGTTGACTCCGTCGATTATGGCTTTGGGCGCAAAATCTCGCCCAGCCCAAAAGATTGTGAACATTGTCTGACACACCAGTCTAGTATAATTAGTACTCCAGATCATCTTTGGGAACTCAGCCGGGTTGTCAAATGTGTTGTGAACAAGAGCTGCCTGAGTTTTCTTGAAGCTTTTAGGATCAAAGCCTGCTGCATATAGGGTCCACATAGGCGCCCCAGAACCGCCTGACAGACGTGACCACTTTTGATGATAAGTTACACGCCATTTATCGTTTTGAATCATTGAAACTTACCACATCCTGATGAGGGTCCATGAAGACATAAAACTCATATTGCTTGGCTATTCTCAGGACCTGGATGGTGAATTCGACCCACTCATCATCATAGATACCCGGACCAGCATGCTCAATGGCTTCCCAAGTAAAGATATACCTGATTGTGTTGTATCCCCATTTGCGCAGTCTCTTGAAATGGATATGCGAGTCTTCAAGGGAAAACGGTCTTCCAACGAAAGATACATCGTCCGCCTCGAAGAATTTGTCAGACTTGAAAGATGGAATGTCCGGAACTTTAGGGTATTTGGCGTCGCCAGCCACGTTAATACCCCTGAGAACAATCTCTCGACCCTGCGTGTCACGAAACGACTTCCCATCGATATGGAGACGCAAGGAGCCCATCTTCACAGGCGATACGGAGGACAAGAGCAAGGGCTTGGATGAGTATATTGGGTCAAAGTCTATCAATGTCGCATTCGTTATTCGCCTTGGTTATGTGTATCGTCTGACTTTAATAGCAGGTGAGCCCAACAAGCTCCGGCATAGATCAGCAGCTCCGCGGTCGGGCAAGCCTACCTACAGAACAAGGAAGATCCACCGATATATTCCTGAATAGGTGGAGATTCCTACTCGATGGCACTAGATTTGTGGGCAAGGCTTTAAGTGGCCAGATGACAAGATAATAAAGCACAAGGGATACAGAAACCAAGCGGTGAAGTCAGGGAGTTGATGGGATGGGGGCAGAGGATGTGCCCGATAAGTCCGATAAGGTGACGTATCGATAGTAACTTTCGGCGCTAACCGATTTGCGCAATTGCTCCACCAACACACTCGCACCTCCCCCGCTACTCTCATGCGCGCCTACCGACAATGTCGACCAAAAGCGCGCTAAAGGCGATCCGGACCGCTATTGATGCAAAACAGTTTGAAACAGCGGCTGACAAGGCTCGCGATCTGCTGAAGGAGGATCCTGAGAATTACAATGCGTATGTCGCTGAGATCAATGTTTGGCAACGCATGACCTTTGGGACTCACTTTTTATTTTGCACAGGAACCTCTTTCTGGGTCTCGCAAGTGATAAGCTTCGAAAAGTTCAAGATTCGGAAACGGCTTACCTAGCTGCAACTCGGATCAAGCCGAAGGAACGTCCTGCTTGGCAAGGATTGATCGGGTTGTACGAGAAGCAGGGCGGTCAGAAACTAGACGAATACCACGATGCTGTTCTTAAGCTTGGCCTGATACTTGCTGATTGGTACGTATCTCTGGAGTTTTGTTGATACGCGGTGAAAGATGAGCTAATGGACTGCAGCGATGAACAAGAACGTTGCCAAGATTTGGTCAACAAATACCATAAGCTCGCCAGCAAGTCTGGGTCAAAAGCTCAGCTCAAGAAAGCTCTAGAGTTGCAGCTTCCTACCTCGGAACTTTACAGCTTCCTTGAAGGGCGTTTACCCCATCCGTCCCACACCTACCTCCGCTTAATCGAAATTGCCGAACCCGAAGAAAATGAATACATTAATCGTGAGATCGGAGAGCGCAGGACTCGCCTGGGAGCACGTATCGAGACAGTCACAATGGAAGTGAAAAGAGAAGCGTTCAAGAGGAGTTCACTGGCCAAGCTATACGAAGGCATGATCCAGTGGTCCAACGATGATGCAGTTCGACGCAAGTACGAGGAGAAGCTTCTCCAGAGGGCATACGACGAGCTGGAGGTGGTTCCGATGAAATCAAAGCGGTCGAAAAGGAACGAAATTCTCCGAGCAGCTCAGGACATGGTCATCATCAAGCATCCATTCGAGCTTGCATGGAAGATTGTGCTAGAGTGGAAAGACATTGAAAGCTACTCCGAATGGGATGTAGGCGTGGTGCGAGAATTCATCGAGTTCTTTCCTGTCACGGGGCTATCCAAGGTTCTGAAAGGTTTTCTTGCTAGTGAGCTTTCGCCATTTCCCCAGGAAGAGAAATCGGAACAAGATAAAGAAGGCAACGACAGCGAAACCCCCGAAGAGAGTGATATACCTGCTGACAGGTTGATTCTCATGGCTGAGGGCCTTGATTTGGCTCGCGACTCAATAATTGCGCATCGGATCATGGCCGACCTCTACCTTTCCATGGAGGAGCATGCCAGTACGGTCGAGGTAGCCCGCAAGGGCCTGCTCAATGTTATGGAGCTTGGTAGACTCACTACCATGAATTTAACTAACACAACCGACTCGTTGAACATCACGCTCGCCAACTCTTTGATCCACTACCAGTCTCCTCGGCATCATCCAGAGGCAAAAGCGCTTTTTGAACAAGTTCTCGAGAGAAAACCAACATCCACAAGCTGCCTCCTGGGCATTGGACTGATCTCAAAGGTCGACGAGGATTACCTAGCTGCTGTGGACTTCCTGCAACGTGCATTGGAGCGTGATCCGTCGAATATATTGATTCGTGGAGAGCTGTCCTGGTGCAAGGCACTGACCGGTGATTTAGAAACGGGTCTTAATGGCCTCCAGGATGCGTTAGAACGCCTGGAAGAGGAGAAGTCCCGGAACCAGGACTTTAAAGCCGAACTGCTCTACCGTATTGGATACTGCCAATGGGAGCTGGATCCATCACCGGCTGCCAGAAAAGACCGTAACGGGGCCTACGCTAGCTTCCTTGCATCTATCAAAGCGAACCTGAACTTTGCGCCAGCATATACGAGTCTTGGTTTCTTTTACGCAGACTACAAGCGTGACAAGACTAGAGCGCGTCGATGCTTCCACAAGGCATTTGAACTTTCGTCTTCGGAAATTGAAGCAGGAGAACGCCTTGCTAGAGGGTTCGCTGACCAAAAGGAGTGGGATCTTGTTGAAGCCGTCGCACAGCGAGTGGTAGATTCGGGCAAGGCCAAGCCTGCTCCTGGCTCAAAGCGCAAGGGCTATAGTTGGCCATATGCGGCACTTGGCACGGTGCAGATCAACAAGCAGCAATACGCGAAGAGCATCATCTCCTTCCAGGCAGCTTTGCGAATCACACCTGGCGACTACCATTCATGGGTGGGTCTAGCGGAGAGCTATCATCATTCTGGTAGATACATTGCTGCGACCAGGGCCTTCGAACATGCCAAGGAAATGGAAGACACTCTGTCAAGTGAAGAACGTGAACATATTTGGTTCGCAAGATACATGCTGGCTAATGTCAAACGTGAACTTGGCGAATATGACGCTGCGGTTACTAGCTACGAGGATATCCTGAGTATGAGGCCCAATGATGTTGGTAACTCGATTGCGCTGCTTCAGACACTAGCAGAAAGCTCGTGGAAGAGTCTACACTCGGGTCTATTCAACGATGCTGCGGAGCTTGCAGCGAAAACCATTCGCGTGGCTCAACCCCTTGCAGAGATTCGTAGTGATATTTTCAACCTGTGGAAAGCCGTTGGCGATGCCTGTGCCAACTTCTCTCACATTAAGAAAAAGATAGGGAAACTGTCTGCTTCTGCATGCAAAGCTCTATTGACCACTCAACTTGAGCCAACGTCGCTGGATATCATGACTGAGCTTGATGGCGTGGGCCAAGACTGGCTCGAGTCTAGTGAAAATGCTGTTTCATCGGAAACATGTATTTACATGGCTATAATCGCATACAAACGCGCTATCCACGTTTCTAGCAATGATAAACATGCGCAAGCAGTTGGATGGTATAATCTTGGCTGGGCTGAATTCCGCGCATACCGAAGTGTGCCGCCGTCGCCTGGAAGCAATGGAAAGCGGCCTCGAAAGTTCCTCAAAGCGGCAATGCGGTGCTTCAAAAGAGCGATTGAACTCGAGGCTGGCAATTCCGAGTTCTGGAATTCACTCGGTGTGGTTACGACAAGCCTGAGTCCCAAGGTTGCCCAGCATGCGTTCGTCCGGAGCTTACATTTGAACGAGCGGAGCGCGCAGGTGTGGACTAATCTTGGTGCGCTCTACCTGCTGCACAATGACATTCAACTTGCAAGCGAGGCTTTCACTCGTGCCCAGTCTGTTGATCCGGACTACTCCCTGGCGTGGGTTGGCCAGGGATTCCTTGCACTTCTATATGGAGATTCTAAGGAGGCACGGGGTCTCTTTGCACATGCATTTGACATCTCCGATTCAGCTGCTATGCTTCCCAAGCGCCAATACTCATTGACTCTGTTCGACCATCTCCTTGCTGACACTTCTGCTTCTAACGAAGTCTCGCAACTGATCCAGCCGTACTTTGCTCTTCACCAATTGTGCATCCAGGATCCTTCGGATCTACCGTTTATGCATATTTCTGCTTTACTGGCGGAGCGAATGGGCGAAATTGCGGATGCAGAGTCTAGCCTGGAAGTTGTGTGCTCGAGTATGGAAGCCGAGTACGATGAGTCTGAGTCTTCATCTGCGCTCTCAAAGTTTGCTCAGGCTAATGCAGATTTTGCGCGTGTGCTCCTTGCACGCCATGCCTATGACCAAGCGGTGGAAAAGGCTGAGACTGCGCTCTCACTGTCAGGTGACGAATATGGCAATGATTTCGAGCCCGAAGCTCGCACCAGGCTTCGTCTGTCAGCCCACTTGACAGCTGGTTTGGCTTACTACTTTACAAAATCAATGGACAGTGCTATCGACATGTTCCGTGATGCTTTGCAGGAAGCTGAAAATTCCCCCGATGTGGTCTGTGTCCTTGCGCAAGTCCTTTGGGCCAAGGGTGGTCAGGAGGAAAGATCAGTCGCTCGTCAGCAGCTTTTCGATTGTGTTGAGAGCCACCCGGACCACATTGGCGCCATCGCTCTCCTTGGTGCGATTGCGCTGGTAGACGAGGACAGGGATGTGATCGATGCAGTGGAGTCTGATCTCCACAGTATGGTTACTCGGGACGACATCGATATTCACGACCGAGGCAAGCTCCTCAAACTTTTGGCTGCGATTTCTGCCAAGGGGTTGAACGAGGATGCTGTGCTCCCCGAAGACCTGCGACAGATCAAAGAAGCCACTGCAGCCATTATGCTGTCTCCTGGCCAACCACAAGGCTGGTTGGAGCTTTCTACTGCGTCAACATCTCCGTACCCAGCCGAAATGGCTGTCAACCGAGCCCTCCGCGCCGTGCCTCCTTACGGTAAACTTGACGCCACCGATCTCAGCCAGAGCTATGCCCAGACTGGCAAGGCCAGTGATGCTTTCAGATCCATCATGATCGCGCCATGGAGACGCGATGGTTGGGAAGGTTTGGATCATGCTTTGACCTGTTCGGCGTGATCAGTTTCTAAGCCAAATTCAAGATTCCAACGTCGGTTTGTATTCTAAAGACGTCACATACCTTTGAGTTATCAAAGTTTAGCGAATAACAGCATAGCCTTATGATATCCTCCCCGTAGAAAGTATCAGCGTCTTCTCGTACCTCCATCCGCTTGCGCTTCCTCTGCCGCCATTGAAGCGATTCGCTCCAATAACCTTGACTTTCTACCTTCCTTCCATGGCCTATCTAGCGCCTCGATCTTCCCTCCAAGCAAAGTAGCACACCCGGGATCCAGAAGAATTATCCCCCTCGCAACTGTCACGCCCCGCAGCAAAAGTTTCCCTCCGACAGCCAGCTTCTCAAGCGAAAGACCCTCCATCTTCTGCATCTCAATCGCCATAGCTTTTGTCCCAGCTGCATCCTGAATAATCAATCGATGCGGTCCAGAGCCACTGTTACCCGACGCGGCAGGGTTTCCTGAACCATTGTTCTCCGCTGCCTCTGCATCCTCGCCCACAGAGATTGTGCGCACAATTTCACGCCCTCGAATCGCTTCACCGCGTTCTACGCGCTCAATTGCTTCAACTTGGCTCCAAAGGCTGGTGCCTATGTCTTCGATGTCGAGAACTTGGACGGGGATTGGGCCTTGTAGGCGTCTTTCTTGTATCCTTGGGTCAGAGACATCGCTGGGAAACACGGAGGTCGGGTTTCTAGAGAGAGATTCACGAAAATCGGAGCCGAGAACGCGAAACAGAGCTGTCTTGATGAGGGCGGGTGCGGGGAGATTACGCTGTGCGCTGGAGGAAGCTAGGAAGCTGCTGAGCCATGTCGGAGATATGCACAAGCCTGTAGAGCTCTGGACTTGCGCTGTAATCTGTTCCGCGGACATGATGAGTTCAACGGAAGTAGGTGTATTGGTTGGGCTAAATCAAAGAGTTGGAGTAAAAGTTGGAGACCAAACAAGGAAGCACGGACCACCGCTTAAAACAGTTGACCTGGTCTCTCTCGCGACTCCGCAACTCTCTATAACGTAAACATCATGTCCACGATATCTTCTCCACGTCCGTCTATTGCGTCTTCGCGGGCAGTTTCTCCAGCTCCGCCATCATCTCGCCCGTCCCTCGATGTGCTGAACACGAACGTCGGCGGCGGCCTCAGTGCCTCTTCCACCCCATCGACTACCCGCGCGATCTCACCAAACCCCCGACGGAATCGTTCGGCTTTGCGAGATTACTACAACTTGAAACCACCAGGTACCGACTCTAGTACTGGACCTTCATCTCGATCTCGCAGCGTTCCCAGAAACACTGACGCGGGAGATATCTCGAACCCGACGGCTCTATCCTCAGGGACAGAGCTCGACAATGAGGACTTCGATCCGCAACGCTACGTGGACCATCTTCTCTCGACCTCCTCACTATCCACCATTCTCAAAGCGGAAAACACACTTGTTGGAGATATCCGTACCCTGGACGGAGAGCGCAAGGCCCTCGTCTACGATAACTACTCGAAGTTGATTCGCGCCGTCGAGACAATTGGCAAGATGCGGAAGAGTATGGATGAGCGCGGCGCACCATTAACAATGACCAAGACTCTGGGACCGGCTATTGCGTTCGTGGCAGAGACGGCCGGTGGCCTGATCAATGAGGGGGAGGAGCAGCGGAAGCGGATAAAAGAGGCGCGGGCAAATGAGCCGGCGCCGGAGAAGAGGGCTGAAAAGGAGACTGTAAAGTGGGTGCTTTCGGCACCTGGGCGATTGGCAGGTCTACTGGGAGAAGGACGACGGGAGGATGCGGATAAAGACTGGAAGGAGGTTCAGCAGCTTCTGGACGCCTGGGGTCCGGTTAAAGGTGTTGCTGAGATCCGCCAGGCTTGTGAGAAAGTCATGAACCAGAACCAAGAAGATTGAGTGAGCTATAGTGGAGGATCTGCCATATTCGTGGTTCAAGATTCCCAAGGCACTCTGCAATCGCTCTTCTGAGCAACCACCAACCCAGCTTCATGGGCTCATGCCGCTCGGTACGAATATCGTCTCGGCTAATTGCTGGTCTATATACGAGCTTGGTACGCAGCACCGTGACCTAAAGCCAACTCGGCGTACAGAAGCCATGATTTTGTTTTCATAGATACCCAAGCAATGGCATTAATAGAGCAAGCTATCATCATAATCATCATCATCATTCATAGGTCATATCGCGTCACTCAAAAAGCTCAAGGCCATCTCACGCCTTCAAATCCTTACTCGAATACATACTCGCCTTCAGCCCATACTCATTCTTCGACGTGATATCAAGCAACGTATAGGCATCACACTTGTAATAAATGGGCCCCTTCCTCGGATCATACAGCCCCTCGCCCTCCAACATCCCCAAAACCTTCTTCACATCTTTCTTATCACTAAAATCCTCCGTGTAAACACAGATCAAACGACTCTTATCAGTTTGAGACCCATCATCCGCCGCAACCTTAGCATCCGCCCGGACATCACCGCTATCCAAAGCCATAACGAGAGTCCTCCATGTCTCATCGACATTCCGCGCCGACGGAAACAACATCCACTTTCCAGCCGTAATGCCCGTCTCGCGCGCCAGTGCCAAAATGTTCTGTTCCAGATCACGGCGAAGCGCTGTAAGTTTGCGCGTCAACGCAGCTGTAGTCTTAGCACCAGACTTATCATGCACCGCGCGTAGCTCAGAAAGTGTTTCTTCGAAAGCGCGGAGGAGTTCGGTACCCTTTTTAATGAATGTTGGCTCGTCGCGTAGTTTCAGAGTAGCGGAAAGGTTTGCTTTTCCGCGTGCCCAGATCCAAGGCTCTTTATGTGACAGCACTGTATTTGACGGGGGCAGTTGGGAGAGGAAGCTGTTGGTGGATTCGTTTGCGCCACGTTTGTTGCTAGGGAGTCGGCCTGACTTGCTGGCGTCTTGATCGGGGTCGGATTCTGGGGGGTTTGGTGTAGGTGCGCGTAAGTCATTTTGGATGGTTGAAAGGAGCTTGGGGTGATATTGTGACCAGTATGGTTCGACGTCGTAGGTGGCTGCCTTTTCTTCTAGTTGGGCTTGCTCGGATTCGTCGCCTGTTGGTGGATGGTAAGACTGTAGGTTTGAGATATTGTGGCTTGGAAACTTACCATAGAAGCTTGATTCGTCAGAGAATATCTCAGTGAGATCTGTGTTGCGCGACATGGTGGTATGGGAGATGTGGATCAGGAAAGCATGTTTGTGGAACGTAAATCGATTGTCTGCAATACTCCGGCATATGAAACTTGTCTTGGCAAATATTGCGTGAGGGTTTACTTAGAAAGTTGAAATTAGGTAAATACCAGTTAGATCTGATGATCTTGACTCAATTGTAAATAAAAAGTTATTGCTAAGAGCCGATAGGTATTGCCAAGGTCAGTCAATTTAAGCAACTTTTCTTTCCGCGTTCCTGCGATAGCATAAGGGTTCCCCGCTCCAGCCACCTGACCAGTGCGCCATTTGTCGGTTAGTTTACTCATCACATGGATCCTTCAATTGCCGATGCATGTTCATCATATTGAGCCGTGGCGAGCTGAAGCTGAAGCTGAGCCTGAGCGGGCGAACTATCGATTAGCGGCGCCGCCTGGCTCCACAGATCTACCCCTGGGAATCTAAGATCGGATCAGTTCTTTGGATCTACAATCCCGCAACAGCAACTTGCTTGGGGCACGCGTTGAACATTGATTGGAATACACAATGATGTCACCGTGCTGCAGCATGATCTATAAAACATACTTGGGGAACCAAGCCTGCAGATTTGCAATCTTCACGATTCCCCAAATATCCCCCTTGCGTGTTGCATGAACTACATGTTATGCACGCCGTGAATCCTGTGTAACCCGGCCTTTCCTATAACAGAATAGATTGTCGAACTATCAGCTCAGCTATGACTTAAACTTGCATAGCATTGTTGCGAGGGAAGTTGCAAGGGAAGATGGAAGCCCTGTTCTTGGGTATAAATATGCCGTTCAGTACGCCGATTCAAAGCATATCCATCGGCCATTATCATTTGTGCCATTGGTAACATGGTTCCGCTTCGGGCTACTCTTTGGCTGGCTAGCCTACTTTCTCTTCATCTGGCCTCCGCCCTGACCGTTCCACAGAAAGTCTTGGAGGATAACAGTGACATCTTCCAAATCTCTGAAGATGATCTGTCATCGAATGCAACTGCGATTGAAGAGTTCGATGTCTCAACGTTGACACTCGACAATCGAGCGTGCGAGAATTTTAACCCCACTGAATGGGATTACGATGTGGCCATCATTGGCGGCGGTCCTGCAGGTTTGGCTGCCTCAATGTCTCTAGGCCGGGTAGCCCGCAAATCTATCATGTATGACTCGGAGAAATATCGAAACGTCCAGACACGATACATGCACGATGTTCTTGGTCAAGATGGTACTTTTGTCTTCCCATGTTTTCTAGAACAGACAGCTGACTCTATCCAGGCCAGGTCCCAGCGAGATTCCGAATTGCAGTTCGTGGTCAAATCGATGAACACTACAGTGATTACTCTTTCCGCGCAACTCGCGGTACCGAAGTCACCGCCATTCAGCCTCTTAACAAGGGTTTCCGTATCTACGACAGCAAGGGTGGGAAGATGACTGTTCGCAAGGTCATTTTGGCTACTGGAATTACAGATGTCTTGCCAAATAAGCCAGGCTTTGTCGAAGCCTTTGGTAAGGGCCTATTCTGGTGCCCATGGTGTGACGGATTCGACTACAGAGACAAACGAATGGTCGTAATCGGTCGACCAGGCAAGCTTGCCAGCGCCATTGGATCTGCCATGAACATGAGGAAGTTGACCACCAAAATTACAATCGTCGCTGGCGGCAGGATTAGTGATGCGGATAAGGCAGCTGCCGAAGAGAGATGGCCTGGATGGCAAACAGTCATCAAGACAACGTACGGGATTCCCATTCATGAAGTCGATGTCACACGGATCGACAGAACCGCCACAGGAACTGAGCCGAAGGATGATCAATACAAAGTCACTCTGAATGGCTCGCCATCCCAGCTGATCACGGAGGGTATTCTTATTAGTGCTGATACTAAGCAGACCGCCAGTCTGCATAAGCAGTTGCATCTGCAGATGGATGGAAACTCTATTAAGGTCCAGCCGAATATGGAGACGAGTCTGGGCGGAGTCTATGCTGTCGGAGATGCCAATAATGATGGGAGTACTAATGCCTATCATGCCATGTGGAGTGCTAAGCGTGCTGTTGTCAATGCTCACGGTAAGCATGAGTGTCATAGATTTCATGGGTCAATGCTAATGGGAATAGTGGCCATCTCCAAGGAGGAATATCTTGAATCTGCTCCCAATGCCCTGGCGGCAGCTATGGGCGGTGATGAGGAATTCTACGAGCGCCAGATTGAGGAGCTCCAGTGGATGATGGGTAATGACGTGGAGGAGCTTTACAAGGCCTTTGGTGGTTAAGACGGATATTTGAGTGGACGAATAGCAAGAGATACTTATATTGGAGACTGTGGGGATGGAAAGGAACAGTCTTTGTCCAATGATGATCAAATTCCAATTATGTGAGATATTTCAAATTCAGAATGGATCAGAATGGACTCTCTATATAATATCGGAGGTCTCAATATGCAAATTCAATCCGAGTCTGTAGGAGCGGATTAGGAGAACTGTGTACTAACAATCATTCAGTATCAATAATCCCCGGCCACACCTGATCCACAAATTGAATTATGTCCATCTTCAAAGCTGCTGGTTGTTCAAGTGCCGCGAAATGGCCCCCCTGGTTTAGATTGTCAAACTTCAATCGATCTCAAGTCTACTTAATGGGGCCGGTGTGTAATCGTACCTTTTCATGCTGTCCCCAATAGACTAGGTTGCCCGTCGTCTCAATCCAAGACCGAGGCAAAGGAGCAAGTTCCTTTGGAAAAGACGAAAACCCAAAGGGCTTTTGAATATACCAACGAGGATTATTCGGAACGGGCACAGGTGGAGGTGGGAAATTCTATACCCTTAGATACATCCTGCCAACGCTTGAACAGAAACTTACCTGGCGATATGTATATATTGACCGAGGGAACGTGTCAGTGAGCCAATACAAAGTGACTGACTCGAGAATTTGCTCTGAAGATAAAGGATCATCAACCCATTCGAGGAATTTCTCACCAATCCTGTACGAGTTAGCGAAGGAATTGCTCATTTCTGGGACGTCGTTCTAACCATGCCAGGAGTGCCATTGGACTTGTCGAGACAACATGGCCGATGGTACTTGGTCGAGTACCATGTTCAATTCCATATGCAAAGTCCAACATTCTGAACCTGCTCTGTCTTTCGATACCTCGTTTCTCGGCGTCACTAAGGTGGTCGTCCACCATACCCACGGGTCGCCCCATGAAGCAAACATTGACTTTTTGTATAAGTATGTCTCATGTTTAATGATAGGGATCACTCACTATGTACAGCTGTAACCAGTCTGGATTAGCACAGTGATCAAAATAAACCATGAATATAAGCCACCAACCTTTACAGCTCTCATGGTCAACGGCCAGGTGTCTAGCAACGATACTGCCGATATCACCACCCTGTGCGACGTAACCACTTTCAAATCCAATATTTTTCATCAGTTGGTCTAGTACACGTGCGATGTCTTTAGTTCCAAAGTCTCGGTCGAGCGGTGGTCCAGACGAGAAGGTGTATCCCGGCATTGAAGGAACAATCAGATGATATGGTAAGTTGCTTGGTGTGTATTCTTCCTGGAACAGCTCGAGCATAGGAAGGAATTCTAGAAAGTTTCCTGTCAGGTTTGTTAGTATATTAAATTTGAATCATTGTGGTGGTACTTTGAATCATACCTGGCCATCCATGGCACAAGAGTATGGGAATTGCATCTTTTCTTTCTGAGAACACGCCCACAAAGTGAATCAACATTCCCTCAATCTCGGTGGTCCATTGTGGAAAGCTATTGATACGATCCTCGGTTAATTTCCTGTCAATAATTTAGTTCTCTTTGATCGATTCCTCATATGCAACCTTGGAAGTTGCTAACCATTTGTAGGATCTAAGCCATAGATCCTTCATGCTAACCAGCCAGTCAGTGGTAACGCCATATCGTGAATCTAACTGCGAATTCTCGTATGTATGTGGGGCAAGCTTTGCTAGCTTGATGAGCGTCTCTAGCTCGTCCACTTGTGCCCTGGGAATCGAGACTGTAAACGGTGTTGGAGAGACCTTCGCGGTAGAAGGGAGAGTACCAAATGGTCGCGACATGATGCCAAATTCCTCGGAGACTATTCTCAAAGACTTGATGTATTATTTTGTATTAAAGAATCCATGTCCACTGTCGATGGTCTGACTCGTCATGTGATAAATGCGGGGTGCGGTTGCCTTGGAGTTGCCGTTGTGCCGTGTTGCCTGTTGCAGCTTCATTTCAAGGCACGTGGGTCACTCTCTTTAGAGTTAAACGGAAATTGTTGCAAGTGGAGGGCAGCATATGTCATTCTGAAATATTGCGCTCAATATTATCCCGGGGCTTGTGACGTCGAGTGGGCTAGTGAGGTCGAGTCCCAAAAGCTACCCCTGTAACTCTTTCAGTCCTCAATGGTTACTATAAGCAAAGGTCAGTAAGTAAAAATTGCGTCCTCAGCGTTTATTCTTCACTGACATTATCATGAGGATGCTCAAATTGCACCAAGCGCCGCATCAAATGTGACCGTGGCAAGCCATCTTGTCAGAAATGTGCTAAAAAGAGCCTCGAGTGTCCTGGATATGGATCGAAGCTCCGGTGGGCTGGCGGTGCGGCAGTACGCGGAGATTTAAAAGGGCTCCAGGCCCGAGCTATCGCAGAGTCATTACAAGCAAGTGAGAGTATGCTGGCCAAGACTGAACCACTGGGCAGATTCTCTTCACAAAAGCCAGTCGACGGGGTTGACTATTACGACAAGATTATCGCCCCACGGATGGTCTGGTTTGACTCTGAAAAGAACATCTACCGTCGCTATATTCTACCTTTAGCGCAGACAAACGAATGCGTTCGTCTGGCTATCGAGGCAGTCTCCGCACAACATGCGGTCGGTGACCTAATAGACAGTGTTCCCGAAGAGGTACGACTCGAGGCACAGACTAATGTCACGCATTACCGAAACGAGGCTGTGAAAAGGATCACCGACTTTATCACCAATGTAACAGACCAGGTTGCCAAAGATGAGGAATTCGGTCTGTATGTGGACGATGCGGAATGGATCCTGGCCACAATGCTAGTCCTGTCTTGCTATGAAATGGCGCACTCGGGCGCCGAAGCTGCGGAATTCCACAGGAAAGCAGCTCGCTCACTGGTGGCCACTCTTTCCATGACCGATCACCGAAAGAGCAAGTTCTTGCCCTCGATGAGAAACAAACTCTCAACCTATGAGGTCTTTGGCTGCACAACATCCTTTGATCTGCAGAGTATACAAGATGCCGTGCTCTCCGATCCTGCAGATGAAATGGAGGGCGATGATGAGACAACTCTGTTCTCTGGATTTCTCAACATGTTGCACGAGGTCACCATGATTGGGCGATGTGTTACAGCCCCATCCGGAGCTTGTCGTGATTGGAAAGCAGAATTTGAAATCACGCGCGGAGTCACCTTGATGGCAATTGGTAGACATTCCATCAAGACACCCGCTCACCGTCGTGACCTTATCCGGCTCGTGGACATTCATTACAACGCTGCTCTTCTATACGTTTTCAGATGTCTTGGTCCCGAAGCTTTTGGTGATGTGGAGACAACGATTTCAGATCTCTTACGGCAGGTCAACGCGATGGAAGACATAGACTATTGGGTTCAAAATCTACCATGGCCTCTATTTATAGCGGGCACCGAAAGCTATGGCGATCCTGATAGACAGATCGCCATTTCCCGGCTATACATGAGAATCCGGTATGTCACCGGCCTTCGACATTACCAGGATGTGCTGAGTTTCTTGGATGCATTTTGGTCTGGTGCAGAGACTGACTGGCAAGTATTAGCCAGAGATTGGGAGGCATCGGGTAGAAGAATATTAGCATATTGAATATTAGATAAAAATGTGATTATAATGAATTTAGCATTGAATTGAAGAAGTTTAGATTCTAATTTGTCTGTTATCTGCGGTTGCCTACCAAGTTCTGCCTAAAAAGCCACTCGGTGATCATTACCCCATTTGATGGCATAACATCATGGCACAGGCCTTTATGATACTTCACTTTCCCAAATAGTCGGTCAAGCTTGAATCGTCAATAATTCTCACTTGCGTCTTTCCTTAGTTGATGTCGTTAATAGATATTTCGCACTCGTCATCACCGAAATCGTCTTTCGGCTCTATTCTTATCGGGCTATGTCGTCACCGGTAAACACTGGAGTTTTCCAAACTCTCGAGACCGTCAAGAACCAAGTTATCATTCGCGACAGTATATATGGCGAGCATATAATTACCGAGCCCGTACTCATCGATCTTCTCCAAAGCCCAGAACTATTTCGTCTCAAAGGCGTCTGTCAACATGGAGTGACCGCCCTTCTCGGCTTCGGTCCCAAAGTCACACGTTTCGAACACTCAGTCGGTGCATTCCTGCTGGTCCGCAAAATCGGAGCCACCGTGAAGGAGCAAATCGCCGCTCTACTTCATGATATCAGTCATACCAGCCTGAGCCATGTTGTCGATTTCGCACTGTCCAAACCTGGAGAGGGCAGCTACCACGAGGTCCACAAGCACCGCTACTTGCAAAGAACCAACTTAGCTCAGATTCTCACTCAGTACGATGCCGGATACGTGGAAGCGTTCGACGAGGATTTATTCCCACTGGTAGAAAAGTCGGCTCCACAGCTTTGTGCCGACCGACTTGACTACTCGCTCCGTGACGCAGTAGCATTCAAGAAACTCAGTCTCAAGGATGCGCAGAAACTCTATCAAATATTGAAGGCACATCCATCTGCTACTTCGCCCAACCGTCTCCTTGTTCTCGATGACCCCCAGCTCGCGTTGTCTCTTGCTCGGGCATACTTGGCAACGGACCGAGATGTCTGGTCAAACCGTGCCCATGCCGACATTTATAAGAGAACGGGTCGTATTATCCGTGAATTGGCAGACTCTGGACATGTGAATGATGATGCGCTCTGGAGTATGTCAGATGATGAGTTCTGGTCGTTACTTCGCCAGGGTGCGACTCCGGAGATTCTTTGTGAAATGGATAAGCTTGAAACAGAAGGTCTTCCTAATGAGGAGAATTTACTTCTTCCGGCAGCCGCTAAGATCCGGACGATCGATCCCGATGTTTGTCAGCGATTGGAGCAGGAGCCTTTGCCATTGTCGGTTTTGCTTCCGGAATGGGGTGTGGAGCGGCAAGAATATATTCGCAGTCGTGAATTAACGCGGGAATGCCGCTCATGCTGTAACAGACAATAAGTACATATTCCAGTTGTGGCCACATGTATACACCGCTTCTCGTTCAATACTATAAGATATAATATATTTGCACTTCCCAGATTCTCTCTTTAAGTGCCGTTTTCGGTTTAGCGGAACAATAAACTCGAACAAAGATCTATTTCAGGTCTAGCGCTGGTCGTCTATCTTAAACAGGTAGTAAAAGTGAGAGCGATCTACAGTTGGCTGTCAACAATTTAAAGTCATGACTGATCCATCGGATCATTTCCAGGTTTATACATGCATGTAATGACAGGCAAATCGAAAGTTCTGGTTATTGGAGGCGGGGGAGTTGGCGCCATTGTTGCTCTGAATCTACAATCTGGGCACCAGACAGAGCTCACTCTAGCTCTAAGATCCAACTACATAGCTGTTCAACAAAATGGCTTTGAAATACAATCATGCGATCATGGAAAGCTAATTGACTGGCGGCCTTTTAAAGGTAAAATTCGTACTGATGCCTACCAAAATAACACTAACATCAACACCAGTTGTCGACACAATTCCAAATACCTCAGGTGATGAAGATGCTTTCAACTTCCTTGTTGTTACAGCAAAGAATATTTCCGGGGACGTCGATTTGATCTCGCAGATTTCATCCGCCGTCACTCCTGGAATCACAACAATTGTTCTCATACAGAACGGACTCAACATCGAACGGCCATATCTCGATAGGTTTCCGAATAATGTAATCCTGTCGGGCATCAGCATGATTGGATCAGAGGAAACCAAGCCTGGCTTCATCAACCATACATTCAGTGATCACCTCACAATTGGATCTTTCCCCAACCCCAATCTTGACCCTATTGTAGAAGTCGAAGAGGCACAGAAATTCGTGAGTATCTACTCAGCTGGAGGGAAAACTCGTTGCGTATATGATAAGCATCTTCTTTGGAATCGATGGAAGAAACTTGTCTACAACTCGACCATGAATCCTATATGTGCTATCACAGGATTGAATGCTGGAAAAATCAAATTGGCGGGTCCTTCAATCTCTGCGCTGGTACATGATGCTATGCGCGAGATTGAGGCTGCAGCAAAGGCGTCAGGCTATGAGCTTCCTGAGGACATTGTTGAGTTCATGTCAAATATTGACAGTCCTGAAGATCAGTTCGCGCCAAGCATGCTTCAGGATGTTAGAAAGGTACTTCACTGACTCTGTTGTCTGGGTATATTGGCTGACTAGTCTCAGGGTAACTCTATTGAGTACGAGTATCTTCTTGGAGAGCCATTGAGGGAGGGGGAAAGGCTTGGTGTGGCAATGCCTGTCTTGTCTACATTATATGCGTTGTGCTCGGCGATTCAATGGCGTATTAAAGAGGAGCGAGGCTAATAAACACACTCTATGCTGTTTCTACGCATAATTCCAGAGTGTTTTCTATGGAGCGCGGTACATATGTATCGTACCCTGCAGCTTCAGCTCTCAAAGTACATAACTTGAACAGAAACAGTTACTCGATAAACCAAAGTCTGAAGTAAATTTGTAATCTAATTTCATGTATCAACTATTAATCTTGAACTCTTCACAAATAGCCTTCCCAAATCTTTTAATTGCTTCCGATATCTGGGGAACCGAAGCACTTGCAAAGGTAACACGGAAAAACATCTCACAGCCATGTGCCCCATCTGCTCGAAATGCGCTTCCTTTACAGCACATAACGCCCATTTTCAATCCCCTGGAATAGATTCTATCCTCAATTTCAAGCATCGTTTCAGACTCAGACTTGGCCGTGCTAGGAGCCAGCGGATGTGCCCGCCAATCAATTTTGATCCAATGAAACATACCAGCCTTTGGAGTCTTCCAAGAACAGATCTTAGGAGGAAAGTAAGTTTCGCAAGATTCGAGCATAACATTGAGGCGTTGAGTGTATTTGTTTTGCAGGTGTATGAGCCATTCAATGAACCCCTCGTGGCCCCAAACCTCATCCAAAAGCGTATGTATAGCCAGCTGGGAAAGCCCACTCGGGCATACAGTGGTAGCATCATGGAGGTATAGAATGCGAGAAATTATCTCGGCAGACCCTGTCATCCACGAACATCTCAATCCGGGCGCAAGGATTTTAGAAGTCGAGTCTAGACGGAGAACTCGTCCGGAACTATCCAAGGAGAGGAAGGATGGGATAAGATCGTGAAGAAACGATTCAACCGCTTCTTTGGCTAGAGGCAGTGAGTGATGTTCTTTTGGGGTAGTGACTTTTTCAGACCCAAGCCGCAGGAAGTAATATGGGTCATCTTCGATAATGTACAGATCATGTCTCTGGGCAACAGCATAAATTTCTCTTCGTCGTTGAAGGCTCTGCGTAACACCAGTAGGATTCTGACCTGTCGGGATAAGGTAGAGCAGGAAAGGCTTCCTACCTCCTCGCTGGAATGGATCCCACTCCGAAAGCAGTGAGTCAAGTTTGCTTGATGACATGCCTTGATCATCCATCGGGACACCGACAGTCCGTAAGCCGAGAGGTCGTGCTGCTTCAATCGTGGCAGAATAAGTGTACTCTTCAGTGATGACAAAGTCTCCTCGATCGCAGAACGTTCGGAAGATACAGTCAATAGCTGAGGTGGTTCCTGCCGTCAACGCGCATTGCCAGTCCGAGTAAGGTGGATTGTGCACAACATCAACATGTTCGGTCAAAAAGCGAATGAGTTGCTCGGATCCTGCACTATAGCCGTAATTGAGGGAGACGGCGAGGTCGAATGTGGATTTCTTCTCTTCGATGTCGTATTTTCCAATGGATTTGGATTGTGCATAGTCCAATCTATCTTCAAAAAGCCCTGGACTGGTTGGAAAGTCCAAAGACATTTTGAGAAACGGGAAGTATTCCGGAGAAGGTCTTCCAGTACCTAGACTGATGACATCCCCGTTAAGCTCAGCCCCTGCGGCTTTCAGAGTTGCGGCGCCACGAGATCTAGCTTCGAGATTGAGACGATGTTCAAAGGATTGAGCTGATGGTTTTCGAAAGCATCTGAGACTCTTGAACATCTCTGCAGTAGTGATAGGTGCAATTGATCCGGTCAACGGTTGTGACTTTAGTCTTTGAGCTGAAATATTGGAGAAACATAACGTGGACGACATTGCAGGTCTTGGTGGAGTACACAAAGTTTGAGTTGAATTTTCGACTTGGGTGTAAAGGTCATTGCACACATGTGCAGGCTTTATGTATATTTTGCTCTGCGGATATCAGATCCACTTTAACATCTAGTTTATCATATTTCCTGGATATTTGCAGTAGAGATAATGAATTATCGAATGTTCTTCGATTTCATACCATTTTGGGTTAGACTAAGCGTTTTCTCAATAGAATTACTGTTCTTGGTAAGGTTAATCAACAAATCTCACATTTTGTACCTTATCGGGTCTATCTACTTGATTTCATAACAATGCTCACCTCTCGCGGCTTTATATGACGAAGAAACCCCATGAAGCTGCCAGGTGGGCAGATGTATATAATTCGTAATCTGAAATCCCTCCACTCTCGGAAGAAGGCCAGAATGACTTTACCTAAATTGTGGGATTTGTTTTGACGAATTTATGTTTCGGCTCCACATCATGCACAGCTTGAATACTCAAGTGCTACGGTAAATACTAAATAGCAACCCATTTCAACGTGACCATGGACATACTGAACATCTAGAGATTTATTTACTACCCTAGGACTCTGTGGAACACAATATATCATATGACTTAGTGCATCCACAGGTGCTTAAAATGCTATATCTTCTTTCTGAGGGTCTCAATGCTAAAAAGACCATACAGAGTGATATGGAGCCGAGTATATTCCCCCACATTTTCCCCTTCATTACCCCGCAAGACACGCAATCCACGGATGGAACTAACCAACTTCTGTGTAGTATAATTCAAATGGGGCCTTTCTATTGGAGCAAGAAGCTGTTATTCTTACCCCTGAAGTGCTTTTGATGAAATAATTTGCCTTAGACTTCGAAGTTCCCCACCGGCTCCACATAGCAACTATGGACTATTGCTTAAAGAGGATGGCATTTACACGCATATATTGTGGGCGCCTTAATGAGGAGTCAAACCTTGTATGGGGATATAGCGGTATTTAACAGACTGCCGTACAATGCTTAGAAACTTGGCGTTGTTTGAAACTTGATGTGGACAGTTCGGGTGCAATATGCTTATCTGGTGCATATAAACAAGTCATTCACTCTTCATGGGTCCGTTATTTCAAACGTGCATGTATCAATAACATTTAACGCCTCCGCATTGAACCATCAGAGCTACTGAACCAAATTATCTGGTCAGTATGTTGAAACTTATCTTCTTCGCTGCATTGAGTGCAGCCACCATCACGATTGTCGATCCTAGTGACTATGCCGATCTTTCCGCAGATGCGGCAGACGATGCTCTCACAGCAGACTGGGACTATGCGCCACTGTCATATCAGGCCTATGCAATCACTGGGCCCTATGTCTACAGCGGGGAAGACAAGGAACTTTCTCACCAGACATTCTCCGTTTCAGCCAACGACACTAGCGTGGTGGTAATCACTGAGAAATCACAAGTGAACATTTCCGATTCCACTATCATCAAGCACGGTTACTCCACCGACTTGTACCAGTCTAGTTTCTACGGACTGAACGCAGCAATTAATGTGGCCAATGCTTCGGTCGCCTATTTGGACAACATCAATGTCACCGTTCACAACGGAGCGGCTGATGTATATGTCTATGGCAACAACTCATACGCCTATGTTTCGGACTCTTCCTTATACAGCTCGGGCCCTGTCTCTCATGGACTGTATGCTGCTGGATATGGAACAGTTGTTGGCAAGAATCTCCAACATTACTCGGGAGCATACCGATCGTCGTCTTTCGCATGTGACAGTCCTAAAGGATATGTCTATGTATATGATTCCATCGCCCATACTGCTGGTATTGGGAGTGCCATATTTTACGGGCAAGGGACAATTTACGCAGAGAATGTGATTGGACATGCCCAAAAGGCTCCCATTGCGTTTTTGGACGGCGCCCAGATAGATATCCATGACTCAGACCTGACTGCTGGTTTGCTTGCAGGTGCCGTCATCTTCTCCTCGGGCACCCGTGAATCTGGATCTGAGATCAACTTTACGAATTCTCGACTAACAGTTCTGCCGGATGATGGGGCGGGCTTGTGGTTTGGAAATGTTATTGCCAGCGCGAGTCTCGTGCGCTCCCAAATCAATGTAACCTCGGGAATTCTGGTCGCTGCCAACTACTCGCAAGTGACACAAGACTTCACATATTTTGCGGACTCCACCGCTCCTGCTGAGGCCACTGTCAGTGTCTCCGAATCTCATTTGAAGGGAGATCTTGTCGCCTATAATGGAAGTACAATCAGCTGGACTCTGGGCAACTACTCCTCGTGGACAGGCTCGGCATACTCTGGATATGAGAAAGCGTACTTTTCTGTATCCCTTGATGCCACCTCTTCTTGGACTCTAACTCGGGACACTGTGTTGACAAATTTCACTGATGCGGATACGACGTTCTCGAATGTTTATAGTAAAGGCTTCAATATCTACTACGACTCGACTGCTAAGGGGTCTCAGTGGTTGAAGGGAGCAACTAAGAAGATGCATGGTGGAGGATTGCTGAAACCAGCGACCAAGAAGCAGTTGCAGCACCCCTATTAGTTATTCCAATGTATTTGCGGCCATGATATGTTGCTATGAGCCTTGTCAATGGTCATCTCTTCCTCGTGCTCTAATTTTTGCCATTCAAAATAGCAATCAATCCATTTTCAAGATTTTAAAAAGTATACAGCACTTGTAAAATTAATTTATCAAATATCTAACAAATAAATTCCTTGAAGAACCCGCTCCTATATATCTAAAAATTTACCGATACAAAGTTTCCAATTCAAACCGAGATTTCCTTCTCCTTCAAAATGGTCTGAAACTTTGATGTAGAATCAACCGGTGACTCAATCTGACCAAGGGGAGGAAGACAAGGAAGGGTTCTGGCGACACGAACAGCATCAAACACGCCATCGGATAGCGTGAAGATTTCGTCTATCTCTTCCAAAGTACGGCCTGATGTCTCCGGAAAAAGGAAATAGATCGCTGGGACCATCACGGCATTGAGCCCACCGAAAATCAAAAAGTATTTCTGACCGAGTTTGTCGAAGGCGAGCGGGGTGATGTGGGCAATCAAGATGCTGACAGCGCCTCCGATGCTGATGCTAACCGAGTTGATGGTGGCTCGTAAATGAAGAGGCGCAACCTCCGTGGCATATAAGTACGGAATACCACCAAAGCCGAGGATGTAGCTGAAATGAAAGAAGAAGAGGAAAAATACAGCAGCATGGCAAGCCTTGATGTTGTCGAGTTGAGATGTAAGAACGGCAATGCAGGCTAGGCATACGGCGTTCCCAATGGCGCTAGCCATCATTAGGCGTCGTCGTCCGACTCGTTCGATGACAAAGACACAGAGTACAGCACCGATGGGTCCGGCTAGCTGATACACGGCTGCCAGAAGTCTTGCCGTCGACTCCTCGAGGTCGAGGTCGTCCTCAAAGATTGCCGTGGCTGGGACTGAGTTAGTGAACAATCTCCCAGAAACGTGGAACCAAGGTAGGGCAAGAGTCGAAAACTTACTGTAAAAGGTAGTCACTGTAGCTCCAGTAAATTGTAAAAAGAGCAATCCACCGACAGCAAGGCATGCTCGGTGGAAAGTTCTCTGGGGCCCCATTTGGAATAATTGCTTGAACGCCGTGTTCCCACCAGCCAGACTTAGCGACGATTGCACTTCGCTGATCGTGGCTTCAATTTGAGCATCCTCAATATCGATGTCTGCAAGAGCTGCTAGGATGTACCTAGCCTCTGAAATCCGGTTTTTCTGAATTAACCAGCGAGGCGATTCCGGTAGAAGTATCACAAAGGTCAAAACAACGAACGAGAGAAGAGCTGGAAGTGCAAATGGAATACGCCATGCAATGCTGGTCGCAGTCTTGAGAGACATTCCATAGTCCAAAAACAAGGCGATAGCGCATCCAAAACCGCTAAATATCCCCTTGGTCACAACATGAGAGCCACGACGCTTGGCTGGGGAAGTCTCGGAAATCCAAAGAGGGATTGTGGCCAACAGGTCACCCGTGCCCATACCCATAAGCACCCGTGACACAATAAATTGTACCAATGAGTAAGAGGAAGCATTGAGCACATAACCGATTAGTTGGGTCGTTGCCCCAAGCATCATGGTACGTCGACGGCCCAGCCAATCGCCCAGCCAAATGCAAGAAAATGTCCCCAAGAATGAACCTATGGCAAACGCCGCCACGACAGTCCCTTCTAGCATGGACGCATAACCCTTGTTCTTGGCATGCTCCACATCCATCTCCGGAAAGCTTCTGTTGAAGCTATCCAAAGATAAAACTCCTCCCAGCGATGCGGTATTATAGCCAATGCTCAGGATGCCCGGCATCAATACCCCAATGATGGCCACAACGCTGAGACGAGTGCCTCGAAGACCAAGAAATCGTGCCATGATTGTGAGATATGTAGATCAACAGCCAAGACCTTTGCTCCCCAGAAAAGAACAAGGGATCGGCACGATCGACTTTTGGACGCGTAATGAGACAGGTGCAACGCGGGTCTGAAGAAGCTTAAGTAGATTCGTGTCTTGTGCCTTTTTATGAATGGGCCAAGTTTTGCCAGCATTTCAATACTTTGAAGACCGAAAGCCCAGACACTCGGAACTCGGCTCCAACAAGGCGTTAGCCTCTCACATTCCATTCCTGCATGAAATTCCCGCAACGAATCTAGAGTTGATTTAGCCAGGGTTGGTCTAGACTACTAGAAACAGTCAAAGTCATCTGCCAGGCTTTTACCATTCTTGTCAGTTGACTTGGAAACTGTAGAACCAGGGAAGTCAGTTGATATAAATATCTAATGAACGATCAATTTGATTGGTTGCATTGAACTATGTACTCCAATGTGCATAATAGACGATCTATTGAACGATAAGAAATAATTTTAGCCTAAAACCTAATTAAATATTCCGTAGAGCTCCATGCACGATCATGCAGAGATTATGCAGAGATAGTCACATACTTCAAATATTCAAATGTTCTTGAAATGAATCTGGACTTGGAATCATTCACCGCCCGGATACTTCATTTTTCTTTTCAACTCCATATGAACCGGGATATTGGAAGGGACAACAATGGTGCTTCTGATCTAATACATCCTTCCCCATTAAATTAACAGACAGGGCCTAGTCCAATCAATGACATAAATTTTCGATTCAAGTTATTTGTGTCTCGAGTCCCGACATCAACTCTCAGCAACGAGGTATAAACCCACAATGGCTAGCATTCTCCAGCCCAAATCCCAAACAACGGTCTTTCTAGACCAACCACCCAGCTGTCTCGAATTCTGCCCGGAGATCCGTGACCACTTTGTGGCCGGCACCTACCTTCTATCCGAGACGAAGAATGAGAGTGGAGAAACCCAGCAAACCAAAACTGGGAGTCTACAATTATGGAAATTAGACCCGAACACTAGCAAACTGTAAGTGGACATTGCAGGCTATGTCACGGGTTCATTTGCCCGGGAAGTTCTAGACTTGATATCAGGCATTCAAGCTAATTCTCATTCTTCAGATCCTTGGTACAAAGACTAGCCCTCCCCTATGCAGTCTTTGATCTCCACTTTCACCCAAGGGAGAAAAATAAGTTTGCCATCGTGGGTAGCACAGGGCTAGCGGCCTATTTCAGCGTCTCTGATGATCCTTCACCAACCATAACTCAGATATGGTCAAAGCAGATCCATGACGATACTTCCATTCCGGCCTTGTTTTTCGCATGGGCCCCTCAGGCCTGGTTCCCTCGATCAACATCTGATGGCTTTGCTGTCACGTTCTCGGACAGCCGCACGACTGTCTTTGGCACGGATGGAAATATCGAGGATGGACAGATCGCCGAGTGGGGGTCTTATCAGGCCCGTCAAGTGATCGAGGTCTGGTTTGTTGCGCTGGCTGCAATCAAACAGGGTCCCGGAGTGGAGAACACTGATACTATTCCTTTCATGTTTACAGGTGATGACTTTGGCTCTCTACATACTCGCCGCTTCCAGAATCATGAGCAGGGTGATGATGAAGAGTCGCTCGCACCCCTGCTGCTTGAGCATGATGATCGCGCCCGTCATCACACGGCCGGTGTAACAGCTATCCTGCCTCTCGGTGTCCCGATGGTGGATGATGCACCTATTCTGTTGACGGGAAGCTATGATGAGGGTCTACGGGTGTACCACGCCACTCGCCGGGGAGAGGTACTCGCTGAGCAATGCCTAGGTGGGGGAGTATGGCGGCTGCAGTTACTATCATCAAAGGAAGTCTCTAGTCCCAATGACTCGGAGCAGATTCTAGAGCGTCATTTTGTCGTTCTTGCGAGCTGTATGCACGCTGGGACGAGAGTTGTCCGGGTTACTCAAGGAAATCTTGGGCAGGGTCCTGTAGAGTGGGAGTGGGATCTTCAAATTCTGGCGGAGTTTACAGAGCACGAGAGCATGAATTATGCGAGTGATGTGTGGAAGGGCGCGAAGTCGGAACATTCAGATTCATTGCAACCGGCAGAGTTACTGTGTGTGTCAAGTAGCTTCTATGATCGTCGGGTTTGTGTTTGGCGAGTCAATGTATAGCGATTGAGTCAGTTCCACAACGACTTTGCTTTCTGACATCCACTACAATCCAAGGGACCAGATGATTTCTTAAATCTCATGTCATAAAGCGCTGGATCAAATTACTATGCATGCAACAGTCGTACAAGCACCTGTGCCGAGGACCAGGTCCAGACCAGAAAAAACGATGTGATCATTCATATCCATTCCTGAAGTACCACTGTCGTGATATTTCGTATTAAACAATTGTCTCCAACTCACGGGCGTAGCCTAGTGTATTCTCAATCACAGTGCCACTGGCCACCAGGATATCCTTCTCGGATCTGGTTGCCGCCTCGGGCTCAACAGGGAAGTGTATCCGTCCATCGCGAAGAATCCATCCACGCTGCTGCGCAAACTCAATGACTGCACCCTCGGACTCGAGGAAGAGAAGGTTCTTGGCGTTGGAGATGGGAAGGGAGGGGTAGGCCTTCTCCGAACAGTCTGCAATCTCGCTGCGAATGGTGCCGATAAGAACCTATTAGACAAGAGGGTAAGTAAACACGTCAAAGTCGACATTCAGCCATGAGAAATGTAGATAAACATGACTTACGTTGGAAAACAAGCCAAAGTCTTCATCTGGCACGCGCTCGGATGTCGTCTCCCGCCACACTTTATCATAGCTACCCTCCATCAGATTCCGCTCCAGTTCAACAGGGTACTTGATGTAGGTATCATCCTCAATGCGGCCACCCTTCAAGCTAGCCTCTTCCACCAGTCCCTCCAGCACGGTGTGGAAGTTGGCGCTGTCACCACTGCTCAAAAGTAGCAACAAGTACAATCCTGTGATCTTGCTGCGCTGGCTTGTGCTGAAGTCAACTTGAGATGAGGGCTGCTCTGGTCCGTCGACGTGTCGCTCGAGGTCGTAGAAGGGCTGCAGCTGTTGGTAATATCTTGTGAAGGTCTGGGCATCGGTTTGTCGGATCGAGGCGAGGGCGCCGAGCTCAAGTACCTGCCGAGCAATGACGACAAGCTGAGTAGGAGTGGAGGAAGTCGGTATCAAGGCATTTTGGATCAGAAGGGCGCGCTTGGCTTTGCTGAGAAGGTCGTTGGCGGCGTCGAGCTGTTTGCGCTCAAGAGCGTTTTGGAGCTCTGGGACAAGGGTCTTAAGGTCGGACATGATGTGTGTGGAGGATGGTGGAAGTAAAATTAAGAAATATGGAGGGATGGAGCTAGGCAATCTAGAGAGAGATTGCAAGCACAATCGAAATGATATGGAAAGCTGTGGATGGTGCGAGTTGGGCCAGCACTTGATGACATGACGGAGCTGCCGTGGGCGGTCAAGGCGGATTCACGTGACTGTTTACTTGCCAGTTGGTTTGGTTTTTCATTTGCGAAATTTACTTCGTGAATACACTTGATACTACTTTAGTACTGGAATGGTGAGGTAATTTGTCTCATATTTTATATAGTTATCGCCGTTATCACACTCACCCTTCAGAAGCGCAATACAAGTTGCCTTAGTGTCGAGAAAAACGGTGTACCCAACCCAGTCACCGGATCCCACCCAGCCGTGGCATTCCAACCAGCATTGTGAACAGGTGATCCTGCGCAACCTCGCGAACCACCGTCTATAATGTCTGTCCAACCAGTCTGCCCCGTTGTATACAGCCATGGGTTGAGAAATCCCAATCGCGGTTTCCCATGTGTCAACCGGATTGAATTTAACTGGGATATCAAACCAGCAATCACCGGTGCAGAAGCGCTAGATCAGCATCAGCATGGCCACACTCATCCGTTCCAAATGTATATATACCTTGTTCCTCCGACAGTCACATATACACCATGGTCTCGAACTATGAATCGGTTTGCTTGGGCTGAAATGTCGGGTATACCTCTCCCAGCAGCATTGAACAGTCCTTTCCATTGGGCACCATTTTTGGTTAGAAAACTTTCGACTAGAGTATCTTGGTAGGATGGCCGTTCAAAATACTCCGAGAATCCACCCCCAGAGAAGCTAATCGCCGTTTCTGGTTCACTCCCGAAAGTCCCACCGACGGATGTAACGAATGGACATGATGCAGGCCAATTAGGTATTAACTTGGCTTGATAGGTTCCATCATTACTTTCGCATGATTCTCCTGGTCCGGAATCGCCACTACTAAAAATCACAGACACTCCACGAGCACCGAGCTGTGCAAAGAGATTGCAGCATGCTAAGGCATATGACTTTGGGACGCTCTGCTCCGATTCGCCGTATGACATTGTTATAACGGCTGGGAGGTCCTTGTCAGGGAGGCCGGTCAGATAATGGAGCTGCTCGAGGTATGGCTCATTGGTCGAGGAACTAGCTGGATCTCCGCCATCGGGTATCAGGGGTCCTCGACCACCGGTTGTGTAATAGGTTACCAATGCGTGGTAAGCTATCGAAATGGCATACTGAACATCCAAACTGGCCTCAATGCTGTTCTTGAACGAGTTCTCGTCGTTTTGACCGCCATTTATCGATACCACTGTGAAGTTCGTATCCGTCTGATCGGGTGCGTAGACTTCCATGAAATGAAAAAAGTCACTATGGCGGGCGTACTGGTCCAAGAAACCCGCTATGCCTAGTCGATTCCGACAATCGGGTGTTGCCGTTGTTTTATCGAGGCCGTACAAATCTCGCAAGCAACTGGGTGTAACTACTCTTCCACAAGTTGCAGCAAAGTCTGCTGCTGTCGCGGAAGCCGGCCCATCGCCCAACCTGCGCAAAAGACCGGAATCGGCGAATCGAGTCGTTGGCTGAATCAACTGAATATGAGAGTGGATTGCACTTGGTATCGAATATCCAAGAGCTCTGACAACCGTGGTATCACTGTTATTATTCTTGTAGGAAAAGAACTCTGTCTTCAGCATTCGCTCCGCTTCAGCTACAACAGCTTGAAAGGTGACCCAGTTCCCGTCGACTTCGATGGAGTTCGGGGTGATGTTTTCTGAAAGTAACCAGGAAACAACCTGATTTGACACATTTGAGGATGGACGTAGCCGTTGTCTCACTTGCTCGCGGTTCATGTGTTGACCATAGCTAGGATGACCTGGTGTGGAGAGGTCAATGACATTTTGTTCGAATGCCGCTATGTCTAGTAGGTTCATCGCGAGTCGAAATTTTATCACAGCCGAGGGCGATGGCTTGTCGCCTTTTACCCAGCCAGATGGTGCATTGTCTAATTGTTCATGAATTTGAAAGCTGGAGATACCCGCCAGGGTCACTCTCACCCAGCACAAGACAAAAGTCTGATATAGAAACTTAGAGAAAATCATGTCTAACTACAAGTAGGTATGACTGATATTCAAAGAATCATTCAAAAGTTGCAGAGGCTAAGATCTTAAATATGAGTCTTTGTAAAGACAATCCCGGTATTTGAGAGATATCAGTAGGACCCTGTAGTTGGGTCACACAAGGCAATGGTGTGCTTGCACAACGGTCGCACTCGATAGTTTAATCCAGATTTATGAACTAAGTATTTAGAAATTTACTTGCTGTAAATGAAAAACTACATATAAACAAAAGGTCAAGTCACCCTCCATCTTCCTATGTGAGTTCACTAGCATCGTCAATATTTACATATTTGTGTTTTTATAGGATACAGATGTGGGTACCTGCACGGGTGTGTTTCAACTGGTTAGTGGTACTACCTAGATACAATCCCAACACGATTGAGTGCCATTGATAAGAGTATTCATGATAGTAGTTGCCTAGTGGGATATCGATTTATTACTGAATGAGTATTATCTATGATGAATATAGATCTCATCTTTGTGAGTCTAGGCCCTTTAATAATTTCCTGTGGATATAACGTATCGCCAACGTGTAACTTCACGAGCCAAGACCAAGATAGTTTTGTGGATCCTCGGAACTGAAATCGGGGGATTATTTCAAGCTCTTGGAAAACGCTGGAAGTTGCTCATCACCATCACCATGAAATGAATGACTATGTACGGCAGCGCGGGATATTGGTGCCTTCACGCCTGAGGCATCAAGCGGATCATCCAAAGTTCCGAGATGCGGGATGATCGACGTCACGGCCCAATGCAAGCATGAGCTTGTACAAGTCTCGCTCTCCATTCTCCACAATTAAAGACCCTGGCGTTTGGACGGTAAATTTGTGGAAACTCTCGATCAGGTATGTCTATATGTCAATTTGTTGTATTGTAGAGAGCTCTCAGCCTGTCAAGGTTTCAGACTCTCCACAGACCTAGTGCGTGGAGTTTGTGCATGTTGACAGGTCTTAGCTTTACAAGCTCTTTGCGAATACTTGTATCTCATCAGCCTTATTTGGTCCTTCACTTCAAACCAATAGTCCCATTGATTTGCAAGCAAGTCAATAATTAATCGCGGGGTGGCATGATTCATCTGAGAGTGAATCGACGTCATTCCTACTAAAGTACATTTGACGTTCCGATTGATACCGTCATCTTTCAACTTCTCCAACCAAAGCTTCCAACTGCATCATTATCTACCATGGCGGATTCGGAAGTCCAACAAGCCCGCCGGCTCTCAGCCGACAACCAAACTATCTCGAAGTCTGATATTCCCCTGAAGGAGCGGTTCTTCCGATACTTCCAAGAGGAAATCACTTGTATGTGCTCCCAGACCCCAGTTCACCCCCTACGTATAAGCAACTTCTTACACTGACCTACCAGCCTTGCAAAACTCGATGGACCGTCTCGCAGACACGTCCTTGGTGGGTGGAGAACGAGCGGATGCGACAGATCACTGTCTTGCAGGAATCGTTCGTCTCTCGAACGAAGTAAAAGATGCAGCCAGCTATATTCCAACCTACGACCAAAGGGTTTATGCTGAGGTACATAATGGAAATTTGAATGCAAGCTTCGTAGCTGACCACTCCTTCCCAGGCCATCAAAGCTTTACAGGACAAACTGACCGAGACCCGTGCGTCATTCGAGCCTCGTTCGAAATTCAGCTTCAAGACAAAGAAGAATGCGTCTGCTATTTCTTTGCGTGATGCAGCGACTTTGGCTGCCCAAGGCCGCCGGAGTATCCCCGGCTATCAGTCCCCAGGAGCATCCTCGGTCGGTTCTTCTGCAAATAATACCCCAAACTATCCTTCCACCCCGTTGAACGAGCCAGACAAACAGCATTGGGAAAGACCGGAGATTGCGCCCACCTCGGGCCCAGCAACATTTACTGGGGGCAATGAGAAAGAAGCGAAGCCCACGGGTTTCGCAGCCACCGGAATATCTTCAGTTTCGGTGAACAACCACCACAATCTACACATCATGCTTCCCGCTTCTGGCTCAACTTCTGCAGTTCCGGCTTCAATGACTTCCCTAAGGCACTGCATCGTGGACATGTCCATTCCCACCGCGAATGGAAAACCATATGCCAGTTTGACTATACGGGATATCAAGCAGAGTCTTTTAATCTGCAACCAAGTCAATGGTCCTGCCCACATTACTGGCGTTGAAAACAGCATCATTGTAGTCTCATGCCGCCAGTTCCGCATGCACCACTGCAAGAATGTCGATGTCTATCTCAGCTGCTCAAGCAACCCAATAATTGAGGACTGTTCGAATGTTCGCTTTGGTCGGATTCCAAAAGCTCACGTGAGTTGATCAACTGCTTTCACTTCTGATATAATATGCTGATTTATATTTTTTTCGTAGTCTCTGGATCATGACTGCCCGGATCACCAAGACCGCTGGAGCCAAGTGGAGGATTTTAAATGGATCAAACCCGAACCTAGTCCCAACTGGAGTCTACTGGACCCAAGCGATGCCATACCAGAGGAAGTCTGGACAGAAATTGTTCCCGGCGGGCCGGGCTGGTCACTTGACGACATTCTGCGAGCCATCAAAATTCAAACATAGTTTTCTAGTTTTCGTTTCGGTCTCCGACAAAAAAAAACAATTAATACCTGAACTTAGTTGACTACCGTGATCGACTTACCCTTTTTTCTCAAACATTCTCAAACATTTACTTTCACTTGATGCCCATCATGCTTTCGATTAACTCATTCCATGCCATGCTCTGTTGATATTACTCTGTTCGGTGCAATCCAATTACTTATTGATGGCAATCTCCGGGTTGATGTGTGATTTTATGTTTATTCGATGTATTACCAATACAAGGAAACGTAGTATGGTGAAACGTCCCTGCGATGTATTCAGTGCTCTAGCACTGGAGGCTTCCCGCCGTACGTTTTGTACGGCGCCTAGACCAACCATGTAATGTTTTTACTATGCATACCCTGTCTCCTACTCAGTCTCCCGCCTAGTGCCCCGCCTAGTACTCTAATATGCAGACGACCCTTCAGGTCTCTTGAATTAGAATAGGGCCGGGTGGCTCGACAAGGCCTCGTTGGAAAAACACAATAAGGTGCATTAAGGAAGTCAGTCGGCCACTCATGACCTATTAATACAAAGCTAATAGCAACTCACAATATTGCGTCATCATTACAGCCTATTCCAAGGCTATACATATAATCTAACAGAATTGATCTATCGCTAAACCACCAAAAACATTCATCTCATCAGAAATCGGTCAGATCTGCAGATGCATCTCCCGAGAAGACCTCCAAACCCGAAACGAAATCATTCCACAGCGCCTTCGAAGTCATAGGAGCATTGCTATAAGGCTGGACACCAGAAGCGAGCAAAAGATCCTTTAGCTGAGGAAGCAAGGCATCGGTGGCTTGGGCTTCCATTTCGCGTTGAATTTCTCTGCTGAGTCCACCCTTTTCAACATACCATGCAGAGTCTTCCTTCATAACCCCGCTCTCGTAAAGGTTGAGCAGCTTAATGTCGATATTGGCCTCCAGGGCGGCCTCATATGCCATTCTGTGTCCAATTGCTTCAACCAAGGGGAGAGCGAGTGGGAGAATATCACGATTGAATGCTTCACTTCGGTGAGCTCCATTCGCACCTTGTTGCAGGAGGGTTCTCGCTTCAGAGAAGAGAGAGGTCTCATGTCGAGCAATGGGGCTGTTTGGATCCTTTGGTGGTGGCATTTGATAACGGCCAATCAACAATTCGGATGCGAGTCCTAGAATTCATTTTGGTTTCAGTCCCTCAACAGAGGTTTCGGGTTTCAGTAACGTACGTATAGCAAGAACCCGAATATCACCCTCTGCGGTCGAAGCACCGCGCATTTCCAGCTAAAAGAAAATTGGATCAGTCACTGACAACGTGCACAGGAAATACTAGGATCTTACCTCCATCTGCAGAATCTGGTTAATCTCATAATGTCCTTGCCATCCACACCGCTCATTCATAGCCCTGACACTTTTGCTGAAATGACCAAGCGCAACGGCTTTGAAAGCCGTAGCTATACCATGACGCACCCGGGGATCCACGCTCTGTTCTCGGAACGCAATCGCCGCGGAAACCGCAAATGCTTCTAGCACACTGTACTGGGCGACGGAGTGTAGAATGGGCATCTGTTGAGTTCGGAACTCAATAACTGCAACTGGGCTTCCACCTTGGCCACTGACAAGTCTGTTCTGGCTGAAAGCCGCGGCATTGAATGTGGCGAGCTTGAGACATGGGACAACACAAGCTGAGAGGAAGAGAGTTCCTACTGCCACTCGGTGGATTGAGGATAAGAAGCCTTCGCGCTTGTTTTCTGTTTCCTCTAAGCTGCCAAGGAGGGCGGATTTCGGGAGACGGACGTGATCGAAGTATGTAATAGCATGGTCGACTGGGTGGGCACCTGTTCGTTGAGGTAGAGCCCTTTTCAATGAATTAGCTTATGTCTTGGACGTGAGGGTTCTCGGGAGCTCACTTCGCGATAACACCCTTGCACATCTCTTCTCCGTTTCCAAGTTGGACGAGGAATGGCCGGATTCCACAGTCTTTATCCTCATTCACGAGACGAGCCATTACAATTGCAACTACTGGTAGACCACCCCGCGGTGTAGTTGGTGGCATAACCCTAGTCTTCCGTCAGCCAATTTTCAGACAGTTGAACTCGACAGATTCGGCTTACTTCGCATCATTCGGCGTTGGAGTGTGAAGGTCAATGTCACCATTGGGCAGAATCGTCGCGGTTGTCTGGATATTCCGTGCGTCTAACCCATGATTGACTTCAGTCAACATAAATTGCGCCCTGGGCGTGGATATCCACACCATGTCAGCTATGAATCTGAAAGTGTTTGGTGATTTGCTTGAAGATGAACTCACGAGATATCGAAATCCAAGGCAGATTGGATAATCGACTGGAGCTCCGGACGCTTCAAGGAAAAAGGAGCCAGCGTGCCCACAAAGAGATTGCACTGGATGCTCAGGAGAGTGAAAGCACCACCATCCATAGCGATTAAATTCTGCAGGTGCAGTTTCCAGAATTTAGGAGTTATATATAGAACATCCTTGAGTGTCAACCCTGTTTTTTTTTGGTTATCATAATATTAGAGAGTATATGGAGACATAAGAGCATACCGTATCCGTTGGCAAAAGCCTTCGCTCTCTGGTAAGTCAGTTTGGTAGTTTCCTCCACACTGAAAGTGCGAGGGGTAGGTTTGAAGAGCTCTGAACGTGCTAGATCATCGAGGGCAGGGATCGACTGTGTCAGCAGCTGCAGCTGTTCCTGTAATCCGTTTTCCATATTGCACGATTATAATGTAAGAAATTGAACAAATTCACGATATCTGGATCAAAGAGCGAACCTAAGAGTAAATAAACTACCAGAAATCCCTTTCGCCAAATTTCAAGTGGCTTACTGCGCTTCTTCAATAAAAGCAGATCGGGGTTGAAGAAGTGGCGTTTGGCACCACAGTGGAGCAATGAACAACGAAACTCCTGCCATTTCTGGGTATACCGACTGTAATTTTTCCGTATATGAACCTGGCTCTTGGGAATTGGTGGCTAGCTGATTCTCCATCGTCTATTGATCTGGAGTGGGTAAAATACTGTATAATATTGGGTCAAGAACTACAGCTGGAGATAAGTGGAGCGCTGACTACGTTTGCTTTTGTCCTTTGGTCCCTTGAACTGAAACCAATCTGAAATTTCTCACTTGCTTCCTATTTAGAAGGATTTGAAGGAAAGATTTTGATTTACTTGAAAATTGCCCAGAACCTTGTACTTAGAGTTAGTGAATCTTCACTCATAAATATGCTGTTCCAAAACGAGCCTTTTTTGGTGGATTCCAGCGCTTATTGGTGTTGGGAATCCTCCTAAATGGAGACGAGTGGCTTAAAGGATGATCTTCCGAGATAATCCGTTCTTAATTAGGTAGCACATTTCAATATGACGTCTCACATGTTTACTATATTCAACCCTGTACTATGGAATATTTTAGTACTGCTAATAACATTAAACGTCCGGTGTTTTAACATCAATCTAAATAGCAGCTACCTTAAAATAAAAAAAGAATCTTCATTGGCAATAACAATCAGTTATAATATTTTTTATCTACGGATATTATTTCTTCCTCGCCAAATGTCTCCACTTATCGAAGCTTTTACCGGGTATTTCTCTTCAGACGGAGACGAACGCCTCCATTTCGATTAAGAAGGGATGGATCTTTGGATCGGGAGACCCAAAAGAGGCGTGCAATAGGACCTAAAAAACGCCACACATGCTAGCGCGATCAATGACAGAATAATTTTCTATTTTCTCTGAATAGTGGATTTGACAATGGCATATAGGAAATCATGGAACCTTATCAAGGGCCGTGCCTTCACCGCTACTTTTTGATTTACTTTTGAAGGCTATTCACTACATGGCCAAAGGGGGAGAAGCTCAGAAGAGAACGCTGTTATACTCGAAAATAATGCCTGGTGGATGCATTTCACTCACTTGGTAGTCCTCCAATCATCTCATTACGTTCTAGAGTTGCCACTAGGGTCAATCACATGTATAAGGTGTGTGTGGGTCGATTGTACTAGTAGGTGATCTCAGTGCTTAATTAGTCCTCAGTGTAGATGACATCTCTAGGTTAGACTATTGATGCTGTTTCGCCCACAGTAATGCTAGGTAGCTGTCAAACTTAAATCTCGTTTGCATGTGCATACGCGATGTGCTTGTTTTTCTGTTTTATTTTCTCTTTCCAAAATGAAACACTTCCAAGGTTGGTACGTATAGATAGTTGTTGGTGGCGCTTTGTACTTTTATCTAAGACAACCCGACGGAAATCCGCTACCGAGATAGTTGTATGATCCAAATAACAATTACCATTGCTTTTGTTATTATTGCACGGAAAGGTAATTTCATCAGAAATTATAAGTACATATATTGCAATACATCGAATTAGACACTGCTCCATGTGGTAGGAAGTGTACGATATTTTTTTGCGTGCATCCCGAGATCCTGGAACACGGTTTCATTGCCTGCATGAACGACGCATTAGCTATAATATCAAGGAAAGCAGAACATGAGAAAGCTTACCCTGCAGGTGCTCGATTCGATGTTCGTTCTCTTCAGCAAGTCTCTCAAGCTCCTGTCCAGGCTCTGGCTCACCGAGCGGCTTGTTCCCTTCGGCCGTCGCGGCTTTGCCCCAACTGTTCATCGCGCCTCCAATCATCAAAATTTGCGCATTCGGATAATTGATGAATTCCGGCTGCAAGGGAACCCATCGGAGATCACCGAATTTCTCAAGCACGCTGCACAGGCATCAGTACACGTGCCTCGCATATGAAAAATTAAACTTACGATTTGGGGTACGCAGCAGCCTTTGGTAGTTGGCCCGAAGGTGGACCAGGGAACTTGGGATTTTTCGACTGAACGATCCAGCTGCCTCGCTGGTAGAGACCAAAGTTCTCTTGGATTTCACCTATATTGGCAGGGATTGTTACTTCGTATGCAAGATGAGATGACTTTTTCGCTAATGTGATCGCATAGACGCCTTCTGCATATGGTCTGGCCTCTTCAGTGGTACGTTCGCCCCGGGTAGCAGTCTGATATGTACTGCTCGCGACAAAGTTTTCTTGAAGATCCTTCACTGATTGTTCTACTTTCTCCACAAATGCCATGTCTCGTTCCTTACCTGAAGTAGGGAACTTCTTCTTCGGGAGCATCAGCAAGCGGCATTGGGCATCCTTGTCCATTGGACCCTGATTATTGTCCAATTCAGCACCGAGTGGAATAGGACGAAGTACGAAGAAGCTTCGTGCTACGTCACCCATGCTGTGCGGATCATCTATATTGACACGCGGACGGAAGAAAAAGTAGATGATGCCCTTTTCCATAATGGTGGATGGAACAGCACTCTCCCTGTCTTTAGATATGCGGACACCAGACTCCTCGTACAGGCCAGACTCGGCAGGCTGTTCGATGGGAATGCTGCTTCCTGGAACACTTCCCATTCTGGGCTGTGCACCAATTGGTTGAAAGTCTGGGAGATCATTTGCGGCTGGCTTGGAAACGGATCCGATCTGATGGGCTGGAGGAAAGGATGGATCAACTGGATCGGGGGTTCCAGGAACACCACCTGACATCCTCTGTTCAACGGGCTTTGTTGCAGACATCCCACCCATTGATGGATCTGCACTGTCCTCTGTCTTCGACTCCTCCTGAATCTCTCTCTGCTTGCTGGGCTGCGGAGATTTTTCTGGCTGGGCTTTACGCTTAGAGCCAGCAGAATCCTTCTCACTCCCACTGCCCTCCATGAGTCCCGTGATGGCTTTTTTGGCCTTCTTGGCGGCCTGGCGTGCCGATGCTCGAGTAGCCATAGTGATGCCGAGTTTCTGCCCAAAAATCAAGAACTGGCAGTGATGGGTAATTACGATGATGAAGGAATTTCTCTGCAAGTCAGACAGCCACTGGTTATTATTTGCAGGATGGGCAATCTGGAACCTCTGAGATATAAATGACGTCATGTCTTCTCACGTCGCGCGTGGTCATCGTTTCCCCTCGCAAAAAGGGCCCCGAAAGTCGAGAGCAGTTGGAAGGCCGAATATGCACTTTCAGTCAATATCCATGTCATCGGTAACGGCAGATTCGTGCATTGTCTCAGCACTGCTATCGGTTGACCACAGATCGGAACTCGAGCTCCTATTAGCTCTGTCCTCGCGGACTTCATGCGGAGAAGCGGAATAACCAGCTTTCATATGATCGTCTGGAAGTTTACTGCGCCTTCGCCGTCGCTTCAAACCCAGACCAGGCACGGATAATGGCTCCTCACCCGGTCCGGTGTTCAAAGTTGAATGAGAATGCGAGGATTGGTACCCGACCCCAGACATACTGCCCGGCTTGCGCTTCTGACCCTTTGGAGGTCCCATCAATGGTTTGGAAACAGTGTCCGGTGTGTCGTTGCCCAGTCCATTCATGCAATCCAACAAGTCGCGCTGCCATCCTTCAAACGAGTCTGGCAGACACGGTAAATCTAATCTTTGCACAACAGGATCGGGCTCATGATCTGGCTCCTCGACATCATAAGGATAATATACTTTGACGCTGGACATGTCTGGCGCCGTGTGGAAGTTGTTGGTAGCCGTAGGTGTCGACGGACCCGACCCATTCAAACTATGTCCGCTGTGATCTGTTGGCGCGCCTGTATTAGACGGTGCAGCCGGTGAAGATCGTGCTGATTCAGTGGATGCGACTGTGACATTTGAGGAATCCAGATCCTTTATTTGAAGATCGCCATTCATTGTCCATGAATGTTGGCGTACGTTGATGTATAACTGTGGGCACGGCCCTCGGGAAGCATCACGTCACCAATTGCTCAAGACTCGCTACCAACAAAACCTGCATGGAAGGCAAAGGGTAAAGAGGCGGAAATAATTGGAGTAAAAAGATACCAAGGGTAACTGAGAATGGGGTGCAAGTAACTCAACACAACCTCGCTCGTGTGATCGTCGCGTACATGTTCTAGATGTTTCCAGCGGCGGGGGTAATGTATCCCCCGGTTCCCAAAGACCCACCACGATCCCCTAGAATTAACTGTATGGAAGAGCTTAACCTATCTACAGTGTGAATTTTCAACGGTCAAGCCTATTGAAGAATAGCCTACAATGTATGAAATGAATTACGACATACGGTTAACTTGCAATTTTTAGTCTAGCGCCCCATACGTCTGTATAGATTTCAACCTGACTCTAGCAACCGAGCTCCCAACATGCGAGAGAGACAAATAGGTACCAACAAAGTTACAGGCACCTTTCAAACAGACTAGCTCAATGCTAGTTGCGTTCACAGGTCTCAGTCTTCATCGGGATGAATTGTTATCGCCGGGAGAAATCGAAGAGAAGGCTAGGGGCTGGATGTAGTTTACTCAAATGTAGCGACAGGCTGGATTTTAATGTTCCCATTCAAGATAGACTGGAAAATACTAAGAGCTTACGCGAAATCAATTCGCGAATTGGGAAGACCATGGGTCGTGGTCTAGGAGTATTGAGCAGTATGCACCGGGATACTTGCAGCTGGAGGCGAGGGACCAGACGGTGGACTTTGATCTTTCCAATCTTCAGAAACTGCTTCTGCAATCAACTAACAAGGATAAATGCACAAATATCCATGATCAACGTCAGTTATGAAAGGTGTTGAGAGTGAGGAGGGAGATAAGAAGTGTGTAGGAAGGGAAGTTATAGAGTATGGATGCACGGACCCTTTCCCCTGACCACTCACCGCCCGCGGGCATGATTGGCTGCCACGATTCGCTTACACATTAAGTCCACGTTTAGTTTACCTTGCTACGCCTGCTACGTTCCAGCATAGGTATCCAACCACTGTTGCGCCTTGCCCTTTTGTTCCACTCTGGCAAGTGGATGCATTGGTTGATTCTCCGATCTTACTTCCTCTCGCGTGCGGAGCTTGCAAGTGTTCGGTGCGGCTCCGGCCAGGTCTTTCAAGATGCAATCATCCCCAAACATGCTCACTAAGGTAACGCCCCTCGATATCCCGACATCAAAGCATCCACCTCCACCCTACCATGCTGTGTAAACTTGCTTCAATTGCATTGACTGACTCTTATCTATTACGCAGTTTGAGTCTAAGTCCTCCAGGGCCAAGGGGATTGCTTTCCACCCGACACGGTCAGTCGGTCCCGCGGGGACACCTACACACCTACAAGCTAGAGCATATTCACTAACATCAGCACCAGGCCATGGATTCTGGTCTCCCTTCACTCTTCCACCATTCAACTATGGGACTACCGCATGGGAACCCTGATTGACCGATTCGAAGAACACGATGGCCCTGTCCGCGGCGTTGATTTCCACCCAACCCAACCCCTGTTTGTGTCCGGAGGTGATGATTACAAGATCAAGGTCTGGAACTACCAGACTCGGAGGTGTCTCTTCACATTGAACGGTCACTTGGATTACGTGCGCACCGTTTTCTTCCATCCCGAACTCCCCTGGATCCTGTCTGCCTCTGATGATCAGACTATTCGAATCTGGAACTGGCAGAACCGCTCTTTGAGTAAGTCGTGTCAGCTGTTCGGCGCAAGGCTCTACTAACGCTCCGTTCTTCAGTTTGTACCATGACCGGTCACAACCACTATGTCATGTGCGCCCAGTTCCACCCCACCGAGGATCTCATTGCCTCGGCCTCGCTCGACCAGTCGGTCCGAATCTGGGATATTTCCGGCTTGCGAAAGAAGCACTCCGCCCCAACGTCGATTTCCTTCGAAGACCAGATGGCCCGAGCCAACCCCAACCAGGCAGATATGTTCGGTAACACAGACGCTATTGTGAAGTTCGTTCTGGAGGGCCATGACCGCGGTGTGAACTGGGTGTCATTCCACCCCACATTGCCATTGATCGTCTCAGCGGGCGATGATCGCTTGGTTAAGCTCTGGCGAATGAGTGACACAAAGGCTTGGGAAGTTGACACCTGCCGCGGCCATTTCCAGAATGCCTCTGCCTGTTTGTTCCACCCACACCAGGACCTCATTCTTTCCGTCGGCGAAGACAAGACAATTCGTGTATGGGATCTTAACAAGCGCACATCCGTTCAATCCTTCAAGCGCGACTCCGACCGATTCTGGGTTATCGCTGCCCACCCCAAGATTAATCTGTTCGCCGCTGGCCACGATACTGGTGTTATGGTGTTCAAGCTGGAGCGCGAGCGACCTGCTTCCGCCGTTTACCAGAACCAGCTGTTCTACATTACCAAGGAGAAGCACGTCAAGTCATATGACTTCTCCAAGAATGTCGAGTCGCCTCCGATGCTTTCGTTGCGCAAGTTGGGTTCCCCGTGGATCCCCCCGCGCACCGTTTCCTACAACCCGGCTGAGCGTGCTATTTTGGTCACATCCCCCGCCGACAGCGGAACCTACGAATTGATCAACCTCCCCCGCGATGCTACTGGTGCGGTTGAGCCCACCGATGTCAAGCGTGGCCAGGCTACTTCTGCAGTCTTTGTTGCTCGTAACCGCTTCGCAGTGTTCAACCCTTCGACCCAACAGGTTGACATTAAGGATCTCAGCAACTCCACTACCAAGACTATCACGCCTCCTGCTGGCACAACTGATATCTACTTTGGCGGCACTGGTTGCCTCCTGTTTATCACCCCCACAACTGTTGTTCTCTTCGACATTCAACAGAAGAAGCAACTTGCGGAAGTTACTGTTAGTGGTGTGAAGTACGTTGTCTGGTCCAATGACGGACTCTACTGTGCTCTTCTCAGCAAGCACAATGTTACCATTGTTACCAAGACCCTGGAGCAAGTTAGCACCCTGCACGAGACCATTCGCATCAAGAGCGCAACCTGGGACGATGCTGGTGTGCTTATCTACTCTACTCTGAACCACATCAAGTATTCGCTATTGAACGGGTATGTATGAGACAGATTTTATTTGGAATTAGATGCTAATCTTGTCGCAGTGATAACGGAATCATTCGCACTCTAGATCAAACAGTTTACCTTGTCCGCGTCAAGGGACGTAACGTTTACTGCCTCGATCGCAATGCCCAGCCCCGGGTTCTCGAAATTGATCCCACCGAGTACCGTTTCAAGCTTTCCTTAGTTAAGCGAAACTACGATGAGATGTTGCAGATAATCAAGAACTCTAGCTTGGTTGGCCAGAGCATTATTTCTTACCTGCAGAAGAAGGGTTACCCGGAGATTGCTCTGCAGTTCGTTCAAGACCCGCAGACCCGCTTCGATCTGGCTCTTGAGTGTGGAAACCTGGAAGTTGCTATCGAGATGGCTCGTGAGCTTGACCGTCCCAACTTCTGGAGCCGGCTTGGCGCTGAGGCCTTGGCCCATGGTAACCACCAAGTCGTTGAAATGACCTACCAGAAGCAGCGAAATTTCGACAAATTGTCTTTCCTCTACTTGGCCACTGGCGACCAGGAGAAGCTTGCTCGTATGGCTAAGATTGCTGAGCACCGGGGTGACTTTACATCCCGCTTCCAGAACGCTATCTACCGTGGAGATGTTGAAGACCGCATCCAGATGTTCAAGGAGGTTGACTTGTGTATGTCCCAGACCCCCTAATATCTTTCTCGTGTTTACTAATAGACACTAGATCCCTTGGCCTACCTCACTGCAAAGTCACATGGTTTGACCGAAGAGGCTGAGTCCATTCTAGAATCCTGCGGCTTGACGGAAGACCAGATCGGCTTGCCCTCTCTTGGGGAACCCCTCCAGACCCCTCGCCCTATTGTCCCTACCTTCAAGTCTAAGTGGCCTGTTAAGGCTGCCGGTCACTCTTCGTTCGAGAAGGCCCTCCTTGGGGAGGTTGGTGGTGATGAGGAGGCTACCGATGCCTTGGAGTTCGGTGAGGATGAAACAGAGGCTGTCCTTGCCAAAGATACCCTGGAAGATGAAGAGGAAGATGCCTCTGGATGGGATATGGGTGATGATGTTAATGTTGAGGAGGATGTTGAGTTTGTCAATGTGGAAAGCGCCGAAGCTGGTGCGGGCAGTTCCGAGGCCGATATGTGGGCTCGTAACTCTCCATTGGCAGCCGACCATGTTGCGGCTGGCTCATTTGACACCGCTATGCAGCTTCTCAACCGACAGGTGGGCGCTGTGCAGTTTGCTCCTCTGAAGGACCGATTCCTCGAGGTCTACAAAGCCTCCAAGACCTATCTTCCCGCCAGCACCGGCCTGCCACCCTTGGTCAACTATGTCCGGAGAACCACCGATGAGACAGATAACCGCAAAGTCCTGCCCATCATTCCCCGCGATCTGGAGACTATTGCAAGCGTTGACCTCCAAGAAGGCTACGCTGCCATGCGAGCCAATAAGTTGGAGGATGGTGTGAAAATTTTCAAGCGTATCCTGCACACTCTCCTCGTCAACTCTGTCTCCTCTGAGGAGGAGGTAGAGCAGGCGAAGAAGATCATCGCCACTGCACGGGAGTATATTCTTGCCATGTCCATTGAGCTTGAGCGTCGTTCCGTCCCTACTGATACCGAGGAGGGCCTCAAGCGCAGCCTCGAGCTCTCCGCTTACTTCACCATTCCCAAGCTGGAAGTTGCTCATCGTCAACTAGCGTTGATGGCTGCCATGAAGCTGTCCTTTGCCAACAAGAACTACAACTCCGCCTTGGGCTTCGCCAACCGTATGCTGGCTAACGGTGGCTCCGCCAAGCTTCTAGACCAGGCTCGCAAGATCAAGGCCCAGTGTGAACGTAACCCGTCTGACGCGATCGACATTGAGTTCGATCAGTTTGCCGAGTTCGACATCTGTGCTGCTTCTTTCACTCCCATCTTCAGCGGTTCTCCCTGTGTGACAGACCTCTTCTCCGGCGCCAAGTACCACGAGATGTACAAGGGCAGCGTCTGCCGGATATCCGAGGTCACCGAGATCGGCGCCCCGGCCAGTGGCCTGCGTCTATTCGTCCCTGGTCTCTAAATTCAACATGACGAAGTTTGACGGTTTCCCTCCAGGTTTCTTTTTTCCTCTTCTTGGCATGAAGGTACAAAAGGTTTCTTTCCATCTTTCTGCTTGGAGAAGTTGTGTGTTTGGCGGCGCTTTTTTGGGAGACAAAATCTCCTGCTTTCACACCCTGTCTAGATGTCTTTGTACCGGGATTATAATTGTTTAGCGGTTCCAGTTTATGCGAATGTTTCTTCTCGTCCAATTCTTGTAATACGATCAGATTTCCAACATCTGTTCATGTTCAAGTAATATAAAATATACAATAGATCTATATAAACTACATTTATCGTACAAAGTGGAGATATTTATACAGTCCATCTACATCAAATCCGAGACAATAGTCAGATCTTACCAGTAGATCTTCTCTAATCCTTCCTAATCACACCTCCCATCCTTCCACCCAGTCTTCCACCGTTCCTCCCAGAAGTTACAATTAAACTCCTTCTTTCCCAGCTTGCGATTCACCTCATTATGCGCCTCACACATCCACCACCCAAACTCCGCACGCCCACCCAGCTTCGGCTGATTGCGTCCACTCGGATGCGCCATCCACGTCTTGAAGTCATCCGCGCAAACCCAGCACGGATACAGTCGCGAAAACAACTTCAGGAATCCCTGCATGTCGCTTTGTTGCTGCGTATCTGCTTTTTCGGGGTACGTCGCTGCCATCGTGTGCAGGAGGGTCCAGGTTGACCGCCCGAGTTCTTCGACGTCAGGTGGGCAGTCTGAAGGTATCGGTGGTTCAGATGACGAAGCTGGGACGGCGAGGGGGGCTGTGGAGGTTTTGCTTGCGTTTGCGCTTGCGCTTGAGGTTGAAGAGTCGGCTTTGGCTTGTTTTGTCAAGGCGCGCCATGAGGAGACGGATGTACAGGTTCGGCAGCTAGTAGATGATTTATTAGACTTTTGAGCTGAGAGATGGTGCGGGGTGGAATGATGCTCGGGGTTTCTTACGGTTTCCCATCTTTGTCTAGGACGACGCCTTTTGGTAGGGCGGATTCGCTGTCTTGCGATTGCTTGGAGGGTGATGGGGCTTGTTGGTTGAATAGATGAGCCTGCCCTCTGAGGGAAGCTAGCTGCTCTGGAGAAACCTCTGCCATTTTGCGTGGTTTGGGGGAGGAAAACAAGTGATGGAAATGGAAGTAGGTACTAAAGTTTGATTTCTAATGCGGTTGGAGGCGGGATCGGCGGAATTAGCGTTGTCAGCAGTAAACACTTGGCTCTATAGAGCGACTTCAATTAAGCCCCAAAATTATCGGATTTTCTTTTTTAAATGACTCCTACTCCCTGCAGTCAATTCTTTCGTCCTTTTAATTCTAATTAAATGAATTCTCATGTACTGACTGATTTTGTTAATGCTCAAACAGAAGCTACACGGTATGTAGGTACTTCAATTCTATCTACAAATGTTTCTTCATTTCATCATTTGCCCATTTCCCAGCTCTTAGAAAGGTAACTCTTCAGCTTCAAGTTACAATCCGTACCTCTCTCGGTATCGCATTTGTAATTCACTTCCTTGGCCAGAAAGCCATTGATCCAGAGGACCCCGAAGACCAGACCATCTTGCCATTGTAGACAAATCAAAAATACTCCAACCTGTCTCGGGATCCGAGATTGTGGGATCTGCACCTGCTTCCAGAAGTAGTTGCACTGTATCGAAATTTTGACGATTCCCGGCAGCGAAGACAGCAGTGGCACCGACCCGACCTCCCGGCGCATTGATATCAAGATCAGTATCGAACTCGAGGATCATCTTGACAACGGAATCTAAACCATACGAGCTGGCATAGTACAGCGGATGTGTCGTTTCGATAACTGAGAATTCCACCCCTGGTATGAGAACTTGCATCCAAGCGCCAAAGTTTCCCTGGCAAGGAAGATGTCTCGTGTCAAAGAACTTCTGCACTAGACGCCGCTCGGGGTCTCCAAGCTCGGTATCAGCAGCATATTTTGGCCACATCAATGCTGCATATTTCAAGGACTTGTATTTGGCCAAGCGTGAAAAGATTCTCCCCTTGGTTGTGTATCCATCTTTGAAATTGTCAAGGCAGAGGTAGTTGAGGCACTTTCGCATAATGATCGTGTTTGCTGTTGTCAAGTCCATGCTGAAATAGCTAACCCGGGAAGATAGTATCCAGTCGGATGTTAGGAAGTCTTTGATCGATGCATGCGCGAGGACGATATGACCGCACGGATCTTGGGTGATGAGACCTTGGCAAATATCAAGAAGAATTTGAGCGGGAACAAGCATCATGTCTTCATCTAGTGTGGTGCATTCCTCGTCTAGTACGACTAGCTCGTTGAGAACTTCGAGTGTGAGCATTTCACTAGCGAAGAGGTGGTCTCGCGCAAAGCTGATCCAGAAAAGCGCCTCTCGCACAAATGGTCTGTCCTCAGCAGATATCTGGTCGAGTGTTTTGGCATACATCTCCCGCAGAGTTCCTGGTAGATTTCTTAGAGCTTCGCGCATTGATCTGGTAGTTCGCTGAGCGGAAAGATTGTCCATGGAAAGCTGCACCCAGCGGAATCTGCTACAGTTAGACTAGCACATAAACGGGATAAAGTGAAACTCACGATCCACCTGCGTTATCCGATAACGTCTTTCGAATTTCAGATTTGAATTCATCCTTTCGGTCCATCAATGCCTTGTCGTTTTCTAGGCGGTAATCTATATAGGCTTTGATATCACCCGACATCATCTCTGCGCTGATATTGAGCAATTCGACATCTCGGGCAAGCACCATAGTTGATGTAGTCGTGACCATGATGCGAATATTCGAGGAAAGTTTGGCAAGTTTTAATAGAGAAGTCTCGATATGCCTGGCGTCCTGGCTTTCATTGATCGCGTCGATCAGAATGACGACCTTTGTCTTGCCAGAGGCATGTTTGATAATGACCTCTTCAAGAGCAGTGATCTCAATGCTTCGCTTGTGAGCCTGGGACTTGGGAATATCATTGTATATTGATCGGATATTGTCGAGTATGTAATCCTCTTTCCCCGAGAACTGAGCTACTAAGGATCCCAGTACGTTAATTGGGACCTGAGAGGCCGAGTTACTCATTGTGCAGTAGAAGTATGCGAAATTGAGGGTCGGATCACGAGAAGCCATTGAGACGAGCTCATCAACACACTGAGCACTGCAAAATTATAATAAGTCACACTGTTCGCCTGCTTATAATTCGTATAAGTGCCACTTACAACAGAGTAGTCTTTCCAGTTCCGGCTAGCCATAGATCAGTAAAGCATCTTCCGAATAGATAAGACCAGCATACATTTTCCAACAAGGAAGAAGATATTTTTATCCCCATACCACAACCAATGCTTGAGATGGCCCCCAATGAACCATTTCCCAGATGCAATATCATATCCTTCACACGCCCGCAAATGCGAATTAGCCGGACTCACCGGGGCCATCCATTCAAATAGTTCCCGGTTCGCCATCTGGTTCCTCTCCTGCTCTCTAATCTTCAGATCCTCAGTCAAAGATCTCGCTAGACTTCCAATCTCTTGCTGCAAATCCCGTTCGACTGCAGCATGATCTGCAGTCAAAACGAGTATCAACCACGACTTCACTCTTTCTAGACGGATAAGATGATCATTAATCTTTTCCTGCGTAAAGTGCCACTCGAGCTTCTGTTTCCAACTTTTCAGTTTGCTTTCTGCAGGCTCTAAATCTTTTAACAAAGACTCGAGGAACTCCTTTGTTGCCTGGAGGACCCTGTTCATGACATGCTCATTGAAGGGACTCGAGCCCTCTGACTCGATATGTTGAAACTTGGGGATTTCGGAGGACGACTGGGCTGCCAGATGATCGAGAATGCCTTTTAAAGCGAACAATTCTTCGCTTAGCTTTTGCATTTCGGATCTGGCGGTTTTCACCGATTTGGCGTACTTGATCAGGCATGATATGATGTGAGAGACATCGATGACCAGGCCTGTGATGGATATAGGGTCCATAACTGCAGTATGCGATCAAAGCGCCGCTGCTGAATATTGGGGTGAAATCAAATTTTCTGAATGGGTTCTTAATTAAATATGGCCAAGTGCTTACTTTGTTTGACAGGCGGGGTAAGTAGAGGATCCACTAAGGGTCCAGTCATTCTACCCTAAACCTTGATTAATTGCTAATTTATTTCGACGGCGTAGCTCACTAGTTCATTATGGTTGTATATGGAGGAGATTGGTATTTAAGTATAGTATTCAATCATTGTTTGTTGCAACTCAAGTACCACAGGTGTATGTATTGCTTTCATTTACTTCGTACTAAAATATATATGCTTCTATATCAACCTTGGAAGTTTTGTATCAAAAGTGCTAGCTACCTTATTAGATGACTTCAAAATGTTGTGACTTACATACCCTGGAGACTTATAAGGTCAACATGGAGATGCATATGTATTCATGAACAATATATGTGCATTTGAATCTTCAAATGTCGTATGCACCGGCTCATCAATGTAATATATTTTCGCACTATCTTCCAACATTTGAAAAGAAAATCATACCTTGGCGGATATTCCAGCCAATCGTTTAAATTTCAATACATACATTAAGATTGGAAGGACAGGAGAATCAAGTAAAATATATAAAATGAACCCTTGGAATGTTTTATTTCCAGGGTTCATTGAAACGTTTGGATTGATAAGGCGCTGATAAGCTTTGTCATCTTCACGCGACTGGACGTGTCAATGTCAATTCAATCGCCACGGAATTTGTTTTTCTCGGGAAGTCATCTTCAACGCATTAATAATTGCATTGATATTGGACACTCTCAATAGGTCTGCGGAAAACGTCTGCGACCATGGCACGTCAATATAAGCTGCCAGACTCCGAATCGGAGTCTGAACCAGATGTGTCTTCTACTCCTTCCGATGACCAACTTGAACAGGGACTGCGCGATGAGATCGCCGGGATCTTCAAATCCGGTAACATGGAGGAGCTTACTGTGAAACGAGTGCGACTTGCCGCGGAGAAGAAGCTTGGTCTAATAGAGGGATACTTAAAAAATACGGGGGATTGGAAGGCACGAAGCGAAAAAATTATAAAGGATGAAGTGGTAAGAGGTTTACTGGTCAATTGGTGCGCGTGAACTATCGAGCACTAAAATGCCATCTTCATGACACAGGACGCGCAGGAAGCGCAAAACGACGATGCTGATTCAACCGAAAAGTCCCCATCGCCTCCGCCGCAACCAAAAAAGACTGCGCCCAAGCGTTCTAATAGTGACAGTGCACCCAAGCCGAGAAAACGCCAGAAGACACAAACTCCTGTTTCGGAGGACGATGTACCAGTGCTTTCTGGTCACGAGAGTGAGGAAGAGGTCACAAAGCCAAAAAAGCGTGCGGCACCCAAGAAAAAGGTGTCTCCGAAACCCGCCACAGACGAGTCACAAGGTTCAGATGCCCAAGAAGATTCCGATGCGTTGAAAGCGTCGGAAGTTGTCAAGGACGACTCTGAAAGCGAGATGTCCGTGGTCCTGGATGAGGAACCCAAACCCAAGCCTACACGCAAGCGACAGAGTAGCGATGCATCCTCCAAGAAGGAAAAGAAGAAGCCGGCGCCCAAAGCCAAATCCAAAGACGACGAAGATCCCGATCAGGCAGAGATCAAGCGGTTACAAGGGTGGCTCGTCAAATGTGGTATCCGTAAGATGTGGTTCCGTGAGCTGGCGCCGTACGACACCGCAAAGGCAAAGATTAAGCATCTCAAGGAGATGCTCGAGGATGCTGGTATGACGGGGCGGTACTCGCAGGAGAAAGCCAATCAGATTCGCGATGAGCGAGAGCTCAAGGCAGACTTGGAGCAGATCCAACAAGGTGCGAAGCAATGGGGAAAAGGGAGCGGAGACGAAGATGAGGGACCACCTCCACGCCGTGCTGCTGCTCGAGGTCGACAGGCGCTTGCATTTCTGGAAAGCGATGGTGAAGAGTCGGACTGATGAAGGCGGATGGACTGCTTAATTTCCACGTATCAATCATGTTTAGCAATTGTATTCATAAGGACCCAATATATCCTTATTCTCTGACTGTTTCCTCTGTCGCGTGTATGTACTGCCTCACCGGCCGGCCTTGGTTCCACTCATACGTTGAGCTGTCAAGCTGAAGATGGCGACGGATGAAATGAAGAGCACTAGATTATAGAACTGTGACCGTTAACAATTGCCTTTTGATTTGGAGTACAGGGGGAATGTACCGCTGTCCTGGAGTACTCATTCTCTTCCACTTCCGTGCGCGCTTCGACAAAGAGACGCCTTAAGTTAGGAAGATTTGCCTAGAAGATGTTAAGACCTAGAACATGTTGTATATGAAAGTCCTAGACTGACCATTTAAGCGCAAGTGCAGGAAGCTGGGAGAAGGAGAAGTGAGAGTTTAAACGTATACGAGTAAAGCGGACGGGAAAGGTCCAGAGCCCGCCATTCGCCATTTGTGGACAACTTTTGATCGCCCAACTCTCTCACCTCTTCCTTTCGTCACTCCAAAATTCCTCCAACCCCCATTCTCTCTTTTCTTTCAATGTCTATTCGAGAGGGGGGAATGGTTTAAGTCCTATCTCCGATCGCCTTTTCCTAACTCCCGAAGTCGCGCGACCGAAGCTCGCGATTCCCCGCAGTCTCCCAAATACTCGACTCCCTAACCCCCTACCACCCCGAATCCTTTAGCGGAAGCACGACAAAGCCGGAGCTGAAGCTTATACCGTTATGGCGATGAACAAGATCCGCGGCGCCTTTGCGGCGCCTAGGAAAGGAGAGACGTTTGAATTGCGAGCTGGCCTTGTGTATGGACCCCCTCCGACCATAGGTGGCTGTTTGCCATTATGAATGATCCACCATGCTGACTGCTAGAACAGCTCGCAGTATGCTTACGAGCGGTACGTTATTTTGACGTCGAGGATATCGTGAATAATCTGGGGTGGTGTGGAAAGACTAACGCTTTCACAGGAAAGAGTCTATCCAGAAGACTATCATGGCCATGACTCTGGGCAAGGACGTATCAGCTCTCTTCCCCGATGTTCTAAAAAACATTGCAACCGCCGATTTGGAGCAGAAGAAGCTGGTCTACCTTTACCTCATGTGCGTTTTCCCGGGCACCTTAAGGGGGAACCTTACTGACCACTGGAATTGCATAGGAACTACGCCAAATCACACCCCGACCTTTGCATTCTCGCCGTCAATACATTCGTCCAGGACTCGGAGGATCCTAACCCGCTAGTTCGAGCCCTCGCCATTCGCACCATGGGCTGTATTCGGGTGGATAAGATGGTGGACTACATGGAGGAACCGCTGCGCAAGACCCTTCGAGACGAATCGCCGTACGTCCGCAAAACCGCCGCAATCTGTGTCGCAAAGTTGTTCGACCTGAATCCCAGCATGTGCCTCGAGAACGGATTTTTGGAGATGCTACAGGAGATGATCGGTGACCCGAACCCGATGGTGGTCGCCAATTCGGTGACCGCACTTGCGGAAATCCACCACTCAGCCGCCGAACTTGGAGCTCTCCAGGTCACAGCCAACACACTACGGAAGATGCTCATGGCATTGAACGAATGCACGGAATGGGGTCGCGTTACCATTCTCTCGACGCTGGCCGAGTACCGGGCGACCGACGTAAAGGAGTCGGAACACATTTGCGAGCGTGTTTCGCCTCAGTTCCAGCATGTGAACGCCAGTGTGGTTCTTGCGGCTGTCAAGGTTGTCTTCCTGCACATGAAGTATGTCGGCCCGGAGCTGGCAAAGACATACCTCAAGAAGATGGCCCCCCCTCTAGGTATGCACCTACAATTAGTCGTAACTGATGCAAGCTAACAATTACAGTGACATTGGTATCTTCCCAACCTGAGGTGCAATATGTGGCGTTGAGAAACATCGATCTTCTACTGCAGAAGCAGCCGGATATCCTGAACAAGGAGCTGCGCGTTTTCTTCTGCAAATACAACGACCCACCGTATGTCAAATTCCAGAAGCTGGAGATTATGGTGCGGATAGCAAACGATCGCAATGTCGACCAGCTCTTGGCGGAATTGAAAGAATACGCCATGGAGGTCGACATGGACTTTGTGCGGCGCGCCGTCAAGGCGATTGGCCAGGTTGCCATTAAGATTGAGAGCGCCAGTGAGAAGTGCGTGAATACGCTGTTGGATTTAATCAACTTGAAGGTGAATTACGTCGTCCAGGAGGCCATTGTCGTTATCAGGGATATCTTCCGAAAGTACCCTGGTTATGAGGGCATCATCCCGACACTGTGTCAGTGCATTGACGAGTTGGACGAACCTAATGCGCGAGCAGCCTTGATCTGGATTGTCGGTGAGTATGCCGAGAAGATCAGCAATGCAGGCGATATTCTGGGTGGCTTTGTGGATGGATTCAACGAAGAGTTCTCTCAGACTCAACTACAAATCCTTACTGCAGTAGTCAAGCTTTTCCTCAAGCGGCCCGAGAAGGCCCAGGGTCTGGTACAGCGTGTTCTTCAGGCAGCCACAGCCGAGAACGATAACCCGGACGTTCGTGACAGAGCCTACATTTACTGGCGTCTCCTGTCCAACACCAGTGATCAGAACGCCACCAAGAATATTGTTCTTTCCGAAAAGCCCCCCATTGTCACAACTATCTCCTCATTACCGCCAGCCCTCCTCGAGCAGCTTCTCCAGGAGCTTTCTACTCTATCATCCGTCTACCACAAGCCCCCAGAGCAATTTGTCGGCCAAGGTCGCTTCGGTGCCGATGCCGTTCAGCGAGCCGCTATCGAGTACGTACAACCCCACCTTGAAGCTCTCAGCATACTAATATTTTATTCAGGGAACAACTCCAGAACGCTCGAGAGAACCCACTGGCAGCCGCTGCCGCGGCGGCCGTCAGTGGCACTACTCCTTCTGCGCAGGCGCAAAATAACGTCGAGAACCTGCTGGACATCGATTTCGACGGTGGTGCCCCGGCATCTGCGCAAAATAACGATGGTGGCCTGTCCGGCTTGGAGGGTCTGGCCGGCACCCCAGTCCGGGTGCAATCACCCGCAGTCGGAGCCCCGGCCCCCGGTCCATCAGCTAGCAACAACCTGGACGACTTGTTGGGAGTGTTTGGTGATTCGGGATCAGCCCAGCCCTCATCGGGCGCCAATGGCAGCGGACCTGCTGGCGATCTAATGAATGGGTTCTCTGGCCTTGATCTGTCTGGGACAACCTCCCCGGCGAACGACAACCAGGCCAAGAAGACTAACGAGGACATTATGTCTCTCTTCTAGGTTGTTATAGGGTAGAGCGTTCCCAGTCAAGTGTAGAGGCTGGTTGTTTTTTATATCCATGTTTCGCAAGCGAGGATCTGAACTGAACGAGATAGAATGGTTTCTTTGCACGTTTAATTTTTTTTTCCGCATTGCTACCTTACATGTACCGGATTTCAAAAGGCTCATGTACATCTCTCTATGGAAGAATCGGCTCAAGTGAGTGTACGGAATATGAATATGTTAGGAATATGAATATGTTAGAAATATGCTATATGTGTCAGCATTCGAAGTATTAAAGCTTCTAGATCTTTCTAGCTTAAGACCAAGCATTGACCCGCATAGCTGCACATGGTTAGGTCTCCGCAACCAATCCCTGCTATTGTCTCCAGCCACCTCGTGAACCACATATTGCAGGACATTGTAAGTAGCATGACTCAAATGTTATATGAAGAGAATTCCTATAAAATCAGAACTAAATTGTACCAATTTCGACACCGGAACACCCATTGGCGATGGAAGAAAGGCAACCTCAATCCCATGACATCAGAATTCCCCAAAAAGCAGTATATCCGAACAATCAACCTGCTTACCAATGCATCAATAAGATCCGATTGTCCCACTGTCTCTGACGGAAGATGTGGGCCTCATAGCCAATCCCGTAACTGTCCGGACCCAGAAAAACTCGGCCAGGACACAGATAAAAGACGGAACCTCGGAACCTTATCCTGTCTTCTGGGTTAAAAAAGAGAGAACTATTCCGTACAAAGCTACAAAAACATATCAAATCTTACAAAGACAAAAACAACCATTCACAATGGCAACCGATTACAAGTTCGAGGGCTGGATGGGTCTTGACCCCAGCTCCGCACAGGGCAACATGGTCTGGCAGGAATTCGAGCCGAAAGAGTGGGAAGAGACCGATGTGGACATTAAAATTTCTCACTGTGGTATCTGCGGTAGTGATATGCACACTCTGCGAAGTGGATGGGTGAGTTTCTCTGTTTCTGTTTCTAGTTTCGACACACACGCACCCCATATAATTCGGACCAACCTTGCTAACCCCAAACAGCGGCCAGCCATGTACCCATGCTGCGTGGGCCATGAGCTCGTGGGCAAGGTAGTCCGCGTAGGCTCAGAGGTCAAGGACATCAAGCTCGGAGACCGCGTCGGTGTCGGCGCTCAGAGTGACGCCTGCCAAGGCCGTCAGGGCGACTGTGAAGAGTGCGCTTCGGGACAAGAGAATTACTGCTCAAAGAAGTTCGTCAGCACATACAACAGCACCCACTACAATGGTGGCAAGTCGTATGGTGGCTATGCTCTGTACAACCGTGTCCCTGCCCACTTTGCCATCAAGATCCCTGATTCAATCCCTTCTGCTGCTGCGGCGCCTATGCTTTGCGGTGGTGTTACGCTGTACAGCCCGTTGAAGCATAATGGGTGTGGACCTGGGAAGAAGGTTGGAATCATTGGAGTGGGTGGCTTGGGACACTTTGGTGTGTTGTTTGCGAAGGCTATGGGGGCTGATCGGGTGGTTGCTATTTCGAGAAAGAGTGAGAAGAGTGAGGATGCGATTAAGATGGGGGCGGATCTCTACATTGCTACTGATGAGGAGCCTGAGTGGGCGAGTAAGCATTCGAGATCTTTGGATTTGATTGTTTGCACTGTTTCTTCGACCAAGGTGAGTCTGAAGTGGGGATGTGGTCTTTTGTGAGGGTAACTTGCTGACTTTTGTAGATGCCTATGACTGATTATCTGGGTCTGTTGCGTACTGGTGGTACAATGGTTCAGGTTGGTCTTCCTGAGGATGGGGGTCTCTTCGCTCCTGTGCGTAACTTGATGCGTCGCCTGAAGTTGGAGAGCTCGTTGGTTGGTAGCCCAAGTGAGATTCGGGAGATGTTCCAGTTGGTTGCGGAGAAGGGAATTCAGCCTTGGATTCAGGAGATTCCAATGAAGGATGCCAACAAGGCCATTGTTGATATGGAGGCGGGATCTGCCCGCTACCGTTATGTGCTTGTCAACGAGTAACTTGAAAGCTCAGGGTTGGGATAGAACGTATATAGAGTGAGATATAGAACATGAAAAGAAATGACGAATTCATTCATCTACCTGTGGATGGATACTGAATGATCGCTTGAAGGCCTGAGCTATATGTCTATCTGATGTGAAATATTATACGGTCAAATTTAAATCATCAATAGCAAACTATCAATAAGACTCAAGGTCAAACGGATCAAACGAAAGAAGACAAGCAGGTGATCTTCATCACTCGTGTGATTGATCGATCCTGCAGGTGGTGATCCTGGAGGACGTGATCTTGAGGCTCATTCACTTTACCCCAGTGACCCCACCCATTACTATAAATACTTCTTGTCACACCTCCCAATCCCTCTTTCTTTCTTACTTCCTCATCATTCTTCCAACTTACCTCTAAGTTCAAACTTAGAGCTTCCATCTTACATATCCTTGGAATCCAACTTCGAGTTTCAAACTTCAAACTTCAAACCTCTATTCATTCATCCATGCATCCATCAATCCAAACATCTTTGAACTCAATCTCTATCAAATTTCCTCCTTGACACAATGGTCGCACACTTTGACCAACAAACTTTGGTCACTTTTTACTTACCTCGACGAGTTCCAAGGTTTGTTTGCAATAATTATCTCCCCTGACTCCCACTGACCTTTCAGACTGTGCCAAACCTTCTGCCAGATGATCTCCCATATTTTGCTTCTAAACCAATAGAGTCTGCTGAAGAGCCACTCTTCCCTCCTGAAGCTTCCAACATCTGCGAACGCATCTTCGAACTCATCACCGGCATCAAAGATGTTTAGCTTATGCTCCTCTCTGAACAGGCGTCACTTTTGTGCCAGGACAAATTCATTGAGGACTGAGTCAGGATAACACTTTGGGCTTCGAAGTCGTCTCCGACTTCAAGCTTTTCTTTTGTTTCAAGTGGTGTGGAGGGACAACCCACTAGGCGCATTTGCGGTGAAGAAGCACCTATTGTGGCAAGGAGGACACAGCCTCAGCCACGGTTCAACAACGGCGTGCGGTGAAGAAGCACCGGCCAAAACAAGGGGTTGTGCCAATTTTGGCGTTCAATGGAATACCTGGGATGGTGAAACAAGGAAAAAGAAAATTTGTTGATAATCTTGTTGATACTTGTTTAGGAACTCTGACTTGCTGCTGTGCCTATCTGCATGTCTGTCAAGTTTGACAATCTCATCTAACTACCATATGATATTCTTCATGAAACCCCTTCAAGATCTCTATGCCCTCCATGGTATATCAAGATCCTTCATGTCCTTAGCTAGACTATGATTGTTCTGATCTTTTATCAATCTGATCAAACATTCATGATGATTCGATCCTACCAACGTACATAATTTAGCTTCTATTTTGTAAATAGTACTATGAGGAAATCAATACGCCTGAGGTCCAGCGTCAGTGATATTTGATTGAAGATCCAATACTTACAAGCTCATTTACACTTAATGTTTGAAAGTAGAAGATGGCAATTTCTCCACGTACCCCCGAACACCCTAAACCATATGCAGGACCATACCCACGGCTCCGAAAACAGTGCCTCTCTACAATACTAAAAATTTTCAAGTCTTCGGTTTCGCAACGCATTCTTACATCTGTATACGTTCGATATGCTCATATAGTACAGGTGCTGGAGTATGTACACTTGAGGCTACATGGGTAGGCTATAGTTTGGAAACATGACTTAGTCAGGTAACTCTCCATGTATACAAGTATGTTCCTGATCGGGTTAGAGTAAGACAAGATGTACACGAGTAATTCAGGTAGAAGGTAGAGCAATTCCTGAAAGAACTTGATTTGAAATATTCAGACAAAAATGCCTCAGTAATAGGCAGCAAGAAATTTAGAAATACAAAAGAAAGATTCCAAGCAAAAGCCATGTATTTATTACCATTACTATATCAGCTGACAGAATAGTGAAAAACGAACAATTTCTCGAAATGACCAAGCAACTCTTTTCACCCCATACTGTCTGGGGGAGACCAAGCGGATCATCTATCGATGCACTGTAGCCAAGCAAGCAAAAATCAAAACTCCCAAATTCTTGATACTTAGGTCCGCACCACGAAGACCCAAGGACCAAGGAAGATGGGCATTGGGGAGAGCAGTGCAGCTGAAATCAGATACAACCACTCATCCCCACATACTCTTAGCTGAATTTACAGCAGAGCGAAGAGACCGACAACACCGGCCAGGAGACCAGCAGCGGGCTTGACGCTGGAAGCGGCACCAGTGAAGACACCGCTGGCCTTGGGCGACTCAGTCGAGGGGACGGAGGCGGACGACGCGGGAACGGAGACGGCGGAGGTCTCGGCGGGGGTCTCAGGAGTGGAGGAGGCAGACTCAGCAGGGGTCTCGTGAGCAGCGGAGGCAGACTCAGCAGGGACAGCGGAGGCAGACGCAGCAGGGACAGCGGAGGCGGACTCAGCAGGGACAGCGGAGGCGGACTCAGCAGGGACAGCGGAGGCGGACTCAGCAGGGACTACGGAGGCGGACGCAGCAGGGACAACGGAGGCGGACGCAGCAGGGACAACGGAGGCGGAGCCAGCGGGGACAACGGAGGCGGAGCCAGCGGGAACAACGGAGGCGGAGCCAGCGGGCACAACGGAGGCGGAGCCAGCGGGCACAACGACGGCGCTGGAAGTAGCATGGGTCTCGGCAGCGGTGGCAGGGACCGTGGAACCGGCCACAACAACAGGGGTGGTGGACACCTCAACGACAGAGCTGGCAGGGACAGTGCCAGGGACAGTGCCAGGGACAGTGGCGGGGATAGTGGCGTTGACGAAGGTGACTGGGGTGGCAACGGCCTCACACTTGGTGCACACAGTGGTGGTGGTAAGAGTGATGGTGCTGGTCTCAGTGATTGGGATCGTGAAGGTCGAGGTGCCAGAGGTGACAACCGACGAAGTGACTTGTAGTTTGTTAATGAATGTTCATGGATATGTCAACTTAAAATGCTTACCAGGGCAGGTGGTGGTCACAATGGTGATCGTCTTGGTGGTGCCAGGGATCACAGGGGTGTGAGGCTTCTGGGTGGTGACGGGCACGGAGGTGGAGGTGGTGCACGGGCTGGTGCTGTACTCAGTCTTGGTCACCGGGGTGGTAGAAGGAGTAGTAGAAGTGGTGCACGGAGTGCTGGTCTTGCTCTCATGGGTGGGAGTGGTGCTGGTGCTGGTGGTGCAGGGAGTGGTCCACTTGTGTCCCTCAGAAGAGTGAGTCCAGGTGTGCTCCTCAGCAGGATGGGTCCAGGTGTGCTCCTCAGCAGGACGGCTCCAGCTGTGACCCCAGGCCTCAACCTGGTGGTGACCAGCGGCAGCAGAGTTCTGAGCGGCAGCAGAGTTCTGGGCGGCGGGGGCGATATAACCCTCACTGCGAACCTGCATGACGCCGGCAAAGGCCGGGCTGGCAAGGGCCAAAAGAGCAATGGACTGAATCATTTCGAGAAGTTGAAAACTTTTGGAAGCTTGGAAAGATGTAACGAGTGAAGATGAAGAAGGATGGGAAAGAAAGTTAATCGAGGCAGACAGGAAAGGGTTTATATGCTCGACTCGAGGAACATCGCCCAAGCCATTGTGGAGGTGGCTGCCATGGTTGTGCTCAGGAGAGAAAAGGTTGACCTGATCCACATCTGTATGTTTCTGGCTGAATGCGGGAGCTGTGCCAACAATCAGTGGGTGGCAAAGGCACTGATTGATTGTCATAGGCTAAAAATCGTGGGGTGATGGTACCTTGGTGTGGTCGATTCAGATGCAAACGTGACATGATGTGGTTCCATCTTAGTTGGAAGTCGGTCGAGTCTCCACCTAAGCTCCAAATGCGGAGTTGGTTTGGCTGTACTCAGAGCCCATATCGAGCCGCGAGAATAGTAAGTAGCTTAGGGTCTGTAGGAAGTTGAGAGTATTTGGAACCAAGTAGAGTAATTCACGCTGAATGTTGATGTACAGAAATTTCATGTAGTCAGAAGATTCGACAGTTGAAAATTACAGAAATATAAGTTTGATGGCGCAATTGGAGGAGTTAGAAAGTGTTAAAGCCGGAAACGGTGCATCTGAGATACACATGCTGCGGACGATCGAATATGGGTGAGATCTGTCCTTCACCAATCATGTATGAGAATCTTGTTTCCGGCATGCGCACGCCTAATTGACAGGTTCGTGGAGATCCAAAACGGCTGAAAGGCTCCAGGGCCAGTAGAATTTTGTCATTCAGAGCTAAGGAATGTAGATCCTGGCAGCTGGTGATGCTCCCTGTGATTGGTTGGAGCCGAGGCCACCAGGAATGTGGATGAATATCCCGCAGTTCCTTGGAAAAATGTCTTTCTTCTTCATGGAAAATAGACCAAATTTTTCCAAAATCCACAGTTGATGTGACATAGTAGCTCTTGGCCCATGAGAATGGGATCCTGGCTTGACGGATCGGAAATCAGTCTCCACCATTGGGCAGGGCCAGCCTATGACAATATCCCGAGGCTTCCACTTTCCTGTATAGGCATATGTGGCAAGGAGCATCTTGTTACTCATCAATATTGGCTAATGAGACCGTCTCTTCATGACTGCGAGGTTTAGCCAACTTAGGTAGTCTTGGTGTCATCCAAGGTTTGTCATTAAGTAACAAGTACCACTGTAAAAAAAGTGGCTGCAAACGTCAGTTGGGGAAGGTGGAATCAGTTCCTTTCCTTGCCAGTCAGCTAGATTGGACTGGGCCACTCGTGAGCGTGAGTGACTGTACTAGTTAGTAACTTGTGATGTAGAGTAGATATGCCGGATTAGGGGGAGATAGAAAACACGTGACTAGGGCTTAGGGCGCGCCTTCCGCGACGCGTCGCGCGTCCGGACTTTCCTGTTCGGGTTCAAGATCTCAAATGTCAATGGTATCAATTGTTTGCCAACATCATGCCTCACTCACTATCCACAATGGATCCACCTCAAAATGATGATGAAAACCTCCCTGATGCTCCGGCAGAGGCAAATGGAGTCAAATTGGAAGACATGTTCGATGACGACGATGACGATGAGTTCCCTGCATCAAGCGCGCGGGACGTGAAGATGGAGAGTTCTCCAGCTCCGGCACCAGAACCGTAGGCTGTCCAGATTTGAATCGCGCCTGTTCTCTGCTAATAAATAGAATAGCGAGCCGGTACCCTTCCAATCGGGCGTGGACTCGGAAGTCATGCTCGCTTTTTATCAGCGCCTCTTCCCATTCCGCTATCTTTTTCAATGGCTGAACCATGGAATTGTCCCTACTCGGGAGTTTGGCAATCGTGAATTCGCCCTCACCCTCCAAAATGACGCCTACCTTCGATACCAATCATACCCCACTGCAGACCTGTGAGATCATGATCCCCGCAGCAGTTGAGACAAGTAGTCTAATAACCCAAATCGCAGCTTCCGCAAGGACATCCTGAAGATGAACCCATCTCGATTCGAAATCGGACCCGTGTACAGCACCAATCCTCGAGACCGGAAGACCCTCCGAGGAGGCCAGATGAAACCAGTCTCGAAAGAACTGGTTTTCGATATCGACATGACCGATTACGATGATATCCGAACATGCTGCTCAGGCGCTAGTATCTGTCACAAATGTTGGGCGTTTGTCACTATGGCGATTAAGGTAATTGATGCCGCTCTCCGCGAGGATTTCGGTTTTGAACATATTCTCTGGGTGTACTCTGGTCGTCGTGGTGCCCACGCCTGGGTCTGCGACCCGCGCGCCCGCAACATGTCAGATGATCGACGAAGGGCAATTGCTGGATACCTTGAGATTGTGAAGGGAGGATCCTCAAGTGGCAAGAAGGTTAACGTGAAGCGACCTTTGCACCCGCACATCACTCGCAGTCTGGACATTCTCAAGAACCACTTTGCACAGACGACGCTCATTGACCAAGACACTTTTACAAGCTCCGAGCAGGCGGAGAGGCTCCTTCAGCTGCTTCCGGATAAAGGACTCAACGATGCCCTGCGAAGGAAATGGAACTCGTCTCCCGATCGACCTAGTGCCAGTAAATGGGCCGACATTGACGCATTGGCCAAGACCGGAAAGAGCAGCACATTGAAAACTTCTACTCTACGTGATGCCAAGCAGGACATTGTGCTGGAATATACATACCCACGTCTTGATGCCGAGGTGAGCAAGAAGATGATTCACTTGCTGAAGAGTCCATTTGTTATCCACCCTGGCACTGGTCGAATTTGTGTTCCTATTGATCCGAAAAAGGCCGAAGAATTTGATCCCCTGTCTGTCCCTACTGTGCTGGGTCTCCTTGGTGAGATTGATGCATACGATGCCAAACATCCTCCTGGCACACAAGGCTCTGATATGCCTGATGCAGATGGCAGCGCCGTCAATGGCTCTGACATGAAAGGAGCTCGCAAAATGCAGGACTATGAGAAGACTAGTCTGAAGCCCTACATCGATTTCTTCCGTTCATTTATTGCGAGTCTGATCAAGGAAGAGCGCGCCGGCAAGCGGGAGCGTGAAGAGGGTCCAACAGTGAAGGCTGATCCGATGGAGTTTTGAGTATCACATCGCCATACCGGCCTAATTACATTCTTGTGAATTACGACTTTGATGCCCTGTGATTTCCGAGGTAGGCCTGCCAATGTTCTTCAATGTCAGCAGGTTTCCTCTAGGCGTTTTCGGTGCTTTGCATGATCCCCAAACTTTGTTTTCTCTATAGCATAATTGCCATGAACAAATTTTCCAATCTGTTACTTGCGTACTACCTGATTAAGTAAGCTCGGTCCAGATAAGACCACCTGGAGACAACCACCTGGGAAGTCACCTTAGGCTAGACCGTATATTGTGTACGGAGTAGGTACTAGCATAGATAAGCTCTGACTGGTTGGATTTGGAGGTCTCTTGATGGTCAAACAAGATGACTTTAAATATTCTTCAGTACTGCAGGCAATGAGTATCAGGAGGAGACTTGTTCATATATTTAATTTGTAGTTATTGGTACACGTCTGACCATGCGTAATGCCGACATGGAACAGTTCAAGGGGTTATTACAGCGCAAGCGCGTAGACGAAAACATGAAAATTGTGAAAACGAAAAGCATCACATGGCCGAGTAGGGATTCGGAATTCGAACTCAAGCCATCGCTTACGCAGCGATGAACTTGCGCACGTTCTCCAACCACGAAACATACTCCTTCTGCTCCTTGAAAGCAATGTAGTCGGTAACCATGTTCTGGAACTCAACGTTCAGTCCACGCTCCTCAAGGTAACGACCCCAGAAAGAAAGGAGCTCAGGGTCGAGGTTCTCAGCGGGAGGACCGGAGTAAAGGCTCTGGCGAGTCCAGTCCTTCTCAGCGGACTGGGCGTTGGCGGTCTCGGCATCCTTGAAGTGAGAAATCTCCTCAATTTGCAGATCACCGTCCTGAATGACAGCCTGGATCAAAAGGGCACCGTTGTTGGCCTTCTCAATGGCGATGTCAAGGCGGGCGGGGAAGGTAGGGGGGAGGATATCCTCCTCGCCCTCGCGCTGGTTCTGGTATTCGGCCTCGTCACCAAGGGCGTCGTCGTGCAGGTCATCCATGGGGTCTTCGGAGAGGTTGTTAATGTCGGCAACGGTGAAAGTAACGCGGATACTGTTAAAAGGTATCGAGTGTTAGTTATATGTCTAATTCCGATGGGTCTGTGATGGACGTACGTCTCGTTGCCAAACTTCTTGCTCAGGACGACCTCCTGCTCGCCGGCAACATCCTTGACCTGCCACTCACCAGCCTGGAGAGTGTAGTCAATGCTGGCCTTCTGCTCCTTGGCGTCCTCAGCGCCGGAAGCCTTTTCGTGCTTCACCTCCTCGTCAAGCTTGGCAAGAAGCTCGATGTCTCCTGTTTAAAAATCCAAATATTAGCATTGGCTCCAAGCTCCACATCATCACATCGGATGAGCATCCATCAATGGTCATCAATACGACTTACCCTCAGCAGCGGGTTCCCGGAAGACACTGGTAGTAGAGAAAGCAGCGTAGGCGGGCTTAGAGACCTGCTTCCATGGCTGGAGCAGAGTCGGCTTGGGGAGGACAGCCGGGCGCATCGAAGTGCGGGCGATAGAGCGGGAGAACCGCGGGACGGAACGAGAGAAAGCACGGAGAGAAAGCATTGTGAATGTGTGGATGGATGGAATTGTGATGAAGGAAAAGCTGGAGAAGAAAAAGAAAGCTGCGATGATGTTGCCAAGCCCGGGCCTTCTCTGGCTCCGCAGATCTGCCGCTGTTTCCATTGGATGAAGAGCTAACTGGTATTAATCATGCAATTCATTAATAACGTAACAATCATGTAATTTAAGAGCTTATATTCATCATGTCTTTTAGTTTGCACATTCATCTAAATATTCGAATTGATGTATATCATAATTGGTATCAGGCAGTACTTTTCACGAGAAAACGTCGATGCATATCCCACATTGCGCCAATCAACCCCCACTTAGCAGTGAAGAAATGAAAAAGAATCATCTACGGTCATGGATATTAATCATGACATGCCCTTGGGCGGGAAGCTGGAGGATTGTTTCTCTCCACCAAGCACCAACCGAATGAACTTGGCCGAGCTGAGAGCAGTCCATTCCCCATTCCAGTGCTTCAACTTCAAGAACGCATCCTCGTCGCTAAGATCCGGCATCCAGAATCCAGTCTTGAATTCCTTTTCCTCGGCTTGCGTCCGTTGTGTCAAAGCTTCCTCGCGACGAATTGGTGGGCGGCCTTTACGCCTTTCCTGCTGGAGCTGTGCGAGCTCATCGCTATCTCGGTTAATGCACCTATTGATTGTTAGAACTTGATCTTGAGTCTCATGACATGCGCACGTACTGGTTGACCACCTCAACCAATGCCTCGTCGGTCAAAGGCTCGTCGTGATTTTGAACAACGTTATGGAAGTATTCAATGCGCTCCACTGAGAAGTCTTTAGTAAGTCGACTGATGAACAGATATATCGATGAGATGCTCACTGTAAGGTTGGCGGGCCTTCATAACGGCTGAGGTATGGCGGTTCAATCGGTCGTCGCGACAGCCCGCACGGCGTAAACGTCTCGCATCACGGCTGAATTCATGAAGCGAGTCGATGACACCGCGCTTCTTAGCGATTTGCTTGTGTACTTTTTGAAGTGTGCGAGGCATGATTAATGGGGTTGATTATCGTCGTAGCGACGAGATTAGATTTGATAATTTTCTTTTTTTGGCAAGTGCAGAATTAGGCGGTCGCGGTGTAACACCGCCTTCCCTAAATCATTTCATCGCGTCGGCGCGACAAGAGGGAGAACAAACTAGAACAAACATTCCACCAGCCATGGCGCTATTTACCCGGTGATTTTGCTGGTCCTTCCTTCTTACACACTGCACATTATTTGCTTCGCGTTGGGCCTTTAAAACTTCGAACCCGCATGTTATTGTTTATCCATTTAACGCGAGGACCCGCTTGAGCCTCGACCCCGGTTCCCGCAATGGGTATCAAAGGTAAATTTGCTGGACCGAAGGGGTAATGATGCCTCGAACGAATTTGACCTTTTATAGGACTTCATGGTCTCCTTAAATCCATTCAAAAGCCATGCCATCTCAAAAAGTTCGCTGGTCAGACCTTGGCCATTGACGCCTATGGATGGCTGCACCGTGGTACGGTTGCTTGTTCCGTGGATCTGGTCTTGGATAGGCCAACAAGAAAGTATGAATTCATCAACGAGTACATTACACATTCATGCTGATAATCACAGGCACATCGATTTTGTTCTTCACCGAGTCCGTATGCTCCTGTACTTCGGAGTGACACCCTACCTAGTATTCGATGGCGACGACCTCCCTAGTAAAGCGGCCACAGAAGCCGATCGACACCGTCGGCGACAAGAGAGCAAGGCCCTGGGACTGGAACTACAACGCAAAGGCAGGATACCGGAGGCCTACCAGGAGTTCCAGAAAGCCGTCGACGTAACACCGTACATGGCTCGTCAACTTATTGAAGAATTGAAGAAAATGAATGTACAGTACGTGGTCGCCCCATATGAGGCCGATCCCCAAATGGTGTACCTCGAACAGCAGGGAATTGTACAAGGAATCATTTCCGAAGACTCAGATTTGCTGGTATTTGGTGCGAAACGCCTGTTGTCAAAATTGGATCAGCATGGCGACTGTATTGAGATCAATCGAGCAGACTTTACTGCTTGTCGAGAAGTGAGCCTCGTCGGATGGACCGATGCAGACTTTCGTCAAATGTGCATTCTTAGCGGGTGTGACTATTTGGCTAATATCCCTAAAATGGGGTTAAAGACGGCACACCGCAGCATTCGCAAGCACCGCACAGTGGAAAAAACGTTGCGTATGCTGCAATTTGAGGGCCAGTACAAGGTCCCACCTGATTACCTGACCAACTTCAAGCAGGCTGAGGATACGTTCCTCTACCAACGGGTCTTCTGTCCCAATGCTAAAAAGCTGATCCCTTTGACAACCCCCGAAGATGGCGTGAATCTCGATGAAATGCCTTTTATCGGAGGTGATGTGGACCCAGAAATTGCGGCTGGGGTCGCTTCCGGGGACCTAGATCCGACAACCAAGGAGGCTATTGAGTTGAAACCTTTGACTGCAGGTAAAGTGCCACTCGGTATTAGTCGCCGTCAAACTTTGGGGTCGTCTTCAGAGCTGAAGCCCAACAAGCCTATCAACTCGTTCTTCACTCCGAAGCGAAAGCCTCTTGCCGAGTTGGATCCGAACAGTTTGACCCCGTCGCCGAGTCAGCAAAGACTGTTGGATCGGAATGCGAACAACTCCTGGCAAGCCAACTCGGCGCCCTTACGCTCGAACTCGACCAGGTCAACCCCCCTTCGGGCATTCTCGGACCAAGGTCTCAGCCCAATGATTCGAAGTGTGGGACGGAATACAGTTGTGGCTCAAACAGCACGGGCATCGAACCTGCAGCCGACCAAGCGGCAGAGACTTTGCTCTGAAGTGGAGGATGACTTACTTCCTCGTCCAAGCGTGCAGAGTCGGTTCTTTGCTGCCGAAGTGAGCCCCATTGGACAAAAAGTATCTCGAACCAAAAAGCCCCGCCAGTCGATGGTTGATGTGTTTTCGGATGAAGTAGCGGAGGATATCTTATCGCAGATCCCAGATCCCTCTCCCACGCAAGAACAGAGTGTTAATGAAGAGACCCCTTCCAAGAGTGTCGAAATCCAGGTCGAGGCTGTGGCAGACGATAAGATTGATGATGATAACGCACCAGTGGAGCTTTCTGCACAGTCTGGGTCTTTGCCTGAAGACAATAAGTTCAACGAGGCTCTTGGATACCATGTCCGGCAACAGAACTCTACTATTTCCAAATTCACATTCAGATCTGGATCTAAACCCACCTCTCCTGCACCACGCTCCCCTATGACCAGAATCCCAGTGATCCAATCCACTCAGAGCCATGGGCTCCTCTCGTCCCCTCGGACACCTGCAGTTGCTTCTCGGAGTAAGACCCCTCAGCGTCAACGTCTTACACCGCTGCAGCGGATGGGTCAATCAGCCTTACATCGCTCGCGTAGCATCAACTTCCTACCTTCATTTCGACGTGTGGAGACTTCCGAGTCTCGTACGGACGAGGCAGTCATCTCCGGGGCCAATACGCCCCAGGGCAGTGAAGATTATATTGTTCCAGATAGTGAGGATTCGGAAGAAGAGATTGGCACCAGCTTTGGACCTACCTCGACGTTGGATTTAAAGCGGTTTTCATTTGCCGCATAATGATGCAAAATCCGAATTCGGGTCTCTATGCATATTCAGACGGAGTCTTCTGTATGGAGTATTGGACGAACACGTACGTAGGGTGCATTTTATGGATGGTTTTATTATCTTTTACGGAGTCCTTGTTCCTACTTGGCTAGAGCAAATGTCATTTTCAATAAATAATTATTTTTTTTTTTTCATAGCATTACCTTGAAGTGTGTAGATCTCAGTGCGGAGGCTGGGGACAAGTGGCGCCGTAAGTGGGACCTCAACTTAGATATGATTCACGCTAACCTTAAATAAGCTTAGCACAGGAACATAGCGCCACTCAAGTAGGGCCCAATCAGGCAGAATCGCCCGGAAAGTGAGGCGGTCAAACTTGGTTTCCCTGGAAGCGGGAAGGTAAACAAAGACGGTTGGCCCAGCCTCCCAGATTCCCATACCACGTCTCCATCCCCAGCCTCCAAAGTCACTACTTTTGGCATTCAATCTGATTGAATCATAGCTACGATCTTTCATATTCCCCCTTCCATTCCTTCTGCAAATTCTTCAACTTTGTCAACTCCCTTGTGGTGAACACTGGGTGTAAGAAGCTCTGTTTCTGACCATACTCGAGTCTTCTTTTTCTAGGTGCGATCCGAAATCAACAGACGGTTCCAAAATTTGATTGTTTTGGCACTCCTCGAGCTTGACTTCAAGTCCAATTTTTCCGATCTTTTCCTCGCACCTTGCACATCGGCTTCACATTCTTTCTCCGCATTCCAATCGATCTTGTCATCGATCTACGACTGATACTCGATCCACAAAGCCACTCTACCGTCGCAATAGGGCGGACTAGCAAGTTTTGATCTTGAAGTCGCTTTCAAACACTCCTTCTCGGGGATTCGAGAAGTGAGTTGATTGACGTGAAAAAGGTGCGCCAGTTAGGCCATTAGTTGTCATGGCTATCAACTTTGCCGCAGGATGGGCTCGTAAGTGTCGCGATATTTCCCAATAGCTTTAAACATGACCAGACTAACTTTAACATAGGATTCATTCCCATGATCGGCTACCACCATGTGTTGATGATTATCATTGCCCTTGCTATTATCTTATTATGTTAGTGCCCATTTCTCAACCGGAACCCAATCTCTCATTGGAATGTTTCTAACGATTTTCAGCACTTCTTTTGGCCGGATGTTCATCCTCGTCTCCATCAATTCCTGATATCTTCTTGATCTCATTATACTATGAGAGCTACAAACCTAATTTCGCGCTATCACAAGTTGATCCTGGAGTCACTACGGCGATGGCAAACATTGTGCACAATGCTGAGCTAGAGGTTCGAGTGGGATACTTTGGTATTTGCGTTCAACCCGATCACGGTTCATACATCTGCAACGCCAACGCCACCGCATTGGCGGAGATCGTCAATGTGGACCAGGATCCACTCAACTTGATCTGGGTTGCCTCAACTTTCAAGGACGCGGTAGTGTTCCCATATCTACTGTAGGTGTATCTATTTTCTCCTAACATAACCAACACAAGCTAACTTTCCCTCAGCATCGTCGCTGTTATTCTCGCCTTCTTCTGTTTCATCTTGCTAGCCACATTCCCCGGCTGGCATGAAGAGCGCGATGACTCCGGCTCCGACGTCGAAGTGAAGCCATTCCCATCGCGTCCTGTCTCCCAGGCTGCACTCGCCCTCATATTCGTCTCCTCCGTATTCGTCCTCGTGTCCGTGTTATGGCAGCACACAGCATCAGTCGCAGCAAGTACCATTGCACAAGACATGGGCAACGGCAGCGTCAAGAGTGGTGTCGGGACCTCAGCCATGGTGCTGGGTTGGTTCGGCTTCGTTCTCATGGTTGTCGTCACGATCGGTCTTCTCGTCATGATCCTCAGTATCAGCATGATCCGGAAACTGACCGACGAAGAAGAGTGAACGTGTTGATCATGTGCTTTTTTTTGTCTTGCTTTTTGCTTTTTTGTTTTACGCTACACTTTATTTTGATATCCGACTACACGCTACCTGTTATATCCGACACGACACGCATGGAAAATGATTAATATCTACGAGCACACGGCAATGGCTCACTTATGGAATGGAATACGACCTCACGCAAGGTCATGGGACTTGGGAATTGAGCAATTTGGGACTTGAGAACATATTAGGGGATCGGGATCCTCTCTCCACGTCCTTGGGACTGACTGAACAAACTCGGTCCCCAGGGGTTGAATGGACATGTTATCTATCAGCCGATACATCCTGCATATGATCAATTCACATCTTTGTACGGCGGCATCGGCGTTCTGGTTTCTATGTTTGCCTGTGATTTATTTCCAGGCATTTTTGTATAAAACTTGTTTCTAGAGCATGGATCTTGCACACGCTTGTTTCTCAGCTTTCTTTTCACATTCTTGAAAGCCCAATGCTTGAAATTTAGATAGTTGTACTGAACAATAAACAATCAATACCCTTACCCCTATAGGCCTCGTGCGTATTCCGAAATCAAATTCTGGGAAATTTAGCCGGTCCTTTGCTCATCTCATGGAGTACGTACTCACTGAACCTTTCCTTGATCTGGTCGCTAGTTAAATTAACAAACACGAATACGAATACAGAATTCTTATATGTTCTCAAATATCAAATCCTAATTTCGTCGGATTAAATTCTCGACTTGGTATAGTGAGTTTTGGAGATTCGGCCAATGTTATGCCCACGTGCACCCACTAGTTTAGTTGACGAGATTAGTCACCAGCCCACGTGCGATTGATCCATCCGACGTCGTCTCCAATTGGCTCATGACTATCATGTAACCTTTTTATTTTACATCAATTGCATCAATTTCTATCGATGCGCTCTTGGTTGATTTGACGAGCTTGCAACAGGTATCTAGCATCACACGACATACATTCACTCGGCTTCCTTCGGCTGTTTCGGCATTAAGAGTGGCTTGATTCTGGAAGAAATACCCCACGTTATCATGCTCAGCATCAGCCAATGAGAATTGGCTTCACAGCCATGTGCATGCTCTGAATGCTTAGTTCCAACATTTTTATTCCGGGAAATCCATATCGACTGGCGTACGTTCAACAGGTCGGCTAATTGACTTTCGTATCCGTTTATGCAAGTATGATTAAGGTGAATTGTCGTGTGCCTGGCAGTGTAGATATGGAGGTTTACTATAAAGTCCCACCTTTTCTCCGTAGAACATGGTCTTTTGATCACCATTGCCACTCTTCACAATGCTCAGTCCTTCTTTGTTGACATCCGGGTTGGCCCTGGCCTCTCTGGCCTCCGCTAGCTGGAGCGGGCTTCCCAAATTCGGAGAGAAGCAGTTCGACCAGTCGTTCCTCGATGGATACAATCTGCTGAAGCACATGGGCAGCTTCGCGCCCTACTCTAATCGTGCATCGTACGGCGTGGACAGAAACACTCCCGAGGGCTGTGAAGTCGACCAGATCCATATGCTCATGCGCCATGGTGAGCGCTACCCCGACGCGAGTTTCGGAGTAGAATTTGTCAAAGTTTTGGACAAGATGAACTCTAGCGTTTCTACTTATGCTGGAGATCTTGCTTTCATGAACGATTGGACCTACTACGTCGACGATGCGGGCTTGTACTCTCAGGAATCCACCACTGGACCGTACGCGGGTCTACTTGATGCCTTTTCTCGGGGTAGTGAGTATCGCCAGCGCTATGGTCATCTTTGGAATGGCGAATCTGTTGTCCCTATCTTTAGCTCTGGTTATGAGCGGGTGATTGAGACTGCTCGGTACTTTGGCCAAGGCTTCTTTGGATACAACTACTCCACCAGTGCGGCGATTAACATTATTCCCGAGGCCGCGAGCCAAGGAGCCGATAGTCTGACCCCGTCTTGCACGGCTGGTCTTGAAGATTACTATACTTGCTCTGAGGATCGGTTCTCCGCGACATTGCCCCCATTGGACGCTGCTGCTGCACGTTTTAACTCTCAGAATTCCGGACTCAACCTCACTGGGACTGATGTTCTCATGTTGATGGGTACGAATCCTATTCTTTGTCCTATGTTCATCTGGCTACATTGCTGATCTTTATCACTAGAAATGGCTGCTTTTGAACTCAACGTCCGGGCTGCTACCCCATGGGCGGATGCATTCAAAATGGATGAATGGGTCGCCTATGGCTACATCTGGGATTTGGCCTACTACTATTGCTTCGGGTAGGTTTCCCCCTGACTTTTTCAATAACAATCACTAATCACATATCTACAGAGCCGGTAGCGAATATCAGACTGCCGCAGGCCAAGTCTACGCCAACGCCACTCGTCACCTCATGCAATCCGGTCCTAAAGAAGGCAAGATGTTCTGGAGCTTGTGAGTGAACCCCCTCGTTATACCTCGAAGCCTACTCTAACAGCAACTCAGTACTCACGATGCCGACATTACTCCCGTTATTGCCGCCCTGGGAATCGACGTCCCTGAACACCATCTTCCCAACAACACTATCCCCTTCCCCAGCCCCTACCGTGTGGCCGACATTGTTCCCATGGGTGGTCATCTTACCCTGGAGCGCATGACATGCAAAGCCACTACTATCAGCAAGGCCGGTGTCTACGTCCGCGCAATCCTGAATGAGGCCGTTGTGCCCTACAGTTCGTGCCAAAGCGGACCTGGCTACTCATGCCCACTGGCCAAGTTCTCTGCTATTGTCGACAAAGCTCCCAAGTTCGATAAAACTTGCAAGACCCCGTCGTCCTATCCTCAGTATTTGGACTTTTTCTGGAACTACAACACTACTACCGATTATAACTACCAGAGCGGTCCGATTGGATATGCCGTTACTGATATCGATGTTTGACCCAAATTTTAGTTGGGATCTTATACTGTTTGTGCATCGGTGGTTGTGTCAATAGATAGAGTTGGATGATGAATAATTTATAGGTTAATAGAGCTTCCAAGGCCAGCAATGAAAATTTGGACATAAATAGATCCAGAGATAGTCATAGATTTGCATTTTAGTTCAGCCGTCGACACATTAATATCAATTTCGCACATACATACAGACTTTTAAAAGTATGTGGAATATACAAATCTCCTTCAAGCCTTTCATAAATCGATGCTTCAAATCTCAAAATAATCAGCCTTTTTTGATCACGTGAATTTTAAACTTTTCAATCATTTAGGTTTCTCATATCCGAATCTGAGTTTCGAAAATTGTTAATGTCATGACGTCACATATAACCATTCTCCTGACGGAACTTGAGCTTCATTCCAAGATATTTGAACCTAGGAAGACAGGGGTGATTATCCCACTTAATAAAAACCAACACTTACGGATCTATAACTGGCCGAATCCTGTCCACAACCCAGTTATTGCCACAAAACTGAGGCGGAGTTACGGCTTTACGGATCGACATACGGATATAGAGTCTTATGTCATTCACTATGAGATTCTCGGATCTATAAAGTAAAAGCCATTCCCATGGCAATTCAGAATTTAATCATTAAACCTTGCATCTGTTCCTTTTTCATCGAGCAATAGTCGTGTTGAGCATAACGTCCAAGCTATTGCTCGAGTCCCGCAGCCGCAGGACCTATATCTCATTCCCACCATGGAGACTCTGCGCGACACTGCATTTGGCAAACTGGTTCGATTAGCTACTCGGTACAAATGGATGCAGTATCCAGAAGAAAAGGATCTCTCCGTGTGGACCGAATATCTCAAGACCGAAACAAAAGACGAAGGAGAATCCTATATCTCGACGGTAGAGACTGAAAATGAGAACGCCGAAGATCTGGAGGCTGTCGGTATATATACCGTCATGTCTCAGTGCTCAACCCGGCCAAGAAGGATGTCCTCTGCTGCGACTATTGGGGGTCCGAATCAGTCAATACTCGTTAGTTGGCGAGGACCTGATGACCCAGAAGTAAGGTGGAGATCAATATCGCCCTGAATAAGAAATAGATCGCTGACTAGTTTGCTAGAATCCTCAAAATTGGAGTATCAAAAAGAAGGTCTTCGTCAGTACCTTGATTTGGCTTTTAACATTTTCCATCTACATTGGCTCTGCAATTTATACTCCGGGTATCCCTGGTATCGAAGAGCAATTCGGCGTGAGCAGTGTTGCAGGTCTACTGGGCCTAACACTTTTTGTCATTGGCTATGGAATTGGTTCGTCAAATCCATTCTTGATTCCTTCAATGTCAAGCTAACATCCTGCAGGCCCCATGATCTGGTCTCCATTATCCGAGATCCCCAAAATCGGCCGCAGTCCGACATACGTCCTAACACTATTTGTATTCGTGTTCTTCAATTTTGGCGTCATCTACGCCAAAAACTTCGGTATGCTTCTAGCATTCCGATTTCTCACCGGCTTCATTGGTTCTCCTGCACTAGCGACCGGTGCAGCGTCCATGGGCGATATCTGGAGTCCCAAGATTCGCGACTACATGATTGGGATATGGGGGATGTTTGCAATCTCGGCTCCGGTATTGGGCCCAATGCTCGGTGGCTTTGCCTACTCTGCAAAGGGATGGACGTGGACTATTTGGCAGCTAATGTGGGTATCGGGCTTTGCATTTGTCCTTTTGTTTTTCGGGCTGCCGGAGACATTTGCGCCGAATATTCTTGCTCGGCGTGCTCGGCGCGTGCGTCGGATTACAGGAAATTCGCAATACTTGTCAGAGTCGGAGATCGAGAGTAAAGGGATCAAGCCAGTGGTATGTATAAGGACACCATGATCTCCTATCTGAAAGCTTTGAGAACTAACAATCCGCAGGATCTCCTATTCGAAGCCTTAATTAGGCCATTCCAACTCTGTTTCCTCGAACCCATCGTCCTACTTCTGAATCTCTATATCTCTCTCATCTACGGTATTCTCTACATCTGGTTCGAAGCTTTTCCAATCGTCTTTGAAGAACTCCGCGGCTTTAATCCTGGCGAAGGTGGCCTCGCCTTCATGGGCATTCTAGTGGGAACAATCTGCATCGCTATCCCAGGCTACTTCTACTGGAAATACAAGTACCAGTCAAAGTATTTTGATGCAGATGGCAACATTGCACCGGAATGGCAGATGCCGCCAGCATGCCTTGGGGCGTTCGCGCTTCCGATCTCACTATTCTGGTTCGGCTGGACAGGCAACTTTGCTAGTGTGCATTGGATTGTGCCGATTATCGCCTCGATGTTTTTTGCTCTTGGAGGATGTTTGATCTTTAACTGCATATTCTGTTATCTTGCACATGCTTATCCCCGGTATGCGGCCAGTGTGCTTGCGAGCAATGATTTCTTGCGCTCTTCTTTTGGGGCTGGATTTCCGCTCTTTGCGTCAGCCATGTTTCACAATTTGGGGGTTGGATGGGCCTGTACTTTGTTGGGCTGCTTGACTCTTGTGTTTGTGCCGTTTCCCTTTATTCTGTTTTTCAGGGGGAAGAGAATTCGGATGGCGAGTAAATACGCTCGGCATGATATTTAATGCGGAATGAGATACCCTAGACACGAATACAAAAGCTTTGTCTTATTTGGAAGTCCGGATTATCCTTTGATTGTGCGGCTTTGTCTATCTCGAGAATAATACATGTAGAAGGATAGAAAACATCCGTGGATAGGGACGTAATAATGTAACAAGTAAGACAATAAGACAATAATCATCTCATACCGACGCTTGGATACTCCGATATGCGCCTCCCAGATGCATGGCTAGAAGAAAGATAACACTGGCATACCACGTCATCAATAATTATTCCTCAGTAGTCCATTGGATATCCGTTGCTGTTGTTGCCTCCCGTGTTATCATATGATCCGGTGTAACCATTGCTGTAATCATCCAGTGACTTATAGTATAAGTTTGAGCCGCCCTCGCCACGGCCACGGCCACGACCCCGACCACCGCGCGTAGCATGGCCTCGACCACGTCCGTTACCACGGCCTCGGCCACGGTAAAATCCCCGGCGAGAGGCACTGTCATCGTACTGACTCCGATTATCCCCAGTTGGCCGGTGGTAAGGATGAAAACCTTGTGAGGATGTCTCGTAGTTTCCGTCCGTGCTGGGCTGTTGATCGTCATACTGTTGAAAGCGTCGCTTTAGACTTTTGGGCCCGGTTGGAGCCCCTGATGTCTCTTCATCTTCAATGCGAAGTATGGCTTTTTCTCCCACCACCGTGTCAAATTTCAGCGCTTTGCTTGATGGAACAGGCTGCCAGCTCGTGATTCTCGATGCGTCGATGGGGCGAGCACCTTTACGAACAGCCAGGACAATCAGTGGGACTGGGTTCTCTGAGTGAATCTGTTCATTGGACGGGATTGGTGCGACACGGGCCGCGAAAACCCGATTCTCGAGAACTGCTGTTCCAGTAATTTGCCAGCTTACTTTCTTCCCGAGGCCACCGACTTTCTCCAAAAGGGTGTGTGGGGCATGACGAGGGAAGATTAGGATATTGTTAGCCAGGTACTTAATGTCATTTGACTCAGCAAGCCCGTTAGGAAGAAGCGAGCTCAAAATTTCATCAACCATGCGCTTGGAGTCTTCTTCAGAAATCAGATACCCAGTGTAGATGATTGTGCGTCTAATGTGCATGCAGCGTCGAGACGACTTGTGTCTTCCTAAAGATGGGTTGCGGAGAGCAAGGTTGTGCGAATTGATCATGCGCTGCACTTCGGCAGCTTCGGTTACTGGGTCAAGCAAGGTGGCTACCTCGCATACATGGATGACCTCGGCATTTATGGGCTTTCGTGAACCGAATAGCCCAGCTTGCAACTTCATGTTCAACTCCTCAAAGTGTTCACGGAACCCGGACACACTAGAAAGAAATCAATATAGGCAAGTCCATTCTGATGAAACCAGCCAAGACTTACTGTTTGACGCGGTCCTCGTACACCCGAATATCATCCGCTTGATTGTAGGTGAGAATAAGGTCCTCAAGAAAGGCGTGCTTGAACGCAGCAGTGGACACAAAACGCTTCCCATTGGGGCCAACTTCAGGCTTCAGGCCGATCAAATCAAAGTTCATATCCTGACTTGTCACCATTCGTTTTATGAGTTCTGCAAATCTTGCTTCGCCTCGACCAGTAAGAAGCACGGTCACCGCATCCTTCTGTTGCATGCTCAGTTTCACAAGTTGAAGCTAGGGTGGGTTAGCAAGACGTGTTTATTGTGGGGCGGGTCGGTAGCCTCATTCGGTAGCCTCACGATGCTCTCATTCCACCAACCCTTCCATCCTCGTGGTTCCTCCTCTTCCAGCCCCTTTCCCGTGGCGGAGAGGATGTTTGGATCATGCCACCACCCACCATTGACGAAATGAGTTTCGGATTGTAGATGGCCGATGCTACTCCCGTGCCATAATTGTGGATTTGGCAATGGACTGAGGAACACTAGAGTATCAAGGGTCAGGTCAGGTCGCCTGGAAACGGGGAAAGCCACTCACAAGTGTTATCGAAATCATACACGTGAATTGCTTTAATTTGCGAAACAGCTATGCGGAAAGATGGTTAGCATATTTGTTACATCAGGGAGAGGCATCTCGAACCAGGCAGCTCTGTGTTTGCGACCGACCATCGCTTGAGTGATGTCAAAGTGTGCTGTTGGGATGGCGACCCAGAATTACCATGCGACATGCTGGCGCCCGCTTTGCCGTATCGCGCGAAGTTCTCAGACACAACAGCTTTGGCAGAACGCATTTCAAGCGATTAAAGCAAGGATGAAATATCTGACTCGATTAGTGCATTTAACAGGCCAGCGTGATTCACGCGGCAGGTACGATCGCAATTATCGCGTTTTGTCAATCTTAAAGTGACGTATCTTGAAGGGAAATTGCACTTTGGTTTGTGAGGTTATTTTTCTGCCAGGCGGTATAGCGATAAGCACTTCCCTATCATTTACCACCAAGTCAAGATGTAAACCTTCATGGCAGATGGAGACGTGCAGCAAGAGATCCTCCAGAAGACCCTCCAGGAGGTTGGGAATGAGGAAAATGAGGGTGACCCTTGTGTGATCTGTCTAGAATCCATCACCGAACCCAGCATCGCAAAACCATGCAACCATACCAACTTTGACTTCCTATGCCTGGTCAGCTGGCTGGAGCAACAGCCGAATTGTCCTCTATGTACGCATTCTCGCTGATTGCTACTGATATGTGACTGATCGGGATGCAGGTAAGACTCAACTCACCGAGGTCCAGTATGACCTCAAAGCCCCTCAAGGTCCGAAAACATACAATGTGCCCCACGATCGAATAGCAAAACCAGCCCGAAGCTTTGGCCCAGCTCATGGTGCGCTTCGAAGTGCAAGACCAAGACCACGACATCAAAGAACACACCAGAACCAACAAATATCCTCCCAAGATCCCCTCGCTGTGCGGCGCACCATATATCGCAACCAGCTATACTCCCTCCGCGTTGGATCAAATCGACTATCCCAATATAGCGAGGTGACACCAGAACATTTTAACCGGGACGAGTCGCTAGTATCACGCGCAAGGAAGTGGATCCGCCGAGAGCTACAAGTCTTTACCTTTTTGAACCCGGAGGCGGATGAGAATGAACCTAGCCGAAGTCGAGTACCTCGCCCTGGGACTCAGCGACTAGAAGAGCGAAGGGCCAATAATGCCGAGTTCTTACTTGAGTACGTCATTGCGATTCTGCGCACTGTTGATATCAAGGGTAGCGCAGGTCAGGCGGAGGAGCTGCTGCGAGACTTTATCGGGCGGGATCATGCTCGTTTGTTCCTACATGAGCTGCTAGCGTGGTTGAGAAGTCCTTATGTATCTCTGGAAGACTGGGATCGCCACGTGCAGTATCCGAGTTCGAGACAAAGCTCTAATAACTGTGATGAGCGGGGGCCTCGTCGGGATCGTCCGGCTCGTGACCGAAGCGCGTCCCCGGCTCTGGATACTGATCGGAGTTTGTTTGATCGGATCACCAGACCGACTGAATCGGCTACAACGCCTAGAGGGGAACATCGGTCTCGGCCATACGATCGTCGCTCTAGACCGCGACATCTTGATCGATACATCCCAGATTAAAGCAGCTTACATCTCGACTGAACTATAGAACTAGATCATTGGCGTTAACTTGAATCGCGAAACCTTTTTGAGCTTGGGTTACACTTTTTCAAAAGAAGGAAGCGAAGCGATGCCGGGACTGATTTTTTGAATATATTTATACGCTTTTATACGCTTATAATGATGCAGTCGTAATGTCATTAACAATGGAAGTAGTGGCTCATCGCCTGCGGAACCGTCCACCACCACGGGATCCTCCTCTATTCTTGATCTTCAAAGACCGGTAATTCGCATGTGCTTGTGGGTTAATCTTCCGATCCCGGGGCTTCTTTTCTTTCTCAGGTTCTTGCGGCTTTGGTGGCTTGGCTGGAGGATCCATGGCAGTTGGCTTGGCCATCAAAACCGCTTCCTTGATCCGATCTGAGAAACTCTTCGGCCGTGGCGGAGTTTTAGCCTTCTCGTTATATTCGGGATCCCCATCTGAGTCCACATCGGTGTCTCCCTCGTATTCCGACCCAGGTTCCGAAATGGAATGTAGAGAGGCAACATCATCATGATCATCCGCATTCGCCTCAGCGGGGACTTCCTTGGGAACTTCTGGGATTTGTGTCTCCGGGACCGCAGCCAACTCATCATCACTCTCTGAATACAAATCAGGGTAAAGATCCTCTTGCTTCTTCGGCTTGGAAATGGATGGCCGAATGTTGACTCGTCTCGTAGTCCGCTTCTGTCCCTTCTTCTTGTAAGGTTGCTGCTTTTCCGTTACGGGACCCTTTACTTCAGGGACCTCGAAGTGGAAACCTTCTTGCTCTGCCTCAATCTCGCGGAGCATATCCCACTCATCCTCCATGCGCTCCTCTTCCATCTCCCGAAGTCCTTTCACTAAATGCGAGAGTCCCCGACCAGCGAACTGACGGGGCTTTCGAGATGCAATAGGACTGAGGCCTGGTCCTTCGTTTGTAGTAGGCGCGGGATATCGCCCGGAGTTGGAGCGACGTAGGAAAGAGGGTGTCCCAGAAGGATTCGAATGTTGTGATGCTGCGGGCTCAGTTTCCTGTGTATTCTTTTCTTGGGCGTTGTTATCTTCAGCTTCCACCATTGCTGCATAGCGCATAGTCGTAGGGGTTGCAAAGAGATTGGCAAGGTAGAATTGCTTAGTCGAGGATGCTGGTGTGCGTGAGAGTCGTGATGTTCCCTCCTCTTCTGGTTCTTCTGCAATAGGTTCAAAGAGTTTCGGTTTAGAGGGTGTTCGGAATCCTGCCGCTAACACATCCCTTTGTCTCTTTGCCGACGGGGTGGCCTGGCTGCCGCCAGACTCGGACAGCATGTCGAACAGTCCGAGAGCTTTTCCATCGCGCTGTGGTGTAGGTCCAATGGCAGGTTTTAGAGGCGATGGTGCTGGCATCTGTCCATGGGTGCTCGGACTGAACAATCGACGCATGGCCGACGGGGAGTCGTAGGGATCTAGTTCGGAGGGATGGACCTGCGAATTGCGATTGCGCGACGGGGTCGCAAAGAGGCCCCTACTAGATTTGCGAGGAGTGACATCGATATTTGTATTCGATGGGCCAGTCGGAGAGGTATGTTTTCGCTTTCTGGGCGAGTCGGCTTCTTGTTGGCGGTTTTCGCGTCGGGTAAGTGCAGCCTCAAGATTTTTGAGTCGGCCGTACTCCTTGTACTTTGCAGCTGGAACGACAGGAAGTTAGTTCAATAACCAGCCCCATTTGAATCAATCATTGATATGTTTTGATTCTCAAAGCTGGCCAACTTACCAATATCGGGCCTTTGTTTGATATCCTCCCGACCGGCCTTTTTCCCATCATGTGTTGTTGCAAACTCCTTCTCCCATACTTTCAACTCTGCGCGAACAGCTACAGCCTGTGCTGCAACCTCCGCACGAGATTTGAGGATATGATCAGCCATTGTGAGAATGTGGTGTCAGATATAAGAGGGTTGACGATATGCGGAACGCGTAAATCAATTAACGCGGTGACGTCGCGTGCTCGGCCCACAGTCCAGACTCCACCCCAAGTACAACTTAGTCATACTTCTATCAACCTTTGAATTGTAACCTTTAATTTATAATTTATAATTTATAACTTGACCATTGTCAAATTGGGGTAATCTACTGTCGGAGACGTTATGCAAGTCGGAGGTTGAATTTCCAGGATATTTTGATCAACTTAGCCATGAAGAATAAGAAACTGTTCAAGAGATAATGAGGAGAATGACTGTACACTTAATAATGCTGCGCTGACCATGAGATCCTTACCGCATCATTTTGACGCCATCAGAATGGAAAATTGTATGATTATGAGCTTGAATGTTGCCGGGCTGTCATTCAGAGCATCAAGGGAGGATTTGATGGAAAATTCAAGCACTGAGATGAAGAGAATTGCGATCATTTCTCATTTCCCTTTCGACGACCATGGAGAAAACGCGTGATGTCCTTAAATAGTTCAGGTTTCAGAAGCTAATTCAAGGGCAATCGCCGGTGGGCGGAGATCCGGCATCGCATCGAGTGGGTCGATGCTCTACAGGAATCGGCCATTGTTTACATTTACGCTCATTATAAAATCTCACATGCTCCACTCAAGGTATCCTTCGATGCTGTCTATTTCTGAAATTGGAAGTCTCTATTTCGGCCTTTATTTCCGTCAAATTCTTCTACAGAACATTGGATAATTCAGATAAATGGGGAGAGCTTGATGTAGATAACGTACCAAATAGCCATACAGCCTTGATCAGACAGGCCCCGAAACCTTGTTATAAATCAATATTGACTAACAGGGTTATCAATCTCCAGCATAATTAACGACCTTCTATTGAACGTCTAATGAGCATTAGGCAATCTATGTATTACGGGTAAAGACGCAAGGGACTAGAAGAAAGATCCTGTCATCTGATTCCGATCTACAATCGTCATGTAGCCGGGCGGCTTATCTATATGCATTGAGAATCTTGTGGGTAAAGTATGAAGCCATGGTTAACTTTTACCCTCGCTGAAACGACGACAAATCATGGTAAAAAAGAGAACGACCAAGATCGGCATATCATCACCAGCTCGTCAACCCCCGCGCACGATCAAATCCACCTCGCAGCTGGGACTCAGGGTGAACCACCTTACCCTGAAGTAAGGTGTATTTCACAAGACCCTCACAATGCTCAGGTCGTACCCGCGCCAACCAGATCATTTGCTGATCCTTCTTCCGGTAGACAAGCACATTAGCCGAGAACTTGTGGCCTCCAACATGCGAAACAAAGAAGATCCCTGCACCACCGGGTCGGGAATCGTCAGTATCACGGTCCAAGCCGAGAGGACGGAGGTGGCGCTCCAATTCACGCTTGATCAGCGGTGCCGTGATTCCACAGCGGGCGTCTCGTCGGCGGTGCGAACATAGTAGGATCACGTAGTCTAGTTCACAGGGGCGTGCGGTCATTCCAGATCCTGAAATGGCGCTTGATCCGTTTTTTTCATCGTTAAGATTATCGATGAACCGGTTGACTAGGTCGGGGACGTCTGCTTGGGAAACAGAGTCCACATAGGTAAATGATGGCAGAATGAGTACTGTGGTTGGCTTGGTTGGGTCTTGCTCTCCGGAGTGATCTGGTGTTTGGAGATTGGAGGCTGAGACCATGATGCGCTGGGAAAGGTTAATTTGAGCTCAACTTATCGTTTCAAGGCTACGTACGCCAAGTTTGGACTTTGCAGAGGACTGGTCGAATGCTTCCATTAGGGATCCATGTTCCTGATCGGGTTTTTCTTTCCAGTCAGAGCGACCGGTAGCGACGAGAACATGGGCTTGTATTTCCTTGATCTGGCCGTAAAGAGGTCTCGAGGTTTCAACTTTAACTTTCGAGGGGTACTGGATAGTGCAATCTGCGCAATCTTTGAGGCAGTCGGGGCCATCTTCCGCGGGATCTACTTTGGGAAACAGATATTTTGGTTCGCGACCAAAGGACAGGAGTGATTTCAACATGGGCGGTGGACTGGGTGATAGGTGATAGGTGAGATGAGGTGAGAAGGTGAGATGGGAGTGTGAGAAAATTTGAATTGAAATTTAAATCAAAAGTTGTGGCTGCCTTGGTGTATAGTTATAATTAAGTCCATTTAGTATCTCCGAGCGTGCATCCCGACCCGTTAAACCCGACGCGGCTCCGATCTGATGGAGAAAACGATTGCCCGCGCCAATCATCACGTGGAAAGGATGGTTCATAGTAAAATAAATATTGATTTTTAATGTATTCCATGAGAGCTTCTCGTTTTTCCACATTTTTTCTTTCTGTTGAAGATGAGAAAGCAATGGAAGAGTGAAACACGAGTGGTTATTGTTTTTTTCGGTCACCTGACCATGGAAATCACCTTGGAATGGTCTATTTGTGATTTGATCGAGAAGTTGAAAAGTGTTAATCAATGCATCTCTGAACAAACCACATACTCCATATCTCCACCTGACATGATGTCTCCACAACTTAAGTTGGCCAAGCAATCTCTGTTTGAGTGTTGAGGGGTCGGAGACACTTACCGCATCGGGAAACTACGTGGGCCATACCACGTAAGCCGGAGCAAGTCACTCTTCATGACGAGTTCTCTTCTTATCTGTTCAATGACTATTCAAATATGGAAGAAGTAAATGCCTTTGCACAGGCAGACCGACCGCGTAAAAGGCGCCGTCGCACCATGGCGTGCACCCAGTGTCGTAGTCGCAAATTGCGATGCGACAGGGAGTATCCCACCTGTGGTCGCTGTCTGAAGAGCAAAGTGTCTACTCAGTGCACGTACGAGGATGGATTCTTATGGCAGCAGCCCACAACTGTATCGACAACGGCATTTGCATCGGATAGAGTATCCACTCTAGGAATGCCCCGGACTGATCAGAATCTCCATACACCCCCGGACTCGGGTTTAGGGGCGCCGTCGATTCGGTCGGAAGCACTCGTTTCGACAACCCTGCCCGACACGGCTCCAAATCCACCAGATGGCCCACGCCATCGCAGACATGGCCTTGGGAAAGAGCGCCGTGATTGTTTTTTGGAAACTGTTCTCGGTGCACCCAAGGCTGCCATTAATCAGGAGCCTTATGTTAATGCGGGCCTCTTGCAACGCCCAAAACGTGCGCCTGAATCACAGGGCACCTTCTCGTCGCAGGTCGACGACGTTAACACGGGCACCGATAACCCCCTGGCCCCGTCTGATCGCTTGGATCTTTCCCCGCGGATTATGATGCGAGGGCGTGAGACAAAAACGCGCTTCAGCGGCTCGGGGATCTATGCCAATTTGATGGCACAGGTATGTAATCCGTGTCAATCATTTCACCTTTACTGACAAGGAAAGTTCCCTGACATAAGATCTTTTGCCGAGGAAATTCGGCTGTCAAACCCGATTCTGTCGCGTGTTCGCCCAGATCTGGAGCGAGTCAAACGAGGCTTATGGAAGAGACAACCGCTCAATGAGCCCTTTCCAGATCCTACTGCAGAATCGCTGATTGCCTTACTCCCAACAAGGGCTGTTGCCGACGAACTCATTGGTCTGTATCTGACCTACGTCGAATCCACACAACGGATCGTTCATGTCCCGACATTTCTTCGAGAAGTCGAGGAATTTTGGTCAGGCTACGACAACGCGTCCATCCAATCAGCCGCATTTGTGGCCCAGTTCCTGTTGATTCTTGCATGTGCGTGGAATTTTGCCGACTTGCTCACCCTTCAAGAAAAGTCCTCGAAGCCTCTTCTGTGCTATACTGCTGTGGAGTGGGTCTTGCATGCGGAGAAATGGATCAACAATGCCCGTGTCAAGCGGGCTGAGATCAATACTCTACGTCTGTACATTTTACTTATCACCGCCCAGAACTTTTTTGGTATGAAGCGAAGTCAGGCGTGGCTGGCTACCAGCCAGATGGTCAAGTCGGCCATGATGTCCGGTTACCACCGAGATCCGAGCAACTATGCCCGGATATCCATGTTCAACAAGGAGATGCGCCGGCGTATCTGGATGACGATTGTGGAGCTGGACCTCCAGGTTGCCATTGACCGCGGCATGCCGCCATCTGTCCAGGCTTCCGACTACGACACCCTTCCTCCATTGAACATCAATGACGATGAGATTCATGAAAGCACCACCGAACTGCCAGAGGAACACTCCACGGGTGATGCTACTGATTGTTCCTATCAAACTGCCTTTGGCCAGTCCCTTCCCATTCGCCTGAAAGTGTGCTCACTCATGAATTCTCCGCGACTCAGCTGTCGATACGAAGAAATTCAACGCCTGGATTGGGAGCTGACCCGTTATCTTTCCCATATTCCGACGTGGCATTTGGCCGAAGCCCGCGACGCTCTTGCACAGCAAAAGGTGGCTTTGTGGAAAGCCTCGTTGGAGATCAAATTGGCGCACAGTCTGCTCTCGGTTCACACGCCGTTCGCCATTGAGGCCCGTCACGAGGCACTATTTGCGCCATCTGCGCGGTCGCGCTTGGATGCCGCTGTTATGATCCTTTCCACACAACGTCGACTTCACGAGACGTCGCCCCTGTTGTCACAGTGTGTTCTTGGGGAGTGTACGCTCCAGGCGTTTATCTCCATCTGCCAAGCCTTACACTCAGAGTCTCAAATTGGTAAGGCACCTTTCCCATTATCCACATAAATATGCTGACCTTTCTTAGCTAGTGCCTCCTATCCCTCCGCCACCTTCCAACTCGCCAGCCTACCAGGCTTCTCCGACACTCTGATCTCGCTCGTCGAGTCCGCTCTCATGGCCCTGGAAGTTCGATTCCTGTTGGTCGTCAAGGGAGCCAAGGACTATTTCTTCCTATCAACGATCTGTGCGTTAGTGAAGGCGAAGCTGTGGCCGGCCCAATCGATAATGTACAAACAGCAAGTGGTGGAGCGAGTTCTATCTTTTGCACAGACGCTATTCTTCCGACACGGGACCTGCGAGCACCTTGGTATGTCTGGTATGGGCAGCTTTAAAGAAAACCAGGTAGTCGCCTTCCTTGCAACCCCCAGCATGCCCGTCATGCCCGATTTCCATAGCATCCTCCCACAGTCTAACCTCGGGGTCACGGTAAGTCGATCATCTCCAGATGTGGTTCTCAGTACTAATTCTTTCCACCAGCCGCCTGGGGATTTCGATCCCTTTTTGGATGTGTTCGATTGGGATGATCTGACCGGGATGGGGATTTAGGCTGAGAGGTGCGAGTGGCTTATGTGCTTTATATGATATGACGGATTGATCTGTATTTAAGTATATCCCATTGTTCGTTCTTATACCCGATAATCCAGCACATCATCGTCTGCAAGATCCTCGTCATCACTCGTCATAAGCTGGGAAGCATTCCTGCTACAGAGCTCGGGGCCCGGTTCCACAGTGAGATCATGATCGGAGCGATGATCAGAGCCACCTGCAAGGGCAAGAAGCTTAGAAGAGCAAGAACTCCGTACAATCACCATGGCGATGCGAAAATCATAGACTATGGCCACTAGTTGGGACCTTGGAATATTTGGATTATTTGCGAGCCTTACTGTGAGACAGTTCCGTCTCATCATAGAAATGATTGGGACTTTTGGCCCCACAACCCATGTGGAACCATTTGGCATTTTGTCCAGAAAGCATCCGGCAATTCCATCCAAGCACGCACTCTGGGCTCGGCAAAAAACGCCATCAAAAGCTTCTTCATTAAGCGACCGCGGAAAAAAATACTCCCCTCAATTTCTCCATGTATGATGAAAGGGGATAAGTTGCCGGCTCTGAAACCCAATCACTACAAATCGACCCAATAAAATTCGGCCATTATTCTCCTGCGTGATGCGAATACAACCTGTGACAGGCTGTACACAAGCACCATAGTGGGCACGGGATTGGTGGATGCCATTGGACGGTACCTGAGCAGTACCTATCATAGGCTACTGCTCATGTACCTCATAAGTATTTTGTTACCCCTTAAAATGGCAGCCTAACGGACTAACACACTTGGCTTTGGTTTAGCTTGATCGGCGGACCCTGTTAAAGGCTCTAGACTGGGGTCAGATTGGTTCTTTTTAAATATTTTTTATTTTCTATTTTCCGATTTCCTATCTCTTGGGGTCCTTGCTTTATTTATCTTGCCCTCCCTGACTTGAGGACTTTCTGATTTTGATTCCTTTTTACTATATCTTCAACCTTCAATCCATCTTCCTGAATTGTGAACATTTCTACTCGGTTTCTACTATGATAAACGCGCAGCATGTGCTTTTCGACCCGATAACGCTTGACTATTCTTCTTCACTCCTTTAAGACGCTTGACGCAGTGTAAAATCGCTCTATCACAGTGTTCAGCAAATAGCATTTACCATTTCCACGCAAGCCTTGTACATATTGCGACTCGACAAAAAGCGAAAAGAAATTGAACAAAAGAAGCAGAAAGACTTTCCTTGCGCATAACGAATTGTCGCACGCATAGGCAGCACAATGCATCACAGCTGGCTCATGACAAGCCTATCTCTGCTTATCACCCCACTAGTGGCGGCGACCCCATCTTCGCAACCAGCCCACGCAGCGTCTCAAGTCTACGACACAACAGACACGCTCCCCCTCCCAAATCTCGGCAACATAGTCGCCCATGACCCCAACATCCTCCTCTGGGAAGACTACTACTACCTCTTCAAAGGCGACGTACACATCCCCATTCACCGCGCCCAAAACCTCAGCGGCCCATGGGAATCCGTCGGCACAGTCCTAGAGGGACCCTCAATAATCCACACCCAAAACCGCACTCGTCCCTGGGCGCCCACAACCATCCAAGCAAATGGTACATTCTACTGCTACTACACGCTTAGCGAGCGTGGATCCCGCATCAGCGCCATTGGAGTCGCAACAACATCCTCTCTAGGCCAAAATTCAAATTGGACGGACCACGGCGCGATAATCCATACCGGGAAAGGGAAGGGGTCGGATATCTTTCCGTTCACTGTGACTAATGCCATCGATGCATCCTTCATCACGGATAATGCTACTGGACAGAGTTATTTGAATTACGGCAGTTACTGGGAAGATATCTGGCAGGTTCCTTTATCGGAGGATTTACTTTCGCTTAAGGATCCTGAAAAACCTGATGCGGTGCATTTGACTTATTTACCGGGTTTGAAGTCGAAGCCGGAGGAAGGGTCTTGGATGAGTTTCCATGATGACTACTACTATATGTGGTTTAGTCATGGGAAATGTTGCAAGTTTCATGATGGGTTTCCTGCGGCTGGAAAGGAGTATGAGATTCGGGTTGGGAGGTCGAAGAATGTGAGGGGTCCGTTTGAGGATAAGGAGGGGACGGCTTTGCTTGATGGTGGTGGGACGATTGTTTATGCTTCCAATCATGGGGTTGTCTATGCTCCTGGTGGGCTTGGAGTGTTGGCTGGGAATGATTCCGTCCCGGATGTTCTTTACTACCATTATCTGAACACGAGTATTGGGTTTACTGATGAGGTGAGTGTTGTCACTTGGATTCTTGTTAAGGACTTTGCTGATTATCAACAGGATGCTCATATGGGCTGGAACTATCTGAACTATGAAGATGGATGGCCTGTGGTCGTTGATGGGATTGATATTAATTCATCGAGTGCGGGATCGCTCCTTTCTGTGCCAGGCTGGTTGGCATTGATGATGATGAGTATGTCCTACCTTACGACTTTTAGTGGATCTGGATTTTTGCTAACATAATTAAGGTGTCTGGCTGTGCCTGTGGTCATAATTGATACCCTGTTCTGTTTTTACTAGATGTGTTTTGTTGTTAGCGAATGCACCTGCATATAGAGATGGCGTTTTGTTTGGTCTAGGCCATTGGGGTATCTTGGACAGTGCATTAGAATGCCATGCACATATTTTTTTCTACTATATTTTAACAACTGTAAAAATGGAGGTAGTCCCTTGAATTGATCGTCTTATACCCCTTCATCACTCTCTTTGGTTTAGATAATTAATACAAGCGGAACTGAGCACGGCGTACAAATCAAGCGAAAAGGGGGGAAGGTGGACCTGCTACAGATGCCTCTAGGGCGCGGCTAGACCCGCTCAACCCACTCATCCCTGACACTGTTCTAAAGCCGTCTCAATGTCAATATTCATCTTGATATTCTCTCAATTCGTTCCACCAATTTGCTTACTCAGTGTCTAGAATTGACCAGGGATTTGGTGAGCATGTGACTAACGAAAACCTTTGGCTCTAATGTCACCATGGTTCCCTTACTAATCCCCTTGATTCTACTGAATATTCACATCTCAAAAATATCCTTTTCTAGCAGAAGAGAATTGGAATGGGGAAAACAACAGATCATATGCTGACTGCATTCTTTAGCGCCATGAAGTCACCTGATAATGGGGCCAGAGGATCTGCCCCTCATTCAGCCTCAAGTCTTGAATATTCCTTCACTACAATATATTGACCGCGTTATTTATTTTGATTATGACATCGAAGTCTTGCCATGCCACCGATGAGCTCCGATTAGGGAGTATCGACAACACAATCACCACAGGCTTGCACTTGCCGAAGCGACGAAAGATATCCTACGAAGATGATCTACCTGCACGAAACAATCATTACACCATCGCCTGGATCTGCGCGCTGCATATCGAGTGGGCAGCAGCTCAAGCCATGCTGGACGAACTTCACGAAGCCCCGCCCACTCAAATGATGATAGAAATATCTACGTCCTAGGAAGCATCCAGCGACACAATGTCGTTATTGCATGTTTACCAGACGGGCGGTATGGAAACAACAATGCAGCCATAGTTGTCACGAACATGAAGCGCACCTTCCCTGCAATTCGTGCATGCTTTATGGTCGGGATTGGTGGCGGCGTCCCAGGCAAGGTTGATATACGTTTGGGTGATATTGTGGTCGGAACGAGGGTGATGCAGTTTGATTTCGGAAAGGCCCGTCAAGATGGAGAGCTCCAGCGAACGGCGATCCCTAGTCGCCCCGATCAGTGGCTTATGACGGCTGTATCTAGCATCCGCTCGAAGCATGAATTCAACCCAAGTCGAGTGCCATCCATCCTACAGCAAAAGTTAGAGGGACGAGCCGGTTACGGTCGCCCAAGCACACCAGATCGCCTATTTGTTGCGACTTACAATCATTCATCTCTTGGTAGCTGTGATGAGTGCGATCAGTCAAAGCTCATTCCCCGAAGTAGACGGACTTCGGACCCAGTACGGATTCATTATGGCGCGATTGCCTCGGGAAATCTGGTCATGAAGGACAGCATGGCCCGGGATACCATTGCTCGGCAGCTAGACGTCATCTGCTTTGAGATGGAAACTGCTGGTTTAATGGATACCTTCCCATGCCTTCCGATTCGAGGAATATGCGACTACTCGGATTCGCACAAGAGCAAGGAATGGCAGAGATATGCAGCAGCGACCGCAGCCGCATACGCAAGGGAATTGCTCGAGGAGTTACCTGTGACTGAATCGCATACGAAAATTGTTTCCCAAGTTGAAACTCGTAAGAACGCATACCATACCGAGGAAAACTTTCTGTTGACTGCTGCTTACATCCGACTCATAGATCATTTTCCATCTGACGACCGCCGGCAGCGCATATTAAAATCACTCAAGTTCGAGCAAATGGATTCCCGGAAAACGAACATCAAACCGGAACAAAAGAAAACGTGTCGCTGGCTTCTCCACCATCCTTCCTACGGAGCATGGCTAGATCCCGCAAAGCTGACGCAACATCATGGCTTTTTGTGGATCAGTGGTAAGCCCGGTGCTGGTAAGTCGACTATCATGAAGTTTGCCTACTTGAACATGAAGAGCAAGGCCCGTCAGAAGCATGCTATCACTATCTCGTTTTCTTCAACGCCCGAGGTGATCCTTTGGAAAAGTCGATATTAGGAATGTATCGATCATTATTACGTCAGCTGCTTATTGGATACCCCGATCTTCAAGTTGTTCTAGATGACACCGACCTAGTTCCAGAAGATCAAGATGTTTGCCCTTCATTGAATGTTCTCAAGGAGCTATTTGCCAGTGCAGTCTGCGCCCTTGGTCAGCGCCCCCTTACCTGTTTCGTCGATGCTCTTGACGAGTGTGACGAACAACAAGTTGTTGACTTGATTCAATACTTTGAAGACCTGGCAGAGCAATCTACGGCTAAAGGTGTCACATTCAGAGTCTGCTTTTCAAGTCGGCATTATCCCTATATCGTCATCAAACATGGTATTCGACTTACACTTGAGGATCAATCAGGCCATGAGGAAGACCTAGCAACTTATGTCGCAAGTCGCCTCCGAGTGCAAAGCTCTGCCCTTGCCGAAAGGCTAAAGTCTGAGCTCCTGGGCAAAGCCGCTGGGGTATTTATGTGGGTTGTTCTGGTTGTTGACATCCTTAACAAGGAGTATCGAAAGGGCGGAATGGCCATGAGAACCAGACTTGCAGAAATACCCAGTGATCTGAGTGAATTGTTTAAAGATATATTGCGACGTGACAGCGACAATATGGAGGGTCTCTTGCTTTGTATCCTCTGGATATTGTACGCAAAGAACCCCTTGAAACCGCAAGAGTTCCATCATGCTCTTTGGTCCGGTTTGTCATTGACGGGTTTGGCTGACAGCCAAATTCCTGATCCAACTGTGCTAGGCACTGATGCTGCCTTTGAGGAATTCAACATTTACGTTATCGGCTCCTCAAAGGGACTTGCTGAGATCACGAAATCCAGCCAGCCCGCAGTTCAATTCATCCATGAATCTGTTCGAGACTTCCTTATCAAAGACAAGGGTCTATTTGAACTATGGCCTGAGCTTGGATTTGATCCCGAGGGCATAGGCCATGACAAACTCAGGCAATGCTGTGAGCTCTACACGAATCACCCCGTGATCTGCACATTTGTTAGCAGCCTCCTGTCTCAGTCCAGCCCCAACGAAATGTCAGAAATCTCAAAGAACTACCCGTTCTTAGAATACGCCAGTCAAGATGTCCTCCACCATGCGAACGCTGCGGCGAAAGTGGTTCCTCAAGACGAATTCTTGTCCTCTTTTCCCGTTTACAGATGGATCGAAATCAACAATCTCTTCGAGAAATTTAACAACCGGAAATTTACACCCAGCGCGAGTCTATTTTACATTCTCGCTGACAAAGGTTTCTCTGAGCTCATACGGACGAGACTCAAAAGGGATCTTCTAATTCATGTCTATGGGGAGAGATACAAGTATCCGCTGTTTGCAGCTTTGGCCAATGGCAACAAAGACGCGGTTGCTGCTCTGTTGAATTTATCTTCAACCATCTGTGATGGAGTAGACATCACTGACGGTCTTAACCACAGAAAGGATCTGACAGAATGGCAAACTCGAACCCCGCTATCTTGGGCCGCCCAAAGCAGCCGGACTGCCATTTTGAAACTACTCCTGCCGACAACGGACGTTAATATTATGGATGGAGGGGGGCGAACAGCACTTTCAAGGGCCTCAGAGAATGGACTTGAATTTGCGGCAAGGTTGCTTATCGAGAAAGGAGCCGACATCAACGCTGCCGATAGTTCTGGAAATACACCGCTTGACCTAGCATCAGCAAATGGCCATGAGCTCGTGGCAAGGCTTCTTATCGAGAAAGGAGCCGACATCAACGCTTCCGATAGTTCTGGAAATACACCGCTTCACCTAGCATCGGCAAGTGGCCATGAGTTAGTGGCAAGGCTTCTTATCGAGAAAGGAGCCAATGTCAACGCTAGCGACAGTTTGATACAGACACCACTTCACCTAGCATCATTGAATGGCCATGAGTTAGTGGCAAGGCTACTTATCGATGAAGGAGCCTATATTCACGCTCGCAATTATTTTGAACGAACGCCGCTTGACGAAGCATCATCGAATGGCCACAGCGCAGTAGCAAGGCTACTCATCGACAATGGAGCTCAACCGAAGCAGGTGAACTAAGCAGACTCCTGTCCTTTAGTCTTCGGATTCTTCTCCATACTAGTCCCCCAGTCTCCTGTCCACTACTTTTACTCTCTATGTAAATATTCATGAAAATGTAGAATTGTGTGGTTATGAAAATCTTTCACATGATATACAGTACGTTGTCTAGCTCTTCTTCAAGACAGAAATACCATCTCATACTATTGTGATACAGTCAATGGTACCTTCATGCTATTACCTTATTGGGTGATGTTCATTGTTATTTCAAATGTTTGTGTTTGTCTTAACGGCCGAGCCAACTTGGTGAATTGAGAAGCGCAAAAAGATATATCGTCCTTCTATAAAGCTCGCACTCCTGCCGCCAAATATAAATTCGTATTTTTCCCATTCGATCACACATTCATTACAAGCCCGACTCATAGAAGCCATTGTGCCAGTTTGGCTTTGAGTCATCATCATTGTACGATGGTCTTTCAAAAACTTCCCTTCGGTTGCTGCCCACCGAACATGAAAATCAATGGTACCAACAAGCCTGAAGAACCTACTAGGGTCTTGGGTGATAATGGGGATGCCTCAGCGGCTGCGTGACAGTGGCATCTTGACTATCTGGAATCAAAAAAATCTAAACCCCTCGCTTCGCGTTGCCTATGCGCCTGGCCATGCTCCGACAGACCTGCCACTGAGCGGAGTCATCGGAGATTCTCTAACCGCTCTACGACAACAGACGATGTTTTCGACCCGGGATCAAATCGCCCGGAATAGCCCGCTTGACATCGCAAATAAACCTCTCACATCGTGACCCTCCCGAGATGCATATGCAAATTCACAGTATGCCGGCAATCCATTCAGCACAATGCCTTGGAAATCCCTTCTCCCATGGCAGATAGCTTATCATGGAGAGAGCCTCACTTCTATCAGCCTCAGCCATGTTAACATGGCGTATCATAGAGATAGAATCCAAACCGCGATCTTAGCAAGCAGATGTCATAACGGGCGATCAGAATCTTATATATGACTGGAAAGGCTATTCTTATTACAAACCCTTTCGTTGCAAGGGTAATCTGAAACGCCATAGAGATAAGCAGCACCTTGTCGCAAAGGCATACGGATGCCTATTGCTGGGATGTAGGAGAGAATACAACAGGGAGGGTATCCTACTGGGGCGCCTGCAAAAGATTCATGGGCTATCTAAGCCACTTAGGTGATACAAAATTTGATACCAGGTGGAAATTAGGATGGTACTGGACTCGAGAGTCCCATTTATTGGGATGCTCGAGAGAGTTAGCTGGGTATTATTCTGTCATATTCCATGTACGCTCAAATATGATCCTATTTAGTGTGATTCGCGAAATGGTTAGCTGGGTTGGCTATTTCCTCGGAGTGTCAACCAGAAGGGGAGAACCATAGGGAATATACTGTACCATGTATAGTAAATCAGATTTACAGCAGTCCGACCATCATTGAAAAAGTATATGTACCGTTGTCTACTAGTTAAATTCTCGAAGCTGGACAGATCGGTTTGATGTGGAGCCGGGGGTCGGCTATTATTCTTCTGATTGGCGTAGTAATGTCTGAAAGGGCACGAGGGGGCAGTGGGAAAACAAGACTGGGATCTGGAGCTCCGTTTTTGGTCAGGAAGATCACAATTCGCCAAGTATTATAAGGAAAAAGGAAAATAAAAACAAAGAGGTCTGCTGGTCAGGAGGCATGTGAGTTTCTCCCTCCGGGGAAAGGAGGGCGATGATCCCGGTCAAAATAAAAAAAGATCATCCACAGCGCGTCTTAATCGGGTCAATCGTACTCCGTGCGACTCTAGAATCTTCGAAACTGATATTCTAGCCGTAGGAGCTAAAACCTTGAACCTACTATCACAAAATCAGCAGAATTCTTTACCAGTCAATTTTGGGAGACCTGCAAAGCCGAGAATTGAATGAAGATCGATCTACGGGTTATCATCCTAGGAAGAATGTGTAAAAAGGGCGACATATCGTGTGATCTCCTAGTTTCTCTACGCATACTGTAGTGATCGAACCAGATCAGTGAATTTCTGGTTCCTACTTTATTGCACAGTCATGAGCCGAGCCATCAGCTAGATAGCATTTAAACTCCTGGTATGTGTTGGTACTGTGTATGGGCGAGACGCTATGACGCAGTGAGTCTCTTGTTTTATAAGTGAATAAATGGGATGGCAAAAATGGGAAAGGGACAAAGATGAATAGGAGAGGATGAGGGAATCAGACAGCGGTCCCTCGTGTATCGGAGCCAGATCTGATTGCCAGGAGCTCCGTAAATTGCTGTGCTGAGAAACCTCTGAAGTACTCAGCGGCGGTGAGCGGGGAACTCGGGAAGGGAGCATCTGCCAGTGAGATGGATTAAACACTGGGGCGCTTGGTGGTTTAAGCCGAGAATGTCAACGTAACGCACAAATAAGATCCTATCAGAGTGTAAACTGTAAATGGTCAGCGGCTCAAGTCCCGAGTCCCGAATCCCAATTCCACTCTTGGCTTTAAATGACTTTAATTATGTATACCGAGAGTCATGACGTTTCATATACAGACCAATCACAGAGTTTACCGTCCGGTGGCAAATACATGGCCACAAAGTTGGACCATCAGCCCTGATTACTCTAAGTAAGGTATTGAAGAAGTAAGGACCAGAATCATGGATAGTTTGTAAAGTTGAGAGGAGCGGTGTTGAGGTGTGAAAGATAAGTACTAATGCTGGGAGACGTAATGCTCCGTACCGGTTTTGTTCCCTGGGACTGATCTACTTGACAGTCACAACCACGACGAACTAGACCATTTCTGGCAAATCTCTTTGTTGCCAAAGAGAGCCAGAAATGGTCTAGTTCAAGTGTGATCTAATCTGCATACTGCATGTGCCTCACACTGTTACGACCAATCCCATTCATTATGTCCTTATTAGAACGTAATAGTGGAGCTAGTCGCCCCACAAGTGCATCTTGTACTTGCAACCATGCAGAAATCATCTCCCATCCATCTTTTCCATCCATCTCCCATCCTTCTCACAACTCATCCTTCTCCGATGGGAGAAGGATGAGTTGTTCAATACGCCCATCCTGTCGCCCACCTGGGCGTCATCCACATCGCCTAGGAGATTGCCTTCTGGTATATAAGCCCCCCTTTCTCACCGCAAAGATGCATTCGTTCTTTTCACATTCGACCAAGCCGTCGAGAAAAACCCTCTTCATAAATACCATTGTGCTACTTTTACCTTCGCCTATCTCCATTACCCGATATCTTTCAGTGTGCATCTTTGATTGTTATCCGTCAAAGATGTCAGCCAATGGAGTCCACGAAGAACAGACGAGTATCTTGGAAGGCACTGGACGTTCTTCACCGGCTTTGCGGCCTCTGTCACAGCAGGAGCCAATGCTGAAAATCTGGGATCAAACTATCCTAAGCCCTTTACCCAGCTCTGTCAATGCACCAGGCTATCTGAAAGACCTGCCGCTTATTGGCACCCATGAAGAAACACCCGCATCAATCTTTGGTCATAACGATTCCCCCTCAATGGCTCTACGATTCCAGGAGCCGACCCCGTCGGCCTGGCACCAAGCCAATCCGAGTCTCTTGCTCGACTTCGTCAACCTACCCATAATTACTTGGTACGAAGTGGATACCGACTCTCCAGTCGACTATTTGCACGGAACAACATCCCCCATAGGGACAAATCACTGTCCTACCATCCAGGAACAGATGAGGGAGCAAGATGACCTCCCCCAAAACGCCACACCGCTCGAGCAGACTTACATTTGTGACTGGAAGGCTGTTCTTATAACAAGCCCTTTGGTTGTAAGTATAATTTGCAACGCCATAGAGATGAGCAACACATATCCCCAAAGGCATACAAATGCCCATTCCTCGGATGTGAGAGAAAATTCAACAGGCCTAATAACTTGGAGGTACACTGCCGAAATGTTCATGACTCAAATTATCGACGAATATGATGCGACTCTTGATCCATCGATATGTCATCAGAGTCTTTGGCTTCTCTGCCTGGGAATGAGTGCCCGCTATCGAGAGTGGTACTATATCCACTGTGTCTTATGCGAATAGACTTTCCTCTAGGCTTTAATTTTCTTGGATCTTCGATGTTTAAAAGCTGGTGTAAAGATGTTCACTTGCCACTTGCGTTAGTTAATGACATCACTTTGCTTACGTTCATTTCTTTGATTTGTTGGATTATAGTGACACTGATGAGTATGTTGATTAATTTTGTTGCGCTTCATATTCAGATCGAAGCCTGGGGAACGTCATGTCTTGCACCATGCGCAGACAGACAGGAGGATCGAGTCAGGTGATACTTTCACGGTGAAGACAGAAGATTCGGCCTTGCACCCAATTCCTCCATCGGAGCGGGGGAAACTCATGAGGCACATGGCCTGAATCACGGCCATGCAGGGAGCGGCCAAGGATTTAGACGATGACGCCCCTCCAATTTCTTCTGGCTTTAAACCCAACAAAAAGTCTATTTCCCGTGGTCGGTTACCTGAGCAGCGATAAATGGACACTTTCGGGAGAACAATTTCCCAAACCTTGTTACTCGTCCGTTGTCTGAACTCAAGGTCCCTGGTTTATCTCTCTACATATGCACATCACCTGTCAAGGCGCTGGACCGCTCTTTGACCCCGCTGAACTCGAATACCTATCCTCGCGATCAGTCAGTCTCATCATGAAAGTCATATAATCCCTCAGCTAGGAGGCCAAACACATGCACCCCCTAAGACTAGCCTTGTTATATCACCTCTTATTCTCCAGTTCCGTAATTTCGTCTCTAGGTTTGCGATCTTGTACTTTTCACTTTGTCTATATCAATCGTTGCCAGAGTCCTATATCGGCGCAACATCACAGAACAACAAAAGGGTATCTTGAACGAAAAACAAAATCCAGGCCCCACCCTAAACCATCATCCCTGAGATTATCAACCCACCAACCAACAACACAGTCCAAACACTAGTCGAACGCGAAATCAACGAGCTGCCCGAATCCAGCACATTGCCTCCATAAATGATCGTCTTCGAATTCAAGCAGTACGAGACATCATGCGCCTGCTTCACAGAATTCGAATTGCAAACTGCCGTACAAGGATTCGGATCCGAGTACAGCCACACCCTCGAGTGACAGCACTCCTGCAGAATCGCACTCATATCATCATTCGGCTTGTGGGGTTGATAGAGCGGGACTTCAGCGTAATATTTCGGAGCGCCATTAATGGAGGGCACGAAGTTGCGGGATGCATAGCAGTATGCGGGTTGTGTTGAAATGCGGGGGGTTGATGCCATTTTTCCGACACCAGGGAGATACTGAATGGAGAAAGATCGTCGATCGGATGTGCGCGGGTGTTCAAGCTCGTGGTGGATCCGAGACTTGATCTGGGGGGATCAGCATTGGTGGGGTTGATGAGTCGATTTTGCAGCCACGTTGTGAAGCAGAACGTGGTTTATAAAGGGGAAGCAAATTGCGCGCGGATTGGCGCTTTAAGCTTGGGTCTTACAGGTGCATGCGCTTCCGTTTGAGGGAAATGCCAAGGCGCTTAGTGCTTGTGGCTGGAGCCACAATGAACCCGTTTACTGACCAGTTGAATAGTGATAGTGACGGACATGATAAATGAATGATCATGTACTGTACACATGTCATCTCCAATGCAACTGGATTCTTGTGATACCAAAACCGACTAATTTCCATAATAAAAAAAGTTTTGCTCATGACTGTGCTCTATGGGAAATACTGAACAACATTTATACAAGCTAAAGCTTCGCCGCCAGATTGGCCCGTTTCCACATCTTCTTTCTCCGCTCATGCCCTGCATCAAAATCATCCACCCATTTCTGATCAAAGGGCGGCAATCGCCGTCCAGGCACACCCTTGCCTGGCTCCCCTGCAATTCGACGGAGTTCTTCAAAATACGCCCTGAAATCAGGATTGATGACTGTGAACGCGGGACCATCGCCTTTCTGCGCGATCCGGTCCGTCTCCCAATTCTCCTGCTCAGACAGCGGAGGCAATGTACCCCTGCCTGCAAGGATCCGTGCAGCTGCAACAGCCTGCCACTCAAATACCTTGAAGGTGAGACCAGCGCCAACGGCTCCGATGAAGACAAGACTGGGATCATGGCGATAGAAGACGTGTTGGTATAAATCGGGGACACGGTTACTGCGTGTTGGGACATGTGGGATGAATGGTAGTGTCCAAGTGAAACCAGTGCCGAAGATGATGTTGTCAACATCGCTGACGGAGGTTCCGTCTTCGAAATGCACTGTTCGGTCTTGGGTAGTGATGTGTGAGATTGGGGCTCGGCGCTGGATCTTTGGGTGTTTAAAGGCTTCATCGCCGAAGTAGACGTTGTAGCGGCCGCGGACTACGGCGTGGATGGGGGTTTGAGCACTGTCAATTAGACTGACTGCTGTATCTGCGGCAGAGACTGACGCTCCGACGGTAACGACTTTCTATGGTGTGTCAGTGCTGACATGGTTTCTTGACAAACTAACTTTCATACCTTTCCTCGGTAATTCTCCGCTCCTCGATAATGCTTAGTATGTTCAACGCTGCGAGGATATGCCTTTGCAAACTCTTCCAACCCGGGAATAGCAGGGATATATGGCACTGCATAGTGGCCTGAAGCAACCACCACCGCATCGAATACCTCGGTCCACCAGTAATCTGACGGACTTCCATTATGGATTTCCCGGCGGCGCAAAGTTAAAATCCATTTGTCAGAATGCTTGATCGCCCGCTCAACAGTCGTGTTATATTCAACAAGACCGCCGTGTCCCTTCTTAATTAAGAGATCCTCAATGTACTGCCGAATGACAGTATGGTGTCTGAAAGGGGTCTCCGGCCCGTGGCGGTCTATTGACCACTGAGACCGGATAGTGGGAATCGGCTCTTGGGAGTACGACATGACTCCAGCATCCACGTTCGTTTCCAGCCCAGGGTACACAGGAGAGTCAGTGAAGCGATCCTGATTTCCTGCCGGGGTTCGGCACGGCAGCTGCTCCGGGATATCTAGTGGCATATCTGCCGTGCGCGAAGCTAAGCCGTCAAAATTGAGTTGCCGTGGAGGTTCGTCATCTCTTGAGACCCTATTATTGTCAGAACATAAGTGAATTGCTGGACGGGTTGACAAACCAACATCCACCAGCTTTTTCCTGGCGTTCAAAAACCCGCACCACGTCGAAGGCTTTTTCTTGCATCAAGGCATCGACAGCAATGGCACCTGCTGGGCCCGCGCCGATTACTGCTACACTTTTAATGGCTGGCATGATGATGTGTTTGAAGAATCCAAATAAGTCGAATGATGTTGACGGTCTTCTTTTATCAAACCGGCCTTTGATCTCTCGGCCGATCAGCAAATTGAATATATCGAGGTCGATCTGAGAGGTAAAGTTAGACTATATCACGCCATCGAATCATTTTTTGCGCAAGATCCAAGCCAAGCACTCACGTGTTCAAAATGGCCAAAGATTTGGATCTCAGGGGAAGTGTCAAAAACCTACCAATTTTTATAACTTCGACACTGTCACTCCAATTTTTAAATGCCGAACCTCTAAATTAAATTTCAAATTTCAATCCCCGAGCCCGGAATCTTGTCTGCCGTGCTTTTCATTGGTTGGAAATTAGTGGACCAGGAACTGTAATATGATTGGCTCAAATATTTGCCACGGGTGCAAACCCAAACACCTACCGTATACGGAGTACGGAGTACAACGGGTCCCTTTTCGCCCCCATAAACACCCCACTTTCAAGCTTCATCCTACCATCCACATTATGGCTGTTGTGGAAAACCGCGAGAAGCTATGCTCTTCATGCAGTCTTCTTCCTCCTTTGAAGGATAGTCCTGGTGATGTATGGACCAGTTTTCAACATTTCAAATCCTCCGCACTGAACGGCTGTCCCCTCTGTGCTTATCTTTATAAAATCCAACGTGCGGAATGGGAACGGGTCGAGGTGGTACATGGCCTAAACCCCGGACCACCTTTTTCGCTGAATTGGAATGGACAGCCACCTTTCCTACCCTCCGCGGTGAATATAGATCAAGAATTGACCATGGAGCCCGCATTAGATCTGAAGGATTTAACTCGTTATGGAAATTATGGTGGCCCAAGGCATTCGGTTAGCTACTCAATATTTGCTAGTCCAGGTAAGAGCTAAGTCAAAAACTAACAATCTACCTGTTGCGAGACTGACAGGACAGATGAGCCAATTTCCAAGACCTTTTCAGCTAGGGAGATTGATCCCAATCCTACGTCGGATCGGGTCTTTGCTAAGATCCATGGATGGATTAAATCATGCTCAAAACATTCAGCCTGTGATCCTGTCAATGAAGCAGTTCTGCCTCGATTTGTGATCGAAATACATGACAGTGGCGCAACTCCAAGCTTGCAAATATTTGAAAATGACAAGTCAAGAAAGAAAGCTCTCTATATTGTGCTGAGCTATGTGTGGGGCATACGGCCCCAGCCAGTGCAATTGATGAAAGACAACATGAAGCAACTGAAAGAGTCAATTGATTACGAGACACTACCTAAGACAATACAAGATGTCATACGTGTCGCGCAAGGTCTCGGTGTGCGATATGTGTGGGTCGATGCCCTCTGCATTGTTCAGGATGACGAAGAAGTTAAGAAACAACAGATCGACCAAATGAAGAACATATACGGAAACTCCTATTTTGCTGTACAAGCGGCAAACGTCAGTACAGTCATGGAAAGCTTCCTGAAACCCCGAGACCTGCCAAAGCCATTCAAACTTCGATATGACGAATGCAGTCACATTTACCTGAGAGGATATACTCCAGATCGCTTCCCCAAGGGATTGGCCCGAAAAAGAGCCTGGGTTTTCCAAGAGTCCGTGCTTCCTAACCGACTTCTATCCTACGGGGAAGACCAGATCATCTTCCAATGTAGAGAAGAGGCACAATGGGAAGATGGATTTCGATCCAACAGACAGGATTCGTATTCACCATCACTTTTGAGTCCTCTTGACTGGCGAAGAGACTATTCAGGCTCGAGATTAGATCAACCTACTCCCCTTCCTAACCGTCGACTAGACTTTCTCGCGGCGTGGTATACCGCAGTAGATCAATACACCAGCCGGGCGCTCACATATCCCGGCGACCGACTTCCCGCAATTAGTGGCGCCGCTCTCCGCCTCCAAGAGGAAATAGGCGGACGATATGTAGCCGGAATTTGGGAATCCGATCTACCCTGGGGTCTGCTATGGGAATCAAAGAACACCATGAGGTACCCACGGACGAACCCAGCGATGTGGAAGATGAGTAGGCCAGTCACTTCTCGTGCCCCATCATGGTCCTGGGTGGCCGTTGATGGGTCAACGAAACACGAATTCTGGAAACGACATAATGATACAAGGGAGCAGGCTCCAGTTGCCTCAGTCTCTATGCAATCTTTTCAGGTGGATACTGTGGGAGAAATCATCAACAACGGAATGCTGGAGATTGCTGCTCCGCTATTTTACACTTCTGTGGTTCTCAAGACAAATTCCCGATACAAACCTTATGGGGTGTCTGGAGTGAAACCGTTGTTAGTTTGGGACGCACTTGAAAAGGAAGGATGGGTCACGCCAGGGACTGATCGACCTACAGCTATTGCTAACTTTGACGTTCAAGATGAGCAGGTTCTTCATTCTGGCGTGTGGTGCCTTCTCATTTGTCGCACAGTGGCATTGATGCTGGAGTGTGTTGATGAGAAGAAACAGATATTTCGGCGATTGGGGACATGTTATGTGATACCTAAATTCTGGCACTCTCGTGCCAATGAAATGGCACGAGGTAATGTTCTTATCATTTAGAAAACATTCAAATATGATCAAATGTGTCGGTGTCCCTGGGTCATATCATGTGACCTGAGCAGCGCTGGCATCCCGTTTAGGACTAGCTTAGTTTTGGGTCTGGGGGCATATCCTCTAGATCTTCTGCTCCTTCTCTCTTTTCTCCCCCCATACCCAATATCACATACGTTTTGTGTGAAGCTGTCAGCCTACATATTGTAGTCATCTTCCATCTTCCCCGCTTGGGGCCTATTGGCGCCAAGAAAATGGTACATATTTGAAGTTTTCGTCTTAATCCTATTTGATGGAAATCTAGGGCAGATATTCTATGCAAGCTCCCTTGCATAAATGCCCTCCTGTGCATGCCAGATTAAGATTTCCAAATGCCATTCTGAAACTAAAATGGCCATTGACTTTTTGCCTCTGATTGCTACCCGATCGTCCTCGCCCTTGCATTCGATCTCTGCGGAAGTGACATCCACATTCCACCAAAAACCGACCATTTGCCATGCACCAAGCAGATTGGATCGATCTACTGCGAAGCCTGCCATAATTAGATAGCACATTCTTTATAATCAGATCGCCAAATAATAGCCTCTCGATTTCGATCTTACAATCCTTCAAGCAAGCAGTGGGGATAGCAGATATTTAACGGGTTCACCCGACCCCTTAATATGTCGACTTCGAGGACAGCTTGGGACTTTCGTGACGAGCTCCAAATTTGAACAATGTGAGATTTCAGATTCATTTATGTACTAAATTACTGGAATGTTTCGAAACTTAATTATATTAATGACACGGAACATAACGTTGCGATGGCGGACACATTTTGAGGTTCGCAATGGTCCCCAATGGCCTATACCTATCTTCATCCTCTGCTGCGTGTCTTCGGTTCAGTGGTGGCTCTAATTCTTCTCCTCATCTGTTTGTTCGCCGGTAGTTCACCCAACTTCCTGCCCGATGCTGAGATTTTCAGAGTAAGTACCCACCAAGGCGGAAATAGGCTGGATCTAACAAAAGCAGGTTGACCTCTCTCAACTGCCTACTACTCAGGATGGCCCAAATATTGTCAATGTCTACCTGATGTCCTACTGTGTAGGACTTGAGCAACAATTCATCGACGCAGACAACACCACCACAACTAAAACAAGCATGAGCAAGTGCTCCGATCGCAGTGTCCTGTTTCATTTCAAGCCATTCGAAGCAATCAGGGAAGCCACAGGAATCCAAGAACCTGGGGAGGAACAGTCCTTTTCAACCAGCATCGATGCCCTCACCCCCGCAAGTCGAGCGATGACGGTGTTCTTCATCTTAGGAGCCAGTTTCGTCATCCTATCGATACTGATCCGTATCGCCGCCCACCACTTTAGACGACGCTTCGCACGTTACCGCATACCGGATTCAAAGACACAGCCTTTGCCCGGTCATCCAGATTATTCCATCCGGGGGAATCTCGAAACACCGCCTTCCTACCTAGAACTTTTTTCATTAATGGTATGTGTCAAGACACATGCCTGGTGAAGGCAGTCCACTAACAGATCAAAAGCTCAGCACCATGTGCCTTTTAATCGCTTCAATCATCACTTCCGTGGTAGCTGCGAATTTTGTCTCATTACTCCGAACCGACGATTTCGATGTTTCGGCCCGGCACAATAACACTTTCCTCGGGATGGCATGGAGTGCAACTGTGATACAGGCCTTTCTTACCATACACAAAGTGGCTTCCTTGATGCGGTATGAGTCTCAATATTCTTTACAGGACTCGGATGAGTATTCTTTAAACCGTGGTATTGGGAATAGGGCACTGTTCAGCCGTATCCAATGACGTGCAACTCGGTTGCGATATATATCCTGCGGGCATGCTTCCACACTAGACTGTCATTTTGGCGTTAGGGTTGTTTTATTATTTTTCATAGATATCAAAGAGGCCATGTCCTATGCGTTGGATTGGTACATGTACAACAATCAAAAGTGCTATTTTGTTATGATGTAGAGTCCAAGGATGTACTTGTACCACGATTGTGTTTTATTAGGGAGTGTTAACGTGATATATGACACCATATAAGTACATGTACAGAGTTTGAATTCTCACATATGTTTTCTAGGGCGAGTTTAGCAATCCTCAAATTATAAGCAATCAGATGTCGGGAGCCTGGCTCAGCCCCAGTGGCGTTACCATCAAAGAAAAGCCGCAGCGGAGAAGGCTCCCACAACGTCAAGTGTTGGTGCCTTTGGTTAGAGATTACCAAAGCGATGGATTACCAGGAGAACCTATGAGATCAGGTGGTGCTAAAGACAGGATATGAATAGTTTGTCAACATCGCGTTTGTCACTAAATTTGCAACACCCCAGGTGCTATCAATGTTTTGGTTTACAGATGTAGACTAGATTAACACAGACAGTGGAAATGCGCCGTAGCTAGAGTCTGGCCCTGATTGCCCGTCGTTTCACTCGAATAGGTAAAATCCTTTAACGTAACTTAACTTACCCATTTTTGCAAATAAAGAACAATGATATCAACCATTTGACGCCACTTGGAAATCGGCAGACCTGGAACCAGGGTGATGTTTTAAGATTGACGTTCTAGGTAACACGCCCCCAATTGAAGATGTGGCGAATAGGGCCAAAGCCGAGCCGCCATCCGCCCAGTCTTACTATGCCGTGTAATAATGAGTATTTGGTGCAGCTTCATATGACACAGATGCTATTTAATATAAAGAAATATTAATAAGAACTTCATAATTGGAACTGGGATCATATAGCGTAAGTAGAGGATTTGAAGGACATCCGTGCCAATTGATGCCCCCACTGGGGCCAAGTCCAACATTTTTCTGGACCGCACTTACCTACAGTAGGTGAATACTTCTTTAGGATCTAATTACCTTTTCCAATACTAGTAAGTTGCTACCTTGAAGCTTCACACCCGACATTGCCCCATATACTTTCATCCAATAAGAAATCCACAGACTTGTTATATGTGGCAACTGCGGGTGCGCTTCAATTGATTGATCAACATAGAATCTCACAATAATGGTACCTGCAGCTTCAGGCTGTTCCCTCAATGTATTGACTGTCTGTTTAGTGGCGATTACCTTTTTAGTCATTCAGTCTCTGGGGAATCGCAGCAAGAGATATAAAGTAGCACACGGTGACCGAAACCTCTACAATTATTCAGAATCAGGAATCCAATCCAATCCAACCCAACAACCCAAACTTTCTTCCAATCCGACCAGACCCGATTACCACTCTTCCAAAATGCACTTCTACTCTCTCGTTACTCTCGGGCTCATGAGCACCGCCTTCGCGCTGACTCCCCAGAACAACGCCGCCCGGGACATGCCCATCGTGCCCATCAAGCAGCTACACCCCCTCGAGGCTCCCGGCTCCGGAGGTTTCAAAGCTGGCCGGGCTTACGACCAAGAGACGGCCCCAGTGGTTCCCACCGCGACTTCCTCCGCTATCCCCTCGTCTACTGCTGTCACTCTCGCCTCCGAGATCCCCGTCGCCAGGGAACCCGTTGCTGTCCGTGCGGCGATCAGAAACTACCACGCCGACTACCGCAAGTGGGAGGCGGCCACTGGCGACGAAAAGATAGCACTCCGTGCCAAGGTCCAGGACGATCTCTTGGCTATCAAGAACATCAAGGGTGCTACCCTTCGTCAGGAGGCTAAGGCAAAAGCTAGTGCAAGCGCCCTCGCCAGCGCTAGTGCTAGTGCGACGCCGGGTGTCAAGCGCCGTTAAGCATTTATAAATCTCATTCCGACTTTTCGCATTGATAGATGGTTAGATGGGTGTTCTTTTTGCGCTAGAGCTGGTCTCTTTAGTTTTGTGATTTGTGATCTGATATAACGGACATCTAGACGTCCGAATAGATATAGACTTTCAGCTATTCAAGCCTTGCATTCTTTTAAGCCCAAGTTTCACACACGTAGTGCATTCCATACACGAGTAACCGTAGTCTGTAATTACTGCTTCTCGAGGAATACAACCTTGCTGCCGTAATCGGTATCAAAGGGAAACTGTAAGCCGATATTCATCAACGTCGCACCAGAGTACGTCCCCTTTCCTTTAACACTGTACATAGCTGTTGGATCCAGTCCTTGCAGTCTGATCCAAGGAATAGAATGGTCCACACGGGGACTAAGCTGGAAGTAAAAAAGGACAGCCTGGGCTCCATCCTCTGAGATAAACAGGACAGCAGGCCAATTCGAGTCTTCGGGCAAGCTCAAGCGATACATGTCACCATTCAAAACAAGTGGATTCACTTTCTCCGCAAGTGCAATCAGGCCCGGTAGAGCGGCCTTGTCGGCTTCTGGGATAGTAGCCGGGTCAAGCTCCAGTCCGAATGATCCACCCATCATGGCAACGTGTCCACGGAAAGCGACGGGGAGTGTTCGACCAGTTTGCTCGTTCGGGACAGCTGATAGATGGGCACCCATGGCGCTGGGTGGGTACGCGAGGGATGTTCCCATTTGGATGGTGATACGCTCGACAGCGTCGGTGTCGTCCGAGGTCCAGATCTGAGGGAAAAATTGCAGTATGCCTGGGTCGAAGCGGCCGCCACCCGAGGCACAGCCTTCCCAGAGGACATCAGGGAACTGGGTGGTGAGGTTGGTGAAGACTTTGTATATTCCTAACATATACTCGTGGTCTGTGGAGGGAGAAGGCATCTCGTGAATGCCCCTATTGTTGTCCCATTTGACATATGTGATGTTGGCGGTGTTCAGGATATTGGATACAGAGTTTATCACGAACTCCTGGACCTCAGGCAAGGCGAGATTAAGCACCAGTTGATTTCTTCGCTGTGTTCGAGGGTACAGTCCTGCGTGGAGTGCCCAATCTGGGTGCTCACGATAGAGGCTAGAGTTCGGGTTGACCATCTCGGGCTCCATCCATATTCCGAAGCGCAGGTTAGTCGACGTGTTGCCGGACTTGAGGCCGGTGATGCTGTTCACAGTATCCGCTAGTCCATCGGGGAATCGTCGAGGATTGGGCACCCAATCGCCGAGGCCTTCAGTGTCAGAGGTGCGGGGATACTTGTCACCAAACCAGCCGTCGTCCAGGACAAACATCCTGACACCCAGTTCGGCTGATTCTTGGGCCAGATGGTATATGCTGGTTGCATTGTAGTCGAAGCCGAGTCCCTCCCAGCTGTTGAGGAGCGGTGGGCGATCGGCAGTGGCGAACTTGCTCTTGATGAGATGGTTGCGATAAAGACGATGTAAGGAGCGGGACATGCCACCGATTCCATTGCTGGAATAGACTGCCACACATTCTGGGGAGTGCAAAGTTTCACCCTCTGCTAAAGACCACGACAGTTGACCGGGATTAAATCCCAACATAGCCCGGGTAAAGCCTTGTGATCCCTTTTCCACGTCGACGGAGAACGACCCGGAGTAGACGAGTGAGAATCCCCATGCCTCACCGGAAGCTTCAGTGGTCGCCGGATCCACTAGCGTGAGGAATGGGTTGTGCAGGTGTGAGGAATACCCCGTCGAACTTCCGAAGCTGATACACCATTAGTCAAATTATTGACATGAGAACTCAGATCAAGTACCTCTGGGTTCCATATTCAACTTTTCGCCGTTCACGGTGAGCTTCCCGTGCCCAGTCTCCCCGCAAGCTGATCATGTCCAGATCCTCGTAGGGAAAATCCACACTGATACTCGCTAGGGACTCGACGGTGATATTGCCTTTCCCTTTGTTGGTGATGCTGGCACTGCGCACAATCGCATCATATTTGGGGAAAATCGAGTATGACAAGTCTGCAGCGACCGCACTGTATTCATCATACAGATGCACGATGAGTGTAGTGACCTCGTCATCGGTTCCGAATGTCGACGGTAGACCCGGCAAAGCTGGCTTTCCGTGCTTGATATCATAGGACTGATACTGGAAATCCGATACAGTATATCCCTCTGTCTGTCGGATGCGAACTGCTGGCATACGGAAGTCCCCTCGACCTTGATCTGGGAATTCTCTTCGAGTGCGACCCGGTACTCCAACCCAGCCGTTCACTGCACTCACAATTTCCCTGGGAATGGGACCCGTCACGCTGCCACCGAAGTGATCTGACAGTAAGTCCCCAGTACTATTATCCACATGGAACTGGTAAGAAACATTGTCGCCATTCAGCGCAAATGTAGTCTCGTCCACAACAATTGCTATATAGAGTTAGCATAAGCGCTTGAAGCTTCGGAATTCACATGTAGCTCACCATCTGTGCTGGACTGAGCCGTTGCCAAAGAGCAACCAAGTAGGGAGACCAGACTGGTCACTGCTAGTTTTCTGCTTAGGTGGAACATGTTAGCTGTTCGCCCCTTGCCTAAACCGAGGATGTATTCCTCTAAAGGGGAATGAGTAACCCCTGGGGATTGACGTACCTTTATAGGGGAGAAGTAAGGCGTCCGATAAAACTCCGTGCAACAGGCCAGACCGTACCAGGTCTTCCCTGCATTTACCAAGCCCCCACGCGGGGTATAGCTCCACCGACAATGTCAGAGATCTTCAAGAAAGAAGCGCGTCCTAGCGGCGGGTTTGAACGCGTATGATTGGTTAGCATACAAGAATCCCGCCGCGCGCCAAGACTTGACTATTGGCATCGAACACAGCCCATAGATTTGGAGATGAAGGGTTTATATGAGAAATGCAGATCAGTGACGAGTGAGTCGGATCCAGCCGCTCATGGCTGGATAATCCGAATATCCGCAAAATAAATATCTTCAATGGCTTACGGAGTACAGTAAAGCCAAGATAGAATGCCCGAAGATGCCCCGCTGTGGAGTCCCCGGTTTTTGCTTTGCAAATCCCCCTCACTCCTGCTTTTATTCAAATTTAACAAAGAGAAAAGCTAAGGATTGCGTGGCTTGTCGGTAAGACGGATGAGGCGCTGCATTATGTCGATTTTCTGTGGGAAAATTCAATTTATCGCAACTACTATCAATTGATATTTCTTAGTATCGTGGTGCGGTTTAGGCTGTCTCATCATCTATCATCATACGCCCCTCAGAGACCAAGACAGTAGAGCCTCGGAGAAAGACCTCTTTGACCTGTGTTGTATCCTCACTTCTCTTGACACTCACAAAAATATCATTTTGCCTGCCCATTTCGACACCCTGTGTAAATTTGTATCTGAAAGGACCGCTGCCTCGCTCTTTGGGTTCTTTCAATGCAATGTAGCACCCCAGTGCACTTGCCGCACTTCCGGTGCCTGGATCTTCCCAAGAGACAAAATTTCTCGTCCTAAATTGTCTCTGGCCTTTTTGATCCTCTCCAAGGTCGACGAAATATTTGGTGGCCGTGAGGCCAGAATCCCAGCCTTCATCTAGATCATGAGGAACAAAACAGTCATCGCGTAGTCCAGCGCTGACACCTGCCAGCGATTTCAAATCGGGCAACTCGGCCAAAACGAAGGATAATCCGCTCACAATGGACACAATGGGGGACACTCCAGTGATCGTAACACTAGATTTGACAGTCGCCTTGTGGACATGATAGTCGAAAGGTATTCTGGCACTGACGATTCCGGTCGGAGATTCTTGAGCGACTGGAATGGGCCCCGCTTTAGTGACCAAGTACTGAAAGGCTTCCGAGCTCAGATCAGTGCAATGTTGGAGAATATATGCCGCCGCCCCAATGGTGGGGTGGCCAGCAAAAGGAATCTCGCATTTAGGCGTGAATATATCGACCGATAGAGAATTAAAAGGTTCTTGACTGTTGTTCTGTGGCTCATGCAGAAAAATGGTTTCGGACAGATTGAACTCTGCAGCTATCTGCAGCTTCTTCTCTTGCGACAATTGCGAACCGTATGCTGCAGGCACCCGTACTATGGCAAGAGGATTGCCCAGGAAGCGAGTGGTGGTGAATACATCGACAACAACGTATTGAAGATGCATGTTCGGGATTTAAGATTGATCTCACTTGAATGGTCGCACGTTGTTACAGTAAAGAACTCAGATCGTGGGTATTTATTCAGAGCGACTGGGCCAGTCGTCACCGACAGAAACGGCATTTCGGTGCTGCATCGCCATTCTTGTCCAACCTCGCTTGACCTATGCCGAGATGCTGAACTTCTGCTTCCGCAGATAGCCCCTCTTGTCATCGAAGGGCGTGGGGTACCCCAGGATCTCCGATTGGTTCGCCAGTTCCTCTGATAACAGCGTCCGGAAAAACGTAGCAGATGTGCTCAGCCCAAACGGAGGGATTGGCACAAGTTTCCCGGTCTGCCATCCCAGACAGGCTTAATTATTGATCAGATGGATACAGGCTACGGAAATAGCGAGCGTGATAATGGGTGCTATGGGAAACGAGAGAAGCTCAAGAGCAGCTGAGGGCACGGTCCCATATTAAAGTGGGTCCTAACAATTATGCCGAGCGGATATACAAGTTTGCCAACTCGCAAGGCAGTGTTGGTGGGCTTGACAGGGTTACTCAGTGATGTTATCAATAACGAAATATAGGAGTCCAGCCATCGAGTCAAATAGTAAATAGCTGACTGCAGCAATAGATAACCTTACAGATAGATTCCTTTCAGAAAAAAATATCGCAACTAAATTAGAACCTGTTATAGATCTCGGCCCGGGTATTCAAATACCGGCACCGCGGAGGCAAATACTTACATTTGACTCCATTCCAGGCCCCAAGCGGATCCGTTAGCTACCATTTTGATGGCAAAAAGTGGACTTGAAATCGGGAGGCCTCAATTGGCCAAAGCAAGTATCAGTACATATATTTTCCCAGAGAATACCCCCTGGGAGTGCACTATAGTTCTTCAAATTTGCGAGGCTTCATGACTGTGCAAGTAGCTCTTCTGGTTAAACTTATTACATGTGCTCAGTCAAAATTAAATTCTTAATGTGCTTTCTCGGTTTCATATCGTCCTCCACATGGATTCCTCGCTTCTCGGTACCGTTTTTATGTTAGTTTGCGCATACGAAAGGTTCAACGGTAATAATGAAATTTTCCAATAAGCTCTGTTATAAGGTCTTGTGGTGATGGCACAACTTGATGTCAACAAATGCGGTCGGCTACAACCGGCCTCGTTTTGGTGGGTCTTGGGGCCTGATCCCGACTCCGATCGAAACTTCCCGGGACTGATCGTGGCTTCATAGATCCCCAGTGTTGATATCGGCGTATCACGGCTGAGTTTTGATGTCATGTTCCTACGATACCGAGCTAGAGAACCGAGTGCAAGGATGAATGTGGATATGTGGATGAGGAAAAGCCTCTGGACTGAGAAACGAAGAGAGGATATGCCCCACTACTAACAAAAGCGATGTGCATTGCCCCACGGGTGCGGTTAGATTCGTTGAATATCCCTTGTCAAATGAAGGGCGCGGCCTTGCTTAATAAACCAGGCCTTGCCGTTTATCTACCCGGGCATCTGCAAATTTCCAGGCGCGATCAGTCACCTATCTGTCTTTTTATCTCTTTCACTATGTCACACGAAGATGCTCATCACCATATCGTCGCCATTGAGGCCATTCATTATCAAATACCCGAGTTCGACATACCCGGAAAATACACAAAAGCCGTACACCGCTGGACCGAGCCATCAGAGCTTATCGAGCGAATCAAAGATGCCACGATTGTCATTACCACAACCATCCGTCTGAATTCGGATGTCCTAAACGCTGAAGCCACTCCAAAACTCCGTCTCATCGTGATCATGGCAACCGGCACAGATTGCGTCGACTTAGCAGCAGCCAAGGCCCGAGGAATCCTCGTTTGCAATTGTCCAGGTAACAATGTGGACAGTGTCAGTGAGCACGCCATTGGACTCTATTTCGCTACGCGACGAAGGTTTCTCATATTGCATAACGCCACAACTTTGGTGCCTGAGGATCCGGATCTCAATACCGAGTGGAAAACGAACGGGTCCCTGCGGTCGAAATTGGCTAGATCGGACGGACGGGGTCCGTTGTTGTGCAGTGATGAAATTGTCGGTATCATTGGATACGGAATGCTAGGGAAGCGTATTGAAGCCTTGGCTAAAACTCTTGGCATGAAGGTTAACATAGCTGAGCGAAAGGGTGCGACTCCTCGAGGAGATCGGATCGCCTTTGAAGATGCTTTGAAGGAATCGACGGTTTTGTTTTTGTGCTTGCCTCGAAGCCCCGAGACGATCAACTTGATCTCGACTGCAGAGTTTCAGACGATGTCCCCTCATGCTTTGTTGATAAACGTCGCAAGAGGCGGAATTGTTGATGAGCAGGCGTTGCTTGAAGCTCTTAAAGGTGGCACCATTGCAGGAGCGGCCACGGATGTGTACGCCATAGAACCTTGTGGGAGAGGAGACTCACCTTTATTGAGCTCTGAAGCAGCGGAGCTAAATTTGGTTTTGACGCCTCATCTCGCTTGGTATGCGGAGAGAACGTTGCACAACTTAGAGGCGGCTGCAAAGGCTACTGTCGAGGCATGGTGTCATGGTCGACCCATTCATCAAGTGCAGTAATACGCCTAACGGGATAGTGAATAGCAACTTACCCAATTCTTTCCAGGAATCATATCCCGCAGTAACAAGGTACAGTAAACAGGAGCCAGTCCAAACTTAGGCTAGGTAGTGATTTTGAGGTTATGGCAAATTCATACTACTAATAATTCATCCACTGTAATAAGAAAAAAACCCCCGTGATCATCATGTGAAAACATCAGTTGCATACCTCTCCTTCCCTCGCAACCGATCAAAGAACTTCTCAGCCGCTGCATCATCATCAAGTTCAGTATCCGCTGAAAGCTCCTCCCCAGCTTCTTTAGCTCGAGCAATTTTCTCTCGACGCTTCTCCACGAAGATCTCCTTACAAATATCCCTAACAGCACCCCCAACCCCAGTACTACCACAAACGTAAATATTCGCACCCTGCTCAAATAACTCACAAAGCTCTTCACTATCCCCTCGCATCAAATCCTGGACATGCTGACCACTGGATCCATCCGATGGACGACTATATGCCCAACGAATATCAACAGCGCCGATCTTCGCCCATTCCTCTAGCTCGGCAGCATGGATATCGTCTTGACCTTTGGTCCGACAGCCGGCGTATAGAATTGCCTTGGCGGGTTTCTCGCTCAAGCCATCAGAGTGTGAGCATCTTCCACGGATTCGTTCGGCGCGATCCATAACAAAGCCGCGGAATGGCGCGAGACCCGTACCCGCACAGGCCATGATCATTGGCGTTTGAAGATCAGCTGGAGGTTTGAAACCCGAGTGAGACGGACGAACGGAGATATGTGCCCGTTCACCGGCTTGGAGTTCAGATAAATAGTTGGATGCAACGCCCATGTATTGTGCTGTTTCACCATCGGATGTGGCCGAGAGTGCAGGGGCGTTGAGGACAGAGAAGGTGATTGTGCATTCTTCAGGGGAAATGAGTGGGGAGGAGGAGATGGAGTATTGGCGTACGCGCATGGGTGGAAGCATGGCGAGGAAATCGCCGATTGGAAGCTTGATGGCTGGGTAGCGCATCATTAGATCCAAGGGACTGACTCGCTTTTGGACGATGCCCGAAGTAAAGTGGCTGGGGCTTGAGGCGATGTAGCGGAGTTCGGCTTGGGTTTCGGCGCATTCGACGGCGGCGTCGGCGAGGAGGTTCAGGTCGCGTTTTGATGCGGGCTGAGAGAGCTCGACGTATGTTGAGAGGAGGTCGAATGCTGAGATTGGTGTGTCCAGGGGGATGGATGGTGGAGCTGTGCTCTTTGATGGCTTTTGGATGCGGAGCATGGCGTCCCAGGGGAGATCGAAGCGCCGGATTGCTCGCCGGACGACTGGCGTTGGGTTCACAGGGAGAATGGCTAGGTAGTCACCACATTTGTAGGTCATGTCGGTTGGGAGCTTGAACTTGACCAGTCTCTTCTCAGGCACACCGGGCTGGGTCAAGAGTTGGTTTTCCACCACGAAACCTTCCTGTAACTGGAGGCCTAGGGTTGAGGCGCGCATTCCCGATGACACCTCTACTTGCAAGGAGGATTTCGGTTTGACAGCTTTGTCTTGTCCTCCTCCAAACTTCGCTGTGATGGATGGCCAGAATGCCGTCTCTCCCCAGCCATCGAAATCGGTGAACATGTCGGAATTAGCGGCGTCGGCAAGTCCGATGTCACAAAGTCTGCTTCCTCCATTTTCCAGAATCAGCTCATTCACTGCCTTTGGGATCCGGTGGAATGTAGCAGCCCAGTCATCTATATTTGATTAGCAGGATGTTTGAGCACTGGGTTTTATCACTTACGATGACCACAGCCAAAGACTGCATAATTGACATCTTCCAAACTACTACCCTTGAGTTCACTTAACCACTCAAAAAAGTGACTTGCATTATCAGGCGGCTGTCCTTCGTAGGAGGCCGTAATGAACACGACAGGGTCATTCTTCGGTATGTTCTGCATGGCAGAGTCCAAAGAAGCAGTCGATGCCGAGAAGCCATACTCCTGAGCATCATCGGCCAATCTGCGCGCAAACGCTTCACAAGTACCCGTGTTACTTCCATAGAAGATATGCATAGGCTTAAGTTTGCCAGCCACAACGGGTTTGTGCTTTCTCTCGCGATCCCCAGTATCGGACGCCTTCACTTCAAGAGTACCACTCAACGTCATACTAAGATGCGTCGGATCAAGCCCATTGCGCAACGAAGCTTTAATCTCAAAATCCTTAGGCTTGATAGTAAGAGTCTGCTTGATGCGAAGATCGTAGCTAGGATTGGCCATCTGGAAATTGAAGTTTTGCAACAAGATCGCCACAACGAGCAAGGCTTCTTGCCATGCAAACGGCCGTCCGATACAGCCGCGCATGCCATTTCCAAACGGCTTCCATGCATTCTTGGGCAGTTTGTTGAAATGTTCATCCAGCATTCTTTCTGGTCGGAAGTCTTCCGCATCAGGGCCCCACACTTTCGGGTCGCGTTGCATCTTTCCGATCATCATGACAATGGGTTCATCTTTGTTTAGGACATACTTCCCGCCGAGTTTGACTGGTTCCTCTTTATTCTTGACCGGGTGGGGGTGTAAGGCGATGAGTGGCGCGGTCGGCTTGAGTCGGAGAGTCTCGCGCATGACAGCCGTGATATAGGGGAGCTTGGCCATATCGTCCACTGTGATCTTGCGCTTCCCGATGATTTGGTCAACCTCTTCTTGGGCTTTTTTGTAAGCATGTGGTGTTTTGAGTAAATAATAGAACAAAAATGAGAGCATGCCGGAAGTGGTTTCATGACCTATACTGTTAGCTTCATCTGTGACTTTTTCGATCATTACGTACCAGCAATCAGGAATGTAATCATATTGTCGACAATCGAGTCGTCCGTCAGACCCTTCCCGCTCTGAGGGTCCCGACCTAGAATCATCGCATTTAGAAGATCCTTCTTGTCTTCAGGATTTCTTTTGCGCTCGTTCACGAGCTCCTGCGAGAGGTTTCGCAGATATTCCACATCAGCCCAATATTTTGTGTTCTCGCTCGTGGGCAGGTTGTTGATAAGAGCCGGACGACGAGCCCGTGTCCCCGATCCAGCAAGCAAGCCCACCATGGCCTCGACAAACGGATGCATCTCGTCACGGTAGAATGAGTTGAATCGCGTTCCCATAGCACAAAGTGCAATGGTATCCAGAGTCAAACGGGTGAAGTCATCAGTGACCGTAATCGCGGCATTGGGGCCTTGTCGAGCCCATTTCATTACGAGCTGGCTCGCGATATCGTACATCTCTGTACATTATTAGCATTTACGTCTTCCCAGTTTTGTTGGTTTTCTCACCATCAAACATGCCGCGGATTGCCAGTGGTCCAAATGCAGGGACTAGGACTCGATGCGCGACGCCCCAGTTATTATCTTCGCCTGGGACCTCGGCAGTGAAAAGGCCGTCGTGAGTGCCATTCCGAATTTCTTTCAGTCCGCCGGAAACTTTCTTTGTGAATCGTTCTTCGTCGCAGACTTCGTTTACTAGTTCGTGGGAACTAATGAAGACACGCGGGGAGCCGAAGGTGGTGAGTCGATAGATCGGGCCTAGAGCAACTCTCATTAGCTCATGACATGCTAGATCACGTCGGTGCTCGCTGTGTACCATAAGTATCAGCCATGAGGTCAATGCTCTTGATTGGCAGTTCTGCGTCGATATCATAGATGTTACCCAAAAGTGGGACCCCCTTGGGTCCCGGGATAGGAACCTCTTTGAAGCTCATAGTGAATGAGTATAAAGTAAAATTGAGAGAAAGAAGGATGAGTGATATTATGTATAAATAAAATTAAAAAGCCAAGAGACGGGGTTGAATCCTCAAATCCGATTGAGTTTGCTCCGACCGGTGTAGCGCCCCGCGGTCAGCAGTCAGGAATGAAGCTGTTACCGTGACTAACCCCGCCATGAACATTGACGTTATGATTTGTCTGATTGTCGGACCAATTAGACTTCTGCACTACCTGATTCTTTCGCGAAATCAGAGTCGTTCTCTTGTCGCACGTTGTACACGGGGTTGGATAATTATGCCTGCCTGTTGGTTCCACCTTTGAGCCTCGGCATCTCTCTGAAGTCAATTTTCGGTCGATCTCCGCAATCCAAGTAATTTATGTCAATAATTGGCCTCGAATTATCAATATCCGATCGGGCACGGGATCTCTGTTCGGGCCGACCGATGGATTCTGTATCAGAAATTATGAGGTCATAGTTTCCAAGGGGGTCGAGGCTAATTTTAAAATAGCTCAATGGGACCATTTCATGTAAGGTAGGAGAATCCCTTTCGTGGTTGCCTGTTCGCAACACCTTGCCTGCAAGAAGATTGGTGGTTGAGAAGAAACAATGTCTTTGAAAATATGTACAAATCATGTATGGTGTATGATGTATATGAACGAATGGCCTAGATCGGAAAAGGCAATGGCAATATAACGCCGGACTGAACCGAAAAAAGGGGGCAAGAGACGGATATCAACAGAAAAGCAGCCCCCGAAACAACAGGGCTGAAGAATTGGCAAGGAGAGGCAAAAAGAAATGGTCATTAAGGGGTTCCATGGCCATCGCAGACGCCTTCGAAAGGGACACGAGTCTCGTCAGGAAGTCAAAGTCATGGTGATGTCTAGAGACCGACAGCACAGGTGGAACCGGTCCAAAGAGCCGGCTCATAGCGAACAAAATCAAATGAAGAGTGGATCAGCTTTAGCTGACTTGCTTGTAGCCACTGTTTCTCCATTCGCTTTGTCTCCAGTTATTTTGGTGATCTAACATTTCGGTGCGCTGGTCGGCATATTTGGTATCATCCAGGGCGTGTTCGAGACGGCCCTTGCGGCGTTGACGCATGCACCACCATACGAATGCACCGACGATGGCTGCACCGACAACACCGGCTCCAACGTAGACTCCGATGTGGGCTCCTGTGCCGAGGTCGGCCCATTTCTCTGCGAGTGTCTCCTTGGGTTTCTTGTTCAATTCGGTGACAGTGGTAGAGTTACCCCTAGGACAGTCAGTTATGGTTGGGCGAAGCCTCGAGCGAAGAATACTTACGAGATCACCTCAATACTTTGCCAGTCACCAGAGTGATTGCCGTACTTGTACTCCTTGCCGGTGTGGAAATCCTGCACGCGAACCTTCTGGACGGTCATGGTGAAGGGAGCGTTGGTCCAATTTACCAGACCACCACCCCATTCAATGGTACCTAACGACTCGGACTCCTCACCGGAAGGCCAAATACCAATCTTGACCTGGCATGGAGTCTGAGGGTAATTTTTGCCCCCAAGAGCCAAGGAATCGTTGTAGTGGAGTGTACGAATCAAAGTTCCATCGACGTACCACTCCAGTTTATCGTGATTCCAGTAGGTTGTGTAGTTGTGGAACTCGGTGTCGGCATTCTCCACATACGCAGTGGTACCGCGATCGTATGATGTGGTGTTACCCTTGCCGAAGAAGTCGGTCGACACCTCCGATGTATTATATCCAATCCATTCCCAATCGATTTCGTCAAGGTCGTCAGATTCGAGAACGACACTGCTGATAATACCTGCACCCTTGGCCATCTTGACCCATGATTCGACGACGCCGAAGAAGATATAAAAGTTGGATTGTAGTGTCAAAGAGGATCCATTGGTATCGAGGCTGAATTCAGCTCCTTCGTCGGTATAGGTGAGCGAGCCATCGGTCATATTCCAGATTGTGGAGTCGAGGGTTGAGTTGAACCACCATGTATGCTCGGTGCCAAGGGCAGGATCCGCGGCACATGTAGCGTTGAGCGGATCACAGGAGGTTGAGGTTTGGGCAGCGGCATAGCCAGCCAGGGCCACAGCGGCTAGGGTGAATGTGTTTCTCATGTTGAAGTCCCGGTCTCTTAAGTCAATAACAAACTATTCGGCCCTGGTAGTCTGCGGAAAACAAACAATGAGGGGACACGAGATCAAAGTCTCGAATACTCGATTCCAAAAGAGTGGATGTGCGATGTAGCACGAAATGAACGGAAGTGGAAGATACCACGAGTAGTCAGGGAGTTTTAGAAGAAGGAAAGCATTGAAATGAAATGGGGGGGAAGGAAATACAGAAGTGGATTCGATACATTTCTGGGTTAGCTTAAAGCAAAAAAGTAAATGATTAATTTGTTTTTGTGTGGTCACAACACAGTAAGGGGATTAAAAAGTGCAAGAATATGTGAAGAGCTAAACCAACCGAGGTTTAACCCCGTACCTGACGCTAAACTAATTTAGGTTGTGGCAATTTCTTACCTGGAAGGCTTCAATATAATTGGATGAAAACCCACGATAAGACTATATTTACCATGGTTAGATACAGACAGTGTTAAGCTATACCAAGCTTCTCGTATATACCTCGTATCATGATCGGCGAATGTCACCCACTTGGATAGCAATTTATATGCCAAGTACTGTATACACCATTTCATCGCATTTAGATTTAGACCTAGATTTAGGCACCCAACTTAACATCGCTCACCCCTGATGCAGGGCAGTCTATTTTGAGATTCGTATTCGCTGAACTTTTTTACGAACCGGCTATTTCGGATTACTTTGCCCCGCTTGAGAAATCCACAATTTCCACTGACAACAAGCCCAAGTCATGTGGGGAACTCTTTCATCAAATCCCTGCTTTGTTCTAGCTCCCCACTTTATGTTCGCTCGGACCTAATTTCGCACCAAATGACCGATTCAGCACAAGCGAACTTGAGCTACTGAATAGGGGCACCATTTAGAAACTTTGATTGGCTGATTCACGAAATATGACCAGGGCGAAGCTTTGGGGCGTTACGCCAGTCCTTGGCCGTTACGTGGACAGATCACTAGTGTCTCCCCTGAGAGATCAGTTGTACAAGAGTACTTCGTACATTCGCTTCAACCCTGTTCCCAGTCTCGTTAGGACAGAGGGTCCTTGGAGGGATTGCGGCTACGGCTACGGCCCCGAGTCCCCGAGGACCCTCAGCGCCTTTTGTTACGTCAGCTACTGGAGACCAAACCATTAACAGAGATTTCCCCCGAATATGAAATTTGAGGAACATTTATTGGTCATAATAATTAACAAATGTGCAGCGTGGTAAACATTATCCGCCCCACATACTTATCCAACTTCCCGATTTGCTCTCGCTCAAGCTCAGCTAAGATACACCTTAGCTGGTCGTCGAACATTTTCCCGATACTGTCTTGAACTGCGTGAACTGTGTGGTTTCTCAATAACATCCACATATGACCCAGTGCTTCTTCTTCTGCGACCTCGAGTCCGAGTGACGGGTGGACGGTAGCCGACATCGGGTTCACCACCGCCACTCCATGCCCCGGGGAGTCGGCAAACTCGCCACAGCCACAGGAGAAGTAGGGTTCCGGCAATGGTGCCAATCACGATACCAGCAATTGCGCCACCAGAGATAGTGCTTGGGCAGCCGTCGTTGCCGGCTCGTGCTGCAAGGTTCCTTCCAGCGGGCGCCTGCACGCAATCGTCAGTTATCAATCCACCCCAGGGGCTTCAGATAGGAGCCATGGTACTGGGATCTCTGATCCGTACTTTGACTCTCCGTGGGTATCCACTGCACTGACCATGGTTATTGTTGACACTTCAGTGGATTAAAAATGTATGTATTCTTCTCTCGGTAGGGAGCTTCCAAGTCTTCTAGAATATATCGATCGCGGTGGGTCTCCAATGATCGCCAAGCTCAACGCAAGATCTCGATCTAAAAAAAATCACTGACCAAAGGAGAAGAATAAAAACAAACGAGAGCCTCAAGACAATCTTCACCTTTTATAAACATATTGCGGCATATTTTCTCATTCAAATGTTTCTGACCTCCTCTTTTCATCCCGCTCTGACGTCAAGAGAACGTCGGCCTTGGCGGCCTGGAAGAGCAGCGATCTACCTCGTTTAAGGAAACAAACCTGGAAGCTTGCCATAACAATTTCTCTTCTACCAACTATTGGCTGTCAGCTAACTAAATAAGAAACTCGATGACCTTGATCCGGTTGCATTGACTCAAGTACTAGGTATCAGCTCTGGGAGGCAGTGCTGTGCAATCGGTTCCCACGGAACTAGTAGCCCACGATTACAATACATGATTATCGCATGGATTTTGCGGGTTCCTATCAATCGAATGCGGGGTAGCCCAGACCTTCCAGCGCGCACTTGACATCTGGAGGTCAAGAATACGTAAATTGAATATTGAATAAAAGTTTCCTCTGTGATAAGCCGTTTTCAGATCCTCTATGCATGTTCGCCATTCTCCTCTAGCTAACATACGGGGTTTCTCAATTCAATTCCACATGTCCGGGTGAGGGTGGTACATCACCACTCTCCCACGTTTTCGCATCCTTGCCTAGCTCGAACTCAATACTCCCGCCATTGACCATGACATCTTCGTGCTCGAACCAGTTTTTCTCCCATTGCTTTCCGTTAATCTTTACGCTCTGCACATAGTATCCTTCATCCAGCCCAGTCGCGGAGATGCGTAGCGTTTTGTTGCCGTTGATGGTCATGTTCAAATCCGGGAACCAGGGTGACGACAGTAGGTACACGGGCTGTGTGACGATTGGATAGATGCCCAGCATTTGCCACAGGAGCCAGGAATTCATCGCCCCCGCATCGCTGTTGCCGGGTATGCCGTAGTAGGCATCCTTGAAGCTGTCATTGGCTTAGTGATGCTTCTAGACTTTTATTTCTGACACTTACTATTCGTTGGCCAGGCTGCGTGACTGTGCGACAGACTTGTGTTGCTTGTTAATATAGTTGTACAGATAGGGTGTAGCAAAGTCGGGCTCGTTTCTTTTCTGGTCAGTCAATATCAGTAGAATTCGATCAATTCAACATACCCGATATTCATCAATGTGGTAATGCCAGCCCCATTATCACCAAGATTTTGAATGGACATGTTTGGTTTAAACTGAACAAAGTTAGTATTCCATAGCATGCACCCATCATACACTTACCATCATATCAAGCCGTGCATCGAACGTCTCCGCTCCTCCCATAAGTTTAATGAGAGTCTCAACATCGTGAGGAATGACGAACGAGTATTCTGGATTCTCAGTCAGCCATGTCACTATTTCAATCGTTTCGAACATACCCCATGGAACACCCTCATAAGTATAACTAGACCACTCGCACCCATAACACAACCGCGGATCGTAGCCCGAGCTATTGAAAGTCCCATCCGAGAATTTGGGTGCCAGAAATCCCGTAAAGTTCAAGCTCTCCACACCCGAATCCCAAATTCTCTGCCATCCCGCAGAACGATTCAGATATTTTTGAACATCACCCTGCATCTCCCCTTTAGCAACCTGACTGAGCGCAAAATCATTCAAACTATACTCCACAGTCCGTGAGATGCAGCGCGTGTTGCGATCCTGCGACACATAGCCGAGTTCTTTCCAATCATCCAGCGCACCACGACCTTCTTTCGTGCTTGCAGTGAAATCTGTAGGATCAAATGTGTTGTACGGCGTCACCTCTGCGTCTTTGACCATTGCGGCATATCCATCCGTCCAATTGATTGATCCTCGGAGACCTTTTACGTATGCATCAGCCAGGACGTTATCGGCATCTGATCCACCTTGGACGAGACCATTGTAGTTTCCGGATCGGCCGTCTGGCATGTATCCTGCATGTCTGGAGGAGTCAGCTAGGAATAAAGTTTTGGAGGATTGAAACTACCTCCAGATATCAATAAGACCCCGGATCATGGACTCGTAGTACTCTGGTTGGAAGATGTGATAGAAGCTGACCGTGCAGCGGAAGATATCCCCTGTGAATGTCAGTAAAGTCCATATCTGAAAATCGTTTTGTTCTTACACATGGTGTAAAAGTCGTCCCAATATGGCTCGTCAGAATCCCACAATGGATTCTCGCCAGAACGGTCGGAGGGCATCAGGTGAGTAAAGTATAGAGAGCTGTATAGCAGTCTGACGTGTGTCATATTCGCTGAATCATCTAGTGGGACCTGGATCTTGTTGAAGACATCATCGTTCCACTCCTTGACGGCTTCGGCTACGGTGTCATTCAGCGTCCACGATGGGATCTCCTTTTCGAGGTAGGACCGAGCTCTGGCGGTGGAAATTGAAGAGATGCCCACGCGAGAGACAACACGGGAGGCAGACCCTGATTTCCAGGTCATCAGAGCACCGATCCGCTGGTTCATTGGTCCTGAAACAGCCTTTGTGGTCTGGTTGCTATATATTGGCTGACTTATGCCGCCGTTTGCCAGGTTTTGATACTTGGGAATCGGGTCTGTGTTGACACCGGAAAAGGTACGGGCCTGGTCTGGGGCTTCGGAGAACTCCCCGTAGAAGAAGACTGTGAATGGTGCACCTAGCTTCGATCAGTGTCCATTCTGCAATAATACTAGGTTCGCTGTTACCGTTATTCCATCCGCCGATGTAAGTTCCATATCCAGTATATGCTTTTCCGTCATCCTCGATTTCAATCTCTCCACCGACATAGAACTGGCTTCCTGAGTCACCTGGGCTTCCAGGTAGATACTTGATATATATTAGCAGTTTCTAGAGCCAGGGGTCAAGTGTGACATACATGAGACACGTCAACCAGGACATGCTTCTCTCCATCCGGGAATGTATATTCCATGATTCCCGCGTGACGCGAAGCAGACAACTCAACCGTCACTCCACTTTTCAGTTCAGTTTTATAATATCCCACACTCGCCTCATCATGTCCAACCTATCCAATATAAGCCTGTCAGTCCAGTACAAAAACATCTTAAAACTACTCACCCTCGGCTGGCTATAAGTCTGATTGTCCAGAATGTTGACAGGCGAACCAACCGAAGTCAACGGCATCTGAGCGATCAACCCATACTTCGGCGCCCCCCCAGTCCCACTCTCATGCATCATGCTAATACCCGTCACATTTCCGTCAGGCGTCCACCCACCATTCAACACCGCGGTACTCCAATTGACAGCCGTCGAATCTATACCGACCTTCGCGACACCAAATGGGCGCGCACCACCAACGAAAATATCTCCTCCCCCTGCACCCGTCCCATCTGGACCTTCAGAGCCGATGAACGGGTTCACATATTGCGAGAGATCGACCGCGGCTGTTGCTGAGGTGGTGAGTAAGACCAGCCCCAGCGAGAGGGCTAATCGGGGATTCAAACGCATTTCTGGCTTTATTTGAAGAGCGAAGAATCTGAATAGAAGATAAAACCATGCAAGGTATGCTCAGGAGATAGACTGAGACACTGCGCCTCCTCCATTCTTATACATTCCCCGGCGTGAAACAACCCGATCCCTTTCGTCAGGCTACTTTGATTTCCCCGCATATTATGTAGGATCGTGTTGTACGTCGTTACTTTCGTCGTCTTACCCCGCATGCTACGTGATGCACCACATGGGTACCGGGAAGTTCAGGTACTCGAGCCCTTTCTTTACCTTTCATTTTAGTGCAGATCTCTTGCCCTTTTTTGGTAAGTACGATTGACCACGCCCGAGCACACTAACTATGATGTAATCCAGATATTAAGCAGTCAGGATTCTTTTCCAAAGACGTGGGGGTAAAAAGAACAACTTGGAATAAAATGTTTTATGATGAATGGGGGTCTCAGCTGTCTACAATAAGGTTCATGCCTCAGGCAACAAGCCTTGAACTGGGCCATACTGCCATCGGTCACCGGTCACCGCTATCCAACTCTACAACACTATTGATGCCTTACTGCCTGACTGCCTGACTGCCTGACTTTTTGTGCATCAATGCTGACTAAGACTGATATGAACTCATTTTTAAGATCAACTGCGAGTCTGGGCATAACTTCAAACACTCTTCCGTCTCTTTTAAGGTCCGATTTTCGTCATTAGCCTGGTGGTTTCAAGCGGAAATGAACAGGTTTCTGTGAAAAAATACTGGGATTATTGGTTCAAGACCAATCAATGCAATGGACACAAATCACAACATCCGCCACCACCCGGGAGTGTGTGAGAGGTGTAAGAGAATGAAAGTGTGTGTCCCATGTCTGATGAGCGAAGAAAAGTGGGCTGAGCTCTTCTGTTAGACTAGATGCAATCGCACAGACGATACCCCGTGTACCGCCTGCGCACAGCGGAACTTAAGATGCATTCCTACTGTTATCAGGACCAGAGGGAAAGCCGTACCAAAGTCAGTTAACCTTGCGGAACTGGATTTCATAACCTGCAAATGTGCCTAATAGTTGTATAGAAATCAGTATGTGCATTCCATGGAGAAACGGATTGCGCAAATGGAAAAAGCAATGAAATCCCTCCCTTTGGCGCAGGAGATGCCCTTTACAGGGGGGTCTTTTAATGCTCTGATCGAAGAGCAAGCGAATCTTAGCCACGAAAGCTCCACTCATTTTATGAATAGTGATGGTGAAACCGACTTTATTGGTATTCAAATTGCAGTCAAGAGATCTGAGTTTTAAAGTTGTTGTCAGCTAACTAGAACATCACAGGCTCATCCTCTGCCTTGTCTATTATGTCACCACAAGGTTTGCAGTGGCTTCCAGGGGTGATTGGAGCATACAACATGGAACGAATAATGGTTTTACTCAATCGTTTCCGTTCATCTTCACATCTCTCTTTCGGCGACTTCACCCTGGCTGAGAAACAACAGAGTCGCCAAGATCTTCCACCACGGGATATTGCTGCTATATATGTGGAAAGTTCGTTTTTCAACCTTCGTGCATCTGAGGCATTTACTGATATATATAGATTACTTTGGAATTTTCAACCGAGTACTACATCTATATGATAGGGCCACTTTTGATCAATACTTTGCAATGCAATACTCCAACACCCCGCCAGAGACCGCATCATGGTACGCAAGTATTAACTTAGTCTTGTGCATTGGATCCAGATGTCGCACAAACGAAATACACTCAGCACCCGAGAAGCCTACACGAATGTGGGGCTATTTTCAAAATGCGATGAGTGTGGTGCCGGAATTGATCTTCAGAAATCCGACGACGATGTCCATTCAGGCTCTCATTGGAATGGTATGTGTCGTCTCGTTCTCTCCTGTGTCCTTGCGCCTCGATTGGCTGAACTTTCGAATTTTTAGACGATCATCGCGGACTCGAATCTCTCATTTCAGACATCTTCGATGCTCCTTTCAATGGCCATCCGGCTCGCTTTGAACAAAGGATTCCACCGCAAACTCATGGGCAATAAGATATCCCCCAAAGTCAAGGCGTCGAGAGAAAACATATTCTGGACTCTCTACATCCTTGACAAGGCCATATGTTTGCGGTTCGGTCACCCGTCATTGATAGATGACGATGAGATTTCAATCGATCCACCATCTCCTGATGCGGCCAAGTCAAATGGAGAAGACAGAAAACTCTTCCGGGCCTTCGTTGATCTTGCTCTGATCCAGAGCAAAGTATGCAAGTGGCTATACTCTGCTAGGTATCAAACAAAACCTGTTACACATCGGTTGTTTCTGCTTGGAGAATTGGATGAATACTTGCAAGCATGGAAGGATTCATTGTCTCCGGAACTACAGCCTGAAGCTCAGGTGAATATAAACGACCCTTCTCATGCTTTCGACACTCAGTCGGTCATGATGCTGCATATGACTTACTACTACACTGTTGGTACAATTCACCGTGTCTCATTGTTCCTGAATTTGAAGCCTGAGAATGTCGAGGGAGAAACAAAAGATTCTACTGGCAGTGTTGATCAGGCAGAATTAAGTGCCTTAGTTTGCCTCTCGGCTTCGCGAACAACTATCCACTTTCTGAGATATGGAAATTGCTCATTTGATGTGCTACCTCTCCTCTCCTGGTAAGTCGGCTGCCTCTTTTAGATCTTTGCATCTCAGCTTATCAAATTAGGTGCACCATGTATTATGTCCTTGTCGCTTCCTTGATGATTTTCGCCCACATTGTGAGAGACCCGACAGGCCCCGAGATAGAGTCCGACCTGTCCTATCTACGAATGTTTGCAACCACGCTCCAAAGGTCATCTGTGAGTGGCTCTTCTCATACAGAGGCATTAAAAGCTCTTGCAGAATTGATTTTGAACATTGCGGAGACAATCGTTCAACAAAGAAAAGACCAGCGACAGGTAGAGCCACTTAGTGCTGGACTTTCCAGTCAGCATATTTCATACACACCAGCAACGCATGGGCAATCACCCTCGTGTTCAATCCCCTCAACTATGTCAGCAGTCCCATCATCAGCTATCCCACAGCTCGCCGATCATAGTCTCTCATCTGCCGTCAACGCCGCGGGGGGCATATATGATTTTATATTCCAATCTTCTATGGATGTACGTTTTCTCTTGAATAAAAGCGCAATGGTATTTCTGGCTTCCAAATCTTTGCTAACGGCTAACCATCAGCCATCTCCATCTTTACTTTCTACGCCAACCGCCAATTCCAACTATTCCTTTACTCCTTCGAGCATGTCAGAAGATTTCAAAACCGCTGAATGGGTCAATTCCTTCGAAACCGAGCAGGGAGCACCTTCGAATAGCTGGTACCCCTAGGAGTCTGTGTTTGCCTTGTCTTTTAATATTATAGATTTCTGCATATTGTGGATTGGAACATCCTTGACATTTAGTAGTGAGTGATACGATAGAATGGCTACTCTAATACGCGCGTTCGAAAATAATGATCATTCTCAGGGAAGAAAGCTCCTTTAAGCGCGCATAGCCTGCACCAAAGGTCGAATTCTAGTCATTTATCATACACTCAGATCCCTACAAAAGTACTCGTATAAATTCTAGTATAAATTTACTGAAGATTTTTTATTCCAGAATGTTCGCCTTCTATGTATCAATTGATCGCGACTTCTAGTACTCTATACTCTAAATTTCACACAAAAGCAACGCAATTAATCCATGACTGGATGAAGACCTACAAAACAGTCGAATATACTCGACATGGCCTCCACCTTCATCAATGTATAGACACTCCAGTACATAACACCAGCCCATGTACAGATCAAGTGCGCGACCTCCTTCTACGCCTTTCGCTTCCTCACTCGGAAGACGTAGTACAGACCGATAGCCACAGCAATATCGAAGATCACATAGGCCCAGACAATTCCAAAGTTGCGCCATCTGTCACTCCAATAGATCTGCTCGCCGCTCAGGTACTCGTCCGCGGTGGTAACGGAGCAGTATTGACAAGAAGCCGTCGCATCAGGGTTGTGGAGCTTTCCAACCTGAGTGGTAAGATATTCGGCCAAGTATTGTCCACATGTCTGTCCTGATGGGGGGTCAAAAACGGCCATTTCGGAAGAAGAACATTTAATCTCGCGCCCGTGAAGCTGGGTGGATGTCATGCCGCTGACCCAGTATGTGAACGGTGAGAGGCGATACATGAAAATCCAGAAACCAGGGAGAGCCGTGGGAGTTTGCATGACACCGTTGAAAAGCAAAGTCATAGCAAATAGAAGGGTTGCTACTGCACCAGCAGTTTCGGCATCCGGCAAAGCTGAGATCAGCATCGTAGCGAAGGTTCCAGCATACACAAAGAACTCGATGCAGAAGAGCAAGACCAAACCTTGTCGCTCAGAAGACTCTCCAGTGCCATTGACTGGATAGTAATAGCAGATAAAAACAAGGATACCGACCAGGATCTGGTAAGGAATCTCAACCACAATGTTTGACAAGATGAACGCTTTCCAGGAGTATGTCTTGCTAGGGCGTTCACGGACTTCGTATAGAGATCGCTGAGTAACGAACAATGGCATAATCTGTTGCACCATGGAGGAAAAGATGGCACAGATCATGAACAAGGAGAACAAGACGTTTTGCGTTCCTTGGAGCGAGTGCCCAGTTTTCCAGAATGAAAAGCCGATGAAAAGTCCAGAGGCGATACCGAGCATCATTTTCGCAATAATATACGAGGGCATCCGCCAGTATTGTTGGAAGATGCGGTATGTAACAACGCGAAGCTGGGTGGTCAGAGATACTGCGAACTCTCCAGTTCCTTCAGAGTCTCCTTCTATAACTCTTCCTTTCGTCTGCTCGTGGATACGTTGAAGCTCGGCTTGAACCTCGGCACACTCGGGACCTGCTTTCCAGACATCAAACCAGGCTTCTCCCTTGTCGTTTGTACCCTTGTTCACAACGTCCAGCATATACTCCGCGGGATTCTCTTCGTCTTGACATTTGCGGGCACCGTTTGCTTCGAAGTAATCCAATAGGGTGCGAGAGTTTTCGCCGATGGGCCCGAAGTAGACTGTCTTGCCTCCTCTTGCGAGGAAAAGCAATTTGTCAAATTCTTGGAAGAGAATGGCACTGGGCTGATGGATGGTGCAAAGAATAGCCTGGCCCGAGTCCGCAAGCTTACGCAACATAGTGCAGATAGCCCAAGAGCTTTGAGAATCAAGTCCACTGGCAATATGTTAGGCGATTGAAATAATCTTTGTTTGGGATCAGGGCAAACTTACCTAGTAGGTTCATCCAGGAAAATCAGTAGCTTCGGTTTGGCGGCAAGTTCGACTCCAATTGACAACAGCTTGCGCTGCTCAACATTCAGTCCTTCTCCGGGAACACCAACAACAGCGTCAGCAAACTCTCGCATGTTGAGCAAGTCAATCACCTCCTCGACATGTTGATTCTTTTCCTCGATAGAAACAGAAGAAGGCTGTCGAAGCATGGCGCTGAATTGGAGACTTTCGCGGACAGTGGCCGTTTCCAAGTGAAGATCTTGCTGCTGGACGTAGCCCGTACTCCGCTCGAAGCTTGATGTGAGGGGTTTATCATTAACAAACATGTCGCCTGTAACAACACCCATAGTGGTTCGCTGGGCAAGAACATCCAAGAGTGTTGTTTTTCCAGCTCCACTAACTCCCATCAACGCTGTGAGAGTGCCAGGCTTGACCCAACCAGCGACGTGATCGAGCAGGCGGCGAGGCTCTCCCTTAATCTCAATATCGTAGACAAGATTATTCCAATTGAAAATATCACCATCAGCCTCTTCTTTGGGAACAGATAGTTCTTTGTCGATATGAACATCGCCAGTTGCAGCTGTAGTCGCGCGAGATTCTCCATTTTCTTCATCAGACAATGCTTCATGGCCACCGCGCATATACGCTGGCTCACGGCCCCGGGGAAAGACGAGAACCTCTGCAGTGCTCGTTGTAGCAGAGTTCAACTCGGTGGCAACGAAATAAATCGCCATCAGACCAATCAGGAACCCGATGAGAATGCCGAAATTCCGCCAAGCGTGTGCGTAAGTATACCGGAAGCTTTCCCATATGTAGTCATCACCGCTGACTGTGCGTTGGCCGGCAACTGCGCCTGTCGCTGAACAGACAAAAGCATTGCCCGAGAGGTTATTGTAGTCAGGAACGAATCCAGAACATTCAAAATTACGGCCGTGGAATTCATTGGCCACAAGGATCTCAAACGCGTAGAAAATCGGATCTGTTTAAAAGAAGTTAGTCTCTGGTATCATGTAACCACCCACTCTCAAGGGAGTTGAAAGCTTACTCAAATAATGAATCCAACCAAACCACGGATGCATGTATGGCACGGGGACAATGAATCCAGAGTAGACGACAAGCATCAGAACGAGAACACCGGCCAAGGTCATGGCCTGAGATACAGTTTTAGTGATAGCGGCGAGCGTGCGGAATACGGCACTCATGACAAACATAATGAGGTAGTTGATCATGAAGAAGATGAAGAACTGTGACGGCTCAGTGCGAAGACCACTCATGAAATAAAGAACCACATTGAACATCACAGCCATCAAAAATTTCACAGGAATATCGGCGATCACACCAGCGATGGCTTCAGTTGCCGGGTGATAGAACGCGTACGATGCATGCTTTTCCACAATTGCCCGCTGAGAGTAGAGACTATTGATTTCCGTCATAGCAAGAAGGGCGTTCAGTAGGACTGCGAAGAACAGAACGGCGCCTTTTGCAGAAAATCCTGCAGTGGCGGTCGGAGTTCCATAGAAGATAGAACCGATAATGAGAGCCATGATAGCTTGTCCGACAGAGCCAGTGAGGGTTGATGCAATATCGTTCCAAATCCGCTGATAAGCTCTTTTAACGTTGAGCTTGACCTGCATTGGGACACTGATCAAGTATGGCGACTCGGCTCTGGTATGATTGGCTTGACCTTCGGATTTTTGCTCCTTGAATTCCGTGACCACGTTTCCATTCATAGGATGCGCTTGTTCGTGAGCGACTATCTCCCCTTGTAGCTGGCGGCACTCATTGGACTGCTTCCAGCGCGCCTCAAACTCTTCTGGAGTCCGTGGAACTTTCTTCTCCATACCCGGAGAAGTCTGTCGCTCACTTGGGTTGGTGATAGATGTCAGGAAGTCACCAGTGGTCTGTCGTGGGGGACAGTACCATCCTTGTTGTTCGAAGTAGCGTTTAGCTCCCGCAGCTGGGCCGAAGTAGATCTGTCGACCTTCATATAGGACAATCACCTTGTCAAAAAGATCGTAGATTGCTTGACTGGCCTGGTATGCTGCGACTGCGTGACAAGATCCACCTAGATCGGCGAACAGACGTAGGGATTCCGCGAACTTCAACGCAGTCGCCGAATCAAGACCACGTGTTGAGTTATCCCACGCCGCGATCGGCGCACCAGCCAGAGCCATCTCGGCGATACTGACACGTTTTCTTTCTCCGCCTGAGACACCCCGGACCACATCATTTCCAACCTTGGTGTTGTATGTATGGCTGAGACCAAACACGGCCATAATGACCTGGGTCATTTTCTGAGAGTATTCAACGCGAGACATGTCTTTAAGTCGACGAGAAGGAGTGCGCACAGCTGCTGCGAATTCCAAAGTTTGTCCGACAGTCAGATGGGGAAAATGTTTATCGACCTAGTGATCACAAGGTTTAGCATAAGCTGAAAGCTTGCCAAAAGAGTATCAAATTCCGCAGTGGGCTCTCACCTCTTGGTTGTATACAACTTCTCCCTTGAACTCCTTGATCATCTGCGCCTGTGGAATACCTGAAAGGTTGTCAGCAATTGACCAATAAGCATGTTCAGGCAATGACAGGGCCTACCATCATAGTGAATAGCAGAGTTTGAGTCGACGCTGAGCCCGTGAAGCTCTCCAGTCAAGGACTTCAAAAATGTCGAACAGCCAGATCCCGGTCTTCCCAAAACAAGAAGCATTTCACCACTTTTCACCACGCCATTGAAATCCGCAAGAATTGTCTTAGGCTCAGACTTAAAACCCTTGACCATTTCGCCGATTCTCATTGGCGCCATCAGAAGATCAGTGACGGTCTCTTGCAACATCAGTGCCGAGCCAGTACCGGTGACATGCAAGTTCTTAAAGACGATGCCGGAATTCTTCATGCGGATGCCTTCGCTCTTGACGCCCTGAATCATGAAGCTCAGCCATTTCTGAAGGTCGAACTCGGCGCTAGCGGGATCCAAAGCAGCATCATCATCGCCAATCTCAAACACTCCTCCCTGGTGGGTTTTCCGCGAAACTTGACTCGCCAGTCTCATGAGATTATCTTGATCCTCTTGCGAAATGGACATGCGATTAGTCCCATAGGCCCGACCATGCTCAGTGTTGTCTTGACTAGGCTTGTCTCCATCCGGTGTTTCGGTACCTCGAACCGCAGTGAATTCCTTTAGTTCGAAGTCATGATTGTTGTTCAAGAGATCATCGACTGAATTCGTAGCTGTATTAGTGGCTGTATTAGCAGTCGTATTTGTAGCCGTGTTGGCTGTGCCGGGTGGCGAAGGCATTCTCTTCCGAAGAACGCCAGTCCAACAGACTTGGGTAAGGAAGAAATGAAAATAAGAGATTTAGTCAAATGTTATCAGGCAGGTAGTAGAAAAAGAAAAGGAATGAAATGAGTGCGATATAAGCCACCTGATATGCAAACGAGTGACAAGGGTGAGGTGAGGATTTACAAATCGGTTCGAAATTGGGCGATCGGTCCCATGCAGTCTTTATAGCAATTTACGTGTCGATCTAACGTTGACGAATCGGGCCACTCAGAAAGAATAATTTGTGATAACAAATCCACCGGGAAATCCACTACAGGGGGGGCGGAAGCTTTTTGCTTCCGAAAGAAAAACAGAAAATCCTTGAATCAAAATAGTGGATACAAGTACGGAGTTAATTTAATGGAACAATACGCTTATCTCCATGGAGAGACAAAACCTGATCTGGGAGTACATATCGGATTTAATCGTAAATAGGTAAAAGCAGCAATAGATAACCTTAGAAAGAGATCATTAATAGACATCATAACTAAACTAGAACCAGTTAGTTGAAGTACACCATTAGCCTTGCAGATCTCGGCCCGGGAATTCTATTACCGGCATCGCGGAGGCAAATACAATCGGACTCCATTCCAGGCTCCACTCGGGTTTTTAAACTATCCGTATCCGTTAGCTAGTGGACATTTCAAACACAATTAATGATGGTTTCCACAAGATTATTGAATGAATTAGAATCTGGTTTCCATCTGGTATCCACATGGGAAATCTATGCTATTTGACAAAGCACTTTTTATCCTTTTGAATCTCATCCAGAACGTTCACATAGAATTGTGGAACCGGAGCCTTTTCGTCCGCTTAGTCATCAAGCGTTTTCAAACGTTTGGAACCTCCTTCCCCACCCCACTAGATATCTGTCTTAGGAAGCTACGATTAAGCATGGCATCCCACATATTAGTTCTTGGAGCTACTGGTAGGCACCCATCCTATTTAAATCCTCAAAATTCCATCATCTCATCCCCTCTTAGGCCAGTCTGGCTTGGATTTTTGCCGTGCTGCCTTGCAGCAGGGGCATCAATTAACCTTATACGTGAGAAGTCCTAACAAGATACCCGAGGATATTGCCAGCGCTACTCCCGTCTCTGTGGTCGAAGGTACTCTCGAGGATCAATCGAAAGTACGTGAAGCGATCGCTTCCGGCCCCACTGTCTTTGTTTCTTTTGCCGGGCCAGTATCCCGCTCCCAGGGCACGGTACGGTTCTCTAGGTTCGCTCATGCTTCACTGCTCACGAACTTGCTTTTTTAGCCTGTCACCGATGCTATGAAATTTATATTCCCCCTGCTAATCGAAAACAATTACAAACGAGCCCTGGTACTAGGCACTTGCTCATATCCTGCACCTGAGGATAAGGGTGGTTTCAAATGGAAGGCTATTGTCATATTTATCAAGATTATTGGCGGCTCCGCTTACCAGGAATTTAACGGTTTGGGTTCCTTCGTGGCCTCTCAAGATGTGAACCAACTGAAATGGACCCTCTTTCGTGTGCCGTTCCTTGGCAATGGAGCTGAGGCACCGGTCAAAGCAACTTATACCGGGTCTGGTGAGGATGGTATGTTTTTGACCAGAAAAAGTATCGCGGCATGGGTTTTGGCCGAAATGAAGGAAGATTCCAAGTGGGTTGGAAAGACACCCGTGTTATCAAACTGATCTGGGTTATTTACTGGACTGTTTAGTTTGTTGCCTTTGACTCACTATATCGCTTAAACTGAATCAACTGATATTTTTTTAATATGAGAATATTTCATTCGAAAGGAAAGCTTCCTCTGGAATTCAGGCTATGGGAAACATAGGAGAGCAGAGAAGAACATATCTACTAGGTATCATATGGTGTATGTGTTGAACAATTTGAAAAAGAAAAGAGAATTAAAAAGAGAGACTGGGATTATATCCTTTCGTACTACTTCCTGACTGCATCCTCAAAATAACCGACAAAAGATTGTCAGGCAAGAGCTTGCAGTAAAAGTACAGTATGGAAAGTCTGACGATGGTCCCTCTGAGATATTTGTGGAAACCCCCCGGAATCAAGCTGTGGAGAAATCTCCTGAGAGTTGTCCCAGAAAGTAGCGAATGACCCGCCATGGTACCCGCAGAGAGACTTGCAATAAGACATGCCGCAAGTTGGACATCAGTAGCAATTCGGAAAAGCAATGCAAAATTTTTTTTTTGAAAGGGGAGGTCAATAATGAAGGGGAGCATCCAAGGTAAAAGCCTAGATTTTTAATGAGACGACGAATATACCACGTTGCTAGGGTATAATAGCTTCGCAGGACATTAAGCTATCTTCCCGCAGTTGTCGCTCATGTACGCCAGGCATTAAGATGTCACGAAACCATCTCGTGCCATTAAGGCCCTTCAGGTCCTTCGGGTCCTTCTCATGATTACGGCCCGCTTTTATCTCGACGTTGAACAGAAATTTGCCGAAAAAGTCCTCTGTGACGACTGCGGCGGAATATGGCACCAAATCGTCCTTGGGTGCGGCCAACATGAGTTCTCTCCGCGACCAGTTCACTAAATCCTGGATCGTTAGATCATTTCTTTCCTGATGAACAAGAACAAAGAGTCTTTCCAAAAGTCGTCTAGTTGACGGGTTTCCCTGGTCCCCCCCAATTTTTGGTGCTCAGGTGGAAAACGAAAACAAATTGGGAATCGTCGTTTGCATCCTCAAACCAAACAAGGATTCTCGCACCCCATTCAAGGAAATTTTCGGATAATTCTCCTCTCATCAATATCATAGGACCCGACGTGGGTAAGTATGGAGAGTATACTCTGGTGATGTGGAGATTTGGCGGATGGTTTTCATAATGGAGGTAAAATATGGAATCTCGACGGCGTTGCTCATGAAGTCCAAACTGGGAAGTAGGTATACTTGTTTCCGTGGCCATTTCAACCAGGCTTGACGTCCAGCCAAATGCATCGCCCCTTTGGCTTGCACATAGAGGTTCCCTTGTATGCACTTGATTAGAACTGCGATGAGCACGGTAGGGTCTCTCTGGTCTGGCATTTAAGGAGATCGAAGGAGACATCATCTCCAATAAGGAGTGGAATATCCATGCTAAGACCCTTGTTGGTGATAGAAAAAGGGGGACTCGGCGCGCCAAAACTGCAGGGAAGATAATCTCCACATTTCAGAAATGCCGCCAGGGAACTGGCGAGAGTTCCACTTGTTGACATCTTGAGTTATTTGACAGGCCGTGATAAATCTTGGAACTCTTTAAAAGCTATGTCCATGTTCATGATGGGATCCCAATGCCATGCCAACAATGACTGATCATCTGAGTGCTTGATGATTTCCTCCTACAGCCGCAAAAACACCCCTGCTCCCTCGCCAAATAGCAGTGGCATGTTTATTCCAAATATACCAAGCAGAGAGTATACTCGGTCTTCCGGTCGACTGGTTTCGCGCTTTGACGCCCAACTCATTCTTTCAGCAATGCTAGCCGAATTCAGACGACTCTTCGGAGTAAGATCAGGTTCAAAATGCTGTCTCTTTTCTAGAATGACACACTGATACTAGTGATCTCACTAAGTTGACTACATACTGTCTCCCGGTAAAACAGATCTGACCAATCTCGGGCCAAGAATAGTAGCTTTTCAGGTGCAAGGAGCTCTTGTAAAGTCCATCCACGGGTAAACCATCGACTCTGTTGAAATGCGGGTTGATTTGGATCAAGGTTTGGAGGAACATCTGCCAGATAGGCATAGCAAATATCAGAATGCTCATACCATCTCATCATGGAGTTGATTGCTTCAGAGAGTTCTGCGCTGCTTGTCTTGTCAATGCAGCAGGTATCCACCCAGACATAATGTGTATTGTCTTGGAGCGCTCCTTGACAGGAGTGCTTGATTTTGGATTATCCATTTTTTGAGGTGATTTGGGATATTCGAATGCGGGGAGACGGGGTTCTTCTTTGTTCAGTTTCCAGCCTTTGCATATCCTGACAAGTAACCTCGTCTGTGCCCCAAGTATGAGACAAGATGGCATGATTTGGGATTTCATGGTCCATGTACTCCATCAATTTGAAGGTTGCCGCATGGATAAGAATATTCAACTTGTTGTTAGGTCGTAAGCAGCTGATTATGTGTCCAGCTGCTCCTAGTCAGCTTCTGTCACATGACAGGCGAGGGGTGATGTGTGGCTACGCCACATTCGCGATCACAGAATTTCGGAAATAAAGGAAGATAATAGAGAAATCTGATGGTTTGTTTGAAGCATGAAACAGAATGGATGTTGAACAAACAATTCACTTTGATCAACTTGAAGGAACATTTGAAGGGAGGGGATGGGAAAAGGTCATGTAATCAACCGGAGATTCCTAGCTTCATTCATGCCGCATGCAATACGTTGATTTCACTGAATGTTGAGAGGAAAATATAGAGCCGCCGACAAAATGTAGCAAAGGGCATCAGATGTCCCCCTGAACTACCAAATTGGATCTTATTCTAAGAATATCCTCATCCGAAAAGCCGAGGACAGACTTAAAGTAGCCCTCAACATTTCCATACTTCTCCTCCAGCCAAAGCATGGAGGCCTTCATATTCTCGGGATCAGAAGCTAGTAACCGTTCGACACCAGCAGGGTCGTTCAATTTTGTAGCCTCTGTGACCTTTGCCGCCATCATCTTCTTAAGCGGAGCAAGTCCTAGATCCGTCAACCCATACTCCTTCCCAATAACATCCAAGTCCTCAACACCGGCCAAGCGAAGAGCCAATGCCCCAAAGCATCCGGTGCGATCTTTTCCAGCTGTGCAATGAACCAGGAACGGCTCATCAGGTCGATCACGCACGTGCCCAAATAGCCGACGATACGCAGTGGCGCCGGACAAGAATATCTCAGAGTAAGCAGTAACGTAGCCCTTGGAGCCATCTGTGGACAGGTAGGGCTTTATGCTCAGTGCCATTGCCTCGGGGCTAGCGTCCTTGAGGGCAGAAACCGGAACATGATGCCTGTCGACTCCTGTAATTGTTGAGGAGGGGTCCCTGTCGACTTCGAGGTCGGATCGGAGGTCATATATGTGACTAATATGTAATTCAGAAACGAGTTTGTCGCATCCGGCAGCGGTGATCTTTGTAGGCAAGGCGGAGCGGAAAATGAAATTACTGCGTACCGAGCCGGAGGGCTGGACGGAATATCCACCTAGGTCGCGGAAGTTGAAGATGCCGGGGACATCATGGAAAGGCGGGCTGGGGAGCGTGGGATATTCCGAGGCCATTTTGGTCTTGATATTGAAATTATGAAACAAGGCAGGTTGGAATTGACTCGATAGTGTATGGGGAGATCGACAATATTATATCTTGGCGTTTGATCTTTATGTCGGATCATCCTTCGGGGTTCGGAATTGTTCATAAAAGGAATCCGTCTATTTCTGTAAACTTAAGCGGACCAAGTTTGAATCTCCACAATAATGTACAAGTCAGGACCGCATAAGATTTACGCGAGCCGATACATATAATTATGCATTATTTGATAATGCCGAAGCCGTAAAGTGGGGCCGAATAAGCCCCTTAGGCAGCCACTGAGATTTGGTGTTAGCAGTTATGTCAAAAGATGATGATTAATCCTGGCGCCTAAGCTGCCGAGGGACAGAACAGTGTGTATTGAGTGATATGGAGAAGAGAGAAGAGAGAGGAAGAGGAAAGAGGTAATACCTGGGTCTAAACGGGACTAGTGCGAGATGGTGAACACCCAGCTCACCTGATTCCGATACAAATAACATTAGGATGATCTACTGGTCCGGAAGCTTTCATTTGCACGAAGTATCATTATTCATAATTCAGAGGACATTGATCGAAGATCGCCATGGTTGGAGAATCGGAAGGTCTAGGTACCGGTGCGCCGATGAAAATATTCTTGGTCTACCCGGCCCCACATAATTATGTCCAAATCTAAAGGAGCAGGCTGAGAGACTTGACCGTTTATTTCCCCTCGATTGCGTAGTTCGTCTCCACTTCAAATTCCATATCAAAAGCGCGCCCCTCGATTCCATCAATACGTCTCGGCAAAGATTTTCATTTCACTCAAAATGACTTCTCACACGGAAGAGGCTTCGCCTCTCTACCGCGATAGTTCCAAATCCATCGATGAAAGGGTGTCCGATCTGGTCGCCCGCATGACATTGGCTGAAAAAGCTGGCCAGCTCTTTCAAAACATGGTATTTCCCGGCCCAGACGGCTCTCTTGCGCCCGCATTGCCCGACTTTGGCCTTGGAGATACAAAAGAACAGATCTCGGGGAAACTCATGACCCATTTCAATCTTATTGGCCCAGTCCAAGATCCTCTCATGATAGCAAAATGGCATAATGCCCTCCAGAAATACGCCTTAACCCAAACTCGCCTGGGGATCCCGATAACCATCTCTTCCGACCCTCGGCATCATTTCAACGAGAATGTGGGGGCCTCATTCTTCTCCGGTGCCATGAGTTTATGGCCCGAGACATTGGGCTTTGGAGCACTGCGTGATGCAAAGCTTGTTGAGCGGTTTGCCGACATCGCGAGACAAGAGTACATCGCAATCGGCCTGCGCGTTTCTCTTCACCCGCAAGTCGACCTGGCAACGGAGTATCGCTGGGCTCGAATCAACGCGACCTTTGGTGAAGATGCCGATTTGTCGGGAGAGCTCGCCCAGGCCTACATCCGTGGCTTCCAGGGAGATAGACTAGGCGCCACGAGCGTCTCGACTATGACTAAACACTTCCCAGGTGGAGGTCCGCAACTTAACGGGGAAGATCCTCATTTTACTTACGGTCGCGAACAAGTCTATCCTGGGAATAACATGAAATATCACCTCGAGCCTTTCAAAAAGGCCATTGAGGCTGGTACCCGTCACATTATGCCATACTATGGAATGCCAGTGGGTACTGAATGGGAAGAAGTTGGCTTCGCATTCAACAAAGACGTGATCACGGGGGTCTTGCGAGAAGAACTCGGTTTTGAAGGTATTGTTTGTACCGACTGGGGTCTTATCACGGATACTGAGATCTTCGGTCAATCAATGCCAGCACGGGCTTGGGGCTGTGAGGGTCTTTCTCACTTGGAGAGAGCGAAGAAGATTCTCGATGCTGGCTGTGATCAGTTTGGAGGAGAATCAGTACCAGAATTGGTCATTCAACTAGTTGAACAGGGTCTCATTTCTGAATCTCGAATTGATGAATCTGTTACTCGGCTTATGCGAGAGAAGTTTGTACTCGGTCTATTTGACAATCCATTTGTCGATGAGGAAGCAGCTGGGAAGATCATTGGACAGCCTGAGTGGAAAAGGGAAGGTGAGGCAGCTCAGAGACGGTCGTTCACTCTCTTGAAAAATGAGAAAAACACCCTTCCCCTTCGAGAGGAAGTCTATCAAGGCAAGAAAATTTATATCGAAGGTGTCAGTCAGTCAGCTGCCGAGGCGAGGGGCTTTGAGATCAGCAGCATTGAAGAAGCGGATATTGCCATCATGCGCCTTAAATGCCCGTTCGAACCCCGCCAGGGCGGCTTTGAGTCTTTCTTCCGCGCCGGGTCTTTGGCATTTTCTACCGAGGAAAAGGCTCGCCAGGCAGGAATTTTCTCCAAGGTTCCTGTCAGCATCGTGGATGTGTATCTCGATCGCCCAGCAGTCATTCCGGAAGTTGCAAGCCAAGCCACTGCTTTAACAGTGAGCTATGGCAGCACTGAGAACGCTTTCCTCGATATCATTCTGGGAACCAATGGTGCTGCGCCAGAAGGCAAGCTCCCATTTGATCTCCCAAGCAGTATGGAAGCGGTGGCGAACAGTAAAGAAGACGTACCTTATGATACGGAACTTCCACTATTTAAATTCGGCCAGGGCTTAGCATACTGTTAAGGATTAGACTCTAGAGATGATATCACAGCCACCTCGGCTGCTTGTTAGTATAAGAAGCACGTAGCAAAAGCCATACACATACCTAATTCGCCCTCCAATCTTCATCTTCCTTCTGTATTCATGAATCAAATGCTGAGTGTCTCAGCTACTAACAAAGGAAGTGCCAGACATGCACCGACAATATTAAACGAGGAATTACTATAATTACACCCTAAATCGTGGACTTTTATGCACCCTATCTAGCCTGATCAGGAACATACTGATGGATTAGAGTCATACGTGAAGTATTGCCGCTAGACGCGGTTGCTATTATTACTACACATTTCTATCCTCCCTTCATATGTAGCACATGTGTCTTCTTTTTCATTTTCCAATAAGTGAGATATTTCCTCACTTCCTTCACCGCGAGCTTTCCGGCACAAACCTAGAAGATGATCTGTACAAGCTAACAAGAGAAAAATGGAGCTATAATGAATTTACTTCGCTTCGCTTTATTTTCCAAATCTGACTATGATACATCAACCAGAGCGGCTTTTGGGATCACCACTGGGCCCAGTAATCCACTCTCAAACAGCGGGTCGGTAGAGTTATAATGCTTCCAGGCAGCAAAGGCCACGCAATTCCCGGGCTTTCTATCCAACTTGCTTGATCCTCCGACCGCATTTCCCCAGGTGTCTCGAGATGAGGTGGATGTACTATTCATCGCATCTGCATACCAATCTGGCCAAGATTCGACGCTGAAATCCTGTGTTGTACTGTTATAGGTTGCTTCGGTAGGCAGTGACTCGTCGCCGATCAGCCAGTTGGGCCAGGTGTTTGTCACCGCGATTTGAAGCGTGTTCTTAGCATCAAGGTTTATCGCATTGGTTATGTCCAGTTCATATGGCGGTAGCCACGAGAGAACGAGATCCTTTCCGTTGAGTGTGACCGAGGCAATGTTCTCGACACATCCAAGGGTAAGAAGATATTTATCTGAAACGTTATCCTTCACAGAACCTTTAGCGAGTTTTGAAGTCGTTTTGAAGGTTGTCTCGTAAGTTGCAGTTCCAGAAAAGTGAGAAACATCAATCACTGTGGTTCTTGAGGGAAATGAGTGAAGGTGATCGTCAAATCCTTCGTGTAGGATGGCGGGAGGCGCTCGACGGGAAATGTCACATTCCAGGCCTTTTTAAGCGTAACATTTTGAATAGTTGAAATTTGGAAGGACGAAGTGTCGTTGGCTTTTGTTGTCGCAGTGTAGTTTCCATTCTGACGTAACAAAACCTCATTTGCGCTACGCGATAAATGCTTTCATCAACGATCCATGTAGCAGTGTTTTCGCCATGTATAACCCAACTACAGGACAATCTGTCGAATCCGGTCGCGATCAAGGTACTATGACGTTCATTCCTTTTAATTTAGTTGTTACTCTACTAACATGGATTATCATTCAGGTCACACACAGTCGGGCATCGCATGGACTGCTTACGGAGCTCGCGTCGCACAAAGCCAAGGGGTCGATCTATATGGAATTGGAGACAATCGCTTGCTCAAAGGTTCCGAGTACACAGCCAAGTATACTTGAATTACACGGTAGACTATGACCCGGCAAGGCATAGGTGTGAAGCCGTCATGGTCGGTGCGCCATGGCCCACCATCGCCGAGTATAATAGGCAAATCTCCCACACGGTGCCGGTTTGGGACATCATATATTACCAATATGTTGTGAAGCGCAAATTATCAGGACCGTGGACTGAAAAGGCACACGTGAAAGAGGGGAATGAAGGAGCTGTATCTACTAATGACCATCCAAGCTGGGGCGGGCTTATTTGGGCTTACTAGCTAAAAGGCAATTAGTCGATGACCCTTGACACAATCAAGACATCTTTATTTCTTCAGCTTACGCACTTCAGTTTCTTAACTCAAGCAGCACTAAAGTTCCCAGGCTGGTTAGTGGTAGTACTTCTGTTCAGAGCATCTGGAAGTCTCATGAATAGAATCTACGGAAGAGGAATGAACTTACCTGACTGACCAATTTAAGGTCTCTTAGACTACTCACTCCTTTGCTGAGATGCTCAGTGAGTCTAAGCCTGAGGTTCCCAGTGAAAGCGGCGGTAGCTTAGATAGAAAGCCCCACTAATAGTTACATTCAGGAATCTGAAATCCATGTTCTATATGGTCAATAACTTGCGAAAATCAGACCAGCAAAGAATTTAACCCTGGGCAGTACTTTGCGTCGGTAATGGTACCTTTAAAATGGAAAAGTGGGACTGGTGGACATTTGTTTGGTGACTAGTGCGTCGTAATTTCCATATTAGCCGAACCTAAAACCTACTAGGTGATTCTCTTTACATGATCAGCAGGGCGGTTGGAGATGCTTCTAAGGGCTGGTAATGTTCAGATGACAGCATCGAAATATATTTTCTAGCCCAAGTCGGTTTAGAATGAATATTCACTGATTCAAGAAAACAAATAACATGAAGAAAAATGATATTTATCGAGATCCAAATACTCCAAACCCATGATATCATCAAAACGACCTCAGAAGCAGGCAACCCTATCCAGCCAGGTACCTATCCATGGATGCTAAGGAAAACAGAAAAGAAAAGATGAGATATTGATCCCGTAATCATCAACGGCCTTCAATGTAGTCCCTGTTCTCGATTGTGACACTCTTGGTCATATGATTGACCTTGTAAACTCCGACAAGTCGGGAGGCAAGTTCGAACTGCGGATATTGTTAGCTCAGTTGTATAAAACAACAGCATTGGTTCACATACCATGTTGTTTCTCAAGGAAATAACGATAAATTGGGCGTTCTTAGTCCGCTCTTTGATATAGGAGGCAACAATAGAAACCTATCGTACTGTTAGTGCTGACCAGCAAACCAGCAAAAAAGATGTAGGGCACTCACGTTTCGGAAATCCAAGGCAGCATCAATCTCGTCCATGACGTAGAGTGGAGTGGGCTTATAATGGTGAAGGGCAAAGACTAGAGCCAAACTGGATAATGTCTTCTCGCCACCAGACAGATTTCCAATGTTCTTCCAGCTCTTCTTTGGCGGCATGACAGAGAACAGAATACCCTCCGAGAAAGGATCCAGCGAGTCGACAAGCTCCAATTCGGCATTACCACCCATAGTGATCATCTGGTACATCTCCTTCAGACGAAGAGAGATGATACCAAAGCCTTCCATGAAGCCATTCAAACGAGCTGATCGAAGACCGTCCAGACGAGCCTTGGCGCTATCACGGGATACTAATGCCGTGTTCAAGTCTGCAGACCGTGCTTCATGCTCAGCAGACCGGCGACGGTACTCTTCGATGACAGCAAGATCAACAGAGGCATTCTGAACCTTCTCCTCCAGTGCTACAATGACTGCCTTCAAGGACTCCTTGTTCATCGCGTCCAACTCGTCCTTAGTGTACATCTGGAGGTCGGTGGATTCTTGCTCCTCGCCCAAGTCGCTGACATTTTGCAAAGAAAGCTTCGAAAGCTTCTCGTCCCAGTAGCGACTACGCTTCTGGTTCTCAGATAGAGCTTTCTGGTTCTCCTCCAGCTTGTTGCGCATTTCGATCTCAGTGGCCCGTGTCGTGTTGAGCTCGGCAACCTTCTCATCAAGTTCATCCTTGAGGGCCTTGAGCTCTTCTTTCTTCGTCTCGAGGGCCTTGTAAAGTTAGCATCGCGGTCTTCATCATTCCATCGGGCTGGCTCACCAATTCAGCCTCTTCGGCTTTTTGTCTCCAGCAAGAAGCATCATTTGCTTGGCTTTCAACATCCTCCTCCAACTTTTGCAGTTCTTCCGCCATTTGGGCAAGCTCCTTTTCTGAGCCATCACGAGCCTTGATGTGCTTTGCAATGAGTTTCTCATTCTTGGACTTTGACACTTCGGCATTGGAAATCTCATCGGCCAACATGCCAATTTGTTCCTTCAAGCCATCAACCTTGGCTCTCTGACCGCGAAGACGCACACCACCAACTTCCATGATCTTGCTTTGCAAGGTCTGGATCTCTTCCTCGATGCCACTCTTTTGACTATTGAGATCTTCGATCTCCTCGTTCATGGCTTCGATTTGTTTTTCCAGAGTAGCTGCCTGAGATGCATCGGACTTGGATGGCCTGTGCTCGGCGCTGATCTCTTTTACCCGTCGTTGAGCATCTGCAAGGCTGCGCTTGGAACTGTCAATCTCAATCATGAGCTTCTGGATCTTGGTCTCCACACGTGGGATCTCGTCGCTCTTCTCGCGCATTTGAGACTCCACGTTTCTCTGCTTCTCTGAGAAAGCTTGGAACTTGCGTTCCAACTCCTCTAGGTCTGCCTCCAAACGGGTAACCTGTTCTTTGGTGGTATCTGCTACCTGCTTTGAAGACATGCCACCTCGTGCAACACGAGTACCACCACCGCTCATAGTACCAGACACGTCGATCAATTGTCCATCCAAGGTGACCACACGCCAACGTCGAGCACCATAAGCAATACGGTTTGCCTGTTCAAGGTCCTTGGCAACCAGGGTGTTTTGCATGACGCTGTAGAAAGCCGGGGCAAACTTAGGGTCCTTGGGTTGAACAAGATCAAAGAGCCGGGGGACACTTTCGGGTGTGTAGATGGTGGACATATCACGACGAGGCAACCGATCGAGGAGAATGAAGTTGGCTCGGCCTAGATTGTTCTTGCGCAGGTAATCAATGCAGTGTTGGCCGACCTCGACGGTCTCTACTACCATGTTGTCGAGAGCTGGACATGCGGTAGAAATAGCGACATCGTACTTCTCATCGATGATACCCAGGTTACCCAGGCGGCCGTGAAATCCATCAATACGACCAGATTCTTTAAGTCGCATCAATCCTGTCAACACACTTCCGCGGTTTTGTGTGCTCGCGAGGCTCACGCGTGCTTCGTCGGCCTTTTGACGGGCACTTGAAACATGAGAACGAACTTCCGGTTCACGGGCGATGTACTTTTTCAAATCGTGCTTCAGCTTCTCCACCTCAGCTTCCAGGGTCTCTTTCTGGGCTTGCCGTTCCTCGAGGTCGGTTTGCTTGGTCTGCAAGGTCTCTTCAATAGAGGCAATCTTGCCCTGTGCCTCTTCAAGCAAGACGGCACCAGCATTGCTCCGCTCGCGGAGAATGTCGAGCTGACTCTGGGCGACAGCAACAGAAGATTGCTTCTTGTTGATCTTCTCGTTCCAGGGCTCCAGAGACTTCTGCTTTGCCGCGATCTGGTCTGAAAGGCCTTGGGTTTTTCCTTTGAGACTTTCACGAATTGAGTTCAACTCTTCTTCTTCTGCCTTCATTTCCTCCTCCAGCTCAGTAGTCTCGCTGGTCTTTTTCTCGATATCGTCGCTGAATTTCTCTACCAAGCTCTGGCACTCAGAAGCGGCCAGGCGGCTTGTTTGCATGGTTTTCTCGAGCTTCTTTTGCTTTCCAATCAAAAACTTCTTCTTCTCCTCGAATTTGACGGATTCCTTATCGTATTTGGACATTTCCTTCAGCAAGCCCTGCACTTCCGTCTCCATGGTCTCGTATTCCCGAAGCCCACGCTTGTAGGTTTTCTCCAGCGCCTTGATGCCCGATTCGTTTCCTTCGTGCTTCTCAAGCTCCATATTCAGGAGCTCCTGCATCTGAAGAATCGCTTCTTCGGTCACACGGACATTGTCGGCACACTCATCAATGTAGATTTGGTAGAGCGCTGACTGTTTCTGGGAAAGCTCATTTTCGTCTTGAATGTACGCGAGAGCCTTGTTCTTCTTGTCCTCGAGGGCATTCTTTTCTTTCTCGACATGCTGGACTCGGTTGTTCTTTTCTGCGCAAACATCGTTGAGAGATTCCAACTCGGTGGCCGCCTCATCGATTGGGGTCTTGTATTTCGAGGTTCCAATGATGTCTTCCAGATACTCAAGAAGACCTTCGTCGTGGTCGCCCGTTGCCTTTGCTTTCATCTGGGCAATAGACTCGACTTCACCCTGTAGGATCAGGAATCGCTTGTGATCAAGGTCAATTCCCCGGTCACGCAGGAAGGTGGTAACCGCGGTGAAGTTTGTCTCTTTCTTGTTCATGTAGTATTTGCTGCTGTTGTTCTTGAATGCTCGTCGAGAAATTACCAAGTGGGAATCTTCAATGACTTCGTGGCCGCCTTCTGGCAAATCGAGAACTTGCTCGAAGTGGACCTCGACTTCACAGAAAGGTAGGCTGGGGTGCTGAGCTGAGTTGTGAATCAAGGCCGAGATTTTGCCCTGTCGCATCTTGCTAGCGCGGAAGCCAAACACAAAGAGAAGGGAATCGATAACGTTGGACTTGCCCGATCCATTTGGTCCAACAACGGATGAGAAAGATGCATGGAAGGGACCAACAACCTGCCTTCCAGCGTAACTCTTGAAATTTGTCAGAATCAAGTTCTGGATGATCATCCTAGGCTTGGCCTCAGCAGGCTCCTCTGGGGTGGCAGCCACATTTCTCGACTTCATAACAATATCCATCGGCTTCTCCAATACTGTAGAGTTGGGGTTGATGTAAGACACCTGGGACTTCGGTTCCTCCTGTTGTTTCGATGGTGACTGGTTGACGGCTGACTCGGTAATATCGGAGAGGGGCGGTACACTTTCCCGACGAGCTCGCGCTTCAGGCTCTGGCGATGCGGATGACTCTGGAGTGGGAAGTGAGCCCTTGACCGACTTAGGCGTGGTTGAGCCATGATTCTTGCGGGGATGAGGCATACTATGTCTTTTTAATGCCGCCTGGTTGGAGGGCGAACTGGGATCCGCCTCCATAGCCTCAATACTTTTTCTCTTCAATGCCGGATTGTTGGAGGGGGAGCTGGGATCTGCTTCAACTGAGACAAAGCTGGCTCCTCCATCATTTTCGTCGTTTTCGTCCGTGTCGGTGACCTGCGATGCGTCCGATTCGTCTGCAATCGACGGCCGGGGCTTTCGCGCCGGCCGCGCAGTAGAGGGGGTCGATGGTTCGAGTTTCACGTGGCTCCGCGACACACGTTTTGTCTTCTTGGGGACTGGTGTGTAATCCTCCTCTTCTTCATCCTCATCGTCATCATGCGTCGAGGCTGTGGGTGTCACATTGCCAGGGTCCTCTGAATCGGAAGTATCTTCGACAGCGTAACTCCTTCTGGAAGCTGAACGGCGACTGGTACGCCGACCCTGTGCAAGTGAAGCCATTATGCGCAAATTAGTGGAAGCGCTTCCTTCATGGGTGCGCGGGGATAGCGGGGGATGGGATGATGAAAGATAGATGCAGCAAGCTGCGGGAACCTTAAGAAAGTGGGTTGTTTACCTCACGCCCAAATAGGATTAGTTTAGTTGTTCTGCCATAACACAGCCTTCACCGCCATCAATTTACCATGACATTACCGATTTCCATTACCAAGATTACACCGCTTGCCTGCGGAGCACTTTATTCACATATTCTATTTCTACAACAAAGCTCCCAACCATGGCGCCGTGGGAGGATTTCAATCATATTTTCAGCTTCAACAAGAAATATCATTATGATGCCAAGGTAACTGAACAAATCAACTCCAACCGTCGTGCGCTTGAGAACCATCTCTTCGCCGATCGACTGTTGGGGCTACTCGGTGTCAAAGGAGGTATGAACAGCTTAATTTCCTGATCATGAATCCTACAGCTGACCACAAGAATGTCTATAGTGACCAAGGTCTATCCTCCCAAGACCAATGCCGACTTGCGATCACTCATCGATCACATCATTTCCTCCGAGCTTGACATTCATCATAAGCAAGCCTTGATCTACTACCTTCTCAAGGACTGTCGCGCGGCACCAGATGCAGCCGCTCAGTTTGCGCGATCATGTCACTTGCCAGAGAAATATCGTCTCTTTATCGAAGGTGTATGGCATATGGATCGGCTTGAGTTCCGGGTACGTTGCCCCGCCCGAGGTTCATAGCTATTGCTAACATGTAACAGCGCGCAATCGAATACCTAGCCGAGCCTTCGCTCATTCCTACCTTTCCCGATGAAATCCTCTATATCCTCACTCTGACACAACTTCCCAAACATGATGACGCTCTCGCGATCGCATACTACCTCAGTGCTGCGCCGCCTCTGGCAACCGAAAAGGTGCAGCGATCCTTCTACGAGACCTTATGTCGTTCCAATGTCACTGAAGCATTCTACTTCTCACGAAAATACGACGAATCCCAGCGACACAGTTACTTTGTGCAGCTGGTTGAGTTCATTCACAAAACTCCGGCTGGTCAAACACGCAGTAAGCGTGCGATGGAATTGGTCGGCCTACCGCTAGATGAAGATGAAGAGGATTGGTTAGAGGAGGCTTTACTCCGCGGGAGTGCCAATACCTTCCCCGGTGCCAAGGACACTTTGATGATGCGGCGCCTGGCGACAGGCAGAGTTGACGGTTTGTCCGCAGAACTCGAGGCATTGGGCGGCAAAAAGGTGGACGGACTTAATTGGGACGATCTACGTCAGAGCATGCGGTACGCGCGACCTAGTGGTACCCATTTGGAATGATTTTAATGATAGCAAATTTGGTCAAATGACAGGAGTTACGGATTGAAAGAGAAAACTTATTTAGTTTTGGAAGATGCAATAGCATCGAGACGAACTTGAACTTGCATGTGAACCTTGGAACTCTGCTGGCACGGTAGCCTATGCGCCTGCATCTGCCGATTTGTGAATGAAACCCCCTATATGCAAGACTACATAGACTTCTCCAGCGTTCTTGGATGCATACTTTTACCTATCTGCACGCTGCCGCATAATTATAAGCTTTGTAATACCTACCTTGGCCTTTCCGCGTTCAAATGTTGCCCGGTAGATGCCAAAAATCTACCCTAGTACATTTTCAACATATAATTTGAAAAAATGAATGTTGCATCTGAAATTTAAGTCAACGTTGGGATCTTGGAAAATGTCAACTTGTTTTGTAATTGATGCATGTCGGAGTGAAGAAAGCTTCGCTGTACATAATGTTTTGGACATATATATGTATCCCGGTGTGGTCATGAAGCCCCTTGTTGCAGATGTTAAGCAGGAGCAAACATTGAACGAGCTATGCACAGGTATATAGACGGTACTAGAATTGGTCACAACAAGATTAATTTGATCATCTGAATGATTCAATATACAGTAACTTTGAATTATCTCATATTTTATCATCAATTGATGCTCAAGTGCTGCTCCAGGGCGATAACCGATAAAGCGCGATAAGAGACTAGCGCAACTCGCAAATCGCGGAAAACAGCTTCAGTTCCCATTCATACGCGTTGGACTCGACAGCGTGCTTTGTATCTTTCTCCGCATTCACGAATCCAGAAATTGAAGTTACTATCACTTTGGATTACATTGGATTGGGATCCTATTCTCGCGTGGGCTCTGTGTTTGCTTGCATTGAGGATATAACAGCCGAAGCAACTTTGGAAGACAAGCGGTCTTAGCTGAAATATGGTTGTCTGTCGTTTCTTCCAGCAAGGTCGCTGCAAATTTGGCGGTAAGAACATACCGATCTTGCTCCGAATTACTTGCTAATTCTTGTCTAGACTCATGCAAAAATGAGCACCCTGGCCGTGCTGGAGCCGGACCGTCTGGGAACCGGTTTGGTGCCCTCTCAGGTGGCTTTGGAAGTAAGTGAATTGTTACCAAGAGCCCTGGAGTCTTGATGGATTCGGAATTTTATGAAATCTCCCCGCTTTATGTTTGTATATTTCCTTGTTACCTTGATCTTTCAACCACTTCACTTTCACACACCCAAGCATTACCGAATCATCACTCTCCTTCAAGACAAGATGCCTGCCCCCCCCTCAGCCAGCGAACTCAAGATACTCAAGACTATCTTCCCAAAGTATCGAAGCGCTAATTCACTACGTGTGGTAGGTCAAGGCTCTCAGCAGAACCAGCAACCAGCCAAGTAAGCATCTGGAACCAAATTCTGACAATGCCTCGTTGACTAATTTGGAAAAGTTACAACTTAAATGAGAGCGACATCAAGCTAGACCTGAGTGTCGGCAAAGGCCGACCAGAATGGGTATTCTCTGCATACGCGCCCTTGAAGGATCTTCCACGACAGCTGTTCGGCGGCCCCCAACGTGAACAGAGCATGGAAGAGATGCGCCTCCGCCACTATCAAGCAGCGGCAGCAGGCAACATGGACCAGGCCTTGCAGGAGGCCCAGGCTTTGTATGAAGAGTCTGTAAAACAGATGGAAGTGGCGCTGAGTAATCCCAAGGGGGCTATACAATACATCCTCGATGGAGATAAAGAACATCCGAACCGCATCGACATTGTCAATGGCAGCACACAGTCTAATACGAACCAGGCAGCACCGGCTGGCGGATCTGCTTTCGGTCAACCATCTGGCCCTGCTCCGACCAATGCATTCGGCGGTAATTCCTCAGCCTTTGGTCAGCCATCAGCCTTCGGAAAAACTTCTGGCCTCGGCCAGCCAACTGCGTTTGGTCAGCCATCCATCCTTGGCCAAAATCCATCTCCCTTTGGCCAACCCTCAACTTTGGGGGGACAGGGTGGGTTCGGAAAACCTGCATTCGGCCAGCCAGGATTAGTACAACCTGCCACCAACCAGCCGGCGTTTGGTCAAACAGGATTTGGTCAACCCACCGGCCCTGCAGCACCCTTTGGTGGTGCCACAGCATCCGCTTCGCCATTTGCCGTAGTGGGCCAGAACGCCAACCCTTCTCCATTCGGTACAGTGAGCCAAAATGCCAACCCTTCTCCATTCGTTACAGCAAACCAAAACACCAATCCTTCGCCATTTGGTGCAATTAATCAGAATACCAACCCTTCCCCGTTCGGACAGGCAGCGACCCAACAGCCTGCACCTGCGAACCCTTCTCCATTCGGACAGGCAGCGACCCAACAGCCTGCACCTGCGAACCCTTCTCCATTCGGACAGGTAGCAACCCAGCAACCAGCGCCATCACCTTTTGGCCAACCATCAAGCACAGGCGGCTTTGGTCAACCCTCCCAAAACCCATCACCATTCGGTCAGCCTCAACAGGCTAATCCAGGTCCATTTGGACAACCGACTGCCCCAGCAGCAAATCCATTTGGGGCCCCTCAATCTGCTACTCCCTTCGGTCAACCAGCAGCTCCTCAAGGCGTGCCGGTAGCAAACACCAATGCTGGTCCGCCTGCGTTCATTCAGATCAATGACCCCAATGAATTGAACCCACTTCCACGACTGCAGGGTGAAACCAGACGTGATCCTGTCTCTAACAAACTCACCGCGTGGAAGGGCCAACCCGTCCGATACGTTAACAACCACCCCTGTTATGAGCACCCGCAAGACCCCAAGACTCTGGTTCGTATCAACTTCCCTGATGGACCGCCTGACCCAGCTACGCTGCGTGATTCCCAAGGGAAGGATGAGGAGTACACCACCGAAGTCGAGGAGATGTACAAATTCTTCCTTGCGAACGGGTACTTTAAGGATGGGATTATCCCCTCAGTGCCACCCAAGAGAGAATACATCAGCTTCGATTTCTAAGATGGTCGGCGGTGGGAAACCCTCGTTGTTTTCTTTTCGTTTTCTTGTTAGGGTTCAAGGTGCATACCGATGACTTGCGGCTGCAATCATCGGTGGGAACAAAATTATTTTAAGTGATTAGGGACCCCGTTCAAAATAGCGTGTTCGGGGTTCACGCCATTCAACTACACATGCTACGGCATAATAACGATTCAAATCTACGTTCAAGTCAAGACCGATATTCTTTCTCAAGATGTTTCCATTTTTTTTGTATATCAGGTAAAGCGGGTATCCACCACGAATTCCTTCTCAGGCTCAAAGCGAACGACCAACTGTTCCGCCAACGTAAATCTATGAACAAGACATGACACGAAGGAGTCAGTCCAAGACCCTCCCTGATCCATTGCAAGAACTACTGAGTGTAGTGCATTTAAGCAGCAATGGTGACCTCAACCTCAACACCGGCCTCGATGTTGATGATGATCTGCTTGACGGTCTCGGTGGGGGCGAGCAGGCTATATCCTAGTCAGTAACATGTCCAGTTGAGACCAGTACGGCAGAACGCCGCCATTTGTTTATGGATAGCGGGGAAACTCACTCAATCAGGCGCTTGTGGATGCGCATCTCGAACTTGTCCCAGGTCTTGGAACCCTCACCGTTGGGGGTCTTACGGGTGGAGATGTTCAGGGTCTTGGTGGGCAGACGGACGGGGCCCTTGACCTGGAGACCCTTGGACTTGGAGCGGTCCAAGAGCTCCTGGCAGACCTTCTCGAGGGCGGCAACCTTGCGGGAGGTGAGGGTGATACGGATCTTGTGGACCTTCTATGAGGGGCATTAGCGATTGAACACAAGAATGAAGACGTAAAGGCAATTGCAGGAAATGGGGAGGGGTTTCCTCCCGCGGCGCATTGAACGATGGACTTTGCGACGGCGGGGAGGATGATGGCGACATATAGGTAGTGGGAGATGATAGCAGATGAAATTTCACGTACAGGGCCCTCGCCGAAATCCTTCTCGGGCTTCTGGAAAGACATCTTGAGATTTTTGTGGTGGTTGAAAGAAGCTAATTGCCAATCAAGACCTGAACTGCTGGGCTCGGTAAAGTGATGATGGCGACGGAGATTGTGGATGCGACGAGAATTGTGAACATTTTTAGTGGGAAAACGCCTGGTGCTTCGGCTATCGCAACGCTAGTCCCAATTGGGAAATGTGCTGAGTCATCCGCAGTCGGGGACTCAATGCAGTTCTATCTACACGACATAGCTTATTTGGCTGGTCGCTTTGTTTATTATTTGCTCGCTTTTTCTTTTCTATCAACTCCTTATTGGAGTGAATTCATTTTTCTATTATCCATTTCTGTTTTTTTAGCGAATCTTAAAATGGCGGATTTCCCTCCACTGGCACCGGTACCTCCCCCCGCAGTCCGGAGGACCATCCCATCTGATGACTGGGAAGCATGTCTGGATGCATGGATGATGCTACTGAGCATTCGTTTGAATGCCAATGATCAAAAATTCAAGCTTGCTGCTCCTCAAGACCTGCCGGCTATCTCGTTCTTAGAGTCTTTCTATGAAAATGCCGCAGCAGGTGACCAGGGTCTACAATCTGGACCTAAAGCTCGAAACCTTCGGAAACTATGCTTTTTAACGACAAGACGGTATCTTTTGACTCTTTCCAATCCTCCAGTTGAACTATTCAACTGGAAACTTCTCGGAAATATATGCTGCTGCTACCCGTCAAGCACGGCATTAAAGACGTCTCTATCAGAAACATGGGACATACACCATGAAAAGATATCATCCAGCATAGAAGGTGCCAAATCACTCGTAATCGACCGACTATCTTCAGGGAATCCATCAGCAGTGGCCAATGTCATCACAGACCTTCGAAGATTGACAGTACTGGCTTCAGTATTGCCGTCTTGCGGCCAGGTCCTAATGGCAGGGTCCGACTTTCTGGATACACTGGCAGAATCCTACCAATCAACAAAGACTCGAAATGAGCTTCGAAAGATTCTTGTCGCAAATCTCTACGTGGGGCTTATCTCGTTACTGAAAGAATCCTCAGCCAATTTGTCGCTTTTACTGGACCAGCTGTTCAGTCTAAAGGCCGTCGCAGGAGTGGACACGCCAAAAATGAAAGGCAAGGCAACAATTCTCTCGGATCTTATTTGTAGTTCCGACCTGCTGCAACGACTTGAAAAGTATCTCAACATCCACCCTCAAAAACGAGGTGAAGATCTCCTCTCCAGTCTTCGCGTCTACCAGATAGAGTCAAAACACTTGCATCACCGATACCAAAGGCGAAGAAAAATGGACAAGGGCAAAAGCCCGTCATCTGGTCTACAGATCGAAGACGAGATCCACGCACACAAAATGTCTCTCGTCTTGCAGGTCCAAGACCTCTTCCCGGACCTGGGCTCCGCCTTCATCGTGCGACTCCTGGACGTCTACAACGACAATCCTGAAACTGTGATTTCCCATCTCCTGGATGACTCACTCGCTTCAGAACTCCAATCTCTGGATCGAACCGAACAACTCCCACCTCAAGCAGGACCAAAACACGAATTAGCGCCTCGTCCAACACCTCCCGTATTCTACTCGCCACCCCTGGAGCCAATCTCAGAACGCAGGAACGTCTTCGACCGAGACATCGATATCGCAGAACTAAGCATTTCAGGAGAGGCAAAGGGCAAACTACGTTTCGGCCGCGCAGACCCTGATCTTACCGCCGACGAAGTCCTAGCAGACCGCAGTCAACACGCAACAAACAAAGCAGCCATTCTCTCCGCACTCGCAGCATTCGACTCAGATGATGACGAGCGTGACGACACATACGACGTTGCAGACGTGGGAGGGACCGTTGACGCCGTTACAGCAGGTGTCGATGCAGACGCAGAAGCCGAAGCGCGGAACCAGCGTGCAGCCGCTGAGAATATTGATATGATACTACTTCGCGCGTACAAGTCCAACCCTGCGCTCTTCGCTCGGGATGCTACAACGCGTCGCTCGCAGCCTCGCGCCCAGCTCAAGCGTGAGACTAATATGATGGACGAGGCGATCGAAGGCTGGGCTGTTATGCTTGCACGGGATCCAAAGCGTCTTGCTAAGCTTGAGAACCTACTTGCTGATGGTTTCGGTGGCTCTGTGAGTGGTTCGCTGAACCAGCCCACTCTGTCTTCTACTTCGTATCGCAGGCCGCGTGCTGGAGATGAGCAAGATGACTCTGAGTCGTCTGGTGGACCTGCAGGTCATGGAGGACAAGATAGAGGCAGAGGTGGACGGAGCCGTGGGGGAAGAGGTGGGAGAGGTGGGCGAGGAGGTGGTCCGCCTGGGGGACAGGGAGAGCAAAGTAACCCGGCAGCGCATAGGAGGAAGGAAGAAAATAAGGCCAGCCGAGCTAATCATAACCGGCGCCAGCAGCGGGCAAAGAAAATTGCGCGTGGAGGTGGGATGCCGGGATAAATGTCAATATAGACTATATGATAGTAAAAACGACATGTACGCATACCACAAAACCTATGAGCTTATTTGGCGTAGCACCCCTTGGAGGTATGCGTCATTGATCTGGAGGTTTATCAGGTAGACATATTGATGTCAAAGATGAACCACTGGGTGTGGGAATACTACGGAGGTATATTAAAAGTTGGAATGGAGGAAGTATGTTCGAACGTCGACAGAGATATAATTTACTCGCATATGCACCTGGCACGTATAGAATAGTCAAGGAAATCATTAATCGTGATGAGAGAAGACGCCCTCCGTACCAATTGACTTGCGGCACTCCTCCATAAGGCGGACCTGCTTTGCCACGTCACCGAGTCGGCCGATGACTTCCTTGTTTCCATCATAAAACGTGAAGATGGCGTAAGGAATACCAGTCTCCTTGCAAAACTCCAGAACATACTTCTGAGCACGACGCAAGTTGTGACGGGGCATGCGAGGATAGAGATGGTGGATGGCCTGGAACTGAAGACCACCGTGAAAGAAGTCCAGCCAGGTAGGGCAGTCGACGTCCATGGTAGTTCGTAGCATCTTCTGGGGGAATGATTCGTGAACACCCATATCAGCGGTAGACATGGCGAAATGGGAGAGCGTGATTTGAACATGCAGAGGTGAAGACACAACGTGAGAAATCAACAAGAACACGAGTCGGCTACTCCAGTCGGGAATGGTCTTGTACATCACACCGTAAACAAACCAATACCAGAAGAAAGCCTGACCGGCAAATTCTAGCCAAATATGCCACCAGGCAGGTCCTTTTCGCGGGGCTTGACGCTTCAATAAGTACTCCCAGCTTAGTCTGTAGAGGTTGAAGCGGGCCAGCGCCATGATAGGGTAGTAACTATAGTTCTGGATTTTGATCATGGCCTTGGATACGGCATCGAAGGTCATGTTGCGGTCATAGTATGTACTATAAAGGCTGTCGATGAAGCGATGCGAGATGGCAAAGAAGGGAATATGCTCGATATCTGGATCGTGTTCCGGCTCATTGGTAACGATATGGTGCACATTGTGGCTCCGCTTCCACCAGCCCAGGCTCAAGCCACCCATAAAATCGGCAATGAGGATTCCAATGACTGTGTCCACGTGGAAATTGTGGGTGATGCCCATATGACCAGCATCATGGGCAGTGAAAACAAGCTGATGCCAAAAGCACCCAAGGAAGAACGCAGAGGTTGCCCACCAACCAAGACGAAGAAAGACGTAGAACAGTGTTGCAAAAATAGTATATCGACAGCACTCGATGAAGTAGCAGAAGTAATTGCAGTTGAACAACCCGTCATCTTGCATGCGCTTGTACAGCTCGCGGTATTTCCATTTGATGCTTTCTTGGTTCGCCTGGTCCAACGAGGGATATTTTGCGGTATCGAAGACAATTTCCTCGCGTGTTCGAGCATCGAGGAAAGCTGGCCTAGCCTGTGAATCCACCTCTGCCTCCACCGGCGTGGAAGCAGCGGTGTCTGTGCCTTTGGACCTCTTTCGGCGGGTTATGGATTTAGAGTCGATCGCATCAAAGATCGGAGAAGGTGGAGTGGAACCCTCTTGACTCGAAGTGTCCTGACTTGTCAAGTCATCCTCACTCGAGCAGGTGTCTTCGGTGTAGGGGCGGAACTTGCCGCCTTGAATCGGGGGGAGAAAGTTTGTCCAGACACCTTCGACTCGACCAATTTTATAGGAGGGCATACGATCGCGGGCTTCTCTCGAGTGTAAACTAGAATATAAACATATCATCAGCGAAAGCCAAGAACACGGGATTGGAGGGAGAGCCATACGCATTGATTTCATCCGTCGCGTCCCTGCCCACCATATGTTTGATCGGCTTTTCACCGCCAGGGTGAAATTTGATGAAAGCATCCACCTTCAGAACACTGTTTTCATAGATGATGACATGTTTCCCTTCTGCAATCAAGCCTTCAATGTATCGACGACTCAGCAGAGTGTCCTTCCGGACCGGTCGGGGAGCGGATTTCTCCATGGGGAGAATATGCGGTGTGGAGAACAGAATGCGGGGGAAGTGTATTAAAAAAAGGAGAAAGAGAAAGGAGGAAATGGAATATAAGGAGTTCAATACATCGTATGATCGTAGTAGCCCGGAAGAGGAACGTGAAGAAAAAGGAAATGTTGAGGACAAGGCAGAAATGTATCAAGGAGGTGGATCAACAAGCGGGGATCAGCCGCGGTCCTTCCACGTCCGTGATTACAATTCCCAAGCACGGACGTCACTTTACGATTCACACCACTTTCATAAAATGACTCAGGTACATTATGCTCGACTTGAGAATCTTCAACTTACTCTGACCTATTTCAGGAATCAACCTCATCGCTGGTCCAAACATGGCTCCAGTGGGACCAGGTAAATAGTAGATGCTATGCTTGTGGTCTGATCATCCATCTTACCGGATATTCGGATCTAGGACCCCAAGACTCGCGCGGAAATAGAGCATCTCCGGGATGCCAACGATTTGGATGCACTGGAATTGTGCCTCAGAAATCGTATGCCGAATTATGTCCATAGCCTTTCAACCAGAGAAGCTGACAATGATCCACAGGCATTGAATTTGGCACGGCGGGCTTACGCGGCCGCATGGCAGCAGGCTTCTCTTGTATGAATTCCTTGACGGTTATTCAAGCTTCTCAGGGACTAGCAAAGTATATCCAAACCCAACGGCCTGAGATCGCTGCTAGAGGTATTGTGATTGGATACGATGCACGACATAATTCTCGCAGATTCGCCGAGCTTGCTGCCAATGCATTCATTGCATTGCATATTCCGGTCTACTTCTTCTCAAAGACATCGCCGACTCCAATGGTTCCCTTTGGTATCAACTACTTCAAAGCTGCTGCGGGTATAATGGTGACTGCAAGCCATGTACGTCAAAAATAGTTCCCAATAAGAAGTAGCGCTAACAGGCAACCTTCAAGAACCCACCTCAAGATAATGGTATTTGACTTTCCGGAAATTTCAAAAGCAATTTACTGATCTTCTTCTAGGCTACAAGGTGTAAGAGTCACTATCAAACTATGCCCTGCTGTATAAACTAAACTCTCTCTGCTCAGCTATTCTAGTAACGGCGCTCAGATCAATCGGCCTGAAGATGGAGAGATAGCTCAGGCTATCCGCGATAATCTCGAACCTTGGGCAAGTGCATGGAGTGAACTCCAGCCCGGCGAGTACTTGCATGCCGACGCATATGAGAATCTCATTCTCCACTACAGGGAGCAAGTCAAAGAATACGCAGTTAGTAGGACCCGAGATTCCAGGCCATAAACGCTGACTTTTGAAAAGAATTCGACAGTTTCAGAGTCGAGGAAACTTAGTCCATTTATTTATACACCTCTTCATGGCGTTGGAGGCTTGGTCCTCCCAGATGTATGTGACTCTCTTGGGGTGGAAAACTTCGTATCTGTCCCTCTTCAAGCAGCACCGGATCCTGAGTTTCCTACGGTTAAATTCCCCAATCCTGAAGAGGCTGGAGCTCTTGATCTTGCCATACAGACAGCCGATGAGGAAGGTAGGACTCTGATCATTGCCAATGACCCGGATGCAGATCGATTCGCGGCCGCGGAAAAGGTGAAGTAAGTCTATTGTTCCTTTTTGGTCAATGAGTCTTGGCTCACCTGAATAGCGGTGAATGGTTTCTTTTTACTGGCAATCATATGGGTGCTCTATTGGCATCTCATATCCTCGATTCCTTCAAGAGCAGCGATGATCTATCGAAGGCTACATTCCTGACCACGACTGTCTCCAGTGGCATGCTTAAAAAGATGGCAAAGGCCAAAGGAGCTCAGTTTCAAGAGACATTGACTGGTTTTAAATGGATGGGTAACGTTGCTCGAGATCTCGAACGCACTGGAAGAATTGTTCCATTTGCCTACGAGGAAGCACTCGGCTATATGTTTCCTTCAGTTTGCTACGACAAAGATGGGATTACAGCTGCTGCCGTCTTTCTATTGGCCTATGCCGAATGGAAGTCCCAGGGGTTAACTGCGCATGCGAAGCTCCAACAGCTCTTTAGGGAATTTGGTCATCACGAGACGCTGAATAACTACTTCCGATCTCCGAACCCGGAACTTACCCTCGAGCTGTTCCGTGGAATTCGAAAAGGCTCATTCCTTGCTAACATGAAGTTTGGGGCCTTCAAAATTCTTCGCTGGAGAGACCTGACGGAAGGATTTGATTCCGCATCTTCAGAAAATAAACCAGATCTGCCTGAAGATCCCACCAGTCAGATGCTGACCCTCTGGCTGGAAGGGGGAGTGCGATTCACGATCAGAGGCTCGGGCACGGAGCCAAAGGTCAAATGTAAGTTCCCGTTGCAACTTGCCCTGTTTAGTCGCATATTTTGAATTGAACTGATACGCGCCCCAAGTCTACATTGAAAGCTGTGGCACCTCTCGTGACAACGCCGTCAAGGCTGTCTGTGAAACATTCCTCACAATTAGGACGGAATGGGTTCAGAAATACACCCCTTCTATGACCCACAGCGACCAGCTTCCGACCTCGTCGGGTCATGTCCTTAATATACCTATAAACACTAAGTGATGAAATGTATGCTCAAGTCTCTAGAGTCATTGAAAATATGATCCCCGAGATTTCAAATGCATATGTTTATCTACTCAGTACCTAGTAGTCACGCTTTTATCAATGTAAGATAAGACGAATCGAACAAAGAAGGCACTGTGTGTAACCTGGCCCCAGGTGCAGACCCCCACCTAGGTATGTCAACTGGTACAGAAATCTCACCGACTGTCTCAGAAAGTTCGGTCATTTGGGCAGCCAAAGACAATTTGAATCAAGCTGCATGTTTGAAGGTTACACTGATCTCAAGCACTGCACAGATTCAGTCATTCAAAAACCTTGGAGCAAGCATGACTTGGGAAAATATATATCATTTGCAGGCTCGCTTTTCTGAACCAACCTCATATATCATCACCACCTTTCACACTTGAATGAACTTGCATGCACATGTGTGTGTATGTGGGTTGACCCGATTACTGAACCCATATTTGTATCATGTCTTATCCAACCCGAGGTCAACACCCTCAAGGATGTTTGAATCTTGCCCACTCAGTCCACCACACCTCACCGGAGCTATTGCACCACCAGTACCAACCTCAAGGTTTCCATGGGCACGCTAGCACCATCAACACAAGTGATGGCTCCCACACACTTTTTGAACATGAACATCAAATAGCTGGTCCTGCGGGAGGCCCAACTGAAAAGCATCAGCACCCTCGCAAGGTCAAACCCGAGGACAAGAGCGGCCACCCTGCTCATCGAGGGCATGTTGATCCTGCCATGTATGTGTAACACGCTGAATAAAGACTTAAATTTACGCTTGGTCATTTACTAACCACGGTTTAAATCCAGGATTACCGAAATTCAACCTAAACCGCCCAAACCAGGCTGCCCTTATCACCAAAATACCAATCCCCCAGATGCACCACGTCGTGCTCATCCTGGGCATCCGCATCGTTACCATACCCACCCAAGTCCAGAGAACAGACCAACCGAACACGAGAATGTTGAAAATCCACACGTTCATCACGGCAAACATAAAATCCAGCATCGGGACGGACATCAGAGAAATCCCCAGAATCCTGCGAGGCAACACCATCATCACCATACACATCAAACAGCACCGATAGAGCCTCAGATCCGCCGTAGCAATCACCACCAATATGCATATCTTGCACATGGTACAGTCAATCATGGACACTCCCACCATGACGGTGGTGTAAGTTCTGCTTCTGATGAAGAAAGTCCTCGTAACACGCGCCAAGTGCATCTTCGCGAAGAAGATATAAGATGGGGATTTGGGCCTCCTTTACCACTGACTTTGCATCTTCCGAGAATCAGTCAAAGGAGAAGAAATGCTTGACCAAGAGGGCTTATGCCACATCATAACTATTATGCCGCTACACCATAGCGGCTCGGACATCATGTTAAACATAGAAACTTAGGATATATGGCGTATAGAAGTAGTCAATGCCAATAAAGAGTGTTAAGAAGAAACTCCAAAAAAATCACCCTCGTGAAATTTGAAACAAGAGCGTTACGTTCGTTGATGAAAGCGACCAATATTTGAATTGGAAAAAAAAATCACCCCCATGAGACTCCGATAGGGGGAATCGAACCCCCGGCTGTCGTGTGAGAGACGACGATGTTAGCCACTACACCATATCGGAAGGATTATAGAAAAGTTTTTAATTAGGTTCAGCCTTATCCTACTTGAGTTAGCGTCATGCGTCCTTAACCACACCGTGAGTCGCCGTATATAGCCTCCGGTTTACCCCCCGACCCAAAATTTTAATCTCGTATTCCTTGCCCTCCTTCTCCATGAACACCATTGGAGATATTTCCAGCTAGTTCAACACCCGCTGTTAAGAAGACATCTGCCCTCGATATTGGGGGAAAGGAGATGATATAGCGATATTGAGCGCAAACCAGATATTTAGCATAAACGAGAAATCGTGCGAGGATGACGATAGATGACCTGCGGCCAAAGGGAACCTGCTAGTAACGAATGTAATCTAGGATAAAGCTTATGGGCCGAAACCCTCGTCCACCCGACTTCCGATCCAATTCCATTATCTGGCTCATCCTGTACCTCAAACCATTGCATATCAAGCACATTCACATAGGCCATCGTCCTAAGAGAATCACCAGTCGTCCATGCATCTGGCGAAGGGGATTCTAGGACAGAGCCCAGGGCCTCTTTATCTACGATAATGGGGTATCCTTGTCGGACAATGGCGGGACAATATTGCCCGTAAAGAGATTGCATAAGGTCCCGGTGGCGGCTAAGGAGACGGGAAAAAGATCAGTACTTCGTTTCCCTCGAACTCTCCGGTAAAAATAAAATAGGAAGAGATCATGATCCATACCGCCAGACTTCCTCATATAAACAATTATTTAGCGAGGGGTCCGATTGAATATTCCATTCAAGTTGCCCCAATAGAACTTCTCCGTCGCCATTCTTGTTCGCCGTTTTGGGATTGAGTAGCGCCATTTCTGCGAATGCTTTCATCCGCTCTAGGAAACTCTCCCACCGTGCATCATCGTCGTAGTAGCATGTACGGTAGAAGAAGAAGCCCCATGTATTTTGGCGGTACGCCGCCATATCATCGCGGACGCAGGTGGCATCCGTTCTGGTAGTAGCCATTTTTAACTAGAGGCGAGGTAGTTAATGGATTAAGAAGTAAAAAGGACTAGCGTTGGAGGTATATGCCGTATCGCACGTGATTAGCGCTAGGTGATTATTAGAAACCTTGCCAGACTAGGTTAGGCCCGGGTTGAAATAGGTTTTACGGAAAAGACTCTTTGGAACCTGGTATTAGGCTCTTGGCCTGGGAAACACCATTTACGTTAAGTCCCATGGGATTCACCTTCGGGATTTAGGTAAAGTCTAGTCCCATGGAAATCCTTGAAGCGCACAAGCTAAAAGTAACATGTTTAGAGAGACAGCAGCTTTGTTTTTGAGCTATTTCCTGGTCTCTATTACAGTAATAGGAACTCGTGTTGTCCTTGTGACATTATGTGTAGCAAATAAATACAGTACTTGCAACATACTCTTCGAACGAAATGATTTAGGTAAAACGCCTTTAGAGCTTTCATGACGGAAAGTTTATCACTCATGTAATTGGCTTGACCTTTGTCCCCTACCTTTCTTCAATAACGATAACTATTTCCATCATCTTTTACCCCATATGGGAGAGAAGGGGGGTCGGAATGAATTGTATACAAGTTAGTGTTTCGGCTCAACCATAGAAGGACAGCGGTAGTGAGTACGTACCAATTGGAAATATCGATCGTATACCGTTAAAAACTTTGGCAGTTCTAAAATAGCGACCATTTTGTAAAAATTTACTGCAGTAGTAGAAATTAAATAACAAGAATCGATAGTCACTTGAATGATATCTATCCGTTCTTTGTTAATGGGGCAACAGTGCAAGCTAGCGTAGAAAATCTTCACGGGAATGGGGTTAGCGTGTTGTATTCAATTGAGCAGGGCACCTCGGAGGTTGATTATTTGAAGATAAACGTACTTGCTGACTACAATCATTGCAGGAACACAGGGTGAGGATAGGTTGAGGAAGATAGGACCGGAAGAACGGGCTGATTACTATGTAGAAAAGTGAAGCGCGGGGGGGAAGAAAACAGGGCTCAGGTAATAACACATTAAATTCTCCCAAAAAAAATCGCCATGGATAGAGCTTAAGGATTTCAAAGGGTGTTCACAGGCTGAAAGACATATACCACGGGCGATATGTATGTATAGAATGGACTAATCAGGATATGGAGAAATACACTAGGGCTGAGTACCTTTAACCATTGGCTTATAGGTTGAGTTAGGCTAGTCCTTCTCCAATGGTCTATAGTGGCTTCCGTAGGTGGGATCCGAAGTGGTGCAAAAGTGCATATGTGGGGATCAGTCCTAAGCTGCATATTATGCCCTGCCCTATAAAAGTCCAGCTCCATCCTAGATTTCATCTTTCAGTATTTACTCAGTAGAGAAAACATGAGGGTCAATGCGTACCTGATACCTCCACCCAGAGGCTAATGAACCACGGGTTGATAAAAGCCGATAACTGGCCTGGGTAAGTCCAATGGCCGGGGCCGTCTAGAAACACTCGTGGGGCACTTACATTGATAACCACCGAGTAAAACATGATCACCTCCATCGCAAATTCGGGATAATTGTCGACAATATATGTGGAAAGCACTGTATTTCCAACCTGCGTGCCCGCAGCATCTAAACAACGGTTAATGAATGGTCTGTGAAACCCCGGAACCCCTGATCAGTACTCACACAGAAAGAAAGCCACTTGGCCCGTCATCCAGTGCCAATCTTTATTGACCGAAATGCCCCAAAGAATGAGACCCACCGATGACACTACTGCAGCCGGATACCCGAGCCAGAGTCTCATCTCTGGAATGCGTTGCGAATCGTTCTTGTGAGCTAACCGAGCAACGAGCCAATCACTGAGGCGACCGGAGCAGAACGCCTCAGCAAACACGAGACCCAGGAGGAGTCCAATAAAGAGGAGACCTTGCACTTGAACGCTGCGGCTCTCGTAGGCCAGTGGCTCCATCGTCATGATCGAACAGATCCTATTAGGTTAGAGGGGTTGTCAATGCGGTCTGGACCTCTACTTACCACCAATACTGGAAAAAAACATAGCAGCAAACACTTATGGATATTGTGGGATATGTCCACAATTTCCAGAATACTAAGACTGCGTCCCAGGGCTTGGGGTGTCTGACTCCTGGGATTTTTCTCAAATGCTGTTCTCGTCAGAGAGCCGAGCGTTCCATGGGGTAAAAATTCTTACCAGATAACCCAACTTTTTCGTCCGTTTAATGTCCGAAATGGCATCATACTTTGTTTCCATGGATATATTCTTTCCTTCTAAATCTGCTTCATACTCCAACACCACTGCACGTGGATAGTGGGTCTCTGGGAGGAAGAGACATTCGCAGATAAGTAAGACCCCGAAAAGGATAGTAACATGATAACTAATCCAATACTGAGAAACAGAAGCCAAGAAGCCACCCACTGCAAAATGTCAGTAAAATCCGCTGACTCGAGTCCTCATACGTACCCACGGCTCCAAGCACTGTCCCAAAGTTAGCAGACATGGCCCATAACCCCACCCGAAAGCCCCTCTCATGCTCGAAAGACAAATCATTAATAACTGTTAAACCGATATTTGCAGATGGACCGGCGCCTAATCCTTGAAAGAATCGTGCAGCCATATACCCTGAAAGAGAGATTTCATGAAGTGAGGTGCACCCGCTCGCCACAACAGCAACGCCAGTGCTGGCAATCAACACCATACGACGTCCATATGTCTCAGCTAAGGACGAAGTAATGAGCGGACCAATAGCAAGGCCGAGACATGGCACTGCAAAAGACCAAGTCACTTTTGTATAGGTCGTATCGAATTGGACTTCGAGTTCGGTGAAGGATGGAACTGGCGCGGTCGTGAAGTAGGTAAGTAGGCAGTAGGCAAAGCATGCAATCATAATGCAGGTATATTTTTGTAAAAAATTCCAGTTCAGAGGATCTAAGGGATCTTCTGTCACTGCTGGGTAAAGAGGGTTTCCAGATGGACTCAGTCGGATGGGTTTAGTCTGACCAGCCTCGGTCGTGGCCGGCGACTCTTCAGTCTCGGGGTATTTATTGAGTGACATGATAGTTGTGCATGTAGAAAACAGTAAAATTTTAGACCAATTCGAGGATTCTTTAGCAGAGAACAGCATTCTTATTTAACTAACTATGAGCTCTGCGTAATTATCCTGCTTATCTTTCTCATGCCAGACTTTCCCTACCCTTGGTTGTGATAGCAGCCCCGATAACGAGTCCGTGCTGGTGCATAGGGCCTTGGACGATCCTCCCGTTGAAACTAGCGGCTGACATCTCCTCAAGATTCCTATTTCGTGAAAGCGCCAAGTGTTATTGGTACCTGTCATCGTGTTTCGCTCAGCTTCCCCGCACCCCCATCGCTAGCGATAGTTATTGGCTAGCACTAGTGGATCAGTAGGTTCTCTATCGTAACTATCCTCCTTATCTCCCTGTACCAGATATTCTCTACCCTAGTTTATGATAGCAGCCCTAACGTATTGGGCCTTAGAACATCCCCCAATTCATACTAGTGGCAGCTGTCTCCTAAGGCTTTCCTATTTCGTCAAGCGCTTAGTGTTATCAGAAGCCAGAAGCCAGTCATCGCGTTCTGCTTGTCTTCCCCGAATTCTCAATCGCTAGCGACAGTTATCGGCTAGTACTGGCGGATTGGCTGATTCTCTGTCGGGGCTGAGGGATGAGGTATACAGTTTTCACAATCGAGCGAGTCACCCCATCAAGTTTTGATATCTTACATTGAGAAACATTTTGAAGGCTAGTATCCTTCGCCCTCCGCCCGCGGGGTCCGGGCGGAGGGCGGGTTCTTATCTTACCCTCGCCCAGCCCTTTACCCTTGTATCTTAAATCCATGAATAATAATAAGAGTGATAATAATGTAGATTTAGTTAGGAAGATTCTATCATCTGTAATCAAAATAGCTTAATTAAAGTCATTCCAGCCTTCTTTAAGAGAGCTAGAAAACAGATGAGTATAAAGAGAAGGGTAAGTCAGACGTTGGAGTTTATATGGGCACTGATTATGTGCAGATGCCCAGAAACCCCAGTTTCCCCGGACTCAATTGATTTCTCTGTTCTCCTTTGTCATGCAGCGCACTTGCATTTTACTTGCGTTTTCTTGCTGACATATGCATAAATGCATAGTCATATCCATTCCACATAATGCGTCCCTTGCTTAATACTGATCAGTTTACACTATTTGTAAACCCCTGAATTCTCTATTCGTAAGGCACTCTTTTGGGCCAAATACTTGGGAAAAGTTGACATCCAGGTTGGCAGTTCTTCGTTTAGTCTTTACATTTGCCGAGGTTGAAAATCATGGATTTGAATGTTATAGGTGTTGCTTCCTTCCGAAAAATTATCTTCGATCTAAAAGCAAAATTTTATTTCATTGTTTTGAAGGATTGATTGTGTCAGGGCACTCCCATGAGGGAGCCCCTAGCCATTTCACCCAAGTGAGGGTTTGCAAGAGATTAGCATCCATGAAGGCTCGAATAAATGAAGAGCCACTGAAGATTAGTTCATCTTCTGTATAAGATTGTCAAGCCAGTGTCGCTCCTTGGAGAGCACGGATACAGTCATACTATCAACAAAGTACGACATGCTCGGAAAGACTTAATCAATCGAAGTGTTTGTGCCACTCGAAAAACTTTTAGAAGAGTTAGGAAATGTGTCATCGAATGGCGCTTTGTGCTTAACACTTCTGGTAACTGTCGTACTGTCTCGAAGTTACCGACTAGTCGAAGGATAATAGGACCTCAAAGAAGTATACCAAGAACTCATACAAACGCCTGGTTAGGGACTCTTTATATGGGACCCAGTACACATCTTTGTATGTATCTAGTCGCATGGCCTTTTTGTACTGCTGGTTTTTGAGATAAGCGAGGTTATGGGATCGCAAGTCTTTGTATGATTGAAGTGCAGTGTCTTCAAAACATTGGCGGGGACTGGTAATGAGGTGCGCTGGAATGCGAGCGGCTGGCTCAAGCCAGAAATAGATATGAGCTCTCCATAATATGTCGTCGGGGCTTAGGCCAGTGCCTAGATTGATCCATCTTGTCATGATGAAAGTGACCTTGCTGTCGATCACAGCGATTTGAAGACGGTACTCTGTGTTGCACATCCTGCACATCCCGACATACGAAACCGACTGTTTCCCTCCTTCTTGAAATTGATCCACGATAGGAGTGATGAAATCCGGAAAATAGGCATGTGCACATATCTCAAAAGTTCGTAACGGATCTTTCCACCCCTTTCTTGGGTCAGGAACCAAATCAGCTGCTGTTCTGACAACAAGTATATCTTGCATCCTGATATGAAGACCAAATGGTTCTGGACATATCTGTGCTTCCATTGAGAATAGCGAAATGATGTGCGGGTGAGCTGATTGGCTTGGGATGTGGCATACTTGTGTGTAGCCTAGAGAGCCAGTACTGACCCCGGATGTTGGGCCATAGTGAAACCTCTTCAGGGCAAGCTTAATCTGTAGGAACGAAAGCCGGTAGGGTGAATGATTCGCATAATAATGGGTTCTCAGACTAGAATCAACCAAAAACCATGGAGCAGTGTGTAGACACGGGACTGGGCAAGTTCTTCGATAAGATAACTCATGGAGTCCAAAGCATTCAGATCCATCGAACCGACGAAGAGTTAAGCAAAAATCGCAAGCAAAGTATTCTGGATCATCTCGTTCTAACCGCCTCAAGACAGAAATCTCATCGTCCTGTGCGAGATGAAGCCGGCTCAGTTGTTTTCGGGACAACGCATAGAGTCGATGGTTGCGGTTACGTAGGGCAAAACAAAGGAGATCAACAACCGGGAGGAATTCGAATATCAACAGTAATAGTTCAGAGGGAAGTCCAGCGAGTGTGGTCATCGGGATGGTTCTAGGACAAGAGTTGATCTGCTCGTGTGGACAGACTACCTTGTGAGGGCGCACAAGGAAGGATTTGACAAGATAAATCAGGGCTTCCATCAAGTCGACAGCCAAATGGCGGTGTTCAGGTCAACAATAAAAGGAATGACGAAGCTCTGGGAAAATAAGTATCTGGTGTTTGAGATCAAAGTCGATGGCTGGCGGTATTGTTCAGAGGAGCAAGAGCTATTGGAGGGACGGGCGTTTGGATCCATGTTGAGAACTAAACCAAAATGAGCAATGAATAGAATAAACTTCCATTGATTTAAACATGCGTCATCTGCCCGTCCACATCCAAAAGTGGCATAGAACATGGAAACGAGGAAGCCAAAATCCAACAACAGAAAGGTCAGATAGGCAATATTTGGGGGACACGAGTTCTTGGTCTTTCTTTCCTCGCCATCACCACACATTACCGCCTATGATGCTTCTTTCTTGCGTAGATAGCCTTTCATTTCTTCCTCCATTCCTCTCAGAAGGCAAATCCTGTCACAGTCCATTTGGCGTTGCACCTTAACCAGGCCACCTAAATTGTCGGTAATCGCCGCCATGGCGCACTATTTCCAATACCACTTTGAATAACACTTTTTAAAGCACGCCACCTACACTGTACTAGTTCAATAAAATCATGCCAGCGAGTATCACGACGACAGCGGCGATCATTCCTCTAGGCACAGCAAAATAGTGGTACTCCTGTGATGCGAAGCTTGATCAAGGACACGAAGACGCCAACAACTGCCAGTTGGAGACCCGTCAGCCTGCCAGTCTCACCTAGGTCACGGTTGCACTCGTATCGAGCCGCATGGCTGCATATCACCTCCACATGCTGCCGCCCATGCTTTCAAGTGTTGAATCGAAAAGTCTTACGTACATGTGCACGACTTGATGATTGTTCAAATTTCTGCGGGGTGTCGCTGCTAATGAGAGCCCGATAGATAATGCTCAAGCCCGCCTTCGGGAATTTTTCCTCTCGTCTCCGTCCGGCTCCTTTTCCGCCTCCCTCCCTCCTACAGGGACTCTCAGTGTGGAGCCGGTCTCCCACGACTCCCCCAACTGCCCTGCAGTTCCGGTGTGCCCTCCCCCCGTCCCCTGTGTGAAAGTATGAACAAATTAAAACAAAAAACCATCTCTAATTAAAGAAGAGCTTCTGACGCTTTGAAGACTCTTTGACACATGAAGACGCAAGACAAAACGAGTATTGGGTATCAAATTTACGGAAAGGTGCTCTGGAGACCGCAAAATTACATGTTAAAGCTGAGTCTAGAAGGAGAAAGAAACTCAATGACTCGAATATAAAACAAGTAAAGGACTTCGTGGTACAAGAAAGCTATAGAGAGATCTGGGCCACTGTGGAGATTTCGGTAAACGAAGAGTGTTGATTGCAAAAGATTGGCCCAACCATGCCTTCCTACCCGGTCATTGAGTGACATGTCTATCACATTAGCCACAATAATCTTAAAGTTTACTGAAACAGTACTCTGTAGATTCCGAAAACTCATTTCCTGGCTTTACTGCGAACGACTTATTGCATATCCGTCATTGACCGTCTACTAAGTTGAGGGCCGCCCTAAAATGCTTCTTGTCTAATACCGTCATCATCAACTTTTACCAAACAACTTTGAAAGCGCAGATGTAATATTGTGGAGGAGATGAATTAGTCAATCTTCGTAAGTAAAACAAAATTAAATTGATGATCCTTGTTCCGTACATGTTATTGATTCGAGATGGGGGCCAAAAGCACATAAAAGAAAACACTTACAGTGCATACACAGTACAACTAGCAAGACAAACAAATGATGCTCACCCTGGTCGCTGTGACGTATTCAAATTCTGGAGACAAAGAAGCCTATACTTTTGGGACCCCTGAAGCCTTCGTTGAGCCCCTAGACGCATGAACAAAGAATTTTAAATTCATTAAGTTTGATTGCCCGTCCATTTTCCGGATTTAAAGCAGTCTCTGAGTCACCTTTGATGAAGTGAAGCTCTTTATTCTCTAAACAGACTGGCCAATCAAACAAGAAAGAAAAAAAAGATTGAGCCAATTTTAACCACTACAACTTTACTTCGCTATTGAAGTACATGGTAATCTGAAAACAGATAACGGGATTCCCCTTTCAATTTTCCCATGTAGTTCTCAATGATAGCGGCCGCTGGGATAGTGCAAAGTCTCTGCAATTATCTCGCGCTCATTACGACACCTAGCTGTCTGCATAGTCGGTGCCACCACGGAAACGTTGAAAAAATTGTAACCGATCTCAGTTTTCATCTCTCATCTGGCGCTAGTGTTTCATTTTCCAGGGTCTGAAAAGTTCAGCAGCGCCATTAGTCGGTGGTCCGCATTGGACGCTCCTCATATGCAATTTGGTGAGATGCTTACATTTCATTTTGCCAAGATTGATTCTTTCGCGAACACCCACTCACATGCGAAAGTTACCAAGATTCGAGACATGTATTTTCAACACACACGGGTATGCAAATCGCATACGCTACCCGTGATTAAGGCTAAATACACCTCTTCATTTCGGACTTTTATCCATACAAATTCTCTCAGCATAGTCAAGACCGCCTCTGATCACCGCCAAGTCACCACCCCGAGTCAACATAATATCCCTCTTTGCCAAGGCACAAACAATGTCCCTATTTCCAGCAAACCAATCATATGGAACAAAAAAGTGCTCAAAGACCTCAGTCCCTGGGGAATCTTTGCTCTGCGGGATCCCTGACCTGCTCTCGCTAAGGTCAACAGAGCACACCCAAGAAGACCGGTTCAGGAACACGAGCTTGGATTCATGAATGTCGATAACATGAGCAACACTAAGCTCGAATGCCGTCATCTGCAGATAACCTGGAGCGGCAAGACTTGATGTTAAGATGAAATTCTTTGCTTCATCTGTGGCAACTTGACCTAATGCGACCGTAGCACCTAAATGCTTGCCTTGGAAGACTCTATCATCGTTTTTGACGACTGAAAGAAATTCTGCTTCAATTATCGCAATCCTGTTGATGTTGGTGGAGCTGCCCAGAAGCAAGAAGTCGAGCATGATTCTTCGTTTCGGACCGAGCGAGTATAGGGTCGCATTCTTGAGCTCTGTCCCTTCTTTATTCAAAGGCAATGCAAAACATGAAGCTTCAGACCAGTCACTCCAGCAGTAAGTGCATATTTTGACGTTGTACACACAGATCAGATGTAGAGAGGAGTCTGGATGAGGGAGCCATTTTCGGGCTCCTGGTATTTTTGGGTACGGCTGCTTTCTCTCGTACTGACCGCTGTTCAAATTGAACAGATGATCAGACTCACGAGTAGATACCAAAAATTTCCCTGCTACTTCTCCGACTAGTACATCTCTGATTGCTTCCCCGGAATGCAGGTGGGACTTGAAGAGTACAGTCAGATCGCCAGGCCAGCCTTTTTCCGCTGACTTGCGGATTTTATGTAGGAAGATCCTATTCGAGGCATCAACGCTAAGGAGGGAATCCCTTGTCTCGATCCAGACTAACAGGCGGACTGGTGACTTGTGGCTGTAGAGAGTCCCCAAGCTCACTGCCATTTTCCGCTCGTAAAGTACGACTGACCCGTCATCCTTCCCACAAAACACAATTTCGGACATGTGGTGGATCGCTATGGCAGTGATCTTTGCTTTGGCTTCTGTGGAAACTGTCTCTACCTCGGTGGCGAAAGTGGTCCCGCTGCTGCCATCGCTTAGGGACTCTCGCAATAGAGCTTCAGGTTCCCAGACAGTACAATGGGTGCCTCTTATGTCGGCAAAAGGCATACTGTCCCTGGTAAAAGCAAGCTGCTTGATAAAAGAGTTGGATGATTTGACCCGATAGAGGAGCTTGAAAGTATCAAATTGATAGACGTGGATAATACCATCTGCACCACCGGCTGCCAGGAGACGCCCATTAGGGCTTGGGACGAGTGTTTGACAGTTGGCACGAAAACATTCTAGCTGCTGGTCGGTAAATGGGTCAAGGAGGGCAAGATCACCATCAAGGTAAGAGACTGCGAGAAGGCTAATGTCAGGATTAGGGTTGAAAGCAAGTGCGACGACAACATGCGTGCTGGTTTCTCCGCTGGAGAGTTTCTTGCCGCAGCTACCAGCGAAGGCATCCTCTTCCATGTCCCAAAGTATGATTGGTTGACCACTGTATGCAACAGCAAGCATTCTGTGGCTGGTAGAGAGGGTAAGTGCGCATGGGCTCCCACGCGGAAGTTTTCGGCTCGTCTCTGGCGTATTGGTATCACACCATGGTACCAGCACTGACGTCGGCTCGACATCGTGTCCCAGATGCCAAGACGCGATGTAGTTGTTACCACTTGCAACTAAAAGCGTCTCATCATCGAATTCCATAGCCATCGGACGTGGAAGGCTCGCGAAGCTGTGTATCACTTCGCCACTTCTGATGTCCCAGATCTTGATCATCCTCCTACCACATGTTGCTAAGAGGCCACTTCTGATCGCGAAAGCGATGAATTCGACCCCTTCACCATGTTCCAAAACCTTGTATTCTTGGTATGATGTGACATAGTATAGTACAACGGACACTGAACTGAGACCTACGGCCAGGAATTCGTCTCCATAGCGCAAAGCCCTTGGTTGCCCCTGACGAAAATCAATGCACAACAACCTGTCGTCCCAATGCTTCATAAGAGCGCCACTCACTGCGAGCCTCTGGCCTGAGCCCCCGATGTTGTATATCATAGACTCGGTGGGACAGAATGGAGGTATCAAAGAGTATATTGATGATGGAGATACCATGAGGGCGTTGGCGAACATGGCAGGAATTCGAGCAAGGTCCGCGATCCACTGTCGAAGGTCTCGTATATGAGGATCTAGTGGAGAATGCTCAGTAGCACATGCGTTGACGTAGGTTTTGAGGTGTTTTGAGGCGCGGATGAGGTAGCTGAGATTTTGACAGCCAGCGATCATTTCGATCCAAGTGAGGACATTGCATTTCAGGAACTGTACGACAAGCTGGAATGTCTCTGCCGCCGATGGATCAGCTCTTGAGAGGTGATATGAGAATGATGTGTATGCATAAGCGGCGAAATCTAGTCTTCTTGCTGGGAAATTTGCAGATGAACGACGTCGAGTGTTCCTAGGAGGCTTCATTTCCTCCCCAGCAAGGTATTCGAGACACACATGAGCCATCCGTGTATGCGCCTTTGTTTTTTCAATGTAAAACTCGGAATCAAGTCCGTCGGCGACAAGGAATTCTCTAGCAGTTTCATGCACCATATTTACTCTCCCATATTTGTCCACGACCACTAGTTGACCACAGAGTGCGGCAATGCTCTCCTTCAATATTGGGAATGAGTCATGGATTTCAAGAGTCAGAGCACCATCCAACTCGCCGATTGTCATTGGTCGAATCGCACATACTGCCCACATGAGAATGGTTTTGGCCAGCTTTTTTCCGCGAGTGGCCTGCGACATCGAGGTTAAAGCGCGCCTGTATAATGACACCATGCCTCTCGGCACATCTTGGAGAATCTGTTGGATTTCCTTCTTACTGTGGCAGCATAGGAGTTCCTCAAGCACCAGGATTGTCCACAAGAAGGACCCCTTGGATTTGTCTAGAATTTTCTCGGCTAATGTCCCTTGATCGTCAGGTCCCACGACTGTTAGAGCCTGAGTCTTTCTCTGTATCAAAAGCCTGAGATCTGACTCTGTGTCTGTTTCCAAGATCGGCAAATACTGAAATAGGTTGGGTGGGATGACTGAAAAGCGTTGGGCCAGATCGACCGTATCCCGACTTGTCACGAGGATTCGCAAGGGTATAGACTCGCCCATGTTGGAAAATATGGTGTTAAAAAGGATTGCAGGATTGGAACACTCGTCCAGAGCGTCGATGACCCAGTAATGCCGGGCCATTGGGGCCTGAAAAATACCGGAAAGGAAGAGAATTCTCCAAAGGGTACGTTCGTCAACGGAATCTAAGCAAACACCATCCGCCTGCACTCCTAGAATGGCATCACTAGCTTCGATATGGGAACTAGCCATCTGAAAAGCGAGAGATCGGAGACAACAACCTAAATTAGACTTTGACTTGTCTCCATGTCGGAAGAAAAAGTAGCTGCATGCCTGGCCGGACTCCTTAAGCTGATCTACGATATAGCCTGAGAGAACAGACTTCCCCGTTGCTGGCCTACCCTTGATCCATAGAGTCCTCTGATTTCCGGATTTCCCATCTCTCCATTTGATATAATCGGCTTTGTTGGAAATCCATCTACATGACCCGTTCATCCGAGCTTCGCAGACGTTTTCAAGATCATCGTCTAAGACGTCGGGAATTTTCAGGAACATCTTGAGGTCCTTGGTCCTCTCACGCATCTGCTTCCTCTTCAGCTCCACGATTGCCGTTTTAATTATGCTCACAGTAGAGGCGAGCGCATTTCGTAGTTGGGCGTAGTTAGAGTCTTCAGGTGTGCCGAATTTGCATATTGTGCGGTGGTCAGCAGCCATGGGAATCTGCTTTTCTTCTCGATAACCGAGAACGGCCGACTCAGGATCGACGATGAGTGAGCTAAAGAGTTTCATTTTCTGCGTTTCATAGAACGACCACAGCTCAAGCCCGGCCGAGATATGCCGGAATTCGTCATTGATCACCTGGACAGCCTCAGAGTTTGGTTCCAGATCGCCAACATAAGCGCGATCATAAGCAACCTTGAGGAGGTTTTTCAGCATCTTTGCCGAGTCGGAACCTCGATGCGGCGTAGCTAGGAAATAGAACGCCGCGAATCGCCCTGACAATTCCTTGTGGACTGCGTCTTGTTTCGCCAAGATATATGCTTTCTTCGTCACCAAACCGCCCATACTGTGGCCGATGACAACGATGGCCGTTCTAGAATTGGCAATACATGGAGAACTGCTTATTGCGCCTAGGAATGCCTTTCCAATATGGTGTATATTCAAGCAGTTTTCCCTTCCTTTTAAGTAATATGAATCGTATCCATAGCTATGGATGCGGACATTCTTGAACGCAGGATCTTTGGAGAGCCACTCCTTTGGCCAGAAATGAGACTGCAGGGATGACTTACTCCATGTTTTTCTAGAACTGCCACCTAGGCCATGGATGAAGATGAAGTCAATCTCTGGCTCCGTCGGAGAAAATAGGAGGCTCAGTCCAAGAGGGCCTTTCACATCCTCCGCTTGATTATCTGAAGTGATGGACGTTGTGGGCGGGTTTTTTGATAGAGAAAGCAGGTTACTTGAGTTCTTAGTTGAAGAGGTACTGGTTGAAGGACTGTTGGGGTGTAAATTGGGCTTCGCACGCCATTGCTTTCGAAAGAACTAGTGTACAGTTAGCAATCGGGTAGAATTAAATTTTCCCGGGGCCAAGGATATAAAACTTAACCATTGTAGCCCACAAAAACCAGGGCATGGGGCGCTGATACCGGATGTCCGGAATTATCAAAGCTGACGTCGGCGCGAGTTCTGTCAATCAAGAGAATAATGAAAGAACGGTAGAATGGGAATTACTCCAGAAGAATACGCAACACTTCGCTGTCGAAGCACATACTACGTGGCCAGCTCTCCCCTCCTCGCTGGAACCACCAATCGGCTGGCTGTCTTAATCACCCTCCAATCAATCCTCCGCATGCTCGGCAATGAGTAGGGAAGACGGCGGCATATATTTAGCCCCCAAATCCCGCAATCTCCGGAGCACCCCATCAAACTGTTCTTTCCTTACCTTTCACTTGTTCATGCTCTGTTGATTTGACACATAAGAGGGTTCTACGCGCATCTTAAATATTTCAAAGAGCCATTTACTATGGGTCCCCAGGCAAACCCGACCTTCTACGTATCTAATATAAGACTAGGAGATTTGATACACACGTATCAGCGCTTTTCATCGAAAACGAGACACTCCGTACGCAGTAAGGCTATTCTCAGCCTACCGTCTATTTTCGTCGCTAATTTCTTTAATAGGGTCCTCGATGTGATGAGGGATTTAGTACAGAGATATGGCTAATTGTTAGAGCCTGAGGCTCTGGTCTGGGCATACTTTTGCTTCTAGTTTTTGCTTGCTGTATGTTTTCCTGTTTGGGATTAGCTTAGGTTAGGAGATAAGAGTATAACCTTTCTCACTCGATCCTTCTTTCGTTTCTCTCAGTCCTCCGAATAAAGAGTTTCCTGTGCTCCTTGTGCTCTTACTTCTGGATATACTCGGTCTCAGCAGTTGGAGCTATTGGAGTATATAGGGTCAGCTGACCCCCTCCGTTTGTCAGCGCGTGCATGTCTTTAGCTAGATCTCTCTCTCTCTCTCTCTTTCTCTTTCTCTCCTCCATACCTCTCAGAAAAGAGATCTTGTCCCTTTTTTCTGTTTTCACGCTATTATGTAGCCCTTTCTTCCCCTGGGCAGCAGATCAGCTGCCGACAGGAGCCAACATTAATGAACAGCAGCAATAATACTCCGCTCTTTTTCTGCCGTGTAGTCCTAAGAATTATAGACAGCTTTGGATGGTTGCATCCAGATGCGACCTCACCATTGTCAACTTTATTAGTAAGCGCACACCACAGCAGCCTAGAAATACCAGACAAGTACACAAACAGTGGTGTTTAACAAGTGTTTGACTTTGGGTACTTCAGGACCCAGTTCTCTTATTGCCAGCAGAATCTGCAGAAATTCATTATAATCCATATCTAAAGGTAGTATCCCGTAATTTCTTCTAAGCACCCTTTTATTTACTAAATAGTGCCGTATATATTGAAATGTCAGGGCGAGTAGAGTTGACTTTACTAGATTGGTGAGGGGCCTATAAAGCGGTCGGGTCTGAAAGTAGCCAAGGTCAAATACTTGTTCAACCCCATTGTACTTGGCCCGTACCGTTGGTACATGTTTTTCAATTTTGATTACCTGTTCAGAGTATTAGGTCTGGTTTGTCTCTGCCTTCACTTGAAAAGACCAGGTGCCCTGATTCGTCAGCAGATCTGAATACTAACTACCTGTCATGGTCTAGTGCAACTTCTAGATTTCAAGACCTCATTTCAAATTTCAAGTAATTTCGAGTTTTGAAATTACATTTTGGCTTCCCTAGGTGACTGACCACATGCCAATCCTGGCTGTTGTACGTGCCCCTCGCCGCTCTCCTCTTCACTCCCGTCATATCTTTTCAGCCCCCTCACCTGAACACAATGCCCTGCACACCCCTGAAGCGCTGACGTGGCCCCTCGGCTAAAATCTGCCGTCTCTCGGGTAACAGTTTCTGTTTAAAATATGTATTTCTAAATGAAAACACATCCTTTGAGTCTGCCAACTCAGCCCCCATTTTGCTTTTTTGAGTGGTTAGAGGGGCGGAGGTCCGATTCATCCTGAATCAAAAAGACTCGTTGACAATAGATTATTTGTGGGGAAGACAACCCCTTTGTTTTGGTCTTCTTTAAGGATGCTGTGAGACTTTCGACGTCAAAGGAGGGGCAGAAGAGAATGGAGCGCACTGATGCAATAGAAATGGCCTGAATTTTTGGAAAGGACTGCACCCAGCACTGTCAGAGGAGAATAGACCAGAATCTACCTTTTAGAAAATCCTTTCATGCCTATAACGCGCCGCGTCTCGATAGTCTCCTAGTTAACACAGCCCCATTGTTTACAGATAACGGATGTTCCCTAGAATCAATAGCCAATCGTAAGTGCGTGACATTCGGTACCACTAGAAGTGAAACATTTTTAGCTGTTATGCGGCCGAGGCGAGTAATTGCCGAGTGAGAGTCACGCGAACGCGCATTTAACATTCAACAGAAACGATAACTCAAAGCAGTCGATTCATTATCCGGTGTAATAAAAGTGAATCAGCCTAGTCGCGGCCAGTTTAGCGCCGTCTCTTAATAGCCATTCAGCAGACCGCGCTCTGGCCAATCGGATTCGTCTTAAAATACGGCTCTAGCTCTATATTACATGATTTCCGGGCGCAGCCCGCTCTGATGGAATGTCCAACTTGATCGGCGAGTAGCACGGAAGTTTCCAGTCCCTCGCCCTCTTGCCACAAATAGCAACAAATTCCGAGCACCTTCACTTTTGGAAAGCTGTTATTATTCATAGCCTACCTCTTAACTTCAATTTTTTCCGGACACCGTACCCCATTTCAGGAGACTAATGGAGGGTGCAAAATAAATTGAGCTTCGCGGAACCAGCTGTCCTAGCTTTTACGGCTTCATTGATTGTATTGAACATGCAATCGTTGGGTGTTGATGCCGTGCAGAGCAAACTCCTGAGGCCTCCCTTTTCCTTTGGATTGCCAACGCAAGCCTATACCTCTGACCATGCCAGTCAAAATCCTTCTGTCGATGAGTCTGCATCATCGCCAACAAATACTGCTAGCGGTGGCCCCCAAGATCCTGCTCAAAGTAGCCTCAAGGCACCACTAGCGGATTCCACTGGCAGTATCCGTCAAGATCCTACTGCAAATGACCATAAATTACCGCCCGCTAGTGATAGCCAGCCGCAGCTAGAACGCACACATAGAGCTGCTTCCTCTTCTGTCTTGCTGGGGAACTTGCCGACAATTTCCCGGGATAAGGATCACCGGGTCTTTTTGGTCGCAGAGGATATAGAGACTTATCTAAAGCGGGATCTGGACCACACTCGGCTTAACAGAATACATAGGCATCTTTGGATGGCCGGGAGACCCCTAAATGCCAGACCCATACACCGATTGAAGATGATGGGTTTCAATATACTCCTGACAGAGCAAGCGGACCTCCATCTCCTCAAATTCTCGAACACGATCTTCATCAAGCCGCTTCCGGATTATATGCTAAACTTCATGTTCTGGGACAAATATCTCTGTGAATCGGAGGAGCTTCATAAATCTGCCTGTGGAATCTTGCTCTCCTATGTTTGGTTGATATGCTCTTCTCTCGACTTGAAATTAGCTCACAAGCTAGATCTTCTCCCATGTGAGATAACGTGGATCGAGTGGAAAAGTTTCGTGGCAGATTTCCTCTCTAATGTCGACCCAAATACGCTCGACCAGGTCAATAAACGCTACCACTTTGGCGAGCTGCGACTAGGAAGGATCAATTCAATATACAGGATCCGATTTTTCTCCACGCACTTCATTCGCGGCTATTTATACGGCTATAACCGCTATGCGATCTTCTTCCAGAGAAATTTCGCCTGGATACTCATCGTATTAGTATATTTTTCCCTTATACTCTCGGCGATGCAGGTCGGTGCCACTGTACCACCACTGAACACGAACCACACCTTTCAGCAGGTTTCTTACGGCTTTTCGGTCTTCTCAATTGTCACCGTGTTAGTAGTTGTGTGTTTTGTGGGGATCTTGTTCGTGACAATATTCTTAGTTAATATGGTCCTGGCTATTTCGCACGAGAAGAAGAAGAGGAGAGACCGGAAAATCCTCTCCCGCGAGAGTGAGGGAACAGCCAAAGCTTAGACATATCATATTTGTGATGAATCAAGTTATCTTCTTTCCGGAAACCTGATCCTTCAGGCATTTCACTGAGAGGAACGTGCAGAAAAATGGGACCACAGGTACTTAGCTACCACATTAAGGCTAACTCATGCTTGGACACCATATGGAACATCTTGACTTTGACTTCATCCCATTGTCTGATCCATCGGCTCGCCCCACTGCCCCTTGGATTCCGCCCAAATCCTCCACGACCTGGTCCGTCACAAAGTTTTGTAACTAGGTCCACGGATATCACTAATCTGTACTACCGTCTTTCTCTGTAATTAAACTGACGGTAATGTGTAACTATATGGTAACCGAGAATATGAAACGAGCTGCCGCATTAAAATAGATAGGTATGGCTGAGCCCTCTAGAATGAAGTTCACCATTAAACAGTCAGACTGATGCAGCTTTCCCAATGCGGGATTCAGTCCCCCATTAGCAGATTACATCCTTTTGTTCAGTATCTAGCAGCAACTATCCACCCATCAATCAGACATCTTCCCTTTGGATGAATTGGAAATAAAATTCAAAAAAATCCCCAACCTTACAGGAGGTGATCAGATGATCATACGTTCCTCCAACTGTCTTGTTGACTTGGCGCCTGCAGTGAACCTTTGCCTGCACATAATGGGTGATGTGGCTATTCCTCCTGCCAGCAAATTGGGCTCCGCCTGACAAGTCCAAGCGCGATAAACCTTAGAATTTGGCTTGTAAGCCCCAGGAGGCTGAATACCTTCTTCTGCCACGGACCTGGGAGAAGACCATTTTTAGGCAATGTAAATACGAACCTACAGGGTCCGAGGACCGGTTGGAGGTGTAATTTGCCAATCGTTTCCAATTAGCGCCGTTTCAATTAGCGCCCACCCCCCCCAACCCTCCTCTATCCGAGGGATTAAGTCAGCACTTGATAGATCCGAAATAGAAAATCTTCAGAGGATAATCTGCATACTCTCCTTCTACAAAATCTTGTGTTTTCCAACTATCTTCGCAGGGACACGTCCCTAACGACGTCTTTGCAATATGGAATTCAACCAAGAATTTGAGCAACCAGCGCAAGCCTCTCCTAGCCCACATGCATCAAAAAGCGAACTACCTGTAAAAGCCGACACAGTCTACAAAGGTCATCAATTCAAATCAAAAAAGCGGTCATCTTTATGGAACGTGGCGTCAAACTTATTTATTTGGGAGCTACTAGCTATGTGTCTATCTACGGGTCTTTTGATCGCCATTATCGTGACATTGTCCTCCTATGATCATCAACCTCAGCCAACCTGGGGGTACATTTCGTTAAACTCTTTGGTATCGTGGCTAAGTACTATCTCTAAAGGATGTGTCTTATTCGCGATTAGCGAGAGTCTAGGACAACTGAAATGGCTGTGGTTCACCAACAATTCGCGGGCCATGTCTGATTTGCGTACCTTTGATGCAGCTAGTCGGGGGCTTTTTGGCAGTGCCGCGCTGATTTGGGATTTACGTGCAAGGTAGGTCAATCCCTTAATGCTTTGCTCCGGTTGGTTGCTCATGGTGCAGGCATTTTGCTGTCCCAGGAAGTCTTGCCGTCATTCTTGCGATCGCCTTCGATCCCTTCACCCAAAACCTTCTTCACTATTATCCTAAGCTCACACCCGATGCCTCGCAAATAGCGATTGTATCAAATAACTCTGTGTACGACGTCGTCGGTTCACAACTTGGCCTAGATGGAGGTATGTCAAAAAGCGCTCCTCTGGTCTTGAGTGTCGCTCATCAAAACGCATAACAGAGGCTTATGTAGACCCAACACTAAAAGCCAACGTTTACAATTCAATATTCAACAATGACCCATCAAAGCCATGGTCAATTCCTAACTATACCTGCGGCACTGGAAACTGCACCTGGGATCCAATCACTTCACTGGGAATGCAAGCAGTTTGTTCCGACGTCACAAAGTATTTGGACTTTCAATGCCATACTATTACAAATGATACAGCTGATCTGGCAATGGTCGGAGAACGCAATTGTTCTATCCATCTTCGATTCAATTCCTCGACAAGCACAATCTCCGCCAATTACATAGAAAACGGACCAGTCGCAACTGCGGTCGTTGCAGGACCCGGCGGAGTCTCTATTATTCAAGAAGATTCCCCTTTTTACCATGTCCAGATTATCGCACCTGATCAGTCCATCAATGAAGTTGACGTATTTACAAATTCGACTAAATGGCAAGCATTGGAATGCGCCCTGCAACCCATAGTCCGAAGATTTCGCCCATCAGTTACTGGGGGTATCTATCATGAAGATACATTATCTGTCTGGAAAAACCGCTCTGCCAACCAAGATCTGGATGGGTACTCTCTCAGCCCCCCTTGGGGACCAGAAATGGGCATTGAGAAGAACACAACCTTCATGATAACATTTGAAGCAATACGTGCGATGGACCCTTTTATGTATTTCTTTGCCGGTAGCGTCGAGTCAGCTCTTGGTCGCATTACATTTATTCCAGTCGAAGGGTATGCTACCTACGCCAGCGCTGATTTCATGCAAGCCATTGCAGTCTCGAATATCACCGGCTGTACGGCCACTGGCTCCGAAAGGCTCCGTTGTGCTATGGAGAATGCGGCTGCTGCGATGTCAAAAACCTTTCGAGATTCGACGCCCTCTGCGGCAGATAGTCAAGGGGCAAAGTCTTCAACTCTGGGTCATGCTATGTCGAATACGACGTATGTGACCGTGCATTGGCAATGGATTTCTCTCCCTATTCTGGTATGGCTGCTAGGTATCATTACCTTAGTGGGTACTATTTTGCGGAGTCGAAGAGCCGTGGTTCCCACATGGAAAAACGATGTGATGCCATTGTTATTCATCTACGAAGGTGGTCAGGATGAACAGCTTTTACCTGATGGAGAACTTGAAAATGAAAAGAGAGTGAGGTTACATGATTTCGAGGGTAGGGTTTGGCTAGCTGAATGATCAGAGATCGTGATGAAATGAATTGATAGTAAGTACAGTAGCAATGTGGGTTGACAGAGAATAAGTAAGCATATAATTCAGATACGTTTTTTCTAGCTCACGAACTCGGATTTAAAAGTTCTGTAGTCGGACTCTTCACATCAGTACATCAAGGTCAATAGGCACTGGCCTGTATCAGCTGCGACATTTACGCCAATGAGGCTGGATGCTGAAAGCGGCAGAGAAGCTATATCAGCGAGCACTGTCAGGCTACTTTTAAGCTTTTGGTCTAGGTCAAACAACAACATTTGAAGACAGTACATAAAATTGGTTCTGTCTACTTAAATTGGATAAGCTGGTGAAGGCAGAAAAAATGCTCCAGCGACTACTAGCAGGCTTTGATAAGGCCCCAGGCTCAGATAATAAATCCACTCTTACGACAATCAACAACCTCGAGAATCTCTACCTTTAGCAGTACAAACAGGAGGAGCAGAAGACAGTCCCTCAATCAGGCCTGGCACTTAGCCGCCCTGCGGCTTGTGGTTCTTGATTCAATGATAGCAAAAGAAACCAGATATATTTAGACTTTGATCAATACACCCTTCATCATTATTCTATTTTAGTGTTCTTAGAAAATAAGTAGCTATGGTGCAGTGACTGCAATAACGCACCTACAACGAAAGGGAGTGTATGATATTGAGGTGTAAAATAGTGGTGCGCAGGGCGTTCAGGTGAAAAGGCCGAAGAGTAAGCATATTGACTGGAGTAAAACAAAAACGTGCAACAGCATAAGTATAACCATGGTTACCTAGCGCCCACAATTCGATGTCGTGGGTGGCTCGCCGCTTCAGCAGCCCTTTTCAGGGGAATCCGGGCACCTGTTAACCCACCCAAATATTCTTCGCCCGAAAATTCAGTACGCGGAGCAGAGAGTTTCTCGGATACCCTGTACCAGTCAATACCTCAATATCCCCGAACCGACATATACGACTAGTTTAGCGTGTTTTGTATACGTATTTTAGAGGTGGGTCTTAAAGGGGTGCAAATACTTTTGTCCAATCACTAGTAGACCGCCAGAGCAAGTGGTATCCGAAGTTGCGGATACGCCGCTGTCTGCGCGACACAACAAAACCATTTTCAGCAGTTCTAGAGCACTAGAAACTCGCAGAAAAGTTCACATTCTGGGGCAAACTCCAGATAAAGGTCTCTTCGAATAACAACCTTGAGGCTGACACCCGATTTTGGCTTAGATTTGATGAGTCCTTCCTGGAGCACAAAATTCTTGTAACTATAATTTTCACGACACGATCATATTGCGATTTCGCCCTGAGTATTCAACACGTGAAACGCTAAGATGAATCGAAGAGTAGATGCATTAGTTTAGGAATGTTGGATTTTGATTCGTCGACATTTTCAGTGAATCGGGGGCCAAAATTACTGCACAGGTTTGGTCCTTCTCTATCGTTTGGATATTGCCAGATGCCTTTATCCTGGAGCCAAAAGCCATACTTAGCCAGCTGGATTGATTCCTAGTCTTCTTTTCAACTTACTAGGGTAGCACATCTCGTTCATGATCCCGTATGTAAACTTTGTTGTTGTGGACGAGATCCGAAATGTTCACAAGTCGCCCTATCCCCGTAATCATGTCAAAAGAATCATTTGTTATGCTAGCATCCTGCCCCCACAGCCAAGCTGGCCAATAGAGAATGCGACTTGGGTGACCACGCATGAGATTCGGTTCGATTCAATAGCGAATGCGCTTATGCACAGCTATCACGTATCAATGCGAGTGGGTGGGGCCAAATTTGCCGAGATGGAGCTACTGGGAGTTGGTTGCTCAAACTAATAAATTTCAAAGCCTAGAGCCCAAAACCACCGCTAGCAGGTAATACATCCCCGATCGTACTCCTTTTTATCGGATGAATCGATTTACTGCATTCCGAATTGGTTCCGTTTGATCCCACTCGTCTGGGGCGTAAAATAGCACCATATTCATTCTTTTGCTCTCTAGCTCTCTCTCTGTATACTCGGTCATTGGACTAAAGAATACTATCACCCAGGGCGAGCGGAATCCTCCGGTCCTCTTTCAGCCCTAGTAACTATTTCGCCAAATCAAATGGGCTTAATGGAGGGGGAATTTCGCGTCTCTGAACTCTATAAGAAGAAAGACCACAAAAAACCATCATCGGATGTCCAATCATCCATAATTGCCGACCAAAACTCATATCGCGAGAAGTCTATCTGGCGGCGAATATCTGAAAGAGATATTCATCTATCATCTGTCAATGAACAAACAGCGGAGATGCTCAAAACAAAAGACCACGCTCTTACACAACTCCGCGAAGCACAGCGTCTGCGCCAGTTGAAAGGCCCCCTACTAGATCCTAGTGAGATGTTATGGATGGATAATACCATCCTCGATGTCGAGAACGCAGCCCTTGGCGTTGCTATTCTTCTCGAGCCCACCCGGGTAGAGAAGGAGACCGGGAACGGCAAGCTCAGCCTGGGGAGGCAATTTCGTTGGGTCTATCGTGATAGTCAACGAGCGCGGGATATGATAAATCGCCTTTTGGCTTGTCATTCCAGTCTCATGGCTGTTCTAGCTCGTCTGCAGCGGCTTGATACTCCTGAGTCTGCCACTGTCCCTGTCCACGAACTGGAAGCAGAGATGGCCTACAAACCGGAAATTAACAACTCGCCTAGTCTCTCGCCGAACTTGGATGATTCTGTTAGTTGTCTGAGTCAACTAGAAGAGAACAGCAGGTGGAATTCTCCGAGGCCGAGCACATTGGACCATGAGATGAATGACATGTTGGCCTGGCGTCGGTCTAAAGGAAAGACTGTATAGTACTGAGCAAAAATTTTGAATGGGAATAATTGAGGTCTAAAAGTAGTCACCCCTCTCCGAGTATTGACCTAGCGACATTCTTTCAAATGATTATGTCCATTTCTATTAGATAGAACACCGGCAGTCGACAGAGCACTCTTCCCAGAGTCAACAACTAGTAACCCCCGCTTTAGATCACGAAGGGGAGATGGACTTGTACAAACTTTCCATGAACTTCCGAACATTTATCCAATTAAAATTCTAGGTATAGAGAGGGTATTTTCAAATCTGTCGCGTAAACTCCTCTAGCAAGGTCTGAGGCACAGCCATTCGTACACCATGCTCGTCACATGTTTTTACTACAGCTGGGAGAATAACAACCTGGTTCACCATGGGTGTAGTCGTCGACCAGCGAAAAGTGATTGAGCATGGCTGAGAAAACAGCCAAACGCCAAGATTCACCGCTGTCCGGGTCACGCTTATCATATGGGCCAAGCGATCAGCTTCGTTGAACTGGGGGTCGCTGTATGGGGCAAATGTCTCAGTGAAGGTATTTGCAAAGCGTGTAATCAAATCTTCTTGGGCTTTCACCTGGGCTGAATTATTACGGGCATCCTTGATGTAAAGATAAGATGTTAACATGCGCCAGGCAAATACCGCACGATCATCTGTAAACACAATCCCGTCAGTGAGCTGAAAGATTATGGAGGCGGAAAGGATGGACTGTACCAGCAACGTTTGATAGATCATTCTCTGTCCCCAGTCTATAGCATGCCGGGGTCAGAGATGTCCCTTGGCTTTGAGATTGAATAGCCGCCAAGATAGCATGAAGGAGTGTGTGGGTGAGGATCGCTCTCTGGGATCTGGAGTTTGAAAGCAGTGTCGCCAGCGAAGTACCGAGCAATGAGGAATCAAAATCATTGATTTGAGCGACCATCTCCGGCATCAATCGACGATGTGAGCCAGGACGGGAGTAGTAATTATCCACATGCAAGCTGACTTGGTCAAAGACAGCCTGTACCCGCGTACAAACCGTGCTATCATCTGCAGGCTCAGCAACAAATGCGGACAGGTCAAGAGGAATAGTGCCAATGGCAGATACCTCTGAGTATGGTTGGTTGCCATTAGCCACAGTGACGGAAGCATTAGGCCCATTCTTGGTACTCTGTATTGGGCCTTTCGGGGGAATTGAGGAAACCAACACGGAGGGCTCTTCCTTTGCAGGAGGATATAGTGACTTTTTGCGACCGCGGAGACAAAGGAAAGCCACCAAGAATGCCAAAATGCAGCCTCCGGCGAAAGCGCCTACTACGGCTCCTGCAAGTGCCCCAGAACTGATTCTGCTATCAGGGGTATTCTGCTGCGACGATTGTATGCTCAATGTGCTGTTTTTTGCTACAGTCGTCGTACTAGTAGAGCTGGATTGCATCAGGGAAGTCGATTTGCCAGTATATGATGTCAAAGACGCAGTCAGTGCAACACCCTCATTTGTTGTTGTTGTTGTTGTTGTTGTTGTTGTTGTTGGCGTTGCTGCTGCTGCGGCTGCTGTTGTTGTTGTGGCGACTGTACTGGACTCGATGATGGAAGCACTAGAAGTGCTGGGAGGCGAAGCAGAAGTAGATACATAATCAGATTCGGTAGAAAGTGAAGAACTAGCTGGGGACTGATATTCGGAAGTTGTAGTCATTTTGAAGTTGAAAGCTTCCAAAGTTTGGATTTTTTGGGAATATGATCAAAGTTGGAATTTTGGGGAAGCTCTATTGTATCCAAAAGATGATACCGGAGTTTAGTCGGCCCTTTTCAGTCAAATTACTAGTTTGAAACCCGATTTGCGCCGGCGTCAGGGCTAATGCAGCTAAAGAAACCGCTCATAAATTAGTCGAAGAATTTCTGAGCTGAGATTCGAGATGCGTGATGGGGTCAACATCCCTGTCAGAGGTGGGGAGTGCAAAATTTGCGAAGTTGATATTTTTACATCCGCACTCAGCGTCTCCAAAGACTTTGTGTGGATCTGCTCCTGAAAAGAGTTGTAATTAAACCACGACGACCAAAATGAGTGATAAAGAGGTAATCATTGTTGAAAATCGAGGGCTAAATGATGATTCGGATGTTTGGATCCCAGACATCATTGTGGGTATTGACTTTGGGATGACCTTTACGGGTAGGCTTTTCTTTAAGCGATGAATTTGTATCGTTCCGATTATACCATGTTAACAGTTACTTCTATAGGTGTTGCTTACTCTTCTGCACCAGAATGGCTTCCCCCAAAAACAATTCAACGTTGGCCAGGAAAATTACCTGGAGAGCTGGCCAACAAAGTACCAACTTACATCGAATATGACGAACAGGGCTTGGTGAAAAACTGGGGCTTCCAGTGTGACCAAGAAGACAAATCCTCCAACATCAAAGAGTTTTTCAAATTACACCTTGCGCCTCAGTACCATGACGATTATCCTGGAAGTCCAAGCCGCGGACAAGCCCAGAAATGGTTCCAAGACTACATTCAGTGTGTCTATCGACACGTGATTTCCCATTTCAACAACTGCATCCCTAATTTTGTTTCGCGTCATGTTGAGTTTCTGTTCAGCGTGCCAACTACCTGGAAGGATGTACGGATGGTGGAAGAAACGAGGAGACTCCTCGAAACAGCAATCAGCGCCAAAACACCCATGCACCGTGTTTCCATAGGCCTCACTGAGGCTGAAGCCGCTGCAGTCTATGCCGGTAATGAACATTATCAGGCAAGAATGACACATGTGCCAGAGGCTCCAGCTATTGACTGACGATCTACCCTTAATTCCACAGACAGATGAGACAATTCTGGTCTGCGATGCAGGTGGAGGGACAACTGTGAGCGAAACTGAACAACTACAAAGCATTCTACATTGCTCTAACTTCAAGTCTCTTGAAATAGGATGTGAATGTGCTAAAGCTCATTTCCTCACGAGGAGAGCCAACAAGGCTCGAGCAGCTTGGACATGTTGAAGGTATTGGCATACTTGGCAGTCACCTAATATCGCATCACAGAAATTGAATTTCATGTGAGCTAATTGAAATACAGGACAACCTATTGGCTCAGCTTTCATTGACCGAAAGATGTACGATCTAATACGTGCAAGACTGGACAAGGTTGAAAATCATCTAAGTTTTCCACCAAATGAAACGGCATGGAAAATGATATCAGGTCGTTTCCAGCGTTTGAAGTGCGCCTTTGGGACAGAAGCCACAGCAACGCCTTGGTTGAAACTTGATGTTCCGTTATTAGACGCTACTGGGGATCATGTCGATGCCGGAATATATGATGGGCAGATGCAAATTGCGTGGTAAATTAACTGGACTTGCAGATTTTTCATCGTCCTTACAATATTGACCATTCGCTTAGGGAGGATCTTAAGATTGCTTTTGACATCAAGATTGATGAAATGATTAAGCTTATGGACGGGCATATCCGTCAAATGCATTCCAAATACCCTGGAGACAATATTGTGGGTACTATCCCCAGTTTTCGCGGTCACTTATTGTCGATACTTACTTGCAATGGAAAAAGGCATATCTTGTCCTATCGGGAGGCTTCGGGAGCTCCCCGTATGTACTGCAGCGTCTTGTGGAGAGATATAATGATTCCAGCTCCCATGGTCATCCAAATGCAGATGGAATGCAGATTCTCGTCGCCGATGAACCGTACAGTTCACCTCTAAAATCGCGACATGGAAATAGTACGCTAACTTTCATATCCATATAGACAGCTGGTAGTAGTTCATGGTTTGGTCTTGGATCGAATCCAGCAGATTAAACGTGGGGTCCTCACTTTTGGGTCGCGATGCTCCCCCGTAAGTTACGGGATTGTCTGTGATAAGATCTATAATCCCGAAAAGCATATCGGACAGGCAGTCAGACTTGACCCACGAGACAAGAAAACTTACGCGGTCGATCAGATCGATTGGCTTGTTATTCAGGTATGTTTTCACAAGCCGAACTACATTCGCATCATTTCTCTAGATCTCTCACCCCGACGACCAATTTGTCTGATTTCTCTGCATTCAATTAGGGTGTCTCAATTCCATACACAGGGTTGGTTAGGATGTTCCAATTGAAGATGGACCCAGGTCGTGAAAATGACCCCTGGAAAGTCAGCATTGTCATGTCAGCCCTCGCACCTAATCAACTGCCGTTGAATTTAGCAGATAGAGGGGTTCAAAAAGTTTGCGATCTTGACATATCTACCGAAAGCGTGGATAAAAAGTTGAAAAACAGACACTGGTACAATACTAAACCCACATTCTGGAGGACCACTTTTGATGTGAGGGTAGTGGTCGGGCCTGCTGATCTTTCCTTTCAGCTCTGGTCGCGTGACAAAAGGATTATGAGCACCAAGCATGAGGCTATTGCGGTGAAATGGATGCCAGCGGGGGAATTTGATGATTAAAGAGCTGGCTCTATATGTACTACTGGTTTCTGCCCCTTTGGCCTCATGCTTTGGCCGTTAATATTCTATTGTATCGCTGAAATAAATTCTTCTTCAAGGTCTCTGTGAAATCATTCTTCACAGTAGATCTACATATTTTATACATGGAAAGAATGATTCACTACATAGTTATAGTTTTCCCTTGTTCTGACATGCTCTATAGACTCGCCTCGCACGCTTCTTGCAAACTGTAGAGCGAAGCGTGCGAGTGCTATCCATCCTAAACACCAAAGGGAATTGCTAGCTGAACTTTGTTGAGCAATTTCTCTGAGATTCTTTTACCCCCTTGGCATCGAGATTGCGAAGCGAGGCGTATTCTGATTCGACTCCATTGCCTTGAAGTACAGTATATCGTCGGCAGCCTTGGTCATGGCCAACTCTCGTCAACTCATTGATATGTGACGGCCTAGCGGCAAACATGGATCTTTCTCTACCAGCTGCGCTACTACCTATGTTCTCAAGAGTAACGACACATGCAGCTCGATCGAGTCTACGGAATCGTACACTCCAGCAAGTGTGAGACAATACAACTCTTGGCTTGAATGGGACTGCTCCAACATCCAATCGGTCACAGAAGCTTGGGGTCATGTCATCTGCCTAGCTGGGCAGGACGGGAACTATACAGCCACCGCACCAATTTCCGGCGTGACTTTGAGTCCCGGGGAAAATTCAGGGTATTCAGAACTCATAGTGTACCCACTATCGAATGCCACTGTCGCGCCAGACACGACCTTGAAATGTGGAAAGTGGCATTTTGCGTCAAAAGATGAATCTTATGCGCAGATCTGCCTCCAGGAGTCGATCACCTCTACTCTCTTCTTGCAGGTAAACCATCACTTTCGAGCTAGGTATTTGAGTGTTCATGCACTTCTTGTGACTGGCTATCCATGGTAGCGAACTCTGACCTCTCGTATATTACTCTACATACACCCGACCGTCAACGACCTTGTCTCCATTTCTGGATACTCCTTCGTATTACACAGCTCCTCGAGTTATCCCACAACCCCTTGTAGCTCACTTTAATTGTGGAGTGTGTTCATGAGAAGACGACAAAATCATGTTGTTTTTTTGAGTTCGAAGAAGGCAAAGAGAAATGATTGTCTTTCTTAGGCTTATAGTGGCGATTTGGAGGTATCAAGCATGTCAGTAACCCGTGATGATCGCTTAGGTAATTGACTTTAATTTAAGATATACAAAGGTTAACCAGGTCGATTGCGTCTTCAATGAACCGCGATGGAACGTCGTTGTCTCCCCAGGTCGGGTAGTGGCGGTTGAAATCTCCAGCGAGTATGACGCTCGTGGACCTTTGACCATCCCGGGTAGCGTTTGAAACTGTGTTTTGAATTGCCATGAGCGCTGACTATGCCGATACATTATCCGGAGCGAAGAGCGGGACGGGAGGAATATAGACCGAAAAAATTAGTGTCTGGGATTCAGCTGTCCAGATCTTAATGGCGGAGACGTCGGGGTGATCGCATGGAATTTGACGGCGCGAGGAGGTAGGCATGTTTCGGTTCACATAAATGAGGCTCAGGAACAAGATCGCGTCTGTTTCGATGGTGGGTCGGTAGATACGCCAAGAACTGTGGTGGTTGTCATCGCTATTTCCATTATCTCTCGGGTCGACCAGTGATCTTTGCGTGCTGATACGGCAGCAGCTTCGTTCGTTTTCCGGTCGTTGGAGGGTCGGTTGGGGGGCATCGCTGGCGTTGTTGGCTGCTATTGCGGCCCATGTGGGCGACGGGGCCGGTGGCCTGGCTTCGAATTGTACTCGCAGAGCGTGCAGTTCCTCGTGTAGCTTTTCATTCTGTTCTCGAAGGATGTTTTGGTCGTGTTTCCCTTCTAGAAGCTCGGCCATAGTGGCTTCGATGAGCGTGGTTTGCTGGTGGATGATGTCCTTGAGATTGTCGATGAGCCTCCACACTTCTCTGGTGGTAATTCGGCCTGTGCCTTCAGTTGGTGTGTATGTTTCGCCATTCCTCGTTCTTTTCCATATGATCTGAGCTGCATCGGCTGTGTATGTTTCGCCATTCCTCGTTCTTTTCCATATGATCTGAGCTGCATCGGCCGATCCTCGAGGCTGGAAGTCTGCAACTAACTGGCGTGGGTTTGTGAGATGGGGTTCGGGCACTCCCGCGGGTGGGTTCGCCATCGATTTGCGGTTAGCTCCCGCTCGGTACACAACGCGGCAGATTTATCTCGCAGCAATATCAACCACAACGCAGTCCGATCTCCTGCTACAGCAATATTCGAAATTGGCTTCTTCTCACAGGATCCACGCTCGGATCGATACAGTATTTCCGAGAATCGGTGTCCTCACGTACACTATTTCATCGTTCCCCGAAGCCTAAAACCCCAAGCTAGACTAAACTCTAGTTGAAAGTAGATCTGAATAGCATATTTCCGGTTTTCACAAACACAAATATTTAGAAACTCAAGATTTGGATAACTTTCCTCTTTACCTGGGTTGGGGGTGACGCGAAAATCGCGCTGAAGATGGAGCGCGTCTAGAAACTGGTGGACCGCCTTTGTACCACAAAAATAGGAAGACATTCCTGGAACCTTCCCGAGAAAAGTCCATACGAGGTTTGCTATATGTCCGCTACTTATCGTCTATCAACACGTTACTGTCAATAGTTCGTTATATTTCCACGAAATTTCTAATGTACCACCCGTCAGATAATATACCATGGCATCTACTTGCCTCGAATCTTCACTGGGCCCCGGGTGAGCTTGCAGAGAAAATTCGCGTCCTGAATCTTCCTAAGCTTCCCGGCAAACTGAAGGAGAAAAGGGGCTGTGTGTGCGGTGTCACTAACTTGCACCCAAGTTTTCCTGCGCCTGAATCTCCTGATGAAGATAGATTCGCTCAGGCCTTTGTACAGGCCGTGTATGATGATTCGAAACGCAAGCGAGCCCAATACCCGGAAAAATACAGCCCTCCCAGTCCCAGTGATGTTCTCTTGGGGGATGAGCTTGTTGGAACAATTGAATCACATTTATCCCAGCGGATGAAAGGCGGGCCGAGACTTCCATTTGAGCAAAGAACTGCTTTCGCATTCCTCCACCCTTGCGTTATTAGTGATCATTGCCGTTTCACGAGTAGCACTAAGATCGGATTCCTCAATTTGGAGGTAGTGAAGATGCTACTCATGCTAGGCGAACTAGATCCAATTCTTCAGGCGTGCGCTCACCCAGACGTGGGAATTTTAGGGTGGTACTCTGCTGCGTTCTGTGATTGCCTAGTATGTATACTTTCCATTTCATTGTTGCAGACGATATCATTAAGTCTTATTACAGGCGAATCCCTATAATCTCGGGTGGGATGTGGTCCTACATCGTGCTCTGTTAGCCTACATTGCACTCAACATCGCCCTTTGTTTCCCGAAAATCTGTGACCCGACAGCGGGTAGAACTGATGAAACCGACTATCGCCATACAGGATTCTATCAGTACATGCTGAGAGAAATCACCCAGTCGATTGATGGTTGCGAAGCAACACCTTATCCACATCAACAGTTTTTTGGAATTCCCTGCGACCACTTTTGCGATGATATGCGTATGAATGATATGAACCATTGGCTCCATCGCACAGACATCATCCAAGTCGGTCACCATGGCCACTATGGTCTACTTTCATTTGATGAGTTCCTCAATCTAGAAGGGCCATTGCCTGATCAATATCAGCCGTCGCAATCTGATGTTGAATCAGTGAAACAAATCCTCCTTTCTAAGAGCTTTCCCCTCGAGATTGTGTTTATGATCATGTATTTCGCCGATTATAAAGCCAAAAGGGTTCTCGAGGTCCCGCATGATCCCCTTCACCCTGCCAATAGAGCTGAAATGAATCAGTACCTTGACCAATGCTGGCAAATCATTATTGGCTGTGAAATCATGAACCATGCTTTGGGTGGGAAGATGATTGACTGGCGACAAGAAATCCATTCAAAAGTGAAGACCCTTTTTCACCAACCGGAAAGACCCTGGGTTCGGGGTCAGGGTCGGGGCCGGGGCAGGGGCCGAGGTCGGGGGGGTAATTCTGTAACCGGAAGGAGATGTTTTGATAGATAGACTGTATTTGAAAACTTTGTCATATTTTAAATCAAGGCTATTGTTCCCTAAAATCGTGCTCACTAGAATCTTTCAAGGCTTCTCTACCCATGATATGGAGCGGAAAGAAAACAAAAGAACGTTCTGTGGTCTGAGCTGTACTTATTCCTGGGATTTATTAGCATTAGCGTTTCCATGTCTTTCTCAGATAGCTGAGAATTGGGGGCCCGAAAAATCAATTGTATCTTCCACGTATGCAACTCTGGAAACCTTTACTAGCCCTGGCCATCTCCTTATTACGTAGCTTACTGTATCACTGTTATTCACGTCACAAATCGCGAAAGGCAAGAGCTGACAGCCTAGCCATAGTTTGTTGCACGGCCAGTAGGTTTGCTAAGCAAGAAATCCGACTGAGACTTAGGCAAAGGGGGCCAATCAGGTCGTAAATTCCGGCTTCACAGGTGATACACATGATTTCCGGTATTGTGATAGTCGAATAATTTACATACACCCTCAAAATGAATGGCATCTCCCAAGAGTAGTTTGGCCTCTCTTGGCATTAGGGTTCGGGGAACAATGAGTGAGTGCGGGGGGTGACACCGATTTCCGGAAATACTGTAACAGGTCTAAGTTGCTAAAAGGCCCCTAAACCGTGGCACTAAACCCCTGCGCTCCAGGTCAACGGACGACTCAAGGTTGGTACCTCCAAAAATTGATGCGGGGGCTGCCGAATAAAGTTTTGTGTACCCTCTGTCAAATTAGACCACTATGCGCGCGCTGTTTCTCCAAGCCGGTAGCATGATACTTTGTCTACACTGGGGATCTTCTATGGATCACATTCTAAGGGTGTCGAAAATATTACGGCGGTCCCTCTGACAACAAAGCTGCAGCTTATGTTGTTGATAGAGTTGGTTGTCATTTTAGCCGCTACGAGATACATCCAACCATGATTGACCAATGCCTCCAAGCAATGAGCGTCAACAGTTCTTTAGTTCCGGTCTTCACATCTTTCCTTGACTGGGTAAGACAAAATTTGTTGAAAATGATTCTGGAATTATAGAAGTGCATTGTTTGGGAGATGATACAGGAGCCCTAGATTCTCTTACTCTCTTGGCATCGAGGTTGTGAAGCGAGGGCTATTTGATTTGACGAGAGTTTACCCAGGAGGACATTTTGTTCAGTGTTTAGCAGAGGTGCGCAGGAAGGAGTAGAAGGTGCTTTTATGCCATTGCCTACAGGGTAGGACAAACCAGCTTTATCCCAGCCCTGGTGTTAAATTGGTATCATATTCTTAAACATAAATCCCTTCATACGACCGCGATACGCCAGCGGTCTAGGCGCCATGCACCTTGACCACGACCTTACCACGTGCACGCTTGGTGGAGATGCACTGGTAGGCACTTATGGCGTCCTCCATATCAAAGACAGAGTCGACTGGCACACGCAAATGGCCCTCCTCGACCAGACGTGCAAGGTATACTGCGTCGTCACGCGCCGGCGGCGTGCTGAACGTCATGTAGCGACGTGGCACGCCACCCAGCCAAGTGGGCAACCAGCTGTTGAAGAGCATATTCCGCGCCGTAACAAACAAGCCTTCTAGCATACCGATGTTGATCACGACGCCTTCGGCCTTAAGATAAGCCGGCGAGTTCACAAAGAGCGCCTGCGTGCCAACGCAGTCGAGCACAAAGTCAAACGGGTTCTCGCCATACTGATGCGCCAGGTAGGCTGGTAGCGGATCATGTTTGCGGTAGTCGATGAACTTTTTGTATATTAGCCATGCTCTTGTGAAAAGTTAGTGAAGTTTGCCTACCTCGTCCACGCCAAGACCACGAACCATAGCCCCGTTGGCACCGCTGGCCACACCAACCACTTTTGCACCACGCAATTTACAAAGCTGCACGAGCACCGAGCCAACTGACCCGCTAGCCCCATTTACGAGCACTGTATGGCCCTCTCGCACACCTGCTGTGCGGATCATCTTGAGTGCGGTGCTGCCAGACCCGTGAATGCCCGAGGCCGACGCCATATCAACACTGTTATCGATAGGTGTGACCTGGTAGCCAGGCAGCCGCACGTATTCTGCCAATCACGGCGCTGGGAATATTCTGAAAGGCGACGACATACGAGCCCACGCCGCGCACCTCTGCCGGTGCGCCCTCGCCAGCCGCCACAACCTCGCCAGAAAGCTCGATTTCGGGGACCCACGGGCCGAGGAATGGTAGACTGGGCAATGCCTTCATCATAGACTCGGTACTAAACTGTAGTGACACATGTGATACGCGAATCAGGACATCGGGTGATGAATCCGTAGGCACTGCAGGCGTGGGAAATACCGTTGTCAACTCAAGTGCGCTGGACGCAGGACCGCGCCGTGGGCGCACCCAGGCGCGCATCGTCGGCGGCAAGGTTGGTGTCGAGGACATTTTTCCTTCCATTAGCCCAGGGTGAAGAGGCAATAAAGAGGAAGGTGGTTGGCAAAAGCGAGGTGGTCTGGCTCCTGTTCCCGGGGTGTTGGTACGCGATTTGGGACGGGAGTGAAGACCTGATACTGTGACGATACAAAAGAGAAATGTGATGGACAGGTTCCAAAGCTGCAAAATACTGTTACAGAAAGAAGCTGGCAAGTCAAGTAAACATAGCGTATCTCAAGATTTTTCAAACCTAAACTTTCAAGAGGTCGTTCTTCCGTCGCTTCATTTATTTCAAGCTGACAATCACGTGCCTAAGTAAACTCATTAAACTGTAATACTCAGGCCTAATGAGATCTGAAGAACCAATTCTACGAGACACCAAGATTATGCCCAACAAGACCATATAGTTATAGACTTATAGTAAGTGCTACCCCTCAAGATTACAGCTTATCGGGCTGTTATGGGCCATGTGGCAGACTATTATTCTCCTTTGGGTCTAGCGTTGACCCTTTAGGACTATGCCCAACTTGGTATAGCGCTACTAATCGGTAGACTCGTTGAAAACAATTGTCTACTTAAATCGATTTCTAATGGGTTCCAAATTAGTCCTAACTTCTGTCGACGGCTTTGGATCTTATGGGAATGTCTAAGATGAAAATGGCAATGTTTACGTCGTCTACGCCACAGGGGCGGATGGCTTAGTTCCTCTGGCTCCACTTTGGGTTTGAACGGGTTCCTGCATCCGAGGGCAACGATGTGTACAGTACGCCTTCATGCAGATCAGTCTCTATACCTAGATGTCGACTCATAGTTAAGGTGATCGGATGATTTTGTTTCAGTCAGGTGTGTTGTTTACATTAGTTACCTGATCAGCAGAAGCATGATTTGTGCTGGTTAGACACATCACCGAATGTTGATTTTCTTGGCAGTTGTATCGCATTTTCATGGTTTCGAATGGAAAAATTAAGCGACGGGCGGAGATACCCGAGCTGAGATAGCACTATTGACGAATTCCCGGACCGGAAGTTTCTGAGTAGAATACTCGGATGGATTCCCCTATAAAGATTTTTGGAGCGCGCTATCATTCTTTCAGTCCCCATCCAAAAGAAAACTCTCTTTGTAAGAGACTTGAACGTTGTCTTCCCTCGATATCACTCTTTCAAATCGAACGGGAGGAATTTCCCTCTTTTCCCTCTCTACAATGAGGCTATTCAAGGTGGGAAGGACTCACTCTACTGCAAATCCTGACCTCAATCCATTTGGTGTCAGGAACGCCGTCGCGCGTGGGAGTTGACAGCCAGTCACTTGCCACAATCACTTCATCCTATGCCAGCACGATCACCAATATTGTGACATCTACCTCCTTGAACGTCATAGCCACCACTACTTGCGTTCCTGGTACTGCCTCACTTGTTGCCAACTCCCAATGCTCCGACTATGTATGGTCCTCGAGTGGCAGATATTATCAAGAAGCATGCGGCTCATCTATCATCGCTACGAAAACACAAGCTGCACTGGGCCCTTATGCGCGCCAGTCAAATATCTATTTTTGCTGGGAGTTTTGCCGTATCTTCTCAGGGTTATGCAATGGAGTTAATTACGTGACTGCGCAATCTTCTTGTCAATATCTTTCTATCGCGACTGCATCAATGGTTTCGAACTCAGCCTACCAAGCTGTAGGGTCCTTTACTACCAACCCCTGTTCTGTGACAACTACCGAAACCGAAACAAACTATGTAACAGAATACTCGACCACTGAAATCACGACCACCTATATAATCACTCTTTCGTCAAGTCCGACCCCTAGTGTGTCTGCATCCACTACTAGCCCCTCTGCTGAGATTTCTTACACTCCTTCATCATCTGTCGCTGCAAGCGCCAGCTCAACGCCTTCAAGTCAGAATTCCTCTCCTAACTCTTCACACTTATCGTCTTCGTCAGTGAACTCGGCTTCCACACCCCTTGTCGTGGCTAGCTCTACTCCTTCCACTCCAACCCAGTCGACTGCATCATCTCAGCTCAGCTCTTCCGCGAGACCCAATTCAGCTGCATCATCTAATACCAGTACACCCTCGTCGAAAATAATCGTCTCCGTCTCCAACGGTCGATCGTCGTCAGTGATCTCGGTTTCCACATCCCATGTCGTGGCTAGCTCCACTCCTTCCACGACAGCCCAGTCGACTGTATCGTCTCAGCTCAGCTCTTCCGCGAGACCCCATTCAGCTGCATCATCCAATATCAGTACACTTTCATCGGAAACAATCGTCTCCGTCTCCGTCGGTCGATCGTCGTCAGTCTCGGTTTCCACACCCCATGTTGTGGCTAGCTCCAGACCTGCCCGCTCATCCTGCAGTGCCGTTCATCATTCGAGGTCCTCGAGCTTACCATCGAATTCACGTGCTGCCCCAAGCAGCCGAGGAAAGACTTCTGCGACAATTGGTGGATCCTCAAGCTCAACACATACATCTGGAGCTCATGTTCCCAGTTCATTTGAATCTGTCTCCTTTGTCACATCAACAGCTCAGACCACATCGGCACCCGCCGGCAGCGGAAGCTTCATTCCCCAAACCGATAAACCCACCAAAAAACCCTCTCCGACGCCTGCTCAAGCTCACACTGGTAGTTCGGCAGGTGAATCTGTACAGGAAAGCTCTGGTTTGGCAAGTGGTGTGACTACCACTACTGAAAGCCTCTCTAGTCAAACAGGCAATGCGGTTTCTACGACATCGACCGTATTGACCACGAGGACTGCCACGATTACAGCCTGCCCATCCTCACAAGCTGATTGCCCAGCTTCGGCTAAGACAACTTTTGTGACAACTGAGACATTGGTAGTGTCAACAACTGTCTGCCCTCTTACTGAGGAGCCACGTCCTACAGCTGGCAGCCAACCCAATTATGGCAGTGGCAGTGCCGCACAGAGTGGCCACCTCACGCAAGAAGAATCAACGACGTCCACAATTTTGTCCACCCGAACTGCAACTATCACGGCTTGTCCATCCACTGTGACGGACTGCCCAGCCTCCGCTAAGAGTATTTTCGTGACCACGGAAACGCTTGTCGTCTCGACTACTGTTTGCCCTATCACCGAGGAATCCCATTCTTCCACAACAACTGTTCCCGAGTCCGGTAGTGGCACTTCACTGAGCAGCCACTCTGTGCAAGAAATGACAACCTCAACTGTACTTTCCACTCGAACTGCAACTATTACAGCTTGTCCATCCACTATGACGGACTGCCCAGCCTCCGCTAAGAGTACTTTCGTAACCACGGAGACGCTTGTCGTCTCGACGACTGTTTGCCCCATCACTGAGGAATCCCATTCTTTCACAACAACTATTCCCGAGTCCGGTAGTGGTGCTTCACTCATGACAACCTCGACTGTGCTTTCCACTCGAACTGCAACTATCACGGCTTGTCCTTCCAGCGTAACTGATTGCCCAGCTTCCGAGAAGAGCGCTTATGTGACAACGGAAACTATTGTGGTCTCGACCACCATTTGCCCCGTGGAAGAGCTCTCTGCTGCCACCTCGACTGTCGTGTCAGACACATCTTTCGCTGTCTCAACCTCTACGGCTACTGTTAGAGGAAATGGTGCATCCGCTCAACAATACTCTCCTTCATCGCTACTTAGCACTCGAGTTTCCACAATCACCAGCTGCCCGTCAGCCCAGTCTTCTTGTGAAGCGTCCGCTAAGACTGTTTTTGTCACCACCGAGATATTGTTAGTCTCCCCTACTAGTGTGTCCAGTATTTCTGCAGTTGAAGTGGAGGTTGCCTCGGAGGCCGCCCCAACTGAGACGGTCGCTGTCAACCCGCAGGTTGTCAGCACAATCAAAAGCAGCACACTGACCAACGAAGGTGGTTCCTCCGTCAACAGTGGATCTTGGACTGTGGAATCCGAATCTAGCATTGCAGCCGCAGCCGCAGGCTTTGGGTCTCATACTTCGCAGTCTTCCTTTGCAGTGCTGGCTAGTCCTGGAGCCACCAATCCCGCAGCCCATTCTTCTGGCTTACACGCTTCAGCATCTTCGTCAAAGATTATTGTTGGATCTACCTACAGCGCTAGCTCGACTGTCGGTGCTGTGAACGCGGTCTACACCGGCGCAGCCAATGAGAATCACTGGGTAGTTGGGCACTTCGTTGCGGTGCTGCTATCTATTGCTGCTGTCATTATTCTGTAATCATATTGTATTAAAGCTGGCTCACTGAGAGTTCCGAAGCACAGAAAGAAAATGGCATTTTCGTAATCTACTTTCAGGTTGCGAATCTTCCAAGTTCTACTCGGTGTGCTTTAGACTAGAGGCTTTCCGCTGTGCATTTGTGGCAGCTCTTGCTCAAGATGGTAGAACTAGGTCATAGTGGAAAACCCGCATAATGGAAGTAAATAGTAATTTTTTTAATGAAGTTCGTTCCTTCCCAGATGAGAAATGCGCTCTTTCTTTTCCAACTGGTTTCGTTTCGTCTCTCCCGCCAGCCATTCCCAATCACCCTCCTCCTCATACACACCCACCAAACCCCTCAAGTCAATCTTTACAAATCATATTCCACTGCACGATGGCCCGTATCCAAACGCCTGTCTTTCTCCAAGAATGCAAAAACTACCTCGACTATCTGGTGCGTGGTCAAAATGGAGATCTCGCTCTCCCCGAGTACGAGAGGGCAAGTCAATCAGTCTCAATGACGAAAAGACAAGCCATTCAGAATCGTTTACTAATTGCACTACAGAATGATCGCGGCGAGGTTGCTGTTCATCGCGGGGAGGTGTTCTGCCGTTTTCCGTCGTGTGCACACCGCAGGGTGAGTTTGTTGAGAATACGCTTCGAACGGTCACATAATGGCTAATTGGGTGGAGAATCCTTTGAGTTCAACGAGAAACCTCCGAGCACATCTGAAGCGCCACGAACTTGCGATACAGCAGACGCCCTCTGGTAGCACAACACAGCAAGAGAAGGATAAGGCCATGAAATGGTTTGCGGATATCATCGCGACTTCCGACCAGGCGGCTGCCATTGCTACACGAGGAGAATGAAATCCTGAATGCCAAGTGCCTATGTATTTCTTAGTTATCCGTTCTCTGTACGCTATGATAATAAAATGGGTCAAAGCCGACCAGCCATAGCGACATACCAGCAATCAACGAATTATGAAACAAGATAAGAGCCTCACTGTAGTCAAGCAAGAAACGTGAAGATGCTCAGTTCACTTAATGGTTTGTGGATTGATGGGACTCGCCGCGTTGAATTAGGCTTGGATAGCAGCCCCAAGTGGCGATGGTGTCGAACTGCTGCCTGATTAGGCTTTTTTTTATGAAGAGTTTATTTGCATCATTTCCCAATCACATGCATCGGTCCAGATACCCAGCATCTCTAATCACTGTCAAACGAGGCGTCTCGCAACTTACAGCCAGGGGCGGATTTCTCAGCCGCACCCGCAGTACTGCGGTACTGGGGGTCACGTCTTGATGGCATCGAGCAAGATTGCCAGATTTCCTGATATTGGATTGCTAATCAATTTTATTTTCGTACTGGGATGCTTCTTTAGTTTTTCCGTCATGTATTGCACGGTCACCGGGCACGTAGACAAAGGCAGAGATAGGTTGACCACCCACCCAATGCCTGTTATACCATGGCTCCACTGATATTAAGCTGAGCTTTTTTTTAACACTTATTGCTGTCGACAGTCCAGCATAGTCGGCAATACCTCAAACGGACAAGTCAGGGCAACTATGAGTTATTGCTCAGTGCCTATGTCATCTGTGAACCTCAGAAAACTTCAACAGTCATCACATCTCACCCACACTGAGTACTGTCACGCCACATAACCCTCCCGCGATCTTCACTAAGCTAATAAGGAACAAGCTATGAATCTAGTTAACACAATATAATTTCATGGAGGATATACGCATCCCTAACTGCGCTCAAGGATTGAACGAGTCCAGTGAGGCAACCATTCGCGCTGTAGCGAACATTTGAATCACTTCGTCAACTTCGCGGATCACTTTGTGACCACGGGCTATAGGGTCCTAACCCTCTTCATCTCGAGAGATCAAATCCCGAGAGACAGATACATCTTCACTACTACTTTCGGGACCAAGGGCTTTCCCGTCTCAAGCAACTACAAGAAGCCCGGTTTGGACGTCTTCCTAGGCATTGTTAATTATGCAAACATGGCGGGAAGCTCTTTCTCTGAGTGGGTTTATGACAGCAAAAGAAATTATATGAATGGGCAATGGGTTATGGAGGGTGAGACGAATGAACTCGGAGGCAACTGGGACAGTAAATGGAACTGCTATTTTGGTGTCGATGAAACAAAATCTCCAAAAAAGCTCTATATATTTATACGTAGAAAAGAGTATGAATGCATGAACTTGATGCCATGTTATATATCTTCATTCGTTTTTAATACTAAGTACATCTAGTATGAGATAGACCACACTAGTGGAAGTTTTATTGCTACTCGTTGACAGAGTATCAACCCGTCTACTGCCTAGTAGGTACGATAGTAAGTACACTGCAAGGAAAGTCTACTGATGTGGAGAAGGATCATATTAGTGAAAGCCGGAGGATCGTAAATCCGATCCGGTGGGTTGGGCAGATACGGAGTACAAACGAAGCAAACAGATGAGTCAGCCGCAAAAAAGTTGACTGGAACGAGGCGGGGCAAAAAAGTTACAAATCCGATCTTGAATCACTTCACATTTGTGATTGAATTTTAGGATTTGTGGTTCGCATCCTAAATTCAACATGTCGATGGATTTGGACGCACCTGTGCCCATGGGGCTGCAGGACCAGCCTACTGCTATGGCGACGTGAGTTTTCTTATCGCTAAATCTTTTTTTGATTGCGGTTTTTTATTGTCGGGATGGGGACTAATCTCTCTCAGTATTCTTTGCTGCAACTGTGGTGCGCCCATTGATGGAACCACCTCCGCCGGAGCGTTGTGTCAGGATTGTTTGCGACTGAATGTCGACGTTTCTCAAGGGTAAGGCCTGAGCCACCACTAGTAACCCCGCGTGTGAACAAATTACTGATTTATGCGCTCGCCAATCCAGTATCCAGCGCGAGGGAACTCTCCACTGCTGCAGAGATTGCGAGAGATGGCTCCAGCCCCCCAACAGCTGGGTTGTTGCGAACCCCGAATCGAAAGAACTACTTGCGGTCTGTCTGCGACGTCTTCGTGGCCTGTCGAAAGTCCGCATTATCGACGCCAGTTTTATTTGGACCGAGCCTCACTCCCGCCGTGTGAAGGTCAAGATCACAATTCAACAGGAGGCTTTCCAGGGCACAATCATTCAGCAGACATTTGAGGTGGAATATGTTGTTGCATCGCAGCAGTGTGATGGTATGCAAATCATCGGTCCTTATCTTGCGACTTTCGTAAACTGACATTTCTTTCCTCCTTCCAGACTGCAAGAAGTCATACACCCATAACACTTGGCGAGCCGCCGTCCAGGTCCGCCAGAAGGTGCCTCACAAGCGTACTTTCCTCTACCTGGAGCAACTTATCCTGAAGAACGGCGCACACAAGGACACAGTTAACATCAAGGAGGCCAAGGATGGTCTTGATTTCTACTTCTCACAGCGCAACCACGCTGAGAAGATGTGCGACTTCCTGTCTTCTGTTGTTCCTTGCAAGATGAAGAAGTCCCAGGAGCTTATTTCCATGGATATCCACACCAGTACAAAGTCTTACAAGTTCACATTCTCCATTGAGTTGATTCCCATCTGCAAGGATGATCTTGTCGCTCTGCCCATCAAGCTTGCCCGTCAAATCGGAAACATTTCGCCTCTTACTCTGTGCTACCGCGTCGGTACTTCCATTAACCTTTTAGACCCGACTACCCTCCAGACAGCCGATGTCCCCTCGTCCACATACTGGCGGAATCCGTTCAAGAATCTCGCCGATGTGACCGAGCTTAAGGAGTTTATCGTTATGGATATCGAACCCACTGGACAGTCAAATGGCAGATACCACCTCGCCGAGGCCACTGTCGCCCGTGCTTCGGACCTGGGCACCAACGATATCACATACTTCACCCGCACTCACTTGGGCGGTATTCTGCACGTCGGTGACTCCGTGCTCGGCTACCACCTTAGCGGCACATTGTTCAACAATGATAACTACGAGGCTATCGAGGGAAGCGCTCAATACAGCTCAACTATTCCGGACGTTGTTCTCGTCAAGAAGCACTACGCCCGCAAGAAGAAGCCCAAGAACCGTGCTTGGCGCCTCAAGCGTATGGCCCGCGAGTACGAGGCCGAGGAGGCGACTGGTGCTGCCCAGAAGAGTCGCCGCGAACAAAATGACGCCAATCGCCTCGAGGAGGACTTTGAGACATTCTTGCGTGATGTCGAAGAAGATCCCGAGCTACGGCAGACTCTGGACCTTTACAAGGTTCGCAAGGAGCGCCAGGCAGCTGATGCTATGGATGAGGATGAGGATAATGACAGCGAAAACGGCGTGCCGGAGATCAACATGGATGAGCTCCTTGACGACTTTGATGAGCTGAATATGGGGGAATGAGCTTTCTCTGAGTGATATCCCTGATGATCATGGCTGGCGTTTGTTTTCTTTCCGATGGGTCTTGAGACACGAAAAAGTTATTGAAATCGACATGAGCTACCTAGTACATAGCATGCAATGAATGTAAAGACCTTTATTATTAAGTTCATGCGGTGCGAAAGCGGCGATGCATATATAGAAGGAAGTAAAACGTAGCTGATTTGGCAGTCTCAATAGACATCGGAATACCTAACCTAATGCTACATGATTTGTCTAAACCTAGTCAATTTAAATCTGCAAAGATAATTACATTGCTAGAGGGATAGTCAATTCTCAGCTATCTCATCTATATAGAATTAAATCGAGAACACTGGCAGCTTGAGCGCGCGCAAAACGGTCAATCAGAAAAAAAAAAGTAAAACGCTGATATTACTCTTCAAATTCGGAAACGCGCACTTCAGCTGTAATGGCATTGACATGGGACTAGCTACAGAGTAACAACAACCTTCTGAGCAGATGTACCCTTGTCCTGCAAATCAATAGCAGCCTGAACATTCTCTAGTCCCGATCCAGCAACAAGCGGGGAAGGAGCAGGAATGAAGCTTCCCGCCTCAAGAGCCTTGGGCAAGAAATCCTCATAAACAGCCTTACCAACATGGTTATCCTTGATGGTAGTGGCAAACACACTCTTTACAGTAATGCCCTCCGGCGGCTGGAATCCACCCTTGACAGTAGAGACGAATTTGTTACCCTCAGTCTTCGCAAGAACATCAACGGTAAGAGGAGTGCCAGCAAAACCAACACAGTCCATCGCACCCGCGAGAGTTTTTCCCTTAAGCACCTTGACCAGATCCTCAACAACGGTGGGGCTACTGTAATCAAAGACCTTAGTAGCACCTAGCTTCTTGACGTAATCAAAGTTCTTGGGTGAGGCAGTAGTGAAGACCTCGTAGCCGGCTGCGACACCAAGCTGGATAGCATTACTTCCAACACTGCCCGCACCACCCCAGATCAGTAGAGCTTGTCCGGTATCCTGACGGGGCTCAGTGGGGAGTCGCAGCTTCAGGAATTCGTCCTGGAAAAGACCAGAGGCAGCAGTTGAAAGACCGAGAGGAATGACGGCAGCGTCCGTGTAAGAGATGTTGGCTGGGAGCTCGCTGGCCATATTTGTCTGCAAGATGGTGGATGTCTGGAATGCGTTATCCTGTGTACGCTTGGTAGCCATTCCGACGGCGTGGCCGACAACGCGGTCACCGGTTTTGAAGCGGGTGACGTTGGGGCCGACAGCGACGACTTCCCCTGCGACGTCTTGACCGAGGATGGTCGGGTATTTCATCGGCCACCAGGCCTTACTTTGTAGGCTGCCGTCGACGGGGTTGATAGCCACGGCGTGGTTCTTGACGAGGAGCTCATTATCTTCGGGGACGTATGCCGGCGCTTCCTTGACTTGGAATGGGTGAGCTTTAACTTCAGTGAGCCATGCAGCTGAGTTGGAGGTCATTACGAAGGTTTCAACGGGTGATGTGACTTTGGTGGCTTGTTGAAACTGAGATTTCCTTGTGAAGCGGGAGAAGAAGCTGGCAAGAAACTGCTCATGTATAAACAATAATCTAAGATTAGAATGAATTGAACTGTGTTCGCTGATTTGTGGTTGTGATGGAGGAGTTGCTTGGGTGATTGAATTTAGCAGCTAGAGGTAATTCTTTAAATATGGTAATTATTTGTGCATGGCCATACATTGTCTACGGAGTAGTTGATTCTTCATTGAAACGTTATCTCCGAGTGTTACTATATTCACTAAGCCCGACTCCGCTCAAGTCTAACTTGATTTAGTTAGTGTGAGCGGGGATCGCAAGGCTAACCGGATCGGGACGTGCTAGACGTGCGTTCATCCCAACCATGCACCACATTGAGTTAGTCTTGAGCGCAGGTCGCCTTAAATTGTCTTCGGGATGTCTTGTGTTGTGATGACGGATTGGTATATGCCGAGTTTACCTATATCCGAATCCAAATTAAGTTCTCATCAGGTTACATCTACACGTGTCTAGAGATCGAAGAAATTCGGTGTTACACCTTGGACAGAAATCGACCTCACAGTACGTTCCATAGCTTTTTCAAATACTACATATTCATTTCATGATATGTAGCTCATCTTACACGTGGAATATTGAGTATGGATGAGTAGTGACTCGCTGCACTATTAATTGTACAGAATACTAGGAATATTCTCTACCAATATGAACCTCAACAATGGTGCTCAGATGTCCTCCTCTTCTGGATATCGTAAAACGTAACAAATCACAAGGCTTGCTGACAAAAAACCTTCATCGGTGTCACAACAGTTCCCTCCAGGTTCCAATCCCAAGCTTCGCGTATGGATCTTTGCGAATCGTCTCCCACACCTCTTCCTCAGTATCAGCTTTGCATAAATGGATGCTACCCGTGAGCTTCGTCATTCACTATTCGATACTGCTTGGCTGGGAGGAGTAAATCGGACTGCCAAAGACAATATTGCCAGATGCAAAGTGTGGCTTGTTGTGGGTAAGGTGGAGAGGCCGAGTTTCAATTCTGGTTTGAAGGACGTTGGGGTGGTCAGGCAGACACACAAGAAAGTCGTTTTGTGGAGACATTGGGAAGGCATAATATTTGTTTTAGTAGTGAATGAGGGGTGGTGAAATCAGTGTGATGGCTTTGGAAATTTAGATGGGATTCTGGAGCTAGAGGTTGGTAAAGAAAGGAGGGAAACGGTAATGAATATTTGTGTTATACCATTCGCCCGATTTGTTTGTTGACAATTGGAAGGAAATGGGTTTTGTGGTTTAACTTTCATTACTGTATTTTTTTATTTTATTTTCTTGCGATATATGATATTTGAATTAGCAATGAACAACAACGAATTCTTCTTCATCCTCACTCTAAGTCTCCTGTGTTCCGGTGATTTTAGTAACCGCAACTCCGTCCTAAATCATGTTAGTCATTTCTGTAGCAAAGGATTCGAAACTTGAAGTACGTACCGGTCCAAAATCAGTGTCAAACTCAGAGACCACTGTCTCATACACTAGACCCGCGTTCGGGGTCAATGAGCCAACATCCGAGTTAGCAACAATCACTTTCTTCTGCTCAGGGGTCGAATGAACCCATTCCAAATACTCCGGCGCTCCAGGCATGATCACATTGTCCGCCAATACCATCGACTTCTCGGGAACCAAAACCTTCAAGTTCTCCAGCAACCACAAATCCGGCAAATACAGATTTTGCCAATGATCCATGAAAATCAATTCCACAAGATCAACTTCCTTCTCGCGAAACAAGTCCTGTAACACTTCATTGCTGGCTCCAACAACAATTCGGACAACATCTCGTAGTCCGGCCAAATCTACCAGCTGGTTCGCAACGGCTGCCATCTCGGGATTTTTCTCGATGCTCAAATATTGTTTTCCTCCGTTTTTGCGGATCGCATCACCGAATAGAATGGCGGAGTAGCCGACGTAGCCCCCGAGCTCAATCATGACCGATGGTTTACGCTCGGCAATGATATCGGCGATGAAAGCACCTTTGATCGGGCCGACGTTCATGAGCTTGGAGAACTTGTGGTGGTAGTCATCAATTGCGGCGAGGACTTTTTCTGGGTGGCCACGAATATGTTTGAGATCCGATCGGGCAAAGACATAGTGAAGGAGGTCAACCTCGCGTCCATCCTATTCGCTGTTAGTGAAGCTGGGGCGAGGGAGCAGCGTAAACTTACAAGGGCCCATGTCAGGGCGGGAGGGGAGTTTGGCTTCGTCGACATTGTAATGATTGATAGAACTGTAAATTCTGTAGGCAATATGATCTTGATCTCTGTTCATCTGCATTTCGGTGTTGCTCTTTATAGCATCCCATTCACAGATTGTTTACTTCGGAGTTTGTGACGCACGGCCAGAAACGGGAATGCCCGAACCTTATGCCTTATGCAGTAAGATGGCGCATCGATATCCGAATCATCTAAGGCTCGGATTTAAGGAATCTAACAGGGATCGACGCTTAATCTGTGATGGATCCTTTTGGGTTCAGGATCTAGCACTTGAGTCTAGGTGCCTATCGCCTTCTCCGCGATGCTTTTCGTGGTTCCGTGGCACGGACCTGCCAAGGCTTGAAGGTTCAAGCCATGAACATGGACAGCCGGCCTGGTGGAATCTTGGCACATTTGAATGTTACATAGCCAAGGTTTCAATGCTGCAAAGCTCAGGGGTTAGATGAAGTTTTGTGTTGCTGTTCAACGTTATAAGTGTAATCAAGTCGATATATGGTTATACATTCTCAGCACTGGCAACGGTAAAATGTATATTTGACTGATGAACCCAAGAGATGATTTCAAACTTGCACATGTGAAGATCATAAATAAAGGACTCCACATGACCTGGGCAAGTTTCCCGGGGTTTGAAACTTGGAAATAAATACCGATGAGAGATGAATTTCCGGTAATTGCAATCATGTTAATTTCATTAAACCAATCAAAAGCGGTGAACTCCTCTCCAGCACGCGATTTTAGTAAAATGTGGGGACACTTGCCTATTACGGACACATGACGGCACAACTTGGCCGCCCCCAGAACTTTACATTTCCAATCTTCCGCTTTCGTTCTCAATCAACGCATGGAGCTTGTAAAGCTATTAGGTTTAATGAAGATATTCTCAGCATTCAGTTCATGGTGGCAGCAAAAATGTAAGACATCATGACATTTAATCATATTCCAAGTTTTGCTCTGAGCGGGGCTCCAGGAACTATCCCCGTCAAGCGCCGCCAACCCGTGGCTTTGAACTCGTGCGGACCCGGTTTTCCTACTTTCCAGACCAATGAATGCAGCCGCTTAGATCAGGGACCCCAATGGGCCGGATGCGGAGCCACTTTTTACTTCAACACCATCTGCTCTCATTGGTGTACACTATTCCCCGTCCAGGGTTTAAGGGACTGGCCAAGAGCGTGAGGAAACACTTATCTTTTCGTGTTCAACCATGTTCTTCCCCCTTTACTTGCGAAGAAGCTGGTAGTCCCAATATCGGCTTCTTCAGCCATGATCGCGTCCAAGTTGAGCCTGAAGGCTCGGCTCACCCTTCTAGCCGTTTCCTCCCTCCTATTTTTACTCATCGTGGGTCGCTTGTATCGTGTAACCGATTATCCACTCAGAATAATCCATCAATCTGGCGGTAGCAAGACTGGCGCCTCAAATTCGAGCCAGGACCCTACATACGAACATCCCACGACATTACAGAGTCAGGATGACCCCAATGCTGTCCCTCACCCGATCGATCACTTGATTCGCGATGCCGATAAGAAATGGGCCGATTTGCGCGCGAAGCAGGTCTTCAATCTGACCCAGCTTACGGAGCAGTACCGAGTGCGTCGCGGACGGCACCCACCCCCGGGCTTCGATGAATGGTATGAATTCGCCAAATCCAAAGACGCTTTACTCATCGAGGATTTGTTCGATCAAATTTACGATGACCTGAGTCCCTACTGGGGGCTGGATCCGAAAGAAATGCGCCGGCAGGCTTCCGGATTTGACCCGCGTATCATTGTTCGCAACAAGAAGCTCTCGTCTGTCGGCCACACGGGTGTGAACTGGCTTGAGGTGTGGATGGACATGATATCCAAATTCGAGCAGTTCTTACCCGACATGGATATTCCTTTGAACGGAATGGACGAGTCCCGGATTATCATTCCTTGGGACACATTATCCGAGTATCGTGAGCAGGACGTCATCCGTCGCAAACTTATCGACGCCAGCAACACTACCGATCAGTATATGCAGCTACCCGCCTTCGACCCCGAAGCGCTTCCCGAACCGTGGGGTCCAGCCTACGAAGGACCAGGTCGACCATTCTGGGATATCATGCGTGATGCCTGTCCCCCCGAAAGCCCCGGCCGGAACTCCAACATTCCACACATAGACTTTTCGAACCCACCCCGCGAATTCTTCAACTACCGCAACTTCTCCAAGACCGGATACGTGGAGGACTTCGAGAAATCCAAAGACCCATGCTGGAGAGCAGAACTCCAAGCACTGCATGGCACTTTCATCGAACCAATCTCACTATCCACATCCCACGAGCTTTTCCCACTATTCGGAGGCTCCAAATTGACCGTGAACAACGAAATTCTCATCCCACCCGCGATGTACTATTTAGACAACCCCATGTACTCCGGCGGGTTCAAAAACCAAGGCGGGGCCTGGTCCAAAAAGAAAGATACAATCTTCTGGCGCGGAATCGCCAGCGGTGGCCGCATCCGCGAAGATACATGGACAGGCTACCAACGCCAACGCTTCGTTTCCATGCTCAACGGCACAACCGTCGCAACAACGAACGGGTCCTCCTCACACGGTATCAACTTCCGCCAACCGGACTACCACTACTACAATGTCTGGTCCGGTCTCGATGGCACACTACCAGAATTCCTAAACGAACACTGCGACCTCGGCTTCCTCGATCTAAAATGCTTCCCTCCAGAAGACGGCTTCCACTGCTCATACCAAGATCCATATTTCAGTATCGTCGAGCCAATGCCTATGAAAGAGCAATACGCATACAAATATCTCCCCGATATCGACGGGAACTCATTTAGCGGTCGGTATCGCGCATTCCTCTTATCCACTTCCTTGCCTATTAAAGCAACGGTATATAAAGAGTGGCATGACTCGCGATTGATTCCCTGGGCGCACTTTGTGCCGCTGGACTCCCTTTATATGGATATTTATGGTATCCTTCAGTACTTTATTGGGTACAAGGGTCATAATGGTCATGATGGGAAGGCGGAGAAGATTGCGATGAATGGAAAGCGGTGGGCGGAGGAGGTGTTGCGGTTGGAGGATATGGAGATTTATGTTTTCCGCTTACTTTTGGAATATGGTCGTTTGATGGACGATAATCGTGATACCCTTGCGTATGTGGATGATTTACTAATATAATTTAGATATTTACATGTGTACATAATGAAATGAGTTTCTTATTTGTCTGACCTTGAGTGTGTAGAAGATTTCCAACCTGTTTTCATACTTGGAATTGGAGGTTTGTTTGCATTATCAGATCTTAACTCATTGTAAAAACACAGTTCTTTGAGTTCATCAGTCTAATAAAGAGACCAATACCATCATGGAATTCAGCCAAGACTCACCAGCACATATGAGAACCAGATTTTGGGCGGGCTACTTACTATACCTCAGTCTATGTTCCGCCGTCCTGTATTTCATGTAATTGAAGTGAAAGAACATCCAATGTTGACGCGGCATGAAGTTTCTGTTTCTCCAATTACACCAAATATCTAATCTATGTATACACATGTCTAAAATCTCTTATCATGCCGGATTGGCCTACAACTACACTTTCATGAACGTTATGTTGGCCATATATTGGAATATTTCATGTGGATCTTGTACTATTTGGAATGGTCCCTGCAGGCGTACCAATCCGGATAGCCATTCCGGATGATAGTTTATCATACATCATGCATCGTAGTGAGCCGGGAACACGTCATGAGTCATATTGGAAAAGGGAGGGGTCAGAACGCGCATAGCAGCCTAAGAGAAGAACTTCTGAGCAGCCTTCCTGTCCTTGGCCTCACGGTCCTTGACGGCCTTCTTGACCTTGTTGATCTCGTTGGTGATAGCCGCATCGCCAGGGGCGAATTTTAGGGCAGCAGTAAGGTCCTTGAGCGCCAAATCCTCCTCCCGCTGGCCAATATAGGCAACAGCACGACGGTAGTGCACCTTGGCCTTGTCGGCGTCTTTTGCGTTGGCGGCCTCGGCAATTTGGAGCGCATAGGTGGCCCAATTCTGGGCATTGCGGAACTGCGAAAGCTTGCCAGCCAGCAGAGAGGAGTTGGAGTGGAGAGTGAATCGGAGAGACTTCATCTGCTCCTCCAGCTCCTTGGGATCGTTCTCACCGACTTCGGGGAACTCGTTCAAGTATCGCAGTCCCTTCTGGTATTTCTCTACACCAAGTTCCAGATTGCCCTGCTTGAATGCGGTGTTACCGAATCCCTTTAGGTCGGAAGCGATCTTGAATGCGAGCGGTGCGGTCAGCTCTTCGCCCTGGTGGTCCTCGGGGAAGTCCTCGTATGGGTCGCCGGTAGCGTCCTGGATTTTCTTGGTGGCGTTCTCGTACTCTTCACCCTGGAGCTCACCACAGTCCACCACAGTAACATCGACATTGGGCTTGTCGGAGGTGGTCTGCATGTTCTCGATCTTGCGAACAATGCTCTTTCCGTTGATCACCTCACCGAAGACAACGTGCTTGTCATCGAGATGGGGGGTAGGAACAGTGGTAACGAAGAACTGGCTGCCGTTGGTGCCAGGGCCGGAGTTGGCCATGGAAAGTAGGAAGGGACGGTCATGCTTGAGGTTGAAGTTCTCATCGGGGAACTTTTCGCCGTAGATAGATTCGCCGCCGGTACCGTTGAACGCCGTGAAGTCACCACCCTGAATCATGAACTGCTTAATGACACGGTGGAAAATTGAGCCTTCCATCGACCTGGTTAGCAGATTGTTGCTTGTCATTGCCATTGCGGGGGCGCGGGGTCCGAGACACACCTTTGTAAGTCAATGGCTTTCCCTGTTGGCCGATGCCCTTCTCTCCGGTACAGAGAGCACGGAAGTTGTCTGCGGTTTTAGGGACAACTGATCGTCGGGGTTAGCTATATGTTAGGTGAATGCGCAAACTCATTCGGGGTGTCGTACCATCGTTGAACTGTAAGAGGCGAGTTAGCTATCAGTGATCACTTATGACCTAATAAAAAACTAACCAATTCAAAGGCAATACGACCGGCCTTCTGATCACCAATCTGAATGTCAAAGAAGACACGGGAGCGCTCTGATAGTTGGGTTAGCGACAAGTCAAACTCTGTGATTGCGGGCGGGAGAGTCGGAGAATGATGACCCCGCATTGAGGCACGTACGAGAAGTAGCCATAGCTGAATGTATACCGAGTGATAGAGGTTGAAATGAGAATTGACAAAAGAAAAAAGTGGAGATGAAGATTGAGAAAAGTGGAAAGGAAGATCGCTAGGGACGGAGAGTGGAAAGGAAGCTGTTAGTGGGGAAGATTTGTTGCGGTTCTTCAGGAAGCTTCCATATACTTTAGTACCATCACGGGTATATCTCCAAAAAAAATATGTACATGAATATATAACATAAATTACTTTTTATCCTTATTTATCGTCATTGCAGTAACTCTGGAGGAATTTTGAATTCAAATGTCCCGTTGATCGGCTCTTCATCTTTGTCGTCAGCCTTGGATTCTTTGGGCTCTTTCGGCTCCTTCTTCGGGAGATTGGTATTAATCTCAATTGTGACCTGAAGATAAGAAGGTGTTAGCATCCAGGTCGTTAATGACGCGAAAAGGGCAAAAGCCAGGAAGGCAATATATACCGCCGCGTCTTCACTGCGGTAGTCAACACCCACTGGCCCATCATTTTTCAACTCCACCTCCATCATCGCCTGGAAGACACCATTCTTCACTCGTTCAGGTTTATATGAGGAGCTCATCTTGTTGTAGAAGTGATCGTAGAGTTTGCGGGCAACGTCGGGCTTGGCTGCATCGTGAAAGTCGGGTTTGTTGCCTTTCTTCATCTTTCCATAGAGAGTGAACTGGGATACTAGACAGAGAGTGGTATTAGCAATCGAATAAGAGCATGGATTAAAACCACCTACCACAAAGGACCTCGCCTTCAATTTCTTGGACATTCTTCTTCCACTGTGAAGGTGTTTAGAGGTTGGATTGTCGATTCAGGTCCAGAGCCTTGGAAGCTAACCTGTGTGCCATTCTCATCTGGCCAGAATTTTGCCTTGAGTACCTTATTCACAAGATTCTCTGCTTCCTTCTCGGTATCATCTTGCCCGATACCTGCAAATACAAGTAGGCCACGCCCAATAGAGGAAATTAATTCTTCATCGACTGTGACAGAAGCCGATTTCACTCTTTGGATAACAACTGGGACGATCAGCAAAGAATAAGGGTAAGTTGTGGAACTTGAATTGCCGCACTTTTCATCTTGGATTGTGTTGAAATTGGTGGCGACGAAGGGATCTAAATTCTATAAGGCGTACTGGTACCAGATTAGCCTAGAGATCTTGACACCCACCCCATCATAAAATTGACTCACCTTCCTCTTAACACCTGGACATTAAAGCTTGCTCGTCTTTATTCAGGTATGTTGTCATTCTAACTTTCACCCCCACGGTGTAGATAGCAATGGCCGCTTTTCTCCAGCTTTCGCCTGCCCTCCCACACCGCCTTTCTATATTGCCTAAAACGACCGCCTACCTATACAGGTAATAATGGAAGCTTTGCAAGTTGCAAATGGATCTCCAACCCACTTCGACTCCGCTTTCTCCCTTGTTGTCACATCCAGGGAACTTCCCGCCAAACTAGACTTATCCTCGTTTAAGAATTGTGCAGTGTTGAGCTCGTCGCCTGAGCCTGCACTCTGAATCCACCCGTACTGAATCGCCCTCCCCGGTCCAGTCCACACACTCCGACGCGCCATGGCGTCCCGCAAAACACAGCAAGAGATCGAAAAGACCTTCAAGAGAGTCGCTGAAGGGATACAAACATTCGAGGGCATCTACGAGAAGATCCGTTCCGCCACAAACCCCACCCAGCGCGATAAGCTCGAGGAGAACTTGAAACGCGAGATCAAGAAGCTTCAAAGGTTTCGTGATCAGATCAAATCATGGGCGGCAGGCAATGAAGTCAAAGACAAGGCTCCCTTATTGGAGCAGCGAAAAGCGATTGAAACGGTAGGTACTCAATGCTTCAGCTGGAGCACTGGGGTTCGAGGCCCAGGTGGCTAATGTTTCGAGCAGTGTATGGAGCAATTCAAGGCCGTCGAGAAAGAGATGAAGACAAAGGCCTACTCCAAAGAAGGCCTATCAGCCGCGCAACGACTCGATCCCCGAGAAAAGGAGAAGGTGGAAGCTTCCGACTTTCTTTCTGCCATGGTAGATGAGCTGGGGCAGAAGATCGAGGCGATGGAGGCTGAAGAAGAAACACTGCATGCGCAAATGAAGAAGGGGAAGAAAGATATGTCCAAAGCCAACCGAATGGCCGACCTTCAACGAGTGACGGAGCGACATAAGTGGCATGTCAACAAGCTTGAGTTCCTCATGCGGTCCTTGCAAAATGGCAATCTAGAGGTGAACCAGGTGATGGATCTGAAAGAGAGTATCACATATTACGTCGAGGAAGGTGGGAATATCGACTACTCCGGAGAGGATGAGACGCTCTATGATGACTTGGACATTGGTGAAGAGGTGGAGGCCCAATTCGGAATGGGCAACGAGAACGATCGTGTATCATCACAAGATACCCAGTCTATTCAGGATGATGAGCCGGAGCCGAAACCCAAGCCAAAGGCAGATCCCACGACGACTAGACGACCATCAACGCAGATGAAGTCTCCGCTTCCTGTTCTCGCTACCCTCCCATCTGCTTCATCCAGTGCCACCCCTGGCATGAAACCCGCACCGCTCCCTACTCGCCTACCTGGAGAAACGTTGAAGTATGCTTCAGCTGCGGCGGCGGCGGCGGCCAGCGACAAAAGTGGAGTTGGCATTTTACCACTTCCCCCACCACCAGGCGCCAGCCCAGCGTTCTCCGCTGCCCTTCCCATCTCCAAGGCATCCTCCATTGCCTCCCCTAGTGTTGCCCACGTGAACCCTATTTCCAAGCCACCCAGTGCTGCTGTTGCGACTTCCTCTTCTGAAGAGCCTGCTTTTGCTTCACGATCAAAGGTCTCCTCGGGAATCTCGGGTACTTCATCACCAGCCCCTGCCGCTCAAGCGGACGCGTCCAAGGCGCCGACAACGAACGGCAGCAGTGTGACGCAGGATAGTGAGAGCAGTGAAGAGTCAATATGGCATTTGCCTCCGGGACTTCAAGACTTGTTACAATCATTCGAGGTGACTAAGCAGCGTTCATCAAATGAGCCCACCCCTGCCGTGTCAAGACTTCTGGCGACTTCTCTTCAAAATTGTCCGGAGGCTGGGGATGCGGAAAAGCCGCGGCATTACAAGCCCCAAAATCCTTACAACACTCCCCTTTACTATCCGCAGGAACCTCTTGCTATCTTTGACGATCCTCGGTTGTATGATACCGGCCGCATCGACACTGACACCCTCTTCTACCTCTTCTACTACCGACAAGGGACCTACCAACAATATTTGGCAGCGAAGGCCCTGAAGAACCAAAGTTGGCGGTTCCACAAGCAATACCAAACATGGTTTCAGCGGCACGAGGAGCCGAAGAACATCACCGAGGAGTTCGAACAGGGTACCTACCGATTCTTCGACTATGAAAGTACCTGGTACGTTTGTCCATAAACCAGATTCCGTTCTAGACATAACATGTGCTGACTTATTGCCCGACAGGATGAACCGACGCAAGGCTGATTTCAAGTTTGTGTACAAATATCTCGAGGACGAGTTATGAGGCGTAGTAATTGGATTGGATCTATGAAAGCCAAGCCCCTACCTTCGACGCTATGACCAGATAGCAAGTGTATCTTTTTTCTTTTTCCTGGGAAAAAAACTTCCAAGAATAGATGTGTCATGGGGTTGTGAATCGGGAGGGTTTTCCGTTCCTGTGCTTTTATTTTTTTGTTTTCTTTATTGTTTTCCAATGATGCTAGGATACGGCATCGAGCAATGAGTGCAATGAATGGGTCTTCGGGAAACGGGAGTTCAGTGCCATTTTGAGTTATCCCCTGTTCGAATGAAACCAGACTTTTTAGATGCCATTTGCTTTGCAGGATCCGGGGAAGTGTAGAAAGTTCCTAGACCAGATGACCTGAGGCTCGGGCGAGAGTTGCAAAGTACCTGCAGAAAATGGATACGGGTAAGAGCTCGCATTACTCCCGTACTTGTGCCCGACATATCAACCTGGTCATATCCAATGAAATGTAATCTTTTACGGGAAGAATTGGGACTTGTTTACATAGGCGGTTCACCAATATCCAAGCGTTCTAATGGTTGAACCCGACCAGTCACAGCAGTGACCCAAGTCGCCTCACTAGACATGTATTCCCAAGGCTTGGCACGCTAACCCGATCATGGATGCGGGATTTTTGGTTTTTTCTAGAAGGTCAAGAGAACAGGAACAGGAACAGGGCTGTGCGGACGGGTCCCGAACCCATTATATCATTGATCCGTTCACGTACTAACATATTGTGGCTTGGCGATTGATTCCCCAAAGATCGGTGACTTCATTTCGGCACGGTATTGCCGAGTAAATAAAATGATTCCCATACAAAAGGCAAAGGGTTTTTTTTTTCTATACATCCAACCCATGAAAAGAAGGTGAAACTTCATAACATCCTAAACGACAATTCCAAATTCATACGGTCATTCCGTCATCGACGCCGCAACCTGAAACGAGGGGAAAGACGAGAAAAGCAGACCAGCAAGGATGCATAACGCTAGAAGTTTTCCAGAAAAACACTAACACTCAAATGGATAGGATCATCCTTCCCCAGCGGGCAGAACCAAAAACTAGAGGGTCGAGCACATTCATGCATCGTCTGACCGCTACCAGGCTTATCGGGGCCAATATGATACTCTCATTATAATTGGTTTATTTCCAGCCCTTGAGCCTTAGAGCCAATCATACTTTGGACCTCGCCGCTAGAAGGCTGGTGGAAGAGACGTGGAAGGTCAGCATGCATGGAGGATCTGTTTGCAGAAATTCCCGCATTGATCTCCCAATGACGGGGGCTGTGTGCTCTGTATTCGAGTTGAAGCCATGGAGTTTTGAGTTGCCCATATGTGTGGTGGTTCTTGAGGCATTTCTTAGCGTTTCTTGTTGAAAGACTTAAAAGATGGCTGATTTCCCATTTCCTGTTTGCTGTTGCTTTTGCTTTTGCTTTTGCTTCTGTCATCTTACTGGATCTTCAACATCTTCGCCCCCAAGTTAATGATTCGTCGGTACATCTTGCCCCTAGTCAAGCACCCCTGCAAGTCTTTTTTTTTTTTTTTCTTTTTCTGGAATTCGGCATTTCTGGTATTTTTGGCTTCTTGACAATTTAGTTGCTGAAAATCCTTTTATTTAGATGGCCATTCCAATTCCACTTTCCCTTTCCCTTTCCCTTATCGACTATCCACCCGATATGCAGTCCCCCTTCAACTACGCGGAATCTTCGTCTTCCTACTCCTCCTCACCCGGCGATATGGACTTCTTCTTTCGCGGTCCGTCCGTCTACGATAATATGTGCGACGTCGCCAGTTCATTTTCCACCCCGGAGTTCGCTCCCGAGTTCGTATCGGAGCCATATAGTTACTCCTTCACTAGTGCACCAAATGCGCCATATATCTATGGACCTATGGAAGTCCCTGTCTTTGATACTTCATTGTCAATCACGGCGACCGGACTACCCAGTAGTCCTACCGCTAGTAGCTGTGGAAGCTCATACGGTAGCTTGAACATGCCGGAGGAGGTTCCCATGCCTAATTTTCCTCTCACAAGGGACTATTCGGGTCTTGAATCACCCGTTCCATCCAAGTAAGTCCCCAACATTGCTGTAGGCAATGTTGTGGTACTGGTCGCTAATTATTCCCAGGCCAGCCAAACCCTTCGGCTGCGACGACTGTGGTAAATCTTTCACGCGCTTTGCGGATCTAAAGCGTCATCAGTCTAGCGTCCACTACCCAGTGTTTCGCAACTGTCCTGTTGAACACTGCTCTCGCAAAGGCGCCAATGGATTCCCTCGCCAGGACCACCTGGTTGAACATTTGCGTTCTTACCACCATCTCGATGTACCTAAGCGGCGAGCCTTGAAACGATCTTCCAAGGATATGACATGATGCTTTCAAATTGAATGCTCTTGTGCAACCTTGCTTCCGATGTTCTACGCGACACGCTACACATTATCACCAATTTCACGATTCACGACGCCAAATTATCCCCATGTCTTATTTACATCTTTCCTTGGGCTTCTGGCGCTACACCTGCTTCTGTATCGCATGTGCGATTCTGTTTTCAATCCGTGTTGTTATAGACTACCCAAGACACCTACCCTTGTCTCTTCCCTTTTACCTATTTTCTTTACGGTTGCTTGCTTGGGATGCAATAGACGACAGATGAGTCCGGTTAGATGCTTTTCGGGATACCAGTTCCCATAGGAATCGCGATAATTACATCTCCTCCAAACCCTCAAATTCCAATATTTGCTTTTTCCAAGATCTCACATTGAAATGAAATATGGAGTAGCTCAATGATCACCATAATGTGGCGGCACCAACTCCACAAACAAACACAGTCCTCGACCCCATGCACTATCCCGTAAACATCAACGGATCTGCCGCGGACCACCGAGAGTTAATATAAACGTCCACTCCCATAGGTCGATAACAAGCTTTGAATTCATGCATTCCGAATTCAGGAACCTGCCACAATCCCCACTTTTTACAAAAACAAGAAATCACACCAATCATCAACAAAGGCAAACAAAGAAGTCTCGCTTCTCGAACCCAAATACCAGCGCTAGAGCTGTAGAGTTCTTCTCTCACGGGTTCGAGAAGCACGACTTAACTCTTTGGGATTAGCTTCTTTAAGTTCAGGTCCGGTCCACGGGTATCTGCTGAACTCTTTATTATCTTCCCGTTCTATTATGGTGGCTGGAACTTTCGGATAGGCTGAGCCGAGGACTGTAGAATGACAAATTCTGAAAGAGGAGAAGAGTGACAAATTGTACTTAGTAAATCTGTTCCCTTTTCCTAAGTTTTGACGATGCGTCATGCGGGGTATCTGTCGATCGCATCGCATCCTCCACACCGGAGGGATAATTCACTTAAGTTGCCAAGAGACAACACATGAATTTGCGTCACTGTGCAGATAAATAAGTCATTGCTATCCAGTACTGTTCTTGGCAAGGTTGAATTTATTTTCTGCTTGATTTATAAAGTTTTTGCCCACTCAGTATGGCATGTAGTAGCCGAGCCTATTTACCTGTCCGGGAGGCGGATGTTCGGAAGATTTGTCGATTTGTCGATCTATTCACTTTCCATTTGTACCGTATCCCGCATATGGTAATGGCCCCATCGCCACTAGTTACCTTTGTGGCGAAGAGGCTCTGAGTTGAAGATTTGTCATATTATTTTGATCGTCTAGGTATGATGAAAGGGGATGAACGTAGAGTGTCAGCCAGTACATATCTGTTACGTAAATTAGCATCTGATATGCGGTTCTCAAGGATTTGCAGAATAATTGCTGCACATTACTGTACATAGAAACCTAGATATTTGATCAATCAGCCATTCCCAATGTCAACAAGCCTAAAGCCAAGCAACCTCAACAGCATAAAGACATTGAAATAACCTTGAAAGATTATTTCTTCCCCCCCAAATCCTTAAAATCAGTAAAACAAACGCCCCTCGCCTTCCCCCCATCAAACAAAACACCCTCATCCTTCAATCTCAACCTCTTCTCATCCCGAAAAGACCCTTCACTAACGTCCTTAGCCGCCATACCCTCCCCCTTATACCCGCCCAATAACCCCCCAGCTGCAAGAACACGATGACACGGAACCTCTGGCGCAAAAGGGTTCGTGCGCATCGCGTTCCCCACAGCTCTCGCGCTGGAGTTTAGGTATGTGGCCATGGCGGAGTATGTGGTCCAGCGACCAGGCGGGACGGAGAGGAGGACGCGGTAGACACGGCGGCGATAGGGAGTTAGTGTTGGATGGAGGGATATGCGGCGGAGGTATTTTTGGGTTTGGAGGTTGGATGGCGTGGGTGTTGTGGATTTGGGTGGGGTTGAGTGTGGAGGGTTGGATTTTGGGGTTGGATCTGGGTCTGATTTTATGGTTGATATTGGGATTTTGGTATTCATTTTGGATTTGGTAATGTGTTTTTGTTTGTAGAGCTTTGGAAATTTGTTAGATACTGTATTGTTTTTGACGCGGGATGACGCGTCGACGTGATGGGGCTTACTGAGATGATGAGGACGTGGATAAATGCAACCAGAGTTTCTTGGTAGTAGAATGGTGACGGAGGAGAAAGCAGTTGGTTGAGAAGTGGATTTATGAAGGAAGGATTGAAGTTGAAATAGATATTGACTAGAAACATTGTTCTCAATGTGACCAATCAGATTCGTTCCCCGCAATCAGCATATTTGAGATTTATAATCATATACTCCGATCGTATTTCTAATGACTCATTAACTCAACATTGAATGTTATTGTCTAAGTCCTCAGCTTCATTACTCTCTATGAAGTCATGCGTTGTCAACGTGCTCGGCGGAAATCGCATTTCCATCACCCTTTGCTGCGGTAAGCAACACTTTGCCTGTCTCCGGGTCTACACTGCCCTTGCGAGTAACTGACTGGACCATGCCTGGATTCTCAGCCTTGAGACGAGCGAAGGTTTCCTCTGCATCCCAGGTCCAGGGTGTCTTGGCCGCAAACAACAAGTCCATATCTTCCAGTGTACGCTGATTACTCTCCGGGTAAAGAGCCCAGACCATCGGAATGGTAATGACGTTGCTCGCGGCGAACACATACAGCGTCTTCTCACCGATGGCGCTGAACATAACAGGGCACAGTAGAGTCTAGCGGGAAAAAGTTCGTCAGCATTGTCAGAAAGGTTCTGGATGTTGCACTTACGAGCCATCCGTTTCCAATACTCCAGCCAACAACGCCCCAGGCATTTCCACGAGCACGCACGGCCAATGGGAAAATTTCAGCAGGGTACAGCCAAGGTACAGTCAGCCAGGTCGCTCCAAAAGTTGACGTGAAAATGAAGATCATCGAAGCTGCGGCTGCACCGTATGAGGATGCATGACCGGTGTCACCGGCTGCCTTGGCGTTGATGGCGAGGCGAGAGAATCCACCAGCGAGGAACATCGCAATGCCTTGAACGACTGAGCCCCAGTACAGAGTCCATCGGCGGCCGATGCGGTCCAAAGTAAAGACGCAGACGAGTGTGGCGAACTAGAAAGTGTAAGTAATCCACTGGTTTACCTACATTTACACGCAACCTACCATGTAGCAGATATTATTCAACCCACTAATCCACTGACTCTTCGTGGAGTCGAATCCTGCAATACTGAAAATTGTCGGAGCATAAACCGTTACACCAGCGATACCTACCCATTCCTGCATAATCTGCAGCCAGATCACAAGTTGGACACGGCGACCGATGTGGAGATCCCCTGATTTATAGCCAAAGAGCATGGAAAGGTACGAGTTGCCGTGAACCACGGTCTTCTCCATTTCGGCAATGGCCTGAATATCAAGGAATTCAGCCTCGGCGCGGATGCGGTCCTCCGGGCTGCTTCCACGAAGGCGCTGGAGAATGTACTGAGCTTCTTCCTCTCGACCAACCTTGACGAGCCAGCGAGGAGACTCGGGGAAGAACCAGACGGCAAAGAAGAGGACCACGAGGAACAAGATTTGGAACCCGATGGGAAATCTCCAGCGGAAAGGAGACCTTCCATCATCGATGAATGACAGGCCACTAACAATTGGTTAGATGATGCGGGACAGTATGTAGAGACACAACGTACAACTCCAACCAGTAGGCAAGAACAACACCAAAGATGTTTAACGTGAATTCAATCGCAATGAATTGTCCTCGGGAAGTGTGTTCAGCCGTCTCCGTAGCCCAGACAGGGACGATAGCGTTCAAGATCCCCGTCCCGATTCCGTTCACAAAACGGGCTGTCAAATCTTAGCCATGAAACTATCGCTGTGGATGATGAACCACTTACCACAAATCATCCAGTCATGGTTCTGAGCGGAGCACTGCAGACTAGCACCAACGATCGCCCAAATAGCACCGACCGCAATGGACTTGATTCTTCCTATGCGATCTCCCAGCCATCCACCAAACAAACCACCAAATAACGTCCCCAAGTAATACACCGCGACGATTCCACCCTGAAGTAGAGAATTAGTGACCACAACAGTCGGCTCTCCATCTTCCCTCTTCGTATATCCAAATTTCATAAGCTTGACATAATCCTCGGCATTATTCACTCCCGACATCATTCCCTGATCATATCCAAAGAATAGGATCGACAGAGCAGCGATACAATTGATCGCAACAAGAAGCTGTCGCTTCTCCAACTTATGAACCACATTCCAAGAATGAATCCTATTACTCATTTTGAACGAAATTCCCCACCGAAATCAAATCTGTACCACGTACAATCACAGTGCGACGAGACGATATAAGAGGCCTAGCCAAAAATCCACGCGGGGTAAATCCAAACACGTTCCGACGTCGCACGACATCATAATGGGTCCTCGGGCCTTTTAAAAGCAAGGCCAAGTCCAAGTCCGGCCCGAGTCATAAATCGTGAGGAAATTTTCCCACGGGGATCGGCCAATTTTGACCCTAGGATAGGCAAGGAGTGTCCGATATGGTTACATCCCGGCGGCACAGGAACAAGCAGGGACAATGCCATCTGGGTATTGGAGTGTTTGATTCCCCACAATTTGGAGAAGAAAATGGGTCTGGGTCTGGGTCTGTGGGGGTTGGATCAGGTATGGAGAGGATGGGTGGAATTATTGGTGATTGGCCTTTAGCCGGTGAAGACTGGAATCGGCAATCCGAAAGTGCAAATGTGGGCTTTGAACTCGGGGGAACTCCGATATACATAATTCCCCATTTCCCACCCCAGGAATGTAACGAAATTGCATGTGACCATTTTAGCGATGGTCAATTCTACCGACGGGAAGAATTCATAGCGATGAAATATCATATCTGATCCATATGGCAGATTCCGTTAATATTAACCCTGATAAACCCCATACAACAGGTGCAGTCCCGAAAACTGCATTGATCAAGGAAAGAGCTCGATTCCTGGGCTCAGTACTTGTTGAGATTGTACCATAGTCGGCTGGACCGTAACTGAAGCAACCTTGATGCGCTTGGCTGGTGTATCTCCTTGATCTCCCCTTCTCCACTGATTGATGAGCAGACTTTTGGCGGTTTCCAGTCTGACCGCTGGAGCGATGCGGTATAGCTGAGCTAACGACAAGGTAACCATGGTTATATTCAACACTTTGGTGACATTAAATCGTTCCCCTTCCGGTCAGCCCACGGCGGTCCGCAGTCGTCCAACGTGAGGAGCCGTCTTTCATAAAAATGCCAGTATAAAGGCACGATGCTCAACGACAGTAATAGCCCGCAATGCAAGATTCTCTGCAGCCTCATCGTTTTATGCCTCGAGCTTGTTTGGCTTCGGCTGGGTTTCGGGGCATATTCGCGTATGGCATCAGGGATCTGCTGTTCATGTTATACTGGGCTTGTACGCTCGCTACAAGTATTGCCTGTAAATTTCGAATAGACAGTCTAATATAAGTAGCAGGGTAAATTTTAAGAACCAATAACTAACTCAGAAGAGGTCGTCCATATCCTCTATATAGGGTTGAATTCATCTTTCTCGGCCTTTGAATATTGTGTATAAATTATATGATAAAGAGGTAAGACGTGAGTGTATAAATTGATGGATATGGATAGGGAAAGCTCTAGAGTAAGAGATATAGAGATGAGGAAGTTGGTGAGTGGATAGATGGATGGATGTGGAGAGGGGAAGCTCTGGTTTCAAAGATATGGCTAGGAAAAGAATATACCACAAATAGCCCTGGAGGTTGCGAATAAAGGAGACGGTATAAGACCGTGGTAATGATTACAAAATTTACCCAATGCTTGGTTCTGAGAGTGGATCCAAATATCGAATCGGGAGGATCCTCCGCCTTATTAGTTAGGTGTCAATCAATGCTGGTACACATACATTAATATCCAAGCAGCGACAGCTAAATAAATAAATAAATAGAAATCTAAAACCTAGAATCAGGGGTCATCTTATCCTAAACCATTTAAGATACATCGTGCAATTTAATGACCCATCTCTTTTATCTGCCATGAAATGCAGCTGGGCATGGTCACGACTCGCCATGGCGTATTGTACATGCGATTAGATAGGCAGCGGCACCAATGTACCAGGTATCATCAACCATATCGACGATTTCGGGGGGATATGGTTACCTAGGTACTACCATAAAATAGGGTGGCGATGGTTCAAAAGGGTAAAAGCTACATAGTAATTGTAAGACTATACCTGGAAGTGGCCGAGTGTAGCCGCGGAGGCGAAGCATACGGTAAACTTGATTCCAACCCCATTGGAAACCCGCGGGTTTTCACTGGCGGATTCCGGGCATATCGAACTAAAAGCCAAAATAGCGCTAGTCATTGATGTCTTCCCGGGGTAGATCTGGCCGGACAGGTGGAGGGCGGAAAAGGCCTTCAGGCTTCCCGTCATGCCTGGATTGTTTCATAACATATATAGGAAGATACGGCACCCAGATGATCATCGGATAAAATTTAGACAACCCTGGAATTTCTCGTCTTCCCACCGTATCAATATCATTTCCCAACATTTAAACATTGTTATCAGTTATCCCATCGAAACAGAAAGCCCCGGCATCGTCATCCGGCAAAGTGACCTTACCGAGTCGACCCGACCGCTTACATAACCCCCTTCGGCCAATCTCAAAATACCGCAAAAGCTCAGTCCTCTCTTCCCGTAACTTCAAAACCACGTCCCCTTTTGCGCAACCTCGCCATCTTTCCCTCCAGGTCATCTTCCGTGGAGGTATAAATCGTTATCTTGATTCTTTATCTTTTTAATACCGCCAATCGCTATGTTCCGCGCTGTTTTGCCCCGTGCCGCGCCGCGGGCCAGCCTCCGCGCTTGCGGCCCTAAGGCTGTCCCTTCCACCTTCATCGCCACTCCTATGATCCTCGTTGGCTCAAAACGTGGCTACGCCTCTGAGTCAGGTGAGTTCTTTCCTGGTTCTTCGTCATAACGAGACGAGGGCCTTTCCTACTCTTCCCGGATGCGATTGCTGATTTCCCGGCTCTCCGGACAACAGGTGATCACGATCTGGTTATCATCGGTGGTGGTGTTGCCGGTTACGTTGCTGCCATTAAGGCTGGTCAGGAGGGTTTGAAGGTACGTATACATTTCTTTCTCTCCTTCTCCGTCCCGGAGCAGGGTTGTCGACTACCTGCTAACTGGACATCTTGATAGACCGTCTGTATCGAGAAGCGCGGAAAGCTCGGTGGTACTTGCTTGAACGTCGGCTGTATCCCCTCCAAGTCCCTCCTCAACAACTCCCACCTTTACCACCAGATTCTCCACGACACCAAGAAGCGCGGTATTGAGGTCGGCGATGTGAAGCTTAACCTCGCTCAGATGCTCAAGGCCAAGGAAACCTCCGTTGATGGCCTGACCAAGGGTGTTGAGTTCCTGTTGAAGAAGAACGGCGTCGACTACGTCAAGGGTGCCGGTTCTTTCGTTGATGCTAACACCGTCAAGGTTGACCTGCTCGATGGTGGTGAGCAGCTCATCCGCGGCAAGAACATTCTCATTGCCACTGGCTCCGAGTCCACTCCTTTCCCCGGTCTTAACATTGATGAGAAGCGCATCATCTCCAGCACTGGCGCTCTCGAGCTCCAGGAGGTCCCCAAGAAGATGATTGTTATCGGTGGTGGTATTATTGGTTTGGAGATGGTATGATCACCTGCCCGATCTGCCGGCTTTTACGCGAAGTTAGAAACTAACTTTTTAATAGGCTTCCGTTTGGTCCCGTCTCGGTGCTGAGGTCACCGTTGTTGAGTTCCTTGGCCAGATCGGTGGCCCCGGTATGGACGCTGAGATCGCCAAGCAGACTCAGAAGATTCTCGCCAAGCAGGGCATCAAGTTCAAGACCAACACCAAGGTCGTCAAGGGTGATGACAGCGGTGCTCTCATCAGTCTCAACGTCGAGGCTTCCAAGGGTGGTAAGGAGGAGACTCTCGATGCGGATGTTGTCCTCGTCGCCATTGGTCGCCGCCCCTACACCGAGGGCCTGAACATCGAGAGCATCGGTATCGACAAGGACGAGCGTGGCCGTCTCGTCATCGACCAGGAGTACCGCACCAAGGTCCCCCACATCCGTGTCGTCGGTGATGTGACCTTCGGTCCCATGCTGGCCCACAAGGCCGAGGAGGAGGCCGTGGCTGCCATCGAGTACATCAAGAAGGGCCACGGTCACGTTAACTACGCCGCCATTCCCTCCGTCATGTACACCCACCCCGAGGTCGCCTGGGTCGGCCAGAACGAGGCTGAGGTCAAGGCTTCCGGTGTCAAGTACAACGTCGGTTCTTTCCCCTTCAGCGCCAACTCCCGTGCCAAGACCAACCTCGACTCCGAGGGTACCGTCAAGTTCATCGCTGATGCCGAGACCGACCGTATTCTCGGTGTCCACATCATTGGCCCCGGTGCCGGCGAGATGATCGCCGAGGCCACCCTTGCCATCGAGTACGGCGCCTCCAGCGAGGATATCGCCCGCACATGTCACGCCCACCCTACCCTCTCCGAGGCCTTCAAGGAGGCTGCCATGGCCACCTACTCCAAGCCCATCCACTTCTAGACGCGACGCGGTACCTTGATATCCTCTGAACCCATGTACTACTTTTTTTGGTCCTTTAGTCTAGCTTCGCTAGCAAACTACATGTAGCATTTCATGTAATCATTTCCTATGTTTATTGTTTTTAAACAAAATATAGAATTATTCACCAGCGGACCTTTTGTTATTTGTCATTTGCTATCTAATGAAACGAAACTTCAAGATTTCCCTTCACCTGAAGCCCGAAAAGGGATGATCGAGGCGACTCGGTATGCATGAAGACGAAAAGTGGGTAAAAAGATAAGCCAATCAAAAGAAATCCAAAGTGGGCCCGCCAAGGTTCGAGCCAGGGACCTTTAAATCCCAACGGCTTGATATCACATTTCGAATGGCCTCATTTGTATACATTCACCTATATATCGAGCCTCTGTATCTATGCTTACCTAGCCCCCACCATATCACCATCAAAATAAAGTAATTACCAGTAACAAAATTGCCAAATATAATAAACCAGCAGCTTCCTATGCATTGAATACAAGAGCATAATATCGAATATACGTGGGTCAAATTTTCCCAAACACCTCGTTTTCGTTCCTTTTTCATAGATATTTCGTTCAATTCTTCCCTTATATGGATCAATGAGAGATAAAAAAGTCATCCACCCAGCAGGTTAGTGTAGCGGTTTCATACTCAACCGGGGCCAAGTCAGGTGCACGACTCCTACTTGTCCCCACCATGCATACGTTTAGCTGAAGCAAATCTGCATCCCATGTGTTGGCGTACTTGATCCCAAGAGCCCCGATAGCCCCTGAAAACAAGGGAGGGACTACTGAAAGCTGAGTAGTGGGGTGGATTTCCCCCCAACCTTGAATTCCAACTTCTAAGATTTGGACCCAATCTTCGACCTCCTTTAGCCTCTTGACTTTCCCCTAATCTCGGCTCCTCTTACCACGACTCTCCTCGACCTTGACTCCCCCTCGACCTCGAGTCCTTCACCAACCTCGATATTCCATCAAATTGCCCTTTATGTCTTTTCATCGTTTCTAAATGTTTTTATGAGTTTATTTTGCACATGATTCAAATAATTATTTTCACCTTCTCATCTACGTGAATATATGATGAAAAAGGGCGTGAGATGTCTTGAGGATATATAATTTTGAAATTTCCAACGATCTGTACATACTTGACAAACCTTTTCACATGTTCCGTGTTAATTGCTCTCCAGCACAAGGAAAATAACCAAGACCCTGGAAAATATGAAGGAATAGACAGAATCTAGAATCGCGAAGTAGATTGCGGGTACGGCGACGAGCTCACTGGGGATCTGGTGGAATAGTTTGGTCAGTAAAATGAAATGAAAATGGAACCTTTCTTTGCTGCCTACCTCATCGACTTGTTCAATTCCAAATACTGTTGCCATACCTGAAAGAGAAGACTTATCTCCAAAGGTGCATTTCGGGATCCTTGTAGCCAGTGGTTCGTCTTGCGATGATGTATACTGAGCCATCTAACTCCATGAGACATATATATACGCAGTACAGTATAAGTCCCAGAATAGACCCGAGCTGCTGAAAGAAGACGCAAATTGTAACCATCGGACTCCATTCTTGTGTGAAGAATAAATCAAAGTGTCAAGAAGAGTCAGCATGCTTGCTCTCACGGCTTGTTGACAAAACTCATGACATGTTGATCCAAAGCCTGATGTGATAAGCCTTATACCCACACCTTGAAGTGCTAAGACGATGATATCCTGATAATCTCTATGATAAGGACCTCCCTATGTATTGCCCCCTCAGGGGATCAATTCACTGACAATGAAGACGGTCTTGCGACCAAACTTCGTCGCCGACGGGATATATATGATGTTAAGCAAACCGGAAGAAGTATACAGTCGAGCGCAGATTTCCTGCTCATATTGTTTAGACTGACCCCAGTGTCTTTGGTGATCAGGGTCCAGCTCACCGGTGTATTTCTTGTCAAATAAAAAGACGGGAGTCGTGAGGGGTAAAAAGAGAAATGGAAGCTCCAAGCGACGGTATCAACAACAGCAAAAAGTATTGATGGATACAACAACCGCCCAAGGAGTGATAAGATCAAATATGGGATTCATGAGAGAGAGGAATTAGTTACCACGGGGTTTTAGGGATTGGAAAGTCCACGCCACAGATAGACTGAGCGGGCCAGACCCCGCTAGTTAAAGAGCGGAGAACCTGCAAAGTGTTCACCTTTCCATTTATCTAAATCACTTCTCATTGCAAAACAATAATAAAGACACTAGCATGACAGAAAAACCGCTCAACCACGCCTCTTCCATTCTGATTGTCGGCGCTGGAGCTTGGGGATGCTCAGCTGCCCTGCATCTGGTTCGCCGAGGATATACAAATGTCAAGGTGTTGGATGCTTACCCTGTGCCGTCAGAAATTGCGGCTGGCAATGATGTGAACAAAATCATGGAGCACAAGGAGCTCAAAGGTCAGATATTATGATTATTTCAATCCGTCTTGTTTCAGCTAAAAAAATGACATTCTCCAGAAGCAAACTTTGACGCAAGAAGTCTCGCCTTTACAACCTGCAGTCGAGCTGCACTGAAAGGCTGGCAAACTGACCCCATCTTCCAGCCATATTTTCACGAGACAGGATTCATTGTCGCGGGGCACACTCCAGCTCTAATCCAGCATATCAAGGAAGAAGAGATAGACCCTTCCGATGCCGAATTCATATCTCTCAACACAGCGGAAGACTTTCGCAACGCAATGCCACCTGGAGTCTTGACAGGGGACTTTCCAAATTGGAAAGGCTGGCTGAGCAAGAGTGGAGCTGGTTGGATTCACGCGCAGAAAGCCATGATCGCAGCATTCACGGAGGCTCAACGCCTGGGCGCGGAATTCATAACCGGGGCGCCATCGGGGAAAGTCGTGTCTTTACTCTTTGACCATGGTGATGCGGTGGGAGCACAGACGGAAAACGGAGTACACCATGTGGCAGATCATACTATATTAGCTGCGGGTGCTGGGAGTGATCGGCTACTGGATTTTAAGAAACAGTTACGTCCCACTGCCTGGACATTGTGCCATATCAAGATGAGCGCCGAGGAAGCAAAACTGTATTGTGATCTCCCGGTCTTATTCAACATTGCGAAGGGATTCTTTATGGAGCCGGATGAAGATAATCATGAGCTCAAGATCTGCGATGAGCATCCTGGATATTGCAATTTTGTTGCTGATCCGTTACACGGCGGAGAGGAGCGAAGTGTACCGTTTGCGAAGCATCAGATTCCCCTTGAGGCAGAGGCACGAGCTAGAGACTTTCTGCGAGATGCGATGCCACACCTTGCCGAGCGACCCTTTTCATTTGCAAGGATTTGCTGGGATGCTGATACGCCCGATCGGGCATTCTTGATTGATCGCCATCCCGATCATCCTTCTCTCATTGTCGCTGTGGGAGGATCTGGCAATGGAGCGATGCAGATGCCTGCCATAGGCGGGTTTATTGCGGATGCGTTGGAGGGAAATCTACAAAAGGAACTAAAGCACGTTGTCCGATGGCGCCCTGATACAGCGGTAAATAGAGATTGGCACTCTAAGCAGAATCGTTTTGGTGGGCCAGACAAGGTCATGGATTTTCAAAAATTGAAAGAAAATGAGTGGACTTCGGTATGAAAGAGTAGTTAGAGCAAGCTATAGATAAATGGCCACAAATTCAAGTACTGTCATCCGCCAGTCCTTTCAAAGTGAACACTTGAAAGTTACTCGGTCGTGAATGCGCAAGCTCCCATATCCTTCTTGATAACCTCAGCCTCGGGTCTGATATCGAAATCGAAGATATCCATAGGCACACCGATAGTAGTACAGGCATTTGGTATATCCACAATGCCAGCAATATGTCCCTGTACAGGAGCACAGCTGAGCAGCAAGTAAATCTGATAATCATTATACCCGAACCGTCGCAGGTATTCAATGACTCGCAAGCAAGTCTGTCGATAGGCCACTGTAGCATCCAAATAATGTTGCTTGCCATTCTCATCCACTGAGAATCCCTCAAAGGTGAGATAGCGCCCGGGGCCGAATTGGGGCTCTACAGGACCGGCATGGAAGATCGGCGACTTCATGTCTAGCTTCGCCATACCGTTCTTGATCACAGAGAACTTCAATGTGATAACACCTGCCATTTCGATGGCGCCACAGAACGAAATTTCGCCATCTCCCTGGGAAAAGTGAAGATCTCCCACCGAGAATTTCGCGCCTGGGACGTGAACGGGCAGGTAGACCTTGGAGCCACGGGAGAGGTTTTTGATATCACAATTACCTCCGTGCTCAGGACGGCCCTAGGTACATGAGTAATCATTCGATCAATAAATGCAAATGATGGGCCAAGACATACCGGAATTGTTCGTGCACCCTCCTTTGCGACCTTTTCCTTAATATCCTCAGCAGAGCTACCAGCATGGACATTTGTGGGGTTTGGCGGCTGCGCAACGATGCGATCTTCAATAGTATTCGCAGAAATAAGCTCACCCTCACGGCGATTCCATTCGGCAAGGACTTCCGCCGAGGGAGCACATCCTAGAATGCCCGGATGAATCAAACCCGCAAAGCGAACGTGCGGGATGTGGCGCGAGGAACAGAAAATTCCCTCGAAATCCCAAATTGCCTTCGCACTACAATAGATTGAATAAGAATGTGTGGACCGCAAAGTGAGGGCAAACATACGCTTTCGGATACAGCTCATCCAAGAAGCCGCCGCCATTCTGCCTGTCGAAGATACCGGTGAATCCCCATGGCTGTTCTTGGAAAGGTTGAACATCTTGGATTTCAACTACCAAGACATCGCCCGGCTCGGCGGTCTCGATTTCGAATGGGCCGGAGAGATAGTGGATCTCAGTGAGATCGACGTTCTTCACATCGTCGGCCGAGTCGTTGTTCTTGATCTGTCCGCCCGTCCAGTCCAGACATTCGATCTTTACGACTTCATTGTTAGCGATCTTTCCACAGGCCGGGACTATTAACCGGTTAGCGGTGGTTTTTGAAGGCTATAACATCAACCTACTATCCGGGTGCCATCGGTTCTAAAAGATGTCAGTTCATGAGTTTTGTTTCACACAGGAGGGGTTCATACGTGTAAGCCAGGCTGCTCGCGGGCATGCTTCTCCAAATCCACCTTCAGAGCAGTACGGATGCCAGTGATACCCATGCTTATTAAAGTACTTTAACTTGTGAAGTGATGAACAAGGCCGCGTTTCAGACGATTTATATCAAGCCAAGGTAAGTGGGGATCGACGATGAAAGTGGGTTGTAGAGATAAGCAAGTACTCCGCGGAGCTGAGAGGGGTAAGGATACTCTTCTCCAAATTTGGTGATTAGTTCCGACCTCGCAGATGCAAAAGAGGATCAACAATTCAATTGTACCTCGTATGTGCATGAGCATATCAACCATTTGATTGGCCTTCAAAGGGGATCAATTAACTGAACCTCCATAGTTACTTAGTGATAGAGGATAATTGATGCCTGAGTAACACCTGAGTAACAAGGCATCAAAGTTCATGGAACCAGGCACGTGATCACTTCACCATCACGTGCATCGATTTCGTCTAGACCGGTGCCTTGTCGATTGAATCCATGCGAGGTTTGATGCTGAATATGATCTTTCCATTCCAGAATAGCACAACTTCTCACCTAACAAAGACGCCAATTAGCACTCGATTATGAAAATGCCGTTTCTTTAAAGTTGATGGATAGAATGTTGAGCTGAGGCGAGCTTCCGACCGGAGAAAAGGAGTCTAGACCTGATTTTTGTCTCCATTAACTAGTAGTTGGCGCAATACAGGTGGCGTCTCAGCCTACTTCTTCTAGACTCATTGTCGTTTCAGGGTTTTTGAATGTGATATGTGTTTTTCTCATTGGGAAGCGGTAGTGGCTGACAGTACGTTTGCAATACTGAGGTCGGTTAGAGCAGTGCTTGGGACAATCTTATATCTTCATGCCACTTCACTTTAGTGCCTCAAGCCGTCCAGAGTCCCTGGTCCATTGATGATGTGGCCCCTAGAAGATCTTCAATCCTTTACCCACATAGGCTGCCAAGACTGAAGACGTAGTATGTGGGGCGGTTTCCCTTAGAGCCACAGAAAACCCTTCAACCCCACGTCAACCCAGTCTGTAATTATTACAAGGCGACAAATACTGTACCCCGGAGCTGAACAGGGTTGATAGTTTCTATTTTAGTACATCAACGGAGTAACTCAACGCGTCATGGAGTAATACGCAACTTGATATACATGTTGTGTGTCATGCAGTAGCATTAGCATGCCAAGCGGAGCCCATATTCTGAAACAACCAATCATACTGCTACTTCAATAATTCCGCAGGGGAATACACTCCACTGGGGCTGGTCCTCAAGGCACAGAAATGGTTTCTCATTTGTGCAATTGTGCTGGATTTATATTCCTGGCCCCTGTAGCTGGTGCCGGACGTTCCCGCTAATCCTCACATATACGACCGCATGCAGCCAAGTTCCAATGATTGCATCCGGCGGATCAAAAAGCCCCGGGCCGCGCGTTCTTATTCAATCATGATCGAACACTTTCCAAGCCAAGATTGCGCCCAAGGCTTGTTTCAGTCGTTTGCCGTCATTTTGGTTTCCGATCTGCACCCGTGTTACAAGTGTCGACACGTAAGCTCCCTTACGTCTGGTTTCAAGTTTGGGGGTATAACTCTTCATCAAACACCTGTTTATTCCTACATGGAACAATTTACGCCATGATTCGACTTAGCTCTCTGCAAAGGGCACTCGCCGCAGCCATCTTCTTGGTTTTTTTGCTATGTGGTTTGGTGTACCACAACAGATTAGATCAGACCACTTTGACCAGCAATTGGGGATCAAGTAGTTCGAAAAATGTTCCAATCGGAGATTGTTCTGTCGATATTGGATATTTACATTCATTGGGTTTCAATCATTCGGTGGATTATGCGCGTTGGAATATTCGAGTCACCGAGTCGAAAAAATTTACCGGATTTTCGGAAAGCCTGGATGTTCCAATTCCCGAGTTCAACCGCCTTGAGCTCGATACAGATGCTACTATTGATACTCTTCCGCAATGTCCGGGGGTGGTAAATATCGAAGTACCGAAACGCAAAGCCCCTGTGGACGCATCCCATTTGATGTTTGGTGTGGCGACTACCATAGACCGATTAGACGACTCCTTGGAAGCGATCTCGCGATGGGCAGGTGGTACAAAAGCTCGCGTGATCGCTCTGGTTGAGAGCGATGACAGCCTAAACACCACCGCGGTCATGGAGTATGCCACAGAGTTGGACGTGACGCTCCAGATCCTGGAAAACGACGAAGAATTCCTAGACCGTTATTACAGACTCACACGGATCCTCTTTGAACTTCACGACGAGTCGACTCAGTGGGCTGTCATTATCGATGATGACACCTTCTTCCCTAGCATGGAGGGCCTAGTCGCCCAACTAGCGACCTACGACGCAACTAAACCATACTACATTGGCGCACCAACTGAAAACATGCAGCAAATGGCATCCTTCACTTATATGGGCTACGGAGGCGCCGGAGTCTTCCTCTCAATGCCGTTGCTGCAAGAAATCGACGTCCACTTCGACGACTGCTTCGAGTACAAAGACCACGGCGATAAGCGTGTATCCAAATGTATCTACAGACACACCACCACCAAATTGACCTGGGATCGCCACCTCTTTCAGCTTGATCTGAGCCCGGATGGCTCCGGCTTTTACGAAGCAGGCCGCCAATTACCTCTATCCGTGCACCACTGGAAATCTGAAAACTGGTTTCCCACAAATATCGTCGGCATGAGCCAAGTCGCCGACATCTGTGGCCACGAATGCCAACTTCAACGCTGGAGAATCACGGATGACTGGTACTTCATCAACGGATTCTCCGTAGTTCAGTACTCAGGTCCACAGACACCAGAAGACTTGGCCTCCATGGAACAGACTTGGTCGTACTCTTGGAAGGAGGATGAGTCCTACGAGTACAGCTTGGGACCGTTGCGGCCACGAGATGATGGTAAAGTGTCTTACCGACTGCTAGATGCGGTTTCCGCGAACAAACAGGTCCGGCAGTATTATCTACGCCAGCAAGACGAGTGGTCCTTCGAGGAGGAGCCTGAAAGTCCGCAAGTCTTGGAGGTTGTTTGGACATTGGCCAAGTAGACCTGTTGTTCATTGTTTTTGGTGTTTACTGTTCATTAACTAGCGCATTCTTGGGAAGCGATGCCGGCAGGTTCGGCCCTTCCAGCCTTACGAATTCATCATGTATCTGCTACATTACCGCTATGTAAAATTGGAAAACATCCATATCTAATGCTAAGAATGCTTCTCCACAAAATAATATCAGTATTTAAACGGTGGATATGAATCACATAATGTAACTGAGACGACTTTTTCCACTAGAGCGTATATCGAAATCCCTTCTGCAACCGACGCGCCGCCGCGATATCAATCCCTTCATAGTCAGCGGTAATTTGTAGTCGTCTCAGTTCCTTCTCAGTGAGCTGCACTTCCCCACTCTCATTATCCAATCGTTCTTGGCGCTTGTTCAACGATCGCAGATTGAAATATATGAACATAGCCGACAAACCACCCAACGCCTGCAATGCAATACAGATACCAAGAGCAACAGGGTAATGATACCCCTGCGAGTCAAAGTATGTATAAGGCGTCCAAATAGTGGCCGAGTTCCCAATAGAATTGATAAAAGCATAAGCAGCAGCACGCTTCGCAGGAGGTCGAGGTAACGCATTCGCAATCCAAGAATAAAGGGTCCCGTTCTGGGCAAAAGTGAAGTTCATCAAAAACAACGAAAAATATCTCGGTCCAAACGAATCAGTAGTCATGAAAATAACAAATCCAACAATCGTAATGGGAATGGGATAAAAGAAAAACCAAAACCGAACACCCATTTTATCAGAAAGCCAACTATGAAGAAGGCTGTAAAACACCATAAACACATATGGTGGCGCAACGAGTAACAACGAGATCGTCTTGCTGTATCCCAGTGTCTCCGCTAGTGTTGGGAAGAAATATTGAAAACTTCCTCCGCCAGCAATGCACATAAACGCAAATGCGAACACGTAGGTCTTGATATCTGTCATTGCCATTTTCAAGCCCTTCAGCTGGCTCATCCCCGGACTACCTTCTTCATCGACATCAGCCTCGGCTGCTTCAATTGCCAGTCTGCGTATGGCGACGGCTCGCATTTCTGGTAAGAGAAGCCGCCACGTATCGGGAAAGTCGGGGAGAATAAAACATATAACCACACCGATGAAGCAGGTGATTGACCCTTCGATTATATAGAGCCATTGCCATGCTGACATACCTCGTTTTTCGGCTAAGCCGTTGAGGATGCCGGCTGCGATGAGATTGCCGAATGCGCCGCTGATTAGTGAGCCGGAGTAGAAGATGCTCATTCGAAATGCCAACTCGGATCGCGTGTACCATTTGGAAAGGTAGAACAGGACTCCGGCGAAGAAAGGCGCCTCTGATGCACCTTAGTATGTGGATGTTATTTGCGATGGTGGTGGACTTACCGACTAAGCCTAGAATGAATCGACATGCTACTATCCCACGGTAGCTTGTTACTTGGCTGGTGCATGCAGAGACTAAGCCCCATGCTGTGACGAAGAAGCCAAGGTAGATAGATGGTCTCCCCATGTAGTTGAGGAGGAGGTTAGATGGAACCTGCATGAGGATGTAGGCGACGAATAGGATGGAAAGACCGGTTTGGTACTGCTGGCCGTCTAGATGAAGATCCTCTGTAAGTCCTTGAAGTTTGGCGGCTGCATAGTTATTTCTATGTGGACATATGATCAGGAAACTGGACGTAAAAATTGGGAAGTATCACACCGATCGTTCTGTGCTTTGAACATTATCAGCATCTGAATTACTCACCGGTCGATATAATTCATTAGGTAAACAAGAATCACAAGTGGCATGATCAAAAGATCTATGCGACGACGAAGTTTCTTCTCAAGCACTTTTTCCTCTGGGGTCAACTCAGCAAGATGCACAATTTCTTCGTGTGACATCTCTGCTTTCTCCCCCATCACCTCCGCATCTGAAATTGTATTCTCGCCGCGTTCCATGATTTAGTCAGTGAGCAAGAAAATCCGACTCTTCCCCAGAATCCCACTGACCGTGATACATCCATGGTTTATATAGCTTCGTTGATGCACTCCGAGTCGAGCTGAGTACATGCAGATCATCGAGTCCGGGGTAATGTGGGAGAGAGGAGAGACATGAAAGCAAAACTGACGACCCACCAATAACATTTATTGAATGTCTACCTGGTATGCAGTCATAGTAAGCCAAGACATGCATCTATGGTATGGAATTGCGGTAAGCAACCCCTAGCCCGCATCTCCCCCACACTTTGCCCCCACTAGGTCAAAGCTTCTTTGTCTAAGTTAAGGCTATTCAGCCTATTATTGGAGGAAAATTTTGATGCTGGAATGGGATCACGGACTCTTTTCCATATCCGCGCCTTTTCCAGCGGATATGACAGGATACGATGATGAGGGCTGATCAGGGTCTAGTCAAGGATGAAAAAGACAGCTCACAGACCTCAAAGAACGGTCTTGGCTTGGAATTTACATATAGCCGATATTGATATCTATTTAATTTATCATCTTATCTGAATCTCATCGGGTTCGTCATAATTGCACATGTGGTAAGAAACCTTTCTCGTCGGGAATACTTTGCTTATTTTTTCTAAAAAAAAATAATTAAATATATACAATCAGAATATTCCTGTCGGCGGAGCAATTGGAGAGCACCCGTAAAAAGATATTGTGGTAAAGAAACAATGTGCTAAGACTGCCTTGCAAAAGGCTGCTTCTATTTTTGAAGCGCAATTTGGCCTTGATTCCGCCATGCAAGGAACTGTAACAGCCCTTTTTGACGTCGGAGCACCAAGTGACCCGAGAACTTATATATTTCTCTATGTATAAACATTCGTTGATATTTTGACCTATTTTTCGGATGTCTGATCTCCGCATTTCTTTTCGCCGGAGGTAAGTATCACCAGAAACATCATTATTGAAATTGTATATTCACTTGACTCACCATAAAGCCTGCCGGAATAAGTCTTGAAGCGATTGATCGTTTTTTGGGAACCAATTCTCGACTCGAAATGAGGAAATTGAACCAAATATAGCGCAGAGTCAAGCAAGGTCTCCACGCTTCATAAAGATGCATCTTTGGGTGGAGCAAAAGGACCAATTAAGAATTTTCAACACTGCTATTCTTGATCCAAACCAGGTTATGACTTGTTCAATCAGTACGCATGAAGGTGTAAGTCGGATTTTAGAGGAAATGATGTTTGGAAGCTGAGTAGTTAGGGTAGATAAAAAACAAAGGGCAAAAACAAGTGGTTCCAGAGGGGGTCGAACCCTCGACTTTGGCGTTATTAGCACCACACTCTAACCAACTGAGTTATGGAACCGCTTATGTAACGTGGACCCAACCTTTGACTTATAATCTGTAGTACTTCATTTGGCTAAAAAAGCATTACCTGATACTTTTTATTTCTTCCTCTAGTCTATATAAGATATTTATCTTTATCCTTATAAATTGTAGGGTAAGGTAAGAATTATATTTAGGTAGCTCGACCAAAATTTCATTTACTAGCCTATTAAATTACGCTATATTACATAAATGAGACTGAATCATGCATGATATGTATACAAACGGTTCAGCAACTTAATCTCTTGATTATAAGCAGAATAGAATACTCGATTGCGTATTTCGGAATATGTCGCTTTTTAAACGATCTGTATTGGCCTTTTGTTGCATTCCGGGTACTGCAACCAACATCGAGGATGTTGAACAAGGCCTGCTCCTTTTGGAGAGCATGCTAGTATAAGTCGTACTCTTAAGTCAAGCCATTTGGAGTATAGTGGCAGAGAAAAGATTTCATCAAGTTGAAACTCAAGTCAGCCTATAAATTGAACAAATAGTAGGATATTGGTCTCGGTAGAGGGGCCCGAGGTTCCTCGACCGGCCCTCTCTTAGACAAACTGCCCTCTTTCACCTGTCCATTCTCCTCAATTTTGGAATATAATTGTTAACGCATGATTTCGGAATATGATAGGCGCCGCAATCTCATGTAGCCTGTGATTAGTAAAAGAAGCCGAGTTTAATGTCGAATGGTCGGTCCAGTGAAGCTTCTACGAAATAAGCGGTTACATCATTGTCTCTGCATCGGTCTTTGCTTACTAGGATAAAAACATTTGATGCCATGTCTCTGTTAGTAGGACTGGGACCTTCTCCGGTAGCACTAATGACAATTTAGTTGTAAATTTTCTCTAAGCGCTATACTGAACAGGGAAAAGAAAAGGTGAGTTTGAAACTGGTACGTCAATGGCTGCGAAAGATGATTCGACGATCAACAGTGAAGGTAAGAGGAATGGAAAGAGAAGCAGACAGAGAAACAGAAAGAGAAAGCAGAATAGTGTTGGTTCTCTACAACACTAAATTACGTGGGGTCATCGGTCTCAGCTGCTTTCTTCCAGAGATGTTACTGATGGGCATGGGGCAGCACTGCTGAATCACAATGGCCAGTATCTGGACGGTGTTGGAGAGCGCAGTGGGGATACTCAAGCTAAGTTTCCAAGATTCAAATCTTGGTAAATCTTGGACTAAAGCGGATTCGGAGAGTCAAACGAATAATACCGTCAATACAACTATCAATCTTACGAAAAGGTTGGTGGGAAGCTAGTAGTGGATCTAAGGGTTTTAGCGTGTTCTGCTACCCCTGGATCCCTGGATCCCTGCACGCTACGAGTGCTATTGGTACTTTCGAACTTTTCTGCGGGTATGAGAAATATGAGGGCCCACAAGGGACAGGATTGGAAAGTTTTTTTCAAAGGGTTTTACCAAATTTGAAGTAGTGCAAAATATTTGGAGAATAATTATTCCCGGCTTATCCGGTTCGCTCTACCGTGCCATCTTCAGGTCCTGTACGGTAGTGGTTTCAATGCTCTAAATTTCTGAAATATTTTCCTTGTTGAAATTTTAGCTTGGTCGGCATATAGTAGTGTACTCCAATGTTTGTGGCTCTTGGAAGTTCTAGGCAACTCATTAAAATTCGAAATATTTCCTCTTAATCTCATTTATACCAGTCATCTGCCTAGTCCTCCCGAAGCTCCATTCTCATTTCTGTGATCAATTGTGACAAATATTCCTATTCGCTGTGTAAGAATTTCCTCGCACAATTCTTGAAGCACGATGCAGTACAAGGCACTTACCATCCTCTTTGCCACCGCGGCATTGGCCGCTAACTTGGACGAGTTCACCGTTGATACCGCTCTTGAATCTTTATTGGCAGTTCCCACATGGGTTGAGGAAGCCATCGCAAGCGCCGAGCCAACCGCATGGGCCTCGTCTTTGGAATACAACAGCGCCTTTCGAATGACCGAACAGCTTGCGGAGCTGGCTGGTACCATGCCGGCGTGGTACAGCAGTCTTCCTGAGAGCGTAAAGCACTTCGAATCCACAAAGGACGCTGCCATTTACTCGTACGAGCTCACAGCCACCCAGAAGGATGTGTTCACCTCCTCCGGCTCCCACAGTACTGTCACCGCTACTGCTACCGCTACTGCCACAGCCACTGGCTCCTCGGACGCCGATGCAAGTTCAATTTCTACTGGTGGGGCCCCTGCCGCAACGGGTGCTATCTTTGTAGGCCTTGCTGGTGCCGCTGGAATCCTTGGTCTTTCTCTTGCCCTTTAAGGAGCAAATCATGTACTGCTGCTGATCTTTGGTGTTTTCCGGCTATGTAATGGCCAATATCAAGCTGAACTTCCTTTTTTCCATGTCGCCGACGCTGTAGCATTTCTTTTGTTTGAGCTTATGATAAACATCATGTTGACCTAGTTAGCTTGAGTCATGTCAAAATTTCAACCATTCGCAATATATCCACTCTGCAACGGTTTCTTTGAGAGCAGCGAAAGAGATGGCCCATTTTTCTTGTAGATCCTTCAGTTCCTCGCGACCTTCATACTCCTCCATAGCCGCCACAAAATGATAACGTGAATTTTTGATAAGGGTCGCTCGCTCGGACAACCCCATCCTCCTTAATACCTGCGGTTGCTATCATCATAGCCTCAGTGATAGGAGGGTGGGGCTCTTTGAGGACTGATAGCCATCACTTCGTGGCCAAATTATTTGTTGTAACTCAGGCATGAGTTCTGGTATGAGCTTAGAGAAAAACTAAGGGCTATGAATACAAAAATGAGCCAAGTTGATTTGCTGTCATCTAGTTTCAAGGCTAGATTCTGACCTATTATCTTGTTGACAAACATATAGATCATTATACTGGACCATGTTACATAAGCGGTTCCATAACTCAGTTGGTTAGAGTGTGGTGCTAATAACGCCAAAGTCGAGGGTTCGACCCCCTCTGGAACCACTTGTTTTTGCCTTTTTAACCCATACAGCCATGGAGAAAAAGACTTATACTCAGCTTCTGAGCAATGTTCTCTCCATTGCCATTTTTTGTACTCCATCTCTCTATTTCTACGCGCAATTTTATAGCTGACCTTCGCACTTCTTGCCATCCGTCCTCTCTAGTTCATAGGACATCACTGACCCTTGCATGCCCGTCGAAGGTCAATTCCTAGGAAAACTGTCTTTTGCTCTATTGGTTTCATACTGTGCACGTGGACTTCTAGTCGGATACTTATCCGTGCTTTGTATAAGCTGACCCGGTGTTTACCCTGCAATATGTACGTATCCACCCCCACGCCGAATTGGAACCAAGTAATCACTTCAAACTTGATTTATAAAACCCGGAACCTTGAAAGTGATGTGACATATTCTGTTCTCGTAGTAAGATATCCTTAGCGATTTCCAATGAAATGTCAGTGCTCGCGGAAAATGGTTATGTGTTCTTTTCCGGCACTCCAGAAACCCCAACCGGATATCCGGAAAACCCTCTTGGTTCTCGGAGGGACCCCGAATCGAAGCCACTGAACAACAATCGCGTATAAAATAAATAACCTCCAGATGTCCGCAAATTCAAAGCCTAAACCGTTTGAGATTATCGACAATGGCTACAATGACTGAAACGACGATGGTGCCAGTGCCGCCATCGCAAACCCAAACCCAAGACCTCGCTACTCACCTATTCAACGGCACTCTCCATGCTGGATATCCTCCGATTGAACAATTTATGACAATCGATGGGCTTCTCAAGGATCATGCAGCTCAGTCCGATCAAGCAAATCACCCATTGGTTTGCTACCCAGTTCGAAAAGCAGATGACTTCGAAGAACATACGGCAGCAGACATGGACAAGTATACGGATCTTGCGGCTCGCTATTATATAGAAAAAGGCCTCCCACCAGCGGTAAATTGAGCAAGCACACAATTGCCAACTTCGACTGATATCTTCCAGGATCCCAATTTGGAAAAAGCGCCAATAGTTGCTTTGCTCGCTGGGTCCAGCTTCGAAGTCATTTTGACGTTCTTCGCACTGAATCGGCTGGGATATACTGTTCTCTTCTTGTCAACTCGACTTACAGCCCCGGCGTATGCTCGCCTATTGAGCATGGTAGATTGCAGTCAACTTGTCATCGCCAATCAATACCAACAGACTGTGACCGATATTTGCTCGGAGCGGCCCGGCTGTACCAGATTTCCTATCTTGAAGCGTGACGACTGGTTCAATCGGCCTTCTAACGCTCAAAAATTCCAGCGATCAAACGTCGACCCAGCAAGGGAAAGCAAAAAGATGGCCTGGATCCTGCACTCATCTGGAAGCACAGGCTTTCCGAAACCAATCTTCTTAACCAACTATCAATGTCTTGCCAATTTTCGCAAGAGCTTTGGACTGCGCCTGTTCACCATCAGTCCCTTGTTTCATTCACACGCCTTGATGGAGCTCGGACGAGCTTTTTACACCCGCCAATCAGCATACCTTGGAAACCACTCTCTCGCTATTACCTATCAGAACCTTGTGGACGCTTTGAAGGTAGCCAAACCGCAGCAAATCAGCGCTGTGCCATATGTCATCAAACTCCTCGCTGAAAAGCAGGAGGGGATTGAAGCACTTGCTAGTCCTCAGCTCGTTCTTTATGGTGGATCGAGCTGCCCCGATGATCTCGGTGATCGGCTAGTTGCACAAGGTGTCAACCTCGTCGCGAACTATGGTGCGACAGAGACTGGGCAGATCATGACCTCCTTCCGATCCGACGGAGATACAGAATGGCAGTATATGCGCCTGCATCGCCCCGTTGCGGATTACACTCTCATGGATGAAATATCGCCTGGTATTTTTGAGTGCGTTGCGCTAGACGGATTGCCGAGCAAGGGTCCGTCCAACTCGAAGGCGCCATTCAGTGAGAAGAATCCGGAAAATAGCTTTCGAACAGCAGATCTGTTCACGCGCCATCCTGATCCGGAAAAAAGCAATTATTATAAGTACATGTCTCGCCTGGATGACCGAATTACCCTTGTGAACGGCGAAAAGGTGCTTCCTATTCCGATCGAGGGGCGTATTCGAGAGGAAGAGCTCGTGGGGGAGTGTGTCGTATTCGGCTTTCAGCGAACCGTACCAGGGGCTTTGATCTTCCGTGCTCCTGGAAAGGCACCCCATTTGGGTAATGACGAATTTCTGGAAACGATTTGGCCCGCCGTGGAAGCGGCGAATGCTCGTGCGGAGACGTTCTCGCGAATTCCGAAGGAATTGGTAATCATCAAGGGGGCGGATGTGGCATATGCAAGGACAGACAAAGGGACTTGTATTCGCGCTCAAGTTTATCAGCAATTCGAAGATGATATTCAACGAGCTTATTCCAGATTCGAAGGCAGTGGACAGAAAAATGGAACTCTTGCACTTAACGTTTCAGAATTGGAAACCTGGCTCCTATCCAGATTCCAGGATGACTTGGGTGTATCACTTGAAAGCCCAGATGCTGATATTTTTTCTGCTGGCATTGACAGCTTGCAAACTACCCGGATATGGAGATGTATCGTGCGGGATCTCGACCTTGGAGACCAGAGTGGCAGTTTGTCCCAGAATATTGTTTTCGAGAAGGGAACTATCAGCGCCCTTGCGAGACATTTGTTCAAGCTGCGGACTGGGCAAGAATTTGAAGAGGAGGATGAAGTGGAAATCATGCGTGAAATGATTGCCCGATATTCATCCTTCACTCTCCACAACCCGATCATTCAGCAGCAGCCAAACACAGAAGTTGTCATCGTCACGGGCGGAACTGGAAATCTAGGAGTCTTCATGATTGCCGAACTGCTCAAACGACCAGATGTTTCTGAGGTGTGGGCACTTGTACGTGCACCTGGACAAGCAGCTGCAGGTGCTCGTATGTGGAAGGCGTTAGCCGATCGCAAAATCTCTCTCACGGACTCCGAGGCTGCAAAGCTTCATGCTGTGCCTAGTGACTTCTCTCAAGCCAACCTCGGTCTGGATAGCTTTGTCATTGAACACCTGCTCTCATCTACGACGAGTATCATCCACAGTGCCTGGGCAGTCAACTTTAACCTTGGTGTCCGATCCTTTGAGCAACAACATATTCGTGGCACGTACAACCTCATCAACTTCTGTCTACGTTCGAAACTTCCAACTCCTGCTCGGTTCTTCTTTTGCTCCAGTGTGAGCACCGCAAGCAATACTCCCAAACCTGCATCAATTCGCGAGTCTTTGATCCATGATCTATCGCATGCGCAGACTATGGGATACGGAAGATCGAAGCTAGTCACAGAGCATATAACGCACAATGCAATGCGTCAGACAGCCATGCACGCTAGAATTTTAAGAATTGGTCAGCTGGGCGGCGATACCAAGAATGCTCAATGGAACGACACGGAAGCTGTTGCTCTAATGTTCCGCAGCGCAATGACAACGGGTGCACTACCAGCACTTGATGAAAGTCCAAGCTGGCTCCCTGTTGATCAATGCGCTCAATCAATCACAGAAATTGCCCTGTGTAACACCCTGCCGTCAGACGTGGACTTGGTATATCATCTGGTCAACCCAAATACCTTCAGCTGGAAGGATGATTTGCTCCCGGCTCTGAAGCAAGGCTCTGACCTACCGGAGTTTGAAGTCGTGTCACCGCAACAGTGGCTGCAAAGATTGGCAGAGAGTGAACAGGACCCAGAAAAGAATCCTAGCATTAAGCTTATAGATTTTTGGAGGGGCAAGTATGGATCTGATGATTCGCAAGCAAAAGCTGGACGACTTTCATTCGAAACCCAGTGCACCACACGAGACTGTCCGTCTTTGGCTTATGTGAAAGACCCGGTGACTGATGGTTTAATCAAAAGATATATTAGTTCTTGGATTAGCCAGTGGACAAGCTGATAGATTCCAACGTTAGATTACATGTATTTAGGTATGGGTGAAATATGAATTCTTCGTCAATCAACAAAATATATGTTTAACATGCACATATCTGCATGTGAAGGGAAATACCAGCGGTAGGTAGATGCGTCAACTAGTACCCATGATGGGTACCTGTAGACTTGCATCCCAGGACTATAAGAACTTTGGAATAAGGACTGCATGTGTTCAAACTCATTCAAGGATCGCATTGGACCAAGTGAGTAAACATTTGAATGTTGACGGGGGGTAAAACACCCATGCGCGGCCCGCCAATCAGCTCCCAACCAAGCAACATGTTACTCACATGTACAGCTGATACTCCTGTGAGTACTTTATTGTGATATATCAGATTCATACCATCAAAGTTGTATTCTCACAAAACATTTTAAGCATGAACGTCTTCCAGCCCCCAACACGATGCTAGACGCCGCTCAACTTCTAACGCTCGGTTTCGTGTTCGCTATGGGATATGTTGTGTACAATGACCGCAAAGGCGACCCTCGCGAACCACCAGTGGTGACGAATAAGATTCCCCTGGTGGGACATTTACTCGGACTCATAACATCCGGGTTTGGTTATTTCACTATCCTCGCGTAAGTAGTGTATTGCCAGAACGTCGAGACAAAGCTAAATACTCAATAGAAAGAACAACCGCGACAAGCCTATCTTCACATCAAACATAGTGTTCAATAAAACATACATCATCACATCACCCGATCTAATGCAAGCAGCTCAACGCCACAATAAGACTTTGAAACTTGATCCATTGGTAACCTGGGGTCTCCGGAAAGTCGCAGGAATCGAAAACGAGAAGACTCTTGATTTACTGCGAGAAAAGGAGTCTGGTGGTGGTGGGCTCATACAGAAGATTAAGCATGATATGGCTCCAACGCTAATGGGCAAGTCATTGGACCAAATAAATGCATGACCCGGTTGTTGCTCCCTTATGTAGATCGACTCGGCGAGAGCCCGAAAATCGGTCTATATGGATGGTGTCGCGAGGCCATAACAGATGCAAGCACAGAGTCTTTATACGGTCCCCTTAATCCATATGGGAACCTTGAGGTTGCAGAGGCTTCTTGTTAGTCTGGAGTCAACAAAAGATGGATTTCCGGACTGACATGATCTATAGGGAATTCGAAACAAATCTAGCTTCTTTGGCTGTGAACCCTTTCCCACGGCTAACGGCACGTAAGACTTTGAAAGCTCGTAGCAAGGTTTGCAAATCCATTGTGAAATATATTGAGAACAACGGCCCACAGCAAGGATCCGAGCTGGCTATCATGCAATACAAGACGGTAATGCAAGCAGGAGTCTCCATGGACGAGTCCGCGAAGATGGAAATCCCCATTACCATGGCTTTCTTGTCGAACACTGTTCCCGCGGCGTTCTGGGTGCTGTTTGATCTTTACACCCGCCCGAAATTGCGTGCTGAAATTCGGGAAGAGCTCAAGACAAATGCGCTCTCTGTTGCAGTAGACGAGTCTCACAATATTGACATCGGGGCTATGAGAGAGAAATGCCCGTTGCTTTTGTCTACTTTTCAAGAGGTGCTGCGTACGCGTACAACGACGTGCTCTTCGCGCATTGTGTTGCAGGATACTTTACTTGCGAAAAAGTACCTTTTGAAGCGGGGGAGTATGCTCAATATTCTTGCAGATGCAATGGGATATAATTCTACTGTATGGGGTGCAAATTCCGCCGTTTTTGATGCGCGGAGGTTTATAAAAACGGTGAGTTCGGATGATACCGAGGGGAAGAAGGATGTTCGGCGCCCAGGGCAATTTATGACGTTTGGAATTTCCCCTGTCATATGCCCTGGTCGGCATTTTGCTAGTTCGGAGATTCTAGGCTTGGTTGCTATGATGATCTTGCGATATGATGTTGAGCCAGTTAATGGGAGCTGGAAAGAGCCCCCGAGGAACCAGGCGGCCCTGGTTTCAATTATGGGGGCAATCAAAGGCAAATGCCTTGTCAAGGTAGCAAGAAGGAATGAGTTCCAAGGTGTCAAATGGGGTTTCAAAGTGGAAGAAGGCCAAGGACAATTCCCATTGGTGATAGGGTAATCAGGGGTAGTGAATGGGTTTCTGTTCGTAGATATGTTGAATTGGCTAGCATATTGGTAAATGTATGAGCTTCGCGCAATATCACCATTAGGACATATGTACACCAGAAGGAAAAACAATCTCTTGAATAGCCATTGCTACCAGAGAGCCGCCGGTCAACGCCATAAAATGCAAATGGAACAAAGCCTTCAGTGGACTCGAGAGAACATATCCCTTGGAGGTCCAGACTCAGTCATGAAACCATAACAAGGAAAATTAGCTCTATGCCTTAACAGCCTTTGAGGCTCCACCCTTGGCCTTTGTCTTGCGCTTGCGATCCCGCTTCTTCATTCCAGTCATCCCAGTCTTGCACAGCTCTGCATAACGGGTGTAGAATGTCTCGAGGTCATCTGATGTCACAATTGTCGAGAACTTGATTTTCGAGGATGTATTCTTGGTGATCTTGCCTTGCTTGTCCGCCTTGGGCATCGGCGCATTGGTGTTTCCATCGGTGATGCGAATGAGGGTTGAAGGTGGGGAATTGGATTCGGAATTGGGTAAAGATTTTTGAGTCATGGAGACAGATCCCCGTGCCTTTTCGGATGTCTTGGAAAGGAGATTTGTAAGAGATGAGAAGAACTGGCGGTGACGTGGTTAGCGGAGCTCTTGGTGGTGGTCGCGTGGCCGAATGGGCGGAATTTCAACACAAGACATCACAGGGAATCGCAGCATACCTCATCATGGCTCAGAGGAGGGGCCATTGTGAATAAAAATGTGACGGTGAGCGACAATTAAGCGGCGATATCGTGTCGAGACCACGCAACATTTATCTCGTGGGGGAAGAAACTCCGCTGTGGGTTCAAGTTTACCGCCCTGGAATTTGGCAGGCAGAAAAAAGTAAATCCTACCGCCCAAGACATAGGTTTCCTTCCATCAATATTCAATCACTTCTCTTCCAAAACACGGTCAACATGAAACGTCCACGTCAGCAGCACAATACAACCTCTCTGCCTCGTGACTTACGGTCCGAGCTCGGGATTCGCGATCGGTATGGCGAGAAGAAGCGCCGACTGAACGGACCTGCCTCACGAAAAGATCGCCGACAAGCGGAACGGAACGAGAAGAAGTCGAGACCAAATGTGCAACCACGGAAACAGTACCCTCGTCAAATGGAGAAGGCAAGTGATGATGATGAGGATTCCGACTTCGAAGCGCAGAAGCCATTGGTGAACAAGGGAGGTCAGAAGGCGCTCAAGAATAAAGTCGGGTCCTCCCCAAAGTCCATGAAGACGAGCCTGAAGAAGTCCCACCAAGAAGACGAGGAGGATTCGATGGAGGATTTCGGGGACGATCGACGATCTGGACGAGGATGACGAAGAGGAAGATGATTCGGAGATCGATGAACCCGAGGACATAGAAGTTCCTCATATTCCGTCGGGTGTGAAATCTAAACTCGCTCAGGATGACGCTGAGATTGCCGCTTTGGAGAAGAAACTTGGCCTTAAGAAGGGCAAAACATCCAAGAAATTTGAAGACGATGGGCTAGATGACCTACTGGGTGATTTGGGGGAGGCGTCAGAGGATGAGAGTAAACAACGGAAACGAGAAGCGGACGAATGGCTCCAGAACAAGCGAAAGAAGGCCCAGAAACTTCAAGCGCGTGAAGAGGAGGATGAAGACAGCGATGAAGACAGTGATGAAGATGATGACCTTGATGAGGAAATTTTTGGTGATGAGAGTGACGACGACGGTGACTTTGATGGTTTCGACGAGGAAGAAAAAGCTCCTGCGAAGAAACGAGAGAATCCATACGTCGCACCAATCCCGAAGACCGAAAGCTCGCAGCCTCAGAAATATGTTCCCCCATCATTAAGAGCCCTATCAGACCCAGAAACGGAGTCTTTAACCCGACTAAAGCGTCAGGCCCAGGGACAGCTGAACAAGCTTTCCGAGGCTAACCTCATCTCTATTGTATCTGAATTTGAGAAGCTTTATCGCGACTACCCACGACAGCATGTCACATCAACTCTACTCGATCTGTTGATGGGGCTTATCTGCGAAAGGGCTGCTTTGCAGGACACATTTATGATTCTCCATGCTGGTTTCATCGCAGCTCTTTACAAGCTTTTGGGAATGGACTTTGGTGCTGAGATTGTGCAGAAGATTGTGGAAACGATTGATGCCAATGGTGATGAGCGAGGAACATTCGCAGGCAAAGAGGTTATCAACTTGATTTCTCTTTTGTCACAACTCTACAACTTCCACGTCATTGGAAGCCCGTTGATGTTCGACTACGTGCGTTCCTTCTTGGAGGATCTTACGGAGGACAACACGGAACTTCTGCTCAAGGTCATTCGAATCTCTGGTCCTCAGCTTCGTCAGGATGACCCTTCGGCGCTCAAAGATATCGTCCTTCTCATCCAGCCCTCTGTGGCTAAGATTGGCGAGGACAAGCTTTCGGTCCGCACAAAGTTCATGATAGACTCTATTACCGACCTCAAGAACAACCGCGTCAAGAATGCTGTTGGTGCCAGCATTACCACCGAGCATATCACTAAAATGCGCAAGATTTTGGGTGCTCTGAATAATTCTCGAGTTATTCGTGCTTCCGAACCCATCAGTATCACCCGTGCTGACATTCACGACTCTTCAAAGAAGGGCAAGTGGTGGCTTGTCGGTGCAAGCTGGAAGGAGGACCCGTTGGTCTCTGCTCGGAAAGAATTGGCAGATGTCTCAACCGACTCCGAGGATGACAGTGATGCTGAGCCTGACCTGGGCGATCTCGCCAAAGCCCACCGAATGAACACTGATGTCCGTCGATCAATCTTCGTGGCTATTATGTCCGCCAACGACTTCCAAGATGCCCATGTCAGACTTCTCAAGCTTCGATTGAAACGTGCCCAGGAATTCGAAATCCCCCGTGTTCTGCTGCACTGTGCGATGGAGGAGGACGCACATAACCCGTACTACACTCTCATTGCACGAAGAATCTGCGGTGACCTGGGACGCCGCATTAAGGTCTCCTTCATGTTTGCCCTTTGGAACATCTTCAAGAGAATGGGCGAGAAAGGCGATATGGATGACGAGGAAGCAGACTTTGATCCTGAGGACGAGGAAACCGCCGTCAGCATGAAGGCTGTCATCAACCTGGCTAAGATGTATGGTATGCTGATTGCGGACGGTAATCTGACGCTCAGCATACTGAAGAACCTCAACTTTGCCTACTTGCAGCCGAAGACGAGGACCTTTGTCGAGGTGATGCTTATTACCATCATCCAACAATCCCAAAAGAGCAAAAAGGCAAGGAAAAACAAAAAGCTTGCTGGCTCGGAGGAACCGGTTAAGGATGAAGAGTCCTTGATGCAAATATGCATGCGCGTCCAAGACGCACCGCACGTCGCAAAGGGATTGATTTTCTTCATTCGCAAGGTCGTCTCCAAGACCGACATTCTGGAGTCGGAGAAAGACCAGAAGTTGGTTCGCTGGGGTTGTAATGTAGCTGTGGATGCACTCAAGGCGATTCGCGATTAATGACTGCGCGATGGTCTGTACATGAAGATCTTGTTTTCAGCAGTTGTTTGTATCTAGAATATACCCATCATGAACTTGCTGATCAAACTTGCAATGCAGAGAATGAATTTCGTTGCACATAATTCATTTCGGACATTAGTAGAGACCTGATAATATACAACTCAAGTAGCTTCCTGCACCAGGTCCCATTCCATAGCCACCAGCCAGCGTTCTTTGGACTTCTCAGCTCCATCCACCTGGGAGTAAATCGCCTGCATTTCTACAGCAGATGGGAAAGCCTGAGGGCCGTGGAGGTCAATATTCCATGCTAAGCCGCGATGAAACCCCAACAAATCTCCCGGTTGGATGTGAATTGGAATAGAACGCGAAGACGTGCGCGGTTTAGAGCGAGGAGGTCCAAAAGCAAGGATTTTGAGAACCTTGGCACCCTCTTCAGCGGAATCGTTCACAGCCTCTGCCTTGATAAATGCAAGTGGACCTGAGCTACTAAGCATCCCGTTATCAACACTTATTACTCGAGCCGCCACAAGATACCGACTCGACATTTGAGATGCGCGGTCCTCGGAGCTGACATGCAGTAATCGAGTCTGTAGTGCCTGTTCGCGCTTCGACCCCATCTCAAGGATCCAGCCCCGTACATCCGCTGCCATACCACCAGGCAAATAATTCGAGACACCCGCACGAGGTTTTCCCCGACGACGAAGGGCGCGCGAAGAAGGCGAGAATGGCGCCGGGATATCTTCTATCGTAGGCTTTGGAGATGGGGATCGGGGAAGCACAAAAGCCGGCTTGCGTTTCTCGAGCGGGGTTAAAGATTGTGACGGTGCCTGTGTCTGTGTGCTCGAAAGAGGCAGACTACTTGGTGGCCTGCTGCCCGAGAGCATGAACCGGGGTTTACTACGAAATGGAGTGCTCGCAGGACCTGGAGTTGATGTTCCGATGCCCCCTGGTCTCGATGGCACAGGTGTCGCGTGTACGTTCGGATGTTGGAATCCAGGTCTAGATTGAGGGGCAGGTGATTCTTGAGCTGCTTGGTTCAGAACCTCTGGTGAAGAGGTGTGATCCAAGTCCTCACGCAGCTTCTGGGTGAGAGAGCTTTGTCCCAAGACGCGTCGACGCTTGTTTCCATCTTCGATAGAGGCAAATACGGTCTCCTCCTCTGGGTCCACGAGTCCCGGGGTTGCGGGAGCTTCTGGTTGACTACTCTCGATAGCATCATCTGCTAATTCCCCTCTCCTTTGTGTACTGATGCTTCGGGGTAGTTCGTCTTCATCGTAATCTTCAATCACGTCTCTTTTCCAGCGCGGGGGAACGACATTACGCCGTGATGCAGAAGTGCTCGCGACTGGGGCAGTGGATATGAAATCATCATCATCGAGTATGTCAATGTCATTGGGCGGTTGGGAGAGAAGGAACCGAGGTGAAGTTGCGAACTGTGGACCACGGCGCGTAGACTGGCGGCGGGATAGGCGGAATGGCGAGGGAGTCTGCAGGTAGATTTGATGAGTTGATTGTAGAGAACAATGATTTGAAAATGTCACTCACGCCCGGTAAAGGCATGTAGGCTAGCCCTGAAAGCCCTTAGGCGAAAAACTTGCGCAACGCGGACGCGTTGAAATGAAACGCGGGGAGATTGAGACGGGAATGATCTAATCCATCTAAATTGTTACATACTACTAGTAATATTCCCTTTCACAATATAAAATCAATGAATATCCGCTACCCATATTTCTATCACATTTTCGCTCTTTTTTTGCTCCACATCTCTTCCTGGCGCACCGCGAGATCTGTGAGGATTTCCTCACTTCCGCCACCAACAACCATAATCCTCAAATCTCGGCTGATCTGTTCCACTCGCCCACCAATCCCTCCTCGTTGATATCCAGCACCACCAAAAATCTGCTGCGCCTCTCGATTAGCCATTTCCAATAAACGACCTCCGTGGACTTTGGCCAATGCTATGCGTGCAGACAGATCATCAATGTCGCCATTATTGACCTTGATATGGTACGCCAGCTGCTCGATCCACGCCCAGTGTGATTCCAGGTACCGAGCGATGGTGGAAAATTTCGCCCGGATGGTCTGGTGTGTAATTAAGGGCTTTCCAAATGTCTGACGGTCCACTGCATACCCATATGCGTCTTTCAAACAGATTCGGGCTAGGGAATTGGCGTTGACGGCTATCATAAGCCTTTCGCGGTTGAAATCTGTCAAATTCACATCACGCTAGTCAGTCATTTGTTGAACTCGAGTGGGTGAATGAAGTTTGACTGACTTACTTTTCATTAGAGTAGCGAATCCGTTGTTTTCTTCACCGATAAGGTTTTCCACAGGCACGCGCACATCCTCTAGGGTCACCCACTGGCTATTTCCCGCATTGTTTCCGCTGTTCTTCACTTTGCGCATGGAAAGCCCGGGCGAATTCGTTGGAATCACCAGGACAGATACACCTCCTGCCCCTGGGCCTCCTGTTCGGACTGCCGTGGTCATATGTGTGGCTATGGCGGCGCTAGTAATCCATTTCTATATCTAGGTTAGCCTCACAACAACACATTATTGGTTAGAAGCGATCGGTAAGACGAAATGTGCCACCACGAACCTTGTTTCCATTGACAATGTAGAACTTACCTGACGCATCCTTCTTTGCCGTGGTTCGCAAATTCGCCAGGTCCGAACCTCCAGTGGGTTCTGTAGCACCGAGACAGAAGCAGACATCACCGCTCAGGATCCCTGGTAACCATTCTTGTTTCTGCTTGTCTGTGCCGAAATGAACAATTGGAGGAGCACCGATTGCTGATGCACCACTCAAGCCACTATTCACGCCGCCATGGATCTGGGCCAATTCGTATTGCAGAATGATGAAGTGAAAGATGTCCCATTCTAATATACAAAGACCATCAGTCAATCTTTCATCATTGCTACCCAGGAAAACAAACCGTCATAGGGGATATTACAAGGCAAGGGCACCCCATTCCGATACTGCGGAGGCAGATCCTGAAAGATAAACCCTGCCTTGATGAAGCTTCGCCTGGCCTCCTCTGGGACTATGCCGTCTTCTTCCCATTGCTCAGCAAAGGGCTCAATGTGTCTCTTGACATATTCGCGCGCGTATTTTCTCAATGCACGGTGGCTGTCCTTGTAGTAGGGAGAGGCGAGAGAGTTGTACCAAGCTGGTTCTGCGAAAGGACTATGGCTGCCGAAGGGCTCTACCACTCCACGCGATTCTGCAACTGTGCGCGGCATTATCAAAACTCCAGGTAACGCGCTTGTTCCAAGGTTAAAATATTCTAGATACGAAATACCTACCGTCAGGGTTTATATACCACATGCAGGAATGGTGGGACATAAAGTGTCTCCTAAATGGTCATAATAAGTAGCCACATCCAATTGGAGGGGTCCACGGATATCTTTAGGGATATACTTAATTCGAGCTAGCATAAGTGCTGAGCCATGTACGAAAAGATCCACTTACATTTGAAACCCTTACGTGGTACAATTATGACTAAATTGTCTGACTGGAATTTATCTGACTGCACTGTTGGAAGATGACCCACTAACCGCGGTTCGCGAATACCTAAGTGTGGCCAGCACACTCTAAATGTCGATTCCTCACCTCTATCACTGGCTCAAAATGACATTATTGTTCTTTATGGGTACCTAAAATTATTTATAATATTACAAGTCATTAGACTGCCGAGGGAGTTCCCTCACCGTAGAGTGCTTTGACCCTCACATCCTTTTCCATCGGAAGAATCTACCGTAGTACAGTCTAGACTTAGGATGAGTTTCAACATCAAGTAATCTCATCTTGGAGAGTCTTGATTGAACTCATTTTGCCCAATAATCAATTCAGCTAATTAACGAACTTGGCCCGAGGAGTTTAGAGCGATGACGTAACTCCTGAAAGGGTGAACAGATTCTTTCCATCCGTAGCGGAGGATACAAATCCCTTACGTCCAATAGGCTCAGTTGATGCTCTAGCTATTTGATACAGAGTTGACTCATCCGCATGAATCGCGAGAAATCGATGCTGATTGTTGAGAGTTCGGCCCACAATAAGTCCTCGTATAGGATTTCCTTTCCGATCGAATTCGACGGTGTATGTCTATTAAGCTTTCGCGTTAATTTCTCAGAGGAAGATGAGAGCAACAAGAAAAGGGACAAAGGGGGCACCAAAAAGTGGCATGGGCTTTCTTGTAGACCACTAACCTCAATTACTGCCTCGCCTTCAGCACGCTCATCGAAGACCGGAACCCCGATACTCGATACTTGGTGATGGGCCTCTTCCAATGGAAGTCCAAATGATTCGGGTGGCTTCTTTGACAGCACAATTGCATGCTCATGGGTGAGGAAGCCGCCATTCGCAAGAACCAATCCATTGGATTTATTTCCGTGGCGTAACTCGCGGGTCATTGCAACCAGTGCCTGGAAAGTAAGCTGATGAAAGCCGGTCTGGATTAGAAAGTACTTACATTCCCTGAATAATTATTTCCAGCACCTCCGAATGAGGTCAGACCACCAAGCAGAGTTATGGGTCTCGAAGGATTGGTGATTGATATGCCCATTTGCTCACAAACCAGTTTAGGAACGATGGGGAAACAGCTATGGAATGTCAGTATTATTTTTTACGTCCATACGAGAATCTGCGGACGGGAAAGGGGTCTGACGAGTAGATATCTAGCACGTCAATTTCATCTTGATTAAGCCCTGCGAGATGGAGGGCAGCATCTATTGCATTTCCAATCGAGGGACAAATGTGATAAGTCGATCGCAACCAAACTATCTTACATGTTAGTCTGTAACGAAATTCAGGGGCACTCTTACGCGATCTCACAGTCACCATGCTCTTCAAAGCCAGCACCTCCGATGGGATATACCCAGAGGTGCTTGGGAACACTCAACTTGCCGGCAATATCCGTAGTTGTCAAGATGCAGGCAGAGGCCATGTTAACGTTGTTGAATGCATTCATCAGAAGGGAGTCTAATTTTATGATCAGCGGGGGGATAATATCTGCGATAGCAGACATAACTTACACGGGGTACAAATCATTCTATTCTTCCCTTTGGTCTGCTGTAAATCATCTACTGAAGACGGCTTCTGTCCGTAAGTCCATGCTGCCGGATTTTGGGTTGCAATCTCCGAGAATTCTGAATAAAGCTTTGCAGATTCGAGGATGTTTTCATAATAAGTCTGCCCTCGGTGGGCACGCAATGCATTCTCATACATCGGATATATGTGGTTGGGCTGAGAAATGCCATGTCGGGTTGCTACTGCTAAATGTTCCCGAGCATGTCAGCTTCCGAAATGCTGAATATAAAGTGGAGAGACGCGATCGAATGTGTTCGCCCTCACATTGTGCCCCACGCGAACCTGCCACCATTTCCTCCATCAGTGATTTCTGGCCCACGGGCCGTGGAGTCCACCCTTTAGGATCTGTTATTCCAGCTCGATTCAGGGCAACGACTACTGCATGTCAGTTTATGGGTGCAATGGCATGACGATATAAGCAGACCGGAAGCAAGAGCTTCTCCACCGGCCACAATGGCCACATCGCAGTACCCGTCTGCGATTCGAGCGGCGGCTTCGTGAAGCATTAAACCAGGTGAGTGGCCGCCATGATCACTCAGCCGCTTGTGGTCAAGACGTTTCACCCCCAGACGGTCACCGATCTGACCCGGCAAGTCACTATAGGGCCAGGACCAAGTGGCAACAACATCAACACTGTCGATGCTTTTTTGCAGCTGCTTCTGACCTTCGGAGGATAGATCGGTATCTTCAATAGCGATATGGATAGCATCCAGTATCAGCTGCATTGGCTCTTTTGCATCTTCTGATCGAGTCGATCGGTTGGTGACATCGCCAACACCAATAATTACCGGGGTCCTCGCTAGAACTGCCATTACTATTCGAAGTTGATAGCTCAGTCTTGACGAAAGATGATCTTGCTGTGTTTTCCAACGTGTTTAAGATGGAGTCTCTGAACCCGAGGCCAGGTTCTCAGACCTCGGTCCAACGAACAACATCTCTCGTCCTTATACTAGGATTAGTATCAGGGTTATGTAATCGGAAATGTACAGTCAGACATTCGTTACTATCCATCTTCCAGATAGTAATATTTCATATCCTCTTGGAAGGTGCTGGAGATTGAAATGCATATATTCCGAATCATCTACTATGCAAAACTACACTAGAGGCGAGAAGGTACCCACTGAGGAATCTTCTTCTCCGCAAAAGCCCTCACGCCGATCTTCACATTCTCCCCCTCCAGTAGCAACCTTTCATATTTCTCCGCAGTTATCTGACTCGCTTGCTCCATATCCGCTGTCTCAAAGGCCTGCCTGATCCCTGCACGACTAACAAAAACGCCGTCTGGAGACTTGCTCGCAATTAAACTCGCCACCTCTACTGCTTCAGAGACCACAGAATCCTGTGATTTCGCGACGCGACTAACTAACCCCCACTGCAACGCCTCCCCCGCAGTAAGCTGGCGGCCAGTCAACGCCACATCTGATGCAACCTGCAGTCCCGCACTGCGTGCAATCCTGGAAAGACCACCGGCTCCAGCATAGAGTCCGACGTTCACTTCCGGTAGGCCGAATCTGGCACTCGGGGCAGCAACCACAATGTCCCTTTAGGTTTTTCGTCAGCGCCCAATTTCCATGAGACAAACTCGAATGTCAGGGTATTCTTACGAATTTAGGCAGATTTCGAACCCGCCACCCAAGGCAGGACCGTTAACAGCCACGACAATGGGTTTCTTTCCCTTTCGTCGGGACAATCCCGCGAATCCACTGGCTGGCATAGAGGTTTGCCGTGGTTGGGTACCTTTACTATCGACAGAAGAGGTCCGGGTATTCCTCTCCATGAGGTCTGCACCGGCACAAAATGCTTTATTTCCTGTGCCAGTGATTACGGCGACACGCAACGAGGGCTCATGATCAAACCAAGTGAAGAGGGCATCTCCTTCCGCATGTCCGGCGAACGGAATTGAGTTTCGTGACTTCTCACGATTGATGGTTACAAGGAGAACGTGAGGAGTTGGAAACGATAGCAGGTATGTGCTTGTCGAGGGTGGCTGGGTGGCTAGCGAGTCGGACATTTTGAAAACGAATATACCCTGAAAGGTAATAGTATAAAAGTAGAAATTTTCTAGAAATCAGTATATCAAAGTAATCAGTTTACTCTTCAAAATATATGACTGCACTCTTAGGATCCGTTCCCTTCCGCCGAGAACAAGGGAATATAAGCGAAAAGTATAGTAGTAAGGAAAGTCTGACTGTACCAGTCTGCGAAGCGTTGAACTATATGTGACAATCTGTTACAGTTTACTAGCGTATTGTGAATAGTAGTTTTATTGTTTCCAACTTTGTAATTGAGATTCAAAGAAGATAAGGGGTTGCATGGACAGGCCGGTTCGAGATACTCGTACTATGGTTTAACTGTAAAGTCTCTACTGAATCTGGTGGATTTAATGGATTGAGATATCTGTCATACATCTCACATTCCCTGTCTTCTTCGATGACATTCAATACACTCCTCACACCCAATGATCAACCCCTGCATATTCTTATAAATTCATTAAGAAGTCTGAAATCTGCACGCATCCCAGCAAATATCTAAGACAAGATTCCCAAAGCAAAAACAACTTTCTTCTTCAAAAATGGAGAAAATATTCCGTTCTGTTCTCCCGCCTTATGCCGTCCCAGAGGGCATGTCCCTTGCGGAGTTCTTGAACACCTACAACCCGGATGTGGTCAACCATGACAAAATCATTGTGGAGGACCTGGAGACCCCAAATAAAAAGATCACTTACGGAGGTCTTCGAAAACAGGCTGCTATTGGCGCTGCTGTGCTCAGACACCACTACAATCTTGCACCAGGTGATACTGCAATTATCTACTCGACCAATTCCGTCGACTACTCCCTGTTTGCTCATTCTATCATGTGGATGGGATGCGTCATTGCGTATGTTCGTCTATCTTACTCGAGCTTCTCGATATGCTAATCATCTGAAAGTGGAATCAATATTGCCTGGTCTGGCGCAGAGCTAGGTAATGCGATCAGCGTTGTTGAGCCGAAGATTATCGCCGTTGAGCCGCATCTCAAGAAGCGAATGCTTGATGGGTTACAAAAAGCTGAAGGGCTGAAGCATACCCCCACTATAGTGGAGCTCGGGGACGATGAAGGGGCTGTAAGTCTGCGATTCCTCCCCTTAAAAAGGCCCATCTTTGCTAAAGCATGATAATTTGAAGTTTCCTCGGTCATTCATCGATCAGCCTCCGGCAGGCTTGAATCCATTGCCTCCATTCAATCTTACGGGACAGGATAACAGAAAACACCCCTGCCTGATTCTTTTCAGCTCAGGAACAACCGGTAATCCCAAGGCTGTTCTCCTGAGCCACCACAATCTCATCGCGCATTTGTCCGGAGCGCGAATCAGTGATCCGTGGCTGAACAACTGCAATGCTCGAGAAATATTCTTTGCACCATGTGAGTACCATCTTGCACTGTATGGACGGGAGATTTCTAGCTAAGACTCCTTCTCAATTTTCAGTTGCCCACATGCTTGGCGTATTGGGCGCCATGATTGTCCCTACTTTTGTGGGCTCGTACATCGGTGTTATGAGACAATACACCCTCCCCAAATACATCAGGGCATGTGCCGAGGCCAAAGCGACAATCATGAAAGTTGTGCCTAGTGTAGCAGTGGCTTTTGTTCAACATCCCTTGGCGCAGGAATTTGACCTCTCGAGTATCTCATATATCCTGACTGCTGGTGCCACATTGCAGCCTGAAGTGGTCCAGAAGTTACAGAGTGTATTCAAAGGTGTACACTTTGTTCAAGGATATGGGTAGGCTTGAAGTCTATCTCTGTGTGTTCTATATTGGCTGACAGTTATATAATGTAGCATGAGTGAGACTGGAGTCGCCACGTTGCCACATCTCAAATCGATAGAAAAGTCAGGAAGTGTAGGCAGAGTGTTACCTCAGGTGTATGACTATCTTTGCCCTGTCGCGTTTGATCCTTTTTTACTTACTCACAACCAATCTTAGCGAAATCCGCATTGTTGATGAGCATCTCATGGACGTGGAGGCTGGAAAGCCTGGCGAGGTTCTGGTCAGAGGACCCACGGTCTTCATGTAGGAGTATGAGATTATGCAGCGTTTACTCGTTACTAACGCATCAATATAGGGGGTATAAAAATAACGAAAAAGCAAACAAAGAAACATTTCACAACGGTTGGATGAGAACCGGCGATGTTCTATCAATGGACGATGATGGATTTCTGTGGTTCCAGGAGCGCCGAAAGGAGATGATCAAGGTGAAAGGGTAGAGATCCACTAACTTGCCCCACAATTTGCATTTGCTGATACCATGGTAGACATCAAGTTGCCCCCTCCGAGCTTGAAGGCATCCTCGGCTCTCACCCGCAAGTAATCGAGGCTGCTGTCTGTGGTTATTGGGATTTTGAACGTCAAACCGAATGGCCAATTGGCTATGCGGTCTTGGCTCCTTCGGTACCAGTGAGTGAGCGTCGACGGGTATTGAATGAGATCCAAGCATGGGTGAATCAACATATCGCGCCATATAAACGGCTACGTGGTGGGCTACATTATATTGAAGCCCTGCCAAAGAATCCGACGGGAAAGCTTCAGCGCAGTCAACTTCCCATCAAGCTTGCTGAAAAGCGGAAAAACAAAGTGTAATGATCTTCGATTTTGGACAAATGATATATAAAGACAGGAAGGAAAGGACGATGTGGACACCAAGGGGTATAAGGAGGAAATCCTAGCCAGGGGGCAAATAGGAATAAGCCCAGGATGAGTGCCTAAAGTATTTATATACCCGAACATTTTTGAAGGTCTTTTGTACGTAACATCATATGAATTGCCCGCTGAATCAACATATATTGCTCTATCAATCCTAGGAGCGGACTTAGCACGCTCAAGGCTGATGCGAAACTGCCTGTAACCAGTATTGAAAGACAGGTACTTCAGATCAGTTGTCAACAATTCAATCTCCCAGAAAGGGAAAGAAAATGCATTACAGTGACGACCGGGTATTTCGTTATAACTATGGTTGTAAGTATAGTCAGAAAAAAGAGACAGACCAATTCAAGATCTTCCGGAACCGACTTACTGTTAGTCATATCAAGAAAGGGATATTCATGGGCCATCCATGCCGGAAGTTTTCGTTCCTCAAATCGATCTAGTCCGTAAGAGGCAGCCAACTCCTTCATTTGGGCTGTTATATCTCGCGCTGTGACATCAACAATGGGAATGGATATGACATCCTCTTCAACTACTCCATTTAGATTGTATTGTGCAGGATTGGCCAGGTAGCTAAAGAGCTCCAACGACGAAACCGCAACTCCCTGCTCAGGGAACTCGATGACCGAGGAAAGCTGCCAGCGATAGACAGTCGAGCCAAAGTCAATCTCCTCATGGCAAAGGATAAGCTGATCGCGTAGCTCATTCCAATAGAGCAAATCAATTGCGGGGTGGTGATCTGGAAACCGTTGTTGAAGTACCGTGGGCCGAAAGGGCGGTTCGATCCTGTTACGATTCTCGCTGGTGGGATTACTTCGCCAAACAAGCACCCTTTCGGCGATATCAATTGGGCACTAAAATATTAGTGAGCATAGTGTGATCTTTGAGGATTGGCAAATGGAGCTTCTACCAACACTAGGGTGTATCCTCCAACGCGGCTCCCTTGAAACATAGCTTGAGCGACCAGATGCACAATATCGATGAGCGTTTGGTTATCGATCTGTTGAATCTCAGTTGTGGATAGATCACCGACGAAAGGAAGTATGCTAATAGTATTATGAAGTGATTGGAGGCTGAACTGTTGAACGGCATTTTGTATTTTAGATTCCAGTATCAGCAGCGGTGATTTGGTAGAGGCATTTGGGGGTTTTTGGATTAAGAGCCCTTTCAACGGACTGAAATTAACTAGTCCCCCTGCAAAGAAAGTTGAGAGATCTGTATCGGTCGACAACGGCTTAGCAGCCTCAAATTCAAGTACGATAGGGGTATCACTGGGTGGGTCCAGGTGGCCGTTGAGATTTCCCGCTATGCTCTCTTCATTTCGTGGTGAATCAAGCCGGTGACCATCCTGCTGAAGTCGACTTAGATTGGTTGCTACAACAGAGTTGTCTCTTTCCGTATGGATATTGGTAGGTTCAAGTCGATGCACAATGTTTGTTATGGGTTCATCATCATTCAGGTATGTCGGTGAATGATTTACATTCTGAGCTGGGTCCAAAACTCCGTCCGACAAATCTAAATAAAATTTTGGTCAGCTCATGAGGATCTGCAAGCTCATACTCCAGTTGAGCTAGAAGACTAGATAGTATACATACTGGCCATGGATGTCGCTTGAGCGCCGAAACTCAGAAGTTTCTTTCGCATACCGAGGAGCGACTCACGCAGATTGTGATTCTCACGAATCAGCTGCAGATTTTTTGATGCATCACTGAATTCAAATCCATCGGATCCCTCCACATTGTTCACAAACTGCTCTAGGTGCTTGATGTAAGTAGCTTGTTTTTCACGGAAGCATTGCTGGGAGATCCGGTTTTGTAGTCTTTTCCTGTCACTTTGCTGATCAGAAGCCGAGGTCCCTTTACGTTTTCGAGAGGCAGAAGTCGACATGCTTATGGCTCAATGATGGGGAAGGGGTAGATGTGGGGGAAAGAACGTGTCCAGGGGTGTTTCCCCGCTTTTTCCGATGTGGCGTCCGCATAAATTGTGCAAAATTGCATATTTAATCCGGGGAAATTTGGATCTGCAGATTAAACTGACAGCTTGCTCTCTAGCCCTCAATCCCATTATTCACATGTCCACGGCTTGCTCGCACACATCATTCAGCCTCGCCCCGTAACTTATCAAACTTCAATCATCTTCAGTCATTTACATATCCCCTCAAACCAATCCCACGACTTTTTTATGGAAGTCTTCACAATCCATTCCGTTTTTCTCTGCGTCTTTGGCCACTTCCATAGCTCCGTCTCTACTAGTCCAATACACCTACCAGGTCTCCGCTGCCGCAGGGATGTTCTCGTCTCTAAATCCTCCTTTCTGTGATTGTTCCCCATGGGCATGTAGGTTAGTCACGTCCTCTGTTCCATCCATACAAGCCTGCCAGTGTCAATACCGATTACTTCCTTCAAGTTCAATCAGCGATGGTAGTAATCAGCATCACCGAGGCCGGTCTCGGCAGAAGCAGAGCATAGACCCACAGCTTTTGGCATCGTTGATGAATGGTCTCATCTCGAATAAGAGTGATCCTTGGTGAGATTTCCATTCTCGTACGAAACGACAAGGTTTTCTTGGCGTTAGCTAGAATGCCTTGGAACAATGCGGCAGGGAACAATGTTGCTTTTGTAGAGGAAAGAACGATGGGAAGCCATCAGGGGATATACGTACATATATCTCCATCAATTCCTATGTTTCCATTGAGATCAATAGTGGATTACACCTCGTTTCCAGCGTCGTCTTTCAGAACAGCTTTGAGAGTACGACCGTCATCCACCAATTCCTGACTGAAAGCATCACGGCAGAAGCTCTCCATTTTGATCGACAGATGGTTAATTCAAGGGAAGATACCTTACTGCAAAATCAACCAGATTTATTGAAAATTGAGGCTGAGCAGACACTTCACACCATTTACTGCCAAAACATACGTCATAAACCAATGAAACATGCGGTTTCGGTACTGGCCAACTGATGTTTCTGAATATCATTATCGAGCACGCGATTGTGGAAAATGCTTTTTGTATGTTTTTCTCTGCACATCTAGACTAGGAGACAGACTCAGGTTGCTAACACGGGATTTTACAGTGATGCATTCGTTGCTCAGCAGATGAAACCGCTAAATAGCACTCCCCCACCATCAAATTTGATCGGTTTTGAGGTCAACCCTGGCCCAGGTTCGAACTTTAATTGCACTCCATTCAACACGTTGCGTGATATGGGTCGTTTGCCAACACGAAATATTCTTACGTGTGCGTAAATCCGATAGCTAAAACCACTACTAACGGCGTCTGTTCGATCCGGGTTCCTAGTCTGGCTGGTCTCACTACTTTTATTATTGGGTTTCTCTTGTCATAATCATTTCTCGTCAAGATTTCAAATGTTGACTAGTAAAGTTATAAATCATGCCTATTGGAGCGTCTTGATCAAAGCTTATACGATCACCTCGACATTTGAAGCGTCCATTCCATGTGCAGTAATCAACTGATTCCAGCTATGAACAATCAACATGACTTTACGTGCTACTTTTAGGCAAGTTTAATCTCACGCGGGATACCCTCTCTGGATAAAATAAATCTTAGTAAAGTTCTCGGAAATTGCAATTGCACATATCGTCATAAGCTCTTATTCCCGCAGGCTCGTGAATATAAACAGGAGAAAAATAAGATATACAGCAAGTGAAAGCCAGTAGTTTCACAAAATGCCAAGATAAAACCCTTATAAGCAAAGAAGAACACGCTTACATCTGGGAAAAGTACTCGTCAAATTTCTCCTCCGTGACCTTGACGCAGTCAAATCCATAGATCTCACGCTGGACATCGGCATCAGCCCACTTATCCGGCACAGGACCCTTACCACCCTGTGCCTTGAGAGCAGCGAACTGACGATCACGCTCCGCCTTAGCAGCACCGTCACCCAAGTGCAGAGCACGGCCAGAAGCCGCCGCCATCTCGACAAGAACCTCGGCACGACCCTTGCGGACCTTCTCGTAGACACGGAGACCCTTGTTAATGGACTCGGGGGTCGTATCGGGGAGACGGGCGAGAGCAGCAGCGATAACGGCTCCATCCTCGATGGCCTGGGCAGCTCCCTGGGCCAAGTGGGGGAGGGTAGGGTGACAGGCATCACCAACAAGAGCAACCTGCTGGTGCACCCATGTAGGGAGGGGATCATGAGTACGCAGCTTCCATTCGCAGACCTCGCCCTCGGGGACGTAGTCGAGGAGACGCTTGACCATGGGGCAGAAGTCGCTGAAGACCTCCATCATGGCAGACTTGGAGCCCTTGGTAGTGTAAGTGGCGTTGAGGGCTCCGGCGAAGTTGGTATCGGGCTGGGTGGTAGAGATGTTGTAGATTGTGTTGTTGGAGACGGCGTAGGCGATGATGTGGCGCTTTTCGCCGATCCAGCGGGTAACTCGGGTGCTATTAATCAGGGCCAGAAGCTCGGGGTCGTCTTTGATTTGCTCTTTGTGGATCATAATACGGTAGGCGGCTTGGTGGGTATCCCTGATGGTGGCCTCGACGTTCAGGAGCTTCAGCATGGATTCGCGAGTCTCACTCTTAATTCCGTCAGCTCCTAGCAGGACGTCACATGTGACTTTGTAGGAGGGCTCGCCGTCGCGAGGGGTAGCGGTGAATGACGGCCGGGGGCCGAATGAGTCGACCTCAGATGCGGTGGTAGCGAAGTGGAATTTAATAGCGGACTCCTTCAGGCAGCCCTGGTAAAGGCCGTTGGCCAATGATGAACGGTGACCGACCATGTGACGATATCCGTAAGTCTCCAAAATGTAGCCAAGCTCGACGTGGGCAAGCTCGCTGTCATCGGCACCAACTATAAACAGCCATTGTTAGTTACCACAACTCCGTTCTTCAAGGTTAGAGGTACCATTTGGGTTATAAAGATAGACATACCACGGACAGAAGTGCTTCCAATGTTTACAGCCTCAGCCTCAATGCCCTTCCAGACACCGAGGTTATCCAGAACACGGGCCATGTTAGGCGCAAGCTGGATACCAGCGCCAACGAAACCAAGATCGTGTGCATGCTCATAAACATCAATGTTCTTAAAACCGCGCTGAGCCAGAGCAAGAGCAGTGGTAAGACCACCCATGCCGGCGCCCAGAATGGCGATTTGCAAATCCTGAGGAGTCTTTGCCATTATGTCGGATATAAGCGGAAGTAAGGAAATGGTGGGGGATTGCGGAGAGGTGGGAAGGTAGAGGGATTGAATAATTGACAGAGAAGAATTGAATTAAAAGGTCAATAGAATGACGGCGATAGGAGATTCTTAAATTTCCCGAAGTTCCCTTCACCGAGGCCCTTTAGCCATCACATTTTGGTCTCAGGATGACGAGGGCGGATGAGATTTTTCCCGCTTCTCCCACAACTCCCCACAAGTCCTCTACGGAGGGGCTGACCAAGCCTCAACTCTACTGGATGATCCAAGAATCCTGGTTGGACTTTATCCGCGACTGTATGAAGTCTACGCTACCGGGAGAAATAATTAAGCATCCTGAAAATAGTATTTTTATCACAACTCCGGATAAACAGCAAAAATTCTCGGAATTCGTGGCAGTATAATTGGTGATAAAATTTGTGAATATCGAGTCATACGGAGGAAAATTAATTTGACATGCATATCATTGAACGAGAATAGATCATAGATGTGCAGTATGGTCTATCTCTCTGCGGATCTCCTTGCCCCGCCACCCCAGACGTTCCCCACAACTTTTCTCCGGACTTGGCGGAATCGGGACTTGGCGGAATCGGAGTAAGTCTGATTCTTATGCTGTGGAATTGCCGAATAACTTTTCCCGTAAGCTTGATTCGCTAATCTATGGTTCCCAACCTCCAAAAGTATATCCCGTGCCCGCAATTTTATCATGGGAACGTGTTCGCCACGTCTTGTCCTCCATCCAACCCCTCCAAGACAGTGTGGAGGCTTTGGAAAACTCTGTCAGTATGATGCATTGCCATTGTGCATGACACTCTGGCAGTCTGCATCAGATACCATGTACGCAAGGGTCCAGGGGGGCACAACCGGACGCCAATAATAAGGCACCAAATCAGAGCGCCCGGTAGAGAATTCCAGAATCCTTCTAGATCGGTATTTTCCAAGATATTCTTCAGGTCCAAAAATGCACGAGAGAGATCATCCGATCTATCAGATGAGCAGCTATACCAGTTCAAAATTTGGATTGTCTGGAGCAAAGCTGGTACTCTGGCGTCGTCATATGACGGGTAAGCGTCAACTCCAAACGTTGTGATTGGTGGCAAGCGAACCAGCCACAGAGGAGATCCACGAGTATTCCCTAATGCCATAGTAGAGTGATAAAGGTGATCCAGCACAGATCTTATCAATGAGCTTTCTGATAAAGCAGCATTTTTCTGCTCAGCCTCTAAGGTAAATAATGACATGTCCATAGTTGGAGACATTTCCCTCGCTATAAGACGTGGTGTTGGCATAATTTCAACTACCCTTTTCAGTTCCTCGATGCTAAGAATGTATTAGCTGGGATTTATGGGATGGGAACGAGAAAGATCAGTGGTACCTACAGCAACAAGCCATTTTTCAAAAATCCTTCAAATCCTAGATTCTCCATACCCCCGCGAATATCGATAATAGCCCAAAGTCCTTGATAATCCAAGCAAAATGCATCTTCGTCTGCAATCAACTATTATCATGGCATTAGTCTCCATTAGCCCCAGATGCTTCACATATTCCTACATCAAAAAGTAGAACTGCGATTAAGGCTGCGATATTCATATCACTCAGACCGATGTTCTTATCATTCAGTGTCTGACAAAGTAGTCTTCGCGTAATATTGCATTGTTGGAAAGTGAGATAACTGATATTCCCATTTGTAGAAATATCATCCCATGCCGAAGCATTCAAAATCTTGGAACTCATGAGTGCTGGGTGGGACACTGCCGCACATATCACTGTTGCGAAGAAAGGGTGTATCTGGTGGCTTTGATGCACATATTGATACATGACTAACATCATGATCAGGTCTTGGGAGCTGGATATTGACAGTCACTCAGTTTGGACTTACATTGTTGCATTCTATTGTAGCCTGTGGGAGATGGGGGCAGGGGAGGAGAGGATAGCGAGATTTGAAACTTCCGAGTCACAGGCCCCAGCATGTCCAGTGGATCGATTAGTGCATCTATCTGGTCAGGCTGGATGCACGTCCTGTCTTTATTCTGTATTCGATGTTGGTGGTGTCTTTTCGCCATATGCGATCGTATTTCGCTGAGTCGCTTTCCTTGGCCTTCCTGTGGGTTCCCGGTGACCACCACAAAGGTGGGTCCGCTGTTCATCGCTGTCATGGATCGTAACTGCGTACAAGTGCAGGTAGAGCATTGTAAAGATAAAGAATGAACTGACGACCATGTAAGGAGAGGCGACCCACTTTTTGCAGCCTTGGACTTAGTGCATCTTCCTGATTGAGTATAGCGGGCAATAACTCCTTCCTGATTGGCTTGGATTCGGGAGTAAGGTATTTCAGGTACATATATCATCATTTCGTGATCAGTCTTGCTTAGAATAACTCAAAAGGGACCTCTTTCCACGCCTTGAATCGTAGATCGAAACTTCTCATCGGCATACATCTTCCACAGAATCGATATATACACTGCTGAACTCAACAATGACAGCATCCTCAAACTTCGGCTCTGAGATGGTGTGGCTGGGTAAGTTTATCTTGTATCTGTGATTCTATACCCATTAAATTTGTTCAAATTCTAATTCACGAATCTACAGTTACTGGCTGCTCATCCGGCCTAGGAAAATCCCTCGCACAAGCGATCTGTAAAGCCGGTCACCGCATCGTCGCAACTGCGCGTAACACTGCATCACTCTCCTACCTCCCAGATGGTCCAACAGTTCTCAAAGCCAAACTGGACGTGACTTGTCCAGAAGACATCACCAGTGTAATCGCTGAAGCTCTAGACAAGTTCCAGCAAATCAAAGTCGTGATCAACAATGCCGGGTACGGATTACTAGGAGATATGGAAGCCATCTCCAACTCCGACGCCCGTCACCAACTCGAAACCAATTTCTGGGGTCCGGTGTACATAACCCGGGAAGCCCTTCGAGTCTTCCGAGAGATTAATCCCAAAGGCCAGGGTGGTACCATTGTGCAGATCTCTTCAATTGGCGGATCTATGACCGCACCCGGTCATTCTTTCTACCATGCTAGGTTTGTGTGAACCCTTGGGCCCGCATGATGATTCTTGCTGATCTCAAATGACAAGTAAATTTGCTCTGGAGGGCTTTACTAAGTCTGTTGCGCAGGAGCTTCGTCCGGAGTGGAATATCAACTTGTTGATTGTTGCTCCTGGGGGCGTGCGGACCAAGTTCGTTGAATCAAGCTCAGGAATCCGTCCAAGACATCCGGCGTATGATTTGCCTGGCGGAGCCTTTAATCAACTAGCTGTGTATATGGAGGCGCAGGACACCTGGTGTGATCCGGAGAGCTGTGCTAAAGTACTTTTTGATGCTGTGGTTGGACAGTCTGAGCGTCCGTTGCCGACGCGATTGTTGATGGGGGCCGAGACTATTGATTTTATGATATATGAGATCAAAGGAGTTTTGGAAGATATTGATTCGTGGAAAGGGGAGACTGCGCGGTGTTCCGAGTCATTGACTCCTGAGAACAATGGGCATCGGATTTAGGTACTGCAGCAAATTTTGGGTTCAGAGACCTGGCGGGTGTTGTAAGCAAGACTCAAAGAGTTGATGTTTCCAATATAATCAATTTTGCATGGATCTCTTATTACTATGAACTAGTAAATGTTGATGATACTGTCATGGCAACCCAAGTCCTTATCACTGATTTCTTATCTCCGATTTCCCCTCACGGCAAGGCAACAGTTGATCTCCTTAAAACCCACTGTAAACCCACGGGTTGCGAATTCATATCCACTTCCAACATTTGACCCAATGTTGAAATCTATTTTAATCCTCCTTTTGGGCGCAGCCCACGTCGCCAGAGCTACCGACGCGCAAGTGGTCTTCGCATCCGAGACTCCAAGCGCGCACGAACACACTGTTGACGAGGCCATTCTTGCAGCTCTGAAAGCGCATTCGGATCCAGTCGCTGCATTTGTCTCTCTCAATCCCGAGAGTGAATCGCTCCTTGCTCAACCGCGTCTCTTACGTGTCCTGGGTGATGACTCCGAGCCACAATGGATGACTGAAGGAGACAAGCTGCGCCTCCGTAGACAGGGCAAGAAGTTCGTAGACATTACCGACCATGAAGAATTCTATGCAGAACAGGTGCAGAGCTTGACAGCTGGCAATCCTCGTGAGTGAAGTTCGCTTGATCGATCGAAGTATCTCTAAAGGACTGACAATTCGGCAGATCTCCCTAAGCTCGTCCATGAAAGCCTCATTCGGCCTCTTTTCCCCAAGGTTGATCGAAATCGGATGACAGATGTTCTCCATCATCTGACTGGCTACTATAACCGGTACTATGGAGATATCCATGGCGAATTGAGCTCCGAGTGGCTTCATGAACACATCGCTGAGGTAATTCCCTCAACAACCGACTGGACCGGGATATCCAGGTGAACTAACATCAAACCAAAGATTATCGCCAAATCTCCATTCCGTACCCATATCTCGCTCGAGTATTTCACCCATTCCTTCCCTCAGTCATCAATCATTGCTCGCTTCGAGCCCAAGGTCCGCAATGCTTCTGCCCCATTGACAATCGTCGGTGCGCATCAAGACTCGGCCAACTACCTTTTCCCTCTTCTGCCCGCCCCCGGAGCAGATGACGACTGCTCAGGTACAGTCAGTATCTTGGAAGCGTTCCGTATTCTGGCCGAGAGCGGCTTCACGCCCAAGAATGGACCGGTCGAGTTCCACTGGTATGCAGCCGAAGAGGGTGGTTTGTTGGGAAGCCAGCCCATCGCCCGCTACAAAAAGGAGCAGGGGGCACAGATAGGAGCGATGATGGAATTCGTAAGTGGTCCTGAGACGCGGTCACCTGGGGCAAGCATTAATATCAGTTCTTGGCCAGGACATGACGGCCTTTGTAGCGCGCAACGCGACCGAGACAATCGGGTTCATTTCTACCCAAGCTGACCCAGCTCTTACCAATTGGACGGTTGCTCTAAGCGAGAAATACATCTCCATTCCAACACAGATCTATGATCTCGGACCGTAAGTTGACTCGCTTCTTGGCTTGGCTCAGGGGTTCGTACTGACGGAATAGGGACGCTGGCTCTGATTACATGTCGTATACTCAACTCAACTACCCTGCCGCTTTTGCGTCGGAGGGAAACCCCTTAGCGGGAGGTGTTTTCCCCGGTGAGTATGATCCCTATGTTCATAGCTCTCGCGACACTATGTGGGTGAATGATGAAAGTGGCTATTTCTCTGTCGATGTAAGTCACCTTCCATTTGTGGATAGGGGTAAGTTACTCCGTACTGATGTAGAAGTAGCACATGGCACGATTCACTGAGCTAGCGCTTGCATTTGTGGTGGAGCAGGCTGGTTGGAACAATGCATGGCGGTAAATTAGAGGTCAGGCCTCAAAGCTTGCCAATATAAGATTTGCAACCCCACGTAGAGACCGTATTCTGAATGTGGGTAGTAATTAGATCACTCCAAAGCTGTTGAATTTATGTTTTATTTTGTATTTGGAGTCTTTCGTGGAAATCTTTGACTTTTCCCCGCGCGGGCAAACTTCTGTCAAAACCTTGTCTCAAAGTGCTGTTGACAGCGATCGTCAGGGGAAGTCTCCTGTCACTCTCCACTCGGTGGACTGTTCGCCGTGACTTCAAGCTTCCCAAGCCCTGGATCAATCATCCAGGGGAAATACCGTCACTTACGAACTACGTCAGGGCCTTCCAAATATCGCTCAGCCTATGATGCAATAAAGCTCGGACATTAGATTCCTGAATCCTGCACCTGTTCTCAGAAAAAGAGTTGGGATCCACCGACGGTACTATTTGATGATAGGAACACTGTTAGCCACCAACTGAGATTATAATCGGCGCATTTTAGCACCGGGTGGTGGGGCCATGAAAGCAGTCGTTGGCATCCTCAGCGTCCTGGTTCCACGCGCCATTGGCAGAGTTTTGCGGGTCCACAAACCGCCGTTGTCGATCTACGAACCAAACGGGCTTCGCGTGGCTTTGTTCAACCCAGTTCTTAGGCCTAAGCACTCAAATTACCGCTCCCCTATGCGCCATGTACAGGGAGCATAAACCTTGTGGGAAATGCTTGGCGGAATCAACAACATTAGCTGATTGCTGTCGCTTGGATAGCTTCGAATTTAGTCTGTCGAAAGAACAATACTTTCTAACAGATGACACAAAATATTGGTTGACAGCGCATTCTGCCCCATAATATGTCAAATTACCCCCAAGTTTGGGACTTGAGCGGAGTCAGGGAGATCTACGGTGGCTAATGAGGATGCAACCTCCTTTGAAGTTTAAGGTGGGTTCAGGCTTCCCAACACGCCTCATCCCCTCTGATAGTCAAGCGCTTCTCCACTATGTTCCCACCGTGGGTTGTTTTCCTTTGTTTTGATGGGATGATCAGTTCTTGATCTATGCCCAATTGAATTATGGAGAACTTTCAGGATACCGCCATTTTTGGTGCACGAGATGTGGAGCATCACTGCTTCCTCGACGTCAATCCTGGACAATGGCCGGGTTAGAATTCATTTCCCCTGAGAATGGGGCCGACGTATAAAGAGCAGGCCATATCGATTGCTTGTCATCTCTTCCTCTAACCCAAGAAGCTTTTGCATCCCGTTCTTACTCCAGTCATTCCTTTTTCCCGGTTCATACCGTCCATTCATTCCAGCTTTTTCAAGCACAGTCACTCTCTACCATCACAATGAAGGCCGCTTTCGCATTCTCTGCCCTTCTGGCCACTTTTGCCGTGGCTTTGCCCACCCCTACTAGTATCGTGCCCTCGGGTGCTGCTAGCAGCGCTGTTGCCACAATCAACAAGAGCGTTCACAGCGTCCTGACCGTCACCAACCAGCAGACCGGCAAGAACATGCTCGTTGAGCTTGAACAGGGCTTCGCCAACAAGCTGACCGGCCTTGACCTCGGCAGCGCTTCCAACCCCGTTGGCACCATCGTGAAGACCGCTTCGTCTCTCACCGACCTGGGTAACACCGGTTCCGGCCTCACCTTCGTCACTCAGACTGGCGAGTACGTTCTTGTTGAACTTGACAACACCATTGAGAGCCTTTTGAGCTCCCTTGGTCTGTCTGTTGTTGGTGACGTCGTCGGCAGCGTCATCGGTGTCCTCGAGGGTGTCGTCGCCAACCTCAAGCGCTCCGAGCTCAACAACGTTCTGTCCATCACCGGCCTGAACAACCAGCCCATCCTCGTCAAGGCTGAGTCTACCCTCGCCAGCGCTCTCGGTGGCCTTGACCTCTCCGCTGTCAAGGGTACCGTCGGTACCGTTGTTGCTTCCGTCCCCGCTGTTTCCGACCTTGCCTCCAAGGCCTCCGAGCTTGGCCTCCCCACCAACGAGCTTTTCGGTGTCCTCAGCAGTGACGGCTCCTCCGCTTTGCTTGTCCGTGTTGAGTCCGTTGCCGGTGGTCTCACCTCCACTGTGACTGGCCTTCTCTCCACCCTCGGCCTTGGTGATCTGACCAGCACTGTCGGCACCGTCGTCAGCACTGCCCAGGGTGCTACCTCCCTGTAAACCGCCCATGAAGGGACTTGATCATTCGCTTCTATGGGTCCTCTGTTGATGCGACTCGAAAGTTAGACTTCGACTTCCGGGCGCATGAAAACGACTGCACATGAGGAGTTCCCGTTTTTTTTATGTTATTTATACATCATTGAACTAAACTATTATACGCGGAAGCGTGAATTCAATCTGAACATGTGAAAAGCACTTGGCATTCTGTAAATGAAAAGGAAAAACAGGTATCAAGGTATCTCAAACGACAGTAAAACGCAAAAAGCACTAACCAAACTCAAGGGCGACGGTGATCTCCCCAGTAATTCTCCCCCTCGTGGTCATAAGGACTCAAAGCATCCCTACACTGCGGATTCTCATAATCCCCCACCGACCCCATCGGCCAAATCGGCACAACACAAATCTCACTCTCCAAACATCCCCGACACTTCTTCCAAACCGTCCAATCAAGATCTGTCATAACTTCTTGAATCATCTCCTTCGCCGAAGTAAGACTATCCTGCCGAACAGCCTCCATCAGCGTATAACAAACTCTATAGGCAACATGATGCACAGCGCGCGCAGGGAAAGTAGCCGCATCCTGCAACTGGAATGGCAGGAACTGCACCGCACACCGCTCAGCCTCCATGCTAATGTTCCGCTCACTGTAATCCACAAACGGTCTCATAAGCAGGGTAATCTGCTTACGCAGCTCCTCCATCGTCGCCATATCATCAGATACGAAGTACGCAAGCTCATCCGCGTACCGTGTCACAATCATATCAGTAGTAGCTTGCCACTCCCAGGATATCTCGCGAGGATCATGAGTAAGGATCATCTCGGTGATTTCTTTGCGGACGGGCTCTAGTGTCGAGGCTTCAAGATGGGTAAGGCGAGGAAGACTCGAGCCAGCTGGGAAGAGGTCGATATCGTGCGAGAGCGCCGTCACGAAGCTGTCATAGTTGAGGTGAACCCTGCGTCCTCCGATGCCGTCGTATCGTGATGCAACAGCGCGTGCCCAGCGTGATGCTTCCATGCCTCCGGGGCCACCGCCAGGACCTCCAGGGCCACCAGGGCCACCAGGACCGCCGAAGCTAGGATCCTTGGGTGGCCCTGCATCATCACGCATATGAGCACCAGGACCCTTATCGCCCGACTCATCAGACTGGGTCTGAATAATGCGCAAAGGAGTCAAATCCCTCGCAAACGAACAAAGAATAACCTCAAACCCAGCCTCCATACGCAACAAGCCATCAATCCGACCAGCCCATTCATTCTCAGCCATCTCACACGCCCTCCGAGCTCTTTCCCCCTCCCCCCTGGGTCCAGGACCAGCATTCTCTCCATCGCCCAGACTGTTATTGAAAAGCAGAATATCCTGAGAATCAAGCGTTCCTTTCTCTGTCTTTCCAGCAGACATACCATCAATATAAAGAAGGCGAAGATTCTTCGCCGCTGCGTATGTGTGCAGGTAGCCCTTGGCACTACCGTCTTCATCCTTGTCTCCATCACCTCGCATGGGTGGTGGAGGTCCATCTCCCCTCCGACGGCGGAGTTCTTCGTGCTTCGGTCCGGGCTTCTCGTCCTTTCCACCGGGAGGACCGCGATGTGCCCTTGCGAAGACGAGAGCATGCTCGGGCTCAAAGGCTAGCCATTCTGTTCCGTTGACGGGGACTGAAGCCGATGTTCCGTGGTATAGCTGTGTTCCGGCTGGAACGGTTGCGAGGAAGAATGAGACGCCGTTGTGGTGGAGGGATGAGCCCCATTGTCGCATAGAGTCTTGGATGACGTTGAAGATGTGATTGGCGTTTTTGAGGACTGGGTCGGTATCAGGTGTTGATATTGGGGAGCTTGCTGATAAGCCCAGGAGCGAGCATATCGCGAGGAGAGTGTGGTGGGGCCGCATATTGAGTTGGAGATTTCTCCCCTCCGAAGATTTCAAGGTAGTTTAGTTTGTTCAACAGATAGCTCGAGGATGTGAAGGCCTAGGGGAAGGGAAAGAAGAAGACTGATTATATCTGATGGCGTTTTAGGCGTTAGGGCTGATTCGGATAAGACGCGTAATCCCACCACGCGGGGATATCCACTTCTACTGATTTGAGATTACGTCGGTTTTAGGCAGATATATGGACGGTGAAGTCTTTGTACATTAACTAATAAAATAGCTGGAGGCTTAGTTTCTATACTTTGATTCAATGACAAGTGGGGTTCCTGCACCTGCAAAGTATTTCGTACTGTTCAGATACTCGGTCATCACTTTAATTATCTCGGGTATTGTATCCACCTGGATCCACCGCTAATTACCTCCGGATATGAAGGTCTCTGCTTCGATAAAGCTTGAAAATTGGCAAATCTATTCAGGACATGTCCTTAAGATCTTATCCAGATCACATTTACCATTAGATCATAAATTGGAAAAAAAAAATCAATGAACATGCTAGCAAGAATTCGAAAAACATCTGACGAATCAAACCGAGCCCCAGCCCACCAATCTAATATTTTCGCCAGCTGTCGTCGGTGCGTAAGGAGGGGTACCCAGCATTCTCAAGCGGGAACTTAGTATCTTCAGCGTCAACAGTCTGATTTTCATGGACTATGTTTGCGTCTCTCAAAACTCTGAAGGAGAAGAATTCCCCACCCACCCATTTTTATTTGGGCTTCAGATGTCTGTTAAAATCACCTGGATAGGGTTTGATACGTCCGAGTCTGAGGAACAATTGTCTGGTATGCGGAATAGTCATCAATTCGCCAATCCTTGAGCTTGCCGGCAAAGAGGAATACAGTTAGACGCGAGATACGTTTCTGATGATAGTATTTGCTAGACACATTCGAAGACTGGGGCAAATGTTTTGTGATCCGAATTTGCTTCGATTTGAAAAACTAGCCAATGAACAATATTCTGGGCTTAAAATCAGCGGAACTGGCGTGTTCACGGAGATTTCCAACGACACAGGTCCAACAAAAGTCTCCAACGGGTAAGCAGATACACTGGTAATTTCTTGATGCCGCGATGCCCACCGCTGCCAGTCTTACCATCCATTGCCAATAGCCGGTACCATTTATGTCTGGTGAAGAACGTAGCACTAGAAATCCAGCAGGCGGGTCAAGGATCTCCTCCCAGCAGTCTATGGACACCATTTTTACCCCAGCCGCTGAGAAGCCAGGGTCATGCAGGCATTTCTTTTTGTCTGTACTGCTGTTTTGTATTTTCAGATGCTTGAGACCCTTCAAGATATCCAGATCACCCACCCATTGTCCACCGTCGTTCACTGAGACTAGGGTTTCCACGAAATAGGCATCCATCCCTCGGTATCTGGATGGGCCAAGGGTGAGAGGCCCTTCCCACCCAGTAAAAGACAGATGAAGAGATGTGCCCTCAAATTCTCCACCACTTAGTTTACCATCAAATGGATTGTGGTTGACAAACTGCCATCGCTCAAGGTCGTGTTCGCGGATATTAAGCTCAGGTGGAGGGATCAATAGAGCTATTCCCGCCTTCCCAATATTTCCTGTCAGATGTGATATTGCGTATTGTGGAGCATCCACTCGAAGAGTTGGATCGTGAAGAAGTTCTTCGGCAATGAAAAGCGAACTACCACTTGACACTGCCAATACGGCTGTCAGATCAGATGTATCCACATCTATGGTACCTGACTCAAATTGTAAAATTGCCGCAAATGCAGATTCGCGTGGTAATAAGCTTGGGTAAATCGACACTGGTAGATTTCCTGCGCGAGCTTGCTGTTCGGCGAGGGTATCAAGAATGTCGAGCTCATTGACTACCGACTGGGACCATACCCAAGAGTTCAGTTTGTTCTTGATCACGCCCATTGACACAGTGGCTTGGGGTAAGTGGCACTTATAGTAATGTAAAACTCGTCCAAGAGCAAGCAGAGAGTTGCCATGAGCGGTTTGCTCAGTCTCGAAATGATGTGAGAGACGCGATGCCAGAGTATCAAGATTCAATAGGTTTCTATCCAACAAATCTTGCACCATTGTGAGAGGAACTGTACTCGAGAAAATCTGTTTTCTCGGCGATTGAACAGTTCTTCTCGCATAAACCGCTGCAAGGTTGTGTTGTCCGAAGACCAAATCAAAAATAACAGTTCGATCACCGTAGGAGGGTTCATCCTCCAAAAGTTCGCTGTAAAGTTTTTGATAAGTACCAAAAGTATCCGGCTCATCCTCGTTCTTTTTAAAGTCCTTATACAGTGCATCCCAAGCAATATGCTCTTGAATCTGTGCCTGAACGTGCCCCCGCAATGCTTCAAGGCCAGCTACAAAGGCCCAAGTCTCATCTGGTGGAATCTCTAGGATCTTAACAGACCCCATATCCTGAGACGCATATTGGTCCCATTTCCGTTTCTTCCCCCAATGCACAGTCTCGGATTCCTCGGTTATTGATGTATAGGCCCATTCTTTTTCCGAAGTTCGAAAACGAATCATATAATCCGATGGGGATAGATGGTTTTTCACGCATATGTCACGAAGTAATTGTATTCTTGCAGCTGGGGTGGTAATCGTCCAAAGCAGGGATGACAGGTTTGCTAAGCCGAATAGACTTGAGATGGAACTACTCGTGTTTCCGATCCAAGATCTACCGTAGTTGCTTCCATACCGCATGAGCTGGGAGGCGGTATTTTTCTCATTGTCGTCAGCGGAAAAAACAAGTTCAATCCCACCGTTGAGAGGAAACAATATGTGCAATATTCTCATCAATGCTCTGAGTGACGCGGGGGCATCTTGTAATGGATCCACGCGGTGGAGACTAAGAAGGTCTTCGGGCGGCTCAAAGGTTTTATTGCTCAATTGGCACATTTTGGCTTGATACATGTTGTAGTATATCTTCCAAAGAGACTGCAAAATCTGCGCCGCGGTGAGTGCAGCTTCATCTGCTCCCAACGAAGCACCCAGTAATAATGCCTGGAGTTGTTCAACAGAAATTCTGGAGTCCCGCATCGTTGACCGTTCTTGCTGAACTGTTCCGTAGTATTTAAGGCTGGCCAAGGGCAAAGACCAATAAACCCCCTCCCCACGGCCGACCTCACTGGTTATTGAGATAGTGACGATTCCCCCCGCTTTGATCAAGGGGTCTCGCTGCTGTATTTCCTTGGTGCTTGAACCCAAGACAACGAGATCAGGGTAGAGATGCCAGGAGATTAAGCCAAGTAGGATTCCCCCATCGGTGATCCTTTGCGGCTCTCCTTTAGTCAATTTGTCCAGCGTGGTCAAAGCCCGGTTGACATTGAGTAAGACGCTGTCATAGGAGTTCGTCTTGGTTGCGAAGCTTTGGTCTGATTCGGCATGGGATTTAACAGCCAAGGAAAGATTGTTGACAATCAGTTGAGCTTGAACTTGCTCTTTCTTGCGCGCTTGATCCGCAACTTGTAGCCATGCCCGTGCGCTAGCATCCCATTTCCCTAGGGATGATCTGTCGATTTCATGAGCGGCTGCCAACTGAGCCAAATAATTATCCGCAATCTCGGTGGATTGAGCTTGGTTCTTGATGATCTTTTGCCGTTGAGTAACCAACTCTGCCCAAATTGCAGTTGCCTCTTGGGGAGGCCATATCCGAGCTAGCATGCAAGTAAGAAGATGGATGCGGAGCACTGACTTTCCGCTGGTAGCACTTGCCCAGATTGTGGTAGAGTCTATACCGAGATGGGACCCAAAGAATCCCTCCACAATATCTCCGGGTTTTTTCAACTTTGGTGTCGTCTCTTGAACGATCTCGCTGGCACGGGCTCCATACGCTTCGAGCAGCGATGGCACGTTTGGTAAAACATCATCAAAGAGCACACCTAGTCGTCGGGCGAGGATATGAAATGATCCATCTTCCGCGGATTCTCGTCGGGCCTTGGAGAGTTCTTTCCCCAGCGGACGAAGTTCAAGCGGCGCCTCAAATTTGGCCAGTGAGAAATCAAGATGGAGGTGAGCAAGGCCAATATTTGATTCAGCGACGGCATGTAAAGGCGTAGCTACTATACTTTGTATTGGGAGCGACATCTTGATTTCAGGAATTCGATGTTAGGAGGGTTTTCTAAAGCACTGTTGAAGCTTTGAATCCAGAACCAAGACGATTCATTAGATCGAGCGGGGTTCTTACTTGTTACTTAGTAGTAAGCGCTAGCCAATTCTGAACCCCAGCGACTAACATTAAGGCTATCTTAGGTCGCGGCATCAGCCTTGTGAATTTCAAACTGGAAAACTCACATACTCGAACTTTGGAAATTTATATTTTCTATATATCAGCACATTGTGAAGCGCATCGCATTTCTTTCTTATGGAAGCTCAATTACGATGTTCATGCTCACATGATTTTTACTTGATGCTTGGGCATGTCTTGCTCGCCCCTGCCTTCGTCTCGTCATTTTGGCCATTGATTCAGAGAAACAACCAAATATCTCACGAGGCAAGCATCGCACATGTAGTGTTTTGTCAATTCACTCCGGAGTACTTAAAGACCATCTACAGATGGAGATTTCATAGAGATGTCCTGTAAGATACTCCTCTACACTGGAAGCAGAGACTGGAAGTTCTGCGAACTTCAAGATTTTCAAAATTAATACATTCCCTTAATTCATCATCCGTAATCGCGAGAGATGAAATAATCAGTTTGGGTGATCAGGCGTAAGTCGCACCATGCAGAGGGATTGATTCCTCACCCCGGTCGCACGATCCTCCAGCGTCCATCTATTCACATTTGTTTGCCATTTTCAGGGTGATGTACTCTCCGTTACCAAGTCGATAGTTTTCTCTCGTTGCTCAGCTTATCTTCCTTCTACCCTCTCATGCTAGTATGTCAAGAACCATTAAGAGAAGATTCCGAATCGATTCACTCTCATGGGGAAGTGGCGCGATGTACAAAGTAGAAGAGGGAATTAGGTTAGAAGGACAAGTAGGGGAAATGACGAAGCTGAAGTTGGCGACACGTAAGGAGATCGAACCTGGATGGAGGGGTTTTGCTGACGAACAAAAGCCCAGAATTCCAGGTTCCTGGGAAAAGTTCAAGAACTTGCTTCAAATCAATCCACGGGCATAATTCACGTCCTGAAGATACTTTATTTTTCTATCCAGAGGATGACTAAAATGAAGATTTAGAAAAGGGCAGTAGACGTGTTCCATTGAACTTCACCGATAAGTCAGCGCTGATCGACACGTTCCCCAGTCTACCCCAGTCTAACTCCAGTAATTACCAACAATTTGCATATGATACTTCTCATGCAGATCCGTGTCTCATTTTCAGCGCGTTTTACGCTACTCAAGGTATATTGGCCGAGGTGATCTATCCAATCACGGATAAATCGCGATCTAGACGGTGTAGCAGTGGGGCCAGCTGAGCTGTGATCGACTAGTAGCTCACTCTGCGTAGTACTCCTGAATATTTCCCTGAATTATTCCTCTTAGTTCTTCGGATCCTAGCGTTCTTCAAAGCATTCCCTCCCTTTCAAAATGCAAACCCGATGGACTAGACAACCTAAATATTTCCGACAGACCCAACAAACCACATTGGGGAAGTCTGTCAAAGGAAATCTGGCAATACAAAAGACTATAGACGCTAATGACTCTTTTGTTGATACTAGTCGTCCAGCTTTTATCCTTCGGTTACCAGACGAGGTCTTGAGACAAATCCTCGAGCTAGCCATAACTGAAACCGGTGCCTGGCATAAGCAATCGCCTTATAGCAAGGCCTTGATCCCAGCTGTGGCTTACACGTGCCGCCGCTTCAGTCGCATCGTCATTTCCTTCAACTACCATACTTTGCGCATGGAATTTCCTCGACGGATGATCTACCCAGTCTGCTCCACCAGAAAATTGGTTCAGTCTCTTCAGGCGAATCCATCCCTGGGCCGATTCTGTCAGAACCTGTCACTTTCCATATCCGACGTCTGTCCCCGTCGATGCAAAACCGACTCGGAATGCCTTCAGGAGATTCTCCCGGGTTTGAAAAATGTCAAGTATCTCACCATTCATGGGGGCTTTGAGCCTGGCTCTAAAATTCATACTTGGGATATCATTCAGCGGTGTTCACAGTATATGCCACGGCTGGAGCAGGTTCTATTATCCAGAGAGGCCTTTACTGGTCCTGGTTATGCGGATATATTACAGAATTTACAAATACCAATGCTTCAAGAACTACACATCCACGGTAGTTCCGAGTCCAACAACGGCTCGTCGGTTGTTGAGGTAGCCAAGGTCAGTTTCCCATCTATGATATTTCTTTCTCTACTAATCAACCCCATAGCCTGCCAAAGCTTCAGACCTCACAAAGCTCTATTTGTCAGACTTCAAAGACACCTCAGCCACACTGAACAGCCTCATCCACTGGCCAAAATCCCTCTTCGAATTTTCCATCGAAAACATTCACAGCGACCCAGACCATGAAGAAACACACCCAAACTACCTGGATCTACCCCTTCTTCGACAAATGCTCAACACCCACAAAGACACTCTAACCAGCCTCTCCATCGGTCCACTATCTCTTTCGGGCAGAGGAAAACTAGCCACCTTATCAGACTTCACCGCTCTCCACACCCTATCTCTATCAAGATGGCAACTAGGAGGAGAAGGGGAACTAGACGTTTCTTCCGATTTCGCATCCGATCTCCTAGGACCCAGTCTTGAGCTGTTTGTTTGGGATTTCACCCGCTATGACGGAAATGTTCAGAGGTGGTCTGATTTCGGAACGCGGGAATCATTGTGGATCATGAATCTAGCTCAGAAAGCTGTGGAGCTACGCGTGCCGTTGAGGGAAATTAGAATTCACTTTTCGCCGGAACTGCCTACTTCCGAGGATGAGGATTATCCTTGGGATTCTGTTGAGGATTTGAATCTTCAGTTTCGGGACCAGGGGGTTGTGATTACGTATAATGAGCCTGTTATGTTGAAGGAGGATTTTTTGAATCGGTCCAAGCCGACCGAGTAAAAGTTTTTGGATTCGTATAAGCTGGTTTTTATTTCTTGAGCCGTTATATTCATCCTATATATGTTTTTAATTTAGGTAATTACAGGGCTATATCATCTTCAATCTTTATCAGACAGTTGAACGTGGGCTGGAGGATGAGCTCTATTTACTTGCCCAACGGAGTTGAAACGACCGTGACATCAACTCGCACTTGGATGTCTGTTGACTGGACATGTTGCACCGCCACTAGCTATTTTATTGAATTACAATATAAACTCTAACACAGGAATATCAGTCTCCACAATCCCCCTTGGTGATGTTTTGTATTTCAGTGCCAGTTTCTGCAACACCCAACGAGGCGGTGGCTACTTGAAAGGCGGTAAATCCTCTTTGCAATGGCCCTCTATATGTAGCACCTGCGGCCCTTCGCAATAGACATTGAGGTTCCTCGACTGTATAAAATACAGTGAGCGTTAGATGTAATCTACACAGGACAAGAATCCACTAACCAATTCCAAACTTCGGTTGGTGGAGACAAATTGCCGAGATTAGATTAGATCGAGAACACATCACGTCATAAGTTACCACCTCACCACAAACATCCCCCAGGGACAACACCATGTCCACACGCTCCCTCTTCAACTCCCGATCCATATCATCAACTACATCTAGACCACGTACCCTTCTCCTCACCTTCGACGCGTTTGGCACACTCTTCCACCCACGCCAACCCGTCCCAGAACAATACGCGGCAACAGCCCACAAATTCGGCCTCTCGCGCACAGCTATTACCCCGCAAAGACTCAAAGCTGCATTCAAAACCACATTCCAGGAACAAGTAGCTCGATATCCGAATTACGGGCGCGCACATGTTCTCCTCGGTCAATATGGCGGTCCGAAACAGTGGTGGGAGGAGGTGATCCGGGGGAGTTTTGCAAGATCATTATCTGAAAATGATTTGCATGATAACACCACTACTCTGAATGCTCGAGGTACCTCGAATACAGGTCCTGATTCCGATCCTGATCTTCCGACGGGCTTAGTCGAGGCTCTGGTGAACCTATTTGCGGGTGCGGAGGGATATGTACTGTATGACGATGTTGCGCCGTTCTTTGCACGGATGCGCGAGCTGAAAGCTGGGCCGATGAGACGATTTGATCGCGTGATTGTTGGGGTGGTTTCTAACTCGGATGATCGTGTTCCTGCTGTTCTCAAGGCGCTTGGATTGCGGGTTGGTGATTTGCGGGCTGATCAGGATGCGTCGAGTATGGAGCTACCTGGGTTTGAACAACGGGGCGAAAATGGGAGTGGTGACGATTTCAATGAATCCCATCAGAGTGCCCAGTCAGATGTTGATTTGGATTTGGTTATCACGAGTTATGAGGCTGGTGAAGAAAAGCCCAACCGATTGATATTCGATGTTGCCGAGCGACAGGCTCGATTATTGCTGACGGTTATTGGCACAAATTGGACCAGGGTTCATGTTGGCGATGACTTTGTAAAGGATTATCTTGGCGCACTTGGTGCGGGTTGGCAGAGTTATCTAATTCGTCGAGGTGGGGGTGAAAAGGGTCCGAGGAGTATATCTTCAATGATTGATTTGATTCATGAGCTTGAACTCGATTCACCTTGAATCAATAATACAATTAACGACTGGCGATGTTGAAACGAAGATTTCCATTAAACAAATTCAACAGAATTTTAGATTTGAATGAACTCATTCTCATAGTTCCGACATCTCATCGTGATTCAACACCTTGTCCTTGATTCTACGTAGTTAAACCAACCATCCTACAATTCCATTCCATTTCCCCACCAGGAAAATTCGCAAATTTGAGCGGAGTCAAGAACGAACCACGTCTCCCTAATTCTATGGTCTAAACATTTCAACAGTCCTCTCGTGATTAAGAGCAGGTAGAATACGAGTACATACTATACTGTACATTTATACCTAGGGAGCTATGGATCGAGTTCTATGTCCACGGTGCTTTATTTGATACATTTCCATTCATGCACTATAATTGCGCTGGTAAATCAAACTCCATCCCGTCCCAAACGCCGAATAATTCTAACAAGTAGAACAATAACCCCAATGTAGATGTACATATATGCATGAAGTCCATAGAAATGTCCAATTTTCACTATACCACTTAATCCCATTGACCCTTTCCAGCCAGAGCACCCAATCCACCTCCAGCATGCTTGTTCAGCAGTTTCGCAACATTGGAGCTTCCATTCCGCTGTTTCACCCGCAGCTGTCTCTCGCGCTCCTTCTCACGCGCAGCAGTGTAGGAGTTGACCGCACCACCCTTCTTAGGACCCGATGCAGCGGGTTTAGAGACACGGTTAGAAGTCTTGGATGCGTTGGAAGATGATGACGAGCCTGAAGAGACACGGTGCAAAAGCGGTGGAGGTCTGAAGCCGATGGGTCCATCGCCGTTACCTCCAGTCTGGAAGGCAAGCTTTGTATTGCTCGGTCCCGTGGTTGCGGTGGCAGAATTGGAGGAGGCCTGGCGGAGTAAAGCGAGGCGGTCGACAACTGGACCACGCGTGCGGCGCGGGTGGCTAGGCTTTACGAAGTCTTCCTTGGGTTGGGAGCTTGCGTCGTCGGAATGAGCTGCTTCGGCACCAGATGTGTTGGAGTCATCTCCTTCTTCGGGATCTTCCTCGTTGACGGAAGCATCTTCTTGGAAGGAGTCGTACTCTGGTGTCTCGGTCAAGAAAGATAGTGTCTCGCGGATCTCAGCCAGTGTCGCAGGCTTCTTTGACATGGCGCTAGCGGGAGTGCGGCGAAGGTTTGGTGGAGGACGGTTGGTGGAGTCCGCAGATGGCTCGAGAGGCCGCTTGCGTTTGTTGCTGTCATTGGCAGCACCATCTTGCCGTTCCTCTGTGGCTTGGGATTCATTTTGGGACCCGCCCTCTTCTAAGAACTCCAGCTCGAAATCATCCTCAACCTCACGGTCTTCAATCGCCTTGAAGAACGCTGCTTTCTTGGGGTTGTCTGCGAGTTCGCCTATCTTGTTATCTGCGAGGAGAGCCTTGCGCATCTTCGCAAATTCGCGCTGCTTTTCGCGTCGACGTGCCAGATGCTCATCGTCCGAGTCGTCCAAGTCAAAGTCATCATCGGCTCCACGGCGCCGGCGCAGAGCTCCGGTGGTAATGTCCTTGAGTAACTTGGCAACATCCTTTTCATCTCGATTCCGGTCATGAACACTGCACGTAAGTCAGTAAACGGACGTATGGTTAGAAATAATCAAAACTTACGCATTCAGCGCCGCAAGCTCTTTCTCATCAACAGTCTCACCACTGTTGTCATTGATCATCTGCTTATCGTATGCATTTTCCTCTTCGTCACTGTCGTCACCGCTAGCACCACCGAGGCCGGCATATTCATCCTCGGATTCCTCAGCAGCCTCATCAACAATATTCTTCGCCTTACTATTCTTCTTGTCGAATGCAACAATCGGTTTCTTGGCCTTCTTCATGATATCGAAGGCATTGGGGTCGACCTCATTGGTTTCTTCCTCCTCTTGGACAACAGACAGGTCAGCTGCACGTCCTCGTCGAAGCTGTCTACTCTTGCGCTCAACGATTGGTGATTGGCTTTGTCCGACAATGACAGTATCCACAGTTGAGACTGGTGGTGTTCCTCTGAATCGCTTGTTCGGATCGAACGGAGAAAGCACAAACCCTTGATCCTGCGTAGGATCAGGGAGCTGCGAGTACTGAGAGAATGCCGGCCCAGCTGGAGATTCCGATACGCGATTGGTATTTTGGTGGTAGTTGGCCATAAAGTCAGGCTCATCCGGCTGCTCTTGGCTGTCTCGAACAAGAATTTCGGAATCTTCATGGCGCAGTCTGGGCACAGGGCGACCCGGGTCTGGCAGAGAGAAAGGAATTGTCGCCGAAGCTAGCTGACTTTGACCGTCGTTGTCGTCCGCCAATGTGCCAGCAAATGCTTGAGTGAGACCCATGGACATGCTGGGAGTTTCCATGCCTAGGAAATTAGGGCGCTCTACGGATTGAACTGGATTTGATGGGGCCCGAACAGGTGTAGACGGTACCTGTTTTTGAGGTTCGTCTTCGTCTTCGTCATCGCTGACGACACGGGTTGGTCGCTTGCGCCGTGTCCCAGGAGCTCCATCTTCGACATCAGAGGGCAGAACGTCGCTCTCGCCATCAGAGGACTCATCTCCATCATCCGCTTCCTCTTCGACGAGATCTTCATTGCCATTCAGACTCCGAGCATCATCGTCATCGCCAGGTCCTTCTTCCTCTTCTTCGGAGCCCGAGAATTCATAGTCACCATCATCCTCTTCGTCATCAAGATCCTGCTCATTCTTCTTGGCCGCTCTTTCTAGTCGTTTGATCTCATCGGCTTCCCGACGAGCTTTCTCCACCAAGTCTTCCATATCCTCCTCCATGGCTGCACGCTCTTCGGCAGTCTCGATAACGACACCCTTAGCCCTGAGTTCGTCAATGCGCTCTCGTCGCTCTTTAGCAGCTTGTTGACGTGCTTTGTACAGTAGACTGGCTGATAGTTCTGAAGAAGTCATAGAAGTTGTTTTGCGAGTCGGAGATGTCAAGTGGGCCAGAGCCTTAAGCCGGATCATTGAGGCGGACTCCTGCAGTTTTTGTGCAGGAAGGTTCTCAAAGGCAGCAATTCGACGGGCTTTGGCAGGTGAGGTGACCACTTCAAGGTCATCGCTATCCGAATCTTCTTGTTGGTGTTGAGCAATTTCTTGCCTCGACATGAGAACCCGAACAGCAGGTCCAGTAAACTTGAACGGTTCTTTCCTGGCTGCAGGATGAGAGGGCAGAATTGTCGACTCTTGAGGTACTTTCAACTCGTTAGGAATGGCCGCTTTATTCATGGCGGGCTGATTAGCAATGAGTGTCGTCTCTTTTACGTTGGACACAGATTGGCCTCCGGCTGAAGCATCTACAGGCGACTTTTCTGTAGAAGGCCCAAGAGCGGGGGAAGTGTGAGGCGTATCGCGAGCTTTACGAGCCTCCGCATCTGATGACTGCTGCGACCCAGTGGCAGACGAAGAGTTTACCTGCGCGGGCTCCGCAGAAGCTTCAGGCTGCCCAAAATTGAATCGAGCAAAGAAGCTCTCCTTGGAAATCTTCTTTTTAGTCTGGGCCTGGTGCGCAAGTTGCATATTCCGGCTCATGCGCTGCGTCTCCTGTCTTATCTCATCCATGGCCTTCTTGCTGGCCTTTCGAGGTTGATGGGCCTTCTGAGAAAGCTTATGTGCGGATCCTGGATCCTCGGCTTCACTTTCCTCTCCAGAAACAATATCCGAGCTGAATTTTGCCAATTGGGCTCTTCTGGCGGCTTTTTTCTCCTCTTCGATCTTCTCGCGATCCTCCCGCTCTTTGCGTTTTTGAGCGACGAGGGCAAGGAATCTCGCATTTCCTTTCGTGAGTTGTTCGGTTCCCTCATCAGCATCAGCGTCCTCGTCCTGATCTTGCTCGTCGGTGGGAGCTGGCGAAGAAACGAACAATGGTGAATCTGAACGAGCGCGGGGTGATGAGTTACGAGATTGGTTGTCAGCATCTGGAGATTTTTGTCTGGCCGCCTTCTTGTTCCTCCTGGGTGCGGCAGGAAGATCATCCTCACTAGACTCGGCTCCAGCCTCTGCAGCATCAGGTGCGGGGCTTTTCTTCCGCGGCTTGGCTTTGTCTGCTTGTTCTCTCTCCATCCTGAGAGCTTTGGACAGTCGGGAAAAGGCTGTATCTTGCTGTTGTTCGGATTGATCGTCCCCACCTTGCATGCGGGCTGCCATCCGGCCTTTAGGTCGAACAATATCTTCATCGTCATCTGAGTCGGCGCGGCTGTTATTTGATTGATTGAATTTTTGTGTTTCGACGGCAGATTTATGCTTGGACCCGAAGTCCAGCTTCGAGATTGTGTGTTTAGGGCGAGTATTTTCTGAGTCCGACTCCGAGTCGCTGCCGAATTGAGCCATCATTGCCTTTATTTTTTGGCCCGGTGTGAGCATGTTGGGTGAATTTCCCGGTGACGCGGAACGCGTCGACCGTGGCGTAGATGCAGTAGACATTTTGTGTTTGGTTAGAGATTGGTATTGGGTATCGTGAGGAATGATTATTATGGAACGGAATGGGTCATTATCGGATTCGATCGAAAGTTAGGAGGTGTAAGGGTCGAGTGCGGGTCCTTGAACAAGGGCGATGTGCATAGTCCAGACGCGATGCGCGTGTTTCGCGTTGCTATGTAGATCACGTGATATCTCCTTATCTTATCGGCGATCTAAGTACAAGTAGTCAATACAATAGCAGTTTTAAAAATGAAAATTGCTAAATATCCTCACTCGCAAGTACTACTTAATAAGTTGATTGCATTTGTGAGTGCTAATCTCCTTGCAATAGATTTCAATTGTGCTCATAATAAAGGTGCTCGGTGAGAGATTTAGAAATCCGAATAGATGCCGGCGCGCCGCACTGTTCCTACTAGTTACAGGATTGATCGAAATCAGTTTAATCACTTTACTCTGATGTAAAGACGCGATCTTACAAAGAATTTGGAGGTTCACTCAAGACTCATTCCACTGTTTTGATGACATCCACGAGCATATAACAATAAACAATAGAAAAACAGCACTTCAGATGAGATGACAATTATATTAAAACTGATTCTTTAAGACATTAGGGTAGCTAAAAAGATAGGTAAACTTTATACCCTATATCATTTTAGTTACGTCAACTCAGGTCATATAATAGAATAATAAAACGATCTTTATCAGTTTTATTATCTAGTCCCTAACGGATATCTTATATTATTATATCTAATAGATAAAGTAGATAATAGCACTTCTTTACTATCGGCCGATGAGTAGGGATTAATTGACGATTGGTGCTGTAGGATCAGAAGTAGCTCTATATTGCTTATGCTTAATGGGTTTCAGTTTAGAGCGCCCTATAGCTAATAGACCGGACCCCTAGGAATAAGAATCAAGTGAAGGACACACTAATCAGCAATCTGCAATAATTGCACAACACAATAAATTAGACGAGGTAAGTAAAACATGGGCCTAAGATCCTGGACGCGTGGATAAGATGGCCCCCACCAATAGCATCTCTTCTCTGACCGCTTGCTGCCTGTCGTGCTCATCATGATACTGAGCCTTCCTGGTGGACGACTATTTCCTCCGCCTAATCTTTTGTAACGAAAGTCTGAAATTCACTCCAGCAACCTGTACTCCGTCGCGTTTTTCTTGCCCGGTATTCACCACCGGTCAATAAGTCAGCAGTTCTATGTCAAGAGGCCGATCATTACAGGATCAATCATAGAATCCATGGCCCCTCTATCCCACGACTATACGGTAGTATGGATAAATACGGTACTTAGGTAGCCCCTGGGCAGCACGATTTATCTCAAGCCCCCTCAGTCAGTGTTCTTATGTTTGGATGGACTCGAGCCCACAAGAAAATCTGAGTGGCAGAAAGAGGCTATAAGGAGAATAAATCACATTTACCATTTCATTCATAGATTCTATCCCGAAATGTCCTTTGGGGGAGCATTCTCTATTAGTGATCGCCCTAACATATGTGAACAACGAAATCAAAACGGTATCTTGTGTATTACTTAGCACTGTACGGTACTTCCAGAAATCGGTGTCACCACCTACACTCCACGATTGGCTCTCGAAATCTAGACACCAAGATAGCCTAACACAAATTGGGAGTTTTTTCCGAACTATCGGTGAACGAGCCCCCGAAAGGTCTAAGCGCACAGCAAGCAAGCCAATTGCGCATGCCGCAAGAAGTCATCTAATGAAATAAGTAAACATAACAGGGTGAAATAAGACGGCGAAGTAAGCTCATGACATCTGGGTGTGAGTTTTTCCTTTCTAGCTCCCTCCCTTCACTATTCTCTTCTCTCACCCATTCAAGAACACTCCGGGGAGATCTATCACCATGGCAGTGAGCGTTATCACGAGCTGGTCATCGGATTTGGCGTCGAATTTCATCGGATACTACTTTGGAGCCTCGACCAGCACGTACCCATTTGCTCATTTTCAAATTTCTTCAATTGTTTCTAACAACGTATGTAGCCACGCCATACTGGGCTGGTTCTTACTGGCCGACGTCAGGTACATATACAGGAGATTGTACCACCTCCGCTACCTCCGACTGCGTCTTCGCGACCGAGTGCCTAGATAATATCCTATACTACGATAATGGGAGCCTTACCAGCTGGTCTGTACTTCAACCATATTCACTGTATGTTAGGCTACAAGAGTAACACCTTGGATTGATACAGCACTGGTGGTGCCTCCTGTGTTACTATGACCATCTATCAGACCTCTCCTGGCGGCGATCCAAGTGCAACGAACATCGACTGTCGGCCAGATTGGCGAGCGTATACATTATATAGAGAGCTGGAATTTTTGGTGACGATAACTGGTGAGTATTCTATTTACCTAGTTTCAGGAAAGGAGTCGTGCTTAGAGATGGATAGATACATCACAACGATCAGCGCCACCTCTACCACGTCTATAGTCTCAAAGACCACAACTTCAGTAATACCGACTACCTCTACCCCGACACCTAGTCCGCCCCAAAACAAAGGTTGGATCGCAGGAGCGGTAATTGGTCCTATTGCAGTTATTGCTTTGGTATTTCTCGCATATTGGCTATGGAGACGGCAACGAAAGCAGTCGCACGAGTCCACTCCTCCTGGGCCAGGTCCATCACCTCTTGCAGAGCTGTGTGGACAGCAGAGTGCGCCATTCGAATTATCCTCGGCAAAGCACAAACCATTGGTACCGCTAGCCGAGCTTCCGGTGTCTGATTTTGTGTCTAAGCTGCCCACCAACCAAGTGGGCATATAGTAATTGACATTTAGACAAGAAGTGAAGTTTAAATTCGGTTTAGAGAGATGGTGATTGGGTTGCTCTGTGCAACCTGATATACACCCAGAGAGTGAGCAAACACACTGACTATGGATAGCACCGACGCACAACTATTCGTCTCACGAAGTAGGAGGAGATTAAAGAAGGCGGTGGGTTGTATCTTAATGCAATAGTTACTATGAACTAGCTAGTAATATGCCTTTTTTCAATTGAAACCTCGCCCCTTTCCGACTTCACGCAAAAGTCTATTGGCAGTGTTTTGCTTAAATCTGGTAGAATTGTGCACGCGCAGTCATGAAGGGCGCCCCGGAAAGTGATATCGATTTCCTATCATATCAAATTCTTTCCTCTTCTAAAAGCACTAGTGGGTGGTTAAGTGGTCCTTGCCATCTTGGGATTCGAACGATAAATAATAACGGAAAGATAGTCTGAACATGCTTCGAGGCAGAAGCTCTTTCTTCCCCCACACTCCCTTTTTTTCTTTTCTCTGTCTTTTCTTTAAGGCAGGGGAGCACTCGATGATTGTCGGCGGCTGAGGCCACAACTTGACCCAAAAAACTCAGTCTCAGGTGGCACCGTGAATTTCATGTTCTAGGGTCTTGCTAGAAGCGAGGGCTGATAGATTAGGTGATGAGATACGGCCAGTAATAGCCTCGATGGTACTTGTAACACTGCTACCGTTCTTACCCGGCCAGTATCGCTCAACTATTGGCCGCAGAAAATGTGGCTTCAATCCGGCCAGTAGTTGGGTGGGTGCTGCCCAGGCGATTTCAGGGTGAGAGCCGCTTTAGCGTCGCGCAATTGGGGGTGAGATGGGTGAGTGCGCAATAGATAGGGTGTGAATTGGGGCGAGAACCGGATGAGATTCCTGCGGGTCGATCTCGAAACGGCAGCTGCTGCTGCAGTAAGCTTTTGATTACTAGTAATTCAATGATATATGGTGGGTCCGCGTGATAGAGTTTCGATGGAAGATTGCTACGTCACGTCCCGTCCGTAGTACTGATTTAAACTGTGTAGAAGTAAACTGATTCGAGTATAGCCATTTTCCTTAGCTCTTTCCTTGTTCGCTTCTACGCCTTAATATTGATAACTTTTCGCTGCGTCCCTGAGAGAAGTTATCTAAGAGTAGACTAGACATTCGTGCTGGCCACAAGTTTGGATAAGGGGTTTGGCCTAATGGGCCAGCCCATGCCGAAGTCTATAAATTGATATGAAGTTCCGATCTAGTATATACTGAAGTGAGGTAGCCATTCTTCCGAATTCCATTATAGGCATGCAATTCTTGCAGTCTTGTTATTTGAACAATCTAGCGAATTTCTCCATAGTCCGCCGTGCCATACTAGCATTTAGATGTGCAACCTTCTGATTGCTTGGCAGTTCTCCCTGGTTTATCTCCTCTGCCTGTTTGAACTTCCATCGATTGTAGAGAAGGCGAAGGTTGTTGACTGTATTGAGAGTGGACGTATGGTCTGGACCAAGGGTCTTCTCATAGCCTACCAGTGCTCGCTGGTACATCTCCTCTGCCTCTTTCAGCTTCCCTTGATCATAGTAGACATTGCCAAGGTTACCAACTGTAGAGAGAGTAGACACATGGCCTGGACCAAGGACCTTCTCATAGCCTGCCAGTGCTCGCTGGTATATCTCCTCTGCCTCTTTCAGCTTCCCTTGGTCTTTGTAGAGAAGGCCAAGTCCAGAAAGTCCTCCTCAAGTGGCAACATTCTCAATAGACAGTTGACTGGTCTGTAAACCGATCGTATGTGGAAGCAGCCGTCGCTGTAGGTCTGTATAACCGCGCTCACTTGAACTAGGGACGGAGTATCTAACGCATATCAACGCTAGTTCAGTGAGTTGTACGGGGTCCACAAGTGTGTCTATGCTAGCACAGTGAATACACCAATCTTGTACCACAGGATGCATCGCATAAGTCCCTTGCTGTTGCTTTTTGTCAAGAAGAGAGAAAGCTATCAAGGGCTTCACGTGATCGTTGAATTCAATTTTGCTTGATATAGCTTTGTTGAGCCAATTAGGGACATCATAGCTGTGAGAAGCATTTTTAATCAATTCATACTATATACCGCGATTATCAAAGCGAGCAAGTAGAAGAAGTAACGCTGCTGCATTTGGATCTCGCTTTTGGACCTCACGAAATGAGATCATCCACGTCTTCAGCATATTTCCCTGCTTATACTGACGCGCGGGGCTCGACCGCGACTGTAGCTCACGCCATGACTTCTGGTAGAGGTCTAAGTATTCAGTGATGCTAGTGCTGGTATTACGCATATATGCTGCTGCAATGACAATCGCTAATGGCAGTCCATCAAGACGCGTGGCAAGGGAAAGCATATCTATGTAGATTAGCATTATTCTCCACCTACGGATAACAGATATGCTCTTACCTGGGCTGGTTTTAAGGTGCTTGTCGGTACTTGATAGTAGACCGCTTTCAGACAAAAGAAGCTCAATTGTGTCTGATTGGTCAAGCTTATAGACTGGAAAAGGTTGGCCCAGCTCAGCCAACTCCGTGAGTCGAGACGTGATTAGAATAGAGCCGTGATCAGTCTCAGGGAAAAAATTTCTGACATCATATGCATCACCGGTAGCGCTGTCGGCTGGAGTGTATCGATCGACATTATCCAGAATGATTAGCCAGCGTGAGTTTCCTTCTATTTCTAGCCATTCTCGCACTACTTTAAACCGTTGTTCTTCGTCGATACTGAACGCTTTGGGGATCTCTGGTTGCTCTGGTAGTCGAGAGAAATACGAACTGAAAGATTGGACAAGCGTGCTCTGATCCTTGCCACTCAGCCAAAAGATCGCCGGAAATTCCTGCTGATGATCTCTTGCGAAGCGAATCGCTAGCTGCGTTTGCCCTATTCCTCCAAGTCCATGGAGAATCGCAACTTTTCGTGAATGGGACTGTGTCGGCTGGAAGTACTGCCATAAATCTCTCAGGTTGTCTTGTCGACCTAAAAAGCTCTCCTTCTTAATCTCTGGCATAGCAGTCAGGCGGAACGGTATGTGGAAGCGATCAACTATGTACAAAGGACGATTCAGCAAGCAATTCAAGATACTAGGGGGTCATCACTGCCTTATGTCCTCCATACCTGGCTGTTGTCGAATAGTGCTGGTTATATATTCCTGCTAAATTTCAGTAAGAAGTAAGCCTTCAAGCAATAATTTACCTACATTTATGATCCTGGCAAAACATGCCTCCGTATTGTCTGCGAGCATCAGCTAAATGTTGATTAGCTACGAAAAATCCTCGAGATACACACTCTCTTTGAGTTTCATGTTTTGAATGCAGTCCCGCACGCGGAACTTTTGTGCCATATGTGTGAGGTATCCCTCTGTCGCCGCCTCCATTGGTCCCTTCTTCTTAAACTCCTCAAGCCCGATCTCCTGAAGCCCCTGCTCGACATTGAACCGGAAGTACCTCTTTTCGTCAAAATGCTTAGCCCACCTGGCTATGAATCTTCTTTCCGTGTTTTCTGTCTCGGTCGCGATCTGTACTACCGTTTTACCGAGAAATTTAATTATATTATCCTCGAACGGCTTCTTGCCTGGGTTTCCCGTTCCGATCGAGATGAAGCACTTGACTAGCGGTTTCAAGTCTCCTGTCTCAGAACACCATATATTCGACGCCTCGCCCTCCACTTCGTCCACAGGGTTATTCGCGCCGAGTCCACCATCAGCAAAGGATCGATCCCCGATGCTAACTGGGTAAAAGAAGCTTGTGGCGGCAGATGTGGCAAGGGCGGCTTGGCATATCGTTGCACGGATGTTTGGCTCATGAGGGAGGCTGTAGCTTCGCAGGCGAACAATGTCCTTTGTATATCGGTCAGCGGTGCAAACGAAACTGGTCAGGTTAGAGATATCTCCCCGGTGTGAGGATCAACTTACGTCCTGCATCCACGTGCAGTGCCGTCTTTGGAACCGGTGTCATCGTTGAAAAGATCTTGCGCAGATGCACCACTGTCCTCGACAACCTTTTGGATCGCCCTCTCCAATTTTGCCGAATCGAACTTAGCCGTGATATCACCCTTGAAGTTGATAGGAATCGAGTGCATCTTCTCGCCGAACACTGCTGCCGCGAGATCGCTATATGCGGCAATGCACCTATCGACATCCATCTCGAGCCGACCGAGCATGATCGCAATCAGCCTAACTGTTATGAGCGTGCTGAACAAAAGATAGTAAGGGCTTGTGGTTTCACCCACCCACCGGTGCTTGTGCCCCCAATGAGGTCGAACACTTCGCACGGCTTCACCGAATAAAGCCCAGCCTGCCGCCGCGCATGATTGAGTCGATCCATAATGCTCTTCAGGATGTAGAGTGATGAGAGGCCGCGGACACCGCCGCCATCTAAGGACAGCAGGCATAGGCCAGTGGTATCGATTGGGTTTGGGTCACCATATCGAATAGTCGGTTCTTTCTGCATCTCTGAGCCCTATCTTCAGACCGGAGGATTGGCTTTTGGAAGCTGGGCAGGGGACTGCGCGAGACTCAAGAGTCACTGGTTCCAGTATGCCGGCCCGGACGTAGAATGCTGGGTGGGGCAGGCACGGCGCGTGGATAGGTCGATAGCTATGCACCTATGACTAGCGCACCTCATGCCAGACATATCACATCACTGAATCTGTCCATTCAGCTCCACCTTGTCATCGGCGGCAGTAGTCCCATGCACGTTTGTCACAAATGCGGCGTCCTCCTCTTGAAATGGATGTACAGCGCGTACATCCTCTTCATGCCATCTGATTTGCTCACATTTCCCCTTTCTTGGATGACGAGCTGTCAATCTTTCCGCCTGGGTCTAGGTCGCACAGCGAATTTTAGCTGGGGAGGCCTCTCACTTGGCTCAGCAAGATTCAACCAGATGGCGCCGGGCCGACCCGCCTGACCCGCGAAAAAATTCACGTACTCGTGTCCATGGTCAATGGGGGCCACATTGGTGACTGTTTGGTAAGAACGGTAATATGACGTCGAGACGCGCGGTCTTGCATCAAGATGTTATCTGTGATTCGCTAATGGCTTTTCCATCTCTCATAACCGAGAAGATTATCAAGGCTGCTGGCAGCAGCGCCCGTTTGACCGAGTGCTGTTATGTAGAGAAACATGAACAGATCGAATGACTCGAGTTCGAGTAAGAGAGGCAAGGGGAGCTGGGCGGATAGGCTTCTAGGCAGATCTTCTGCAAACAGAGTTAGAGTTGATATGTACCATGGTCAATAACGTACAGTATGTATTTCACAAGCGGATGGGCCACCTCCAAACACCATGGTAAATGCGACAGATTACAACATATTATCACATTATTCAAATGTTAGTGGTCTGTAGGGGATTTTCCTTGAAGTGTAATTTTTCTATATGATATCCTATCTCTTTCAAGGGGTTTGAGAATTTTTACATGACTTGGTGACTTGAATACATAAATGTGTTGCATGTATTTGGAGATGTTATTTTCGATATCGTGATATTAGAAGAGTTAGATATATTCGAAATTGAGCTCTCATAAATATCGATCGACAAGTAACTGAATAGAGTAAGAATGTGGTTGTTGAGATATTCGAGTATTGAATATCGCATCTACTATGGTGTCCGAGGGTGGCCCATCCGCCTGTAAAATGCATTATCTTATCAGATTTACTATTAGATAACTTTCATAGTGCTATGATATAGGATTTCATTAGTGATAACCTGTATAGAATATTCAATTGGCCATGAGAACTTTGACATTGGGTATTTTCCGAATTCGGCATTCGGGGAGTGACGGTATCAATTTAGGGAGTGACTGTATAACTTAAGGTCCCAGTGACTTACTAAGCAGATGGAGTCGTCCCCTTCCCCTAAATAGTCGACCATCAACCTTACGAAAGCTTTCTTCGATCAGAGTACGGACTCCTCTTCGCAACATAGCCCCAAGACTTCCCTTTCCAAAGTAACCCTTTTGTTTGCCTTATTTGCAGGATCAACATGTATCATTCTATAGGTCCCAAAGACCATATAAGCCTAGTATGGAAGTTTTATTTGTGCTGTTCTTTACAATTGTACTGGAATACTGCAAAGAAACGGGTCAGGGGCAGGACAACAATGAAAGGTATAGCGTGTTTTAAAAGAGGGTTCGAGAAAAATCTCTCTATGCAAATGGTACACCCATTTCGATCCATCCTGTAATAGCAAGTGCAAAGAGACATAATTGACGGCCTCAAACGCTAGATACCCTTAATGTATACATAAAATAGCTATGATCTGGAAGTTCTGTCTTCCAATCTCGACATACACCATTTTTCACATTGCGGAGAGAGGTATGCATTTTGAAATGTAAATTCACCGATCTAAATATCAATGTCGATATCCATATCCAGAGCAGCGATGTTCTCATCGTCGGTGTTGCGGTAGCTGATCATGAAGCCACCCTTCTTCTTTGGAGTAAGACCAGGGTTGGGAGTTGAGATCTTAGGGCTGGCTGTGGCAGGCTTGATATCCTTGATGTCGGTGGTGGTAGGTTCGGCCTTGGGCGCATCTTGTGGTTTATCAGAAAGGTCGTGGTGGGTCTTGGCTATAGTGCGCACACGCATGAACGGATCAGCAACGGCCTCACCACGAGCCACAGCGGCAGCGGCCTTTCGAGCAGCCTTGCGCTCCTCCAGTTGAGCACGGCGCACGTTCTCGTAGTTGAGCTTCTGGTTTCGCACGTTGATGATGTGAACGCGCTCGGCTTCACTCAATCCCTTTTCGACAATTGGCTTGTTCATGGTGGTACCCCATGAGAGGTTAGGATTGACGATGGCATCAAGTTCCTTCTGCAGCCTCTCGATTTCTTCTTCATTGCCATTAGTCTTGGCAAACTGCAAATCTTTCTCCAGGTCAAAACGTTTGCGAACATTTCTCTTCTGATCCAAGGCACCTTGTCGGCGGAGCTTCTCAGACAATTCTTCGGCGGTAAACTGGTGGTTGATCAGCCGGTTGATATCGGCGACCTTGCTGGCCAGCTTGCTCTGAGTGGCCAGCTTAACATCCTCAACGGCCATGGTCTTTCGATAACGGCTGTACTCTGACTGTTGAATAGTTAGCGCCCGAATATCGAACTCAGGTCCTTGATCTAAATACCTCTGTAATTGCAGAGTCCGAGCAAGCAATGAAGGGGAAGTCTCGCACAGCCTTGCCGTGGGCCAGCTTGGCGTACTGATCAGTGACAAATGGACGGCCATTAGATCCCTCAATGGCATAAGGCTTGCCTTTGTTAAATCCTGAGTAAAGTATTAGGATCAGATATTGATGAATGAGCGGTGAATGACAAACCTTCAATCAAGCAAAGACGGTAATCATTTTGGCCGGTCTCAGAGTTGGGCCCAATGTTGACACGAGCATAGCAGCCGGTGATGGCCTGTTCAAATCCAGGGTAGAAACAGACCTGAGCAAAGTTGGTGCGGCCCACACGAGCACGGTTAATGTCCCGAAGATCGGCAGGAGGGTCGTCCTTCGGTATCGAAGGAGAACGACCAACGCGGTCATCCAACTCAAGGTCACTTTCAGCCTCACCATCTTCATCTGACATATCGGAGCCAGGAGAACGGGATCGACGACGGGAAGATGTGGGGTCACGGCGACGCAACTCATCGCGCTTGCCCTTCTGTTCACGTTGTCGCTTGTAAGCATCGATGGCGGCAGAGGTCTCTCCTACTTTGCGGCCACCAAGAGTAGTCTTCTGGCGAGAACTCTTGCGCTGATTTTCATCGAGACCTGCCGAGCCGGCCTTGCGCTTGGCCTGCTTAGCCGCAGCACGCTTTTCCTCCCGCTCACGCGAAGCTAGCAGTCGACGCAGGGCGAGATCCTGGTTGTGTCGATCGACCTGTTGGGCACGCTCGGATAGCAACTCCTCTCGTTGGATCTCGGGCATTGCCATAATTTCTTGCTTTTCTTTCCCAGAGTAGTAGAGCTTATCGTAGGGGAAAATAGGGCGGTCTTCTTCATCGGAGCCTTCCCCGGCTTCCGAGTCAGACTCGGACATAGGGGCTGATTCAAGTGAGTTGTGAGACTCCGCATCGGATCTGGGTGGTTTTGAAGATATCAGTGGACGTATAACGAGATTTGGAAAATGAGCCGGACTTACACTTCACCATCTTCTTCATCATCTCTCACGGACTTCCGGGGTCGGCGAACCGGCTTGGCAGTGCCTTTGCGACCCATTGGAGAGTGATGTGGTGATCGGGAGGAGCGAGAGTGTGCTGGGGAGTCATCTTTATCCTCTGGGGGAGGGGAGTGTTCTTCATCTGAGCCACCAGCCAGAGCCAAAAGCTCGTCATCCAAATCGTCAGCCATAGTTATCAGTTACCCCAATAGGCACTTTCCAACTGAAAATCCCAATATCAAAACGTCCCTGACAATTATGGGTCCCTGTCAACCCTATAATTAACCACAAATGGTTCTTTCGTAGATGCTCGCTCCTGACCAGGAGGCGCAAAAGATTGAAGGCCGGGATCACTGGCACCAAAGTCACCAAAGACCTGTATACCCTTCAAAATAAGTAAGCCCAGTAGAAAAAGTCGGACTATACAAAAAGCGACAGAAAGGGCGTTAATTGGATGGACGTTTGAGAACTCGTAGCTTGTCTGTCGCAAAGTTGGCCTTTGTCGTTCATGACGTCCGGGTGCCAAGACTTCAAGCGCGCGCTTCCGCCAAGACACGCTATGCTTTTCGGCATCTTCCATTTCCATACACCCACTCCAATTCACAAATCCACAATGCAGTCCGTTTCTGCTTTACGAAGATGTACTCTTGCACTATGCAGACACCAATCACAAACTACCTCAATTTTCCTCGACTTTCTCGCCCCGACAGCTCTACCTCAACGCCGACATGCGTCAACCAGTCCGTCCAGCTCTAAGCCCCGATACGTCCTCAGCAAAAAGCAGCGCGAGTTCCTAGACGCCTCACTTCGTGTAAACCAAGCTGGTGAACTGGCAGCCACCCTCATCTACACCGCCCAAACCCCAGTGGTTGTTCGCTCACACCCGCACCTCCGGCCTTTGATGAAGCACATGTACGACCAAGAGGCAGGCCACCTCAAGACATTCAAGCACCTTGTCGCAAAGCACCAGGTTCGCCCCACTGCCATGTACCCCATCTGGGAGGGTGTGTCCACGTTCCTAGGCTGGTCAACTGCATCGCTGGGTCGCGAAGCTGCGATGGCATGTACCGAGGCCGTGGAGACGGAAATCGGGTCTCATTACAATGATCAGGTTCGGGAGCTTTTGTCATGGGAGGCTGATGCGGAGAGGCGTGGGGAGGAATTGGATGTCGAGTTGAAGGATATGCTGGCCACATTCCGGAGGATTCGGGATGAAGAGCTGGAGCATTTGGATCATGCGGTGGCTAATGATTCCAAGGAAGCTAAGCCGTATGACCCGTTAGTGGATGTCATTCGCTTGGGTTGCCGAGTTGCTATTAAAATCAGTGAGAAGGTATGACCTGGGGAGAGAAGGCAGGAGGTTTTGCACCCAGCTTTTGTTATATAAAATGTGCCATAACATGTAAATTAAATGTACAACTACCATTCAAATTCCAAGGTCTCAAGGGCCATTTACTATGAACAGGGTCTGAGTCAGATCTTAGACCATTGGTCTATTTCTCATATATATAGGTACCCATATGGAGGGGTATAGTCCCAGTAGTTGATCTCCACATCTTGGTGGCAGCTCACGGTATGTACAATATGTATCCACAACGCATCAACAGAGATATATGATCTGTCGAGACCACCCACCGTTCTATAAAGTCTATTTCCTTGACTCACGCTTTTACGTCCCCTGAAGCTAAATCACTCTGAGCCAGTCACATGGTCAAGGAAACCCTGTGAAAACCGCACAACCTGGTGATAAACCTCCTCGAAGCCATTTGCACCACCATAGTACGGATCCTGAACAACCTCACCCCCTCCGACACGATCATGCAGCTTCCCACCAGGACCAAAATCCCCAAAGAGACGAACCTCCGCAACCTTCGAATCCAAACCATGCTCCGCAAATGCAGCCTCAGTCGACGCTCGGGTAGACTTCGCCCCCGACTTGGCGTTTGCCTTGCGCTGCAATGACAAAATCACCGAGTCCCGAACATCCAGCAGATCGCGCAGATTGGACTTATCCATGGCTAACAGGTAGTCGAATCTTAAGAAGTCATCTTTGGTGACCTTCCGGGCAGCGTGCGAGTAGTTGGTGATGTTGTGGCGGCGGAGGGTGGACATGGTGCGGGAGTCGGGTGGCTCGAGGCTGTGATATGCGCCCGTACCGGCAGAATCGATTTCACCAATGGCGGGATGTGAATCGGCGAGGTTTCGGAATACACCCTCGGCCATGGGGGAGCGGCCTTACATCATTAGTACGGGGCGCAGGTGGTAGTAGCGGGGAAGGCGGGGCAGTGCACGAACAAATATTTCCTAGGCAGACGAATAGAACGCTGACAGGGCGTTCTGAAGAACCCATGATGAAAGAAAATTGGGATTCAACAGATTGAGTGAGGGGGGAAGGAGTTGTCGAGGATAAGAATTGGATGAGTATGAGTTAAGATATTCCTTATCGACTTATCGATATCGATAGGCTTGAACCCTTTAGCCTTACTTCTGCTCCACGCAGTAATTACAATGTAGTACATAATTCAATGACGTGTAAGTAAAATATCAAGATACTTGATACTATACATCATTTTACACGTAATCTTCTAAACTACTCCGGAATCATTTTGATGATATAATATTCATCTGCCTTAAAATCTAAAAAAAGAATAAAATCTCCCGCCACACGAGGCGCATGAAAATAACCATGGTGCTATGTGTGGCTGACTCCACCCGTGACTTTGTCGTTGGCCCAGTGACGATAACGATGTGGATTGAAGTTTACCCACTTTTACCTTTTCCCATACATTTGAATGCATTAAACCAAGGATCCTTTTGTTTCAGGAACTTAGGGCGCAATTTCTTTGAATTTTACTCTTTGTCTCACTCAGATTATAGCGCTTCTGCACTCTTTTTTATTCTCCGAAGTCTTCACTTCTCAGTATCAGCTTCGATTTGATCCACTTTGCGGGTCCATTACATGCACACTGATTCGCCTGCCAACCCCGTCATCTGCGATCGCCCGCTACGTAAACACCCAAACAAGAGGGGGGCAGGTCCTCTTCATTTCTTCATTCACCTTGGTCTTCTCTTCCTGAGTATCGTGCGACAAATCACTCCTGAGAATCCCTGCTCATTGCCTATTTGTGGCAGCGCTAAAAAGCGTGTTATTCTGAAACGACGCCGAGAGTTTAGATCCTCGGTCGGACTACTCTCTAACCACTGACGTTGGTCCTTGCCCACCCGCGCTCCTGGCGCAATCTCCAGTCAACCAGTCCTTGAGCTAGCACCCTAAGCGGTGGACTCAATTAAACCCGAACTCAAATTGCCACTACTAGAAAAGCGCAATGTCCTACAACCGACTAGGTTAGTTTCTCCGATTCCCCTTCACTGTCTCCTGCGAAACAACTTTTAGCCTTTCTTGCACTATCTTGCTGGTCATTGATGGTACATGCTTGCGCCGTTGTGGTCAAAATATAGCCCTTGAGATTCAAACGCCGTGCTCTGGAACACTGAACACAAACTAATATGCGCACGACAGATCCCTTTGGGGACGAGCATCATGCTCCGCTGACGAATCCCTCTTATGTCAATCCCTATGACCATCGCACTCCGTCGCCAGGCCATCGGCCCACATACCAGTTGGAAGACCATCCTTATGCGCCCCAAAGCCATTTGAACATGCCCTCAAGCGATCTCCTCGCTGAGCAACCAACTGTGAGCATTGCGCGCAGACTACTTGCTCCCAAAAACAACAACTCACATTAGTCTTAATAGTACTCCGTGGAAAATGTTCACAATTCCTATGGTCATCATGAATCCTATGAGGCTCACCACACCGAGCCCTATGGTTACGACTACGCTATCGACCCAGAAGCCCATCACGACGCCTACTACACTCAACCTTACCAGCCGACACATACACCCCACGATGATTACGATTTGGGTCAGTACCCCGAAGGTGGCCAAACCCCATTCGACGATCATGCTCCGTTAGTACAAGAGGACAACTCCTTTGTACCGGACTACGACCCAGAGCTCCAGGATGAGTCTCGGCCGACTCCTAGTCCCGCTCCCATTCGCCGTTGGAAGACCGTGAAGGAGGTGCAATTGTTCAACGGAAATCTCGTTCTGGATTGTCCCATTGCGCCGAAATTGCTGAGCCAAGTCCCGCACGCCGAGGCCCCGGGCCGAGACGAGTTCACCCACATGCGGTACTCGGCTGCTACCTGTGATCCCGCAGACTTCTTCGAGGAGAGATTCACCCTCCGTCAGAAGCTATTTGCGAAGCCGCGCCACACGGAGCTTTTTATTGTAGTGACCATGTACAACGAGGACGACTTTCTGTTCGCGCGCACAATGTCCGGTGTGTTCAAAAACATCGAATACATGTGTTCGCGCACTAGCAGCAAAACGTGGGGCAAGGATGCTTGGAAGAAGATTGTCGTATGTGTGATCAGTGATGGTCGTGCCAAGATTAACGCGCGTACTCGTGCGGTACTTGCTGGTCTTGGTGTGTACCAGGATGGAATCGCCAAGCAGCAGGTCAACGGCAAAGATGTGACTGCTCATATTTACGAATATACCACTCAGGTGGGGTTGGAGGTCAAGGGTACGCAGGTCCATCTGAAACCCCGACAGGGTCCTCCGGTGCAGATGATTTTCTGTTTGAAGGAAAAGAACCAGAAGAAGATCAACTCCCACCGATGGTTCTTCCAAGCGTTTGGTCGTCTGCTAGACCCTAACATTTGTGTACTTTTGGACGCTGGTACCAAGCCGGGTAGAGATTCAATCTACCACCTGTGGAAGGCATTCGACCTGGATCCCATGTGTGGAGGTGCGTGTGGTGAGATCAAGGTCATGCTTTCACACGGCAAGAAATTGCTGAATCCACTGGTGGCTGGACAGAATTTCGAGTACAAGCTGAGTAATATTCTCGATAAGCCCCTGGAGTCTGCATTTGGTTTCATTACTGTGTTGCCTGGTGCTTTCTCTGCTTACCGGTTTGTCGCCCTGCAAAATGACAAGAACGGCCAGGGTCCCTTGGAGCGATACTTTGCTGGTGAGAAGATGCACGGTGCCAATGCCGGTATCTTCACCGCCAACATGTATCTTGCTGAGGATCGTATCTTGTGTTTCGAGATTGTCTCGAAGCGCAAGTGCCGCTGGCTCCTTCGTTATGTCAAGAATTCGACTGGTGAGACTGATGTGCCCGACCGCATGGCCGAATTCATTCTGCAGCGTCGTCGTTGGCTAAACGGTTCTTTCTTCGCGGCCGTGTACGCCATCGCACACTTCTACCAGATTGGTCGTAGTGACCACAGCTTCATGCGCAAATTCGCCCTATTCATTGAGTTCATTTACCAGACGGTGGCTATGATCTTTGCGTGGTTCGGTATCGGCAACTTCTTCCTGGTTTTCCACATCTTGACAACATATCTGGGCGATGATGATCTTCTGGGAACCGCGGGTAAAGTATTGGGCATTGTCTTCGAGTGGCTCTACATGGCGACTCTAGTTACATGTTTCGTCCTCGCTCTCGGTAACCGTCCTGGTGGCTCTAACAAGTTCTACATGACAATGGTTTACTTCTGGATCTGTATCATGATATACTTGTCCTTCGCAGCTGTCTTTGTCACGGTCAAGTCAATTGAAACCGAAGTGGCCGAAAAGGACTTCACGATCAGCCAGCTCTTTACCAACAAGACCTTCTTCTCGATCATCGTCTCCCTCGGTTCGACCTATGTCATGTGGTTTGTCGCTTCGTTCATGTTCTTGGACCCGTGGCACATGTTCACATCTGTATGTTTCCCCTCTCCAATCGTGCTTCTTCCTAACATGTTCTTAGTTCATCCAATACATCCTGTTGACTCCAACGTACATCAACGTTCTGAACATCTACGCGTTCTGTAACACCCACGATATCACTTGGGGTACAAAGGGTGACGACAAGGCCGAGAAACTGCCCTCCGCGACCCTGAAGCCCGGCGGCAAGGTCGATGTGAATATTCCTCAAGATGATGGTGATCTGAACGCTCAGTACGAAGCCGAACTGGCAAAGTTCGCCATGAAGCCACCAAAGGAGGTTCAGGTCATTTCGGACGAAGATCGCCAGGCAGACTACTACAAGGGATTCCGTAGTGCGGTCGTGTTGGCCTGGGTATTCTGCAACTTCGCTCTAGGTGCGGTAGTTCTCAGTGCTGCTGGCTTGGAAACATTCGACACAAGTAGCAGTTCCGATGGTACCACCACAGATGAGACGCAGAATGAGCGATCCATGATCTACATGGAGGTTGTTTTGTGGAGTGTTGCTGGGCTGTCGATGTTCAAATTCATTGGCGCAACGTGGTATTTGATCGTTCGCATGGTAAGTTCCTTCCCCACAGTTCTGGTGAAACTCGCTAACCGCTTCCAGTTCCGAGGCGTTTGATTTTATCCAAAACATGTTTTTTATCTCGCCTTTTCACTTCGATTTTGTGTTTCAAAATATCCCACAACGTTGATGTTGATTGCTCCTGAACCTGAACCTTATATCACGGCAGGTCCGATCCGGTATAGCAAGGTTAAGGAATCATGTAATATGTGTGACGACCCTTTTCACGGCAGTGTTTTTTGTTTGTTTTTTTGCCTGATGTGATTGATGTATCTGATATGGTGTATGTTCTCCTATTTCTGTTTTCCATCGACCCTTGAAGCCATGCATTCGGGCATGTCACGAAATAATCTCATGTATGTGTATATGAGTTGGGTATTGTTTTCTTACTGTTCAGGCGACTTGAGTAGATATAGATGAAGAAATAACCTCGAACAATCCTGATCTCTAAAATCTAACTCATCTGATTCTTCGAATGCACACACAATGCAATCCCACCCAAAACCAAAACCAATCCCAACCACGTCTGCTTCGCAATAACCTTGCGGTCGACATACCACTCGCCCAGAACAGTGAACAAGAACGCACTGGAATTGGCAAGTGGAACAGTCAAAGACAATTCTGGCACAAATCAGTACCAACGACAAAAACATAAGCAGCAGGGAAAACTTGAACATACCATGTTTCCCAACCAAAAGGAAAAACCAAATACTCCCCGTCAAATTAATCACCAATGGAATCGAATAAGCAGGCGTCCGCAACAGATTGACAACTGTCCAGAAAATAGTCACAATCTTCCTCTTGACCCACGATCCAGATCCAGATCCAGAGGAGTTCCGCATCCACGCAGCAGTAGGCGTATCATCAACCTCCACTTCCAACTCCGCGTTCAACTGCCTCGCACTCTCATCCCCATCCTCTCTCTGCTGACTCCCACTCCTCCTCCGCACGCCCTCTTCTTCCGGACCGAGTATTTCCTGTCTCTCTTCCCCGCCTTCTTCACCCTGTGATCGTGATCTACCCCGTGTAGTGTCGGTTCCGGATTGTTTTTCTTGTCGGGCGTTGAAGTCTGCCGCGGCGCGTCGGATAAAGGGGGTTGTGAAGCCCCATGCTACGCCGACGAGGAGGAAGGAGAGGACATAGTTGAAGACTGAGGGGGCGGGTTCAGTGGGGATGCTTGCGTCGGGGTCCATTTTGTGCTCCCGACTGGCAAATTGTTGATGGTCAAGGTAGTTGCGTATGCAAGTGTTGCGCTATGCGTGAGCTGTGGTTAGTGGTCTGTGCGCGATAAGATTGCGATTGCGATTAGATAATGCTGCTGATATCATCATTGTAAGTACTTTTATACAGATTCGTGAACCTTGAATCTTGAAAGGCATTATACTCTAATATCAGCCATCGTGAGGGGCTCTTCCAGAGTCGACAATGGCTGGAGCAGCGTCTTAAACCTTGCTGTAGTAGCTCACATTGCCGCTTGTGTGATTAAGGGTAAAGGCCGTACTAAGGGGATTACGAAGTGCTCTTCGCGGGAGATCCCCTATCCTATTCCTCTCTCCTAAGTCACATCTGGTCTGTCCCCTTTGCTTACTAAGGCCTTCGTCTCCCGAAATTTTAGGGCCTAATAGGCAGAGGAATATTAATTATTATTCGTTATTTTTAAGCCGTTTTCAAGAGAGGCGCGGCGGTCTCCTAAGCGAAGTGAGCGTGGTGAAAAGGAGAATGTGGGCGGGCGGTGGATAGGCCTATCGGAACACCATTTCGATCTCATCCAGATCTGCCAGAACATGCTGCATTTTGACATCGTAGTCTGTGCTAATGATCTCCATCTTTTTATAAGATGCATTCAAGACCGATAGGCATTCTGGACTGGCTTTGTGTCGATATCAGCTCGTCCGGATCGCAGGAGAATACCAATCGGATGCCATCTGCAGTTGAACTAGGGGAAGCTCCTTGATTGTCAATGTTTCAGGACGAAGTAATTGCGCCACAAAAAACCGGTCCCACGTAGCCTAATCAAAACAGCGTTGATTTGGGCGGAGTGGAGCAGGTGAGGCTGGAATGATCCATCGATGGTATTGACAAATTTCAGAATCGCAGCGAGGTAACGGGGTCAATCCATATGACAGACAGAATATGAGGCGGTCATCTGTGGGTCTATGACCTATCCATAGTATGACAGTCAGAGCGGCAATGCGGGCGATGCGGGCAATCGGAGGCATTTACACTGATCGGCCTATCAGAACATCATCTCAATCTCATCGAGATCTCAGAATACTAGCATTTTGACTTTATAGTCTATACACACGGTCTCTATCTCCTCATGGACATTTTCTTATCTTCCCACGATCATCCTTCCTCATCTTCTTATCTTCTCCTTTGCTCCATCAGATCGTCAATTTCAATGTCAGTCATCACAAAGAACATCCCACGGGATGTGCAGGAGCTTTTCATCTACATCCCCCGAGCGCGCTTAATGTTTTGCACCGTATGTGAGGAGGCCGTGGTGGATAATGGGATCAACTACCACATCCACACAAAAGATCATCGGGACAATATACCAAGACAGATGACAGCTGCGGAGATCTCAAAGTGGTTCAAGCGGCACCTATTTCGTCACCGGAGGTTCCGTACGGTGCCCAGGATTCTAGGGGAGCACAGTCCGCTGCCTGGCATTACCGTGGTGGATGGCTTCCTCTGCAAGCTATGTGAGATCCTGATGAACAACGACAAGGCCATCCGGAAGCACTGTGTCGAGGAACATGGCTGGGAAAGCAGTCCTTGAGCATACCGACCGTGGCGCGAAGTCTGGATGCAGCAGTTACACAACAAGGAACCCAATACACGCTGTCGGGTCCCAACAGAGTCCCCTCCTGACACGGTGAGGGATGGGTCAGACGGTTCAGAGTGGAATGGGCCGGACGGTTCAGAGTCGACTGAAACGGCGCAACAGGTATGTTCTCTTCCACTGCGGCAGCGTGTGCTAATCGATCTAGGTTCCCATCGAAACGGTGCAGGTGGTGGCCGTGAAAATTGAATCGTAGTTGAAATGCAATCCAACATACTTCAAGTTTATATACCTTGATCTTACCTATTAACAGTCTCAGCAGCCATTGCTCGAATTCGAGTGGATTTCTAAGAGAGTTCACCACCTCGCAGTGGTACTATGATAATACAAATTCAAATACATCCACCCCGCTGTGAAAATCGCCGCCGGAGTCCTCACCTTATACCTAACATCCAACTCCTCTGCTTGTTGATCCCGACGATCCGCAAGCGGATCATCCCATCCCTTAAGTCTCAACCGCCCAACTTGCATCTTGATCATATGGATCAGCTCCGGAAAAACATAGTCGCGATCCACTGGCTCCCTGATTAGTTGTGTGCCCATCATGACGATATAATCTGTGCAACGTTCAGCTATCAATTTGTTAGTTTCGTCCATCGTGTCAGCTTCCTGCTCGATGAGGGCCTCGAGGCGGTTCTTGACTTCCTTGAGGTTGACAAACATGCTCCATTCTAGGTCTTTTTTGGTGATGTCGTTTGTGTAGACTACCAGCATGTTCAATTTTCTGAAGAGTAGTTCTCGCTCTTCGTAGAATCTGTCTGGGTTGGAAGGCATGGTGGAGGGAGAATGTATAAATTGTTAATCTCAAGATTTAGGTTGGATGGATGGACTCCCTGGAGTGGTGTTTGTAGGTACTGGCTAAGGGGAACATTCGACTTATATAGCCGAATCGTATGTTTGAATGCCAAGGTAGATAGATTCCACCTATCGCAGTTTGATTGATAGTACTAAAAATGGCTATTATTGAGTAACGGAAAGGATAAAGAGGTTTTCTGGCTGACAATGGATTGTATATTACAATAAGCTTCAAATAAGACATTGTTGCATATTCAAAGGTTTTATTCTATGAGAACAAATGACCGAGTCAAAAGAAGATCCGAAGGGGAAAATGTTAGAAATGAAAAGGTCAAAGAAATTCTCTAGCACAGACGAATGAACAAAGACAGAAGAAAAATGACGACAGTCAAAATATACAGTATGAACAATGAAAATGAAAGAAAGGGAAAAAGAGTGCAACAAGTCCTCAATTAGTTTGACTTCTTTGAGGGTGTGAAACGTCCAAGGCCCCTTTTGATACCTTCCATATTCCAACGCTTGACCCGGAAAAGATAGTAGGTCATAACAGCAATGAAAATATTGAAAATAATATAAGCCCAGAAAATGCCGTAGTTTCTCCAGCGATCACTGTAGTAGATGTTCGACCCAGCAATATATTGATCCGCAATAGTGACGGAGCAGTATTCGCAGCTGGAAGTCGCTGCCTTGTTGAGTACCTGGCCTCCAGCAGCGGTGGCATACTTCTCAAGATACTCCCAGCATGTCTGGCCAGAAGGAGGATTGAAGATGCTCAGTTCATCGTTAGAACAGACAACATGGCGTCCATGGACTTGGGTACTAGCCATAGCTCCGGTCCAGTAGGTAAAGGGCGAGACACGATACATGAAGATCCAGAAACCTGGTAGAGCGGATGGAGGCTGCATCACACCACAAAATGTGAGTGACATGGCGAAGAGCAGGACGACAATAGCGCTGGCTGTTTGCGCGTCTGGGAGGGCGGCGATGGCCATTTGTCCGAATGTGCCGGCGTAGATGAAGAATTGGATGCAGAGAAGGAGGACAGTGCCTTGGGTCAGGGAGCTTGGGATTCCTACGACTGCGTAGAAGTAGCAGCCGAAGATGAATATACCGGTTATAATCATGTATGGGATCTCAACGATGACTTGGGCGATTAGGAAGGCTTTCCAGGAGTAGGCTTTGCTGGGACGCTCGCGGACTTCGTAAAGTGATCTCTGGGCGACGAATAGAGGCATCAACTAAGGGAAGTTAGTATGGAATATTAACCAGAAGATAAAGCACTGACTTGTTGAACCAGCGAGGTGAAGATAGTACACAGCATGAAGACGGAGTAGATAATGGTCTGCATTCCCTGTAGAGATGTTTTTGCTTGGTAGAAGGAGAAACCGATGAACAAACCAGCAGCAATACCCAATCCCCACTTGGAGATAATATAAGAAGGCATGCGCCAGTATTGCTGGAAGACTCGGTAGGTGACTTGATACAGCTGGAACGAGAATGGCATGGCAAATTCGGTGAGGCCTTCAGGCGAGTTCTCAATCGGGACTTTCTCCTGTTGTTCCTTGTGGATTCGATCAAGTTCAACCTGGACCTCCTGACTTTCCTTGCTTCCTTTCCAGACATCGAACCAATTTTCACCTTGAGGGTTTGACCCGGCGTTCACAACATCAAGCATATATTCGGCAGGGTTCTCGCTATCTCCACAATTGCGAGCTCCGTGGAGCTCGAAGTAGTCAAGCAGGGTCCGCGATTGCTCACCAATTGGGCCGAAGTAGACTGTCTTTCCACCCCGGGCCAAAAAGAGGAGTTGATCGAATTCTTGGAACAGAATAGCGCTAGGCTGGTGGATGGTGCAAAGAACGGCTTGACCGTGCTCAGAGAGACGACGAAGGAATGAAACAATAGACCAAGAGCTCTGGGAGTCAAGACCACTTTATAAGCAAGTCACGTTAGCAGTTGAAATTTATAGGAGGTAAAGGATAAATCTTACCTAGTAGGCTCATCAAGGAAAAGAAGTAGCTTGGGCTTCGCAGCCAACTCAACACCAATAGTCAAAAGCTTACGCTGCTCAACGTTGAGACCCTCACCAGGGACACCGACAATAGCTTCCGCAAATTCTTCCATACGAAGCATGCGAATGACTTCTTCCACATATTCGTACTTCTCTTTGACCGAGACACTAGCAGGTTGCCGCAGAAGCGCACTGAAACGCAAAGACTCACGAACTGTAGCAGTTTCAAGATGAAGATCCTGCTGTTGAACGTACCCAGTCTTACGCTGGAAACTCTGATCCAATCCACGACCATTGACAAGCATATCACCTGTCACAACACCAACAGACGTGCGGTGTGCCAGCACGTCCAAAAGAGTGGTTTTACCAGCTCCACTGACACCCATGAGTGCCGTCAGGGTTCCAGGCTTGACCCAGCCGGCAACATTGTCCAAAAGCCTGCGCGGTTCACCTTTGATTTCAATGTCGTAGCAAACATCCCGCCAGGTAAAGATGTCAGTCTGGGGCTGGATAGCTCCCATTTCCTGGTTTCCATCTTGGCCAGAGGTATGCTGTACAGCCGCTTCATCGGTGGTCTCGACATCAGACTTGCTTTTCTTCAATCCGCGGCGCAGGTAAGCGGGCTCATGACCACGACGGAAAACCAAAGCCTCGGCGGTACTTGTTGTAGACGAGTTAAGCTCACAGGCGATGAAGTAGATGGCCATGAATCCGATCAAAAATGCACACAGAATTCCGAAGTTCCTCCAGACATGGGAGAATGTGTATCGGTAGTTCAGCCAGATATAGCGATCGCCGCTCACGGTCAGTTCTCCTGCTACCGACCCAGCTGTACTGCAAGAGAACGATTCACCAGACATGTCAGCGTAGGAAGGAACGAAGGATGAGCAAGGGAAGTCGCGTCCATGGAACTCGTTCGCAATCAAAATCTCGAACGCGTAGTAGATCGGGTTGAGATAATGGATCCATTCGAACCAGGGGTGCATAGAGGGGACCGGTAACACGAAGCCTGTATAGACGACCAGGGCTAAGATCATGACTCCGGCCAATCCCATTGCTTGAGAGACCGTCTTTGTGATGGCTGCCAATGTTCGGAAAACTGCACTCATAACAAATGTGATCATGAATGTAATGAGGAAGTAGAGGAAGAAGTTGCCCGCCTTTCGTTGGAGACCGACGAGGAAGTAAAGAATGATATTGAAACAGACTGCGAGAACAAATTTGACTGGTACGTCGGCAAGAACTCCTGCTATTGCCTCGGTGAAAGGATGGTAAAAGGCGTATGAATTGTGCTTTTCAATGATTGGTCGCTGTGCATAAAGGCTGTTGATTTCAGACATGGCCGTCAAAGCATTGAGGAGAACTGCGAAGAATAGCGCGGCGCTTTTCGAAGTAAAGCCGGCGGTAGCGTTGGGGGAGTCGTAGAAGGTGGAACCAATGATTAGAGCCATGATGATGTTACTGACCACAGTGGACACGGTTGAGGCTGCATCATTCCATAGCCGCTGATAAGCACGGACTGTGTTAAGCTTGATCTGCATGGGAATACTGATGATATAGGGAGACGTAGGACGGGTGTGCTGGGCTTGATTGTCTCGTTTCCTTTCTTGGAATTCAACAACAGCGGCAGCGTCATCCTTCACGGGGTATTTCTCCTCGTATGTGGCAATCTCAGCCATGAGCTGTTTATACTCTGACGATTTAAGCCAGGCATCCTCAAACTCTTCAGGGGTACGAGGGACTTGAGACTCCATACCGGACTTCGCTTGACGCTCATCTGGGTTGGTGATGGAGGTCAGAAAGTCACCAGTAGTTTGTCTTGGAGGGCAATACCATCCCTGCTTCTCAAAATATTCCTTGGCAGTATTTGCTGGTCCGAAGAACACCTGGTGACCCCCGTAAAGAACGATAACTTTATCAAAGCGGTCATAAATGCTCTGACTTGCCTGGTAAGCCGCCACGGCATGGGCGGAACCAGTAAGGTCCGAGAGTAATCGAAGGGACTCGACAAATTTCAAGGCTGTGGCCGAGTCTAATCCACGTGTGGAATTGTCCCAGGCAGCCAGAGGCGATGCAGCAAGTGCCATTTCGGCAATACTGACACGCTTTCGCTCTCCACCCGAAACACCGCGGATGAAGTCGTCTCCCACGCGAGTATTATAAGTGTGACTTAGGCCAAAAACGGCCATCACTATCTGCGCCATGTATTTTGCGAACTCGCTGCGACTCATTCCTTGGAATCTGTGGGATGGGGTACGAGTTGCAGCCGCGTGCTCCAAGGTCTGACCAACGGTGAGGTGAGGGAAATGGCGATCAACCTAGTAGGTTATGCAAGTCAGTATGTTTCTCATAAACAGAAAGGGATTGGTACGGCTTACTTCTTGATTGTAAACCATTTCACCCTTGAACTCTTTCATCATGCGGCGCTGAGGAATACCTGGCTAGATCAGTAAATGACATTGAGAGCTGAAGTAGTAAAGAGAATCTTACCATTGTAATTAATGACACTACCCTCACCCATCTCTAAGCTATGCAGCTCCCCCATCATTGACTTGAGCAAGGTACTGCAGCCCGCTCCAGGGCGACCAAGCACAAGCAATAGCTCTCCACTCTTAAGAAGGCCATTGAAGTCCTTGAGAATGCGCTTCCTGGGGGCCTTGCGGAAGGCCTCTCCTATCCGAAGGGGTGCTGTCAACATGGAAGATACCGTGTCTTGAAACTGTAACTCCGATCCAGATCCAAAGATGTTGAGGTCCTTGAACACAATACCCATCTTTTGGCCACGTTCCCGGCCCACGTCTTGCATGGCAGTGACAATCCATTTTCGCAAGTCAAACTTCTCGGATTTGGGGTCAAGGGTGGGATCTTGGGCGGCGGCTGATGCTACACGGTGTGTGGAACCGATCGTAGACTGTCGCCGAGACTGTTGGGTTGCTATACGGGTAAGAGTTTCAACCTCATTCGGGTCGTCTAAGCCAATTGGCTTATATGTGGTCTCTGAATCGTCATCTTCGAATTGGTTCTCTGAAGCCAGCTCTTCAGGCTTCTCGTCCTCGCGGAAGGAGGCAGACATGACTGCCAGATATTTCGGTATTCGGCGAAGTACTATAGAGCAGATACAGGGGCATAAGGGAAGGAAATGAGTACTTATTTAACCAATGATTCGCTCACTCGGCCTCGGATGAATTGCAACAGTGCCGGGGCTAGTAAACTTAAACGTCTGGCACAAACCAATGTAAGGTGACGTTATTTACTACATAACGGTTGACATCCCTCGGGGCCGGAATTGGATCAAGGACGGAGGATCGGTGTCCCGTTGTAAAGATAACATCGCTGATTGGCCTCGGATCTTACCAGATCCGGGAAATGTGGATTCCTTTCCCTTGAATGACTCCATAGCCTCGTCGATCTCTTATGTAAAGCGGACCCGTCGGGTTCCGCTGACTCATCGGATCGATTTTTTACCGAGATTGGCATTACAAGGTTGCTATAACATTTGAAATGGTCAGATAAAGAAACAAGACTCTTCTTTGGGTTTCGCACATTTGGATCTCTGTTGTCTGGTCGACCAGCCGCTTGCGTTGTGTTATACCACTACTATAACCTCTTGACTTTGAAGAACTGGTCCCGCTTACGTACTCAGCAAAATCTTAACTATATTTCTATCTTGATCTCCGGCGACGCCCAGACTTTACAACGGATTTCCATGAATTGTCTAATATGCCAAGATACCGAGGCAAAACTCGGTGCTTTGCCCAGAGCCCGACTTCCGGGTTGATGCCGATACTTTCAACCTTCCTGTATACTAGCGTATAGAACAAATCCAGCCATACTTATAGGCCAATCAGTCTACAAATCTTATCAAAATCGAATGAGATCCGTGCCGATGATCGATCGGCACCGGGGTTTTAGTTGCACCGGTCTTGATACGCACAAGCCCGACCCACAACCTTAGTGCACTGACCTTTATATTGTCTGGACTCTTTATTCAAGCAACAGAAGCCTGGTGGATGCTTGTCATTAATAGGCGCACGCGAATAGTTAGGCAGATATATTAGTGCCTTAGTGACAATTCGGGCTGAGAAATCTATACTTTCTCATATCCACCACAGTGGGCCCCGGTCCGCTGGAAATATTAATCCCGTTCTGACCTGCAAGAGCCGAGCGAGTTAAGGTCAGGGTCCCTTTCCAGGGTTCAAATCAAGAAATTGCCTGTCGATTCATTATTCAACATGATACTACACGTCATTTGATTATTTGGAGCGTATCGTGTCAGTTTTATGGTTATGTACGACTTGGCAGCTACGAGTAATATTGAGTATTGTTACTTTCGGCAATGTTAGGGGATGCCATGGTATGCTAAGTAAATGATCAAGTTTGCACCAGTAGGCTGGAAATTGTCATCAGAATGGCCGATGACGTTGGTAAATTGATATCTCTGGCCCGAGTCCATCGCACAATATTTCCCTCTCGGGATTTGTTGACAAGAAACGTTGAGTAGAAGGCTTTGATGAATCAATACGCCTGATGACTAGCCCCTTGCTCCAGACTTTCGCCTTCGTTCATCTGCTGCATGATCTTGACTCCGGAGCTTGCCCCGATCCGCACCGCACCAGCCTTAAGCATACGCAAGCAGTCATCTGCAGACCTGATACCCCCACTCGCTTTGACTAAACAACCATTGGAGCATATCTCGGCCACGAGATGCATCAGTCTAACATCCTGAACATTGGCCCCGGCCCCACAGAATCCCGTGCTTGTTTTAATAAAATCCACCCTGGCCGTACACGCAACGATAGCAGCGGCAATAAGCTCATCTCTGTTGAGCTGAGACGTCTCCAAGATGGCTTTTAGTTTCGTCGGTGGCGGTGCCGCATTACGTACGGCCATTATATCGTTGTAGACTGCTGTGTAGCCCCCGTCTTTGAGTTTCGGGTAATTGATGACCATGTCGAGTTCAGTCGCTCCATCAAAAATTGCATTTATCGCCTCTTGAACCTTCAATTTGGTGTCCTGCGTGCCCTCCGGGAAGCCTACCACGGAGGCCACTCCCGTGTTGGTCCCCTTAAGGTTGGCGGCAGCGCGGGCGACATAGTTCGGTCGAACGCAGACAGTGGCGAAGTCGTACTCTTTGGCTTCGGCACAAAGGACGTCGATTTGTTCTTCAGAGGCTGACAAGGCTAGGAGAGTGTGATCGATCAATCGTGGGATATTTAATGGGATTTGCGGTTCCGGCAATGATCTAGAAGGGATGCACTCTTTCAAATTGTCAATCAAGACCGCCCAGTCCGGGTCATTCAATGGGACAGTGGACATGCTGGGTTCGATGCTGTCTTTCTCGTCGGGGCATGCCACCAGAAAGGGTTACAGCTTCGTTGGAGGGGTGGGAGAGGGGTTGTCGTCACGTGAGATCTAGAGGCTCATAATTATGACGAACCGTTGATTCACTCGTGACACGATATGAGACCATTAGAAGTGGCGTTGAGGCTGACGTTGACAGAAGGCAGTTGTCGCTTGATGAAAGTGGCAATGGATGTCTCGTCCATCTTATCTTCTTATCAGATACTTGGTCAGCGACAGAATCATAACGATGTACAACGTGTATTAAGTCTGGCAATCACATGAGTCAAATGGCATAGTGTAGCATATCCGATACTCATGTCCATTCAATATCCTATCAGAAGTGCCTATGTCGTTCAGGCACAGCACAGGCAGTCAGTGTCCACTGAGAGTTGCCCGGAGTTGCACACCCATCAATCTTCTGCCTTTGATGCTTTACTTGGCCCATCATGTTCGCCCTCTTATTTACAGCTGCCACACTCCGGTCCTCGAACATCGTCCACCCGCCCAATTCGTTTTCCAGGTCCACCAGGGCCGCCGCCGCCGCCACCACCCCCACCCCCTCCACCAGAGCCATATGAGCCGGAGCCTCCACCGGTAGGACCACGAGATGCGTTGCGTGTTTTCGGCCGATGAATATTGAACGAAGAGTTCTGCGCGGCAAGGTATGGGTCCAGCTAGAATGGAATGGGTCAGTCAGCATTAGAAAAGCACAGGCGGCCAAAGAGAAATCATGATCAGAAGTTGCGCCAGGTAATGAAATAACCAGGGCTTTCATACCGAGAAGAAGCTCACGAGGTACAAGCCAAAGAAGACATAGACGCTCTCGAGGAATCGCGAAACGCGAACCGAGAATGGTGGGCTGTCGGTGTTCGACTGGATTAGCACAGAGCCTCTTGTGTGATTATTCATGTGCAGTGGGATCCCTTACCTTGACAAAACTTGCCCATTTGAGAAATAGGGGGTTTGTGGCTTCTTTGTCGACATGGTTGATATTGAAGTAAGGTTGAAGTTGATGAGTTGGAGATAATCAGGACACGATAAGGCTGGACCCGCTTCCCGATGTCACCTAATATCTACTAGTAGTCACCTGACTCAAGTATAAGTAAGTAGTAACTGTTTACATCTTCCTGAACATTTGTTTTTACTCATTACCTACATACCTATTACTTCTCATTTAGCCAGTTAATATATATTTTAGGTGGGGCACGATCGCAAATCCAACCACCACTCGTGTCATAGAGCTTCAGGTAGCTCTATGACACGCGGCGCCTGCCTAGGTGTTATATTATTTTCTGTACTATTCTACTTCGCCTCCTAATTAGTCTCCTACTCAGTCTCGCATTCAGTATCTTGCCCGGTACCCTACCCGGTATTCTAATTTCTTTGGTACCGGATTAGCTAAGTGGTCAAAGGGTTAAGTGAGGTAATGATATCGCCATTATGATCCTCTTATGAATATACCATCCTAAATACTTTATAATAGTAGTCATCGATTCTGGTGTTGACTACTACCTCCATCTTTACAATCATGGCTTCCATCAAAGTACCAATATACCAGTATAAAGGGAAAAAGGATTTCCTTGAGGTTTGGAACCGGGAGTGTAGCCAATCTTACATTTTCAAAATGGATGAGCGCACCTTCCAAAAAGATTTCCTAAACACCAAGGATAGAGATATGGCCAATTCGTGGAAGGAATATGACGGATCCTCTGGTAACCTTATCATTATGTCAGTCTCGAACCACATGAAGAAGCGGCCGGGGAATTTTCTTGTTTGTTCGAAATTGGGCTAATGACATCGCAAAGGAACGACTAATAGAAGGAAGTCAGATGGAGGATGGGGCCCTGAGGAGCTCCGTGAATGGCCTACAATGGTTTTGGGCTCTCCAAAATCATACACAGCGGAATAGAAAGAAAAGAGAGCGAAAGAGAACAGAAGAAAAGTGAAGTTAAATGAGAAGGGGGAGAATTGAAAAGTCAGTTGGAGGTTTTGAATGTATGTCCTGTCCTACCCAAGTAATAGACCGGTAGATTTGACATAGCATGTGCATGGATGTAGAAGCAAGCGAATATTGCTCTACATCATATTTGAAAAATCAATGTGGCATTGTAGTGCCTTGAGTCTACCGACACTAAACTCGGTGTTCTACGTGCCAAACCGGGCGTACCGATCCCTGCCCCTTGAAGTACATCGTAACAGGAAACGAGGACAACTTCCAAAGTGCATGCAGCACCCAAGCGAGCCGCTTTACACAGATCTATAATTTTTTCAATGCCGAGTGCTCCAGGTCGACCATTATTGCATTCACCACTGAGACTCTCTGCCTCCTATCAACCATACCTGACGTTGTGATCACTGATATTTATAACTACCGTTCACTTGTTATATTTTTCAGGCTCCCGTTGTTTTTGATGAGTGGGATAAATGGTCTCTCGACTGGCCTGTCTTCTTAGCGAAGATGCTAGCTAGCACGATTGGCAACGATAGAAGCACAAATTGCCGATCAAATATACAAGGATGCTGAAGCGAGGCAGTCTATATAAACGGAATGGAACGAAACAGCGACATGTTCAACATAGCTGGCTCTACCCAACTGCTGGAACAATTTTATATGGCAGAGTAGTCGGTGAGTATCTACTCTCTGTTAAGAACGCTATTACCCAAATATTAAAATTCAATAGCCCGACCTCTTCGGCCTGGATTCCAATACTAATTCCATCATTGGCTCAACATCCCACTGCGTTCAAACAAAGGATGTTCTCAGCCAACCGTAGCTCCACGATCTGCCTGTCACCTCTGGCTCGTACCTAAACCCCCCCCCCCACGTCGTTGATTGGGTAATCTCTGTGTCGGACTCGAGCACTTGTCAAGCTTGCCCATTATAGCCCGAGTACAGTGAATCTCACCGTCAATATCGATGGAGTGACGTGTGTTTCGCTCGAGATGCTCTCTGAAGGTGAGCTTGCTGATAACTATGCACATGATGTATCGATCACCACGTCCATAACGCATAACGGGTATCTCCAGATCAGGCAGCTTTACGGTGGGCTGGCCAGTTTGGGCCATTGCTATGTTAGCAGTATCATGAAATCGCGTGACCGCATTTTGGCCGCAAGTTTCCCCTTGTGGAGGGGATCTGGAGCAAACATTGAGGACGTCATGGGCAACAAATTCTAATAAATACAAACGCCCATGGGCTTGCCACACACTCTTGTTATTGTATGTACGCAGTGCCCTCCGCCAGGATCCTCCTACTTAAACAGCTAAGTAGTTTTTGTTTGCAAGCTCTTCTTTTCCTAAGTGCAACCATCACTCTTCTCTTCATTTCAGATATATTTCGTCCATTCCACTCATCTGAGTTTGTAAGGCAATCTATCAAAATGGGGCATCCCGAACACTGTGACTGCTGTCACTGTCAACCGCCTGCCGATTTTCGCAATCTTCCCGGGGCGGAAGAACTGCGGCACCTTCGACCAGCTACAAAAAGGAAGAAGATCTACGAGAAAGTGAAAGAACAGGAGTATCGCGTGCTAAGAAGAATCAAATCAGCACCTGAGGCACTTCTCTACCTTGAAGAGCCGAAGAAGGCATTATCTGAGGAGGACGAGGAAGTCAAAGCGGTTATTTTGGATACAATTGGCCGCTTCGAGAAAAACAAAGTAAATTTTACTACTGCGGAGATTCGAGTCGCTTTGCGTGAATGGAATAACTGGGAGAAGCAAAGTAGATGTCCACCCTCGTCTCTCTCCAAGTTTTTGCTGTGTGCTCTTGTTAACTTCTCCGACTCGGAGAAGTTTCAAGAAGAGGTCCGCAGTTTAATGGATCAGGGGGCAGAAAAACATGATTGGAGACGGCTTATGTTCGAGACTGGACAGCCATATGCTCGGTGGAAATCTCATGTCAAGGGAAATCCGGACGCATACCTTGTCCGTTTCTTGCGTGATGGAATTGCCGATCTTCTGGATATCTCGCGGAAAGAAACCTCCCATCAGGTTGAAGAGGCAGATGGTTCAAACCAGATGGCGGGTCGTCTTTCGGACTGCGAAGTCCGAAAAATCATGCAGCGCAATAATGAGCACGAAAGGGAAAAGTATCCTGTGATTTTCCATGAATTCAAGAGCGGGGGACGCCTGGGGAAAGTATGTCCTCCCTATTGGCCGGTTGCTCTGGCCACTGATGAACAAAGCCGTCGATACCTTTCTGACGAGCAACTCGATGCAATTTTCCCGCGGTGGGATCGTATATTGACAAATCCGACGCAGTCAGCACAAAATCGCAGGACTTGGAGTGGCTTAGGGGAAGCTCTCAGAGTTTGGGTTAAAAATGAAAGGGCTAAGAGTGTCAGAAATGGGATTCGTTCTTGGCCTACTCCAGCTTCCCGCGACGATGGTGACATGGGAGATCCGAAGGATCCCTCCCAAGTCTGGACGACAGTCACGAGGAACGCGGCCTATGAACCTACCTCCCAAGGCGATAGCAACGATAGTCGAGCTAGTACACCCGGGCGACCAAAGGATGAGCAGCTGGAACTTTTGAAATCTATGGTTGAGGAGCTCAAGAAGGGTGTGACGAATCTTGGAAGAATATGCACGATATGCAGCTCGACAACAAAAAACGTCGTCGAAGCCCGACACCGGATTCTCGGAATTCTAGGGCTCGGCTTGGCTCGTCACAGAGTGACGAACAGAATGTTGAACCTGTCCAGGCCGATAATGACGCGGTGGAAGGCAAGTAAGATACAGTGGGATTCGGTATCTGATGTTTAACAAGAATGTTGGAATCTAGGTTTCGACTTGCTGTTTTGATCATGTATCTACTTGAGGACTTGCTCGTTGGTGTTAATCCAGAATGTCCAAATTGCAAAATGATTGATGTATGAGAAATGCAAGTTCACTCAGCGCCAGGCTTGATCATAATCACGTGCCGGAGCTTCCAGCTCAAGGGCGGAACACCCCCAAAGCTCCATCATCATCACCGTCATCTTCTGCCTTATTACCACACATTGCTGATTTTCTGATTTGCATTGTCATATAATTCAAGTCGCTTTATTCTTCATTTCTTAGACTTCTAGAACCCCCAATCACCCACCCGTTCACTGTCGTCATCATGTCCCTGTTGAAGCCTGAGAAGGACTTCTCCAAGGACGCCGACAAGCTGATTCCGGAGACAGAGGCACTCGCCAAGGTATGCCCTCAAATCGATTGTTTCACGCAGAAATAAGCTGACCACTTTCTCCAGACCGATGTTCAGAGTGCGATCGATAAGCTGTTGCTGTTGGAGAAGCAAGCACGACAGGTACGTTCCCGTTTCCCCGTGTTCAAACCATCCAGCTCCACGTTAACGCACACCTTTCTGGGAAAAAAAAATTAGGCTTCCGATCTTGCTACTACCTCGCGCCTCTTGATCGCCATCGTCACCATCAGCAAGAACTCCGGCGACTGGACCCTCCTCAACGACCAAGTGCTCCTGCTCTCAAAGAAACATGCCCAACTCAAGCAGGCCACAACGCGCATGGTACAGGAGGTGATGAAGTTCTTGGATGATACCCCGAACCTGGATGTCAAGTTGTCTGTCATCGAAACTCTACGGACGGTCACCGAGGGAAAGGTAAGTTTGAGTGATCCGTGACCATCTCTTGGCAGCACTGACCGGTGCAAAGATCTTCGTCGAAGTCGAGCGTGCCCGCGTCACACGAATCCTTTCGAATATTAAGAAGACGCAAGGCGATATCAATGCGGCGGCGGACATCCTATGCGAGCTGCAGGTGGAAACATTTGGGTCGATGACGAGACGGGAGAAGACCGAATTCATTCTGGAGCAGGTTGCTTTGTGTATTGAGCGTGGCGACTGGACACAGGCTTCGATTCTGATCCGCAAGATCAACAAGCGTTATTTCAATCGCAAACCGAAGAAGAGCGCCGAGGAGATTGAGGAGCTCAAGAAGCAAGCGGAGGAGCGAGAGAAGACCCGTGGGCCGGATGAGGCTCCCATGGAGGTGGATGATGATGTGACTGATCTCAAGCTGCGCTACTACGATCAGCAGATTATTCTGGCAAACCATGACTACAAGTACCTTGATGTCTGCAAGCACTACCGAGAAGTCCTGGACACCGAGGCAGTTGAGAACAACCCGGAGCAGCTGCGCGCGGTAAGTCCACAGATTCGTAACACAGCAGGTCTATGGCTAATCTGAAACAGTCCCTCGCACGCATTGTCTATTATATTGTCTTGTCCCCCTACGACAACGAGCAGTCAGATCTGCTGCACCGCATCCAACAAGATTCGCGGCTATCACAGGTTCCTGAGGAGGCCCGTCTTGTTAAGCTGTTCACCATTCCCGAGCTTATGCGCTGGCCCATGGTCTCCGAGCAATTCGGTCCCCACCTGTGTGGCACCGATGTGTTCGATGCCGAAGCCAAACAGTCCACTGAGAACCAGGCCAACCGAAGATGGCAGGATCTGCGCAAGCGTGTCATCGAGCATAACGTGCGGGTAGTGGCTAAATACTACACTCGCATCCAGATGGGCCGACTCACCCAACTTCTGGACCTGACTGAGGAAGAGACGGAGAAGTACATTAGCGATCTGGTCACCTCCAAGACTATCTACGCTAAGATTGACCGGCCCGCACGGCTGGTCAATTTCGCCAAACCTCGGGATGCGGATGACGTTCTGAACGAGTGGAGTAGCGATATGAAGAGCCTGCTCGGTCTTCTGGAACGCATTGATCATCTCATCACCAAGGAGGAGATGATGGCTCGCATCCTGCCGACTCGTGGTGACAAGCCCAAGGCTCGTTAATTGTGATACTTGGTAGGCTTGGGAAGTTGATTGCGGGAATATCTGCCTATGTGTACAATATCTCGCCGGTAGACCCTTTATGAAGAATCCACTACCCTAGTGGCAATGTCTATGTAGTGTTCCAGTAGATGAATTCTGATGTCAGGAGTAACGGCTGGACTAGAGAGAACGCCAGCATTTGGGCGAGTTACATTGACGCGATCTTAAGTTGCTGCTAACCTAAGAGAGATGTGTTTTACGAAAGATTATAGTGAAATGTGCGAAAGCGTAGTGCTACATTTTAAGAACGTGAAGAGTGGCTACTGATGCATAGTAAATGTCTGCCAACACTGTATTTCTGCATGATAGATTAAAGTGCAGCCATGTGAATTTCCATAGATCCATCAGTTACAAGACATCCATTCTTCTCCATAGAAACATCAACATCCATTAGCCTCCTCAGGCTGCACTGCCCACAATCACAGAACTTACCGGCAAAATGCAACCGCTTCCAAACCCCAGTCAGCACCTGCCGCTGTAGAGCATCACAAGCACCAAAATCCCCAATCCGCGCCGAGGCATCCATGGCATTGGCTGACCTATCGGAGGCAATAGTCATATCATCTCTTCCAGTCACAAGGGTTAGTCTACCGATCTGGATACTTACCATGCGCAGAATATGAGCCAGGAAGCCTGGAGCAATATTCACAAGGTACCGGTCTCCATGGAGCATCTCAATGGTGTCCAGAAGGATGTTGATAATGCTGTCCACTCTGGTGCGGAAGCAGAAGGGCTTGCGGGTGCTCCTGAGAATTTCAGGGATCAGGAAATTCTTTCCTATATGATCCGTGAGTTTGATGAGTCTCTGGCTTAAATCATAGCTCTTCAGGTTGCGGTTGTTTTGGACGCTTTGTTCCCAGCTTCTTAGGGAGTTGAGGTAGTCGCTGCGCAGCTTGGCAAATCTGACGTGAATGTATGCTGGGACTGGGATAGACATCGTTATTAGCGTGGTTGGTGTTTTGACGTGCCTTGAGGTTGTGATATGTTGAAAGGGTTTGGCTGGATGAGTGTGAAGGCAGATGGTGTGGGAGATGATGGTAATATTGGCCAAGAAGGTTGCCCGATCTTATACTCGAGGAGCATGGAGGTTGATTACTTGGTCTAACATATTGACAATTCTGAGATGCTTTGTCTATATACAATGCAACAAAGCCGAGGACTTCATTGTCGAATGCAAATGATCTGTTGTTAGTGTAGAAAACGAAACCGAGACCGACAAAACAAAGACTCGACCCGAGACTTTCACCAAGCCTCGATTTCGAATAAAGATCTCTTTATATGCAAGTCAGACACAATGTCTATGTCTCAATCCAAGAACCCAGTTGTAAAGGGTAACGCTCAGAAGCAACTCATCTAATGAAAGCAAATGTGGTATACGCGTAGGCGTCTCAAAATGGCACAACCATATCATTCACATCCTCTTCCTCAATCGCCGTACCATTGGCAGCGCTCTTCTCAACCTGTTTCCGAATAAACTGCACAGCAGCATCCAGATAAGGCCGCTGACTCGGCACAAAGTGACCACCAGGATGCCAAACCACCGATCCATCCTTCTCCGGATTACCCACACAAGCATGAATCAGCGCCCGACTCCTCGCATCATCCACAACCGCATCCAAAGACCCAAGAACATGCAACAAAGGCGTCTGAATAGGCGGGTGCTCATAGAATCCACGATACCGAGCCCCTGGCGCCCGGAATCCACTATAACACACCGCAAATTTCAACGGCGGATGCGAGAATCCTACCGCATCACCGAATGATGCAGGGAAGGCAAGCCCCTCCCCGCTAGTTTCGAAATGCGCAAATGCTTCTTTCCGCCCTGGCTCCAATAGCGCAGCCACCATGCCGGCCAATGCGGCTCCCTGCGAGAACCCAATCACGCCATCAAAGGGCCCTTCCTCGGTGAGCGTCTTGGCGACCGTTGCTAGACCGTCTTCAATCCCGGAGTATAGGGGTGGGTTTGCGGTGTTGGAGCGGCGCCACCAGCCGTATGATTCTATTGGTTCGTCGGGATCGACGCTGGATGGGTTGGAGGGCTCGTAGCCTGGGATGTCGCTTGGTTTGAGGTGGATGGGACCGGTGGGGTAGCTGGCTGAGACGTCGTGTAATGGGAATGCCTTTTGGATGTGTTTGATCAGTGCACGGCTTTTCGCATGAAATAGATTGCCCGACTGTGTGTAGCCATGGAGCATGAGGATTTTGAGGGGCTGACGCGCCGCGGCGGATGTTTTCGTCATTTTTGTCGCTGTAATCCGTATTGTGCGACTGAATTGAAATCTAGTATGTGATCTGAGGCTCTCAGATTCTATATGAAGAAGCAAGTGGAAGTTCGAAGACTTACCCGGGTCTAACCCCGATAAGAAGTGATAAGCAGGTAAAAACAGCCCCTCGGCGTCACCGACAACAAACTACTGACTTAAACTTGAACCTGACCTTGGACTTGGACTTGACTTGGACTTGGACTTGACTTGGACTTGGACTTTTCTATTTCTCTTTCAAAATGGCCACTCAAAACAACCCCGCCCAGGTTCAGCAGCTTGAGGAGAAGATGACAGCGCTGATTGAGTACGTCTTACCTTTCCATACTTCCCCATAGCCTTTGTCGTCATCCTTCCCGGCCATTCGTGAAAGAGAAAGAAATCCAAAATCCCAGAATCCCCGAAACAACCCTCACGGAGGAAGTAAAAGACTCGACAATATTTATTCAATATAACAATTTAGGGCGTTCGAAGCACATCCCCAAGTCCAACCGCCAAACCCACACCCAACAGCCTTCTTCCTCCTAGACTTCGTCCGCAATTCGCACCGCATGCTGAAGTCCGTCGACGCCGACAAGTACGCCTCTGGCGACAGCGCCGCCAATGAGACCATGAAGGAAGTCATTGGCCGCAACCAGTTTGCCAACTTGCTACTCAACGACTCAACCGGCAAGCTTTCCCTCATGACCGGCAGTGACCCGTCGAATCCAATCGATTTCGGACCAGATATCAAAGCCAAGGCGAAGGCTTTGAACTAGGCCATTGATCTGTTGTTTGTCTTTGTATTTCAACTTGACTTTGCGCCTTTTGCCTTTGATTCTTGATCTTGTATCCCTTTGCTTGCATGTCTATGGATGTTTGGATGCCTTCCCAAGGTTTCACTGGCTTCATTCGAATGCTATTCAGCAAGCGGGATATATGTTTTCTGATTGAGTTGTTACAATCTCAGTCCTATGGGCAAAGGGGAATGTATCCTCGTTCTTGGGTATTTTTCGTGATGACACCCTTTGTTCTGTGGTATCGTCATCTTTGATGAATATGTCATTCGTTTACTATGTACTACCAGAGAGAGAAAAAACGTCATACTTATTGAATTTGCAAAAATAATGTATGTAAAATGCGCAAGACTTCCTAACCAGATAGACTCCGTGCATCTAAATTAAAAGCTACAATGAAATCTATCGTTTTCAGAGCTTCCAACAAGCTCAAGATTTATACACCTCCTGGCAAGATGAAGAATATTTCAACCCGGCACACACGGCGCATCGTAGACCCTGAGAATTCGCCATCAAATGATGTCATATATCGACTCGGTTCCTGGCTGTACGCAGGTGGGATCAGCACTAAAAACCGTACGTGCACGGTTACGTAGCCGTCTGGGAGTGGGGAACACGGACTGTTTCTGCACGGGCGGCCTTTGTGTCCCCACAGCTGGGTGCGGTGGAATGCCTATCCGGGCAACGGGTAGGATCGGCTGGGCCTCCCCTATGATTTATTGGATATTTGTGTTTTTACATAAGGGCTTGCTAATGTGAGGGGTGGGGCGGAGGTTTAGGGTTAGATGTATGGAGACGGGAAGGGGGGGGGGCGCTCGGTGTGGAATGGGGAGTGGCTTGATCTTGGCCTTAAATGGAGAGTTATGAGTTGTGGTCTGAAATGGTGGATTGTAACGGCTTTTAGGGTTGATGGATACAGGGCTGCTCGTGTAGATCAGGTCAAATTTGATCTGAACATGGGTCGGCGATGACAGGTTTCCCTTGGGTACTAAGCCATTGGGGTGACATGGGTTGAAGAAATAAAAGTTGTACATCTCCAGGTATAGAGGTTGAGGCTCAACTAAACTACGAGCTTACAAGTTCCAAACTGCGAGGACAAGGTATAACTCAGATTGAGTAGATACACTCATGCAACAGAAATATAAACCAGAAATCAAATCAAAACATGGCACAAGTCTGACAAAGTGCCTTCGTGCCAGATATCCGGAACTCCCTGAGCTGGATGCTGCGTGTTGCTTTTTTTTCGTTTTTCGGTCGAGTGCTTTTGGGGGTTGGCGAGGTATTCCATCTTCTATCTGTCATCATTCGCAAAAAAACAAAAATAAAACAACGCTGTGATTTTAAGAACAAGCCTGAATCATCACAGCGAGAAAATTGCAAGGAAAAACGGTTAAACAGAGAGACACGACGGATCAAGCCACATTCGATATCCCATTTTTGGTGGAAGAGTAATAGGTGTAGGGAGTAAAAAAAGGAAGTACGTTTGGAATCGTATCATATCATTGCCTCCTCAATAGAAGTAACCCCACGGGCTCAAACGGTATCGAATTCTCGACCGGGGATCGTTCATTGAGAAAAGGAGTTGATTTGGTATGTGACATTTTTCACGGCGGTCTCTCGTCGAACCGAACCGAAGTAGTGCAAGGTCCAAAAACCAAGATGTGGTATTTTCATCCCCATTGCTCCATGCTATTCCCCACTGCGCATTTCAACAAGACAAAATAAGAAAAGAAGTTATTTCGTAGCGTCTCGTTTACTTGCGGCGGAACGAGCAGCCCTCGGTCAGACGGGCCTTACCACCGGTGGGCTGGCACAGAACGGTGGAGCAGCCGGCACAGATGACAACGGTCTGGGCGTGGGAGAAGACGGTGGTGATGGTGAAGCAGCCGGGGCACTTAACGTCCATGAAGAACGAGCGGGGCTGGGGCACAAGGGTCTATCCGGAAAACTGCGTCAGCATTCTGTTGTATAACAATCCGTCTCTTGATTCGGGTTGGTTTGGTTGTAGGCTCTTTTGGCTTCGAAGGTTCGATGTATCCGGCTTGTTGTCCCCAAATCCATCTTCACCCCGTGGACCACAATACCCATTTCCGAATCGAGAAGTGTTCGTGTGCGTGTCGGGATTCCGGGGAATCATACCTTGAGCTTGTGCTTGCGGGCCTCAGCCTGAGGGGTGGGGTTGAGAAGGTCGATCGCGAGAACCTAGATGAATATCGATGATTAGTGAAGCCGTAAATGAAGATTTTGATGGAGATGTTGATTCTGGCCGAGTCTGCCCAGGCTTTTGGTGCGGGAGGGGCTGGGAAGTCGAAATCGAGAGGGGAAAAATTCAGATCGAGCGAGAGCGAGCGCTTACCATCTTGGCGATTAAAGATCAGCGAGGGTGTTGATGAATGGCGCTGATGGCGATGGCCTTGTGTGATACTGAAGGAACCCAGGAGAAGTTTGAAGGGATTTGTCGAATGGGTCCGCTCTAGGGTTATAACCCTTTACAACCCTCGCTTGCTTGTCTCGTTTTGGGGGAATTTCAGTGTGCGGCTTCCGCCAATCAGACCGCCTGGTTTTGTCCACCCAATCCTGTTCCACGGTTCTGCCACTAAGACCCAGATTAAGTAAGCATTGTCACTTGACTGCTTTCCCGCTCGAGACAAGTATTTACTTTCTATACTTCCAAGCTTCCCAGTCAATCATTTAAAACGTCTCACATTACACTCATATTTCTATACACTCGGAGCAACCCGTGTTCAAAGCTATGTACTTGTTGAAATCAAAATCATTATCTCAGATGTCCTTTCTCTTCCCCAAACCCCCGGAATTACATCACAACCGACATCCCCGCACTTTCGCCAATGGATGAGCTATACCGGTCGTGGTGATCGAGGTTGAGCTATGCTTCATACACGAATCCGGAAACTCTTACATCACTGCACGTCAAATTGCAGCGTTCAAATCGTCTTTTTTGAAGCACCCTCGACCAGCGCCTTCGTCGCCGATCCGTTCTTGTGCTCTGTTTCTTCGACGAATGGGTATTTGATGGTTAGGCACCAGATATCGATGTAGTCGCAGATTGTGGTGATCACATCGAACTAGAAGGAATCAAATCAGCAAGATACTCGGGGGAAAATTCAGCATCAAAACGCGACAGAATACTCACCACGAAGCTTCCGTAAACGCCAACCGCGAGACCGAGACATCCAAACACAAACATGGTCTGCCCGTTTCCTTCACTAAACACGGGCTCCGACCAAAGACCGACCAACGGGGCGGCACTGTCCAGCACACCGAGCGCCAGCGGCCACAGCAGGATGTTCTGGTAGGGGAAACCAGATTGCACCAAGTGACCAACGATAATGCGGCCCACGGAATAGGCATTGATCAAGCCAATGTACATTCCAAAGACAACCGTGTAGTTTTCTAAAACAGCCGGGTTCAGGTACAGGTAAGCGGGGACAAGAGTCCAGATCGCCACCAAGGGCAAGAGGCCACACAGCGGCGCAATAGGATCCTGACCACGCTGGCGACGCACCTGCATAACATGCAAAATACTTGAACCGACGGCGAAAAGGAGCATAATCGCACCGTACACCAGGTACCACTGCGTAAAAGGCATCTCATAAATCTGCTGCGAGATGAAGCTGGGCTTGGACACGCCAAATGTCTCCAGCATGGGTTGGTGCCAAAAGCTACCACCACCCATATAGGCCGTGAAGGCGTAGACGGTGCAAAGGGTGAGAATACCTTCAACAGGACCGGAGATGACGCCCAGAGTCAAAATCTGGGTGTAGTATTCGTCCCAGGTCTGCACGTAGAAAGTCATAGTTGATCCAAATAGACTCAAGATCGTAGCCCATGACTGGCCGAGGTTCATAGCCGCCGCAAAGATCAAAACACCCAGTCCGGTGTTGCATGCATCGACGCCTGTTCCTAATCAGTGCGTTTCCTATAATTCATCGTGGAAAACCTACTGTGATCAAATAGTTCTCCCAAAGGTCCACTCTGTCTCGTTCTCCGTCTGCAAATAGATCAGCAAAGCCCTGTCTTTGTATATCCACGATAACGTACGCCTGCATGCCATCTACGGCATCAAAAGTCTGGTACAAGAACAGGCCCAACGCCAAACTCGCGTACACCCACGGCGGACAATCCGTATCCAGGTTAGGATTGTACCACATCACCGTGATGAAATTAATAACCACGAACATGAATCCGGTAAGGGTAATCTAGCAAACATCAACATCAATCGTCCTCAAAGATATAGATCCCAGCACTTCATTTCATTGCAGATGAAAAAAGTAAGTAGATCCGACGTAGATAAACTCACGGCATTAGGACTGTACGCAAAAACAGATAGTCAGTCAGCTAAGCGCAAATAAATTTATAAATAAACCCCTCCAAACCTGACTGTTCTGATATGCATATAGATACAGCTTCAAGGAAGCAGCTTCTCCAAAACCCAGTCCAGTCCAGTCCAGTCCAGTCCAGTCCAGTCCAGTCCAGTCCAGTCCAGTCCAGTCCAGCAGGAAAGAGAAAACTCACGCCATCCCCATAGGAAAACACCCGATAACACATTTAGTGTAGAACGGCTTCATGATGTACCGACTAACAAGCGAGTGATCAACTCCAGCATATTTGTAGTTGCGCAAATTCGCCAGATGTTGTTGACGAATGTACACCATTCTGCTCTGCTATGCGATGCTATGCGCCTGACGCCCGTAGCCAAGTATGCGATTCGTGTCGTTTCGTTCAGAATCAGTATCCCGGAAAGTTGTTGGACAGGATTCGACTCGCTTCGATTTCGTTGCTCGGTGCTATTGCTTTCGTTTCGTTTCGTCCCGTTCACCCTACAATCTGGCCCTTTTGAATGGCGCACGGATTGAATGGATTCGTATTGGGGTTGGGGGAGGTTGGGGGGGAGGAGTGGGATTGACGCGCTCGGATCTTGAAAAAAAGTCGGAGAAGAAAAGGGCAGGTTTATTATGGGTCCGGAGAAGGGTGGGAACTGTCAGGGAAGTTTGGTTGGGAAAGAAAAGAATATGTGGAGTGGACACTTGTTAATGTTAAATGTTTTTTTTTTTTCTTTATTTTTCTTTTCTGCCTTTTCCGCTCTTGGGACTTAAGCGGAAAAGATTTAGAGTACATGCAAACTACTGTACTCCTACTACTAGTGCTACGTAATAGGATCCTCAGTGATGAATTATCACGTTTGTTTACTTTGTCGCATTCTCTCACATGCAACATCCTAGAAGTACGATTTATTCCGCGGTAGAAATGTCAATATCAATGCGCAATGATCGCCTCTGCGGGGTTTTACTCGAGGTCATGGGTCTTCCAAGTAACCGATTAAGGCATACAAGTCAAAGTCAAAGTGAAAGGTAATGTGATTTCCATTCGGTTTGGTATAAGATACGCCATGGCTAGATACACGATACATATAGATGCGATTCCTCTCCGTAACAACTCCCAGTTAAGTCATACTCATTACGAGTATTGTAGAATACCGATTCTACATGCAATAACTCTGTGGCAGAAACAACCCTTGGGTTGGGGAGAAAAAGGGTGAGGTGGAGTGGGTTCCGCTTTGCGGCCGAGCAAAATAGAGAAGCCTACTTAACCAACGGGGCTCCACGGCATCGGGACAAGGATACGACTCTGCATAGACTGGATGAGAGGAACGGTCTTGTGCACAGTCTCGGCCCATCCCTCAACACTCCATGACTGCTCACGTCGGATCTTGCGCTCCTCCAAGTCGGCAAACTGCCACAAGTGGTGAACGGTATTCAGCTCTCCAATTTGGACAAACCACGCACCCACACCCTCCATGACCTCCCGTCGGGCCGTTAGACCCCGACGCCAGTGGGTCTCCCACTCGAGCAGGTTTCCAGGGTGAAGAGTATAGGATCGAAGTTCAAACAGTCCACCGAGGCGACGCGGCGGTGTGGTTGGCCAGAACGAGAACTCCTGCATGAGAGAAGTTTTCTTGCTCTTGATTAAGCTCTTCAGCTTGCGGTCAAAATCGCGGAATTCGGGGTGTGTGGAGATATTGTGGAGCGAGGCATGATAGCCCTCATAGCGCTGGTACTCCCAAATGTGAACTGAAGACGAAGGAACCCAAAACAAATTAGCGATTTGAGACAGACGTCAAAGGGAAAAGACAGAAAAAAGAATTTACCAAAGGTATCATTGTCACCGACCTGCGTACGCCAGCTTCCCACCAGGTTGACTCGGTTCTCCTCCGTTCCAGCCATGCGAGGGTACCACTCGCCCACAAGGTCGACATACTCATCGACCTTATCAGGCTTGACATCGTGAAAAACGACGGAATGAACGTACTTTCCCCGAGCCAACACCTGCGAAAACGATCGCTCGATATCCTTATCGAAATGCTGGCCCTCCTTGGTACCGTAGATCAGCGATGACAGGGGCCCACGCTTGTTGGGGTTCTCCTGCAGGTCTTCATTCCCTAGATAACGGTGCATGGCGAGTGAGCCTAGTGCTTTATGATCCAGAGCGTCGGCAGCGTCATAGGCTGGGCGAATTCGTTCAAATGTACTCGCATTGCTCACATGCGGAGCAGTGGGAGCGGACTCACGGGTAGGGGAAGAGGCAGAGGCATTGACAGACTGACTCTCTTGCTGTTCCTTTCTCTTGCGAGCCTCTTCGAGGTTCTCGCGAAACTCCTTCTGCCGCCGCTTGAACTCTGCAGCAGAGTCGGCTGTTACATCTCTGATTGAGGGAGCGCGAAAGGCCACGGCGGAGGAGGTGAAGGGCCGCACCAGCGAAGATGCCGGGCGGAGGAAACGCGGACCCAGCATGATTTGGGTTTAGATTGGGGGATTGTAGAATTATTGAAGGAAAGCAAATGCAAAAAGGACTAGGGAGGAAGTGGTGGCCGGCGTGTTTGAAAGTGGAAGGTTGAAGTGCCCAGCAGGGATCAAGGGGGGATGTATTTCAAGGAGAATGATCACACATGTATGGGAAAGAAGTAAAGGAAGAGGGAATTGGAGGGGGAAAGAAGGAGGGGAAGTTGAGAACAGAAAGGAAGGAGACGACACGCGAGAGCTACGGAGAGTATGAGCGTATCAGAGTCGACGGAAAACCCGGGGAAAGCAAGCAAATAACCTCGTATTTTACCGTTTCTAGCAGGGAGCTGTAATTATTCCGCTTGATTTGCTTGGTTTGATTCGATCGGGGGCAAATCTCCAGAACGGACGTATGAGAATAGCTGAATGATGGTGCGGGGAAAGGTGAGCTTCTAATCATTGACTCCAGTTTTCATGTTTTTAGTGGTTTTACTGGTTTGAATCTTGGTACGGTCCCACTCGGGGCGTTATGGGGGGTAATGATGACAGTACTCGAGTTGTCTAGATCCGATTCTATTTGAATGTTTGTAGTAGTTCTCTATCTTCGTCTACCTGCTACTTAGTAAATTTTGCCTCTTTGTTACCTTCATATTTGTTTTGATATACCTGGTACCTTCCTTAGCTGCTAGGTAACGGGTGATCGTCGCCCCGAAGCTATGACGAAGGTGACTCCACATTCCTTACAGAAACTATCCCCCTGACGATGATCGTAAGATAGGATTTTGCAATAACTAGCGATTTCGGATTGTTAAATCCACTACTTCTCCACTATGGATGCAGCCAATGTGCTTCGGTTAGGCGCGGTTATACGGAGTACTCTCAAAAAGACTCGGGTCGATCTCGCTATGACGTCGCCTATTATCGTTTCGAGATCGACCGGACTATTTAGTAGTGATTTTAGGGGTTACTGTGCCACTCCGAAATTTGGTCACGTACAAAGACTATGGCTCTGGTCCGCTTTCAACCTTTCAAGGGTTCGGAGCTGAGGCTTCGGCCTTGAAGCGGAAGATAAATTGATGACCAGCATCATGCTACACAAACAACAGGTAAGAAATTCAGAGATAGAGCGCTATTAGGTCCGATAAGAATTATATATATGTGTAAATGGTGGTAAAGGTAAAGAAAGCCAACCTCGCTGAAATGCTTCGACGACTTAAGGCGGAACCATGCAAAAGGTATCACTCCCGACAGACACGGGTGTTAGGATCCGCTTTGTTCAGAGTGATAAAAGGAAGAGAGAAAACGAGAGAGTAATCATGTCACAGGCCGACATTCATCAAGGCCTGCATGCAAAGGGGAATCAACGAATTCGTGGGTGGGATGAAAAAAAAAAGGGGCAATCAAACATGAAAAGAACCAACGCGAGAACAGAGCCGGACGACGGGATAGGATCCCATGTCAATTCTCCAGTTATTTAGAGAATGACACACTTTGAGCCAGAACCACTACCTCCAACGGGTTTGACGTCCAGGGCAACCTTGGCAGCTTCATAAAAGCTCTCACGAATCCCACGGTTTTGCACCGCCGAACATTCTGCAATCGCATTAGCCACGTCTCTCTCTTGCAACAATCCAAACATACCCAAGTATTTAACAGCGCCGATTTCCTTCGCCTTTGCCAATCCCTGATCGAAAGTGATGGCGCTGGGGTTTTCATTCATCTCATCATCCTTCCTCAAATCACACTTCAGTGCCGTGAGTACAACCTTAACACCGGGGCAGTTCTCGTTGATTTCAGCGATCCATTTAGAACCGACATTCTCGAACGAGTCGCTGCTGTCGACCTGTATACACCCGCATCAGCTCCTTTCTTTTGTTTTTCCCCTGCACAATCGGTCCAGTTTCCAATGCTTACACTGAAACAAAGCATGAGCACGTGGGTGTCCTCATAGGAAAGTGCGCGCAAACGGTCGAATTCCTCCTGTCCAGCTGTATCCCAGAGCGACAGCTCCATATGTACGTTGTCGACGAAAATATCTAGATGCGCGGATAAGTGTCATGTTGGACGTACGAATGTGAGCTCATGGTTCGTACCGTGGACGTAGTTTTCTAAAGGCGCATTATTAGCAAGGCTCTCAATTGCAGGTATCTTCAAATCTTACCAAAGACGGTTGGCTCACTGCGCGCGCAAGTCAATCGCGTTAGAATCCTGTACCCAGCATTCCATTATAATGGGAGTGTTCTTACTAGACAGTCGGGAAGAATCTACCCAAAGAGCGATGTCAGCTATCAATTCTAGCGTTCACGGAGGGGAAGCTCAAAGAGGGGGAGAGGGGAAGGGGATTGCGCACCCTCTTGTAAAGACATTCAGTGCAGAGGTCTTGCCACAGGCACCATCACCTCTTTTTGAAATGTTAGCGCTCTATTCAAGTCTCGGGGCACACCACGATAAACTGACAGCAGCACCATCTTGCGCTGGACGACCTTTTGACGACCGCATAGCTCCATGGTGAATTAAAGGGGTAGAACTGTGGAGAGTTATTCGCAACGATAACAGAGCCCAGTAAATATAGAAGTCAAGTTCAAGTGAAAATTAAGTAAAAGAATTAGAGCAACGTCGCTCTGGGTGAAGCGCGTGGAATTGTGTTAGAGGAGGAATTTCAGGACCAGCCCGAGTCGATGACATCGCGCCCTGAAAGGGATCGGCGAATAAGGTACCAACTTTCCCCCCTTCTGGTCCACCCCTCGGCTGAAATAGTCACCCTCTGCCGCAACGCAGTCGTGGCTTTGGGCTTTGCATAGGTTTTCCATATTTCTCTATTCAATGAGTGATTTGAAAGGCAGACACCAATCGGTGGAGCCGTTGCGACAGCTCTGGAAGACTGGTCGGATTTTTAACTGGGTATAGGTACTCGGATGAAATAGTACATATCTGCAATAGATGTCTAGAAGTCGGAGACATGGATTGAAGTACATCTTTGGATACGAGATGATGAATGTTCAGTGTACTCCATAGCCAAGAACCGGCCCATTATGAATAAACAATGCCAAGTACATGCAGGCAGCACAAATGATATTCATGGATGTATTTCCTTGAATTTGGAACTTCAAGATCAGATAGCTTTTGAAAATGAATTTATCCGTATAAATATTGCCATAATAACCATGATTCTATCGTCTTAATGCTTGAATGCTCTTTGCTATGGCGTTGGCCAGTTAGCGAGTTGAGTGGTGAGCTATGTATGATAGTGAAGGCGGACACAGCTCTCACTATCTGCCACTTCAAGCTCCTCCAACCCCACGACCAAACATCCTCCCACATTTCTCGCCTTCACATCATTTTACTCTCTTCAATTTTTGCCAAAATTTATTTTGGTCAAATCTCTCATAATGTCGGACGACGATGATTTTATGCAAGACTCTGGGGATGAGGAGTGCGTGCCCCTACTACACCTTGCCAGACCTAAGCTGACTATGCGGTTCAAAGTTATGACTTCGACTACGAGGGCTCCGGTGATGATGACGACTCCGGTGATATTGGAATCGAAAACAAATACTACAATGCCAAGCAGATGAAGGCCGAAAACCCGGAGGAAGCGGTAGATGAGTTCTTAGGCATACCACCGTTGGAAATGGACAAAGGCGACTGGTACGCGATGCTCCTAGAGTCTGTTCGCTATCGATGCTAAATATATACAAGGGGATTCAAAGGACTGAAGCAAGCCATCAAATTGGAGTTCAAACTTGGACGATACAGCGATGTAAGCGCATTCGCCTTGACCAAAACATTAGTGCTAACGAATGTGAATCTACAGGCTGTCGAACATTATCGCGAACTCCTTACCTACGTCAAGTCCGCCGTCACTCGCAATTACTCCGAGAAATCCATCAATAATATGCTCGACTACATTGAGAAGGGATCCGACGGTCGTCAGGCGTATCAATGCATGGAGGATTTCTATTCTTTGACACTTGAATCATTCCAAAACACGAATAACGAGCGGCTCTGGCTGAAGACAAACATAAAGTTGGCTCGGTTATGGCTAGAGCGCAAGGAATACGGCCAGCTCAGCAAGAAAGTGCGAGAATTACATCGGGCATGCCTGAAGGAAGACGGAACAGACGATTCCAGCAAGGGCACATACTTGCTGGAGCTGTTTGCTCTAGAGATTCAGATGTATGCGGAAACGAAGAACAATAAACGTCTCAAGGCCCTCTACCAGCGAGCCCTTCGAGTACGGTCCGCCGTGCCCCATCCGAAGATCATGGGTGTCATCCGAGAATGTGGTGGCAAAATGCATATGAGCGAGGAGAACTGGGAAGAGGCACAGAGCGATTTCTTTGAGTCATTTCGAAACTACGATGAGGCGGGCTCGATCCAACGAATTCAAGTGCTGAAGTACCTGGTTCTGACCACCATGCTTATGAAGTCAACCATCAACCCGTTCGATTCTCAAGAGACCAAGCCATACAAAAATGACCCTCGGATCTCAGTGATGACCGATTTGGTGGACGCCTATCAGCGTGATGACATCCATGTGTATGAGGCTGTGCTGAGCAAGAATCCTGACGTGCTGGCCGACCCGTTCATCGCCGAGAATATCGATGAGGTCAGCCGCAATATGCGCACCAAGGCCGTGCTCAAATTGATTGCCCCGTACACCCGATTCTCTCTCCAGTTTATCTCAAAGCATGTCAGAATTGCTGTGCCCGAGGTGCTGGATATCCTGGGCTTCCTGATTCTCAATAAGCAGCTAGACGCCAGCATCGACCAATCGAGTGGAATTGTGGTGGTATCAACCCCTAACGACGAGGAACGAACCCGTGCCATGAGACAGTGGAGTTCATCCCTGTACTCCCTTTGGAAGACGGCTCTCAACGGCGAAGGGCTTCGCGCGGACGAAGGTACGCACGCGGGCTCCATGTTCAACCCCGGCTTTGGTGACGACTCCCCTATGGGTATGCGGCCTCTCAACCCACGCAGCCGACGAGACGTGCGAGGCAAAGCGCCCGGGCTTAAATTAACTGGAACTTCTTAATTGATGGCTAGCACCATCGCACCGTTATCTAACCCCTTTCTTATGTGTCTCCGGAACGAACCAACTGCACGTGCTGGCTACCTGCGGTCATATTTCCCTTTACTTTTGGCGGTTGAGCCGCTGAAGGAACAAAGGCATACCAGATCAACGGGGACCTAGAACGGGCCCATTCGCCAGATAAAGTCCACGTGGAAAAACGAAATCTCACACCGTTTCTTTGTTGCCTGCGGAAGGATCCCGAAGGTCCACACGGTTGCCTTTTTTTCTTTTCAAGGAAATGCCCTTCAAGCTGAACTTCCAATGCCCCGCAATTTAGAGTTGATATGACAGAAGACGCTAAATTACTCTGTCCTCATGATAAGATGAATATTGTTAACATTCTATGCTCTCACTGTATCCATGCCCTTTGGTGGTTCCCCGCAATTCGTACTAAGTACATTACATTGGTACCAGGTCCTTCGGTGTAGCCAGTCTTAGTCCCCTCCCGGTTAGATCGATTGGCTAAAAGGGCCGTTTGTCCCGGTACATGGGACACAAATAAAGTACGACCGAAAAACGCAAGCGCCGAAGAAAAGTGACCCGTGTCCCGGAAATGGGGTCACTAGCCCGCCACTGGCTTTCCGGTGAGATGAGTCTTTCCATGGTGGTTGAGGGGAATTGTCCAATAGGTGGACAAGTGGCAATCATAAGCCTGGGGCTCGATTTCAGAGCGGGTGATATGATGCATGAAAGAGCTCCGGACATGGAGATATGGATTGAGTTTGCTCATGCTAGGTGCTTTGTACAAGACCCTCTTGACCTGTATCCTCCGTACCTGTACATTCTCTTATCTTTGAGTTCATGGATGTTTCCAGGCACTCGATCTAGTGCAGCAGGTACGGAGCGTGTTTATTTTCTATATCCTTAAATGAGTCGGAGGTTTTCCGTCCAAAGCCATCAGAATTCAAGCTACAAATGGGTTGGAATCTCGGGATTTGATCGACAACCCAATACCGGATACCATGCACGGACAACAAATACCCATGATCATAACAGCGACAATAAATGTGATAATAAAAAACGTATTAGCGAGGGTGTTAGGGCCTAGATGTGCGACTAGCCTGACTTACGCATCAAGCTGCCACAGAGCACAGAGGACAGAGGACAGAGCTCACCACTCTAGCCGGGGTACCATGCACGCCCCTGTTGGGATTACAATGGCCCGAACGAAACAAACTCCACCCATCAGCCAGCTGAGCTACGAGTCCGGTGACAGGAAATCTACTACATCTGAAGCCCAAATACGAGTCACTTTGAAATTTATCGTCATCTTTCTCCTACGGGATTGCAGAAGGTTCGAGAAGATCGAATATACTATTTGTCACTGTGATGCGATGTGATGCGATGCGATGCAAGGTCTAAGCGACAACACATTGGGTCCAAAGTCAATACGGAACTCGCAGAAAGCGAGAGAAAATCACCACCGCACAGTGATCGGGGAACAAACTGCCGGTGCATGGGGCACTCGATCACCCGCGAATCACGGCGGGGCCCCATTACGATGGGATCGCGATCAAACAAAAGCCCATTCCCTTGTTCCAGGATTTGAATCCCTAAGGCCCCCAAAACCCCGCTTTTGATCGGGTGAACGGTTGTCATCACCATTCTTTTTTTTATATAAGTTGTTTTTTTTGTGGTAAGTAGATCTACCTCGGTATTCAATAATCTACCAAGTGGGATTACCGTCGACGTCCGATTCGTCCGAGATAGACCCGAGTAGGTGTATTGGGCTGCGTACTGTAACACGGATCTCCTCCCCGTTTCGATTAGCTTAGGGGCTGCGCGCTTGGGGGAAGTTTTTTTATTTTACTAATTTCATATCTTTTTTACTAGGTCCTGTCAAAGAGAAGATGGATCCACTGGAGGTTGTTCGCGTTAGCCCTGGAGAGTGGACGAATGGGGACGTTAGCAAAGTTGTGGAAGCTGTATGGTTGTGTTGTCATTTTCCCGCCTTCGATTTCCGCAGGAGCACGGTGCACCGTTACTTATGACAGTCGAGATTTTACTCTCTTTGTTTTCTACTTTATGTTTCAATGTTTCCTCATATCATATGTGCACTATATCATACAAGGTGAAAACGTGTTGAGCTTTTTCACCCCCTCTTTAAGATTTACACCTTCACGACCCCCACTCCTCCAAAGCCCGAACCCTTCCATTTCTCCAATTTTGATTGTTAAAAAGATCATACTTTTTCCGTGTCAAAAATCATCTGATCTTCCCATCATAATTGGAAAGAAAGCGTCAAGTTGGAAGAAAAAGTTGAAAACTAAAAAAGCACAAATCACAAACCACCAACCACCAACCACAGACCAAATTCTTCTTCTTCCAACCTTCTCCTTGGTCCTTAACTTCGTCCACCCCCCTTCTTTGACACCATCTCCAAGGAATATTCTTTCCCCCTCCATGATTAGATCATCCACGTGTACGTGATCGTGAGAAATCCAAGGTCTGAGCTCCCCTTCCTCCCCCTCCCCGATCGCGGTATCACCCTATCGTGACATGGCCTTCCTTTTCGGTTTATATATAGTTTGACTTTATTGTTTTATTGGTTTATGCTTTTTCTATCTCACTTGTCAATCGTCCTTGTCCCATTTTGCCTTATCCCGGGCAGGTTCGGTTCACATCGGGAGAAAAAACATCTCCAACCCGCGCCTTTTCCCTGTTACTTGACGGAAAGTGGAGTTTGACCTCCAACAAAGAATAGAGGATCAACTCGGCCCGCTCAAACCAGACCCTTTAGATGACACCGTCTGTGGTCGAGAGCCTCTTGACATCATTGAACTTTCTTCAAGATTGTCTTGGCATTTACCTTGTCCCGTTCATTCTTTCTCATGGCCATCCCATCTAGACCTTTCATCACATATTATCGTTAATTGTCACTGGCCCAATCATTTCCTCAGAGACCCTTGAGGTCCAGCACACTACCCACCACCTTTCCACTGAATGAAAACCATATATGCTGGGATTATCATGCTAAATGAATTAGTTTAGTTTCATCCCCAAGCCATCGGGTCTTCGTGCTGTCACACAAAGCACAGTGTTTCGCCCAATCAGGAAATCTTCAAGGAAATGTCAACGTACTAGGTCCGTGTTCCTGTCATTCGGCTTCTTTCCCCGGTTTCTTTTCCTGCTTTGGCTTTCCATACTGCATCACAATCTAACAGCTCCCAGATATCCATGAAGATATAGATCTCGACCTGCATATCTGAATCTTCTTGATCTCTCAATACCTCCCCCACTTGTCTCAGCGTATGCGATGTCCGTATCAACAATTCCTTGGAACCATTTCGGTCCTCACCATTTTTCCTTGGAGAAACAGAAGGCCAGCTTTTATCAGAACACCCTTGCGACATCAATTCTTCCTCCCCCAAACCATTCACGACCTTTTTCTGGTTCCAACATGACTCACCCAGCCAATATGAATGCACTATCCCCTGATGAGATGGAGCGGTTCCAGAAGCTTTCCAATGAGTTTGAACCAGATGTTCAGGTAAGAACAATTTACTCATACAACAGGAACGGGATAATAACAGTGTATAGGGGCCGCTCGTCTCGCCTAAGCAATCAAGCCAAAGCATTGCCATGGAATATGCCAATGCAGACCCGACATTTGCGACAAAGACGAGTGTGAGTGTTTCTACTTACCCTCATGAAATCTATCCTGACCCTTGCTTTAGGCTCTATCCATCACCCACCCCATGTCCCGTATCATGAAAGGGGATGGAAACTGTGGCTGGCGAGGTAGGTGCCTCAACTTGAATGTGTGATAGTCCTCTAACCTTTCGCAGCTGTGGCTTTTGGCTACTTTGAGACTCTTTTCAACCTTCGGGACAGTATGCGCGTACAACGAGAACTAGAGAGAATCAAGTCCCTCAGTGCCCTGCTAGATCAAGTCGGCCTACAGAGAGACCTATATGACATCTTCGTGGACGCTACAGTGGAGGTTTTCGCTCAAACGCTGACCGCTATTCAAAATGGTGATCAGGATGAGACTTTTCTAGTCAATGCGTTCAACGACGAGTACGAGTCAAGTGCTTTAATTACACACTTCAGGGTGGGTTTCCACTGTCTTTTGCCGATATCACATTGGACTGACAAATTATACAGCTGTTGACAAGCGCGTGGATGAAACTCAACCCTCACAGATACCAAGCTTTTCTGTCGCTGCCATTAGATTCATACTGCGCCTCACGGATAGACACTGTCCGAACCGAGATTGATGAAGTTGGGCTGCAAGCCCTGGTCGACGGTGTCATTGAAGGAGCTGGATTCGGGGTTGAAATTCTGTATCTTGATCGAAGCGAGGGTGATGCCGTGACACCACACCAGCTATCACCGAACCGTCCCAGCGAAGCCACCATCCGCTTGCTGTATCGCCCGTGAGTATTTTTCCCCTTTGCCTACTTTCGTATCTAACCTTTCACAGTGGTCATTACGATCTCCTCTACCGAGCCGAACTCCCTACCGTAAACATGGCACCTGTAGTCAATTTCCAATACGGAATGACCACCAACTACTCCCCTTGGGACCAAGGCGCTCTCTCCTTCGACGTCAGCCCACATCTAATGTCCATTCCAAATCTCATGTCAGACCCTGCATTCGGTGCTATGGGAGCTCCAATGTCTCCCATGCCGTCGGTCTCTTCGACCCCACTCAGTTCATACCGAGTCTCGCCCCCACAGGAGATGTACCAGTCCCCCATGCAAAGCCATGCTCCAATGCCACCTATGCCTCCGGTCTCGTCACCTCCGCCCGTCCTGCCATCTGCCCCACCCCCTATGACCGCTCTGCCCAGCCGGTCCTCAGATGGTCCTCAGATCCGCTTGAACCCCTTGGTCATGAAGCCTAATTTGAGCCACTCGCTCCCGGTGACTACGCCGTTCAAAAAGTAAGCATTTTTTCCACCCCTGCGTGGCTAATGATAACTAACTTGGTTAGTAGCTCGCCGTATAACCAAGCGCATTTCCAAAACCAAGACTTCGAGCCTATACACTGGGCTCCGAATGAACATCATCGAAGATGACCTACAAAACCAACCCGAAATCACCACCCCACAACGAACACAAGTCCATTGTTATATCCCACAACCTTATTGCCTCGTGTCCAAGAAAGGGCTTAGCGCGTATCTTTCCCATTCCCAATTTCAATTTCTACTGCGCATCTTTTACCATTGTCGGGATTCTTTCATTATTCATTTCTTTTCCTTTTTTTCCAAAGGCACTCTCGGAATCGCTATTGATATCCTTGAGCTAAACAGATCTCGGCTACATTCAATTCAACTTTAGTCTCGATGTCTCTACCTTTCTTAGTATGACTGGTTTCCTGTGCCTTGTGTCTTCTCAGCGTGGGTGCAACGTTGCATAGTTCGAGCGTTTCATCCCTATGTGTCCCTACTTTTCTTTCTCTTTCTATAATTCCAAATTGTCATCGTATCATCAATGTCTTATGATATTCATCTTATCCTTCTCTTCTTTCATTTAATCCATCTATAATCGGATACAGTCCTCGAGAGGGTTTACATCGGGTCTAAACGTGACTGAATACATCGGATAAATGCCAATGCTAGTCGACATATAAGAGGCAACTTTGGAAGATATACTATTTACAAATATAGTACAATACAGTACGTGATTACATCCTCAAGTGTTACCAAGTAAACCTGGACTCAGCTTGGAGATTACCTCTCAACAAAAATCTCCTCATCCTCAGCCTCCATAACCGCATCAACCATCGCATCCAATCCCCGATCCATTACCCCCGCATCCAGATACCCAGCCGTGACAAGTCTTCCAAGCGCCTCCCCAACCCAATTTTGACTATTCCAGTCCCTATCCCCATCTCGATCCCGAATGGGAGTTTCAGAAACCGTAGCACGAAGCTGTGATATCGGTATGTTATCGGAGAGTGTTGCTATTGGGACTACGCGAGCCAGATCTGGAGAACACCAATGTTAGTAATCCCTCAAGTACTAGACACGCAAAGTCCTATAGCTCTAGACTAGAGTGGTAGATGGTAGCCAATGGCATACCTGTAGATGAAATAGGTAGATCCCAATTCTTGCGCTCGGCGAAACTCAAGAATCCCGGTGACCCTATTACCTCCATTACGGAGGATTTGATATACTCTGTAGCTGGGTTGGGATCTTGATCCCGGTATTGATCTTTCTGTGAGTGGTTTTCTGCATCTGCTTGTGGCGAGAATTCGAAGAATAGGGCTGTATGTCTGTAGCGGGCGTAGTCGAGTGGTGAGGCGACGAAGACGAGGATGGAAAGTTTGGTGGGCATTGAGAATAAAGGCTGATTTTTTAAGAGATAAGCTGCGGTGATGATAGTGTTTGCTTGAAAGTAGAATAAATGAAGAAGAATCGCAGGTTTTATTCTTTGGAAGCTTAAGCCTTGGACGTATTGATTTCGGGATGACGTAGTGAGGCTTGAGTGTGGATTTCGTTATTCGGGGATTTTGACTTTTTATTTTGCATTTTGCATTTTGTACCTTGAAGATCTACTTCTTTACATTGACTTATGCCTTGGACTGTATTGGAAATTTCCTAAGCATATTGACGCTTAGGTATGAATGGTCCTAATGGGATTTTGGCTTGTATGCGATTGATCGATGAGAAGGATTACTATGGCTTAGCTATAGTAAAGATAAACACAACACAGGTGATATTGCAGTTGAATATTTAGCTAATCTTCATATACATGTAGCTCTCTACCATCTACAGTATAGATTAAATTGATCAAATTAATAGTTCATTTCGAGACCAACATTTAAACTACAACCATGACATCATCCCCCGCATACCCACCGCCTCGGCCCGCGACTTAGCTAAAACATTCTGCACCAAAGCTAACTTAACATCATCCAACATCATGGCAATGTCACACCCACGCCTCCCCCTCTTTGGCGGACCCCGGTAAGACAAATCAAATGACAAAGTCAACTAAAACCCCCAACTCAGTCATCACTAACAACAAGAAGAGCCTGGGACCCCACCGAATGGACCTCCTCCGATGACCGTGTCCGCGGCGGCTCCTCAACCTCAACCCTCACCTGCTCCGCCTCCTCCCTAACAGCACTATTCCATGGAAACCTCGACACAAAAACCCTCGGCGGCGCAGGCTTCGCCTCCCAACGCACAACAACCGAATCTAAAATCTGGGATCTATCACACTACGACGGCTTGCAGATCGTTCTCGACGAAAAGCACATGGACGGGAAAATGTACACTATCACGCTGAAAGAGGAGATCCTGCCCAAGAGACCGGATGGAAGGGAACAAAGCACGGTGAGCTGGGAAAATGATTTTTATGCAAAGGATGCAGAGGACGGGGTGCTGTTTTTGCGGTTTGTGGATTTCAGGCCCACTTATCGGGGGAAGGATAAGAGTCCGGACGAGTATGTTTTGGATTTGACAAAGATCAGGAGGTTCGGGATTATGTGTAGGAGGTATGTACTTGGAATTGCTTGTTTGTTGGACTGGGTTGGTTGACTTCTATTCTAGTTTCTTTGATGAGCAGGATGGTCCTTTTGAGTTGGGGATTATTTCTATTGCCGCGAAGTGTAATGAGCGGACTTTGGCTCCTCCTGATGAAATGCCTGTTTTTAATCAGGATTTTGATGAGAAGTGGCTTCCTACTGGTGAAGGAAACTGGGATGCGACTGCGGAAAAGTGTCCTCGGTGGAAAAAGCAAAAGTCTTCTGGATGGTTCTCGTGGTTGATTTCTTGTCTTGGCTGCAGGTCTTGAATGCTAATTTGCCCACCTAACCTTTGGGGTTGGTAGAAAAGTGATTTGGATAAGGGCTCATTTTTGGTTACAATACATATTTCGGTTAAACAATAGTTCATGATGTCCATACTACTGCCTGCTAGGGATTAAATGAGGTACATTATTGTTGCTGACAAGATCATGGGCCATATGCCGATAAACATCAATATCAGCCATTATCGTATCCATTCTGACTTCCTGTACATCAAGCGCCATGCAAATACTATTGTTCCTGTACTGGGTAATTCACCCATTCTGAAAAGTCCATTCCTCCAGGGCTGGGCATCGGGAGGTTTGTCTGGAAAAAACTACCCGGGAATCCTTGTTCGTTGAACAGCTGTTCTGGGAATGGCATGAATCCTTGGGCGGGCAGCTGATAAGCCTGTTGCTGTGGGTTTGAAGGTAGACCGGACATCATGCTGGTTGGGCCCAAGAGGCGGTCAATGACTTCGGAGCATCGCGAGGCGAAGTGGTTGTTGCCGATCGATGGATGGTTCAGAAGGGCTTTGGTTGTTTCGATATCCTGTAGCCAAAGTGAGGATTCTGGGTTTGAGGGGTCGGTCATGAGGAAAACGATGGGAATGAGGCCAGCTTGGAAAAGGAAGTAGCTGTGAGGTGTTAGCGGGGTTCTGATACTTCTTTATGATAGAGAAGATGGGGTGACATACAGCATATACCAAGCGCCTATTCTGGTGCAAATGTGGTTGTCCATGTACTCCGAGATAGAAGCAATCGTCAAACGTGCATTCTGTAGACAGCGCACTCGACATTCCGTCTCACAGGGATCTTCAGTGCCTCCGTCGGAGCTGGTGGATGACCCATCAGGGCTACCACTTTGTGGAGCCCATCGCCGGGCTGCCCAGCGAAGTAGAACTGGACGATAAATCAAGATAATAAGATTCCAGTTTCTCCACAGTAGACGATTGCGAACGAGAGCGAGGTTGTCTGAGTCGAGCTTGGTTTGGTTCACGGCAAGAGGTTGAAGAGGATAATGATGGTAGGCAGGTAGACTGTTATACCATTCTTCCATGGGCTTTTGCAAATTCAATGTTTCTTCCGGGGTGACACTTGGGCTTGAGATCAGACGCTGGTAGACACTGTTCGTGAGGAGATGAAAGCGGGCCTGTGCAATCAAGCCGGAGTAAAGTGTTGGACCTGAAGATTCACAAGGGAGTGACGTTGTTGCCGGAGTCAAATCCTGGTGAAAAGAAAAAGTCAGCATGATGTTCTATTTTAGGTCGTATACCTCCACGTACATCGTCATGAATGTTCATGACCTGTTTTGCATCCATCACACACTCCTCTGGAAGCAAAATCGGTCTTCCAAAGGTCTTGGCGGCACCACTATCAAAAATGAAGACACCCCACCACAGTCTGCGGCGAACTTCGCGTTGCAGCAAACTGATCTTCCAGCCGGGAAATTCTTTGTGAAGTCCCAAGCTCATCGCCATTCGAACAGCTAGACCAAGATAGTTCCAGCCTGTATTGGGCTTGTTTCGTTTCTGGGCGTAGTTGCTCAGTAACAACAGTGCCTGGACGAGGGTCAAATTGCCCGTCTCAAATACAGATGCCTGTTGTAGACATGCTCTTGCTTCTTGGTAGAATGTGACATCAAGGTCGGAGCTGTCATCGCCAATGCTCCATGCGCCTAGGGCTAAAATCGTATTTAGAAGGATCTGCCAGGCAGTTCCATGGGGGCGTAAGGATGGGTCGTTAAATTGAGCCCGGAATGTGGGTTCATGAACGAATGGATAACTTGTGTGGTAGTTGAGGAAATATGCATCAATAAATGCTTGTTCGATGAGGCCTGATGGCGCACTCTCCAAAAGCTGGGCTTTAAGAGGAAAGCCCCCGGATCTCACTGAGCGGACAGGAATGTTCAGATCAAATCCATGGTCAAAAAGAGCTCTTAGCGGCACGACACTAGATGAGGCGCCTAGTATCGAGAGTCAGATTCCAAGGTTCACCATATTAAATCATGGCTAGGTACCTACCAAAATAGCCAGCTCCCTCAGGTTTGATTGACAATGCAGCCATGCCATCAGTCAAATCGCCAAGTGTAAGCTCTTTCTCTGCCCAGTCAAAGCCATCAGCTTGCAATGGCAGCGCTTCCGGAGGTGGCTCGGCCCGTTCGGCTTCAGGTCTTGCTGGAGTCGAGTGCCTTGAAGAGGATTTAGATGAAGGTGCTTTCGGAGTATCTTGGTTCTGCAAAAGAGAGCGAAGAGTTGCATCCAGGTCTCCTCCAGGAAAAAGCCTGCTCAAAGCAGTTTCAAATGAGTGCAGCCGGTCTTCAACATATGTCAAGTGCCTGTTCATGTTAGACTTGTAGTCTCAAAATCAACAGTGGGTACATACTGTCGAGTCAGGGGACTCCTAGACACTTTAGGACTGTACTTGCACTCCTTGTTCAGCTGTCGGCATTGCAGACAGATTGGTCGCTCTTTTGAGCACTTTATAATTAAATGAGTGATGCATTCTTTAGACAAATGAGGGTCACTCCGGGTTGCTTACTCTGGATTTCCGGAGGCGACATTCATCGCACTAAATATCCGTCAGCCTCCGCCGGGACTTTGCATAAACAGTGATACATACAGCGAATGAATGGGAATCACGAGTACTAGCCATATTTAGGACGGCAGTTGAGGTAGCCGATATCAAGTGTCCAATGCGCTCTGATCATGACACACAAAGAGAGTCATCTTAGTAGCGAGTCAGCTTGATCCTGGATCATCAGTCTGATGCGATAGCTAGCATGCAGCAGACGTGGGGTTGCGATAGTAAAACATCCGGGAAAGCCGAGCGTGGGTATCTGAGGGAACACTGCCGACATGCACTGGGAAACTTACGATCGGCGCTAGATTAATCATCGATCCACTTTGGCCGAACAGATATGCGATATGGATGAGATGCTGCATTCACTGATCCCCTCGATGGTGGGGAAATGGGTCATGTGATGAGCAGAAAAAATACAACGGATGCCTCAGGCAGTAATTTGGTACTTTTGGTTTTTCAATATCTACCAGTACCTTGAAGTTCGAATTTGAATAATTGTCAAGGTTGATTAAAATTCTTTGTTTTTCGATGTTTGAAGGTTAATTATTCAAGCGGATATCAGGGCTTGAGTACTGGGTGGACACGATTGGTGGCTAAACGTTTGTTGAATATTCAAAGTATATATCTTCAATAGAGAGACCATGTATGCGTATCTACCTTCTATTTTCTGGATAGTATATAATTTATAAAATTTCCTCATGAACATCAATACCTAGACCATGATCGATATAAGCTAAGGTAAATTTAATTCTTTATAAAGTACTTAGAACCAGAAGATCGCTGTTTATATCCTGTCGCTCTTTGAAATCTTCTTGGCGGGGATGCAGGTGCGGATGCGGTGGGCCAATCACAACTTTCATACATTTTTTCCTTCCACAACTATCAACATCAATCCTCAGAACCGCCTGCTTGCAAGGGAGATCAAAGCAGAAAATAATACCGGAGAATCTCAGAGTATCGAAATTGATATCAGTGACCCAGCCAGGACAGAGCTAGAGGCGCCGCCATGCCTTCTCAACCCCCACTACCGCCACTCCTCACACCATATCTATCATCTCAACCTGAATCTTCCCTGACTTTGATCTCGTCCATTCTTGGTGCAACTTCCAATTGGCTAGTCCTGAGATATCTCTACTCAGCACTCAGCACTTCAAATAGCTCCAACGTCTCTCTAGGCTTTGAAGAGTCGCACAATGGCGCAAAGAAGATCGTTCTTGTAAGCTTCCTGCGGGGTTGGGAATTCTGGAGAGCAGAGGCAAAGCGATTGGTAAGTCAGAGAAACCTATTCCTTTACCAAAAAAATCTTGGTTATGTTCTTTGGACCAGACATACATTCTTTCCATTTCTATCAAAATTGGACTCTACGTCATTTTATACATGATATTGATTTCTACGATAGGGTTTGGATCTTGCACGACTAGCAGATAAGAAACAATTTGCTTTAGTGGATGGGTTGTCTGAGCTATTCTGTCCTCCGCAAACAACAAATGCTACTCCCAATCCACCTTCCATCAATGCAGGTATCCCTGCACGCACAACACTTCCGCTCCGGGGTCCACCTGGTGCTGTGCCTGGAAGAGCACCGCACCCCGCCGCACCAGTAGCCAGAAGCGAGAGTGTGGCACGAAACCCAACCGAGCTAGGCATTGCGAAGAAACTGCATTTCTCCGGACGTGGCACCGCAGCCCTGGATTCCCTAGAAAAGGACATAATCGCTGTCATTGAGCAACTTAAGGCTTCCAATGATGAAAGCGAAGAAGTCCTTCTCATTATCGACCAGCCGGATTTTCTTCTCGCAGCTACAGGCGCAAGTATGGGGATCGGAGCTACGGAAATGAGCGAGTGGGTCACGGGTCTACAGCAGGTGAGTCTCGATCTACTTGATTTAATCTGATAAAGGCTGATTCGTGGATAGGCGGTTCATGCTACAGTACTGACACTCGCGGCTGATTCTCCGCTAATTCACAATGCTTGTTCTGGAAATCAGGGATCTACACCACTGGAGGGGGAACATGCAGCTTTTGCTATCGGGTTGGCGCATAGGGCAAGTTCAGTCCTGCAACTCCGGACCTTGGAGACTGGAGCCGCGAGGGACGTGAGTGGAGTGTTGAGAATCAGTCGAGGTGGTGGATTGAGTGTCGGTGTGAATGGGCTGGATGAGAGGGAATTGCTGTACTATATCCATCGGGATGGCGGGGTTAAAGTGTTTGGACGTGGAGAATCTTGAGTGGTACCCAAGATGCAATGTCTCGCTGAACAAATTAGTAGAATGGAGATGGAGAAAAAAGGAACCAGGAATGTCAGGAAGAGAGATCTTCACATTTGTATCTGTCACGACATGGGGATATTTGCCAGCCATAAACGAGAAAGAAAAAGGAAATTCATGCATGTTTTTCCTTGAATTTTATGTCACTTCTCCAACACGTTCCACGTAATTTTTCTTCCCGCCTCAGTTTTATAGGACGGGATAGACGATCGCACACACCAACTCCACGGGAAAGCGTTAATATTCCGGAATTGCCAGTTTGCATTTCGAGTAATCTATCTCGTAATGCTAGGCCATGTCATGCCAGGTAATCACCCCTCATTCCTTTTCCAGCCTCTCCGAGAACGAAAAACGCGACGCCGAATCGGACAACGGGAAATCTAGTGAGCCTCGGGGCCCTTGGAGCCCTTGGGGACACCAGTCTGGAAGCCGTTCAGGAAGCGGCGGTGGACGTTGCGCAGCGAGCGCATGCGGCCGGAGCCGGTGGTCTTGCGGCGCTTAGCCTTCTCACCCCAGTTGTCTATTGGAAGAAAAGTTCGTAAGCCGAGTTGTTCCACCAAACGCGTGCACCTCGATATCAAGTCCCAGGACAATGTCCCACCCATATCCATATCCATATCACCAAAGCTCAGAAGGGGTCATGCGTACACTTGCGGGTCTTAGCGGAAGGGTAGCCACAGTTGGCACAGGTCGACTTCTGGATGTGGAAGGACCGTTGGCCTAGAAGGTCGCGAAAACATCAACGGTCAGCTATTTGTCCTGATTTACAATAGCCAACAATCCAAGCCGCTGGGGTATCCATGATCGTTCAACTCCATCACTGGTTGTAAAGAGAATTTTGCGATTTCGGGCCCGGGGGATGGATTGTCGACGAGTTTGAGGGAGGTGTAAATACTCACCACAACGACGGCACAGAGTGTGCGTCTTGTTGTGGCGCTTTCCGAAGCTCGAGGTACCCTTGGCTGTTGTGGTTGTTAGTTTCGACGATTTCGAGATTGCGGAGATTCAGATTCGCGGTGCGAGGTTTCGACATGGGACGTACTCATTTTGAATTAGGGAACTGTGATACACGTTAGTAAATGAAGCAAGGATAACAATTGCTTCGCCGAAGAACAATATGTGGACGTACCTGGCGATTCCGTTGGAGGGCTGTTGTCGGTGTCGTCGTCGCTAGGCGTATCAAATCTTCCCGCTGGGTGAAGTGGCCGGCTAAGCGAGGTGTGGGCTGCACATCACGGGACCCCCAGGGCACAAGCCCTGATAATGTCAGCACATCACATGACATTTATATAGCCCGTGCACAAAAATCATGTGACTATACTTGTATGGGTCTGGGCTCGGTGGAATCCTCAGGCATCAAACGATGTACAGATCAATCATGGCTACTTTGTCGTCTATAGAAACAATTCATAGAATTTTAACATATTATAGACTAAATTTCCATGTACCCATGTTGTTATGCAGTAAATTCAAGGGGTATTTAAGTTACATCAACGCCTGATAGTATAGGTCATGCAAATTGGCAGAATCACTCATTATCGACGTAGTTCGCCATCGGATCCTGTGCGGCCAGTCGGCTACGCTTGTAAGACTCCATTTCCTCCTCTGTAATACCATTTTTCATCTCTTCCAATGTCCGCTTCTTCACATTTGCTGTCTTATCATCCTTTCGACGGTCACTGGCAGGCTCAGGCTCGCGAGCGTGATTCGGACCCTCGGCAGACTCATTCTCATCACCGTCATCGTCAGGTAGCATGAGCATGTTGCCCTCCGCCTCAAAGGCCTTCTTCCCGTCTTCACCTGTGCAATAACTGTTCTTGACCGTAGAGTAACAGCATGAATAACCCCACTTGAATTCGTACCACCAACTGCCAAAAACAGAGGTGTGATTGTTGATCTTGACATCCTCTGGGTATTTCGACTTGGTAGCTTTCTTCGGAGCGCCTTTGATGGCACCTGATTCATCGTACTCCACAAACCGCTCATTCTCGACCACCATGGTGTCACGTAACGGGGTGTGTTGGAGATGCTCGCTGCCTCCGTATTTCTCTAGAAGTGCCTTGCGCAAGGCCTGGCGTTTGCTCTCCGATTCCTCTTTCTCCTTCTTTCGGAGGACCTCTCCGGATGTTGGGTTGGCTTGAAGGTGAATCGGGGCCGTGCCCTTCTCTTGCGATTCCCACGCGTATTTCTGAGCTTTCTCAAACTCGGCAGCATCTCCGGAAGCACGAATGAAATTCTCCTCCGCAACCAGCGCCGAGGCTTGATCTTCTTGCGCACCCATATCTACCATCCGGCGAGTCTTCGGGTCGTACTTGGCGGAATCCAGATCGAGGTTCAGGAGGTATTTCGCGGTGTCTTCTCGAATACGCAGGTTGCGCGTAGATGTGCTTTGTTGCCGACCCATGTCAGATTCCTCGGTGTAGCGAATATCCTCGTCGGCATCGTCTCCGTCATCCTCCATAAGTTTTTTGAGATCGGCACCCTCTTTTGCTGCCTTCTTGATAGCCTCCATCTCTTCGTACTCCTTCACAACATTTTGGTACTCGCTGGCGTCGTATCCGTTCCATCGATCTCTCTTCGCGTCCCAGCCCATGTTGACCTCTTGGACGACCTCATCTGCCTGAATATCTTTGCCCGTCCAGCGAGCACCTTGCTTTCGCGGTCGGCTAAGACATTCTTTGGTCTTATGTGTCATTGCGCCGCAGTTTTCGCATGCGCCTTTCCGGTATTTTGTCGCAGCGGGACCGGCGCGCTTTCCTCGATCGTACCATTTTGACTGGTCGGGGGTTGTCTTTTGCAGACGTTGATGCTCCAAATAGTCATTTCCAGCCTCATCGTCGACATAAAACGGCTTCTTTGCAATGAAAGATGGAATGTACTCGTTGCGTTCCTTGGCCGCCACTTCGGCAGGTTTTCCTGACATGGCGAAGTCTACCTCGATAAGGTGGTGGGTGAAGTCGTATGGAAGAAACGAGTTCGGCAAGATCAATCGCGTGGGATATCAGCGTTGTAGCTTTCCGGGGCGGAAGTGAGGTTAAGATAAGATCAAACGAAGACGATTAAAGAAGCAGATTCACGTGACTATTTCAAATGGACCCACTAAGTTGCATCGGTTTATGCAAGCACCTGGTCATCAATTGATAACTATTGAAACATTGAATTATTACGATAGCCTGTAATACCTTACTGGAATGCCACCTGTTATCACTTTTGTTCAACTCGTATCACATGATAGAAGCAAGGTTCATTGTCAAAGATTGATTGATGTGAATATTACCTAAGCGGCATAACGCGTGATGAGCGCGTCAAGATTCCAGAACTCAAAGAAGATTCCGGGACTCCGCAACCTTCATTTCATGGCATAGACCCTGTAAGTACTCTTGCGCAATGTCTCTTATGGTCCCGATAAAAAAATATCGGCCAGATGGACCCCTTTCGCGTGCTCCTCAACTGCATCGATCATTATCAGGCCACCCCATCGGAGCTGGACCCTGCACTGCCCTTTCGAGAGGGTGCATCTGCGAAAAGCTATCGGCCTAGAGTACCGGTGATTCGAGTATTTGGTGCCACAGAAACAGGCCAACGGATATGCGTTCATGTCCATGGCGCGTTTCCGTATCTGTACATCGAGTACAATGGGTCTTTGGAGGCCGAAGCGGGTATGTAATCGGGAAAAATAATCTGACTGGTGTCGTGAATATCGGATACTAAGATAAAGCTTAGTGAGCTCGGCGATTAAAACACTTCATCTCTCGATCGACCATGCCTTAGCAGTCAGTTATCGCCGGAATGCATACGACCAGAAGACCGCATACGTTGCACATATCACCCTCGTGAAAGGGATGCCCTTCTATGGATACCATGTGGGCTACCGTTTCTTCTTCAAGATCTACCTTCTCAATCCATTCTATATTAACCGTCTGGCCGATCTCTTGCATCAGGGTGCAGTGATGAAACGACCGTTACAACCCTACGAAAGTCATATGCAATATGTTCCGCAATGGATGTGCGATTACAATTTGTACGGATGTAACTATATGGACTGTGCAAAAGTCAGGTTTCGAGCTCCAGTGCCAGAATATTTGGAGCTGAACAACCTGGAACATCGGTGGCATGACCGCTCAATTGATCCCGAGAGCATATCTGATGATCCCGCTCTTGGAAAACAGAGCCACTACCCCCTGGAGGCAGACGTTTGTGTACAGGATATTTTAAACCGACTCGATATCAAGGAACGAAACTTGCATCATGACTTCACAGAAATGCTACGACCGGTTGCCTTTAACGAGCGGCTTGTTCCTAGCGTAGCTGGGCTATGGCAGGACGAAACGAAGAGACGCAAGAAAAGAATGGGCATAACTGATCCAAGCAGTACCCCATTTGGACCAGAAGACTTGATATCCATGTCCGCAGATCCCAGAAACAAGTCCAAAGGAGGGTGGATCCACGAAGACGAGTTTCGTGAGATGGCAGAGCAAATCGCTGCAGACGAGAAACACAGGGATGATGAAAAAGATGCGTCCTTTGAGAAGTTCCTGAGCACAGACAAACATGCCGCCATGGTCAAAACCGCCTTGAGCAGCATTGAGGATTTCTTTCCGGAAAGGTTTGACCAATCGACTTTCGACGCTCGCGCTTCGCAATCCGATGAACAACCTATCATATCTGTTGATGAGGAGGTCGCTTTATCTTCTCAACCGCAGAACTATTCATCTTCTCAACCAGAGAACTATCCAGAATTTGATCAAGCGGACAGTGCCCATGAAAATGGAGTCGAGAAAGAAAACTTGAAAAAGCAGGGAAATTCGTTGGAAGAGAGCTTTTACGATGGAGTTTTTGATGACGTTGCCGATATAGAAGATTCTACAAACCATGAAGCGGCTCAATCTGAGCTGATTCTACCGATAAAACGGGACTCAAAAAGCACCTCGCTTTCATCGGCTTCAGAGGAGCGTCAGCAAACCGACCTGAAGGGAACCATTGAAAATCAAAAGATTCTCAAGCGTTCAGAGCTTGACTCTCATCGGCGTTCGCCCGCTAAAAAGCCGAGGTTCTGGAGCAGCTATGACCCATCAAAGTCATCAAAGAATCCTAGCAATAAGGGGAAACCCGATGGAGAAGGTACAGAAGCTACGGTTCGGCCTGGATTTCCCTCGTCTGAACCCAAATCATCCTCTTCCCACAGAACAATTCGACCCAAAATAGAAAACACTCGCCTTAACTATCCAGTTGTGAAGGATCCCAATGATCCACTAACTATCCTTCGATTCAGCCAAAGCCAGAATAATTCTCAATCTTCAAAGAAGGCGTCATACTCTCCTCAGAATATGCCGAACTCGTTTCCATCTGGCCCCGCTGCATGCAAACCAGGCAATAGCGAGACCACGTCTTCTTCGTGGCCGGGCTCTTCCTCTACAGTAGTGGAAACTCCTGTACTGGATCCACACATCTCTGAAATGAAGAGAATTATCGCCAATTCATTCGATTTCTCTTCAGGCAATGGCTTGCGACTTTTTCGGTCCGCTGGTCCAGGGACCAATGATGTTGTTTCCACTATCGATAGTGATGGCTGTCCTTCGATCGTCTACCAAAAGGCATACTATAGCGATGAGGCCGACGTACCTGAAAGACCCCGTCAATATGCAGGTCGGGAGTTCCGCCTGGAAAGTAATACAATACACTTTCTTCCGGAGTTTGACCCGTCTGGACGTCTGCCTGGAATGTTTGGGGAGCATCCTCCGACTCTTTTAGACCGAGAACAGCAAGAAAAAAATGATCGGCAATTGCGAGAATCGTGCACTATCCGAGAATGGGAATTCGCACCTGTCCCGCCTAGTCGATCTGAAGTTGTTGAATGGTTTAAGCAATTCGAAAAGTCCCTGGATGTCACTTTGACATCTTCCTGCCTCCCTTCGCCGGAGCACAAGCCTGAATTTTTGTCACAAATTGAAGGCCCAACTCAAAATCCATATGGGTTCAAATATTCCCAAAAGAAGAAGAAGACCAGCGTTGAGCACGGAGCCCAGTATATGAGCACAATGAGCTTGGAAGTGCATGTTAATACCCGCGGAAACCTATCGGCCAACCCCACTGAAGACGAGATTTCTTGTATTTTTTGGTCTATTCAGTCCGAAGATGCAGATATCCAAGTCAACAGTCACCTTCCTGGCGTCCATGTTGGTGTTATTTATCATGGTGAGGGTGAGAGACCCGAGAACAAGGTCTCCAAAGCGCTTAAAGTAGAAATGGAGTGCGAAGAAACAGAGCTTGACTTGATCAATCGCCTGATTGATATTGTCCGCGAATATGACCCGGACATTATTACTGGATACGAAGTTCACAACGGTTCCTGGGGCTATGTGATTGAGCGTGCTCGCAAGAAGTACGACTTCGATCTCTGCGACGAGATTTCTAGGGTCAAGGCCCAGTCACATGGAAAGTTTGGCAAAGAAGAGGACCGGTGGGGTCATGGTCAAACTTCGTCAATTAAGGTGACTGGTCGGCATATTATCAATCTATGGCGTGCGATGAGCAGCGAGCTCAATTTGCTCCAGTATACGATGGAAAATGTCGTGTTTCATCTGCTGCACCGCCGAATTCCACATTACTCTCACAAAGACCTGACCAATTGGTACCGGAGCGGAAAACCGCGAGATATCCTCAAGGTCATCGAATACTTTACTTCCCGAGTGCAAATGGATCTTGAAATTCTCGAAGCCAGTGAGTTAATCCCGCGCACCAGTGAGCAAGCTCGGCTTCTTGGAATAGAGTTTTCCTCTGTCTATTATCGAGGGTCACAATTCAAGGTTGAATCTTTGATGTTCCGAATCGCCAAGCCCGAAAATTATTTACTGGTATCGCCAAGTAGGAGGCAGGTCGGACAGCAGAATGCTCTCGAATGTCTGCCGCTTGTAATGGAGCCGCAGAGTGACTTCTACACCAGCCCGCTTCTCGTCCTAGATTTCCAGTCGCTATACCCTAGCGTGATGATCGCGTACAACTACTGCTACTCAACATTCCTAGGCAGAGCAGCTTCCTGGCGTGGGCGAGACAAGATGGGATTCTTAGACTATGAGCGACAGCCACGGCTACTAGAGCTGCTCAAAGACAAGATCAACATCTCTCCGAATGGTATGATGTACGCCAAACAGGAAGTACGGCAGTCCTTGCTAGCCAAGATGCTTACGGAAATCCTCGAGACCAGAGTGATGGTCAAGTCTGGCATGAAAGCCGACAAAGATGACAAGACCCTACAACGCCTACTTAACAACCGTCAGTTAGCTCTGAAGCTGATTGCCAACGTGACCTACGGCTACACGTCCGCATCTTTCTCCGGCCGAATGCCTTGTTCCGAGATCGCAGACAGCATCGTCCAGACCGGTCGTGAAACATTGGAAAAAGCTATCGCATTTATCCACTCGGTAGAGAGATGGGGTGCCGAGGTAGTGTACGGCGACACAGACAGTCTTTTCGTCTACCTCAAGGGCCGAACACGCGACCAAGCCTTTGACATCGGTGAAGAAATCGCCCAAGCAGTAACCGACATGAACCCACGCCCCATCAAACTCAAATTCGAAAAAGTATACCACCCCTGCCTCCTGCTCGCCAAAAAGCGTTATGTCGGCTTCAAATATGAGCATCGCTCCCAGAAAGAACCCGAATTCGACGCCAAAGGCATAGAAACCGTCCGCCGCGACGGTACACCTGCCGAACAAAAGATCGAAGAAAAAGCTCTCAAAATCCTCTTCCGCACAGCAGACCTCAGTCAAGTGAAATCCTACTTCCAGCGCCAATGCACAAAGATAATGCAGGGTCGCGTCTCCATCCAGGATTTCTGTTTCGCCAAGGAGGTCAAATTAGGCTCATACAGCGAGCGCGGCACTCTCCCCGCCGGGGCTATGATCAGCACTAAACGAATGATGGATGACCCTCGCCTGGAACCACAGATCGGCGAACGTGTCCCCTACGTCGTGATTACCGGTGCTCCTGGTTCGCGACTAGTAGATCGCTGCGTGGGACCCGAGACGCTCCTCCAGGATGCCCAGCTCGATCTCGATGCCGAGTACTACATCACCAAGAATATCATTCCACCGCTAGAGCGCATTTTCAATCTTGTTGGCGCGAACGTCCGTCAATGGTACGATGAGATGCCCAAGGTCCAGCGCATCCGGCGCGTTGATACCTCGAAGAATAAGGAAATGAATATCATGAAACGAACGCTTGAATCATACATGCGCTCCTCGTCGTGCATCATCTGCCGAACGAAGCTTGTAGATGCCAACAGCTCTCTCTGCAATGAGTGCCTCCAGCGTCCCCATATCACTCTTTTGGATGTTGTCTCAAGACTACAGCGTGCTGAGAAGCGGGTTGTTGACCTTGAGACTGTTTGTCGGTCTTGTATGGGTGTTTCTGCTGTCGATGAGGTTAGCTGTGATAGCTTGGACTGCCCTGTTTTCTATTCGCGGACACGCGATGCGGCCAATTGGCACCATACAAAGGCTGTGTTTGAGCCGGTAATTGAGCTGTTGGAGAAGAAAGGGGATGAGGGTTTGGATTGGTGATTCTGGTGTTAATTGATTTATTCGGTCCTATCATGCCTTGGTCTTTGGGATTCAGATGTAGGTGTTACTACAGGCGTCACAGATTATGTTGGAAATACCCTCCATGTTATTATGTTCTACACACAAATAATACTCATTCTACATTTTCATTTCCACCTCCTTAACAGACTTGTACCCGTGATTTATAGGAAGGACAGAAAGCTCATCCACACTTATATTTGGCTTTTTTTGCGATTTATTGGTTAAGCAAACAGAAAAACAATGTAAATGAGAGGAGACAGGGAATCGACAACTTGCTTCGCCTGTGATCATGCTCCCTGTCAACGCATCGTTCAATCACCATCGATCAGACGAAGCAAATCATCAAGAGCATTAGGTTCCACATCCCCCTTCTCCTTGGTAATTTCGGTAATATCTCCGTTCCCCTTGCCTCCTTCCTCATCAGTATCACCTGCTTCGTGGGATTTGATGCCAGGGGTTAGCTCGGCCGCTTTGTTCTCCTGGGATCCCTCAACATGAACACCTGATTCAAAGCTAGGTATGCGAGAATGACTATTCACTGCGTCACAACCTTGAGCAGGATTCTTGTGAACCAGAGGCTCATCCTCAGGGTTTATCTCAGTAGCGAGGTCCTTCAATCCAGCAATGATCATCTTGACCTCCTCTTGGGTGTAAATCTTAGTCTTGGCACGCCGTGAGGCTCCATTGGCTACCTCTTCCGCAATTGGGATCCTGTATTTCCCTATCGCTATCCTGCCGAGTAACTTATGAAAGATCCACGGGAAACTGATAAGCGGTAGCTGTGACTTCCCACCTCCATCGCTAACGAATGATTCCGCATCGTCGTAGTCATCATGAGTGGGATTCTCTAGAGCCTGTATTGCAGATGTAATCTCTTCGTGCGTCACCCGATAGAGGGCAACAGCAAGAGGGGCGATTTCTTCGAACGTTCGTCCACCAACTCTTTCATAGCATGTCTGCCGGAAGCCCTCTCGGAGGGTCCCAGATACGCGACCTATATCCTCATGGATCTTGAAGTCACGACAGAGGCAGTTGTGGCTCATCACGAATGTAGACCAGACCTCGAACTCGGTTTTGATGTCAAACTGTGCCATAATGCGACGCATGGCGGTATCGTAATCGACCTTAAGATCTGCTGCCAATTGGAGATATTTTTCGCTGGCGGGAACGAGCTCACATTCAAGGATTCGATTATCGAATGGTAGATTGAGGGTTGGCGCAAAGTCTTTAGTCTCGACTGCATCATAAATCTGACCTAGGATCTTTCCCGATCTGTAGATCTGTTCCGGGCGCTTGTGTCTCTTCTCCATAAAATGTGGCCAGAATTGAGGCTCCAAATCGCGGTTCATATTCGCGACACTGCCTGTCTTGATGTAGTCGACTGCATCGGAATGTAATCTTGCAAGTTTCCGGCATTTCTCTTCAAGAACACCGCCCTCGAGCCTGTCAGCGAGGGCCATGTGGGCGTGAGCGATTCGAGGAAGACTGTCATTCTTCATGTATGTCACGAAGAAAGATGTGATCTCGTCTACAGTGACATCGTGCTCCAAGTCCGGGGCTTTGTTGCTGGGGTATCTCATTGGATTCATGAACCAGTTCTCCGGGATGAGATCTTGATCCCAGAATACCATGTAGTCGTCACCATCGAGATCTCCCCCGGAGCACATGCTAGCGAGATCTCGGTCCCCAGTCTGTGGTAAAACAACGACATCATAGAGATATCTCAGCTCTGGCTTGTCGACGGCATTCACGACTCGAATATCACCCGCATGGAGAGTGGGATTTCGGGCTAGAATACAGAGACCTTTAATTACCTCAGGCTTTCCGCCCTTTTCCAAGCGGCAGACTTGCAAAAAGATCTCTGGAAGAGCAGCAATTTTTTGATCGTAGGAGGAATTCCGAAGAGAGAGTTTTTTTTCAAACTGGCCCTTCAAGACTCCTATTTCATCCATGCAGCCAAAAAGGATTGCACCTTGGTCAATGACAATATGAGCCTTCTCCTTGAGATTTTTCAAGTGCCATGCTTTCCAAAGCTGAAGCATCGAAATGACAAATGGCTCATTTGTTTGCATGAATCCTTCACTTAACATTCGAGCGAGATTGATGGTCATCTGGTTAGGATCAACATACTTATGAAGAAGGCGAATTGCAGGTTCAACGTTGCCCATGGCAATGTTCAAATCTTCAAGCATGATGTTCAGCTTCTTGTGAATAACCCTGTCAGATATCCTGAGAACTGATAGTGCGAGGATTATTTGACGGTTCAGAGTTGCTGTATAATACTGAGACCAGCGGATGATTTCCAGTCCAGCCGCCTCGGCTTCAAACTTAAACTGGCTTGGGCGGATATGGATTTCCTTTGGCCGAGGAACCGACGAAACAACCAGCAAGCCTTTACATCCTCCAAGCCGAAACTGGAAGGCAGAAGGGGGCTTACCTGTCAGGGTTTTAATTTTCAGTTCGTTCATAGTCATCTCTGCCAGAAACTTGGAGATTTTCCCGACTCCATCAGAAAAGGTATACCCATTGCGGACGAGATCCTCGCACATCTGAATTTCCACTGGACATCCAGAAACAGGACGAGTAGTAGAGAAACATTGACCCAGTCGTGCAGCACATTTGGCAATGTTCCGAATATGATTGAATTGGCCCATCCATGCCCGAATATGAGCGGCTGTCAGATCTGGAGTGGGCGCAAAAAAGTAGGCCCCATGTTCACGGAACTGCGAGTTTCCGAAAGCCAGGAACTCGTAGTGACGATCACCAATTGTGATGCCCCTAGTCAAGGTTCTCTTGATGCGAGTGAAGATTTCATCATTGCTATCGTTGAAGCTGGAGTGAATCCTACCTTGAGTTACCTCGTCTGTGAATCGAACACGCAGAAACCGGTCCGCAAACTCAATGTAGCGGCGAGTCACACGGTTGGAAGTGTCCACTGTGGGTGTATTGTAGTAAATTGTTGTCGGAGTCACTCTGGCTGTGCGCATGAAACAACAGTGTTTCTTGATCTTGGCGTCACTCACACCTTTGCAATACTGGAGATTGAAAATCTCCATTGGGTCGAGATACTTCTTCCTATTTGTGGCCACATGTTCCAGAAGCTTCTGAGCTTGAGCCTCTCCAACAGCCACGAGTTTCAAGAGAAACTCCTTGGTCATTGCAAACTCTGAGAAGTATCTATGTGAGAGACATACCTCAAGTTGATAACGAATAGGGAATGGTAAGGGCACAAAATCCTGATCATACAGATTGCCGAGCATGGAGCCATGCTTGGACTCTGTGTGATCAATCCACCGCCACACTGCCTGGGGGCGCTCAGTGGGTTCCGTCAGTTTGCTTCCATCTTTGATGATGATATTGTGATCCTTAAAGATCTCATGAATGACCTCCAAATTCGTAACATCGGCTGTAGAGAAGGTGATCTTGAATACATTCCATCGACCTACAAGAACAATATTGATTAGATTGAAATTGCGGGCTTGGATGAAGGGGACTTACCCATGTCAATGATCTGACCAGACTTGCGCAGATTGGTAGTGATGCTTCCCTGGGACAATGGATTGTGGACCACAGATGTCTGACGAAGCCATGTATCGGAAGATCTCCAGGTGATTTCCGAACCAAATGTAGGACTTCTAGCTTGGCGGTGGATGACAGGAGGTGCATTGAGGACGATGACATATGAAGGGTCGCCGGTGTCATTGTTTTTCATTTTCCAAACCTTAGAGAGCTCGAAAAATTTGACTCGAATCCTAAACAATGAAGGAGATCCAAGAGGACCCTGAGTTTTCACCCCAGTTTGACGGATCGCCAACTTGAAATAGATAAAGAGCGACCGGTTCTTAACATCAAGAACAGCTTTCAGAGAATCCGACTGTTCAAAAGAGCGCAATGTACAGAATGAATTCTCTTTTGGGCAGACTCCGATGTTCAACTTGGAAACATTAAGCTCCTGGAAGTAGATGAGAATGTTAGAAGCCTGCTTGGGATTGGAGATTGGAACCTTACCATCTCCGCCGGATATAGTACTCCCTCGCGAGCGGGGCTAGGTACAAACGGATCTTGAGAATTCAACTGAATGCTAAGCTGGAGGTGGCAGGTTAGGCCACTTCGCAGCTTCACGGGATAGCTCCCATCCGACCAGAACTCTTTTTCAGGAGGAGGTCTAAAGTATAATTAGCAGGATGAAGATATGATAGATATCACTATAGATGTCAATGAGAAACAAAGTAGACGTACTTGAAGCGAATTCGCCCACGGCTTGATCGTCTGCCTTGGCGGTCCTCAAAAATATCAATGGAGAAGATGTTGCCTTCCTTGGAGAAGGCTTCCCATAGAACGTAAGTGTTGGCCTCCCTCGGAAGGCCTGAGATGCCCAAGGCCACTGATTCCCAGCTCCGCCATGTCATCCACACAGGCGGAGCCAAGGGAGCAGGTGAGGAACGGCGAAACATTATGTGATCCGGGGTATAGTGGTAGGAAGGTAGATGGTAAGGGAGGCCTCGGGAGTGTATTACCGTTGAAGGTGCGATTCTGAGGTAGATGCTGATAGGTTAGACCTTCTAGACTCTTAAAAGTGTTGAAAAAGGAGACTTGCTTGTTGGCTCGGCATGCTCATTGATGAAGCAAAGCTATTCTAAGAAATATGCTCTCTTCACTTGATTAGTCCCACCTGTAAGATGATATCGCAATTGTGGAAAAAAATATTCCAGAGTGAACAATACAGAAGATCTCAGTCGAGTCCCTGAAAATGCAAGCACTTAATATGTAAGAGAGAGGCAACACTTCAGTTCGTGAACTTGTTCATGCTAAGAAAGGCTCTGAACTGAGGTCAGGTATACAATTTTGATTCTTACATGCGATCCAAAAGATATCATGCACTCATATGATAAGAGAATGAACATTGAATATGGCGGTGAAGATGGTCAATCACAAGGATTCAAATGAGAAAAAGGGAACATCTAGGGTAAAATAAGAGGCAACAAAAGATGAAGTGAAAGGAACGTAAATTTCGGCTACTTATCCCTATAAGTATTCTTATGTCTTGTTATTTCAACACTGATATAGGTAAGCGTTAATTAACCATATGAGCAGAGCCACCTCATTAATTTATGTTAAGATCAATATAGTTACATTTGTAGAGAATCGCTAGGTATACTATATAGTATATACATAGAAGGAATAGAATGCCATAGTACTGGTCTTTTGTCTAACTAGAAAGCTACGGGACGTAGGACCAGTCTCCCTCTACATTACTTGGGTACTTGCAGTAAACTGAGAGACCAAGGAGGGGACAGGCCGCGGTATTGCCCTTTGTTTTGGTCTTTATCTTTGCTTCGTGATCATCTAATTTAATTTGATACTCAGAGACGATGGAAGCCCAAAATAGAGGAAAATTCAGGAACGAAATGAATTGAAAACGCTACTTGGACATATGCGTAAGTTCATTGCGGGCCGAGTGGGTCATTTGATCCAGAGAAAGCTGTACTGCTGAAAAGGAAATCTTTAGAGAATTCCAAAGGGAGTGGTTTTATTGGGGTTGCCTCACAATGCCTGTAGCCTCACCATGTCTGTAGCCTCACGTGATATCTACACCGACATTTCCGAGGGCCTCTTCCTCCTACAACTGCCTCACGAGAGTCATTTGATGGCCTCTGCGGGTAGCTCGTAGCTCGTCATCTCTCAGGCAGTCAAGTGTCAATTTTGTGTTTCACGTCCTTCCCTATGGCAACAGCATCGATAAGCCTTGACTATATCTCTCTCCACCATGACATTCAGCCAGTCCAGCAGTGTCACTCCTGCCCCGCTCGACTCCGCTTGGCCACCGGCCCACATTTGGGAGACTATGGGTGCGGCAGACCGTGCCAGTTGGTTAGGGCAGATACAGAAATACAGGGCTAGACGCCTTGAATTGGATGTAGCAGAGACCGATCTACGCCGCAGAAGACCTCATGTGGACCTGCAAGATGACGATAATCTCGAAGAAAACCGTGAGCCTCCCCCTGAGGTCAAATCACTCATCGACATATTTCCGGGTGTCTCCGCCGCCCTTCTTATACGCGTCTTCGAGAGGAAGTTGAAGGCGACTGAACTTATACGCTTCAAAGAGAAGTCAGTCACCGAGCTAGATCAGGAGGATAGAGTCTTCAAAATGACCGAATCGGGAGGCACAGTGGGCTTCAAGAAGGCAGCAGCGTCGCTTAAGGACTGGGGCCCTAACTCTCGGATATGGACGACTTGCTTTCTTGCCTATCTGGCCGTTGTAGGGTACCTCTTCGGCGAGAAACATCCTAAGGCAATTCCCAACCTCCTCATGTTTATGAGGCAGATCCTGGACTTCGCTCAGACTTATCAGTGGTCGGAAGCAGTTCTCCCACTTGCCCTTAATTTCCACCAATACATACTGGATAAAGGAGAGCTATCGACGGACAACTACCTGGTCACGGGCCCATTTCGCGAGAAATACCTCCGCCACAATCTCACCCTACCTGCGAAGTCACCAACAAATCCTCCAGCCCGGCCTCGTCAAGCCAGGAATACCAGGTCTTCGAATAATGAGACAGAGGTTTGCGATAAGTTCAATACGATAGGGTGCTCCTGGGAAGGCTGCAAGAGACGTCATGAGTGCACGGCATGCGGCCTAAGCGAGCATGGTGCCTCCTCCTGCCGCAAGAAGAAGTAGCAAGCGATAGCTCTTGAGAACTGCACTAGTGACACCGGCAACGTTGTTCTTAACCCCTTGTCCCTAAGCCTCACACCGCAGGGGCAACCACCTAGACCAAACACTGCTATTCAATACCCCGTGTTCAACCCAGAGCTCCCAAGATTACAATCCTCTTCGTCACCACTCAATGCGAAAGGCTGGAGCAATCTTCTGCGCTACTATCCAGGCGATCTGGGCTCCACTATCGCTGGGATTCTGACCTACGGTGCCCAGGTTGGCTATAGGGGCAAGAAGCAGTTTCGCTATTCCTCTAACCATCACATACACGAACCCGGCATAATCACGGCCCAACTAGCAGAAGACCTCAACCTCGGCCGTGTTAGACTAGCCTCTAGGCCCTCCTTTGTTTCACCGCTTGGGTTGGTTCCTAAGCACGATGGGGGATGGCGCCGCATCCATGACCTATCTTGGCCGCCTGGACAGGGCCTTAACCAGGGCATACCGGACTCCTGGTCAGCGATCGAATACATGACAATCGATCATATCTACGAGCAGGTCATACAAGCTGGCCGAGGTTGCACAATCATCAAGAGGGATATCAAGGACGCCTTCCGAATAGTCCCCGTTGCCGAGGATAACCAACACCTTCCAGTGGAATGACTCGACTTACGTCGAATGCTGTCTCCCCTTTGGCCTCGCAACGGCCCCATTTCTGTTCAATCTCTTCGCCGAGGCATTCCATTGGATACTCCAATGCCACCTACCTGCATTCCATATCAATCATTACCTAGACGACTTCATCGTCATTGCCCGGTCTCCCTCGGTGTCCGAGCCCACGGGTCCCTTCGACGAGGTTTACAACAGGGTCACCGACTACCTACGTATCCCCCGCAATACCAAAAAGGACCAGCAAGGGACCTGCGTTACAGTCCTAGGTATCCAGATCGACTCTATTGCAATGGAAGCTCGTCTGCCACCAGAAAAGTTGTGCCGCGCCACATTGGACGCCGCAGCTTGTCTGACGGCAGTGAGTCTCTCACTCAAGCAAACAGAGCGCCTCGCAGGCTTATTAGCCTTCTGTTCAAGAGTTGTCCGGCTAGGGAGAACAAGGCTACAGTCTCTATACTCCTTCCAAGCCGTTTTCCCACATGGGAGTAGCGCGCGCCGCCGTATCCCCTACGAGGTACGTGACGATTTGGAATGGTGGAGGGACTCCTTGTCTCTCTTCAACGGCGTACTCCTCATTGACCCTTGCCGCCGCACTATCACGCATCTCTACACAGATGCTTCTAGTATAGGCCAGGGGCTCTTCTTCTTCTCATCCAAGTCTACATTAGACTGCTGGCTGGCCCATTGTCACCAGCTTCATCAAAGCAATGCTGCCACATTGGCCCTTGCTCAAGACGCACATGCGCACATCAATACTCAAGAAGTAGACGCTATCCTCCAAGGCTTCCTACTCTTCAGCCACCATTGGCTCCATCATACTCTCGTTATCCACACGGATAGCTCCACAGCGCACATGGGACTCAAGAAAGGCTTCCTTCATGGTCCGCCTAACGCACCTCTAAAGAGCCTACTTATCCTAGCGGCGGCGAGAGACATCCACATCGTGCCACTATGGCTCCCCTCCCGGGAAAATACATTAGCAGATGCGCTCTCACGTAATAATCTTGAAGACATTGCTAACATTTGTCCCCACTGGCAGGACCTCTCGGTATTGAACCGCCCGCGTGGTTCTCTTCACGAGCTCCTCAGCTCAATGCAGGCCACCTGAAACTGCTCTGGAACGGACTCAGCGCTAACACACGTTCCGTTTACCTCTCCGTTCAGCGTAATTACGAAAAGCACTGCGCGCTACAGAATCTATCCGCGTGGCCAGTTTCAAGGCATTCATTGACCTCATGGCTAAGCGCACGACTTCTTGGTAACGCTAGTCAAAAGGCCGTCAAGCCTGATACCGCACTCGCCGACCTAGCCGCTCTCCGAGCCTACCATATCGACAACTTCCTTGACGATAAACTCTTTGATAATAAGCATTTCCGACGTCTTATAGACGGCGCGAGAAGACTCAATCCCATGACAAAAGTACGGCTCAGAAAACCGATTTCGCGTGACACTATCACGAAACTATCCGCAGGCCTCGCCACACTCCCGTTACGTCCCTTAGAGATGACTGCGAACCTCCTAGACGACCTGAACTTCGCAACCGCGTGTCGGGTAGCATTTGCTGGGTTTCTCCGCCTCGGAGAATTTACCTATAAGACTGAAGACCTCCGCACACGTTCTATCTTCTCCACCACAAAGTTAACGCGCTCAGACGTCAGACTCTCGCCCTCGTTAGACCACGCGCAACTCACACTCAAGCGCAGTAAGACGGACCGCCGTCACGAAGGGGTGCAAATTATTCTTGCAAAGACGGGAGACGGCGCATGCCCAGTTGACGCCCTTCGGAAACTGCTACTTCTCGACCCCAAAGGGCCCGACGCCCCATTGTTCTCCTTCGGCAGAAGACCATTTAGCCGCAACAACTTCCTCTCGACCTTATCTACTAAGCTAAGAGCACTTGGGATACCGACACACGGATATTCAGGTCACAGCTTTCGGAAGGGTGCGGCTCAGCATGCGCACGATAGTGGGATACTCGACGACCAGATTCAGATGCTAGGGAGATGGACCTCGGAGGCATTCAGGGTCTATTTTACGACGAATGCGTCAGTCCTTTACAAGCTCAACCACCAGTTCCAGACAGGCTCCCCGGCCCCGCTGTCTCTGCTGCTTCCACCACCGTCCCCTCCACCATCCTAGTTTGGCCCGGGTCATTTGGGCCTATCTGACGCCACGGTCTACGACCGCAGCGACAGGTAACCCGTTGCGGCCAAACTAAACTCTTCTTGCTCCTCTTGACTGTGTGAGGTCACCAATAAAGGGAGTGGTTTTATTGGGGTTGCCTCACAATGCCTGTAGCCTCACCATGTCTGTAGCCTCACGTGATATCTACACCGACATTTCCGAGGGCCTCTTCCTCCTACAACTGCCTCACGAGAGTCATTTGATGGCCTCTGCGGGTAGCTCGTAGCTCGTCATCTCTCAGGCAGTCAAGTGTCAATTTTGTCCCTCCCACCTTCCCTCTGTATATAGAATCCACTACAATACAGACACATTGCCTCCCTTCAAGGGAGCGCGGACGGGGCCTATCTGACGCCACGGTCTACGACCGCAGCGACAGGTAACCCGTTGCGGCCAAACTAAACTCTTCTTGCTCCTCTTGACTGTGTGAGGTCACCAATAAATCCATATTTAAATCAACGCTCTGAAGATGATTCTCGTTGGGATGCCGGGCTTTCATGAAAGCCTGACTTGACTGTGATTTGCGAGGACTATTAGTGTCCGTTTGTCCAAGAGGTTGACGAGTGTACCGGACGGTGGATTCAGGGCAAGTTTGTTGAGAAGGCCCATTGGTGGGTGTCTTGGGCGGTTGCAGCGTGCTCGGGTTCATGGAGCGTTGATTGGCTTTTGGACGTTTGGGGCTGGGACCCCTGACATTGGCAGCGAGCTCGTCGAGAGATTCGGCTAGTTGGCTCTCATCGTCATCAAACGGCTGGCGCATGTTCTTTGAATGTCTTCGCTCGCTACCTTCGGTTTGCGGGCCTTGAGTAGAAACGGGAGGCTCCATTGGTTTGGCGTTAAACCCCATGACGTTCATCAACCTGCCTATGTGTTGCTGTGCTTCAGAAAACTCGCGAGCTTTGTTGGCCCGCTCATCTCGAAGGGATTGAACCTATGTAATTGTGAGTCAAACACAATGTTGATGAGCTTAATGGGTAACCCAACCTTTTTCTCCAGCATGTGGATACGTTTGTCTTTAGAGTCATGTTCTTTGGAGGCTTCTTGAGCGGCGAGCTGCATTGCCGTATGCAGACGGCTGATCTCCTCCTTGTGGGTTTGGATCTGTTGCTCTTGTCAGTACAATAAAAATGGGAGAAAAGTCGAGAAGACTACATACCTCTGACACGGCTCTTGAAAGCTCCATTGTATATCGTTGTTCCTTGGCTGCTATTTCAAGCCTGGATTTCTCTTCCACTTCTTGCAACGAAAAGCACAGTCTTCTAGATTCCATATTCTGCTCATCAATCTTTTCAATGTCAGTGTATAATCTTTGTCCCAGAATGAAGAAGTCTTACCATTGTCTTCATATTTCGGATCTCCATCTGCATGAGCTTGGTCTCCGCCAAGAGCTCTTGAATTTCATTATCTTTTTTGGAGCAAACAGCTTTGTTTGCTTCCAACGTGTCTTTATTCTCAGCAAGCTCATTCATCAAAGAGGCATATTTCTCATTTAATATGTCCTGCTTTTTAGAATTTTCTTCCAAGATCTGCTGTAGCTGCAAATTCTCGGACTGTAGGTAGTTCAACTTCTCCTGTTGCTCTTCAAGCTGATCATCCCTTTCAGTGCAAGTTGCAAGTAAATCCAACTCCCGATCCCGAGCGTTCCCTTGCTCGCGATGGGTGGCTTCTTCGGCAAGGCGTCGCTGCTCGACTAGTTCTTGCCGCGCAGAGTCCAGTGCGGTAGACATCTCTTCGACACGGGCACAAGCGTTTTCGGCATGTTCCTCTAGACAGGAAAACCTTTGCTGCAGATCCATGATTGCATTAGATGAATTCTCCAGTTGTTTTTCTAGATCATCATTCTGGTGTTTAAGCTGCTCGGATTCGGAGATGTAGCGGTCTCTCTCTTTCTCAGCAAGACGCAGAGGACCTTCAACCTCATAGCAGCGACGTTCCAAGTCGACGCAGATCTCCTCAATCTTCTTTGTCATGTTGTCACGGGAGTTCTGAGCATCTTGGACCATTGTCTCAGCGACCCCGGACCGCCAATCCCGAGCTGAATATTCAATTGATGCAAAGCCCTGCCTGCTGCGCAGAGAAACTGAATACCGGAAATCTTCAATTTTGGATTCCGAGAATGAACAACCGCCGCCAGTGAGTATTTTCGCAGAATGTCCAACAAAAGACTTCATAACCAAGATCTCTTTATTGTTCCCACTCCTCGAAAGAGCGGCAGCAAAGTAAATATCGAACAAGTTGATCAAAAGTTGATTCTGCTGTGTTTTCTTAGCACAAGAGCATGCCTCTTGCCCCTGACACTGAGCCTGGTTAGACATGGCTGGGAAACTCCTAAGCAGACCAAGGACGGATTCTCTAGTGGAGACTGAATCTAGAAGAGCGTCAACCAATACTGGAGATTGGGATGCCTGGAATCCTGCAAGTATCAGGTTGGCCAAGTGCAAATCCGAAAGTGAGTTCCGACCAGGCATATCACCCTCTTGGACAACTTCGAAAATGAATCTCAAGAGGTGATAAACGGCAGACTTCTCGGAGGACTATTCAGAGTCAGAATGATAGACAATATCAAGAAAATGGGTGAGCTCACAGCCAGCGATTCTGCCATGCGTTGAATGAGAGGAGGTGGCATGATTCCCATTACTCCTCTACTACCCTTGGAAACAAGAACATGCAACCCAAGTTCTCGGACATGAGAGGGGAGATTTGCTGCAGGAAGAAGACACAGTAGAAAGGCAATGCCCTGAAAATAGTTCAGCTCGTATCCATCCAAAATGGGTGAAAACCAACTTACCACCATCTGAATCTCTCGGTCAAGTCCATCTCTTGCAACTTTTTCACAAAGCTTAGCAATCTTAGAGGGGTTTTGCGATATCCAAATCTGTTTTTGCTCCGGCTCAATGCCATCGGCAATACAAATGGCTAGGCGAATACTTTCAGCTGCTTGTGGCGAAGTCAGGTTGTTGTAGTGTGATGAACAGGCAAGGATGACTCGGAGAACGACCAAGTCCAGTGTTTTCAGGCCTCGTTTAGGTCCAAAGAAATGCCGAATATTGAGAAGCCAAGATGGAGGTTCTGGTCCGTGTCTATTAGTAAGACCATCTGTTCTGATTGAAGCAATCCGTGCAAAGGTTGCGAGACACAGGAGGTTGCCCATGTGGTCGTCTAGATTTCGTAGGGTCTTCGTAAATTCAATCTGCATATTAGACATAACCTCGGTCGGAACCTCATGCTGGATAAGCGAGCACCCTTGAAGGCCATTCATCAGGGTGTGCAATGGAGCGATTGTGTCTGCACTTGGATTGCTGGACATTGCAGATACAAGACTTGTGATGAGATTGGCAAGTCGAGCAGGGGGCACAAGGCCTCCTGGAACTGGGCTGGAGAGCAAATTGATACATGCCAGCCGATACTGCTTATTCATTAGCATGTTATATATTCTCGACGCCAAGAAATCGATTCACCTCAGATTCACCACTGCAAGCGGCCTTTTCTAAAAGTGCATCCAGAATCGCTGGATTTCGAAGGAGAACTGCATCTCGGAAGGTGACCTCGAAAGCTAACGTCCATCATTAACAAGCTTCCCATGAGAGGGAAATACCCACTTCTCACCAAAGGTAGAAAGTAGCGGAAGAGCGATTCGCGACCGCGAAAGGCTCTCTACCAGCACATCCGCTAGAAGTCCAATCTGACAAGGTTTTTGAAGCGCCCAGCACTTGACTAATGAAGATGGACTGCTCTGCACCAGCTCATGTAAATCCTGTATGGGCATGATGTCAGCCAATATTCTTTACTCAGTCAACTCACACCGTACCTGCAGCGATGGTACATAGGGAGCAGTCACGATCCGCTCGATCTCACGTACTAGACGCGTCAAATCTTGAGACATTTCCAATGTCTGGATTTACGATGCTACCTAGGTTAGTAGTTCTCTTACAGTTGTCGCGGATTGCAAGAACCGTGTTGATGTGGTTGCCCTGTCAACGACGGAAAAAGCTGACTGGTAACGTCTAAAAGTGTTGAAATTATGGAATAAAAATGATATCATACTAGCATCTGATTGGGGTATTGGTCTAGTGGTATGATGACTCTTTTGCATAGAGTAGGTCCGGCGTTCAATTCGCCGATGCTCCATTTCTTTTTGTCTTTTTAATATTTTCGCACGTGATCTGCTTGGAGACATTGTGTCACTCCAACTTCTCTCCGGGTTGGGTCTAATGGCTCGCAAGCTCGTGGGCGTCGATTGATTTTTTTGTTAATCAACCGAAGATGAATCAAATTCGGACTACTCGTTGTGCCAGACGAAAAAGGTAAATTTGCTCAATATTTCCCGAACACTTCGCGAGCTTTTTCATGGTGGGGATTCTCCGTCGGTTGCTGGCACAAAACAAAAACAATGTCAGCTTCTGAAAATCCTATCAATGCAAAGCATGAAACAATCCAAGCCGCACGGCGAAGAGACAAACAGCAGGAAGACATGAAGTTGTATCCCTTAAAGGTCCCAGCTATCGGCTGCTCAGACTCTTGTCGCGATTTTCCAAACAACTTCTACTACGCCAAAGTATTTGCCGGACGCGGTATACTTAAGACAATACACGAAGGAGGAACAAGGAAGACAAAGTACTCACCCATTGTGGGCACCTGTTCAATCATGGGAGCCATAACAATGACAGGCTCTCAAGTAACGAAGATGGAGAGTGGTACAAGGGTTGTAGATGTTCGTCAGTTGAGGGTTGGAATTCAAGGATATGCCAGCAAACAACTGCCACACAGACGCCGCCGACACAGATAGCTAGAACTGGGATCAAATCGGAGACATCGAAACCTAGATTCGATACGTGAATTGACTGGATAGCCAGCATAAGTCCCATTGGGGTATAACTACCGGTATAATGCGGCGAATGGTCAGCGAATGGAGCTTGGGCCAGAAGATAATGGGTTTAATTGATCCTGTAAAAGATATGCAAAGCATAAGAGGCCTTTCATAATGCGCAGAATCTGCGTTCTCCTCACTCGAATTTCATGTCCAATGGGGTTTTTATGAATTGCTCGTAGCAAGAAGACGGAGCTTTGTTCCGGGAGTACCTTCAGGACTAGAGTCATCTTCCTAGTTGGGTACTTTTTCTCTAGAGGATTTACATACATGTAAGTACACAATTAGCTAGATATATTTTCTATAGTCATAAAGAGCTCAGTACGTACTATGGGGTTTACACCCCCTACATTCCCTCAGATATAAATAGACCATAATAGAAGCTCCAAAACTGCTGATTTTCTCGTTGCAGATCAGACAATCAACTCTTTACTCGGACCTAGAACTTTGGACCTAGAACTTGAATTCATAATTAATCAAATATTCTTATGCTATTAACACTGCAATAAATCCCCCCGGAAGGAGAGCGAATCCTATCGGCCGAACTCCGAAGCGGGGAAATCCAATTCGCGCTTAGCTTGCACAACTGCACCATCGAGCTTGCATATGTCGTAAGAAATAGCCGAACTTGAGATGCAAAACCTGCGTGCGTTTTCTGTTTCTAAAATTCTTCTTTTCTAGCGCATCCAATACTAGACTCTATCTATCGTCACCATGAGAGCGACGCTCGTGGTCCCTCGGGGCTTCTCCACTCCCCGCATGCTCCGCTGTCCCCGGATCTCCCCACCAAAACTTCTGACTAGAAGAGAGATTCGAGCAAATAGTTCAATTTCCCAGAAGAGTACCAACCAAGAAAGCTCATCAAGTTCTGGATCATCGCCGAGGCCTTCTTTTTGGACTCCGACGCGGACACTTCTTGTCTCCGCATTTGCTGCGGGGTTGGGTTATGGCTTCGCCTCGTACAACCAGACACAACCGGCGACAAAAGCGCAATACGGATCATTGAAGGATTTTGAAAAAGTACGATGAAAACAGTCTATTATTGTCCCGTGTACTGACAATCAATAGGCGATCGCCGAGCTAAGAGCTAAGTTCGGTGAAGATGCCGTCAGCACCGAGGAAGGGGACCTTGAATCCCACGGATACTCGGAGTGGTCAACTCTCAATGCTGACCGTCTTCCGGTCGCAATTGCATACCCGACTTCCACCGAACAGGTCTCGGAGATTGCCAAGGTCTGCAATAAGTACCGAATGCCCATGGTCCCTTACTCCGGCGGATCCAGTTTGGAGGCCAATTTCTCCGCTCCGTACGGCGGCATGACGATCGACTTTGCGATGATGAATAAGATCCTGGCTATCCACGAGGATGATCTGGATATCGTGGTGCAACCATCTATCCAATGGATGGATCTGAATGAGCAGATTAAGGATACGGGTCTTTTCTTCCCCGTGGACCCTGGCCCATCCGCTATGATTGGCGGTATGGTCGGTACAAATTGCAGTGGAACAAATGCGGTGCGATACGGGACCATGAAGGACTGGGTGATTAATCTCACTGTTGTCTTGGCTGATGGCCGGGTTATCAAGACTCGCAAACGACCTCGCAAGACGTCTGCCGGGTATAATCTTACGGGTATGTTTGTGGGCTCGGAGGGGACTTTGGGAATTGTGACAGAGGCTACTTTGAAGCTGGCTCCTATCCCTGAACAGACCCGAGTTGGTGTGATGGCTTTCCCAACTATCCGGGACTGTGCAGCTACTGCGATGCAGTTGATCAAAAAGGGTATCCCGGTACAATGTATGGAGATCTTGGATGATGTGCAGATGGATGTGATCAATCGAGCGGGTGGGACTGGACGATCGTGGAATGTCGCTCCTACGCTCTTCTTCAAGTTCTCTGGGACCAAGGCTGGTGTCGCCGATAGTGTCAATCTAACTACGCTGCTCGCCAAGAGTAACCACGCCTCATCTGTTGAGTTTGCCAAAGACGAAAAAGAAGCCCATGATCTTTGGTCAGCGCGTAAGCAATCGCTGTGGAGTATGTTGTCGCTTCGCAAGGAAGGCTCTGAAGTCTGGTCGACCGATGTGGCTGTGCCGCTATCCAGATTACCCGAAATTATTGGTAAGCTCAAATTCGATACTTTCAAATTTGGGTGTTATACTGATAGCTGCAGAAATCTCTAAAAAGGAACTGGTTGATCTCGGACTTTTCGCTAGTATCCTCGGACACATTGGCGATGGAAATTTCCACGCCAGTATCATGTTTAATCGAAAAGACCCAGAAGAAAAAGCACGAGTAGAGAAGGTTGTATATGATATGGTGAATCGCGCTCTCGAAATGGACGGCTCATGCACGGTATGACATCTGCCTGCCTAAAATCTAACTTGAAAACTAATATACATGCAGGGCGAACATGGTGTTGGTCTAGGCAAGAAGGGATCACTGAAGAAGGAACTGGGAGAGGACACAATTGATATAATGCGAGGTATCAAACGTTCCCTTGATCCACACTGGCTTCTGAATCCTGGGAAAATCTTTGAAATTGAGAGAGATTCTTGAAAATGGAATCAACCCATTGGCCAATAAGATCCCATGCTTGTTATATTCGATTCCCAGCCACCAACGACAATGTACTGAATATCTCCCCACTGTATATAGAAGAAATGAAACAAAGCATGGGTATTTTTAGCATGAATAAATTGCATCAGGCACCGCCGACCTAGGCAAATAATTGTTGAGGGGGATACTGATCACAATGCCAAGAGTCCGGCTTTGACGCCGAGCTGCATCACTCGAACTCGCCGAGGCCGGAGAAGAAGTCATGCAAGGGAAGATCACCTAGAAAGCGGAGATCAGCAACTTCGCATTCGTAGCCCTTCCCCCTTCCCCACGTTTTCAATATCCCCAACCAGCGTGAGATCCCAGAAAGATAATAATAGACACTCAGTTGCTTCCAGTATACACCTTTAGTATCAAGTTACCCTTAAACTCCTCACACTTCGACCTTGGTCACTCTAGCTCCAGCACATTTTTCCAGAGAATGAGATGGACTCTACACGATTCGATCATGATAATGAGTCGGCCCACATTGCACCACCCGAAAAACCTGTGGCTAAACCAATAGACGATGCCTTGGTAGAAATTCTACCAGCAGAATATAACAGAATCCTTCGAAAAGTCGACTATCGAGTGATCCCTATCCTAGCCATTCTGTACCCCCTGAGCTTCCTTGACAGAGGTAAAAGCCCTTCTCCTGACCATTGGAATTGCACACGAGTTGACCCATAGAGCTAGGTAGCATTGGAAATGCAAAGATTCAAGGACTAGCCACCGACTTGAATCTGGTTGGCAACCAATACAACTGGTGAGTGCAAATGCGCGCAACTTAGTGCCACTAACGTGTTTCCAGTTGTCTTACAGTGTTCTCCTTTCCATATTCATTCACGGAGCCCGTTTGCAATATCCTTTTGGTCTGGTTCAAGCCAAGTGTATGGCTTCCATCAATAATGGTTGCTTGGGGTGGATAACGTGATCCGCTATCCAGATCTACAGCTAAAAACCTCCAGGTGTTGTCATGACTTTGACTGAGATTGTGCGAAATTACTCCGGACTCCTTGCTGCTAGGTTTTTTTCTCAGTGAGTGACATGACTAGTCGAGTTAAATAGTGTTCTGACTGTCAAAACTCTCTAGGTCACGCTGAGGCAGGTCTTTGTGAGCCACTATGTCTACTACTTGTACTTTAACCATGTAGATATATTTTCTGACGTCTATTGCAGTTCCTGGTCTGGCTTTCTATATCTCTCCCTTTGGTAATATCTCAAACTCTTGTCGCAATGCTTTTACTCACAGAAGATAGGTACCCACGTGCAAATGCCCATTTTAGACTTGCTCTGATTTTTGCCTCTGCTTCAATGGCCGGCGCATTTTCTGGCCTCCTGGCCTATCTTATTAGTAAGATGGATGGTATTGGGGGCCTGGAGGGCTGGCGGTGGATGTACGAATTCTCTTTATCATAACCTCATTACGCTTACTAAATCTCGGTAGCTTTATCCTGGAGGGCATTCTGACAGTAGTGGTCGCCGATGCCTCGTAATTTTTCGTCTGGGATGAGCCGGCCACTGCAACATTTCTTACTGAAGAGGAAAAGAAGATTATTCTGGACGCATTAAGTTATCCACAAATTAAGACCTCGATAAATGCGCAACTCGGAAGCGAGTACTCTTTCAAGTGGAAACATCTCACAGATGCAGTTCTGGATTGGCAAGTTCGTCTCCTCCTTTTCCTTCGTTCTGAAAATATTTCTGATAAAGAGTCTCCAGACATGGCTCCACTGTGTTGGATATTGGGGAGTTGTAAGTAGGAATGCTCAGTGGGTATCGCTTTAATTAACCCGTCCTGAACAGGCGGTATCAGTGTATGCATTGTCGCTATTCCTTCCAACCATCAGCGGACTAGGATATTCGGCCGCAAACGCTCAACTCTTGACAATTCCAATTTACGCAGCCGCTACCATGTCCTGTATTCTAGTGGGCTAATTTGCGGATACAACGGGCCAGCGAAGCTTCTTTACTTTTGCCTGCTATACTGCCATCGTTGTAGGATATCTTATCGCAGTTGTCCCTCCAAATTTCCTACCTGGCTTGACATATGCCGGGTGTTTTATTGCAGCTTGTGGAATGTACTCAGGTACAATATCCCATGCATATGCTGATTCGCGTTAACTAAGCAGTTTTATAGCTATCCCGGGTCTCCTATCACTGTCTTCAAATAACTGGGCACCTAATTCGAAGCGAGCTATTGGTATAGCTTTCCAAATTGGCTTCGGTACAATGGGTGGTGCTGCTGCGTCAAACTTTTATCGAAATTCAGATGCTCCACGATATCGCCTGGGCCACGTTTTGGTGTTGGTATTCGCTGGATTGGGGCTTGTCACTATGGTGGTCTATTATCTTATATGTCGCAGAGTGAACACGAAGAAGGACGCGGAGGCTGATAGAGGTTATCAGTATACTTCGGACCAGTTGATTAATATGGGTGACAAGGCTCCGAGCTTCAGGTATAGACTTTGAAGATAGACGACGACGGCTAGATATTATCAGAAACATCCAAGAGATAGGTGCCAGAATAGACTTCAGGTCCAAAACGCGCCAGTTTATTCATATCCACGGGGCTACCTGTGACTGTTCTGCGTCTAATAGCTCAAAATATCGCTCAAATATCGATGCACTCCATTGACATCCTGTTCCAGAGGTAGGAATGTCTAGTGCCGGATTTGGTTCTGGCAGGGCTGGGGTAGCGTCTGAAAAGACCGAAGCGCTAGAGATATCCCTTTGAAAATCGGTTGCTTCGGCCTGGAGACTTGGATCATGTTCCTGGGATGGAAATGGTTCATGATTTTCCCCGTGGCAAGAGACCTGTACAGACAAGCTTGGGGCCCTTTGGAACATGTCTCTGGCTATTAAAGCCTGCGAACGAAACTCCTCAACTTGCTTCCAACGACCATCAAAGTGAACATATCTCTTGTTCTTCCAATAATAATAAGCATCTTCAGCAACTTTCCATGCCGAAAAGACTCCATCGCCGATTGGCACTAGAGACAAGTTGATGAGAAGATATATCAACGCATCCCATTCAAGGTACGTCTGGAATAGCCAAAGCCATTGTTTCCCCTTCTCGTATATACTGAGAAATCGAGCACGCTTCAATATGTCAACGCAGGTATTGCGAAAACATGCTTGGCTCAGGATGTGCTGGTTTAGTCGGTCTCGCGGTTTAGTCACGGCGAGTTTGAGCTTCGCAAGAATCAATCGACTAGATATTTCAGTGATATGATCCAATGGAATACTGCTGTCACAGTATGAAAGATGTTCTCTTCCGATCGCATCCTTGAAGTTGTCGATTGCTTTGCATTTTTCCAGAGGTGAGAGAACTCCATGGCCATTTTGCTGGCAGAAGTCTTTCGAGAAAACTATTTGGCGGGCAAAGTTGCTGATTTTGAATCTGACAAGACTGAACATCATCTCTGTTTTCCCGTTATCTATTTGTGGGGTCTGGGTCATGTCCGGATGAAGATTTGAATCATTGATGTTCAGCGGAAGTTTAAAATGGTCAGATGGTTCCTGGATGTGCGGATCGACACCGAAGTCTTCTGCTGTTCGAATGTCGAGGATATAAACATGCCACCAGATTCGACGGCGCATTTCAATATCAAAGAGCGTTAGCCCGGGATTCTCTTCATGCAGGCCGTTCTTTTTAGCGATACTTATTGCCACTGGAATGAGATTTTTAACATCTGGTCCGTTGTGGTCAAATCTCCCACAAATCTAATGCGTTGTTACCTTTGGCAGGCCTGGGAATATGCTCGAGAGACTTACAAGGTAAATCATGAAAGCCTGCAGGACGATCAAATCTGATGACTGGCGAAAATCGGCTTTTGTAAGGTAGGTCTGAACTCCATTCCGGTATCTACTAGTGTTAGTCGGTCATTTATTTCAATCCACTGGAGGTTTGATACCTTTGCAAAACCTTGTCTTTACTCTCATCAAACTCGCCCAGGCATTCTTCTGCCGACATGGTCACCACGGCAGCATAGCAGATGGCGAACATAAGCGCCGATATTGATATACTCATGCGATTTAAATCTCGAGCAAACCCCATGACGAATCGTTGAACGGTTGGAGTGTGACCTATTTTCAGGACTGAATCCACTCTCTCCAGATAAATTTGCCATAACAGTGATATTGTTGTGGGAGATGGCCAGGATATCTGGTTAGACACATCAGAACCGGTAGTATCATGGGTTTGGAAGTCATTTTGCAGTTCAATATATGATAGATTTGGTTGCGTTCGATGAAAAACTTCGAGTCCAGTCTGACTGATTGGCGAAATTTGCGACGGGTTTGTTGGTCGTATCAATTGCCTTATTTCCACAAGGCTCTGTTCTAATGAAAGCAGTGTATTTTCTACTCTCTGGATGCGATATACAACATCAGAGCTCGTTTGAGGGCTACCAGTCTTGTTTCGGTTTCGTCTTGGCGGAGGGTAATGGCAGTGGATCTTAACCTTGACGCAGTAAGAACAAGGATACGATCTATCACACTTGATCTTGCGACGGTGACACTCAAGGCATGAACGCGGACTAGCTACTGTAGGAGGCATCGCCGCTGTGGTAACAAAAATAATGACGATGTTCGACAAGAGGAAACAGAATGCTATTAGTTCTGGTTGGTGGGGGCGGAGGCGCGGACCACCAAGACCGCATTTCTAAGCACAAGGCTGATATGAGTGGGGCTGGAGCCTTTTCTCATATACCATTGGCTGCAGCGGACTGCGGCCTCAAATGTCCGTCCGGCTTGCGGTGGTAAGCAATCACCCTGTCCGAGACGCTAACAGACATGAGGATGGCCTGTAACTTACAGGCAGAATAACGGTAAATTCGCGAAATTTCATGTTTTGTTCCAATTGAACATACATGGGCTAAAAGAAAACTCATGCCGCTTTTAGAACGCTGAGATTGTCTCCGACCCAATGTCTTAACAGAATTCGTCCAAACAAATCCAAGGTCTACGATCTCCGTTAGTATAATATCGAAGACTTGTTTTGTTTCACTTGAGTTTTTAATAAGATAATTCGTTGAGAGACACGAGGGCACATTGAACTCGTTGCTGGCTTCTAAGTTTAAGGTTCTTCTTGTGGCTTTCTCATTAAGGTTCGGTTTGAATGAGGCGTGTGCCACAAGGTGAACAATTTAAAACGAGATTGTGACACGATAAATATGATTTATGATTGTAAAGCCGACCAAGTAATAATTCAAATTGCTTATGCCTTCACAATCTGCTGTAAAAGCTGTGCCAGGCGCTCTGGCATACTCAAAAATGGAGAATGTGAGCTTGGAAGCCGGTAGGTATTCTCTGGGCCACCCATCTTGGAAGCAAATAGTTCTTGTAAAGGAGGGGGAAGAGCATGATCTTGCTCACACACAATATAGGCGCAGGGGATGTCTCTCCAGGGCTCATATGTTGACTCGCCAGAAAACACCGGACGGGAAGTGTGCAATGCCAGCGAATTCCATTTTTCTTGCTTTTCAAGGGAAATATCTTGCCAACCAATCTCTCCGGCACCATCTGCAAGGACATAGTCATCCTGATATTGGGTTAGTTTTTTCATTCACCCATTTACTTTGTATTGGCGGAGAGTCAGACCTCAACCTTCATCCAAGGCAGATAGTTTCCACCCAGCATACCCAGTAAGCTCTGTCCCTTATCAATGGCAAATGCAGCCAGGTATATAACTTTGATGACACCACCTGTTTTGCCTTCCTTGATACGAGCATCTTTGTTCAGCCCTTCGACGGCACAGGAAGCAACAACTCCGCCATAAGAGTGGCCCACAACAACCAATTCTTGACCTTCATCTGCGAGCTTCACCAAGACCTCACGGAATGAGGCAACATCGTCAGACAATGTTTTAGTGGGTGGCTCAGCGCCGATCGAAGGATGAGCGGGGCACACAGAAGTGAATCCAAGGGCGTCTAGGTGGGAGCGGGTAGCATCGTAAACCGCAGGAATAATCCAGGCCCCGAGAGAGAAGACAAATGTCGGGTTACTCATACTGAGATATAAGTAGAGGTAGAGCTACAAGAAAAAAAAAAAGATTTTGAAAAGCTGGGTCATTCAGCATATTTCAGGGGCTCGTTTTTAGCGGCATCCTTCGGATGAGGGGGTAGTTCGGATATATAGATGCCGAGAATACATGAATGAGTGACTAGCGTCAAACAAATTGCTCATTCTGGTCTAAGATGCATCGTAGAATCCTATCGGGCGCACGGACGGCTTTCCGAACTGTGTAGGGGCACTAATTTACAATTCCAAGACAGAACTAAACCCTTTCTGGGCCGATTGTGGATTCAATGGCTTTCACCGGCTCGTGCCACGGCTTGTATCCATCAATAATGATACATCTGGGGAGACCCACCAGTAGTTCGGATATGAGTGTGCCTATCATCTCCCGTGAGGTCAACCGTCCTGAAACTAACTCCATGGCCTGGCCCATTTAGCGTCCTGGGACTTGGCTTAGCCTGGTATCTTTGTCCAATCTCCAATTTGCTCTTCACAGGGGTATGCCCATAACTTCTGGTTCATTCATATGATTGTCAGAAATTGCTAGAAAGAAATGTCATCTGGCTACGATGAGCAGAGTACTCAATCGAAGCAGCGTGTTACAACAATCGTATTGGCTGCACTGGCTATTATCTTTCTTTGCCTCCGTCTGCTCGCTCGACGAGTGAAGAAGGTGCATTTGGGGGCCGATGACACGACCCTGATTGTGGGACTAGTAAGTTTCTCTTGGCTTCAACTCGAACTTCGGCGACAGTTTCTCATATCGATTTAGATATTTGTTTTGGTTGTTGCAGGGGTCAATCTTGCTTGTATGCTTCCATTTGTGTTATTGTGGGCTATCGACCTAATATCACTTATAGGCGTTGAATATGGCATGGGCAAACACACAAGTACTATCCCTCTGGATAGACAGGGCACATTTTTCAAGGTATAAAGCAGAATCTGTTTTCCTGTTCTCGTTGGTCATAGTTCTAATAGATCCTAAAGCTTGTCTTTGCTTTCGAACCCCTCTATATCACCACGGCCGGCGTTATAAAATTATCTGTACTTCTTATGTACTACCGCATCTTCCCCGTCCGCTATGTGAAAATCGGCGGCTTAATTCTTGGCGCAGTAACCCTCGCTTGGGTCATTTCGATGGATTTCTTAGCCATCTTTCAGTGTTTCCCGATCGCCAAAGCATACAACCCCACACTCGCAGGTCATTGTATTAGTCTCAAAGGGGCACTCATTGGAAATGGTGTTCCAAACTTCGTGACAGACATGTTCATTCTAGCTCTACCTTCGAAGCTGATATGGGGTCTACAAGCAAGTTTGTGGCAGCGTGTATCAGTCATTGCCATATTTTTGACCGGAAGCTTGTATGCGCTATCCGAAGCTACAACCCAGAAAACACTCTTAACTGCTTGCTAATTAAAACTTAGCGTCGTGTTTGCGAGTATTTATCGCTTCAGCTTGATCTTCATCTTCGACATGAACGATGTTGCCTGGACACTTGCTGATGCACAAACTTGGTGTGTTGTCGAACTCGCAGCCGGTGTCATTTCAGCCTGTCTACCCACAACGGCTCCTCTGATCAAAATTTGTACTAAAGGCCTTGTTTCCACCGCAAAGTCGATATCGAAGTCTAATCTGACTCAATCGGAGGAACGAGTGCTTTCGCGGACAAGGGTAACTACACATTCGATCAACGCTGAGAACAATTTCAACGCCAGTACAAATAGTGCGCGTCGTGCTAGTAATGGAGACTACGTCTTGGAGGAAATGAATCCTGGTCATCGAGGAAGTTCGCATTTGAAAGGCAAAGGATGGACGGTGATAAGCGCGGAGCATGATAGCGATTAGGCACAATGTTCATCTTATGGCAGCTGGCTGTACATAATAAGGTAAATTTAAACAATAATTTGATTGAATTGAGTTATCATTTGAGAAATTTTACATAGTATGAAATATCTATGGACATGCAGTCTATTTGAAATGTAAAAATATTGGCAAGTCGTAGTACGGAGGCGAGTCGTGGCCATGAGGACAGAATTTTTAATATCACATAAATGATGGCAGAACATTCAAAATACTACTGAGCTAATCTACCCCTCTATTAATTGGATAAATCGCAGACTTTTGGGACGTACGTTCGAAACCTCCACCAGACCTTCTCCTTCCGCTTCACTTTTTTCTCTGCACTTTTATCTCTTTATTTTCTATTCCGCTATATTGATTTAGAGAGCCATTTGAACATTTGACTAGACTGGTATAAAATAAGGTAGAGTACTAGATAGGATACTAAGTAAAAGACTAAGCAGGAAACTAAGTAGGAGACTATGTAGGAGACTATGTAGGAGACTAAGTAGGATATGATATAATACTTAAGTACTAGGCGCCACGCTAAAAGGTTCTGTCCTCATGGCCGCTGCTCGCCCCCGTAGCCGTGGATGTATTTAGAAATTGTTTCACGGAATTTGAACTATTTGAAAGCAGTTTCTTATCAAAAAACCTTTTATGACACCAAGTATATTCGAAGTATTGATTAGCATTTTCGTACCGTTGAATTTGTATGGCTTAAAGCGGCTCGAGATATTACCACATTGGCATGCGCCACTGTGTCTTGAAATTGACATGGCAATACAGCTAGGTAACGATACAGCAGGATTACCATTCTCGGATGTTACAATGCTGGCTATGAATCCTGGTAAGAAACAAAAGGATTGATAGTAGTAGACTCATCGCTATAAATATGCTTTACACCCCCCTCATAAGATATCTTTCAACCAGAACAAAAAGTAAAATCCTAGACAAATACTTCTTCCATTCGCAATTCACAATGACATCCCCTTTCAAGAGAGTTGCCATAATTGGTGTACGTAAAATGAGTTCCTGGAGTTCGACCCAGCCATTCATTCGCTGACTTTGTCTAGGCTAGCGGAAGTATTGGTAAGATCGTGCTTGACGGCCTCGTCGCATCTTCGCAATTTACCATCACGGTAGTCTCGCGGAAGGAAAGCGTTGCATCCTTTCCTCAACTTGTCACAGTTCTCAGGCCCGAGTTCTCGGAGGCCGGTCTTGAGGCCGCCTTCAAGGACCAAGATGTTGTCATCTCGACAGTCGGAGCCGCTGGATTTGGCGAACAGAAAAAGTTCGTCGATGCTGCCCTGCGTGCCGGTGTCAAACGATTTATTCCGTCTGAATTTTCAGTCAGCAGTCTGAATAGTGCCGTTCTGCAGCTACTTCCGCTTTTTGGCCAGAAGAAAGAACTGATCGAGTACCTCAAGACCAAAGAGGCAGAAGGTCTGAGCTGGACCGGTATTGCCACGTCCGGTTTGTTTGATTGGGTGAGTTATACGTCTTGTCTTGAGATAAGAGATCACTGTATCTGATGTAGGAATTCAACAGGGCCTTCAAAACAAATTTCTTGGATTCGACATTGCAAACAGAACTGCCACTATCTGGGATAGCGGTGACAAAATTTTTACGCTCACCAATGAAAAGGAGCTCAAGCAGTCGGTTGTCTCTGTCCTTCAGCATCCAGATGAGACCCGCAACCGATACTTGTATGTCGCTTCCGTGGAAACCACCCAGCGGGAGATACTCGCTGCTTTGGAAAAAGCACAGGGAGCCAATTGGGCGGTCACCGAGACCACGACGGAATTGCAAGTCAGTGAGGGCTTTGAGAAGCTCGGAGCTGGTGATTTCAGTGGTGCCTTTTCATTGGTCCGAGCCACTGTTTTTGGAAACACGCCTGGTCTATGTTCAAATTACGCCAAAGAGACGGAGTTGGCTAATGAAGTTCTGGGTTTGAAGCTTGAAAGCATTGAGACCACTGTGCAGCGAATTGTATCTGGATAGATCTAGTTGCCCGGACGGACGTCATAGGAATAAACTTCAATTGAGACATTTAATATGGTTCCACCGGAGAATAACCCCAACTCCGAAATAAACCGTGGAATGGAGCAATGTACGGTCGAGTAACCAATCGGGGAGAAGAAAATGAAGAATCCAGGGCGGCTTACTCATCGCGGGGTTGGCGATATCGCATTCGGAGCAGTTTGCCACAATTCAACCTCAACCATACGCAATTGGTAAGTGCAAATGAGTTCTTGTTGTTTTTTTATCTTACTACAATGCCATTCTGAATCGTCCATGCCGTCAATGAGGTGATCGGGGTCTTCCATGCCTTGTATCCGATCCAATCCACTATGCGGGGCACTGGACGACGCCTTGACTCATATCTCCGTGGCATGGTCACGATTAGATACGGGAATGGAACTGGCTTTTCACCGTTGCAATTTCTTACCTTCTCGTTCTCTGTTCTCGTCAATCTAACTGTCTTTAGGATAATTACACCTATCCTACATATATTCATTCAAGATGGCAACCCCATACCCCAAGAAGAAGTGCGGTAGGTCTTGCGTATTGGCCCAATGACCTCATTCATATCAATTCTAACATCTTTCTGTTTTAGGTGTCCTCGGTGCTACTGGCTCTGTCGGTCAGCGTTTCATCCTTCTGCTTGCCGACCACCCCTTCCTTGAACTCCACGCCGTCGGTGCCTCAGAGCGTTCCGCAGGCAAGAAGTACAAAGATGCTGTGCGGTGGAAGCAGTCATCTCCCATGTCGGAGAAGCTCAGCAACCTGATTGTGCGTGATTGCAGAGCCAAGGACTTTGCGGACTGTGATCTTGTCTTCTCCGGATTGAACAGCGACATTGCTGGCGAGACTGGTAAGCTTCGGTGGCAACATAGGACCCTGGACCAACACTGATGTTCTTCGCAGAGATGGAATTCATGAAGGCTGAGATCCCCGTCTTCTCCAACGCAAAGAACTACCGCAAGGACCCCATTGTTCCCCTGGTCGTCCCCACCGTGAATCCCGACCACATGGACCTGATCCCTCACCAGCGCAAGCAGTTCGGCCTCAAGAAGGGTTTCCTGATCTGCAACTCAAACTGTGCTGTCATTGGTGTTGTCATTCCATTTGCTGCCCTGCAGGCTAAGTTCGGCCTCGTCGAGGAGGTGGAGGTCTTCACCGAGCAGGCTACCTCTGGTGCCGGCTACCCAGGTGTGCCCAGCATGGACATCATCGACAATGTCATTCCCTACATTAGCGGCGAGGAAGACAAGCTGGAGAACGAGGCCCAGAAGATTCTGGGCGGCCTGAATGCTGATGCCACCGGATTCGACGAGCAGGCTGGACTCCGCATTGGCGCCACCTGCACCCGTGTTGGTGTCACTGATGGCCACATGGCATTCGTATCACTGCGTTTCCAGAACCGCTCGTCTATCCCCAGCGCGGAGGAGGTCATGCAGGCTTTGCGAGAGTACAAGTCTGAGGCTCAGAAGCTGGGCGCACCCTCGGCGCCCGCAGAGGCCATTAAGGTGTTCGATGAGCCCGATCGCCCGCAGCCCCGCTTGGACCGTGATATCTCCGGCGGATACACGGTGAGCGTTGGACGCGTTCGCGAGGGAGCCAAGGGCGGTTTCTTTGACATCCGCTTTGCCGCTCTCTCACACAACACAGTGATTGGCGCTGCCGGATCATCGATCCTGAACGCCGAGGTGGCTGTCATCAAGGGTTACATCTAAAAAGTGTAGATACGAAAAGTGGGATTCTCAGCGATATTCAATTATACCTAGGTACATAACCTCCAAGATTAAAGATTCAATAGAACTATTAGACTTGAAAAGTCTTAATGATTTCCTTCACCGTAAACTAGAGTCGTAATTATTCCATCAACGCTGCGCGATCAAAAATCAATTACATTTCCTATTTAGGAAGGTGGGTCTTGATGATATAATCGGGTAACGTGTCAGCCCGTTATAGACTAGCGTGAGGGCTCTAGGGCTCGAGCCCCACGGACGCACTAAGCGAATTCCCCTTGATCCTCAACGCGACCCGTCTGTTCTATCGATTTGCGATACTCCGTCAACTCACCTCCATCTCGACAAATCCATCAAAATGGGACGCGGACCGTAAGTGTCATGATGCTTCCTCCTTTCAGTCTACTCTGCAACAATTTCTGGACTCGACTCTCGACTGCTCGCGTGCACACCTGGTCGATTGTCCAAGCCTCGAAAATTTTGCGGTACCAATGAAGAAAGTTCAGCATAACTAACTACAATGTCCCTACAGTAAGAAGCACCAGAAGCGCCTCAGTGCGCCTTCGCACTGGCTCCTGGACAAAATGTCCGGAACCTATGCGCCCAAGGCCTCCCCCGGTCCCCACAAGCTCCGGGACTGCCTTCCTCTGATTGTCTTCATCCGCAACCGGTACGACCCTCCACCCTCTGCCACAATATCCATTGGAAACTAACATGGATCTTTGAATAGTCTCAAGTATGCCTTGAACGGCCGTGAGGTCAAGGCCATCATGATGCAGCGTCTGGTCAAGGTTGACGGCAAGGTCCGCACCGACACCACCTTCCCCGCCGGTTTCATGGACGTCATCTCCCTCGAGAAGACCGGCGAGCACTTCCGCCTTATCTACGACACCAAGGGTCGCTTCACCGTCCACCGCATCCAGGCTGAGGAGGCTGAGTTCAAGCTCTGCAAGGTCAAGCGTGTGCAGCTTGGCAAGGGCGGGATCCCATTCTTGGTTACGCACGATGCGCGAACGTGAGTGCATACTCCAAGTTCCGTGTCATTCAGTCGTTGGACCATGTTTTGGTTGATCGGTTGAGGACAAACGAACAACCTGTTCCATTTCTGGATACAGTAAGCCCCATCTCGAAAGAACAAGGTTTTGCTAACTCGTGGCCTGCAGCATCCGTTACCCCGACCCCGCCATCAAGGTCAACGACACCGTCAAGGTCGAGATTGCCACCGGCAAGATCACCGACTTCGTCAAGTTCGACTCCGGTGTTGTCTGCATGGTCACTGGTGGTCGTAACATGGGTCGTGTTGGTGTCGTCACTCACCGTGAGCGCCACGATGGTGGTTTCAACATCGTCCACGTCAAGGACGCTATTGACAACACCTTCGCCACCCGCGAGTCCAACGTCTTCGTCATCGGCCAGGACAAGCCCTGGATCTCCCTGCCCAAGGGCAAGGGTGTCAAGGTTCGTTTACAATCTTAACCATTATCAACAACATAGACTAACATTTTCTCTAGCTCTCCATTGCTGAGGAGCGTGACCGCCGCCGTGCTCACGCTATTGCCAACTAAATGTCTTCTGACATTGGCAAATAGTGTTCCGGCCATCTTCATCTGAAGATGTAACAAAAAACATTAACCAAAACTGTAGCTTGGAAACGGCGTCTTGTCTGCTTTGTGGACTTGAATGATGCATCGTTCCGTAGTTTTAACCATAGCAAACAAAACACTCGTTTCCGAGTGATATGATACCTATTTAACGTTACCTTTTTCTCGAATGACTTAATGATCGTACTTTTTCTCGCCTTTCCAATCTCTCCCTCCGGATGTTCTTTTGCCTGTTCAACTGGCAATGTACCTCTTCCCATGCCTTTGTAGAATCTTGGAGTGGAGCAATAAGTACGGAGTATTACGCCTCGTCTACATATGATGATGCACCTCAGCCCTCAGCCCTCAGCCCTGGGTGGCAATAATCGTACCAAGAAATCAATTCAACCCATGCAAAGATTGGTAAACATTCGAATGTTGAATGTTCCCAGCCTCAGCTGTCAGATATTGTAAACTGGCCCAGGTACCCACATATAGGAATTAGATCGAAGCTGAACCACGAGCAACATCAACAACATTTGAACCCAACCCCACATGTGCACATGTGCATATTCGGGCATCCAGTGATATAGTGATTATACCGACCGATGCGTTAATCTGTCCAATCGACCTATTCTAAGAACCAATTACATCTATGTATAGGTGCATTATCAATCTTCCAAGGTTTTCAAGCTTATCCAGAGCGTCGGCATTTCCGAATCCTCGGCGCAACATATATATCAAAACAGTGAAGGGAAAATTCGGCGAACAAAGTTCCCGCCCACCACCATCATTCAATTGGTCAAATTGGCACATAAGCTAGATAGCAGCCTTGAAAAAAACTTGGAAGATGGATCAAGAGGCCAATATTGAAATTTGCCGAGGTCACTCGATCTAGTATTTACCCGGAGATGAAGTTGCATCGATGCGGATCCATCCTCCGATGCAACTTTCAAAAAGACCAACAACTGGCTCACAATAGATGTATAGCTCCTTAGTCGCTTACGATCCGATAAAAACTGAGTGGGCCTAGCGCCCTATGACATGACCAAAAACCTTCCGATGTGGGGAAACATGTACAAAGGCGTTATGTAACCCGGCGTACTCCGACCACAAAGCAAGCCGAGACCAAGCCAACGCTAATAGGAGTTGAATAATCAGTCGGAAATAACTTCCAACAAAATTTGATAGGAAGGGAAAAAGCTATAAATGAAGGAACATGTTCATCCACAATTGGTCCATTGTTAAAGGAGGCATTAGTGTTGATCAGTCTCCCGTGGTCGCAGAGCAAGCCTCTTCGATCGCGCCCGATCGACGTATTAGAGGGACGCATGCATATTAAAGTCAGATGTCTTCTGATCTGCAATTTCCATTAAATCCACCTGGAGAGGGTAATAATATTGATCACAGGCTCTCCTAATTAGTCCGCACCGCATCGTATAGGTCCAACTGTCAAACGTAAATGTTCAATAATCCGTACGAAGTGCGTGCAACGATCCAGATGTGCTATCCGATGTGCGATCCGATGTGCTGATCGAGCATCTGCCACTGGCGAATCTGATACATCCAATTTTGACCCGTTAATTACTCCATTCTTTCTCCACAGAAAATTAAAAATTCCGGATTCCACAAGCGGAGAACCGGAATATGCACAGCATAGCATTCGTGGATTCCAGGCTGCAATGCAACATGGAGAGACAAGTTACTGTTGAGCTGTAGGTCAACCTTGCTAAAGGAATCAGGATCATCCTTACATGGACCTAGTGTATGAGTGGCTGGAACCTGAATTATGCATCTAGAGGAAAGGTTTCCTGGAATTCGGTAATTCCTCCATGCAATGCAGGAGGATGAGCTGGCTCTGGCCCCTTCGCCATAGATGATGATCCCTGGATGTTAGTGCAGCCCCTATAATGCAGTCAGATAAGTCGATCGACCACTAAAAGGTATATCGATGATGAAATCGATGAAGAGAAAAGTGGTTTATTCTTATTTATTCGTAACGACATCATTGCCCATTCTTGCTACTCCATGTATGAGCGGAAAAGGCGGGTGGAGCGGGTCTAGAACGGGGTTTGCTTTCGGAGACTACGAGCGGCGCTATACCTATGCTGAATTGTACATGAAAGGTCCCAGCACTTTTAGTCTTTTGAGTCTTTGTTTATGTATTGCATCGTGAGATGATATTGATGTTAAGCAACATACAGATCCACCAATATCTGGGACATGTGGATCTACCGAGATCCCGTTTCCAGTTCCTTGGACGTGGGTTGATACCCGTTGCCCCTCGAATTCCTTTAAAGGGAGAACTTTGATCTACAGGCTAACCGCCACCATTTTAGGCTTATCACCTAGACCGACTGATTGTACTGTAAACGAAAAACATAAGAAAAATAAAAAAAAATGATATCAAATGAAAATAACCGAAATTTCAGTATATTAGGTTTGATAGTTGACCGCTTCTCAACCGATTTCTCTTTGGACCAAAGATAAGATAGTAAAGCACCTATGACATACCACGAATCGGAATGGACTATAACGGGTATAGAAGAAAAGAAAAGAAAAATAAGAATAATCAACGGGATCGGTTCGGTAAGCAGCAGGACAAGCCGTACACTCATTCTTTACAGTGGAGACCGCATGTTCCTCCCCGGTTCTAGGGCCAATACGTGTTTCTCGAATGATTAATCATTACCCCCTTTTCCCAAAGTACTCCCATTTTCAATACGCCCATCTGCCGTAGCCCATCCATTCTTGATGAGTCTAACGTGGCGGCTACGTCAGGGATAAAGCACTAGCCCTTAAAAGAGTCCAATCTACCCTCAAGATCCTGTCCCAGCTGAGAGCAAAAAAAAGATAGCTTCCTCTGTTCACTTTCGCCATTCCTGCCTTCGCCACCGTATTTGAAACCCTGGCCTATACTTGAAATCCTTAAATCGTTTTTATTTTTCCTTTTCCTAATTTCTTGTCAATTTTCTCGTATCCAGTCAACTTCGTCTTTACCCATTACTTCAGCTTATGTTGTTGTACCCCAAACTAGCCTCCAATCCACCGCCTGGCCAGGTGCTGTGGTATCCGTATAAATGCAGTCCATGAGCACTGAAGAATCGGTCTTGGAGCCCTCTAGATCATACATTCCCAGGATTTCACCAACTTTAAGGCCCAACATGTCTCTTGCCACCCAGTCAATCATGACAATGCCACCAACCGGGCTTCCTTCCTACCACGCTCTTTTCTTGCCCGGCTCGGAGATCCCTCGTTTTGCCATCTCTTATCGCTGGTGGGAAGACGAAGCTACCACCGTGTTGTGGGCTTTCAATATCCCCGATCTCTGCTTGCTTATCCGCTACGCTTTATTTCGAGATGAGAACCTTCCACGGAATGCACTCATTAGCAGGAATGCTGAAACTGTCGATCTTTTCTTGTTAGCTCTTTCGGATGCAAGGGAACATCCTTCTTTTTACGTGTTGTCGAATGTGCAGAGGGTGGAGGAGGTCTTGCGGCGCTCGAGGATTCCTCCACTCCGGCCAATTCACTGGAGCTGGTTCCCGCCGAGAGGAGGGCTTGATCCCCGGTCTATTGCTAGCGCCATCGAAAAAGAGAGCCATTGCCAGTTTTTGAGAGTGGATTTCGAGGAGATTGTTCGCGCGGCGCTGGGCTACCCGTCACCCTCAGTAGAGTGGTTTCTACAGCAACATACGGCTCTCTATATTCACCTCGTCGACCATCTGAGAGTATATCCGGACGAGATCCTGGCTTACGTAGAAGCCGAGAAGGTTTGTGCCATATGACGTACTTGTGTTCTTATTCTGCGAGTCCTCAAACTGAAGTTTCTTTATAGTATCTGCGAGATCGAAGTCCATTTGCTCACCGTGCTGTGGTGAAATGCTTGCATACCGTTCTACCGACATTCAACGTTCACCTACCAACTTCACCCGGCTTAGAATTCGTTGCCAGTCCAGTTCAGAGTCTATTCAAAAATCCGCAATATAAATTGACAACCATACTCAAGATCTTGAGCGTCCTGGCTAAGCGTTTTCGTACCCATTACAGCCAAATGTCGACAATGGACTGGGTCACCCCTTTCGACACCACGGCTGTATTTCTAGAAGAATGTCTTAGTACAACGTCTTCAAAGGATCTAGCTCAAAAACTATTCGAAATCGATGAAATGGAATTTTCACAGCTTTCACGACAAAGCATCATCACCTGCGATATAAGGACGACTCAATTAGTGGAGAATTGGCACACAATCAGCATGTCGACTTGGGAGTGCTGTTGTGCACTACCAGACATGATAAAGACACTACAAGAATGCGCACAGGCGAGTCTACCCAAAAGACTGAAACTCGGACTCGAACTTCAACCTGGACTCGAGACTAACAGAAAACCTTGGAAGCAGACACTATACACAAAAAAGGATTATTATTCTTCTACCGCCATTCTCGAGGGTCTACATAGATTTTACGCCTCCACTGCTCAGCTCAACGTAAACGGAAGTTACAGTACAGTCGTTGTGGATACTTGTGTCTCGCCAGAAGCCGCCTCTCTCATTACTTCAGCCCAGAATTACGCCGTTTATCGTCAGCATTATGTTCAGAATCCGGGTATTCCGTTTCTATTTCCTCATATCCGGGATTATCAGCAACATGGTGAATCGAGCATTCAACCGCTTCTAGATTTTCTCCAGGATTTTTCTAAAGTCTTGTGATTGTGGTTGTGATCGACAGCCTGCATGCTTGTCGCTCGATGGTGAGGGAGCCAGAAAATGAAAAGTGGATTGGTGGCGTGCATGGCATGCAGGTGGTCATTCTCGTGTCATGGGTTGTTTCTAAAGTATTTCGTTTATGGGCAATGTGATGGGTCTATTACCTTCGCGTTTGTTTCAAGGGTTTTATAAGGAAAAGAGAAGCCCATTCTTCTTAGCTAGCTTTATGCTGTGCTTTGTGCTTTGTGCTGGGTCTCTAATGTGGGGCATGCATGTTTTCTTTCTTATACCCATGCTAGCTTAGATAGCATCCGCAGTGCTGGGACATCGGAGATTGTATGAATCAGGGAAGACGGGATCTTCTTGGACAAATTCCTGATTTCTTGCTGATGTTTGTTGTTTATTTGCTTTTTGTTTCTTTCTGCACTATAATAGGCCTTCTAAAAACTTATCAACTTAATCGGGCTCGGCTCGCTGCACTCCATCCCGAGATTTATCCAATACAATCCAGATCTGATGCAGAGTTCCTAGCCATAGGACAAGAATTGCTTGGCGTTGTTTTCTGGGCAAATGTCCCGGCACATCCAATCCAATCCATCAATCCAGAGTTGGCCTTTGGCGTCGAGTCAGAACCTAGATAGCCTTCGTCATGCGACACGTATGCCGAAATGTCCGGATTATGAAAGTATAATACAGCGCATGACATAATCCGTCATCTCTCCCTCAGGCTGAAACGGGTGTTGCATAAACGTGAAGGGAGAAAAAGTTATTGCCCAGCAATAATAGAGCAATAACCCGCTGAACCTCCAATGGAAGGATTCAGTCTTTTTTCCCAGCAACCTTTGGCGCCTTCGCTTGTCCAAAAAGTCCCAAAAAGTATAACACGCGGTTCATGAATAGAAACGCGGTAGCTCCGATATTTCCCCAGGTCAGCGCATTCCAAGCACCGACGTCCATAAATGCATCCCATCCCATCGCGACGTACGTGGCGTATACATGACCGATATCGGCAATGGCTAGAGCAATCAGGTAGTTGCGGAGAACCTTGGGTTCGGTTGTAGTGTGTAGCACGCCGACTCCGACGAGGAAGAGGAGGTTGTAGAGATTGCCAAGTTGGTAGGCAAGAGCTATGCTACTTGGATGTTGGATTGTAGGGGCTTGGACGTGGGGTGTTTGGCCAGATATAAAGCCGTCAAGGTCGAAGATTGGGGCGAGAGAGCCTGCGACTCTGGAAACGGGGCTTGTTAGTTTCTTTGTTTTTACCCTTTGGATGGGGGATTATACAATGATATAGGCTCAAGGATGCCGAAAATAATGTGGGGCCATGTTGGGAAGATGGTAGGCATTTTGAAAATACTCAAGCTTGGAAGAGATAAGATCTATTTGATCGACTTTCTCCGCGTTAATAGATCTCTACTGACGTAGATGCGTTCTTGGTCTCTATTTCTACCCGAATTCTTATCGCTCCCTTATCGAAGCTTCACACTTCAAGCTCGTTTCAACTCTTCTTAAATTACTCTTCATCTATATATGCAGCCATGGCGGATCAGATGAATTGTCAATTACCAGGTATAGCTGAAAGTCGTTAGAAAGACCCCCCTCTTCATGTAAGAGCATGGATTCTAGTGGCGCTTTGCGGCCCCTGGATGAAGCTTTACTTCGCGAACTTCCCCAGCTTTCCCTGCGCATCGCGCCGCTACGGGAACCTGTCGCATCTCGTACGCTTAGCATTCCATCTCCCCTGGAGCCAAATGCAAGCCGAAGCAGGGAGTCCAATATAATCCCCAAATCCACATCGACTGGTGGAAACGCCCCCACAAACTCCAAAGCGAGTCTACCAACTGTGACCGAGTTTCTCAATGCTGCAAGGACTGAAAAGGCCGAGCCTGTCACAGACTCATCAAATGTGGAGCCACTACCCAAACCCATTCTACCGGCCTTTGTAAACCTGCGTGCGCTGGAACGCTTCCCGTTCTCTTCCTCTTTCGACGACGACGCCCTTCATGGCACACGCAAGCGCCGCCGCTTAGACCTGACAGAGTCGTTTAGTGAGCACTTGCAGCTCCCCATTCCACAGGCGCAAAAAGAACAACGTCCTCCTCCTTTTGGCCCTTTTGCTATTCTGAACGGATTGAATGAACCTCCACCCAATGCTGCCCTCCTTCCTCCCATTGAGGCAGGCTCGATCCCTCAGCTTTTGACAAAGCCATCTCGTGAAGATACCACCGTCGATCCTGCTATAGTCTCCACCGGAGCTCTTTCTGAGGGTCACCCTGTAGAGCGGAGAGAAGCGAGGATCGAGGAGCTTCTCGATGCGACCCTCGATGACCACAACGATGATGTACATGATCCCGAAGACGAAAAAATTACCCAAACCGAAAATCGAATTAAGTCTGTGATCCCTGATGAAAAAGCGTGCACCTCGAATGACATAACTTCTACTCCCCCTGCTCCGGGTGGACCTTTATCCAAAACCCAAGGACGACCTCGTAAAAATTTGAGGAAGTGGACAGAGGAGGAAACAAATGATCTCTACCGAGGCGTGGTGAAGTGCGGAATTGGTAACTGGACAGCGATATTGGCGCAACCAGAACTCAAGTTCAAGAATCGAACGGCTTCCAACCTGAAGGACCGGTATGAAACCTTTTATTGCCCCTCTTCTGCTCTGATACTCACAATGTAAAGCTTCCGGGTCTGTTGTCCTTGGGCATATCGGTAAGTCACCTACTGCAAAGAGCTTACTTCATTTACTCATTCTAATTAGGGCCTCTGATCCAAATGAAGCAACAAAGAAATTGCGTGATAATTTGGCCAATGCTCTTCTCAAATCCCAAGCCGACGCATCCGATGGAACCTCCAGCAAGGTCCGTCCTCCGCTCCAGTCTCCAACGAATGTGGGGTCCGAGCTGAGTTCTACGTCTGGTAGTCCAGTCATGAGCTCTCAGAATCCACCAAAGAGCGTGCCACCTGTAAATTCGGAAAAGGACTTGCGGAGTGGTAGCCCGATCCTTCGGCAGTCGCCCCCAGCCAAGGATGCAAAATCCTCTAGCGAATATCCGACAAATCTTGAATCCCTTGGCATTCCAGAGCCTTATGTCTCAGTGAAGTCTAAACGTCGTTCGCGCCGGCCATTCACCACAGCTGAAGATGAGGCTTTGCTCAAAGGCTACGCCGTCCACGGCTTTCAATGGACTCTCATTCAACAGGACAAACGACTCAACCTGGGCCACCGAAAAGCGACAGATCTCCGCGACCGCTTCCGCACGAAATTCCCGCACGTCTACCGCGACGGAGGCTCTGTCAACGGTAAAGCTTCGAAGCCGCCAAAGCTGGAAACCGCCAAAAGCGATCCTGGGCCAGTATCTCGAGATCGCCAGCCTAGCGAATCCACTCCCACGAAAGCTCCAGTGGCTCACCGGCGTTCAGATTCGCATGTTCACACTCGTCAGTTATCCAACGCGTCACACTCTAACACGGGTGCTGGTCCGTTTGATCCGTCTTTTTTACCGCCTCCGCAGGGTTTCCTTGAGCCGTCGGCTAATGCACTTTCGTTTTCGTTGGATGAGAACCCGGCAGCTGCATCTTCGCCTTGGGAAGATAATACGCTTGCTCCTATGATTTGGGACGACCTCAGCTAAGGCCCAACAAAAGTAGATGATAGAGAGAAAGAGGAGGGAAAAAAAAGGCTTTGATTTATTTTCAGTTTGTTTTTGATTTATCTGTTTTGGCATTTCGGGTGTTTTGATTTTGTTGATTTCTCCTTCGATATCCCGCAGTACACGACGGCTTTCCCATAGTTTTCAATGCGTGTCTTTTCGAATGAGAGCGAAAGTGTTACCAATGAACTTTTTCTCCATTCGTCTCAAACTTATATTCCATCCTTAGCTAGAGCAGTGCTTTTAGATATGCATTCGTGAGCAAGAAAACAAGTTTACTTATAAGGTCTAATGAAATCTATATTACACTTGAGCTGTGAAGTCATATATTCGTCAAAGCCGAGTTCGAGCTAGTCAATGCCGTATAGCTTCATATATAGCTATATCAATCCACAATGCGTTGAAGAAAGATCGCAATACCCAAAAATCAAATTAAATCAAATGATACTTGAACATCAAGAATATCAAGTGCCAAAGATAAGGACCACCACATAAGATACAGCTGTCTAGCACCGCTTTTCTGCCTTGAAGACATAGACACAGACAGAGTCTCCAAAGAAAGACAATGCTACCCATGGCCGAACACACAGTGCTTGATGAGAGCAATCGCAGAATGGAAAATCTTCCATTCAGCTCAGAAAACAAAAATGAAATTCAAAACCCTTGGCTAAAGCCCACAGCGCTCAAGTTGCTTCGTGGATGGAACAAAACAAGAAGAATAAGAAGAAAAAAACCCCAAAAACTCATAATCCACCTAAACCTATGTACAAGGCGAACCCAATCTACCACGCATTGCGATCCCAGTTCGGATCTAAAACATTTAAACCAAGCAGATTAGCATATTTCCAAAAACATTCTCCCATGCCGCAAAACGAAGAAAAAGAGACCCACCCTGTATGAAACTAGCCAACACTTTACTCCCAGTCTGCAAAAGCGGGTGCCCCGCCACAATCTGCAGGAACCGTTGGAGCCCCTCGCGCCGGTGCTCAATGACCTCGTCACTGAATCGGTTTGTGAATACCTTCCCGGGAAGCGGGGGAATAGTAACACGCGTGCTCTCACGCTCGAGGATGTCACGGAAATACTCAAAGTCCGAGTAACGACGGCGTACGACAGAGTGCTTTAGCTTGAAGGCGGGGATGTTGGTTCGGCAGACGATTTCGTACGAGGTGTACATGTTTCGGGATGTGCCGTGGGTTTGAGGATTGCGGACCTACATGGATGAGTTAGCTCTGTGATGTATTTCATTTCATGTTGTTCCAGGGTTGCGAGAATTAAGGTTGGATTGAGAGGGGGATGGGCGTTGGGATTGGCATTGAGTTGCATTGCGGGGTTGCTGGAGGCACGCGACACAGGTACGTGGCTGCTGTAGCTGTACTTGTACTTTGTGGTGGGGTCATGTACCTCAATTTCAAGGAAGTTCTCCGGGGGGCCGTAGATCTCCTCGAAGGTCTGTTGGCGGGACTCTGGGACGTGCTGCATGGTGTGGGTGGGCCTGGGAGGTAGGGGGTTTAAGAAAAGAAACTGAATCAGACTACAGCACCGGTAGCAGTGTAGGTGAATATGAACCCCTAGAGCAAATAGTAGGAACCACGTCTCCGCACGGAAAGGCAAGCGAGAGAAGCGGGGGATCCAGTTTCGTTATCAGACGCGGGAAAATGGTTGATCCGCCCTTATCGGCCTTATCGAGGTACGGAGTATAGTTGGATATGTTGTCTAGCGATGCGTGACCCAAGGCTATATTTAGCTTGCTAACCCTTGAATGATTCTCCAGAATGTGGTCTGTCACAAAGCAGGTGAGATATGGTCGGAGCTCATCAAGATATACATCCGTGTCCTTTAGTGAAGGGGTCATGTTCAAACGTAATTAGGTAGAAGTCGTATCAAAGTTCCGAGAGAAATCAAAGAAATTCTTGAAAAAGCTGCCAATGAAGTTTGAAATTTGTCAAGTGTAACTGAGCAGGATGTGTCTCTCACATGCTGCGATCAAGTATCTATACCTAATAGGCATAACATATCGACGTGAATGGAAAATAACAAATTTATTCACACCTGAAAAGATGGGTCCAAGTGACTGTGAATGGGGATGTAGATTGAGTCAGGTTGAACAGCCGAGATATGTCTAAGATAGGCGAATAATAAAATATTTGCGTTGATAGTAGCGACTGTTAGAACCATTTATAAATCTAGAACTATCTCTCGCTAGGCCTTTCAATTCTATACACGATTCAAAAACATTAACCAATCCAATTAATTTTATACAAGTTAAGCCGCACTGCTTCCCCTCAGCTCATCATATGACGGAAGTTCCGGCCCTTCAGATATATTCTTTACATGAGCAGCTTCTGGCTCCCTGATATATGCTGGCGGAGGCGTTGAAGCCCTGGTCGTCCCTGTGGCACCTGCATACGGTGGCCGAGTCTGTGAAGATCGCGGAAAAGGATGATTTGAGTTAGAACGGCCCCGGCTAAGTTCGTAAACTGGTAGTCTACGCGAGTCGGCCTTGAGTGCTCTTTTGCAAAGAAGCAAGATACTCCCCACTGCGAAAGCGCCAAAACAGATACCGAAAATAGCCGCCGCGGACAATCTGCGTTCTTGGTTCCCATTGTAGTAATTGTCTCGTTTGGTAAACCGGTCGATCATCCCTTGGAGACTGATTTGGGTGTCTTGGTCTTTTGGTGACGTCGGAGAGTATTGGCTGCTTAATTTAATGCACTCAAATTGCGGCTCATCTCCTGTGTCTAGCATGCACCACTTCTGAAAATTGGTGAGTGTAGCTAATATGTACAACGTGTTAATGGATCAAGGATTAGTTGAAGGCAGTCGGGAGGAACTTACACTGGACAGACTCAGTGCAGGAATCTGTTGTACAGTCATCGATTTGATTGATGAATGGCATATCTTGGCACCAGCATGATACGCTCTTTGGGTCACACGGTGGGCTATAATTGATTTGTATGCATGATAACTGGATACGACTCAGTTTCTTAGATAAGATAGTTGTTGGCGTGAGTCCTCTACTTACACCGGAATTGATTGAATCATTTGGCTCTTGGGCTAGTAGGCGGAGAGGGCTCTCTGCTGCTACAGATAGGATAGACCCTGCAACAGCAACCAATGAGAGTCTCATGGTGCCGAGAGTATTTGATGTTCAATTAATAGATCTAGGACGAATCTCCCATAATTTCGATTTTCAAAAGGATTGATCTCCAGTTTTTAAATCCCCAGCTTCAGTGGGAACGGGGCTGTGGAGATTATAGTTCAGCCTTGTTGACACGCACGGGCTGGCGGCTCAGCGGCAGCGCCCGACACAATGACCTTGAATATTACAATTCTACAGCTACCAGCAAAATGATATCCCTAGAGTCGCGACTACATGATCGAAACAGGATTGCACTGTGTGCCAGTCGTCACTGTGCCGACTTCCGGCTCTTAGATCACTGGCGTTAGATAGCCACGATGGGTCTGAGGCCTTTTGGCCGAACCATCACTCTCGGCGCTATCATTACCCACCCCAAGAACTTGGCGGCATACTGAGCCAAATATTTAGCTCCAAATGCGCCTTTCAATGTATCAATACCATTGGTTAGCATTCCCGGCGAGTGCCCCGAGGTCTTTCGGGCGTCCTAGGGTCCCTTTTTGGGGCTGCCAAGTCTGCCTCGCGTGTCCGTGTATGTCATAAAGGCTTGCTGCCAGGCTTAAAGAGGAGCATTAGCCATGGTGTCAGAACAATAGGCCATTGACAGTCGGGCGGAGCGCCGGTGCTCAGTGATGACCCCAAGTCCAGGACCAAATTAGAACTTGCCATCGCAGCAATTATTCGATGGATACTATTTGAGTAGTTAATTGTACACAGAATAGACTGATTGCATCTAATAATTCACGACATACCTCTGATGAGTCGCTGTGGTGCTAGTATTATGTCGTGCCTACGTAGGCTTCTCGGCTCTTCAACGCTGGGAGGTCAGGAGATATTCCTCTCGTTCTGTATCGTTATTATGAAGCTATCATGCACGTTTAATCCATCAATTGAATTCACCAATAAACATCTTTAAGTCCTAACTGATTCGATATCCTACCTGGTAAGTACTTTCAATAGCACCAGCAACACTTACACAATAAGCTTGGCTTACCTCAATTACAGTCACACCACTCATACCACAATTTCCATTTCAGCATCGAAGACAAATTATCGTCCACAAACACAGAAAATGACAGATATGAAACGCCAACATCCAGTAGTCCATGCGCCAGATCAGATAGACCATCGTTGAGCCAATCAACCGTGACCCGCTGGAGGGATGGATGTTCTTGGATAGACAGAATATTCATCATCCGTGATCCATTCACCGACCTCGTCATCGGGCTTCTAAAAGGTGCCTTGTGCCTTGTGTCCGAAAAAGTGGACAAGATTACGGTAATGTCTCGTTTGGAAGTCGTGCCCGCGATATCAGAATTGAGAGAGACATTCTAAATAAAAGGAGTAGAAGATCATCATGCTATACTATGTCCTAGGACAATGGGATTATATCTCATCGGAATTAAGCAACTTATAACCGGGAAATATGACATAAGAAGGCGAACGGAACCAGCGGTGAGTTTATCTCCATAACCCGCTATCGATAAGCACTTCTCCTCATCAACCCACGTCATGGTCGCCCGCAGAATACCCCCAGATGAATATGAAGCCAACTCAGTTTGGCACCCTCCACAAGAATGGCTTGAGGAAGATGATGAACTAGACCCGGACTATCATTCAGCTCTGGAAGGACAGGATGAAAGCGAAGAATGGGAAGACGATGCGGATGAGGAAGACGATATGGGCCTCGGCATTGGAGATGGTGCGATTACAGTATTCCTGTGTGCAGATGGTCAGAATAGTGGGTTTACTAACTACTATTGTTACAGAAAATCCAATCATCAATATTGGAAGCATTCAGATCGAGTTGACGGCGGATGATCCCCCCGAGGGCGAGGGAGCGGGCAATGGCGGTCGGACACGAGGTATGCTTATTGAAAAGGGTTTCTATGATCTGAGATAATGGCCACTTACTTTTATCTAGTTCCCGCCTCACGATTACTCGAATTGCTCGCATCTAGCGGTCTGCAGCACGTCCTTCACGCCAACGGATGGACAACAAATGCAGCAGATGCTTTGGAGGTAGATGAAGATGAGGACGATTTCGATTATCCAGGTGCACTCAGACGTCGAATGCGAACATGGCGAGCCGGTCGAACCGACCAGTTTCCGAAAGTCCCAAGCGACGAGGGCACCGAATTGATGGCCCAGGGCCACTTCGGAACAGATAGGCACTATGTGGATCGCGCCAGGCAGCGCAAGAAGGTGCTCGCGACACATCTCATGTGGAGAGAGCTTGGGGTGGATCCTTATGGAGTGCGCAAGAGAGCAAATCAGTCAATTTCGCAGGTAAGGCTGAATGGGCGGTCTCGAATGTATCGTCGCTAAAAACACGGCGAATTAGCACATGATTCCGGGCTCTGCGGCAGACAAGATCATCCATTACGATTTCAGAAGCTACTCCGGCCAGTTTTCGGACGATGGTAATTTCTTTTTCTGTTGTGCACAGGACTTCAAAGTCCGGATGTATGACACTTCCAACCCTTATGAGTGGAAATATTATAAGACTGTCGAGTATCCGTTTGGCCAGTGGACCATTACCGATGCTACGTTAAGTCCGGATAATCGCCACCTCGTCTATAGTTCAATACGCAGTCAAGCCTACCTAGCGCCGACAGACCCAGAGGACGATTCGGATCCGACCGTCCTAGATTTCTCCCTACCCCCTGGTGAGCGACGGCGACGAAGCTGGGGAAGTTCGCATTTCGGAGTATGTATGCCAACCTTAATTGTATAATAGTCGCTAATTGGATTCCGCAGATCTGGTCTCTCAGATTCTCTGGAGATGGACGTGAAGTGGTTGCAGGCACATCGGAGAACTCGGTCATTGTCTACGATCTTGAAACCAAACAACCAGTACTTAATCTTCGAGATCGCCACCAGGACCATGTGAACGCAGTTTGCTTTGGTGATACATCGTCACCACATATTCTCTATTCAGGATCCGACGATACCACACTGCGAGTGTGGGATCGACGCTCAATGGGCGATGGCCGTGAAGCCGGCGTGTTCATGGGCCATACCGAGGGTCTGACGTATGTCGACAGCAAAGGCGATGGTCGATATGTTCTTTCCAATGGCAAAGACCAGACCATGAAACTCTGGGATCTGCGGAAGATGATGACCACAGCTAAATTTGATACAATTGACCCGAACAACTACACAACCGGGTTTGATTACCGCTTCCAACCATACCCCGATGACTATTACGAGCCACATGAGCATGACTGTTCCGTTGTCACGTACCGCGGCCACCGCGTCCTGAAGACCCTCATTCGTTGCCACTTCTCGCCACCCGGAAGCACAAACTCACGCTACGTGTACACCGGCAGCGAGGATGGTAAGATTTACGTGTACAATATGGATGCCACGCTGGCCGAGACTATCGACGTTGGGACAGCGACTGCCAATTCCCGGCCCCACGAACCAGATGTCTTCTCGACGGATTACGAGTTGAGCGGGGAGATGTTGTGGAGGACTTGCGTTCGGGATGCAAGCTGGCACCCGAATGCGCCTGTTGTTGCAGGTAAGTAACATTTCTCATTCTCCTTGAATGATCTGACTGAATCAATAGCGACCTCGTGGAATGGATGGGGTCTGTCTAGTGGCACATGTACTATACATTCATGGAATGACGGTGCAGACAAGGACGAAGGAGAACCACCGATTGGTCAAAGCTACGACGACAAACTTCGATCTGTGCCCGAATTTAACAGATTCCGGAAAAGTCACATCCAAGAAACGAGACGCATGAGGCACTTACGCAGCATGCCCGTGCGATTTGAAGAGGATCAACACCTTGGTGCTTGGTAAGGGTTAGGATCATTTTTTTTTTCATATTGCATGGCAGGTAAAACGGGTTCATGGAGATTATTTATATGGAAAGTTAACCGTGGACTGGTCCACAATAAATGTAGGTATAATGAGTTAGCGAAAATATACTCTTCACTTTCGTTCTTTTAAGCTGGGTTCATGTGAATGAGAAATGAAATGGGTATGGGGGTCGTCAATTAAATCGAAAAAAGACCCCTATTGGTATTGGTACAAAAACAGAGGTATGTGGTATCTCAAGGGTGATAAAGCACTCTCCCATCGCATCCCAAAAAAAGCATGGTAGCCAGATGAGAGATCTGGCAAGACAAAGAAAACCCCGCTGACTCAAGGGTTATGTGGCCTCTGGAGGATGTCCCTGATCCTCCCTAGCGCATCGAAATCGCGTGGCTTTTTTTGGATCATTTCAACAGGCATTCATCTCCAGTTACTCGGCCCTTCTCCTTATTCTGGACTCGTCGCAGTAAAGGTAATTGTAGGTTGATAGATTATGCGATTATGCGCCACCGACCAGGACCTGGTTGACAGGAATGTGAACTGTAGGGAGACGGAAGGTTAGCTTTACTGTGCCTATTGAGGATATTTAAGTATGTCATCCACAAGTGACACTCACTCAGCTTGACGAAGTATCCAATGGCGCCCTAAAGTAAACAGTTAGCCACTGTCATAATAGTAAATAACAGGTAGGTGAATTGAGGGAAAGTCGAGACATACCATAACAAGGAAGCCCATGCCAACAGCTTGGCTGATCTTGATGAATTCACGCTTGTCGGCTGTAGCCAAAGTCAGCAATTGTGTGGACGATCATGGGGGAACCTGGGGAAAGGAAGTGGACATACGCTTAGTGCAGCGGCGCACAAACAAGGATCCCTCACGGACAAAGTCCTTGGGGATGTCAGCAAGCTCTTGGAAGGTGTCAGACATGGTTGATGAAATTGGGGGGGAAAGAAAGTAAGAATGAGGAAAGGAGAGAAGATAAGAAGGAAGTGATAGTTGGCGTGATCTCCTGCCATTTGGCCTGAACTCGGGGGTTTACCGGATTAACAATTTAACCGCTCCGGAGAACCCCAGCTTCACAAGCTCCTTCTCTCTCTCCTCAGACTCTTAAGGAATCAAGTAGGAAAGACTTGCTTCCCTTTCTCATTGTTCATATACAGTTATTTCTGTGTTGCGGCTGGTCTGTGGCAGATTTCACTTCCCCCTTTTCCCTTTTTCTCTCCCTGTATCCCGTGTGAGCTCGGCAAGTCTGTACGCGCCTGATCGGCTGGCTATTCTGTTCGGGAAAATTGGTGGTTTTGGATTGTACGTATGGTCGAGTCTACTTCTGTTTCTTCTCTTCCTTTTGCGCGTCGTGGTATTTTTTCATCTCTGCACTCCCATTGCCACCCGGTTCCGGGATCTTCTGCATTTATCGTGTTGTTCTTGTGATTGAATGCCTGTTCATTCTCCATGCTAATTAATGGCCTGTATTGACAGACATGTACTCTCCTTGATCCAGAAGCAGAAGAAAAGAAAAGGAACAAGGGCCTGTGTATATCCAACCTCTCACTTAACCCAAATCGAATCTTTGCTCTGAAGCCTGCTGTGCCCCCATTCCCTGGGACTCCATAGTGCGCAATGGCTACCGAAGATGATAACTTCGATATTGACATCTATGGTGACGGTGGTGGTTACAATACCAATGAACAGGGTGATGATTCGGAGCTGGTGTTAGATGCCCCAGAGGCCACACCGTCGCAGGCACCACCGCAGGCACCGACACAGCCTTCAGGAAACAATACCACCGCCTCTGAACAAAACAAACCTCACGATCCACAACCTCAACCCCCAACCAACGGTGACCACACAATGGGCCAACAAAACTCCGCAGATGCGCCTGCACCCCATGGTGTTAAGCGCAAGGAATATGATGACCGACCCTCTGACCCAGATGCCACCACTGCCTTACTTGTTTCCGATCTCTCATGGTGGACAACAGATGATGACATCCGTGGCTGGGTAAACCAGGCAGGTAGTGAAGACGAGCTTAAAGATGTGACATTCAGTGAGCACAAGGTAAATGGAAAGAGCAAAGGGTAAGTCAACATCATAACAATCCAAGCTCACCCCACCGAAAACTTCCATTAGAAACTAATCGCATCATCTTATAGCCAAGCATTTGTGGAATTCACCACCTCCCAGGCTGCCACGGCCACCAAGCACAAACTTGAGAGCCTTGCTGCCTCGGGCCGTAAATACATGGTCAACTACACCAACCCTCATGCGAACCCGTTCCGCACCCTCCCGAAGGATGCCCCCATGCGCAAGGATAATCCCCGCGGTGGCGGCGTTACTCCTGGGTTCAGCTCTGGCAACCAAAACATGAACTTCAACAGTGGAGGCAACATGGGCATGGGCGGTGGCTACCGTGGCCGAGGCGGGTACAACAACAACCGTGGAATGGGCGGTAACATGAACTTCAACAATCGCGGTAACTTCAACAATATGGGTAATGGCTTCCAGGGCGGTGCTGGTCCCGGCATGATGGGTGGCTTCCAAGGTAATGCCATGGGTGGCATGCAGAACTACGGCTTCAATAACCGTGGAGGCATGGTAGGCGGCATGCGTGGTGGCCCTGGTGGGATGCGTGGTCGTGGCGGAGGTAATATGATGGGAATGCCAGGAATGAATCCCATGGCTGGTGGCATGGGCATGAACCCAATGGCTGGTGGTATGAACCCAATGATGGGCGGGATGGGTGGAAACATGGGCATGCAGGGTAAGTGGTAATGAACTCGAAATATTGAAAAGCCTTGTCGAGGATTCTCGAGGCTTTTCATCTGTTCTTCCTGGAAACATCTAACTGATATCCTCTCCAGGCCAAGGCTTCCAAGCTCCTAACCCAGCTTTCAACCAAGGGTTCTTCAACAACCAAGGTGGCGGTGGAGACGCATCCTGGAATCCCCACGGTGCGAAGCGCAGTCGCCAGGAGTAGTGATATTGCTTTCTTCACTTTTGCCAACTTTCCTTTTTTTCACTGGCTCCGGAGTTCACCAGTGTTGGCTTATTTCCTCGCTTTTTCTATTTTTACGGCATTGAATTAACCTCAGCTTCACTCCCACATCTTCCAGTCGAAGCACCCAGATTGTTACGGGAAGAGGACAGTTCCAATTTGGCTTCGATGCACTCAATGTTCTTTCTTTTTCTTTTTCAATGTTGCGATTTTCTTCTTCCTTGTATTAGATGCAATCCAAAGGTGTGTTTCATGTTGTACTTTACATATGGCGAACTTGCTGGTCTGGAGCAAAATTGTATTCGGGATCCATGGATACGGTGTATTATGATATTATTACTGTTCAACATGTTGCGAATCGGTGTTCAACCTTGGAACCCTGGAAGGTCTGTGATCAGTCGAGTACTCTATACTCCTTGCAATATTTCATGGGAATATGAACGGATGATAGGTGCTATATGGATGCGGTGTAGACACATACCTGCTGATATCCCGTTGATTAACTCTGCACGCATGGACACGAGACCCGATGTAGAACGTCGAGGCGGAGCTCTGTGGGGCTTTGGGAGCTAAGCTGTACGCTAAACAGCCCAGGTGTCAGCCGGGGCTATGCATGCAAGACTAGCACTGCCTCGATTAAATGATCTCATAGGATTGATTCGAGGTGTCGATCAACACACAGATTCGGACATTGGGATCTAGCGGTCAAGCTGCGGCTACTTTAACATGATGTGAAAGGAGGCAACGCCAAGGATATTTTGGTAAACAAGGCTTCGCTACGCACTCGGTGGCGGTGGAGGATAATGGTCCCAAAGCGGACAAACCAGAAGCTGAAAGTAACAAAACTATGTATGCAGAAGGAAATGAAGAAACGCACGTCCAACAAGAACATTTATTATGAAACCAAGCATCCGCTAAGATCAAAGTAAATCGCTGTCAGATCCGGTCCAGCCCGCACCACCTGATGCTATAAGAGCGTAAATCATGAATCAGAAGATCACAAATATGGAAGAAAGAGAATTGCAGAAATCGTGGTCTCATTCACACATAACGCCATCAATCAATCAGTAACAAAGGGGGGTATCGGGTATAAGAACAACAGGAAGAAAGTCGAAATGAAGAGGTATAATAGGCATAACAGTTTCTTGCATCGCTCAATCAACGATTATCAGTCATGATTCTGGAGCGGCTTAGGGCGAATATCACGTAAATTATGTATTTGAAAAAGTATTCAAAGACACGGGTAGGATCGCTGATCGTATGACCGGAGTACTCGATGTCGGCGAGGCCATCGGTCCAAGTGGAAAGTCTCTCGAGACAGGTTTGGAAATCGAGGTCCATGGAAATCTCCAGCTCGGTCTCTTCGTAGTCGCATATTTGGAATAGAGATTGTGTTTGGAGGGCTTCGGTATCATCTGGTTCCCTGTCGGGGGACAGGTCCGAGGCATTTTCATCCTCGTCTTCGTCATTGTGGAACAAGGCTGGTTTTGATCTCTTAAAAGGAACCATGGCAAGTTCGGAGACCGAAGAAGCTTCAAAGATGGAAGACGTGACGGACTCGGCGTCGGAGAACAAACCGTCGTCCTCGAACTCAGAGCAGTCGGATTCATCGACGGGGTCTTCTTGACTTTCCTTGACAGGCTCTGTGGAGGCTGAACCATCCAAGCTCGTTTTGAGGACTTCTTCAATGGCCTTCGCGTCTTCCTTGTTCTTCTTCTTGTTCCCTGCCCGAGCGACCGAGGAGCGTAACTTAAGCAGCTTCACTACGACCCTGACCCTGGTCCGGAGGGGATGCACAACGCGATCTTGTGGGAGGATTGTAAGGGTCATGTCAAGAATTTTGCCAGGAGCAAGTTCAACGCGGGCATTGCTCGAGTAGGAGGTTTTCGTTCGACAGGGGCAGCCACATAGATTTGGAATTGATTTCCCAATTCTAGCCACAGGCAGATTGCCCAGGGGGGATATGGTTTCGCCTGTAGAAGTTAGCAAGTCTGAGTAGATTGAAGATGGAATCCTGGGAAAAGCGTCATTGTATCAAACGCTCGACACATACCTCCATACTCCAACCCCGAAACTGTTGCTTCTGAGGGCTCCTTGGCCATTCCTAGGAGTGGGACTCGGATGGGAAGGCAACTCAACCAGGTACCTCCGAAATTCGCATCAGAGGGCTTAGGTCCAGGGGAAAGTAAGTCCTCCTCGCTTAAATCTGGTAGTTCCAGGGTCATCACCATATTGGCATGATAAAATGGGTCTCGAGGGAGTCCCTGGGGACTTCCGGTGAGACGACGATTTCCAGGGCGCTGCTGTGGCATTTGACGGTTGTTTCCAAGTGGTGTAGGAGTCAGCCACTGTCCATGACGCATTTGCTGCTGGCCCTGAGGAATGATAAAAGACGTATTATTCATGCCCTGGCCTTGAGCAGTACGTCGAGCCACTTGAGATCCTGATGCGCTTGCTATAGGTATCGTAGCACCAGGGCACGCGTGGCATCTGTCAACCGATGCTGTTTTGTTTTCACAGAGATCACAGCCGCTGAATTGGTGTTTGCATCCCCAACAGAGGCGGTGCTCTGGAGACTCAGCACTAGCTTGTCTGGCTCGCTTTGGTGGGTGCTGTGGGGGTAGCCCAAGCTGGGTAACTCCCCGGAGAATATCAGAATGACCAGCTGCTCGGCGTTTTTGAAACTGATTATCGTGGAGGATACCTGGTTGAGGTGCCAACATGCCAACATCATGCGAGAATGAGCGATCCATATCGAAGGCTTGTGGGTTGACGCTGATATTCGGGCTCTGAATAGAGAATGAGTTCCAGCTCTGGTTTGAAATGCCAGGATAGTATTCATTCTGGCCCTGTGCTAGACGCACGTTTGTGCCCCCGATTACTGGTGGAAAGGTGCGACCATTACCAGGGGCTGGGTCGACATCTTCATCATCTTCATCATCAGTTTCTACCTCCTCATCTTCATCGGGTTGGCCGATGATACCGTGGCTGATAAAGCATTTGTAGAACTCTTTCCAGTTTCCAGTCTGCCTCGGGCAAAGCTTGCAGACAGGTGGACAGTTGAGGGGCTCCATGCATTCGTTAATCTCCTCGTCGGTTGTTCCCCATAAATGCGCAGTTCGACAGTGATCACGATGTTTGTCTTTTCTATACGAAACGTGATCGCAAAAAGAGCAGTAATACTTGGTACTTGGCTGGTGGATATAATCAGCATGTCGCTGGGATGCTCCCATAGTACCACATGTTGTGCCACAGTCAGTGCACCGGAAGAACTTCTTTGCCTTTTTCTTCTTGTCACTTCCACCCACAGAAGACATGTTTGGTTTGGACGCGGGCCTCTTTGTGACCCTGTTTTTGTCGTTCATCTTTTTGTCGATCAACTTTCTGTCGATCAACTTCCTGTCGTTCAACTTCCTGTCGTTCAACTTCCTGTCGTTCAACTTCCTGTCGTTCAACTTCCTGTCGTTCAACTTCCTGTCGTTCAACTTCCTGTCGTTCAACTTTTTGTCGTTCAACTTTCTGTCGTTCAACTTTCTTTTGACTGTGTTTGTCCATTGACTGAGGTTCTGCAAGGTCGAAGCCAGCTCTGCCTCTGTGTGAAGGGCTCCGGTGAGAATGCCGCAAAGAAGGCTCACTCCCTCCAAGGGCTCAGCTTGCTCGAGTGCAGGTATACCGAGCATAGATCTCTGCTGAAGAGCAGGCATTCGCTGGTCGGGATTCATACCAGCTACCATCTGCAGCACCTGGGAGTCATCTTCAATACATATGGAGTCATCTTCAAGATATTGAAGTTGGATTTGGTCCATTCCACCTGACATGTGATAAATGTCCTCCGGTCGAACGGGAATATGCTTCTGGACTGTAGGACCAGGTATTGATTCATGTTCGGGAGGTGCACTGGTCTCGCTCGTACTGCTCGTTGGACAAGACGATTCCTGCGAATTCTTGATCTTGTCAGTGTCTGCTAAGTGGATAGATTCTGTGTATAGATGTCTTCCATTGGATCAAGCAAGGTAAAGAGAAGCCAAGACAGACCAACTTACCGAGTTTGAATGGGAATTTCCAGCCGAAGCTTGACTGAAGACCAATTGACAGTTGTTCGAATTGGGGTGGGTGCTGTAGTCTGCCAGTCTGATAGGTTCGGCTGGAAGCAGATAAAAAGACCCATCGTCGTCAAAGTAACCGAAGTCAGCCATGATGGGAACAAGGAATAAATAAAATTAATTCTTGGAATAAAAAATTTATGAGGTCCTCAAGCACTGGACCAAGGCCCAAGTGCTGTATGAGTCAAAGTGAATGGACAGAGACAAAGTAATAGAAGCAGCCTTTAAAAGGTGGCATGGAACCTTTTATTTATACCTTTTGCGGCTGCTTGGGCGGTGACAGTCGGGTAGTCCCCACTTTCCCCCGGGTGAAAATGTTTGGGCACTCGAAGCAAGCTGATCACTGGAGAATCGTCAGTCAACTATGCTCCGTAGCTCCCGTAGCGGGGCTGGTCAACCCCCGACTGTAGAATGATGAGCCGTTCAAGCCTTTGAGCAGCTTTTTGTCTTTTAAGGGAAATAGATAGTAGACCATTGTTGGGCAGAAGCAGAATATATCGTTTGCCTTGGATGGTTCGCAGGAAAGCACCGACATGAGGCGCAGTTGAATTCGGGTCGGACGCCTAATTCTTGGTAAGCACGGGGAAGCAGATTGGCACTGCCTCCTTGAGAATGAGAAGCAATGAGATCATCATACAATAGCGTTTTAGGAACGGCGGTGAGGCTTCACTAGCGAGTGTGATGTTTGAGGAGGATTAGTTTCATCATTAATATCACTGATCAGTTCCGACTTCATCACCAGAACAGAGCCGTATGGTATTGGTATTTCCGTTACAATCACAGGCCGCAACCATTTTATCCCGGTTAATGTTGGATAAATAAATAAAACATAAACAAGACATACCATCCGGGGCTACTACCGGAATAGTTCTTATATGATTATCTTATTAAACACGTTCTATCCGGACCATCCCAATTCGTGCCAGCCCCGTGCGATCTTCAACCGTGTCTATTATTACGCCAACTCGCTAGTCAAGAAGGTTTTTGAGAAAATACTAAATACCCATCTACTCCACTCCGTACAGCCTGTTCAGTTCAGTGTTTCAGAGATGTTAAGAACTCCACGTGGGTCTTCTTAAATTGTGAAACGAATCGCGATACCCGTGCTTTTGGTCATGGGGTGCTTGGCATCCACCACGCATTTTAGCCTCAAAATAAACTACCACCACTTATACATCTATGAATAAAGCTAGAAATATATTAATTAGACCCTAAACAGTCTAAGAATGGTAAATATAGGGTCTAATATCATGTGTTCAGCTGTGATATTAGACCTTACACCCGTTTTTTACGGTCGGAAAATCAGAAAAAAGCATAAAAGCAGCTGCATATGTAATTGATTATACCTAAGATGGGTTCAAAGTATGGAAACACAATTGAAGATGGTCTCGACTGTTCTGCCGAAGGCCAAACCGATGAAACTCTGAGATCTGATGATGTCTACTTGCCAAGTAGAGATGTTGAGAAGGAACTAAACGAGCTTTTCTTATCGCCAAGTAAATTATAGAGACCAGGGAACGCGGCAACTCTTTTCCAGAGGACAAGAGAGGCGTTGTTCAACGGCTTAGGAGCTATAGCTCCCGGACCAGCGCCACAGTCAAAATTTCGGCTAGGCTTAAAAGGCATGAATATGACTATCACTGGGAAAATACTCACCCCGTCGACCAACGAAATCTATGCCGACCAATTTCATCTGCTCTCTGAAGAGGCTGAAGTCCTGCCAGAAGGGCCGATATTGGTGTGGCGAAACTTAAAACCAGTAAACAAGCCGGTGGGAACATTCGTGGAGCCAATCATCAATTCTTTGCACCCTGCGGGTCTCCTTCCACAGTCACAGCTCCCAATCAACGTTCAAGCATATGTCGTCTTAAATCTTGCTAGTCGTTGCCAGACCCCAAAGCACAGGAGATGAAAATGACCGCCTCCCATGTCTACAGCTGCCGACAGCTAATGCAACCCTTGTAACAGACGAAGCACCTTTCTCAAGGCCTTTAGTAAGTCCCAAGCCAAATGAGTGGCAGGCATATCCAACCACACACCTCGAATGCCCTTGTGCGGCAGACGCTGCAATGGTGGATGGCATTCTGGCCAGTTAGATGCTAGAGAATCACCCTCGAGGGTGATTAATTTTGCTGGAATACGGAGGTCAGGGAACCTCCTCCTAAGACCCCCAGCGCTATGTCCACACAACTTCTAGCCTACAATGGAATTATATTCACGATCCGTACCCACGTGAATATCCTCTGCAAATGGCAATGCCCAGTCTGTTGACGGGTGCTTACCGATGGTTTGCGTACAGCTGGAATGTACCAAGTGTAACAGCTTTTGCAGCCATGGCATCCTTGCAATTCTCTGAGAGGGTAGCGAATGCATTTGCCCCTAAAAATTTAAAACCACATTACCTTGGTATTACAGTAATTTGTTGATTTACAAAAGTTTACCATCATGGAACACGTTGAGGTCCGAGCGACGAAACGAAAATGAGGCGATTTGCGAGGAACATGGTCATCTGGCACCCGTGACTTCAAGTTTGAATTCAATTGGCATTAGAATTTAGAATTAGAATTATTCTCGTTGAACTCCAAAATACCCGAAAACACCCGCCATTGCCCGTGGAGTTCCTATCAAACGGAACAATCGGGCCGGTTCTGACAAGTCACAAATCTAAGAAAAATAAAATAAGATAAAACCAATTAAATCTAATGAGAAAAGGGCAATATAGGCAGGGTTTCTCTATTAACCTGGTAGTTACATCATAGTGGACCCTTTAGTTGTGCATCATATCACGAAGAAACGCTAAGCTAAGCGCAGCGCGCATCTGAGGAAAACAACCACGATCGACTTAACATACAGGCAGAACCAGAACTAGAACCAAGATAGAAGAATAAATCAAACCAGCCGTCTTAATTCCCTGCTATGCAATCGGGCGCTCAAACTCGCTATCAACATCGGCGCCCGTCCGCCGATGCTCATGTGCTCCGGACCCCCGCATCCGCGTACGGGGGCGAATCCATGCATAGGAAATCGGGCGGATATACATGCAATAAGAAGCTCCCAATCAAACTCTAGATAATGCCAATCCATACACATAATTCCTTCGGCCGGGTGTCACTTACTCCTCCGCATCGGAAACGGGAAACACATCCCGGAAACCTAGGACCGATGATCAGAAGTGAGGCGTGGCCGGGGGGGGGGGGGGGGTAGACGATAAGCGAACTTTGCTTTGCTATACTCTGCACAGCCAGGTCGCTAGATATCTCCCCGGATACTGACATGTAGAAAAGGTTAGGTTTTTTCAGACCCCAGACCTCGGGAGATGAACACGAATTCTGCACACCGGTCGAGCAATCCGGGTAGCTCATCTGATCGGACACGACTTGGGCCCTGGATTTGGGTTGCGGGTGTGGTTGTGTGGAGGGGGATAATATAGCCTATGCCGGCCATGGCTTATATTGGAGCTGTGATTATTACCTAGGCAAGCTTTGAAGCTTGGTTTGGGTTTTCTTTCTTGTCGCCCTACGGACTTGACTAACTCGAGGCTGGGACCAATCCCCGTTTGACGGTACTATAATTCTTGAGGAAAGGCTTTATCCTTGATTTTTCTTTCACCGGGACTCCTTAGCTGGAAACCCAGCTCAGCCCTGGGAAATTTGCATTGCATGTGCTTCGGTTTGGTCTCATGATGTGCTTTGTATGCGTTGGTGATCGTTTCCGTCACGTTCACGTTGAGGCTCCACAGGCCTTCAACAGTTATCTGCCAAGGCCAGCGCCGACTACGGAGAGATACGAATCCCATTGTAGGAGTTCAAAGAAGCAAAAATCAGGGTTTCAGCCTTGTACGAATGGTGATCACGGGCTGTCTCAGATCACTTTTTCTCCAGATCTATACAGACCCACATACCCACTATAGAGCGGGTCCGTTCCATGGATCGGGCGGCATATCGACATAAACCATGGAAATCAAGAAAGTCCCGTCAAACCGTATATGCAAATAACCAAGACAGAAGCTGCAAGCAAAAGGGGGGAAGGAAAAATTTTCATCCTGTTCCTACAGTGATTGGGCGGGGTAGGCTGCTGCCCCTGGGATGACGTAGAGATGCAGTCAGCAAGAACAATAATTTTTTGTAATAAGACAAATGAGAAGAAAGGAAAACCAGAATCACAAAGAATAAGCATGAAACAAAACTCCCCAAATCCACTCCTGGTCCCCAATTGTCCCTCTATGCCCCGTTCCTATTCCCATTCTCCATTCTCCATCGCAAGATGCTAGTATATCCCGTTTGTCAGACCGATGGGACTAAGTACCTAGCTCCATCAGTCGGACCGGCCATGAAACAAAGCCAAAGTCAAATTCAAAATCCATTCCTAATGTACCGACATCGGACGACCCGACCTGCAGCATGCAGTCTGCATCTGCATCTGCATGAACTCGTAATTCTCCACCCCCCAATCACAGGCCTTACATGGTCGTTGACTAGCGGCCGCTAACGTTGAGAGAAGACCATGGCTGAGACGATTTTGGGGCGTTCACATAGGCTTCCAGGGAAGGGGAGTACCCATTGCTGGGTCTCGTGGTTGGGAACGTGGTGGTGGAGGCGGTACGGGAAAGCTCGAGCTCGAGGTCAAGGTGAGTGGTAGATCCGTCGCCATGGAAGTGGGGAGCAGATTTGGCCCATGCCCCCATCTGGGAGAGATCCATTGCCATGTTGGAGCTAAAAGAGAGGAATCGTCAGTATAGCATTCACTGCTGTGGGGAGAATGGCCAGCTAGTGGTATTAAGTAGCTTACGTTGATTGACTCATCCTGAGAAGTAATACGTAGCGTAGCTAAGGTGGTGGTAAGGAAAGCTTGTAGCTAGATAGACAGTTTGTTAGAATGAACAACGCGGTGTGGATCCAGTAACTCACTATGCGGTGCACGAAATTGAGAGCGTTGTGAGATGGATACCTCAAGCGAGGTGAGGGTCTTTATAGATAGAGAAGCATTATCTAGAGCATAGCCATAACATCGCCGCGTACGATATGCCCGGGTGCAAACCCAGGACAGATTTCATGGAGGATAGGGTGATAATAGCGTCACCCGAGTCGGGTTTGTAGATCCAGATCTGCCTTGAGATCAAGGGTAAATTATTTCCGGAAAATTAAATCAATTTCTCTCCTGCCTAGAGAGATCGGAAAGTTTATTCGAGAACTAATAGTGGATGTAAAAATGAATTAAGAGAAAAATTCAAGGACAAAGGACAAATGAACGAACAAAGGTACAAAGTACTGGGGAAAAAAAGAAATAAAATAGAAAATCAAAACTTTGTACCTTTAGGGCAAAATCCGATGCAGGGGTACATTTGCCAACCAGGGTCCGCCCTGTGCAATAGGAGAAATAAACTATGGTATTTTCATCACATCTATTTCAAGTAAAATGCAAGTCATATCTGTCTAGGAAAAGCGCCCAACGAAATATCGGTGTAGAACTGTGAGTCTGAGTAGCAGGGTCACCAAAGTTCCTCCTGAGTGGTCGCCCATATGATATGCCGGGTGCCCCGTTCCTGAATACCGGCCGGATACCATAATGGATCCTTTTCACGCATGTAAGACAAGTACAACGGAAGTCTCGAGTACGTCCCGAATGCCAATCATCGGCCTAACGGACCCGATAGTTTGGTATTTGGATTGAGATTTTCAATCTGCCTATCAAAGAGTCCATCACAGATGGCGGTCGGTGGATAAAATATCCAGCCGTTTCAATCTTAAACCTCTGATATTCAATAGGTCTTTACTATACAAGCGCCGTGGGGCAATCTCTGGATCATTAGTACCACATTACAGTACCCCTCATCACGTCACCTTACTTCACTTCTATTCACTTCACTTTAACTCAATTCTCCTTAGCGTCGGATCCCCTAAAATTATCAGGAGAACCCACGCCATAAACCTGGGTACAAACACCAGGGTTAAGGAAGGGAAAGGGGAAATAGGGTGAAATGAAAGGAAACACATCGCATCTCCACTGCCACTCCAACACCATGGATCCAAGCCTCGACGCCCAACAATGAATCAATAAATAAGAACTAGGCTTAGGGGATTTTAGACCGCCATTGCCAAATCATCAACAAGGGTGGGCTAGTGCGAAAGCCCGATCAGCTGGCTGCGCGCTAGTTGACTTCTACCTGTAAGATGAGATCACCAAAATCCTCCAAATCCAATCCATTGCTCCAGTCGGGCGAATCAGTATTATGCAATTCCGACCTCTTATACAATGACGACAGATACATCTACCATTTACCCAAAGCACAGCCAAGTATGGAACTAAAGACCGTTGAGTCAGACCAACTCCTTAATGCAACGTGGTTTGATTTCCTCTGTATAGATCATCTGGATCACTGTAGTACCCCGTACTCTCATGGTTGTATATCACGCTTTGTCCCCCGTTTTGCGTGTATCCCATACCGTACAAGCTTAATTGCTTTTTCAGGCTGACAAACTTCAAGTTCTTTAAGTGATAAGACAAAAAGGAAAACTCTGCAAGATATGAATATGAGTCAAGGAAAAAATTGTCAAATCAATTTAAAAAGAAAAAAAAAAACAATTTGCGATAAAGCCTTAAGTGAACCACTTGAAGCATGGACTTGACGAGCTGAACTGGTTCTACCCAAAGTCCCGAAACTCAATGCATGCACTGGTTCTTGGCATTATCGCGAATAGTCATTGAAATCTCTTTCCGTTGGGCTGAATGACTTCTGTTGTCAACATGTATGTGTGATCACTGTACTCGTTACCACCAAAGTTAACGGGATCAGACCTCCGGGGTAGAGTAGATGTTGAGCAAATGTTTGTTTTTTTCTTTCCTTTTTCTCAGGCAACAGCGTGACTGCCTGCACATGGCGCCCTCGGTCCACCAGCCACCAAAATCAGCCACAGTCACATCAGCAGCCACTTGGTTGAAACAAATCCAGACTTTACTCCGTGTTGTTTGTTCTGGCTTACAGGATTCTACTCTTTGCTATACTTTCAACCCAAAGCTAGCCTGTGGCGGACAAGCGGCGTGGCGCAGTTCAATTACCTAACTTCTAGCTCTTGCCCAAGTCAGGACCCAGGTGATCCAGTTACGATTGCAAGGCTCATACACCAATGGGTGATGTGGACTGCTAGTCAGGATCAAAACCCGGGTTGTGGTCTTTTTTTGTGGCAGTGCAACTGGTTCTGCTTCTTGCTCTGGCGTCTGGACACCGATACTAGCGCTTCGTACTCACCGCTGCATAGATGATCGTCTGAGATGGTTATGCGTAGTTCGGTTGAACTCGGTTCTATGCAAGTAAGGTTACACTGGGAGCCTTATAGAGCTGAAGTGAGAGGCTTGTTGATGTCAGGCGGTGGTGGATGGGTCTAGACTCGGCGAGATCTTGAAGGATCTCATAGTCTGGTCTGGTCTGGACTCTGGCTGAAGATGATGCGTCTAGACTCCATCTCCAGAGTCAATGCAAATGCACATACAATCATATTTTCGTATACGGGTATCTAGCCGGATCCATTGATGTCATTCCCACTCCCACCTATAGCCAGAGCCAGAGCCAGAGCAAAGAGAAATCCTCTAAGCAACAGAACTATGCACAAGCTCAATACAAAACTCCCCCCATTCACCCCCATTACTCGATGTCAAGATCTCCTCCGCAATCGCCTCCTCAATTCGCTCGCCGTACCGTCTCCGATAATCAATCTTCACCTGCTCAAAGTGTCGCGGTTCCCAGTGTAACCGCACAAGTCGTGAGATCAGGAGCTCGGAGCGCTCGCGGCCGGATTTCGATTCCCTTAGTGCTTGGTGGAGGAGGAGGGCGTCGCGCATGGGACGGTTAATGGCTCCGTTAAGGATGTGAGCTAGTGTTTCGCCCTAGTAAAAAAAGTAATGTTAGTTTAGAGCACTGGTACTGTTTAGATGTCAGGTGAGAGGAACATACAACCAGGTTCCGGGACTTAGAAATCATTGCACGAGCAAAATTCTGACCATAGATAGCTTCGTAGGCGTGTAGGATTTCTCGAAGATGCGAATCACTTCGTAACACGATAATCTGGATCATGGCAGTCTCGCCTCCGTCCCGCAAAACAAGTGCATGATGTAAATCCGAAACATCCTGCCTGACGAGTCTAGAATCTAATGGTTCGCGATCATCCTGACGCCTTTCTTCCAGTGCAAGTAAGACGGCAACACGGAATTTATCCGCTTTCAACTCGGAGCGCATACAGCGCTCTAGACTATTCTCGTAGCGGGTATCTCGGAAGCAGGCTTTGATCTCACGGATAGCGGCGTTCGAGCGACCCATTAGGGATTCGATTAGGAGTTCGCGTCGTGAGGTTCCGGCTTGGTAGTAGCAATTTGCCCAGTATGCTTCTGATTCCCAGCGGCCAAGGGCTGTGGCGTAGGCTACTTTTCCGAAGGAGGATGTTCCTAGTTTGAGGCGGAGGTGTTTGGCTAGGTTTATGCCTTTGCCATGGACTTTGACGCGGGTTTTGTATTCTTGGCGGAGGAGGAGGATCTCGTCGCCTGTTAGGCGGGGGAGGGTTTGGATGATGATTTTGCTGTCAATGTTGCGGGTGTGGTTAAGGGCGGATTGCATGGCCTCGGCGTCGGTGCTGGCATCGTAGAAGGACACTCTTTTTCGGCCGGCGCTGCTGGGGGATCGGATTACGAGGGAGGAGTCACCTGCTGTTAGGGAGTCATGGTCGTGGGTTGTTGGGCGGCTGCGTCGCTTTTCTTTTTCCTTTTCGTCTTTGCGGTCGGATTCGCGTATCTTTTCTTTGCTGCTTCGGTGTCGGCTGTCTCGCTCGTATTCGCGCTCTTTCTCGCTAATAGAGGACTTTGTGCGGGTGTGTGTTCTTCGTCGGCGGGTTTCAGAGCTGGAGGTCTCGCCATCTAGTGGTTCCAAGTCGGAGATATCGTCGTCACGCACAGAGGGAATGACGATGGGAGAAGGCATAGGCGACATTGACTGGTAGGTACCACGATACGGCTCAAGTAAAGGACTAGCAGGCGGGTGATGTCCAGACATAGCAGCCCCAGCAACAGCGAGGTTATTGGCCGACGACACAGACAAACTATGCGGCCGAGTCCGTCCCCCACCAGGCGTTATCTCCATATATTGCTTTTGCGGAGCGGCTCTAGGCGAGGGCGGCGGTGGTTGCTTCTCCGAGATTTGAGGCTCATAGCTAGGATACTTGTAGGAGTATACCGGCTGGTCAGGTTGCGCGGGGGCAATAGGAGGCTGAGGTCCTCGAGGGTAACCAGCTGCAGCCATTGTAGAAAACTGCGCCTCCGATGAAGCCGTATACATCGGCTTCGGCGCAGCCTTAGACGTATACCGCACATTAGGATCAACCTGCGCATACTGATACGGAGTCGGCTGAGCATATCCCTGCGGATGACCAACATCGCTCGCCGAAGCCGTCCGATAATGCGAAGGTGTAAAAGCCCCAGTCGACGCATAACCCTGCAGCTGCGACGAATTCCCATACTGCGGCGCCGGAAAACTCGGCGCCATCGTGCTAGGCACATCATACCCCGACGAAGGAAACGCCCCAGGCATCCCAGCCTGCGATGTAGGTGGCACAAAGCCAGGCCGCTCACATTCAGGCACAGCCGCCCAATCCGTCTTCGTACTCGGGCGCTGAGGCAGCGGCGGCGCAGAAAACATCCCCTTCTGCTCCGCGTAGCGGAATCTTCCCGGTCGTGCATAGCTAGGATGACTACCGGGTACATCACCGTACGCGAGATCATCATCAACAGAGTCGTCAGAGCTCTCGCTTTCGCTCTCCTCGTCTCGCCTGTTCCTATTCCGCCCATGACCATTACGACTCGGTAACGGGGGCGAAGGGTGCGGAGAGCGAGCGTACTCGCGTGGCTGAACGACTCTCATATCGCGATCATCGTCAGAGTGCTCGTAGCGATCGCGCTTCTTCTCCAGTTCCTGCTTCTCCTTCTCCTTCTCCTTCTCCTCGCGCCGACGTCGCTCGCGCCTTCTGGCACTATCATCGGAATCATCGCGGCGCACATCGCGCTCATACCGCGCAGGACTCCGGGGTGCCCTACTCGCATCCCGCTCTCGCTCTAGCACCCGCTCCTGACTCTCCTTCATCAATTTGTACTGGCGATCAATCTCCGCCTCGTCCAGATCATAATTGCGACTAGAACTGGACTTTTCAACTGCGGGGGAGCGCGAGCGTGGTCGCGATGTATCCACAGATAAGTTCAGGTCAGATGCAGAGCGGCTATCGCGAGATCTGGAGCGTTCGCGACGACCTGGTGATTTAGACCGGGTGCGCGACCGGGAGTCGTTTACTTGAAGCGACATGTTTGGGTCTGGTTTAAGCGTTCCAGGGTCCGCGATAGATTTGTGGGGCGTCAAGAGCCAAATCTGGAGAAATGTTTATCGGCAAGTATACAATGGAACCAGAGGTTCTGGGGTTCTGAAGTTTGGGAGAATGAATAGGAAGAATTGATGGATTCCTCAGGAGAGTTAGGGATTTCCTGAGCGGGGGAATTTGATGGCGCACAAGTGAATGAGAGTTTCAATCGCGAGGGGAAGCGGGATCGTGTTGGGGTCCACACAGTTCAAGTTCTCAGCCCTGTCACTTGTGCTACCATGAAGTGAAGCTTTTCGCTTCTTGTTTCTCTTAGGAGTGAGAAAATAAATTGGAGGGAAATGGAGAGAATAATCTAGAGCCTCATAATGCTTCTAACAGCAACGGGGAAGTCCGACCGACTGGCTGATTCTTGCAGAAAGGGCGCATGGAACCGTCGGTCACGAGTTCCTATTGGTTCCATGCAGGTCAGCTTGGGATCGCCCTGTCGCTTCAGCCGCTGAACCTGCTTTAGGGTCATAGGGCCTATGCGCCAAGGAATCGATTGTGAATACAACTAGAGAATACGTGGGACTATCCACATGGTCAAGGTTACAGTACTCATTTGGATCCAGTTAAACATTGAACAGCATAAAGAAAGCGTAAAAGTGGAATTCAGACACTCGAGGTGACACGTTTTGTGTGGAGAATGGAAGTAAACAAAAGACAAAAAAAAATCCTCGTGCATGAGGTGGGAAAAGGGGGGTATGTGCGGAATAGCAAGCTATGCGAACAGGAGAGAAAAGAAGACAAAGACAATATCAAATTAACGAGTACGACGACCATCATTAAGTGGTCCTTTGCGACCACCGTAGGACTTGGGCGCGGGCGAAGGCGCAGGCGGTCCATTGCGGTTGAGACGGTTGGTTCTCCAGCGCTCATACCAAATCACACGGCTGGCCTCACGTAGCTCCGATCGCCATTCAGTAAACACCGCGTCCTTAAGCCTCACAAAGTCACAATGTTCTGGGTTGTATGGGTCGGCGAAACCCCATGGGAATCGGCGACCGACCGGTTCTTCTCCAGATGCGAGGGAGTGTGGGTCCGGGGACAGAATGGAAAATGGCACGTTGGGATTGACAGAACCCTGTGATGCGCTGGATTTGCGCGTGCTCTGACTACGCTGGGATGGCGTGCGAGTCGGCATCTTGGAGTCACTCGACCCGGAAGATTCTGGAGATTCGGCCTCGGATTCGCGCTCATCTAACGACTCCTCATCCGCACTCTCCGATGAAGAGTACTCTTCCTGATCTTCCAAGGTCAAGATCTCCAAAGGATCAATGTTGGCCTTCTTGAGGCTGTTCCAGACGGCCTTGCGCAAGTATTCCATGTGGGCGGAGGTGATGGTATCCGCCTTACTGATGACGGGCACAATGGTAGTCTTTCCCAGGATGGTGCGCAGCACCTGTAGGTCCAGGTTCTGATCCAAGACGCCCATCACGGGAGTATCAGTAGCCTTGGAGGTACCATTGGCGAAACGCTCGGCCGCAGCGATGTTCTCGTCGAGACGAACCGGGTCCAACAGCAGGAAGGTACAGTGGATGTGAGTGTCGCGTGCGCCTGGTGAGCGCACCACCTTCATCTCCTCTGCAAGGGTCTCCTCAAACTTGCTCTCCAGGAAACCGGTCACGGCGCGCATCTGCAGGTCGACAATGTTGCGTTCAAGACCAGTGGAATCCCACAGGGTCAGGCCGACGCGTTCCCCATCAAATTCAGTTTCGAGATACTGTGAGGTGAAACCTTCGTAGGCGGAAGTTTGGCGTTCTAACTCCTCCAGTTCTTCAGCAGTACGGATAGGGTGCTTGTGTGCTGGCATGGTGAGCGCCTTGCGGAGAAAGTTGAGGAATTCGGTCTTGCCGGAATTACGAGCGCCAACCACCAGGATGCTGTTCTAGGTTAAGAGTTGTTCATGTATCCATAATCGATGAAACTTACTTGTAGGAAGTAGGATCCTTGCGGCGACGTACGCGACGAGGGCTGTTGACGGTGCTGACAGCGCTGCTGGCGTAGCTATAGCGACCACGGTGGGTCATGCTTTCGGAACGAGCGTAGGGGTCCATAGCGTCGATGACTTGCGGGGGAGGCACAAAGCCAGAGTGAGGACGAGGCGAGGTAGGCTCAACCTTGAGAGTATCGCGCTCTTCACCTCCAAAGGTCTCGAGCTGCGGGGTGGGGGAGAAATCGGGCAAACGAGGGGCGGCTTTAGGGGCGTACGACTCGCGCTGACGGCGCATATCCTCCTCCATGATTTGAGATTTCGTCATCTTCTTGCGATTACCAGAAGCTTTGTGTTCACCGAGAGGTTCAGTAGATTTGGAGCGGCGAAGGAAACCGAGTGAGGTACGACGAGCGTTGAGAGTTTGCTCCGGAGTGGAAGGCACATCAGAAGGCGCGCGCGAGGAAGTTGGAGTCGCCATGTTTGAGCGCGTAAATTTTCCGTTTTTTTGGAGGTTTTCTAACTTTTTGTTTTCTTTATTCAAGTTGCAGTTTGAATGTCAAAATCGATATAATCTGCAGTCAAAACATCAATCAGCCCATTGTTTACTTCCTTGAGTCTGGTACGACATCTGCCCCTCATCTGTATATGCACGGAATCTTTTGCCAACTTACATATCCGATTTTCTGTCACCTACAACCTTGTTCCCAATCCAATTCAATGGTCTGAGACTGATCAGGTGCGGGGATTTGCGACTTGCGACCCAGAGAAATCCAAACGAGAGAGACTGCGACAGCAGCAAAGAGAAGAAAACCAGGCGGATCAGATGAATAGCAACAGAACTCTCAACCAGTGTGAGTTGTTGTAATCGTCTCGTCAGAAAGACAGACCCAGGGGAATTTGGAATCGAAATTGGTGAAGTTGAAAAACCTTGAAATTGAGAACCAGCCTGCTCACAGCGTCCGACTATAGCGGCGCGAGGGGAGAGAAACGAAGGGAAAGGAGTGGGTGGGAAAGGAAGGAAAAAACCCGAGATGAGGATCTTTCTTAAGTCGGTTCGAGCTAATGATTAAAGGTTACAGGGTTTATGCTTTTATGATACGTTTTATCATAACATTTCTCATTGATTCAGGGGGGGTTAATTGGAGGAGAAGAAGTGAGCACTGGAGGTGATGACCTTATTATAACACAAGATATATCCCATCTGTTAACTACTATTCTATTCCTTATGAGAAGCAATTGAACTGATATTGGATGATTCAGGGGTAAAATGACACGGTCCAGAGCAACAAAAGCCCCCACTTGGAGCTGTTCGTCCCACCAGCGAATCCCCGACAAGGAACGGGTCAAGGCGGGAGGCCATTTTCCAATTCTTGCTCTCCACAGAGTACAGAGTACAAAGTAAAGTAGTTTTTGGGTATTTACGGAGTAGTCCATACTCTCTACTATATAGAAATAGAGAATATGTCCAATAAGGAGGTCAGAGTGAAAGGCTGAAAGGCTGAATTGGCACGTGCAGGCCGTTGGACTTAACTCCACCTTTGAAATGAGAATTTCGGCTTGCATCATTTCTCATTCAAGTTCGGTTTAAGGCTGTTTGTTGTGATCCAGGAGACTGGGTCGCGTCCAAGCCAACTTGGTTCGGAAGCCGCAACTTAAGTGGACCTGCGATGCCGGTGGCAGAGCACAGTTCTCAGTACTTACTGTACCTGGATCAACATCAATGAACCAATACGGAGTACTCTTGTTATAATATTCTATGATTAATTTATTAGGCTCACCGACATGCACGATCCACGCGAGCTTGATCCCAACGTGGTGGGGCACACACTTCGGGGACGCGTTTACTCTGTGGGCGAAACAACACTGATTCAGGATCCCTGGATCATCAAACACCTGACCTCTTCTTTTATTGCACTCGGATATTTTTTCCTGATTTGTTCACACGGGGGAAACTCACCAGTCGTGAAATGAAAATCAAAATGAAAATGTGCACGTTCCTTGTGGGTCCACACGTGGAGCGGGTCATCGCGTGCAGGATTTGCTCTTATCTACTCCGTATCGGATGATTAGATTCAGAAAACATCGCAGAGGGCTTTATATCGCTATATACCATAATAAACTACTATTACTCTGGCTGTGTCACCAACCCATTCTCCACTGCCCAAGTTCGAAACGGCAACACAATACACGGTGTCGACGGACAGACCGTCTTCCGATTCAATATCTTGAATTTTGGCCCATTCGGTCCAGCTACGTACTTCCCTTCTCCGAAAATTGTGGGCTCGCCCACTGGCTGGGCATCTCCCCATCGCCCATTGAACTCTAGCCATGGGACTGGATATGAGACCGCGCTGTCTGATGCGAAGGTTGCTGTTGCGGGGTCGTAGGTGTATGCGTAGGCATTTAGTGTTGGGTCCCAGAGGATGCCTTTATCGGTGTAGTCTAGTAAGAATCCGATGGGCAGATTCACGCTGGGGATGGTGTGGTCGTGTCTTCTATCCAGTGGAAACATCAGTGACAGGACATGACATGGCTCAAGTAATTGTGAATGCGGCTTCGTACGTACCCTACAATTGCGTAGTTGGCGTGTGTTCCATTTGCAGAGAATGTGTAGGGTCGTAACCCTTGCTTTTCGAGCGCTTTGTAGCTGAATGCTTGCCCGCTGGAGTGTTGGCTGAACCATACTGCTTGTGGTGTGCCGTTGATGAACCGGATCATATTGTGTTCCCTGTTTTGTTGTGTTAGTGTTGGTATGCTTCTGCCATGATACCTAGGGGAAAGACGTACCAATCACCGATGTGGTCACCGATCTCTAGACCTAGCACTATATCGCCTCTGTTGTATCTTGATATGGTTGTGAGACTCGAGTTCCCTTCGGGGCACTTGTGACTCACGCGTAAAAGTAAAAATAGAATGCATCTACTTCACCGCTTCCATGGTCTACGACTATGATGGCACATCCGGTTCCGTTCCCGATGCGTCCGTCGCTGTCGGGCGAGATGCCATCCCACCAGGATGGTTGGGGTGTCTGGGCGATACCTCCGGAGGTTGTGAGATAGACACTTGTGTTGCCTAGGGCATTGAGTTGGTCGAGGTTATTTAGCGTTAGTGGGGATGGTGCATCTGCGACAGATGTCCAGTTGACCTCTGGCGTGGTATTATCAAGTTGTGCTTGTAGATCGCTTGGTCGGTATGGGTCTGTGCTGTAAAGCCATACTAGTGGAGCTTTTTCGTGTTAGACGTTGAGATTATAGATCCAGGGGAAATTTTCACCGTATTTGTATACATATTGCGGGATGTTGGATGCGATGGAAGGTTGAAGAAAAGGTAGAACCGCTAAGGCGAGTGCCATAAGATGCATTATCTGGTGCGTGAGAAACGCTGTTAAGCTTGGGGTATCTTGCCGGCGATATGATAATGCAACTTCTGAGACTCGAGCGATACAGTCCTCTTTATTCATATAGCCATGAGTATGATCTTATCACCAGACTCAGATACCGCTCAGGTCAAACACCTACCGAGGAACGAATAGCCATCATTGCACATTGCCCGTGGGTATACCTACAGGGAGCATTAGCCCTTTTAAGACTCCATGTAGCAAATCATATCATAGATCCTATGTCAAAGACTAGAGGACCGTAGAAAAAAGGTCAGGTTATCCACTAATCCCACGAGATACGTGACCGGCCTGCAGTGGGAAGGACTAAACATAGCTGATCGGGGAAGCCCTGGAATGTTACATGCATGAATTCAAGGCCATAGATCGACAACCCAGGCACCGCCTGGCATATTCAGGGCTTCTGATTCGATGGTCGATACATATAAACCGACTTGTCATTTATCATAGGTGTAGTGTGTGTGACGGGGTCATCTGATTATCTCGTCTCCACATAGAAAACACATTGATGCGGGGTAGTAATAACTTTTCCATAACACCTATGGAATTTTTGAAGAAATTATCTTCCCTGCTGATTCTCCTTCTCCTTCTGCTCCTTCTCTTTCCACAATTTAAACAACCTCAAATCCAATGGAATTCTCTCCCCCAACCACGTCGCCCGCTGCGTATGATTCCGCTCCTCCTCCGCTCCCGTCTCAATCTCCGTATTCGGATGGATCAGCGCGCTCAGTTGACCCCGATTAATTACTAGCCAGGGAATAAAGGCTCCGAACTGGGCGGGTGTGAAGATGTTTACTTCGAACATGGCAACAGGGTGGGGGCCGACGGGCTGGTCGAAGAATCGGTAGATGCGGAGTTCGGGGACTAAGTTTCTGTTAGTTTGGTGAGTGTTGGTGGGTGGATGTCTCTTACATTCGCGTCGGATTCTTTCATGAAGGGCCTTTGCGAAGGCTACTTGGTCTGGGTTTGTCTGTGGAGGTTTGTGTTAGCTTAAGTACTTAGTCTTACCTATTCGGTGGGTTGGGTACTTGGAAGTGGTAGATGTGGACGTCGAATCCGCCGCGTCGGCCTTTGCTCAATGGATCGGGAAACTCATCGTAGGCTTTACTTAGGATGCCAGTTTGGGGATTCTTGAGGGATTTTCCATCTTCATTCCGCTCGCTGTTCAGGATTAATACGGGAACAGAGTGATCGTATTCAATTTGACTTACTCGGACAGTGGCTCGAGGTTCTCGTACCCCTCCAAAGGTGATGGATATGAGTAAGCGAATTGATCTGTCATGTCGGGATTGTGTTTGAATTAGTTCGAGCTGGCCTTGAGTAATTTGAGAGTGTGAAAGGATTCAAGTGTGGTTGGTCTGCACCCCGATATATATATTGTGCAAAATAGCGTATCAAACGTGGGAGATCTTCGGCACAAAATACTGGTGTCGGATCCGATCTTATCAATCAGCACAACCTCAGAAGCTTTGCTGAGAAATGCTTTGAAATTATGATGACAGATGTCGTCAGTTTGGTAACATCGGGCGTTTCCGTACTTACAAAGCCGCGGAACGGGCGGGTCCATCCAGTACAGAACATGGAAATGAAAGCCTTGGAAAGATTCTAGGTAAACCCGAGAAATGGCATTGTGGTATTGTTACAGTAGTAATGTCCATGCAAAAATTCAATGTTGCAACAGACCCGCTATGAACCGCTAGGACCAAGCAGCTCGAACATCGATATGTCCGTCATCATCAACAAACTTCCCCCGATCCCACTCCCGTCCCTCGCCCTTCTTGGACCAGCGCACATCCTCGGGCTGAGGCTCCACGCTCACAGTAGAAGAAAGAGACTGTGCCTTGTACTTATTAATAACCTTTTCATCGAAGCCAGCTGTCCGAAGTCTCGCTTCGCTCCTCAATCTGTAAGATTCGCGTTCGCGTTGCGCCTCCATAGAAATTTCCCAGTCATCCTCGGCAGTCATGAGACCAGAGACGGCGCGGCGGGAGGGTTTTTTGATGCCTTCGTCATCAACTGGCTGGATATCGAGCGTGGGGTCATAATCCGATGCAAAGTGTGAGTCGATGGTGCTGGCGTTGGCTTTGTAGGCCCCGCGGCCCCGCGAGCGAACGGGTTTTTCTTTGGGAGGGAGGGGTCCGACGATGTCTTCGAGAGGATCTGACTCGTTGCCTGACTCGATAGGGCGTAAGGTTGAGGAGGACGGGGACTCGTGCCTGCGGTTCAGGGAGGAATCACGCTTGCGAGAAGTTGTATCGGCGTGGCCGGCTGGTAAATCTGGATCGCGCGGGTTTCGGTGTGAACGGGATTTTCTGCGAGATGGGGACGCAGATCGGTGTCGCTCACGATGTGATCTGGAGGTGCGCTCTTTGCGGGGAGACCGACTGCGAGATCTTGAGTAGGATCGGTCTCTATCTTGCCGATCTTTGCGAGATGCATGCCGGTGGCGGTCCCGTCGTCGCTCACGGTCCCGACTCATCTCTCGAGTTCTATCTTTGTCGTCCTCGCTATGCCTATGCCGATGTCGTCGTGAACGATCTCTATCAGTGGATCTAGAGCGGCTTCGGTGTCGTCGAGAAGATCGGTGTCGATCGTCACGATGTTCTCTGCGTGACTTCTCAGAGGCTCGGGGGCGGGACGAATCTTTTGAACGAGATGTAGATTTAAAAGTAGGAGACTGTTCCTTCAGTTCTCGCATACGTGTATTGGAATCTCTCTCTTCCTTGCGTTTGAGAGCCGTATTGTGATTGTCTGTCTCTTTGATCAAATGGCGAAGGAATCGGAGATTTGGCTTAGGAGCATTGCCTGCGGCTCTGAATTGTTGTGTCAGTATAGCACTCTAAGACTAAATTGGGATTGAAGAGCTCTGAGGAACCTACTTGCGAGGCAGATATGCACTTATGCCTTCAGCTGAGTACTTCTGAGAGCTGTCCTTCGCCTCTTTGGCAAGGACCTGCGCAACATAATTGTCGTCCATTTAACCAGAGGCCCGCGGCCGCGTCACCATGAGGAACGGCTGGTGATATGTCTAGGCACCTTTTGTCGCATCATGTGGGGAAGAGTAATGTTAGTTGCACCTTCCAGATCGTTCATCCATCCGCCACACCGCCTTCTTATCGCGATAAGCCAAATGATGAACAACTCCTCGCGCTTGAAGCAATCCAACCCACTTTCCAGAGAAACCAGTATACTACCACACGTCTATTAAAGGCAATATATGTCTGAAATGACAGCCAACGCATCAGAGGCATTGGATTTGCTTCTAAAAATTCAAAATGAGCAAGGCGATTTGAAGCAGAACCTCAGTATCATTCGAATTGCAGAACCTATCTCGGACGCTGGCGACGCGAACCCCTCACCTTCAAAGCGAAGATCAGATGTCTCATTGTCAAACCTGAATGATCCAACTCCTGCCTCTCTTGAAGCTGATTTGACACACTACAAGGTCTGCTACTACCTTCTGTCACGATGACCAGTCACATTCGCTAACTTGCCTGTGAGTACAGGAACTTTTTTCCAAATTGCGATTCTCCTATCTCGAACAGGTTACTAAAGAAAAGTTTCTACGGGCAATCGTCGGCGATCCACCTCTGATCGTGGGACACAATGAGAACGTAGAGTTGGAGACACAGCTGGCGGAGGTTAAGGCAGAGCTCAAGGCCCGGAAAGAGGAAGCCCGCATGGTGATCGAAGAGATGGAAAAGATGAGCCGTGATCTGGCTAGCCGTAAGTTTCTCTTCGGGGTTTCTTCGCAAAATCTCAGCTGACAGCGCTTTTACAGGTTACAAGAACGTTGAAGTCCAAGAAGCGCAGCTCGCAAGCCTCCCAGAATCAATTGAAAATCTCGAGGGTACTATTGCGGGCCTCCGCGCGAAGCAAGTTGCGAACATGGATACATCGGATCCTCGAGCATCCCAAAACCTGTCTCTCCCTGCCACTGTGAAATTGCTCGCCGATCGTGAGGCAGAATTGGCGGCGCTCAATCGGCAGATGGCTGCTGTCCAGAATTCTTTGCCCCGCAAAAGTCGGGAAGCCGAGGCGATTGAGAGGGAGTGCTCAGTGCTCGAGCGGCGGAAGGTAGAGGCTGTCGCACAGGCACGCGAAGCCAGACGGAAGAAGCAGGAGGGTGAGACGGACGGCACTGAGGAAATGGGTCGGTGGTACCGCAGTGCAGAAGAGACATTGAAGGAAATGGTGGGCGTGGAGGGATAATAACTCTAACCGATCGACGGACGATGACATGACCGAATGATTTAAGGTTGGTAGCGGGGAATGGCGTTAAGGAACTATATCTGTACTTGCATATTGACTAGGTTTGATGGAATGAATTACACAACGAAAGGAATTCGGGTTCGAATTGAAGCCATTTTTCAGGCTGGTTTTGTTCAATTGATTCGCATGATCATACAACATAAAGCGCTAGATGCTGCAGCCATCAGGACCCCCAGAATTTTGATCTGCCCAAAGCGAAACCCGACCGGACGCCCAATTTTCATTTTTTGGTGCTAATTTACTCCTCATCCTCCTCAGCATCCTCACCCTCACCGCCGGCGGCGGCAGCGGCCTTCTTGCGGCGAACACGGCCGGGACGGCCACCACCGAAGGGCGAGGTCAGGGAGAAGTCGATGTGCTTCTGGGAGTCAAGGCGGACCATGAAGGAGGGAACGTTGACGATCTGCTTGCCGACACGGATGTGGCGCTGCTTGATCAGGACACGGGCGTGGTGGATGGACTTGGCGAGGCCAAGCTTGTACACGCAGGTCTGGAGACGGCGCTCAAGGAAATCCTCGACCTTAAGGGCAAGGACGTAATCGAGCTTCATGCGGGACTCGTCGAGGACACCGATGCGCACAAGACGGCGAATCAAGGCGTTACCCTCGAACAGACGCTTGGGGTCCTTCTCATCGAGAGTGAGGAGCTCACTAGGGAGGTATTAGTATATTGTGCATCCGCGACCAATTTTTCATCCACATACCGAGCAGCACGACGGATCTTGGACAGGGTAAGCTGAACACGCCACACCTCGCGCTTGTTGCGGAGACCGAACTCGCCGACGATCTTCAATTCGGAGTCACTATTAAAAACAGGTTAGTTGGGGTGTCACGACATAACCAGAAGCACGCTTCTGATCAGTGGCCGGGGTGTACTAACAGACGGGCCGACTCGAACGCTGCGATGAGTTAGCAATGGGACTTGAAGATTTGGTGGGATATAGAATTTCACATACGGCGACGGGGGACCTTGTAGGTCTTGGAGTAAACGCGACTATAATTTCGACGGTCAGAATCCTGCAATAATCCATCTTCAATGACCTGTATATACTCACGGGGCCATGGTTGCTGAGTTGTCGCGAAGTTGAGCACACTACGAAGAAACGTCCCTAAGGTCGAAAAGCAAGAAGGTGAGTCGGGTGGAGTCGCTTATTCCGAGCTAGTCCGATTAGGGTTAAATTGGCTGCGAGAGGGCTAGGGCCAACCCAGTCACGGGTCCCACGGATCGCACAGTCACATGACGGCCACAATTAATCGGGTCTTGCGCTTCATCTTGAACAAAGGCCCGCTGTCGCCAATTCACCACCAACACCAACCACCAATACCGTCGCCATGCCTCACTCGTACGGTCTCCGTGCCGGCACTCGGGTACGTCGCCATATTTCATTTGCTATAATCTCTACGAATCGACCATCTACGATTTAGTCGGATGAAGGACGAGAGAAGCGGAAGAGAACGACCATACTGACAAAAATGCACAGTATGCCTTCAGCCGCTCCTTCAAGGAGCACGGTATGATCCGTCTCTCCACCTACATGAAGACCTACCGGTACGCCCAACCCGAACCTCGAAACTCGTGAGAATATCAAGAAATGAAGATCTGACAAATTTTACAGTGTTGGTGACATCGTCGACATCAAGGTGAACGGTGCCGTTCAGAAGGGGTCAGTACAATCCGAATCTTCCCCTTTGCTTCATTCGCCCAATTGCTCGCAATGAGCAACATCAAATTCACCAAAACCTCCACCGACATACATTTGCCCTTGAGATGGAACACAGTAACTGAGATGTTTGAACAGTATGCCCCACAAGGTCTACCACGGTAAGACCGGTGTCGTCTACAACGTCACCAAGTCCTCCATCGGTGTTCTCCTGTACAAGCGCGTCGACAACCGCTACCTCGAGAAGCGCATCAGCGTCCGCATTGAGCACGTCCAGCACTCCCGCTCCCGCGAGGAGTTCATCAACCGTGTCAAGGAGAACGCCCTCAAGAAGCGTGAGGCCAAGGAGAAGGGTATCCACGTCCACCTGAAGCGCCAGGCTGTTGGTCCCCGTTCCGGCCACCTCGTTTCCCAGGCTGGTAACGCTCCCGAGACCGTTGTCCCCATCGCCTACGACACCCACATCTAAGGGACTCGCATGGAAAATGGGTCTGTGGGTTCGGTGCGCGTGGTTATTCGGTGTTATTTGAGAACTGGGTTTACGTCGCTTTTTCACGCCCAAGTGGCTGGAACTGGACTTGGGCTGCATGAGACGACGCGTGATGGGTCTTCGATGCCCTGGCACATCTCAAGCCTGTGCATAGATTCCCCTGAATGAAACAAAAATCAAAAATTTCCGAGTTCACCTGAATCCCACGATTAATGATATATTTAAAGAAGTGCATGCAAATGTTAACCCTCTGTCTGCAATATGGATATATTAGGATTGTAGTCAGTTCCAAGTCTGAAAACTGCCTCGAGCTTAAGGATACACTGTTGCTATCTATCACCCCTGAATATTCACTCGAATTATAAATTGATTGGAAGATCATTTCATCGTACATCCATTTTTAGTGGCGACATGCTTGTGAGCTTCAAAAAAAGCATAGTCGAAGCGATAGATAATGTTCAAATGTTCCTTCCTGCGGTCTTTCATCTTTGTCAGTGTTCAGCCCCATTCTTTCTCCGCTGATAGGATCTTTGAAAGTGCTCCTCCCAGTGTTTTTTTTTTCAACCCATACAGAGCTGGTTCTACCTCTTGCAGCAGGTCAGCTTCGAGACAAGGAAAATATTGAGTCTCTGTCTTGAACTTGTGATTTGTGCCTCGAAGATATCCCTCAACAGACGCTGCAGCCATGACTTGTCGCACCGGATGTCCGCGGCAAATAGGTTCCGGGGATAATGTGATCTTCTCACGGCATTAAGTATTGGTACCGACATGTCGTCCATAGCCACTTATCGGTTGGTGAGGACTGAAATGTAATTTCCTAGTTTTCCTCGGCCATTCCATACTGCAGATGAAGATGTATTTCGAGAAGAAAGCTTCAAATGTTGGAAGAATGATGGAAAGAGAAATAGAAAACTCCAAATTTATATTCCTCTTCTTGAGCATTACATGTACTGAAACCTTCTACTAAAAGAAGTCCAAAGCAATACTACCCTATACATATTTGATGCCCCTCTCCCTTCCAAGGTTGATGTATTGGCGGATCCTGAGGCATCAGTACATGTAGGGAAAGTGAACCTTATGCAATGCTTAGCAAGATCACCAAGGTTGGAAGCGAAACGATAACTTGTGTATCCTATGAAATGGCTGTAAATAGCTAAGTTTGAATTGAAGGTTCAATGCTATGGTAGAAGTACTACATACTGCGTTGACAGAACTTCGACCATGCTATTACTTATGTACCAATGACAGCGGTGGTGCAAGATTCTAAATACATTATCAACCTTACTGAATTTGATAGTTACCTTTCTTGTCCAACTCAGACTTTACAGCCGTAGCTTGAGAGGATCATCGGCCTTGTTCCGAGCCATATATATTAAATGCCGCAGTGAGAGATTAGTACCATCTCAATTTAACAGTGTAAGTCCTCCGTCGGCCTAATATCGGCTTAATGTGAACTCGATCTAGAGTGACTTGAGGATCGGACCCCGGCAATTCAAGCAAACCCCTTGGTATCCCGCCAATGACAATGTTCATTGATGTGCAGATGCAACTCCAGTGTGCTAGATACCCACGTTTGAGGCACGGACTGCGTATGATAGCCGACATCACTGGCAAGGGGTGGCGTGAAACACATTCAACATACGTATGTATACTTGGACCAGTCAAGACATTCGGAAACTCGAGTAGTTCAGAGCTCGGACCTTTACTTCAGTCAAACTAATATCATTCAACTCCACTTGAAGTGTTACTGTGATGTCGCTTGATATTCTAGCGGTGAAGACCACATGGGCACACATTTGAATACATTGCATGCGAGGTCAGGGCTGCATGTCTAACACGGATCCCTGTGGAACAGAAGTAATTACCAAATAGGTCTGTGGGTTACATATGTACTTAAGTATGCACAGTTCCAAGGGTCTACCGCATATACCAATTGGAGTAATTTTTGTAGAAATCGGGTGATCGCGATTGAATGCAATATAGAATATATGTTACTCGGTACTTAATTGATAGACCCCACAAATATGTTACATCCGATGCTCAACCTTTCATTTCCTCCAATCGCCTACACCAAGGCATATGGTCGGAAATTTCCTGATGACAATGCATGGGGAGAAGGTTTAAATGTTCATTTCCCCTGAAGAAAACCCTGACGTATCACAGTGAGTAAGGGGCAACCAATAAGAGGTGGGGCGGGGACCGGGTAATACCTAGCGCACGCGACTATCTCACGCCCCCAATCAACATTGGAAGTATTGAACACTACAACTGTACAGTATCTTATCCAAGAGCTGACGCGTACAGCCCTATTTTCCTGCAAGGGGAGTCGCTCTGATTTGAACATCTGAACTTGATTAAGTTGTCTATTTACTTCTGCAGGTCCCCGGATAATCTCAGCTTCCGCGATGCTTCTACCCGTTCAATGTTGTGCCCAAAACTCCACGAGATTAATGGGATCCGCTCTGCTGATCAGCCCCCCGCAGATTTGTCGGGCACTAACTTCGATAGTCTGAATGATATGGCCAAGCACTATGAGATGAGCACGAAGCCGACTGCCGAGGAAGGTCGTGCGCATGATCCCATCACGCCCACCTGGCACCTTCCTCATGTATCGCTTGCCCACGCTGTCATGGACAAGACCAACTAATTTCGCGACCGTATGGGGTCATCTTGAGCCATACATACACACAATCGATCACTCGTTTATCCCACACCACACTCTTTTTCTCCGCATCTTTATTTACGCCATCCCGTGTGCTCTGTCACCTGCAGGCTCTTCAGCCAAAGGCTAAAATACGCTTTCCACACTGGCGCCACAGGCTGTCGATCTTGCATGGTCCGCCGCTTGTTCCATGCGACCTAGGAAAATACTGTCTTTGACCGCATTTCACTCGCTCGGAGCTAGTCCAAGTCAGTCTCAATCCAGGTGCACCCCACATCCAAACAAGGTCTCCATAGGCACGATACACCCCTTATCCCACCCCTGCACTGTGATGGATCCTACAAACCCCTCACATCCCGTCTTTTCATCCCTTACCATATGGCCGATGAGGCATGAGATCTCATCTCATCTGTGCAGACACTTACGGAGATCAGCCGACTTGCGCGCTCGGAACTTCGACCTGCAGGTCTGCTGCTCGGTGAAATCATACCCATCGCACTAGACTGTTTTTTTTCGGTTTGTCGTAGAGCGGAGCATTCTGGCATGCGAGCCTGAGACCGACCTATTGGGATCTCCTTTCTGTACCTTGCTCGGCTAGGAGGTCAACTATAAAAATGTCCCTGGCATTCCTGTAAACAACGCCGATCTTTTCTGCAACTTGCTCTGTCATCTCAGTGCTCGTGCAGCTTACCTTATCGGAGCTCCTTGTTTTTGCTCCTGCTTCTCTGTTTGTTATTCACTCCTTTCGACAAAAAAAAATATCAAAAGAGGACAAGTTCCTGGGTTGATCGCTTTGATCCCGTCCAATCCTTTTCGTCACGCAATGCAGCTCTATAATCTCGGTCTCCTAGTCGGGTCTCTTGTTGCTTCGGTTGGTGCAACTTCGAGCTTTTCGCCTGCTCGTCCTCCAGCTGTGCCTTTGGCTGTCAAATCGCCGTACCTGAGTACCTGGCTGGATGCTGGGAGCGATGGTGGTAATGGCGGGTACCTGGCTGGAGAATGGCCGACATTTTGGGAGTAAGTTTGGGATCTGCAATTGTGTTTCAATCGTATCTAATCTCTGTTTCACGAATAGGAACCAGGTCACCGGGTGGTGTGGTTTAATTCGTGTTGATGGCAAGGCCTATACTTGGATGGGCCTGCCGGGATCTACGACTGTCAACCAAACCGCGCTAGAGTATACCTCGACCAAGAGCATTTTCACCATGAATGTTGCAGGTGCGGTAGAAATGAACATTACCTTTATGTCACCTATTACGCCTGATGATCTCCGCCGTCAATCCTTGACATTTTCCTACCTTAATGTTGAAGTGTCTTCCTTGGATGGCAAGGCCCACGATGTGCAGGTTTACGCCGATATTTCCGCTGGTAAGCTCTTAGCCCTATCAACAATCGGATATACTGACATGTGCAGAATGGGTATCGGGTGATCGGACCACAATTGCTGAATGGGAATATGGTACATTTGACGGTGTCGCCTACCACAAGGTCTACCGTCAGACTCAGCTTGCATTTTCCGAGGTTAACCAGCAGGGTGAATGGGGCGACTGGTACTGGGCTACCGATGCCTCTAATAATATGACCCACCAGTCCGGCCAGGATACTGTTGTTCGTGCTCAGTTCTCGTCCAATGGTACCCTTACCAATGGTGTTGATACCAACTACCGCGCTATCTCGAATGATTGGCCAGTGTTTGCATTTGCATCCAACCTGGGCTCCGTTTCTTCATCCCCTGTCAGCACGCTGTTCTCTCTTGGTCTTACCCAGGATGATGCGGTGCAGTTCGAGGGGGCCTCTACCTATGCTCCCTTGCAGTCTCTGTGGAAAGCATACTTTGATACCGGATTGGACGCTATGTTATTCTTCCACACAGATTTTAGCGAGGCTAGCAGCCTTTCCAGTTCGTTTGATAACAAGGTAGCCACAGACTCCACCGCTCTCGGTGGTGAAAACTACCTCGCACTTACTTCCCTCAGTGCTCGACAAGTGTTTGGTGCTACCCAGCTCTGTGGAACGGAAGACGACATGTACCTGTTCATGAAGGAAATTTCTTCCGATGGCAACCTTAACACCGTCGATGTGATGTTCCCAGCCTACCCATTCTTCATTTACACCAACCCAGAGTACCTGAAGTTGATTATGGCGCCGCTATATGAGAACCAAGAGGCTGGAAAATACCCCAACGCCTGGGCCATGCACGATATGGGCTCCAACTACCCTAATGCAACCGGCCACAACGATGGTAATGATGAAAAGATGCCGCTGGAAGAGTGCGGAAACATGGTTATCATGACGCTGGCGTACGCTAAGGCGGCCGAGGATACCGCCTACCTATCCGCACACTACAAATTGCTTACCCAGTGGACTGAGTACCTTGTCGCTGAGGCGCTGTACCCAGCAAACCAGATCTCGACGGATGACTTTGCTGGATCGCTGGCGTAAGTGAATAAGTGCTTGTTTCAAAAACGACTGCGAGCTAACTCCAATTAGAAACCAAACCAACTTGGCTCTGAAGGGTATGATTGGTATTCAGGCTATGGCTATCATTGCCAACGAGACCGGACACACTGCCGATGCGGCCAACTATTCTAGTATTGCCCACGACTACATTACTAAGTGGCAGGAGTTGGGTATTAACAAGGATGCTTCCCCGCCCCACACCACTCTGAGCTACGGCAATGCAAGCAGCCACGGTACGTCAGCTTCCGAACATATCAGAAATTCATTTGCTAATGATTTACAGGTCTTCTATACAATCTCTATGCTGATGCTCAGCTGGGTCTCGGTCTTGTACCGCAGTCTGTTTATAATATGCAGAGCGCCTTCTACCCTACTGTGTTCAACAAATATGGTGTTCCTCTTGACACCCGTCACACCGAGACTAAGAGTAAGTTCCTTCAAACCTCTGTCTATATCCGGATTCTAATTTGAGCACAGGCGACTGGCAATCATTCGTCGCGGCGATCGCGTCGACGTCAACTCGGGCTATGTTCTTCGAACACCTGGCCACCTGGATCAACCAGACCCCAACAAACAAGGCCCTGACCGACCTTTACGATACCGTGACTGGAGAGTAAGTCAATTCGAACATGACCTGAGAACCACAACTAACCGACTTAGCTACCCCTCCACCCAGTTCTTCGCCCGCCCCGTTGTAGGCGGCTCTTTCGCGCCCCTTTTGGTCACCGCGTAAAAGACCACACCTTCGCTTCTTGTGCATCTATTTTTATATACCCTTTTATCACTATACCCTTCCAACACTCCACTTGTCATTATTGAATGATGAGATGGCCGTGATTTGGTCAATTTGGAGGAAACGCACGACGCACTGGACGTCATCCATTCGTTTATATGGCATCACATGTTTCGTTGATTCGGGCGTGTAATATCCTTTCTTGCATTGATACCCATCCATAGCGCCGGTCTTGTTTGACTTGACGGTTGTGTGCGTGGTTTTATTTTGTGCTGGTTTCTTGTCCATACATGAATTGACTTTTTTCCGACGATGCTTCTTTTCATGATAATTTTGTAGAATCGAAGCTGCTGGAGTAGTTGGTCCACTACCCCGGAGAGCGAGATGGACTATTCTAATTTGAGTCGTCATGACTTCTGGTAGAGAGCTTAGGGAGTCCCTGCAAGACCTGGAGGGCTGTGCATTATGGGAGACGATGTAAGAATATTACAGTTGCAATAATGCAGCATGAAATAGGTAAGACATATGTGCATTTCATTCCCTTTACTCCTATCTACCTACGTCCACTACGTACACCCTTCATAAATTCGTCAGGGAGCCTGCTCCATGCAAAAATGCAATATACCTTGATCTACATCTACCATTCCAAAACCGTTTACTGTGAGTCCTCGTCCCAAGCATCAAACGAGCGAATCAGATCTAGACAGAACTCATTAGCACAACGCACACAAGAATCGAGACCAATATCAACATACCATAGTAAAGCATCATCCCCTCCAAATGGGCACTCAAATGCATCCGCTCATCGACCGTGTGGATATTCGCCGATCCACCCATCCGGGACGGACTCCATCGGTAAATGTTCTCCGACAGAGACCAGTAGAACCGAGTATCGGTATTTCCAGTCATGATATCGCCTGTGACGACAACAGTGGGGGTGGAGGTGGACTCGGGTGTCAGAGGGTTGGGGTGCGACTCGAAGACGCTACGGGCTACGCCTGCGAACCGCGCCCATGTTTTCGAGGTGAGGGGGTCCGTTGGCGAGATGGGGGCCGGGTCGAGCGGATCGCTGAGAGGCGAGAGGGTGAGTGTGCGAGCACCGGCCACGATGTCTGGCATGGTTTCCGTCTCCAGGCCGGGGAAGTTCACTTCGAGGGAGACGTTGTGCTTCGCGGCGATGGGGGTGATGATGCGGACTGCGCGCTCGCGGAGGAGATCGGCTGTTTGGTGCAGTGCGACGCGGTAGTTTACTACAGCGGAGATCTTCTCGGGGAGAGCGTTTGTCTTCACGCCGCCGTGGAAGAGGTCTGTTGCTTGGGAGGTCTGGAGGGTGTAGCGGACCGCGGGGCCGCGGGATTGAGCGACTGATTCGGCGAGCGCGGCTGGGTCGCCGGAGGCTAGTTTGGTGGAGAGCCAGGACTCAACTTCGGAGGGGGAGTAGCGGGCTTGACAGGCTAGCATGCCGAAGGAGGGGTGGGATTCATCGAGCCAGGCGGAGAAGAGATCTTGGTTCTCGAGCTCGTAGATGATTTCGGCCATGATGCCGATTCCGGTGTGGGCTGGAGGGATGGAGGAGTGGCCGCCTGGAACAGCGAGTTCCATGACGAGATCCAAGCTGCCTTTCTCACCGACGCCGGGGAGGGCGTAGAGGACTTCTCCGTCGGAGGAGGAGCCGAGACTTTGGAGACCCATGCCGCCTTCATCGAGGATGAATTCGAAGCTGTCTTTTCCGTATTTCTTTTCTAGGACTGGGGCGATTGAGCCTGCGCCTAGCCAGCCGTGGGATTCTTCGTCATAGCCGAATGCGAAGAGGATTGTGCGTTGTGGGCGCCAGTCCTGGGAGAGGAGGTCTTCCAGTGTGGACATCAGGCCGATGAGGACGTTCTTGCAGTCGCTTGAGCCGCGGCCCCAGATCCATTCGCCGTCGAAGTATCCTTCGAAGGGTGGGTGAGTCCAGTCGGATGCGTCGTCGATTGGGACTACATCTTGGTGGGCCATGAAGAGGATTGGCTTTTGGGTGGTGTCTGCGCCTTGGAAGGTGAAGACTAGACCGAGACGGTTGATGTGGTCAACCTCGGCAACGGAGTGTCTGGATGGGTCAGTCTAAGTATGGGTGTGCTCTAATTCTCCAGTCTAATCTTACACTAGAGGGAACAGTTCCCGGAGTAATTTCTGGAACTCTACCATTGGTGCAAACGCCTCGTCGTATGGATCCGTGGCATAGTCTCCGACCGTCGTGGGGACCTGGACTGCTCGCGAAAGCCGATTGGCCTGACGAGCACGGAAAGCAGCATCCTCGAGAAAGGTCGATGCCGGGTGCAGGCCGTCATTGGGAGTAGCGACCTTGTGTGCCTGGGGACATGTCTCTCGGGCGGGGTTGGGGGTATTGACGGAGCCGGGAAAGAGGATCTGCTGTGGGATATTCAAGGCGAGGGATGGCAATGCCAATCCGAGGAGAGTAATTGCCTTCATTGCATATACACGAGAGTATGTCGGTGTAAATGTTCATGTTGATGATGCGAGAATTGTTTTATATGATGCGCTATCTCTTATCTTCCCCTCACAGCGGATAATACCGCTTTTGCCAGATTTGGACATTGATGAGGTTTTTGCCGATGAAGTCGGCAATGTTATCTATTAGTCAGTATGTTACATTTCAGGGTCCAGGACATATGTATGGTTGTGTAGTATGGAGTACTCCGTACCTGAGATGGTACCTGAGATGGTTCCTGAGATGGTTCCTGAACGGGTGGAACCGATGAAACCTTCCAAGGTCACCTGATCAAGGGAGAAAAGGGGCACAACAATGTTTGTATGGAGTACAAACATCTCCATGGGGCTGAAATTGAAAAATGTGGCAAACCACTCAGCCTGGGACTTTCGGAGTTCGTTCGAGACACTCCACTCGATGATCACGACGATCCTTAAGCGCGCCAATAGTGCGCCACCCTCAAGCCAATAGCTCCAGTATTCTAGTGTTTCAGAGCTGATCGCTCTTATTTCACGTCATGGTCTCCGTTTCATGCTCCATTAAAGAATGGGTCCTGTTCGTAAGGGCTTGGAGGTGTCAGACCCTCTTAAGTGAGACATTAGCTTACTTCTTGAACTCATTTTCACTCTATATCGTTTCGCTGGTCGTTGCATTTCCTCTCGTTCCCGCATTCCACATCGACATAACTCTCGTTATACGCCACATCCACATCCACATCCACAACCACATCCACATTCATTGTCTTTCATAAATTTGATTCTTTATCTTTTATCGTTCATTTCCCCCAGCTACACAATGTATTCCCACACTCTCCTCGCTGCTCTCGCCATTGTCCCACTGGTGGCTGCCTCCAGCTCCCTTGGCTGCTTCTCCGCAGTCCCCAATCTCAAAGATGTGAAGCAGTACACATTTCAATCGCAGGCCTTCTGCCTAAACCAATGTACTGAAGCTGGCTTCCACATTGCCGCCTTGAAAGACGGCGTCACATGCGGTTGTAGCAATACCATCCCGCTATCATCCGCCATGGTTGATGACGACAAATGTGATCAATACTGCGCTGGTTGGCCTGAAGATAATTGTAAGTGAATACACACTCTTCCAAATTGGTTCCGCCGGGACATGTTCTGATATTAATATTCTTCTATAGGTGGCGGTATCAATGTCTACACTGTCCTCACTACAGGCGAATACCACGGAAGTTCCGACTCCAACTCCAATTCCAACTCCACTATCCCCAGAACGGGTCGCAATATTGTCGCTCCTACTGTGAATCCTTCTTCCATGCCGACCAGTATTCTCACTGCCCCGTCTTCCATGGGGACTAAGGTGGCTATCACTGCCCTTCCCGCAGCGAAGTCTAATGCCGCGTCCGCTGCGATCACCGCTGTGACTTCCGCGACGCCTTCCGCAACTGCTAATGCTGCTGGTACGCTGCGCGCTGGATCTCTTGCGGGCATTCTTGTCGCGGGGCTGGGTTTGCTGCTGTAAGCGCCTAGGCTGGGGTGGCTTTTTTCACTGCTTTACCGTGCTGCATATTACAGACCTGTTCCTCTGGTAGGACGGGGTTTAATCGGACTCGCTGGCGGGCTTGGATTCGGTTTCGCTTCACTGTGCTTGGGATTATAGATGTACATCTTTAGGCCTGTTGCTGGGGCTGACTTTCCTGAACTTTGTACTCATCTTACATTCATTTGATCCTGGATGGGATCTTTAGATTAGACTTAGGTTTCCAAATGGACTTCGATATCCATTGTGATCATATTTACAGTAATAGGGTTATGTTCTGTAGGATGTATCAGGGCTGGATGGTCTGTAAAATAGGGCATTCTTTTTACGAATGATGGCCGGAAATGATTGACACTAAGGACACCAAATTTGTACGTGAAGTGTAAATGTAGCTCCAAAGTCTTAAAAAATGCTAAAAAAGCAATGAACCAAGCACGAATGGGTATCATGAGAGCAAGAAAATCACAAACGCCACAGCAAAATTGAAGTCATCATACAATGCCTACCAGATTCAAGCTCGGAAACCGATCAATACTTCAAATTCCCAACTTTTTCGAACCCCCGAGGAAGAGGCGTTCCGGCTCTAATCAACTTTAGTCAGCATCATGCAGTACAAAGTCACTAACAAGAATAACTTACTTCATCATCTTCCGCTTCAATACACGTGCACGATCCTTAATATCGACTTGGCTACGCTGCCTCTGCAATAAAACAGGTCCGCCATCACGATCCGGACACAGTTTATCTTCCTTTATGATAGTGGACCAGGATGTGCCGTGAACAGCGACCCCGCGAATGATTCGATCGTCTTCTTCTTGGGACCACTTGCCACCTTTACCAGGAGGCCGTTGGGCACTGATGTTGCGGGCGGCCCAAGCAGATTGGACAGTCGGAGCTGGCGCTAACGCTGGCGCTGGCGCCAGTTCTTGAGTGGTTGCTGTGGATGATGACCAGGGCATTTTCCGGGCAGCAGCTTGGCTGGATATGAGTTGCTGCTGTAGTTGTTCGCCTGCTTCGCTGGCACTCTCCAAGGTCTCATCTCGTTCCTGGCGCGCGGGGGCATGTCGCTTTGGCGGAGGCTTGATAGCTCGCTTGGTGGCAGTATTGCTCGCACGCGAATCTTGCTCGAAATCATCATCAGACTCTTCTTCTGTATCGCCACGGGCACGTTTCCTGGAGTTTTCTCCATTAGGCCGAGCTGGTCGCCGTTCTGCACTCTGGGTCTCGGTTTCATCGATGGGGGAAACTCTTCTAGCATCGTTCTGACGGTCAAAGATTGTTCGTTGGGGAGTCTGAAGGCTCGCTTCCCCGGCTTTCTGGGCTGGCTGGCTTTCCTGCTCGTCATTCGTCATGGGTGGCGCTCGAAGTCGACTTGGGCCAGGCGAATCAAACTGCAGACTGGGATTGTAGCTCACCTGTCTGGTTCGGGCAGAACCAGGCGGGGTGGTAGATTCGTCCGGCTCGCCGCTGAGGTCGAAATCCTCGTTCGTATCGTCAAAAGGCACATAGTCATCAATATGGTTCTCTGCGACGGTTCCTTTATTTCCGGTAGTATCCTGAGGTACTGGACGCTGTTGAACGGGCGAATCTGACGCGACACTGACCAATCGTTGCTTAAAACGAGAGATAGAATCCATGTTTAAGAATTGGTTCTTGCCAGATTTTCTTCGATGGGGACGTGAATCCGCGGGCCGTTTGCCCAGACTGACCGGACTAGGCTGTCCAATGGATTTCTGAGGTGACCCTGTAAGCGTGGTTTCTGTGGCAAATGATCTTTGCTGCGCGGGCGGGGACATTTCCCGTAGGGGCTGATTCTTCTCCGGGTCGCGGTTGTTTGGAGTCGTAGCTTGGAATAGTGAATCATCAGGGAAAACGCTCGAATCCTCTTGCACATGTGTCTCATTGAGAACACTCTCGCCCTTGATCTTCCTTTCCAGAAGATCATGGACATCATCAAAATCTGCCTGGGATTTGAGGTCACGTCGGATTTCTTTATCACGACTGTGAAGGAAACGGGCGGTGCGGACAGTGAATCTTTGCCAGGAAAAGGCGGCTCTAAGGCCTTTCACATTGAGGGCACCATCATCGTCAGTCAGTTCAAGTTCCAGTTCTCCAATATGATCGAGAGCAGCATCATGAAACCGGTCTGGAAGACACCCGTTTTCATCATGGAATGGCGTCACAGAAAACCCCCGAAGCCACCGAGAATCCAAGTCACCACCCTCGTACTTTGATTCATCATAGAAGACCGTCCGAAGCAGAAGACTTGGATCAAAGCCTTTCTCACTTTGACATCGCTCGTATTCCATGAGAAAATACTGGGTTCTGATCTCCAGCGCAAGCTCCCACGCGGCCTTTTCAACCGCACTAAAACCGACCAGGTTTGAATCGCGGCCTTTGACAAATTGGTCCAAAAATGGAGCTGGAAACTGACTGTTGAGACTTTTGACCACCTGTCTTGCTGGCTCTGACTCTGCAGTTGACAATAGAACCTCATAAGCCAATCTGGCGCAGTTTGCGCTGTGTAGGATTGGTGATGGACTCCATGGCTTCTCATCGACTCTTGCAGAGATGGTGGGAATAATATCCCGAATACGAGGGACATCAACGAATGCAGCGTTGCCATACTTCTTCATTCGCTCAACAAGTTTTTTGCAGTGTGATTTGAGTCGCCTGTAGTCCTTATTGCTTGGACCAGCTACCCGTATGCGCTTTGCTGCATTCACAATCGCTATCGGATCCTGTTGATTGGAGACCAGTAAGTTCATCAATCCAGAGGCCGCTTGCTGAAGGTCCGGGAGCTCGTCCAGCATAATGATTGGATCATCTGAGGCCTCATCTTCGCTGTCTGTTTCAAAATCTTCTGCCTCTAAAAAGGTGGTACCGGAAATGTTGTGGTTTGCTTCCGCTTGTTCAGGAGTTCCCTGTACTACAGGAGAGCTATGTTTAGACAAAGAGGTTTGACGTGACGAGATGGGTGTCTCTTCTGTAACGGTTTCCAGCCCTGGATAAATCAGTATGTTTCACAAATTTGCTCTCTTAGAGACCGCGAGTTGGCAAGGGTGCGGAACATGCTTAAAAAGAGAAGCTTGTGTCGGACCAATGAGGGGTATGGAAATCTGATGCAGGGGTATGTTAGTGCGTGCACTATGAAGTACAGGCAACCAACCTATATTTACCCCCAAAGTCGAAAATGAGAGCACAAACAATACGTCACTTACGCTGATCAACGGCCTTGCCTTTCCCGAGGTTTCTGGTGCTCTTCAAAGAAATGTGCTGATAACCAGGACTCTGACTCCTTGTTACGCGCCTAGGCTGTGTGGGTCCTGCCATCTGAGCCCTGGGCCGAGACGCGTTTGTTGTTATTGATCGAGGGAGTATCAATATGCTGTTTCAGCGATGAAAATAAGAAAAAAGAAATCAACTGCAAAAGTTTTGGAATCGGCTGAAGGCTTTTCGCATGTCAGTGGGCGCGAATTTGTGTTAGAAGAGATGGCAGTGAGATAAACAAGTGCGACCGAGAGTCTAACTCTAGGGTGAACCTTCCGGAATTACTATTTATCCATACACTTACCGGAATAGGTTTAGCGGACCCTAACCACCCTAACCACGTCATGTACTGGGCCAATCACGTGATAAAGAAATACACATGTTGAGGGGAGTACAGGCTTGTGTGATTTCTCTCGCAATTGGAATACGCACCATTTACCAGTGAATCTACATCCAGTAGAAGAATCCGGAGTTTTGATGATATGATGAGAGAGTTGAGTACCGCTCGGTGAGTGTTGCGAGCTATTCCCTCGGTATTCCCTCCTGTTTGTTCTGGTGAGCACTTAGTAGGCCCCAGGCAACCAAAACACTTACCCATAGAGCCGTTCTTTGTAGGGTTCTACAAGCAAGATTCAGCACATGGATTGTTGAAAATAAATCTGGTCATTACGTGGACCAGGCACGATATTATATCATTAAACAGTGTATGACAAACCGTTCCAACTTTTACATCGCGATGCACCGCCCAAAACTTGCAAGAAAAACCGCGAATGTATGTTACACCATGCAACCCGTTAGTAGAGCGCCTCTATGAGATAGATTATTCCAAAGACAAGGAAGGCCGCAGCACCACCCAAAGTCACTATAAATCGTTAGTTGTGGCAGAGGAATACGAGATCGAGGATTGAACATACCAACGCGCATGCTGACCCGACCAGCAATCGCACGTCCACCAATTACGGCGGCAGCAGTGCAGATTCCGTGGCCAGCGGTCGCACCAACAGTCACCCACCAGTAATCTTGACCAGCGGCCATCGCAATGGTGGCGATTTGGCTGCGGTCACCCCATTCGCCGAGGAAAGTCATGACAAAGGTCTGCACCCACGCGGGGCTGAGCAGAAGAGAGAAGAGATTGCTCACGCCGACCAGTAAGTCGTTCCAGCGACGCTGGGGGCGAGGAGATGAGCCACGGGAGGAAGATGAGGAAATGCTCTCCGGGGGCGAGGGCAGGCGATTGCGAGAGCCACGGGACTTGGGGACACGGCCAGCCTCCAAGGATTGGGGAGTGACCGATGAGCGACGGCGACCCATGCGCATCTGTTCTTGCTCTTTCTCCTCAAGTTCCATTTCAACCTCCCGCATCTCCTCGCCAACACCCTCCTCTGGGTCCATCTCCCGGCCTTCCTTGAACATCTTCGCACCGAAGATCAAGAATAGGAACCCTGCCATGAACTTGGTGAGGGTCTTGGGGATTAAGGTAGGAACGGCGTGACCGAGGACGGCAGAGAGGACGGTCATAGTGGCCAAGGCACAGAATGCCGACGAGAAGACCACCAGGCGAGGGTGTCGCATTGCCATGAGTGCGGCGACAAGGAAGGTCTTATCGCCGATCTCAGATACGAGAATCATGGTGAAAGAGAACAACAGAGAGTGGAGACCATCGGTCTCGGTGATATCTTCGCCCTTGTTGGGGGAGGACGAGCTGGGGTAGCCGGAGCCGGCGGAGCCATGTTGGACAGACAGAGGGTCGTCCTTGGCCTGCGAGGGAGATTTGGGGTGAGGGATATCGTGGGGCTTGTCAGTTAGATCGGCGGGTTTCTAAAGTCCGCGTTATGTTAGTATTGCTCATTTCAAACCTGTGGAGAACAAGAAAAGTCCTACCTCCAACATGCCAAGCGTGCCTGCACCTTCAGCAGTGCGCCCGCTTCCCGTAGTCTCATCATTCGTGGGCAACTTCTGTTTCTCGCTGTGGGGCAGCGGCAGCGCCTCTTTAGGGCTGTCAGGGACCTTGGCAGAATTATACAGGTCGTCCTTCCCCTTCTCAGTAACTCCCCCTTCCGTACCACGTGTGCCTTCCTGAGGACCCGCGCGGTGCGGGTCGTCCATCACGCCACCATTGGAATGCGGAATCATTTTCCCATCCTCAGTGATGTGGCCCACCGAAGGGATCTTGGTATCGAGTTTTGTTGAAACAAGGTCTATATCATCGCTTCCTTTGCCACTCTTGCGATCCCTATCCGCGGTGGTCTCTACCCACGGGCCAGCGTGAGGTCGGCCATCCTTGCCGTCTACAGGGGCGTCTGACGATCCTTTCACAGCGTTGGGGGCAAGCTCAGCATCGACATATCGGGTATCAAGGGTTGAAGCTCCTCGCGATGCAGGAGCAGATGGCACACTGAACGATTTGGTGGTGACTGTGGCCGTTGACAGCACCGGAAGGAGGAGAAGGAGTAATGATGGAGACTGAATCTTCATTGTGGATTGAAAGAATTGCGCGCGTAAAGAATGTCGTTTTGGTCAGGTTATTCGAGTGCGAGGGAGGTCAAAAGGACTCGAGTTGGCCGGAGGAAATAAGTTTGCGGATGCGGTGCAAGACGCCAAAAGCCACGGTGTCTCGTAGGGGCGCGAGCACGGCGAATTGAGAAATCGGAGAAGGATAGTATTGGAGAGGCCAGAATAATCAAGTGTATGATTGAGACCAAATCTCCGTGAGCGAAATAAGAATTTGAAGGTGGACACGAAGCAAATGTTGATCCGTTGCTTGTTTCTACAAAGGGGGCGCATTCACGTGACCATGCCGCAAGCGGAGATTATTTTGACGCGCTCTGATTCGATCGTCTCGTTTCTATTTACAGGACAATCGGAAGTTTGAATCTCTGCCCAATTGTGAGGGATCATCACGTTGGTTCATCTTATTTTCAAACAATCGCATGTTATGCAGCGAATCATACCCGTTCCAGGGCGTCAGTCACCGTAACTACTAGACCGGCTCAGGGGTAGTCTGCATATGAACACAACAAAAAAATTTCTATCTACTCTCTCAATACAACAATGGGTTTCAATTAATACAGATTTTCAAGGAGAAACCGACAGATCAGTGTCTAAAATGAACTGCCGCTCTTCAAAGCCCCGGGAAAGTCGTTCTGGAGAGCTTCCCAGAAAGGCGTGCCACCAATTTGAAGCTCCTCAAATGCAGGACAGGTCAGATTCAGCAAAGGCACAGCAAGCAGATTAGTGACCCATTCCAATGGCCCAGCAATGTTCTTATACAGTCCGTCAAGCGCATTGGGACTACCAAACTTGAGCACCTCGGATACGAAGCACAGCAAATTGTTACCCTCCAGAAGGCTGGTCAGATTGAGAACACCGCCCGTTAGATCCGCGGGGTCGACACCAGCAAAGCTGTTGACGGTACCAGTGTTTCCTCCAATACTGTACCAAGTCAGCCTCATTAAATAACGCATACCGCAATGTCATTCTTACCTTCCAAGCTCCGGGTACTTCAATATCCATTCAATAGTATCCAGGTTGAGTTGGATAAGGCCGTAGTCGACGGGAGTCTTGTACCAATTCTCAGGAATTCTCTCCCATCCTTCACGATAGGTCAAATTACCTTCCTCGCCGTAGATGCCGTAGAAGTTCCGGATATGGCTCTTAGCTGGAGATAGTTAGCACCCAGAACAGCAGATCTCTTTCAATGTATCACTTACTCAGGACTCCCTCTGGATTCTCGATGGAGTGATTTCGGAACATGCGAGCGGAGAAGAGATAGCCCGCATTTCGCGCAATGAGGCCAGTCACAGGCCCATAGTAGAAGTTGGGATTGGTTTGGACACTCTCATCAAAGCGGTTCTTGGCTCGCTTGGCCATGAGATCCATGTCAAAGGTGCCGTCGGTCGACATGTTGTACCAAGCCATGAATTTGTCCATTTTCAGCGTGTGGCTGTTTCCTGTGACGTAGAGATCGTCGCGAGTATTGGAGGAATCCGCTTCGATGAAGTTATGGGAGCCATCAAGACCAAGGGGAGTGCCTATGGAAGTTAGTAGAGCACAATGACTCGTATTGATCCCATATGTACTGACCCAAAAGTCCTCCCAGGTTATCCAGAAGATTGTTGACACCGGGATCGCGACCACCGATGGAAAAGCTGGGATCCAGAGAGACGAGATCACCAGTCCAGACAGTGCCCATGATGGCAAGGATGGTAGCCAGGTCAACCCCCATGCCATAAACTGAAGAACAGGTTAGCTAGAGCCAAACTATGCAAAAATATCGATTGTATACCTTCGTTGATAGCAGCGATCACGTTTCCAAACTTGAACACAATTAGTCTTATAGCTAGTCCACGTCGCTATGAATGGCTTACAGATACCACGCCCTTCCGCGGGATATAGCCGTGGTTTGCCAATGCGTTGAGTCCAGGACAAGGACCACGCTGATCACCATTTGCGAAGTCTGGAGGCTGGAAAGCATGTTCGCCAGTGACTATTCGACGCGTTAGCACAAACCCTGATACAGGGCACGCCTCACATACCATCCACAGGCGAGCTCATGTCCGAGAACAGAAACCGCTTGTCATGGTGCACCTTAGGCTGAGGCTGATCATTGGGAAATGGACACCGTTTATGCAGGCCTCTGTGCACCAGGTTGCCATGGTGTCCTGCATCTGGGAAACCAAATACAACGGAAGAAAGTGACAATGAGCAAAGCAACTGCCCTGCACCAAGGAAACGCATATTGAACAAATGGATTGATCCTAAATCCAAGATTCAATTGCCACAAAAAAAGAAAGAATGACAATCCACCCGGGACGAAGAACAAGAAAATCCGCAAACAAAATATGAATTCGAAATATGCATACTGAGTTACTACCCCTGAGAAGATCATCAGCGCATGAACCTTGTCAGATCAAATCCTCGAATAAAACATGCAACCATAACGACGCCGTATTTTGCGTAAATGGCATGCCCCATTTAACAGTCATTGGCTTTAAGTCGGTAATTGCCATCCCAAAGTAGTCAAAATCAGGATAATCATTCGATTCCTTCAAAGCTATCCACAAAATCTCAAAGCAAAAATGGACAACCTAGTTCTAGGATACATTATCCGATGTTATTTAGTTCACAACGATCATTTCCCAATGGGGAAAATAGTCCCCGTCCCCGTAGTCCCGGATCGAACCCTAGTTAATGACAGCGCCGATCCGAGTCATTTGTGGGATAACCAAGGCGCTAGTGAAGATAAAACACCGGACAAGCGCCTCTTTTTTCTTGAAGTAGAAGGTGGATTTAACAGTCTAGGAAGTGGAGAAAGGAAATAAAGTTTGGCGTAAAAGTCTCTGAATTGTCAGAATAACCTTGAATGTCTCCCGCGTGGCTGACTTGACTTGTCGGTTATTGCCGAATTCAGTGGGGGGAAAGGTCAGAGCGAAGTGCAGATCAGCGGCTCGTCCGTCTCTCGGCTGGGAGGTGGCGCCGCGTCTAGTTTCTTCTGTTCTTTTGGTTGACATTTAGCCACAACTAGGTCTAAAAGTTGACCGGAAGTGGGAATAGGGGTCTTCGTACTGTAGATCGTAATTCGAGTGCCAATGTCTGGATTGATCGATTGGGGCGTCTCAAGAAATGTATGGATGCAGGGGGAGTTGTATGGAGTATGCTTAACTGGATTCGAGGTAAAATCGCATGTAGAGATCGACGGTAAAACGTTGAACCATTCCTCGTATGTCAAGAGTAGTTTGACAGGAGGTGAGGGGCTTTTTCAAATGTTGATGTTAATAAGATTATCGGAATGGATTGGATTGTATGTTTTGGCAAACACGCTCCTTGATTTGAAAATAAACTCTTACCTATTACATCTCCGATCACAACATTCCTTTCACGTTGGTACCTACAGGTGCAGACTGAGACAAGCTCTCAAAATGCGCTTCCTCAGCACAGTGGTCCTCTTGGCGACATCTTTCACAACTACAGTCATAGCAGCATCCGCACAGGCGCAATTAGAAGCCATACTCCCGACATGTGCGGTATGGAAATCCTCTGTCCTGTTTTATTGAGGCTGAAGAGCTAATTCTTGTCAAAGCTGAAATGCATGGCTTCGTCACTGACGCAGACATCCTGCGCAGCCACAGACCAGGCTTGTCTATGTCTAGATGCGACATATACCGCAATTCTTGAGGAATGTGTGCTTACCAGCTGCACTATTCGACAATCTTTGAGTAAGCAAACACTCTCCACTTGCAGTCTGCCAGTATTGACAATTATAGCAACGAAAAATGTCACGGAAACAGCATGCGGGGCTCCTATCCGAGATCGAACAAACGTTGTCTTTTATACTGGCATCGTTGGCGGTGTAATTGCTTTCGTCGTCTTTGTTCTTCGAATGATTGCTCGACTGCGATGCTGTGGCGGAATGTTTGGCTGGGATGACTGGACTATGATGTTGACAATGGTATAGCCTTTCTTTCCTTGGAGAAATTTCACTTACCCACAATTTTTAGTGCTTGGTTCTTCCACTCTCGGCTCTTTCTGGCGTCTGTATGTGACTCTCAATTTCTGTTAAAAACTCGTTCTTTGACTAAACCTCTATATAGTGGCCAACACAGGCTTAGGGAGAGACATGTGGACGCTTCCCTTCGAAAATATCACACGAATTCTCTACGTGAGTACTTTCAATACTTATCCAGGCTTGGATACTCACTAAAATTATCCCAGATCTACTTCTGGGATGAGTTAATCTATCTCAGTGTCCTACCTATGACCAAAATTTCGATTTGCTGTTTCTACCTCCGAATCTTCCCCGACCGACAATTTCGACGGTTAACATATTTTGTTATTGGGCTGAACGTATCATACTTGATTGCCTTTGTCTTGATCTCCGTGTTTCAATGCTTACCACTGCCTGGCGCATGGCTTCACTGGGATGGAGAGGGAAATTATAAGTGCAACCACATTAATGCACAAGGATGGTCGGCGGCTGCTATAAACATGATCCTTGATATCATAGTCATGGCCCTTCCATTGCGTCAACTCTATCATCTGAATCTTTCAGTGAAGAAGAAGGCGTATGTGATGTGCATGTTTGGCCTGGGTCTCTTGTACGTGTTCTTGAGGATTGATTCACTGTGAAATACTGATTTGTGCCTTTAGTGTCACTCTGGTCAGTATTCTACGACTGAAGTCGCTCATTAACTTTGCTTCAACCACTGACTTGACATGTGAGTGTCTCTCCCTGTTCTACCAGTTGCTAAGAACTGACTATCTGAAAGGGGATTACGTGACTATTGGATACTGGAGCACCGTTGAATGTGACGTTGGTGTTATCTGCGCATGCTTACCGGCAATTCGATCCTTGCTTCGCCGTGTATCTCCAAGATTCTTTGGCGACACCGAACCTGCCAAATCGTATGGCTTGAACTCTAACTCTCGAGGCACTGGATCTCGGTTTGATGGGCCGATCTATGTTCACCACGACATTCATGTCAAGAGCAATGATCACCAATTCTATCCCCTAGGTGATATGTCAAACTCCAGTGAAGCACGGCTCGCCGACAAAGTATAGAGACCAACAGTCCATTGCCCAAGCTGAGCAACTGAGTAACTGTTGAATTATTCTGTTCATTCTTTTCATTTCCCTCTTCTTTTGTTTTTATTTATTTAAAAGCTGTCAATGCTTATCTAGCTCCTCATTTATGGGAACAGTGAGAATGTATTCCATATCCAACCTTCTTTTTGATAATCGAGATGTCAAAGTGGCATTTTTCCATACACTGATTGATAAACTTGTTCACTGTAGAACATATATACATGATAATGACTACATGACACATTACCAAAACCTGTGATAAACTAAGCAGGTGGGAGAGCATTCTTCGCTAGAACTCCGCGATATTCCCTTGCACATGTGAGCCCCTGAATGAAGACTCCTTTGAAGTTGCTCAAACCAAAAAGAGGAAAGTTCATTATGCTAGAAACTCGTAAACCTAAGCCCACCCACTCAGTTAAGCAGAATGGAAATCCAAAATCTGGATGACAGCGGGCCCGTGTTTCCGCTTGACGGGACAAAGTACCTGTCCCCACAAACTTTCCTCGAAGGCTTAAGCGTTCATCCTACGAAGAATGATATTGGAAAAATTGAGACGGCACAATAGAGCTCAGACAGTATTAGCCCCACCGTTAAATTGGTGGCGTTGAGGTGCCGTGTGATCGACATGTCAACGGTCAAGAACGTTTTACAGGGTTCTCAGACCCCGTGAAGCTTGGATGGACCCACAGAAAGGAATTTTTATTATTGGTTGAGTAAGGAGGCCACCAAAAGTATGGATATCTATATTCTCTTTACCAGTATGTCGGTTCACGGTGCTGGGTCAACACGGGACAGATTCAATCGTATGGTAGAAATCCTTGGGCTAGAATGTAGTATATACTGTATTAGTGTTGTATTTTAAGGGGGGATGGAGTGCAAACCGGTATACAGTTTAGTGTCGATCAATACTTGGGGAACGTGGGAACGAATATAGTAACATCGTCGGGAATTACATCGAAGACCCCTGGACGCTCAGTATAATAGAGTAGACAGAACATTGTCATTCCTTGATTCCTGTCACTCTTTTTCTTTTACTTGTTCTTACTGTACTATTGTTTTCTTTGCTTTTTCAATATTTCCTCCTTTCTCATCCATCATGCGTATCCCAGCAGTGTTTGGGATACTTTCCACTCTTTCATTTGCCCTCGCCTCGTAAGTGAAAGACAGAACTTCTCTGGCCTTGACAACGAAGACTAAGATCAAAACAGTGATTATATACCAAGCCATCGCTACCATGATTTACACAAGCGAGTTTTGAATGGAACCACCACAAAAGCCGGAACTGCAGAGTATGACTATGTGGTAGTCGGCTCCGGTCCTGGAGGTGGACCCCTCGCTGCACGACTAGCTCTTGCTGGGTTCAAGGTTCTTCTCATAGATGCAGGCGATGACCAGGGGAATGCTACCAGGCAGATTGTGCCTGCTCTTCAGCTCCAGTCTACGGAATACACGCCCATGAGGTGGGACTACTTCGTCAACCACTACTCCAATTTGACCCGCCAGGAGGAGGACTCGAAAATGACATACCGTACTCCGTCTGGAGATCTTCATGTCGGTAGCAACGCTCCAAGTGGATCGGATCCTCTAGGAATCTTGTACCCTCGCGCTGGTACTTTGGGTGGTTGCTCTGCCCACAATGCTATGATGTGAGCCTCCCCGCAGCTAGCGTTGACTCGTGTATACTGATGGATGTTTCTATAGTACAATCTACCCATACGAGAACGACTGGGAGAATCTTGCAGCTCTCACCGGCAACGAATCCTGGTCCGCCTCCAACATGCGTGGATATTTCGAGAAATTGGAGCGCAACAGATACCTGCCAAGCAGCATTGTTGGCCATGGATTTGATGGATGGCTCACAACCAGCCTGACGGACTTACGTCTTGTTATTGAAGACCAAAAGCTTCTGTCGTTAATCCTGGCGGGTGCAACTGCTGCTGGTACAAGTCTCTTGGGTAAAATTGTTGACACGGTTACAGGGCTCGCCGGAGTCTTGTTGCGCGATATGAACAACCCCGGTCCCCTGCACGACTACCAGACTGGTCCTTTCCAGGTACCTCTCGCTGTGGACGTTCCTGAATACAGAAGAACTGGTCCCCGAGACTTCCTTTTGCAAACCGTTAATGCTGTCAATGATGATGGTTCGCGTAAATATCACCTTGATATCCAGCTGAACACACTTGTCACAAAAGTTCGATTCGATAACATGGGAGCCAAGCCTCGAGCTACAGGAGTGGAGTACCTCCAGGGACAAAGCCTATATCGTGCAGATCCCCGTGCTTCCATGTCCGCTGGTGGCACTCCCGGCAGCGTGAACGCCACCCGCGAAGTTATCATCTCGGCAGGATCATTCAACACTCCCCAGCTACTGAAGCTGAGCGGAATCGGTCCAAAGGAGGAGTTGTCCAGATTTGGTATCAAGACTTTGGTAGATCTGCCGGGCGTGGGTTCCAATCTCCAGGATCGGTATGAAACAGGTGTGGTTGGCAAGTCCCCAACTGACTTTGTGCTCACCGAAAAATGCACTTTCATGTACACCCTTCCAGACCCTTGCCTGGAGCAATATGAGAATGATCCCCTATTCAAAGGCACCTACACCACCAACGGGATTGCCATTGCGATCCTTCGACAATCCTCGGTCGCTGACGATGAGCCCGATCTTTTCATTTCAGGGGCACCTGTGAACTTTCCCGGTTACTATCCAAACTACTCTTACGAGGGTCTCAAGGATTCTCAGCACTGGACGTGGATTACCTTGAAAGCTCGTAGCCGCAACAACGCTGGAACTGTTCAACTGCGATCAGCCGATCCTCGGGATACTCCCCTTATTAACTTCAATTCTTTTGATGCCGGTGTGACTACTGATGGTGCGGACGACAAAGATCTTCAGGCCGTTTATGAGGCTATGGAATTCTCTCGCACAATCTTCGAGGACCTCATTCCCCTTGATGGAGGCTTTGAGGAAGTCTGGCCTGGTCCCAATGTTACGACGGAGAGTGAGCTGAAGGACTTCATCAAGCGGGAGGCATGGGGTCATCATGCCTGCTGCACTGCTGCTATTGGAGAAGATGGAGATCCCCAAGCCGTCTTGGATGCGGATTTCCGTGTCCGTGGTGTTGATGGCCTGCGTGTTGTGGATGCCTCGATCTTCCCCAAGATTCCGGGTTACTACATTGCCCTTCCTATCTACATGGTCAGTGAGAAGGCTGCGGAGGTCATCATTTCTGATGCTGTATAATCTTGATTTTTTTTTATCGTCTAATTCAAAGCCTTGTGAAAAGCTTTTGTCTCTCTTCTTCATGTTATCTTATATATTGCCTCTAGGGCTGGTTCAAATGAAATAGAAATCTACAGTCATACTATCAGTTTTTTTACAAGTTCATGCACTCAATAATTTGATTCGTGGAGCGTGGAAAAAGTAACACGGTTACAGGGTTCGCCGAGGTTATCCCTATGATTACCGAATTTGAATCGTGTGTGATGCAAGCGAGAGGAGAGGAGGAGGAAATGGTGACTGCTGGAATTGGTATGAGCTGTGGCCTTGGATCAGAAGGGTGAGGATTGGAATTATGGAGGTGCTGGCGTGTTTACTTTCACTTTCCCTGGTCACCTCTTTCTGTCGCGTCCCTCTCCCTCCCACCATATCTCTTCCACACAAGGTCTCTGATAACTCTTTCAAGTAACCCCAATATTAGAGGGAGAGGATTGAGATTCCTTCCTCTAGAACCACTTTCTATCACCTGCACAAGAGTCCACACAAACTGTCCCGACTTCTTCAAACCCTGTCCAGCACCCCGAAGACCCAAACAAGAGCTAAAACCCTCCCATCATGGATGCGCCTCCCCCTCCCGACAAGCTCGCTAAACTCCAGGGCAAAGTGGTCAACACGCTCCAAATCGGTGTTCCGTCCATGCTTCTTGCTTTGAGAGCCCTTATCCTAGCAGGTATCCCAGTCGTGGAGTATGGCGCGCAGATTTACCACCAAAGTGGAGACAGAAGATACTATCTACTGGTACGTGACGAACCCAAATCCCACAGATCAAACGTGATCATTAATAAGAAGTATTAGAATCCGGAGTGGGTGATCCCCGACGACCAGCTGCCCGGGGCTTCCCAGATCCTGGTCGAAGCAGGCTACCCTCGAATTTTTCCCTCGGTACGGCCCTGGGTAGGATGGTGGGATACCAGAGCCTGGTGCCACGACATCAAGATGCCAGAGCATAATCTGGATTTCGGGGTTGTTTATCTCCTGCCTCTATCCATCGTTGGCTTCTCCCTCGCAGACACTGCTAGAGTCCCCTGTACATTCGACGACACCTTCAACATTCTCACCCCCAAGCCTGTCGCCTACTGTGTCTCTTTAGTCAAGCTTCTTCGAGGGTTTGAGGTAGACGACCCTCTCCGATTCCGCGTGCAGGCAGATTTGATGCATTTCATATGCCATGCTATCGACCAAATTCCCGTGGAGGCTACTCCTTATATTGTCTTGCCTACCATGGAGCAGAAGATGAAGACCGACAATGGCATAAGGACTGTGATCCACTGGCAATGGGGGAGGACCGATATTTTGACCAAGAGCATCATTCTTCATTGTGTTCGAGACCCCCAGATGATCTGGCGGATTTCGAAGAATACGAACTTCGAGGGTGGAAAGGTCCCGACTGATAATATCGGTATGACGAAACTCGTCTTTTGAGAGTCTTTTGTTGTATGTTTTTCAAAGTCCCAGCCTTATGGCGAGAATCAAGTAAGATAAACAGTGAAGCTACAAGTGCAATATCATCGCCCTCGCAGCAAAGTTTTCTGAAACATCCATGTGACTTTCTCATTAAAGCTACTTAGGCATTTATACGTAGTAGGTTATTTTCTGTCCCAAGTGGGGCTTTCCCTGCTTAGGCCGCCTTCACCATGAGTGGGAAATCAAATACATTCACCTTCCATCACTCCAGATCCTATTCCTCGTCTGCATCGTCAATCATACGGTGGGACCAACTCACTGGTGGCCGCGCCTAGATATCTATGAACTTCTGGTAGAAGCGAAGAGATGGGTGTTGATTAAAGAAGGACAACGCTGGTAGATTGCTTTACTCCCCTCGACACTTCAATCCCAGTCTATACCGAACCGCCACTGGCACTAGGCGATTCCTTCCCGGTTATATTAACAACCTGCCTGTCTATGGTACCCTCAGACTGTACATTATCTGCAGATAACTGGGCAAATTTTCGGAGACTAATGTTGTCACGGAACATCTAATCAATCTCTTCAAATGATCTTCCATGGCATTCCGGCACACAAAAGTAGACAAAAGACAATTGGAGCACACGGCAAATGCCCCATCAATAAAACCAACCTTTGACTGAAGATATGCGTAGGGAGAATTCAGAAGGTAGGGTAGGGTAAAGGTGACGACAAAGCTATGAAAAGGATATCAGTTTCACGATCTTGACCAGTGCGGGCGTTTCTAACTTACAGGATTAACACCTTTGTCACAGATGCAATACGTTGTGAGTTGTCTCTCATACGCAGCGTTGGTATCTCAGTCGTCCAGCGTACCCTGAATTTCCGTGCCCGGTAGTTTCGTAGCCGGCGACGGCCCGAAGAACAGCCGAGCATGCTCAGCCGTTTAGTGAAGGTGAACCCAACACCCAAGCCACAGCGACTGAATACACACCTCAGACAAAGAGCAAAAACCCGGCTCAGTGCAGATTGTGATGCATGCACCCTGCGCCGCAGATGATTCGACACTGGTTTCCTCATCAGCCATCGAGATAACGGTTGTTCTAGAGTCCCGCGGTCCAGGGCGGGCCCCTGAACTTGAAGGGCTGTGGTCATCATTTCGAAAAAATGATCTGTGAATCCTAGTGCGGAGAACAATTAAATCAAATTAAATACAGCTTAACGGTCTGAAATGAAAAAGAGTAGCCCCAATGTTCCTTGGCCTCTCCTTAGATATTCTTTATGGTTCCTTCTAGGGTTCCCTGAGAGGATTACTTATAGAAGCATCAGCTTAATGACATACCAAAGCAAGATATTGCTCCTCAAAAACTGATCTATGAAACTTATCGTTGACTGCAGTTGAAGCCCAGTAATATCAAGTCCGCTAGAGGAATGACGAAAATGGGGAAATTAGAGTTTTTGGATCAGTGACTGTACTAGGCCTAGCTTGGTCAATGTTGCTCCTTAATACACTTAGCAACCCATCCTAATAGGCTTAGTGCCATATCAACCCTCGATAAAATTCTAGAAGGGCTTAGTGTCATTTCAATCTAGAAAAGTTATCATGTATAACCAATCCGCCCTGAAGATAAAGCAACGGAGCAGTCGCCCTCCTCTCGTCTTTCCTTTGCACCACCTTCCCGACTGTTTTTAATATTCGTCTCAAATCCATCAACTCATTATCAAATATTCAATTGCGCACCTAATTCAGGCTTTCCATCACCATGTACTTTCCTGTCAAATGCGGTACGTCCTCAAGAAAGGTCAAAAGCTTGCTGGCAATAACATCCACAATACAGAATTTCGCCTGTCTCGGGACTGCCATCCCCCTCCTTATTCAAATTTTGATGACGTTAAAATAGGAAGTGAGTGCTCTGTCGACTCACTCCAGCGTCCGAGCCAATTGTCAGAGATCGATGAAGAAGAACAAGATACGCTTGACCGGCTCAAGTATGGCTGCCTCGCTGGACTTGTATTAACCATTATCGCCGTCTGTGGGATCTTCACGTACGCCATTGTTATGTATTTAAACTCGGCAAGTCCCATATACAACAACAATGTCTCACGGGATGAAACTCCCAAATTACCGTCGTCAATGTACTTCCAAATATAGCTTACAACATTCCGCTTGCCATTGCTGATGTTCTACCTCTCTATATTTAGGTTTGAACAAGTTTTGAACAAGTGACTTCCTGGTGATTCTATTGATACCATCGTTTTTGTATGGACTTTGTTCTAGAATGTACTTTTCTTATATCAAAATGAAAACTTGTAGTATGTACAAGACGATTCAAGATTTTTAGATGACCATCAAATTTCTTCTTTGCTTAAGAGTCAGGGACACCATCCGCGACCTGGTGTCCAGTAGTGTAGTTGCCAAAACAGGCTTTCTGGTACTCGGCCTTTTGCTTCAGTGTAGGCACACCACGTAGGAACTTTTCAACGGGGCAGAAACCTTGACTGGCAGTCTCACAGCCCACAAGGCCATCTAGAGGCAGAGGGGCGTTGTTCAGCACAAACCGAATGTAGGTCGTGGTGTTCTTGGTGGACTCAACGGTGGGGTTGTTGAGAAGGACAGGCCCAAGGTTGCTGAAAGACGTGTTGCTTGGACAAGTCCAGATTTCAGACAAAAAGCGAGCACCAAATGGAGTCATTTGTTGGAGGGAGAAGTTCCGCTTGGGCGCATGGTCGACGTTGCCAGGCAGACCATGAGGGCCAAATTTGAAGTAGTCAAGACCGAGTGCGTTGATCACAGAGAGGATGATATCATCGTGAGACATGTCCATGTAGAAAGGCTGGTCAAAGGGAAACTGCTTCAGGTTGTTGTCGTAGGTGTAGTTGATGCTGGTATCGCTGGAGGTGATAAGCTTTCGCTGGAGACGAGCGGCGAGTTCCAGGACATAGCCAATGCCTTGAGCGCGACCGGTAGGCGAGCCGTATGCGTAGTCTCCGTAGTACTGAATGTCAACGTTGTATTCAAAGTCCTTCCACTCTTGTTCAGTGAAGAGAGAGCAGAAATATGAGCCGCCAAGACTGGTGTACTCATAAACACATAGGTTCTGCATGGCGAGCACGTCGGAGGCAGTTACGTTAAAATCGCTAGGGAAGTAGGACGCGAGACGAGACTGAGCGTCCTTGGTATACCGGGCAATGAAGACCTCAGCAGAGTCGTCGCTGTAGCGTTTAATCAATATCTATGCCCTGAAAAGGGGAAAAGTGACTTACCCCTCAGACATATCGCCCATACACGCCTCATATGAAGCCAAGGTGTTGTTGAAACCAGACTCCTCGGGAATCACAACAAGGTCGTATTGACTGTACGAACTGTTTGCACCGCTGTTTCCAAAGAAGCCACCTAGTCGGATATGTTAGCTTGCGCAAGATCTTATATCAACTTAGAACAACTCACTGAGCCACCACCGAGCGCTCTCCAGGATACGCGCCTGTGAAGTAGTACGGAAGACCGGCTTGGGGCGAGAGGTACCGTTGGCGTACACATTCAAGGATGAGCTCCAAGCAGCCACGTTCTCCCGACCTGCGCGGTACAAAAGCCGACCATAGTTGATCCAGAAGTTTGCTCCAGATGTAGCCTCAGTTGCTGCACCATTCTCCATCAAAGTGTCATCTCCAATGACGTAATCCCAATTGTTGAGAAATTTGAGAGGGCCGGTGCCAATAGCCTTTCCCGGGTGGGCCTTGCTGTAATTGGTGATCTTGGTTGCGAAATCCTGCATACCTTCACCATCCAACGGGTAGTTGGTAGGGAACCGCTGAGCGTGACGATGCAGAACGTGCACCTGGGATAATTCACACCCCTCGGGCACACCTTTGGGAATGCTGAAGCCATCTGCGTCTCTGTAGGGACTAAGGTTGGCCCAGCTCTTGGTCATGTCAAATCCAGAGGCATACGTAGAGCCAGTTGGACCAGATGCAGGGGCAGACGTAGAGGTTGCGGTGGCAGTCGCGGTGGCAGCAATGCTGACCAGCGTGACTCCGAGGCTTTTCATTGTTACTTTGGGTCAAGTGTAGAACCTCCGGGATTTATGTGAGGAATTGGTTTTTTGGTTCCCTCGGACGTCTCCCTTTCTAACAGCGTCTACTAATTGATCGCAATGGGCAATGCACAAGCAGTAACAATGGCACAACAGGGGTATTTTATTAAAATTCTCGCGATGATATGGAAACTCCGATTATCTTCCGAGGCTCATTTGACTTCCGGGTGATTGTTGTTCCATGCTGTATTGGGAATGTTGTTTCCCCCTCTAGGTAAAGATCAACATCAGTATGCAGATCACATTGAGACTGAAGAAACCTGTTCTACGGAGTACATTCAAACAGTTCTCTTGTAGGATCACTTCGTAGCACTGGAGATATATTATTACCTTTGAAGTGTGGTATGGTGAGAAGGAAGGGGGAAAGAGAGTGTAGAGCACTAACTATGAAGCCTAAAGAGCACTTGACCGGGATGCCTGGAGCTCAAGGCACCAACAAGCTTTCACACTGCTCTTTCGAAATCACTTTACATAAATCAGCTATCTTGCAAATGCGAGTCTTGAGCTACCAAAACGGGCCGCTACTGCACAAATGGAAAATATTGATGTTTCAGCATTGTACGGGGTGGCCCGGGTCGCTCGGCTTGACCCACGACTCAAACGAACTCCGGTCAACTGAGCAGTTCAAAATTGTTCTTACGCTAGACTTGAAGGGGCTGAGTGTAGAATAAGATACACATGATCTGAAGGCTAGGCGGAGAAGATGCCAGTGATATCAGTTGACCAATCTCTTACAATGACAGTTATATTTCTCCAAATCACATTTCCAAATGTTGTGCGATGCCATCTTCCAAACATCATGACCGGATACCCAACAACCTTTCATTACTGTCTTGAAAACTTTCTTCGAAGATAGGAGCGGTATATAGTGAGGAAAGCCACTCCCCACCACATCAAACGTACTGTCCAATCAAACATAGGATCGCAAATCTCATCCGACTTCACGCATTGCTTGCATAATATCAAGGAGCCACAGAGAAAAGCTAGAGGTGCAAACATGAATCTTTTTACAAAAAGTTTAGAAGCCAATACTTTAATAAAGCAAGCGCAAAGTACTTACATGACAGAATTATTAAGGATGGGTAACATAATGTATTGGACGACAACATTATTAGGATGGAGGCAAAGATCACTCGGTCTGGGATCTCTGACGATGTGGGTTCATCTGGTGGCCCTCCCACATATGGGTTTTCTATCACGAAAGATATCGGATCCTCCATTTGAATAGATCTAAAGGAGCATTGGCGAGGGTTCGAAATTCAAAAATAAAATTGAATCGGAAAGTAAGAGAGAAAGAACTGGCAGGCAGATTACAAAGTTCGAAAGCTAAAGAGAACTGAGCTGGGGAAAGCCATCACGCTACAAAAAAGGGCGCATGGATAGCAATCCCCGAAGTCTTAACTGTAGCCAATGGCAAACCCCTTGTTGTTATATAATTTGCCCGATCCTAGGACTGAGACGGAACCTACCGGGAAAAATAGGTGATCTACCATACGCGCCCAACAAAAGCTTGTATTTGGACTTCAGATCCGATCATCGACACGCCTCTGCCGAATGAGCATTTTCAAGACTACTAGTCTAAGGTCCGTGTGTGCAAAAATGCATTTTTCCGACTTGAGAAATTCAAGGAGGAAGCGGTGCGGAACAGCCACTTTGTAGTCAATATACCTGAGAAATGGATTGAGATCGAAGAGGAAGGGCTAGGTGTTGTGAAGAGCCACGAAGACGTGCCTGCCTTAGCACGACTATCTCATTTCCTTCCCGTATTTGATGTCCATCAGCCCACTGCCTTGGACTATTTCAGTCATTCGTCTACCATAGATTCGATGACCGTACGCAGAGAGGTCATACAGTGGTGAGAATCACTTTGTTTTACTCTTCGCAGATCGTGGCATTTATGACTGAAATAAGACTCGATAGATTCAAACTGATCAAATACATGTAAAATACGAATCGAACAGATAATTATTGATTGAAAGATGATGATGATCTATCAAAAAGACCATCTAAGCTAAGATAGCTACCAACATAACCATGGCCGTGCCGATCATCTTTAGCAAAGACCACTGAAGGGTTCCAGACGCAGCGCCAGTGTAGACAGCGTACGCCGCGCTACTCGTGCTTGAAGCGCTACCTGTACTCACTCCACCGCTCTGGCTACCCTGTTGTCCCATGTGTGCCGAGGAGGCAGAAGCAGTAGGAATGCCGCCAATGCCGGAGCCATACATCGTCTTAGCCAGGGAGGAGGTCATTGTGGGTTGGGCGACGTTGGGCTGCGTCATCACAACAGTTTTGACGTACTGCGTGCAAGTATCACTGCTGCCACATGATTCGACAGTGTAGAGAGCGGTGTATACTGCAGCCACTCCTGAGCCTGAGCCAGAGCCAGAGCTTGACTGGCCACCAGTTGCACGGGAAGATCCAGATAAAGCCTCGACGGTGGTCTTAGGGAGAGCCGAAACTGATTCCGTGGCTTGAGAATCCACACCGACAACCTGAGTGGTGACTGTGGCGCCCTCGGAGGGAGATGTTGCCTGTGCGGACGCAGCAATTGCAGTAGTCCCTATAGCCACGGTCTCGGTGGTCAAGTAGGTTGTCTTGGAGCGCAGGGGACAGTTGGTCACAGATGCTGGACAAGCCAAGACAGTCGCGACTCTGGTGGTCCAGATAGTGGAAATAGTTGACTCGGAGCCTCCATTTCCATTGCCCTGTGCACCAGCACCTTCACCTGTGGATCCTGAAACAGACGAGGTCTGAGTAGCACCGGCAGCCTCGGTTATGGGGCAGATTGTTGTGGAAACAGCAATAGCTTCAGTGGTAACAAACGTTGTCTTTGATCGCGCAGGGCAGTCAGTAACGGAAGATGGGCAGGCAGTGATAGTAGCAGTGCGGGTGTTGAAGACGGTGGAAGTGGTAAATCCAAGCTCCTCAGACTTTGTAGCAGCTTCGCCTCCTGAAATGGAAGGAGATGTGGTCTGAGTGGCATCAGCGACCGGGCAGACCGTTGTGGTCACCGCAATGGTCTCGGTTGTCAGGAATGTTGTCTTGGACCGCGCAGGGCAGTTGGTGACAGAAGAGGGACAGGCAGTGATAGTGGCAGTGCGGGTGCTGAAGATGGTAGAGATAGTAAACTCAGGTCCCTCCGGCTTCACAGATGGTTGTCCACCTGTGAGAAGGGATGTAGTCTGGGTGGCATCGGCCACCGGACAGACTGTCGTCGAAACGACCACAGTCTCGGTGGTCACAAACGTAGTCTTGGAAGATGGCGGGCAGTTGGGGGTCGCTGAAGGACAAGCTGCGATGGTAGCGGTCCGAGTAGAGACAATTGTGGAAGTAGTCGACTGAGCCGTAGAGCCTGCAGGAGCAGAGCCTGTGGGAGTAACTGTAGTCTCTGGGAGAGGGTTACCCGACTGGGCAGGCACTCCTCCAGATGGTTGAGGGTTTCCAGAGGCAACGGATCCTGGCACAGAAGTTCTGGCTGTCGTCTGGTGGAGAGGTGTCGAAGTAGGAGCCGACGACGACGAGATGGCAATGGGCTTGGAAGATGAGCATGCAGTGCGGTGTGGCCGCGATAGAGAAGTATGAGTCCAATGGTGACTATGGTGATGATGATGATGCACAGAGTGAGTGGGCACCGGCTTAGAGTAAGGAGTAGAAGTACTAATCGCTGCCGAAGACGATGATACCACGATAGCAGAGGATGCCAGTGTTGCCCTGGAAGAGGGAACAGATGATGAACGAACGCTGCAAGCTTTGCGACTAGGTAAGGCCCTGGAAATATAAGTCCAATGAATGTGGTGGTTTTGGTGGTGGTGGTGGTGAGTCGCCTGGGGAGTGGGAGTCGTAGTTGGCTGGACAGTCACAACTGCGACTGGGTCAGCAGTCGTTGTCTCAGTAATGGTCTTTGCGGAAGCAAAGCTTTGCATAGCCAATGCGACGAGGACCCATCCTCGAATTAGCAAGCTTCCCATGTTGAAAGAGTGACTAGGGTAAGAAACCAAAGCAAAAAAAAAAAAAACAAAAAAGAAGGACTGATGAGAATGAACCTAAGAGCGGGACTCCTGTATATAGATCGCTAAGGGTTCACCATAACGTGCACACGGACAACGCCGACGAAGTGAAACTTAAGACTATTTGAAAGTTGCGAGACAGCTCACATTGCCCTGTTTACCTTTCCCCATTTCCTCGACTATTGACGCCCGATGGGGCCGTGAATCGGGGATTTCGCGGTGGAACCGTGGGTCAAGGTCAAAATAGCCGGCGAACCAGCTTCCCCTAAACAAAATCCAGAAGTATTTAGAGCCAGCATAGATATCCAAAATAATCTCGAAATCACACGCATTTTTATTTTTCTCGGTGAAAAACGAAAGACAATGTCGATGTTCCGCTCCACCGTTGCGGCGGTTCTAGCCGCTGCTGGCAGCATCTCATCTAGCGTGCCCGTCAGCAGTCAAGCTCCTGTCCACACTGCCATCTGCAGTACGGTGCTTGGATTATCCCCAGTTGCTTCAGTGCCTACGACCACTATCACTCGTCGCATTCATGACCCGTCTCCCGTCGTGGTCTTCTCCACGATTCAGGACACCGTCACCGTGACTCCAGCAGTGTCAACCCTGACGGCGACGGACTATGAGACCACCACTATTACTTCCACTGCAAGCACTGTCACAGACGTGTTCTCAACAACGTCGACTGAATTTGATACTGCCACTTTGACGGTCACCCCTGATGACATTACCTCGACGGCCGTTTCGACCGTGTCGATCACCGTCACCACCACCTCAACGATTGCAGCCTCTGATTCCTTCACTCCCATCGTAGACACATTGACTACCGCTATGCCCATCTACAATGACAAGCGATCATTCGAGCCCTCCCTGGACAATGACTGCTCTCCTATTCTGGACGATTATAAGTACGCCCAAGAGGTTGTCTGCCTTGAGAAGATTATCCTCAAGACCACGACAATCTCAACTGTGACCGAGGCGCCCACCACTGCCACCGCTGCTGCTCCTTCCACCACCGTGACAGAGACCAACACCATCACCACCAGCTCCGTGGTCGTTCCTGACGATGTCTCCACCACACTCAGCTACAGCACTACTTCCACCATTACCGAAACTTCCACCGCGCCTGCAGTGACGGATACCGTGACAGCTACAACCACCATTACGGCTGCCATCAGCACTACCTCTACCTACGCGGCATGCGCTACCAACAACATTGCTGGCGTTCCTCTTTCCTCGGACTTTGGCGGCTTAGCAGGAGATTACATCGGCACGTTGGCCTGGAATAACGTTCCCGGCTACACCGTATCCGTTAATGCTGTCTCATCTTCCGTTGAAGATTGCTGTATCAGCTGTCAGGAAGACTCGGCTTGTGCCTTATCTGGATACTACGAGTACAGCAGCTCGAAATATTGCTACCTGATCAAGACAACCACCTGTTCCTCGTCTACCACCTATGGTTGGGCTTATTTGACCTCTGACGTGTTGACATATTCATTTCAGGCGTCCAATGGAAACTGTGGTCAATGGAGAGAGTCGTCATAGGATGTGGAGTATAGTTAGTGCTGGTGTTAGTCAAGTTATTTCGGCGGGGTATCCTCCCTTTGCCCCAATCTATGTATAGATTTCATTTACATATGACTATCAGGAGTAAGACTTTCAAAATCGGGCAAATTACTGGATCACAATTTACCTCGTTGGTCCGACGTTTCTCTTATTGATCATTTGACATCTGCGACCCTCGCTAATTCAAATTGTTTCGGGTCCAGGGGGCTAGTTCATCATAGCGCCTGTCTCGAAAGGGACTAGCCCGAATCCAGATCCAGATACTCTTTCACTTAAACGTTTAGCGCCGGCTAAAAAAAAACCCCTTTGGTACCTGACCAACGTGCCTGACTAGTGACGCTGTCAGCAGCCGCAGGCCCACTTGGCATGCGGCACGTGTTTTCGGCCAATCGGAGGCTCTGGTCGGCTCTGAAAGCTGGCGCTGGCATACATTCGCATAGTGTCTGGCCACTCTGGGCGTTGCCCTTCCGTTCTAGTGCTCGCCCTCGCCACTTTGTGATTACTGATGAGTTTTAACACGCCTCTGAGCGGCCTGACCTCGTCAGTTATTCTACTGTAATCGGAAGTCATAACTATACCAGTGGGACTTTCATGAATAAGGCTTAGAGAACTGCGACCGGTGGAATATGGGTAATCCTTGTTTGAGCTGGGTCATTGAGACTATCAACACGATTGTAGGAAAGCTACCTTGGCTGTAAATGTTCGGATATTTAAAGTGTACCACTTCACTGGAATTGAAGTTCGAGCCTCGTCACGATCTCCCGTGGCCTTATTACCACTGCCACTGCTAGGCCATCCTCCAGGGTGGTGCGCGACAGCGAGATCAAACTGACGCCTCCGAGGAAAGGCACCTACAGCTCTCACTTCATTCATTTCTTTTTATAGACTCTTGCTTGTCATGCTAGATGGCTACCACAAAGTTACTTTCATAGTCTTAATGTTTGGACAGGCTATTATTCTATGATATCGTAGAGAGGGATGGCCATTGAAAGATTATATAGCGAATTCCTAGCTTCTTGCACCCAAATAGAAATGGATAGTCACTGAAGATATGATCTCAAAAAACCGGCAGAATTTCCTTGGCGGTCACCCAGTTGACAAGTTGATATGGATTATTGTACACAAATAAAAAAAAAGAACTAAAAACTTCACAAAAACATACAACAGCCATACTATGGTGGTGCTCACCTAGCGCCCATCGTTCGGTGCTGGGCGGCTCGACGCTTTACGCAGTCGGCCTTCAGGCGAGTTCGGGCGGCTTCAGGCGGTAGCTCACCCACCTGAATATTCTGCACCTACGGGGGTGAATTCTTGTCCCAAAATGTGCCTTTCTACATTTTGATCAAGGGAAAGATTTCGCGATGCGGGAGCAGACACCATGCCCTTGCTGTTTGGGCAATTGTCGCTGGTAGCCCTCAAAATTCACTCCTATCCCTCTGCCATTTCCTCTTGCTTCAAGTCGAAGGTAATTATGATAAATAAAGACCTACTGCCGACTTATACCTGTAACGTGGTAAACCCAAGCGACTTCAATAACTCCGAAATCAGACGGACAGTCCTGCCGCGTACAGAGAGCGACTATAAGCGTATTCTAAGTCTTTCATAAGTCGGTGTGTAGTTCTCTATAGAAGTCTATAGATTAACTATATTTTAGATTCATTAAGCTGTATCCCGAAGCTAAACCCCTCCCAACCTCTAGACCTGTAAGTCCTTCTAGACTAGGCTGCTAAAGGGAAACATGGCAGATTCTGTTATGGGGTAAATAAACCTCGTTAAATGCAATGCTCCTTTGCCGTCCCATGAGGTAGCGGGTGCTACGTGACCTGCTGGTGATGTTATGTCGGAGCAGCAGGATTGGTGGAGACCCGGAGAAAGGAGATACTAGTTATAGATCTACTAAGATTAGTCATGTTTATGCCTATCTAAATTGCCAGCTAGGGGCTCCATAGTAATTTAGACTGAATGCGATTTCCATTGGTACAGCCAGATGGCTTACTAAACTGCGTTCCAACTTGTTATAAAATTAATACTAATTCAATACTAATACCTAGATGTGTCCAGCCTCTCGCATTGACATCTGAGGCCCAGAATTATGGCAAATATGAACTTGAATAATAGGATTGGCATATACAGTCTAGCTTTATCTGTGCAGTGAGAATCTTTTCAGCGGGTTTCTGTATGTTCAGTATAGAAATCATCGGTGCTTCCTAGGAAGCCTCAATCGGAAATAATGGAAGAATGGAGTAGTAGTATCTTTGATCAAACCCCCAGCTGTACAAGAGTCTCATGTATCTTATTTCACTTCCACTTCCGATAAGGATGGAGGATCTTTGGGTGGCAAACTGTCTATACGAGTGCCCCATCGATTTGGTCTTTTGCTTCGCTCTTGGGCTTCTCTCCAGAAATCGAATTCCGAGGGTTGAATCCGCATTGATCCTGGGAAAAAAACGGGAACAAGAGATAATCCCACCCCAGGATATAACTCCTCGGCTTGTCTGATGACATCGGCGACTCGATGACCACGAATTATGCGCTTGGTATTATGAATGTGGATACCGAGGGCACTAGGGCTTCGCGGAAGTCCAACGCAGACAATGTTTTGAATACTGCCTAGCACACCAATCCCAAGAAGATCTATCAGCCATGTTAGTTATTGACCAAAATTGAATCGAACTTGGACTTACACCATGCATCGTTTTTCAGGCCTGCAGCCATTACGAGAAGGAAGACCCAGTTTGCTGCTAACAGGGCTGTAAGTAGCCTCGTGCAACGTGTCGCTCGCACGGTCCTAGTTCCTCGGGCCAGAATTTCGAGGTCCAAACCAACACCCCTTTTGCCTAGGATCAATATCGCATGACGGCTTCCATTACCATGAGTAAGTATGATGTCGGAACCGCCGTTTTTTGGACATGCCCATTTTTCTCGTCTCCATTGAGGAAGTGAGGCTTGTAATAAAGCAAGACAGCTCCCATAGAGAGTTACGAGCAAGCTTCCCCATTGATCGTTGAGTATCCATGGAATGGACGCGATCACCAATTGCAAGAAGATAACGACAAAGCCTGAATACCAAATGTAGTCTCTTATTGGAACACCATGATCACATGTAGGCCTATCAATCACCTCGTATACGGAGATACGAAGAGCCTCCCATGGTCGTGTTGCGGGCTTAGCGCTGAAACTGGACGCAATCTTTTCTTCAAACCATTTCGTCTTGGAGTTTCGGGTACTTTCTGTGCGGTGAGTTTGCTCATTGCGCATTATCTTATCAACTATGCGATTTGAATCTCGAAGCAGTCTGCCGAGAACCCATGATGTCGTCGTCCGCGTGTGGCCACTGTGCGCGCCAATCACTATTACATCTGCGATATCCGATTCGGGCATTAAATTTCCGTCTAACGACCGATGAGTAAGTTCAATGTCAATCTAAAGGTGTTCATCGATGTTTACCCCCAACAACAGCGGTCAAGGCTCGCACTGAATATGCAACCCATCCAAATGAGAAGGCGACCGGTGTGATGTATCGCCCCGCGAGCTGGGCCACCGCTTGTTGAACTATTTCCGGACCCAGCAGCAGTAAAATTGAGAATATGTCTCCTGGATTCGTCAATTGAGATACAATCTCGCCGGCAGTAATCGCAGGACTGCTGATAGCATTTCGTGTGGCGTGTTTCGTAATCACTGGATTCGAAGGGGCCATATTTTGATTAAAAAAAATATCCTTCGTCTTGGTCTTGCTCCAGAACTGGGAGTTGGTGCCTTGCGATATTGAAAGGGGGGGGGGGGGGGTCGAGGTGAAAATTCAGGGGCTGGGCGCTTGAAAGATGGCCTTGTTGGGTACCTAGTCGAATACGAGGAGGGGGCAAGACCGGAAAGAAAAGGGAAAGTTAGGTATTTATTGTTTTGTCAAGCTGACTAGCCCTCGATTACCAAAGGTAGCTTTAGTGTGCTCAGAATACCTAGCTGTAGGTATGCAGCTAAGGTACAAACTTATGGTAGGTTGAGTTCTACTCAGGAGGACGAGGGGCGATCGTTGCTTCCTGGTCAGGCTGACTAGGTTGAACGGAGCGCCCGGGTGATACCTACTCTAATTAGCCTCAAGCCACGCGAATCTAGCACGTTATTATTCAGGTTGAGGTAAGCAGCGCTGTTAAATTGTTGGATCCTGTCGATTCACCCGAAAGACTTGCATGTGTTGGTCATGGTCACAGCCACACCAGCTGAAAAAAACTCGTATGCGTTAGCAACTGCACGTTGCCGCCATTGATGTGCACAGTCCAATCGTGATTAATTCGCCACTCAACACTCAACGATCTATTTATGGTAAAATGTGACCCCTATGAAGTGGTTGGCACGGAGAAGAGCCAATCGAGACTACGGTGCAATCTTGACCAACTAAAGAAGCCACGTGTGATAAATTTAATGGCAGAGCCTCTCTCCCAGCATGAGACGAGCGAGACAACAAACCCCCGAACTGTAAATAAGAATGATTTATAGTCAGTGCCCCTAGTTCCATACCTTCTCTTTCTCTAATAATCTGTCTTCATTCGATTTTGACTAACATCAGGTCGCTCCTGAGTATTATCATATCAGAATGTTTCATTGGTCACATTTGAAGTCTGGTTACACGCTGGACAATTTGAAAGAGGTGTCGCTTCGGCTCTCGAAGAATGATCCCTGGATAATCCCCTTTGACACTGAAAAACCCTTGATATCAAAGGCGAAAGGATATATGCCTCGTGATAGGTGCCAAAACTATGGACAAGGTGATATCATGAAGGTAAGGACAAACTGCGATGTAAACTTTCCAGGACGTATACGAAAGCTGATGAGTGAAACTTGAGGGAAGAATGCGGGTTACTACCGGAGACCCTCCGACTCATACGATATTCCTCCCTTATATAGAGTCTATCTCTTCTGCCTGTTTGCAAATCTCGTAGAATGCGAGAACCAACAGTGCAGGCAGCTGAGAGACCAGATGGGCCAATATTTCCCTAAGAAGGTATCCGCTTGGCCACAGTTTCGAGATTGGGTTTTGGTTCGAACATCATGCTTGATAACCTCAGGCATGATCAAGGGTGTCAATGAACACGATGGAGTCACTGCTTTTTTTGGTGGGATCACGAAAGTGGGTGCACCGCCAAACGACCTCAGCACAGAGATCTATGAAATGGTCGATTGGATGAGTAAAGTAGAGCTTTATGAGAACCTGGGGCGGACTAAGAAGGAAAGTCGTGTGGGATATTATTGGGAGCAAGCAAGCCCATCCCACTACCGACATGTCACGAGCCCTCCATCTCAAGAGGTTTACGAGCCAAAGATAATGGAAGCTTTGAATCAGGCGCACGCATTAGGGATCTGCGAGAACCGCTTATTGAATATTATCTCTGCCAGTGAGCGAGCAGATTTTGATCTGCCTGCACTGGTCACAGATATTACCATCACGAGGCAACCTAGGAATTTCACACACAGAGAAAGCGCTGACCGACTCAATGATGCTGCAAAGACGATGCACATTCCAAGAACGCAAAACATTGGTCATACTGAGTGTACTTCAACCATCTGTCACTTTGCAACTATCGACAGTACGCGTGTTTCCATACTTCACAAGTGTGCGAGCCGGGGATGTCGAACGTGGAGTCCATCCGAAGAGGATTTCAACCGGCCCGGACCGTACACCTGGTGTATCAGCAATGATGTTCCTCGGCCTGGGCAAGGAAACTATGCCGCTATCTCTCACGTCTGGTCGGATGGAACTGGTTCCGCCAATGACTCGGTCAATCGATGCTTATTTGATTACTTCTGCAGCATTGCAAAAGCCGAGAAGTGCAATGCCATTTGGTGGGACGCTATATCTATTCCAAGGGAGACCAAGGCGCGTGCCTTATCCATCAGGCGGATGCATCGCAACTTCTCAGATGCCAAAATTACCATAGTCCATGACCTATACACCGCAACGTACCCTTGGGCAAATGACGGCAGTCCCTGCATCGCTTTGGCTCTCTCACCATGGTTCACACGTGGCTGGACTGCGTTGGAGCTCCTGGTATCGAAGAATGTGAAGGTAATTTTTCAACATCCCAATGACCCGAAAAGATATGTGATCAAAGATCTGGAAACAGAAGTCCTTGCTTCACACCCTGCGTACTGCAGTCGCGGGCACTGGATTGCATCAACGGCTATTCGGCGATTGCGTCAGATGAAGATCCAGAGCGTTACCGACCTTTTACATCTACTTGCAACTCGAAGTACAACCTGGGAAAGTGATCGGCTAGTGATAGCTGCTCTTGTTCGTGGTCTCGACACTAATGTTCAAGGTCCGGATATAAAAGCGGCTTTGACTCGGGAAATCATCACCTCGTTCCCGAAAATTGATCCTTCCTTCCTCCACCATGGCTATTCTTTGCCTCGGAAACAGGGAATTTTCTCTTGGTGCCCCTCAACTCTGCTCCACGGCGGCAAGCCCTTTGTCTCTCCCGGTTACAACTCCACAGAATGGCTGAATGTTTCCAAGGATGGCACACTTATCGGCTCCTTCACGATGAAAATACTAGAGGAGAATGACAAAGACAGTCTATCCGCCTTTGCTCAAGAACCCGCTGCGCGCAGCAGGATCAATATGGCTTTGCGCAAGTGGCGCCATTGCATGCTTATCTGGCCCCGACTGAGTAACGGGATGCTTAGAGACCCAGCGATCCTCGTCACAGTAATTGAAATTGGGGTTATACCTCCAAGCCCGACAAACCTGCTTGACTGTAGAATGGAAGGTACTGTTTACGGTGGCCTGCCCTCAAGTGGATATCACGTATCGGTTCGTTTGGGCAAGACGAGTGACAGTCCTTCAAAATCTGCACGCGAACTATATGACCTGTGGATTAAGGAATACCTCAACGTTTGTACATCGATGTTGAATTAATGAGCATGTGACGAATCGGCGCCGGATTTTCACGATGTGCTGCTTTAGCACAAAGATAATTGTAATGTAGTTTAATTCAGTTTTAACTGGTGAAATACACCATGCGTTCAGCCACGGGGGAACCCTTTAATTATGGTTTTTTCCATGGAAGCGAGCCATTCGCTTCTGCATCTCTTCTTTGGTCAGAATCTTCACTACGCTCTTGGAGAAGTGATAACCAATACCAGACCAGACGGTTGCAATAGCAACAGTGGATCTATTTTCCGTTATCAGCTCCAGCTCTGATCAGGATCAGTTTAGGCCACGAAATTAGGCACGGGCGGGGAGGAGGCTGGGAGGAAGAGCCACGTCATCGCTTCAGGGGTATTCAGGGCGGCGTGGGTGAAGAATAGAGGGGCTTCAGGGCGTTCAGCTGAAGCGGTCTGAAGGGGCTGAAAAGTAAAGCGACTCGGGCCAGTCGTCCCAACCAGTCACCAAAAAACGGGTTATCACGGACATACAACAGTCAGGATTCGCATGTGGTCACCCACCATACTACTAACTAACCGGCGTGTGGCTTAAATGCGGCCAGTAGTTCGGTGGGTGCCGCCAGGGTGAGAAATGGGTGAGAGCCGCTTTAGCGTCGCGCGACCGGGGGTGAGAAGGGTGAGTGCGCAATATTTAGGGTGAGAAGCAAGGTGAGAGCGGGTGAGAATCGCCCCCTGTCTCGCGACGACGCACTGACCTTCCAAGCTGAGCGAGAGAACAGCGTCATTGGGCCACGATTCTCAACTGAAACGGGTAGCGTCTTGGCATCTGCACACAGCCCCCTCAATGGAGTGATTTTCGAATGTACTGTAGACATGAGGCCATTATCTCTACAGTTTGACTAATATACTGCTTTGGTTGAAGTGCGCTAAGGGTGAAACTATGCGTATATGAATATCATTATGTTGCCTACTCTAAGCTTAATAGTGTTAGCGATTGCTTGAAAGTACCTAACTAGTTAATTGTAGATGCTTAGTAAATTCAATACACTTTCCTCTTCCTACAAAAAGCTGCATAGGTTCTTCAGTTTATATCGAAGCTTGTCTTATTCGAATCATCTCCCAATCAAACATAAGCCTTTATGTAAGTTAGCCAAGGCTGAGATATTTAAACAAATACCTCGAAGCTTTATGTTGACGACAACAAAATCTAATGGCTTTCACCAGCGTATAAATTGGTCGGAAGAGTTACTGGTAGATCACTTCATTATTCTTGCTGGCATACAGTTGCTCCATTATTGAGATATGGTCCCTAGAGATTATATTCTCCGTTGACTGTTAGAAAATCATCGATTCAGCGGTATAAGTGCCGCCGCTATGGATGTTCTTTCCAGCCGTGGAATTACCATTGAAGACTTGGTGTATTGGTGACGGGCCTGCTTGTTTGTAATTGGACTTATCTTCAATCGGTCTTGATGTCCCTCTCCATTTCTTCAACATCCTTTTGCGCAGGCTGCCGCCGCCGCTGCTGCATAAAGCTGCCATTCTTTTCCTTTGTGGCTATCTGCGGAGTCACACACTCCTTTAACCACGATGGTAGGGATAATGTCCCATCAGTCGGCTCTTTCCATTTCAAACCCAAGAACACCTTCCTGTTCATCAATTTGGTCGCGGTGTAAAGCAGACTTGATGACTTGGTCTCCCGAAGCTAGTCCACAGAAATATACTGTAGGACAGTGGAATAAATTACTTTGATCATTCTTATTTGTTATTTGTGTTCGAACTCGCGGTATCACCTTGCTGAAAACACAGCCAAGCTCGGTGCAAGACATGTTCAAGGCTTCGGTAAAGATATCGTCGTTTAGGCTTACGCATTGGGCACAAAACATATTTCCACGTGTTTTTGATTGTAGCTTACTTCAAAAAGGTTATCTTTGGAAGCTCCCGGATATCCTGAAAGTGGGTAGCCTGCTGTCGATTTAAAGATGGTGTCAAGGTCCACTCGCATTGAATTTCTGATATCTGCCTGAACAGCTTGGCCTTGGATTTTGGATATGAATCCCGCGATCTCCACGTTCGGTCTGCCCAGATTATCTTGCAGCATATTCTTGCGAACAAAGGCGTACGGATACAATCTTCCAAAATCGATTTGGACGAGGTATATACTGATGGTAACATCTCCTAGAAAGATGTCTTGTTTGTGATTTCCACCGAAGAGCACACCGCCACATATACCGATTAGCAAGCCCATTTGGATGCATAGAAAATTAATATTGGCATTACTTGCAACGTTGGAAGCCAATATCTTGCCCATGCGAGGCATATGAACTAGCACCACAAAGTGCTGATGAATCCGACCGAAGGTATAGCTATTGGTGTCACCGTGAATAATTTCATCTTGTTCTTCATGTTCCCACACGTCATCGAACATGGTCATCATTGCGTCCGCCTCGAGGCCCAGGGCGCAAAAAATGGCGATCTCAAATGAATGGCGATCTTGAGGTCTTATAGATTTTTGATTTAGCATGGCTCAGTTTCTTGATCGGGACGGTTCTATAGTTGTAGGGTTGTGGCAAGAATGGAAACATACTGGTAAAAAAGACACGCGGAAAGAAAGACTTAAGTGACTGATGAAAACCACGTGATGTAAGTAGTTGTTTGTGTTATTACTCTTATCATGCTGTTGAACACGTAAGCTACTAGACATGTCAGCTACCCCGCACAGGCTCTACGCTGATACCAAGGATCAAATTGGCATTTATACGTTCAGAAGTGAAGTCCACCAGCTGAACGGCAACAACATCTACGGCTCTATCTACCTTTCTGGATCCGATGATTGATTTTTATCTGGACATAAGCTACGCTTATTTCGCAATCTGTAAAGCCGTAGCTAGGCTGTGCCGTAACCCGCAGAAACCCGCACCCGAACCCGCCCGCTTGCATGAAGCTAAGCTAATTTGAGGTTTTTTTTCTGCATTGAATCACTTGAATCCTTTTAGATATTTTTTCAGTACTACTCAGGAAAGATATCAGAATTGATGACTTTTGAATCGGAGATTGTGGGTAAATCCGCAATCCGGCAATCAAGTCTTCCACGACCCATCACGTAAATCATACATAGCGGTGGTCATTTCCATTGCAAATTTGAGTTCGACTTGCCGATACATTGACAAACTTCAGTGCTGTTACAAATAACCTCGTTAAGATTGCCTATCTTCCTCTGAAAATGCCCGTCAAAGTCAACTTTCTCAGCAAGGGCTTGAAGATTGTCGGCAACCTTTACACCCCTCAAGAGTCAGCTTCAGATCGCAAACATGCTGCTATTGTTGTCGGTCATCCTTGGGGCGGAGTGAAGGAGCAGACTGCAGGGCTCTATGCAGAGCGACTGGCCAGCAATGGCTTTATCACCCTCAGCTTCGACGCTGCTTACCAGGGTGAAAGCAGTGGTGAGCCTCGTGGTCTCGAAGACCCCTCGCAGCGAGCCGAGGATTATCGAAGTGCAGTTAATTATCTCTCAACCCGAAGCGATGTGGATCCCGAGCGCATCGGAGCTATGGGTGTTTGCGCAGGTGGAGGCTACGTTTCCTTCGCGACACAGACCGATTTTCGCATCAAGGCCGTGGCCACCGTCAGTGTGGTCGACAATGGTGGGCTTATGCGGAACGGCCTTGAGGGCACTGTCGCTGCCACGGATCGTGCTGCGCTTATAGAGAGTCTGAGAACTGCTGGAAAAGCTCGCATCGCAAAGGCTCGTGGAGAGAGTCCCAGTCTTGGTCCTATTGTTCCCGACAACGCGGCCGAAGTTCCGGATTACTTGCCTACCCTCTTCAAACAAGGGTCTCAGTATTATCGCACTGATCGTGGAGCACACTGCAACTCCGTTAACCGATTCCCCACACGAAGCGTTGATCTTATGGCTGACTATTCGTCCTTTGCGTTTAACGATCTTATTTCACCTCGTCAACTGTTGATGATCGCTAGATCTACGGCGGACACCCTTTATTTTAGCAAGGAAGCGTTTGAGCGGGCACTCGAACCTAAGGAATTATTTAAGATTGAAGGCAAGACCCACATTGATCTATACGACGATACGTTGGTCACTCCGCCGAAGCATTTTAACTTCATGACCAAGGCACTGTATGATTAAGTATTTTCGTTTGTCTTACCAACGCAAGGTTCGGATTTGAGAATACAATTATTCAAGCACTAGTTCGAAAATCATATTTCTTCAGGATTACATAGCAATTTTCGGTAGGGCACTACTTCGAAGGAAATTCCAAACTGTATGGGTTTAAGTCCGCATTTCTGTCGCCAGTCATTTGTTGAGCTTTGAATATCATCACATGCCGTGAGCGCCCAATCTAGTTCTTAGCAAAGTCCTCAATCGTCTCCTAACCCTTTGGATCCCACGACTCACCCCGAACTACAAGACCTGACCCTTCTGTTGAGCAGCCTAAGAATCCTAGGATGTCCGTATAAAGTTTACTTTCATTAAGGGCATCTCCTGCTAGAAGGAGATTATCGCGTAATCTCGGTAATGGGAGCAGATCAAGCCAAGGGTTGTGTGGAACTATGTGCTGAAGCATCGTCGGCTGCAGGCTCATGGGAAGGGGATCCGCCGGGGTGTTCATTTGCGCTGGGCCAAGAGCGTTAAATAATGACAGAGCATCTTCTTTTAACCAATTCGTTCCTAGCCCTAAAATTAAAGCATTGTATGCCATCGCTTTGAAGACATTGAAGTGAACCAGTGTCAAGAGATTCTCTGCGCTTGGAGTACCCCGTAAGGATTGATTGTAGGCCCAGCTTTCAATTTTGGCCATTAGACTTTCGATGGTCGTAGAGTCAAAATCGCACAGGCTAGCGGGGCCTCGAAGTCCGGGGAAGTTATAGATCGCTGCATTTTCTGCGGAGGTAGGGATGGGAGCTGCAGGAGCTATTTTCCGGCGAGACAATAATTGCGGCTCTTGAGCCGGTTGGAAAATTCCATAACCAGCGGTAGCTAGAAGCGATCGATTCATCTTACGTTGTCCTAGATCGGTTGACAGGTTATTCGCTGAATAAAACACCAGTGTAATGAACCGAGCGAGACACTTACGGTATAACCGTTGATTTAACCGGTTCTGCAATTTTTTCCGTTCTAGTCGATCGACAACCCCGGTCCAGTCCTCTTCGGGATTACTGGCGCGCTCCTGCTGCGGCATTTTACCAACGAGGATATAAGGGTGCTCATTTCCGGGGACTTGCATATTGACAATCTTACACCTCGGTATGTTGTCTGTAAAGATCAGTGATGTGGGGAATAAATTGGTTAAAGCTGGACTACAAGCCATGCGGATATTTGTGCCTGGATGACCGGGCTAAAAGCCTTTAATTTCCGGGCCCGTGGACTGAAGTTCGCCACTTATTTGGCTGTCAACCCGATGTAGTCTAGCTCGGATCATATATTACCGGTTGTAAATTACACTTGTAAAATCGCCTTTTACAGATGTTTTGACCAACTGTCCAGTTACAATATCTGGACCAAGTTTTTACTTCAAAGTTGTTCTCACTTCATCGAATGAGTTTTCTCTGTATGTTTAGTGCTGTATCTCTCAAATTATGCATGAAATAATGCTGCTCCAATAAACTACTCAAACATGTTAATACATATACACGAAACCCGCTAATGCAGCGCTGCAAAACATGGTCATTGGAACATACAAGTCCCTCTCCACAAAGTATCCCAAAATGCGCCCGGAATTTTGTGGCGCAGTAACACAACCTGTCATATGGAGCAGCGTACAACAAATATGTAACTGAAGGAGACTTTTGAAGCGCTTGGCTAATAAAATACAGTGGCCCCTATAACGGGACTCCTATCTATGCAGAATGTACATATGTTGTGCATTCTTCAACCAGATAATTCAAGTAAACACCCATCCAGACATTCGGTTCTGCACATGGTGAAAAAGTTCCGGACCAATCGAAGAAGAAAAAAGCTCCACATCTTGTCCTAGCAAATTCTAAGTGTCAAGAATCCTCATTTTTCGGCAGTCGCCTCAGGCGCCTCAGATTTCGCATTGTTGTGAACCCTTTGTATGTACTCCTCAGACAGCGCAGCATATTTGCAGCGGCTCCGAATAGATTTTCCGAATTTGTAGAAAATCAGCGGAAATGGCATGCAGAGAACAGTGAGAAAAGCAGGGATGGATGAGGCCCAGTGAATACCCAAGCCATTATACATGTATGTTGTAAACAAAGGGAACACTGCACCGAAAATTGACCGCAAAACGGCATTGGCAGCCAACACGGAAGCGGCGAATATGGTGTAGGAATCGATCAAATAGCTCATGATTCCCAGGTAAACCAAGATGAGTCCAAATCCAAATGGAGCACCGGCAGCAATACTGGCCATCCAATGAACCGAGGGAGAGTTGGTCCAGGCAAACCAGAATAGCCCAATGGGAATGCAAACAGACGCGACGACTACCGGTGGGAGGCGTGATTCTGGGGGAGCAAGACCACCGTGTCGATCCACAGTCCGTAAATATCGCATGTTATCGGGGATCGTGTAGAAGATACCAATAATCATGCCGACCAAAATTCCCATAAAAGCAAGTCCACCGACACCTTCATTCCATCCTCTCAGCTGCTGGTATACGATTGGAAAAGCAGCGAACATCATGAAAAGTGCGCCGTAAATAATGGCAATATATATCGAGAAGATAAGAACAATCGGTTCTCGAAACAAAAGGATCCACGGGCGCAGTAGGGAAGTACCAAACATATGGGCGATTGACACATTTTCTTCCGCGATATCGAACTTTGTTTGATAGACGTTTCCAGTCAGCTGCGTTAATCGAGCCGCCCGCCGCCGTAGTAGGATTGGAGCGTAAGTTTCCGGTACAAAAAGTGCTGTAACAATCCATATAAGCCCCGCAAAAGCAGCCAGAAACCCTTCAACCCATCTCCAGCCGACATTCATTCCCATGAATCCGCCAATGGATGGGCCAATAGCAGGTCCCATGAAGGGGGCGGCCGCAAAAAGACTGAGAGCCAGCCCTCGCTGTCTAGCTGGGAACATATCACTGATCACACCACCGGCGTTGGTCAAAGGCGATGATCCGAATGCGCCAGCAAAAAAACGAAGGATCATCAACGTCTGAATATTCGTCGAACCAGCACAACCCGCAAAAAATGCAGCCATGCCGCCCAAGGAGATAAAGAATGGGTATTGTCTTCCAGCAAACTCGCTGACAGGAGCCCAAACCATGGGTCCCAGTGCGAAACCAAGAACGTAGAGAGACATGCCTAGAGTGGCAACTTCCGTCCCAATATCAAAGTAATCCATGACTTGATCAACGGCACCCGAATAGGCCGATGATCCAACGGCCACTACCAAGGTCGCAGTTGAAACAATGATAGTAATCACCACTTTCTTTGGCAGACTGAAGAGCATTGGATTGCGAGGGTCATCAGGAATCCAGGATACAACAAAAGGGTCGGCTTTCGTCCCTGATCCAGGGTACTGATAGTCCAAAACACTTTGTGTGACTGCACCCTGATCTAGCACCTGGCGATAATAAGGTATCAAATGCTTGGAAATGGGGCGTGGGGTGTTCCCTGGCTGGCATTCTGGATCGTTGTTAATCATGCTTGCAATGCAGGAGGTGGTAAGTCGTTTCTGCAATCTGGAGGCAGGTTTAGGTGAATAATAGGCTCCATTTTATAGCTACTGGATGGTACGCAAGTCAAAGACCCAAGCGGCTTTAATCGCTGACAACTATGTAAAAAGTGTTAGTTTCCTCAAATGCCGACTTCCGATAAAATATATCCCCTGAATCTTTCGAATTGGTCTCCACTAATATCCCAGACCACAATATTGATTACCTATGATTGTTGCTGCAGATCAATCTACTTTTCTTTACGGATAATCGGCACTTCAACACGGGACTCGGCACTATGGAAAAACTGACCTCGGTTCCCGGTCTTAAGTTTCTTTAAAACCGAATGGCCATAATAAAAATTTCTATAACATGACTGTGCCTCTCGCATTCCCACAGATCACAACAGCGCATTGTTCTCGAGTCTAAGTAATTTTATTCAAAGAGTGAAATTTGATAATTAATCTCTAGACCGCAATGCCACCTCGCGAAATGATTGCGCTCGCTGCATCAGCATGGAGATCGTCTGCCACCGTTTTCCAGATATTGCAAGTCCCCACAATCTATATGCGGATTCGATAGCAAGCCACGCCCGATCAACAGAGGGACAAGATGGCCTAACACAAAGCTCAGTGAGGAGAAGAATAAGCAAATAACATCTCGTAGAGCTCTGTCGGAAAAGCCATGTCCACTTGGCAGTTGGAGCGTATGAATCAATAAAGCAATGAAACTCCACTCCTTCCACAGCAGCCATGAAAAAAGAATCCAACATATTTTTTGGCAGATTGAAGACATCATAATGGGAGACCGGATGGTGAATCATAAAAGACAATCTCGGCACGATATAAGCGAGACCAACGTATAGTCGACTGGTGGGATCAGTCAGGTCGTAGTTGCCAAGATAACGGGTCTGAAAACGTCTAGCCAGACCTTCAATCACCGCCCTGCATTGATCTATACAATCACAATTTGCATCTACCGAGCGTTGACACGTTTTTGGGATTTTCCTCATTTGATAGTCGGCAAGGATCAATTCAGACCGCATGTTGGCGAATGTCATCTCAGTAAATCCCTCCCTCTCCTGAATTGGGTTCGTCGACTCCAGAGAAATATCCTCATCATTGATATTTAACGGCAGGCGGACGTCGGAGATGAAGTCATTTATTTCGCAGTCCGTGCCAAGGGCCTCCGATGAGCGCACATCCAATAGGCAAAGATGCCACCAGAGCCTGCGACGCATTTCAACTTCAAAGGCTTCATTCCAAGAATAGCCCCATCGAGGTGCATATTAATTTGCCGAGCCACGCGACGTAATACTGTTGTCATTGCCCAGACGTAGGAAGAGTCTGCATAATGTTTGTGCATGCAAGATAAGTATAGAACTGCTGCTTGCAGAAGGCTGACGTTAGTTGTTGCCAACAAATTTGCTTTGGTGAATGCTCTTTGTGTTGCTTGTTTGTAGCGAATGATAAGCTGAGTACGCTCATCTCCCAGCTCTTGGACACACTGTTCATCTGTCAAGCTGATAACAGCCGAGAGGTAAACCACCAAAAGTAGAGTCCTTGAGCTCTGGTCTACAGACTCAGGGTCCGTCGATGCTTGCATTATCAGGGCTTGGATGGTCGGCTTATGTAGAATCGGTAGGACCGCTGCGACATTTTCTTTGTAAATCTCCCATAGGATAAAGGACTGGGTAGGTGTCGGATAGATTTCTTTATTGGTAGATGAGGCGGAAGAAAAATCGAAAAAGCTCATCAGCCCGCAGGCCGGGATAGCAGCAGAATTAATCGTTATCGATGATCCAATTTCGGAACAATTTACTACTATCTGTGTTCTCCCATAGATTTTGTAAGCACTTATAGGCAACCTAAATCAAAACGATGTTGATTTACATAATCTACATACCTCATGCAGCGCATCAGTACCCAATCTGCCACGTATATACGCACTGTCGAGGTCTTCGAGTAGCTTGCCGAAGGGGATGTCGTTGTGTTTCAAGCATTTTATCGAGTCGTGATCGGCTTGCCTTGGGATAGCAGGCTGTCTAGGAACACTGGATTGAGCTTCCTCTCCTCTCATCCCGTGACGGGGGACAGAATTAGAAGTGTCGTTCATCAAAGTACCGACTAGTCTTTCTAGTGCCGCCAATCGTCTGTCTAGAGGATCCGGGCTTTGATAGACCATTTCTTTTAGCTGATCTGAACGAGTTAGATAGAATAAGTTTGCAACCTGATATTATTCTAATTGAGATTAGAGTTTGACGCTAATAAAACTAGCTGTTCCTTTAAAAACGCGATCAGGGCAGTTGTGGAAGGTTTCGGAATACACGGCACAGAGAGCCACAGACTCACCGGACTTAAAACATAAAACCCGATAGTGGCTGACAGGTGGAGCGGGGATTGTGGAGCAGGCCCACAAAGTCAATTTGAGCTGCTGTCTTGGCGTTTCCTGGTTGGCGTCACCTCACGTGACCCATCTAGCATAGCAAAGTTCACGCAAGCAGAAATCATTTATACTCACTAGATCGGATGCCGCAGCGCTCATACGGATTACAGTATAAACAGAGCAGGTTTACCCGTGAAAGGAAAGTTCAACGCATACAATGCGAACTATAACTTAATTGATAGAGTGAAATTTTATTTCTCATAGGAATATATCTAATCATAAACATCATTCATCCTCCAGCTCCAGCATCTGCAATGTCTTTGTCCAAAGCTTTGACGCCCCATCTGCATCGTATGCCCATGGGGCATAGCCCGGGGCGTAGCGCCCTTTAGCAGTATCATGCGGTCCGGCAACCTGACAATTATCTAAGTATTTCCCTCCCTGGCCTTCTAGCTCTTTTGCCACGGCCGCCCACACAGTCGTGGCTGCCCCTTGTTCTGGGCTCTTCCAGTAGTTTGACACGACATCGTCATTAGCCCAGGTGGCCTTCTGTTCATCCGAGACATGACGCAACAGCTCCGTCTGGATTCCACCAGGGTGTAAACTGAAGGCATGTAGACCATGAGGCCCATAGCGCCTCTCAATTTCGTTAGCGGCCCAGACGAGAGCTGTTTTACTCTGGCCGTATGCCTTCCACGGTTCGTATTCACCCGCAAGGGTGATGTTATCGAAGTGGACACTCGAGGCTCGATGGGCGCTAGAAGCGACAATGACAATGCGAGAATTGAATTCGGGGACTGACGAGGCCAGCAGCAAGGGCTTCAGAAGGTAGAGTAGAAGGAAGTGAGCGAGGAAATTACTCCCAAACTGCGTTTCAAATCCATCGGCTGTTCGGCCCTCCGGACATGCCATCACTCCGGCATTTTCAATTAGAATGTTCAGAGTTTGGCTTTTTGACAAGAATGTTTCGGCACATTCGCGAACCGAAGAGAGAGAGTTGAGGTCAAGGTGCAAGAAATGGACCCGAGGGCTGTCAGCAAGGTCGCTCAAAGTACTCTGCATTTTTTTGACATCACGGGCCGTAAGATAAAGCGTAGCACCGGTCCGGTAAAGTGCCCGTGCCGTTTCAATACCTAGGCCTGAAGAGCACCCAGTGATGAGGATACTCTTACCGACTAGGCCGTCCTCAAGGTTTTCGTCTTTGATGATTTGCAAAGCAGTTGGACGGGCATCGCCGGGTCCCTTGGTGGAAACGTGAAGGGGAGCATATCTGGAACCCATGTTGAAATTTATGGACACTGTAGAAATCTATCAAGATTTATGAAGGAAGAGAAACAGTGATATTGTAGAATTGCTGCAAGCTTAAATAGATATTGCTGGTGGGTGTTTCATTAGAGAAAACATTTAACTTTGGTGGTTTTAACGGGTCTTGCTTAGTCGGAGATAGAAACTATGACGACTTGTTTTTTATGCTACCTCCGCCTACCTCCGAAGACAATAAATACGAGTCATCAATGACAAGATTACTAACGTAATTCACTTGCGAGTGGCGCATACAAGTGATTGACATACCCCTAAATACCAGAAAAACAAAACAACATATTTGAATATGATGTTCATAACCTAATACCTCAACAACCATTTTATTATCACATTCAATTACTTACCGATAGACATTGATAAAGATTTTTACATACGTACATCAATCACAAATAAATCAAACCCTTATATAATACCAAATCGAAAATCACACTGCTGAGCCTTGAAAATGTGTATAATAGCCAACATCTTTTTGATATTCTCAAATTCCTTAGAGTCACTAAGTACTGTTTATAATAAATTACATAGCAATGATAAGTTCCTATAAACCACAATTGTGGAGATAATGAGGTTTAATTTATTGTACTTACTATAGTGCTTAGGAGTGCGCCGCTGCCTATGTGCACTCATGTATGAATTACATTAAGTAACGTGTTTCACTAGCGGCCCAATCATACCAGAACACCTGTCAAGGCCTGTTTTTAATGACCATACATCTTAATAACTACTCTACAGCTTGGATTTCGTATCATTTTCGTGTATATACATCGATAAGATCCTTCTATAATCTATAGGTATTTGAAGCAAATCAAAAAGCTAGATGATAACGATAACATAAAATTACGCTGTAATTAAGTTCCTTGAGCCATAAAAATGTATATTCTTATTTCACTAGTAGAAAATCCCCAATACAAGTATTGTAATAAGTATCTGCAATCGGACTTTTCAGTATGAAATCTATACAAGTAACTTTAAGGCATCATAATTTATAGCCTCGACTATGGTGTTCTGGTATGATCGGGTCGCTTATTTAAGACGTTAACAGAAGCCGGAATTGGCGTACTAAGAACCGTATTATAATAACATCTAACTAGCCATATACCAAAGTAGCAGCAGAATCTCAAACTCACGATATGCTCTCTTAGACGGTCTTAGAATTATAATCTGGTGTCAAGGGCATTAGCAATACCTTGACCACGTCTTCGACCTCATCCAAGGCGAAAATGTTTTTAATCATGTTTTCAGCTACCTTCTGCTCCAGAGGCAACGCCGAAAAGGGTACACATCGAAGAAACTTTTCCACAAAGTCTTGCCTTCCGAATGGATTCTTAGGATGGCCCTTGACATACACGTGTTCGGTGGTGATTCTCTGCCCATCATGTAGTGTAGTCGTTATCCGGGCTCCCCAGTCAGAAATGGATGGGTCCTCAGCAGCATCGATACGCGAGATCAAGTCATGGATTTGAGGACGTTGACGAGCTTGTTCTGAATAGGATTGAGCAAAGACAACTTCGTCTACTGCAGCGGTTGCTACTGCGTAGGGCAGGCTGAACTGGCATTCGTGCACTGTCTTAGGCTTCCACTTCTGATCCACTGGTTCACATACTGCCTTCCATCCCGATGGAGACACATCAATGTGGATGTTTGCAATGTCATTGACGGCAAAATTGTTCGTGCGCATTTGTTGCAAAATCCCATCAATCGAAGAGTGTGAGAAGTAACAAGCACTGTAGCCCTTGCTGATAATCTGTGTCATCTCCCACTGCTTCCCTAGATTCCTAACCAATGCTTCTGGGTCGGTCTCCCAGCGTGCCGTCTGGAGGAATCCGTTGGCACCTGTCAAGACCTCCTGTCGTGGCCCAGTAATTCCGCGCTCAGCCAATAGACAAGCTGTGATCGCGGACTGGCAGACCAAGCCATGGTGAACGCGTACCATCAATGTCGCCGGTGCGTAGATTCCCATCGTATGAGGCTGGGTCATAGTCCGTGCTATCCCTTGGGCGTTCTCTAATTGTTCAGGAGAGAGGCGGAGTAGTTTTCCGACAGCTGCCACTGCACCAAAGATGTAGTGTCCACCGCAGTCGTTGGCCTTGATAGCGCTGCTGATGACTTTATAGGCGGTACCAATACGAACAAGGACCTCCTGACCAACCACCAGGGCAGTGAGGAAGTCTCTCCCTGTGATCTGCGGTCGCAATCCGGTTGCTGCAAGCAAGCTCGCTATCACGTACTCGCTAATATGCCCTGCCTCTTCATGGAGATCACCGCAGTCCATTGCTCGTGGCATAGGTCCGATAGCTAGTGCTGCCTCAGCAGCCGGTACGCAACCGCCGTAGAATGGCAGCACCGTCTGGGGCTTGCCGCCTTTTCCTTTGACCAATTCCACGATAGCTGGTATCCCTTCCATGCCAGAGCCCCCAATCGTGACGGCCATTCCATCCAGAAGGGTGCACTTGGCGTGATCAATGACCTCAGGTGGCAGATCTTCGTATTGTGTTTCAACTACCATCTGGCACAGCAAATGCATAGGGTCGGCAGGCCTCTGGCTATCGACGGTGCTGGTGAAGCCACCTGAGATCATCTTAGACTGAGACATTTTCCTTTCTTTCGTGTTGCTGTTCTTCGGAGCCCGTAGGTAGCAGAATAGGATATTGAAAGGAGCGTTTTGTTTGTGTGTGGATTCGGAGGGTGTTCATAAGATGCTTTTGTATATCTTGATAGATTGAATGGGGAAATGAAAGGGTATTAAATAATTATTGCAAGCTCTCTATCATCGTCACTTAAGACGTTCTCCACCAAAAGCCAGCAGCTCACGGCTTCTATTATCCGGAAAATCATACCAGCATGCTCAGAACTAGAGTCAGGCAAATAGCATGCAAAGCAGTATTACACACATGCTGGGCCAACGATACGCTCAGTGAAAAGAAAATAGAAAAAATCCCGGCACCAACGGGCCGAGGGGTTGCTGACCCTTCGGAGTTTGTCATTCACTAAGCCCGGAGCGGTGAGGTACTAACCAATGAAATGGAAGTTTATCTCCCCGCCCTCTTAGATTTCCCGGAGTACTTCCGATGTTAAAGACAGCTGTCCCGGATTTCGGCAATGCACTTATTTTCGTCACTTGATATTGCATCATTGAGATCCAAATTGGTTATTCTCACCATTCAAATGGTTTTCAATGATGAATGGGTTATCTTAAGCATGTCTGCCGGAAAAATAGTCAAGTTCACATAGGCCCGCCATGATAATTCATTGATTGAGGACGTCTCGCGAGGACATTTTACAACTAAGTCAACCAAAATTGCACAGAAAAAGATTCAAGGCAAGCAATTATGTAAATCCTTTTAGGTTTTATGCCTTGAACTCTTTTCTTTTCTTTTCTTTGCCATTCGACGCCGCACAATTTTTATGATTGATATTATCTGGTATTTCAAAGCGAAAGTGGAACCGGCAGGTAATATTTACTTTTAGTCATCATCGTTAGGTTGAAATAAAAACTGCTTGACAACTCCATGGTTTGAAAGTAAAGCAGCACATTATTCAGTTTCAATTGACCAGTTTTCTTGCTTCTTCCAACCTTCCATTCTGACACCACATATACTGGCGATTTGATCATTATTTGAAAATTGGCAATATGTCTCCTAACAACCTCGATATCGAGAATAAGGCGGCCGAAGGCATCTCCTACTTTACTCCCGCCCAGACACCCCCTGCAGGAACTGCAGCAAACCCCCAGTCTAATGGATCAGCACCACCGAAGCTGTTTCAGCCCATCACCATTAGAGGGAAGACCTTCCAAAACCGCATCGGAGTAAGTTATAGAAAGAAGCTGGTCTTATTTGAACTCGATCCATACAGCATGCTAACCAACTTAAAAGTTGGCTCCTATGTGCCAGTATTCTGCTCAAGATGGCCATATGACCGACTGGCACCTGACTCACCTTGGAGGTATTCTCCAGCGAGGACCCGGTTTTGTTATGGTGGAGGCAACTGCTGTCCTTCCTGAGGGCCGCATCACTCCACAGGACGTGGGTTTATGGAAAGATTCCCAGATCGAGCCTCTGAATCGTGTTGTCGAATTTGCCCACAGTCAGAACCAGATCATTGGTATTCAGATTTCTCACGCAGGCCGCAAAGCAAGCACCAACGCGCCATGGGTGTCTGGCGGTACCATCGCCACCGAAGAGGTCGGCGGCTGGCCCAATAAGGTCAAGGGCCCTAGTGATATCCCTTTTTCGGACGGCTTCGCCCAGCCTAAGGAAATGACGTTGGAGGACATCGAGGAGCTCAAGTCGTCGTGGGTTGCGGCTGTCAAGCGCGCCATCAAGGCAGGTGTTGACTTTATCGAAATTCACAACGCCCACGGGTACCTGCTGTCCTCCTTTTTGTCTCCTGCCTCCAACAAGCGTACCGACAAGTATGGTGGCAGCTTCGATAACCGCATTCGTCTCTCGCTTGAGATATCTCAATTGACACGTGAGGCTGTTGGTCCTAACGTTCCTGTCTTTCTCCGTGTCTCCGCTAGCGACTGGGTCGAGAAAATCCTCCCCGAGGAGAGCTTTGGTGTCGAGGACACTGTCAAGTTTGCCAGGGCTCTGGCTGAGCAGGGTGCCATTGACCTGATGGACATCAGTTCTGGTGGTGTCCACCTTGCACAAAAGGTCACCTCCGGCCCCGGATTTCAGGTTCCCTTCGCCGTTGCTGTTAAGCAGGCTGTTGGTGACAAAATGGCTGTTGGCGCCGTAGGTATGATCAATTCTGGTCGTTTGGCCAATCAGATCCTCGAAGACGATGGGTTGGACTTTGCGCTCGTTGCTCGTGGTTTCCAGAAGAACCCTGGCCTCGTCTGGTCCTTTGCTCAAGACCTTGGTGTCGAATTCGTGATGCCTAAGCAGATTCGCTGGGGCTTTACTGGCCGTGGTGAATCTACTTACATCAATCCCTCTTCCTTCAAGGCATCCATGTTCGACTAAGACAATTTCTGGAAGAAATGTTCTGGTTCATATCATTAGAAAGGATTTAAGATTCCAATATACCATTTTGATACTCGTCTCGAAAGTGATTAATTAGAAGATCTATTTAAAAGTTTTAATTGACTGGCTAAAATAAATCCTACTCGCCCCCTATCATCGCGACTATGATACTCCTGTGATAAGCCACCAGACTTGGGAAACAGACTTCGTTATACCATTGATTTTGCTTAGTGGTCCTCTATTTGGCTGTCTTCATAGATGGTGGTCAGTCAAATATCAATCAATGGATAGATTGTCATTACATGACTATAGAGTGAGGAGAAACCTTGGTCAGATTTTATTTCAAATGGCTGCCATGCTTCGTTTAATGTAATTCACCGGCCACCTAGCGACGGAATTGAACACATTCGCCAGTTTATTCTTTCTGAGATCAAACATGCCGACCGAAGCTCCTTTCCAAGTAGTATTTTGACAGTTATAAGTCTCGTGCCTGACGCGCCATCCGTCACGAAAATCACCTTCTCAACAAAATCTAAAGCATTGAGCGTTCAATTTGAGGACGCAAGGGAAAAGAACACTAGAGAACAAATACAATTTTACTTGCGCAAAACAGCATAAGGACTGTGTCCTCGGTCTACTAAGTAGTAATAGTGTTGCTCCTTCTCTATACATACCAACTATGTAATATGTTGCTGCCCTATGGTGGGTATTTACATACAGTACTAAATACACGAATACAGTACGGAGACCTGCTGTAGCATGTGTATATAAGTAATCTATATTCTAATCTAAACCTAAGGCTTGAGTAGTGCATATCAATGTGACAAGATAATACCATAAATAAGGTGCACCAACAAGACCCAAGGGTTCTAGCCTCTTGAGACAAGGGTGAGGTGGGTTTCGGCCCCACTGGTATTTTACAGGACTCGAATTACCGGTTTTCCCGGTACCATAAAACCTTGAACCGATGCGAAATGGTGGAGTAACCCTTGAATCTTTTTGCACAGACCTGGCGATTCCCACATTCCAGCCCTGTGGAAGTGCGCAAACAGGCTGATAAGGCAACAAGGCATCATGAGATAGTAATTCCCTGACACCAAAAATTAGCTTAATTGAGCATTTGTAACTATCTACCCCTAAGGATTTAAACATAACTTTCTTTCATGCCCCTGTGTTCCACATGTTAGCTATGCCATTGAGCGATATAGGTTGCAAGAAATGATGACTAGGTTGAATAAACCCAATGCTATCTACAAAGGAGCGTGTCAGATAGCCAAAGAAGATAGAAAAAGGCCATACTTTATTTTATCTTCTAATAATATACGGGGTATACCATGCATAATTCGCGACACCTCTCCCATTGACAGTGATATGACAGTGATACAGCCCGTCCCAAGAAAAATCTGTCGTACTCATTATGGTTATCTGAACCGCCATTCTGATTTTCAAACGCTATTGGAAAACGCTATTTAAATTTATTTATAATATAGACTTCGACAAATTGGCTTAATCCTAGACCGTCCAGGAAGCCCATCCAGGAAATGACTACTCGTAAAGGCAAGGATGCAGCACGTTTCTCAATGCTGGTGCCCCCACTATCTTGAGAACTATATCAATTCCGTGTCGATTTTTTAAGTGAAGCACTTCTTAATTCCACTCTAAATTGATGCGTTTATCTGAGCTTTTACTATTTAGGATCACTTATGATGTAATTGCACCACATCTTTCTTTGAACTTTTAAATAAGACCGAAGTTTTGAAGCGCAATTAGAATACATAGTTTCACAAGGTATTCGAGATTCGCGGCCTGAACGGCCTTGCTTCGTCGGACTTAGATATACTGTAAAACCCGAAGCTGACAGGTGGAAAAGGCTTTGCTTGTGGAGTGGCGGGAGACCCACATTGGAAATTTCTCTGTTCGGACATGAATAGCACTTGCCGGAGATAAGGGTTCCAAATTCTACACAAGCCGTGAACTTATAATTAAGGTTAGCCCGTGTCGTTCTGTGATATTAAAGCTGTATTGAATTTTTCCTTTGACTAATATTCAACTCAAATATTCAATTATGTCCTCCCACCGATTCAAAGTCTACAAGGGAACTCCAACAGGAGAGATCATCGAGGCTGTAACAGAAAGACCTTCTCTTACGGGTGATCAGGTCCTGATTTCTGTCACTCATTCTGGAGTCTGTGCAACAGATGAGCACTACCTTTGCTCAGGAATTGCACTTGGCCATGAAGGAGTAGGCATTGTCGAGAAAACCGGGCCTGCTGTGAAGGCACTCAAAGTGTGAGTCTCCTTTGGGTAAATTTTCCCGCTTGTTTCGAGATATTGACAAAAATTCAGTGGCGACCGTGTGGGCTGGGGCTATACATCTGGTGATTGCGGGATTTGCGACTCCTGTATCAGTGGATTTCCCATCCGCTGTGAAAGTGGCCAACCCAAGATATATGGCTTCGATTGTATAGATTCTGGAAGCTTCGCTACGAGTGCCATCAGGTCCGAGGCATTTCTGTTTCAAATTCCCGATGATTTACCGTCCGATGCGGCCGCGCCGCTCATGTGCGGCGGAATCACTGTCTGGGCTGCTCTGACGCTCCACGGAGTTGTCAAGCCGAACGACGTGGTTGGCGTCATTGGTGTTGGTGGGTTAGGGCATCTTGCAATCCAGTTTGCTAAGGCTATGGGCTGTGAAGTTGTTGTATTTAGTACAACGGAGTCTAAAAGAGAGCAGGCAACCCAAATGGGAGCCTCGCATTTTATCACGACCCAGAACAAGTCTGAGTTGAGTGTTCCTCGGAAGATCAACCATTTGTTGGTCACCGCGTCTAAGGCTCCTGACTGGAAGCTGTTCATGCCGATCATGGCTAAGGGAGGCTCGATATTTCCCTTGACGGTGTTGGGCCCTGATGCCAAACTAGAAATTCCTTACCTGGAGTTTCTGGTCAGCGGACTTCATATCATAAGTACTCTGCCAAACCTGATTTCATACAGGTCCATGCTCCAATTTGCAGCTGGGCATGGTATTCGTCCAGTCATTGACAAGGACGAAATGACAATTGAAGGGATCTCGAGGAGCCTGAGGAAATTGAGGACCGGAGAAATACGCTACCGAGGGGTGTTGTATAGAAGCACTGAAGATTAGAATTTCTCCCTGGGACGGGGCTGTGGGCAAATGTGAGCTACATCAGCTTGAAAAAAACATATCTTTTGGCAAATCGAACCTTTGAAATATCTTCACAGCCACTCCAGTAGGCGATTTACTGTAAACAAGAAGTTTTCATTTACTTCCGTTTTCAATTACTTCCGACGCTGCAAATCGTCCCCAAATTCAAGGGCGTCACCATGCCGTGCCGGCGTCCGCATGGCCGACCCTGGTTTCAGGGACAGGCCGACGCCGACACTACTGCCAGACTTCTGAACGTGAATCACGACACCAAGCAGGTATTATCTTATGTCGATAAGTAAGCTGAGAACCGTATTCCCACCCACGTGCTATATTATTTTTAATTACTCGAGGAGCTCACTGGGGACCTCCTGAAGAACCCCCTGGGTGCCGATTGGCATATATTTTTCATAGCTGCGCTAGGAGACGCTGGAGATACGGAAGGACCTTATTGCGGTATGAGCCGTAGCCTAGAGGCATCTACCAGTCCGGATGAGTACCATTAGCTAGGTATACGTGGTGCGAGGGGTACTAGGCTTAGTATACCACCTATTCTCCTATAGCTTAGTATTTTTTGGTGGCGGCGGTAGTGAACGATATTACAGTAGACCACCCCTCGTGCTATAATTCTGTGAGTCAGAGAGGAATGATGATTTAAGATAAACGCTGACTGTTCAGGGCCGTCATGCCCGCCGCTGATGACATGCACAACCAAGCTGTTCTACGTCTTGCGAGAGAGAGGAAGGAGCCATGAAACGGAAAATTGCAGTGTTTACCAAGTGTGACATGCTATAAAAGCACGATGAGGCAAAGGTGACTCCACAACGAGAGCTATGAGGTATCTTGGGTGATATGGGAGATGCAGATTCAGGAGACAGATCAAGAGGCAATCCGCTAACTCACTGAAGAATACCAAGGAAATTCCGATCTGTGAATCTCACCTAGATGAACTGTTTAGTTACTCGAAGATGATCCAGTAATGAAGCTGCTTCAACCATTTCCTTTTTTAAATCACAGCATGCTTATTGCGTCGAATCTCACTCTCTTCTAAATCCGCTTTTCTTCGTTGTTAGTGGTCCGAAGAACTGATCGGTATTAACGTTTTCTTGACCCTAGGTCCTTTTGATATGCTATCTAGTCACTTTAGGGCGCTTGGAGAACATCATTGATTTGGTGCGCAATGGCGAATAAGGATATACACATGGAGGTTCAGCGATGTAAACTTTGGCGTCATGATGATAACTGATATTCGATTTATTCGATATTCGTATGAGATACCACAGATACTTGAAAATCAATACCAGCAAGTAATGAAATAGAATGAAACAGTAGTTATTGAGAAATTATATGACTAAAGTATATCGTATCTACTACGGTGTTTTGGACTGGGCCGCTCGCCTGTTGATTACGTTATGACATGGTATAGTGAACATTGGTTAGAGTGATATTTAGGGTAATCGCACGACCCGGGTGATTCTTAGCTAGATCTCACCCCTGTCATACTGCGTACTCACCCTTATCACCCTGGTGCGTGAGCGCAAAGCGGCGACCGGTTGTTTCCCCACCAGGCTAGACTAAATGATTGGCCAGCATGGCCATTCGACGGGTGGCTTAAACGCGGAAAATAGTCTGGTGGGTGTCGCCCGGGTGAGAATGGGGTGAGCGCCGCTTTACTCCTACGTCATCGGGGGTGAGAAGGGGTGAGTGTGCAATAGACGGGGTGAGAGACGGGTGAGAATCACCCTACGTCGTATGGCCCCGCACTGACCCTTTCAGCTGAGCTGGAGTTGAAATATGATTGGCCCACATGCCTCTCCCTGAAACAACAGTATCTGCACTTCGCCACAATTCATGTGCTACGAGAGTAAAATGACGTTTTCAGTGATTATATCAAAATATGGTGGAAATTTAATGAGCAGATGGGATACACGTCTATAATTTGAAAGAGAGCAAAGCCTCGTAGATTATTAAGTATCTATCTTTCACTTGTCTTACTGTAGTTGGAGGAGGAAAGTCCAGACTTAGATCAATATACGGAAGCCGCCTCGGGGGAATATTACTAGATTGTTATCTGCCACGTTAGACCGCCTTGCCCACCCCCTTCGAAATGGCTTACCCCTTGCTCATTCAGATTGTATTTTGTCTCCTGGCTTCCTCTTGTCTACGATTTGTGCAATGCTTCCTTCTCATCATGGAAGGAAGACCTGTGTTCTTGAATCCTGAAGGTACTCTTAGGCCGATGGTCGCTTTAGGAGGCGCAGCCGGCATATATCAGGATTCCTCTCATCATGATCAAATCATCAAGGCTCCTCTCAAACACGATACAACGGGATGCAGTCAAAAAGTAATTGAATCTGTGGAGCACAGAGAACAATACTCAGACGCTTGTATCGATCGCGAAAAGCTCATTTACCAATTACTTCCGAAAGATCCTAATATCTTGGACTGCCTTGCTATCACCAGCAGAGGGATACATTTCCCATATTTAAAGCGCGGAAATGTTCGGGATTACTTAACCCACTATAACCATTGCTTGACCAAAAGTACTCGAGACCAATGGATAGATAATGCTGACGTGGTATTATGCACGCTGTTTCACATCTTGGCCTTAGCACTACGTCTTCCCCTCCTCTGTCCTATATCTACTTTATCACGTGTTTCCTTTCTGACGCCGCTATTCCTTCGCTAAGCACACATCATGTCTCCCATAATGATCGATTTTACTCAAGAATAGTTGATCGGAAAAGTAGTAGATCTCGAGAGGAGATATGTTATGTCTTTATTGGTGGCCTTGACTCTTTCTAAAACGCCTGGCTAAAGATTAGGGGGCAGACCCAAAGGGGTTGAAGTTAGTTAAGAGTATCGATTTCAAGCAAGTTCAAGTTGTTTCAAGTTGTCTGACATGGTCTAAATATAAATCACTCATAATGCAGTAACATCGGAAGAATCATGAGCCCTGGAGGAACGAAATAAATATGACAATACCATGAGTGACATAGTACTTCTGAGTCCCCACCTCCCCTGGGAACACTGGCGGGCAACTGGACACTGCAGTAGATATCACACTTTTAACCTACTAGGAAATCATTATTGTGTAAATACGAAGTTAGATGCATGGATCCTTCCACATTTTGGATTACGCAACTCGCTTGTTAAATGCGTTATCACCTAGAACCATTTATTGGGAGTGTAAATGGCACTATGAGGGGAACCTTTCCCCCGTGGGCAATTGATACCGCTTAGTGCATTCAACCCACATACTTAGACTACAGGATTCAGCCGTGTCGGAGATGTTTGATATCCTTGGTATGAACTGGTTTGAACTCCGTAGATCTACTTAGTTATCTCCGTACCTTTGATCTTCGGATAAAATAAAATAAAATTTGAAAATAAAAATACTATATCAAGCTCGACATTAAATAAAATGCATTTAATTTAACATCACTGCAGGAGTAATTTATGTAAACATCCCTGATAAAAAGGATGAAAAGCCACCCGCCCCCTCTTTGAAGCGTGTGATCTAACCTTGGAACAAGTATTACAAAAGCCATCTGGCCTTCCCATTCTTTGAGAATGCCCTTCCCGGAGCCTCGCCAGATCAAGAAACCTCGCTTATCACTTAGTTGTATCGTGTGCCGACGACGCAAGGTTCGCTGCGATCGTGAACAGCCAGAATGTGCCAACTGTGTGCGCATGAAAGAGAAATGTGTTTATCAGGCCTTGGTCAACGACAATTCTGGCCGTGCGGGACCGGCATCACCTCCAGATAGGGCGATCAACAAACCAGATGCCCCAACGGAGCTTCCTTGGTCTCATTGGGTTCCACGAGACAGCAATACTGACAATACAACCTGTCCCATGGAGCCTTATACACAACCAAATCAGCCGTCAGCTGGGCCGATCCCCCTGTCTCCGCCTCGACAATCAGTTGAACCCCTTTCAACAGTACCATCATGGGAAGAGGCCATCCGGATTTCCGGCTTTCACGATGCGACCGCTGCGCGTCAGCTCAGCCCGGCAATTACCCGAAATCCTTCTCCAGTGCCATCGGCTGCACCTTTCCCGACCGACAGTGCCTTTTTAAGTTTAAGACGGGGCGGCCGCTCGCGGTATATTAGCCAGACTTTCTGGGGATTCGTTGCTGGAAAGGTGAGTTAGGCCATAATAAATGGAGTTATAATGTTATATCTTCTCCATGCATTATGGCTAACTTGATTCGGACTTTCTATAGGAGAGTTTGAGCGATGACTTCTTTGACGAGAACCGTCATGTCCGTTCCGATCTCCCTCTACCCCATATCTCCTCGGTCGGCATGTTCAGTCTCCTGCGATCTCTGCCCAATAAGTCTGTTAGTGATGCCTTACTTGAGATGTTCTTCGTTGCTGTTTGGCCGCTTGTGCCTCTTCTGCACCCGCCAGAACTGCAGGCACAATACGACGAGTTCTGGGAATGGTGCCGCAAAAATGAGACCTCTTCAGCACCGGAAAGACTTCGCGATGACCCTACTTTTATCTGTCTTCTATTTGCTGTTCTGTACTGCGGCGCGTCAGCCGCGCCAGCGACCAGCTGGACGCACACTAAACTCCAAGGCCTACAGAAGGAGACGACAGTGGGCCACCTTAAATCGGCATATACCACGAGCCTTTCCCTGTGCCAGCATCCGAAATATCCAACTTTGAATACTTTAATTTCCACCTTGCTGGCTGAATCGTTCCTTGGCTGGGCTTCTGAGCCGATGCATGATTTAATCCAACTTAGCACTACAGTGCGCACTGCACAAATTATGGGATTGCACCGAGAGTCAGCGTGGTCTGCACTAACTCCCATTGAACAGGAAACCCGACGTCGAGTCTGGTGGCACATTGTTTGGCTCGATGTACAGTGCAGTATCTCCACTGGACTGACTCTCTGCTGCGGGAGCGATGCACTAGAAGCGGTGGGAATGGTTGGAACTATCGATGAAGAAACCAACAATTCTGCCTCGTCTTCGCCGCGCACTGACTCTGCCGCCACTGGACCATCAGTGGCAATTCTATATGCCATTGGAAGATTTCAGACCGCACGCTTACAAGCAAGGATCGTGGCGAATATACAGAGTCCTGATGGCCCAACACAGGATGGGTTTGAAGAGTTTTTCGTCGATGCAAAGCAACTTTTAGAAAATATTGACTCGCTGATTGCGCACGTTCCTATGCAAGGAATCCCTGAAAAGGGGTGCATCCCGTTCCGCCTGGCAAATGCATCTCCATACACACACCCGTCGTTGTACAAGGAGGATGCGAGCCAGCCAACGGTTTTTGCGGCGTGGACGCGAATCATGTTGACATTACTGAAATCCGAAATAGCAATCCTCCTACAGAAAGCATCTTTGCTACCCCCAAACAGTAAAAGTCCGCAATCACATAAATCATGGACTAGGTATGACTTCTTTCCACATCTATTCTATTCCTCAAACAATATTCCTCGCGATGTGACCTGCCCTGCCATCGAATCTCCTTTGGCTTGAGTCCTTGCTTATCTATCTCTGTTCTGTTTCCAAAACAAAGAAGAAAGAATTATCATTGCTGACTTTAACATAATAAATATCTCCAGAATGAGCCAACTCTGCGTCAACTACTTGCGAATTTACCTTCAACTTTATCAGTCACCTGCATTCTCGCCATATTTGTGGTTTTGTTGCACTCATTATGTGCCTCTTCAATGCGCATTCATCGGCATAATATACCTACATCATTTCGAAGGCTCGAGGGAGACCTTAATGGCTCGATGTTGTATTGAAGAAGTTATACACTACTGCGTGGCCGAATATGCAGACCCAGAACCTGGCTCTTCCAGTATCCTCAAAGGTGCCGAATCCAATAGAGAGAGGAAGCGGGTGCCGTTGAACATCCAAGTTCTCATTGACCTTCATGCAAACTTCGGCTCATCTCTTAGACCAAATGACCAACCACCGCCACTATCGGACGCGAGCAGGTGTCATTTTCCACACTCTGCGCCTTATCTTGCCATCAAGGCATCCGATCTGCGTGCGTCATCCAACCACAGTTCCTCCGAGACATCTTCCACGACTACCGCCAACCAAAGTTCAAGTCATGAGACCCATCCAATTGCAACAGAACCCCGTGCAGGCTCATCAAGTAACTCTTTTACGAATGGGAGTGACTTGGGCATTGAAATGGACTTCTTTGCCGCCATTTCGGATCTGGATAGTTGGTCTTCGTCCTTGATCTCGGACCCTGACATTTTTCAACCAGATCTCGAGAATCCAAAGCCTGGCTATGATTTAACAACGGAGCCGGTCAATATTTCTAACTCCACTGGATCCACTGGATCCACTGGAGGGCTTGATGTCCATGTTTAATACCGCTATGATACATTTCTTTGCGCTTCGTCTTACATTTTACTCTCTATATGGTATAGAACAATGAATTGATAGACTGATTTGGCAATATTTATAAGCTTTTTGACTTGAAAGAAAATTGAGTTCTGTGGGAGTTAATTCTAAATGATGAGATTTTGATTCTAACCTTTCTTCTTCGAAGGCCGAATAAAGTGGCGTTGAGTACCATGAACTCCGGCGCGTAAGCGACATATCACTTGCATACGCGAATATACAGGGATTGCGATCCTGATCCTGTCGCTAAATTTGACGTTTTTCAGTTAATCCAATGTGATTGATTGCGTAACACTTATCTATTTGCAGTCCCTATGCAGCATAGACTCCGGTCTTCGCCACCCACAAATTCGGCCCCCATTCACGTCGGCCCAACAATTTACAGTCCCCCGCATATGGTATCCTAACCTATGGCGTCGCATATCGAGACAAAAAACCAGACTCGGCCGACGCGAACTCGCGTAAGATGGTTTCGGCATGCGCCTTAGAGCGAGGAACAACCTTACACCTGTAAGGTTTCGGACAAACAAGAAATCCTTCGGTATAACCCGTAATTGGGTCGGTATCGATCTCGACGGGGTTCCCGTTCTCATCTACCTCGTGTTCAAACCGAAAGCCCCACAGCAGTTTTGCGACACCGAGAAACATACTCCACTCAGATAGATGTATACCTGGGCAAAGTCGTCGCCCGGCACCATAGATATAGTGATCACGCTGCATGTAGTCGGGCGAAGCAGCAGAGTCGGAAGCAAGATTATGTCGGCCTTTATAGCGGGACGGGTCGAAGACTTCGGGGTTGGGAAAGACGCTTTCGTCATGGTGGAGACCCCAGACATTCAGGAATACTGTTGTTCCTTTCGGTAGCAGATACCCGTTGACCCAGTCGTCTTGGCTTAGTGCGTGCGGGAAGGCTAGTGGAGTGACGGGCCGCCAGCGCATTGTTTCTTTCACTATCATGTTGATATAAGGTAGAGATCTGAAATCCGCCCAGGTCGGCGAGCGGTTCTCTCCACAAACTGCATCGAGTTCGGCACGCGCCTGTTCCTGGATTTCGGGATGTTGTACCATGGCTTGGATCATAACTAAGAGCATCGTGGACCCTGTGTCAGAAGCGCCTTCCATCATCACGCCGCCTAGGAAGTCGACCTGGTTATCTGTAAGGCGAACTTTCTCTTGTAGATCTAGGACATAGTCCATGAACGTGTGGGCTCGTATCTGCGAATTTCGCTCTGCATTTTGACGTGCCTCAATGGCCCTTCGTCTGAACGATCCGTATAGCCCTTTCATGCCACGGCAAACCTCCATTGACCGATCAATCCAGTTACCCAACCAGTGTTGAGGGATCCATTTAAGCCAGGGAAAAATATCAACTGGGGGCGTGGCCCCTGTCTCCATAATCTTAGACCACTTTTCCATAATTTCATAGAGTTGCTGCATATGCAAAACATCGCATGATGGGGTACGAATACCGTACAACAGACTCATGATAATACTGTTAGTAGTTCGTTTGGGGTGCAGCAAATGATTTTTAGGAAATAGGAGGAAGTCGCGCATCATCTGTGTATGCTCGGCCTCGAGCAATTTGACATGGTCCTTCTCGCAATTAGCCGCCTTGAAGTGTTGATGCACTGTCTTGCGAAATAGGCGCCATGAATCGTTATTGTTCATGACAAGGAGATGATCACCACCGGTAATGAGATTCTGGCCGACATGGGATACAGGGCGTGAGCTGTATAGTGCGCTGCGTTTATCAAACAATTCTTTGACGAGCTCGCGATCTGTGATCAAGACCGCAGTGGCTGATCCAATGCGGAAACTGTAAAGCCCGCCGTAGGTTTTCGCCCATTCGGTGAATCTGTGGTTGTCAGCTGAGCATATATTGAGTGAGTTGGACCATAAACAGACTTTTGATGCACGCGAACGGAAGGTATTTGGTGGATATTTCCAATCAGAGGTAGGCCAGGTGGACCTATATTCTTTAGTTCTTAACCCCCAGAGATGAATATGGGGGGCTTGTGATACATACCTGGAGGCAGTTTGCTCAGTACTACCCAGTTTCTGAACACTTGCACAAGAATCCACAGTAGTCCCAGTACAGGAAGGGTCAGGTAAAGAGACACTTGTCACATGGATAGGATATTATTAGTGTGGTCATCAAATATTGACACTATGTATAAAAAAAAGAAAAGAAAAAAACTATGTCGATGAACTTAACATGCGAATTCGGCCGACTATCTGCTTATGTGGGAACCCCGAACCGAGATGAGATACAGACTCCCGTCGCCGTCGGTCTTCCAACTTGAAGGATGTTCAATTCGCCTTTCAACAGTTCTATTGGCAATTATCAATGTCTAGTTATCTTCCTCCCTCCGGAATCGCGGGAACAATTCCACAGCTGCACGCCTAGCAACCTCCCTCTCCTCCCTCCCTCCTTCTGGAAAATTTTCCCCATCATACCGACATACGTGTTGATAGTTTGAACAGGAGCATAAGGAAAGTCACTTCCATACAAAACATGACCCTTCTCTGCCAATCCATTCTTCCCAAGCAACAACTCCAAGTTCCTATGATCTCCCGAAAGGGCTAAGTCGAAATAAAATTTCTTCACCTGCTCCAGAAATACCTCGGGCGTAATTTCAGTCAAACTTGCATCGTAAAGCAAGTTCGCAGCGCGGGTAGCGAGGATAGGCAGAGTCCCACCTCCGTGTGATAAGATGATATTCACGTCGGGGTTCCGAGATATCGTCCCTGAGGTGATTAAATCCACGGCCGTTCGGCATGTCTCGTGCGGGTAATCGATAATCGGCTGAGGAAGTTTCTGATTGACCAAAACGGGCTTCTTTTGGGGGTCCGACGCGGTGTTTGTCGGGTGAATGAAGACTACTGCTTTTCGGTGATTGAGCTCCTTCCATAGTGGCTCAAAAGCTTCATGTCCGAGATACCCTGTTCCATTGTACCGCGTGTAAAGGGTGATTCCGTCAGCGTGAAGTATATCCAGCGCGTAGGCGATTTCCTCGATTGCGGAAGGGATGGTTTCGGGTGTCAGATGGGGGAGACTGGCGAAGAAACCGAAGCGGGTGGGGTTTTCTTCATGTAGCTTAGAGCCGTATTCGTTAATTTCTCGCGCAAGAGTGGCGGAGGCTGTCGGGAGATGTGCTAGAATTGATGTCCCTGGGGCCGTGAGGGAGAGAATGGCGGTGCGCGTAGAGTGGGAGCTCATAAGAGAGAGAGATGATTGCGGAGTCCAATTGGGGAGTGCCCAGCCTGATGGATCCCCAGGAGTCGATTTGTAGGCTGTGACTTCCGTCAGTCAAGTTTCAGATTTAGAAATATGTACCACTCAAAGTACCATTGACAAAGGCAGGGGGAATGAAGTGATGATGCACGTCGATTCGGCTCATTGTAACGGATTCCAATATGTGATTTTACTGAATACTGCGAAAAATCAATGTAGTAGAAACAAATGCAGGTCATATATTGGTCTTAAAATCATTAGCCATAAACCGATCATCCAAGTCTACGGCCGAGCAAGAAAGAGACCGACCATGCTCGGCCGGAGGACAGGCCTGTTAACCCTTGAGGATTTGGACGTGGTCAGCCAAATCAGAGCTAGCTACTAGGCTCCCTAGTTTATCACTTGAGTTTCACCAGTGCCCAGTTGACATCATAAACCCGAACCACAAATAGCTCCACCAGAGAAACTACTGTCAGATATAATCCTAACTTGATGTTCCTCTTAAAAACTACTCCTCCCGAGTTCCGATCCTTCAGATCTAACGTCATAATATGCCATGGCACGCTCACCATCCACACACCAAGCCCCAGCACCCAAAATATCAGAGAAAGCTCTGCCTGTACTGCGGTGATCGCAAAAAGGATGACCTGGGAAGCACATAATACCGCCAGGGGAACTTGGATATTGTTCCCCAAAAAGATGGCAAGTGAATTGAGGCCAATCTTCATATCATCCGGTCGATCCTGCATCGCATAGAAGACATCAAAGTAGACAACCCATGTTGCCGTAGCAAAGAACAAAGGAAGCGCCTGGCTCATATTATTTAAATCTCCTGTAACCCCCACCCAGCCAGGGAAAACCGCGCCTCCGATTATTGCTCCCAGGACGACTTGGGGGAAAGGCATTATGCGTTTCATGAAGGGATAAATGGTGCTCAGGACCCATACCGGAACGAAGCTGGCAGTAGCCGCTGGACCCATAGTCATCCAAGTAACAATCAGAGTGACAGGTAACCAGCAAATAAAGGCTATAATGGCTTCTGTTGTGCTTATCATGCCGGACGGTAGAGGGCGAACTTTGCATCGCTCGACATGTTTATCGAACTTTTGATCACAGATATCACTGGAAGAATTGGTTGACTGATACAAGCAGAAATCTTTTCGAAGGCTTACTTGAATGTACAGAATGCACAGTGAGTAGCTGTCACGCTGACCCATATTCCGAACAGTAATTGCATGAATGCCACCACATCTAATGATACATCGTGCATCCCCGCAGCCACACACGCCCCCCAGATAGCGGATTACCAGCATAGCCAGGCTTCACGGGTATGTAGGCGTGCGAGCTCCCATACACCGCGTATCACGTTACGCGGAGATTGGAGGACGGTAGAGTAAGTCATAGCGCTTGGTATCCAGACGCCTTAATTTTGGCAATCGAAGTATGCAACAGAATATCAGCAGGAATATTGAGATGTGACGTGCGAAGGCTCCTAACGTGGGAATAGTCCGTGTGTTGATCGAAGCGTGTCATATTTGAATAGGTATCTATATAGGAATTTCCACTTAATATCTACTATATGGCCCCAGGCGCCGAGACTCGGCGTCGGTCTCGAAACAGTTTCAGAGACGGTTCGGGTGAATCCTGGAAGTACTCTCGACTCGGCCGACGATTACATAGTGATTACTATGCTATTGCACGAGCCAATATGACCGATCGCTCTGATCTAGTGGATTGGATTGGTGTGGACTAACGGTTAACTTATCTAGAGTGGAGTCACCACAGCACTTGAGCGAGCCGAAGTATAGAAATTCCCAGTCGGTATCGGCATTTTGATATGAAAGACTCGGAGTTTTGGAATCTTCATACCCATATTTTTATACGGTTGACCTTTGCCACATCTAACATTTGAAAACGATTTGAAAAACAGAAAGTCATTCAGTTGTCTTCGAAATATTTGAAGCCACATCATAATGGTTTCCTTCAATAGAAGCACTGAGATCTTAACCTCACCCGAGGGCTCTACGCATAGGAAAGGCATCGCAACTCCCGTCTCCAGCAACGATGAATTCGAAACAATAAGCCCCGTCTCTAGTGACCTCTGTGATGATATTGCCATCATTGGGATGGCATGTCGTGTCCCTGGCGATGTCAAATCCCCCTCCGAGTTATGGCAGTTCCTGCTTGATAAAGGCGATGCATCAGGCGACATGCCCTCCTGGCGTTGGGAGCCCTATCGGCAGCGTCATCCCCGCAATGCGAGCATACTGGACCAGACAACCACGAAGGGATATTTCCTCAATGACATTGATCACTTCGATGCTAGCTTCTTCTCTATTTCTCCACGTGAGGCGGAGCAAATGGATCCCCAGCAGCGTATTGCCCTGGAGGTGGCCTGGGAGGCTTTGGAAAATGCAGGCATTTCCCCTTCCAGCCTTGCTGGTTCGAACACGTCAGTTTACATGGGTGTCAACTCCGACGACTACGCCAAGCTGGTACTGGAAGATCTTCCCAGTGTTGGTGCACATATGGGTGTTGGGACTGCCTATTGCGGTATTCCTAGCCGTATTTCCTATCTACTGGATCTGATGGGTCCCAGTGTTGCACTAGAGGCCGCCTGTGCATCATCCCTGGTTGCTGTCCATCATGCCAGACAAGCAATTCGAGCTGGCGAGACTGATCTTGCCATTGCGGGTGGTGTCAATGCACTTCTTGGACCTGGCTTAACCCGCGTACTAGACGAAGCCGGGGCCATATCAGCGGATGGAAAGTGTCGTTCCTTTGACGACTCGGCCAGCGGGTATGGTCGAGGTGAAGGGGCGGGAGTTGTCATTCTAAAACGTCTTGATAAAGCCGTCATGGATGGTGACCAAGTGCTAGCCGTACTAAAGGGTAGTGCGGTGGCATCTGACGGCAGGACACTTGGAATAATGGCGCCTAATGCGCAAGCACAGCTTCTTGTTGCACAGAAGGCGCTCAAAGAGGCGAAAGTTACATCTGACTCTATCAACTACATCGAAGCTCATGCTACTTCTACATCGCTAGGAGATCCTACAGAGATGAGCGCACTGGCTGAGATATATGGTGCGGGATCCGGACGCCATCCAACTGATCCGTGCTATGTAGGCTCCATCAAGCCAAATATCGGACATTTGGAGGCTGGTGCTGGCGTCATGGGTCTGATAAAGGCGGTTCTTGTGCTTCGCTATTGCCAGGTGCCTCCGCAAGCCAATCTACAGACCTTGAATACTAAGATCGATTGGGATAAGAACTTACTATGCTCGCCCCGCGAGCTAGTGACGCTCCCGGAACCTAGTCCATTACGGCCGTTACGGGCGGCTGTAGCATCGTACGGATATAGTGGCACTGTATCGCACGCCATTATTGAAGCCTTCAATGGTCGATCCTCATTCGAGGAGCGATTGGCCCAGACTCCAGATGATGATGTCACGCCGGTTCTGCTTCTCTTGTCCGCACCTCAAGCGAACCGCATCTCTATAGCAGCTAGAAGGCTAAGCCAGTGGTTGTGCGACAATAATGGAGAAGTTTCATTATCGGCGGTGGCTACGACACTATCCCAGCGCCGAGCGCACCACCGGTTCCGCCACGCGATCGTCGCTGACTCCGTTGCAAATGCTATCGCTACACTCAATGATGTAGCCCAAGATGTGCCAAATCCCTGGGCGCATAATGGCCGAGACGGGAAAGAAGCTTTCAAAGGTCCGGTTTGGGTATTCTCAGGACATGGTGCACAATGGCCTGAGATGGGTCGTGAGTTGCTCCACTCTAGTCCGGTATTCGCGCAAGTGGTACACAATCTGGAACAATCTGGAGCCCATCATTCAGGCCGAGTTAGGATTCTCTGCGATTGAAATCCTAAATTCCTGCTGTCCAGACCGCACCGATGTGATCCAGGCGATGACATTCCTCATACATATGGGAATTGCTGCATTGTTTGAGCAGAAGTGTGGTCCTCCTATCGCTGTTGTCGGCCATTCATTGGGAGAAGCGGCGGCGGCAGTTGTCTCTGGAGCTCTGACTTGGCAGGAAGGGGCCTTGGTCGTCTGTCGTCGAGCACGGCTTTATCGCGAATTCATGGGCAAAGGTTGTATGGCGCTAGTTAGAATACCGGCTTCTGATGCCAGTTCTCGCATCGCTACGCACCCTGGTGTGTCCGTGGCAATCGAGACATCGCCTTCTTCATGTGTGCTGTCTGGCACCATTAATGCCGTCCAACGCATATCTGAAAAGCTGCGCGAAGAAGGCATCGAGGTTCGTGCTATTTCCTCCGATGTGCCTTTTCACACGCCACTGCTGGAAAGTCTGACAGGCCCTCTGCTGGAGGCGCTACAAGGCGAGCTCAACCCCCAAGCGCCACATATAGCTCTTTATTCAACATCACTAGAGGATCCACGATTAGAGGCGCCACGTAATGCGCAGTACTGGGTGGCAAACATGATCCAACCGGTCCGACTACAGTCAACAGTGGCAGCACTTGTGGATGACGGGTTCCGAGCATTTGTCGAGTTATCGAGTCATCCCATCGTGACTCACTCTATCATTGAAACGGTTAGCGAAAAGACAAAAGATAGATTTATCGCAACACCGACCATGGTGCGCAGACAGCCGGCATTAAAAAGCATATTGGCTGGTGTAGGGCGTCTGCACTGCTTTGGCTGCCCCATGAAGTTCACAAATCCCAACCCGAGCGCTGCATGGAGCTCCTCAGTGCCCTGTACTACCTGGGATCACCAGCCATTCTACCGTGCCGTGGGCAGGATGACGGCTGCACAGTTAGCGCCAACGCACAACCCAGCGGCCAATGATCTACTGGGTTCTCGCACCGCCCTATGGGGAACTGACGAAGTGCTTTATCAAACCCACCTGCAGGATGATAATCGGCCCTTTCCCGGCCGCCATCCATTACATGGGTCCGAGATCGTACCCGCTGCCGTACTATTGCGTACATTTTTGCGTGCACTGTCACCTAGGAGCGTCGAGAAGGTTTCTCTCCAAGTGCCTGTAGTGGTTTCTCCACCGCGTGAGATCCAAATCCGACAAAATACACAGATAATCTCTATAACATCCCGTTTGGAAGAGGCAACAAGCGTCGAGGACGGATCCTGGCTTGTCAACACTACTGCCACTGTGGGTACAGCGGATGCAGCACCCTCCTTCGGCAATGTTGATCTGGCGGTTATCAGCAAAAGAATGTCACAGAAGCTGCCAGAAAACTTTTCAATTGAATATCTCGCATCTGTGGGTGTTTCAGCCATGGGATTCCCTTGGCGAGTAGTGAACCATATGGCCAACAACAACGAGATGCTAGCCAGGGTAGAGGCCAACTCAGCAAGTGTCCCCGGTATGAACGATTCTCTAACCTCCATTATGGATGCAGCGACTTCGATTGCTTCGACCCTTTGGCATCACGAGCCCCGGCTACGGATGCCCACGGCTGTCGACCGTGTCGTGTCAGTCAATGTGGCTACTCCGGAAGTCGTGTACATCCACTGCACCAAGGCACAATCGGCTGTCAACATAGCTGATGTGATCATCATCAGGGAGGATGGAATGGTCCTGATGGAAAAACAGGGCATGGCATTTGCGGGCGTGGAAGGCGAGTCCTTCTCGGGAAAAAGCACTTCAGGTCTCGTGCATCAAATCAATTAGCCGCCAGCTGTGCTGACCGAGGAGCCATTGGAGTTTGCCCACATCGCATTCCTCGCATCCGATACCACCAATACCCAGCTGGAGACATACATAAGGCAGCTGGATAGCCGAGGGATATCTACTTCTATCCATCAAGATACCACAGACTTGCCATGGGGAATTCATCCGTCTCTGGCAGTCTTCTACCTCCCTCAAGTCACAGATCAAATTTTCGACACTGCTACCATCGCCTGCGATGGCCTCGTTGCTGCTGCGCAGGCTATCCTGCGCTTAGGCTCCGATGAAAAGACTGTGCGGCTTTTCGTCATCACCTCCGAGGGCAATCTAGGCCACAGCGCCCTCACTGGCCTTAGTCGTGTTATTTTCGCGGAGCATCCTGAAATCTGGGGGAGCCTTATCAATGTCGAAGACTATTCCACATTCCCCTTCATGGCAATGCGATACGTCAACAATGCTGATGTAATCAAAATACGCGACGGGGTTCCGCGCACCGCCCGCCTTCGTCCGCTCCGCTCCGCCCCACTCCGCTCCACTCCCGCTCCGGGGACTATCACTTTCTCCCCAGCAGCCACTTATCTAATTACTGGTGGGCTCGGGTCCCTGGGCCTTTCAGTGGCTAATTGGATGGCTAGTCAAGGTGCACGACGTATTGTGCTTGTTTCTCGTCGCTCCTTATCGCCACGTTCCACTTGGATGACCTCACAATGCACCGATACTCAATCTACTATCGAAAGTTTACTTTCTCTCGAACGTCTCGGCGCTACTATCTACCCTCTCGCTATTGATATATCTCACCCATCTGCAGCAACCAACCTCCGCTCGGCGCTGGCCACCCTTAACCTCCCACCCGTAGCTGGCGTAGTTCACGCTGCTGGCGTCCTCTGCGACCAGCTAGTCGAACAAATCACCCCAGAAGCATTCAAAGCTGTGTTGGCACCAAAGATAGCAGGCGCATTAGCACTCCACACTGTCTTCCCACCTAATTCTCCTAGTCTAGACTTCTTTGTCCTCTTCTCATCCTGTGGGCAACTGCTAGGTTTCCCTGGCCAAGCATCGTACGCAAGCGGGAATGCGTTTTTGGACGCTTTGGCTGAATCAAGAAAAATAGAGGGTGACAATGTCCTCTCTCTTCTCTGGACATCATGGCGCGGCATGGGTATGGGAGCCAGTTCAAATGGCGCCTTGGGGGCGGAGCTATATGCTCGTGGTATCACAGATGTGACACCTGACGAGGCATTCAAAGCCTGGAGCTCCATTTCCTCCATTGCAGAGGCAAATCACGGTGTTGTTCTCCGGGCTAGATTGCTTGGATCTGGAGAGCCATTGCCTCATGCCATCCTCAAGGATATTGTTGGTTGGAAAAAGACAAGTGTGAATGAGGGCGAGGCTGGCAAAATTGAAGAAAAAAAGAAATTGACTGGTCAGGAGTTGATGGAGCATTTGCGTGTTGTTGTGAAGAAATGTGTGTCGAAGACGCTGTCCATTGTGGAGGAAATCGATGAGACGGTAGCCTTATCAGAGATGGGAATGGATTCGGTAATGACAGTCCATTTCAGGATGTCTTTGCAGCAGGCATTGGCTGTCAGTGTTGGACCAACTTTGTTGTGGAAGTACCCGACGGTTCGTCATTTGGTTGAGCACCTTTATCAGGCTTTGGACGAAAAGTCCTCTTCTTAGAACTTAGGCAGTTGAGTATGGAGAATGGCACTCAAGTCCGCAATGTGGAAGGCTATTCCAAGGTTCCGCATCCATGAGGGATTCGGTTGAGGGGCTTGAGTCTTCGCCTATGAGGAGAAAGGACTCGGAGAACATTGAAATGTATGTACCGGCAATAATTGAAATTTTTTACAGTGAGAAATCGATACTAGTAGTTACATCTTCAGGGCTTCCAAAATCTTGTAACTTGAATTGATGTTCACTGCCGTACTAGTAGCAATTGAAGGGCAGTTTAAATCCGAGTCGCCGCAGGTGCCTTACAAAAGAATGAGCCTACTACTAGTAAAGCACTTGAGTATATCATACATGTATGTAAGTACAATCCCTGGCCATTCAACCTAGAATTTCATTCAAGTTGTATTTGTTAGGTACTAGTAGCTTTAAAAATTTGAAGTCACGGTATATGATTCCAAGATTTACTACTATTCAACATTTGAATGTTCGAAGGTAGTACTACTGAGCGCAGTCAATGGATTTATTCCCCTATAATGTATATATGCTTATCAGTTCTGTTTAAAAAAAATACACATATTTGAACGAACATTGGAGTGGCTCAGTTGAAATGCCCCGGGCCAGGGTTTGAATTCAAGATATCCAAATGTATTTTCTGATGCTAGCACTAGCAGTAGACCCTCTAGACTCGGATGTACATGTAGCTCGAACATTCAAGTTCCAAGGTTGAATATACATTTATTCACTCATACCACCTGATAAGGCCCTGGAGAGCAATTCTGCCCCTTGATTCCAAGGTTCTAGTCTATTCGCCTCTTTGTCAACGCCAGAAACTCACCATGAAACTGTGGCACAACCATATCTTCCCACTTCATATCCTCCACAGTCGTTCCTACTAAATCCAAATCGAAACATCGAACAATATAGGCAATAGCCATATACATCTCCATGTATGCCAAACTACACAAACCGCACATTAGTCACCATCTTTTTGAATGCAAAGGTAGATTGTACATACTTGATTCCCAGACACGACCGACTTCCTCGTGAAAAGGGCACTAGAAACTTCGTTCTCTGTGCCAATATCTCAGGTTCCTGAAGCCAGCGTTCTGGATCGAACACCCGTAGATTTTCGAAAAGAGTCTCGTTATAATGGATGTGGTAGATCGCCATTCCTACCCGGGTACCACTGGGGATGAACCGGCCATCTGGGAGACGGACACCACCTGGTGGAACGAGACGGGGAGTACGAGATGCTGCCGGAGATGAGTATCTTAGACCCTCTTTAATCACTGCAGTCTGTTTTCATTCCATGATTAGCTGACGATCAGTGGAACATGAGCTTTTTAAGGTTATAATGACGAGGGGGTGAAGCCTAACCAAATAAGGCAGCTTCTCAAGCTGAATGTATGTTGTATGAGAATTTGACGTTGGCAGGACGGTTTTGAGCTCTGCTAGGAGTCGAGCATGTATTTGACGATCATTGAAGATATAGAACAGGGTGACGGTATTGGCAATGCCTGTGGTATCATCACCCGCAGAGATGAGGGTGAGAAGCTCATCGCGCAGGCCACTTTTGTCGGGGACCGCGTAGCCTTTTTCGGGCAGGGGAATAAGCAAACGTTCCATGACTGTGGAGAAACTAGGAGTTTTCCCTTTGGATGCGGCGGCAATATACTCATCGATGCGACGAGAGGCGAACTGAATAATTATCTTTAGTAATGTTGCCTGGCTAGTTGAATATGTTCTGGGCTGGTTTCACCTGTTCCAGCTCATGGCCCATTTCAACAGAATGCGGAATTCTTTTCGCAATCCACAAAGGCAGCGAGTTAAGAAGTCTGACAAACGGGAATGCTTTGATAACATGTAGACTGGGAAGGTATTGCTGGAAGACTCGCACAGGGAGAGATTTGAACTCTGGGTCGGAGAGAGCATCGAAGGATTGGCCAAAGGCAAACTGAGAAACCATGTCTAAGAGATTCATTAAACCTGAGCCATAAGGTTGAAAGGCAGGATACTCACCCATTGCGAGAGACTTCAAGGCCCACTCCATCGATACAGGTTTTCCCTGGGCGAAATATTCATCGAAGCGTTCTGAGCAGTAGTCCACATGTTCCATTAGCATCTGCTCCAAACTCAGTATGTTTTTCTTGGAGAACAATTGCTCAAGCGGTGCTTTGCGCTGCTTGTGTCGCACTGGGTCGCACTCAGCCAGAGTACTTGACGGTGCACCCAGTACTTTATGCATAGTGGGATCTTTGTAGTATCGACTACCTGCTCGGTATAGCTCATGGTAAAATTCTGGATCGTAGATATGAACCTCATTGGGACCCATACGCAACGCAGGTCCCAGTCTCTTGTGCATCTCTTCGAGCTTGAACAGTGTCTGGCCTTTTTGCCCAGGTCGGATACCAATGTTCCAATAGGCCTCCCAACTGTGGTATTTTTAGCAAAACAACTTCAAGCAGACAGACCGATACGCACTATTCTCCTAAGGCCGCCCATGGTGATCCTGGAAAAACGGCCAGTGGGCTGAAGAAGATCAAATAGACAGCACGAACAGCATGGTAAACAGCAAAGGTTCCGATTGCAATAAGCCAAAGGCTCACAGGAGTATCAAAAAGTAAATACATAATTGTAATTTCAAGATAAAATTTGAACGTCTCACCTCTATACCTAGGTATATTTGTTCCCTTTTTTAAAATCTCTGTAGTGACCGATCGGCCTAATGAGACGCACCTGGATAGCCGAGGACGCCGAGATGGAAAATCCACATAGGCGAAAGGAATCCTTAAAGTGATTTCAAATATTCCGCTTCAAATCTTGGAATAGTATAGACAAAATGAATTATTCTGAGTCCTCCATTATTAAGAATCTTGGACCGAATCCACTATTCCTTGACAGTAGGCACTATACGGCTCTCGCCTTCATTCTTGCTGTCTGTATACCACAGACGACTCATGGATCTGCCCTTCGTTATGGATTACTGCTCCTTCAAATAGGCTCTGCAGTGCAGGCTTTCTTTGCACCACCGCCTCCGGTATTAGATGTGGCTCTTCTCTACACATCTGGTGTGTTCATGGGTAACATGCTAGCGCGCTACATTGATCGACTATACATTCACACCCCAGAGACATCATTTTATCGAGTTCAAAATGTTTCAAGTTCCTCTATCACCCCACCAAAACTCGAAGATATATCCAATACCCCACTATCAGCGCGCATTTTTTGGGCCTTCGAGCTCATCAGCGTTACCCGTGGTATCGGCTGGAACTGGCGCGTTGCCGGTATTCCTAAGCCTTCGGTCGCATCAACTCGATTCCAATTCGCTGCATCCCAACTTCTCCGATGGGTTGCCATGTATACTGGATTGAATCTGGTAACTTTAGCATGTCGGACAATTCTATCAAACCCAAATCCCAGCTTGAACATCCCAGGCGATTTGCATATCCACATCCTGATTGTCGTCGGGTTTATTACGACAATATATAGCCATTTCGCTATTCTCATACTTCCGCTCTCGGCTATCTGTGTCGGGCTTCAAGTTGGTCCTCGCTCATGGCGAGAAGTTTCCTCCTGGCCACCGAATTTCGGTAGTATTACTGAAGCATACAGCATTCGGCGCTTTTGGGGGTATACCTGGCATCAGCAACTGCGACGACAGACAGGTGTACCTGGTTCTTACCTGCTTGGCTTATTGCCGGAGAGTGTACGAGTGTCCAGACGAACCCCAGTTCGGCTTGCAAGACGATACTTCCTGCACATTATGAGTTTTGTCGTTTCAGGAGCGATTCACGCTTGCGGTACTTATCAGGTTACACGAGCCTTCGGAACTCCACTGTGGGACGGTGGGAAGATGAGGTATTTCTTAGTACAGGGAGTTGCGATTATAATCGAGGATTTTGTATGTTGGGTTCTGGGTGTTGATGATCGGTCTGGAGCAAAGCCTACGACAATGCGGCGGTGGATGGGATATGCGATTACGGTCTCTTGGTATGTATGTACTCGTGTATATGTGCTGGCAATCCCTGTGGCGCTTTCCTGTGGAATCCGGGATGAGAGGGAGGACATATATGCTGCTTTAGAGCTGGCGCGACGATCGGCCGCTGCGGTGCCTGGTAACTTTGTGGCGCAGGCGTGGGAGCTTTTTTTATGAGTGAGGATTTTGGTTAATAGATTTTCTACGAGTACGAAAAGGCCTGGGGACATTGAATGAGCACATGCAGTCTCAGCTTATTTCTTAAGCTAGCATAGTTAGGAAATCGTGTGCAGATAGTAAAGCCCTGGAAGTTTCCACATAGAGAGGTACAAATTAAACGACAATAAACCCCAGAATAGAAGCGAAGCTCTCGTCTATTGATACCTTGCTAGACTATACAAACTCTTTAGGAAGCGTCGTCAGAGTGCTAATTTCGGCCATCGTCTCCTCCCAGAGTTTCTTCTGAATCTCCTGACCTGCCTGCGACCGAATAAATGCAGTTTTGCTGCAGGGGAAATCATGTTAGTCATTGACAAACTATTAGAAGCGAAAGGAATCAACGTACTTGGCAGCGATGGTCTTATCCTCCAACATCTTACCGTGGGACTCAGGGCCTACCACCAGCGCAGCATTCAAGATGATCCAGCCACCAACCTCAACAGGTCTGGCACGGAACGACTTGATAGCATTGACTATGATACGCAGGTGCAATGGAAGAACGTCGCTCATGTTGGTATTAACCATACCCGGGCACATCATGTTAATGATGACTTTCTTGGGGTCCAGTCGCGGAGCCAAACTGTACATGAACAGCACACAAAGCAACTTCGAGTCCCCATAGCGCTGAAACGGTACGAAGGCCTCATCTTTGTCCATGTGCTCTAGGACACCTTCATCTGCCTTGATGGGACACTTCTTTTCAAAGCTTGTCACCTCGTGCGCACGACTGCCGACCCAGCTGATGCGCGCGGGGGATCCAGTCTTCTCGGCACCACGCTCAAGGTACGGAAGAAGCTCGGCAATTAACAAAACATTGGAGTAGTAGTTGACCTGGGTGGTACGGTCATGTCCGCTCGGGCTGCGTTCCAGCTTGAGCAGGCCGATACCCGCATTTAGAATGAGGATATCGACAATAGGGATCTCCTCTTGGAGTTTCTTTGTGAAAGCTTGCAAGCTGTCATATCGGTCGACGTCAAGCTCCATGACCTTGATGGTCAGTTTGGGGTTGTGGGCTTGGATACGGCGGTCCTGGAGGAGTGATTTGGCACAGGCCTCGCCCTTGGCGACATTGCGTACAGCGAGAATTACAGTCGAGGCGCGCAATCTAAGCACCTGCTTTGCAGTTTCTAGGCCCATACCGGCACTGGCGCCGGTAATGACAATGGTTTGGCCCGTAAGATCAATGCCCGTAGGCAAGGGATCCACTTTAGGCTGGATGATGTTGACCATGGCGGAATTTGAATCAAGGGGAGGCTGGCAGGTTGCAATTTACGTTATAGAAGAGAAGAGGAAGAATGTTCGGGGAAGTCATTTTGAAGTCCCTTTATCGTGCCATAACTACCTAGCTCTTCCAAATATTGTGTATGATTGTTCAGCATTCATGAACCCATACCTATTCCAGGTGGGGCTGACTAAAACCCCTTTGTAACAGATGGTTGAGTCAGCATTCGGCCGATTGACACCCCAAAAGGGTAATCCCGGGAGCAACAGCTCGCCCGAATAACATTTGAACATCGCGAGCGAGACGACCATAGCGAGGCGACCGAGGTCTTTTTCCGAGCGTTATTATCAAATTTAGATACCCATTTCATCATGATGGTCGACAATAAACCGCAGATATGTAAAGTAAGCGGCGTATCACCAACCAGCTGCCCTCCTTTCACTTCCTCCATTCTGAATAGAAATGGCTCCCTGCAAACCCCGTACCTTCACAGCTGGTCAAGATCCATTGACTAAATTCGATGGAGCCATTTCGGTGCGAAATCTACCACGACCGGCAGATCGCTTATTCCTTTTCCATGGTATTATGCGACCCAGTCGAGGCATCTATGCTAAGCTGATCGCCACTGGACAAAAGCCCCCGACACACTTCCACCCTACGCAATGGGAGTTCTTTCGGGTCCTTCGCGGCAATCTCACCATCGATATCAATGGGCGTCCCGTTCACCGTACTCCCGCTGATGGTGAAATGGCAGTAGCTCCTTATACCCACCATGTCATTTATGGGACCCCAGGAACGGAGATGAACGAGGTGGAGTTTGAAGTGAGTGGCAGTGATCTTGCGGTGGAGGATGAGCAAGGGCCAGTTATGGATCAGTCGTTCTTTGAGAATTGGTATGGGTATCAGGAAGATGTATTTCAACGAGGAGAGAAGCTGGACCTTATACAGGTTCTTTCGGTAAATACAACATTTGAAGTATGTTCTACGGAGAAGCCCGGGTGAACTGATTGAGTATAGATGTTTGATGCTGGAGGTACCTATCTCTCTCCACCATGGTGGGTAACCTTTCGGTCATGGGTCGGGCTTTTGCTCGGAATTATGGTTGGTCGGTGGATTGGTGGGCTGCTGGGATATGCGCCCTTCTATCCTGAGTGGACGACTGACTGGGAGAAAGCCTGTCAGGCAATGGAGCAAAGTTGGTTCCATCGTCGCTTCGCAGATCCGCACGCACAGGAACGAGCATGTGAAATGTTTCGTGATCAGTTAGAAGACGAGGCGAAGGCTGCAAAGAAATCAGACTAGACATATAGTATTTTGATCATCAGGCTTCCAACCTTGGAAGGGTCAACTTTAAATGTCCAAAATTAAATGGATGTTCAAAGTTCTTCTATTATTATTGCATGCGCTGAGATATACCCAAAAACATACTACTATTTAGTGGTTATATTTTTAGCTCTATCAATCCGACTACTACTCAAGTGCTTCTATCAATTTGAACATTTTAAATCTCCCGGGATCACTTTTCTTGATCGACATCCATATCATTTGATGAGTTTTATAATAATCAATAACCCTTCTTCAAGTTCCCTGTGACTTTCACCCGAGAACTCAAGTTCTTCTCGAAACTTTGAACATAGATATAGACCGCAGCATAAACCAGGTCAGACCCGATACTACCCAGAAGCAAAAACTGTCCATATGGTGTCCACGCATATCCAAATCGCTCTGGCCAGAAATAAATGCGCCAGGAAAAGCAGCATGCAGCTGCAACAGTTCCTAGCATTCGAGTCCACCTATTCATACAGTCAGCGCCAGATCAGGAAGCTGTTGGAGCAAAGGAATAGTTCTTCCACTTACCAAATTCCCCAAGAATGACCTAAAGTATTTCCACGTGAAAGCAGTTGCGCAATCGAGCTGAAGTTGATGAGAACCTGCATGGGCCATGCGGTCATGAATACAACCTGCCGACCGATTTTCGGAATAAACGTGGCTGCCACGGCTAGATGTAGCCACATACAGATCACACATCCAACCAGAATAAGGGTCGCCAGATGCTTCGCGACTAGAGGTGAATTTTTCCAAGCATTTGGGGCCGATTTGAGAATAGCGTAGACGAGGATCACGTCGACAATCATCCATTGCGCGAACAAAATTTGATTGAGTGGACCTGGGCCATAGACGAACCCGTAAACTGCTTCCCAGGTTATGTTCAAGCAAAGGCAATGCAGGGGCATGGCGTAAGAACGATCCTTGAACGCTTGACGAGTCATCAAAATGTATGAGATAGACCATAGAATGCCTGAGATGGCTGTGAAGCCATCGGGCACAGACTTCACATGCCAGTAAGGCGCTTGAGCATTATTGTAGTCGTCGTTGGCAGCGGCCCATTCTTCGAGCGCAAAGAAACCCATTTCTCACATAGATCTGGATTAATTATGGGGAGAATTATTTCAAGTTGTGTAAATCGCTCCCATATATATCTGATATCGCCATATTGAACGAGTGAGGGGTACGTCCAGATGTCCGAGTCGGAGTGAGGTTCGTCGGCCGAGTCAGATCGGTCCAAGATTTTCATACTAGCCAGGTACCATCAAGGCGTTCTACCGCCAGCTCGGCTCCAGGGGGAAACGTCATTTTATTCGTGGCACTTTTGTATAATCTTATGTCATTTCCCGCCCGATATTGCAAGTATTAAATTTATAAATGGTGGGTCATAACATATATACAAGAACAGGAGCAATAGTTCCAAGGTTTGTTTCACTCCAGGACTATCACTCATCATGATTCGGATTAATATTTCTCTCATACTGTGCGCCTCACTGGCTATTCTGAGAGATGCAGTTGCTGTTTCCACCGCTCAATCCTCGGCTGCTTCTGCTTTATCTTCACTTGGCGTCTCTCTTCCAAAGGGCGAGGTCCTGGTCGGGGATGTCCGGTATACCTGCAACCTGCTGGATACGGTGTTTTCGAAAAATGAGACCTTCACAGTGAGCTCATCATACTATGACCCATTGATCGACGAAGCCTGGTCACAGAATTGCCGATTAAATGCGTCCTGTGTTATAACACCCACTTCAGCCCAAGAGGTTTCAACCTTGTTACAGATCCTCGAAATTTTGGATACCAAGTTCTCTATTCGCTCGGGTGGACATAATATCAACCCGGGCTTTAGTTCAATTGGCAGGCAAGGAGTTTTGGTCGCTCTCGAAAAGTTGGACACTCTTTCACTGAGCGCTGATCTCGGAACGGTTACAATTGGGCCTGGTAATCAGTGGGGAACTGTATACGAGTATCTCCAGGGGTATAATCTCTCAACTTTGGGTGGTCTTGAAGTCGTTGTAGGTGTCGGCGGGTACATTCTTGGTGGTGAGTGCATAGACTGTCGGAATTCAAGTTCCCCTGCCCTTCATTGAAAAGCTGACGGAAGCAGGTGGTCTCAGTACATTTTACAATACATATGGGTTGGCCATTGACAGCGTCATCCGATTCCAGGTCGTACTTCCCAGCGGGTCCATTGTCAACGCGACTCAAACTGAGAATGCCGATCTATTCAAAGGCCTTAAGGGAGGTTTGAACAATTTTGGTGAGAATGACTTTATCTATGCATCGTTTCCTCAACTAATCGTTCCAGGCATCGTGACTGAATATGACCTCGCGACAAATACAGGAGTCAATATCTTCTACGAGATAAATACCTATACTCTCGCCAACACACCCGCTGTACTTGCAGCATATGCCACGTATCTACAGGATGCCGATATCAACAGTAACGTGGAGATCCAGATCAACCCCACCTACACTATGGTATTCTACGGGTACGTTGGACATGTTTCTACGCCTGCAACATTCGATGTATTCTCCGACATACCTGTGGCTTCAGTACTATACCCACCAACAAACGGCTCGCTTCCTGAGCTTCTCCTCACAATTGGTGCCTCTGGACTGAGTTCAGATGGTATTTCCTATGGCGGAACCTTCACTTTCGAGGTTACTGGGGCTGCACTTCTACAGGTGACATACGAGGTGTATCTAGAGGCTGTCGCCTCTCTGCCTTCAGAGGCGGAACTCTCTTATGTGCCTCAAGGGGTTATTCCGAACTTGGTGACAAAAGGCAAGGCGCAGAATGGAGGGAATCTCCTTGGTCTAACAGCTACGCCCCAAGTCTGTATGTATTTTCTCCCTATCATTCATCCATACTACCACTGATAATTCGAAATTTTATGCAGGGATGGATGTTTTTGTCCAATTTCCAGCAACTTTGAACCAATCTGCGGTGACAGGTGTTGTCGACTCAGTATTGGCTAATCTTACATCGAGTGCAAAATCGCAGGGTGTTTTTCTTCCTTATATCTTCGTGAATGATGCGAGCCCTACTCAAAAGCCATTACAGTCATTCGGGACAGAGAATCTCAAGTATATTGATGTTGTGGCGAAGAAATATGATCCCAATGGTGTGATGCAGAAGTTGCAGAATCGGGCCTACTTTGTTTCAGAGGAGTTGTGAAATATGTACCAGCTACCGAAGTCTATTTATTTGTTTCATTGTGGAATCAAGTTGCACCATTGCTAAACTTGAACATGTTACGTGTTCTGCCCTCCTCTCCGAGTCTCTTCCCCCAAGCACCTACCGCTGAAAAAAATTTCTCCATTTTCCATGTTGTGTTCCCAAGTGAAAGGCTAGTACGTATGAATCAGTATGACAGGGATAACATGAAGACTGCTCACCTACATGACAGCAGAGCATAAGATCTCTTTCACTCGGTGTTCTCCATCTACCCTGCCCAGGTGGGTCTCGTTCCTTATCCCTGCTACTCTCAGGCCCCGGTGGTGAACCTCTTCTCTCTTCCCTCCAAGGCTCTCATGTTTCGCAGTCATGGCATGGATTAGCTCCACTAATATGCACATGTGCAGAATGAGGAGATGTTAATTGGAGACGAAAAAAAGCGAAATGTAAGATATGAAGGATGTTCCTAATAAGGAAAGAGCTTGAAACTGATACCTAGTCTTAGGAAGTGGCGCTTTTTAATTGAGAACAATATCAAGCTTGAACCATCTAATGATTTCTAATAGTTCGGTTATTCCAAGGTTCAGGGGAAAGAATCTGACCGCTACTACACGTATGCCTGCTTCTATTACAGACTGCATACAATACGAATTACTTTTCATCAATTTCTTCAAAGCACATATACAGTGGTGTTTAACAAGTATTTGACCTTGAGTACTTTCAGACCCGACCGCTCTATAGACCGCTCACCAATCTAGTAAAGTCAACTCCACGCGCCCTGACTTTTTAACATAGACGGCACCATTCAATAGATAAAAGGGTGCTTGGAAGAAATCACGGGATTTTTTCTTTTATTCCTCGGCCAAATTATGCCAGATATGAATTTCTGCTGGCAATAAGAGAAGTGGACCCTGAAGTACCTAAGGTCAATACTTGTTAAACACCACTGTAGCTGAACTACTACAGCTTAATGCTTACTAAACTTTCTCGATCCATCAAAAGACATCTTTTCAATATCATCCATCATACGAATCCATTCTGGTCTATTATAGTTAAGAAATAAATTTATAATCTGATATATTCACTATTCATTTTGGGGTGTCCCGCTCACTTACATGTTCCGCTCGCTTACTAGTTATATTATTAGGTGGTGTAATAATTAGGCGGATTTTAATAGCTATCCTACAAATGATACAGCATATTTTACGAAAATTGCACATAGAATGGGCTCCACTTTTAAAGGCCTCACGAGCTTTTCTTGGCGGGCCTTTTAATGGACAAATCACTTTTCGTCCGCCTGGACATATCCACGGGCCTGCCAAATCTACTCCTAAGTGGCTGAGATGTAGGCAATAAAATCAATTAGAGGCGCTTTGTTGGGACAACTTTCGTCATTATCGCTATGGTATTCAGACCTATATGAAGATTCGTATGTTCTTAGTCTGTAACCGTACCGTTCCTAGTTGACTTGACGGCTTTTGCGGGGTCACGTCCATAGAAGCAGGTTGCATGGGAGTCCCGAAGATGCATTAAGTCAAGCTATATATTAGAGTACGTGCTTAGAGACTAAACTTAGTAATAATATGACGTTAGAAATCTAATTCTTGAAGAAACAACTACACAAGAGAGGTGACCGAAATAAAGAAAAAGAAAAGAGAGAAAAATCAATCATAAAGAAGAAAACAGCCAGGGACGCTTTCACACCAGGTTCTCCTGCCATATGATCAGCAGTACACTCGCATGAGGATTCTGACTCACTCAGACACCTCATATGCATAGTCCTAGACACCTCACTACATCACATGTAGGTTTCCTGTAGACCCCATGGGTTATGATAATTGAAATGCCGCATTAGGCGTCCAGTTTTCTTGATAAAGAAAATATTTGAATAACCTCAAATATCTGGTATTCATCTGATGATTACTATGGTAGAATTGAGTTGATTTTACCTATACATGTTGAGAACCGCTATTCATCCGGTCTTTCAGGTAAACATTAGTTTAAACTATAGAAGCACTTCCAAGGTTGAGTGTCAATGGCTAACAATGAATTCGGTTATTGACCGACGGTTCCTGTTATTCAGCTTGTCCAGTGATTCGGAAAAACGGAGTGTGGGTCCAGCCCGCTCCTGGAATCTGGAAATAGCATGATCGGCAACGGGATCAAAAAACATGTCGCAAAGTCTTGACCACTTAGCGACCCAGAAAGGGCCCGTGGCTAACGGCAACTTCTTCCAGGTTCCGGCTTTCCATGATCAGGTTGTATGCAGCTGCGACACGGCTTTTGGCACGCAGCCCGCCATTATCCATGGAAAACAAAAGGTCACCTAATATATCGCCTTTTTCTTCATATCTTAGCTTGGTAGACATGTAACCTTCGCTTACACTCAACTCTCATTCTCGCCTTTCTAAATGTCGTCGGTAAATGTCGGCTGGGCACAATGCATCCAGGGTGGCAATGATATCACTCCGATCTAGACAAAGCGCGGAATCTCCAATCTTGAAACTTGCCAGTACCTGGAGATGGATAAAACACAAATTTGACCAAGACACATTGCGTGTCCACCTGATAAGTTCAAGGGCGAAGAGATCTGTCATTTGGGAGGAATTGCTCTCCAACAAAAGAACCAAGGGTAGGCATATAGGAGAGCACATGCAATGCAGCAAATGCGCGATATGGAATTGATCATTTGAGAAGTACGGTGAGCTAACAGACGTTGGATGCGGGGTAATGAACGTTGGATGCGGGGTCACAATGTGCTCCCAGTCTACGGTCGCCAATTGAGTTTCACCGCCGGAAGCTGTAAATCGTAAGGTTCAGGAGCATTTTCGAGAGATATGCAGAAATACGTACTCTGGGGAGTTATCGGTTCTTGAATTAACGGAGATAACTCCTGGAGAACACGCTCAACGTCGATGGGGATAAAGGCAGAGATGTGACGTGACCGTGGTGGTCTCTTTGTTATGCTTTTCTCTATTAGGAGTATAGCATCTTCTCTGCTCCTGTGCTTGCTAAGAGTCGCTAACAAATGCAGCAGGTTTTTACTCCAATGTTGCGGGGCCAAGCTTTGAGGAATCGCTTCGTTCAACGACATATGCCAATTCTTTTCAATTGCGGCAATGCTGGCCATTTTGATACGGTCGGACTTTTTGAATCGCTGAATAATCGGCCGTATAAGATGCTGGTAGCTAATCAATTGCCGATATTGCTCCAAAGATTCGAATCCGTATGACCAGAGATTATGTTTGCACACGTACTCCCAAGCAACATAAACGAGTTCCGATAGTTTCTCGTCTGCATTTATACTTGATTTCAAAATTTCAGTGACTGTTTCCAGCTGCTTCTGCTTTGGGTATCCCTTTAGCTTAGTCTCCAGAGCTAGATGAAGATTTGCGGGCGATTCGCGGCCAAGGGACTGCTGAATAAGTTCCATTTCACGCCAAGCTGTTGAAAATTGGATACTTTTAATTAAGAGTAAAGTAAAAATCTGACCATGGGGCCTTTGAGCTCTTAGGTATCGGTATTATATGATTTCTCATTAATAACATGTAAGACCTACCAAGGACGAGTCGTTGTGTAACCATTCCTCCCATCTTGTCTGCGTAGAATTTGGGGCTGACCAATGGAGAAAGCTCGATGGTGATCAAGTATGCAGTATCATCTCAATTTGATCATTCAGTTGTCATCCTTGGGAGAAATCAAGTTTTGCAGCTTTCGGTTGTCAAGCATATATTCCCAAATCGAGATTGGTCTCAGGGTATCCGGCTTGGTTGGATCATCGAAAGCTGCTGGAACGGGCAATTCCGCTGCGCCCAAAATCTTCTACAAGCTAAACCTAGTCGATGCTCACTTTTGGTCTATGGTCGCTCACTATCAGCTCACTGACTAGCTTGAATATGTTGATAACCTGGTTGGAGGGCGACTAGACATTAAGTGACTGAGAATAAAAGAAAATAAACACAAAACTCCTGACCCGAGCACCCATGAGCAGGTTCGCATCGTGCAATCCGAAGGAGCGGTGGAAGCCGCGCATATTTTCATCTTTTCTAGTGCCGAGACAGAGAAATATGGCCAAATAGCCGACTCGCTTCCAAGGTTGCCTCAAGAACGACTGGTACCTGGTCCCAGTACTACACCATTGTGGACTCCAGCCACGCTTCACGAAGCCGGTGAGTTATTTCTTCCTCTGATTTATGATACGAGCTATCATATATGGGCTGAGACTGCTTGGAATTGACTTGAAGAATTTGTTCGACCTCCCGTATGCACCAACAGATGGCGCTGGCGTATAGAGCATAGATGAAAATTATATCGTTTAGGAAAATGGCCCTATTTCAGGTCTATGGATTTTTATGCATGAAAACACTTCTTAGGTAGTAAAATCAGATATATATTTACAGTAGCTATACTTAATAGCTAGAATACTAAAAATAAAACATATTTTTCACAAATTATGCCTAAGAATAAGATCCATTTTCATGGGCCTAATGGGCTTTTCTTGGCGGGCCTGTCCATGGATAAACCACTTTTTTTCCACCTGGACATATCCCTGGGCCTATCAAAGTCTACTCAGCAACATTCATTCGAGTTCAGCGATTGTCGGCAACCTGTGTCTCTTGGCAAAACATCTTGGCCTTGAGCAGTCTTTATTCCTCGGAAAGGCCTGTGGGTAGATTCGGTTCCATCTACTATAGGCCATACAATATGATCTCGATCTTGGACGAAGGCAAGATTGGCAAAAGAGTCGCATACGATACTCTGACTGAGACTAATCATATGTCGGCGGGTGGCTAGGTATGTGCGATATTGCCATTTGGCTGTTATTACTACCGTTGACCCTGAGTGGCCTTGTTACGTCAGCATCATCCAATCAGACCCTCTAGGCTCTAACCTTTCACTAAACTACAAATTAACTCCATGGTACCATTTCATCTCAACGTGATTTTCAGGGCAACAAAACGTGAAGGTCAAGGGTACGGAGGCGAGTAGCGGCCAATTTATCAAAACCCCTAAAAACCAGGCAGAAATAGTAGATCATTACTAGAAATGGCGTAAAACGTGACTACAAAGTAAGGAGGTTGGTAGCCTCAGGCAAAGATTTCTGTTTTACCGGTTTCTTTGTCTGACCATACATAAATACAGTGGCATTCCATAAGTTTGAAGTCCACTGTTCACCGCTCTTTACCATCACCTACTAGAAGTGGCATGCCGCCTATTGAAATTAGACGCGCTGATGTACCCCTGCTATTAAGGGTATGCGGGTGAATCCACGTGACTTAGCACGTGCAATGCACTCTTCGAGCTTGTCCTGGAAACTTTTCTTTGGTGGCATATTTCAAGCGATATGAAAATCATAGCAGACCGAATAAGGGGCCCTGAGCTGTTTATATGTTTCTCCCAGATGTCCCAAGGTATGGCCAGTGTCGGTGTGCGGCGGGGTCGATCACCCCTGGGGTGAGAAATCTCTCCCTGTTCTCACCTCTATCACCCACACTCACCTAGCGTAAAGCAGTCGCCGCTCTAGTTTAGTAGGGCTTTATAAAGTATTAGCCATGCTGATCTACTAGGGGTTAAATGCGGCCAGTAGTTCGGTGGGTACTACCAGGGTGAGAAATGGGTAAGAGCCGCTTTAGCGTCGCGCGACCGGGGGTGAGAAGGGTGAGTGCGCAATATACAGGGTGAGAAACAGGGTGAGAGCGGGTGATGCTCACCCGCTGTCGCGCGATGGCCGCACTGACCTTCCAAGCTGAGCGAGAGTACAACATAATTGGGCCACGATTCTCAGCTGAAACGGTCGGCATCCTGGCATCTGCACACAGCCCCCTCAGTGGAGTGATTTTCGAATGCACTGTAGACATGAGGCCCATCCTATTCTACAGATTGGAGTGTCAAATATTCGATATATGCAGACCTTTTACGATCGCACTTCCCGGACAGTCCACCATCATATTTTTCTGCATGATCGTTGCACTCATTTCGAGGCGGCAAATAAAGAACAGGTTCAAAAAATGAATGCTAGTAAAAAACAGGTGGTTTTGATGGCAGTTTACGGAGTTTGGAGGAGATACAGACTGTTGTGGTTGAGCAGAGTGGTAATGAAGAGATACTTATATCTGCAGTTGAGCCTGTTGAACCCGCATCTACTGAAATTGAGTTGCCTCAAATGCCTGTTGTAAAGCGCCAGAGAACCTGCTCTGGTTGCAATACCATAGGGCATACCTATAATAACTCTCCTACTCGTGTTATTTAGTTTATTTTATTATGTTTTTGTATCTAAAAGTGGAATTGAAATTGATGCGTTCATTTGAATCTTGGTGGGTACTGGTGATCCACGTTATAACTAAGGCTTGGCACAATATCACATAATCTACTCTCTTTCGGCTGCCTATTCCGCACACTTCTATTCTCCTCGATATTCACTCGATCCCTGTTGAAGAAATTAATTCTCAGGCCTCGTTTAAACAAAGGCATTTGCAGCCCTGCAGTACAGCTCCAGTTTTTTCAATCGATCTCGATTGTACAACAGGAACTGTAGTCCTCTGTTCCGGCTCCACAGCTAGCACGTTTTGACAAATCTTTTTCATCCACATCACGTTTCAACGTATTATAAGTGGAACGGCCGTTGATCATCGATACCATCTCTATCAATGTCCCGACATGGGCACTTGCTACCGACGCAACCGCAGCAGTACCTCCCCTCAGCGATAATTGGTCCCCTAAATTGAGACTGCCATATAGATCATTTACTGCGTCAGCTATCCAGAAGGATTCCGTAGTAGCTATCACGATAACTTTCGCCTTCCAAATAACTCCAAGGTTGATGGAGCTTGTGAAAATGAACTCGTCTGCCCCGACATTGCCGACCACGTTAAAAAAATTAAACATCTGATTGTAGAGGTCAAGTAGACCGGCCGCATATCCTGGGTTTACCAGTGTTCCAGAGCTTACTGCCCAACAATAACCGCTGGTCGTACCAGTGATACTCAACGTCCTAGGCACCAACCCTCTCGCCTCAACAACTGCCATGCCGCTCAGATCCACTGGGTTGCCAGCCACAAAACTGAGGTGTAACACCAAGTATGTGATCAAATAATTGAACTTCATTTTGTTCTGTGGTCGTCGACAAATATCTACTACAGTTTGGACTGTATGATAGTTGTAAAGCTGGGAATTGTACAGGAGGTACGGGATCGTGGCTTTCACAGTTTCAGACAGAGCACTGGAAGAAGTGTGAGGGTCCTTTTCCAAAATCGGATTGGATAACTTCAACGCGATGTTAGCCCAACGTCTCATTAAAATTATAGGATTTATGGGGAAGGCTCACGTTTAGGTCAAGTAGATCTAGTGAGAATTGAGCTTCAACTGAATTGAATTGAATTGAATTGACAATTTGAATTTTGACTTTGTTATTCGACTTCGTTTTCTGTCTAAGAGAGGGATGCGGTATATATAGCTAGAAAATACCTCTGATTTGACATAATTTGAAATCAAGATTTAAAATCATAAAACAATTAAAATCATAAAACAATAAACTCTTAGCAGAAGCAATTTACGGGAAGATACTACTCTAGGTCAGCCTTCACGATTGAGGCTATAGTTTACGGCAATAGATATCGTTAGTGTACCGAACCGGGACAAATTGACCAATTAAGGGAAATTAAGTTGCTGCAGGGGAGCACGCCGTAAGCTTGGCGTCTCGTCTGACTTGCATTGTCAACATCAATATACGGATAAATAGCTCAATGATGGAGCTTTTTGCTGATGAGGAAGATGCCTGGAGTACTATTGTTGTCAGAGTGCAGGGATGAACCCCGGGTAATAGTGATTCGCCGAGTTTCACAGATCTCAGAAGGATTTTTCGGTTACATGCGAGCCCCTCTATTTTTCATTTGGATATGGAGCTTAAGTCCCTGACCATCAATCAATCTATTCAGCGTCCAGCAAGAGTCCTTGACACTTCCTGTCTCCCTACAGTACACCGTATCACCTATTTCAATAGTCATTTTTTACCCTAGTATCATGAACACTTTTATGAGGACTACTAAAGACCGCAGAACGGGCTGCTATACAAACCAAGAAAAATACAAAGAAAAAGAAAAAGCAAACATACTAAATCTAAAAGGGTAGAGCGGTGGAAAAAGGAAGGCTAGAGTCCGAGAGACTAGAGCAGAAAGCAGCCCCTGAAGGAGCACACTAGTCCCGATTAGTACTTTTATCCACCTTCCGATTTAAATGTTTCCCAAAATACTAGCAATTTTTAGGGTCTTCCTTTCTTACTTACCTATTATCCAACTATAGAATCTCGTTTCTTAACTGGAGCATATACTTTATCAAGTCATTGATGGTTCTTAGGAGCTACCGCATCTACTATCGATCGTGGTGAGACCTATTGAATGTATACTTTCGCGCCCTGTGAAAGTCACAACGCCATATCGTTCAGCCGCTGGAAACTCTTTCGTTCCTAGCCACCAGAAATCCTCCTGTAAATATACCAGGAAGTCCTGTATAGAGGATTGGACAAACATCAGCTTTCTAATAGCCATATAATCCATCGACATTCACAAACAATATCAGTCACTTTCTCCATCTCTTTCGTGACTTGAATTCTGAGGTCCAACGCCTAAAGTGACTTAAAATGCCCGCATGAAAGAATTCGCTAATACTGCCACGATAATTATTTGCAGTAAAAGAAATACCGAGATTGAAGGTATGTTAAAGCGATGGCAACTCGTAGGCGAGGAAGGTTGTCGAGGTCAATGCGAATATGCAAGTGGAGTGCATTTGGAGCACTTAATCCTAGGATGCTACTCGCCATTCCACTTATGAATAAATTAAGCGGTACGAAAATAGAGTCGATGCATTCCTCTAATGAGAATGATTCAGAGCGACTTGTATATACTCGTCTCTCAACTTAGTAGAAGTTTATTCCCACTGAAGAATTCTGCCCGAGGTAGAATGAATTCCTGATAACCACCACCGAAGAGGACACCACCAAAGGGGACATTGCCAAAGGGGACACCGCCAAAGAGGAAGTCCTTATTACAGATTATGTCCCCTGGTTAACACCAGATGAGTTCGCATGATATAGATCCATAGGCAAATGCGGAGTAACGGGTAGATAGAGACTGTCGAAGTCTGTGAGCATAAATGGCTCTTGTGGTAATTCACAGAAATCGCTTTGTCCATAGTTGCTATCATCACCGGTATCTTCATCATTGGATGATATGTCAGATAGTACGGAGCCCATCTGTGAAGTGTCGCTAACGTGAAGTCCGGTTGCGCGGGCGACCCGGTTGAGCGAGCGACCCCACCAAACTTCGAAAAATCATTAATTCTGAACTACCACTAAACCATCAAGTAACTCAAAATCTTGCTACTAAACACGTGAAGGGCATCTAGGATATGTATGACCTTTTATCCCACAGCCAGAACATGTCACATGCCGCCGAACCGAAGGCATAGAAGGTAAAGTAGGCTCAACAACCGCTCTTGTAGATACCTCTGGCAAATATATATCTTTACCATTATCTTCATCCTTATAAACCACATCATCTTTACTATTCTCTAGACCCCTAAAGATACCTTTTTGGGCAGTAAACTTATGTATTGTCTCTCGTTTTTTTGTCTGTTTCTTATTGGTAGCCTCTAATTGGGTATAGCGATTCTGGAGAAAAATATGGTGGTGGACTACTTTGATAGTCATATCATAGGTCTTCTGAAGCTCTCTTTTTGTTGGTGAAGAGAGGATTGAAGAAGAAGATTCTAGACCTTTTTTGATCCGAGATTGTGATTTTGTGAATTTTGAGAGAGTCCAGAGAGTATTTGAATCACTATTACTGCCGGAAGAGAGTGGTCGCTGTGAGATAATATCGAGAGGAGGAAGGGAATCCAGGCGCACATTTAGCTTTTCTAAGACTTTATTAGTATTAAATGGTGCTAATCTAGTAGCTGAAAAGCTATTTTGTATAGTAGAAGTCTTAAAAGCACCAATTCTCGCATTAGCGATAAGTTCAAGAAAATCTTCCTTATTAATAGAGTTCACTCTATTCCGCATTAAGGTTAAAACCGCTCCTCCATAAAGCCTCTTTAAAACCGAAAAATAGCCTATATCTAAAGGTTGTAAAAGGTGGGAAGCATGAGGAGGCATATAGATTGCGATAATTTGGTTTTCTTTATAAAGTTGGTTAAATTCGGGGGTTAAATGACTCCTATGACCATCGAGGACTAGTAGGCAATATTTTCCCACTCTTAGCCTAATATTTGGGATAAAAAGATGTTTTAACCACCATAAACCAATTATATTAGTAGTCCAGCCATTTTCACTTATAGTAAGACGTGCTCCTTCTTGATTTAAAAGAAGATAAGGGCGTAGATGCTCTGGAAACTTTTTTCCCTTGAAAATAAAGAGTGGAGGCATGATACTTCCAGAAGCTCGAATACACTCGATTATGGTTACCCACTCGCGATTTCCGGCTTTTAAAAGAGCTCTTTTCCCGTGGTATTCTGTAGAAGTGATAATTTTTTATATTGCGCCGATACCCATAGCAAAACCACTCTTATCAAAGTTAAAGATATCGTCCGAGACAATACCCCACTTTTCAATAGTCTTTTGAACCAAATCAAACCATGGTTTAATGATTCTAGGATCTTCTGAAAGAGCTCTCTGATAATCATATTTGCGTGAAAGTCGAATAGAGAGATTTGGGCGTCGTTTGATAAATTGAGTAGGCCAATTGACGCCAATAGTCGAGGGGTTATTTTTCTGGGCACTTCGTAGGAGATTGGCCATATCACGTAACATAGGTATCGTGAGAGCAGCACCTCTAGCATCCATATCAAGTAGCCAGTCTTCCATTGATTGCTCTTCAATTTCAGTAAAAATATGGCCAGTTGGTCTCTTCTCAGCCAAAGATTCACGCCCATTAAGCCGATACTTCAAAGTTGAGACAGGTAAATCAAATGATCGTGCAGCAGCTGCAGCAGAGGGAAATTTACCATCTTTTATAGCTTTTATAGCTAATAAAAGACGGCCCTCCTGCTCTATCAACTTTTTTTTTCGATCGGAGCGTTGGGGAGGCATTTTTGTTGTGGTTAATAAACATGTTTTATTATGAAGAGGGATTTTGATGGGGCCGCCCGACCGGCAGTGTCGCCCGGGAGACCGTGAATCACGTTAACGTGATCCACGGTCGCCCGAGCGACACGGCCGCGCGAGCGACCCCATCGAAAATCCACTTCAATAATAATACATACTTTTTAACCACAACAAAAATGCCACCCCAACGCTCTGAGAAAAAAACAAAATTGATAGAGCAAGAAGGTCGCCTTTTATTAGCTATAAAAGCTATAAAAGATGGTATATATCCCTCTGCTGCAGCTGCTGCACGATCTTTTGAGATACCTGTCTCAACTTTGAAGGCCCGGATCTCTCCTTTCCATATTTCTTCATACTCTGTATCTTCGTCCCTTCTAATTCCCTTTGTAGATTTTAGGCCCTCATTGCCATAAATCTTACCCCAAGAGACATCATCTTCAACATTAAGATCAAATTCCTCTAAATGATGACGGTGTCTCCAGAGACATCTTACAAGGGACGTGAGAGTCACATTTACCTTGCCCCTCTCTGGCTGTGCCCGCCTACCAATAATGTATATGGGAATCAATGATATGGCACATTTCATATTCCATCTCTGCTAAATCTAAGTAGGTAAAGCTGACCTCGCTGTAATTTGCTGATTTTGGCGGAGGAGGTAAGCCGGCCTCATTATTCCACGAGGCTAGAGTGAAAGATACGGACTTCAGCGCTAGGAGCCGTCGGACCAGATTCAGTCGATGATAATAATCTTCAGCGATTTTATAGTAAATACCATCATTACCTACTAAACAGTCGTCAGGAAGAAAGATTATCCGTTTGAGATTCTATAGATGAGGAATCGGATTGGAATTTTTGTTTACACGGCGGAGCATTATAAGGAGAATAAAATGTTCAATCTCAGAACTAGGTTCTCCAACGTGGAATATAGTAGGGGACTCTAGCTAAGACGAAATAGCGATCAGGAGCGCTATAAGAGCCTATTTGAAGGCCATATAGTATTTATAAGAGGAGTTTCGTCTAATAGGTTTATTGGCCATTTATCATAAAACTAGAGAAAAGGAAGAGTTATCCACGTATAGGTCTCTTATATGGTTTTGTAGCAGCATATATAGTATCCTTTATAGCTTGTTCTCTTCTGTTTCGGCATTGTTCCGGTGGCTTTCAGAGTTTGATTATGCACTTGCTCCTCTTCCTACTCATGTGTGGACTCGCAAATGCCTGCATGCATGTGGCTCGACACCGAGGTGTATCGATATTTTCAAGTGATACATATGTTCCGGCATGAAACCCTGCGCCACGATGAACCTCTGCATTCTATTTTCTGAAAAACAAAAATGAAACAAAACTGGAATGAACTTATTCCAGTGCTCCGAGACTGCATCAACTGAATAGATACCTCCATTCCATCGAAAATAACATAAAAAAACGACGGCTGGCGGATTTGAACCGCCGCCTCCGAAGAGAATTGATTTCTAGTCAATCGCCTTAGACCACTCGGCCAAACCGCCTTGGAAATTAACAGGCCCGAGCCGTGGATCGAACACGGGACCTCGCGCAGGAGTGCTTAGAGTGCTGCCCTAAGCGCGAATCATACCACTAGACCACCCGGGCTGCTGTTATGACACGTGATCGAATTTGGAATTCAAGAAGGCAATAAAAACAGAAAAGTTCTTTGAGTTGAAGAACCGTATTCCACATGTGAGCGCCGAACAGGCGAGCGCCGCACACAGGCGAGCGCCGCACCCTGGAATATATAGTAGATATGACGAATAATAACTTAGTATCTTAACAATAGTGGTCTGCAGGAGCTTTTCCTTGAACATTAGTCCTTTTTATTTGATATTCAGTCATTTTAGTGAGATTTGAATTTTTTGATCATCTGAGGATCATAAAATATATATCTCCTGGGGTGAACAACATAACCTTCGGTATCGAGATAATACAAGACTTTGGTTCATTTGAAATTGGTATATGTTATGATAAATCCTTATCGAACTTTATTGAAAGATAGTATAATATAATTAAGGAAGTGTTTGTTGATATGTAGGATTATCAAAATTAGCCTTTACCATGGTGTTTTGGGGTGCGGCGCTCATGTGAACATTGAAATACGCAAGTGGGCTGATATCGCAAAATCGGAAAGGCGATTCAAAAGCGTATGCATTCCTTGGTAAAGCCAAGAAATAATTGCTTCTTATTTTTACTTGAAACAGAAATCAGTCAGATATTTGAAGCTCCTCTCTTTTGACGCGTAGTCTTGATTTGCCAAGGAGAGTGGGTTCGTTTCGGAGGTGGACTTTAGCTCTCTAGAGACGAAGATCGCCTTCCCAAAAGATCCATTACACCGAATGATCGGCAGTGGCATCATCATCTTCTTGCTAAGATCCGGAAATCTCATTCCCTGGATTTTAATTTCATTTTTCATTCTTGTTACTTTGTTTCGTTCACGCTGATGACTATCCTAAATATAGAGGGATGCAATTAATATCCTTCAATTGCTATGGAGAACGCCAAGATAGCCTAACTGCTGTCGGTTTTCTTACCCCATACGAAACTCGGAGTGACTAGAAACAACATGGACATTGCTTAGAAACAAACGTATATAAAAGAGCTGAATCTTCCTTTCATCCTGCTTCTCTTCTCTACAGCTTCTCTCTTTCATTCCCGCGTAATATTTTGTTATTCATTCATTCAATATTTTCTTATCCTTTTTCTCAACCACACCGTTTTCCAGGATGAAGTACGCTGCTGTTCTGACGGCTATTGCCGCTCTAGCATCCAGGGTTACCGCTGTCGGGGTCCAGGGGACCCCCGAGGGTTTTGCTTCTTCTGCCACTGGTGGCGGAGATGCGACTGCGGTCTACCCTACTACGACTGATGAACTTGTCTCTTACCTTGGTGATGATGAGGCCCGCGTTATTGTCCTGAGCACGACGTAAAGACCTTCTGTTATTACCTTTCTGTCTACCTGCTGATTATTATAATCTAAATTTGACTTTACTGACACCGAGGGCACCACTACTGCTACTGGATGCGCTCCCTGGGGCACTGGCTCTGCCTGCCAGGTTGCTATCAACCAGGATGACTGGTGTACCAACTACGAACCGGATGCGCCCACCACTTCTGTGACCTAGTAGGAGTTCTAATACTCGGAGTTGACAACTTCAATGCTAATACGGATCATAGCAACTCCGCTGGCTTACTTGGTATCACCGTGAACTCCAATAAGTCTTTGATTGGCGAGGGTACCAGTGGTGTCATCAAGGGCCGTGGTATTCGCATGGTCAGCGGTGCCAGCAACATCATCGTACAGTGCGTTGAACGGATACACCAATTTACTGTTTTGTACAGGCTAACCAAAGCACTGCAGGAACATTGCTATTACCGATATCAATCCCAAGTACGTCTGGGGTGGTGATGCCATCACTCTTGATAATGCCGATCTGGTTTGGATTGATCACGTCACTGTATGCGACTCTAAAATACACTGAATGATTTTATTGTGACTAACGAATAATCCAGACTGCTCGCATTGGCCGTCAACACTATGTCCTGGGCACTGACGCTGACAACCGTGTCTCCCTCACCAACAACTACATTGATGGCGAAAGCGACTACTCTGCCACTTGCGATGGCCACCACTACTGGAATGTCTATCTCGATGGTTCTAGTGACAAGGTTACCTTCAAGGGTAACTATCTGTACAAGACCAGTGGTCGCGCCCCCAAGATCCAAGGCAATACCTACCTCCACGCTGTCAACAATTACTGGGACAACAACTCCGGTCATGCTTTTGAGATCGGTTCTGGGGGCTACGTGCTTGCTGAGGGTAACTATTTCAGCAATGTTGACACCGTTCTTGAGACTGATTCCTTCGAGGGTGAACTCTTCTCCTCCGGTAGCTCCTCTAGCACCTGCGAGTCTTACATTGGTCGTTCCTGCGTAGCCAACGTTAATGAAGGTGATCTCTCCGGCTCTTCCACCATTGTCCTCGAGAACCTGTCGGGCGATACCCTGCCAACCGCTTCGGCTGCCAGCACTGACCCTGCTTCCAGTGCTGGCCAGGGGAATCTCTAAATCATCCTGGGTATCCTTTTGGGGCCATTCCTCACGATTTCCAGAGAAGATTTTGTGAATGTGTGTATCATATAAGTATTAGCTTTCTTCTATCCTTAAAGAGTGAAAAAGTTTCCTTGTATACCCTTCAAGGTTGTCAACAACATCATCAATACAGTCATTCTTCGTTCTTCATTATATTCCAGGTTTCAGTATATCTAGAAATTGTTGGTTTCCAGAATCGATGCGCACAATACTGCTCATGAACTGACAGCGAAGCAGTATCTTTAGGAGTTACTCTCAGACTCCCTTTATCTACTTTTGTACAAACAGTAAGGAAAGTCAATAGATTTTCCTTGCAGATAATACAATCAGGACCGGTACTCTCTAGTACCCTTCAAGGAAGGCCGAGAGCCGGACAAGCTTTCGGGTCAAAAAAAAACGCCACCCAAGTATTAAGAATTTGATGATAATAATCCGGAAATTTGCCATGTTTGAGGAACTATAGATTAGATGTGGGAAAGAGGAGCCAGATCTCTCTCTTTCTCTCTCTCTTCTCTGTCCCTCTCGGAATAATGATCTTATCCGTTTCCTAGTATGTTTTCACGCCTCCCCTGGATGACAGCAGGATTCATCTGTCGACAGCACCCATGTGATGATAAATTCCTTTCACTGATATTCTATATTTACACTATATGATTTAAATTAGAGTGAATTAAAGTACATACGACCATAGGGTGTGGAGAACAGGGCTTCCCGTCCGCTCAGCCGTACTTAAGCCACACGCCGGTTAGTTAGTAGTATGGTGGGTGACCACATGCGAATCCTGACTGTTGTATGTTTTTATTTTTCAATTCCATTCTAATTTTTGACCGTCATAGCCCTATTTTTGATTCGCCTAGAAGAAACCATAATCTTCAAGCGCTAAGACTATCTATAGGGTTACCCTCCCCTATATTGTTTAATAGTGGTAATAATAAATATAGCTATATAGTCTGAGCATAGCTATAGCGGCAATCTACGTATAGGAGATAAATTCAAATATGTTAGAGCTCGACGATAGGAAGCACCATGCCGGGATTTGATCGATTGGAGTTCGGCTAACGTGTGGACTAAGTGGAGTGCCTAGCCTCTATTGAAACCAATCAGGGTGTGGGGAAAAGTAAATAATCTTTACATGACCAATAATACTATAGGTGTAAGTAGCCTGCGTGAATCAATCATCTGGAAACTTGCTCACCCCTTGCCGCTTTTTGCTCACTGAGAAAAATCAAGCATGCCCCTGAGCGCCTGATTGGCTCAGCATCACCTGATACTTACCTGAGCAGTCTGATCTACTCACTAAGCCTAATCTGAGCGCCCTGATTTGCTCACTGAGCTTGAGCTAAGCCTTCATAGAGCGGTGCCAGTCTTAAGATATTATCTGAAGATAGAATACCCCTAACGCCTGAGAATATTGACCCTACCAGGCTTACTCATCTCTGTGAGGTTCACTTGGTAGTAAGGTCATTTGCCTTAGCGCTTCGGCAACCGGTGGTTGCTGAATATAATTACTATAAGCTAGTAATATTGACTAACTAACCCGTCTTGGCTGATAATAATGTAAATCGTCATAACGCTACACACCTTCCTCTAGGAACATCTTAACTGGAGTGCGCTACAGCCCGCCTAGAAGTGTAGAGCCAACATCACATCATACTCCCAGTTCCAGCTTACTGAAATACTGAAGACGATATAACTGGAAAGGATAGATAAACTGGAAAGCATCGACCCCAAACCGCTACGATGAAGGTATCCGGCGACATCATTATCTCGTCTAGATGAATATTTTAGACTTGTGTTATCTATTGTTTGAAATGCATAGAATAAAACGTAGAGACATTCTATCTCAACGTATGAACCATCGGATCATCCAATCAGGTATGAAATAGTTATATTCTAAAGGACCACAGCGTCGACTTGTTTTGCGAGGTCAATTGATCGTTCTAGGATCCGTAGCTGATCGTTGCTAAGACTTTTGATTTCCGCGCCTACCATACAGCTCATATCTTGCTTTGTGGCACCCTTTTGCCAGTTGGCATCGATCATCCATTTCGATGGGACCTCGTACTCGTTTGCCATATCGATTCTTGCCTTGTTCTTCAACAGACCCCCATTATACCAGAGTAATTCATCATGGGCATCAACATGGGCGATGACGAAGCTGCAAACTTTCGATCTTCCTCTCTCGTCAACTTCCTCCCAGCCTATTATTCCTCCGTAATGCTTCGAGAACTCATAGTTGGCACCTGAGAGCTCAAGCCCCAACCACCAGCTCTCTTTGTCCCCGTATGTCATCTTATATGTGACCTCTTCGCGTACAGAGTAGGAGTTCTGCCAGGCCACATGTAAAAGCCCCACCAGGATATCAAGCCTACTCTTGTCGAGAACAACAAGACCTGAATCCTGCTCCTCAGCATAATCTTCGGTCCATACTAATGACATGTTCAGCATGCGACTTGGCCGCCGAATCTGATCCTTCCACCACTTATGACGCTCTTCAAAGGCATGCTGAAAGAGCAGCCGGTCATGAAACAGCAGTGCGCCGGTTCGAAGGAATGTCTCATGCTGGAGAAGTACCTCAGGTGGTTGGAGGAATACCGCATCAGCATCGGCAAGTATGACTCGCTCAAAGTGAGAGCCTAGGGCTGCAAAGGCTTTGATCGCCCAGCCACCGAACTCTAGTTCTAGAGTTGAATTATCGAAGACGCTGTTGATGTCGAGGAACTCAAGGGGCGGTCCCAATTCTACCAGGTGAGACAAAAGCGCCCTATTGTCCTGTGAGAGGTCACGATCGCCCGCGTAGACGACCTGTATGGGTAGAGTAGAGTTCAGGACCGAGCGTAGCGCGCTGACTAGGTGAGCTGCAAAGCGAAGAGTCTTATCACTGGTCGGGATCACGATTCCAGTTGAGCCCGGTTGGAAGGACGCACGAAGATCTGCTACCGGGGTTGGCGAGGTGGGCTGCGCGGGAGGTTTCTCTAGGAATGGGAAGAGCGAGATGGCAACTTGCTCAACAGCGTTGACATATAAAGCTTTTGTCGTAGGTTCCTCTTCTTTTTCAGCCAAATTTAGCCAATCGCGCACAATCCGAGCACGCCGACCTAGCTCGCCAAATTTGTCTTTGTACGGCGGGTTGAGCGGGTAATCCAAGAAGTATATAGAAAGGTCTGTCACTAGATTGATATCATTGAGATCGACCGCGGTTTTTTGTTCAGTTGTAGTACTGTATCCCAGGTGCAAGACCCCTGAGGTAGTCTGTAATGTTGGTGAATACAACAAAACCAGAAAAAGTAGTGTTAATGCTGCTCCCGCACCAGCAATGACCTGAAAAGCTTGGGAGCCTGGGAAAGCCCTAAGAAAACTCATGTCTATAGATCAAGAGACAATGAGGACAACCCTCAAAAGGATACTTCTGTGCAGAGTTGCTTTTGGGGCTTTCCTGCATAGTAAGAGGTGAGTTTATCGTATGTCCGCGGTTGCCTTGAGCCAGCTGAAATCTTTCTCATTAGCTATTTCACATGAGAGTGGCGTATACAAGCGAGTGGCGCACCCTCAAACACCATAGTAAATGCGATTAATTACAACTCGTTATCTCCTCAACAACAGCGGTCTATAGGAACTTGGCCTTAAAGCTGCAGTTGTTTTATCTGGTATTTCGAGACTTTAGTGAGTTTCGAGGATTTTAAATGCATAATGGCTGCGGTAGATACAATTCATAGGCTGAGGAACTTAATTTTTGGTTTCGTGATAATATCATGGTACAATTTACTCAAAGTTGATATTACTATCGATGTCTATCGGTAAGTGGGGGAGCGTCTTAAGAATGTGGTTGTTGAGATATTTAAGTAGTAAGTATTGCATTTACTATGTTGTTTGAGGGTACGCTAACTCGTTTGTGTGCGCCATTCGCATAAGAAATACATTATAGCGCACCGGAAAGCGGGCTGGACACGTAAGCTACCTGGACACCCCACAAAACCATTTTAGTAAGAATGATATTTGACGTGGATACTGCCAAGCTTTCCTTATATACTATGAGTTCTATCTTTGATATATACGTCTGATTTCAATTACTAAATAAGCTTTAAGCGTTAGATATACAAGATTGTCAAAGATCGCATTTACTAACTAATATGGTGTTTTGAGGTGTCCAGCTAGCTTACGTGTCCAGCCCGCTTTCCGGTCACGTTATTAGCTGTAGGGTGGTGTAATATGAGGTCCGGCTTACGCTAGCCGAGAATCAGGCCCTTCGAAAAACTTTAATACGCCGGCAAATACTGCCCCAATTCCCGACCGAGTTACGCTAGTGCTGTTACGAGGCAAGATGATCTCGGAAGAAAGTGTCCATATTTAACGAGAATATCAAGGATAGAGAGATGAAAGCGAAAGACGGAGAAGAAGCATGAACAAAATATACGCTCTCTCGCCCATTGGAAGGTTCCAGCAATCCACTCCGGATGGCAATGGCCAAACAGCCCAACAGTCTGGTCAGAAACAGCCAACAGCCCTCAGGCGGTCTGGAAACAGCCAGGTTCGCCACAAGTGTCCTCAGTTCGAGGGGTTATTTTGTATGCAGTTATCGCTCAGTTACCCGCTTAAAAGTGATTTATGAGGTCTGGAAGCGCGTCCCTCAGTAGCCACAACTCGTAGGTTGGTATGAGAATTCACCCACTGTCACCTAGTTGACTAATGGATAGCGATCCCACTAAGATGATAGCGCCGTAGTGCATTACCACTACTTTGCATCTTAGGGGCGCAGCTACAGACTGATCAGTCCAGGGGTGATGACGACGCCGAGTCGGTCATCTGTGAGTCAATTGGGGAGAAAAGAATGGCGTGGTTCTTAGATACACAGACGGACTATTGTGGCTTCTCGACGCTGCTTTCTCGGCTTCTCTCGTCCAGAATGAATCACCCGTACTCGAGGTATTTAGTATAGGTATATAGACACCAGGAGTCAAATAATATTTACTCGAAGAGCTATCCAGTATAAGATAGGCGATCTACTCTAAAATAAAGACGGCCCCTATTTATTATTGATAATATATGATTTATAAGCTGGATCTAGAATATTGAAGTACCTGATTAGTCCTATTACATTGACCAATTCTATTGGTATACGTTTTTCGACCTTGATAGAATATCTAAGGAAACCCGTAGCTTAGTGACTTATGGGCTTACTAGGCACTAAATAATCTATGTCGCGTTCCTTCTAATATATACACTATACTCTTTTGGCTGTCCGTGGCTCTATAACTCAATTTGTAAATTGGACCGGTTAGACATTTCTCCTACCAAGGCCTTGGAGGAATCTTCTTACTTTACTAAAAGCACGCGACAATTACATTTTGCCGGTGCCAGACACATGGGTCGCTACGTGGCAAGTATGGGTCTTCACGCATTCCTGTCAGACCTTGAGCATCTTGCTGTGTTCTGGATCCCTGCGCGTATTTCGATTTGACTGGCGGCTACGATTAGGCTTCGGCAAGGCCCAAGTGGAACCGGACCCAACCCGACACAAATCCCAATTGGGTCGGGTCTTGGGTCCTGCGGAAGCCTACTCCGTAAATTTTACATTTTTCCCTTAGCCGGGTATCCACTCGTCTTTCGCTTTCGCTTTTGCTTGCTCTAATTTCGTCCCGCGGAATTAGAGACGGGACAAATTGGCACTTAACGGGTTGGGGCAGATGGGGACTAACGTTTACGGGGGGGAGGGATCGGGGACTACGGAGCATGAACTACCGATTAACCAATTGGAACAACAGCAGGAGGTGACTGCTGTATTCTGTTGGTTCTAGACGCCACTTTCATTCAATTCCTAATTTACTTCAGTGTCGGGATGATTTGCAACCGTAACCTTGTAGCTGCGATTGTGGCTGAGTCTCAGCCACTCTGATAAAGCCTGGGGCACTGACACAGAAATTAAGATATGATCGATAGGAATAGAGTGCGAAAAACTTTGCGACCCTATTTCAGGCACAACTTCAGCGTTACAACCTATTTGATGATGAAGGAATCCATTTACTCGCTTCTTCCTGGAAGTAGTAAACCCTCACGAGCTGTATTCAGATTATATTGGGCAAGTACCATCTGCTAGCTGAATCCTATGTACCGAGCATACCACAAAATTTATAGTAATGGAAATGCTATCCCTCAGCTACCTATTGTTGGAGTCTTTAGGCGGATGGGATAGATATTATGATTGCCTCGTGAAGTCCCTCGAATCTGAAGGTCGAGCAATCTCTAGATCTTATCAATATAAAAGCCGAGATTATGAGTCTTATTAGAAGACTTTAAAACATAGAGTCTGCGGTCCAGGAAGGGTGCGATGTCAATGCCCCTCACAACAACGGGCACACCGCTCTCTGGTTCGCTGTACAGGGAGGACATTCTGATGCATACAGAATTTTGCTTGCTCGAGGTGCTCGCATGGAAGAGCAAAGACCTAGCGGTCTCGAAATCGCAATTCTGAGAGAACATACCGAAATTGTCGAACTGCTGTGGCCGCACTGCAAAGTGGAGGAACAACATCGCGGCTTAGAAATTGCTATCTCACTGAGCTTTGATCCAATCGCAGATTCCTTGATCGGAACTCAAGCATTCGAATATCAGCACTTGCAAGCCAATAATATCGAAATTCTTACGAAAGACGGATTCTCAAAACGAGAAAATGCAGCTTTTCAGCAAGGGGAGAGATTTATCTTTGTCCGGCGCTCGGAGAAGCTCAATTTGCATCGTATTTATTTTGATTACGCTCTTCTTCTCGCAATCAAGGCCGATCACAATGCAGGTCTTCGACTAGTTCATTTATTGTCTGGGGGGCCGAAACCTTTGGCCGATGTAAATTGCATGATCAATATTGACGGGGAGATCGAGACACCCTTCACGAATGCGGCTGAGAAAGGCAATTTGGAAATATTGGCTACGTTGACTGAGCGCCCTAATATAAGCTTGACTGGTCGTGGCAAATATAACTGGCCTGCTATTCTCACCCGCTGGCGAGTTTTGAGTATATCGCCTCTGATAAACGCCAGGCCATAGCACGGACGTTGATTAAGGAGACTTTTACAGATTCATTCCTGATTGATAACAAGGGAGCTCATTTGATATCTGTATTCAAAAACGTCATTCGGCTGGGTGACGATGCTCTTTTGAGGCAAGTGATTCCATTTTGCCGTTATTGATCAGAGCGAATGAGACCCGTGGTGTTAAATGGGTTTTGAATAGTGACATCGCGCCCGGATCCAACCCTGCGCCAATACTTTGGGTGTTGCTTTGCAACTTTTTCCAACGTGACCCAAGCTCAGACGCTCTGAGGCTTTTTATTCACGTGGCAGAATCTCTGGTAGAGAAAGCGATCTGGGCCCGGATGATACTGGTGTGCCTCAAGTCTCGCAACTTCTGTTTTGTCAAGCATCTCTTCTACCCTCCCAACAGACCCCACCGAGGGAAGTGGTGAAAGAAACATTGGAGGGATTTCCTCAGGTGTCTACCGATCAATTCTTGTTAAAGGAGTGGGCTAACAAAGGCTTTGCTAATGCAACGCTCTGGGGCGCCCTTAAATTCGGGATATGGAAGAGCCTAGCATTCGAGAGCTTCATTTCATGCTTCTCCAATGAACTGGACGAGCCATCTCCGCGCAAAACTAGCTCAGACACAGGAAAAGCAAACAAAATCTTTCTCCCATTCTCCAGCACTTCAACTGGCAAAAAAAAAAATCCCCAATTAGTCCGCCTGCAGAAATTCACTCAGGTTACCTCTGGAGCCCGGTATGCCGCAGAATCATGCCCTGCAAGACTATCAAATGCAACTCATGTTACTGGAGCAACAGAAAAAGAGGCGATTGATGATGGCCCGATTTGAGTTTGAGCAAATGTGAATGAACGTGGGAGGGGGCTTTATGGCTTTGACAGGGGAGAGTAGCCCTCTGAGTTGGGCCGCAAAAAATCGTCTTGTTCAGCTCGTGGAAGTTCTTCTACGCACTTCGCGAGTCAATGTCAATTCACAAGACGCGCATGGAAAACCCCCTCTGATGCATGCTATTGTCATAGATGATTGGCAAACTGTGGAAAGATTGTTGAAAACTGGAGACATTGATGCTAATTTGCCGGATGATAAAGGTAGAACAGCTATTTTTTACGCCGCACAAAGATAAAAATTGCATATCATACAATTGCTCACTGAGACTCCAAATGTGGACTTTTCTATTGGGGATTGCAACGGCGAAAGTATCCATGATATTGCAAGAAAGAATGGGAAACAAGATGTCCTGGCTGCACTTGCTATTTAAGGGGTCCATAGGCGTGATCAGGACAGCAGCTCTGCTTCATGTAAAAGGGTAACCGAGAAGTGGGGTGAATGGGAATCCAAGATATCTTGACATAAAACTAATATTCTTTGGCTGAAGCCTGCTAGTCTTTTCTTTCCTCTAAGTATTATAGCCGACGCTCCTCGGACCCGGACATTTTCCAGGTTTGACCAACTTAAGTATACCTGGAATTTGGGGCTAGAGGTGATAGATGCTCCCGTTTGCTAGCATAACGGGATATAAGGAGACATTCCGTAGGCTTATGGCCCTTAATAGAGCGGATCTTTCACTCTTTACCTAGACTAATCACGCTACGATACGAAAGAGTCGTATATGCCTGCGATACCCCACACGTAGGTTACTATGAGCTTGATAGGGCAGGGAAAGATTTAGAGACGACCACTTTTGTGGATTACAATCAATACGACAGGAACGAAGCTGAAAATAATTCTCAGGTCTTCAAATATTCAAAAGCTGGCTAGCATCAGAAGCGGATATAAGGGTCGTTCTTGTTGATATATAGTTTGCTTAGTTAACCATGCTTTGCAGTATTGCAATAATAGACCCTTAATCTACTAGATTAGATAGCATTAAGTAAGATTAAGCGTGCAACTACAATAGAGCATACAGAGCTGTTCAACATGGTTTTGTAGGGAGCTCCTGCGGGCAGTTCTACGCATAGCCAGAACATTTTCGGGATATGGACAGAGGCGAGTAGCGGCCATGGGGACATAACCTATGAAATCACATAGTAAATGGAAGATAATCATCAATGCTACTAAGCTAATATAATAATACCCTTACTACATATATACACCTACCCTGCAGACAAACCTAACCACAGCAATACTCAAACTATTGACTTGTTATCATTTATGGCACCATAGCACGATTGGATAGTTTATGAAATTACTGCGTGTATTAATTGAAGCAAATTTATATATACATGAAATTATGTTTTACTTCTCCACATCCCACTCTATCTTGATAGTGATTTTCACTAATATGTCATATTTTACGCCCTTATATTCTCACTATAGAATACAATATAATTAAGATTAAAGTGATCTCAAGCACATACGACCATAGGGTGTGGAGAACAGGGCTTCCCGTCCGCTCAGCCGTACTTAAGCCACACGCCGGTTAGTTAGTAGTATGGTGGGTGACCACATGCGAATCCTGACTGTTGTATGTTTTTGTTTTTGCTGATATTTAACTCGTCTAGGAATCTTCTCTTGCCGCCCTACTCTTAACCTGAAGCCTTCAACAATACTGTCTTGCACCTGAATCCCCTGCAAGTGCGTAAGAAGCTGACGTGCCCTTCCCCTTCCTATAATGAATCTTTCCTTTGGGCGCGTTATTACAATGCGTATAATCCAATCTGGAGTTGGGTGCATTTTTAGCCCGGGTCAATTGAAAATTTTGTAATGAAAATTCTCTACTTCACATGAAAACAAAGCTACGTATCATTTTTTAGTGAATTCTTCACGTAGAATCGATCATAAGAGATGAAAAGTGAGCAACAAAAACAGGAAATGAAGTAGTCTCATGAAACAGTTACTTTTGTAAAGTGTTTTGGGCTTAGGTTGATCAAGATCTGACGGTTGAACTTGTTTTAACATAATATGCAAAAATCCTATGACTACTTATACCACTTATATTGCTCAAATTCACCGCGCTCTCCATAGATCAGGCAGGGTAGGACATGACACTTTTATAGATAACGAAGAGATTTCAGGCTAAATAGCGGTACCGAGGAGCGATTGGGGATTAGGACGTTAATCTGCCTCTTCAGTCATGGCTCAAATTTCACCCTTAAAAGGTTATTACTATTCCAGGTGATGCACCCCTCGACGAATTGTGCTCCACGGTCATTTTAAATGAAAGGCTGACTTCAATTATTTATATAAGATGAAACTGTGCCCCTAAAGATCATTCACGTAACCGTCTCTTTTCGCGTTTTGAAGCTCTGCTATCGACCCTATCCCTTCCTGGAACTGGTGAATGAAACATGTCAGAATTTGCGATACGTTGTGTCTTGTAGATGCTATTAGTGAGAAGGATCGTTTAATGAACGAAGAGGCCCAAGGGCGGGCTCTTAATGGCATTTTGAAGAGACACGGGAAATACTAGGTAGTCTTCCTGCTATTGGAGACTCGCAAGAAGAAGCTCGGCGAGAACCATCCTGACACGCTGGCTAGTATGGCCAACCTAGCATCAACATACCGAAAGCAAGGTCGCGGCTTCAGCTGATGAGCAATCGAGGTGAAGTGCTTCTTGGAGAGAAAAAGGGTTTACCGCTGTTTATCAAAAAAAAAAATGGTAATGCTAACTAGAAAGGTACTTTGTTTCAAGATACTGCAAATTTTATGGCTTACCCTGTTTCGCCTCCTTGGTTGAAGGAACCGTACAATGTGTGCTATTGTGATTCCCGTGATTAAGTTATTTTCTGCGCAGCTTTCTCTATGCGAACGGAGTGTCTTATAGACTGTGGCCGTAATGAGGGCGGCTTCATTCAATTAACCACTCTGCGATTCCTTTCGCATAACCTTCTCCACAGAGTTAGGGGAACTACCTCATATATGGGCCACCCCTATTTATTGCGCGCTCACCCAGCACTCGCTCGTGTTGAAAGGCGGTGAATGATTTCGCATGGTCGCGTTCTATTCTTGTCACTTCCGACGCCTACTAGCCACTATTAGTCACTGAATCTAGGCTTTCTAGTTGAATTCTGAAGCCTACTTTATCCAACAAGCCCTTCTGTTTTCATCAAAGCTGTCTAAGTGCTAGCATCTTGACATAAAGAAGAATTTCAAATTTCTCCTGTCAGCCTAGCCCTGTTCGTTCAACCTCATTCATTTCCTCCATTCCCTTGCTTCTGAGGGCAATAATTTGGGAATTCCGAAAAATTGCAAATAGTGTTAAACCAATGGGCCATCATATATTTATATGTATGTGTCCGATGGGAATACACATTGCGGAAGGATCCGTAGAGCCCGTGCTTACAGAATCGGACATACAAATATATCAAGCTAATGCAGGTACTAGTGGTGGTTGTGGCGTAGACCAGTTCTCGAATGTCGGCAGGCCCGGTAGCTCCAGGGATTATTGTTGTGCCGGCACTGCTTCCCATTTCTATTCTCTGAACAACAAAGCAACCTTGGAATACTTTCAAAGGTGGGTCTTTGTTAGGGTGGACTCAGTGGCTGGCTGACTATATAAAAAATCAAAAAGTCCCCCTTAGGAGTTGGTTTGTTATTATTGTATACCCCGGCTGTTCCACCGGCAAAAATGGCCAGTCTTGATTTTCCCTTTCAAATAGTGGGTCGTTGAGCTGTTCGCTCCCAAAGTGGACCCACAACGTTCCACAATACAGACTCTAGGATAGGACAGGCGACGGTGGCGCTATGACAAGAGATTGAAGGGCTCATTTCGCCTTTTTCAAGGTTATAAACAGACACATCTACTCCTTTCTTTACTAGTATTGATTTCATCCACGCTCGTTTCTTTATCGATCCTTGGTCAACATGAGGGCCTTTCTTACCTGCATCACCATCCTCCTCTGGGGCTTTCTAGACATCACAGAAGCTACGTCTTTAACGACGATTACTGAAACAAGTCAGAGTACCGTTTCTCAGACAATCACAAGCACATATGCAATCACCACTACTGAAACGATCTGCACCCTTGGCAGCGCTCCACACGAATCATGCACCAACTCCGTCTGGGCTGCAGGCTCACTTTACTATTCGGCGAACTGTGCATCTTCCGCCACTTTGGGAGGGGCTTCCACAATTCGGGCATATGTCAACGTGCCATGGGCAATTTGTTACGAATGGTGTACCGAGCTCTCTTGTAGCGGAATTTGGATGTCCACCATAGGCCCCTTTTCCGAATGCTATATGCTCAGCGGCACGCCTACAATCGTCCCGGCTACTAGTTCTCAGGCGCTACTGGAGGTATTTACTACTAATCCCTGTTTGGAAACGATCACGTCGATATCCACAGAGACTTCGGTTGAGGTCACGACTGTGGACTACACCGTCTTATATACCTCGACCGTGATTGTTTCGACGCCGACGCCGACGCCAAATCCTACTCCTACTCCCACTCCAGGAATAGCCTCAAGCTCCGTGGCACTCTCTTACTCAACTCCTATCGCTTCTCCGCCGAGTTCTGCTGCAGTATCAATGTCTGTTCGCTTTAGCTCTTCAATGGCTCATCTATCTTTGTCGTCGCCAATCGCCTCTCAGTCAAGCTCTACAGCAGCCTCGGCGGCTATTCGGTCTAGCTCATCAGTATATCAGCTATTTTCCTCATCGCCAGTCCCTTCTTCAAGCTCTGCGGCAGCTTCAGTCCCTATCCACTCTAGCTCTTCGGTGGCTCATCCATCCTCTTCATCGCGAATTGCCTCTCCTTCAAACTCTGAAGTAGCCTCGGCCCCTATTCGCTCTAGCTCTCCAGTGCCGCATTTATCTTCCGTGTCGCCGGAGGCTTCTCCCTCAAGTCCTACAGGAGTACCAGTTTATATTCACTCTAGCTCTTCGGTGGCTTATCAATCTTCCTCACCACCGACTGCTTTTACTTCAAGTTATATCGCCTTTTCAGACTCTGTTCGACCTAGCTCTTCGGTGTTCCATTTATCCTCTTCATCACCGATTTCATCAGTGCCGCTGCCGAAATCTTCCACAAGTGCGCCGTCAATCTCATCCTCAACCTATGTCGTGAGTTCTCCGGGAACTCCTTTCCTCAAATCTCACTCGCCCCCTCCGGCATCTGAATCTCCCTCTTTTGCCAATTCAGTGAGCCCACCTTACGACAACATTCCATCAGGCATCCCGAGTCATATTCAGACTACACACACTATCGAAAACAACCCAACGGGCATTGTTCCACCAATCACTCTCACAACCGAAACTCTGTATACAACTGAAGTTTCAACTATCTACAAATGTGCTCCCACTGTGAAGGATTGTCCTTATGCCGAAAAGACTCCCTCGGTAGCGACCCAGGTGGTCGCCACCGGCACCACCGTTTACCCTGTCACCACCTCCACCGCAGGAGAGACCCCCAGTGGCCCTCCACCAGCGGCCTCTTTTACCACTGAAACTCTGTACACAACTGAACTTTCAAAAATCTACAAATGTGCATCTACAGTCAAAGATTGTCTTTATGCCGAAAAGACGCCCTCGACAATCACCCAGGTGATCGCCACCGGCACCACCGTTTACCCTGTCACCACATATATCGCAGGAGAGGCCCCCAGTGACACTGCATCAGCGGAGAGTATATACACTGAGACGATGTATACAACTGAATTTTCGACGGTTCACAAATGTGCTTCTACGGTGAAGGATTGCCCTTATGCCGAAAAGACTCCCTCGACAATCACCCAGGTGATTCCCACCGAAACCAATTTTTACTCCTTCACTACCTCCACCGGCTCCACTTTTCGAGCTCACACCATTACTGCTTGTCCATACGACGTCGATGACTGTCCGTCCTCTGAAAAAACCACCTATGTGACTTCTAAATCCGAGGAGACCTATACCGTGATCCTGGTTTCAGCAGAGACGCCTTCCCCGCATGCCACTACCATCGATGTTGGAACGAACAATAACCCAGAGGTCACCCCGACAGTCTATGTGACAAGCGTTGTGACAATCTTGGCTTGTCCCGCTGTCAGTGCTCTGGCGCAGTAGTGCGTCTTTCTTTTGCTTGCTAAATACCCGTGTCCGTCATATTTTATTGTTTGTAGAGGATTTTCACTCAATTTTTGGATACTTAATGTGCAAGACCGATAAGGTCATGGTTATTTAGGTTGATGGCGAAGCCCACGAGCGGGCGACCACTCCTCATTCTTATAAATGTCTTGTTTCGATTCCCTAATATTAAGTTGGATAATGGCGTCTTGCTGATTGGAACGAGTAAAACTTTTACTATAATGTGAGATAGCATGAGCAACCTACAAATGATCTTTGTATACTTTCTGATTTCGATCAAGATGGCTACCAGTGCAACGAGACTGGACTATCTCTATAGAGGACTTTCCCTTGAGGGAGAACATCGTCTTTGAGCCCAAAACTCAAAATGGGGGAGGCAGTGGATTGTTACGATGAAGCATGTCCACAAAGCTGGTATACTGGGCCATCAAGCACTGAAGAATCATCTGCATATCGAAACCATCATGTTTCGGTCTTCAGTCAAGTCATCGGATCAATATATGTGGTTAAAAGCATTTTGTCTCGAGACCGGAACGTTGGATCAGTGCTCTCCCCTCTCAGCCGTGTGCTTCTACCTCCTGAGGTTGTGGAATATTTCTCTTGATTTGTTTGCAGATCAATGTACACGGATATTTATATTTCTCTCGAGAGGCTTGAGATAGCTTCTGTGTGAGACATGGAAGCCAATGTTAAATATTGCATTATAAGAAGTTGCATGACATTCTTCATTATTTACTAGACGGAACATCATTCAAACCTTAAATTGGAACTGCCGTAATAGTCATCCCATAAGAACCAACCAAAAGTACAGTCCGATATCGGCTGTTGAGAGTATGTTGGACTCATGTTCTCCGCGCGGTTTGGACGATGGGATTGGGGAACGTGAAGCTCAGTTTCAAGTATTCGAGACGTAGAATTCATGTCGACCGGTAGGCAACTCAAATAGTTAATGAGTTCTTGATCATCCAAGGCAATATCAATTAGATCATTCCATGTCTGTGTGGCCTGCTCATCAGCCCTTGAACTTTTCGGTTGCTGGGATAAAAGGACTGCATTCTGTGTTGGCTTTGTAGAGTAACAATGGCGGACATGGGATTGAGCCAACTGGAGGAAAACAGCCGCAGTATGTTGGAGTTTGGAGCATAAGTCGGCAAGAAGCCGCATCTGGGGCCTCATATCGGCAAAGTAGTTTACTGTAATAGCCAATAAACGCAAATCATTTTCATGTTTCTGGGAGTGGCTAGGCCGGTGTACTATGTTCTCGAAAACAACGAGAAAAGGGGCGAAGGGATAATAGAGAAGTTGCCTACGCGGTTAGCAGGGTCTAAAAATGGAGAAATATTCTCATACCAAACAACTCCGTTATATACTGAGCCCCAGTTCGATACCAATGATGGGAGCAAGGCAATTGCTTCGCGAGCACATGATAGCCGCACATTTGAGGACACATCCCCCTTCAGTAATAGTGTTAGTAAATGCAAGTATTGAAATTTAGCACTATTGATTCCCAACTCCATTTCATGAAATTGATTTGTCTCTGTTGATCCTCGCGCATTCTCTAAGGCGTGTGTCAAGGTCTAAATTTATGAATTAGCTTTTCGGTTTCCCAAATGGCCGAAACAGTGTGACTCTTACCATATTCGTTTTTGAGAACCAATCTTCTAACTTTGACCTTGTCTTATCCTTGGATTTATCTGAGTTTGCCACCCCCAGAACATCTAAAACTTCGCTCGTCAACTTAGCCAGCTCAATGGTGTTTTTGAACATCAAGGCGCCAAAATCGGAATTATGAGATTTCGGCCGCTGATCACCGAGGCCCTCCGTGTCATGGGGACTGAATTTGCGCATAAATATTTCATCTGGCAGCGGAAGATGACGGTACAGGGAAAATGGCAAGAAGGCAGGCCGACCAAATGCCAGCGCACAAGATTTGTCCAGCGTGAAGAGCATCCAAAATAAACAGAGCTTGTGCTGCCATTCATCGAAATGGTCTCTGCTTTTCCTGACTTGCAAGCCTAGAGCTTCGGCCTGCCGACATGCGTGACTTAATAGCATCCATGATATGTTGGGCGCAGCAAAGTCTTCGCCATGGACAGCGAGCAAGACCAAAGTCTGCACGTTAGCCAAGGATGGCTCAAGGAATATTCGACTATCATTTAATGCAAGTTGGAAGTTCTTTCGGAGGTTTCCTTCATGCTCATCAAGCTGCGTAGATATGGCAGCAAGTAAAATATAGTTGAAGGAAACAATCCATGCTTTCTCTCGAACCTTTTCAGGTTCGAAAACGATTTGCCTGAGTATTTCGTCCAACGGGAAACAAAAAAACGGCTCACCAAGCCGGGAATATTCCAAAAACTCTAGTGAAGCGAGTTTGAAGTTAGTGGAAGGATCCAACAACAAAGGAGGATGAAGGAAGCGGACTGAGCTCACTGCTAAGGAGGGCATATCCCACAGATCTCGATGGAATATGAAAGCTTTTTGGCTCAATTATCGGATTTGCCATTCTTGCTGATGTCAGACTCGATGACATATTGTGAATCTCTGAAATAACATCCTGTCGAGAATCTTCAACACCTTGTGGAGGTAGACGCTTGATCCCAGCAGGCGCCTCTTGAAGAAAAGAGAAAGAATGCGATGGACCGATGTATAGCTCCGAGTCGGATCTATCTGCTTCATTCGAAGTGGCCTGGTTTGGTGCAACCGATATTTTATTTATGTCTTTTCGTGAGGACGCTGCGGACAAGACATGCAAGGCTCCGTCAATAGATCTGGTCAGAGACTTTACTGTGCACTCTAAGCTTTCTAGGCGACTTTCAATGCTGATTTTTGTTTCTTTATCAGAAGCCTCAGTCATATGGGGTCTTTTCCCGTTCGCGTTAATTGACGAAACTTCTCGCGAATAAACGCAGCTACTTGACCATGGCTTGCAACCACCACATTTCGGCAACTCCCTGGAGCATCTTTGAATTCGTTAGTCAAATTTCGGACCTTGAATTTGGTCATACAAGGGTGCGAAGTACTTGAGCTTCTTTACTCGACAGAAGTCGCACTAGTTCTGTCAGTTATCGCAGATTCCCGATCGTCGTCCGCACTTCGTACTCACAGCGAACCGAGCAAACCCGGGCCCGTGGGCTGTCTCAGAATATCCAGCGGCTTCCATGTCGTTACCTAAAAAATCTTGGCTTCTTGACCAATGTTTTAAAGATCTGAGCGAAGATGGCGGAGTCTATGAAATGATTCGGAGAGGTCGGAAAATTGTGCAGTGCGATTGGTCGTCTCCGGAGAATGCTCCGGATTGGTTCCAGCCTCGACCAATCAGAGGGGGTGAACCCGGAGCTGGAACAATACAGATTTCCATGATAACATTACGAACATCGCGTCTATATGAAGCCGATATCTTGGAAGTGTAAATTTTTCCACTGTGCTTTGTTTCCAATCACTTTTATCTCATTCAGATACGCCCATTATGCAACCGCCAGCCTCTATCGCAATTATCGGTGCCGGGCCGAGCGGCCTTCTCTTCGCACGCCTCCTTGAGGTGAATGGACTCAAGGACTATGTTGTTTATGAGCGTGATGAGTCGTCAAAACCGGGCCCATGGCAGCAAGGCGGCTCCCTAGACCTACATGGCCCGTCAGGTCAGCAGGCACTCAAGGAAGCGGGATTATTCGATGAATTTAACGCAGTCTACGCACGCTGGGATGCCTCGCGCATACATATTGTTAGATCTTCTGGAGAGACAGTTGGGCACTTTGGTGACGGCCGCGACGCACCGGAGATAGACCGCCTGCAGCTACGGCAGCTTCTACTTAGCTCTATACCCGCGCACAAGATCCAGTGGGGTCACGGTGTGTCCTTTATTGAGGAGGAAAAAACAAAGAGCCCCGCCGTCGTGGGTAATGGTCAAATCGTTCATTTCACCAACGGCAACTCAGCTACTGGGTTCAAGCTAATTGTTGGAGCTGACGGGGGTTGGAGCAAAGTCCGTTCTTTGGTAGGTCTTCACAACTCAGAATCAACAGGGACTATAATTCTAAGTCACGGTTGTAATTTACAGATCTCGACAGCCCAGCCAATCTATTCTGGAAAGATGTACATCGAAGGCAAGATTTCGCACGGCAACGAGAGTTACAAAGCAGCCTGCGAGTTGGCCGGCCCGGGAATGATGATGGCCATGGGTCCAAGCAGGAGCTTAACATTACAGCAAGTGGCTGATGGTACATACAGAATGTACTTTGGGGTTGTCGTTGCTGAAGACTTCTACGAACACCGCAATGGCAGTGCGATGGAAAAGTCAGAAGCTGTGCGACAGCTGATGCTATCTTCCGATAAGTTCTACGCAAACTGGGCTCCATGTCTCAAATCTATTGCCTCAAATGCGGAAGGGCCATTCCGTGCCTGGAGTTTGCACTACCTGAGGCCAGAAGAGGTTGGTTGGAAACGCGATGTGGCTCCAGGTGTGACTCTACTCGGAGATGCAGCGCATCTATCAACGCCATTTGTGGGTGAAGGGGTGAATTGCGCCATGTATGACGCTGTATTACTATACAACCGAATCTTCGAGGTATGTGGCACGGATCTGAATCTTGCAAGTGTTCATGAAGCCACTTTGGAAGAGGCTCTATCGTTATATGAGAAGGAAATGTTTGAGCGCGGTCGGGACCTGATCCGGCGCAGCGCGGAGAGCGAAGCAGTGCTTTTCAGTGAGAATGCAGTTGAGAACGTCCTCGGATTCGTGGATGGAGAACATGACGAACTTCTTTATGATGTGAAGACCTCTGGTGGCAGATAAGATTCTTCGAGCAGCAGTCCATTTGTGTTGATTCCAAGTTCCAATTCATCTGCTAGCTATCTGGCTTCTTGTTACTCCTAATTAGCCCAAGAACCGAATATAGAGGACGGATAGTTCGACGGCTTGCGAGTAGTAAATTGGCCATCTCTCGAAATAGGTTCGGTCGGGGTGAGCGGAGTTCAGAAGGAAAGGGGAGTGAGTTTATTTTGTGAGGGCGGTTTAGTGCTAGACGGAGATAAAGGATAGGAAAATTCCGAAGATCATCGGATACAGAAGTCTATGACAGCCCTGCACAAGAGGATCAATAGATTAGTAAGCTGATATTTTACTTTATTCACCATGCCAATGAGAAGAAATCACCAGTCTCGAAAACCTAGATACTCATGCATATGGTCCATGGTAAATGATCCAAATGATGCAAACTCCAAACACCGGAGTTTTTTTTTTTTTCCAAAAAGTAATCAGCCATCATTGTAGACTGTTTCGTCAAGGTGGAGCTTCCTGAGCGAAATCCAAAAGACTGTTTACGAAGAATCTATGCCGCGCGATATGAGCCTGATCAGGCTGCGGCACGTTCGCAAGGACCTGCGAATTTATCCTCTGCGCTCCGCAAATTTTCGCAATGAACTTCGGAGATCTGCGAATATGTAAATATCTTAAACATGCTTAAACCTGCGAAATAATTGTAAGGGCATATTTTATTGTCAGGGAGTAAATTTCCGCATGGAGCTGGCCAATTGGAAATTGTGCCCCGAGGACAACGCCACCTTCGGCGGGGATGAGATGTACGGAATTGTACTCGCGACCGACGCGTCCACGGAAAAACTTAGAAGCAAGGAATTTTGTCGGTCAGGTGTAGTGGGTGCAGGGAGACTTTCTTTAGCATAGCAGGTAATGGCGATCCTAGTGATTTAGGCAGCTATACCTACTGAATTTTCTTATAACTCAAAAAAATTATTCTAGTCATGGCTGATCTCACTGAAGGCCCAGAATGGCACTCAGCATTATCCATATATACAAAAACAGTATATGATCCCGGTCAATAAAAATTCAAATGTACCAGAGTAGTATTTGTAAGACTTGAAAACCAGTCAAGGAACTACCTACTATTATAGTTCAGCAGCCTCAAACAACATCCATATTCCCATTTGCCTTGCTTTCGATAACCGAAACTTGCTTCGCCTGGAAAGGATCAACTTTTGTGTGTTTGAACTGGCGCGCAGGAACCCTTTGATCGAAAAGAATGTCGAGTTCACTGTAGCTTCTGCCCTTTGGCTCAGGCAATCGGAAAAAAGACCAAACAAAACATAAGAAGCACAATCCAAGCCAGAAAAAAGCGGCCTTTGCGCCCCAATTCCACGCGGTGGAAGTTAGTTGATAGTTTATAAGGACGTTTGTAACAAGCCCTGCTATGTTGTAAAAGTTGCGCGCAATGACGATCGTCTTAGCTCGTAGTCTTGTAGACGACATCTCAGCAACGAGAGAGTAGCATACGGGGCCAACCGTAGAGTCGTATACAAAGGCAAAAACGAGAATCATTGAGCCGATAGCCCATGATCCCGCCTTGTTGCTTGCGGGGGCAATGCCGAGCATGCCGACAATGAAAAGAATAATACACATTGTCGCTGTTCCAAAGAGGTAAATTCTCCGCCGGCCAACGTAAGTCATGACCCACCATGACAGAATGGTGCCAATCCCTGCGATGGCGTATTGTGCTATTGACATATCGAAGGCGTCCACGGTAGGAAGTCCAGCTTGTTCGAAAAAAGTGGTTGAGTAGCCTATGAACGTTGACCCGCAGATACTTTGGGCCACCCAAGCAGCGGTACAGATCTCAGTTCGGCGAAGATCCACTCCTTTGAAGCAGTCAAGATAACTGGTACCGGAAGAGATCTCCTGTTCCAGTTGATTCGTGTGCTGCATCATCGCGAGGGTTTTGTCGACGTCAAATTCCGGATCATTTGTAGTTGTGAGCCTCAACAATGAACGTTTGGCCTCTTCCACCCGACCCTTACGAATCAACCACCAAGGGGACTCGGGTGCGAAATAAACACCGACAATGAGGATTGGTGGCCATATCCACTGGATTCCAAAGGGAATACGATAGGCGTCGGCCGTAGTGTTGTCGACCATTCCACGGAGTACTCCAGAGGCGATAAAATGACCGATAACCCAGCACAAATTGTTGTAAGTCGTTAAGTATGCCCTCAGACTAACCGGGCACACCTCGGAAGCATACGCAGTCGTAATTGTTTGGAACACACCCCACGGCAAACCACAAAGTATCTCACCAATTAGAAGCATCTTGACGTCCACAGCAAAGAAAACAATGAAGATGAATCCGGTGATCGTGATCAAAGCCCCGAGAATTGTCTTGCGATAACCGATGCGCTCCGAAATGTAACCGGTCAAGAAAAGTCCAATGATTTCACCGACGGCAGCACCATCGGACAAACCAGAGCGCCATGGAGCTGATACTTTGTATTCTCCAGTTCCCGTATCTAAGGTGCCATATTTCTCGCTGAATCTGGGTAACGCATAGAAGTTGGCTATCAGAAGGGTATCATAACCTTCCATCACCAAGGCAGTCGATAGAACGATCGACCAGAACACAGCCTTGGGATAAAGTTTGAGGGCTCGACCCAATGTCATCTGCTTTTCCAGGTCGGCGCCCTGCTTCGCATTGTCGGCCATGATGACCTCGGATGTCCGTTCAATGCAGCGAGCAATTGGCTTCTCGGGAGCAAGGCCCGAACTATCCTGTCGTATCCGTTCATCTCCTTGATACTCCACAGTCTCCGACATTGTGTTATTGGGCGCCGATTGAGAAAGACTCATTTAGTATCAAATGAGTGAGATAGCGTCTTCCAACACTTAGATGAACGAAAGTTGGAATAGGCTATCTTTTATACTGACCTGAATCCCCGCTTCTAACATGTGAACCTGAAAATCGTTAGATTATAGTGATATTGCGACATCATTATATCCCTGTCAGACAAAATTTGGAATAATCGGGGGATTCTTGAGGTTGAATGATCTCTGGGAGCTTTTGACTCTGAATCGCATTATCCGCATGGATCAATTTCGACTATCTCTGACCATTCAAATGTTACAGTCTATCACACTGCGACGCTGGAATTGTTGAAGGTCACAAACTCCGATAGCCTCTGTCCCAAGCAAGAAGCCTAATAAATTTTCATCTCAGTCTTTAGACTTTTCAATTAGAAGTTTTGCGCCATGCCTGTGGCTGATTGTGAATCAGCCCTGTATTTTGACGACGCGCTGTCAGAACCCCAGAGAAGCTTAGCTACGAATTTAGTCTCGGCGGTAATTCCAAAGAGAGCTAGTAGCATAGGTTTTAGCACTTGGCGTCCTGCATGATCGGTTGGTCGGCTCGGTTGGTCGGCTAGGAAATGGATGAGCAGCCAAACAACATCACTGAACGCTCAGACGGTGGGTTGGCTTTCAATCAGAGTTTAGGTGACTGCCCATGTGGTTACTTCTCTCTCTTCCTCTTTCTTCTTCTATTTAACCTCTCACAATACAGTTCTGGTTGTTCCTTATTCTGTACGTACTCCTACGTTCTTTTATCCACTTCTCCTCTGATCCTTCAGCGCCACGCGCTCACACTTATCTGTCTGCGCTTGTACTTTCTTTGATGCATAAACAATGGCTACTATCAAATACAAGGGAATGCTATATCCGGTAATAAAGATGCCGAATAATTTCATCGGGCGGTACTAGACGCCAATAAACGAACAAACATAGGCCAAACAAAGTTATCAAGAAAGATGCTCAAATTCGGATTTCTGAGGAGCCATGGAATTTTTCATGCTTATCTCCAAAATCTCGGCCCTATTTTGAATTTTATGCCTGAGTTTATAGACAAGAACCAGATACGAGGAAATCCATGTGATGATACCATACATGTTCGCTTGTTTTATGTGAAAAGAACATTGAGGTCAAATATGTGGCTTGTGGTAATAGATTGTGGTTGTGTGTAATTACATTGCGTAGCTTTCGATACTATATGAAAGACATGCGCCTCAAGATGTTATTGCATAGGAGATACGGAAAGAAATATTTCGTCAAGACTAAGATTTTAATCTTGTTCGACTAACGACAACTTCTTTGTAGATAAAAGAAAGATTTGCGACTGAAAATGCCTAATTTTAGGCGCCAAAGTTCCGCCTTTGTCTCGCGAACTTCCTAGGTCTACGTGGTAGATGAGAATACAGATACTTTAAGATATACTAGCTTGGAGAATTTTCATTTATTGTATGCTAAAAAGGACAAAAGAAAAGCTTATAACCAATATTAAAGACCTAGATTAGCATCTTATAGCTCCTTTGATGAACAGATAATGGCGCTAGAAGGAAATGTCTTTCTTATAATCATAGGCTTTAATAATTGGAGTCTTCTTCCTCTGCTATTTACTTCTCTTTCCGCCCATTAGAAGCTAGTATACTACTAGTATACTACAAGCCAGCCGGCCGCGCTTCCGCGCGGCATCAGTATAATTCCGATGATAAATTACCTGAGTAAAGCTAGCGAGGCTTATTGAAAGGAGCAAAAGGCAAATATGAAGACCCACATTTGCAGCAAACTGACCAATAAGATGCTGCAAAAAAACCATATGTTCTAGAGTAGTATAGGTGTGGATATTGAGCTACATTATTGCTTATGAGAAACGAGGCATTGCAGTGGAACAAAACGTGTAATGTGTACTCAAACGATCAAAGATAAGAACTCGGGAAAATCCTATAGTAATTTTTCTCTTATGCTAAGGATGCTATGATGCCATGAGACATTATTTTGCAGGTCCATAGACTGTCGTGAGATGAATCCTTGATATCTCTGAACAAGAATCATCGATGTCTTTTGACACTTCAACTGTAGTAGGAGTCAAGTGACCTCTCCGCCTGAACCCAGTCGAGGTGGCCCATCTGGTCACTTAAAAAGACATCGCGAGGTCCGAAAGCACCTCTAGGAGTACCTTGGCCAAACCTACTACCACTAAGGAAAGTATGCGGAAACCCATGGTCAAAGTAGTAAGCCTTTTCAATCTCTTTCGCGTCGTCTTCACTCAAAGTCAATTCCAGAGCTGCAATGTTTCCTCTGAGGTGTTCCACTTTACGGCCGCCAATAAGTGGAAAAATGTAGGGTGCTTTGCTCCTGATATACGCAAGAGCCACACTTGCGATATCGGTGCTTCGAGCGTTGGCGACCTCCTCGAGAGCCGATGAGATTGCCTTGTCGTGCTCATTGATCGGTGGTCCAGTGCGACCAGGATTGGTTTTTTCGCGTTCCTGAAATGCTGCTTTGGTCTGAAAGCGGCCTTGTCCCAATGTCCCGTATAGAACCACTGCCATACCCTCGGCGCAGCACATAGGGAGGATATCACGTTCGAAGTCGCGGGTACCCGCATTCCATAAGCCCTGGTAAACCACGAATTGGCGGAGGCCATGACAGCGAGCGTATTCATTTGCCTTCGAAACAACCCAGGCTGGGGTGTCGGAGATTCCAAGATGCAAAATCTTTCCAGCGGCGGCGAGATCGTCCAGAGTACGCATAAATTCTGGAATACTGACGGTAAAGTCCCACCAGTGAACATAGAAGATATCGATATAAGTTGTTCCGAGCTTTTTGAGGGACGCCTCAAGAGAGAGGCGAAGTGATTTAGTCCCGTTGCCGCCAAAGTCAACTTGGATTTTCTCCCTTTGTTCATATGGGAATGGGGCCGTGTATTTGATCGCAAGCACAATCTCGTCTCGATTCTGACGGGATTTCATCCATTCACCGAGCCAGATCTCCGATTCTTCATATTATGCCCTATTCGTAATATGTAAACGCTTCTCACCTTGCACAATGGTGCCAACTTCTTCAAGGAGAAAGCCAAATAAATCATCCTACTTCTCCTTCTCCAGCAGGCCGGCCAGTCTAGAGGCAGCGCCGGCAATCTGAATAGCCAGACGATGATGCGTATGTGCGATTTCATAAGCCAGAGGTAGATCGCAAAGCGATCGCTCCAAAGGTCAGTCCCTTCCCGACGGCTAATGAATGACACTAATAAGTCACAGACCCCCGTCAACCCGGCAGGTCTCCTTAAAACGCAGCTTATACCGACTCTTCGTAACCTCGCGGAACTTGCCATGCCCGCCCTCGACCTCCTTAATTCTACTTAAAATCTGAAATGCTCCATTTCAGAAACAGAACTGAAATATAGGGGGACGGAACCTAGCCATAGTCAGCGTATATTATCTCCAATACCAGCCGTTTTCGCCATATGGTGCAAATCTCAATGACATCATACTACACTACATATTCTCTTTTCTCAGGTTCTCAAGTACATACGACCATAGGGTGTGGAGAACAGGGCTTCCCGTCCGCTCAGCCGTACTTAAGCCACACGCCGGTTAGTTAGTAGTATGGTGGGTGACCACATGCGAATCCTGACTGTTGTATGTTTTTGGTTTTTGTTTTAATTTTGAAGCTCGTGTTTTTTTTTTCGTGACGAAAGGGATATATATACTCGATGGCCGTATCAAGATTTTCGTGGAATTAATTTTGCCAAGGCCATTCAACCAAGCATAATACTCTATGCCGATCCATTTCCACTCTTTTTAATAGTGGAGTGCCACAAACCACCAGCTCTAGATATAGGACACCCGAAAGCATGTGTTTCACAGGAATTGTCTGTTTCAAAGAAAGCCAGACATCATCTATGACAGAGCAGTCTCAATCAATATCAAAGGTCCAGAAACGATAATGGCGCTTTAGGGGCAAGGCTGTGTGTGAGTCTATGGCGTGGGGAAAGCTCTAGACCCTCAGTCGATGCCTCTGAATAATTCCTGTTTCAGCAGCGATGTCAAGGGTATTGATTGACCGAGACTCTGAACACAGCGTGACAAGGAAACGTCGGCCTTGGTATTGGTGGACTCTCCAAGGGATGCCAAGTCCAGATCAACGTTTATTCTTGTTTGATTATCCTTTCTCAACCCCATCTTCCCACTCTGGTCATGGCGGTTATAACTGCATTGAGTCCACTAGCCATCCCATCAAATTATAATCTCGCATGTTGCTTACTGGTTCCATTATCCATTTTCTTTCATGGCAAACCATGAACGCTGACGCATCGCTTGCGGAGGCACACTGACCCGACATTGTTTCCTCACATTCCATTCCCAATAATGCACGACAACCCGTGTTTTTCCCGAAAAATGGACCAACAAATCCCGACCTTTATTTGGACATGGTGGATTTCTGTTCTTTGCGGTGGGATCAACGCTTAAGTGCTCGCGCCTACCAGTGCTTTAATGCGCACAGACATCTGTCTTATAAGCATAGAATGGATAAGCACAGGAATGGAGCGATTATTAGCATACCTTGGATCTCAAAACAGTGTCCAGGGTGAAAGATGGGCCTAAAGCAAGCATTTTGAGATATAAATGCTGTCCTTCGCTCGCGAAAAATGTCCTTTTTTTGGATTACCTTCGTTGCCCGTTCGCCCCTTTCTCGGGCTCTAAATCCTCTACCATCTCGGAGCGGCTTACCTTGACCATCATGTTCACGATTCTTGCATTGGGCATAGCTGCGCTTGCCAGCGCTTCTCCGGCATATGTGCCCCCCTCATATCCGCCTCCAAATCACTGTTTGGGAAATTGCTGGACGCATGATCCGGGGATGATTCAGCGCGAGTTGGATGGAATGTACTTCCGCTTCTCGACTGGGACGGGAATTAACACCATGGTCTCGCCCTCACTTGATGGTCCGTGGGATGATTTGGGCGCCGCGCTGCCGGATGGCTCAGTAATTAAGTTGGATGGTGCCGACAGCATGGACCCATGGGTACGCAATTTAAACACCAATAAGAAAAACATGGTCATGCAGGATACTGACTTATGATCCAAAGGCTCCGGACGTACACTACTCAGATGGTATCTACTATATGTACTACGTGGTTTCCAAGATCGGCACGCAGACTTCACAGGTTGGCGTGGCCACGTCTACGACCATGGAGCCAGGTTCTTGGACCGATCACGGGGAGATAGGTCTACCCCCCAACAACAACTACAACAGAATCGACCCCAATTGGATTACCATCGATGGCAAGGAGTACTTACAGTTCGGCTCTTACTGGAATGACCTCTATCAGGTCGAGATGGCTAGTCCGCTCAATGTCGGTTCTGCGACTCCACATCAGTTGGCGTTCAATGCAAGTCTCAACCACCGCGAGGAGGCCTCTTTCATGTTCCAACACGGGGATTATTACTATCTTCTGTACAGTGGCGGCTTGGCTAACGGATACACGGCGACCTACCCCGCACAGGGAGAGGAGTACCGAATCCACATGTGTCGCTCCACCAGTGGAACCGGAGACTTTGTAAGCGCTCGCTATCTGATCCAAAATGATAATCCGCTAACCCGCGCCAATATAGTACGATATGTCTGGTACTTCCTGCTTGAATTCCGGCGGCACAATCCTACTACAGAGCCATGAAAAGATCTACGCCCCTGGTGGACAGTAAGTCGCCAATATCACTTCTCATAAACACTTATGAAATCCGGGAGTCTCTGCTAACCAGAAATTTCAGGGGTGTCCTGAATGATAAGGAGCTCGGCCCCGTCCTGTACTATCAGTACTACCCGCTCGAAACAAAGGAGGCTGGAGGTGATGGTGACGCCGGTTTCAGGTATGGCTGGAACCAGCTGGGCTGGAGCGAAGACGGCTGGCCGTACTTGATGACCGAACTCTGATGGTGGCCTTGCTAATCGTACGTTCCTTTCTCGAAGACTCACGTACAGCTAGACGGAGTATCGTGCTGTTCACCTTCCCCCTTTTTATCTTCTGTAGATGGTTGTGATACCATAATTCTTTTACCTTCCTTCCTGGTACCAGAGAGTACTAATTTGTTCATAATCATGCTTGGCGTCTCGTCTGACGGGAGCTCATGAAAAATATACTAATTTTAATGGCTTTCGGGTTTCTTTTCCCCGCAAAGTCACACCTTACTACTTCGCTTTCTCACTTTCGAATGTTACCTCTATGTAGAAAGTAAAAAGACTATAAACTATTCATGTATATCCCATTTAGATATCTTTTGGATCAGCCACAATCCCCAGTAAAATTTATCCAAGACGCTGTTGATTGGAAAATTCAGGATCGTGTTTCTTTATCTCAAGCTGTGGGTTGTCTGACACTCTTCGAAATGACTAGGGTTTCCAAGGCATGAAACGAGATGCATCTCCAAGATTCCTGATATCAACTTTAAATGGCAACTATTCAAACTTTGACTGAGATCAAAGAGACGAGCTCCGTAATATCTTCTCTAATAGACACATTTGATTAGAAGACTGATCAATTGAATTTTCCGGCAGGATTTGACTAACTGAAATTGTTTTTATGACTGTGCCAGCCAATCAGATAAAGAAATTAGTATATGTCGACCCCGAGACGAGTCTTCGTCAGTCTTCTCCAGTGAAGGCTCTTTGGTCAGTCACCTCGTATGTACACGAATCATGCGTCGGACTTTAGCTTCGACCACGGCATAGTCCGGATGCTACTATCAGCGAGGCTTACCAGTTATATTTTGTTTGCTTAAGTTTACTAGATGGTCTAGTGCGCCACCGACTCCCGGCCCTCCGAACCTAGCCCGATCTGACATAGTCATGGATTTGCATCTTCCCCTACACCGCCCATAGACTACCAAAAACACATTACAATTTGCTGGGATTGTGCGGTAAATGTACTAAACCTTTTGCAAATTAGGATTTTATCACTGAAGCTGATCTAAAACAAGAATTGGAACAATAGGCATTCAGTAATTGTTTATCCAGTGGGTGAAAGGTTTATTTGGGTAAAAGAACAGGCGGAAAGCCATGCAATCAGGGGTAAGCGCAAACACGTGGAACGCCATTGTTAGCCAAAGCCTATGCGTCTCAATCAAATAGAATCCAAAAGGGGCTATAAATACGCGCTATAAGATCTGCTGGAAGATAAGCAAGACAATTTCTGCTCTGAATCTCTTATGAGGATCAAAGAGGGAAGTAGGTGGATAAGTAATCGAGTGAGGAGTATAGGCGGAAAGGATGAACATCCGATGATTGGCGTATTGTGTCAAAATTACTGTCAAAGTGGGCCCTTCGTGCAAGGCCTAAGCCGCTTCAACATATGGAGTTCTCTGTACGAGGCAGTGGCTTGGAGATACCGGTACAGGATTGGTTACCTCTACATAAGCACTAAGCCTGGAGAGTTCTAGCTTCCTTTTGATTTGGTCCCTGAAAATGCAGGGTCCACCTTGGGCAAGAGCTATCGGTTAGTTTTACCAACTTCGAATAAGCCGCAGCTTTCAGCCGCCCAGGGTGAGGGGGGATTTAAATGAGTTCAGCACAATGTGAGCCGGTCGATTCCATGAACCAAAAAATTTTGAACTTTGATGGAATCTAAGCATTAAACTCCTGGAGAGTCTCATATCATGCGTTTTCTAAGATCATTTGTTCTAGCACAAGCTGGGATTTTGTCTCTAGCCAACGCCGACGCATCAAACCTGAATCCCAATGGCGATGGCTGTGTTGACCCCAGCGCCTATCTGCAATGCTACCAAAATAATGTCGATCAGCTTAGTATTTGCATGACAGACGCACAGAAAACTTGCTCCGGAGATGCGGACACGCTGCAGGAGTGTGAATTAGCCTGTGGATATTCTCAGCTGGCTGCTAATATCGGTTGCTGGCTGACGGATTGCTGGAATCAGGTATTGAAAGATCCCCCTTTTGATATATCTCTCCTGACGTCGATTTTTTATAGGTTTATTCGTGCGCTTATCAAGGAACTGTGTTACAGTACCTCGACGGTGCGGACAGGGTGCAAGGCTCTTACATTCCATACTACCCTGCACCAGACAACGCGCCTGGTGGATGCGGTAAGACGCTGATCTACAATTTAAGGTTGGAATAGCTACAGCGTATATACTGACAAGCTCTTAAACACAGTGTGCAATCTAGGTTATGTCTATGGAAACTACACGGTGACTTACCTAGACGTGTCAAATGGCTGTAACGCATATGTCTTTGATGGTGTTAGCACTACCGCTAGTTGTGAGTGTTGCATGGAGTCATCGATTTTGTCCAAGTGAGTGATGCACCAACCCTGCGAGAATTCACAATCATGTCCATATCAACGAATCTGAGCCCTTCGTCTGATGATTCTTCACTTTTGCACTTTATAGTATTATTCAAGCGTGTCCACACAACGATCTTTCTGGCCTATCTATCGACACATGGATCAGCAGTCTTCAGTTTGGGTATAACGAGTCGGCCTCTGACGATTGCTCTATTCTCGACGACGGAACCGGTAGCCAGTGTAAGGCCTCATTCACATTCGAGAGTGAGGCAACCACGTGGTACAACCCAGGTCAACTTCCATCGGGATTTCCTGGAACGGCACCTCTATCGGACACCACGAATGCTGGAAGTCTAACGGTTGCTCCCGAACCCTACACATTTTCGCTCTTTCCGGCCTACACCTCTGTCATTTCTCCGGTTCCATACAACGCGAAGGCTGTCACTGCGGTGAACACGGAAACTGCAGCGCAATCTGCTACAGAGACTGGTACAGGAGCCGGCTCTACAGAGACTGGTACAGGAACCAGCTCTACAGGGACAGATTCCGCGAGCTCATCTAAAACTAGTAAAGGTGCCGCAAGAAATCTTGTTTCCCCTATAAGCTCTGAAATGAGTGTCTGGGGTCTCGCCATATATACCATTGCCTGTGCTATTTGTCTGGTGTAGCCTTGGCCACCTACAGAGCTGTGTGCAATGGTCTTTGTCAACAATGGCTCTCTGTGATACGATGATGTCATTTAGGAGAAGATGGAACTGGACTGAAATGGAGCAAACTTATTTCTCCTGAGATTTTGGAACGACGAAGGAGATGGACAGAAGGGAACAATTACTAAGATAAGCAATTGCTGAAGGAAAGGATGTGGGGAATACCTAACCTCTATACGTTTTCAACCAGCCTTACATATCACATAACCTTGCCTGCTTTCCCTTGATTCTTACCCTTAGTCTCGATTTGTAAATTGCGGACTCGAGATTTGACAGTCTGCACGATAAAAACCAGTTCGAGTGGAGTTCCAGTTCATACGACGACAGGGTGTGGAGAACAAGGCTTCCCGTCCGCTCAGCCGTTCGGATCACGTCCCCACAATCGCATACTGCAAAATATTACTTGGGTTCAGAGTCAAACCAGCTGCCAGTCTTGTTTATTACAGCCGAAAAAAATGTACCTTGATCTCATGATCCCGTAAATAATGGCTTGCTGGAACAGTCAATTCAGCATCTATGGCCGTGAAGGAAGTGCTTCGCAAGAACAACTTCAACTACTCAAGGCTTTATGGCTTCAGAGATGTACATAAATAATAAATTACATGTATACAACTCAATCTTCGTATAATAAAAACTTTAGGAATCTATTTGGCTTTGGCTCCGGTAAAAACTGGCCTTTGAACAACCATCTAAGCCGGAGTGGAAACAAAAGAAAATCCGGTGCACTTATAATCATATTACCCTGATATCCAATAAGTAAGGATTACATATGAATAATAACTCAAATCGTCCGCATCCAGCTGACCCAGGATAGCATATATCATCCTGATATATTCCACAGCTCCAGTATTACTCAGCTTACCCTCTCCTATTTGATCTATCGTATAAGTGATACAGACCTTAAAATCTGAGTCTATAGTAAGGAAAGAGCCTTCCTAGCCTCCCTAGTAGGCGATCCGCCCCTCCTTGGGTAACCAAGATAAGATTTCAGGCGTTTGTAGGCCTATATCTAATCTACAGCGTATATAGTACCCTGGAATTAAATTGATACTATCCGATCATATCTTAAGTATTCGCTTAATAATCTCATCTAACATAAATCTGTTTCCTCCTACCGCTCCCCTATCAGCGACTATTAACCTAATCAAGACTAAAGCTCGTATGTTCGAAAAGCTGTATAATCTCATAAATAATCTTCCTTAGAAATTTGAATTATACCAAGAATAGACAGTGAAAGAGAAAAATTCTATCCCACAGGATGATTCTATCCTGACTAATTATTGCTAAGCTAGAGAGGGAGTGATAACAAAAGGGAGCGCAGGCAAATTGCGCTTAGCCTTCATCTGAATCAACTAAATGAGATATCCTCAATTTTTCGACCAGATAGCTCGGATGTCTATTTTTCAAAAGCAAGGTCTTTTCAAGGAAGTTGATTATGATAAGTAATAAAATTTGGAAACGAACGTAAATTGACAAAAATTGATTTGAAGCGAATGAGCGAAGACAAACGGTACTTAAACTTCAAGAACCCTGAAAGACAATATTACTTAACATTTTCAAGCAAAAATGAAAGCCCGTAGACACAATTCTCCAAAATACACTTTCGTTGAGCTTAGACTCCCTAAAAAGTGAGAGTCTGGCCAGCGGTTCCATATACAGCGGCCTTGACCTTGGAGGATCCAAGCAGAGTATAAGAGTATGGAACAGTCGTGAGAGTGCCAGTCTCGGCATCATTCTCACCATCACCAAAGTCGTTGTCAGTAGCAACAGCATAGCCGTCATCAGTTGAGTAGAGGGGCTTCTTGCAACCATCAAAAACATTGGACTGAACAAGAACCTGGGCACCATCACGAGTGTTGATTCCGTCACTGACATCAAGGTAGTAGCTGTTGTAGATATGACCAGTTCCGAAGCGGATGGAAGGAGCGCGGGAGTTGATGTTGTACCAGTAGTTGTTGGCGTAGGTAACGTGGAGGTGACCGGTGTCCTCGTCACCGTTGCTGTCGGAGTGGCCAACGAGAGAAGCCTTCCAGTGATCGTGAATGAAGGTGTTGGAGACAGTGATATAGTCGGCCGCGTGAGTGAGCTGTTTCGAACGATACCGGCTGTCAGAATTGAACTTATTTGTAGAAGTTCCACTGCTTGCTTTTCAATCTGGAAAGGGCTTACATCAATCAGACCATCGTAGTAGTCCTTGTCATGGTCCAGATCGGAGGACACATCGCAATGGTCAATCCAAACGTTGTTAGAGTACTCTGCATGAAAATTAGTGTCTGTTTTAGAGAGTATTGAAAAATATTAACTTACGGACACCAATAGCGTCCCCGTTATCAGCAAGGACTTTCTTAACACCCAAGTTGCGAATAATCACATTGGACTCTTCCTTCACCAAACTATATCCCGAATCAGTGTTTGCTCCTATGGTTTTCATTAAAGCAAACGGAACTCACAGGCCAAATCCGGTTAGGATGGCGGTGTAATCTTTTCCAATAATGCTGGTGTTGCTTCCAACCTTGACCTGATCTGCAGTCTTTGAAATTGGACCAGAGACATAAACAACTTTCTTGCTGTCACCAGAGACAGCAGAGGTAAAAGCAGCGTAGGAGGAAACGGTGGTGGTAGTTCCGCCATAACCGCCGGTGGTACCTCCATTTTGGCTAGCATAGCCGAAGGCCGCGTCACTCACGGAAGCGCGCTTGTCGAAGGACTTGCCGACGTTGTTCGTAGTGGGCGTCGGCGCAGCCAAAGCCAGGCTGGACAAGTAGCCCGCCACGACAGCAGATAGAAGTTTGCTGCCAACCATTTTGAACAATGAACAGAATAAATATGATGAAGAACAGTGGAAGGGTAATATTGAGACAAGGAAGAATATTGAGTAGGTGACCAGACCTAAAAGTTTGAAAGAAAAGAATAATAAAGGCAGTTCAGTTTGGGTAGAAGAAGCTTGGAATGAAGCAAAGAGACTTGGAGAGTCAATATGGTCGGACTTTAAACATGTTATATAGTTGAAACCAAAGAAAATTGCTACAATGAACCACTGCTTACTTTTACCGATGGAGAGCAATTTTCCGTCAAGTAGTAATGTCTTGGCTGGCACTTTTTCAAACAATACCCAGAGCAGACCTCACTAACTAACAATAACACAGCCACAAAACAATCAGCTGCTTTTCCAGTTTGGGAAGTTTCCGTGCCAAAACTATACACGGCACTGGGCAGAGACCAACTTCAAGATTATAGGGGTGGAATTTCTCAATTTCCATCCTCCCCTGAATCATGCAGCCAAGAGTCTTGGCAGGAATAAGAAACCGAATCCAAGAAGATTCGGGCCAAGAAACACTAATCCCACTAATAAGCGCGGAGAATGTTTCAAGCATATTTGGTGTCCGCCGCGGAAATGGACTGCCAAGTCTCGTTGCCGTTTCACCACCACCACCTGATGCGACGGATAAAGTAGACCCCGTTACTTGGCATTAGCAAATTGAGATCGATGATACACTGTTTCCACGAATGGGTAAATCAACGGTGCTAAAGTGTAATGCATTCTAAGAAAGGTTCCATACTGGATGGGTTCTGCGCAGGAGACTTGGCGTTCATCGGTGTTTGCCATCACTACATGGAATTGAATCAGAAAACCCAAAAAGGCATTATGCTCAATTGAAGACCCGTGTCATATGTGTAGTGAAATAAACCGGCGGTGATCATAGAATGTTCAATGTTTTAACATGTATATACAGGTTTGACACTCCAATCACCATCGCTGCCCCCTATTTTTAAGCTTTGGTATAGCACCGCCTCCGAATCTGCAACTTCTCCCACGGTGCCATAAACAGAAACTCATGCACCTCATAGCTCCTTGGTCGGCTCGTCCCCGGCACTAATCTGAAGTCAAACTCCGTCAACAGTTTAACCAATACCATCTTCAGCACCAAACTGGCAAAGAAACGACCCGGACACGCTGACTTCCCATATCCAAAACCCAACACAGTCCTATCGATAGCGGTATAACTGTGTTGATTCGACCACTGGCTAGTAGTTCTCGGTCCCATCCCACGCCGATACGTGCGTAGCGGATCATACCGTCCAGGCTCATCGATATAAGCCGGGTCATTCTCAATCGCCATAACTGGCAATGCCACGATCGTGCCTTTTTTGACAGTGATGGGTGGAGATATTGAGGTGAATCTGTATGATTCACGAAGCAAACGCTTTAGTCCCAGCGTAGTCCCTGGTGCTAAGCGCTGAGACTCGCGGAGGACGCTGTCGAGTTTGTGGAGGTTTGAGTATGCGGCCATGGGGTCGGTGGTCCATTTCTCTTTTTGGTCTTGGATTTCTGCACAAAGTTCCTCGATATATGTAGGGTGTGCGGCGAGGTCGTACAGTGTGTTTGTGAGGCGGATGAGAATTGTGTGGACGGAGGCGAGGGAGAGAAGAACCTCGCTACGGGTGAGCATCTCGGCGTCACGGTCAATGCCCTTGGCGCCTTCAATCATCCAGGCCATCACGCTGTCAGTGGGCTGTGCGGTGAAAGTACCCTCGTCGTGGTGCTTAAGGAGGTTTTGGATTGCTGGGCCGAGCACAGTTTGAGCTTTGCGGAGGTAGGCCCGACCACGCCAGTAACTGGGGAGGCAGCGGCTGAGGACTGAGTAGGTCCATGTGGGAAATGTTCGTAGGACTATGACTGTGGTAAATACTGAAAAAAGATTAGCATGGAGTTTGATAAAATCAGAGTAGATGCGTTTCACTGAGCGCAGTGTTTTACTATTGTATCTCTTGAGTAACCTAAAAGATTTAATAGGGGAGTCTTACGGCATTGTGTAAACGAGAGTGATATGTCTAGCCAGACTGGATCACGACAGAACTCTGACCCAACAAGCGCGCGCGCAGAGAGACGTGCCACCAGCTGGCCCATCAAGTGAAATGGTTTGATCTCTGTCCAGTCCTCAATTTGATTCCGGCTCGATGCGGGAAAAGTGTCTGTGATGGCAATTTCAAGCTCATCCTGCAATGCTGGCGTGAGCAAAGGTAGTCGCGGGGTTAATTTGCGCTGAACTATCGTGTGGTGAATGCGACTTTGGCTAATGACGTTCACACCAGAGTACTCTCCCACCAGATCATGCTCCAGAGCCCCATTTGGACTGGCCAGAGTAGGGGGCAGTTGAGAAAGTTCCTCCAAGGCCGACAATGGCAAGATGACAATGTTTCCATTGGCCCGGATAAGCTGGAAAGTACCATTTTTGAACTGTGTGCAAAGGAAACAGTTAGTATCTGTCAAAGTATGGAGTTTTTTCTCCGTTTACCTACCTTTTGATATCCTTCCTCAAGTAAACGTGAGGCTTTGGTGGCGAAGATCAAGTTAAGAATCGCTCGTGGTGTCCACCAGGATGGGCTACCCACGACAGGATGTTCCTTCTGCGCCCAGATCAATCGTTTGGTGACAACCAAGTCCCAGATATAGTATAAAAAGAGAACGGCAAGTGACCAGTAAATGGGTGGAAATATGGCCAGAACTGTCATGGTGTTTCCTTTTGCGGGAAATTGTAATAGCGAGAACCAAGAAAAGTAAGGAATGAGAGAAAGAGGCTATATATTCACATGTTAACCAAGTATTAATGTGGAAATCTGTAAATAGTATGCGGGTTTCAAATGTCCCAGTACTGGCTGCCCTTGCGAAGCTTCCCAGCTAAATTATACACCGCCATGAGATGGCTATAGTGTTCTGTAATGAGACGTATCGAGGGACCAAGAAGCGGTCCCTGCGCTAAATAATACAAGCGCCAAAGCTAGATAATTCCTTTGCAGAAACAAGGAAAAGCTCTCCGGGGGTTTATCCGAAAGCGGCTGGGGCCCATGTGGCGAACCAGATTGGTGGGTAAAACTTCGCATGGTTTGTGCATCATCATTGGCGAAGCTTCGGACTAAATGCCGGCAGACAGTAGCCAAGTATCCTACGGGTGGTTTGATAGGTTAGACTATCCGTGGGCCCATGCACCGTTGAAATACATCCCCTGCCACAATTCTTCAGAACAATGGCCCCCAATAATCCAATATCATCATTTTTCATCACTTTTTACGAGAAAGAGGCTGTGAAAAAAAAATTTCTTCCCGCTGTGACGTTCTAACAGAGACGCGGGTGGCGTTTAGGTGGGGGCCGTGAGTTTAGCTTTCTCGATAACTCCGACAAGTATAGACCATGGCTTGAGAAATCACTGTCAGATACGGGGTCATGTGGCTTCCTTATCGTTCATTTTTAGTTTCATATTTCTCAGCTTTGAACAAATTGTCATCATGATTTATCTAAAACGATACTTGGAATGATAAAACGATATTTGAAACGATCACCAGCATGATGAATGAGAAACAGATTGCACCAAGTAATCCGTGCAGATGGTTAAGCTCCTTGCAATAGTGTGGACTGCAGACTCAAATCTCACTTCAAACATGATTATTCTTGTAGATGCTATCCTATGTACTCCAAGTGTGTCGAGTGTTAAAACAACGCGCCAGGCCCCCTAAACTCCTTGGGTAAAAATCGAAAAGCCAATTGCCAAATACTAAATTGATCCTCGCGGCATGAGTACCACCTTGGTTGACTCATACGGCATGCTGAATGCCTCGTACATCCAATGGCTGCGCATGTTCAGGTCGTCAAGTCGGATGTCATAGCGGAGCAGCAGGTTAACAAGAGCTAGTTTGAGAACGAAAGCAGCGTGGAAGCGACCGGGACTAAAGCGAGAATTAGTAAGAAGAAAGAGGCAAAATAGACGCTGAAAAGACGCACCATGCCAGCGATCCGTATCCCCAGATCAAGTATTGCTCGGAGACATCAGAGTATCGATGTGTAGAGTCCTTGTGGCGGCCGTCTACAAAGCGACGACCATCGAAGGTTTCCGGGTCTGGATATGTGGCGGCATTGTGTGATGCGGCGTAGGAGGAGACGCAGACAGTAGCACCTGCAGGGACGTGCGTGGTTCCGTCTTCAAAGGTGTAGTCTTGCAGAGCCTTGCGGCGGATGTTCACTTGGCAAAAGGAGGTCAGAGCAGGTAGGAGAGAAAAAAGGGGTAAGACATACATTTGTCCAAGGACACAAGACGCGCGGTTTCACGCATGAAGCTATCCATAAGAGGAAGCTCGGCTAGTCGCTCGTAGGTCAAGGGTTCTTTTGCCTGTGCCTCGAGAATCTCATTGCGCAAGATGTCCTGCCACTCTGGGGAAGCGCAAAGTCGGTAGAGAAAGATGTGAAGATTGACCCAGGGCTGGTGAGAAGCCGCTAACAAGAGGCCTGTCATGGCCTGTGTGAGCGTTTCAGGAGTCCAGTAGTCACGAGTTTTCTGGGTCTCCGTAGTAAGTAGGTAGAGGAGTGTATGCTCCTTCAAACCAGAGTGCTCAGCCCAATTCTTCGTCTCGCTTTGAATCACGGGGTTGACGCAATTCAAAATCATTTTCATGGCCGCACCACGACGGGTAACGATTGCGTGCACCAGACTGTTTCTAGTCGTTAATGGCCCACGCTCTGCTGAAGAGTTGTTTCCATGACTTACGGTGACATGAAGCGCGGTAGAAGCTGGAAAAGAGCCATGCACTTGACAGTTTCCTGGGGCTGGTCATATAAGGCCTTGAGGAAGGCGGGGTCGGATGCTATCAACTTCTGATTAGCAAGTGTTCTTTTCTCATTTTATCATTCCTCCAAGACCTCGTACTCATTTCTTCTCCAAAAAAAATCACGGACATCAGTCGTGAGGCCATGACACGACACGTCTCCGCGAGAGGAACACAAATAGAGCCATCTTCGTCCACCCTGACTGGGGATAGTTCATTTCCCAGGAATCGATCCAATCGATTTTGGATATAAGGGTACAGATTGGCTAGCTGAGCCGGCCCTCGCACACTTAAAATTAGAGCGTAAAGCCGAGATCTCGTTCGTGTGATTTTCATCTCGTCCTGGTGTGCGATATTCATTGTGTGCTTGAACCCGAACATCTATTTCCTCATCAGCCTCTGCAGAGTATTGGGATGCTGCATCGATAGCTTACATCGGCGTAAACAGCGCGCTGTGAGAGAATGGCCGTCTCGCTCAGCTCGGTCATCTTCTTCCGTGTGGGATCAACCAGAATGGGTTGAGTAGCCCAAGGGCGGTAGAACTTGCCATTAGACTATGGGTTATTATGGACAGTCAGCCATGGGAAGTACGCATATTTAGAGAAGGAAACTTACAAAGTCCTTTATGATCTGGGGACACTGGGCCACTTTGGTGATGGAACGCCCAAGATAGTTCGAGCTCTTATAAGTCTGTTCCATGTATCCTGTTAACCACAAGATTAACAAATAGAAAGTTTTAGGACCTACCTGTAGTGCAAAGCAAATTTCAGAAAGACCAAGTGTAATAGTGGCAAGGCAAAAAAGCCATGAAGAAATAAGTTCCCAAGTCATGATGGCGAATCCTGGGAATGCGCGAATAGAGAAGTGTGCAACCTTGGAATCAATTGAATCCAAAGATGTCCTGTCCATATATACGTAAACTTATCAATTTAATTTCTTTTCTATCTCTTAGGCCTACTAGCTAGAATATTTCTAGCTCCATATTACCAAGTTCCGTCACTCCCCACCACTGATGATTGGCAAGATGACATAGGACGCCGTACATGGTGGCGGCGGTAAGCTTGTCACTGCCATGGGGGCGAAAAGGCAAATAGCAAGTGGAGCCAACAATGTAGTGACAAGCTCAATCAGCCTTCAGGATTAAAGCCCCACAGCGAAGCATAACTCCGATAATGGACATGAACCTCCTTCGGTATGTCGAGATCCATGTTCGGAAAATGCCGCCAGTCACAGGTTGAGTATGACACTGCCTGACACAAAAAGCCCCCACTCAGCCTCCAGGTGTCTATATCCTGACTCAGATAAAAGGAATTCTCAGCTTGGAACTTCTATAAACGTAAGCATGGGAATTCTTCAGGCCTGAAGGAACGTATCATATTTGGGGGCTAAGATGGATACCGTGCAGGAAGACCGCACATCTCTTCATACGGGTCCGTTACTAGCTTTACTTGGCGCTATGTGTAATATTGAATATTCATTCTGATTGGTTCATGCATTCAATGCAGGGTCACGGTGTATCCTTGCTTCTTGGAGATGAGACTTTTATCACCAATACCCGTGTCTTGGAGGTCAAAGTACCCCCTTCCCCTCCCCCCAGTTCTGGGGTATCCCTGCCGCAGATCGAATGAGAAGCACTAAAACATGAGTCTGCGGTCACAATCTGTCACTTATTCCCACCAGGAAGGTCACTTAAAAAGCAAATAATTTAGACCTGGTTGACTGATTTGTTTTTCGTATGCATATTTGAGTTCTAGTCAGCAGTGATCATTTCAAAAAGGAAGTTTCTTTTGAATATCACTTACATCTGAGAAATAAAAGATAGTTTCGACGTGAGGGATTGGCAGATGGTCAATATTCACTTTCTAAGGGTTCTATCTTAGGTGCTAATGGCCATATTTCTATTCGCCTCTGTAGTCTTGCGTATTTCCTACTTCTTTCTTATCATAATGCCAAATTTTTCTATTTTTGCATCGAAAAGTTCCTTGGGGACTTAGGCATTTGACCACGCACTCAAAGTCACATAGCCTATTAACCCCACTTTCGTATCTGAAGGATCACGCTCCAAGCTTTCAAATCTACTAATCGTCCAGTTGGGTGGCGGGTCTTGTCACTCCAGAGGTTATAATTCAAGAAACGTGGCAAGTTATATACACGAATTTCCCCACCAATGATTAAACCTGTGCTTCTGGGCTCCTCGTCTCCACATGAGGATAGTTTCCAACAGCACCGGAATCGCCACCATCGCTGTCATCATCTTCCAACTCCTTCACGCCATTGTATCGATTCTTGTTTGATGGGGCGACATTCTTCAATGGCCACCGGTCGGAAACCTGCATTTCGAGGGAGTGACCATCTGAAGTCTTCGAGCGTCTGTGGTATGAGGCTGCGGACGAGCGGGTAAGGCGGGAAAAGAAGCGTGTTATATGTGGGCCATGGTGGCGGAAGAATAGAGCCATTGATGGCATGGAGCTAGCAGTGATTCCCACGCACATCTCCACAATCGCCATGATGAAGACCTTGAGGCTGTAGTAACTGAAGTCGGACTCATGCGAGTTCAACACGGTCTTGAAGTAGATACTTAGCGAGGACGCAACGCAAGCACTAAGAGGGCTTGGTCAGTATCCTTTGGCTTGTCATTAGCGAATAATAAGAGAACTTACACCACTCCTGTCGCGAATACGGCCATCACTCCGAGCTTTTTGCTCATTTTCAGCTGTAGATTCCAGATAGGTGCCATTGGCAGTAGCAGAAGGTATATATCAAGGATGAGACTTCCTACAGCTATAGGAATCGAGATGTGTAGAGACTCGTTGTACCGGTTTGACACAAATGAGGCCTGCCACGACTGGCCCGGTGCCGGACTGATATAGTATAGGGTGGCGATGAAGACGGATATGTAGAAAGCCCAGTTAACGAATAGTCCGAAGTAAATGGCGTAACGTTGCCATAGAACTGTTCGGAACATGTCGAGGTAGATGAGGAAGAAAGTGGTCTTGACAACTGGCCACACGAGGGCTGTTTGCCAATTCGAGAAGTAAGCGGTCTAGGATAGTTATAGTCAGCATTTCAAAGAATCCATCTCAGGTCATGACCTTCTCCTTTGGTCTCTCGTTTTGAGAAGTAAACCTCCGGAAGCTTGCACTTACAATGATGAAAGGATCACTCAAAATATGGGCGACCGACAGATCCCACATGTGTGTGCCAAACCTGGCCTTGACAATCGCTAGAGTCATGGAGTCAGTATAGAAACGCCGGAATGCCGTAAGATAGACGCACCAAATAGACAGGTGATAAAATAGAAGGTAGCTCCAAGCTGTGAAGGCCTGCGATCAGTGTCAAGCCTCTCATGCGGAGGACTTGTAAACAAACCGTGGATATTAGTCTGGTCCAATCGTCAGGAGCCATCCGTTTCCGGATCTTAATCTTGACATAAAGACTCATGCCAACAGTGATATACATGATACCCATAACCAAACTGCCGACTACCAGGAAAAGGTAACCCTCTGATTTCGGGTCAACAAGATTCGACTCTTGGCCTGCTGGTGGGGTTCCTGCGGGGATGTGAGCCAGCTCAGCGGGATCCAGCGAACTTAAGTGACTCAAGGCAGACGTCATGATGTTCTGACATTAGAGAGGGGATGATCAGAGAAGAAGAGAAGTTTGGGGAGGGTAAAAGTATATGTAAAAGTAAGTGTGAAGAAGCTCATGGTGGCGGGTCTTGGAAGACCTGCTAAATACCATTTTTGGATTTCATCCAACCCGTGCTGTATGCACCTCAAAGATGGTTGGCGTATCTGTCCGCATCACATTGGATTCTTCAGCGCGTCTACAGTTAGATCGGACTAGGGCCCTTGCGTCGTGGGGTCCGCCTGGCCTTGGAATGTAAATGGGGGCCAATTGATCTAACTGGTGGCAGTGATCTTGAACTCGCTCGCATTAGTGTTCTTATCTCGGTAAGACCCGCCCCCAACTAGAAAGATACTAAATCTGTGTTACATGTATTGTAACTTTGATTTCGGCCCCATAAACTCTATACAGTGGCGTTTTATCAGCTTGACGATCATACTACACTGCCCCGTTTTTGCCATTTTTAAAAACCGTAAAATAGTCTGTTTTGGTATTTATTAACGTGTGACTTTGTGTGGCTCTCATTTACCGCAAGCGTGGCCGTGAAGCGATTGATGGGTATGAGCAGTAAGTCAGTCATCTAATAAGCAATAGCTTTTCAGTATGTTACGGCGCCAAAACTAACGTGATCATGTAATCAGGGGTTTCCGTAAGCACAGCAAAGACAAGGAATCCACAAGGGCGAATTAGGACCCCTGTACCTTCTTGAGGAGTAACTTCGGCGATCAATCGTCATATAAGAATGTCCCTGTGCTCACATTGATACAGACATCTGCACTAAAAAAAACATTTGTTGTAATTCTTCGCTGGCTCAACCATCCTCTTCCAGGTTTCCGTATCTGCGATGGCCACCCCGCAAGATAGACACCCGGAACTGTTCCGTCCCGTCAACAGCGAATCTCCACGAGGAAAGAAGCGAACTGTTCCTTTAGAATGCCTTTGTCTAGGATTTAACCGAACAGGTACTGCCTGTAAGTCCAGTTAATCACCCATGAGATGAAAGTAATGACACTTACAAAAACCACAATAGCAATGTGCAATGCCCTCGAAATTCTAGGACTCCCCTGCTGGCACTCTACTCAATTCATGTCCAGCAAATTCGGCGACATTGAGATGTGGCAGGAAGCCATTGATCGAAAGTTTTTCAACGCACCGGGGACAAAATACGGACGCGCCGAATTTGACCAGCTGCTTCATGACTACGGCGCCGTTTCCTCAGATACGCCGGCCATTGCGTTTGCAGACGATTTGATAGAAGCCTACCCAGAGGCAAAAGTTATCCTCGTTGAGCGAGATATCGAATCCTGGTACGAGAGCTGGATGAACAGCGTGATCAAGAACACTTACGATCCCTTCGTGACGGTCATCTACACCATCGATCGGTGGTTCACTCACCCGCTTGGACATGTGCATAAGTCCACATTCCGTGGGTGGCTGGGAATTGATAATCCTGAAGATGCGAAGCGCGTGAGCAGGGATAAATACCGTGAACACTACGCACTTGTGCGGAGGCTTACACCTCCCGATCGCCTGCTGGAGTACAAGATCAGCGATGGATGGGAGCCTTTATGCGAGTTTCTAGGAAAGCCTATACCGGACGTGCCATTCCCGTTTCTGAACGAGAAAAAGTGGCTGGATGAGAAGGTTCAAATTGTATTGCAGCGCGGGATGAAGCGCTTGGCGTGGAAGGTGTTACTTTGGATATTGGCTCCACTGGTAGCTGTGGGGTTGGTTTTTAAGGCCAAACAGAATTAGGCAACGCTCGCTGTCTGCTATTTTTCTTGCTTAATCTTTCAGTTTTGAGATCCTTCAGCAGGGACCTTGCCGTCTAGAGTGATGTGATGTTTCAAGTCACCGACATGGAGATAGCAAGACAGTGCTTGTCTGTGCACACTAAGATATCGCGACTCTTCGCCATTCCAAAAAACGAATGTGATGTAATTTTGGAAAATTCTAAACAAAACATACAACAATCACAACTAATATTATCACATTGATTTATGCGTATCTGAGCTCTAGATACCCGGGCTTAATGACACTTCTCGTATATAGCTCGAGCATCGACAGGCCATTATTCTTTTTGACCTGATCTTCTTTTCATCACCGTGGCAATCTACTTCCACATTCCTTTGATGGCCAAGCCTTTCAGTTGGGACTGTTACGAATAATCGTAATTACGAATAAAATTTGCAAATTTAGAATGCGAATATTCGTTACTCGCAATTTAATTCAAGGTGTGTGTCTGGTAATAATGGAGATATATCAAATCTCTCTATCCCATGGAAAATCTCTATATTCTTCAGTATTAGGTCGTTCTTCATACCACATTTCGGCTCACTAGCTACAACCGATATATATCATCTAACAGCACTAGGATCCTCATAATCTCTCCATTCATGGACAGCTATCAAACTCCAAGCACGTCTTTTGCAGCGTTTAATGACCTCTACGGAGATTTCAGAGACTGGGATTGCTCAGTATCCCTGGCAGCAGCAGCCATCTAAGTATATTATTTTCTATGGGCTCTCCACCGGTCGTATAACCAGCTCTGATCTAATTTTCACAGAAGCTTAGAGTCTTACTTCAGCTCTTCGATATATCATCCATGAATGCTTCAATAGTAAGTCCCACATGTCGTTCCAACTTCTTCTCCCATCTTTTTCTCCTCTTTTCTGTTAACTCAATGAATACCTGGGTCGGCGTCTTCCCAGCTGCATTTTGACGATCCATCGAGGCCCCAGCGTTCACCGAAATATGGGTCATCTCCTCTCGTGCTCTTGCGCGACAATCACTTGTCACATTCAAGGCGTCAAAATCTCCTTTTTCCCATCTCCACCTTACTAATTTCCCGCTCATCACCGCATGCAGAGGTGCATTTCCTTTGTTGTCAACGGCGTTGACATTCGCGCCCCGACTTATTAGGCGGCGAACGGTATGTATTCGATTGAGAAACCTCGCCATATAATGGAGTGGTGTACGACCGGTGGAATCGGCCTTGTCAACATTGACGAATTCGAAATGTCTTTCCAGGATCGCAATATCCGCAGAGCTAGTATCACCGAAATGAGTCACCAGTATGTGTAGCAAATTCTGCCCTTTGTTGTTGCATCCACCACCATCGGCCCCATTTTAAAGTAAAATTTCAAGTCAGTTCCTAAGCTGCTCACTAGGAGTACCAAATCGGAGTGCATGGGAAACTATCGCCTTCTCAAAAACTGTCTCGCCCTTATGGTCGCGGGCCTTTATGATAGAGGGGAGTGATTCTAAACCAAGAAGAACCTTGACCACCGGTATGATTCTATCAAGACCCGCATCAGAGATCACTGCATAATCGAATATCGTCGCGCCATTTTGTCTCGCGCGTTCATCATATCTGAATTATCACAGTTGTTAGCATATGATCCGTGATCTTTTCTTGGTCATCTCTAGCATCCAACCTCCGTTTATCAAGACTGCCAACCAACGCCCATGGGAATGGGGTTCGTCCATCATTGTCAACGGTTGCGACCATCTCTGCCAGACTCATATCGCCACAATGGTCTAGTTGGCTCGCATCCCTTCGGGATTTCAAGGAAGGCTCGCGATATGTAAAGCGGTTACTAGCCCACTATCCAAGCCGGTGATAGAAGGCTTATACCAGGCATGCTTGGCATGAACATCAGCCCCTTTCGGCAATCAAACGAGATATAAGCGGGTAGCTCGCGTGGCAAATAGCATTGGTGAGGACTGTATCTCTCAGCACTAGCTCTGCTAGTGTTTGCTCGGACCTTTGACTTCTAGCCACCCGTGTATAGACGTTCGAGTCTTGAACCGAACAACCCTGATCCAGAAGAAAACATAAGAGCTTTTCTACAAGTGCACATTTGTCCCGGGTTTTGCGCCTATTGTCGATCGCACTTATTTGCCCATCTTCATAATACAATCTCAGCGCTGTGGCGTCCGACAACGAAAGGTTTCTGTAGGGTCTACATACTGATTCAGTACAGATTAGCTAGTACTAGAGAATACAAACTCTACAAATATCCCATTTCGCCCCTACCAGGTGTCCAAAAATCCGACAACTCTCGAGGCCCTTTCTCGAGGTAGTTTGGTGGGGTTTGTCCCTGTGATTCTACCCGCACGTCGTCAGAGCGTTCAGCCATCGAGCGTTCCCCTTTTCCATAACGTATTTCACAGGCGAGCGCCGCACCCCAAAACACCATAATAAAGGCTATTTTTGATACTCCTATATCAACAAACACTTCTTCAATTATATCATACTATTCTTCTATAGCTTCGATAAGAATTTGTTATAACACAAATAACTTTTAAATGAATCAACCTCTTAAATTATATTATCACGATACACAATACCAGCGATACAAGCGACAACTTACTGATCTACTATGATCAATCAGATTGTCCACAAAGGCTGAACAACGTATAAGAGGCCCAATTTAAATGTTTCAGACAGGCACATATATTTAAGTACTATTATATTTCCCGAACAAGTTTTGAAATCGATTTTCCCACTTGAACAACTTCACAATTTGGTATTGTATCTTTTTTCTTCCCAACTGATGATTTTTTGACCCTCGCCTTTCTCTTATTAAATATCACCAGCTGACAAACATTTCAGAATTGCTTCCTTGCATCTCATTCCTGAGATCACCTGTGACGATTAGACAAGACCTAGAATGCACCCTTCTCTGGACCGGCCAGAAGGTTGGGTTCAATCTTATTACAAACATTAATTCCTTTAATCAACCGGTCTGGGAGCTTTTGCTGGAGGAAAGGGTGAATTTTTGCTACATGGTAGTGTGGAAGCATGCGAAAGGGACAGAATATGTATTCCAAGAGGTAGCAAGAAGAGAGAGAGAGAGATAGATAGAGAGATAGAGAGATAGAAAGAGGGATCTAGCTAAGACCTGCAAGCGCTAGAGCGAACTGGGGTCACCTGACCCCAGTCTAATAATTTTGAATCTTTAGAAGAATGCAGTGGCATCTACATCGTTTTCTCCAAGATTTCCTAGGTCCCAATTGGTCTCCACAGTCTTCAACAGACTATAGTGATTATATGCGGTGTCATCCGTGGTACCAACTTTTGCGCTTGAGATCGCGCCGCCCAAAATGACAGCATAGATCTGATTCGTACCGGTAGTTAAGCCCTCATCAAAGGTAAGGATTATCAGTGTGCTGTCGGTATTGAAGTTCTCGTTGGATAGCAGAGGAGTCAAAAAGTTACGAGACCAAGTTCCAGCTGTGGCGAGGGAGCTATCGTGACCATCATTGGCTACAAGTCACATTGAGATCAGTCCAAGAATATCTGAAGCGAGGAGGGAGATACATACTCATGTTTGGGGTGATGAACATCCACTGAGGTAGCTCGTTGTTATCCAGGTCTTCGTAGAACATGGTGAAGTTCTTCGATTTGGCAAGACGATCGGTATTTGAGGTAACAGAGTTGTAGCTCATCAAGGGACTTAGGAATCATTTGTCAGTGTCTTTGCGCCGTTGCCCTGAGTTTGATGCTGGGATATTCACTTGTGCTTGCGCATGTAATCATTCGCACCAGTCTTTTGGTTGGCGTAATTTGCCTCAAACCCAGAATAAGGCATATCTTCCTGATACAAACTCCAGCTGACACCAGCATCTTCCAGGAGATCAACAATCGTCTTGGTACTCGAAGAGATATAATGGGTATCGTCGTCAGCTATGCTAAAGGTGTTACCACCAACAGCAGCGACATAATTGGGCTAAGAATTCATGTGAGAAAAAATACAACTCTCAAGCTTGGGTCATCTTACCTGAGAGGGATGGGTAATAGCAAAATAATTTGTTAGCGTGATTCCAAGAGACGCAAGATAGGCGAGGTTGGCTAGGTTCCAAGTTATCAAAATATGGTCTATTTAAGAACCCTAGGACATCAGATGTCACTCACTGTCCTTGATAGCCGCACTGTAATCTTCGTTCTCCAGAAAAATCTGAACAAAGCGATCAAAAGTCAAACCGGCGACACTCGATGTAGGGGACAGAGTCAACGCAGTGGCAGCTGCCTTAGCCACGGCAGCCGTGGCAGTAGAAGTGTATTGCGACTGGGAGTAAACCCCCGATGCCATCGCGACAAGCGCAATAGTTCTCGAGAAAATCATCGTATCTGGAGGGGATGTTTGAAAATTCCAAGGTCGGATGGAGCTGAGCGGTAAAATCTAGTCTGTGTCTATAAGGGAGATTCCTCCAGCTATATACGCTCACCCACAGCACTATTGTATATTACTATAATTGTTCCAGACTTTTTCAAAATCTCATTACTTCCCGTTATTATTCAACTAGCCGAGGATACAAGCGAGGTAGTATCATCGTAATATCAATTTATCGTATTGTATCCTCACAACTGACCACGTGTAGCGGCAGAGTCGATAGCACTAAAACCATACTAAGGAATCGCATATATTATGTAGTAACATCGCGTTTCAAGATAGGGTTTCTGGCACGAAGTCTTATATACACTAACAACAAAAAGAATAGAACTCTCTGTATAATTAATAATTTTATATGACGAGGCCATCTTCATCTCCCCATCATAGTAATGTGAGTAATTAATGTGAGAAATAAAAGTTGGCCATTGTTTGGTGGGGAACAGGTAGAACGGGGTCTAGCGGGGCGCGGGATTTCCCGTGGTATGGCGGGGATTCTGCAAGATCCCTGGAAGCTGATTTGGCCTCTTCATAATGCACAGCTTGTCGGAATTTTTTCCCGTCCATACTCACAAATCGGATGGCGGCTGGTCAACACGTGCAGCAAGGACTTGTGTTTTTGACCCTGATCTGATTCTTCATCTTGCCAGCTAACCAGCCTAGCGCTGTGTAGAATCTTGAATTCATTGGCAATTTACAGAACGCCAATGGCAGTGCATGAAGAGTACTGTATTAAAGTACATCACAAAAGCTAAAAATCTTGATACACCAATAGGAATTAGGATATCACTCAGCACGTGGGCTAAGATGTCTGATAAGCGTTATGTAGGAGGGTAGTTAGAGCGAAGCAAGGAAATTTTCAAACTAGTCAGCGTCTTAAAGTACGCAAGCACTGCTAGGCCATCAAAACTACAACTATTCACCAAAATTCTCCGTAAATATCATAATAAAATCAAACATTAATCATTGAACATAATTATCTACACACATTAAATGTACATGTATTATATGATATTATACCACCAGTATTGAATATCAATAATCACAAACTATAGCGTTGTATAGGGGATTTGCCAAAGGATCCAGCAAACATGATTAGATCAGGCCGTAGTAGTAGTAGAGTCGGCAGAAAGACGGGAGTGCGAAGCACTCTCTACTATCTAGTATGAAGCCCAAGCTCGTCCCGAATGGGACGAGAATAACAATCTTCGCATACACGGTTTCTACCTGAGTCTTTAACCGGATTGGAGTGCAATTGAAGGTGAAAATATTTGAAGTTGCATGAGAGCTATTGGAGTGTGAGGTCAGGGTACTCTACCGTTTGCTCCAGCGTTTGCCTTAGCTGGCTCTTTTCCTCTCTCTGTCTTTCTTCCTTCTTCATCCCTCTCGGAATACAGATGCTGTCCGTTTCTTCTGTTTCCCGGCTACCCATGTAGCAATTTCTTCCCCTGGGCCGACAGATCAGCTGTCGACAAGAGTCAATAAGAAACCGGCTTAACCTGAGCCACAAATCTATATCTGACCATTTTAGGTTGAGGTTGCCTATTTTTTAAGGCGGCCGTGGGGGCCAAAAGCGGCTCCCATATTCAGTTGGTGGAACGCCCAATCGCACATAAACTTACAGTTGAGCCAATCAAACTACGCCCAACTGCCTTGAGACATTCCTCCCAAGATTATGACATAGCAAATAAGTAGTTATGTCGACGACACTCAGCAAGCGGAAGCGTGCAAGGAAGGCTTGCATTCCTTGCCACCAGCGCAAGCGAAAATGCGACGCGGAAAATCCCTGTGACACGTGCACCACCTACGGATATAACTGTAGGTACGCCGACAAGGACTCGACTAGCACTGTGGACAGAAACATGCATGCTTCATGCCCAGCCAAGCGCGTTCTTGACGAAAGTTCTGTGGCGAGCGGGAGTACCGTCACATCGCGCAGCTCGGACAGCCAACCTCACGCAACCAAGGATTACCTTGGAGGTGAAAACCCGTCTTCAAAGAGGCCTAGCGGCGGAGCTGGTATTTTCGATGAGAAGAAGTCCAGATACACCGGAGCATCAGCGGCCATGGCCTTTCCGCACATCCTGGGTGTGGCTCTCGGCTCCGACAGCCCTCCCGAAATAAAATCGGTCGCTTACAACTTTGGGATTCGCCCCGAGGAATCAGAGGCTTCCGATATTCATGGCTCCTTGGGGGAACTTATCTCTGAAAATGAGCTCACCTTCTACTCGAATGTGTACTTCTCCATAATGGGTCCTGTAATTGACCTTATGGACCCGAGAATCTACGCCCAGCGATGTCGGGATTATTACCAAGGCTCAGGTAGCACTACGGTCGCCTTTAGCGCCATAGCCGCTGGCGTCGCTGCTTTCGGATCATTCCTGTCCCAACCCAGATATCAGCGGGAGTCTGACCTGGTGCACTACGCTAAAGCTATTCTTGACCCAACAACCATACCTACGCTGGGTATTGACCACATCATTGCTTGGGGAATGCGAGTAATTTATCTACGGGCCACAGCTCGCCCTAGTAATGCCTGGATCGCCTCATGCACTGTCATGCATCTTTGTGAAGTTATAGGATTGCACGAGGAAGATAACATCAAAAAGATGGCGTCTGCCGCCGGTGCCGCTGTTCTGGGACATGATGCGGACCGACTAAGGCGAATTTTCTGGATCGCGTGGGCCGGGCATAATATGCTATCCTATGAGTACGATCGTTCGGCTGTAAGATACGACGCCGTGACATGCCAGACTCCCATTCCGGTACAAGGATCATTTGCAGACCAGTTCGTGCAAATAGTACAAATAATCCCGTTATCCAATTCGCCGTTCCAGCTTGAGCTTGAAAGTCAGCCTCAAACTCCGAGGGATGACTTATTTGAGCGTCTGAAGGTATTGAGTAAACTCCACTTCACTCATCCGTTTCTGGTGGTGACGAAGGCGGATCTGGCGTTTTGTTTTTATCGCCGCATTTATCAGCTTGAGCCAGGAAATAGTGTAACGGATGATATGATTAAAATCATCATTAATAGCGGTAATGATGCAGTGCAGGCAGCTGAGCAATTAGCCAATCAGGGACGTCTATTTTGGAACGTCATAGGCAGCGTCTTTCAGTATGCCTGTGTCTTATTGGCTATCGACTCACCTGCCTCCTCCGCTCACATTTCTGGTGCCTTTAAGGGGTTGGAAACTCTTGTCAAGGCTGCAGACACACGACTGACCCGCCAGGCATTGTCAATCGCGCGGCATCTTCTTAACATCAAAATAACAAAGAAGCGAAAGGAGCTTATGCAGCTGGAAGCTGTCGAAGCTGGCTACGAACCGGAAGCCGAGGCCAACACCGCTTTCCCGGACATTAGTTGGGGTGTTGACTGGGACCAATTTCTCATCGAGCCATATCTATCGATTCTCGGACCCGAAGTCCAGCTGGAGTAGCCTGAAAGGTGCTGTACCATGATCAAATCCACTCGGTCATAATTTAATTCACCAAAAATGGCATATATGTAAATTTGCACGAGTTGGCATTCGAGATTGGGCGTTAGAAAGGTCTTATGATGATTTCTAATATGATGACCTGAACACTACGGAGACATGCGCGACGTTTTGTAAGCTCGGATTTGAGTAATATCAGCCATGCCGTCTTAATGCCGCTTCAATTTTGGTGCGGTCCAGTGCGGTGCGGTGCGGCTATTGCGGAGTTAGTGAGGCAGCTGTCGGGTGCCAGTATTGACGCTGTGTGCGGCTGCTGCGGTCGAAAGTTGAATGATTATCAGTAAATCCGACCGCATCTTATACGAGCTGGCGAATAGTTGTTCGGAGTTGCCGAATCAGCGGATAGACCGAGATTGGGTCCGATCTGTATAAATAGCCAGACATTCTCTGCTCAAGAGATGAATAGCCAGAACCCACAAGCAGCTTTATACCCTCGGTCACCAGTCTTGAACAAGATCAAAGAATTCCAACATCTTATTCAAGGATAGCCAAAATGCCTGAATACGCCAAGAACCAATCCGCCGGCTTCAAAAACGCCATAGAAAGAGTCGCCATTGTCGGCGTAGGTTATTCCTCAACAGCATCATATAATCTGGACATAATGACTAATAAAAGCCCCTAGGCCGGAGGCACCGTTGGATCCTACATTGTCGCCGCTCTGCTTGAAACCGGAAAACACACGGTTACGGCTATCTCCCGCAAAGATAGCAGCAACAGCAACAAACTCCCCAACAGCGTCCTCATCGCCTTAGTTGACTATGACGACGAGGCCACAATTGTCGCTTCCCTGCAAGGCCAACAATTCCTTATCATCACAATGGCCCCCACCGCGCCCCGGGACACACACAGCAAGCTAGTCCAGGCAGCCGCCAAGGCCGGTATTCCCTACATCATGCCAAATAATTACGCTGGTGACATTGAACAAGTCAAGCTTGGAGAAGATATGATGCTGGGCCCTGTGGCTAAGGCCGGTAGGGAAGAAATTGAGAGGCTCGGTATGCAGTGGATCACAGTATGCTGTGGTTTTTGGTACGATTACAGCCTAGCGGGGGGCGAGTCACGCCTTGGGTTCGACTTCGACAGGCAGTCTCTGACGATATATGATGATGGTAACACCAAGAACTCGTTGTCAACCCTATCGCAGGTTGGGCGTGCCGTGGCCCGAGTGCTGAGTCTGAAGCATCTCCCCGACGACGAAAACGATAAGAGTCTTACATTGTTTGGGTGGCTTAACAAGCCAATTTACGTCTCGAGCTTTGTGGTCAGCCAAAAGGAGATCTTTGAGAGCGTCAAGCGCGTCACAGGAACTAGTGATTCTGACTGGACGGTTACCTATGAGGATACGAAGAAGCGATACGAAGATGGCCTGGCGCTCGTTAAGCGTGGTAACATGGCAGGCTTTAGTAAGCTGCTCTACGCAAGAGGATTCTATCCGGACAATCCCAGTGATTGCTCGGCTAAGGCAAAGGCACAGAATGAGCTGCTTGGTTTGCCAAAAGAGAGTCTGGATCAAGCCACCCAAGTTGGGATAGATCTGGTTAAGAAGCTGCAACAACGCCCTGAGCGCATGGCGGCATAGAACAGCGGCTGGCGAGTTCATCAAATAGCGAGTGCGGTTGTGACAAAATGAAAATTGCAAAAACACAAAGAATTGGAGTATGCGGTACCATGTCCAATAACCATTAATCTTTAATACAAATTCTCAAAATTTAGGTCTGGGAGAAATGTTTAACACTTGAATTACTGGAATAAGTATTTACTTGATTTCTTCCCTAGTCTCATCGCGAATTCAACCATCAATTTGAACCTTCTTATATATAAAAGATCATGAATTTGTAGGCTTTTTTATAAACCTACTTAATTCAAGGGAATGATAATATAAAGACAGTAGACTTGAAGGTATTTTAAACATAAAAACACACTGGATCTGTTGTTCATAGTCTTTATCCACCTGTCGGGCTAACCTGCTCCCCCATTTACTCCAATGCACAGGAGCAGGGCTAGGGCAGTATAAGTGTGCAAGTAAAGAAAGTACTCAAGCCATGTAGTGTGGTGACATAAGCTGAGGTCAAGAAGCGGGTCCTCATCCGTGCAATCCAGAAGGCTTGGCAACAGCGGAGCTAGTCGCGAACATCAAAATATATCTGGGTAGCCAAACTTTCACATTCTCAACTATATGAATCTACACTCACCATCATCAAATCTTCCATGTTCCGATACCTGTCAAATATGCTAGGGTTCTTCCAGGGACTCTTCAAAAAACCCCGCATCGAAACGTACGGACTAGACCATGCTGTCCTTAACATCCAGCTGCCTCCGCAGTCCATGTGGATGAACATGGGGTATTGGGAAGTAAGTTGATTCTGTTCACTTCAGAACGCCTTCTACAATTAATTGACAGGATCCAGTCTACATCCGATTTCCCACAAGCTTGCCGAGCGCTGCTTGATCAAGTCTTAACAGCTGGTCCCTTGAAATACCAGTCGCAGTTCCAGTCACAATCCCAATCCAAATCTATGCGGGTGTTGGATGTTGGCTGCGGATGTGGCGACCAGTCTCTTTACCTGACTAGCCTTCAGAGGGATGGTTCTGTGGTTGAGCAATTGGAATCAGGATCCGGGTCCGGATCAGCTTTCCAAGCTACCCTAGCATCACCCCAGCAATCCAGATCACAACATAGACAGGATTGCCCATTGATTGATACCTACATAGGTATCACGCTAGAGCCTACACAGGCAGCACTAGCCCAGTCACGACTCCAAGCACAGCAGACCACCCTAAGCGTATCAGCAAAAATATTCTGCGCCGATGCCGCCAATCCGGCTAGTTGGTCTGGGGACCTTCAGAACTCAGTAAAGGGGCTAGTGATGACACAAAACAACACAGAAACCTGGCTACTTGCTCTAGACACGATTTATCATTTCCGGCCGTCGCGGAAACCTATTCTTCAGTTCGCGCATGATAGCCTCTGTGCGTCGTATATGGCGTTTGATCTTGTTCTTGCGGACAATGTTTCGTGGTTCCAGCGGTTTCTCTTGCGTGTTGTTTGTTGGTTTCTTGGGGCACCGTTTGGGAATATGCTTACGAAGGAGGAATATAGGCGAATGCTTGTTGAGGTAGGGTACGAGGCGGAGAGGGTTGAAATGAGGGATATCTCTCGGCATGTTTTTGGGGGATTGTCGGAGTTTTTGGGGAGGAGGGTGAAGGAGGCGGAGCCATTTGGGTTGAAGACTGGGAAATATCGGGGGGCTAGGAAGGTCTTTGAGTGGTGGGCTAAGAGTGGGATTGTGAAGGGGTATGCGGTTGTTGCCAGACGATCGTGAATTTCGCCTCAAAGATGCACGCTGACAATATATCATGAGAGATGATATGTAGCGAGTCTTGCGTTGAAATTATTGGTTTATGAAAAGTATAAATATAAATTCTCCATTACTCCCCGTATCTTAGGGTATGTATCAGAGATGCCAGCTTTAACTCAGCACTGCTTCACAGTTAAAGGGCTCTGCCGGTTGCGGAATAATTTGTTAGGATCAATATCTTCCTTAGTCTGCCGTAACCAGGACAAGTTGTCACCCCAGTACGTTTCAGCGCCATCGGATAAGCAAGGGTCAACGTATCTGGAGTACGCAGCATACGGAGCCTCATCATTCGTAGTGATCTCACTGGCGCCATCCAAGAAATCGATTTGAGTCTGACTCGTATCATTTAATAAGGTGATAGAGCATGTCTGCGATCAAATAAGCGCATCATTACATATGTTTGCGTATAAGAGGTCACGTTTGATGCAATCGTGTTGGTATGACTACACCGAAGTTGAAGAAAAGGAACCACAGCAATAAGACCACAAGTCTAGAGCGGCCTTAACTATTCTCGCAAAGAAGAAATTCCGTTGGTTCATCGTAATCGGGCGTTAGCCGTCCGATTCAAGCCAAGGGCGATATCTATGTTATCACAGCAGTCTGATGACTACCGTGTGGAGCGTGCGGAGGGATTAACAGAAGCGAAGATAATAGATTATGAGTATTGCCTCATATCACCAGAAGCATACTGACATATCTAAGGAGCGTAAAATTCGGAAAGTCTGCGAGACTTGCACCCTCGGACATATACAGCACGCGTCTTACACACCCTCACCGCCTTGCCGCGGGACGCGATCGATCTAGGCCATATTACTGATGACATGCGGCCAATCCCGACCGATACGTCCTCGAAACACCACTTGATCTTCCATGGATTAGCCACCGTGAGCCGGCATTTAGCACCGACACCGTGTAAAATATTGCTTTACAACAAGCGGCTCAACGCCAGCAAATTTCCTCGACTCCTTTCGATGAAACGAGGTCGAGTGACCTACACCTCACGATCTCAGGCGGGCAGTCTTCCGTGCCAGTCTTTCTTCGCTTCTCCGATACATCTTTTTGGCCCATGTCCCGTCACCCACACGGCCTAAACAATCGCAACGAATATTAAAGGCATCAGATGCACGTACTCGCACTTTGTCAAAAGATCCGCGATCGAAGCAAGGCGAATTGCGACACACCATCATGTCCCAGTGCAGATCACCCCGACTTCAATGATTGCTTCGATGACTACATCAAGTCCAACATGCCATATGATACTCTACTCATTCACGCGATAAGTGTGTCCGAGCATGCGACAGCTGTCGCTAAAAGAGATACACACGACGGGTTCAAGAGGCTGAAGCTGGTATAAAAGCAGGCAATATACAGACGAGAGATTGTACGGGCGCAGTTAGCGTGTTCGACTTGAGCGCCCCTGCGCCGAATATCGGTACCAAGCACGAGAAGTGTATCCTCCACCCAACAGTCTCCGTCAAAGACCGTGGCCTCTCTTAAGATATCGAGCGGATTCTTGTCATGCTAGAGCAGCACCGACAGGAAAAAAGAGCAATACTCCATTTTCTCAATGCTGCCGTCGCCTTATATTAGCGCATCTTGGCCTTCTCAAATTACGGAAAATTTTGGGACGCGTTACGGCCGCGGCCGCAAGCGGTCCAGCTTGTTTTCTGCTGAAAACAAGTCGAATTCAAGAATCCAGAAATCAACACCGCATTTTTTTGCATGATCTAAGAGGAGGTTTTGTGTTGGGCGATATCAATACCACGTAGAAGAACGCCCTGGATGGGTGTGGAGAGCTATGAGAAAGAGTTATGGACCAGGAACTGATAGATGGGTTCTCCTTGAGGAAAGAAGACTCAGAACAGACCCGAACAGCTTGAAACGACCTCCATACCAGGCATGCCAGCATTCGGTGCATCAATGACCGGCTCAGCTTCAAGCGTTTGGACTTTACATGGTAGACCAGACCCGCCATCGGCCCTGCCGTCAACTACGATAATCTCGAGTCATTGGTCTTTTTCTATTTGTCCATAATGACTCTCCACGGGAGAACTTCAAGTTTCTTTGCTCGGAATAGATGGCATACTCCTTTGTGTCTCACATCGCTCCGTGCTGCAGCCCGACTCGTAATCCTTATGTAGGTTCCACTGATATTGCAGTTGCGTTATTGACTTGAAATCGGAGTTTGCATTAAAATAAAAGTATGGCTATGGCCAAACTACGAATTTTCTCGTTTGGTTTGTAGTCTTGATTTGTATTATGAGCAAATAGTCTGACCATAGTTCTCCAGACAACGAATATCGAGTTACGGCGTTCGACGACGGCCCGTTACAAATTTCGGGCATTGACGCAAAGCGATTCTCTCGATTACGCATCGTGAACGGCAAGATTTGCGATGAAGAGTCCATAAAAGCTGGTCTCGCCACTGCAGAAGACCGATTTCGGTCCTGTGAATGCCTTGATCATCGTTCCGGCCCATGAAGGAAATGCACACGAATATTCCGTTTGGGATATGCCTTCTGATTTATGGGAGAAGATCTACCAATCGAACACCCGCGGCGCCTTCCTTGTAACAAAGCACTACCTGCCATACTTACGACCGAAGCGGCCAGAAAGAACCCCCTCATTATTACCAGATCCCGCCCAACAGCGATAGCAAGAGCCTCGCGGCGAGTAAGGAGCCAAAATCGACAAAAATCATTCGGTCGGCAGAGTGTATTCCTCGAGCGCTGGCAAATCCGAAACGGAACAAGATTTGCCTCACGGTGTCAATCGATCTAGATGCCGTTTCTGGTTGGCTTGGGACAAGTAAGTGCTGGATACAATTGAATGATGTGTAAGAGAAGTAACCCGAATTTTGCAGATTCCCACCCCTACAACAACCTGGCCGACGACTCCTCTGGTTTCTTTGCGGCTCGCGTGGGTATCCCCCCGACTGCTTTGCATGCTGAAGAAACTCGAAATCGCCAACCGATGCACTTGTTTATTCCAGGCCACTCCGTCGAAAGTGCCCCCGACGAGGTCCAGCAGGTTATTGCCTCGGGGGCTGAGACAGTTTTCACGGGTATGCGCACAAAGGCGCCTACCAGCTCACACCTGAGCAAGAACGCGACGTGTTAGAGAATTGACTTTCGATCATGCAAAACCTGGTAGGCAAGTCTCCGCACGGGTACTGTGCACCCATATATCAGCTCCGAGAAACGACGCTTGACTTGCTGGAGGAGTTGGATTCGAGTACGGTATGGGATTCAACCCCTGCACCAAAAGACTGCAGACATCAGCAGACTTCTAATTCCTGAATAGCTGCTATTCTACCACACCATGGCTGCCAGCTCTTCCGGGCCCCGAAGCGCCCTCGCCGTAAGCCCATCGGCTTTTCCAAGCCAGAAGCTACCTGGATGCACCCCATCAAGGAAACTTACTCGCCCCCTGATAGAAAACCACTTGTCTGTGTCCCTTTAACTAATATATGGAGGGCATGATGCCGATGCAGTTCGTACCGCATGACGAAGACTGTCAAGGCCATGTCGATGTCCGAGTGATCGAGAAAATGTGGCGTAATCGTTTCCAGTGGATTTGAGATAACGAAGAAGAGCCTGTCTTCGCTGTGCTCATACATCCTGACACGAGTAAAATGGCTCATATAATAGGCGTGCTGGAGAGGGTTTTGCGATGGTGAAAGACTTTGAACGAGAGGGGGACGTAGAATTCTCGCAGGCGGCTGAGGTCGCGCAGCGGTTCCGATAGAAATACTTTGGCAATTCATCAGGAGTATATGGCAAGCCGTCAGATAAAGTGACCCCAATACATGACCATTTAAAATAGAAAGGGTAGAGTTTGATTGCATGAAGAAACTGATGAAATTGAGGATATTCAGTAGACCACAACCCTAGGCGATAACATGATTTGAAGGTCTGGTCACAGGTACATAATTCTTGACTTTCAGCCTGTAAAGGAGCCCAGTATTCGCATAATAATGGAAGACAATACATGTGCAGGACATGCGTATGGCCAATCAAGTAGGGTTGGGGGCTAGCCTCGCCCACCGGCATCATATGGGCTATCGATTCTACCAAAAAGAGGCTACGTTATGTGAAGCAGAAATGATCTGTCTTGTTTGGAGGAGGCAGAAGTACGTGCGCATTGGGTATCCCTTGGATACACACGGACCAGCAACATGCCGAGTTGAAGGTGTTTTGACACCACCATGGAAATGTGTGTTCATCTTATCACATTTGAGGATGCTTCAAGCCGTATGGAACCAAGGAATGTAAATTGCGGCCCAAACCATTCAGAGCCCTTTGCTGGGTGTGATGGACGGTGAAATGGATATGGGATTGATAAATAGGCTGATGATAGGCTCGTGTGTGATGTGATAATATACTAGTGGTCTTCAGCCATGCCGAAGAAAGGGCTACTTAGGACGATAACTGGCCTGTCTATTAAGCCTGGGCATGGCGAGACCCCATTCGCTCAGAAGCAGTGGGTATGAGTGACAATTGCATCCCCGCTTCTTTGTACTCTGAACCCTTGCAAGACACAAACAGGCCTCGTATTGAAATAGACATGGGAACTTAAACATACCTTCAGGTTCGGCGAGAGCGTTGGAGCTAAGGTCAAGCGGAGTCACATACGGATAAGTCATATTCAACGATGACCAGAAGCCGATTTAAGGCGATTGACAAGACGAACACATGTATTCAATACCCAGCGGGGGTACAACTAAATACTTGGCTACGACCATGCATGAGATCGGCTGTACTCGGCACCTGAGCAGATTGATCCTGGCACAATTCCAAATACTCAACTTTGCCCTGCAACCTTCCGTTTCAAGTGATATGCCTCCTTGCTTTTCAACCTGCATTTCCCTCCCACCCCCGGCATCCAAAGACTTCCCATCCTTCATCGTCGACTACCATCAACCCTCAATAGCCCAGCGAGCTTCTCTTCATCTGTCTTTCAAGATTTGATGCACGACTTGTTTCGATGGTCTTTCTTTCCCGCTCGACGGGCAAAACTATCCAAATTCATCAGTGAACACCCACACTAATGCCGACCAGCGGAACTCACGAAAATAGATAGCCGCGCCTGATGCAAACTAGGCAGCAAAAAAGCCGCTACACTAGCTGGTATCAGGGGAATTCATTGGCCTTGTTGACATCTTGATGGTATAGTTATCAGCATCGTCCGGCACACGCTCAGTGCATCAGCCCTACCGATCCACTTGTACCAAGGAGAGGTTTGGAATTTCTTCCATGTGTGACGAGGCGCTTCAAACTCCCATTCCATCCCTTCTTGATCGCACCAAATGCACCATTCGACGACTCGAATCATGACGTCGTATCCATTGTCGCCGTCTTTGCAGGCCATTTGGGCTGCGTCAAGCCAAGTCTTCTTATCCCCTGGTGAAACGCTGTCTTTCACCTTCCTCGAATTGAGAACTCGATGAACATTCCGGCACAAGTCGAACCAATAGGACACTGGAGACATTCGAGTGAAGGACCTTTTTGTCAAAGCTTTGTGTCTTGTCGCAAAACCTGGTTTGCTATCACCCATCGCGGGGCCGGGCAATGTGATTCGGCTCAATGGAAGGAAGAACAACAAAAAGGGGGCACACAAAATTTTGGGTGATGCAGACTGAAAAGTCCTCAGGTCCTAGGCAGAACCTGCAATTACAGCCTGTTTTCCGCCCATGGATGACAAAAGTTCGCAGTTCTCAGAGCCAATCGATTCCCGGGACTAAGCCTGTTGCTGGGTGGACAAAGGTCGAATTTGATCAGCTCTCAGATCTGCGCAAGCGAGCGCTACACCCATCTACAACATCTGTCCTCTGTCCAGGCCTACGATAAAATCAACCCGACCGCAAGAATATTATGTTGTTCGATTATCGCATTCATCAAATACAAGGATAGCAGTCCAGCCTTCGATATCCTCAGAGGATTTCTGACTCTTCTGTTCAAGCTGTATATCTTGCCTTGTACCTGATTACGTCTCTCCTTGGCTTTTGATTGGGGCAATATCTTTAAAAAGTTTCTTGGAAGGTAGGCAGCTAGCTACATACATATTAGCGGAAATGACAGGTCGACTCATTTAGCATAACACCTCCTCTGAGAGCCTGTACAAAAGCTCCCCGTCTTGAAGGCCCTGGCCCGAAATCGAGCCTGCCTCAACAAAAAAGAAACATGATCCCTGGCCTCCTTCCGAAGATTCGCTACGACTTGAGATCTGAAATGCGACCTTTTGGGCCAAGTGAGGGCTGACTTGCAAGAGCTGCCCGTGGGGAAAGCGGGCGTTCTTTTGTGACACAATGGGGCCAAATTATGTGGGCCCGGCCGATCTGGACCGCACCTAGATTCAGTTTTCCACACTATCGATTAATCCTTCAGGCTCTCTTCGCCTTGTTCCTGGTATGTGGCAGGAATCATGCAGCTGAAGAAGAGCGTGGAAGCCAGGCAGGGAAAAATTTAGACGTTTGTCGACAAAAGGCCCGGGACTTTCAGGTAGCCAATCTCACTACTAAGTACTACTAGTACAAATTAGGAATGCAGAAAGCCTCCGGAAACCTCATTTCCGTCATATATACAACTCAACGAACTTCAGGTTTCCGAGTCGGTTCGAGCGCATTGATTTATTCTGCAAATTTAGATAAGAGATCTAACATACTAAGAGGTGCACTAAATCAAAAGAAAGAAAGAAAGAAAGAAAGAAAGAAAGAAAGAAAGAAAGAAAATACAAGAATCAAGCTAATCAAAACACGGGATGGAAAATGGAGTCTGGTACTGTCCAGTTGGCGATAGATGGCGATTCGAAATGCATCAGCTGGACACTCCGAGTCTTTACCGGTGCCTCACTATTCTAATAATTACCCCTAGTGCCCAGCGATCTGATACGAAATCTCAGGCTGATCCCTACTAGTACTAGTACCAGTGGGCATTGAGAGGTACACAATAGACAGGTCTTTTATAAAATCGATTGCATCTTTCCTCTCTCTGATCAAGCCGCTCTTAGAGATCGCCAAAGCAAACTTGACTTGGCGATAGTTCTGTTGATGAAGCCAGTCCCAAAGCCAGTTGAGGGTCTTTACATCGTTCGCTTCTGGTTCTTGCAGCGGTATTCCATTGGAAAGACAAGCTGCTTGCTTGGGCATCGCAAGCCACTCAAAACGCTTTTTGACTCTTTCTCGTGGAATTGTTTCCTTCAAATCGGCGAAAATTTGCGTGAAACATTCCGAATCAAACAACTCCCCAAGCCATGCCATGGCGCTGAAAATTACTTGAAGCTTATATAGGTAAGCTTCCGATTTGTTTTTGGCCTCATGGATACTATCATCAGCGGAACCGATGCCCCGATCTTTTATTTCGGTTTTGCTTTCCTCGAGCAGCAGACGATCGATGATGAAGATGCCAAGGGGCAAGCATTCCACGCCATATTCTTTTTCGACATTCGAATAAGTACTCTCAAGTACAGACACGAGATGATCCTGAACCATAGAGATCAAATCCTTAGGAGAATAACGATTATGAGCCTTCAAGAACATCTCCAGAATCTCATCTGAGCGGGATATCTTTTTGTAATGCCAATGACAGGGGTCATTTCCCCCAGGCAAACATTGTCTGAGCACATAATTGATATCTTCCAGGCTTCCCCTTGTCTGCGAAGAATGCATATCGCTAATAGCATCGGTCCGGGTTTGCCAGTATTTCCAGATATCGAGGTAACGAGACTCGCCAAGATATGGATCGAATTTCAGATTCCACGGCGATTCACTAATGACTTCGACTTTCACAAGATCTCGCTGTGGACCATGTTGCCCGTCTGGGCCCGAAGCGTGATTGAAATTGATCAAATATGCGTCGGCTACTGGGTAGGTGGTATGCAAGCCAACGTCTTTAAGTTCATCGTATGTACGACTCTGAGTGAATATTTCAACTTGGAAATGGTGCCGAATGAGACTTGCGATTCTGCCCCGATCTGAAGGTCTGAAGATATACAGGTAGAGGCTTGTAGGGGTCGTGGCAACATCACTGGTAACATGCACAGGGGTATCTTGCGGCGAGATATTGTTTCTCACAAGCTCATTGTCAGGTGCGATGGTACCATTGGCTGCCCATGGAGTACACGTAATCGGTATTTCTTTGCCAAGTTTGTCACGAAGAGCGTGTTCAAGCTGACCAACGGGGGAGGATCGCTTGCACGCAGATCTCCATGGTAAATCCTAGTACTAGTGATGTGTGACATGATGGGAAAATGTTCGTCGAGTGGTCGATTAGAGAGGAAATGACTTGAGATATTTGATGAATAGAAAAAGATATGATCGTATAGTCGATAAACTGATTGATTTTGTGAACTGAGAGTGAACCAAAAAAACCAAGATAGTTGATAGACTGCCAGGCCTGAACCTGCTGTCATTTCATGGAGTTAAATCAAGTATTTATAGACATCCTTTGGTTGCCCACAGAAAATGCGCCCAAGTACGTGGAATCAAGAAAAGCGCAATTTGCGCAGGATAATTCACAAGAAAAAGTCGGTATAGAAGAGAAATCCTCAAACACTGTATTTCCTGGCCGTTGGCGCCCAGAATGGCCAGGGTTCTTGTTTCGTACATGGAGATGGGGGGAGACTATTTGCTGTGATATCCCGTTACACAAACTACACGAGTCAGTTCATGCACGTCAGCCTCAATGCGAGGAATTCTTTCCATCGGGGCAGGATTTAAACGACTAAGTTAATCGTGATTTTAGAATGCTGTGTGATTGGGGCGAGATCTCATTTGTCCACGAAGGAAGCCCCTGCAAGAAAAATCTGCAAGCAGGCGCCACAAGTACACAAAGTGTTGACAATTAACCCGGGTGAGAGTCTACTATCACAGAGTATATTGGGATTGTATGCACTTAGTTGGGCTGAAGGCACGAGAAGTTGCAGTCTAGTTAAATTTCGACACCGATCTTCTTTCTGGATTGCGGTAGGCTGATCTTGTGCTGTGAGAATAGTTGGGAGCCGAGTCTGCTTCAACTAGGACTCGCCTTAACATGGCTGCTCCACTAATAGTATGTCTTGAAAATAGAATATTGATAGATAAAATTAACCTTCCAACTGGTCGCGTTGTTATATTGGAGCCAACGTATACTGAATCCGACTTAGATGCAAAAGAGAATATTAGGGAATGGTACATCTAATGGTAGATCTAAAGCGGGGAAAGATCGAACTGCCATGGGTCATTTATAGGATTGATATGCAAAGGGCCTTGTGACCAATGGGCAGAAGAATCAGAAAGTCTTCCATCATTAATCTGAGAGGAATGTAAAGATAAGAAAAAGGAATTAAGCCATGGGGAAAGCGAATTCAGCCCATGTCACTCGGGGTGCCCTCAGTGCCCAATCACTTGATGCTCTCCTGACCCTGCTCCGCGACTTGAAACGTCTCATTGGACACTATACCTGCACAGCATGAGGTACTCCTGGTGTTCTTGACATCATTTGAGGTATCCGCCAAGCGGATATTCCCGTCGGCCCGTGATGCACTTGTCGATCTGAAGCCCTGTTCGACGTCATTTTAGCCCCCATTATGTGACTGTATTGTCCACGAGACTGATATTTTCAGAGATGACTTCTAATAAAAGCAATCTGTGGGCTCGATCCCAAGTAACTCCCCGGAGATGCAAGCGCACTGACTTGATTTTGGGCTGATGCCAACGACAATCAGGTTACAAGCGCCATCCGACAAACATTATCCATCCCAAGTATTTCTGCAGCGAGCCCATTCATAGGAGCCACGTAGATCATCTGACACGCTTTGATATGTAAGTGTCATGGGTGTGATGTCTTTCCAGAATGCTAACGATCTCAGCCTTCTGGAATTTCTTTCGAGTTGTCGGTGAGCCAAGTTGTTGGTGGCGGTGAAGGTATATAATTTGATGTTGGTATTGAACATAAGACCAAATGTAACGTGGAATCTGATGCCTGAGAGAGCCGCAAGAATCGCCATGAGCCACCCAAGGCAAAAATGCCTAGCCTGGGCCAGCCTAGCTATGGCTGAAAAAGTCTTGTTATAATCTGTTGAATCAAATCACAAGACAAGAAATATTTCTCCTCGTTCCTTTGATCCTGTAAAGAGCCCAAGGGATGCTTCGATAAGAAAACAGGATTTAACGTAGAATGTGTTCTTAGGAGTGAATAAGTGATTTACAGGTCACGAGGTGTGATGAAAAGTACAAATAGGGAGATACTCTCTCTAATTTACAAAAATCCATGGATTGAGCCTTGAATTTTACAGGAGATCAGGGCTTTGCTCTAATAACTAGTCAATTAGTAGAAAATATTGATTCCTGATAGACCAGGTGTGAGGATTACTAATATGATGAATCAGCAGATATCTGGTCGAGTGACTCGAGTCAATTGCTGCACATAGAACTGAAGTTTGATTATGGTTATAGAAGCAAGGATGGTTGTACCTGTGTAACACATTCCCATATACGCCGAAGCGAAAACGTTTACACTACTCCAGCATCTCTTCCAATCCACCACGCAAGAGAATCCAAGTAAACCATGATAATGAACAACACACAACATCCCACCCAACGCTACTGACAGCTGGGTGTTCAAACATCGTATTAAGCAACTTCCGGCCGAGGTCCCAAACCGAGTCTTCCAATAGACCAGGTTCATCTATAATGACTATATAGGTAGAATATGCTTGAAGAGCCACCCCAGCCATAATCAGCCATTTATAGACAGTGGTGTACTCTCGCAAAGATTGAGATATATACGTCCCCCAGCCTCGTGGGAGAACTTGAGGACACAAAATTCCCGGAATGAACAGAAGAAGATGAGGCACAGCAAGTACAGGTATGAAGTACTGCGTGTTCGCGACAAAGGGTACAGCCGCAGCGCCGGCGAAAGATATCACAATCGGCGCAAGCTCGAGAATTGCAGGGGGAGTCCACGAAAGTTTCGAAGCCGGTGTAACATTCTGGTGTGAGACGAGAATCGTAGCGAAGAAGAGGTTCTGTGCGAAGGAGATCGCGACGATTTGCCCGAGCAGCATGTAAACCCAGACGTGGGAGATATGGTATCGCCGACCTAATGATGGTTAGCGACAGCTTGGAGAGGTCATGCATGAACACATACCCATCACACCCAGGAAAAGACTCCATCCGATCGTCCATAAGAAGATTTGTCCGCTCCACCAAGATTTCGCCGGCGTTTCGGAGACGCTCTCCCATGCTTCACGGAAGAGTTTGCAATCTCGTAGCCAAAGCTCCCATTTCACCAGGTATGGTTCCACCTCAATCACTGACTTTTGTATGGGGCCTTGCTGTGTTTCCCAGCTGCGGTAGGAATGGCGGAAGAACGCGAACATGTAGTACCATGTTGTCGCGAGGCTGAAGGCCGCGAGGAGAACGAACAGCGCAAATTTGGGATCGGTACCGTGCCATTTTAATTGGTGTTTCTGGAACTTGTAGCGGCGGTAGATTTTAAGGCATATTGTCGATGCGAGGGTGGCGCATAGCGTGAGGTAGAAGGCTAGGATGGGGAGGGAGCGGTAGCCAGTGAAGGCCTGCAGCGATTCCATGGGAGTGTAGACGATTATATAATCAATTATATATGCCCAAGGGTCAGTTCATCTTGAGGAGATTAAAGACCGGGAGAGCCAAGTCAAGCCAGCTAATGAATGAGGGCGTTAATAACCTCGGTAAGAGGGGCCAAGCTTGAGTGGGTATGTCTCTTATCGCGTTATTTGGGCGGTGAGCGGCAACCCAATCTTCTTACTTTTCATGTTGAATTTTAACCCGAAATATCCTATTCTGATGCCCACTGAGAGATTCACGCGGAATGCTGAAGTGACCTAAGTCCTTGGCGTTTAGACGCCCTTTCCAGATACACCTTCGCTCTCAGTCCCGCGAGGAAGCAGTCCAACCAAGTCCAATAACAAAGCGACAGAATTGACAAATCCATAGAAAAGCATCGGTATCAAACCAAAGAAAAGGTTTCCAGTGTAACCTCTCCGGAGAATAGTCTCGGCCAGCTCGGTCCGAGCGATGCCAGGTGCTACGGATGACTCGAATGGCCCCACCAGTCGGTAAAATGTCACGAACGATGCACCAAAGCAGTAGATAAGGAGGATCTGTAGGCCGTGGCGAGAATATAGTTCAAGAAGACCAGGTGCACCACCAAAGTCTTTGGCCAAAGTGCTCATGTACGCGCTGTGGTCAACGCCATATTGTATACGAGAGCCCTTGGCGGCGAGAAGATGGTAATGGTCGGGATCCATAGGCATCCGCATGCGCCCAGTGATCAGGGCTGTCCACCACATCGCTTGTTGTTCGGCTATGGGTGGGATGGCTCCCACGCCGGGACGGACAAAGCCGATGAATGCGATGTCTGGATGTGATAGGTGGACGATGTTTCGGATTTGAGCGTCTGATGCCGTGGGATATGAAGAATCGAGGTAGGGGAATGTTTGTTTGTATCTGCGATAGCCAGCATTAGCATGGAATCTGCACGTAGAAAATGAAGAAGCTATACCCTGAGCAATAAATGACACAATTCGGTCGAATATCTCTGTCCTTCAGCCGCTGCCAATCTTTTCTGTCGTGCTTCACCTGGAAATTTACCCTTCCCGTTTCATCAATAGATGTTGGCCAGGTACAAGTATCAACAAATCTATCAGAGTTAGCATCCTCCGGGGGATCAATGTAGCGATTACCGATGAACGCCAAAAACGGATTGTGCGTCTTATATGGACGATTCAGGTACGGCATCGCCTTGTTGCTTTTGTTAAGAAAAACAAACGCTCTCCCAAGTCGCTCTTTGGGAAGAGCGCCAACATGCTGATTCATACCGGCCTGTGTTCCGGTTAGGAACCAGAGGACTCGCTTGATCACAAAGTCCGAGATAAACCACCTAATTCGGCTTTGAGCGACCGCCCGATGGACGTATGCCGTCTCAAAGAGATTGGTGATGAGGCCGTCAATTGGAAGACCTCCACTGAAGGTCTTCCCAAAAACCTGAAATCGGCTGAGCTGCTTGGGAAAGGAGAGGAATCCGGTGCGGAAACACATCATCACTGATTCTGCGTCGGCTTTTATGGACTCATAGGCAATATCTTCAACGCCAGCTGTTAGATAGATCTTTGTAGCTTACGGGAATTCACTCACCCATAGCCGTCTCGCCGCACCCCAAGATGAGAACCTTCTTGCCAGCCACCTGATCACGGCCCTTGTAAAGCGACGAGTGAAACACATCTCCCTGGACATTCTCGATGCCTGGGATATCTGGAATATTTGGCTCAACATGGAGGCCAGTACAGACGGCAATGTGCGAGCAGTCAAAGACGGTCTCTTTCGCTTGGTCCGGGTTGTTCCGGTCTAGGTAGCTCACTCGATGCACCCATTCGGAGCCATTCCGGAGCGGAGATATGCGAACCACGGGACTGTTGAACTTGATGTATGGACCCAGATTGAATCGCTCGACATAGGAACGGAGGTAGTCGACGTACTCGGGCAGTGAAATATGGTCGGGAGTCTCCAGCGGCAAGCGATGATCCGAGAACGTTGTTAATTGCTTGCTGCTCACCAATTCGGCATTGTCGTAGGATCGATAGTTAAATGTACCACCAATATCAGATTGACTGTGAGATAGAAATTAGGAAAGGCGTTTTATTTCAGAGATGCCTCGTAACATACGCTTCGAAGAGACACGCCTCGATCGACTGGTCGGGCGTGGACGCCTCCAGCAAGGTCTTGAGGGTCACCAGGCCACCAGGCCTGCAAGTTGTCAGCAATGAATCCAGTGAATATATCAGCAGGTCCGGTCATACCCAGCTCCAATAATGGCTACTCGTATTGTCATTGGGCTGTTCCTGAATGTTGGAAAGGGATAGCAAGATTGCAGCCTGCGATTGCGGGGCAGTTCCTGTCTCCACTCTTAAAGCTTAGCAAGCTTGGTCGGTGACGCCATCGCCTTGTTCTTATCTACAAGCACCTCCAGCTTCGTCAGATGTGCTTTGAAATTAGACTGTAATTCTTAATGCACTTTCTATTATTTCCTTCAAGGTATTTTATCTTCCAAGGTCTACAATTATGTAATAGATAATTTTGTTTATCTGATGCCACAAATCGCGTGTTGGCATCTGCACTTGACTTGTCGCTGGCACTGCCCGCTCCCAGAATTCTTCATTATGACACTCACGACCAAATGAGGATATTTGGATGCTCAACTGCCTATCTTTATCTCCTAAAGTCCTGTCACGGCCCAAGTCCCAACATTGAACACGATCTTGCCACTACCACGTGGAGTTGTCCTGCAATCGATACCTACAGTTGAAGCGATCGGGTCAGCTTCAGCTATCTTAGTAACCGTAGCAGTCGGGGGTCAATGTTCCATCAAGCTGGTTACATTCGCTGGCCAAGTCGGGACTTCGACCGAGCGGATCAGCAGCATCGCTGAAGATGTCTCACTCAACGCGAGCATCCTACAACAAATCGCAGAGTTGTCAAAGAAGTTTCTGGATGATGAGATCAAACAATCTAACGATCTTTGCGAAGCTTCCCACGAGACCGCCTTACCATGTCTCGTGGATCCAAAAACGGAATCTTCAGTGCAGCTGGTCTAAAATCCGTCTTGAAGTCAGCTCGGAGAGGCCAGGAAATTTGCTCGTCACTAAATACAATTTTGCAAAAGGTCAGTTAGCAGCTGAATGCTAAACCGGGGATTATGGAATAGGAAGATTAGCCTCGAAATGAGGTGCTGAAATGGCGTTTCATTTCGCTGGAAATTGAGGCCATTCTGAGCGATCTCAGATATACTAGACACCCTAATGTTTGTGCTTCAGGTCGTGTCGTTAGCCTATTCAAGAGCGGAAACGTGAACGTAAGATTGCTGTGCCTTTGGCATCTTGATGATTGAGCGTTTCTTTGAGTCTGTCGCACAGAATGCCCATGCTTGGTAACTTGGTGAAGATGTCATCAAGAAAACCATTGAATGCTTGATGATCCTTCAAGAGACGCAATAGCACCCACAAAATTCGGTCATAATCATACGCTACGCCCGTAGCTGCTTTGCGAAGAAAATCCTGGATGATCTTTCACATAGTGATGTACCCCACACCAGGGCGTCCGCGGATCCGGATACGACGGTTCCAAGGTCACCCGCAAACCTTCTTCTGTGACCTAGTTACATTTAGTTAGAAATATTCAAGATAGCTTCGTGTGTAGAAACATCATGTGAGAATTACTTCTCCTTCTGCTTCTTCCTTCAGTTCCAGCTGCTCTGCCAATATCGTTAAAAAGTTTTTCATGGGATTCCACAGACCAAATGTTCCGAGATGCAATTCATACGAAGTAGTTCCAAACAAACTGTTTTCATGGTTGGCCCGAGTTTGTTTGACGTCTTGCCGAATCGCTTCCATCACTTCGGCCGGGTACATCTAGACACCATCGGGACTACGAGGCTGATCTCGTGTTGTTACATCATTAATTACTGCTCTGTCTCATAGGTAATTGAAAGGAGAATTTCACCAAGCGAACATTGCCTGTAGTCGTCTATTTTTTCGAGTATTTAAACGCAATTAGCATTAATCCACACAATGAGGTCTCCTTTTGTTGACGGTGCCAAGTGGGTCTCTACCATTTTGTTCGCACTGGCTACAGGCATCCTGGCGCAGAACTCGTCAACGCAAACTTCTCCCTCACAAACTCCGACGCTGGTTCGCCTGTGCACATCTAGCGACATCGCCGACATGAACGTGCTTAACTGCGCATGTCCGTCAGATTTTCCTCCCGCACCAATGGCCTGCAAGGCAAACGGTCAAAGCTGCACTCAAACTTGCAACGGAGGATCCGTAACATCTTACGCCGAACTGGACGTATGCGGTGTTGGCTGCGTTGATGCCAACAACGAATGCAATGGTTGCTTTATCTGGTTCTCTAGTCTCTGCTATTGCCTTCAAGATATTCAGGGACAAAAGCAAACCACCTGTATACCTTCTTCCAAACTGACTCCCGGTCAATAAACCCCGCCAGTGTGGATGATCAACTCTGGACACGACCTTATGACCACCACCTATCTGGTACCGGGAATTTTGCAATTGCACCAAATTCCCGACTATTGGGTCGGATTCAATTTCGCACAAGACACTGTCCGAAAGATTCCAAAAAATGTTGGAACTCTGGCTCTCAACTCAGTAGCCAGTCGCACGGCAGAACAGATCCACATCCATCTTTGCAGCAATGGGAACCAAAAGGTTCGCAACGTGCTTGATAGTCTGATTCCCGCCAATCACGTAACATTGGCGTCGGTCGATTTGTCACAAGCTATGCCAGGCTCTGCTATGCAGTGTCGGATCGCATCACAGAAGGATACTAATATCAATCAAGGAGGGGATATTCTGAAGTACCTTCAGAGCCTTGATCAAGCCCAAGGATCCAACAATTGTGCCCAATATCATGTCGGGTCTGGGTATATGGTTGATAAGATCGGGTTTGCTCGGTCTTGTGTTACAACCGCTGGATCGGCGGAAGAGATTTTCTGTTAATTAATGGGCATGGTCATTGGTACTTGAGATCTTGGTTCTTTGTGTCTGGCAAAATAGTTGGTTGGAAAAATGGCTTTTGTCGGTATCAGTCGCTGACCAGGCGAGACCACTTTTCACTCTGGTCCCAAACCGCTTCAGTCCACAATACTGTATAGACCAGGTGAAAATCTTTTATCATCAACATCTCTAAATAATTTCAATAAAACCACATTCCACTACTACAATAGTACCAAGCCGCGGTCCACAAAGAACAGGCATTAGAAGAGATGTGCTAAAACACATGCGGAATAGATCCATCCTATGGGAGGAAATACAGAGCCTTTCGGGACTCACCTAGCAGGCCATCTCATCTGTTTCCTGGCTGCTCTTCATGTGAGCAGAATCTTAGCATATTAAGCAGCTGTTGCCGCCGCATACTCCTGAAACCGCTTCTGGAGGTGCGCGTCAAAACTAAGCAGTGGCCTATGATATGAAAAATATACGATAAAAAAATGTAAGCAATTGATTGTGACTAATTTCTAAGAACATAGCAAACATAAGACATGGAACCATTATGATATGTTGTAAAAAGGGATTAGAACGCTTCAGCGACATGGCTTGTGTAACAGTGGAGGTCGAATATTTCCCCGCTTGTTTGTAGGGTCTCCACTCCGTGGATAAGAGAAGGTCTCATAATGATGCCGACGGTATCAAATTCAAAGTAATGTTGAAAGTGTGCCCAAACCTCGAGGCTCATTCGAGCCAAGATCAGAGCCGATGAATCTGTTTCATACGCATCGACCAGGGTTGTGCTGAGATGCCTAGACAATTTTCGAATGATCTCACTAAATTCTTTTGTCACGTCCTTATGCCAGCCATCAAGCGTCAGGGTGATAAGGATGTTTTTGTCACGCAGGTTACTTGTAGGGGCGATGGGAATACGACTGGTGGGTGACATCACCCTACCCCTTCCTACCCCTTTTGAAGGGTAGGGCAATTGGGTATGACCCACCCAAGATAGCCAGTTTTGACGTTGGTGTAGTCGTACTAGGCTTTGCGCGTTCGAGTTCTCCCAATAGTTCAGCAATTGTGACGATAGGCATACCACTCGCGCGAAGTGTGCGGACTGCTAACCCTATCCGAATAGTGAAGGACGCGCCCCAACTTCGGGATCTGGCTTGCTCTGAAGGACCTGCTGCGGCCCCAATTTGCATCGACCTTGCTGATCCCGCTCTCGCTAATCCCGCATAACAACAATTCAAAACAGCGAGCGAGTCAACATGTTGAAGCAAAGGATGATTGTCAAAAAGTTCATGTCGGACCGCGTTCCAGGGTAAATCTTTAGCACCGCCGGAGTAGAATAAAAGCTCCTTGGAGGTATTCTGGAGTGCATGTCCGACGTAGTAGAAGATAAACAATGATTTGGTCTTCGCGGCGGTCGGAGTTTGGTTTTTCTCGAGCAGTTTGCACATTGATCTCTTCCGCTAGCGCGTTTGCGATTTCAAGATTCTGAGTGAGGGAAGCAAAGCTGCGACTGGCGTTGTTCACATCCCGTCCATCGCCAGTATTGATATGCATTGTGTCACCGGGACCTGTCAAAGGTTCATCATCTCCGCTCTGTCGGGAGGCGCTGGATTATGCCGAGGACTGGTGACGGTGATGACCGGACGGCGAGGGCATCACGCTGCTGATAAGGCTAGCACTGGCAGAATGAAGGAAAATGCATCGTGACCCATAACCACTCCAATGGCAATTAGCGCAAGGAGTCAGCCCCAATGATGGTTCTGATATGGTCACACATAAATTGAAAGGTCCGTTTTCTTGCAAGCAGTGCTTGCGCTTGGCTAGCTGTACCGTGCCTACAATCTGCATGACTGCAGCCTCGACGAGGTAAAGCTTATTAGACAGCATGTCATGTAATCGGCCAGTGGTCATTGGTTTTTCCGGTCGGAGTACAAGCTCCCGCCGACACGTATAGTCGATTTAGCTCTGGTAGGATCTTTCCTTTGATACGTCCTCCAGCTCTAGCTACCCTGTAAGGTAGTTTGAGGATATGCTTTGCCAGCTCGTTTGGCTGCATCTCATCAACACCACTTTAAGTGGAGGGGAGCGTAACTGGGGTGCCAATCACTTGGCTGGCATGGGTTGGGACTCCCTTTTTTGACTTGTTAGTAAAAACTTAATAGGAGATAAATGCTGGGAGCTCACAGAAAGTCGCTATGACCAAGGTCCTCCGTGCGTCGTAATAGCCTAATACCTGCGGTACTAACACGTGCAAGTGGGGTACTAGCTGGGGTACTAGCTGGGGTATCGGTTGGGGTATCGGTTGGGATATCAGCTGGGGTTTCAGCTTGGGCGCTCGTTCTTCCAGTATGGGACCTTGGAGATCAGAGTACAAGATGGAAAATGAGCAGAGATCAGAGTCAGAGACGGTAAGGTGAGGAGAGGAGCGAGAAGGGAAGAGGGTAAGGTTGGGGCGGACCTGCCTTGATACCTAGGACTGACAATGAGTCGAACAGACGCCGAGATGGCGGCAGATGCACAAACGAAAAGGAAAGGGTGAAAATAGTGGCCTGAAGGAGAGTCAGGAACGCATTTCGCGGCTTCTACCACGAAAGCGAACTGGACGACCACGACATGAGCTACAGTGGAAGCGTTCCATAGCACATGTCGGGACCAGAAAGAAGAAAAAAACGGATAGAAGACTGGTACTACTTATGTCGGGTTTGCCTAATGTTCTATTTCCACGATGGGCGATGAACCCATGAGCTTTTCAAAAAGTTCCGTGGTCGATTTGTCATTTGATGGAATCCTCATCAGAGGCAGTGCGCCTCACTAGTAGCGCTAGTGGAGGTGAATATCGGAGCGGAGGCTCGCGAAGCAAATATAGATCCCAGTCAATACTATCGCGGCCCGTGGATCCACGAAAGTGGGCTACGGTAAACCACGGTACTCTACGGTACTCTAAGGAACACTAAGGTAAACTACAGCTTCTTGTAGAGTATGTCCCGAAGCCCCCCGTCAAAGTGGATATCCTGTGGTCTCCGTTTCATTTCTACCCTGTCAAGTCATTGTGCCAGATAATGTCTCCCTTGAACCTCCTTCATTACTACTTACTTGGGGCTTACACGTTCAACTCCTCTGGCCTGCGTTGATAGCTGGCCCGACGACTACAATGAGAATCATTGCCAGCCCGGGCATCTTTGAAGTGGACTTGGTGTTCCCACGCAATGCTACTTATACCCCTCAGGCGCTGACGCCCATCGTGTGGGCGCTGCAGAATCCAAGTATGGCTCCCCCGTTGACGGCCTCAATTACCTGGAGCCTATGAGAAGGCAGCAACCAAGGCTCCCCCGGCTCCGTCAGCGACGGACTTATCGAGCTGAATGAGCAGATGACGTCCAATGAACTTTTTCTGGTCTCGGATTTCGTCAACACCATTGCCTACCCAAATGGACATTGGACCCTGTTGTGGACCTTGGAGTTCTACAATTGCTCTCAGCTTAGCGGCAACCCTACTGTCTACACGCGAAGCGATCCTACCGTCTTTACCATAAGCAACTCGGGTCAGGAACCCGACCTCCTGGCCGCCACTTCTGCCGATGAATGTGGCACAATGGAAGCATATGCGTTCAACGTCACATCCTTCGGTGAAGCTTGTGGCTACCTCGGCCCGACTCCAACCACCAATCCGTGCGCCGTGACTATCAACTCGACAGCCACTTCCAGTCTATACGCCGCAGCCACCGCCTCCGCCTGTTCACCCTGGTCACGGAATGCGAACGTGACCTGTCCTAGCGTGACGTCTGCCAACAAAACTGCAGGTCAATCGCGCATGGCCACGGTACCAGTCTTGTTGATGCTACTGGCCACAGTGACCAACTTGATTCATCTTGGGTGAGAAGCAGAAGGGGGATTCCTGGCAACCCAGATCAAGGGGAAGGCTTCGGGTCTTGTTTCCATCGGTAGTAGTCACTAGTAAATTTGAATTAAATCAATCTTGTTTCGCGGACTTCGCAATGGTTTTAATCTTATTTTTGTTTTTGTTTTTTTGCTCGCCTAATTACAATAGCCCCATCTTCGTTCGCCTGCTAACCAAAGCCCGGGTTGGCCTAAGCTCGCCTATTTAATTAATCTCGAGGGAGTATGTAGAGCATGCAATGGGCAGCTATTCTGGATTGCCTAAAAGACCTCAGGTGTATCATGGGACCCGTCTCTTATTGTTTTGATTTTCTAGTTTGATTCTTTTTTTTTTCACAGTATACCACCCGCAGGTACCCGGTCTTCTACAAGAAAAAGTCCCGAAGGGTTGGACTGCCCACAACTCCATCCTCGTGCACAGCAGGAGAAAATCGTTTTTCATCTTTGACGGCACTCTTATCGTCCTCCATCTGGATCACAGTATGGAGATCCTCCCTGTTTTTCCGCGGGAGGGTTCACGCCTCCCGGGTGAGGCGTTTATTAACTAAGTCGATTTCGCATGAGTCAGCCTTGGTGCCCAGGGTCCGTGCGACCCACTTTTCAGGGACTCAGGGACTCAGGGGCACGTTTTGCAATGTACGACCAATGATCACGCTGCCCTGCTGTAAACGAAATCGCGTCGACCGTGGCTTCGTGGTCAAGCAGGTTTGACGAACAGTAATGACCAATCACACGGAATTCTCCGTTCTATCCACTTAGCAGCGCTCTGTGCACATCGGCTACAAGGGTTCAGGGAACGTCCATGACCCTAGGGCGGGGGAGTTAATAAAAGCCACCAGTGAACATACAGGGATGAGAAAAACTAATAGAAAACCCAATTCATCCACCTGAGCGGAAAAACTTCGAATGGGCCTCTCCACTCGGACAAGGCTACGCCAAAAGCTTCGCGAAAGCTTCACAAAGCTTACCTCAATAGGAAGGAGCTCATCTCCCAGTCTTGAGTCTTGCTTTTATCTCGCTGAAGAGAACGCCACTCGGTCGAAGAGTTAATATCGGGAAATACATTGATAGTTGTCGGCAGCTGATCTGCTGTCTAGGGGCAAAAAGGGCTACATAGTAGCGTGGAAACAGAAGAAAGGGACAAGATCTGTATTCCGAGAGGTATGGAGGAGTCTCAAATGTTGAGACGATCCGAACTTAAATTGTAGCTACAGACCTTGGGCTTTGTGCAACCATCGAGAATAGTGATAGTCTGAAGATGACAGATGTCTTAACCGATGATAGACAACTTACGTAGGAGGAGCGCAGCGACTTTCCTTTCAACGGGGACTCGTGGCGCAGTCCAAGGGTGTTTTTCGAGCTACGATCTAGGCCTTGTTAGGTGCAGTGGCGTATAAAATGTCTGCTTAGCGCGGGATATCACTGGGCTGATGCCCAATCAGAGATTATTTGAGGCTTTCATCGGGCGTGTTCCGCTTCGATTCAGCGACGATAATGTATGTAATACGTAACAGCTGAGCCATGATTTATAGTGGATGCTTGCAGGATGTGAGTGGACTATATTCAATCAATGGTCATCCTGGGCTCCCATGGACATATCTTGTATTGATCTGACGACGATACTGTAATCTCCAAATGGCTCCCCCAGACCATATTTGGTTTACCTTTTAAGCCTCAACACGACACCCTACTAAGCCATAATCCACGGTAGCTAATTTTAGCAGTTGTCCGCGTAGGACTACGGCCAATCAGAGATCAATATGGGCTACCCCTCACCATATTTCGTTTCGATTTTCGGCGACGATACTGTAATACCTAACAGCCGAGCCATGATTTACAGTGGACGCCTCCAGTTTGTGAGGGGCTGGATCCAATCACTAATCATCCTGGGCTACCCTGGATATATCTTGTATTGATCTGACGACGATACTGTAATCTCCAAATGGCTTCCCCAGACCATATTTGGTTTACCTTTTAAGCCTCAACACGACACCCTACTAAGCCATAATCCACGGTAGCTAATTTTAGCAGTTGTCCGCGTAGGACTACGGCCAATCAGAGATCAATATGGGCTACCCCTCACCATATTTCGTTTCGATTTTCGGCGACGATACTGTAATACCTAACAGCCGAGCCATGATTTACAGTGGACGCCTCCAGTTTGTGAGGGGCTGGATCCAATCACTAATCATCCTGGGCTACCCTGGATATATCTTGTATTGATCTGACGACGATACTGTAATCTCCAAATGGCTTCCCCAGACCATATTTGGTTTACCTTTTAAGCCTCAACACGACACCCTACTAAGCCACAATCCACGGTAGACGACTTTGGCAGTTGCCCGTGTACCTCTCGCTATATCTCGTTTCCTTTTTGAACCCCAATAGCTGCCCAAGGCGGAGTCATGCCCATTAAGAAATCATCATTTACCTCCCCTCGCCATATATGGTATGGTTTTGAGATGACAGCATATCTGCTGGTATTTAGGTAAAGGATTTAGAGGAACTAAGGAAAATGACCGCCAGGACGGCAAAGGCAGTTGCCCCAACATATACAAAAAAGGTGAAAAAAAGACACACAATAGTCAGCATTCGCATGTGGTCACCCACCATACTACTAAATAACCGGCGTGTGGCTTAATGCGGCCAGCGGCCAGTAGTTCGGTTGGCACCGACAGGGTGGGTATAGGGTGAGAGCCGCTTTAGCGTCGCACGATCAGGGGTGAGATGCGGAGTGCGCAGTTGAGAAGTAGCGTGAGAGCGGGTGAGTAATCACCCTCCGTCGCGTGACGGCCGCCGCACTGACCCTCCAAGCTGGGCGAGAGTACAAAATCATGGGCCACGATCCTCCAATTGAAACAGCCAGCTTCTTGCTTTTAGATTTTCGACCTCGTACTAGCCCAAACAGATGAATTTCTGCTCTACAACGCGGCATGTTTTGCATTAACGCAAGAAAATTCCCTGGATAGTCCAAGACTGGCAGAGAAGCCATTCAAATCTAGGAAAGATTTGTCAAGTCGTGAAACGCCAAGAGTAATAAAGAGTTCATAGGTGCTAGGATCGTTACGAAGTCTTAGGTAAAAATGGGGACAGCCGAAGAGCTTCAGGTGCAGGTAATAGAAGCCAGCAAGCAGGTACTAAGGCCGGAAATCCCGTTACTTTGACCACGAGACTAGCATGGCGAACCTTGTGTATACCTTGAGGATATCAGGCGAATATCACGCTGCTTCGCATTTAATGACAGCATGTGGCCGACCACGCAGCCAAAAGCTTGGCCCTAAATACCCGGATATCCTGGTAATGACCAAGGGCGCTTGACGGGTGCAGAATAGTGGTGGTTAGGACTTGGTAAGATTTGACTAACATTAGACTAACATTGGAATTATTTAAAATGTGTTAATTATTGTTTTCTAGTTTTAGTATTCTTAGGTTTTCTGCCATTTCTACTGTTTCTGCCTGGTTTTTAGGTGTATTGATAAATTGGTCCGTATTCGCTTCCGTAACCAGGGTTTGGACATGCTCTGACCTTCAATGACAGTAGTTGGTTCTAGTCAATGACATCACTCTGTAGCTTTGATGTATTTAATCATGCCACAATCGCATCATATATTATTGCATATAGCTTGCCGTGGCAAATTTTTGCTATCGCTCTTGATATTTCAAAATGCCATTTGGGTCACTTTCAGTATCTAACACGGCCATTCCACAGTATGCTCCTCCATATCCCGTGAATGGCAGCGACTACACAACCAAGACTGTTCTCATCGTTGTCTATCAAACATCGCTTCAATGTGTGCGACATTTTGTACCGGATATGCTAGAGCTAGACGATGAGCCAGAGGTATCAGTAATGCTTTTGGATCACAGCATGACCTCATTCGGCCCATACAATGAGTATGTCCACTCGGTCAAAGTCAAATACAAAGGCGACACATTTGACTACTTTCTCTCTCTAATCCTTGATAACGACTCACCAATATCCTGCGGCCGTGAGCAATTCGGTTTTCCCAAGAAGTTGGGGAATGTGGAGTTGGCGTTGAAAACTGGATCGACGGTTGTGCAGGGCTACGTGGAGAGACCTACAGGCCAAAAAATTGTTGAAGTTGGTTTCCAGCCTGAGCAGAAGGTGATGGGCAAAATGGAGAAATCTATCCCGGGGTTAAATTTGCGAGTTATACCTTCAGTGATTTCGGGACAGAGTCCATCCGTTAAGGAACTGGTGCCGGTGAACATCGATATGGAGGCAAGCGAGGTTTGGCAAGGCTCTGGATCTATCTGCTTCCCGGAGCCATCAAGCTTTGACCCGATGCATGAAATCAAAGTCGTTCGATATGAAAAAGCGACTCTCTTACGGAATGCATCCCTTGCGATCCGTTTGCCGTCAAAAGTTTTTCAGCTATAATCATACTTTACTTCATGTTTAAATGGATGCAGATCATTAAATTTACAAACTACTCTCACGTATGGGCAATGAGAAGCGGAGTATTGAGCGCTGGAAATATCCGTTACTACAACCAAAGGTCGATGGGGCCTCCAAGAGCTTGAGCTCTAGCACCGGATATTTGACCCACCGTAGTATTTGATCATCAAAGCTGCAATCTCAGATCAATGCTGAGTTAAAGCTATACTCACATAGCCCAACCGCCGTCACACACATCATCCTCGTGCAATTAAAAGCACTCCCATATTTATCCGCCAGGACACCCTCGAATTCTACAGCGCTATGATATACTCCTATCTTCGGCGATATCGGTCAGAGCCATAATGATAACAATCTTCTTTTCCTCGAACGATTTGAGCCCATTTCACACAGCAATATCAAGTAGCTGGAGAAGGATGTTCGAGATATGGCAGTAAAGCTCACACACTAAAACGCTCGCGAATTCGGCTTACTTAAATGTAATAGGGTCATCAAAAATAAGAAGGCGCATCATCCAGACCCGAATGCTTTTCCCTTTATCGTCTACGTGCCTACAGGGCTATCGCAACCTCGCAGCCTTCGCCTTTGAGCTATACATCAATGTTGCTAAATCAAGATCTGACAGGTCACGATGCGACTCAATACTATCAAGAGAAGATATAGTGCACTAGAATATCAATCTTCGAATAAGAATCATCTTGTGCAACAAAGAATGCACAGGTCAGGGGCATATTTAATCAATTCGTCTGACATGCTGGAGGTGGACCTGCTTTTCCCGCGCAACGAAACATATGCACCCAGAACTTCCCCGTTAGCTTCCAAGGGCTGATCGAGTGATGTGTGGCTTAGACAATTTATGTGAAGCACGCTAAATAGCAACCAAGTCTTAGCTGCATTCTCAGGTCTAATAATAGACCAAGAAAGCAATAGTACCACTACGCAAATATTTTCTCCCGGGACCTCTTGAAGTTCAAATATTGACTTGAGCTATTGTGACAGGTTGGAGGTAAAAAATAAAAAAAAAATAAAAAAACTCCGGGCCACATTGGTTCAGTCGTGACGACGCACTGCTCGAGACTGATGAACTGGTTTCGGCCCCCAAACAGTCATTTCAATGTTTATCCAGGCATCACCCATTTCCCCTCTTTTCGTTTGACAACTACGCGCCTATGCAGCAGATATCGGCTCCGATGGTTCGGCCCACTGAAAGAGGCTTGGCCTGCTGTGTGACTAGGGGTGATTTTTACTGGACTCTGAGATACGCTGACGTCACAGAACAGAAGCTAGAGACTATTTTCTCACATTTGGGCTCTCTAGTCATGCAAACCCCTGTAGACTGAAGTCTCAGCCCTCATTCTAGCCTCAGGTGTGGTGGCTGCCTGTGGCTGTGCTTGTGAGGCTAACAAGTCGGAGGTTAGTGTCCCCATTTGCACAAGGCACAATCGCGATGCTAGTACCTCACAGAGTGTATATAATGTAGCGAAATGCCGCAAGTAATTTGCAATTTCAGCATCAAGCCAGACTCAAGGCAGATTCAGTCGCCAAAATTATTGAACATCGCCCAGTTGGTCTGTCGTCTTCAAATTCAAATTTACTCTATACCCGTGGACAATCCCCATCCGCAATGCCTCCTCAAATTATCAAGCTTGGCGACATTCTCGGTATTACAATCGCCAAGAATGGCGCGCAGAATTGTCTGGCAAAAACCTCAAAGGAAGACCAATGTAGGCGCCGGTTGGCTAGAAGCAAATGCGATCTCGCCGACGACATTTTACAACACAAGATGAGCTTCTTAGAATCAGAGCATGATCTCATTCTCAAAAACATCAAATCACTTGTGGATCTCCTATTCATTGATAACCATCACCCTCCCACTATTGTTCTGCAAAAGAGTGAGCAGGAGCAAAAATGGCTCGATCTCTGGCGCGAAGAACATCAAGCTCACCAATTGCACCCTGAAGAAAAGATGACTGGTGCGGACGGACCTGAGCAACCCCAATCTGAATCACTGGAAACAATCTCAGACAATGAAGAAAATGAAACCACCCACATTCCTGCCATTATACGATACCCCACTCTGCCACTTGAAACCCCACCAGGGCCAGTACCCACCAATGCTTCACTACATACCACGGCCATATATTCCCCGCTCAACCCCTTCAACCACACTACCGCGATAAATCCCACAGAGGAAGTCAGCCACCAAATCAGTCCGATCGCTGCAACCGAACCTGATGTTCTTGAGCATGATGTGCAATTAGCGACGAAAGAAGCATCGTCTCGTGAGAGCCTAGGAATGAGTGTATTTTTCAGTCCCAATCAATTGGCTGCAATCAACATGATCCTCCAATATGCTCTCCAGCTGTGTGCTTTCTTCCGGGTGCAATATGGGACCTTTCTTTCACGTGATGGCGCGGGCAACACGCGGACAGAATCATTTCTTCAGTGCCAGCTCAACTTTTGTGTGAGGCTTCGGATATTAAGGCTTCAGGTATCTCCATGGGTGACATTTCCGCTATTCATTGCATTTGGTCAGGCCATGTATATGTTAACTGGGTCGTGGTTAAGCATGGTGCTGTCTCTCTTCGTGACTTTGGTAGCACAGCGCTGGTCAGACACACAAGAGAACGAGAGTTCAATAATCGAGCGGGAATAATCATGCATGTGAATACTTACTTTTAATATGACCTGTTATGAACTGTGCTTCCAAGATTCGTTTTCCATCCACTGAAAGGGTAGTCGGTGGTATATAGCCGACTTGAAATCCCAACAAATATCGACCGAGGGAGTAGATTGAGATGACGAGGATGAACATCATATGTCGATCGATAAAATTATGCACAGAACTAACCTCCACTTATAGGTGACCATGCGTTCATCAACAAACATGTTCATGAAAAGTCCGAGTGGAACACCCAATTGCCCGAGGAGCATAACTATTGCACTATTCAGTGTTAGTTTTGTGACTATCGCAGAGGTTACCATTTTAGGGTTAAGATCGTCATCCGAAAAGGGTTTAAAAGCGCCGGTATTGGAGGAAAGGATGTAGATCACTTAAGTGAGGACCCATTATATCGGCAAAATTCTCGATCTTGGATTTTCACGATCGCACGGCCGAGGCTCAACTCTACCCCTGCACGCCCTAAAATGCAGAATAGCATTGCAATGGGACCAATGATTACATTGCTGATGGATTGTGGAGTATTAGACAATAAATTTCGACAATAATACTCGAAATTCTCTATAAGCAATCGAGCCCTCGGCACGTTCATAGTTCATGGGGGGTAATTTCACGTGGGGAGTGACCGAGCGGATCGAATTGTGGATACTTCGAGATTCTCTTGATCTAATCATTTGATGAGATTTTGTTGGGGAAATCAGATCCACAGTAATTGAGATCATCTGGTGTCATGAACCCTTCACATGTACGTATTTTGCACTTTCTATATCCGGGGGAACCTTGGAATTGATATAAACCATGCCCCCCGGACAAATAATACCAAATACAAACATTCCACGCCATGGATACAAGACCACTATCGAAGGATTCTATGAAATCCACCTGGCGTACTGCCGACCGATCAGAATGGACGCACCAGCATTGGGTATTGGAGATTTTAAACGCCCATCCAATCGAATTAAATAAGGAAGTCCCTGTCCACGCCAAAGACGAGAAGATTCCCTTTATGCCGCAATGGTCTCTCCAGCGATGGGTGCTATTTTACTCGGCTATACCACTACTTTTGCACCAGTTGTATATGACCTACACCGGCCGTACCCTGGGGCCGATTGCGACGTTCAACTTCTACTTCTTCGCCTTCAACGCTATCGTCATCTATCAAGTTCACGTCCTTCGACGTCTGGGTCATATCTACGGTTTCTTGGATGGTGACAAACACGAGCGTGACGGCGTTCCTGATGTTGGCGTGGGAAAAGTCGTGACTTCACTCTATAAAACCACTGGCTCTCGACTTGTCATGGCCGTCTACTTGACCTACAACAGAGACCAACTGCCCAGTGAAATGAACTGGCTATGGCTTCCACTGGAGATCGGTCTATACGGTATCGTCCTCGACTTCTGGTTCTACTGGTATCATCGCCTGATGCACGATGTGGGCTTCTTCTGGAAATTCCACCGAACCCACCACCTGACAAAGCACCCGAATCCGCTCCTTGCAGCCTACGCAGATCACGAACAGGAGTTCTTCGATATGGTCGGCGTGCCTTTTATGGCATTTTTCTGCCTTCGTCTTATGGGGTTGCCGATGGGTTTCTATGAGTGGTGGGTATGTCACCAATATGTGGCGTTCGCGGAGGTTTTCGGTCACAGTGGGTTGCGGATGCATTTGACTGTGCCTTCTACTCTGAGCTGGGCGTTGCAGATGTTCAACTGTGATATCGTTATTGAGGACCATGATCTTCACCATCGGAAGGGATGGAGAAAGAGTCACAACTACGGAAAGCAGACCCGTCTTTGGGACCAGATCTTCGGTACTACCACCGATCGAATCGAGTCTGCGGCGAACAACATCGACTATGAAAATGTTGCAAGAATGCCACTGTGGTAGAATCTTGATGAGCGCACATTCAAGTGCTACGACGATGACGATAGTGTTCTTGACTATTCACTGAGGTTCCACAATATTCACGATCGATTAGGAATTCATTATCAAATAAGATCCAAGTTCACTCTGTCACCCAATCAGTAATAACTAGTCAGGTCTTCAATTAGCCACCTTCGCTTGCAGCGCCAACTGCTGATCAAAAACATCCTCGACAATCTTCTCTGCCGAGCGCCATTTCAATCCAAGAATTTGCTCAGCAGCAGTATTCTGAACATCCCAGGAAACCTCGAAAGGAGGCTCTAACTTATATCCCAGCCCCGGGTACTTCTTCTCAGCGAAACGAGCCGTATCCTCCCACGATACATGGGGTAGCGAAAGGGTGAATTCCGTACCACTTTCGGCATCAGTCTCGAGGGCCTTCACGTGCGCATCGGCCACATCTCGAACATGTACCCACGCGTTACCGATATGGGGCTTTTCACTGAAGAACGATTGGTAGAAGAACTTGTTCATTCCAGCAAGACCCTCCGCAGTAGTCTGGAGCATGTCGTCCCCGAGAACGAAGACCGGGTGGATGGTGAGGACCTTGTAATGGGGCTTCTCATCGCGGAGGAAGTCTCGTGTAGCTTGGTGAGCCACAATTTTGGAGGCAGCGTACTTGAGTCCGTAGCCTCCGGGGCCTTCGGGGAAGCTCATAGAAGGGTCAAAAGGTATGACTTCACCGGTATTTTCTGGGAGTCGTTAGTAAGGGGACTTTTTATCGTTGGGTTGGGCGGTCAACTTACCTCTAACTATGACCTTTTTCGCGATTAACGCGTCGACAGGAGTCAGGGCAAGAGCAGATGACACGATGATCACTTTCTTGATCTGTTTGTGTGCTGATGCGGCATTGAGCATTGAGAGAGTGGCCTGCACGGCTGGGGTCACGTAGTCGCGTTGCAAATCATCACCACTTCCTGGCATCGGAGAGGCGATGTGGAAGACATAGTCGACATTTTCCAGCGCAGCCTTGAGGCTGTCGACACTGGACAGATCTGGGATCAGAAAGATTTCAATGTCTTTATTGAATTCGGCGTAACGCTTTCTGATGGCGTCTTCTTGTTCGGCTTTACGGATGCTCAGGCGGACGCGGTATCCGGCTTTCAAGGTTGCGGACACAACATGGGCGCCAATGAACCCAGTTGCTCCGGTGATGAAGACAAGAGACTTGGACATTTTGATTTCAATTGAGTAGTCTTGATTGTAGTTGAGTAGTTTAGATTTCGATGAGGAATGGTTCCTTTGAAGCCATCTTTCAAAGGACATTTATACATACTCAAAGCTCAAGCTCCCATGTTCAACTGGTGACGTGACAAATAAGATAATTACCAATGATTTTGTTGAATAATCAACTTGAATTATATCAATACGAAAAGCTTTAATTTGTTTATTCATCATGTTGCGGTGAATACGGGGGATTGCTGCGAAATTAAAGTTGTTGAATAATCAATAAATCCCATTTGTCACACTTTTGACTTTTGAAGTAATGACCCTCGGAATCGACATCATCGGCTATTGGACCCTTTTCCGATTTTCAAATTCTTAGTATCCTTCTATGACACTAGTCAACAAGATATTATGATTATTGCGAAACCCCGATCCGAATGCAGTTGGACAAATAATAATAATTTGACTGATATCTGACTAACAGACATACATAAGAGACGATGAATAGCTAGAATTTGCTCCATCTTTCCATCAAATACAGAAAATCATTCATCAAGTCCAACCTACCGAGAAGACCATCCAAAAAGTTCAATCTACCCAGATAACATCCACATCAGAATGCCTCTCTGGCAAATCTATCACCCGCACGGGACATTCGAAGACAATGCATCCAAACAGGCCTTCGCAGCAGACATCACCAAAATGTACATCGAACTGGGTCTCCCCGCATTCTACGTGGTAGCTCAATTCCACAAAATGGATAACGATGACGTGTTCATCGGCGGAAAAGCCAAGACAGCCACCGAGAGCCCATTTGTTCGTGTCGTGATTAACCACGTCGCGATTCACGTTCCCGATGCCGATACTGCGTATTTACGCACCACTTCTCGTCTTGACGCAGTCATGAAGCCTCATATTCTGGATAAGGGGTATGATTTGGAGTATCATGTTGATGAGACGGAGAGACGCCTTTGGAAGATTAATGGGTTGATTCCACCGCCTTTCAAAAGTGATGAGGAGCAAACTTGGGTGCGGGAGAATAGGGCGTTGCCATATAAGGGTGCTTATCCACCTAATTTGGATAATGTTTCTCTGTGAGACTCTGTGAAATATTGGACGTGCATTGGCGTCGAGTTTGACTGAGATAGCGAGATAAAGTGGAAATGGTGTGACGTCTACGGGTAATAAGGAGAAATACCCAAGCCTAATCAAATTTCTATGAAGAGGTTCTATATACAAGTAAATGAAATAGTACAGAACTCACATGCAATCATACATATATCAACAGTAAAACCCAAAACCCATCTATACTTTGGCATTGCTCGCGCAAGAAAAGCTGTTGTTGGACGCGTCATCGTGGATTGCCTTACCAGAGACGTACAGACCAAGGCCACACATGCAGCCACCGATAAGAACAATGAGAACATTGAGGATGGTGAGAGCGATCTTCCGTGGAGAAGAGAACCACTTCCCCTTGTTAATGTGCAACCAGTAAACACCAGCAAGACCGTAGCTGAACCAACTAGCGAACAAAGAGCTAATCAGACTGAGAAGATCACTGAACACAGGGATGGCATCGGCGATAATCCAGGCGATGACCCAGCAGCTCACACCGATCGCTACCCAGGATCCAATGGATGTAAGATCGCGGCGGTGCATGCGGTCTGTTCCGCGGAAGAGACGGACGTAGATATATTTAAGACCAATGTGGCCGTTGACAACGCCGGCACCGACAATCTGGGATTTATTAGATACATTTACATAGTGGTTGGCGGAGGTAGAGGGGATGACATACAGTAGGGATGGCGATTCCGTACGCAACCTTCTTAAGAACGGGGCCGGCGGAGCCCAGGGCCGGGGAAGTGACATCCTGACCGGCGTAGTAGTAAATGACAACGGCTGCGACGGTATAGAAAATGATCTCGAATGTCTGTAGCATGTACAGAGCTTTGGGGAAGTCGCGAGGGTCGCGCATTTCAGCGAGAAGACCGAAGAAAGCGACGTGTGCACAGTAAGCGAACACAATGTTTGTTACGGCAGTGAAAGCTTTGTAGAGGTTTGTGTCGACGGTCGCTTGGAGAGTCGTGTATCCGTGGTCCTGCACACCGACACCAATCATGGTGATTATGACAGCAGTCAGGATACTGACGAAGGACAGACAGGAAATGTATGTCATGTTCTTCATGGTACGTGGCAGAGAGCATACCATGCAGATCAGGAATCCAACAGTGGTAAATACCATAGTACAGGTGCCATGGTCTGTGATGGTATTCATCATCACACTAAAAGTAAGAATGTGGCTGCCCATGATGAAGATTGAGAACAGTAGCTGGCCAATTCCGAAGAGCTCACGGCCGAAGGGTCCCATGAGAACCTCACCGGCATCTGCGAGGTTCTGAATGTGAGGATAGCGTTGGTGGAATTGTCCAATGACATATCCGGTATACGTAGCGAGAAGACCCAGCCCAATGATGAGGACGAGGGCCGGCGCAAGACCAAGTTGAGCAAGTGTTGCTGGTAACGACAAAACACCCAGAGAAACGGACTCAGCAATCATGACTGTATTGTGTTAGAATTTTCACCTCATTTTCACGATTCAGAGACGTACACATTCCAGTTTGCCTAAATGCAATGCAATATTAGCGATATTCTTCAATCCTTACAGAATCAGAACATACCACCACTCCATGGTCTTGTACTTAACCTCCGCATTCGATTCATCACCAAACGCATCCACATATTGTGGCATGGAATCATCAACCTTCTTCTCATCATACCCCGACTCCGAATCATAATGCGAAGTAACCCCGTCAATCATGTTGATGTTTGATACCAAAAGAAGATATAAATGCAAGTCAAACAGAAACGAGAAGAAAAGAAAGCAGAACGAGAAGAAAAGAAAGCAGAACGCCAAGTCAGATATGTAAAAAAAAATCCTTAACTAACCGTGAGTGGATCTCAACGTTGCAACCAACCGAATCTTCAATACTTTTTATGGGGAAATTCTGGGGCCCGGAACATGTTCTCTGGACCAAGACGTCTTATCGGAAAAAAAGGAATTTTTCTTTGCATATCCTATTATGGATCAAAACTCGCTGGATGCAAATGTACACTCGGTCAAGATCAACATTTAATCTTTCGGTCCACTTCCATGCTTGTGGATCTAATTGCTCCACTTTATTGCAGTTGTCCACCAGTGATATGCTCGGTTGAATATATTAGCTAACGGAATCTCGGGACCCTTAACGGCCGACGATAGCCGAACTTTTCATCAAATCTAAACTCCAACGCCCAGATTTAGCGAGTTCGTGTGGTGTGTATGAGAGATAATACTCACACGTGCATCTAAACATTGTGAAAGCAGCTATTTTCAGTTGTCGAGTGCTCGAATGTTCATGATTGTTTTACAAACACGTTGATACAATTGATCGTGGGGTGTACATACTCCAACTGCGGTAAGTCCCTGCGGCTCAAGGCGCATCATCGCCACCAAGAGAAGAAACTGTTAGTCAGGGGAACCGTTTAAGCTCCCGGCATGACCTGCTGCCAAGCTCTTCTGGAAAGAAATTTTATCTATACCAGAGAACAATTTGCCTTGGACATTTACATCTCGTAATCTCATACCACTTGTCTCTGGGGATCTCCACACGTCAACCTTTACCAGCCGGGGTCTTTTTGCCGTGGTTTATTCAGATTCAGATGAGGCTGCAAAGGCCGAACTGGATCAGGAAATGATAATTGGCGTGCCAAGATATTGATATAGTATTCATGTTCGAATGTATTCAAAAGGGACCGCCGAATCAATAAACACATTTATGGGAGATGGAGATTTCTGTGGGGTGAAACTTTGTTGCCAAAATTTCGCTTAGAAAGGGTAGACATGCATGTCAATAATATATGTGAAGGAGCACGGCCGAAAACTTCGATTTCTATGACTACATCGACCCACTTGTTCTTGTGGGGAAATTCTGACAAATTTGGAGTCGCGTCGGTCTTCCCCAGTCACCTTAGACAAGGTTTACACAGCAAGGTTTACAAAGTCCTTCCCCAGTGATCTAGATTCGGACTTCTCCACGCGGGGTTGAGGATAAATTCGGAAACTACCGGCAGGGGGTTATCGTTAACTTGAAAAACGGCGGATAAGTTGCGATACTTCATGTGGGACATTACTAGTCCGGATCTTAGGTAGAAGGTATTGGAATGTATACGTGCAAGGCGAGCAGTGTGATCTTTCCCAGCTGAACAGTCGATATCAGATCGCTAATCACTTACAAAAGAGCGGACCGGAGAAGACTCTCCAACTCTCTCAATGACTCGGGCTTAGAGGTGACACTAGACATCAAGTAGAGCACATTCCCCAAGACTCGAGAATGAACATTGAACTGATCTCCACCAATGGCCAGTTTCTGCTGCAGACCCTTCGCGGCAGTGGAGGTGTAGCCTGAAATCTCAATGAGTAAATATTGCGACATAATTATGAGGGAACTTACCTCCACCCTGTGCATCACGCAAGGAGATGCTGAGCACAGTTCCGATGGCGAATACGCTTTCCACGGATGTCGCACAGGAAAGATCCTGAAGAAGGCCATTCGACCAGACGCTCCATACTTCCGGCGTAGAGGCCGAGGATGTGTTTGTCTGCCAGTCTGCACGGTATCCATCCCAGGAACCATCCTTGTCCATTTTAGACATCGCGTTGAGCGAATCCACGGCAACTGTACATCCTACAGCGTGGGCTGTGTAACTGTGGCCGTGAAGGAGGGCATCACTCTTCTCCGGACTAGAGAATGTATCGAAAATCTCTTTGCTAGCTACTGTCGTGCAGAGAGGGATCAGGCCACCCGTGAGGAGCTTGGCGTTTACGGCGATATCGGGGTGGACATTGAGGAAGGATGCTGAAGTCGAGCGTCCGAGTCGGTAAAGTCCAGTGAATACTTCGTCGAAAATAATTGGCAAGCCGGACCACGATGGAGATTCCTTAGAAGATGTCGCATTGGGGGAGAAGAGCTCTGGGTGTTCGCGGACAACGTCGGTCAAGCATCGCTGGAATAAGGGGTCACTAGTAGGATCTTGTTAGTCAAGGGTAGTTTGTACCTAGTGGGATCACGAACCAGAATAGCATTCCGCCGGCGCCTAGGATGACGGGCTCCAGAATGAGAGCACCAAACTTCATTCCGTGGGTTTCCACAAGATCCTTGATGGTGCGGTGGATGTACTCCTTGTAGCGCTGGCTGACGTCGGAGCCCAATCGGTTGTTAAGATCAAACACGGATCCCAAAGAGCTGAACTCTGTGTCCGAGCCTAGGTCTTCTTGGAGCTCCGTGGGAACTTCCACCTTCCATTTACCATCGACCATTTTAACCAAGGGGAAGTCGAACCAGTGACCGCGACCGCGGTACCAATCCACCTTTTTGTTGTAGGTCGATGGCTCCGAGCAGTCCATCACACCAATGGTATCACCGTGATAGCTTCCTTTAAGGCCAAGAATGTTGATTTTCTCTTGGCTACCATCCCAACCATATCTATCGCAAGCAGCCCGAAGTCCCATCTTGATAGCCACTTCCATTCCGGTGCTGCCGTTATCGGTGTAGAATACCTTGCTGAAGCGCGGGTTGTCAAGGGTCTTCAACAGGTTATCGGCGAGAGAAAGAGCTGGCTCGTGAACTGCACCTGCAAACATGACATGGCCATATCGACCAGCTGCATAGGCCGCCGAGAGAGATAGGTCGGGATTTCCGTGTCCCAGGCCTTGAGTCCACCAAGATGCTGAACCGTCAAAGGTTGGTTGGAGCTCACCCGGCTTGTCCGTGCGACCGGAACTAAATGTTTGGAAATAATCATCATGGGCAGAATCAATGACAGTGATATCCTTGGCTTGCATGCCTTGATGCTGAGTAAAGGGATACCAAATCAGGTCTTGCGCACGTTCATTCATTTCTTCCAGCCTCTCAATCCGCTGTTTATTTTTGATAGTCATTTCCTCAAGAAGACGCAAGATTTCTGACTCCTGGGATGCTTGGCCGTAATAGGCCAGCATAGCCTCTTCGTCTCTTTGTTGAGCACTGGCGTCCGTTTGTGAGGGCTTCGCAGGCGGAGCTGGGAGATGCACCAAAGGGATGCTTTTATTTCGGAAATAATCGCCAAGGTATTCATGATTTTGATAATAGTCATCGCGGAACAATAACACCGACTGTACGTCGTATCCACGGAGCAATAGAGACTCATAAGCGGATATCGACGCAGAAATACCACCTAGTCGAGAATCCGCGACCAGGACAATGGGTAGTCGCAGCGGACGATAGAGGTCCGCTTGGGAATTGCCATTGGGACCGGGAGAATGCACGCCGCCGGCGGTCTCAACCAGGGCAAAGTCAACGTCCGACCGTGCCCAACCGGACAGGGTTTTATGTATGGATGCCAGAAGATCATCATCCCGTGGAATCTGACCATTTTAGCGACGATGTTCCATCTAATAATAGATACACTTACAGTCTTCGATTTCGCTGCGAGATGCGGGCTAACCGGTTCATCGAACTGGTACAAGCACTTAGTCAATGTTCCAGCTCCGTACCGTTCCAGGTGCCTATCATATCAATTAGGATTTTCCATTTCAACAGGACCTGCCAATCCTACCGATCATCGGCATCATCCAATGCCCCGGTGGATACAGGTTTCAGGAACGCGGCCCGCTGTTTCTGTCTCTGGACGGCATTACACAGCACTGTTGACATAATCGTCTTGCCAACATCTGTATTCGCGCCATACACTTGATGCGCGCGTAATGTGCGCCAAAGGCCCGACCCGACTGGAGCCATTGTTGAGGGACCGAGGGTTGAGAGTTCAAGTTCAAGGCTGGTTGCGGTTGCGGTTCGGGGAAAGGTTACGTCAATTGGCGAATCAAACTTCCCTTTTTTCCCCGGCTCCACAACCATTCACTTTCCCTTTTCACCGACGACCGAGGTCTTTCTACGTTGAGCCCCAACAAACGGGGGATTTCGTCAGAACAAAAATAACAGAAGCTCCTGCCATTGGATGTCCCCGGATTATCCGAAATTAAACTCGGATCATTAACCATTCTTATCCGAGCCCAACGTTTTCCTGTCATTCCTGCAGGAACCAATGCAAGATGAAAACACCACGTAATACTGGTGCAAATACTGCAAAAACACTCGTCGACTCATTCAAATACACGTTAGAATGCAGAGAGAAAAAATCCGCCCGGCGCAGACTGACCATCCTCCCAGGGACAGCAGTCGACTTCTCATCCAATGATTTTCTTTCTCTCTCCACAGCACCGGCCTATCGCACCCGGTACCTAGCACATCTGAACAACACGCCGGAATTATTCCCATTCGCCAGCGGGGGTTCTCGGCTGCTAGACGGGAATTCAGCGTACGCAGAGGAGCTAGAGCGCTTCGTGGCCGATTTCCACAAAGCGCCATCCGCGCTACTATTCAATTCCGGGTATGATGCGAATATAGGAGTGCTATCATGCATTCCTCAGCCGGGGGATTTTATTCTATACGATGAGCTTATCCATGCGAGTGCGCATGAGGGGATGCGTCTTTCAAGAGCGGGGCGGCGGGAAATGTTTTCTCATAGCTGTCCTGTTAGCTTGCGGGAGGTTTTGAAGGCGGAGATAGAACGCGATCCGAAAGTGAGAGATGGGTCGCGGAATGTTTTTATTGTTATTGAGTCGGTTTATAGTATGGATGGGGATGTGGCTCCGATTAAGAAGTTCCTCGCTGTGGTGGAGGAGTGTCTTCCACTTGGAAATGGGTATTTCATTGTTGATGAGGCGCATGCCACTGGTGTTTATGGCCCGCGGGGTGCTGGTGTGGTGCAGGAACTTGGAGTTCAAGACAAAATGTTCATTCGTGTGCATACATTCGGCAAGGCGTTGGCGAGTCATGGTGGTAAGTTCCTTCAAAGTCTTCCCGCGCGATCCTCGTGAAGTCTCTCACGCATTCGACTAACAATTTTCTAGCTATGGTTTTGTGTGGGCCTGAAACCAGGGACTATCTGATCAACTATGCCCGAAGCCTGATTTATACCACTGCTCTGGGATTTCCCTTCCTTGCATCTATTAGAACGGCCTATGAGCTCTTATCTTCCGGACAGACCGAGTCGGTATGTGTGGAATTCTAATTGTCATCACACATCTGCTAATGAGTCTTGACAGCTGCAACACCGAGTTCAGACATTGATCGGATATCTTCACAAATGTTTAGCTACCCTTCAGACCCGTCATTCGGTCATGTTCGAAGTGGATCATTTCCCAACATCACCCATCTTTTCGCTTCGAACGTCCCAACCGCGCGAATTGGCAAGCTTTTGTCAGAAAGCTGGATTAGTCGTCCGTGCTATTATGCCCCCTACTATTCCCGATGGAAAGGAGCGTGTGCGTGTTTGTTTGCATGCTGGTAACACGGAAGAAGAGGTTGATGCACTTGTACGAACAATCCAATCGTGGTTGGATATCGCACCAGCGCAACGGGGGACGAAGTTATGATTTGGAAATATTTATCTTTTAAATTATGAATCTATTCAAGGTACAGGTGCTGCAACAGAATTGCAACAGAAGGGAATAAAAAAATTTACTGAAAGAATATACTAACGATTCCATATTGTAGAGCCTCATGGGTCCCAGTGCAGATCGATTGGTGAGATAAAATGCCAAGAACCGGGCCGATCGCTACAAGCTCATCCCTTGCAACCCCGCGTCAGCTTACAATGTAACTTCATGAAATGGCCAGCCAGCCAGAAATAGCGCAAGAGGTTCAATCCGAAACTCGGTACCTGATTCGACAGCCGCGCGCCCTACAATGGTTCGAGCATGGACGGCTGGTGAAGCGCCACGACGAGGAACGACAGGCAGGTGAGATCCGTCCTAACCACGCGTCTATCCCGCAAAATTAAAGATAAGAACACCTCACTCATCCACCGCATCTAGGCCGATTTGAACTCTTTCTGGACTTACTCTATGTCGCAATCCTATCTAACTTCGCCGACACACTCGCCGATGACATTTCCGGCGCAAAACTTGTAAAGTATATTGTAAGACTTTAACCCCTCAAAGCTAGCACCGCACTAACCATTCTATTCACAGCTAATCCTGGCACCGTCATGGCATGTCTGGAGCGATCTTCGCGAGATAATGAACTCATTCTACAACGATGACCTACTCCAACGCGTCCTGATTCTCTGGATCATGGCTCTAATGGTCGTCTACGGGAACAACGCCCCCTTAGTCGACGAAGAAATTAGCGCAATGCGCGCAGCTGTGGGCTCATACATGGCCGCTCGACTCTCACTAGTATGTATACATCTTTATAACTCCTTCGCAAGCTATCAGCACCGTCCGCAGCAGCGTCTCTGGGCGGGTCTCTCAATCGTGACACTGGCCGTGTATATCCCGCTATACTTCGAGTCTGTGTCTATACGCAGTAAGATTGCCGCTGCGGTTGTCGCTGTTGTACTTGAGGAGATATCGTGGGTATTTTCTTACTCGCCTGCTGCGAAACGGATGCTGAACGTGAAATATTCGACTGCGGTGGATATTCCGCATGAGGCGGATCGGTTCGCGGCGTTTTATATTATTGCTTTGGGGGAGTTTTTGTATTTGATTATCGTGGGAAGTCATGCTGCTGTTGGGTTGAATGAGAGGTTGTTGAGGGCTGTTTGGACGTTGGTTATTGCTTTTTGTTTGAACTGGTTGTATGTTCATGCTGATGGGGCGTTGGAGAGAACTCATCCGTTGAGGAATAATATTTATACGGCTTTTGCATTTGCGATTATGCATTTGCCGCTTATTGCGAGTCTTTTGGCCGGCGGGCATGTTGCTGCTGCTTCGGTTGAGGAGGAGGAATTTGAGGATGCACAGCGGTGGTTGTTGTGTTGTGGTCTTGGGGTTGGGATGTTTTGTTTGTATGTTTTTGCGTTGCTGCATGGGTCGAAGGATGAGCGAGGGGCTCTTTGCGTTGATAAGGTACGTGTTGATGTGTTCCGTCTGAGATTTGATTGCTGATGCTGTATAGCCGGTGCGCTTGATCATGAGACCAGTTACTGCAGTTATAGTCATTTTGCTACCTCTTGCTCACCATCTCGGGGCTACGGCCATTCTCTCCATCATCATGGCGATGTTTGTGCTTTGTGTGATCTGGGAGAGCGTCACTTCTCTCAAAAGCGGCGCTCATTTCTGGGAGCCTTGGACAGAGACAGATTACCCTGATCAGTGTCACTCTGAGTTGAAAGAGAATGGCGAGACTGTGACAACTTGAAGCGCCGCCGTCAACTACTAATAGAATCCTAATTATTCCGGAAACCGATTTCTACTGTTTAATATTAACGTGATTCAGTAAGAACAGATCATTGGTCTATGTCTAACAACTATTCACAGCCTCCAACTTACGCAATTATTATCAACGCAGTCTCTTAACAACCCAACGTCTACATCCAAATTTCAAACCATGGACTGCTCAATTTTCATATCACCAGTAGCCTGAGTCTCCGACCGACTCATAGTAGGTTGACGACTGAAATCCCTCAGTCTACGCCTCTCATCCCGCGGAACCTCACCCTCCTTCTCCGCCCTGTGAGCTTGGCGCCGGAAATAAACCCTCTTACACCACTTCCACGCCTCGATACCAAGGAAGAAGAGAACAGTCTCCACAAACACAATACCCCATTCCCAGCTAATAGCGGTGTGTTTAAACACGCTGTGGTTGATAACGGGGATATAGAGAATGGGGAAAGCAAGCACAAATCCTGTGATAATACCATAAAACAGGAACTGATTGCGCCAGACATCGTGCATCCACTGTGTGAAGTAGCGCTTGGAATTGGGTTGCATACAGAAGAAGCTTCGGCGCAGGTCCAGCATTTCCCAGGCAAGGAAGAGTGCGAACCAGGTCATGCAGGTGAACGTTGTGGCCCGGGCTCGGAATACCGTGTCACAGCTGTATGGCTTGCTTGGGTCGTTGTATTGCGTGTTGCAGCCTTCGCCTAGGTTGCCGTCGCCCCAGCGGAACATGACTAGTGCGAATGCTGAGAGGCAGAGCGCTGCCATCCAGACGCCGTAGACTAGGGTGTCGATAATGATTTCCCAGGTGAAGATTCCTTGTTTCTGTGCGGTGTTAGCATTTTTCTATGAATTATGTGAGGCGAGGATTGGGGTACATACGCTTTGCGGTGGTCGATCCATCACATCTGGAGCTGCAATCTCCATTCCCAAGCCCATATCCGGAAGACCAGAAGTAATCATGATAATCCAAATAATCTCAACGGGGGCGATCGGGAAAACAGACTGGCCAGTGTCGTCCTTGAACGCCAGACCGATAAGCAGAGTCAAAGCAAGCGCGACGTTCTCAGCCAGGAGATGCAGGATGAATTTCTGGATATTGTCAAAAATTCGACGTCCCTCTTCAATCCCATTGATCATTGAAGCAAAATTATCATCCGTCAGGACAAGTTCAGACGCATCCTTTGCAACGTCCGATCCATTCTGACCCATGGCAATACCCACGTCGGCACGCTTCAGCGAGGGAGAGTCGTTCACTCCATCACCCGTCATCGCCACATAGCGACCACGACGATGCAAAGCCTCGATCATGCGGACTTTAGTATTCGGGGCACATCGAGCGATCACTAATGGGAGAGTGGGGAGGTTGTCGATCTCGTCTTCGGATAATTTGTCGAATTCACTTGCTGTCATGACCATCGCGTCGGCGACATCTTTTGCGACCGTTTCCATGTTTGATGGAATTATTCCGACCTGGGCAGCGATCGCGCGTGCTGTGCCTGGGTGGTCTCCTGTTACCATGTGGACGGAGATGCCGGCTTTGTAGCACTGGCTGATTGCGCCTGCAGTTTCGGGGCGAGGGGGGTCGTATAGACCGATTAATCCGTAGAAGACGAGATCTTTTTCAACCTCTTCTCGTGGAGGAGTTTCGGTGTTGCTGAAGGGGAGATGTTCACGACCGGCGAGCGCGAGAACCCTTAGGCCCTCCTTTGCGAGCGCTTCCATGTTCTCCAGGATTTCATCGCGAATTTCCTCGTCCAAAGGCACGGACGGCGTATCGGGTGTCCACTTGATAGTCGTGCAGGCCTCGAGTACCCTCTCAACAGCTCCCTTGCTGAAAATCATCTCTTCTGACTGATCCGCACCTGCATTCTGCCTGGCAAAAATGACTGACATCTTCTTCACTGTCGAATCGAAGGGGTACTCAGCCTTTTGCTGCCAGATCGGCTTATCGCCCTTTGTCCAGCGATCAACACCCCAGTCAAAGCGAGAGGCGAACACCTGAATAGCGATGTCTGTTGGCTCGCCACGGGCCTGCCAGCCATCGTGAGCAGATTCATGCAGCCGAGCCAAATTAGCCATAGCAGCGACATTGAGGAAGGATTGGAACTCATTATCCTTGATCAAGTCATCAGGACTCATGAGATTTCCACCCTTAGAATCATGCAACTTCATCGGCGACTCGGCTGTCAAACTCAGATCCCCTTCCTGGGGATTATAAGGTTTATTCGAAGATCCAACTGAATAAGTCCCAACAGAAGGAATCCAAGCCCGCTTAGCCACCATTCGACCCTGCGTCAAAGTCCCTGTCTTATCCGAACAAATATTGGTAACAGCACCCAACGCCTCCAACGAGTCCAGCTTCCGAACAATAACATTTCTCTGAACCATCTGTTTCGTCCCTACAGCCATGGTAATCGTCAAAACAACAACAAGACAAGCAGGAATCATAGCCAATCCAGTCGCAACCGCATAAATGATGACTTCACTATCTCCGCGCCAGTCATTCGCCGCCGCAACCACGATCGCAAAAATAACTGCGATCCCGAAGAGGAGGAGTGCAAGCTTTGACAGTTTGCGCTGCAGTGGCGTGCCGACGTTAATACCGAGGAACCGCCCAATCGCGTCCGTGGTGGTTAATGTCCACGCTTCAATGTACCAACGCTTCTTGGTCTCACCTTCTGGGCCTCGCTTGACTGGGCGGCGCTTGGAGTCGTTCCCGTGGAGCGCGGCGGCGATGGCGCCGATCTCGGTCTTCATGCCTGTGCCTACTACCACGCCTCGACCGCGGCCTCGGGTTATGGTTGAGGAGCTATAGGCGATGTTGAGACGGTCTCCTGGTCCGGTGTCTGGGTCGAATGTTGATTCGGCTTCTTTCTGGACTGGTAGGGATTCGCCTGTGAGGAGGGCCTCATCTGTTTCGAAGTTGAAGGCTTCGACCAGTCTATGGGGAGTTAGTTCAAGGTCTTGTATTTGAGGTGGGTTTCGTACCTGAGATCTGCAGGGACGGTATCGCCGACTTTGAGCTCGACCATATCGCCAGGGACGATTTCGTTGGCGGGGACGGTGGCAGTCTCTCCGTCGCGAGTTACTACTCCTGTTGGTGAACTCAGGGAGCGGAGTGAGTCCATTGTTTTCTCGGCGGCGAAGTCTTGGTAGACTCCCACGACGACATTGAGAGCGATGACCGCTGCGATGAATCCGCCCTCGATCCAGGATTGGATTCCGAAACTGACTGCCATTGCGATAATGAGGATCTAGTATTGTGAGTAAGAATTTCTGTTTGTTGGAGATTCTGATACTTACAAGCATCATTGCGTTGGCGACTTGGCGAATAATGATCTTTGCGAAGGAGACGCTTTCGCCTCCTTCCAGGATGTTCTCGCCATATATTTCAAGGCGTTTCTTGACTTCCTCTGTGGTGAGACCATCTTCCGAGTTTGTGCCTAGCTCATTGATCACAGTCTCAAATGTAAGATTGTGTGGTGGATTGGAGAGATAGGGGTGGGAAATGTTATCAAAGGATTGGGTTTTCTCCGCAGACATTTTCTAGTTGCGTGTAATGTGTAGTACTAGTTCTTTCAATTCTAGATGTTGCTCAAGGAGGTGTCATATAGAAAGTATCTTCAACAGAGTGACAGTCCATACAGAGTAAAGATCTAGATTTCGACTTTGCCTAAGTACAAAATTTAAGTGCTTTTTACTTCTCTTGGGGATATCAAAGCCCTTAAATACCTTTCCCAACCGGGTTTGATGGCAAATTCCGTTTAGTCTAATCGGGGTCCCCGGGGTATATCGGGTCCCATCAGATATCATTCTGGGCATAAGGCAATAATGAGATCTGGGGAAATACCGATTCCAGCCAATCAAAATAATCAACCAAACATCGAGAAAGTGCGGATCATCTTGGCGTGTTATTTACATTTTTTGCCGAGGCAAAATGACGCACACGACTGTTCTCGGCGTTGTCTCGGCCGTCAGTCATTGGGACTTTGATTGGTGGAGCGGAATACCAAGAGCGGGATCCTGGCCTTTTGTCTGGGCGAAGGAAACTCCGCGCTTGACAACTTCCTAACTCCTGATGTGTCATTCTTGGCTGATCTTGGATTTTTTCTTGGCTGGACTTCCTGTGAAGTCCGAGGGTCCACTGTAGAGTTCAAATCTGGTCTTCTTTCCCGTGATTCTGGTTCTGGTTCTGGTTCTGGTCTCTTAACTACTCCGCAGTGGCAAACTTGATCTGATTGTGGACTTTGGCTATTTTTCAGATATGTTATCTCTTTGATGTTTATGCAGTGTTTCTTAGCCGTGATCCAGATATTCTGATCGAAGCTGCATCATCTCCCGCGAATTGCAGCCAGACCCAGTGGTTGTTGGGCCTTGCTTCTGCTCGTATTCTCACTTGTCCATCACTTTTGAGGTCCGAGACCTTGCTTAACCATGGCTGACGATAGTCTGCCGCAGGGTGAGGTAGTCGGCATCATTATCGGTGCTGTTGCCCTGTTTTCCCTGATCAGCTTCATTCCTATGTGAGTCCTTGGGCATCATCAGTCTTGGCTACATATGTTCCTGCAGCAGAACAATATGGAAGTTCTTCCATATGACTAACATTCTATTCTGTGACAGGGCCCTCATGTGGTATCACCGTCGACGTGATACCTCCCGCCGCGCTAGTGAAACCGCTGTCCTCACATCATCAATGCAGCAAGTTTCTGTGCAACAATGGCTCGAGGAACATAATTCCCCGGGCGATCCAGCCAACTATAGTCAAGACATGTGGTAAGATATTTTTCTATTCTATTTTCATTTCACAGTCTGTCCCAAATCGCACTTCTCTTGGCCGCGAGGGGTAATGATATAGTGTGGGGAACGCCCAGGCTAGGCAAAGCGTGCGCCTGCCTGATATGGTTTCCCTCATACTATTCCTTTCATTCTGCTCTGGGCATCTTACATTCGGTCACTTTGTTCCTTGTCATTCTACCGTGGCCAAGTGCTCATATCTTGGCCGGTCTTCGTCAACCAACCCTCCTATCTCGTATTTGTCTCGGTGTTGACTTTATCTCTCCAGTCCCATCTGCCTCTCATCTCTATCATCATCCGCTTATCTCTCTTCCCCTGAGTCTGTTCATCTACCCCACAATTCACGCCATCAGTCTCCAGTTCCACCAGATGAGACGCTCATACCCGACTCAGGGAATGAAAACCGTATTATCGTTTTGAGTCACTGTCATCACGCCTTCCACTCAACCTGTCTTACATCCTGGTTTGAATACCGGCATTATAAATGTCCCATCTGCCAAGCTTCATACTCGCCCTCGGACTCGGTATAATATCGAGATACCACGAATCTTGTTGCCGATAATCATTATGTACATTTGTCTATATGCCTACGACTAGCTTCAAATGTAGTAATTTTCCTGATAAATTGCTATTTACTGCTTTGACTATATACTCGCATCTATGGATTCTCGTCTACTTTTGCAGCTATATCCTTAAAATATGCTTAAGATTGATTATACAGGCACTAATAAAACAAGCCGTGGAATTTGTTTGCTTCCATGTGCGATAGTTAAATACGATCTAAGGAAAATTATTGGATTGTCAACAGAGAATGATCTGAATCGCAAAATCGATATAATCTAGCATCAGTCATGAACCCAAGTACAAAATGTTAATAAGAAAGGAAATCTCCGACAGGCTTCCAAGCACGAACGTCATATTCAATTGGAAAATATCTACAGGGCCATCTGCAGCGACCAAATAGTGCATGGGAAGAACCAAGATCACCACATCCATGAAAACTTTCGGCAAACTGCCCCGAGTATATTTTCGTGGATATATTGAAAGACTCGATAAATTCAACAAAGACCTCCTCATTTTTCTCGCTTGATCTGCCGCGCGATCAGTTTAAAATCGTGGTATCCTAACTTTGCAAGGCAACATAACGGTTCTCTTCAATTGATATCTTCACTTGTAGCTAGTAGATTCATGGAAATCGACCTGCAGGAATGAATGACCAATTGGGGTGTGTGAAATTGGGGTCCATCACCCTGATCATAACCTGCTTCTGAACCCCCTCGATAGTGTCTGGTACAGTGAGACGGGTTAGGGGGTACTCTCCCCCGCGCCCTTCGGCCTCGAGAGCCAAATAGCCCGGAGCATAAAGTTCAATATCACTTGTCCACTGCTCTCGGTCACAGAGGACCATTGAATTTGGAAGTTGGTTAGCGTCCTTGGCTTGACAGAGTGTATCGACGACCGGTAGGTCCATATCAAGTCTGATATTCTACGTTACTTTGTTGGGCTAACTTAGTAGGGGTTAACTTGGTAGGTTAAAGAATACTCACGGCAGATTTTGGTGTCTATAAGCACCGGCACAATGCTTAACTTCCCCAAAACCTGACCAATGCTCGAAAGCGTTCATAAATAGCATTTTCATATTAAACGGGCGGACTTCAACAGATTTTTTCACAGTCCCGTTAATTTCATACACGACAATTGTTAGGCGCCCGCTTTCCAGACCTACTTCATCAACCAACATATATGGGCCTGAATTACCGAGATAGAGTACTTTGCCAGTATGTGTGAGATAGATTGACCTGAAGTTTGCGGTCTCAAGATCCCGCCAGGGAAGATAATCCTCTACTGAAGGATCGATAGTGGTTGCTGGATTGAGGGTAGCCTCCGATGGAATGTAATTATCGAGTAGACAGTGCCCAGTCTCGATATCATAGTTGTACAACATGATCGTGAATTTCACCCATCGCGCTCGATTTTCAGCATGGATCTCATCAATAGGGGCAAGAGAAATCAGGCTTCTGGTTTTGTTCGGCTGAAGAATGTCGTAGAGACGTTCTAATGCTTCGGCCGGGTATCGAAGACCTTCAATACGTTCAGTTCTGGACGATCTTGGCCCCTCCGTGCCTGGAAGACCCACAGGTGCACGCGATCGGTACGCCTGAATGAATTCGGAAAAAAGCGTTAGTATAATAGACTTCGGAGATTTGACAGACCTGAATTCATCACGAAATTCCTGTGTAGCCGAAGCCCATTTTTCCACCAGTTGCTGGCGTTGGTATCACTCATATTTCTCATCGGAGGAACCTGCGTTTGCTGCAGAAACCCAATCCTCCTGGATGTATATTAGCGCAGAACTTGAGAAATTCGAATGCTATAAAGAACATACCTGTACAAATAGTAACCAGCCCTTGACTTCCTCCTTGATTTGGTCTAGAGATATCTGTTTCTGGGTGTGGTTGGATGGAAGTGGGGATTCCTCCTGGCCAGTGCTGAACGGATCTCGGCATCATGTGTGTGATCAAGTTCGTTAGGGGTCCAAAGGGTTGTAGGGGTCCAAGGAACAAAGGGAAATTCCAGAAGAAAACTTTGGCCAACCATGTATTAGTGAAAACTTCACTAGCGGGGCGCCTAGCTAGGTTGGAACGCTGAAACCGAACCGAACATCGTAGCGAATATCGTAGCGGATGTTGTGGGGAATGAACGGCTATGGCGGCGGCATGAGTTTTATGCGATATGACATTGGATTGGCCGGATTTGAGGCGCTATGATCTAGTGACCACACGTAACTGCAAATTTGGTCCCTGAAATTGCATTTAGCACATGGCCCTCTGGAAATTTCTCTCCTAGCGTGGACTCTACGTTATTCGACTTGCGCCGCTTCATTTTCTTTTTCGCCATATTTGGGTACTGAGATTTGCCAGGTATCAAGCGTCTCCTGGGAATATTTTGAAGAAAAAGTGGGAGATTGAGATGATCGAACGCTTGACTGCATCTAATATAGGCGGGAGATGCGAAAAACAGGACACTGCAGGTAGGAATTTTTCTGCAACGCGTTCGGAACACGTCATCTGTGCACTGAGCAGAATTTTAGTGTAGAGTCTTGAAATGCAGCATGAATTATTCGACGACTTACCACGAATTAATGCCTTATCTTCAACCCTCGATGTTCATAACCATGGAGATAGCTATCCGACAAGCTTGTATGTGATGCCGGTGATTGTCCGGGCCGAAAATACTTGAATCCTAATTTTCCGCGAACGGTCGACACGAAAAATAACAGCATGGTACCAATGGCAATATAGAATGTAGATTGCAATGACAAATCATATGATTTAGGTAGTTTAGTTGTCAGAAATGATTGTCGGTAAAGAAGCAGTATTGATATTTTGGGCAAATTGTCATTCGGGATATACACAAAGACCTCTGCGGTACGGGATTACCTGGCGGAAATGATAGGCGTGGGGCCCATGCTGGATTTCCATAATAGCACCTATCAAGTATGGGACTAGTTTCTTGAGAAATATTGTCTGTGAAATGCTCAAGTGCTGGGTGCATACCCATGATCACTCCCGAGGTCCCAATCTGCCCTAGCATCGTCAGTGCGACCCCCGTGACATCCGGTCTGAAGAGAACCTTGCTTCGACACTGCACTTTCATCCGAAAAATAACGGGGCATATCAGCCTGGAATGGGTTGGTAATGACCTCGAGAGCAGTCTACGTAGGGCTGTAGTGTTGCTTTCGAAGATACTTGAGATCCACAATTTCACATGCAGTGTGTTCAATTATATATATTCTCAGCACATTATTCCAAATGGTTCAAAATGTTTCGATTTCAAATACATAATTTGAGAGCCAAAGGCCTTCGTTCAATTTTGTTCGCTATGGCACTGAAGCAAATGTGAAAATAAGTGGGGTTTTCTATTAGGAAAAACATTTGAAGGCATCCAAAGTCCAACCTTGGAAGCTGTCCATAAAATTCTTTTCACATTATGTATCAAGTGATTTCAATTTCCGCTATAGCTCTAGATAAGGAACTGCGCCACAACAAGTCTCCGTGGCGCAATTGGCTAGCGCGTCTGACTGTTAATCAGGAGGTTGGAAGTTCGAGCCTTCCCGGGGACGTTTCTTTTTGTTTTTTTCTTGTTTCTCGCGGATACTCTGGGCGCGGATACTCTGGGGTTGGATTAACAAAACAAATAACTAAATCGAGAATTTCAGACTTCTCTCCTTGACTAAAATTTAATAACTTTCATCAATCCAATCCCCATACCCACTACCAAGAACAGTCGTCTTCGTAACACCCGCAGAGATCGACGTCTCATACAGTCGATCAGAAGTAGACGATCCATCACCAGTATTATCATATTCATAATAAAGCGGAGTCGCCCCAGTTGCCATAGTCGTCCAACCGGCAGCATTGATCAGATCGCCCAGCACGGAATTTTGGTAAATGACACGTGCAAGAACGCGCCACGGCCGACCAAGATAAACTTCACCATCGAGACTCACACCCGAAGCAGCCTTGATATTGCAGTGATCGATCGCATACCAGGAACTATCGGTAGATTCTTCACGCGAGTTGGCGGTGATAGAGCCTGAGCCGTTGGAAACGATATCGCATTCACCAAACCAGGCGGAGGCGTCGCCGAAAATATAGTCTACGGCTCCTGTGCTTTGTGTCAGAGACAAGTTGACTTAACGTGAAATGACGCATTCAAAGCTCAGGAGAGAGTGAAAAGGTACCTTCGATCAAGCAGTTGGAGTAATATTGTGTTCCAGATTTAGCATAGAGCGTATCCTGGTATCCAGAGAACTGGCATGCATAAAAGCCAAGCTTGTCTGCATTTCCGACGAGACTGCAATGTTTTAGCCTGGAAACTTCAAATTGTCTCTGGGATATGGTGGATTGGTACTCACGCCACTGCCTGTGCTCCCTTTCCATACCCATTCACAACATTAATATTATACAGACTAACCCCATCCGATACAATATTAACCGTCGCACTCAGGTCCAGAGACCCGGCCTCTTCTGACGAGATGGTATTCGTGATAGTAACAGTGTTGTCTTTGTAAAGACCAGAATCCGTCGTTTCGCCATAGATAATAAGAGATCCCGCGTAATCGATTTTGATCTGTTCGGCGTAGGTGCCACTTTAGATAAAAATGCAGGCTGATGAGGTGGACGAGCCTAGTGCAGTGAGTGCGGCAGATATGGTAGAGTATGTTCCGCTCGAGCCTACAGAGAGGCATCCTGATGGTGGTGTGGTTCTGCTTACGGTGTTTGCGCGGGCACCCTTCGCTGGGGTACCGAAGGCAGTTGTACCGAGGTACAGAACCGAGATAAAAAGATCGAATATTTTCATTGAATATAAGTTAGCGATGGATAAATTCAGATTTTTGCCCGGAAGATGACCTGGATCGTCTTCATGGGCTTATTTAACATTAATATTAACACTCCTGGGAATACTGCTTCCACCAAACAACCCTAATTCCAATCAGGAATTATCCGTCTACTCTAGTTGTAATCCTGTAGTTTCTCCATGTTTCATGATTCCATGAATGGGGATTTTTCCGAAACATGTCCGTGCCATTCAGGAACCTCAAACCTCGCTTACTGCAGGGTTACTTCCCTGCGGCTAAACTCAAACTGCATCTACATTACCCAGCCTCTCACAGCACTCAGCGATCGAACCTACATAAAGCCCCCTCTTTCCGCAAGGTCCAAGCCCATCATTAAGAACATCATTGGCTGGAAGAATCCACTGCATGTGAAGAAAAGATTCGGAAACTGTTACAGGTTTCAACCATGTGGGGCCGACGGACCTGCAGTTACTCTGATGTCGAAGCCGGAAACACTGGAACTGCATACTATATGTTCCTCGAATGAAGATCTCAAGGTTTATGTCATTCTATGTAGATCCGGAAAATCAACCGCGCGTGGAATAACCTGATACATAGCTAAATTCTTGGCAATAATAGATACCCTGTCATCTTTGCTTAAGCACATATAATGCAATTCGGACTGCATGATCAAAATGGCGATTGAAATGAACAACAAAATTTTCATCATATGATCCAGATCAATATGATCCCACTATATCTCATCTCATCCCTCCCTCTGACCACCGCCCTCTCACTCCACTCCCCATCTCGCACCCTCAATAGTCGCACCTCAACCTGCACACCAGTAGCAGGAGGAACATCAACAACCGACGATGTCCCCGCTATAGAATCAGCACTATCAACATGCGGTGACGGTGGCATAATTATAATCCCCTCCGGAACAACATACTACATCAACAGCGTTCTCGACTTCTCATCATGCAGTGGCTGTGACTTCCAGATCGAGGGAACTCTCAAGTTCGCCTCCGACACAGACTACTGGGAAGGTCGAACCGCCATGATGTATGTCAATGGCGTAACCGGAATGACAATGCGATCGCTCACCGGGAACGGAGTGATTAACGGAAATGGACAAGATGCGTATGAACCCCTTTCCCATAATCTTTCCAATTGAAAGCTAAAGCTTCTTGATACATACTCAAACCTCTCCAAAGTGAGCCAATATTGATTCTAACCTTGAAATATCCGATAGATACGACCTCTTCGCCTCGAACAGCAGCTACGCCCGCCCAACCCTCCTCTACATAACAGGAAGTACAAATATAAAAATCAGCGGGCTAACCCAGAAAAACCCACCGAATGTCTTCAACTCCGTAACTGGATCAAGCAGCAACATCCATTTCTCCTCATTAACGATGTCAGCAACATCCAAAAGCACAAACGCCGCCAAAAACACCGACGGCTTCGACATTGGCTCCTGTACCACTGTGAGCATCACCTCCGTCTCCGTCACAAACGACGACGACTGCGTAGCCTTCAAGCCGGGCGCGAACTACGTTACAGTCTCGGATATTACCTGCACAGGGAGCCATGGATTAAGCGTCGGGTCACTGGGGAAGTCGAATGATGATACGGTGAAGAATGTTTATGTTTCGGGCGCGACGATGGTTAATTCGACCAAGGCCGCTGGAATTAAGACTTATCCGTCTGGTGGAAGTCATGGGGTTTCTACGGTGTCGAATGTGACGTGGAGTGGGGTTGTGGTTGAGGGGTGTGATTATGCGATTCAGATTCAGAGTTGTTATGGGGAGGATACTACTTATTGCGAGGAGTATCCTGGGGATGCCGTGCTGAGTGGTGTTGTTTTTGAGGGGTTTAGTGGGACGACTAGTGGGAAGTACGGGAGTGTTACTGGGGACATTGATTGTGGTGCTGAAGGGAGCTGTGGGGCGAAGATTAGTGGGTATACGGTTGTGGCGCCGGATGGGGATAGTGAGGTGCTTTGTGCCAATACGGAGGATTTGGGGGTTACTTGTACGTCTGGAGCTTCGGGGTAGAAGGGGACAGGTTGGAAGTGATTCACGGTCTATTGTCTGACTTGCTATGTAAAGGCAAATATATGTTCATAAAGTCTTGTTTTTCCTTATGAGGAGGCGATCATCTTGTCCTTCACGTACAGGTCAACGTACTTGTCGACCTCGTAGTTCTCGAGCTGCTGGCGGTCCCAGCCCACCTTGAGCAGCTCATCGATGCGAGCCTGGTCGAAGTGCGCCTGGAGGTGGCGCTTGTACTTGGCCAGAATCTCGGGCTTGGCTTCCTCACGGCGCAGGCGGTGACCCAGAGGTGCCTCAACGACGACCTCCTCCAGGACTGTGCCATCATTCAGAGTGACAGTCAGAGCGTTGGGGATGGTACGCTTCTCGGGGTTGTGGTAGTCCTTGGTGAACTGCTCGTCCTCGACACAGCGGATACGTGTGCGGAGATCAGCCAGCAGGGGGGAGGTGGCGGCCTCGGAGCCATCGGCGTAGTCACTAGCGGTCAGACGGTTGAAGACCAACATGGTGGCAACCATGTACTGGGAACAATTAGATTTGGGTCATAAATTGAGTAGAATTGGGACTCACCTGAACACAGTGGTCACGGTCGGCAAAGTTATCCATGGCCTTGAACTGCTTGTCAATGATACGAATGCAGGCCTCGTGGGTACGGTTGGTGATCTCCTTGATGTCCTTGGCGCTCTTGCCCATCTCTGCCAGCTTCTTATTGATCTTCTCGGCGGCCTCAATGGCAGTCTGGGAGTGGAACTCGGCTAGAAAAAGTTAGAGTATGGAACAAATTTGCGTTTGGGTCGAGACTTACCAGGGTAGGAGACTTTGAAGAGGACGTTCTCCATAACATAGCTGCCATAGGGACGCTGGTAGTCGAACTTCTTGCCCTTGAATAGTACATCGTAGAAACCCCAGGTGGGAGCAGAAAGAACAGTGTGGAGACCACCCTCACCCTTCTGCACCTTCAGAACCAGGTTCACGGCGCGCTGGCAAGCGTCACCAGCAGCCCACGACTTGCGCGACATGGTGTTCGGGGAGTGACGGTAAGTGCGAAGTGACTGACCATCGACCCAGGCCTGGGTAATGGCATCAGCAGTCTGCTTCTCAGTAAGACCCATCATCTTGGAGACCACAGCGGTAGTGGCAACCTTGACCAGGACAACGTGATCCAGGCCAACTTTGTTGAATGAGTTCTCAAGCGCAAGAACACCCTGAATCTCGTGGGCCTTGATCATGGCCTCCAAAACATCACGGATGGTCAAGATCTTGCCGTTACCAAGATTTCCGCCCGCACGGTTGGTGCGAGAGATCCAGTCCGCCACAGCCAGGATACCACCCAGATTATCAGAAGGGTGACCCCACTCAGCAGCGAGCCAGCAGTCATTGTAGTCGAGCCATCGGATCATGGAACCGATGTTGAAGGCGCCATTGATGGGGTCCAACTGGTATGGGGTACCGGGAACGCGGGTACCGTTAGGGACCACAGTCCCCTCCACGGTGGGGCCAAGGAGCTTTGCACACTCTTTGAATTTCAGGGCCTCCAAACCACAGCCCAGAGTATCCAGGAAGACCAGACGGGCGGTGTCGAACTAATTCGATTACCAAAATCATCAGTCCAAAACCCAAACCACTGGATATAAACAAACAAACTTACCGCTAGGTCGGAGTCAATATTGTACTCATGGATATACTTGGCCATATCCTGGATCTCAGGATCATAGGCCTTATCGGCTGGTACAGCCGGTGCAGCAGATTGACGAGCAGCCATGGTAGAAAATTTGGGGGCAGTAGTGCGAATAGCACGAGGAATGGGAGAAGAGAAGACAGAGGGGATTCTAGAGATGGGGATGCGGGCCAAAGTGCGGGGAGCCGTGTGGGTCAACCGTCTCACGGGAAGGGACATTGTGAATCAATTGAAAGAGATCAAGAAGAATGATCCAATGTTGAACTGGGGAGAAAAGGAGGAGAAGATAATTAAATGAGGGAAATGACGATCCCGACCTAGTCAAGAATGCGGAGAGGTTGGGGAAGGAGAAAAGGGTGATCTCAAGCTGATTTCATATTACCGAGGCCAGTCGGTCAAGTCGGTTAGTGTCGGTTAGACCAATGTGATACTGAGGACTATATGTCCACTATTTTTTACTTCTAGTATTCACCTACTAGTCTGGTTCAATTATCCACTATTGTTTAACCTAGGCATTATAGTATAAAGGCGTTTACAAGGTAATAAGTCCGAATACCGGAGGGCAATCTACATTATCGATGATCCATAACATAAACATGCACATGCATGTAAAAATAGAACCTTAGAACTTGCGAAAACCGGATCAATTATTATGTGCGGGCACCACCCCGTGAAAACGGTGAATTCTCTAAATTCTAATGTACAAGTCAAACGCTTCATCGCCGGCGCCATTGGCTGCCAACGACAGACAGAGCGTTTGACCTTCATGTCCTTGAGGCCGCGCCACCGCCCTTCACATGATCCTACCCCCGGTCCGAGCTTCCTCTCTCAGCTCCCTCTCGTCCGTCTCCTGCAAAGACCTCCGCACCTCTCGGAACACCGCCTCGGCAAGCCGAGGAGGCACAGCGTTCCCCATTTGCTTGCGGATGTGTTTCCCCCGGAACTTGAACTCCAAAGGGAAAGTCTGCAAACATGCCACCTCGCGGGGTGTGAAGGCTCGCACTCCAGCGGGATGGTAGTTAGCCTCACCCCCGCTGCAGGTGATCGTTTTGGCGGGCTGGTGTTCGTTGTACGGCGCTCGATGGGCATTTTTTGTCCGGTCTTTTTGGGACCCAACGTCATGATCTGGCCATCCCTCGGGGATACCGCTGATGGCCCGGAAGATCGTTTCGAAGGGTTTGAGCCCAGACCCGAACGGCCCATGGGTTGGAGGTGGCATATTAGGCAGGGTCTCTCCGGGACTTTATAGGATCAGGCAGTCAGTGAAGGTCACGAGTGAAGGATCGAATTAACTTACCCCGCAGCAAGGATGATCAAACGACGACGCGTCTGGGGCACTCCGTAGTTCACGCAATCAAGAACTGCCCAGCGGACGGAATATCCCACTTCAATGAAGTCCATGATCAACCGATTGAATGTGGGGATATGGCGATTTTGTAACCCGAAGGTTTCTTCCATGGTCAACACCCGAGGACGGGCCTTCTCCATCAAATTGAGAGAGGTGAAAATACAGGACGAGTTCAACTCATCTCGCACCTGGTTGTGGATAGTGTGCGCCGGCGAAAAGGGCTGGCATGGTGGTGAGGTATGGCACACGTCGATCCGCAGCTCTGCAGGACGCTGTGTAATGAACTGGTCGAATGCGGAATGCTCCGCCAAGGACTCAGGAAAGTTCTGGCGATATGTTTCCATGGCATTCTTGTCCATATCGACAGCCCAAGTCAAGGCCAGACCGGCTTTTTTGGCACCACATGAGGCGCCACCAGCGCCGCAGTACGCATCACCGTACGTGTATGTACGGTCATGACCCAAAGCCTGTAAATCGGCGGGGTCCAGCGGGCCTTCGGGTCCAGATGGGAGTTCGGCTGCCCCAAAAGGGATTGTCTCATTACAACCTCGCCACCTTTCGCGCAGTTCCTTAGCGCGGAGACGGTCGCTCGTTGCCTCGTCAAATGTCAGATACTCCACAACAAACTCCTTCTCTTCCAAAGCTGTTCGGCTTCGATTGCTCTGATGGGGCAAAACTGGCCGAAACATGGGCGAGAATTTCAGCCGGCATGTTAGGCGCTCATCGGCGGCTGATTTCTGATGCAATGCCCAATCCCGACGCCGCATGTTGGTGAAGACGATGGGACGAAAGCACTTGATCTCATGCATTGAATATGGCTTGTGGATGTGAGCAAACCAGATCACTTCATCCTTGTGTGTGGGCACGAAAGCTTTAACTTCTTCGCTTTCTGTTGATACCAAGTGGCGACCATGGAAGCATTGGTTTTCACGATTCTCAACAATTCGTTCGATGTACAGGAAGTTGCCATCGTGGAGCTCCACTGAATCACCAACCTTATACACAATGGTATTGACCACGAGGCTATCGACTTCGATGGGAAGAGAAGGTTTGCTTGGACGAGCGACGGGCTCCAAAGTCAACCGGCAGGTTTGTCTGCGCACTTCCCAAAGGTCGGGGAGACCGATGGAAGGTGATGAAACCTGGGACTGTGTCTGCGGTTCTTTGGTCAGATCGATAATGTCTTTGGGCTTTCTAATGTGTCTGGGCTGTTCAATACGTCTCGGCTGTCTATCGGTGAGGTCAATTGGCAGCTCTTGAGAACTGCCCGGCCCGGCCGGCGGATGGTATGAGGGTGAGGAGTGAACGCTCTGTGATGATGTGCTTGGAGAAGATGACAGAAGACTATGAGGAAAAGACTGATTCTGTGGCCTATAACCCAAGATGAATAGGTCGTGGTCTTTATTATCTTCATCTTTGAACTTCCGTTTCAGACTGGCTGGTGATGTATCGAGTGATGGATCGAGCGAACCCGGGGAAAAGGCAAGCTTGACCAACCCCGCACCTTGTCGACGCGTCTTCGAAACAAGACTTTTCTCACTTGAAGCCATGACGAGCGAATGGAATAAGATACTTGATGATAAGAATGCTCTTGAAAAGAAAGAGATAAGTGATAGATCATGAGGATCTCTGATGTTCGATGCTGATGTTCGATGATGTGGAAAATGTGGAGCTTCTGGGGGAAAGATGAGACTTTTGGGAGAAGAGCATAGCACTGAATGATACTTTCGATATCGATCCCTCTGATTCGGGAGATGGCCTAGTGGCCCAGTCGCTCACTACATCCTTAACAACAAAGCCCTATTAAACAATATGTGAACAAAGTCAGAAGCATGGTCAAAGCTGCTTTTAAGCTTATATCTACAGTGAACAGTGGATCCCTGGAGCTAACACCCAATCTGAAATATCCACAAACATGTTCCTATATTCATGAAGGCATACAAATGTTTCTACATTGGCATCAACAGTGCGTGACCGAATGAAGTTAGCGGTCAACCAGGGCAGTGTACCCCAGTCATCAGTAATTCCTCTTCTTTATTCAATAATTTCTATTATTGTTAATTCTACTAATGAAACTTTTGCAAAATATAATGTCATTCAAGCAAGTTCATCCTTATCCCTGTCGTTACTACATATAGTCCTGTCACTCCTGTAGTGCCGCCGAACTGTCAACAGCCGATATAGGTGCTGAGTCAGCCGGGCCGGCGTCGGCGGAAAAAAAAAATTCATGTGGAGACTGTGAATCTCCTTTGGCGGGACCAGAACTCTGGAGAGAATTTCTCTTCCTTTTCTTCCCCTCCTCTTGCTCTTGGGGGTCATTGTTGACCATTGCGCCCTGACCACCACATCCTGGTTCTGGTAAGTTCTGTTGTCTTTATCTGCACCTACCCCTCTCTATGATGAACCTGGATATTTTATAGATGTTAGACTTCCTAGCTTTTTTTGCGGAGACACATCCATACTGATTTGAGAAATAACCCCGCGATGCATTTCACACAAATGCGAGAATATGTGCTAATCTTCTCCCGACCGGGTGTTTAGGAAACCTAACCCACCCTCAATATGTGTGGAATTATCGCTCTGATCCTGGCGAACCCCTCCGCCGCCGCCGCAGTCGACCTCCACGAGGCCCTGTATCTCCTCCAACGTGAGTGCATGCGAACTATACCATAAGGCAGGGGAGCATAGGCTAAAGTCTGCTGTGTTACACAGATCGTGGTCAAGATGCTGCGGGTATCGCGACCTGTGCGTCCGGTGGCCGAATCTACCAGCTGAAGGCGAACGGTATGGCTGCTAAGGTTTTCCATGATGGTGCCAAGATTGCCAACCTCCCTGGCTCTATGGGTATTGCCCACCTGCGATACCCTACTGCTGGTAGCAGCGCCAATGCTGAGGCCCAACCTTTCTACGTTAACAGCCCCTACGGCATTTGCTTTGCGCACAACGGAAACTTGATCAATGCTCCCGCACTGAAGAAGCACTTGGATCTGGAGGCCCACCGTCACATCAACACTGATAGTGACAGTGAGCTTATGCTCAACATCTTCGCTGATGAGCTGAGTGAGACCAAGAAGGCTCGTGTGAACAAGGAGGATCTCTTTGCTAGTTTGACCCGCATGTATGAGCGCTGCGAGGGTGGCTGGGCCTGCGCTGCTATGCTTGCTGGTAAGTCTTGATCTTCGTATTCCGATGCATCCGGTCATTTAATAATGTCGTCGTAGGTTTTGGTCTCATCGGTTTCCGTGACTCATACGGTATTCGCCCCTTGGTTCTTGGCTCTCGTCAATCCCTGGATGGCGAAGGTACCGATTACATGATGGCCTCTGAGTCGGTCGCTCTGGACCAGCTTGGCTTCAGCAACCACCGTGATATCCAGCCTGGTGAGGCTGTCATTCTTGAGAAGGGTTGTGAGCCGGTCTTCCGCCAAGTCGCCCCTAAGCGCGGCTACGCCCCGGATATTTTCGAGTACGTCTACTTTGCTCGCCCAGACTCTGTGATGGATGGTATCAGTGTATACCGCAGTCGTCAGCGTATGGGTGACCGTCTGGGTGCCCGTGTTCTGAAGGTTCTGGGTGCCGACGTTGTCAAGGATATTGACGTCGTCATTCCCATTCCTGAGACTTCTACTACATCCGCCAGTCACGTTGCTCAATACCTGAATAAGCCTTACTGCCATGGGTTCGTGAAGAACCGCTACGTCTTCCGCACGTTCATCATGCCTGAGCAGAAGACCCGTCAAAAGGGTGTCCGTCGTAAGCTCAATGCCATGAAGGCTGAGTTCAAGGACCGCAATGTCCTCCTTGTGGATGACAGCATTGTCCGCGGTACCACCAGTCGCGAGATCGTCAACATGGCTCGTGAAGCTGGTGCCAAGAAGGTCTACTTGGCCAGCTGTGCTCCTGAGATCACCCACCCCCACATCTACGGTATTGATCTGGCTTCACCCCAGGAGTTGGTTGCCCACAACCGTGATAGCGATGCCATCGCCCGCCACATCGGTGCCGAGAGCGTCGTGTTCCAGACCCTGGAAGATCTCAAGGGTGCCTGTGCCGAGGTTGCCATTGAGAATGGCCAGACAGAACCCGTGAACTTCGAGGTCGGTGTGTTCTGCGGTAGCTACGTCACTCCCGTGAGTGATGGCTACTTCGAGCACCTGGAGGAGGTCCGTGGTGAAGGCCGCAAGAACAAGGCTTTGGAGAAGGCCAAGGAGGCTGTTGCTCACGGCTTTGCCAGCACCACTGACTACCAGATTGCTGCTAAGGGCGTTGCAGTGGATACCAATGGCAAGATCATCCCTGCAGGTGATGAAGACCAACCTGCCCCCCGGTCCTCCCATCAGGAGGATCGGAACCCGAAGGTGGATGACCGCATGGACATCAGCATCCACAATCAGGCCGACCACCCATGATTATGATGACAATTTCTATACTATTATTTAGAGCCATTTGGCCTTTTGTTTGCATTTGGAGTCTATGGAGTTATGTATGGGGGCATACCTTAGACGGGTCCTATTCCCTTTTGATGAAAAAGTGATGCGATGATGTGATAACGCATTAAGTGAAGTGTGATACACTCTTCTGTCAGGCTCTTGAAATCTTCACTGCTCGAAAGTGGGCGATATACCTTTTTTGATCAAAAAATATGAACATATCAATAACTTCCATTGTCACATGTTACTTATATGTATATTCCCTTCCTTTCTTCCCTCTCTCTTTATGTTATCCCCATCTTTGCCGGTAAACAGCGGCCTTGAAGGATACTTTACATTTAGACAACATATGTATCATATTCAGTCAATACATCAGTCCTTCGTACTAAAATATCTACTTGGGGTATCTCATCGAGTGCCTACTTGAGTCCCTTCTTAGTAAACCTACTTGAGTTGCTATTTAGTATAAGTTACTTGAGTACCTAAGTAAGTACCTACTAAGCGGTACATACATAGGGACTATGTAGAATACTCTAGTCTCTTATAGCTATGCAGTAGTATAGCTACTAGCTTGAATACGACGGACCAGTGGATGTAAATGAATAATTATGCGAATTTGATCAAGTCCGACCAACATTACATAAAGCCTTTCATGCTCATAAAGTAAGTAAATTCAATTTCACCGCCCAAATCCAAATATCATTCAAGGTCTAATCGTTATCATTAGCGAATAGCTTGGTTGACGTAGTAATGACGGTATAGAAATGCGGTAGGGATAGGCAGGATCGAGGGGTCCAATGATCTCCCTTCCCGTTGCCAAGTTTCTTCATCTTTATTCCTGCTCATGAACTCATTCCTACTTCTGCCATGAACATGTAATTTGAGGGTCATTCTTCGGGTATCCCCTTGTAAAGCAAGAGAATGACTTTCCATCCATTCTAGACCCATTTCCATCTATTATATACGAAGAGTCTCTTCATTCTAGCAGAAGAAACGCCTTCCCTATCAAAAAGTAAATAATAATAAATTCGAGCGTGATTTTGTGAAGACCTTGGAGAAATGTTGGAAAGAGTATTGTTTCGTATATAAGACAATCGAAATCGAAATCCCTCTCCGAACACACGATCGCGTGATTTGGTGTTTCAGTTCTCTTGTGAATTGCACACGACACTAGCATCGGAATGAGCTTTATCTTTGCGGGGAAGTCTGGTGTCCGATTTCCAAGGAAGGAAAAGCGCGCGGATCAACAGGTGTGACGCGTTTCAACCTCACCTAAATATCAAATTAATATCCAAATAAGAAATTTATTCTGGAAGAATACTCTCTTACCCGAACGTACTTGATCCGTTGTCTTCAAAACGTAACGCATCCCTTTACTGAAACCCCACCGACTGACCGAATTGTTCTCACTTTACCTTCTCACGAATTTCATTTCTCTCTTCAACAAACAAATCCATCATGTCGGAACCTCGCAAAACCCGCGCTGCAGCTTTGAAAGCTACGGCTTCAATGATGCCACATCTCGGCATCACCAAAAACACTGATCCCTCGACCACCAAGAAGGCCGCCAATATGAAGACTCTGAGAGCGAAGACGAATGGGATCAAAAAGCCCACCACTCGAGGAAATGCAGAGCTCACAGGCCGCAAGACATTGGCCGTGGCGAAGAAGGCAACCAAAACAGCCAAGAAGAAGAAGAAGGAAGCACGCGTGAAGGCAACGAAGAAAGCAAAGACGACTGTTCTCAAGCAAGTTGCCGATGAGGAATTGCCTCACAATGTGGGGCCCAAGGCGGCCCCTTTACCTGCAGCTACGTCCGCTGGCTCTGACAACGAAAACAAACCTCTCAGTGATGCAACTGTCACCAAACCTGCTCCAGACTTGTCTCCCAATGCCGACGCCATTGCTGATACTATTCTTGACTCCATTGTTGACCCCACCGTTAATGCCGCTTCCGCAAGCAAAGCAGCATCCAATACTCCGAAGAAACCAGCAGTCAAGAATTACGCCCTTACACCCGGTGTTACCCCTTTCCCATCTTGGCCCCACCCAACACCCGAGGAATGTGAAGAAGTTAACAAACTTCTTTCTAATGTCCATGGAGTTGTCACTGCCCCCAAAGTAATCCCACCTCCTTCTCTTACTGTTACTGGGTGTGGAGAAGTTCCATCAGTGCTCGATGCCGTCATTCGTACTCTTCTCAGCGGAGCCACCACAACCACCAACGCTAGCAGAGCATTCGAAGGTCTTGTCAAGCGTTTCGGCATTCTCAAGGAAGGGATTGGCGCTGGAAGTGTGAACTGGGACGCTGTTCGCCGAGCGTCACTGAAGGAAGTTTTCGAGGCTATCAAAAGCGGTGGGCTCGCGGATATCAAAAGCCAGCGCCTGAAGGCGATTTTAGACCTGGTCTACGAAGACAGCCGACAGCGCCTCGGCCTTGCCGCAACTGAAGATGGCTCTGCAGCCCCAGTCGACGAAGGCCTCAAGATGTCCGAAACTAATGTGGAAGCATACAATAAAACCCATGTTACTAAGTCTACTTCACTCGGTAATGATGGAGCCTGGATGTCTACTCAATCCGAAGTCACGCCCTCTGTCACGAACACGAACAGCACTGGTGACTCCAATGTCGCGGAAGGAAAGTCACAGGAATCCAAGGATCATGAAAATTTTACCCATATCTCCCCCGCCAATGATGAAGACCCAGTGCCCGCCATGAAGGCGGAGGATGATATGAAATCCAAAGTCGTCACTCCCGCAGGCTCCACTAACAAGGCACTCAAGATGCCCTCGGAATTCGATCTAGCCTGCGCGGAACAGAACATCTTGTCCCTGAATCATCTCCATAGTCTTTCTTCCGAAGACGCCATGATGGAACTAATGAAATACCCCGGCATTGGTCCCAAGACCGCAGCCTGCGTCCTCCTCTTCTGCCTCCAACGTCCCTGCTTCGCAGTCGACACCCACATCTTCCGACTCTCCAAATGGCTCGGCTGGGTTCCAGACACAAAGGTAAACGAGATAACCGCCTTCAGCCATCTAGAAGTCCGAATCCCAAACCATCTAAAGTACTCCCTCCATCAACTCTTAATTCGCCATGGAAAAGATTGTCCTCGTTGCCGCGCCGCAACCGGAGATAGAGCTGAAGGCTGGGAAGATGGATGTGTCATTGACCATCTGGTGACACGAACCGGCAAACGCAAGGGAGTCATCTCTACCAGCAAGACTGCCAAGAAGACCAAAACCAAGGCCAAGACCAAGGCAAACGCAAAGGCAGAGCTTGCATCCCAAAAGCGAAAGAAGACCACCACCCGTTCTGCTCCTGCTAAGAAGCAGAAGACCGCAGACCCGGAGGCGAGCGATGAAGAATATTCTGAGATGAGTGACAGGGCTCTTGATGATATTTCCGACTGATAGTGTCTCATTGGACTCAGTTTATTATCGATGCGCAAATTGCTTTCCTATCCAGTGCAAGCTGAGCCATACGCATTACGATGGAGTTATGGCGTTTCTTGATTTGCGTTTACGACTCTATCTTTATTTTGCCGCATGTGGCTTCCAACTCGCGGGCGCAGTTTTCCTTTTCTCTTTCTACTTTGTTTCTACGCGTTTTAAATAGGTAGGATCAACTTTGAACTTTTATGCAGTACGTCCGACTGCTTCATCATGCAGTGTAGAGTTCAAAATAACGCAAAATGAACCGTCTTTGTGTGATGATATGAACTATTCTCGTTGGAAATCCGAATCCAAATAACGTTCACTCTGCTCAGTTTCCTGTATTGATTCCCGACCTCTCGTCGGTTACAATCATCTGCCGAGTGGAGACGTCTCGTTAATTTCTGTCTTTAGAACAGAAAGTGCTACAGTGAGTCCTGAGAGTTACAGTTGAAAGTAGCGAAACTTTGGTGGAAGCTCCCATATTTTGACCGGGCGCGACATCTCTAGGAATTGCCTATATTCACGCATGGCCGCATTCTGCATTTCAAATTTGGATCTTATAGATCCTCCCATTTGAGAATCGGCTTGATAATTTTGCCGGCCTTTAAATCTTCCAATGCCTGGTCCAGCGAGTCCGTGTTATAAATCTTAGCCAGCTTATCGACTGGGAACCTGCCCTGCTTGTACCATTCGAGCAGTTGCGGGAGAAGCTGGGAAAAAATCACATGTCAGTCACAGTATCAGATCCACTAGACCGAATTTATCTCTTACCTTGACCGGGTCCGAGCATCCCTCAATTGCTCCGATCACTCGCTTACAGCTAAGCATGATTTCCAGTGGACTGATGGTAAGCGTGCCAGTGGCCGGAGCGACACCAACAAAGACCAGAGTTCCCCCATGGCCCAGTGCTGAAATAGATGATTGAAGCAAAGGCACAAAACCGGTTGTGTCAACGATATTATCGACACCGTCGGGGAACATTTCATGCAGCCCCTCTGAAAGATCGGAGACACGCTTCGTGTTCAGCGTGTGCGTGGCTCCAAGAGAGGTCGCCAGCTCGAGTTTCGAGTCGACAATATCAACAGCGACAACGGTCTCAACACCCAAAGCACGGGCAGCCATCATCGCAGCCAAGCCGACAGCACCCATTCCAAGAACAACTAATCGAGAATTGGGCTTGGGCTTGAGGACATTCAAGACGGTACCGGCACCGGTAAGATAGCCGCATCCGAGGGGAGCCAAGGCGGCAAGATCTGAATCACTGACCTTGAACTCGCTCTTCACGATCGAAGCCTCATTCACAACGGCCAGCTTACTCATTGAAGACTGACCGAAGAACTGTCCTCGAATGGGCTGGCCTCCGGGGGTAGAGATAGGCGAATCAGCGGCAGACATGCCTCGCACACCGGCGAAGTTGATCGTGGTGAAATTATGGCAGAATCCTTTGCGTCCATCCTTACAGTAGTTGCAGCTGTCGCATGTGGTAAAGCTGAGAAAAACCTGATCGCCCTCTTTCAAGGATTTATCCTTAACGGCACTACCAACTCGGCGCACAACACCTGCACCTTCATGTCCCAGGACAGCTGGATAATCGCCGACGGGAATAGCACCCTGTTGGACCACAATATCCTATATTCAGCGAGTTAGTACTATAAATAGCGAAAACGAGATATTGCCGAGGTTATCCCGAGACTATCGTAGATGCAACATACCGTGTGACATAGACCAGTATACTTCATTTCGACGAGGACTTCATTATCTCGCACTTCGTCCAGCACAACATCTTGAAGGACAAAGGGGGCATTGGGTGCTTCGACCACGAAGGCCTTTGTTTGGATGTTCTTTTCGGGAATCATAGTGAATGCATATACATTACAAGCTGAAAAGGGTAGGAAAATGTGAAAGAGTAGATGATGGGTAGTCTGCAGATACCAAATTGAAATCTGGGGATAAGTCTGGGGAAGTTGGGGAAGTTGGGGATGAACTGGAGCCTTTTAAGATGTTGAGCTCGGGCCTGAGTTCCAGAAAACAAACAGAGTTCAGATCCCCGCAGCACAGATATATGGATCCGGTTCCCCCGCACAAGCGCCTCTTCGGTGTTGAAAATCGGTAGATTGACCGGTGGAACGCTAATGAAGCTTCTCTCAGCTTCGGGTATCCAAGTATTAATGGCACCCATTGTCCGATGATCAATGTCGAGTTGGCGTCAGGGATTTGCAAGTTAGCTAGCCCTGGAGCCGACCCAGTTCATTGGTTTAAACCTCCACGGGAAAGCAAGTCGAGCTCGTTGTAGTAAGAGAAGGTTATGGCTCCAGGTGAAGAGCTCCTAAAAATGAGGGAGCAGGAAAACGTTGGAGAGGGCAAAGAAGAGAAGTCGGAATGTCATTGAGAGAACAGGATTGTCCAACAAGATGCAGGGTCATTGGCCTACAGAGTATATTAGCTTTACGGGTCAATTAGGCAGGAGTACGTGAAATTGAAGATTTTATCTTCCTAGAGTTGATCTAGGATTGACGGATTGACCCGTCCAGGCAATGAAGCCAAATACTGCTAAAGAACGAACCAAACTGATTTGATCATATTCTCTTTCCTTCACAGGTATCAATATTCCTATTTCTTGTTGTCCTGACAAAGCGGTTCAGGTTTGACCATTCGCTGGACTACGCAGTCATGGTGAGATCCCGACTTCATCTGCCACCATCAAAGCTGAGATGAGCTGCATATGCAACTCCTCGTGTCTCAGCCACCTCCATGGCGCCATTGAAATACTATCCAATCAAGTTGCCTATCTTCAAAAAATATACCCATAGTCAACCTAACTCCAGGCATACTGCCTGCCGAGTCTAGAGCCCGAAATTGCCGACCTCCTATCTGAAGTTCCGACCCCCCATCTGAAGTTCCGATCCCGCATCCGAAGAAATTAATCAGCCCACGTCCGGCTCTGTGGTTGCACTGATTCTATAATTGGATATATCCATATGTTTCTCCATCTGCCGGAAGAAATTAAAATACCAGGAATTCAGTCATGAATGCGCCCATCTTGTCCAACTTTTTGTGTGATGCAATCAACGGTAGTTAGGCCAGATTGCTGATCAGGGTTAACTTCCTCTAGACAAATCCTTGGGGCTGTCTGTTTTACTGTATCGGCAACGGGTATACCGTACCGAAACCTGTTCAAAGCCAAGTATCATGGACTCTCTTCCACGGAACGAAGCACCGATAGTACATTAGTTCCGCCTGGTCCAACCTCAACGGGTCATATGCGTCGTCCGATGGCCTATTTCTCGAAACCCACTATCGAGCGATAGCAATGGATATTTCATTGCTGATCGCCCCACGGAACTACAACCACGTGAATTATCCAATACCCGAGAATATGCCTTCCAAAAACCAAGACTTGGAAACCTTTAGTGGTGTAATGTAAGTGAGCTGGTATAGTGGCAAAAGAGAACAGCATATCTGAAGTATCATTTTTCAATAAGGCTACCGGATCGCTTATTTTATTACATATATCGGTTGAGTTGTAAAAGCTAATTAGTATAAATTAGTAATTTATACTATAATTTTGGCCCAAGAATCGAACTCGGATCAGAATATTAGAAGTGTATTAAAGATGATAATGAACCTATTAATAGACTTGTAGTTCAAGTACGTTGAGTTGTATTATATGGCCTATTAGTATAATAAATGTAATGCAATCTTAAACTTAGATCATATATTTTTGCTATCACAGCTACAAGAATATTTACAATTATAGCACTGGTACATCATAAGGGTAGACCTCACCATCACCCCCAGGACCCATAACCCGCCCCGCACCAGTCAGCCCGTTTACCGGGCCACCACCACTGCCCCTGTCAACATTGCCAACCCGCAAATGGGTCGCGTTCGGATTGGCTTTTTTAACCCGCACACGGGTTTTGTGTCCAAAGTCAAAACCCGACACGAAACCGCATGACTCGCACCCGAGTCGAAGCCGTTATACCACTCCCGGTAGAAGCGCCAGCAGCACTTTTGCAGCAGCAAACCAAAGCTTTTGCCCACATTTTTCGAATGCGGGTATCAAGGGCAAAGACGGAAAACATGTCCAAATAGGCGTAAGTAGGTTGCGTTCTGAATAAATTGGCGTTTTGGTGGTAGTATATATGCTTAAATGTAATATGTGTGGGTAGGTGAGCGACCTACCCGTGGAACACATTACTTTAGTCACCCCCACAGCAATTTATGTGGTACGCTGACGAGAGCTTTGATAACATTATCTATAGTTCTGACAAAAGTTTAGCATCACGTGATAAACATTAATCCTTATTGTATTATGAAGGTTATAGGGCATTTGGCCTTTCGGAGAATGTCGATATTGAGCACTTGTTTCACGGCAGTATTATGTTGAAATGTGGAGTGGGAAAACGGGCACGATCTAGATTTCGTCATTGAAAGACCTAGGAGAGATATAACTATACTTGAGATAATATTGACGACACCTACTTCGTATATCGGATTGCAGGTATGAGCATCCTCGGGCCAAGACATCCGGGGCCCCAAGGTGGCATGTCATTTAGAATTAGAGCGGGTTCAGGACTTCCGATTATCCGGATTCAATTATACGCATTGTGGAAACCGATTATTTGCGGGATTCTTGTAATGATTCCCGCCCCACTATCGGCTGTTGCCGAGTCTCCGGCAGGGCAGTACGGGATCTCGTGTTTCTTCGGGAAGGGTTCAATGACATCACCGCCGATTATTTACCATGTTGGATGAGATTCGTGCTAATGATACCCCGAGATATCTCTGCCTTATGAAAGGTACGCATATAGGAAGACCTCTTTGCCGGGAGATCACCGATATATAACGCAACTGAATTTCGATTTTTGAATGGTGCGCGTACTAAACCGTTCAGAATGAAGGCAATTCTTCCCCTTCTCTTCGCCTCAGCGTGTTTGGCTGTACCCTATGCCGATTACATCCATGCTCCTTCATCGAGAACCCTGATTCCACCAGTGGTCACCGGCGTGAACGGCTCCATCACAAACAAGGAATCTCTGACAGATTCCAACAACACGCGGCCCGCCGTTTTTCATGGCCAGTCGTCTATAACATTTGATTTTCAAAAGAATGTTGCCGGGATAGTGTCCATCGATATCGCTTCAGCTCCCTCCGACGCGTTCATCGGAGTGACCTTCTCCGAATCCAGCCTATACATCAGCAGCGAGGCGTGCGACGCGACGGCGGACGCCGGTTTCGATAGCCCTCTGTGGTTTTCCTGCGCAGATGGACCAGGTGTCTACACAGCAGCAGAGAAGCACAACCGCGGTGGGTTCCGGTACCTCACTCTTGTCAGCAATACCACAGCGACAGTCTCCCTGAATCGCGTGACTGTCAACTTCACAGCCGCACCGACGCAAAATTTGCGCGCGTACTCAGGCTATTTCCACTCGAACGAAGAGCTACTAAATCGGATCTGGTACGCCGGGGCATACACAAACCAATTGTCGACGATTGACCCGGCCATGGGCGATGCTCTCCCCTGGTACCAAATAATAAACAGCACGGAGACCATTTCGCCCCCGCAGACTGTATCGTGGTGGAGCAACTACACCATTTCAAATGGAAGTAGCGTGCTCAGCGATGGCGCCAAGAGAGACCGATTGATTTGGCCTGGCGATATGTCGATCTCCCTGGAGGCGATCGGCGTGAGCACGTATGATCTATACAGCGTGCGGGTGGCACTGGATCTGCTGTTTAGTTTGCAGAAGGAGGACGGCCGTCTGCCATATGCCAGCCCTCCCTACGCTGATACAATGAGCTTCACGTACCACTGCCACAGTCTGAATGGCCTTACTTTGTACTATCTGTATTCTGGCGACCAGGACTGGCTGTCCCAGCATTGGAACCAGTATAAACTGGGCATTGACTATGCGCTCTCGAGTGTCGATAGCACTGGCCTGGCCAACATCACTGCCAGTTCAGACTGGCTACGATATGGAATGGGAGGTCATGTAAGCTTCTGCCCCCCCCTCCCAGCCTTCTTTTCCATAAAGTACAAACTAATGGACCTAGAATATCGAAGCCAACTCGCTCCTCTATTATGTCCTTAACCAAGGACTAAACCTCGCAGCCATACTGAACGACACCTCCATCCAACACACCTGGACTACCACAGCAAGCAAGATAAAGGCCGCTGCAAACCAGCGCCTCTGGGACCGCAAGGCCGGACTGTTTCGTGACAACGAGACCACGACCCTCCATCCCCAAGATGGCAACGTCTGGGCCGTGAAGTCCAACTTAACCCAGTCATCTTCCCAAGCCCGCCAAATATCACAGTCACTGCGCGCCCGCTGGGGTAAATACGGTGCGCCCGCACCGGAGGCCGGACGTACTGTATCACCCTTCATCAGTGGCTTTGAACTGCAGACGCATTACATGGCTGGAAATCCCGACTCAGCGTTGGACCTGCTCCGTCTGGAATGGGGATTCATGATGGACGACCCGCGCATGACCAACTCAACCTTCATCGAGGGCTACTCGTCCGACGGTTCACTACACTACGCGCCGTACACTAACGACCCGCGCGTATCGCACTCGCATGGCTGGTCAACCGGCCCAACCTCCGTTCTAATGAACTACGCTGCAGGGCTCCGGTTGAAGTCTGCCGCAGGAGCGACTTGGTTGATTGCTCCACAGCCTGGCAATCTGACGTTCGTCGACGCGGGATTCGCCACGAAGCTCGGTGCCTTTACCATTGCTTTTGAGACGCGCAATGGTACGTACAATCATCTGCGCTTCAGCACCCCTGTTGGGACGACGGGGGATTTCATTCTGCCGGGGGTGAAAGGGACTTTAATAAGCACCAATGGGACCAGGGTTGCGCTTAATGGCGGTGTAGTCAGTGGGCTGAAGGGAGGAAATTGGACTATCGTTCCAGGGAACTCAGCCAAGATGGGAAAAAGAGATTGATAGAATAGGTCTGGCTTGGCATACTTCTCATACGTGCAGTGGAAGAGAATTAAACACTACCGTCTGTTGATCTCTCTCGATCCTTCTTGAGAAGAGAATCAGTCTTTCCATATATAAAATACCGAGTGGCTTATTATGCACTAGTATTATACACGAGCTAGTTGCACGAAGCCACATTTGGAACCCTTGTCATGTTCAAACTTGGGAAACCAAACCTTCTCCTTCGAGACACTTTGATACAATCTTCTTAGCCTTGGAACCATCATACAAGATAGAAGGCAAAGCGTGGATTTACTGTAAGGTCAAACAAAAGGAGCCCGTCTTCATGTTCTGTGCATGTTCCGCTACCCTGCAAATATGAAATTTCTCGCAGACCTTTCAAATTATCCCTCGGTCAACAGTACTCACGACTGCCTGAAGTTAACGATAATTTCGGTGTTAACGGGAAAAGTCCATTGCACTGTCGATGATGAGCTTCAGAGCATCGGTACGCCAATCGTCATTCTCAACAAAGCTAGTCGTATTTCCATCGAAAACCATGTTCTTTGGGGCATCAAGGGCATACTGTGGCCAGATTGTTTTGAATGATTCGACTAAATGGAAATCTGAGTGTTAGCAAAACAAACATCCTGGTATCAGCGAAAGCACTCACTTTTGTGATGATTGGGACTGTGCGTGCCAGCAAAGCTCATCCACATTCTACTCATAAGTTGACCCAGTTCTTCATATCTCTTCTCACGAGCCAAAGGCGTGACATTGTAGACACTTTCATCCAAACCAGTCCCAATAACATCATCAAAGACAAAGTATATATCTTGGTAATGAGTTGCGCCGTAGGTTACCGGATCGACCGTGCCAGGAATAGTGTTGAAACGGTAGCTATAGCATGGCACACCATTATTTGTCCAGACTTCACAGGTGTACCGCCGCCCGGCAATGAACATGAGGTCGCCCGTGTATCTGGCCACACGCATGAATTGGGCTCCATATGGCGAAGGAGGGGTAATCGTATCATCTGACTGTCCATGGGTTGAGTTTGAACCAGGGTAAGGGTAAGCCTCCATAAGGAGGTCCACAGTTTGGTTGTTTGACGTGTAGGTGTAAGGATATTGCTCAATATACGCTCTGAATTCTTCACTTGTATTGACACCCGTACCAGAAAAGATCTTCCCTTCGTCTGTGTTGGCTCCAATCAAGAGCGGAACTTTGACAAACTTGTTATTGGCAAGAGCAACCGAGTTATACTCAGGCACGAGCATGCCATCGACAGTTGGTAGGAAAGGGAATTCATCCGCGAGTGCTGAGAAGGTAGTATTCAAGACATCGAAGGGGGCAGTACGAAGGCATGAGAGTGTGTCGTGAGCATCTGTACAATTGGTCGCCGCCAAGACAGATTGGTATGTTGCTTCATTCGTCTCACTTGAATGGTAAGTACCGAAATACCATGGTCCGCCACTTTCACAAATTGCGGCCTGAAAGAGACCATCATCGCGCCCACCATAAGCTAACAGATGATAGCCTACGGAGATGGCACCAACGGACTCTCCTTGGATGGTAACTTTCTTAGAGTCACCTCCGAACGCCCCAATGTTTTCTTGAATCCATGATAGCGCGAGTCTTTGGTCACGCAATGCAAGATTCAATAATCCTTGCCCTCTGACTTCGTCTCCGGGCAAGAAACCGAATCCCTGAAGGCGATAGTTGAAAGTAACCATGATTGTTGGCTGTTCCATTTTGACAGAGTTTTGGACCATGAATGAAGTATTATAACGACCATCAGAGGAACCGCCCTCTTGATAGCCCCCTCCATGGATGAAAGCCAAGACCGGAATTTTTGACTCGCTAGTGGTCCCAGCAGGTCTCACAACGTTGACGGTGAGACAGTCCTCGCTTTGCGGGTAGGTAATGTCTTTGGGGTCCAAGATGATAGGGAGAAGGTAATTGACGCACATAGGGCCATAGTCCGTTGCATTCAGGGGAGCATCCCATGTCTGGTTCAGAGGCTGCGGCAAATTGAAACGCAAATCTCCCATGGGTGGCTGCGCATATGGAATGCCCAAGAACTGGTCCTGCCCATAGGACTCAACATGTTTCCCAACAATTGTTCCATTCTTGATGTGAACAGCTGGGTCCTCAGAATGTGTAGTGGGATGAGCGAGGGCGCTGGAAGTGGCCAGAAAAAAAGCGGTGGCACTCAGTACAGAATACATGTTGAATCAAGCACAGAATGCCCAATTGGCAGATCTCAATGAATGTGGAGACTTCAGATAGTATAGACAGGATAGGCATGCCATCTCTTATAGACAGCATGTAGACTTTGACATGGGCTGGCCCATTGGGCTGACCGCTTGTCGAAGGCCCAACATAAGCCGGCCCATTTCTGCTCTGTTATTTACCCGTGTTTTGGTAACAACACGGGTAAATACTTTATTACTTTATTAGCTGTTTATAGCTAAAAGGGTAGGGTGTAATAATCTTAAAGATTCTCGAGTCCAACTGCTTTGTCCCATCTTTCAAGGCGTAACCTGTGGGCTTTCAACTGGGCGGATAGACTCCGTGAATCGCTTCCAAAATCTTTCCAGGAGTCGACTTTTTCCAGAACATCCAGACAAGTACTGAACAAACCAGCAAGTCCTATGATGCCGACCGCAAAGCTCACTGGTTCCATTGCTTTTTATGGGTTGATTTGATGCAAAGTAGATTGATAGAATGCAATATGAGATGACACGAGATGACACGGAAAAGATAGAGTTTAAAAGATGAGATCAGCTTACGCGATGACAGTGTTTCGGCAGTAGCTAAGAACCGACGGCTTGGTGCGGGGCAACCCGCATAGCCCCCACGAAGCCAGCTCATCACATCCCGAAATGCATTATGCGGCTTAGCGTGAATCGTGATCGGCAGGAATTCAGGTTGCATGTCGATAAATCTGAATATGGATATGCAGGGCAAGTTTAGTTGACGACTTTCAGCGTGGGTTCAAGATGAGCGTTATTTAGATCGGGTTAGGGTATATACTTTATGTAGGGAATATCCTTATATAGTCTGAGAATCTGACGTCTATTGATATGGGATTCGCCATGAAACTCGGTGCCTTTAGCATTACTTTTAAGATATGCAATAGTACGTATAATCATCTGCGCTTCAGCACCCCTATTGGGACGATAGGAGATTTCATTCTACCAGGGGTGAACGGGACTTTGATAGGGGCCAATAGGACTAGGGTTACACTTAATAGCGGTATGTTTAGTAGGCTAAGGGAGGGGGGGGGGGAATTGGACTTTCGTTCCAGAGAAGTTAGCCAAGATAGGAAAAAAGGATTAGTAAAATAGGTCTAGCTTAGGATAGTCCTCATATATGCAGGGACAGAGAGTAGAAACTACCGTCTATTAATCTCTCTCGATTATCCACAGCGGTATCGCATCACCTCAGAATAGGCCATAGATCAATGTATTCGAATAGCAGGGTCACGTTCACAAAGCGGAAATTCAAAACCATAATAACCTAGGCTCTAAGGGGGGCTCAAGCTTATAGGACCCTATCGACTCATTAGTAACACATAGGCCAGGAAGAAATCACAATTTGAAACAGCCCCAGTGTTCTGACCGTGGAATTAGAGGAAATAAACGTACTGTCTGTCTAAATAGGCGTAAATAGTTTATGTCCTGAATTAACCGGCGTTTCGGTGGAATATGTGCGTTGAAAAGTGAATGGATGGTCTAGACAAAGAATTATCAAATCCTCTGCAATACACACATCACTTAAATGCTGTCTCCTAGGTTATGGGATGTGTAAATCCAAAACGCGATGATAGCACACGACATATTCCATTTTTACTCAAACAATATCGTTCTCTGAAAGCACCTCAGGTTCTTGCAGGGTTATCTCATGGTCAGGATCCAGGCATTGGGCACCAAGCTCAAAGCACTCTACACAGATATCAAAGTCATTACAGGTTGAGCATCGGTGATATGAATCTCCAATTACCATATATCGAACGCATGAATCGCAAAATCTAGTTGTCCTGTCAGAGCTCACGGAAGAAATTTTCATTTCCAATTCCGCCTTCGGTATCTCAACACCTTTGCTCTCGGCATGTTGAAGCAAGATTTTAACAACTTCACTGCTTCCACTTCTCTTGGCCCACCAAAACAAACTTTTGCCCAGGTTGTCTTTGGTAGTGACTGTAAGTCTTGATACGAGAATCAACTGGAGAACCACCTCAGAATGTCCATTTTTGACGGCTGTGAATAACGGTGTTGAGCCCCAAGTATCAGGAAGATCTACCAGAGAGATATAGTTGGCAAGGAAAAGCCGAACGACATCCTTTTGGCCATGCGAAGCAGCAAAAAACAGTGCTGTGCGGCCCCATCTATTCGAAGCTTGAAATTTTGCACCATTATCCAGAAGCAGCTTGACTAAATCAAGATGGCCTTCAGCAGACGCGGTGATAAGTGCATTCCACCCAGTAGGGTCATTGGCCGTAATATCTGCACCAGCATCAAGAAGTAGCCTAACCACTTCAAGGTGACCGTTGCGACAGGCGGTGTTCAGTGCGGTCGTCCCATAGTTGGTAGCAGCTTCGATATCTGCACCAGTATCAAGAAGTAGCCTAACTACTTCAAGATTACCGTTAGAGCAAGCAGTGATCAGTGCATTCCACCCAGTGGGGTCAGCAGCTTCGACATCTGCACCAGCATCAAGAAGTAGCCTAACCACTTCAAGTTGACCATTACGACAAGCGGTGCTCAGTGCGGTTTTTCCATAGTTGGTAGCGGCTTCGATATCTGCACCAGTATCAAGAAGTAGCCTGACTACTTCAAGATAACCACTACGACAAGCGGTGATCAGTGCGGTCGTCCCATAGTTAGTAGCAGCTTCGATATCTGCGCCAGTATCAAGAAGTAGTCTAACCATTTCAAGATGGCCTAGAGCACAGCCCCAATATAGCACATTCAACCCATACTTATCAGTAGCTTCGATATCTACACCAGTATCAAGAAGTAGCCTAACTACTTCAAGATGGCCGTTACAACAAGCGATGATCAGTGCGGTCGTCCCATCGTTGGTAGCAACTTCGATATTGACACCAGTATCAAGCAGTAGCCTAACTACTTCAAGATGACCGTTGCGACAGGCGGTGTTCAGTGCGGTCGTCCCATCATCTTTGGTAGCAGCTGAAATATCTGCACCAGTGTCAAGAAGTAGCCTAACTACTTCAAGATGGCCGTTACAACAAGCGGTGATCAGTGCAGTCGTCCCATCGTTGGTAGCAGCTTCGATATTTGCACCATTACCAAGAAATAGCTTCGCCATTTCAAGATGGCCCTGACGACAGGTGATGATCAGCGCGGTCGTCCCATCGTTGGTAGTAGCGTGAATATCTGCACCAGCATCAAGAAGAAGCCTCATAACTTCGAGATAGCCTCCATTACAGGCAAAATGCAGTGCATTCCAACCATCATCTTCGGCAGATTCAATGTCTGCGCCATTTTCAAGAAGGAGCTTGACTATCTCAAGGTTTCCAATAGCGAAGGATATCAGTATTTGCCCTTTATTCGTTGCATTTTCAACGTCAGCTCCAGCTCTGAGTAACATTTTTGCAATTTCCAGCTGTCCCTCTGAGCAAGCTACCCCCAAAGCAGTAAGCCCCCCGATCCCCTTGTCTTCAACGCCATCGTTGCTGATGCGGAGAAAGCTCTGAACAACATCATGCATTCCAAGGTATGCTGCATACCACCCGGGACCGGCAGAAGTAGGAAGGGGGTTGGCATCATTTTCCATTTCCCTGTTGCCATCCGTATAATTGGAGTCAAACCATTCCTTCCAGGCTCTCCAGGTTGGATTTTCCTCGTCAAAGAAATTGTGGATGAGTTTTGTCAGCTGAGCATCCTTTGTGTCCTCTACCGTGTGTTGCTGCCATGACTCAGCTGCGTAGTTTCGAAAGTAGCTTAGAAGCTGGTATTCCTCAGTCATAGATTCCCAGACTGCTTGACAATTCAAATATCGAAGGCACATCTTTCCTAACAGAATGCTTTGGATTCCGTCCACTGAGAATTGCGATATGGGATCGAGTCGCAAATTTTGGCTTGGAGTTGGAACATAGAGCACCTGTAGCAGGTATTCTTTGACGGAGAAATGTGCTAGATGAATGGATTTCACGCCAGCAGAACATCCTGACTGGGGCATTCGAATCTCGAGTAGGGAGTTGCAGTCTTTCAGAATCTCAATCTCTATATAGTCTTCGTCTATCTCATCAGGTATCTCATCCAGGAGGACTTCGTCGTTGTCCTCGGCGACAAGTAGAGCTCCGACCATCTCGTTCACTGTCAGAGGCCTCACAGCAAACGCAGTCCATCGAAGTATATTGATAGAGCGCGCTCGGTATTCATCAGATAGCTGTGATATTCTCTTCCAGTTACGCTGGTAGGCGTCCTCAAGCCCTACCGGAGTAGAGTTGATGATTCTCTGCAGTGCTTTTTGATTTGCTGTGCTTCGAAGATCGTTCTCCTGTAACTTAATCCAGAGGAATTGACCATTGCAGCGTTCAGACAGCTGCTGTGATATGTCTTGCCTGATTGTCTCGGTCTTCTTTGCAAGTTTTCTGTCGACTACCGACCGAGAGTATATTTCAATATCAGCCTGGACATCATCAGGGGTAATTTTATGTTGCGTAAAAAAGATACCTTCCATTTCGGAAAAGCAGCTTCGGATTTCGGGCTCATCGCGGCTGACAATCAACAGACGAGTTGGTGTTCCGGCAGTGGCGCGTCTGATAGTATTGAGAAAGCCAGCAATGGAATCCTCCTGATGCTCAGCCCTTCGAATACACTCATCCAGACCATCCAGAGTGAAGGTACATCCTGGGACTGCTCTTGCAACATCACGTAGGAGATTGGTTATTTCGTGACGTGTCGCCTTGACTCCTTGTTGGGCAGACCAGAGCTCATGAATTAGGCCATATGCCGTCGGGTGAGAAATCATCTGAGAAAGCCAGTTTCTGATGGCCACAAAATGATCTTCTCTCTCAAGATCGGTCGAAAAGAAAAAATTGCAAGTGGGCTGACTCAGAGCAGAAGACAAATAATCAACTACTCTGGCACATAAAATAGATTTGCCGAAGCCTGCTGGGGCATTCAGCCACAGGACCTTAGGACGATTTGATGAAAGATCTGATGACTGCCAATCATGAAACCAAGGGGCGCTAAGAATCCATTCGCATGTTCCATTAATCCTCCTTTCTGTAGAGCGCTCATATGTTTCGTTTGGTAAGTGTCCACCCAATAACCACGTACGCATGTCACGCATTGTCTCCGCTGTTCTTATTAATTTTAACGCGAAATTTTCGATGGATTAGGTAAACCTACCTTCCATCTCACTCTGGATCTTGCTCACAATATCCACGAGCTGTGCATTGAAAGCCACACGGTCAAAACTTTCCCCTGAATTGTATATCAGACCCAAGTCACAAAAGCTACCGTGCTTATATGCGTACCGTCTTGATTCTCCATGAAGCCATTGAAGCCTCTTTCTCCCCCGACTGGAACCAGGCTGTATAGGATGTCGACGAGGGCTGCAAAGTTTCCGACCTGATTGACTCTTTTCGCTCTATCTCTCAATGCCCAGTTCAGTTTCTGCATTTTTGGCCCCTTCGGGATATCCAAACGAGTATGTCTCCGGGGTAATACATGTTTCCCGGTTGTGTCTGGTGTGAATTGGGATGGGGAAAATACATCATCCTTGATATGGCACACGTCTTTCACGACTGTGAGGAGGTCCTTGACTGCAGACAGAACGTGCGGGTCATCCAAAGTCTTATCATGCACATCAGAAACACCTCCGTTCTCGAATCCAACTGCTTTGCCCCATCTTTCAAGACGTAATTTATGGGCCTTGAACTGGGCAGACAGATTCTGTGAATCGCTTCCAAAGTCTTTCCGAGAGTCGACTTTGTCCAGAACATCCAGACAAGTACTGAACAAACCAGCAAGTCCTATGATGCCGACCGCAAAGCTCACGGGTTCCATTGCTCTTTCTATTGTGATTTGATGCAAAGTGGATTGATAGAATGCAATATGAGATGATAAGAAAAAGATCAGGGTTTGAAATGAGAGCACTGGCCCTGTTCAGCTTACGCGGTGACAGTGTTTGGGCAGCAGCTAAGAGGTCGAGGGCTTGGTGCGGGGCAACCTGCATAGCCCCCACGAAGCCAGCACATCACATCTCGATATGCATTATGTGGCTTAGCATTAATCGTGATCGGCGGGAATAAGCGTGGATATGGATATTTATAGGGCAAATTCTGTTGTCAACCTTCAGCGTAGTGTTATCAAGATGAGGATGAGTTGGGTCGGGCCAGAACATGTATTTCTGTGGTGTGGGGTAATATCCTCATTCAGTCTGAGAATCCGACTTTTATTTATCCCTTCAGCAGGAATGCGCTTCCAGGGATCCAAGGATGGTATCCATCCACAGCCACCAGCATCGCACTTGTTTCCTGATCATTGCCTGATACGTAGTTCAGGCATTAATTCAAGTATATCTGGTGAGAAATACACAAACATGAGCCAGCATTTTCAAAAGAACAGAAGGAGCAGAAGACCTATGTTCTTACAAACATATCCTAGTTCTCAACCTCCACAACCAACTTTGTACAACTCACACCTCGAGCCAATTGATCCAATCCTAGATTTATAGCTCCCAGCCCTTTTCCAACAATTGTCGGCTCCGGGCTCGGCCTAATTTTTCCCTTCTCTAAGTTATCTCTCATCCACGTCCCAATCCAATATCGGAACTGCTCCAGTCTCTCCCCTTCTACCATCGACGGCATCACAAATATTGTCTCTAATCCATCCACTACCTGCGCATTCGGAGGAATCGGAGGCGCTGACACGAGTTTCGCCGCTATGGTCTTCTTCTCTCCTTGATCTCCCACAATGAATGCCTTAAGCACAGCTTGGCACGATTTCAGCTGCCCTGTTGCAAGAAAGCAATGCCGGATCACTAATCTGTCCTGTTTGGCTGCCGCAACAATCAAACTGACAACATGTGGGTCTTTGTAGTCGAATAAACGATCTGCGCCTAGTGAAGCCACATAGTCCTCATTCGCAGATCCCGCTGTCGCATACACGGCTGCAAAAGAAGATTTGTGATCGTCACGCAACAGCCGAGCTGTTTGAACGCCCATGCTTCCGACGCTAGAGGATGCACCCCAGACAAGGAGAGCTTCGGTTTTCGTGCCAGTCGGGCTAGCTGGAGCAGAAGCAGTGGCTTCTTCTAACCTTGGAATCCCCATCATATCCCACACGTTCAGAGGTACCGCCACAGAAACGGGCAAGGTTGCTGCATGGTTCCAAGAAATGCCCTTGTCTGGAATGGGAACAGCATGCTGCCAGGGGACGAGACAGCGCTCTTGAAATGCCCCGTAGTCTGGATCGCAGGATCTCCAGGCGGAGGCTGAGTATGCAACGACGCGGGTGCCCGGCCGGTAGAAGGGGCAGTCGTCATTGTCGTTGTCATTAGTGGCTACGTTCTCGCCGACCTCGAGGACTACGCCCGCCAAATCGAAGCCGATGACTGTGGGGTATGTGGGTATGAAGAGGCCTGTGTCACGCATGACTATGTCTGCCGGGTTGAGGGCCACTGATTTGATCGCGATGAGAATCTCCCCTGGGCCTGGCTTTGGCGTTGGGCGGTGTTGAAGTACAAAGGGTTCCCCTTTGGCTGGAGAGATAGCGGCGAGGTGAGTGGCCATTTGGAATTGTGTTCAAGTATAAAGGTAATATGGTATGCCAAGGTCTGACGATATATCCTGATTTTTTACATCTGGAACTGCTGAATAGCCTTTCCTTTAATAACTTTCAACCAGGCGCTCAAACTAATTATTCTTCCATCTAGTGACGTCTCATCTGATGCAATTTGTGGATGGTTAGATGCCAAAGAGAATACGCAGCCAATCAGAGATGTTTGCATCCGACGAATGGTTAGCGTATTCCTAAAAGGGATTAGCGTACGGGTCCCGATTATTGGAGTTGTCAGATCCACGACTCCACATGCTGACCTCCTTCCTTATTACATTCATTTTGAGATCAGAAAAATCCCTCATAAGATGCTGTGTAAGTGATTGAAAAATGGAAAAATCATGTCGAATTATCAAAAAGAAGACCACAAACAAAAAACTGCGCGGCGATCAAGATTCGGCTGCCGGAATTGCAAGCTCAGGAAAGTGAAGGTAGGTGGCTCTTGGCTTTTATAGATTTGCGCTCGACTGAACCAATCTCCCGATCCTTCAGTGTGACGAACACAAGCCCAGCTGCAAGCGATGTAATTCATTCGGAGTATTATGCAATTTCAAATCTAATATCCAAGACCTGCAACCCATCGCCAGACCATTGCCCGTTCAAGAAAAAGTGGAGATTGAACCCGTTGTCAGCAGTGCTGTCTGGACATGCGACGATTCCACAATCTACCAACTGAGCGCCAAATGTCAAGATTTTATCTCCCGGTATTATGGACGAAGTCTCACTATACCCGATGACCCGAATGCGATACACGTCAATCGCAAACTCCTCAATCTGGCCTTCGCTGTGAGTATTATATTGGTTCTGTGACCAGAAAGTCTCAAAGAGCGAGCTTAATTGTGGATCTACACTCGACTAAGACATGCCTCCTAGTACCCTTTTTTAATGCACGCCTCTCTAGCGGTAGCATATACATACGACCGCTATCTGAACGGCTCACCAGGATGTCGCCGCAGTATAGAAGAATGCTATCACTGGTCTCAAAGCACGACACTTCTCAACAAACGCTTGGGAGAACCGATTAAAGAGAACGACAAGGATCCAATCTGGGGCACTGCAGCTGCGTTGGCCGTCTTGACCTTCTCGTCCCCCGACGCATGCACAGCGGAAGATTCATGGCCTTTAATCTCCTCTGCAACATTTGATTTGGACTGGCTACGTATGAGCAGGGGCAAAATGGCACTCTGGCATGTGGTGAATCCACTTCGACAAGAGAGTATTTTCTCCATCATGGCGGGAACATATGCTGACATGCATTCGCCTTTGCCTGAGAGGGGGACTGATGGTATACTAAAACCCTTGACTGGTATATGTCTCCTCGATGATTCATCGACAGCAAAAAACAATCCATATTTCAATGCCGCCCACGGATTATCTCACATTTTGAACACCCCGGATAGCAAGATCACAACAGGTCAAACTCAACTGTTCACTGGTAGTATCCATGGCGAATTTGAAATCTTGCTTCGGAAAAGGGACCCTGTGGCCCTATTGCTGCTGTATCTGTGGTACCGCAAAGCATGCCGCAGTATATGGTGGATTGAGCTCAGAGCTCGAGTGGAATGTCCCTCTATTTGCGCGTACCTGCGACTATGTCACAAAGGAAATGTTGCAGTACAGGCATTCCTTCCGGATGGTGCTCTTGCAGATAGATGGAACACAATAATCTAGTTGCCAGCCTTCAACTTCTTTCTTCTGCAGCTATGGCGTTAATGCTATGTGCCATATCGTCGAAGGCAGCGTACCGCCATATTAGCTTCATAAATTATGCAGCTTTGAAAGAGAGCCCCAATTGTCTCCAATGAACATTGGAGATTTTGTACCATGCGGAATGAGCGTACGCCAGAGTTCAGCCCAGCGATTCGGTCACAATTTTCGGGGCTGGCCCGGTTGGTCTCTTAGCTGCATTCTCTGCCATACTCCGCGGAGCCTCCAAAGTGTACTCCATTAATCATCTTTCAATGCGATTGGAGCGTGCGGCGTCAATAGGCACGATTTCGGTTAATTTCGCCGAGGTTGACCTAGTCCAGCAGATTATGGCCCTGGAGCCCACTGTGGTCACTCGAGCTATGGACTGAATTGGAATGGAATTTTTCAATAGGGAGGGCAAGATTGATGAAAACGTCATGCTGGGAAATATGATCCGGGTGGTTTCATCACAGGGCAGGATTGGGCAGATCGGTGTTTTCATGACTCAACCCAGTTCACCTGGTGCACCGCTTGGAGATACTCTTTCCGAATGTCTCGTTTCGGATCACGGATTTCTTTGGGAAGCATCTGCGATATGAAGCTGGGGTTGTGGATCCAAAGCTTGTGGCTCCTGAGCTCGTGCAGCTCATAGCGTCGGGTCGCGCAAGTCCTGGTTTCATCACGAGTAAGGTAATCATTATTAAAGAGGCGCCGCGCCAACATACTATCAGCGTTTCGACGGTCATGAAGAGATCAAGGTGTACATACACTTTCCATAAAGTCAAGATGTGCAACATGCATGATACTTTCCAATACAGTAAACGCGGATGATTTGGTTCATGACAATTCTGTGCTCCGGGTGTTCATCCTAATTTTAATTTTTAATTGAAGGCACCACCCTCCTCTGCTTTATGTAAGCAACAGGCAAGATGGCCGAGTTGGTCCAAGGCGTACGGTTCAGGTTCACCTGATCCAGATTTCCGTATCTCGTTTTCGGGGCGTGGGTTCAAATCCCACTCTTGTCAATTTTTTTTGGATTTGTACCACTCCCTTCCCATGGACTTTCTTCCGCGCTGTGGGGCCGACATTAAAATACAACGTACAAAATTCGAAATCGGATATCTCGAAATCTTTATTATTTCCTTTCCAAATCTTGACCATTCTTGTGGATCGCATTACATATTCATATGACTAATCCTGAGTTTCCTGGAAGCCGAGCAAGGAAGTTGTTGAGCCTAGTATAAAACTACTAGGCTGTTGTTGTAAAGGTTCCTAGCAATATTTTGTTTCCCGAGGATCATTCTAGTAGTCATGTGCAGGATAGAGAAGCTTGTGTCTTGTAGACTGTGGATGAGCAAAACTAGGCTTACTAGAAACTATTCTCGTTACATTTCATTCACTGTTTTGATGTCCAAATCGAAGGGTTCTTGGTCTTTTAGTAAAGTCAAATAGGTTGAAAGCGAGACATCATTTGATATAGAATATTTTATTCGAGGTCATGTTACCGGATTGAGACATGAATGGTCAGACGGGACACACCAAAGCAGGGTGATCAGGCAATGAACAACAGGGAATGTTGGGAGGTACATATTTCCAAGGAGTGCCCGGTGCCCCTGTTGTTCCTCCGGATACTGAGGGCCGTCGCTGCAACGGGGTTGGCCCCTCCAGGTCAACTACGGCACATCAGCTGGCAAAATAACGTATTGATCCCCTGTCAACACCACGGACGAAGGCATGTAAGTCGCAAAAAGCCATGGCAATCTTCAATTGACATTTCAAGTCTTCCCAGATTGTCTTACGTTGTGCTTCTGATTACCCAATTATACCAACATGTGGATTCGAAAGTTTGGAAAGAGTAGTCATGGCGGACACGGTGTAAAGCCAGACCACCCTGATCTACGAGATGGCTGTATTTCTGACATATTATGGAAGTCGATTTAGTACAACCACAGGGTAAAAAATCGAAAGAGGCCGGTCACGAATCCAAGGAGCTTATCCAGGTACGTAGCAAGAAAGAGAATGAAATAAGCTCATCTATACTGATCCACGGAGTTCTACGAAGGATTACTAATAGATATTCGAACCTGGGAAACATTGAATGTTTTGGCCCCTTCCTCCCCGCCATTTGCCCCCACCAGGATTGATTATCAATCATACACCTCAAGCGGTCAGGAACAATCAGGGGTATTTAAATGAGTTCCTGGCCTGCAGATATGTTGCCATAATTCTTAATTCTTGCTCATCTTAATTACCAAAGCTCTCCAACACTTTACAACTTTGGAACCTTGGAACGAACCTCCTAATTTCATATATCTCAATTGCTACCCACAATGTCTTCTTCACTCTACGACACATCTATTCTCCCCGCCAAGAACGCCCTCACCGCTCTTGCCCACATCATCCGCAAAGGCGAGGAGCATTCCAATGGCGCCAACTTCCTCACTGCCGCCCTCATTGATGACATGAAGCCATTGAGCTTCCAGATCTTGTTTTCTGTCTCCCTTGCCGAGAAATTGGTCGCCAGAACGAGCGGTACTCCGGTCCCAGATTCCCCCACCGAAGTCTCGTCGTTCGCTGAGGCCCACGCACTCATTGAGAAGGCTCTCAAGGCTCTCAACGACGCTGATAAGACCACCATCGACAACAACGCGGAGAAAATGGTCGAGGTTGGTATGGGACCTGGAGTCAACATCCCCATGCGTACGGACAGCTATGCCAGTGCCTACAGCCTCCCTAATATCTACTTCCATGTTATGACTGCCTATGCCATCCTGCGAAAGGAGGGCGTACCCCTTGGCAAGATGGATTACCTCAGTACTTTCATTGGACCTTACCTCCCTCAGAAGGAGTGAGGCAATGGGGACAGTTGGTGATATATATAATTCAGTAGGGAAGGAACTACTACGGGAGACGAGAATTGAACTCAATGAAATGATAAAAAGCAGTTAAAAGTCCTCCATTGGTGGTTTTGGTTGTAAATCGTAGGCTAAGATGACAATATTTATTTTCTTCCCTACAATGCGAGTTTGTACTTTCATGATAGATATATTCGAAAACCGGAAGGCCCACACTGTCTTCCACAATGTAGTATGATTGGCTAGAGACTAGCGAGCCATGGGCAGTCTCCTATTGGATAAATATTTTCGAAGCCCCACCTATCGCCCAATCGGCTCTAGCGTAGACTAGCTTTTCATTGCTATAAAAGGCAGTCGTCGCCCCGGCCCAGGAAGGTTTTCTTTTTCTTTCTTCATCATCAGTAGAGGTTTTACATAACAATGTAAAATTTTTATAACCAGGGCTCCATACGTGGCTTGCTGAGGGTTGTCTTGTGGTTTATACACGCATAGGCTTTCTTCCGTTCCCGGCTCTGCAGAGTAATGGTCTCCCTTTATCCCAAACAATTATGGCTGAGCTAGGGTTCCCTCACGGGAGCTCCATGCGCTTATGCTGTGGAGGGGGCACGACATCCCAATTTCTCAAAACAACTCTTTTTCAAGAGTCTGCTTAGATTTGACTCGTAATTTTGGCATTGAATATGGACCCCGCGTTATAAAGCTTTCGCGTCATGCTGAGCTAGTTCTAAGCGACTTGATAAAACCTCAAAACTCCTCTGCTTGGTGGGTTTGATTTTTATCCCTAAATTCTCTGTCACTTGATGTGGCTGGAGCACCCGTGTGCAGGGCAAATATAATTGTCGCACCAGCTTGGAAATAACGGCATGCATTTGACTGGCATGGCCGCCAAGTGAATCGTTCAAAAACGGGTGGCTACAGGCGTGCTGAAGGGTGGGTCCTGTTTGGCCTTGATCAGCTGCTTTTTTCTCAAAATGAAGTCGAAACGAGCTCTCTCCAGTCTTTGGAAGGTCCCGGGAGTTGAGGTAATAAAGAAATCTGCCCAGAAAGCAGGATCATTTCTCTTTCCAGGCATTATAATATGCACATAATCCGCCGATGGGCCAATTAGTACTGCATCTTTCTTTCTCTTCATTTCCTCGGTATCGATTCTACGGTCTCATTCTGAGATGCTTAATTTGCTATTGAGATAACGGAATGATAAGACTGTAAATTTGACGGAGAAATGCAATTGTGAAAAATCTCGCTTCGTGATCAATAAACAATTTTTGACAATTGCCCATCCAGACTATGTGGTGCTCAATCTCTGTTAAAACCAGAGTTCAAATGACATCTCTTGATTCTGGCACAAATTAAATCACAAGGAGATGCGAGCTGTAGGAGCTCCAATGAGATTTTGAGGGGGGAGGATATCCTCCATTCATGGAAATAAAGTCCGTGATAAAATGGTATAGGCATGGTACCACATGGAGACTCATGCAGGAAGCCCTAGACATTATCCTTAGCATCCACGGAGCTTCGTTACCCTTGACAGTGTCAGAATATTCCAGTGCTTGATTTTGTCTGGAAAACGTCCACAAGCTTGGTGAGTAGAATGGATAGTGGGTACTCTTTTCGACTGAATCACCATCAATCTGAGGTCTATGCTCTTAGACAACATTAGTAGTCATTCCTGACATTCCTTTGGATTCATTTCCAGCGCTTGTTCAGCAGTAGATGATCTGCCGTCCCAACAGCGTAGTATGATCTCACCAGGGGCAATCATAGTCACTTTGGGGATTCTTGGCATTTGAAGCGCCTTTCAATTTTAACGTCGACTACTCTGAGTTTTTGCCGTCTATGATGCCTTGATAATGTTGTGGTCATTTGATTCAAGAACATTCAGCTCACTATATGGAGCTTTTCCAGAAACTAGTACGTAGAGGGTAGAACTCATTATACTTTAATGGCGTGGAACTGTGCTGGGCCTGGAACAAGAAGAATTTGTCGGTTGAATTGAGTAGAAGTCTCGCCAATGTCATCGAATTGATCACTACAGAAGATGCATAATTGTATTCATATGTCAGAAGACCATTTCTATCGGCATGCATGATCTTGTCGCAAGAATAGAAACTTATACTTACAGTACCATGAGACTCGTACATATCTTGAATACCCGATAGAGTCGCTTCTTTCTTCGTTTTTTAGAGAATTTATCCTCATCGAAAGATCTCAGTATGACCATGAGGTGTGGTGAAATGCGGAGAACATGACCTGATACAATCCCCGGCCGGAGGACCTGTTGAGAGGTCAATATTGCTGTCCGATTAGGACAATAATGGCTACTGTGTGTTTAGCTTGATGCCAGCGGTATATGGCAAAATATATATTCTGAAGGAAAGAGGAAGGAAGAGAAGAGGGAGAGAGATAGAGAGAGGTAGAGAAAGTAAACAGATTGGGTCACCTGACCCCATACTCGAGTGGGGGTGTGGGGCGCCTTAGGCACACATCCTAATCTATTACTATGCACTCGGCCCTTTCCCCTCCGTATCCCTTCCTTACATGGGACCCGGATGCGATCCGAAGCCGGATTGAAGTGTCAAAGCGATCGCGGATGCATACCCGTGACGAGTCAAAGCGGCAAGTCCCCCTCTTTTTCTTTCCCTGATAGGTGCTTCGGGTTTCATTGATACGTTCTTATCTAAGGTTGATCCCCTTTCACCACAGAATTAAGAATCGGGAGATAACGATCCGTGGAGAACTTTTTTTATACTCTGCCATTTGACTTCGCAATGTCTTCTGCGACAGTCAAGTTCAATACCTGATATATTGCTCAATTGATTTGAGGTCTTCACCCATTATTTCCATAATTCATCATGGAGATTTCCAGCGAGTCAAAGCGATCGTCCATTCATGTTCATGGCACAAGGCCAAGCAATAGCGACCATGCTACGGACTCCATCGAGTACTCGGCAATTCTTCGTAAAGTTGACTGGCGCGTTGTCCCCATTATGCTTGCTTGTTACTTCCTAGAGTTCCTTGACAAAGTACTTATCAATTATGCGAACATTATGGGCTTACAGGATGATTTGGGCATGGCCGGCAATGACTTCAGCTTGATGGCAACTGCATTCTTTATTGCGTTCGCCGTAGCAGAAATCCCTCAGGGGTATCTACTACAGAGGTTCCCTTTGGCTAGGGTGTTAGGGCTTAATTTGCTTTGCTGGGGAATCCTCGTCGCCTGCATGGCCGCCGCCCAGAACTACGCCCAGATCCTCGCGATTCGCATATTGCTAGGCTGCTGTGAAGCGGTTATTTCGCCAGCACTGGTTATGTTAACATCTACGTGGTATACTAAGCGCCGCGCAGCTCCTCGTTATGGTATCTGGTAGTAAGTACTATCATTGGCTCATTTTCAAATCATGATAATTGGATATTGATAATTTACACCACTAGCTCCGGCCTCGGTGCGGGTCAAATCGTTGGAGGCCTTATCTCATTTGGGGCTCAGCATGGCCCAACGACTGGCTTCAGTGGATGGCGCATCATGATGGTCGCCGTTGGCATCTTCAACATTCTCATCTCACTTGTCGTCCTCATGTTTCTTCCTTCGACTTTGGATGGAGCCAAGTTTCTCCGGCCAGACGAGAAAGACTCGATCAGACGCATGCTCATTCTCGACCAAGCAGGGAACGGACAAAAAGTCTTCAACAAGAAAGGGCTCTTCGAAGTTCTCATCGACCCGCAAGTCTGGTTACTGACCCTCCTTACCGCTCTGACCGTCATTCCAAGCGGTGTCATCACGACCTTCTCGGCGATCCTGATCAAAGGATTCGGCTACGACTCCAAGCAGTCCGCTCTACTCAACATTCCATCAGGCGCCGTCAGCATTATCGCCACTTATGGGTCAACATATGCCGTCCTCAAGGAAACACCCCGCTGGGTCAGCATCATTATCACCCTAGTGCCTGCACTTATCGGAGCAGGTCTCATGTCTTTCCTCCCACAAAACAACCAAGGCGGAAAGCTGGCCGGCATTTACCTCCTCAATACTACCGTTGCGCCGTTAGTGCTTATCTATTCCTGGGTGGGTGCCAACACCGCCGGATATACGAAAAGGATAGGAGCCAACGCAATGATAGCGGTTGGATTCAGCATTGCCAATATTATTGGACCGCAGACATTCCAAACCAAAGATTCACCCCAATATATTCCCGCTAAAATCACACTTTTCGTCGTTATCGGGGTGGCTATCTTCGTCTCGGCGCTCCTCAGGGTACTTTATGCCTACTATAACGCATCAGCCAGACTTTATCATGATTCCCGGCTTTCTGATGGAGCGACAGAGCATGAAATCGCTACAGCCGGACAGGGCGATTTGACTGATCGGGAAGACAAAGGCTTCTTATATGTATATTAAGTTACGTAGTAGTAGTAGTAGTTGATATAGTGGGAATCTTATATGCGCATACTTCAGTGGACAATTGTCTATTGTCTCAGCTTGATTCCCGTCTACAAAGATCGAGAGAAGCAACATGACGTGAACAATGAATCAACTTGGTTGATTTTTGCCACATTTTACCTTCTGATTATTTACCTAGGGGACAAGTTAACATTCAATGTGACTTTGTGAACCCTTCTACCTAAATACACAATACACAGGGCCAAGGTGGTAAAATCGGATTTCCCCATTTGCGCTTCTTAAACCCCTTCAACATCTCCCTTTACATATCTAAAGTAACCCGGCACTGAGGGTTGACGTTCAGTGTAAACAGTGTATGTATAGAGATTGGTATTGATTGATAACACATATGATGTCAAGGCGACTATCTAAAACAGGCATTATGTAGCCATAACAGGCTCGGGTTTGGGCTGGGTCTCATGCACTGCAATCCTTCGACGTATCAAAGGGCTTTCGTCATTAATCCTCTCATAATCATGGGCGTCCAAACAAGCCTGCCGGCTGTGCAGAACTGCTGGCGCTGCTCTTTCAACCATCCCCTTAGTGTAGCTCTCACAAGCATCCCGCAAGCGCTCCTCACTAAAAACTTCTGTCTCCAAAACTGGCAGGACCAGGGAAAAGAGCTCCTTGACGTCCAAAATACCGTGATTTGCAGCCTCCCCTCTGTACATTGTCATGGCATGCGCAGCATCGCCAACTAGTACAACGCGGTCCGATCCAGGTACGTTCGTCCACTGCACTCGAGGTGTCACCCAGTCCTCAAGCGATATTGTCTTTGGCTCAGCATCTTCCGGGATGTTCTGAATAATGTCGTGAAACGGGTTGGCCCAGACGCTGGAAATCCTTTTCATCAATGCCACACGATCCCGAGCGTTCGCGGGCACCTCTAACGGCTCGTTTTCACCTAGAAATCCCGATCGGTATGGCCAGGAGACGAGGATTTGGCATTCTCGTGTGTCATCACCGCGACCGCTCGTCTCAGGACTGTCCAAAAACGAGAACCAGTGGGAAGCACTCGTAAGTGGGTCCCCCCCTTGAAAGAAAAAGGGATCCAACGCGCGCACTTTTGCTGCAAGCTCCCCAGGGTAGATTGTACTCACTCCAAGAAGTCGAACTGGCAAGCGCGCATTCAAATGCATAGCGGGTGTCGGAAATAAGGAGGCGCGAACCCGCGATTGAGAGCCGTCGCATCCGACAATGATGGAACCTTCAGTCGTGTGCGATCCGATCGGAGTGGTGAAGGTCGCCTTCGTCGCAGATCCCGATGGTTCGAAATTGTTGAACGTGTGGTTCCACTATTAGAAGCAAGGATCAGGGTCAGATGTCAGGGTTGAGCAGGGTGGAATGCTGGAATTACCTTGACTTCAATCCCATCCATCAACAGTCTTCGAAATTTCTCCCTTGCCATGCGAATTCTCTTGCTGGGCGGTACTTGCCAAAGCGCTTCACCAGTGCGTAAGTTGAAAAATAAGAAATTTCCATTTTCACCGTTGCGAGTCGCTTCCGGATCAACGTAAGCTTCGGGGAGACGATCGATTATGTGGCGGGGCAGACATTCGATCAGCGAGTCAAGAGCCCAGTGGATGGTGATACCCCAGCCCTTTCCCCGATGCAGAGGATCAGGGTCCCGCTCGTAGATTTCGAAAGGAATAGAATGCTTTTTGAGGGCCTGTGCTAGCACCAAGCCCGTGATGCCTGCACCGACGATGATGACTGGGGGTTGGGGCATCGTGTGTTGTGTTGGAAGATGATTGGAGTAAGAATCAGAAAATGGCCGACATGAAGCTTTTTCACATGTATTTGGAAGGCTGGAAGTGTGTGTTACAAGAATGCGGGGGATGATTATCGTCCGGATACCGGACCGGTGGATATTCGGCCCGTATCCGTGGGTCAAAGTGCTTTTGTGATGGATTTACGGGTCGGGCCGATTTGTGGAATATGGCGTGGTCCCTTGCGAAAGTCATCTGGATCTTCCTGCCAAGTATCAACATGCACATGTGATATTAACACGGACTTATAATTAACTGCGAGTAGCGTCTCAGCAAAGCTGCATTGTGCCTTTGTTTCTTCCCACATATCATACGCCCGCTCCTCGAAGTTATGTATCTTACCAAGACGATCAACGGGGTTCAGATATGCTATCAGGAGGCCGGTTACGCGGACGGCCCACCCATCGTACTTGTTTCGGGCTGGGCTCACGATATGCGTCTTTACGATGAAATGATTCCTTATCTCGTTAGGGACCACCGAATAATTCGTGTCAATTGGCGTGGCCATGCTCCCAATCGAGACTACACAGATGAGTTTGGTGTTGGTGAGCAAGTCAGCGACACCATCGGCCTTTTAAATGTACTCGGCGTCGAGAAATTTTACCTTGTATCACACTCCCACGGCGGATGGCCAGCTCTCGAGATCACGGATAAGCTAGGCAAGGACCGGGTTCTTCGATTGCTGATGATTGATCAGATCATGAGCCCCCCTCCACCGGAATTTACAATTGGCCTGAAAGCGATACAGGCACCTGAAACTTGGCTTGCAGCACGCAAAAGCCTCTTTGATCACTGGCTGGCGGGAAGTAACAACAAGGGTGTTCATGACCATTTGACCTACTGTATGGGCAGCTATGGATACCACATGTGGTCGCTTTCCTGTCGTGTTATTGAGGAAGCCTATCGGGCTCATGGGTCTCCGATGGATCGTATGCGAAGAATGGTGAATCCGCCACCAATCCGGCATGTCTTCTCCCATCCGCTGGACTCCCCTGAGTATCGTCAGATGCACAAGAGTTTTTCCGAGGAAATGATCTCCTTTTCCTACAAGGACTTGGAAGGCGAGACACATTTTCCGAGTGTTGAGCTGCCACAGAAAGTGTGCGAAGAAATTGAGAACTTGATCGAGACATTTGAACCACGCTAAGCAATGGTTCCCCTCAACTTCCTTGCGTTTTTCATCAAGAAAATGCATCAATTTATGAACAGATTCGATTGCTGAACGTGACTTTCGATCGCTCATGTGTGAGCCATGTACTTTAGCCTCCCTCTTCTCTCTGTCACGCCACGACTACCGACTCTTCCGAAGGCGGAGGCAAGGGAAACGTGGTTGAGAAATGGCTGGGAGTATCTCCAAATCAAATTGTCTCAAATTTGGGCTCGTCCGTTAATATGCAGATTAAATATTAAGAGATAGTAAGCAGCTGAAGCATGTCAGTTGTCATCAATCTCCGTCACGTCTCCGAATTCAATAGGCAATATCAACATCGTGTCATCAAAATTCTTCCCAGAGTATTCTTCAGACGTTAATGACAGCGGGTGGAAATCTGATAAGACAAAACTATCATCGTTCATTTGATAACCCCCAGAAAAATTGTGAGACTCACTTGGAAGAGAGGGTCCAGCAGAAAATGAATCATGGCGAAAAGAATCATCCGATAGTCTCCGTCGCTTGGATCGTTCAAATTCCTGCCCATACCGATCAAAGACCCCGTGAAACAGATTGTGCCTATTGAACTCATTCTGCGTCTGTCTCATGTCTTCCTCGGTGAGACGCCAATAATTCTGGATTTGAGGCCACCGGATATTGATTTTGCGGAGCATCTCGAAGCCACTTTGGACGTCGCACCAGGCCCTTTTATTGAAGCTCGAGTTCCGGGCCAGTCGCATGCAGTGCAAAAGGACTTTAGTACTAGCGTAAACGGCGCGACTCTGCTGGACCACGAAATGACTAACAGGCACCGTGGCGATCAATTGCGGCGTGGCTTTAATGCAGTTTGATGCAGCCTCTGCACATCGTAGAAATGCTTCGGGGTCTGCGGCGTTAAACTGCTCGATGAACGACCGGTAAAGAAGAACCAGACCTATGAAGTAGGAGCATTCTGCAATTGCTTGTAGCGCTAGCCGCTTCACTTTCCCGTCTGACTCTGCTATTTTTGGCAAGACCCGCTTGGCGTAATGATTCTCCAGTTCGGTATCATATTTCTTGGTATATGACCGAAGAGTATCCCACATTTTGCCAGCCTGGGAAGGATGAGACTTACGAATCGACCGTATCGATCTGTAAATGCGGCTGATAGTAACATGAAATTCTGCGATGATCGAGAACCAAGGGTCTGTATTGGCCTCCAGCTCAAGACACCTTTCCTCATTGCAGCGTCCCATGTCACACTCGGCATCATACAATGCCAAGGGCTTGGAAAGCGCGGTTGAAAGTGAGCAGTCCAGAATATACAAACACCACCAGACATTACCGCGTGGGTTCCAAGTTTCTCCTACATCGGGCGCTCCACTCGTGCTATTTTCTAGCTCTTCAAGTTCTAAGGCCTGATATTGACGGATTGCGTTACCCGATACCATCCACGCATCGCTAAGGTTGCCGGTTACCGTAAGGTAGAGGCTAAGAAGACCCTGTGCGATAGCGACGTTGATAGGATGCGTCTCATCCCGTTGGTATGGAAATCCGGGGCACTTGGAGGTAGCATGAGTGTATAACAAATCTCCGATCTGTATAAGCTGGTATATCTCCATGCCAGGGTGCTTGAACACCGCGTGATCGGTCGGAATAGCGGAAGCCGCCACGGCAAGCAATGCATATAATAGGAACGAGAATCCGCTGCGGATGTCCTCGTGAGGAGAATTGACAGTCCTTCGGTGAGCGAGCAACCAGCGATCATATTGCTGCTGAAATTGATCTTGGGGGATGATAGGAAATATAAAATAGTAAGAGGAGTAGAATATGTCAATAAGAGCTTGTAGAAGTATCTCCGGCAACTGGGTCACATCAACTGCCGTAGATTGTGGTCCAAGGAGCGTCGAGTCCAGAATGCCCTCCAATAGAGCATTTGAATCATTCAGAAGAAAATCCTCTAGCTCGGCGCCTTCGTGGCCATCCGACGGAGAGGATTGAGCTGTGGGCGGTAGCGCTGTCCTGGGGGTAACAAACCCTGCATATTGAACCCCCTGAAGTTCTTCTGTCTGGAATTCCCCATTGCTATGGACACTTGGTCCCTGCTGACTAAATGCCCCAGGAGGACTTTTGTTGTTTTCTCGGCCTAACATATGTTGTGGGCTGGTTGGCTGCTGTTGCAGCCTTCCTTCCAACATTTGGATCCGTTTCTCGAGCCTCTTAACGTACCTATCGCACTTTTTAGCTACCTATCGTGCATCAAAATCTACATCACGATATGTAGGACTTACAGTGGATCCACTGAGCATGTGCTGTTGCTCGGTTCGGCATAGACACATTCTGCATGCTTGCCACTGCAACTCTTGCACGGGAGCTCCCCATTACACTTTATTTTCTTGCGGCGACATAGCTTGCACGCACGCCAAACCCTTTGGCGCTCGAGCATGGACATTTAGGAACAATTCGGGGCTGTTTCGCACAAGGAGGAGCGATGAGAGTTGACCTGACGTGGCAATGTTGGAAACCCCGCTTTTAGAGCAATCGATGCGGTCGCCGGTGCACCTTATCTCAAAGCCGACGATCTCGCCTCGAGAGCAAATTTTTCTTGATAAGACAATGATGCACATTGTTCTGAAGGTAATTTATGAGCCAAAACGTTTCGTAAACAAATTTCTCTCTTCCATTTATTTCGTCACTCGCCCTCCGGAATGCGACGCCCAAGTGGCTGCTGAGGGCTCACTTCGGAGCATCAGGAGAGCCCGCTATGGAGCTCTCCAAATAGAAAACACTTATCCCATGGAAGCAAAATCAGGTAAGTGATGGATAACATTTCCATTGAGATGCAGTATGGAGAGCAGGGAGAGGAAAGTGAGAAGCATATTCTACTTGACGTCAAAGCTAGTCCCGATTGGGACGACGACAAACAAAAAATACTAGCTAGAAATAATATAATTCTATCTTACTCGAAAGCAGTGTTGCTCCTGAATACTGCTGCGGAAATCTGTACTTCGCGTCGAACATTTCAGTGATATTCTTTTTTCAAGACCCCGTATGCACTAGTTCCTTCGCTAATTACTATTGCTGGTCGGTAGTATCTATCACTCTACGTTTAATCTATTTTGACGCTAATGATTGATGCCGCTTTAACCGAATAGCCATTTCCTCCGAGGTCAATGTTTACATGTATTAAACAATTCAACAAGCACATCAAGTTGACAATACTAAAAGTTCACATGTTCATATATTCACCTGTCGCACGACACGAACAAAGAAAAAGAAATTCAAGATGCAAGAAACTCGAGTCTTATCAACTCAACCGTCTCAACTAGATGACGCGGACGAAGACAGCATATGGTCTCCCACTCAGCTTGCCGCTGCGCAAGGAGACTTGTGCCAGGTACAGCGGCTCTTGGCTGAACCAGGGAACCCTAATGAGCCGCCTAAAGGCTACTATGGGCAGACAGCCCTCCAGGCTGCTTCTCATAATGGGCATCTCGCCGTGGTTGAGATTCTGTTAGCGGCAGGGGCAGATGTCAACGCCCCCGGAGGAAACAACGGTGGCAGAACAGCGGTAGTATTGGCCTCTGAAGCAGGCTATCTGAATATCGTCAGCCACTTAGTCTCTGCGGGTGCAGATATCAACTACCCGCCCCATCCGTATATGGGCCGAACCGCCCTACAGGCCGCTGCTGAGGGGGGGCATACCGAGTTAGTCCAATGGCTGATTAAGCAAGGCGCAGATATCAATGCGCCACCCGCTAAAAATCGGGGCCGTACTGCTTTTCAAGCTGCTGCATTAGAAGGCCACGCCGATATTGTGGAGCTTCTCCTGCACCATAAAGCCCATGTAAATACTCCCGCCGTGCGGTATCATGGCTTTACGGCCCTTCAAGGCGCAGCCTTCAAAGGCCACCGCCAGATTGTCCGTCAACTTTTAGATGCAGGAGCCGATGTGAATGCCAAAGGCTCATCTTATAACGGATATTCGGCACTTTCAGCAGCGACAGAATGCGGACATGATGAGATTGTGAGGATGTTGCTCGATGCTGGCGCAGATGTCTCCCTCGTATCAGGAAACAAAAAGTGGACTGCGGCAAAGATTGCGATCTTCCGAGGGCAGGAATCTATCGCGCAAATTTTCCAACAGATAAAGCAGACGGGGGAGATGGTGTAAACAATTCTTCTATAAGTACTTCAAATTGCCTCTGAACCTCGATCATCCGTCGATAGCTTGATACAAAAGCTCGTTATTTAATACGCCAGCTACCACAGATAAAGGAACCAGCTACCACAGATTAAGGAAATCTGGAGGTCCGAACTTTAGACTCATGGGACCACTGGTATTGAATTAAGTTGGCATACTAATTACTGAATATGAGGTTTTATCGGCAGAAAATGCGGCAGAATTACTTTTTGAATTACTCAAAGTGGGTCGGGGGGTTTCAATCTCATGGAACGCCACTGTAGGTTGTTGCACCAGTTTCGGGACGTACTGTATTGAAGACAAAAGATAAGAAGTCAGTGTTGGACAACGTTGCTAAATCATCTTTTCACGAGAAGATACCTCAATCTAGAGCCCCGAAGGATAGCAGAGAAATAATAACAAAGTGGAATACAGTTTGGGTGTGTTTGAAAGTAGCGATTTAGTAATTTCTCGGAACGCTGAAGAGCTCTTGTAACCTCTTTACAGCGGGCCAGAGATTGTGTTTTGCGTGTATTGAGCTGTGGGCGGACTTTAGTACGCCCTGGCAGATGGTCGTGGAAATGATCGACGACCGATCATCTCCGTAAACAGATACGCGATTTGCTGGAAGCCCAGACATTTGGCCTTAGCGTGATCCACTTTGTATTGTCCACCTGTCTCCACCGACTCTAGACTTGACGCGCCAAGATCTAGAGAGAATACAGACCATAAAGAAGGTACCTCGCTAGATTCATTAGCCCTGTTCTTGAGAGTCTAGTGAGCCAACACGAAGGCCAGGAGATTCAAATAATGAATACAAACGCAGTCGCTTACGATACGACCAAATTCCGAATCTTAATGCTTCACGGTGAGATTAATGCTGACGAGATTTTAATCCATAGACTTGTGCTTGTTACTAAATTAGATAAAATTTCAGGATATGGTGGCAGTGGATCGGAATTTCACGCGAAATCAAGCCCTATATCTAGAAAGATTCAGGAACTGCTCCTCTCAGAAATTCTCGACGATTTTCCCGGAGGCATTGAGTTCCTGTACCCTAATGCGCCCTTGGTTCTCGAACCGCCGATAGGCCTTGATGAGGATGTCGCCGAGAACGATATAGATCTCACAGCTCTGGGCTGGTGGTATGGCCGAGATACCGTGAGCAGATACAGAGGTATCGAGAACTCACTTCTGTTTGTTGCAAATTACATCCATGGACGACCTATTCATGGCATAATCGGATTTTCTCAGGGTGCCTGCCTTTCTGGGATGGTCTGCTCTCTAGTCGAATGCAACAGCAATCCGGAAAAGGCTGCTGCCGCCCGGTATCAGAATTTACCCGTGGACGCTTTTATAGACCTCCCAGGTCAAGAGTCTCTGAGATTCTTCATCGGAATTGGCGGATATCGTGGTACATTGGAGTATTACGGGAGTTTGTACTCATGGCCGATAGAGACACCGAGCTGTCACGCTTTAGGCAGCATGGACTACATCGTGAAAAACTACCAGACCATGGACTTGGCACACTGTTTCACTTCATACGAACTGGTTCATTTCTATGGGTGTCACTACGTTCCTAGGGACCGTGCAAGTGTGGACGCTTTAGCTCGCTTTGCACTCAAAACCTCGCTAGGGGAGTCTGAAAGCCATTGGTCTCATTTCACACCTGTTGCAAGCGTATGGAGCCAATCTGATGGCGACGAGGCTCGAAGTACCGTGTGTGAGCCTGATCAGTCCGTGGGAATATCTCGAGTCACAAGAGAATGGAAAAGGCCAAAAGTCACCCGGAGCCGAGGTATACGGTTCCCCCGTCGTGCGAAGACTCATAATTCCTCGCCAATGCGACACCCACCAAACTACTAGCTGCATACTAAGCGCAGTTAATTCTCAAAATGCCCTTGGCTTTCAAATGGCATCGATCTTTGTGTCGGGATGAGTGCAGATGATATGGGTGGGAGCTAGGGTGAGAGAGGTGATAATGGGGTGGGAACAGGTTTGAGAGCAGTGGCAGAACACGTACCCCTGGCACTCTCAATCTCACTCTACCTATTCCAAAAAGATAAATAACAATCGGATGGCAGATTCCTAATCTGCTTTCCATGAAATCCTTTCTCTGTCCTAGTAGAATCTTCTCCGCTTTCCGACAATATACAATACGTCAGCCATTACCTTCGTACTAGTACGTAATTATTGTAATTATGCTTGGCCCACATTCCCGATCTCTCACTAGAGCGGGCCAGATTCGCCTCCGAGGGATGTAGATCGACGATCGTCAGTTCGCGCCATTTTACTCGTATGCAACCTTAATAAGGTCCACAGGCCATGGCCGAGTGGGTGGGTCAGACTTATCCTATAGTAAGCCCAGATCAACGATCGTCATTCCCATGTCCTATCTAGGAATAGCGCTTCCTCAGTTCTTTCGAACATTATATATTGTGATTAATTCTGGCCATTAATTCGTCCCTACTCATCTTGAACCGGTTGAGTACTTTCTTTAATTTAAACACACCGCTTTTCTATGCAGCCTCAGCAATGTTATTCATAAGCTGCATAGAGTGAGTGGGTCAAGGATGTCCTGTTCGCGTATGTTGTATACTATGAAGCGACAGAGCTCGATGATCGCAAATTTACTAGCCCATGTGGGCCACCACTGCGGAGGTTGAACGTAAAACATAAGGAAGAAATATAGCCTGGTAACAAGCAGACCCGCAGAGCAAAATAGTACGTACAGATTGAAGAGTCTCGGGTGTACAGTATTGTTTTAAGCCCACTATAGAAAGTCTTCAGGCGCCAGCTATGATAATTCCTATAATCACATACCCACTTGTATCAGTGAAGAACATGTGGGCCATCCGAAAACTTAGTCTGTCCATTCCGAGACTCGATCGAGGCGAAGTCAGCCGATAACCAGCTATCATATATAGGATCCTGACCTAGCAGATTTTGAGTTTGACAAAAGAAGGTATGGATCTGCGAATGCATGTCATTTCCTCTTATAAATACCCCTGATAGTGGAATTACAGTAACTACCCGTCTTACCTCTGCGTGGCGGTGGATCATCACACGATCTCTATCCAAATCGGTTATAACATGAGCACGGGATATTAAGGTGGATCTTTCAAGCCCACTTTCCAAGTTTCGTACATTTATCTGAAGAAAGTGGATCAGTTACCAAAAGCCCCGAACGATTCCGTACTTTTCAGTCCGATCTACTGCAGTAGCGCCATTATTGAAATGCCCTAGTTACAAGCCCAGGTGGGGAGCTCGGTAGGGTCGATCAAGTGACATATAAAGGAATTCTACGAAGTATGTTGCACAAGCTTACAGATTTTCAGCCTGTGAAATTCTAAGTCCCAAAAACAAACCCATCCACTCACTCATAATCATCTCGTGTGCGTACCTGATTCAGCGGTGAATACACCATGCCAAATGAGACCTCAACCTCTTCGGAGCTTTTGGCCGAAGACTTGGATAACAGGCAGGAAGCACCTCAAGATGATGTGATTACCTTGCTTGATCAGGTTACACGGCAACATCCTCATCGCGATGCAGTCGAGTCGATGCATCAAAAGAGTCTTCTTGGCATTGGGAATGTGCGATGGTCTTTCGCTCAACTACAAGAAGCCAGCGTTAAATTAGCAGCTTCTCTTTCTACGGTCGGGGTTCAGCGCGGGACTCGAGTAGCTGGCTTTCTCTTTAATCAAGCTGAATGGCCTCTTGTCTTCCTTGCAACGATCAGGTTAGGGGCCCATTTTGTTCCTCTTGATCCTCGTATGTTGTATCGGCAAGACGATGCCAGATATATTCTGGAGAAAGTCGAAGCGCGACACATTTTCGTCTCCGAAAAATCCATGTCGGGTGCAGTCGACAGCATTTTGGCTCACTGTCTTGAGGGATCGATTTTCAAATGCATTGTCTCTACTACCAAAGGCACTGATTTCCCATCTGGATGGATCGCCTTGCCCGAGTTGATGGAGACGGTACCAGAGTTATCTCCCCCAATCACGCATCTGGCCCCGAACGACATAATATTGTTACTATGCACTAGCGGCACCACTTCTCGGCCCAAGGTCTGCCCCCACACTTCCATCACCATCGCCACTCCTGCGCTGGCCCTGGCCGACCACTTTAATATCACGCCAAATCAGCCTCTCTGCCAACATTTGCCCTCATTTCACGTATTCAGTGTAGTGATGACACTGGCATTCTGGCTGTCAGGGGCAACTGTGATATTTCCCAGTATCTCCTTCGATGCCGCAGCTTCATTCAACGCCCTCAAGTCGAATTTGCAAACCCATATGCCATGTGTTCCAGCTATGGCGCAAGCCATGAAGGCATACGCGGTATCTCAGGATCATGCTTTACCAGCGCCATATCACATCATTCTTGGCGGTACTTCTATATCCCCGGATGTGGTGGACATATGCAGGACCTTGGGGACACAACGAATTACCGCGGGCTATGGCATGACTGAAGGAGTCGCGACCTTGATTCATGCCATGGGCTCAAACCAATCAGATGTTGTGGACGGCTATGTATGTCTTGGAAGGGCCATTGCAGGGGCAAAGTTGCGCATGTGTCGTTTCGGGACCAGAGATACTGTGCAGCGAGGTGAGATAGGCGAGCTGCATCAAGGAGGCCCTCCTGTTATCTCGGGCTACCTGAGTGCCACTACTGAAGACAATGCCTGCTGCTACAGGGAGGATGGTGTGAACTGGTGTGCTACCGGGGATCAGGGCTACATGGACAGCCAGGGAAGAGTATACCTGCTCGGAAGATACAAGGATCTCATCATCCGTGGCGGAGAAAATATTTCTCCTGCAAAAATCGAGCAATGTTTGCTCAAGTTTCCTCACATCCATGTGAGCACTTTCCACATCCACATGACATGTTTCCATTTTTAAACTACGTTTTCATGCTGACTTTGATATGAGGCTGTTTGTGCTGTAGGCATTCCCGACCCAGTTGCAGGGGAAGTGCCCATCGCCATAGTACAGACTCAGAACATCACTCAGATGTCAGCTTCTGACGTACTGTCCATCGTGGCCATAGAACTAGGACGTTCATTTGCGCCTACGATGATTCTGGACTTGAAAAATGACCTTGATAAAGATTATTACCCCACCACGACGTCTGGCAAGATCCAAAAGGCAATCCTTCGAGAATGGGTCATCAATTACCTAGATCAAGTTGCAGCCAAAAAATTGGAGGCTAAGGATATCTTGTCCGAGCTGACAGCATGTTGGTCCGCTGTATCCGGTCTACCGGTGGAGGAAATTGACCAGAACAGACCGATTCGATCTTTCACCGACAGCACAATGATTATTCAGTTTCTGCATATCGCAGCTCAAAAAGGGTGGACGCTCACATTCAAATTGCTTACCGTTTATACAACAATTTGTGAACAGGCTACATTCCTCAGTATGATGAAGTTGCCACCCAGTCTTTCTGTGAGCGAATCTCCAGTAGAGAAGCGTTCACCGCTGGCCTGGGAATCCGATAAAGGTGTCCATGAGGACCTAGTGAACACCAAACTTCAAGCATTGGGGTTGGAATGGGGCGATGTAGAATCTATCCTCCCGATGACCGATTATTCAAGCAACTTTTCTCGTGATCGATCCAGACCAACGGCGTGGAACTTCCGCTTTACTTGGTCAGTTGAAAACTCTATGAGTGAAGCACAACTTTTCTCAACTCTGGAGACGTGGTTCAAACGACATCCCTTGCTCCGATGTACATCCGTGGTGTGCAGTGAGGATTTAGAACTGGTTTTGGTCATGCGGCCTCATGTGCAATGGCTCAAACACCAAATCCTTCACGCTGGTGAAGTCCAGGACATGGAAGCCGCGACTAAATATAGACTGAACGACCCTGAATACGATTATGTGAATGGTACAGGTCCGCTCTTTAAAATTGCCATCCTGAAAACGCAAAATCCCACCGCTCATGCTCTTGTGATGCATTTCCACCACGCTCTATATGACGCGTTGTCTTTGATCAGATGGCTTCAGGACCTGAAACAACTGTTGAAGAACAACGGAGATTCGTCCCTCCAGTTCCTTCCTTACAAAGACTTCGCTGAACAGTATTACGAATACCGAAGCTCCCGATCTGCCGAAGAAGCTGTCGACTTCCATGTTTCCCGACTTCGCGGCATATCGTCTTGCAAGAATGCCATATGGCCCCCGGACGCATCAGTCAGCAAAGATATATCCTTTGATGTTCAGGAAATTGCACCTAAGACAATGCCTGTGGGAGCCGTGGATAAGTCTTGTGGGATGCAGGGGACCAATTGCTATTTGCGGTTGACCCAACTTGCAGCAATGAAGTCCCAGTTCGCCATAAGTGCACCTATTATAGCCATGACTGCGTGTGCTCTTGTGAATGTTCGGCAAACCAAGGCCTCTGAGGCAATATTCAACAATCTTTTGTCGGGCAGAACCTGGCCACTTGCAGACAACGCTCAAGGAGGCCTCACAGACAACATGTTAGAAGTGGACGGACCAACGATGACCTATACTGTCAGCCGCATTCGCATTGACGGAAACGAGACTGCTTTTCAACTTTTACAACGTGTCCAGAACGAACAAGATCAACTTGCTATTTATGCACACGCCCCGCTTAATCAAATCAATCGGAGGCTCAAAGAAATGGATACTGAGAAAGGTGCTAGTGATGTGTCATTGATGGACACCATCTATCGGCGGCAGGCCTTTGATTGGCTTCTAGAGCAGTACAGCGAGAGTGAGACTGATGCAATGAAGCTTGTCGATGATGACAGCCGAAGCAATCTCGGTTTCGTATGGTTTCCCTTCATCAAGGATGGTAACTTGCTGCATCTTAACGTTACTTTCGACCATGCCCTCCTGAGCAGCAGAGAAGTACAAAAAGTCACAACCGAATTTATGTGTGCGGCTGCGTGGCTTTCAGACCCAGCGAACGCGTATCGACCTCTTTCTCAATGTCGATTTTCCGGATACGAGGTGGCGTATCAACAGCCACTGTGAGCCAAGTAAGCTCGGAGCGACTGACAAGCAAGTAATCTCATATTACGAACGTCGCTCATGGATAGACTGAGAAGTATTTGTAGGTAGTGAATATTCTTTGACTTCAAATAAAGATTCTGAGCCTAGGGACGGGCTGATACGCTCCTTTCATGTATTTGTTTGGTAAAATGGGTCATTTCAAGATACCCGTGGCGTAAAAATACCAATACTAGCCTGTGGGGCCATGAGACACTCTCGGGAGTAAGATCAAGGAAAATAAATAGTTGGGAATACTTGGAAGCCATCTGGAGACCTTTCCAATAACTAGTGAATTCAAAGTTTGCGCTAAGTTGCGTTCGCCTGGATCCAGATGGGCTCCACTCAACAACTTAATAGCGTTCGATCGCCGCTCGCCACCCTGAGCCAAAAAATGGCGATCGGATCGTATCAAAATATCCAGCCACACCTCCAGCAGGGAAAGGGTATTCTGCGCTATTACTTGGCGACCATGCCGATCTCCTCACTGATCTCTTCGGCAAATTTTTTCGCTGGACAGTGGGGTTTCCGATCGTAAGAGCAACCACTGGCGTAATTCATCATGTTAATTCAAATGGGTAACAGAAGAAAAAAGGGGAAGCAAATCTGAGTGCTACTTCGTTCCTTTCTGTTTATCCTGTGCTTTCTAAGAGCTGTACAGTGTCACGGCACTATGGGAAATCAAGTTCAATTCCATCCTGGCCTCGCGGAGACGTGGGATCGAGAATTTGAAGCACCTTCTGGGAACCTAGGTTTTTTGTTGTCCCAGGCGGCCGCTGAATACTATGATCAAGAAGTGGTTCTTTCACTCCATCAGCCGAAAATCCCCCGTTATTTCAATGACGCAAAAATTGAAGGGGCATGCGACCTACGATTGACATATCAACAACTGCACCTTGCTAGCTTGAAATTTGCTAGAGCTCTCTCGTCTCGAGGTGTGACCCGAAGTAGTTCTGTTGTTACTTTTCTTTTCAACCAAATCGAATGGTGCCTAGCATTCTGGGCGACAATGCACCTAGGGTGTCGTTTTGTGCCTTTAGATCCACGCACCATTTCCCAACCGGAAGAGGCACTGTACCTTTTAAATAAGGCAAATACAGGGGCGTTACTGGTGGCCACGGATGCCTTGGCTGCGCAAGTCGAGGAAATTCTACCAAAGGGACACAAACAGGGCATCTTTCGATGCTTGCTCTCTGATGAATCCACCGGGCAGCTACCCGATGGCTGGGCCTTGTTATCAGATGTTATGTCAAGCTCTCCAGATAATATTGATCTCTCTCCGGGTTCCAATGCCAGTCCCCAAGATTCTGCTGTGCTTCTTTTCAGTAGCGGCACGACGTCGCGTCCCAAAGCGTGCCCCCAGACATCTCTCAATCTCAGTGCGCCGGCGGTCCAGCTGGGGCAAAAATTTCACATTGCTCCAGGACAGACCATATGTCAACATTTGCCCAGCTTTCACATTTTTGGCATTGCGTTTAGCCTGGCTGGCTGGCTGGCGGGTGCCACTGTTGTGTTCCCTAGTCCCAGCTTCGACGCTGCATCGAGTATTCAAGCCATTTTGCAGGGCACGAATGTCCATGCACCATGCGTTCCCATGATGGTCCAAGCAATTTCCGAACATCCGTCTTTTCCGAAGGGAGGCTTCTCTACGTTGTCCTCCATCACGTTGGGCGGTGCACCGTCCTTTCCTAGAATTATTGAAACATGCAAAGCGTTGACACCGAAGAAATTATGTGTCGGTTACGGCCTGACCGAGGGCGTTGTCACCTTGATGAATGTAAAAGACATCAATGCTTGGCAACTTACTGGAGACGTTTCCTCTGGTCGAGTTTGTTCCGGATCCAGGATCAAAATTTGTGAACCTGGGAAACGCGTTGCTATCGAGTATGGCCAGCTTGGGGAGCTCCATCAAGGCGGTTTCCCTGTTTTCAAGGGCTATCTCGGGATAGACAGTGATGCATGCTACCAGCAAGATGGTGTCAATTGGGTAGCGACTGGTGACCAAGCCTACATGGACGAGGGGGGGTATGTCTATATCCCCGGGAGGTACAAAGACATCATTATCCGAGGTGGAGAGAATATCTCACCTGCGAAGATTGAGAATTGCCTGCGTAAGGCCGAAGGTGTCAATGTAGGTGCCCAATCCTGACCAGTGATGTGTCCATAAATGCTGACTAGGTTAATCAGGCCTACGTTATTGGTATCCCGGATGAACTTGCTGGGGAAGTTCCTATTGCCGTTGTTCAGCAGATGGGACCCTCAATTCTATCCGGAAATGAGCTCAAAGCAATGGCGCTTTCCGAGTTGACCCCTGCATTTGCCCCCGCCCGGGTGCTCGATGTGCAAAGAGATCTCGGCCGTGATACTTTTCCAACCACCACAACTGGAAAGGTGCAAAAACTGGTTCTTCGAGGCTGGGTAACGGAATATCTAGAATCTTTCGAGAATCTACCAGCGATTGACGATTCATCCCAGACATTGGAGTCGCAGTTGACGTCTCTTTGGGCCTATTTCTCTGGCCAAAAGGTTTCAGAGGTAAATTCCGACGCATCAATCCACAAGATTGCGGATAGCATGACTCTGATTCAGCTTACAAGTCAAATTCGGAAAATACTACACAGAAGTGTCAGCATGACGGACTTGGTGGAAAATAACACTCTCAGAAAGCTAAAGGCCTGTCTTGCACGCAAACCTCTCCTCACCGAGTTCCCAGCGCCAGCCAAATCACTTCCTCGGCGCAGTCCTATGGCTTCGAACATGATATATGTAAAAGGACATAATGAGCTCATGAAAGTCACAAAGGATCAAGCAGATAGGCATCTGACGCCATTAGGATTTGGGTGGGATGACGTGGAAGACCTAATCCCATTGTCCGACTGCATGAAGCTGATGACCAAAGGGGGGAGGAAAACATCTTGGAATCACCGCCACTCTTTGGTGGTCCGATCTGTGTCCACAGCAGAGGTGCAAGCCGTCCTCAAGTTGTGGGTTAAGCGGAATCCGATGCTTCGAGCAACGCACATGGTCTGTGGTGACGATTCACAGCTATACCTCATCATGCGTCCTAATGATAGGTGGCTAGATAGCCAGGTCACTACTGGCAGTACCTTGGCAAGCATTCAGGATATTCCAGCTTATCGATTGAACGACTTGACGTATGATCATGTGCAACTTTCTGGCCCTTTGCTCAAATGCACCGTCCTACCAATTGACAATTGCAAAGCCACAGGTGTGGTCTTGCACATGCATCATGTCATTTTTGATGGCATGGTGATGCATAGATGGTATCAAGATCTGAACCAATTGCTGCATGGCAAGCGGCCGCCGTCCCTTTACGCTTTCCGTGAGTTTGCATTGCTCTACCAAACATATCGAGAAAGTCGAGAAGCCCAAGAGGCGGTAGATTACCATGTTCATCAGCTCCGTGGACTGAGCGCTATGCAGAAATACTTTTGGCCTCAGCAAAGGGCACCACGCTGGTTCAAAGGTGACGATCATGGCTGGTGCCATGAAGATGGTTCACCATCCCATCCCAGAGAGCGAGTACCTTTAGACGGCGATCGCAGCTGCGGAACTATGGGGCTCTTCTACAAAATTCACTTGCCATTCATTCGTGCCTTGAAGTCAAAATGGGAGCTATCGCCACCCATTATAGCCAAGTCCGCATGTGCACTCCTCAACATCTACAAAACTGGAGCAGACGAGGCAGTGTTTGTGAGTGATGAGTCTGGACGGTCATGGCCTTCTGTTTCTGTTGAAGAGGATTCAAATTCTGTTCCGCCGACTGGGAGCCCACTAGATATTGGAGGACCGACTTTTCAAAAGACGATCAATCGTATTCGTGTGGAACCCGGTGAGACAACGCTGCAGTTCCTACAGCGAATGCAAAAGAGGCAGCAAGATATTGACCGCTACTGTCATGCCCCTCTTGATGCAATTTGCCGTTCACTGGAGGAAGATCCAGTATCTGGGCTTGCAGATGTGGCTGCAGTCCGAGATATCCTTCAGCGTCAGCTTTTCGATTGGCTGCCTTCACCTCCATCATCTGAGAAAGTTGAGGGTGAGCCCGCAGCTCCAGTAGAGATGTTAGAGGTCTTGAGCCGGTCCGATCTTGGGCTTGTCTGGTTTCCATCGCTTTTACCGGGTGATTATCTTATGCTAGAAGTTTCCTGGGATGACGCACAGCTAAGGAGGAGTGAGGTATATCACGCCATTGAAGAATTCTTGTGCGCCTTGGTGTGGATCTCAAACCCGGAAAATTTTGATAAGCCTGTTACTCAATGTGAGTTCCAGGGCCAGAAAGCACTCACAGCTTCGGAGTGCAACTTTCACCGCTAATGGTATCTCTCATTGGTACTGTTTCCTTATCATAAATCTTGCGACACCTTGACAATCAATAAAATCCCTTTTTAAATGCGTAGCATTTCTTCATTATAGCTATCAGTGTAAGAGCAGAGCTCATTTAACAATTTAAATTATGAAATTTCCTTCGATAATAGAATCGCTCTCTTCAAATATACAGGGACGTATTTGAGGCCGCGTCTTGGTCAAAGTCTCATTTCAATGATGACTACATAGGAAAAACGTGAATATCTGTAACTAAAACCCCTTATTTCATTCAGAATGAATCATGGACCGACATGTAGCCAACGGAGCACCTGAGTATATTCCAATTGTCCATTGTGAACTCCACCGCGCTAAAACGCGTGGCTGATGATCGACCCACCGGCCTAGAAAAGCAATTCTGTATGTGGCGAAGTTTACACCCGATCTGTATCACTTTGATTGCGATCTGCTGGAAGCCAAATCTTTGGCTTTAGCTCTATCCACTTTTTTTTGTCAACATGTCTCCACAGGCTCTAGACCTGATGGGCGACCTTCCGGCCTAGAAAAGCAATACTGTACGTAACACAGCTTACAGACGATCTGTATCAGCTATCTCGGTCCACCGACACTTACACAAGGGGCCAAATAGTTCAAATTTTCTGTTCTAAGCGGCGAAAAAAGGACAATTGTTCCTTGGTCCCAATAATTCGATCCGTTCTGCCAATTCCACATCTTTCTACAAGTTGACAGAAACACACGATCAGTCGTTAAATTTTTTCTGGCATTTCTGAAAATGCCAGCCGAAAGGCACGAAAGCGATGTGTCCAATTTGGTAAATGAGACCCTCTTGCTTTGTAGTTGTCGATTTTACAACCACATTCATTCCATACTAATTATAGTTAAAACTACCTAGGTTACCTGGGATAATGATCAAGATCCGGCAAACCCCCAAAATTGGAGCAATGCGAAGAAAACCCTTGTTATCATCATGATTTCTCTTCTCGCGAGTATTTCTCCGCTAGCATCCACCATGACAGCGCCAGCACTAGCCGACATCGGATACGACCTCAAGATCGAATCTCTCTCTGAGAGACAGTTTACGTTATCTATCTTTGCTCTGGGCTATGCCGTAGGCCCACTTTTTCTCTCGCCGTTTTCAGAACGCTATGGGCGAGTCTGGGTGGCCCAGCTCAGTAACTTGTGGTTCTTGATCTTCAATACGGTGTGCGGATTCTCCAAATCAAGCTCCCAGCTACTCGTCTTTCGCTTCCTAGCTGGGCTAGGGAGCTCTACTACAGCAAGTATTGGAGCCGGGGTTCTCGCCGATTGTTACCAGTCAGACAATCTAGGAACAGCTGCCGCCATATATTCCGCGCTGCCTATATTAGGCCCGGTAATTGGGCCAATAATCGGTGGCTTTCTGACACAACATACAACATGGCGATGGATCTTTTATGCAGTCTCTATCTGGGATGCGGTGGTACAACTAGTTACCTGTTTCCTTCTGCGGGAATCTTACGCACCGTTAATTTTACAACGAAAACTACAAAGGCTTCAGCGAGCGGGAGACACGCGGGAGCTTTATGTTACTCACCAATTCAATCATTCCGTGCGCGATACGCTGCAGCGATCTGTTGTGCGACCCTTGCGTCTTCTTGGGACCCAACTGCTTATTCAGACCCTGGCACTGTATTTAGGATTCTTGAATGGAGTGTCCTATATAGTTGAGACTACTTTCCCAACACTATGGACGACTAAATATCGGCAATCTGAATCCTTGGGAAGTCTGAACTACATTGCTCTGGGTATCGGCGCTGTTGCTGGGGCACAGATTTGCTCTTACGCCAATGACAAAATCTACCAAAGACTGTCTGCGCGGAATGGGGGTGTGGGCTCTCCGGATTTCAGACTGCCTACCATGTTATTGGGAGCGATATTAGTTCCAATTGGCATGTTCTGGTATGGATGGTCAGCTGAACAGACGCTTCCCTGGATTATGCCGGATCTCGGTTGCGCGGTCTTCTACGCAGGGTTCCTCATGGGCATTATCAATGTTCACATGTACGTGATAGACTTTTACGGGGAAAATTCGGCATCCGCTATGGCTGCTGTGTCTTTAATACAATCCTTGTTCGGTGGTGTGTTCCCACTCTTCGGAGGAAATCTTTATGATGTGCTGGGATACGGCTGGGGTAATAGTTTGATTGGTTTTGTTAGTCTAGGGCTGGGTATTCCTTTTCTTGCTTCACTTTGGAGATTCGGAGGTCATATTAGAGATCGGAGCACTTATGCCAAAAGGGGTCAGATGGATTGACCGGTGAATAGAAAATTACTAGATTTGATTCACAAACCGTCGACCACGAAGAATAAGACCCTCAAGATCAGATTACTCGTGTCCAGTGTAGCATAGTAATCTTATATATAAGTGCCCGAAAAGGACTGTCACCTAGTGCAAAGTTATCACTCGCACTTCCTAGATTTCTTAGATTTCCTAAGCCTTTTGCTTGTAACTGGACAGTTTGATGATATTAAATCGCAACATTGAGAGAAGCCTCGGCTGCCGATTCGGCCACTTGCCTTCGAAGCTGCAACACGCAGTATCTTGAAAACGCTCTTTCCAGGCGCCAACTCCAAGCGCGCTCTAGTGTCTTGATATACCGTCATACTTGCAAGGGGCAGTGCTTTTAGCCCTTATTATCGCCAGCATTAACGTTATATTGAGTTTACTAAGCAGCTAGAATTAGCTAAGTACCTTTCAAGCAAGCTCTGGCACTAGGTACTATATCTGGATTAGCGTGTTGCAAGCTAGGGTTCGGGAATGAAAGTCTAAGAGTGTATGAGGTAAATATGATTTCGAATACTACCCTAAAAGAAGATGACAGGGACCAAAGGGTACATGAATTGATAGCGAGACGACGCTCAGGAGCTGTAGCTGTACACTGTATCCTGAGAATTGGTATCAATAATACGGCGATATATTACCTCCTTCATGAGGGTGGAGAACCTGTCACATGTTCACAATGTGCTGAGAAGGCGAAGACAGCCACAATGGAGCTGGCGCCGTGGCTTAAGCCAGAGATTTACAGATCGGACAAGATCCGTCATTGATGCTCGCATTTTCCACTATCCCTCTATTGTTCAGAGACGAATTAATTTTCTTCTAACGATTTCACTAGCGAACCGATCACACAGGTGAGCCGATCACCCCAAACACCATAGTAAATATGATAAATTACAACTCATTATCTCAACTATATTAGTTTTCAGGGGCTTTTACTTGAAGCTCAGTTGTTTCTATGTAATATCTAGTCCCTTTATGCAATCTTAAGGATTTTCTTGAATCAATGACTGAGATATATATATTTTGTTGGTTCAGTCTTGTAATTTCTGGTATCGTGATGATATGAGTGTTCAATTTATTTGAAACTGATATATGTTACTGAAAGTCCTTATCAATGTCTATCGGCAGTTAATGGAATAGAGTATTGATGTGGTTGTTGAGATATTTGAGTTGTAAATATGGCATTTACTATGGTGTTTGGGGTGATCGGCTCGCCTGTGTGATCGGTTCGCTAGTGAAATACGTTATGCATTGATCATCGCCGAATGATTATCTAAGCCGCGCTCTTGAATGCGACGTCTTTTTTAAAGATGTACCATCGTGAAAAATTACAACCTACTACATACTCTAGAATCCTTTGCTCGAACATCTTATGTAATGCTATTACTCAACGCGCGTTGAGAACTGGACTAAAAGTAATTCCAAGCTGTTGCATGCTGACTAAAAAAGACTATTTTCAAGGCGAAGGCTACGGCTGCGGCTCCGGAAGAGAAGTAATTAAATGTGATGGCAGATTAAATTCCTAAACAGGAAAGCGATTTTTCTTTTGCTTCAATTCAAATGCGTTATTCAAGAAATAAATATTTCAAAGGTAGCTTTTTTTACAATGATCTACTTTATGCCCATACATGAGCCAATTGTAACGTTTCGTTCGCAGCGCGTACGCTACGCTACCAGCCTCTTTCGCGAGTAGTGCTGTGTCATGTATAGAAATTTGTTTTCAGTCCTAAGTCTTTGGGCGTTGACTGGCATTGGATATCTGACCAGCAGAATGAGGCCGGTTTCAAGATATCGCCTGAAGATAGAATGCACACAAAACCCCTGAGAATATTGACCCGTCTTGGCTGATAGTTATAATTTTTGGGTATGACAAATCCACACTGTGCAAACATTGCAAAAGCACATCACTGCCAACCTTAAACGGGGCCGCTCCCGCGTGCATCATAGGCAGGATATTTGCAATTTACCGCGAAAAGCGTGGATTCAAGGACGTGTACATGTTTGTTCAGTGTGGACGAAATCGGGCTTTCGGTCCCAAATCGTCGATGCGCATCCCCTGTCCCCAATGTTGTCAGCATAGTGGGCGCTCCGAATTGCCTGGCTTTTAGGAGGGGCGCGAATAGAAACAAGTCCTAGTCATTGGTAGCGTCGCCACTTCTGTTCTTCAAGCTTTATATTGCACTCTTCTACAGCCTATCCATGTATTTACTAGTACGTCCTGGCTTCACTATCAACACCTGGTGAAATTCCATTCGTAATATACGCACTGCCATGCTTTCATTTCGTTCAGCTCTCGGCAGGTTGTGAAAGCTACACATCTGCATCTTGCCTAATATTGACTGGCGACAACAGCAAACGTGCCAAAAGTTGTCAAATTCTGCTACTGTTGATATACTACAGCGTCTTTCCTCAACGTCGATATCGCTCGTCTAAAGACACTCTTCGTTGAAAGATCGGGTTCAATGTCAGCTTGCAGGGCAGGACACGGTAGAAGTGACCATCAACGTCCGCGGGTCCGCCTATCCGCTTTGCCATCAACTCCCCACCAAAACCTTAGGACTCAACCAGGGACTACCAGCATCAGCGAATTTGCCTAAAAATACCTGATTTTTAGCCCGGCCCAGCAAAATGTCATGTTTAATGTTGGTGACTGTCATTACAATGATCCTCCATTGGACAATCCATACTTGAAGCATTGAAAACATGTGATCACAGTTTCTAATTAATCGGTGAATAAACGACATATTTTGCATTAGCTGAATAATAATCCAAGCGGTCAAGGATTTCAAGTGAGCTAGAGAGCCACTCCAATGATGAAAGGCCCAATGCACTCCCGTATATCAATTGGCTATAAAACTCTGTGTAACGTGAGTTAGAGTATGTACAACTGGGCCCGCTTAGCTTCCAGATGCATGTGATTTAAATTTCAAATTAAATAAATTATGGCGATAGTCACATTAGGGTTTTCAAGAACTATTCAATATGTGAAGTAGCGTCATCGCATTGCGTGGTCCTTAAATAAAATCCCCAAAGATGTCTATGGAGTGACGAACTAGTTCAAGGTAGAAATGCATTCAACGAAGACAATAAAGCTGAAGAGAGAAAAGCTGTTAAAGGAAACAGAACATTGTCTTTGTTTATGCAAGGGTGTGGCACGGACGGCATTCAGCCCTTTGTACTTCCTGATCAGGGGCACGGTTCCCACAACATCTTCCACTCGTCACATAGAGCAGCATTTTTTCGACCTCAATTGCCTCGCTATGCATGCACTTCGCCACTGATAAGACACTAATCAGAGGTAAGGATATCGGTTGGGTATATATTTAATGTTTTCATTATTAAGCATCGCCATTTGTTTTCTCCTAAATTCCTGCAAAAACAATCGATCTTCTTATACACCATCCTTCGTTAGGAACAAAGTTCAAAAACCAGGTTTGGCTCTTGCAAACACGATTGCTGCCAAGAAGTTCCTATATCCACAGTTATGCAAACATGTCTTTGAAACATTACTCGCAAATAGCTCTGAAGGAATCTCGATTGACATCAGAGGCCGAACTCAACAGCGTCCGCCTTTTAGAAGGAGACCTGAAGCCCGAAAGCGAAAATCTCATTCTGGCATACGCAGGATCATTCAATCCCCCACATCGAGGTCACATAGATGTCCTGCTATCTGCTCTGCGACGCGAAATAGGAGCAATCGCAATCGTCATTGTACCAAGTGAAGATTTCTTCCTTAGAAATAAGATTCGCGATAAATATCCGGAATTTTTTCTTTCCCAGAAGCGCAGAGTCGATATCCTGAATGCGATTCCTTCAATACCGAAGGATAGAGTGTGGGTTTGGCCCAGTACCTGGTACCCATTCAAATCGTATACCAAGGCCATGGCTCGAGTTACCGAGGCTGATGGCCTCAATGTGAGGTTTTCTTGGTTGATTGGACCTGATTTGTTGAATCCTCAGGATGCGACGTTTGTCGTGCCTTATTCGCTCCAAGGTGTCTTGGTCTCAAATAAAGCAAGGCATGTGAAGTCACACTTCCTTCCAAATGGAACGCCGACTGTCTGGAAGGGATTCGGCAAATGGGATTGCAAGACCAGTGTTGAGACAAACGGTGAGTTAAGTGATCACGCTCAATGTGACTTTTGACCATGATTAACTGGGGATTGTAGGTAATCCACTATTTGACGACGGAGAGGTTGTGATGTGGAAGTGTACAAGTGAGAATGAAAACTCTGGAAAGAGGGGTTACTATTTGGAGCATAAAATGGTTGTCTCCCATGATATTAACTCAACAGAATTGAGAAAACGTTTGGTGCAAGATGGTGTTATCAATGAAAGAATTCTCAATGATCTAAGCACCGAGGACCTCATGGAATTTTTGTCACCAATATTGCAACGGAAATGAAAAACAAGGATATATTACGAGTCGAGCAATGGATAGTAGAAGGCGGGGGGCAATTCTCCCCCTGCTTCTCACTTGATTCTCACCCTGTCTTTTGCCAACACAGCTTTTTCCCCTCCCTGGCGCCCCCCGGTGAGGCACACGACTAGTTACGTTCTGTTAGATCTGCATTATATAAATCTGAGCACCTTCGGTCGTCAGTACATACGACCATTGAGTGTGGAGAACAGGGCTTCCCGTCCGCTCAGCCGTACTTAAGCCACACCCCGAATGGCCATGATCGCCAATCATTTGGTCTAGTTTTGTAGGGAAACAACCGGTCGCCGCTTTGCTATCGCGCGACCAGGGTGATAAGGGTTGGTGCGCAATGTGGAAGGGGTGAAATCTAGCTAAGAATCACCAGGTCCCACGATTGCCCTACAAGTTACTTAAGCCAACGTTCACTATGCCATGTGACAATGTATTCCACGGACGAGCGGCCCGGTCCAAAGCACTATGGTAGCTAAGCACATGCTCCGCGGGCTCAAATAGAAAAGCGACTGGCCTCGACTGATAGAGCGAGGCTCGAGTTCCCCCTTTCCATTGTCACATTGCCAGATGAACTTTTCTTCTAGACGAACAAATTAGGATTTTCAAGCGGGTCATCTAAATTTCAGTAGATTGGCAAGCTTTCAACAATCGTCGGACAAGAATTTGATATTGAGCGAAGATCAAAACCGAAGATTCACAGATTGGCAAGCTTTCAACAATCGTCGGACAAGAATTTGATATTGAGCGAAGATCAAAACCGAAGATTCACAGATTGGCCCGTGAGATTCAGTCTAGAGTAAAATGGCACTAGAGCAGAGGATGTTGAATGGCGAGCTTCCCAAACCCTCTTCCTTCACCCACCGACATTACTTCTTTCAACGCATCATCCGCAGAACCTTTGAAAACTTCGACGACTGGGAGTTTGAAAAGAGCTCCGTAGTTTTGGACGGCCCATTGAAATGCTTTCCACGCGTGCTGGTAATCAGAACGCCGAGCCGGGATAGAAATAGGATGAGGAACCCCGGTAACTCGTAGTATGACTTCTTGGTTCGAGGTGGCGAACGGCATTTTGAAGCGAGAATCCTGTTGTATCACCACAGAAGCGAGTTTGGTTTCATCTGAAGCGCACTTGGCCACGCGGTCTGCAGAATTGAGGTCTCCGTGACTGCCAACGGCATCGAAGCCATAATCCAGAGAATGCACTTTGAAGTCCACCAAAGCTTGCTGAATGTCTGCAATGACATGTGGTGACCTATAGTCAAAGCAGCGTGTGGCTCCTAGCTCTTGTAGGAGAGTGTGTCTTTGAGGAGACGCTGTGACAAAAATTGGGTGAACCCCACTCGCACGGGCTAGCTGGATCGCGCACATTCCAACGCTAGAAGAAGCACCCCAGATCAACAATGACTTTGAGCTATCAGACTTGGGCGTGTCCATGTGACTTGGTAATGGCAATTTAAAAAGGTTATAAAGCGCATCCGCCGCTGTCATAGTAACGACACTAAGGCATGCCGCGTGCTCCCGAGGAAGTCCAGAAGGGACTAAAAAGGCCATCTCTTCAGGGCAGATCAGATAGTTCTGATGAGTGCCATACTTTCTCGCCCTGCCAACACCAGTGGGAGTGTAGCCTGCAACGATATCCCCCTCCCGAAACGTCGATTCTGGGTATGACTTCAGCACTTTACCGCAAAAATCATAACCAAGAACGGCTGGATAGATGCCTAGCAAAGTTGCATGTTTGGCATCTGCGGGATTGGTTCCAGAAAAGAGTGTTTCAATCAGAAGTTCCCCAACCTCTGGTTCCCACAAGGGTTCCTGGCTCCGTCGAGGTGCGAAGACGATATTCTCGTCGACAACGAGAGCGGTCATAGGAGCAGCAATGATATTTTTAGAGGACATCCTTTCGTTTGCGGTCTCTTCTTCTCGCTTCATATGAATATGTGAGGACGGACGAAATTGTTCGACGGCGATGTTCTGTCAAGGCAGCATCTTGCTTAAAAATTCCCCATGGTTCCGATCGGAGCCCGGATGATCAAACTAATCGTGTAGACCGCATTTTACCCCGTCGGCCCAGTGGGGTCATTCTTACCCCGTCGGCTCAGTGGGGCGGTCCACACGCCTCCCCGATCCCGCCAAGCTCATAACATGGATTACGCCATGCACGACAGCCGCCGCAAGTTACCAAAAGTTAGCGATCAATTCCAAACTGTGTCACGGAGGGTAGCAGCTAGGTAATAGATCGGATTATTCACCCAGTGAATCATTCTTGGGTTTGTATAAAAAGCAGATACCATTCAAAGTTGGTTACATCTCCAAAGCCAGTGGGAGATCTATGTTAACCAAAGAAAGTATAAATCTGCAGCCCCATATATTCTCGGAAGTAGATGCCCATTCCAATTTCCGCTTCCGCTTAGTGATCGGGATGTGGACCGGCGGACATGCAGTGGATGTACGGATTTCAAGAAATAGACCATCTTATAAAAACTCGCACTTGGACTTAAATCATCGACAGAAAACTTTTGCAAATCATTGATATGTCTTTTCCTCTTACGAAAATCACTTATAAGCCCCTCATCCACCCGGCTGAACATCCAGCCTATCGTTACAATGGATTTCACCCCGGCCGAGTCACAACGCTGCGAAAGGGCCATGTAAAGCAGCCCGGTTTTCAAGCCTTTCCAGTCGATGTGACCTGGGAACAGGATTCGGCGATTCCTATGCGCGATGGAATAAAACTGTATGCCGATATTTTCAGACCAACCCACGGCGATAAGATCCCGGCCATTATCCCTTACAGTCCGTACGGTAAGGTCGATTCGGGTGTGCTGTCGTACGATAATATGGGCCCTTACCGAATGGGTATTCCCTTCCAGCGACTGAGCGGATACGAAACCTTTGAAGGACCGAATCCCGCGGAATGGGCTGAGCGGGGATACGCTGTCGTTGATATCGATGCTCGTGGGGTGGGCCACTCTGAGGGCAATGTTGCTTTCTGGGGTCAGCAGGAGGCAGAGGATATTTATGATTCCATTACATGGGTCTCTCAGCAGCCGTGGTGTAGCGGGTCGGTTGTTCTAGCGTAAGTTGATTGGATGTCTGTATTGTTTACCTTACTGACTATAATAGCGGAAATTCCTGGCTTTCTATCGCGCAGACGAATTTCGTTTCTCGATTCACTCACTCAGCGCTCAAGGCAATTGCGCCATGGGAAGGTCTGTCGGATCCTTATACGCAGCAGGCTTGTCGCGGTGGAATCCCCAATGTCCCTTTCAATGAGATGATTGTTAGTAGTTTTGGTGGTCTTTCAAATGTCGAGGACCTGGCAAGCATGATCAGAGAACATCCCCTCTATGACGAGTACTGGGAAAGCAAGAAAATCGACACTACGAAGATGGGCAATATCCCAGCTTACTTTACGGCTTCCTACTCCACGGGACTCCACTCGGAGGGTTCCTTCGAGGGTTATCGCACGGCATCTACAGCAAAGAAATGGCTTCGGGTCCATAACTCGCAAGAATGGCACGATCTCTACACCGTCGCAGCAAATGATGACCTGCAGCGCTTCTTCGATTTCTACGCTAAAGGAATTCAGAATGGCTGGGAGGATACTCCGCGGGTGAGGCTGACCTTACTTGGATTCGAAGACAGTCCTGCGAAGAGTGTCATCGAACGAGCAGAGGCGCAGTGGCCACCTGCACGTCTCCGTACCGAGAGGTACTTCTTGGATGCCGCCACGGGGAGTTTGACTTCAAGCAGACCACAGAATTCTTCGAAATCTGTCCATGAAGGACACTCTCTGACGGACTCTTCGGACTTCAAACTGGTCTTCCCAGATTATACCGAGTTGTGCGGGCGCCCATTCGTCAAACTCTTCATGTCAGCTCCATCCCACGACGAAATAGACGTCGTCGTTCAGATTCGGAAATTGTCCGCATCTGGCAATCTCCTCGAGTCGCTGAACTGGTCTCCTATGCCCCTGCCTGCGCCGAAGGTTCCCAATGTGAATGTTGCCAAGCATCTTGGTCCGCAGGGCATGCTACGCGCTTCGCATCGTGTGAGCATAATGCCTAGATCTAGCGAAAATGACGTTCCCTGCTATGATCACCGCAGCAGGCAGCCTATCTCACCGGGTAAGATTGTGGAGTTAATGGTTCCGATTTGGCCTATTGGTGTCGTTTATGAGCCCGGTGAGGGTCTTTTGCTCAGGATCTCTGGCCATGATATGTCGCTGCCAGAAACTGAGGCGTTAAAACCCCTTGAGCCTCGTGATGAGAATAAAGGACAGCATATTGTTCATACTGGTGGGGATTATGATAGCTATCTTGTGCTTCCGCGCATCGCGTAGGGCAGATGCTGTGAGGCTAATAGTCTACAGTAGATTGAGCGAACAACTTTGGAAGTATCTTGTGTGTTGAAAGTTAATGTATGAGGAATCCTTACAACCCTTTTCTTTCAGATTTAAGCAGTCTTTTTGAGTCCCGGTGTATCTAGGCCGCATCAGCAAGATATGAGGAGCTTCTACTTAGTCACATTTAAACTACAGCGTGATTCCGTAACCCCACTCACAAATGGCTACTGATATTACACTCCAAACCTACTAGCGCCTGCTAAATTCCAGGGAAAATCCCGCGGCTATTCAAATCTTTCCAATCACCTTTCGAACCCCATATTCTCGAATACTTTCTGACTTGGCCGAATCACCGGACATCAGCTAATGTCCGAGAACAGTCAAAGTAGAACAACGTCAGTGGTGGAGGCCATGGAATAGGGTGCGCTTCCATTATAACTTCAAGTACTCACATATTTACGTGTTGCTCGCTGCCCTACACATGGCTGTTGCTAAACGCGAAAGAATTTCCTCGCGTCAGCTACTCGAGAGGCATCGCATGAAGAGCCGACAGCGATAGAGTGTCGGGTTTGCTACAAAAAAAGAGCCGGAGGCTATATTGAACGTTGATGTGTTGCACGAAACGATAAGCGGCGAACACCATCTTTGAAATTAGAATACTGAACCCAAGTCAAGCAATTGTGTAGTACATACGACCATAGGGTGTGGAGAACAGGGCTTCCCGTCCGCTCGACCGTACTTAAGCCACATATATCCGCACGGCTGATCATTTGTAGAGCCCTATCACCATAGAGCAGCGACGAGATGTATATTAGGTTAGTGTGGGTGATATAGGTAAGAATAAGAATTTTCCAGACTGGGTGATCGAGGTGAGAGCCTCAGCGATATAAGCCTTAGATCTACGATTACCTTACGGGTTATAGGTATAGTCGCATTTTTCGGTAACGCATCTTACGTAGGGTATAGTACCGGTGTATTGTATTGGGTATAGTAATATTGCCGCCAAACTTTGTTATGAGACTTCTGACCTTGGCCCTCTTTTTCTGGCACTCTATGCAAGTAAGAGATACGTTACATCGCTGTTTAATTGACAATTCCGACTTAGGAAATAAAATAATGGATCCGTCGTTCGTAGGCAGAAGCTTACGTAGAGTTCTGTCTATCGGCATTAAGATTGTAGATCAAGAATACGACTTTGCGAAGTGTTAAGGAAAAGAAGATTTCACCTACGGGAGAGAGAAACATATTAATACTATTTGAATTTCGGAATTTTAGGGAAACTTCTAGGCTTTATTCTTAGATTTTCTATGTTGTAATTTAAAATCTCAGTGCCATATCCTTTATTGACTGTCACCCAATTCCACAGACGCTTGAACTGAGCAGAGTTTGAAGATGACAGTTATCTACTGAGACCCTGCGCAGATGATACTTTCAGGGTTTCCCGGTCTGTACCCGATACTGCATTAATCCATGATTGGCTCAGCCATTCAAAGCTCATTTCTGAAAAGACCGTTTCCGCTCACAACGGAAACCTGACGCATATTTCTATCAAAACAGGCATACAAAGCATATCCATACCCCACCATGTCGCTCACTCGATCTTATAAAACGTAGAAGATATAGCGTACAGCTCAACCATAGGCCATTATACCTTAATTTCGTGTTCTATCAGTAGTAAAGTACAACGGTCACCGCATCAAAAAACGAAATGAGCTTAAATGATGGAATTTATTGGGACAAGCATCAATTCCCGATGTGATGGCAATCTCGCCGATTCGCGTTGTGGAGTCGCGTTGCGCAAATCATGCTGCAAGTTGAGAAGGATTGTTCCCCGCACGGACGTGAGTTATCTCAATCTGTATTTCACTGGTTGATGATCCCGACCGCACGAACATGATTATCATCAGAAGTCCGTATTGCCTCCAAAGAATAGGTCAAAACCCTTTGAAAACAACGGAGTTTTTGTTCATTCTTATTCGAGTAGGCTTTGCGTCGTTTGTCCGGAGTGGGAGAGCTGGGAAAGAAAGCCTGTGTGTGTGTTTTCAAGGGGGTAAATTGTTTTCAAATCCTACTATACTTTGAATTCTCTGGTTTACAGAATCGGGATGGGGCGGAGGTGATCCTTCAGCTGTTTGCTTGTCAAGGAGAGACCTTCGGGGAGGTATTAGGAAATGCACGGGCCTTTGCCTTGGGCGGCGAAGGTCTTATCAGCTAGCCAAGAATTTTCATACATGTTGTTCTTTAGGTGGCAATGTCTGCGGATGGACCCACAATCTTGGGAACAAAACATATGGCGGGGGTGGACGAGCCTGTATCACACAGGCGCCTTGGAACAGTCAGCAATTTTGGTCGAATCTCCGTATGCCCCCAATCTCCTAGATCATATATATCGACTAGAGACAATTTGATGAATTGATTATTACTCGTTGACTTACAATTACTATTTAAAGCTAAGATGATGGAAGCGAGTAAAAGTGATGATTCAGGAAGTCAATGCGCTAACCGCGCGCTACCTCGGGGCGGAAAGGATTGCCCCACTCGCTTTCCAGCAACTTCCCTCTCCCCTCCCTATAAATCCGCTGCTTTCTTTCTCGGTCACTGGAGAGTCACTGCGCGATACCAGCTGCTGCCTCCAAATTTCATCAGCAAGGATCACACACCTTTATACAATTATGGCAGAAGTGGTCGGTAGCGTATCTGCTATCACGTCCCTCGTGACACTGGCTCTCCAATCTTCTATCACTCTTTATCAGACGGTCCAGAGCCTTCAATCGCGAGATAAGGTGATTCGTGAGCTGCGCCAGGAAGTAGAGGCTCTTCAGACTGTCCTCCAGGCTCTGGATGAATCAATCTGCAGCTTTGACGTCGATCTTACAGCGCTTACGCAACCTCTCATGAGATGCAATAATGCCTGTAATGAATTCAACGCTTTAATCATGAAATGCACGCCACGTTCCAGCGGGGAGCGGAGTAGCAAGAGGGATTGGCTTAGAATGAGATATATGGGCGAGGACATTACCGGTTTCAAGGACATGTTGGCTAGTTACAAGTCAACCATTTCCCTCGCACTCGCATATGCAAATTTGTAAGTACCTGTCTTCTTTCTCCTCCTTGGTCTAACACCTTCTGATTAGACGCACCACGAAGACCACAAGAGGGGTTCTGGAGGAATATAAGGAGCTTATAGAGAATACGAAATGTGATCTAGAAAACCACCTGTACGATATTCGAGAGCGGCTACAGACTGCATCTTCTCAAGGTCCGGTGGTCTCCGGCATCGACACGGTGGAGCTCCAATTAATGGAGGAGGAGAAGGATAGCACGCAGAAGAGCCTCGAAATCTGTGAGCAATTCTTCTCTCTGATCAACCAGTCGCGACCAAGCTTGTTGGGTGAAGTGGCCCATTCTTTGAGTCCCTTTGATCACATGTCCGGGTTCTTTAACCCTAACGTGTCATCATTGATCAATGCGGAAGGTCTTAACTCCACCTATAAGGAGATCACGAGCTGGAAGCTGCGCCTACTCCAGCATCTACATGGTGTCGATCGGATTGTTCAGGGGCAACAGCGCAATATGCCTCGCCTGAACACGGAGCCAGAACCCGAGGAACAAAATTTCAGAGAAGATTTAAGCGGCACAGAATCTTTACTCAATTTCTGCAAACAGGTGGAGGAAGAAGCAAAGCACCAACGAACTCACTATTTCGAGGATGTCAGCACAGGCGACAATAGCCGACAAGCCATTGTCACTACTCTCGAGGATCTCATATCCGCCAAACGCATCAAGTCAGGTAATAATTCATATCAAGCACTTGGCAGAATGGCAGATGAGAGCATTCAATCCTTTTTCAACAGTGCTATGCCGAATGATGGATCCAATGACCATGTAGAAAAGGAAGGAAAATAGGCTGATTGCCATCGGCTACAGTGAGAATGTACCTTGTCAACATCAAAGACAGTGGGCTGCGGTGTCGGGGGGCTACGTTGTCTTTTTTTTCCCGTATTGATTGGAAAACTACAAAGATTCCAATTATGATCCATGGCTTTCACTCATATTCCCCAGTGGCTTCGTGCTTGTGGAGAGCTTTAAACCCAAGCACTAAGCTGTCAGGTAGCAGGTGTAACTTTGCTGAACCATATTTCATAAGGAGAGTGTACATTAAAAAGACTATGCTGGATAATATTTCTCATAATCCGATTCAGCATTCAATTACTAGTCTACGCGACACTTATTCAGACATACAATCTGATCTTCACAAATTGGAAAGTTTACGTATAGTTCCATGCAGCTTTATGACGGCTGAATGGTATCTTAGATCCTTGCTCCATACTGTATAATTACGTGATTGGTCCACTGCTACTTCTTTTCTACTTTGGAGTAGTTTTTGATGGCTGGACCATGTACCGGCCAAGTGAGAACAGGCACAGCAACACTGAAATATTGGAGAAGATTCATACATGTTACAGTGGAAAATTGTGGATCCACTCACCTAAGTTAGGATTACTTTTAATGAAACCTAGTAACTCTGCCTGTTTGTGAGTCTTACGAGCGAGAATTTTCATCTCTTGCGGGATGGGGCAATGCATTTCAACTCGTCTTGCAGATCCGTCCAGTGAGAGCCGGCGAGGTCAGCCCCTTCAACGTGGAGATAAATAATGCGTGTCTTAAAGAGCATTATTCATAGCCACCATGGCTCGCTCCACTCGCATGGTCCTGGGATTGGAATTCTCGGGATGGGATATTCCTGGGTTTTGTCAAGATCTAACTCGGAGGCCGACCAGGGCCATTCTGGAACCTGGCACTAAGCTTTTCTGACGGATTCTATAATCGTGGATGCGCAATTTACCTGATTAGATATTCTCACGGACAATAGGAATTATTGTGCTTACCGCCATAATCAATGAGGGGCCAGAGGGGCTTTCTTATACTTCCAACGACCAGTAAGCTATCCGTCTTACTCACCAGATAAGGACGGGGTCTTAATCTAAGTCGAATAATGATCACAACATGGATAAATAGAAGTACGATATAATTGTAGTAAATTACCAATCTTTAGAAGTACATGAGTTCATTCTCAAACAGCAATCGCAAGACCCTCACGATGGAAAGAGATTAGGTCATCACTAGCCTCAGCCTGACCAGATCCAAAAGATTGCAAATTCCATTTCTCAACACCTTCCACTCCCTCCAGGTCATGCGCAAATGCACCAAAAAGATCGTTGTTAAGCCGTTCATATTCAGAGTAATCCTTGGGCCAATCACCGAGGCGCTCAACGGCAAGTTTAAGCATGCGCAAGTGCTGTCGGACATGTTTCCCTTCTTCATTTTCACCTGGACTGGATGCGGAAGAAGGCGATGACATTCCCGAGATAACCTCCATGTCCACGTCGCTCGCAGATGCTGAGGACGGGTCAATGAACACGCGTAAAGCGTTCTCGTGCAACGCGGCGGCCTTACGATAGTACCGATAGGCTAGCTCGCGCCGGGTCTTCTGGTTCTGATACCCTTGAGCCACGCTAGTATACATCTGCGATAGCAGGACGGTGATCTCGACCGTGCTCGGGTGGCGGGGACCATGGACACGAGCGCAGTTGTATACAAGATCCTCTGCGAGCTTGATGGATGCCGTGTAGTCACCGATGAGGTAGCGACTAATGACCAGCATGCGCCCGAGAGCAAGGATGTATGCGTGCTGGGGCTGTGATAGGGCATGCACACGGTTGTTCCACAGGGATGTGAGAACCCAGACCAAGGAGTTGTAGTCGTGTTGCTCATCAAGAACCTTGATCAAGCTATTGACACTCGTCACATCCAGGTGTGTGAACTCGACATTGTGCTCTTTGAAATAAGTAAGCGTGTCGCGGAGAATCATTCCCGATACGCTCGACATGTAATTCTTAGATGAGTCTCCTGGATGAGTGTCGATCTCTTTACTGGCGATGAGGAGACCAAGCTTGAACACCAATTTGAGTGTTGCTTGGGACGAGTAGCCATGGCGGGCACCGATATATTTCATTGTCGTGAACGCCAGATGGCAGGCAGACTGGTAATCTTTAGAATTGAGCTGCTGGGCTGCGCGGTTGTAACTAGCGATGGCCACTGAACGGGCAAAGTCGCGTGAGGCATGAGTGCTGAAGTACTCTAGAACCGTCTCAATGAAGATCTTGGCCTGGTTAAAGTCGATATCCAGACTGGAGCCCTCAGTCTTCAGGAAGAAGCTAGTATATTGATCCACCATCTGAGTAGCAGCTAATCGGCGGCGGCGACTGAGTAGGAACGCGTACATGCGAGCCACCTTGGGCACTGTCTGTTGCAGATTGCAAGTCTCTGACGCGAGAATCGCCCGGAATTTTTCAAAGTATAGATACTCCGTGGTTAGGGCGGCGTGGATCTCGTTCAGCGTAGTCGAGTCATCTGTAGATTGCTGGATGGTGTATTCAAGCTGCGCCAGGAAACCAAGTCCTAGCCGCCGGTTCGAAGTTTTGTCAAAGCCAAGGGCACTGGCGCTGTTGCTGGCCTTGATAATTATGTGGAGATAAATCTCGTCGGCAAGCTCCCTGGCCTTGTGAACTTGACCAGCTGAAATGTATCCGGCTGCAATACTCTTGGCCGCTACAGCCAGCTTTATTGAGGATGTCTCTGTCGACAGCACTTGCACTGTTGCCTCCTGTAGCAGTGACACAGCAGCCTGTAGCTTGTCTTGCTTAACATATAGCGAGACAATATTTTCCATCTGGGAAAGTGCTTCTTCATGAGCCCACCCGTAGCTGGAGCGGATCGAGGCCAGTCGTTGAGTGCGAACAGACACCACCTGCTCTACCTCCTTCGTAGTCATATTCTCCACTTTCGAAGTTGTCAAGGCAGCACTTTGTTGTTCATATATAGTGTCGAGGGTGGTGCGGATATCTTGATGGTCGATCTCAAATTCACTGGATTTGACCTGCAAGAGCTCTTGGTAGAGCTGAACGGCTTCCGTTTCGTATTCCTTGGACTCTTGGCAGATGTTCGCGAGTGTTTTGGTTGCTTGTATCGTGATTGACGAGCTCGCACCGAACAGACTAATGCACGATTTGCGATACTGCACGGTCACATCATGAATCACGGAAGCCTCACTGTTAGCCACGCGCAGACAGTGAACATAACCTTCGTAGATATTCCGGACAAATGTCTGGTCCTGCAATTTCTTGCTGATATTCGGGGTTTGCAGGGTATTGAACAAGACTCGACAAGGCTTGAGGGCATCCGCATAACGATCTTGTTTCAAGAGCTCCGTCGCCACAATCAGAAGTGGCTCGAAAGCGTCCGGGTGACACGTTTCCGAGTCCTTGTTCAGCAACTGCACAATCTGGTGGTAATATTCCACTGCGATGGGATGTGGACGCGTAAGCTCTGCCAAGGTCCAGAGCTTTTGGAACACAGCGGGATGCTCCGTACCGAACCGCTTAGTGAAATCGTGCAGCATATCCTGGTGGATGGTGATGACCTTTTCGGGCTGGAATGTCCGCTCGTATAGACGAAGCAGGTCCACTGTGACTCGCTCCAAGACTTGATCTCCGCATGCTGACCGATCACGCCGGGCTGCACGATATAGCCGGGTCCGAGTATCTTCTTCCTTCACCGAGTGATGCCGATAGCGGTAACAGCCAGCAAGGCGCTCTGCGAGTTCAATACAGTACTCAACATGGGTTGATGGTAGAACGACTTCTTCGGGCGATGGAGCAAACATCGCTGGCCACAAACTCCGCAGCACTCGTTTCAAAACACCTGTGGCATTACGCCAGCGGTGTTGAGACATGTAAATTTCCACCAGCGAGAGAGCCGACCGACTAGAAACCTGTTCGGCACTTGATGCGCTATTTACTATTTCTGTTAGGGTTGACTCCGTCATCACCGACGTTGTAGAAATTGAGCGCATCACTTCCCGAGATGTGGACTCGATATGCCTTTCCACGTCTTTATAGGCAGCACCCTTCTTGTTAGTACTTTGTGCGCAATGCTTCAGGACCTCGAGGGCTAGTACGGCCAGTCCCACGGACTTCATAATCTGAGCAATCTCCAACAAATGAGGCACCAAAGGTTCGGCGCTAAGAGTGGTTTTATCATACTCTTCCCAGAATCCTGCGAGGATTGATGCGGCCTCATTGTCTCTCTTCTGACCTTGGAGGAATTTCGTGTAGGCGACAACACCTCGCACCATCGAGGGCTTGTGCCCAGTGGAGTGGTTGAACTGATACGCATGGCTAGCCTGCTGCCACAGCTCCACATACGTTTGTTCGGCCTCCACAACATGCTGCTCTGCACTTTGATGCTCTGCCTGGTCCAAAAGAGTTTTTATATCAAAAGAGAAGGTAATCAGCTCATCCGCCTCGATATCATCAAAGGTCAGAGGGGTTCCTGTCTCCGTTGGACCCTTCCGACCGTGTAAATGGACTAGCAAAGACTCGTCCATCTGCCGCGATCCACTTCGCTGGGGTGTGCTATTGGTAATTGAACCCTCGAGAGACTCAATAATCTCCTGCGCTTTATGGTCCTCTTTGACCAACAAATAGTGCTCAGATAACTGCTTCAGCGTAGAGGTGATCACAATGCTTGTTGCTGAGTGGTGAACCTTGTAGCATTCCAACAGCACCTTGAGCATCTCGACGCGCCAGGTCAAGACTTCCGTCTTAGATTCAGTAATTTGATCGGTCGTAGTATCCAGGAAGAATTTTGTCATCTGCATAGTGATGAGATGCCGGACTGATAGCACATTCTGACATATCTTCGCCGCCTCATAAAAGATCCGAGTGCTCTCAGCAGGCACAGTACTGTAGATCTGTCTGTAGAATAGTGCCTGAGAGATGATGGCTTGTAGGGTGGCTGGGTGATTGCTGCTCAGGATTTGACGGTACAAGCTCGTTTGAATCCCATGAATGGACCGGAGCGATGGCGTCGCCTTGTTCGCCCATGTGGTCATCTCTAGAAGTGGCACAGCAGAGCTGGTAGGAAAAACCGACCGCAAATTCTTAGCCGCTGTATTGAGCTCTTGGTTGTTGGTGCAACCAAATGCAATATTGACATAGCTTGCCCAATAGCGAAGCGCAAAGTCCAGCAGACAATGTTTCTCCAGCAGTTCGTCGGTGATCCGCTTATTCATTGCTTCCAACGAGGGATCATGATTTCCGGTCAGAGTATGTTTTGAGTATAACAAGAGTCTCTGTGCAAAGTCCACTTTGCGATCCTTAATCGCGGGCAGTAGGTTGTGCTTTGAGATAACGTCCAGAATAGCGGTGCGCACTTGTGCATGTCTAAGGTAGACCAGCTCATTATAGAGAAATACAAGCGAAGCAACCGGTTTCAGCAGGTGAGGGATGTCGACGGCTTGGTTCTCGATGACGGCAGCCCTGTCGGGCTGGATGGAGAGAAGAGCAGCTAATTCTCGCTGGGTGAGAGGGCGATTTGCAGTAGCTAGCCAGAGCAAGGTCTTCTTCGTATCCTCATTTAGTTTTGATTGCAAGGTGTATGAGACAAGATCGAAGATTTTGTATCCAGCCTGGACAAGACTATCCACGGATTTGGAAAATGCGGCCTTATTCGGGGGGTTCTCATCGCGCAGGCGCTTCGAGGCCAATTTCGCCCAGAGGAAAGATCCATCGGAGGCTTCTGTGACCTTAACGACCGTCATCTCCTGGTCTTCAGCCGACATAGCATTAAACGCGTGGCTCTGGGTAAGAATCTTGCGCGTGACTGCCGCAATGTCATCAAAAATGAATCCTAGAGTCACCTGCACTGTCGTCTCGGAAGGCATTGACTTTATTGCCGGAGAAGCAAGCATGATCAGTTTCATGGAAGGGGTTTTGGACACAGTTTCATGCAAACGATGCGACATGGCCATCTCTCCGCAGCTGGCCTCATCAACACCATCAAGGACCAAGACCAGTTCTCTAGCACCGACCAGGCTGGCCTGGAGTGCACTTGAGATAGTATTCCAAAGCAAGTCGTCATGTGATTTTTCGTCAACAGTTGATTTGCTGTTAGTGTAAGCATCGGCCAAAATCTGATATAGCTGGACGTTGCCGAGACGTTTGTTAAACATCTGCAACAGAATCGTCTTGGCTATGGCGGTCGGAGTCGTGTTGACAGGAATGCGACCGTCTGAAACTTGGTAGTTAGAATTATCTAGGCTTTGGTACAAGGACAGCAATACTGACTGATAGGTGCCAAGATTGGCGTGTACTTCATCCCTCCTACGGGATGCTGCAGATAATCGTTTATCACGGTCGACAAGACCGTCTTTCCGGATCCCGGTTTCCCAGTGATAGAAAGCACCTGCTGCTTGCCTTTCAAGAACCGTGTCAAATATGGCTTCACCCACATACAGGTGGCCTCCTCGCGCTCCTGGGCAGACGGGACCAAGGCTTCCGTGACATGAGCGAGTGCCGGGTCATCAGGCTGCAGCCAGTCCTTCAGCGTATGTATTCCGACCACTGCGCAATTGTCAAAATTGACTGTATGAACCTAGGAACTCTAAAGATTACCTTTATCCACATCAAGCCCCTCTCGCGTCAATTGATGATGCCACATGAGTTCCGACACGTGCTCGCAACGACCACGGAAGCTATCGATTGGACTGGGAAATGTGCGATAGATATCAATTGACACCGACTCCGAGGAGAGAAGCGATCGATGAAAATGTCTGGCAACGCAAGAAACGAGAGTAACCAAGTCTGCCAACGCGAGAATAAGCTGATCCTTGATATCGGAGGATACCAAAAAGAGCTCTGCACGATCCAGCAGGTTACCGAGACCGGTAGAGCAGCGGTAAAAGAAGCCAAAGAGATCCATAAGGGCGGAGGCATTTTGCTCACCCAACTGCCAGCTCAAGATTAGCGAATGGCTTCATTGGCCCAGTCACATTGGCCCAGTCAGTCACTGTCTTTGACATACCTCAAGTAGGCTCGCACAATATCCATAAGAAAGCTGAGCAGCGAGATGACTATCGCCTGCAAAGTGCGCAATCTCCGAATCAAATGAGTGTACACGCTCGACAAACAAGGCCGCCCATACAAGGGCTTTGTCAAAACTACTCCCTTCTGGTGGCAGCTTTTTCATTCTCTCGCACCGTATCCATTCCAGCAGGCTGGCATAGTCGGTATCGGATACCCGGGAGACCGTATTTTCGTCGCTGTCCCGGCGGGCAAGAGATTTGACAACATCAGCGAGCGTGTTGGCTTCTCCATTGGATTTCCTGGTGATTTGAGAATATTGATGACTGGTGCGCTTTTCCTTGGTGACGGCAGCGTGCTGCTCTAGCATGTCTGATGCCTGCCGCAGACCAAGCAGGGAAGTAGATGTTACAGGAGTTACGCCACTGGGTACTGGAGCCATGGCTGAGGTCGTTTATTTGTCGTAATATTATTTATTTGAATTGTTGTGAATGATTGCCCATACATTAGATAGGAAAAGCGAGTTGACATTCTTATACTTGTCTCCTCTTCCTATTGCGTCAGGAAATGCGGGCAATCTCTTCTGCAAAGTCCATAACGTCAGTATGAGGCAGCTCCAACTCAAAGATTGTCCGAGATGGGAGTTACAGTATATCGAAAGGGAAATAGTATACCTCGCCACTGCTGATAACCCTATCTGGTCGAGGCGGCGCAGCTTAGGGTGCGATAGAATCGTGTTTCCCTCATGAATTTTGATATAACCAAGGTGTGAATGGCTGAAAACGGTTATATGGCCGAGGATTCTGACGTGCTTTGTTTAAAATAGGCCAAGGTTTCCGAGCCGTGATTTAGAAACAGAAGCGAGACGGGCTATTTTGAGCTTGGCTCGCATTGATTCGCCAATTATGAATGCTGGAAGGATTTCTCACCAAAACAATGACACAGGGTATGGTGTTGAATGGGTACATTAAGTCTCACGGCTTCCCTAAACTAAAATTCACGATATCCCAGTATAAAGTCTATGGGTATTACTCAATGCACCATGGTTATCCATCGGGAATTAATGACACAGACCTCGGGGAGAAAGTAATTTGAGCCATTGACTTTGAAGTAGCGGGCCATGTGATAAGTGATCTCCTCGGTGATGCACACACTAGAATGAACAGAATTGCCCAAAGCACCGCTGTTCAGGAGGAATTCCGAGGCTCACCTGCAAATAAAGTTTGATCATTGTTCTAGTGCACTACTGACAAGCTCTTTTCAACAAGAGGAATATGATGTTATAGATGGGTCCAGCTACGATCCAGAATGTCGGCTTAGTCCAACAAATAAACATTTTCAAATACCTGAATTCACTATTATATGAGCCAGGGATGAACCAAGTTGATCCACAAATCAATCATGAGAAATTTTGCTCGTCCCGTGCCGGTCCTTCCGCCATGCCCTCATTGTAGAGACCCACACGGATGCAACCAGCATGCCGCTTGGATCACGGGATGGATCACAGTTATCAAACTTTCTTTTTAATAGAAAAAGCATAACCAAACGCTTTTTTCGAACATCTTGAATCATTGACAGATGGATTCCATCTGGTTCATAGTCAAGGACCGCGTCAGATTAAAAAAATTTATTGATCAGAAATCTGGATAATTGGTACATATGTCATCTCAGAACCAAACTTCAACCCAACCGGACAATCATCAGGATTCTGCCACGGTTCGCTTGACCGTGACTTCTAGTGCTTCCGTGCCCGGGGGCAAACCAGCTCCATCGTCATTTTCATCAAAGAACAGTGTCCACAGATCCTGATCTTCCTCCGCGCCTAGCTCTTTAGCTCTTTTGTCGTCCCGAACTCGCACAGCCAACCAGCCTTCCCAGCCCTGTAGGGTGACCCGCTCTTCATCTTGTGTCCAATTGAAAGGGCCACAGATATTTCCCTCGCTATCCTGTCTACCACCCCATCGCATCTCATGGGTCTGCAAATCAAGATAGAACCAGCGTAGAGTGGGAGGCGTTTCGCCTGTGATGGTGACAAATCCTGCCGTGTTACCCGGGGCGAAATCGGGGTGTTGATAGAAACCACCATTTAGCGGAACCAGCTGTGAGTTAGGGTGTTTCGTGATGTATATCTGGATGGTTAGTCAGTTTTATGTGGTATAGCTAATACGCAAAGTGACAAATTCGGATACATGCAAATTAGCTGCATAGGATGGATCTGACGTACCTTTGAATCTGGGCCCAAGTATAACTTCGCGTTATGAATCGCCAATCTCTGCTCCAGTGATCCATCAAGAGGCATGCATTGGACTAAAAGATGACAGCGTTGCTTTCGTGCACTTTCTCGTCTGCGGTCTTCATGATCCCGGGTGCCCTTAGATGCCTCGTTGACCCCAATGATTGTTGGGACCATCGCGGTCATTAGGAAAATTGGCAATACCATTGATGCGGCGTATTATTTTACAAATTCTTCAAATGCCGCAATGAGTCCTACTTCAGAGTTCTTGGCTTCTCGTTCTAATAAGTTTCCAGTGATGAACTCTGGGCGGCTCAGTCTTAGGCCAAGTGATGAAAACGGAGCCTTTCATGTATCTACCGTAAGGTAGGTCCCATACCCCAAATCTACATGACGTGAAAAGGAATCACTAAACTTTAGCTCCAAGTAAAAGTGGCAACTTCTCTTGCGTCCTTGATAGAGGTCCATCGACCATCTTCCCAAGTGCGTCAGTGCATGAAAAAAGGGTTCAAGGTCGAATTTCCGCACACGGATTGTTTGTTGTGGTCCCGGAAGCTGCAGGAATCATAGACTTTCCATTACACAGTGGAAACAACCTTTGACTCCCTTATCTCAATACTACGGCATTTCCGTCCGTAGGTTCATCCTAACTGGTATCGCTGCATTCATCATGGATTGGGATCCTTGGGAATACGACTGTCATCACTCGACAGCATAAATATCACGCATCTTTTCTGCCAATAATTTCTCAAACGCGTGAAGGGAGCAAATCAATGTAGAAGCCACCTTCTGCCGGAGCCCCTAAGTAGTACTTGATTCATTTCTCCAGTGAGTACCGTCTATGGTCTTTCTTTTGGTGGTGACCAATACTCAAAATTATTTATTGCAGCAACCTTGACCTATCCCCACACAAGCTCATCACCCACACCAAGATGGCACCAGGTGATCCTGTTCAAGCATTGAGGTATATACAAGTTCAACTTAAGCTCTACACCCTCATATTGCTTTTTTTCATTCAACACGCCTCATCTTTCGAAGTCCCAAAGGCTAATTCGATGGTCGACCGGTGCAGCGAAATCGCTCCCACCGGCAGAGGAAACCGGAGAGGCCGACAGAGTTCGGAAAGCTCGACTTCGAGCAGCGACCCCCTCGAAAATCTAGTGAATCCTGAAACTCTTGCTAATGGAGGAGGTGAACTGATGACGCCCGCTATCGCCCGTGAACTGGACAAGAAAAAGAAGAAAGATGACGAAGACGACAAAGGCAGCCTACAGATCAAGATTCATCTTGATCTCCACGCCAAAATCAGACTGGACTTGGACGCTGATCTATATGGAGATATTGTGATCGGGTTACTGTGATCTATTGTGATGCCCAAGATCGACTGCCCCTAGCTGAATTGTAACGAGAATATATTTTAGCCTGTGTAACGCAAGTAGTTGTAAAGCCTAGCATTGCATGATATATTTTATCAATGGTAGCTTCCTGCACAATCTCGAAATTTCCGGGGAGTTTGTTTAAAATTTTTTAGAGTTTTTTTTTCGTTTCTCAAGATGCAGGACTGTTTTCACGTCAAGGCTTTCAATTCAGGAAATACAGGGACATCATTCACCGCCTCACCGCGCTAATCGAATCAACCAAAACTAGCTACAGGAGGTCAGGGGATTGACTAGCGGGATTGATTAGCACTTAATGAGCCCCTTTGAGCCGCAAAGTAATATATGGAACTCAGAAATATGAAGCCTACGTTTGCCTTTATTCACGTTATATAAGTCAGAGAAGTCCGGCGTTACTAATGCATCTTGGATGAATTTTAAGATCCCCACACTGATAACAACAAATTTGTCTTTAATTGTCAACTCTGTGTACAGTATCCATCTCACGCAAACCGAGACTGGGATTCTTCATATAAGGAGACTCCTTTAACCCCATCTTTCCTGATTAAGTCGCGGAGCTGCATGCTGAAGTGCTAGGAGCACCCGTACAAATGACCTTTACCTCTGTCCAAGAGTGTGTTTGCGCGGGGACAATAGAGGTATAGGGCAAGGCAGTGGTGACACAAGTGTCGCAAACTGAGCTTGTCTGACAATTGCCACACGACTTCGGTGGAAGACCTCTGTAGTCAACTCCAGGGTTGCTCGCTAATCCTTCACCCTGGCCAGCCACGATCGTTGCCAGGGACACGAGTAGGATAGGCGAGATGTTTTGAAATTTCATAATGAACTATTCTGCCTTTGAAAAAGTCAACATAGGTACTATATGATCTTTGCCAGGCGGACAAACCTTTGAGGGTTGATGTCTGTTAGGTTGAGAAACGTTTCTGCTTGATTGTTAAAGAATGGAGGGATGGACATTTGTCTAGAAGTATTTATATCTTGTTCATTCGGTGTACCAATACAAGATCCCTGGTAGTAGAATTCTGATTGTAGCTTATATCACAGTCTCACCATTTGGAAGAGTGATGCCATTAAGGTCTGATGACTCGCTCTCATAGCTTATGACTTACAAAAGATGATATATGATATCATCTATCTGGCTTTATCTTCCTACAGGCAGCGTATTAGATGAAATAGAACTAGCTATAAGATGCTTGACTCATTGTAGATATTCAATGACGTACCAATTTCTACTCTACAGCTCATACTATCTCTCAAGAGAATCGCAAGTAGAAGGTAGTATTAGGATTAGATTTGTCTTCCTAAAGGCAGTGTCGTAAATGTAATAGAACTAGCTATGAGATGCTTGACTCACCTGTAAACATTCCATGACGTATCAATTTCTATTCTACAGCTCATGGTTTTTCTCAAGAGAATCGCAAATAGAAGGTAGTATTAACGTGATTCACGGTCTCCCGGGCGACACTGCCGGTCGGGCGGCCCTATCAAAATCCCTCTTCATAATAAAACATGTTTATTAACCACAACAAAAATGCCTCCCCAACGCTCCGATCGAAAAAAAAAGTTGATAGAGCAGGAGGGCCGTCTTATATTAGCTATAAAAGCTATAAAAGATGGTAAATATCCCTCTGCTGCAGCTGCTGCACGATCATTTGATTTACCTGTCTCAACTTTGAAGTATCGGCTTAATAGGCGTGAATCTTTGGCTGAGAAGAGACCAACTGGCCATATTTTTACTGAAATTAAAGAGCAATCAATGGAAGACTGGCTACTTGATATGGATGCTAGAGGTGCTGCACTTACGATACCTATATTACGTGATATGGCCAATCTCCTACGAAGTGCCCAGAAAAATACCCCCTCGACTATTGGCGTCAATTGGCCTACTTAATTTATCAAACGACGCCCAAATCTCTCTATTCGACTTTCACGCAGATATGATTATCAGAGAGCTCTTTTAGAAGATCCTAGAATCATTAAACCATGGTTTGATTTGGTTCAAAAGACTATTGAAAAGTGGGGTATTGTTTCAGATGATATCTTCAACTTTGATGAGAGTGGTTTTGCTATGGGTATTGGCGCAACGCAAAAAATTATCACTTCCGCGGAATATCATGGAAAAACAGTTCTTTTATAAGCTGGAAATCGAGAGTGGGTAACCATAATTGAGTGTATTTGAGCTTCTGGAAGTGTTATACCTCCGCTCTTCATTTTTAAGGGAAAAAAGTTTCCAGAGCATCTACGTCCCTATCTCCTTTTAAACCAAAAAGGAACTCATCTGACTATAAGTGAAAATGGCTGGACTACTAATATAATTAGTTTATGGTGGTTAAAACATCATTTTATCCCAAATATTAGGATAAGAGTAGGAAAATATTGCCTATTAGTCCTCGATGGTTATGGGAGTCGTTTGACCCCCGAATTTGACCAAGTTTATAAAGAAAACCAGATTATTGCAATCTGTATGCCTCCGTATGCTTCTCATCTTTTATAATCTTTGGATGTGGGGTGTTTTTCAGTTTTGAAGAAGCTTTATGGAGGAGCTGTTTCAACTTTGATGCGGAATGGAGTGAACTCTATTGATAAGGAAGATTTCCTTGAACTTATCGCAGATGCGAGAATAGGTGCTTTTAAGACTTCTACTATACAGAATAGCTTTTTAGCTACTGGATTAGCACCATTTAATGCTAATAAGGTCTTAGAAAAGCTAAATGTGCACCTAGATTCCCTTCCTCCGATAGAGATCCTCTCTCAGCGACCACCTTCTTCTAGCAGTGATAGTGATCCAAATACTCTCTGGACTCTCTCAAAATTCACAAAATCACAATCTCGGTTAGAAAAAGGTCTAGAATCCTCATCTTCAATCCTTTCTTCACCAATAAAAAGGGAGATAAAGAAGTCGTACAATATAACTATCAAAGTGGTCCACCACCATATTTTTCTCCAGAATCGCTGTGCCCAGCTAGAGGCTACCAATAAGAAATAGACCAAAAAGAGAGCGACCATGCCTAAGTTTATTACCCAGAGAGGCATCTTCGGGGGTCTAGAGGGTGGTGAAGATGATGTGGTCTATAAGGATGAAGATGAAAGCAAAGATATATATTTGCTAGAGGTATCTACAAATACGGTTGTTGAGCCTACTTTACCTTCTATGCCTTCGGTTCGGCGGCAGGTGACATGTTCTGGGTGTGGGAAAAAAGGGCATACATATACTTATTGCCCTACTCGCTTTAAATAATAAAATCTATATTGTTTTTGTGGTTTTATACGTCATTAGAAATTGGTGATTTTTGAAAAGTTGGTGGGGTCGCCCGACCGGTAGTGACGCCCGCCCGACCGTGGATCACGTTAGGATTAGCTTTATCTAATGACGGACCCGCTCGGGCCGCACCTCCTTGGCACACTCAAAGCCAACCAGTTCCCACCTAGCGGGAACAGCGAGGGCTCACCGCCCGGGAGCTAGAAACAGCCTCTGGGTAGCCGTCGCAACTAATAAGCATAGCTTGATCAGGCGCACTATCTGGCACAGCCCAACAAGAGTCTATTCTGTAGGTTCGATCCCGTATAAATTCAAGTGGCAACGATAAGATTGCGACTGAGACTTGTGGACGAGCCTCGACGTACCTATAGCACCACTACGAGCGATACTCACTGTGACCAGTTAGCACCTCAGTAAAGGAAGGTTCAACAAGCCTCACTTTGCACAGGCAATTTTAATGCCCCTCAAAAAGCGTCAGACATGTGAGCTACACTTCGGCAATACAGAGCAGGCGGTAACAAGACAAGCCAAGAAATCTATATCTACAGCCTCATCCCCCAGCTCTCTGTCCAAATAAACCTCTGCCTTGTCGCATTGGTCTAATTTCCCTCACACCAGAAGCCGTTAGATGCTGTCCTGCAGCAGACCCATTATAAGTTCCCTCACCTTGTATTTTTCCAAGCTCTTTCTGTTACTGACACGTGCAGAACACGCGCCGACCATTCAAGTCACCCAGCGCTCTCTAGGCACTCAGTGGTTCACTCCACACTACTCGTGTTCGTGCCCGCCGGCTAGACCCTGAGTCCAGACTAGGCCCCAAACCTTCTGTACGTATGCAAGTACCCATGAGCCGCAATCAAGTTCATGACTAGTCATGTATCGCTTCGACTGTCTCTTGAACCTAGGCGGACTGACTGGTCTTTGATGGTGAATCAATTCTGTTTGTTTGTTCTCCTTTCGCTTCCTTTTCTTTGTTTTATGACCGATTATTCTCCACTCTTCCTCTTTTAATTTTTTGTTGAACCCCCATTGTTTGAATCTGGCTTCACATTGTTTTTTTCTTCAAATTTGGCATGTTAGCGGCAATTTAGAGTATTTGGACAAGATTCCAGAGCCCTTAGGTTGCTTTAAAGTTAAGGGAGTTGTTCATTTTCTTTTGGTACTCTTGGATATGCAATCTATCCACAAGCCAAAGCTTCCTCAGTGTGTTCTTATGGCGATCCCAATCGCTGTCTTTGCTGGAACCCATGATGAGAAGCTTCCACGGTTTTATGAGCGTAGAGTTGGTCGGAAAGGATGAATACACTGGTTTGCGTTCGTTTATGCCAGGCGTGAGCAGACAAAAATCATAGCGAAGTTGTCTTCTCGAAAATTTTCGTGTCAAAACAAGGCGTCGGGCGCAATTTTACTAATCGAGTAAAGAAGGCGATGAGAACGAGGCGCATTCTTGCGGGGGGACAAAAGTACGCTTGATCTTTAAATTGATTGGTCAGTGACAAAAGCTGGCTGACATTGCGGTGTGTCTCAAATTGACACCCCCAATCCAAATCTTCATTAGACTCTTGCTTCGAAATGAAATCGAGGCTCCCCTATGATGAGCCGGAGATCCAGTATATTTCGATGGCTTAAATTGTTGATACAATTTTTCAATAGATCTCGTCTTCGAGCGTATAGCCGCCATTGCCGAAGCACTATTCCACGATATCACAATATATAGGTTCAATTTTCCACTTTACGTACTGTAACAGACGAGAAGCTGTCTTAATGTTTGCATTTGTCACATTGTCGTCGTGGTCCTGTAATGTACGGAGTGACTCAGAGTTAAGTGATGGAACTTAAGGATGGAGTATGTAAGTTGATAGGGAAACAATTTGCAGGGGATAATATGATATTACCGAACGTGAGAAAGTATGCAGACGTATTTTGTTGGCTCCAGGAAGTTCTAAGATTGCGAGGTTTGCCGCAAGGCCTAGATATTCAGGTGAAGAATGGTTATTAAGTGAGTTAGTACTTCACATGATTCACGAGCGAGCGCCGCACCTCACTAATATGAATATTCTTAATTCTCAATTCAAACTACTGGAACGCCAATTTATCGATGATATGGCCTATCTAGGTCTTTCTGGATATGTCTCTCTCCTATCTATAGTTCATAAGCTCAAATATGCATCTTTAGTCTACTTGTTTCCCTAAATGAGCAGGATATGCACGGCAGGCTAATATTGCCTTATGAATAGTAACATAGATCTCCTGGCCGTTCAAAAATTCAGGTTTGCCGACAATAAGCCCTGATCCGAAGGCCATTAGCAAATTAAGTTTCAGTACCACAGAGACTCCTTCTTCCGCGGCAAAATATAATGCTTCTACGATTTTATCCATGTATGAGAGTTTGCTAGTATCTATATGGGCTTGGCACTTTTTAGAACGCAAGCATTAGGTGATACGAGAGTCATGCCAAGACAATGAATAATTCCTTTAGTGAACAAAAGGCAGCGATGTCACATCGTTCAAACATGGCACAAACTACATCAGTTATACATACTATAAATCTATGGTTACCTGGTCACTGGAAACAGCCGCTTTTGCTCGTTTCAACCCCGTTAGTAATTTCCGTATTTATCTCGAGCCATTTCGTTTCCATTGGCAACTCTGTCATACATAAAGCAGCTGCAATGTATACTCCTTTCCAGCATGTCTTTTTTCGTATTCCATATAATCTTTGGCAAGATTCTAATTCGTTTTTATCAGTCAGCACTTTTCTTCGGAACTCATGCACTAAAATTATCACACGCTTTGATATCTTGGAGAGGTTGTAGAAAAGTCATGTTGGTTTGGGTGAGTATTCCGGACTGCGCTAGCGAGACCCTGATATAACTCCAATTTTGATTGGGCAGCGGTAAGTGAAATCCTACGGCTATGATGGTTTCGTTTGATAAGTTTGATTTTGAGCGTATGTATATAGTGCTTTGAAAGGTGGTCCTTAGAAAGTTATCTAGGGGTATAAGCCGAGAGCACACAACATACCCGGCGGAAATGCCTCAAAGGTCTGAACTCTCGAAACTCAAGGTACTTTTGGGTAGCCGCATTCCCAGGTCGATTTTTCCTTCAGATGTTTTATATTCATGATGATTCTATTTGAGTTTCAACGAAACATATAAATCCATCTCTAGATACAGAGTCCACTTTTTACGCCCGCTGAATTTGGTGCCTTGTAAGGTGGATTAGACCGTCGTGAGGGTCGTAGGTGTGAAGGAGAAGAATCAAATCATTTGTAGGATTCTCACTTATTGTGGCTTCGTCGAAATTGCGATAACGCACATCTCTCTGCCTATGCTGAGTTTTTAGGTGAGGAAAACTTTTATGGCTGAAGAACCGTCCGGATACCCCTGCGAGGGGCTGAATAGCGGACTACTAATATCTTGGATTAATTTGTGCAGATTGTGGGATGTACCCCCATGATCTCATTACAGTACATAAGAACATCGTTTGTCTGCATTATTCTACTAAATTATTCGAGAGTTTTCTAATTACTGGGTCTGCCTGAGCACCTGTGTTGCATACCGCAGAGGCTCGGGGTCCTGGGGAAATTCCCCTTCAGCTAAGATGAGATCGTTAAGGAAAAGTAAGCTTAACAGACATATGTTTTGTTTCTGCATCTTCTGCTGGAGTTTAGAGAAGATATGTGACTACCACATAAAGTGGTAAGTACGTATGACATTTTGAGCCCAGATAATTTAGCTTGAACCATACCTGCAATTCAGACGTACAACCTATAATACTCCTAATACTACTATCCGTCAGATATGCGAGGCATCTTCATGCCCCTGAGTCTTTTGTTTTGCCGACGTCCGGATCAAGCTTAGTGGCTGGCTACGTAAGCACCAAAATAAGCACCCAAAATACTAAGTGGGTCAGAATTTTCTTTGTCCATTTTAGCCTATCTCGCACCAATATCCTGTCAACTTAGGGATGCAATATTAGCCGCTAGAGAAATTATTGACGATTGTTTTCAATCATCTCCCCTGATGGGGTGGGCACTCACCGGTCGGATCGGGCGGCATAGTCACTTTCGATGTATAAAAGATCTCGCCAAGGATAGTCAATCACTTTATTTGAAAGGGCAAAATTAGGGAGGCAATTCAGGCCTCAGAGCGCGAAATATTCTTAGCTTCCACTTTGTTCCTGCATGCGTGGCTCAGTAAAGCGAGTCAGTGGTTGCGGCGCCGCCATTTCACTAGCGCCCGGCTGCATCGCTTATTGTGGCCGTTTCTAAGGCGAATGGGTTCGATTCCCACAATTTAGACTAGCTTCCAACAAAAGCTTGAAAGCCGCTGGCAGTCTCGAACCACGGCGAAGCCGATGTCGAGCAAGCCATGTGGATCGCCGGCAAAGAAAGACTCATTTGCCTCATGGCCTCCGCATTTCGCTTTTGAGGCTTAGGCGATGGAGGCCAGAAGGGGCATTTATATGAACCCCAGGGCCCCTGGGAACTCCAATTATTGCAAATCCGTGCATCTTTTCACTCTGCAATAATCATGGTTGGAAAGGCTTTCCTGCTGGGCTTGGCCTACGCGGTTGCAACTTCGGCTCTCCCTTCGCCCCCGCTTGAAGAGCGTGAAGGTCATGGATCCTGTTCTACCAATCGCAAGCCGCTATCATATTGGCGTGATACTTTCCTTGGAGAAGCTATCCGGTCGATTGAGGAATGTTCCGAGGGACGCCATTTCTGTCATGAGATCATTGACGAGACATGCGAGGTTGTCATCGAGACTAAGACGGTGACCCCTGCGCCAACCACTGTCAAGATTACCAAGACAATCACCGAACATCCGACAGTGACACAGACAAGGACCGAGTGGTCTACCTCTACAATTATTCGTGATCCAATCAGCACCGAGACACATTGGACACGTTCGACTTTGACTCATATCCTGCCTTTGACTATCACAGATGTCATCACCCTGACAGTCGATGATATCTCGACTGTCACTATAACTGATTCCGACTATGAAACTATCACTGTACCGGTGACTGGGTTCATTACAAATACCGTCACTGACACAACTACTGATTATACTGCTGCTACAATCACTGAGTTGTTTACGGAGACCACTACCGAAACATCCACAAACTTCATTACCGACTACCTCACTGTTGCTGACACCTCTACTATCACTGAATATACTACCATCACCGGCAGCTCTACCATTACAGAGATTTCAACTGCAACAATTACTACTGTTAACACTGATGGAGTCACTGTAACTACCACTGTGCCAAGGACTCATCTTGTTATTTACCTGGACGAAGTTTACAAGCGTGGTTTACGGGAAACTCCTTCGGCTCTGAGAGACATTCAAGCAACTCATCTTACAAGCGCATGCTCTGTCTTAGTCTATGATACTTGGATGGCAACTGAATACACCACAGAAACAGCCGCTCAAGCTACAGTATGTCACGATTCCAATACTTACTTTGCAATACTGATTCATTCAATAGTCTACCAAAACTTTAACGACCCACACCGCAGTACCTCAGACTGTTCATGTTACCAAACATGAAACTGAGTTTGTTACCAAGACTGAACCAACGGTCGTGACAACAACCAAGACCCGTACAATCGCCGCCGATGTCACAAGTACAGTGACAATTAGCGAAACATCAACTGTCACTTCTTCGTCCACCACAACAGCCACCGAAATTATCACAGTGATAGTAACATTGGAGAGTCCGACTACCGAAACCGACGTTGTCACAGCGATAGTGACGACGGAAGAGACGACCTCGACTGATACTTTGGATATAACTGCCTATGTGACCGCTTCCACCACTACAGATGACGTCGTAGACGTTACCACCACTTCAACGGACGATATCACAACCCTTTACACTGCCGACGTTACTGCTACTGAGACGTCATCATTGACAACCACTGAAACCTTGACGATTACTGTTGAAACGACTCAAACAGCAACAGTTTACTCAACTACATCAATCACTACCACCTCAACCTATGTTGACTCAGGATATGGCTATTAATTACCTGGCCAGCACTAAAGAAGCGTCTGGTGGTATTGGGCCCACCAACGCTTATAACAGGGTGCAGTGGGTTCGAATCCCGCGGCCATCAATCCTGTATTGGAATCAAGGTGGAGGGGAAGCTATGATATACACAATTGCCTGGGAGGAGACAAGGAGGGCAATAGAGCGCAGTTCTCATACATGCCTCTCACTCTCTCTATTACTCTTTCTCTCTCTCTCTCTCTGTGTGTGTGTGTGTGTGTGTGTTTGCTCTATACAATGGTTGAAGCATCCCAGGAGGGGGTTTAAAAAAAATTCTTTACGGCTTCACTTGCTTGTACATGAGGGGAACAACTGGCTGCGGCACATGAGACGGGATTGTGATTTTTATTGGTCCTCGTAAAGACTGTACCACCTGTATCTAAACGCTTCTGAAGTCCGCGTAGAGCCATAAGAATCCGGAAGCGGCATCGGATTATAATTTAATACAACAACCACAAGCACCCCTTTTACAGCAGATTTACAGCAAATTATTACGCACGGTTGGGATAGAGCCGTAGCTATGGTAATACTTCACTAGTTTGAACCTGTTTTTATGTATATTCAGTATGAACTTCCTGGTTATTGCAATTTCGTCTGATGATGATTGTTGTGTTCCGGTTTCGTCAATACTTTTCTTGTACATAGTAGGTAGACCGTTTTCCTGTGTGTGCTGTTGCTTTCTTTCTACATTAGCATTTCTCTGCGCACAAAGCACCAAGGAGGGGAAGGAGTAAGAAGTACGGATAAAAGCGAAAGAGCACACAAAATATCTCTGTATTGTGTGGGATGAAGAAACAAAAGAGAAAGAGCTGCACCCAAGCATATATGCTACTTGGGCCTAATTCTGTTCAAGACGAAAGTGGAGAGCTGCACCAACTTTGAATCTTTTAATCAGATGGAAAGAAGACAAACGAGAAATGAGAAGGTCGAATAATCAAAGACGCGCTGACTCCAACATTTGAAATCTACTGAAATGCCAAAATATCAAGACGTATGCCATAGACCAATTTCCATTCCGTACAACGCTTTGAAAAAGTGCAATGATGCAGATAGCATACCCCTTTTCCCGCATCCCAATTGGGATGAGTTATAAATATACACCAATAGACTTCTTATAATAGAATAACAGGGCAGAAACCCCTGGATATTCCATCTACGGCTCATTCTGCTGAAAGTAAACGACGTCCCCAGGCCAGATCTCCTGCGTCTCATTAATATTGAATTCGATACCAAGTGAGGTAGTTTGCGCTTGCTATTTGCACGATGTCAGAAAAGCGGGCAGATCGTATTTGGAATTTTAGAGAACCAACCGCGATGGTATGTCCAAGCGCCTCTCTATTCTTCGGCTCCCATCCTTCCGGGAAGCGCTCTTCGGAAAGCCAGACGCGCAAGTCTTTGACATTTCCACCAAAGACCGAGTACATGAGTGCACTGTTTCCAGAGCCTAGTGTGGAATTCATTAGTGAGTATAGAATCAGACTCAAATCAAGGGCTTGGCGTACCAAAGAACTCGTGTAAAAAGCTCCACGTTAATGAGTATTGGCCGTTGATACGTTTGCACTCTGCGCGGCGGATTCCGGAGTAGCTCACAATGTCATCGAGTGAGAGGGATTCCCCGCTTGAGGCGTGGGCAAGGAACCTCTCCACCAGGTCGGGATGCGGGAAGCTTTGGTCGGGGCAAAAGGCGATATCAGGACGGGTGAACGAGGCATCGTGTTGGATGATCTATAAGATCGTAAATTGATCAGCATACACGAAGATTTGAAAAGGGGTCGTAGTTGTATCCGGTACTCACGTTGAGGGTATTGAGATCATGTAAGTCAATCCAACCCCGTCCTTGATCAAGAAGTTTAGCGGAAGCAGTGAGTTGGTCGGCAAGTGATGATGAAAGATTATATGCGTGCTGGACTGCATGTGAAATCTGCTTATATGTGATCTGTCTACCATCCCGGGGTAAGATGTCTAGATTATAAATATTAGCGATAGATGATCCCTAGATTATATGGAATGCGTAATCACTTACTGTGGTTGGCAAGGCAGTTGAGTCTAAATGATAAAATCATACAGATTAGAAATGATACTTTCAAATGAAGGGATACGTACGCAGGACACGGGGACCGGCTCTCTTCCCCATATGTGGGAGGGACGAATTTCGGCCAGATACCACCATGACCGGGATGACCGGGAGGCACGACACTTCCCACACGGCGACTGGGGCGGAAGATATTTGCGATCTAAACAGGTTTCGTCAGAACTACTAATATCGAATTGATGAAAAAGAACATTTGAGAGAGATCACCCACGATATAGAAGAGGTCCCGGATTTCGAGCCAAATGAAAAATAATACAACAGGGAAAAGATCCACCAATGAATTAATAAGTCGTGTAAGAATACCAACCACGGTGGTAAAGAAGTTAACCATGATGGGCGAAGAGCGAAATAGAGCAAGAAGGAAAAATCCGCTGTCGATAGGGCTGCATGAGGCTATAATCCTGAGTCTTTATATGACAGTTGAAATCTTGACCAGCGGAGCGATCATCAATAACATGTGGACATGTGGACCTTTGTACTATGGTACCCAAGACGCCCTGTCGTTGGTCTTTTCCGTTTCCAAAATAGAGATGTGCTGTGAGGCCTGATTCAGCCGCCAAACCTTGGAAGCAAGGTTTGGTGCTACTATCAGCAGGGCTGAGAAGCCACCTGAGCATATATTTACTATTTGACCTCACCATATCTCCCATATTCGGCAAAACACTCATAATGAGAGAATATTCAGCTAGCCGCAGGAAGCAGTACCAAGGATATGAGTAATATGGCTTGAAGCCATCACTTGTGAGGTATATGTTTTGTATCGTGGTTGGGCATGATAGCAATTCCAGACCGCTATAACTTGTAAAACGGGTTGGAAGTACCGACCGGTTACCTTCACCCAAAATCGAAATAGACGGATAACAAAGAGGCGTCGCGTCGTCAAAACGCCACTAGGCCTGATTTGGTACCTTGCTTCACGTCATTCTACCCGAGCGCATTGGCTTGTCGGCGACCCCGCGAAGCATAGACGAATTATCTCTCAGGTGTCATGTTCTCCATGGCTACTTTTACCAACTATGATCTGGCTCCTAGCTGACCTTCTCAGTTTAGTACCTAATTTTAATCTTATCGACATCCACAGCTGAGCTAAAAAGTCTTCGAAAACAGTGGCATCGGTTGCACCGCGAAATACACGCGAGAGAATGATCCCATCCTGAGTGTACGCAGGTAGTATCTTGTATCGCTGGTCGCGATGAAATTGTGATACTGGCAGGGGGGCTACGCCGAGTGGTGACCAGCCTGTGCGCCTGAACCCCGCCCTCTTATCGAATCCGGATTCATCAACGTATACTAGATGATAAGATTGAAACTCCAATAAATTATGTAGGTATAATTCTCGCAGGTCGGCATTACGCTCCTTTGCATGCTGTCGGGCCGTCTTTTTGGACCAACCTTTGGCCACAAGCGCTCTTCTAATGCTAGAGGTTGTGATCATGGTGTGGAAGTCATCCCAGAGGAAGACAGCCATCTCGTCAAGGTATAAGCCCGGTTTTTCCGACAGGTGGTCGCAAAGCGCGTTAATCATAAGCGGCGTTACGGTTGGCTTCCGACCTATGCGAGTTGGGGGTGCGTGGACGCTGCCAAACTGCCGTAAGTTTCTGCGGGTATTTATTATCGTGACCTTGCTGCATTCCGCTTCTTCGGCCATTTGAGTTGTGGTTAGTGACTGGCACTCTATAATATCACGTTTGAGATGCAGCTTTGAGGGGGAAAGTCTTGGGGCCATATTAAAAGACTAAATGGTGCACGATATCGCTCAAGAAAAATTTACAGGGAAGGAAGCCTGCTGCTTAGGAAGAGAAGAGGGGTGGAGTAGTTTCGAATGTATAGCAGTTTCCTGTAATTTACAGAGGACGGTGTCCCGCCGCGTCATGTAAAATACAGATTCTATTTTGAAAACCAGCGGATCGACGGGGTAACCATATCTGGATGAGCGCATTTGCAGTTAGGGTTTAGGAATTAAAGTCAAAGAGTGTAGAGGTAAATCTGATTTCGAATATTACTGTATGATCTCGAGCAGGAAAGTACCCTAAATCTCGTACGGCGATTCCATCAAGCTGCCTCCAGGGCATGCTGACAGAAACAAAGGGCCATCCACCGACAAGCCGTCCCAAGCCCGGGGATCGTACAGATCTACATGCATAAAAGAGAGCTGACTATATTTGTCCAATAGAGGATCCAAATTGGCTGTCGGGCGAGACTCATGTCCGGAGTTCCGCCGACGAAGCAAAAATTGCTGCCCCCGGTACCGATCACCGTGGGAGAAATCCCCAAATGCAAGCACCTGCAGATCCGGCAGACCTTTTGAGCCAAATGCCCACAAGGCGAACGACACAAACTCTTCCGCTTCGGACCTTCCCAAAGCCCTAGCTGGTAGTGCATCGGGATCATTTGAGAAAATGGTGGAGAAGATAGCCGAGGCCAATCTGACGCTCGTATTTATTTGATCAGAGCCTGAGTATCGTCTACTCCGCGCCTGCTCGTAAAAACACGTGGCGATCTCTCGCTGCACATCACGGTGGACGCGCTCGTGTCCACTAAATCGCAGATGTAGGAGCTGGATTCGCAACCGCATAGCCATAGGTTCAAGAGATAATCGCTTTTCTGGTCAGCGTGCGTTTGATGAAGGAAAGCAAGTACGTACTACCATATCCAGACTTCCAGATACCGCTAAGGCCGTCATAGTTTGCAAGTCCACAACACTCGGTAGGTCTGCGATCCATCCTAGTGCCACATCTCGATTATCTTCGAACAGCCCGCGATCGTCGATCGAGGTTAATTGGCGTTCATGGTAGACGAGACTTTGCAATGTCTCCCGGTGACAATGAATGGCCTTTTCGATGAGAGGCTTTGAGGCTGGAAAGTTCGACAATCTTAAATAGAGGTGCTGCAGCCCGCGAAAGGAAAGTAGGAATTGCGCGACCCCTGCAAAGTCACGTTGATCGACTGACTCCTGTAGAGCTGAACGAGATGTCTATATCCGAAGCAGTGAACTAATTTATTTAGTATAAAGTTTAAAAATTAGCGAAAGCTAAGAAGTATAGTAATAAAATTCGTAATGCTGTTCAACGCTATCTATCGTTAAACTCGTAAGATCCCTTCCTATAGGTGGCCTTAGTGTATCAAAACCTTAGAAAGATACGAGTAAACGTGCTTAAGAAACTAGAGTTATTTCCTCCTAGATTGGATACTCTATATAGATGAATGATTAATTAGGTTCGCAAATCAGAGGATGCCGAGCTCTATAAGGAGATACTGGTAATTATATCAACGATCTTTCGGCCTATCACGCTATACGAACTGACTTTACTCATTGAACTACTAGATGATAATAACGATGACTATATACCCCTTAAAGAGATTATTACGATCTATAGATCTTTTTTAACTTTACGGAAACACACTAATATGTTCGTCTATCAGTCCGTAAAGGAATATCTACTTAAGGAAGCACTCGGTGAGTTACTTCCGGGAGGAATAGAAGCTAAATATAATATAATATCTGTACGATCTCTCGACGTAATTTTTAAGATACTTTAACGTGATATCTTTAATATCAAATTACCTAGACTCCCCGCGAAGGATATCTGTAAACTTAGCCAAAACCCACTAGCAGTAGTAGAATACGCGTGTGTCTACTGGGTGGACTATCTTTAAGGGAGTAAGTATAATAGAGCTCCTAGGCTAAGCATTTATAATAAGGGTTGCGTAGATATATTTCTACAGCAGAAGTTCCTTTACTAGCTTGAAGCCCTTAGTATTTTAGGGAGCGTATCAGATTGTATCCAAGTAATGCAAAAGCTTAAAATTTGGATTAATGTAAGTGGCTATTTATAAAGAAAGATGCTCTTCTCTTCTAAAAAAGGGCGTACTTTAGTAAGACAAGGAAGAATCGGAGGAACTATATAATTAAGCTCGAGATATCTCTAGGTTTATTCGATATTATAGGACGGCTATTAAGAGCAGTCCTTTATAATGTCAGGAAACTGACAAGGAGTATCTGGAAGTTCTCTCATGTGACCTCAGCTGACCTTACCGAGAGAGTGCGGGGTATAAAGCCCATCTCTCTCTTAGTACCTACGATTCCTTCAAGAATCAGTTTTGATACAAATCTGATTACTGCTTTTTTACAACCCATCTATTCTCCCTCTATCTTATCCATAAACCCTAACAGTATAATCCTTTCTTACTAGCCGATTAACGCAGATTAAGCTCCTAGGCTTTATTAGCGAGCTCTTCGCCACTAAGACCGGTATCCTATAGGGGTCCCCTATCTCCCTAATCCTATTTCTACTATTTAATACCCTACTAGTCAGAGGATACTATATCCGCGGGCCTAATAGGGCGGAATACTATAGATATAGATAGGTAGACGACGTAGTAATAATTATAGAATCAGTATTATATACTAGGAATATAGAAGTACTATAGATAGCACTAGTCTGTGCCATAACCCGCAAATGGGTAGGTAAAGTCAACCCGCAACCCGAACCCGCAAAACCCATGGGTTGGTCAGGTCAACCCGCAACCCGCCCCATGCGGGTTGCGGGTTCGGGTGCGGGTTACCCACGCTAGCCCATCTTTGCATAAATTTCTAACGCTATACCTAAATAGGATGGATAAATTTGATTATTCATGAAATTAATTACTGTTATTTACACATGTTTCTGTCACGCTTTTGAATTTCTCGTTATTCAATCATTAGTATCATGAATTTAAAAGGATTTAGGTTGTATATCAAAACTTTAAGTCTGGTAATAAGATTGCCTTTAGGATTTAATGTATTTAAGGTAGGTTGTGGTTATTTAAAAGAGTTTAGGTAGGAAATGGTTATTTGGGGTGGAAATATATATATTTCATGTAGAGCTCTTCAAGTGTATCTTCTAGGAGATTTGTGGACCTTCTCTCCCCTACCTAAATCAGCTTAATTTCAACTTTTTTAATATCAAATCTATGACTGATTTCTATAGAAATCAGCAGTACTTTTATATACTCTCTCTATCTTAGACTCTGTCGTTCAGTGGCAGACTTTATCAGCCATTTCTACAGCAATTAGTAATACTTTCATAGCCTGAAAAATCAGGAGATCAACGATTTCTATAGAAATCATTAACCCCTAAGGCCTTCAGTAACCCATAAATTCAATGGGTTTTTATGGGTTTTTATGGGTTTCTTATGGGTTTCTTGTGGGTTTCTGCGGGTTTCTTATGGGTTTCTGCGGGTTATTGCGGGTTACTTGCGGGTTTCTTGCGGGTTTCTTGCGGGTTACCTGATAACCCATAAATTCTATCCAATAGGAACCATGCTTTATAAGTCAAGTTGTGATAGATC